TAATATATCTTTATTATAATACATTAATCCTTAATATTAAATATATATTAAAATAAATATATTAAATTAAGAAATAGCTAGTATTCTTTTTTTAGCTAGATAACTAAGATTAGTATTATCTAGTCGCTTTTTAGTCGAAATTATTCTCTATACTAGACTAAGAACTTTTTATAATTATATATTTCTTTAAATATTAAAGATAGTATTTAGAATATAGCTAATTTACTATCGAAGTATTATTAGACTATTTAAATCTTTAATCCTTTATAAAATAAATTAAGCTAAATAGAAAATAAATCTATTAATATATATATTTTATGCTATTTAATTTTATAATTAAGTACTAATTAGGAAAAAGTAATCTTATAGATAGACTCTTAAAAAAAACCTAATTCTATTTAGAAAGATACTAAAAAAAGAATTACTTATATTATTATAAAAATAGATCATGATTAAAAAGCTATTATTTAAGTAATTATAGTTATAGACCTTATCGCTAAAAAATCTTAGTTTAAATCTAACGAGATACTTTTAGAGGAAGATAATCCCTAATTTAGTATCTATATAATAAAAAGCAAAAAAGAGTCTATTAATATAAAAGTAGCTAACTAGGCTATCTAAGAAAAACTTATAAAAGATAAAAAAATATCTTAATATAAGATATAAAATATTTATAAAAAAGAGTATATCTATTTAGTAGAAATTAGTACTAAATTATAAATAATAATTAAATAGATCTAAAATAAGGACCTAGAGATATAAAGGCTAAAAGCTGTGTTAAATTAGATATCCAAAAACTTTAAGAATTAGGGTATTAACCCTAAAAGCCTTTTTAATTTAAAAATTAACTCTTTATTCTAATAAAGAAGAACCTTAGAAAGAAATTACTAAGTATTTATTATAATAACTTTTTAATAGGCTATTTTAGGTAAAATAAAACTAAAATATTACTAAAAAAGAAGTTTTACTAGATTAGATTTTAGGATAATATAAAAAAATATATCTAGATATATATAATATATTAAGGAATAATAATACTAAGATATCGCTTATATAATAAACTAGAATCGCTACCGATATTATTATAGCCTTTTAGCGAACTATTAATAGATTTTATTATAAGGTTACTACTAAATAGAAATAGAACCTAAAAAATTAACGCAATATTAATTATTATTAATAGACTAATAAAATAGTCTCTATTCTTCGCTATATTAATAATAATTAACGCTATAGAACTTATAGAATTATTTTAGATCAAGGATTATTTTTTATTAGTAAATTTTAGTTAAAGCTATATTATTTTAGTTATATTAAACTCCGTTTTTAATAGTATTTTATCTATAAACCGATAACTAAATAGAGAGAGTAAACTAGATACTAGAACACTATCTTTATTATTTTATCGGTAAAGAATAAATCACGTAGCTAAAATTACTTAGAAATATATAATTTATATATAATAATATCCCTAATATAATAATAAAGAAATCTTTATTCTAGATCTTAATAGGATATTCGCCTAATTTCCGAATATATACTAAGGATAATACGTTTTTTAAAGAGGTCCTAATAATAGAAACACGCGATAAAAAACTATAAAAGTTAAAATAAGACTTAATAGAATAATAGTAAAAAATAATAGAAATATAAGCAAAATACTATAATAAAACCTATAAAAAGATATTATTTAAATATAAAGACTTAGTTACTCTATTAATAAAAAACTTAAAATTAAAGATAATAAAGAAATTAGTATCTAAGTTTATTAGACCTATCCGAATTCTTAAAAAGATCGGATTATAGATATATTAACTAGTTCTACTAAACTAGTATAATCGGATTTATAATATATTCTATATATTATTTCTTAAACCCTAGAAATAGAGGGATAAAAAGTAGAATAATAATAAAAATATACTAATACTAGAACTATAAGATAATAATAAATAGGAAATTAAAAAAGTAAAATATTTTTTTTATATTTTAATAAAAAATCTTATTTCTTAGTTAAATCGAAGAGCTAGCTATTAGAATATAATTAGTAGATCCTAGAAAAAGATATAGCGAATATAAAAGAAGCTATTATAAAATATAAGAAATAAAGATAAAAGAGATAATAAGATATTATTTAAAAAGAAATCCTATAAATTAAATAGAAGGCTACCGAAACTCCGCTAGAACAATACTAATATTATTATTATAAAATAGCGGTATAAATATAGAACTTTACTTAAAATTTAGGAATAGGAATAAAGAAATTCTTTTCTAATTATTTTAGATAATACTTAGTATCGGGATTATTAATTAGATTAGGAACCGCTAGATTAGGATTATATTTATTCTAAAATATTATCTATAGGGTTACTAAAGCCCCTATTTCGCTATAACTTAATATATAAAACTATTAATTTTTAGAACTAAATAGAGAAGTTGCTAAGACTAGAACTTTTAGAGGTATTTCCCTAAGAGATTCTTAGATAGAAAGATATAAATAGTTATATTCTAATAATAGATAGCGATATATATTATATAAATCTTACGTTAGGTCTACTAGAATATTAACGGAATTATACTAATATAAATAATCCTATTTACTATAATTAATTTATAAGTAGTAATAAAAGAAAACTAGTAGCGATATATTAACTTTATTATATTAAAGGCTTTTATAAACTTTATCGTGGCTTTTCTAGCCGCGATTAATACGTTTTTCTTTTATTTATTCTCTTTTTTCTCTTTCTTCTTTTTTTTTTTAAGAATATCTTTGTAAAGGATATACTTGGCAGGGTATAAGGCCTGTCGATCAGGTAAAGAAACAAGGGGAGAGAGTAGGAGAAACAGTATATCTTTATTACTATCAAGACTGAATCTTGTCTTGCTAGCTAGATACGAGAGTATCAATTTATTATACAATATCTTCGTAACTCCCACGTATTATCAATAATATAAACGACTGAGTCTCTATTATGTATCATGATCATTCTACTGTAGAGTAGATCAAGTAACGAGTTCTGACTTCGTTCAGGATCATGTGATGTCACCTGATTCACCCCTTCTGTCAGTTGGGAATAACCTCATGTCTCACCATCTTGGTAGACCCTTTACAATCTTTAATTAAGGGCTCTAGTAATTCTTTATTTAGCTAATTAAGGATTACCTATAGATTATAAGTATTCTTAATTATACCCTCTATAATCTAAAGAATATTAGTATAAATTAAAATAAAATACCGCGGAACGTACTATATTATATAACGCGTTATAAATAGAATACTACCGATAGATAACTAAAGCTATTATATCTAGTTTATATTTAACGATAAAAAGCGACTTAAAATTATATACTTTAACTTTAGTCCGAAAGTATTTAGTATACTATAAAAAAATAAGCGAAAAGATAATAAAACGCGCTAGCCAATATAATAATTAATCTAAATAATAATAATAAGATATAATAATAGTAATAGTTATAAAAAAATAGGAAATAGTAGAAATAGTAAGAAATAGATAACAAAACACGATAAGTATAACGTAAGAGAGAAAAAAGAAGAAAAAGAGAGTTACTACTCAAAAATATAAATAAAGACTTAAATATATAATTCGTTATATCTTTATTTACTAGTTAACTATATAATCTCTCTATTACCTCGATAGTAAAGTAAACAAAAACCCTACAAAAAGATACCGCGTTAATACGCCTATATTATAGCAATAAAATAAACGTATTAGTTAAGACTATCTAACCTTAAAAGAGGGGATAATTATAAAGGGTCTACTAAAATAGTAAGATATAAGATTATTCCTAACTAATAAAAGGGATAAATAAGGTAATATTATATAATCCTAAAAAAGTTAGAACTTATTATCTAATCTATCTTATAGTAGAATAATCACGATACACAATAGAGACCTAGTTGTTTATATTATCGATAATACATGGAGGTACGAAGATAATATATAATAAATTAATACTCCTATATCCAGCTAGCAAGACAAGATTTAGTCTTAATAGTAAAAGATATACTACTTTCCTTTACTCCTCCCTTTTATTTCTTCACCTGATCGATAGGCCTTACACCCTGCTAAGTATATTCTTTATAGGTAAATTCTCCTATTTATAAGGATTTTGTCGATATGGGCTTATAATATCTATAATTCGCTTTATAAAAAAAGGCAAATTAGTCTATATAATAAAAAATGTCTTAAATTATTGAGTAAAAAGAGCTAAGAATTATTTTAATTATTTTTTCTAAATTTAAATCAAGTAAAGAAATTTGCTAGTTAGGTTTAAACCTTCTACAGATAAAATGGAAAATCCTAGGGTATTACTTTATCTAATTATTTAGGTTAACAGGTTAATCTATAGGCTAACCTATTAACTTATTTTTTAATATCTAATAATCTTTTTGTAAAGGGTTCCCAAAGATAGCGGGGCATAAAGCTATTCCTAACTAATAAAAGGGTAGATTAGGTGATATCACATATTTCCGGAGGAATAGAAAGTTAGATCTTGCCACCTAATCTATACCTTATCGGAATAACCACGATACCCGGTCGAGACCTAGTCGTCTATATTATTCATAATATATTATATACCAAATTAATACTCCTGTATTAGACTAGTAAAATAAGATTTAGTTTTAATAGTAATAAGGATATACTATCTATACTATTATCTTTCTATTTTACTTTCTTTATCTAATCGATAGACTTTATCCCCTATCTAGTAAACAAAATATCCACTGAAATAGGTTCAGTAGGTTAACCTATTAACCCACGGGATAGGTCAAAAAAATCTTAACCCGCCTACAGATTAAGAGGTTTGACCCACGACCCACCTATGGGGTGGCCAGTGGGTTGACTATATAGGTTGTCCACGGGTCTATCCAGGTCTAGTCCTATCTAGGTGCTATTTATCTACTCTCACAATCCCTCTATAACAGTACACAAAAAGTTAGATAAAACTTTACATAGCCCATAGATATTGGAAGGGTGAGGTTAAACACGACTGAAGAAGTACATATAGGCAGCCTTCTTCATTTCTTCAACGTCCTCGAACCGTACAACCTTTTCATCATTGAACATGACCCATGACCAGCTTGTTTGACCCGGCAATGTCTTGCGAATCAAGGCCACATAATGTCTGCTCCATGTCAGTATATAGCTTGAACATATATGAATACTCCTGTAAGGCACTTACCCTGCGTGAACAGAGGTTCCCTTGTGGCACACAATAGACCGCAATTGATAGCGAGCTGGTAAACTGTCGTAGCCGGATATTCCATGACCACTATCAGCATCACTACTGTCAATGCCATGCCTTTGATCCTCTGACCCGTCGTCAGGGTGGCTGAATACCCAGTCAAGAGCCCTATTAACATCGCCATCGGTCGCCGCCAATGCTCGCCGAGCACGGGGTGCCTCGATGCCCATCTCCCCCAGCTGAGACACCTTTGACGCATCTTGTTCATGTTCTCCAAGTCCACCAGTCGGTTGTTCCAGGGTAGAAGGTACGTCAATTTCTGGATCTTCCATGTGGGCGAATAGCCAATTCATGGCAGCTTCAGGATCGGAGTTACCAGTTGCGTGGAGAGCCTTTTCACACCGTACAGCAGGGAATCCCATGCTTAAAAGTTGATCCAAGACTCCTGGGTTGGGGGCAAAAATCGTGGTTTCCTTCACCTCTGGGAGAAGCTCTTCACCTGCATCATGCTCGGCAGCAAGGTAGGGACCAAAATCCACAGGCTCATCATCGACTTGCACAGGAATGTCTAGTTTTGTGGGGACCCAGTTCACAAGTTGAAAGCGACGAGCATTGACTGCTAGCTCCTGGGGCAATGTCTTGAAGGACGAGCGCTTCGAGAAACCATCTTGACTGCCGCATGCGGGGCATTTAAGCTCAACGATTTCCTCTGAAGTGAATATATCCAGACACTCGGACAAAGTCACTGAATCGTACCGATTTGCCGCAGTTTCGTGAGACGAGGAACGACGTGCAGGCACTGCAATAGAGACGTTGTCTTGTTCATCCACCCTATAGCGGACCTTCCTGCAGCCTAAGCACTGAAGACGCTGCTCAACCTCGAATCGAAAATGTTGCACAGGATTAACCTGCCCCTTTGGGTGGCTGGAGAGGCTGATCGACTTGAACAAATGCAGCAGGAATTCAAAGGCATCTTGTTGCCTCATCGTTGCAAATTCCTCATGACCCTGTCCAACTAGATACTTGAACATTGCTGGAGGTAGACCCTTTTGATGGGGAACTTCCGGAGAGCTAGGGGACGCAATAACACGCGAATCCGGGCGAGAGTACCGCCCCGAGAGTATACCATCTGCAAGCTTGCGCATTTGTGTCTCGAGGTCCTGTGCGGGTGTTTGGCATAGCGGCGGTTCCTCGTTTGGGTGGAAATATCTGGTTTGAAACCCCGGGACCGAAAAGACGCACTGCATGATACTGGACAAGTAGCAGCTGTTCCCAAGATTGGCCAGGCCCGTGAACCCAGGGCCATAAACTGGCGTCAGTTCACGACCATCCTCAGTAGTCATGGAAAACTCCCACTGTAGGTTATGTTCGACTTGCATCTCCATAAGGCTCTTTTCGGTTTTCTCCCGCCCAGCCAGATAAATCCCCCAATGTGCAAGGTGTGAGGAGAGCTCTGGGTCTGTTCTCTCCTCGTTGCATCTGTAGCAGTAGATATCTGCTGAGCCTTCTGCCGTGATAGAGCCAAGCTTGACGGCAGCAGCATGGGATGTTGAATCTGCATGGGCAAGAGCATGGGAGTTTCCACGAGTTCCACCGAATTGACTTCGTCCACAGCCAATGTTCCCGCATTCCAGGCAAATCCAAAGGTTCTCTGTCAAGTCGCAGGTAGTGCAATGACTAGAATCTGCATAACCGGATAAGTCTCTTATCCAGAATAGTGTCTAGAGTCAAAAACAGAGAACCATACCCTGGGATTCGACACCTTTCCGATCTTGCTGAACCAGGTTAAGGGTATGTTCGCAAGGAACGAATTCTTGCTCCCAGGCTTTGACTTCCTCTCTTTTCGAAAAGGTCATGGCGGTCATAATACCTTCAATCACTGCGGGAAGTCTGCCGTCGGATTTATCCACGTCACGCCGAGAGCATGAGTAACACACTACAGATGTAGCAACATCATATCGGTCCTCTTCTGTCTCGGCTGCGATAGCAAGCTTTGAGATTTTCGGCGGGGGCTCGTCGCGCTAAAATTGTGAATCAGAAGCAATTTCACCAAATCGGGAAAGTAGTGCACGCCGTACCTGGACCTTCTTGGGAGTTCTTCGAATGTTCAAAGCTAGAGAGTGACCAAACCTTTGGTAATGAAGCAAAGCATGGTTTCTATCCCCGGCACATCCACCATTGAAGCAGTGGAGACATACATTCAAGCCCGAGTCACCATCCTTAGAGAACTGTTGTCAGACAGATGGAGCGGTGGAGTGGTTAGGTGGCATACAATCGAGTCAAAACACTGAGTGCAGTCTTCTCGGTAAACAGCCTGGGAGGGACCGGGTGGAACGAGGTCTACACAAGAAGGCTTGTCAGTGAATTCTTGTCCGTACACAAGCTGGACTTCTCACAAACCTGGAGCACCCGAATGGACACAAGAGGCCATATTGAGATTAGATGAGTCCTTGGACTCTGGAACTGCTGGCAAAATCAACCTATGGAAGATCAACCAAGGCAGTCAACTTCTGGAGCCAAGTGTCAAAGAGTGTGAGGTGTGAAGGAAGCCAGAAGAGCTGCGGTGGGGGCATTGCCAATTACCTAAGAACGTGGGGTGCGCTCAAGATGACCTACGTACGTAGTCACCTAAATAGGCAATAACACCTTAGCAACGTCGGCGGCCTGAAAACTAGATCATGTGATGGTGGGGTCTGCCACTTAACGCGTTATTTTCCTTGCACGCGTCAAGATTCCCCGACACGGCTATGCTCGCGCCTTGGGCTGTCCATCGTTGACCCTGATTTGCACTCATCATCTCTATTTATTTTCAACTCTCATTCCTCGGCAGCTTTTCGTTGTCATCCAACTCCAACATGGCCTCAGACGCGGCATCCCAGGTCTCGGTCGGGGCTCTCAGGTTGGTTTTCCGTCACGGCTGCCAATGAATCCTACAGTAATAACTTTGCCCAGTGCCATTTTTGACGACAACAAGGCTCAAATCCATGACCCAATCGTCCAGTGTGTCCAGATCAAACCATTGCCACCCCAGCCAAACCACCCTGAACGCTACCGGGCTGTCTTTAGCGACATTGCCAACTATGTCCAGACCATGCTTGCCACTCGTACGTTTCTTGTCTTTTTACAGGCATACGAAACCACGGGAGGGTTTATTAAGTCTACTAGCAGAAGCCAACCATGTTGTTTCGGATGGGTCCCTACGAAAGGGGTGCTTTGTTCGACTCAAGTCGTTCCAAGCCAATTCTGTCAAGGGCAAGAAGTAGGTGGCCTGAGAAACTTGATTTCTACAGGACTGACCTTCTGCAGGATTCTTATCATATTAGATCTTGAGGTTCTGAGGGAACTGGGCGAATCTGAGAAAATTGGAGAACCCAAACCCCTCGAGAGCAAACCTGATGAGGAGGAAACCAACCAGCCCACCACAATTTCCACTAATGGATTTTACGGCTCCAAGATCCAAGGTGCCCAGCCACAGCCAAATCCCCGAGCGCAACCCATGCGAGCCCCCGCTGCGTCTGCTCATGCCACCATATACCCCATCGAAGCCATCTCCCCGTACTCCAATAAATGGACCATCAAAGCCCGTTGCACGAGCAAGTCCAACATCAAAACTTGGCATAACAAGAATGGCGAGGGGAAGCTGTTCAGCGTGAATTTACTTGATGACAGTGGTGAAATTCGCGCCACGGGCTTCAATGACCAATGTGACATGCTCTTCGACCTTTTCCAGGAAGGGAGCGTTTATTACATCTCCAGTCCCTGTCGGGTTCAGATTGCTAAAAAGCAGTTTACAAACTTGAACAGTGACTACGAACTCACTTTTGAGAGAGATACCCTGGTTGAGAAGGTACGCACACCATTCAAGGACACCCGAAACCCTTCGCCTGCGATGCCATACTGACCTCTCATTACCCTATTCATAGACGGAGGAACAAAATGACGTCCCTCAGATACGGTTCAATTTCACCACCATCGGTGATTTGCAGTCTGTTGAAAAGAATACAACTACAGATGTGATTGGGGTGTTGCAGGATGTCGGGAACGCATCCCAAATTGTATCTCAGGCGACCAAAAAGCCCTATGACAAGCGTGAGCTGACCTTGGTGGACAATACGGGATTTTCAGTTCGCTTGACTGTCTGGGGTGCGACTGCGAACAACTTCAATGTGATGCCTGAGTCTGTTGTTGCCTTCAAAGGCGTCAAAGTCTCTGATTTTGGAGGTAGAAGTCTGAGCCTGCTGAGTTCCGGCTCAATGACCGTGGATCCGGACATCGGAGAAGCTCATCGCCTCAAGGGGTGGTACGATGCACAAGGCAGATCCGAGAACTTTACCTCCCACGCGTCAGTTTCAACTGCAGCCGACTCTACTGGACGAGGTGATCGATTCAAGACTGTTGCCCAAGTTCGGGAGGAGCAACTGGGCATGTCTGAGCAGCCTGATTACTTCTCTCTCAAGGCAACTGTGGTTTACATCCGACAGAGACAGGACTCGACTTGGTGCTACCCTGCCTGTATCTCGGAGGGTTGTAACAAGAAGGTGACCGAGCTCGACCCTGGGCAGTGGCGGTGTGAAAAGTGCGACAGAACCCATTCCAGACCGGAATATCGCTTTATCTTGCCCCTCAGTGTCAGTGATCATACGGGCCAGCTTTGGCTCAGCTGTTTTGATGACACCGGAAGACTGGTTATGGGCACATCGGCCGATCATTTGATGCAACTTCGCGACGAGGATCCCACGGGTTTTGACGAGGCTTTCCAGGAAGCTAATTGTCAGACATGGAATTTCAGATGCCGAGCCAAAATTGACAACTTTGGCGAGCAGCAGCGGTAAGGACGACTCTCCCCCTCTCCACCACCACCAAGGGCATCAATATTAACTGAGTGATTAGGGTTCGATATCAGGTTTCGTCGGCAAAACCAGTCAACTATTCCGAAGAAGCCTCTCGTCTTGCCGACATTATTAGCTCTTACAGAATGGTGTAGGTGAAGCGGCCCTGCAAAGCACCTAGGTTGCCTCGGGACGTCTGTTTGGCATTAACATGCCACCAACGTGTTGCTTGATTTGGGCTATGTATTTCCTATTCATCCAGTTCAGTATGGCATGCTTTCTCTGTTGTATTAGTGCTCAAGTAGTTGTGAATTAATCACGCCTCCCATCTCCCCTTGTCCCTAATGGTATTTGGTTGAAATTTGTGGTACTTGAGTATCTAAAGACAATGTAACTTGGCAGCGCAGGGAATTTTCATTACAAAATTACACAAATACTCCCTAGATATATCATTTCGGGTTGTATGAACACAGATACGGTACCTATCCATGGATGTAGTTTAGCTGCGCGGTAGGGCGGTGAATGATGGCAATATCTGGTAGACTTTTTTTTTTCTTTTTCCCTTTTAAGAACCTTTGGGGGATTTTTTTTCACCTTGACTTGCTCCTGTAATTGCCGGTCTTCTTCTTCTTTTCTTTTCTATACTGTCGGTCTGATCCATTCCTTTTGCATCTCACAAAGACAGAGGTGTCTATCATGGCAAAAAGAACCCATCACCACGAGGCAGCGGAGCTGCACCCTAAGAAGAAATCAAAATCGGAGAAGCATGCGAAGTCCACCAAAGACAAAACCTCGAAAAAACAGGAAGTCGAAGACTTAGCTCAAGACAGTGGCTCCTATTCTCAATCCCGAGCACTCACTGAACTCCCTCAGTCGGACATTGATCAGTTCCTCAGCGACAAGTCAATCAAGATCACTGATCCTTTGCCCGAGGCCCCCAGTCTTCGTCCAATGATTTCATTCGATTATCTCCCTACTTGTGAAGGTGGTCTGTACGCTCAGCTCAAGTCGTTTTCTTCGCCGACGCCCATCCAGTCTGCGACCTGGCCCCTTCTCTTTGCTGGTCGTGATGTTATCGGCATTGCAGAGACCGGCAGCGGCAAAACCCTGGCGTTTGGCTTGCCCTGCCTTAAGAAATTGATGGACTCAAAACGAAGCAAGAAGCCTTGCCAGCCTACAGCAGTGATCATCTCGCCCACTCGAGAGCTTGCGATGCAGATCTATGACCAGCTCGTCAAGTTTTCCGAGTCTGGGAGAACAGATGTTGCCTGCATATATGGTGGTGTGAAGAAAGATGAGCAGCGTGAGGCTCTGAAAAAGGCCGCCATTGTTGTCGCCACCCCTGGCCGCTTAAAAGACCTTCAGAACGACGGTTCCATCAATCTTGGAAAGGTCAAATACCTCGTGCTCGATGAGGCGGATCGCATGCTCGACAAAGGTTTTGAGCAGGACATCAAAGACATTATCCAGCCCATGCCAGTTTCCAGGAGACAGACCGTTATGTTCACAGCCACTTGGCCTCGCTCGGTTCGAGAACTCGCGGCGACATTCATGAGCTCACCTGTGACGGTGACTATTGGCGGAGACCCCTCTGCTGATCCTCGCGCAAACACGAGAATCAAGCAGGTCGTCGAGGTTATCAACCCAAGAGATAAGGAGACACGGCTTATCCAGCTACTCAACCGATCCCAGAGGGGGGGAGCCAGTCTCCTGAAAAGGTTTTGGTTTTCTGTTTGTACAAGAAGGAAGCCATGCGCGTGGAGAAGCTCATCAAAACGAAGGGATTCAAAGTTGCTGGTATTCACGGCGATTTGAATCAGTCAGATCGATTCCGGAACCTTGAAGCTTTCAAGACAGGAGCATCAACCGTACTGGTTGCAACTGATGTGGCGGCGCGGGGCCTTGATATCCCTGCTGTGAAACTGGTGATCAATGCCACCTTTCCCCTCACTGTCGAGGACTATGTCCATCGAATTGGTCGAACCGGGCGTGCTGGCGCCGAAGGCCATGCAATCACCCTGTTCACCGAAAATGACAAGGCTCTGTCTGGCGGGTAAGTGAGATAAGAGTCTCATTCCTCGTTTGCATCTGGTGCAAAGGTCGAGCAGTGCTAATAGTAGACAGGTTGGTCAACGTTCTCAAGGCGGCAAAGCAGGAGGTGCCCGAGGCCCTGCTCAAGTTTGGAACCACGGTTAAGAAGAAGCAGCACGATGCATATGGGGCTTTCTTCAAGGATGTTGACACCGACAAAGCAGCGACAAAAATCGTGTTTGATGATTGATTCCTGTTTGATCTATTCTGTTTTGGTCCTTTTGGCGCTCGAGGATAAGTGAGGCAATCTCATGAATTGTTCCAGCACGAATTCTTTCTCCATATAGAGCCTATGGGGAGGATGTCAAACACGGGGGCCAAAGAAAAAGACGGGGAGGGGGATTATAACCTACACCAGGAGAGCGTAGGCACCACTGATTACAGATGCCCGGATAAGACCCAGTCCCGGTTTCAACAATCCCTGGTTGAGCATGACCACCGTAGTAATTATCCACAGAATGTAGCTGGCAGGCTGAATCGCAATATCTTGTAGACGTAGCCCATTTCCCTGTCGGCGCAGGTACGAACGGGTAAAAATAAAGCTCCAAAGAGTCCGCACTGTCATGTTCACCATGTTCGCCAGCACCAACCCATAGGCGCCCAGCTGGCCTATCTCCAGAAACAGGTAGGCAGCCAGAGCATAGCAAGCCGAGAAAGCGCCCATCCACGCCGTTTGCTTCCGGATTTCTCGCGGACTGGCTGCAGATGACACGAAGGCCTCGGTGATCCCATTGAAGGCCAAGAATGGAATATAGCAGCAATACAACGAGAGCAGATCACCAACTTTGGCTGAACTCCACTGACGACCCCCCAGGATGTGGAGCAGCTGGGGAACCATGACCGGGCCCAACGGGATGATAAGGATCGAGAGCAGCTGGTATGCGCGTAGGATGCTCACAAAGTGTTTCTTGGCGGTGTGGATGTGGGAACTTCTCGGGTTTCCAGTATCATATGGACTGAGGAGCGTGGAGAACAGGTTGCGACTACTTTCCTCTAGAGGCTGGAATAGGATACGTGCAATGAGACCGCCGTAGTTTGAAGCAAGAGAGTAAATGCCTTGATCTTCCAGGCCAGACAGGGCCGCCAGTATCATTGAATCACCTTGTGTGAGAAGGTGTTTCACCAGGGATTGGAAAAAGACACTTGCGGCAAGTGAGGTTAGCCGACGAGAGAATCGGCCCATGAAATAATTGGAAGAGTCGCTGCAAGCAATTAGTTTTCCTATCGGTGCATCTAATCCAGAGGTATAGCAAAGCGTACCTTGATTGGATCCGTCGAAGAAGAAATGTGAAGTGTTCCTCGCTGGTGGTTTTGAGAAAAGCTAGAGAATAGCCGCAGATGAGAGTGAGAGAATAGCTCAAGTGGCCGAGGGCAAATGGTAATACCCCGACATCATAATTGGCCCTCGCAGCATACAGAAAGACCGAGCAAGTTGTGAGGCTTTTAAGGAACGCTGCAGGAACCTCGACGGCGGCACGTTTCTCATACAGCATGCGCTGCTGAACCACGGCAAAGAATGGTTCGACGCTAATCTCCAAGAGCGATGCAATTCCAGTCATGATCAAACTTGGGTAGAAAAAGGGGGCTTGTGAGGTTTCCTGTGGCACAAGCTGCTGATAGAGCGTAGTAAGCATAAGACATATCGGTAACCCGAGGACGAGGCCCAGGTAAGATATGTTCACGACGGATTGTGATGCGAGAGACTGGATATTCACCAAATCGGTCTCCCTTTTGCCGGAGCCTTTTGCGTGGCTAGGCGAAGCCGAAATAGTGATCTCAGGCTGTCTTTGGATAGCCATGCGGATACTTTCCCGCGAAAAGTACAAGATAGAAACCTGGTAAAGCTCGAGCTGAGCCGCTATCCCTAGCACGATTGGCGACAACGCTCGTAAAATCAGCTGGTTCGAGGCAAATGTGAAGATCCTCGATGCCAGTTGAATGATGATCAGGAATGTCGCGCCCATGGCAGACGACGACAGCATTTCACCCGAGCCCGTTTCGTCTGGGCGGGCCATAATGCTTGTTTGTGCTTTGGTCTCTTCCGTTACCCGAAGGTGTGGTGACGTCCAAACTGTTCTGCACGATTTCATCAATCAAGCCAAGCAAAAATCCGATCCACGGGGTTGACTTGTTGCTGGAGAGGGTGGATCAGCTCACGTCGAACTCGAGGAACGGAAGTTTTGGTCTAGTCGACATGGCTGTATTATTGATTACACAGAGATACAGCATTTCCGGTATTTGGTATGTATTCCCACCGCATGAGAGCGAGTCCAAGGTACTGTAGTACTGCGAGGTACAGTATGTAGAAACACACTCTACAAAGCAATTGCTAACGACGTCCAATGCTTACATCGATGTACCCAGTTATCTAGGGTCCAGGGAAAGTGACAGACAGAGAGAGAGAGATGTATTGTATCCTATACCTATGTATATCACAACATCTTTGAGGTGGCTTCATCTTAAGATACTGCTTTCCGTCAGACTGGGAGCTTCGACTAACGACGTCAATCCTATCAGTTACTCATCAAGAAAGAAACCCGAGCATCTAGACATCACCACCAAAGTCTGATCTAGAACGGAGGCAGGAAGAAAGGATAGCCGGCGTTCTTGGCTCTGAAAACGCTGAGGAGGAAACTGTACGTGCCGAAAAGAACAGTCGTCCAGATCAGCACAGCTAACTGTTGCCCTTTGACATCCTCCATCCGGGGGACCTTCAAGGCAAGCGCAATCGTAGCAAAGGAGAGAACAGCATCTGCATCAATGGTTAGAATTGCTCGGGGCAATAGGAAAAACGAGGCCCTCTTGGAGATTCACTTACAGATCGCAGCCACGATTTGTGTCTCCATTCCAAATTGGTTCTGGAATCCATTGGCAAAATAGCTGATCCCTCCCCGGCCATCACCCACGACGTAAGGTACTCTCCGGATATGGTTAAACATTTGACCGCTGGTGAAGAGGAGAATCGCGATCAGGCTGATAGCAGCCCAGAGATTCCGGTTTTGAACAATTGGCAGCACATACGGCGACAGCACTGTGAAGAGGGACACAACACCCATCAAAACCGTGATTACGGAGACAATTCGCATATAGTTGATGGGTCGAACCAAGGGAGGCTTTGGTCCTTCAGGAAGGTGACGACTGATCCAAGAGTATAGCTGATCGGCTGAGATCGGACTGGAAGTTGAATGCGTAAGCAAGATGAGTTGACGAGTAACGGTTGGCGGTCAACATACCCAGTGAACTCGAATCTAAGAGGATCTCCGTCCACCTTGGCGAAGGGACCAACGGTCGGAGGGAACATGAGGATCACAGGCGCAGTTTGGAGCATAAGCTGCCCCGGTTAGCCGGTTATGCCCCGTAAGATGTCGGAATTCGCCAATCACACCTTTTGAAAAACGGTCTTGCCCTGATCAAAGTCCAGCGTTCCAAAGATGACATTGACGCCATCGGGCTTGGGACCTCGATTCCAGCTTCGCGAGATCAGATCCCATTCCGAATCAAACTCGCGGCACATAAGACACCCAAAGCGAGCATCCAGGGCCGTTAAGATAACAGCCGCATAGTAATCTCGAGGTGCGGAGACCAATTCTTCATATGATGCGCTGTTCAAATCAACGGGCGCTGATCGGGACAGAGAATGGTATTTTTCGAATTTGTTCCTAGATGACTCTGCGGAAAGCACTCCAGACACGACCGAGAGGAGAAAGAACAGGGGGCCCCAAAGCTTCATTTTGACATGACAAGGGACCAGATAGCTCGTGAGAACGGACTCTGGAGAGATCGTAATGAGAGGTATGGGATGGGGAATGAGAGTCGGGAATGTCCAGGTGTCCACTGGCAACGTCCACGGGTCCACCTTGAAGAGTGCTTACCTAACATCCCAAACACGACCTTTCGAGACCGCGGCACGCGTTCGTCAGCTCTTGATTCACGCGCTGCGAGCTTCCCAAGATCATTGACGGCTGTTGATAGATCTATTTCCTTTTCCTTTTTCTTCTCCTTCTCCTTCTCCTTCTTCTCTCCCCCCCCCCCGAAACAAGTGGACCCCAAATCTGCACTCCCAAGGGCGGAAGTGAAGTTCATGGCGGGAGCTCAAGAACCCTCGGGCTTGGATGTATGTTTCTCCCCATTTCTTTGTGAAGATAAAGAGCTAGAGGCTGACTTGGTGATGTAGTACGAGATGTCTATCCGGACACTGCACCTAGAGAAAGAGTATGAGAAGACCCTTGCAGACTCGGCGCGTCTTCTTGATGCCGAGCGAGATCGCGTGAGGCGTATGGAACACCTGCTTCTCAAATTTGAAAGCCAGGCTCTACGTTCACAATTGGAGCAAGCAAATGGGCAGTTGTTTGGACTAGCCAATGCTGAGTCGGAAGCCTGTCTTCAGCTCGATGAAGCCTGCCGGGAAATCGATAGCTTGGATCTTCGGGCACAGGCCTCGTCCAGTGAAATACAAAAGCTCAAGGTAGGGCTTGCTTTTTGCCGGAAAATTCATATGAAGAGGTGTGAACTTACCAGCCGCAGGGCCAAATTTCAACCTTCAACAATAGTTCGACTGACTACAATACTATACTATCGGAAAAACTTCATCTTTCGCGCGATATTTCCAATTTGAGATCAGAAAACGAACGGCTGAAGACACAAAATTCGTCCCACCAAAACCTGATTACCAAATCGCGGGAGATGGAACGGCAACTGAATTCTCTCGAAATCGCTCTTGAAAATGAAAGGCACGCCCATGAACGAACCCAGGCCAAGGAGTCCCAGCAAGCGGCAGAGATAACTAAGCTATCTGCGCAAAGTGAGGAGTTGCGAAACGAGCTCATGGAAGAAGCGCGAGGGAGACAGCAGCTAGAACAAGACTCTCGCCAGCGGAACCTAGAATGGGACAACCAACGGACCAAGCTCGAGGGAAGAATTGAATACCTGACAAAACAATTGCGGTCAACCAGAGACAAATTGCAGGAATCTCATAATGACTCCCAGCAGAGACGCGCAAATGTTAGGTTCAATGAAGATGGTGCATCGGATTCCCGACCTTCAACGATTCCTCCTCGGCGGTCTGGTCCGGACCATGGAGCCGGCATGACCATTGCAACCCCTGGCGCCGTTCGTGTCCAAGATAAGATCAAAAGGCAATCGGCATTGCCTGGGGACAAATCAGCATTTTCCATCACCCCGTTTCTGAACCGCACCGGTGCCCGGACAGATTCCCCGATAAGTTCAGAAGGGGAAGAAGAACCTCCTACGACTAATGGAAAATTTCATGGGTCTTCCACCAAGGATAGCCCTTCAAATAAGCTACACGATCATGGCTCTGTCTTGCAGAACCCGCCTGCTCCGCGACAAGCCGCTGTCAAATCAAGCAAACTGAAGCCCAAACCGCGCCAGGGTAAATCCGCTATAGAAGACTCGGCCGCTGGGCCCAAGAAGCCCGCCAGCCGTCTCGATAGCAATGTGCATTCCAGGGAATCTGATGAGCCGCGTGAATCCGTCGGGCAGACTAAGCCCAAGAAGCGCAAACTGGGTGCTCAACGGGAACGAATTTTGTTTGACGAAGAAGAAGAGGAACATGGAGAAAACCGAAAAACAGGGCGCAAACTTCCCCTTGGCATGGGACGAAGCTCGGTTTTGGGGACTTTACCGCCTGCTACATTGTCGGGCGAGCGAACGGGGGGCTTTGGGGCACCCATGGGGTTTTCCCCGCTAAAGCGAGATCGGAAGCGATTGTGAGCAAAGCTGTTGAATAATTCAACTTGTAAGATCCATGGATCATTGTGTCTCTTGGCGACTCTTATGAAAAGGACCTTTTTGGACGGGCGGAAACTCCTGCTTTTTTTTTCTGCCGGCAGAAACATGTTTCTCCAATTCTCGTGTAGCGTCTTTCCCCTGCAACTTCCTCTAGACTCTGCGTCATGTTCGCAATCCTCTCCCTCCGATCTTCGCGCAATGCTTCTAGCCTCGGGCTGCTTAATCAAGCAAGGCGGGCCTCCTCAAAGCGTTGGCAAGCCCGCCAGCAGAAAGATAATTTCACAAGAGAGGCGGTCGTGCAGGGGCTGAAAAGCCGAGCTGCTTTTAAATTGTTGCAGGTATTAACATATATAACTCGCCTCCCTGTCACGACTGTGCCTGACGTCTTTGTCCGGTAGATTGATGAAAAACATCGGATTTTCAGGGGTGGACAGACGGTAGTCGATTTGGTATGTACCTAGGTAGTGGCTTCGCGCACATTTGGTCCCTGAGCTAATTCCAATTCTCCCGTAGGGATATGCACCCGGTTCATGGTCTCAGGTACGTTGGTGGCTGCTGTCTTCATGAACCGATGGCTTATCATTCGGAAACAGGTGGCCGTGAGCCGAACCCAGCCGCAGGGTCGCGTCCTCGGCGTCGATATCATCCCGGCCCAACCCCCGAAAGGTGTCTCCACAATCCAAGGCAATTTCCTTTCCCCGGAGATTCAAACATACATTCAAGAATTTTTGTGCAACCCAAACAGGGGCAGGCCACGCCATCCCGCGGCTCCTGCGGATTCTGGTGCCAGTGTGTTGGAACTGGACACGACCATGTTCCAACCAACCGATCCTGGGTCGAGCAATACAGGGACCAGTGCAGATAAGCGTGATGGATTTGTTGGACGTACTGTGGATGTGGTTCTCAGTGATATGTCTGCCCCCTGGTTCCAGACATCTGGGTTCTGGAAACGAAGTCTAAGTGATCCTTATCATAGGATGATGAACACCAGCGGCATCAATTTCAGAGACCATGCTGGAAGTATGGTAAGAACCTTCTATGATAGTTTCAACACATGTGGGATGCCTCTTTGCTGACTTCCGAAAGGACCTCTGTCATGCCGCCTTGCGCTTTAGCTCGCTCGTTCTAAAGACCGGAGGCCATTTCGTCTGCAAATTTTACCAAGGGGCAGAAGATAAGGAATTGGAGAGACAGTTGAGGGATTTGTTTCAGAAAGTTTACCGACTCAAACCCGAATCATCTCGCAGTGTATCCCCCCCCCCCCCCCTGGCTGGATGGTATGATTGTTGACTAAAGCAATTCAACAGGAATCCAAGGAGGCATATTTTGTCAGTCTTGACCGTAAATCATGAGGCTTTGATTCCATGGGCCAGCACGTGGTTTGTCATAAGCAACGGGTTTCCTAGAGAACCTCCATCTCTTCGTTTTCCGACGCATCATCCCACTCAACATCAGCCAGTGCAGCTTCCGCTTTCTCTTGGACCTTGAGGTATATCAGCAGTGCAGGTGGAATCATGAAAAGATGCGGTGCTAACCTCTTTTAGCCCGCTCAATTCTTCCACGTACCCTGGCTCGTTCAGGGCTTTTCGTACAAACTCCCAACCTTGGTCTTGATATGCACCGGTTACCTTTTCAGAGCAAGCGCTACAGCATGTGTAATTCTTGCCAGTGACGGAAACATTCTCAAATGTCGAAAGGAATCCTCGAATCTGGTGAGGTACAAGCCCTAAAGGATGATCCTCCTGCTCGTCACTTTGTTTCGAGGGAGCTGGAGCTGCAGCTCCTTTGGGGTGCTGCAGGAGTGACACGAGAAGCTCAACCAGAAGTGCAGAGGCTATCGCAGCTACTCCGGGGCGGGTGACGGTACACTGTTGATCGAGTGTTTGGTCTTTGATAGACTGCCCAATAATCAGTACTGAGTTGGAGTGTTTTCGGTAAATCTCTTACATTGGCGGGTGCTACAACGTCATTGCAGAAATAGCATCCGAGGTCCGCCGTCGCATGCCCAGCCTCCGTGACGCCGTGGCGCATGACTACAAAGGAATCAAACCCCAGGGCCGCATTCATCACGATTTTCCCGGCGGCTTTCCCCATCACAGTGGGTAACCAGCGGGATTCTCGGGTGTCCATCAGAAGGAATATGGCATCATGCCCATCGATCAATGCTTTGAGGGTTTCGAATTCGGCTTGCGTCTCGCTCTCGTTCACGATCGGATGACCGGCCATGGGCACGGAAAGAACATGTCCCGCAGTCTCCACTCCTGGGTAGATCTCGGCGAGTGCTTGGGATGCGCGATGCGCTTTCTGCGCGCCCCCGTTCAAGCAGTCTATAAATGCGAAAAGGGGCTGGCGGACTGGGTTGGAAAATGATACGGTTCCTTGGTCGACAAAAGTTATTTTCTTCACCCCCCATCCCTGATTGAGTTCAGTGATCAGCTGGTCGATTCCATGGAGCTCAGCGTTGAGATCCCATACCAACAAATTCCGAGCGACATAGCTGCCCAGCGTCCCAGCTCCGAGCAAGAGACACTTGGTCTGCTTGATCTTGTCGAGGTTTAGCGTGGGACTAATCCGCCATTTCATGAGCTTGAGATTGAGGTCGACCGATTGATCAGCCAACCTGAAGGCAGTGGGTAACAAAAGTTAGCCTTCGCATATGGAGAAGATATCAATTTACTGCGACGGTACCTCTTGGGATCCATGTATTCTGTCAGGTTCACAATTCTCCCCGACAACTTCCCGGTTGGGTTGCGTTCCCAACCCGTCACCTTCGGCATCCGCTCTTGGATGTTAGGTGACTTCGCGGCATCTGACGCTTGCGCCGATCTTGATTCCAGCTGAATCACTATGCTGCGGCCTTGGTCTCGTCTTGATTGAACGTCGCGATACCGAAGCACCTGTACCTTGTCAAGGCCCCATCGTTGCTTGACGAGCACCAACAAATTCCGTAACATCCAACCAGGGGCGGTTTCATAGTTTGATGGGTCTGCAAAGCAAACGTAGCAGTCCTCGAAAGCGGCACTCTCAAAAAATCCATGTTCATATTCTGACAATGATGCAATTTGCCAGCTGCTATGCGTTGAACCACCCTCTGGCTGGATCACCTTGGTTCCTGAGTCTGAGGATGAGGTATGGCCGGAATCCCCTCGGTGTCTTCGGGCGAGAAAAAATCCTCGTTGGCGACCATCCACCCCATATGACCAAGTCTGCACAGCTTCCACCAGGGCGGTGCTGTCATCTTGGGACAGGTGCCTTCCCGATCCGGTCTCTTGACTGTGTGACTCGGGGACTGAGGACACAGTGGATATCACAGGGACCCATGGGGGATCGGAATGAATTGCGGGGAAAGCAAACCAGTAGTGGAACTTGTATTTTTTGAGGTCTGCAAATGACAGGATGACGAAACTCGACAGCAAGGACGGGCAGGAGTAGATGGTGCCATCGTTGATGGCATCCCAGATCTGGAGTAGGCAACACATTATTATCTCCGTTCAAACGCCATTTCCCCCGAATAAATGATTCCTACCGTTTTCCCAGTTTGGTGGATCATTTGCGATTTGTCCATGTTCCGGTATTCCTCGACGGTGTTGACATTTTTGATTATGCCTTCCGCCCGGTAGTAGCTGGCTGGTGCCCTGTATCAAAGCAAACCGCCCATCAGTGACACTAGGTTTGTCAAGGTAAAATCAAAATGGAAGCCCGTCAATCTTACTCGATGCTGGTGAGTGCGTTTCCATGGATTTGCATTCGACATGAAGCAGCCGCGGGGTCTGTGGAACGAATCTCATAGAGACCCAACAGTGGCCGGGCAGAGTCATCCAGTTTGTCATGGTTGATTTTGGAGGATGCTAGGGTCGTATAGAAAGGGAGCTCGATATCAGAAGCAAACGGGGTGTACTGCATATTGAGGTGATTTCGACCAACATGGGAGTCATAGAAGCATTCATGGAGGGAGGAAGGAAGTGATGTAACCGAGGGTGGGGAGAGCTCTTTTATCTAAGAAAATCCCCTCGTGATCAAGCGACGTGATCTACCTCTCGTGGAATCTCCCGATGCCCAATGTAATCTTGCGGCTTATCAGGCGGGCCCCACTTGGATCTTCTTCTTCTTCTTCTTCTTTGTTGCCCCTCCCTTGGTCTTGAAATTCGCCCGATCTCTTCCATATACTACTTCAGAGAATGCTCATCGGCTTATGCGGAGGTCAGCAGACTTGTTGTTTTTGTTGTTTCCTTCTTGAAAACGCGTCATCTGAGCTAACAGAGGGTTCTGGGGAAAAGGCATCTGTGCTGGCAAACATGCGATTGCCGAGTACCTGATTCAGCAGGGTTTCCAGCTGCTCGAGCTCACTAGCAAAAGTCATCACCGAATCACCGATGAACCAGACGATGATCTCCGGTTACAAGCCTCAGATATTAGGAAGAAAGGGGACGCTCAGGTCTCGGAGCTAGTCTTTGAGAATGCCGACTCCCTTCTTGATTTTGCGACCAAACGATGGCAAGACCGCTGGGTTACTACTGATATTGCGGACGGCCTCACCTTGGATCGATTCCTTCTACGACCCTTCTTCCTCCTCGTGAGTGTCGATGCGCCAGTGAGTCTTCGTTGGAAACGATTCACCGACAGGTTCGTTGCACCGATGTGCACCCTTCACCAGATAGATAACCTGATGGATTGGTTTCCACTGCAGGTGTTGGCGAAGACAACTGGACCCGCCCGACCTCGAGAAATTCGTCCTATGGAACGACCGACACCTTTATGATAGGGATATTGGACGCGTCTATTTGACTGACCGAGCCCAAGTACGCTTGTTCAATTCCTCCTCGTCCCTGGAAGAACTGCACCAAGCCCTTGGGATACTTGACCTGGCCGACGAACAACGATTACGACCCAATTGGGATCAATATTTTATGCAACTGGCGTCTCTTGCGGCACAGAGAAGCAACTGCATGAAAAGAAGAGTGGGGTGTGTGCTTGTTCGAGAGCGTCGAGTCATCAGCACTGGGTACAATGGCACCCCTCGGCATCTCCAGAACTGCAACGAGGGTGGATGTATGAAATTAACCCCCAAATTTCCATTTCGCACCGTCTTGAATTTCACGCTTACTTTACTCGTCATTAGGTCCGAGATGCAATCGTGGTGACGGGGGTGGAATTGGTCTCTCAACCTGTCTTTGCATTCACGCTGAAGAAAACGCATTGCTGGAAGCCGGTCGAGAACGCATCCGAGAGGGTGCTATTCTCTATTGCGATACGTAAGTCTAATCAAGACGCCTTTCGACTTGTTCCAACTCTTAATCGGGGTCATAGGTGTCCCTGTTTGACGTGTACTGTCAAAATTGCCCAGGTGGGCATCTCTGAAGTGGTTTACTCGCAGGGCTACAACATGGACAAAGATGTACGTCTCAGTCTGATCTTGGGGGGTTCGCTGGACGAATTAACCTATTAACTTATCATCCAGAGTGCTGCGATTCTAGAGGCCGCAGGCGTGCGTCTCCGACAATTCCACCCGGTATCTCTTTCCTCTCAACTACTCTACCTGTTGATTTGTGTCCTCGCTGACCTTGATGTTACAGCCATCGAATGGGCTGATCTATCTACAGGGGTTCGGCGAACCGGCCAAGGGTTCAGGCCCAGTGTGATTAAGACCATGATATCAGGGAGGATTGATTTCTCAACCCAAGGAGATGCATGGGTGGATCATTTGCAAAATCCAAACACAAAAAAAAAAAAAAAAAAAAAAACAAGTATCAGCCAGGCATTATAAAGGCCTCCATTCATGAATGGACAACTATTTTTCTTCCTTTATTCGAAGCATGCTACGATCGTAAGTTCATCAGAATTCGGATATCTTCCAGAGGTCTCCATGGATACTTCGATACCTACAACCACGATCTGGGTACTTGATGAGTACAAGGCCCATGAGTACTCGCTACTTACTAGGTAGAGGGACCTTAAAATAACCTATCATCGGTACTTACCCCGAGGTATTTCGTAAGTCAACCTGCAGCATTTTGCCGGGCAGAAAAAAAAAGGTCATGACTCAGCGAGTTTTTTGGCGGGGCTCATCGCTCAAGCATTTTGGACGGTTCCAAGGTTATGACTCAATTGGCTTCTTTCACACTCTTCTCTTTTTTGAATTCGCATTTTCCAAGGTCCAGTATCTCTGTTGCAGTGCTTTAAAATGCCTACGGTTCACCTGCTTGACTATGTCGCAGGCAACATTCGCTCATTGGTCAATGCGATCAATCGGGTTGGATATGAAGTGGAATGGATCAGATCCCCGGAGGATGTGAAAAACGCCGAAGTGGGTAGACCATCTATTAATCAAGTGGTCGCTGCTAATGGGATCGTAGAAACTCATCCTTCCAGGTGTCGGTCACTTTGGCCATTGCCTCTCCCAACTCGACCAGGGAGGCTTTCTAGAACCGATCCGACAACACATTGAAGCAGGAAAGCCCTTTATGGGAATCTGTGTTGGTCTACAGGCCCTCTTTCGGGGCTCGGAGGAAGACACCGAGGTCCCGGGGCTGGGGCTGATCCCAATGCGTATTCAGAAGTTCAATGACAGTTCCAAAAGCGTGCCGCACATTGGGTGGAATTCTGCGATGAACACCGGGGATGACAGTGCCAAGCAACAGAGTTTCTATGGCTTGCGGCCGATCAGCAAATACTATTACGTCCACTCCTATGCGGCTCCGTACAAACCAGGGGCCCTCGAGAACGATGGTTGGTCTGTGGCCACAGCCACCTATGGAGAGGAGGAATTCATCGGTGCAATCAGTCGAGGGAACATATTTGGGACGCAATTTCACCCGGAGAAAAGCGGAATCGCGGGCTTGCGAGCCATCCGGGCCTTCTTGAATGGCGACCGACTTCAATCACTTGCGCCAGAGTCGGTCGCTGGCAAAGGAGAGGACGGCTTGACTCGCAGGGTCATTGCCTGTCTCGATGTTCGGACGAATGATACAGGCGATCTAGTGGTCACCAAGGGTGACCAATATGATGTTCGCGAGAAAAGTGGTGTGGACGCTGGTGGCCAGGTCAGGAACCTGGGAAAGCCCGTCGACATGGCTAAGAAGTATTATGAGCAAGGAGCGGACGAAGTCACATTCTTGAACATCACCTCTTTCCGAAACTGCCCGCTCGCCGACACGCCTATGCTTGAAATCCTGCGAAGAGCATCGGAAACAGTCTTTGTACCCTTGACCATTGGAGGGGGTATTAGGGACACGGTTGACACCGATGGGACTGAGGTTCCCGCTCTTGATGTGGCAACCATGTATTTCAAGTCCGGTGCCGATAAAGTTAGCATTGGCTCGGATGCGGTCTTCGTCGCTGAGGAGTACTACAATGCGGGCGAGAAACTGAGTGGCCAAACCGCCATCGAGACCATCTCCAAGGCCTATGGGAAGCAAGCGGTCGTGGTGAGCGTCGACCCGAAACGGGTCTATGTGGATCGACCCGAGGACACCAACCACCATACAATTCAGACCAGCTACCCCAATGCGGCTGGACAGCGCTTCTGCTGGTACCAATGTACGGTTAAAGGCGGCCGAGAAACGCGCGATGTGGATGTACGGCAGCTCGTCAGAGCGGTCGAAGCGATGGGCGCTGGAGAGATTCTTCTGAATTGCATCGACAAGGATGGGAGCAACAGTGGATTTGATCTGGAATTGATCAACGATGTCAAGGCTGCCATCAAAATTCCCGTCATCGCTTCCAGCGGTGCCGGCGTACCTGACCATTTTGCCGAGGTTTTCAGCAAAACAACCACAGATGCGGCGTTGGGCGCTGGCATGGTAAGTGGGTCAGAGCTCAATCGGTTTGAAAGAGTTGCTAACACGTTCCTTAGTTCCACCGAGGCGAATATACCGTGAGCCAAGTGAAGGAGCACCTTCAGAAAGAGAGATTCCTGGTGCGCCAATTCGAGGCCGAGCTCTGATTTCCACAATTAACACATATTGCATTGAGTATATTCACAGGGTTGTAAAAATGCCAATTCCCACAATGTGCATCATCATATACATACAGTAAAGGAGAGAGTAGAGTGTAGGTATGGAACGGTATAGACTTAAGGCGGTATCCAAGGCGGTGGCCGAGGCGGTAACGTGGAGTCATCTGACTTTTCTCTCTTGCCACTTCCACCCTCATCTCTCGGCTTCCCCTTTGCTTGTCCGTCACTCCCACCTTATCTCGAGAGCCCATTGATTTGTTAGATGACATCCAGTACTGTCTTTTTCCCCTGAACAGCCCATTCTGATTCCTCAGTCTCTCGTCAGTCTCTCGGCACCCAACGCTGACCTCGATCGGAGTTCCTATCATCATACCGGGTCGCACTATACTGGGATTTGGTTATCTGCAAGGACCCTTTGCTCACGGCAGTGGTTTGCAGGTCAAGGCTTTTGAGGTGACTACCAGGCGCGATCACTTAAAGGACGGCAACTATCTTCTCATTCTCTTCATTGCGACTCTTTTTACTACAGCGACAGTTTTCGACAATTGTATCCATCAATACTTTGTTCTCCCTTTGTATACAGTGCTTTGAATGCTCACCTTCCAGCATCCAACACACGGTTTCATTTCCCCTACATTGGTCTCGGGCACTTCTCGATAGATCCTGGGCTCTCCATTTCCATTCCCTTCTTCCCTTCCTCTCCCAATATTTCACGCTTTCTCTGTGCATCATCACCCCCTCATCCTATCTGTTTAACTCCCCCGCGTGTCTAAATCCCCTTCCTGCCTTGTCTCCTGTGGTCGCTTGTTCTCCCTCTGTGGTGCCTCTAAAATTCTTGGTCTAAATACATCCACGGCCATCTTTGTTGCACACACAGTTGAATACAATGTCATCGTCTGTTCATTTCAAATTCAAGTCCCAGAAAGAACCCTCAAGGGTCACGTTTGATGGCACTGGTATTTCTGTCTTTGAACTCAAACGAGAGATCATCAGCCAGAGTAGATTGGGCGACGGGACCGACTTTGAACTGTCCATTTACAACGAAGATACTGGCGAGGGTATGTTTCTCCCCTGGTGTTGATCTTGAAACCATTTTGACAATTTTCCGACAGAGTATGACGACGACACAACCATCATTCCTCGGTCCACGTCGGTGATTGCTCGCCGACTACCTGCTGCTCGCGCTGGTAAAGGAGGTGCCGCCCGCTATGTATCGGGTAAAATGCCAATCAACGCTCGCAATGTCTCTCGCAACGAACCTACGAGTCGAGCAGCCCCTGGGGGCAACCATTCGGTGAACAACAACGTCCTAGAGCTCAACAATGCGCAGACCGAAGAAGAGAAGATCAATGCACTTTTCAACCTCCAGGCCAGTCAGTGGAAGGAGCAGCAGCAAGAAATGGCCAAGTGAGTGCACTCCTTCGATGCGTTCGACCTTGGGGTGTATGATATATATTGACCCTTGACCTCAGTGCGACGCCTGTCCCATTTGGTCGTGGCCGGGGAAAACCTGTGAATGTGCCTGATCATCCTCCGCCTCCTGGGTATCTGTGTTACCGTTGCAGAGAGAAAGGTAGCGACCCCTTTCCCATCCAATAATTACCAATGCCAATTTGCTGACACCTATAACCAGGCCATTGGATTCAAGCATGCCCAACCAACAACGATCCCAAGTTTGACGGCAAGTATCGAGTCAAACGGTCAACCGGTATACCGCGCTCGCTCCAGACCAAGGTTGAGAAGCCGGAATCATTGGTCCCGGATGGCTCCAATGAAGACCCAAGGAACACAGGGGTAATGGTCAATGCCGATGGTGACTTCGTCATTGCGAAGCCGGATAAGGCAGCCTGGGAACTGTACCAAGAAAAGGCCAAGGCATCTGCTGCCGCTGCCGCCGAAGCTGCCGCTGCCGAGGAGCGCAAGGCACTGCAGAGTCGAGGTCTGGAATGCCCAATCGACAAGAGGATGTTCTTAGAACCAACAAAGACACCGTGTTGTCAGAGGACATATTGCAATGACTGTATCTCAAATGCCTTGATTGAAAGTGACTTTGTCTGCCCGGGCTGTGCAACAGAGGGTGTTTTACTCGATAATCTCATTCCGGATGACGAGGCTGTTTCCAAAATCAAAGTGTACGAAGCTGAGAAAATTGAAGCGAAGAAAGAGAAGGAAAAGCAAGCTACCGGCCAGGATGGTGTATCCGTCAACGAAACTGCCGAGACCGATCCAAGTGGCTCCCCGGTCAACCAGGAGCGAGCGCCGTCAACACAGGTTCCGGAAGCTATGCCGGCGCCATCAAAGAAACGGCCAGCTGAGGACGAGGCCGTTCATGAACCCGAAAGCTCTAGCCCCGGAAATGCGGCAAAGAAACAAAAGTCAGAGGATGATCAACCCGATTCGCAAGGCACGGACCAAAACCCCAGGGAGGCAGGGATGCCTTTCAATCAACAGATGCCTTTCGGCGACTTTGGGTTCATGCAATCCCAGGGCATGCCGGGAATGCCTTTTCCAGATGCTGGATTCGGGAACGACGCGATGGGGCTCATGAACCCGATGGCCATGGCTTCGGCTAATGGTTTCCCCTCTGGCATAGCCCCTGGGTGGAACCCCATGAATATGCCTTTCAATCCCCTCCAGATGTATAGTGATCAGGGCAGCGGTCCAATGCCCAATGGCTTTCCTGGCATGTTCAGTGGAGACTCCTCCATGCCGATGTTCCCCATTGTTCCTCCTATGGGGGGTCCAATGGGTCAGAACTTCAGCGGTCCCGGCATGAACAACTTTTCCAATCAACAACGAACCGCTTTTAGCACCCCATACGCTCGAGAGGAAGACTCGGCATATTTCCGTCAGCCGGTGAACCCACAGCGTCACCAGGCGAGAAATCGGCGAGTACGGCCCAGCGATTATCGGGAACTTTGAATGGGAGGCGGATCAGGAATATGGCGTTGTGAACTCGCATGCACTATGTATAGGCATATTTAAAGCGGCTTTGTCTTCTTCTGCGGCTCCCGGCGTCTTGTGGCTTTTTTATTTCTTTCTTGATTTTTCTTCCAGATTCTTACTTTGCGTGTATTTCTTACGGTTACTTAAACAAATCCCAATATGGCATTTTTGTCTTTTGACGTCGGTTTGCTGTGGGTCGCAAAGTTAGAGTATATAGTAGATATATGACTAGATGCTACTCGCAATCCTAATAAAAGGACAAGGCTCACAGCACAACTAATACTCGACCTTTCTAGGGTCATATATGTAGAAGAGAATACGATGAGTCTATCTGGGGCCAGGGTGGCGAGGTCAGGTGACCGTGCCACGTCGAAATTGGCTCACCTACAATCCACTCGATCGCATTTCCATCGCCCTCAAACTGTTCACCCACGCTGGTGTTTTCCTCCGCAGCTGCTGCATCACTATCTCAGTATCCCAGACACTCAGTCTTGATCTGACCTGCACATTGCTGGATTCCAACACCACCATCATATATCAAGTCCGCAGAGATATCGACCAGCATGGCGACATACATGAATCAACACAGTAATCGCAATCAACGCCGGTCTCTTCACCAAGATTCCCAGACTACTGTTCTTGCCAGCTGCTACAGCGCTCAGCCGTCAACCACCATGGTCCACGGGTTCCATTACTGCACCACGCTGGGGGCCGGTAAGTGCCCTGAATCCCTTCCCCCTCCCCCCCCTCCTCCCATGCCTTTATCGGTACTGATTATAATCATAATACTATATAGGAGCACAGTGGTATCCCTGAGGTCCCCTCAGGGTCTAAACCAGCCATTCTAAGTCCTCCCCTTGAGATCCCCGCTTCCAACCCAGAGCGAAGCCGGCCCGCGAACCACAACTGGCCAGAGGACAAAGGGGAGGCAACACATACCATCCCGGAAGAGTGTGAGAGGCTCTTCTGTGGCACACTGTCCACGATATTCCTTGGTGAGAGGAGTCTCGCGCGACAGGAGCCACTGGGGATGGGTGCGGTTCAAAACATCCAGCCGGATCATATTGGACAAGGACACGATCGAATCCAGAAGTGGATTGAAGTGTGGGATTATTCTAACGACGCCATTTATCGTGGGTTTGTGGTGGAGGTGAATGGTGAGCGGACTTTATTCGTCTTCTTCGAGGACCGCGCGTCGGATCATGGCTTCAAATCGGGGTATGTTTCACAAAGAACCCATGCATCAACCCTGGAATTATTTCGCAGCCAAATTCATTGCATATGAAACCCAACTGCTTTACTGATTCACTCCCGTCCTGGCAGGCTCATCGCTCTGTTTGAACTCGCCGGACTCGCTACCTTTGAGTGTTCCCAAATAGTTGCCTGTGTCAGCCGTTCAGACCACGCAAACGAAATGGAGCTGATCCGAAATCTGGGATGGTGCGGGTTCAACCTCACCACCCTGGAGCCGTGGACGCCTGGTGGCCGGGGGCCTTTCCTTAGCACCAAATGGCTTTTCCTGGCTGCCGAAGTCTAGCCTTGTTGATTTCTTTCTCGTTTATTTTATCTTCCCCCCGCTGACGTGTTCCTTCACTTGGATTTTGAGGACTGATTACCTTGGGACACTCTTTACTTGATTCTATGATTTTGCCCGACTCTTCTCATTTCATGGTTCAGCAACAGGCGCGCCGTTTTCGTTTCCTGGGTTAGTTTGAATTGACAGTTCGCAATACCCTGGGCTTGCCATGACTCTGAATTCAGGGTTCTTGACAGGGATCAACTTGTAGATCTACGTTAGCTAGGCACTTGGATTGTATGCGGATGATAAGATAAGCCGTGCTATGACCTCAATGTTTTCGTGACTACAGCTGGGACCACCATTACTCGAAACCTCAGACCACCATTAAGGTCACGTGTAGGCCAGTAACCGTTTTGGGACTAGTTCTAATAAGGGTCCCACCTCTCAGATTCTCCACTTAGCTTACCTTACCTTACTACCTCCCCCTATATTTCCAAGTCCACGAATACAGTGTTTTTACCTGTTTTTTTACCTCTCTAAACCTCCTCCCTAACTAGGAAGTATCTAGTTCCCTTTCCCCCGAATCCTCGATTAACAAGCGGTAGCAAGATAGCGAAAGTCAAGAAAAATATAAGTTAACTAGTTCTGAACTTATTCTTCTATTTCTTCCCTATTATCCTAGTCCCGATAAAGAAGGGAGTAGATAGTATTATACTCATACGCGAGCCATTAGTCGGGATTAGTCTGGGCGTCCATTGTTGAAAACTAGTTAGTAACGAGCTAGTAACTAGTTTTGGTAGGGTGTAAACAGATTTCAGTTTGTGTGACAAGATAACGATAGAGCTCGGTTAACCATTAGAATCTAATGGTGGTCTGACCTCCCAACACGTGACCAAAACGTGACTACACGTGACCTTTATGGTGGTCGGAGGTTTCGAGTAATGGTGGTCCGAGCTACCGTCTGATGTTTTCCCCCACATCATCCCTGGCCCAAGGGAGTCGTTACCTCTCTACAGCAACCATGTTCAGAGAACGGAGCCCCAGTCTTTCGTTTCCCAAATTTCTTTTTCCTTCAACCGCGTTCCATGCCAAATCGAGGGAAATCTCCTGCGAGACGGACTTCAAGGTCGACAAGTATCTGAACGGCCATGTCTCATACCTTCGTTGCGCAGGGTGTGCGACACATCTCTGTTTAACTTCCCAAATAATCAGCAAAGGCTTCACAGGCCGCCATGGCCGTGCCTATCTCGTGTCCGCTGAACCCGTTGCCTGCGCAGTGTCCGTCAGCGCGTCGTCGTCCCCGACGACATCCCTTCCCAACACCGTGCTGCAGTGCCCCGTTCCTCGCCAACTCGTCACCGGTGCCCACACAGTCAGCGACATCAGTTGTGCTTCTTGTAGCAGCGTGCTGGGCTGGAAATATATCGCGGCCGAAGAGGAATCGCAGCGGTACAAGGTCGGCAAGTTCATATTGGAAACCCAAAAGATCACAGCCTCTTCTTGCTGGGAGTTTCCGTCGGCTGCCATACCCACTCCTCCGGGCAATGCGATAGATTCTGGACCCGCAGATACCGAGTTCGACAGCCAAGATGAGGATGAGTGCGAAGACTTGTTTGCTGGTATTTGGAGCCCGGACTTGGCTATGCGTCGAAGAAGCCGCAAAATCGAACGGCGGCCTGCCATGTTTGGATTATCCTCATGAAGTACGAACGAGGGGTCTAAAAACCGAATTGCCTGTGATTTAATACCCATCGATATCCATATAGCGTTGCCCAATCGACTGTCGCTCACTATCATACTATCTACGGTGTTTACGGCAGCCATCAAGAGAGGTTTTGTAGTCCATGAACCATTCCCGATATCTAGTCAATTTGAAACATTGTGAGGGCTATCAAACAGAGCCCCTGCATCCCGCCGAAATCTCCCGTCACGACGAAGCATCATCCACTCGCGCGCGTTTCGAGTCATTTTCCGCGTCTGTATCTTCTGCCGGTCTTTTCGAGGCAACTTGTTGGGCGGCTTGGTTTGCAGGTTTCCGCCTGACCAAGCCAGACAAGTCTGTAGCCTCCTTGGTAACTGCATCAAGCCGAGCCTTCTGATCTGTCGGTGACTGGCCGACAATCTGACCGAGGATGCCTTTCAGCATAGCTTCACTGCCTTGGTCTTTTTGCTCAATGGAAACCGGTGGCCGGCGAAGATCGATGAGCTACGTGAATTGTAAGCAGATAGTCTTCAAACAAGTACGCGAGGGAATGACTTACTCTTTGCTCCATGTCGGCGATGATTTCCTTGACATTGGCGATCTTCCTTTTCGCAGCCGTCGCCTTGTCCTCGTCCATGTGTTGCTCAACCCCGAGTTTCTTTTCTTCTTGAGTCATCCGAACCTTGCAACTCTCAATGGCACGTTCCATCTGGCTTGCAGCCTCCTTTCTCATCTCTTCATCCACCTTGTTTCCTTCTTCGCTGTCTTCCTCCCCTTCATCCTGCCGATGAACTGATGCGAATTCGAGAGCTAGGGAGAGCTTGTAGTGGCACTCGGCAACTGAAGGGTCTTCAAACGGAAAGAGGGCGTATCTCAGATCGAGAGCAGTTCTCAAATCAGTGACCGCATCGTTGAACCTTTCTGCTTCTAGCGAGATCTCGGCCTGGAGATCGTAAGTGTCTGCCAGTCGTTCTTTGATGTGCTTCACGTCCCCCGGTAACTCGGTCGATTTCCCTTTCCCTTGCTGACTTTCCTCCACGATGTCCAGCTTCTTAAGATAAAGAATACGGGCCAAATCCAGGACTTCGAAGGCATTGGCAAAATCGTCTTCATCCTCATCGCCGGCCAGTTCTCCATTTTCCTCCTCCGAGTCGGAGTCGACAAAGTTTTCATCGCCAGTAAACTGGAAATATGGCTTGGATTGCGTGGCTTCTGAGTCGGTGCTCTCGCCCTTGGTGGAGGTGGCATTTTTGGCCATCGCGCTTGTAATTGCGTCCTTGGCCAGATTGTCACCGGCGGGTGTTGACCCGGCAGATTTAGCATTTGCAGAAGGTGCACTGCTGGGCTGCACTTGTGGCTCCCCGGCCACCTTGGATCCAAGCACATCGCTTTTGCTCACGGCCACATTGTAGAGAGATTTTCCGTAGGCATAGAGTAGATCAGCGTTGTCAGACGACAGTTCACCATTGAGCTCAGCCTGCAGCTCAGTAGCTTGAGAGTATAGCTCTGAAGCAGAGTTGTGGTCCTTGGTCGCATCCTTCGCGGCAGCTCGCGTGATGAGATCATCGAGCTGATCTCGTTTGCTTGTCGTGGGAGATGTAATTTCTGGTGTCGCAGAATCATCAGCCATGGTTGGCATAGGGTGAACAGCAAAGCTGTCAAGAGTGAAGAGAAAGGAAGGTGTTGTGAAGAGAGAGGGTGAGTGCTGAAGCGAAGGGAGGCAAGCTCCGAGGTCCCACGCGTCGTGTCACGCGTTTCAATTTAACCGCTTTTCTTCTCTTTTCGTCTCGCCATCCCCACACGAGTCCCCCACAGGATTGAAAGAATCGCGAGGCGCGAGACCAAGAAAAGGCGGCTGGCAAAATCTTCTTTCTTGTCCTTTCTTTGCGCGTTTAGCCCGCGCCCATCATGGACACCTCGACCCCGAGACACTCGGATCACTTCCATAGGACAGTGCCAGATCCCATTCCTTCGTCCTCTCCTGCATTTGGCACGCCAGCACGTCCATTTCGCACCACTAGGCCCAATGCCCCTCCCCCGAAAACTTCAATTTTGCCGATCCTGCTTCCACCGTCGACGCTTCGACCAGTGGCCTTTCGCACCTTCACCCGCAAGCACAACCTGACCATCTCGTCCCCAGCCCTTCAAACCTTAGCGGTTTTTGTTGGCAAGCATTGTGGTTCAGGATGGCGCGAAGAAGGTTTAGCAGAGCGTGTCCTGGACGAGGTTGCGAAGATTTGGAAGAGGGCCGGGGGTGGTGTGATCGTCGAAGAAGGGAAAGGCGCGTCACTGAGAGCCATACTGCAGACCCTAGAAGGTAGCATGAGCGGCGGCAGGGTTGTCGCCGGGAAAGCCAGCGCGGACGGATCGGGGAGGGCATCGAGTCTCGGGGATGATGGGCGAATGAACACAATCAATGAGGGGTCTCTTGCAACGAGACCCGGGGATGCCGAGGAGGACGACTCTCATAAATCCCTTTGGCCGCGGCATTGGCTCAAAGCGATTGACGCATTTGACCTCCCTCGTCTGACTTACAATATCGAAAAGAAATATTTCGAGGCTATCAAGGCTAAACCCACCCTGTTCCCACCGCCGTCTCACAAGACCGCGCTTTTCAGAGATCGGTATAACCTTGTGTACCAGCGACTTCTTCGCAATGAGTCTTTCCAGAGCTCTCTGGGTGTTGCCGGGGTTCCCTCGCTGCAACGATCAGCATCGAACCTCGCCCCTCGGCAATCTTACAAGTTAACGCCAATCGCGAATTTGCTTGGCAGAAGCGGCAGTTCACATATGCTCCTAGGACTGCTGTCGATCTCCCCTACTGGGGATCTATCTCTTGTGGATCTTACTGGAAGTGTGGCCTTGGACCTGACTCACACACGAATGATACCTGAAGACGGCGCGTGGTTTTCCCCGGGAATGATTGTCCTGGTTGATGGCGTCTACGAAGAGGAGGAAATGGTCAAAGGAGGCGTTCTTGGAGGGAACACAGGGGTTGGAGGAGCTATAGGAGGGCATTTTGTCGGGATATCCATTTGCGGACCTCCCAGTGAGCGAAGAGATCTCTCCCTGGGAACAGGCCCCCAAGGAAGTGGGGAACTGAATTCTAGCGGTGGCTTTGGATGGGTCGATTTTCTCGGAATTGGGAGCGAACGAGCCCAAGGAGCGCGAATGAGAAGGATCCAGGAGAAATGTCTGCGAGCCGAGCTGGATGCGACGGAGACTACGCGGCTCAAGATTGCGGTGATGAGCGAGGTCAACCTCGACAACATGGGCACTTTAGACGCCCTGCGGAAGGTTTTCAGCATCTACAATGACCTGTCCATCCTCGAACGACCACAAGTCTTTGTCTTGATCGGCAACTTTGTGCGGCGAGCCAGCATCAGTGGCGGTGGCCGAGCTGGGAGTATTGAGTACAAGGAATATTTCGACTCGCTTGCGCTGGCCCTGTCTGACTACCCAGCGTTGTTGCAACATGCGACTTTTGTCTTCGTTCCCGGCGATAATGATCCCTGGGCGTCGGCATTTTCGGCCGGCGCTGCTTCCACAGTTCCGCGGCAGCCGATCCCAGAGTTGTTCACTTCACGCGTCAGACGTGCCTTCGCCGCGGCAAACTCGGAGCTTGACCGATCACAGGCGTCAGATCCGCCCGGCGAGGCGATTTGGACATCGAACCCGGCGCGTCTCGCATGGTTTGGCCCCGTGCATGATATTGCTATCTTTCGCGATGACATCTCGGGAAGACTGAGACGCAGCGCTGTCAACACCAAGCCCGACGACGAGGAGCGGGAGGGGGAGGAGGCGGAGGATACTACCATGCATGAGGCTTTGGACGGTGCTATGGGGGACATGGAGGATCACACAGATATGGCCCAGCAAAAGGGTACCAACCTTGGCGCTCCATCACCAGGGGCATTCGTGGCTCGCAAACTCGTCAAGACCGTTTTGGACCAAGGGACTGTCTCCCCGTTCCTACTCACGCAGCGGCCTGTCCTGTGGGATCACGGGTCCGCTCTCCAATTGTACCCGTTACCTACGGCCCTCATCCTCGCGGACCCCGAGGTTGCAGCTTTCTGCATGACCTATGAAGGTTGCCACGTCATGAACCCTGGTCGTTTAATCCCAGAGGGCGATGTCCCGACGGTGCGATGGGTCGAGTACGATGTGTTGCGGAATCGAGGCAGAGTGAAAGAAGAGCGTTATTGAGCAGATACAAATATAATGTGACGGATTATTCTGCTTGGAGCAAAAGATCAACAGGGTCTCAGATGTGTAGATATATCATGTTGTCATTTAGAGGGTCTAGAAATACAATTCATCAAGAGAAAGCCGTGATCTGCTTTACATATCAAAAGGAAAGGAAGAGAAAGAAAAGGGAAGAAAAGAAACGACATCGTGCCTGTGAGAATATGTAACTGAAGATGTCATAACAGCTAGTCGATAGTGATAATGTCCGTATTGCCCGGCCCGGCTTTTTTCTGCGGAGAGGCCTTGGCCTGGTTGTCAGATACTGCCGGGCCTTTGGTAGGACGCAACGGCACCGCCGGGGGCTGATCGGGCTTCCCTTTGCTCTCCGGTCTGTTGGGCTCGAGATGAGGATCACTCAGACACTCGTGGAGTTCGAGGATGAGTTTCTCCACTTTGTCCATGGCAACCACCGCACCATCTCCCATGCCTTTCCAGCAATCGCCTTTTGAATCATAGAGCTTCTGCCGAATCGTGGCTGCAACTTGGTCATTGTGAGACTGACCCGCAAGATTGGCGTCCTTCAATACCCAGATCGGCCGGCCTCGCGGGTCGGCAAACAATTGGAAACGTGATTGCAGTCGAGGATAGTGAATTTGATAAATAGTCGGACCGCGCACAGTGATATGCACAATGAACGTACCCACGCTGCTGGGCTTGGAAGTGATTTGGTCCAAGGCGCGCAGCAATGGAAACGTCTTGAACATGAGCTCAAGGAGTTTTTCAACACCTGTTGCTGTAAAGGAATGATTCAAAGTTGCCGTGAGCGACTCCTGGATTCGGCGGTGAGGACTGGTGTTGTCGAAGCCGAGATCCAGTTGCAGGTGAAAGAGGGGCTCAGTCTGCAAGAGAGCATTGGCGACGTCGAGGTAGGTAGAGCTGGGGGGTCCTGAGATCTTGATATCGAAGTAGGCCGAGTGTTTTATTTCAGAGCCATAGGCGAATGCAATGCGCAACAACGACAGGGACTGGGGCCTCATTCCTTTCCGGATGAGAGACTCAAGGATGGAGAGAACGCATTCGAGTCGCTGCAAGCGTTCGAACAGACAAATGACAATGGAATGGCCAGCCGGCACGAGTAAGCGAAGTGCGAAGCCACCGCCTTTGCCTTGCGTAATTATTGAGGGATCCGCCTGGGAGATCAGCGGTATAAAGCTTTTGATGCGGGATTTTAGACAGCCATGGGCCATAAGAAGGACTGAGTGGCTTCGGCGGTCGATCCCGTGAAATGAGAGACGGACGGTATTCTGTAGGTAGAATCTTCTCTCCAATCCCGAGGGCAAGGCTACTCGGAGAGCAGGAGGGAGGTCGGCCGCTTTGTAGTGAAAGTAGAGATCTGGAACTTGTAGATCCGCCCCGAGTTGCAATTTCTCCAGTGGTGGATGAAGCCGTATTCCCGGCAAATTTGCCAGGCAACGTGCATTGGAATAGACCGCCAACATCCCCGTCAATCCATGGACCAATTCTGCGCAGGCAGAGTGATCGTCTGGTCGCCGAGGGACAAGGGTGCTGCTGACAAGGTGGGCAAATGGAAGACTTGCGCGATGATCAACAACACCGTAGGGTTGCGTTTTCACTGCCCCGGCCGGCCGAAGTCGAACCAACCACCAACTATCACCGTCCATGCTGCTGGTCGCAGCGGCCACCCAGTGCCGATCCCAGAGTCGATGAGTGAAGAAAGATGATCTAAGTACGTTGGAAGGAAATACTCTGCGCGCATCAAGGCTCAGGCCTCTCTGGTTAAAAACCTCGAGGCCGAACGCTTTCGTGCCGGACTCAATCTCCTCCACTGCAGTGAGACAGCGAAGTCGGCAAATCCGAGACAATAACTCTTCGATTAAGAGCTTGTTAGGACTCCGATCGCTCTCATAGCGTTGTAAAGGGCTAAGAACCCCGGACATGGTGATGGTCCCTGACATGGGCTCAATAGAAACCCGAAGGTGGCGAGTGGCCGTGAGTTGAACGGTGAGGTGACAGTCACCAGGCTCTGTCTGAGATAGCTGAGCCTGTATTGACAGCACATTGTTTGAGAAGAGAAGATTTTTTCTCAGAGTGGTGAATGTGGTAGAGAGAAGATGGGAGGTATGCAGTGCAATAACGCTTCTCAAGACTTGTTCCAGAGAAAGCATATTCGAGTCAAACTGAATATGATCGCTGTCTGCTTCTTGCCCATCTCTCATCCAGCGAAGACCAAGATATGGCATTCTGGAATTCAGATTGCTGGAACCAGAGTGGCGGTGTCCACTTTTGAGCCCGATCTCGAGCCAGCTCTTTGGTGCTGTTCTTAATGGCCAGTATTGGACGACAAGAGTTCGGTGGAGCAGTTCAATGTGCAAGGTATCTGCCCAAAGGCCTCGAGCAAGGTCCGTGGCTTGTTTGAAGAGAATGCTGACCTTGTTCGTGAGCACTAGACCGTGGAGAAAAGCGAAGCATCCCATCAAGCCATCATCACGCAGTATGTCATTGAGTTTAGCATCAATCTCGTTGAAAACTCGACCCTTCGGGATCGGCGAAGAAGGCAAGTATAGAAAGCGGATGTCCACGAAGAAAAACTGTGATGTTTTGCTTTCCTCTGCAACCGAAAGGTCAAGTTCAAACTCCCCAGGAACCGTGAATGTGACCCTGCCATCATGAACCCGATAAGTCTGCAGTGGGAGCGGCACTTGGTCGTGCAACGCCAGTCGCACGCTGATTATTCGATTGATTTTTTGTAGTTTCTTGAGCGTAGTCCTTGCTGTCAAAGACTTGGGCGGTTTGTAGCCGAGCTGAAACATAGTCAGTCAGGATTATCAGGATGAACAGAAAATGGCAGGACTTACATCAGGCAGAGATTTTACTCGACCCCTCGACAGGACCTCCAGGGCTGTTCTGAGATCCGGGTTGGCCACCTGGGCTCGCACGAGATCTCGTTTCATCTCGCCCGCATACTGCAGAGCGGCATCGTACGCTTGGTGCCGCGTGCGAATAAACCCTTGGATATCGATGAGTCTGCTAACATCTGCGGCCTGTCGACTCCATTGCGAGAGCACTAGCAATTTGATAAACTCGGCTCTTTTGTCGTGAGCAAAGTCTAAAAGACGTAGCTTTTTGTGCACATTTTCCGATAGTTGGTTTCCGGGAGGTTTTGTACCTGTTGCAATCGAGGTAACCGCAGGTTCCTGGTGAGGTACTTGGATTGCAGCTAACTCGGTTATCACTTCCGACAAGTCGTTCCAGCACTGCTGGACCGCTCGATTGATCAATGTTCCGAACGGAAAGAATCCTTGGGTGATGTGCGGTAGTTCGAATGGTGGTTCAGGCTCCTCCCTTGTGTCCCCGAGCGCTTTTGAGTGCTGATTCAACGCACCGACCTCGCTCGTTGTACCATTAACATGTGCTGTTCTGTTCACAGAACTGGAGAGCTGGCCAGTCTTCTCAGGCCCCCCATAAGAGCCAAGTGCGCCGTTACTAGTCTCATCGGGGCCTGGCCGCCGAGTCGCTCCCTCGATGTTGGCATTGTCCATGACGACGCCGGGCATTTCTGAGAGGTCAGTCAATCTGCGACGTGATCGTCCTTTCAAGCCTCTCTCCTCCCCTTGGCCCTCCGAACGGCCCAGAACAAGCGACCCGATACCAGCGCCGTTCTGAACTCGAACCAACCGGCGCTGGAGTAGAAAGAGAAGCTGAATATGAAAGCTAAGCGAGAGTTAGAGACCCTCAGCCTAATGCCATGCGTATTACTGGCCGCCCGAATAGACGGCCACGGTCATAATCGAGGGAGCTGGGGGCGCGATCTGGGGTCGCGATCTGGGCTTTTCCACGGCCGGGCGATTGTCGGGCAGGCAACTTTCGAAACAGACCCCGGGAACGGAAACGATTCGAGGAACAACTTTCTAGGAGAAATGGATCGGACAACAAAAAACGGGGAGATTCGCGGTCGAGAATCGAGGGGCTTCGTGATGGGTGCAAACTTGTCGCAACGGGCAGCCGGATGAAGCAACGCAGTAGGAACCAGGATTGAGTGGAAAGGAGATTTTAGAAAACCCGGAGGAGTATATGGAGGCCAACTGAGAAATGGAGTGGTCTTTGAAGAAGATGAAGTAGAAGACCTAGAGGATCACACCCGACAAGATCCCCCAATGATGAATTATGAAAGCGCGCATGCGCGCCCTACCGCCCTTTTGTTGCCTTGGTGCCTGGTATGCGTTGGTAACCTGGGTGTATCCCTGTGCCCGCTGAGTATGGGTCTGTTAGGCTCAGAACACGGTAAATTACAGATATGTATTTTTGACGATATACATCCACGGATGTATGTGTCTGGTAGGTCTGGATGCTAAAGATCCTAAGTTCCAAGGATGTGTCTAGGTGCAACTACACTTGGTTGATTTCATTATATTGTCTGTTGTTCAGGCGCGGTTTGTTCTTGGGATGTCCAAGCTCATTCGATCGCTTGATGCGCCGGCTCAACAGCAGTGGCCCCATATCCAGTTGCTTCGGGGATGCCATCTAACTCGGCCCCCAATTCCAGAGCATCGCGTTTTCCTCGCTCCACGTCCACCAGAAGCATTAAGGGCAGTGGCAAGAACACGAGAACGGCCAGGAACACAAATGCAGGCCTGATCTCACCGTAGCGATCGGTGATGGCCCCAACAATAGCAGGCCCAAAAACACTGGATCCTTTGTCGGTGATGGCATAAAGGGCATAGAAGGCGGCCTCGTACCCCGGCGGAATTAGTTCGCCGAAGAAGCTTCGGCAATATGATGATAGACCGCTCATGACTAAACCATAGACAGCACCCAGCGGATACATTTCCCACGGTTGCTGGAGACCAAACCCCCAGCGCTGCACAGCCGGGACAAACCCGAGCATTCCATAGATCGGAATGAGTTCGAACAAGACAATGCATGCAATGATCGTCTGCGAGGCCCGAAGGTTGAAAAGACTCGACATATAGCTCCAGGAAAATGCTCCGAATACCCCAGAGATCATGGCAATCACATTGATCATTCCGAGCGCAGCGGGCTTCATGTTGAGCTGCGTTTTAGCAAACAGTACTGCAGTCCCACTGACAGTAGCAATGCCATCGCTAAGGAGAAACCATGCGGCTAGAAAGAGCACAATGTCTTTGAGTTGTCGCGCCCGCATGGCTGTTTTCCCGAGAGACATCCAAGCATAAACCATATACCCACTCCAGGAGTGAAGTGGCTTCCCGTCACTGTCCACCAACGGTGGACCCGGCCGGGCACGCAGCCACAGAAGGGCCGGTATGGTAAAGACGAACCACCACAGCCCGATAAGGAAGAGCACCAGTCTTAGAGAAAAGGTTGTTTGACGGATAGTCATCACAACAAAAATGGAGATGAGCTGCAAGATCACTGCGCCGATATAGCCTATGCCGATCCCAAAGGAAGATATTTGGGTGGAAAGTTGGAGTTCTGAAGAAGTACTCGTGGTGGAGGACATCTGTCTCCCCTCTCCAGTCGGCCCAAGTAGTGGGGTAGATGCAACGGGGGTCGTCTGGCGGATGGATCCTGGTCGAGATGGCAGAGATTCTTGACCAGAGGGTTCCGTAACATGACCAGACGAGGGCACACGTTCGATCCTCTCGTGTGTTGATGGATGATGACGAACCAAGACAGGCAGAAATGAGTTCAAAAGGACAAAAGACGCACCAAAGCAGGTATTTGCAACGACTGCGAGTAGGCCACCAAGGAGATAAACTTTTGGAACCACGACAAGGAATAGCATCGTCGCGACTGAGCCGCCAAAGGCAAATGTGACAAGAAGCGTTTTTCGATAGCTCCCATGATCGGCTGCGCCCGACATAGAGATGATGAGGATGGCTTGAACCAAGACGCTCAGGGAAAACGTATACAAGGCAAAGCTGGCGGTGTTGATCTCAGCGCCGAGGACATAGATGATGCATTGACTGGTGTCCGTCTGGGCTTTGTATGAGAGAGCTCCATGGACAGATGCCTGCCCAGAGGGATTCCAAGTAGCGCTACATGGGGTTGTCTTGTCTGATAGAAGGAACCCCCGGTCTCGAGCCATCTGCTCTAGCGTAATGGGAAGAAACGAGCCTAGTCCGCGTTAATCAAAAGCGAACATTCCCCCAAAAACTCTTACAACATGACCAAACAGCAAAGATACATACCCATGGCGCACACTGTGAAGACCTCTGCAGCCCATCCATAACAGTACCAGCCAGCAAGCTCCCGCCGGCTGGTAGGGCGGGTGTCATCGCCAGGATATTGGGTGAGCATGGCATCGACATGCTCTTCATCCATGCTCGTTGTTGCTGATACCAAATTTGACCCATCGCCCGTGGGTCACCTAGGTTAGGTCGGCGAAGGTCAGGACAGAGAGGCTGAATGATCACCCGAGTTGCAGCTGAGGTCATTTTTGGCGATCCCCCGACCGGCAGCCTCAGGCATGAAATTCCTACACTATGTACAACTTGGAAATACCATACTGTAAGACAACGTGCTTGGAGTGCAATCTGCTATGATTATAATAATTCTAATTACTTTAACGCTTGTTTTATCCCATAAGCTTGTTGGAGGACGCACAATGAAAACCATCGAGTTGAGGGAGAAAACCTTTGACCTGAATAGTATGAAATCCTGCTTTTTTATAGCACAACAGGTAAATCATCAATCATCATACATACCTAGGTACCTACCTACCTAGGGAGTCATAGTGGTCATGCACGGCCTCCCTGGAGGCGATTATTGCCAAGGGCCATGCTGGGCAGAGAGAATAATGACACGTACAGGACTGTTTATGATATTTTATATTTATATTCGAATACCACATATAACATATAACATATAACATAAAATACATCGACTTTAATTTATAACCTTGAATTTTAGAACATTTTATTCTTCAGGGATACACAGGACCATAGCCTATGTACTACAGGGTCTACATCTGGGGTAGAGTACCTTGTACCTCCATGATAGTAAGGGTGCCCGCCCCAGCAGAGGTACCCGGGACTCCGGCAGGAACCACTGTGACTCTCCCTTGCGCCCTGCATAGCCAGTCAGGGAGCTCCACCCAGCTTATCCCATAAAGAACAAACTGTCCTCATCTCGTGTCGCCCCCATTCCTTCTCCATAAATACATTTCCTCACTCTACCTTTTTCTTCCTTTCCCCAATTGTTCTTAAATTAATCCGTCTCTGTCCAGCCCATATAGGTGATTTGAGAGCACCTCTGTTCCCCTTTAACCACATCCTCGCCATGCGATCTTTCGCCCCTCTAGTCTTGAGTCTCCTCGGGGCTACTGCGGCTGTCTCTGCCGCCGAGTCTGCCGAAGACTCTAATGTTGTCACCCTGACCCAGGATACCTTCAATGACTTTATTAAATCCCATGACTTGGTCCTCGCCGAGTTCTTCGCACCTTGGTGTGGTCATTGCAAGGCCCTCGGCCCCAAGTATGAGGAAGCTGCGACCGAGCTGAAGGCCAAGGATATTCCCCTGGTCAAGGTGGATTGTACCTTGGAAGAGGAGCTGTGCCGCACCTACGAGGTCGATGGGTACCCGACCCTGAAGGTCTTCCGTGGCCCTGACTCGCACAAGCCGTACGGAGGTGCCCGCCAAACCGATTCGTAAGTTATCCTGGGATCATATTTGCGGTGAATCATTATTGGCTGACCAGTGTGTGTTTTTTTCACGGTAGGATCGTCTCATACATGACCAAGCAGTCCATGCCGGCCGTGTCGACGGTGACTGAAGAAAACCTGGAAGAGTTCAAGACCCTGGACAAGATCGTGATCATCGGTTACGTGGCCTCTGACGACAAGGCCTCTAACAAGAGCTTCACCGCGTTCGCTGAATCCCAGAGAGACAACTACCTCTTCGCCGCCTCTAACGATGCCGCTCTCGCCAAGGCCGAGGGTGTCAAGCAGCCCTCCATTGTTCTCTACAAGGACTTCGACGAAAAGAAGGCCGTGTACGATGGCAAGCTGGAGGACGAGGACATCCTCAAGTTCGTGAAGAGTGCCAGTACCCCGCTTGTGGGCGAGCTGGGTCCTGAGACCTACTCTCAGTACATGGCGGTATGTTGCATTTTTCTACCCTGTCCCTTGGACCAGATAGAAACTGACCCGCTGCTCTTATCAGGCCGGCCTTCCCCTGGCTTACATCTTCGCCGAGACTGCGGAGGAGCGCGAGTCTTTCGCTGCTGAGTTCCGCCCGATTGCTGAGAAGCACCGCGGAGACATTAACATAGTCACCCTCGATGCCAAGCTGTTTGGTGCCCACGCCAGTAACCTTAACCTGGAGCCTGAGAAGTTCCCGGCCTTCGCCATCCAGGAGACCACGAAAAATGCCAAGTACCCCTACGACCAGACCAAGAAGCTTGATGCCAAGGAAGTCGGCAAGTTCATCAAGGATGTAGTTGATGGCAAGGTTGAGCCTAGCATCAAGTCGGAGCCAGTTCCCGAGACCCAGGAGGGCCCCGTCACTGTTGTCGTTGGCCGCAGCTACCAGGAGCTCGTCATCGACAATGAGAAGGATGTCCTGCTCGAGTTCTATGCTCCGTGGTGCGGTCACTGCAAGGCGTAAGTATTCCTATTCCATGTTCTCTTCCTCACCCTGCGCCCCGCTAACTGTTTCTGATAGTCTGGCTCCCAAGTACGACGAGCTCGCCGCTCTGTACAGCGACGTTGCTGAGTTCAAGGAGAAGGTCACCATTGCCAAAATCGATGCCACCGCCAACGATGTGCCGGACTCCATCACTGGGTTCCCGACCATCAAGCTCTACCCGGCTGGTGATAAGGGCGCCCCCGTCGAGTACGAGGGTTCGCGCAGCGTGGAGGACCTCGTCTCCTTCGTCAAGGAGAACGGCAAGTACAAGATTGATGGGTTGGCCGAGGGTACCAACAAGTCCGAGGACGGCGATGCCAGCTCCGCGTCCTCTACCAAGGCCGCGGAGACCGAGGCTCCTTCGGACGAGAGCCACGATGAACTGTAAGCTTGGGGTCCCTTTTTCTTGGGATTGGATTTCAATATAGCTTGTATTTCCCCAGTCAGAAATGGAAATCTGCCTGAATGCCTGTTCATCTCTACACTTCCCGTAACTTCTTTCAAGTAGACTAAACGTGTAGTATCCCGAGGTCGATGGGGCGGTTAGTCATCTGTGGTCGATCTATCCTGTGACGCGTAGCGCGAAACGCGTCGATCCCTTAACATCCAAGGCGCGATCTCAATTTCTGGGGAATCTTCTCTGACGCGCCCCGTCCCTTTTTCCTGAATGATTCCTCTCATCTCTTTCCGCAGAATTCCCTCCCTCGCCATGTCTAGCCCCCCGCTCAAACGCAACTCTGACCACCTCTCGGCCCCAGCAGTCGAGTCCAAGAAGCCCAAGGGTGGAAGCATCACGTCTTTTTTTGGAACACCGAAGCCTAAGGCTCAGGGGACGCAATCGACCAGCTCTCCTCGTAACAGCAGTTTCAACAAGGATAAATGGGTGGCGTCCTTGACTCCCGAGCAGAAGGAGCTGCTGCAGCTGGAAATTGACACCCTGCACGAGAGCTGGCTGGCTCATCTCAAGGATGAAGTCGTTACTCCTGAATTCCTGTCGCTCAAGCGTTTTCTCAAGAAAGAAAGAGAGTCCACGGTCAAAATCTTCCCCCCGGAAGAGGATGTCTATTCTTGGTAGGACATTGCACAAGTCCTCGAGGATGCAGCTCTGTTTTGAATCTATATTCTAATGAGACCTTAGGTCCCGACATACCCCGTTGCACAAGGTGAAAGTGGTCATTATTGGCCAGGATCCATACCACAACGTCAACCAAGCCCATGGCTTGGCCTTTTCTGTCCGTCCTCCCACCCGAGCTCCAGCCTCCCTGGTCAATATCTACAAAGCCATGAAGAAGAACTACCCGGATTTTGAAACCCCACCCAACAACGGAGGACTTCTCACTCCTTGGGCCGAACGGGGCGTCCTCATGCTCAACACATGCTTGACTGTTCGAGCGCATCAGGCTCACAGTCATTCCAACAAAGGATGGGAACAATTTACCCAGAAGGTTTTCGATCTGGTTGCTCGAGTGCGGACTCGTGGAGTGGTCTTCCTCGCGTGGGGGAAACCGGCTGGATTGCGCGTGACTAAAATCGACCGAAAGAGGCATTGTGTTTTACAATCAGCACATCCCAGTCCTTTTAGTGCCAACCTAGGCTTTGTAAGTTGATCTTTCTTTGGAGATTTTTCTGGGCTCGTCTTGAGTGGTGCTGACCGAAGTGTTTTACCAGTTCGACAATGGCCACTTCAAAAAATGCAACGATTGGCTTGCTTCGAGATACGGGCCCGACGAGATCATTGACTGGAGCTTGGTGCCTACCAAGAAGGCCATCTCATCGCCCTCAGGCAAAGAAAATGAACCAACGCCGACCAAACAGCTGCCCGAGGATCAATCCCCGGCGGGTGGGGACGCCCAAGCTAAACCTGCTCCAACGGATGAGTTCGATGACGCAGATGCTCTTGAAGCTCTGATTGCCGCAGAGACTGAGGGAAAACCCACAAGCCCTGTTTGATCACTCATTTGCATTTGGGACTATTTTTAGTGTACTTTAAGTGGCGTTGCTGTCGTTGGAGTCGTGGATTCGGGAATTTGAAACACGCAGAAATACATACGAACTGTTGATTTATTGACGAAAGGTTTAATAAGATAAGAAGATGTGAAGTGGGTCGCAGAAAATCTGGGAGGATTCGATGTTGCTACCCCCTACGTATACGCCTATAGTCGTAAATCTTTGTCTACAAAAGAAAGAGAAAAAAGAGACAAGAGATAATTATAAAAATAGATTAAACAAAGGATTAGAAAAATAGATGGAGAATAGATATAGAAAATAAAGAGAATTAATTAATTAACTAATTGAAGAGAAAAAATATCAATCAAATAGTAGTAGTAGTAGTAGTAAAATAGCTATCTATCTATATATTTCATAAAGAATAAAACCTCTTAAATAACCAGGATACAATGTAGTTAATAAGCCATTTCAACCTAATGCTTATTCTCTACTATATCTTTCAAAGTCTCCTGAGCGAAGCGAAAGCTAGCGGCTTGTCTCTCTTAAATTTCTCGAATGTCACTCATAATACTCACGACGTACAATCCTCCAACTCCAACAACCTTAGGTTGGGGGTGCTCCACAATTAGTCAGGATCCATACCTACGTAGGTACCTCCCAGGTTATCGATAACAACCTGGAGAATCCGACCTTGGGAAATGATCCTGAGTCCTCTGAGATGGAGCTCACCTGGCTCGCTGATACTCCGCAATCGCGGAATCGGACGCGAGCGGTGCGCGCGTGTCCCAATTGCCAGCGACGAAAGGTGCGCAGGTGGAATGCGTCCATGACCAAAACCAAGCTGATCCGATTCGAACCCAGAAACGATGCCGACACACCAATTCAGAGTCTGCACATAGCCAAGAGCATCGGTCATCGCGCAAGTCCAGCGACCGTCCTCCAACTCGGCCTGCTCGCAGAGATGGTGCGAATCGCTCCCGATATCATCCTTCTGGCACAGTAGGCCGGGCGAGGCCAGCATCTGCCGCTCCAGTCTTGCCGGTTCCTGGAACAGAGAGGTTTGTCGGGGATCTCAACCCGGAAGCTGTTATTCGAGAAAAGCTGAATGAGCCGACGGGGAACCCTTTACGAGACCGCATTGGGCTTTGGATTAGCTCTGCCACGCCAGAGGCCAGCAAAGACAAATCCCAAGCCGGTACCGATGCTATACCAACTCTGCCGTCCCAAACGGCCCTCGAAAGCTATGCGATCGTGTCGGTGTTGCATCGGCGCCATGCCGCTGCACTGCAGGCGTGTGAGCAGCTTCCAATGGCCACACGAGAGGCTTTGACCCCAATATATTTCTCCAAGGTTAATCGCATTATACCGCTCCTACACCAGGACTCATTTTCCCGCGCTCAAACCGAGGGCACGGAATCTGTGTTTCTAGAAAGAGCATTATGCCTTGTCGCAGCCAAAGACCGCGCGGCCACACCTCACCTTCGTCTTATAGCGGATGGCCCGATCGTCAGCCCCCGCCAATTCTGCTCCGATGTCTACAAAGGACTCGTTGTCGCCATGGATGCAGAATTGGAATCTGATCGGGTGACTCGCATTCGTGTCCTTGCGCTCATGTCCTTGCACTGCGAGGGCTATGAAGGCGCTGAAGCCGCATCCCTGCACCTGTGCCAGGCCATCCACCAGGCCCAAACAGTAGGTCTGCATCTTGACCGGCCGGGCCGAGCATCTGCAGACTCCCTCACTCAACTCTTTTGGTGCTTATGGACATTGGACAAGATGCATGCAAGTATCGGCGCCCGTCCCGTGCTCCTGGCTGATCGTGACATCGGGATTTCCAAACCCAATCCCAACGCCCGGCCATCGCGGAGAGCATTCGACGTGTGGTTTGCCGTGTCAGATCTACTCGCGACTGTGATCTCATTTTATCGGCCCTCAGCTGATACTACTAGCGGATGGGAAGAAGGTTTTCCAGCCTTTGAAGATATTGTAGGAGACGCGCAAGAGGATTTGGATTTTGCTACTTTGTGTGCGTTCCGACACCAGCGAAGCCATGGGGAGGATACTAATTTATTACATTTGCGGGCTAACCCTGCGCAGGCTTTCTGGAACTCTACTATCATTCCGTTGCGATCCTGTCATGTCGGCACAAACTGGTTGAGAGTTTCGACACCACTAAGCTCTCATCGATTCGGCAAGGACTGGCAGCCGTGCGGATTCATTCTATCGTCGCATCGGAATGCGCGGATCTTGCACCTCTGCCCCTTGTCCCGTACGCTGTCGCTTTGTCGATGGGGGTCTCCTATCGACAGCTTCGCTCCAGCAAATTAATCACGCACATTGACCGTGCCAAGGCGAGTTTGGAAGCGTGCTGTGCGCTGTTGGAAGGCCTGAGCTGCTACTGGTATTCTGCCGAAGCGATGGCCCGGCTCGGGCGCAAAGCGCTGCACCAGATTGAGGTCCCACTCAGCCAAGAACCTCAGGAACAAACCCGTTCATCGCACGTAGTAGACCCCAATGACAGTATCAACCCGAGCCGGGATACGTCTGATGTCGCCTATCCAAATGAATTCCAGTCTGGTGAGGGCAACTCTACCATGCCCCCAGCGACATCGACCGAAATGGCGACCGGGACTCTTGGAGAACCGAGCGATTTGGATGCCACCGTGCATGGGTTTGCCGACATCGACACCCTTTTTGGGGAATTGTTCGATCTCTCCCTCCCCACGAACTTTTGGGATCCTATCTTCATGGAGACCCCCGATGCATAGGGTGACATGAGATGAGGATATGAGGATGGACACCGAAATCCTAGTGCCGGATGATTCGACCCTTTAAGGCAAGGTTCCTAGGGCCGTGGGATTCAGTGGTCCCTCTTCTCAGTTTCAGGCGAGAAACCCGCCCTTCGCGGCTCGTCCTGGCCCCCTCGACTGTGGGGAATCAAATAGCGATCGTCAGTCTCACTTCCTGAAACTGGGATTTTTCAGCCGCGGACTGGGTCTTAGACCATGTCCCACCGATCATCCCCCTTTGAGAGAGATTTGAGAGAGAGAGAGAGAGAGAGAGAAGTTCTCTATCGAAGGATTCGCTGCAATTTTTGGTGCTTTTTTCGGGGTCTCCGGGAGATTTGGTCGAATCATCATTTGAGCGCACGGGTGTCAAAGGAGAACAAAGACGCCCGTCTCCACCACACGCCCAAGTGGCCCTAAGAAATGGGCATCTTCGGGCTTTTTGGCCCCCCCGTGGCCATCAGATGAAGAACAGGGAAAAACATAAGATCGGCTACAGCCCCGAGATCCTTCTTTTTTCTTTTTCTTCTTGTTCTATTTTTGCTTTTGTTTAAGCGGTTTCATTGATTTGAACCCCCCTCCCCCAAGGGACAAAAAAACAATTTTGATCCACTTTGACACTCTCGTCCCAGAGTCACCACCCCCCCGGTATACACTCTCAACCTTGCGTGGCCAGCCATCTCTCTCTCTCTCTCCCAGCTTTAACCCCTCCAAGTCTCTTCTCAACCATGACGGAAACCCCTTCTTGGTTCCAGTGATTTTATACTCGACCATCCCCGATGGATGCTGGCATGGTGTTTGATTGGCATCGCGTTCGAGCTTAACGGTTGCTTGAAACTTGCCAAGGAATCGATCTTTTTTTGGTTTTTTTTTTCTCCTATACATTAATATATTCATATCAATCGATGTGTGGGACACATACCGCTTGAGATCCGTGAGAAGCAAGCAATATCCATCATCTTCAAATGGCTCTTGAACCCGACAGTCATGGACGTGCCGGCGTCGAAACTGAGAAAGAGCTGGCACCGGAACCCACGCCTACCGATGAGGCTATGCCCACCGATGAAGGCGTGTCTACCGATGAGCCCCAATATCCCGTCCATCCGATTCCTCAGCTCCAGGCCCCTTTCGAGGAATCCATTATTGAAACGAACGAGGTACCTCCCGAGGACCGAGTCGTGAGCATCGATGTTCAATCGCGCCGTCGAGATTTACTCGAGAACGACGAATATGAGCGGCTGTGCGGCCGGAAATGGCGTCAACGAGACACCGAAAGGTGGGTGGCTCCGTAGATTCCATGGCTTCTTGGGTCGTCACGGTGCTCTGAACTAACTCCCTCGCGCAGATACCATCCGTTTTGGAAGCTGGTCTCGCAGATGGTCTTCGGAGTCCATCTTCTGGCCAAGCGCATCGCGATATCAGAAGTCGAGGTCATGAAGATCCTCCAGACTCACGTCGACGAACTAGACGGATTTCTGCAAAGAACGACGGAAGACTTTTTGATTATCCGACTGGATGTTCGCACCAGAATTCACTATCTCAGTTTACCGCTGCAGAATCTGGCCATGTTTGACGAAATGCTGGAGGATCGGAACTTCCGATTGGCCATCGTGGCCTATAATGACCAGATTGAACATGCCATCAAGCGATTCACCATGGCCATTACTGATTCCCTCAAGGATGCCCGGAAGGGCAAAGAAGCGATGGGTGCTCTATGGCACTACCTCCGGCAGCGCGCTGATGAAGGCTGTTTCGAGTCGGAGAGTCTCACGGCATTCTACCAAGCCATGACCGAGAACATGGAGGGCTGGGTCGTCGCGTTGGCAAAGCTGCGTCGGCGTGGCGCTGGGCTCCAAAAGGCACTGGGCCAACTGGGCCTGGCGGTCACAGAGATGCAACGACGGGTGGGTGTGGCGAGTCGGAAAGACCTGGTGAGTATTTCAGCCCATGCGTTCATGATTCCCGAGCCAAATTCTCATTTTTTTCTAGCGGTCCTTCATGAAGATGGCCAACAGAAGCGCGGGCCGGAACTCGGTCAGGCAAAGGCTGTTTACCAAAGGACTGTCCACCCCAGCCTCCCGTCCCAAGTCTGACAAACCACTGCCACGCGATCCATTGTCAAAATCTTCGAAGTCGCCAAAGCCATCGAAGCCGGCAAACAACCCAACAGCCTCTAAACAATTGAGTAATGAACCAGCCACCAAGCAAAGTGGCCCCGATCCTAATAATGCCAAGGTCACTAGCGACATGACCAGACCAAAGATTCTTAGTCGAGCCAAATCTTGCAGTGCTCTCGTGGGAGAACCCGGCGCCGGCGCCGCGGTCTCGAATATGCGAATTCCAGGGAGGCTGACTCGAAAGCTGTCCAAAACTTTTCTCCTGTCAAGGCAATCCCTCAGTGATTTGGCGCAGAGTCGGCCTGCGACGGCCCCACCCAGGTCACTTCGACCATCGCGCAGTATTTCGTTTGAGCACCTCAGAGCCTTTGCGACAGGACGGCCTCGATCCCAGCACTCCACGGCGAAGCCGCCTACGCGACAAGCCGACCAGCAGCAACCCGATCATCGGGAGACCATGAAATCCCAAATCTCGCATTTTCTCAAGAGGGATCGCGTGGTCGAGGCTTGGGATAACATGGCTAAGAAGCCGGGGTGTTGCGGCGGCAGGTTTGCCAGGTCGAGAGATTGGCCCTGCAGCATATTCCGGACCAAGCCATCAAATGACCCGCAAGCCCATGCTGCCAAAGGCAAAGAGCCCAATCTCTCGGGGCCAGAGATGGAAAAACAGATGTCATGGGCGCCAGGTGCGCCAGACGCCCTGAATACGTATTCGATTAAAGACAAACGGGAAGTCTCTCCGCGGATACATGTTCTATCGGTGCAAACAGGCTTGGATGAAAATTCCGGAGCTCGTCGCGAGCGAGATGGCCACGATGCAGACAATGATGCCAGCTCGGCGATTACCGCCTTACCATCGCTGGCGCCTCGCTCGCCTCTTTCGGTCCCCTCGGTAAGTTGCGGTTGCATAGATCTCTTCCCTGGTCATGAGACTAACCAGATCGCTTCCTAACAGATTCCTTCTGAACAACCTCGCAGCGTCAGTGCCCAGGCCTGAGGACTCACGTCTGGTTCAGTTCTACATATCCCATTTCGCTATTGCGATGCTTGTCTTCCCCTAATCCGCTGTGGACGCTTCACATACCTCTCCATCCCCATTCCCTTCTCCGACCTATTGAGGCCCTGCCATCTTGAGAGCCTAATGGCTCTTGGTCCATCATGACTCACGCCTTCCCCCGGTCTATACGCTGCATTTAATAGCAATGAACATTGCCGGTATAATTGCCCAAGGTCGACGACACCGGGGTGCCACCGCGTCCGGAAACGCATCTCGGCCGTCAACACGGTGTTTGAAATCTGCTTGGCAGACAGCAGATTTTCTGGGGAGGAGTCCATCACACGAGTGATCTTGCCACAGCAATCACAATCAAGTGGCATTGGATGCGCCAGGGCATCAAAGCTTTCTCCCTCAGGCTTGATGCCTTGAGCCCTCTCTTATGGCCTCCATACTCTGTAGAGAGATACATAGTCTACCCTCCACATGCTTTACCCATTGCACAAAGAATATGTCTACATTAGACCCAAAGATACCGAATCAAATGACATTAATCGTACAAAACATTGAAAAAAAGGAACTTAAGATTTTGCAGATTCTCGCGGCCAGGTCCTCCGAGATTCCTCGAAAGGCTCACCCTGCACGCGTTTCCCCCCTCCCAAAGTAGCGCAGTAACGCCCAGAATGACCAAAAGAAGCGATAACAACGGACCACTCCATAACATATAAGCACCACTACCCAAAAACCAAAGGAAGAATGGATCATTTGCAGCGCTTTTCCACGATGTTCGGGCCGTGCTCCTCGTATTCCTTCTTGGAGATCCACATCTGGTGGAAGGTGCCCAGACTGGCCAGGATACTGCCACCAATCCAGGAGCCAAAGCGGCGCTCGGCGGTGTTTCCAGGGGCTGAAATGCGCACTCGTGGCCCCGGAAAAAGCTGCATCAGCTCGTGGTTCAGGCGATCGGTGAAGCCGTAGAGCAGACTAGATGCGCCGGTCACCACGACATTGGCCAGCAGGTGAGGGCGAATATCCACATCGACGCCGCTCAATGCACCCTTGATGAGCTCCGGAATAGTCTGGGACGAGGTTGGGGCCGGAAAAGGTGAGTCTGGGTCTGGGATGGCCGCCTTGACATCAAACAAGGATTCAACCACGCGGAAGCGATCAACGCCGAAGACCTGGTTGTAGCCGTCGGGGAACTCAAACGGGCGACCGGGCCAGGTTCGGGCCGTCTCCTCGTTCGAGACGCCTGTGGGACCAGTGGCAGAGAGCTTGTTCGGCCCAGGCCAAACCTGGACGACGCACTCCTTGAACTCGGACAGCGTGCGTTCTTCGAGCAGCGAGCGATACGATGCGTCGGGCGCCTTCTCAGCGGGGAAGGTCTTGTACTTGGCCTGGGGCGCCTGCCCGGCCTCCACGGCGGTCTTGGAGCTAATCAAATAATGCGGTGTGATCGTGATCGGTTGCGGGGAGTTGGACTTGAACAATGCGCGGATCTGCGATGAGATGTAATCACCGCCCAGCGGGGAATGCTGCACGCCTCGTTTGAGGATCATACCATCATGGACAGGGGTGATGGAGATGTTCGAGGCGCCAATGTCGACCACAAGGGCAGAAGCCTTGCCGGAGGCAAAACTGCAGATAAAACAGGTCAGTGAAATGCAGCCACCGTACAGACCAAAGCAACACATACGCCGCGAGCACTCCACTTCGTGCCAGATAAAAGGCCGGCGTGCCCCATTTCTCCATCGCAATCTCAATGGTCTTCTCGCGCGCCTTTGCAGGATTCCATCCGGGCTCGGTCATCAGCAGCGGACTGTCGGCCAGAGGCTTCTCATCCGACTCCACCTCCATTTCCGTCGGGAGCTCGTCGTTGGAAATGTCGTTCAGGCCGTTCTGGAATGGGTTTCCAGGCTTTGCGCCAGTGAGTCGCGAGGTGAATGAATACTCCCACACCTTCTCTGCCATATCCCAATCCTCGACAATACCATCCTTGCCGACCGGGTTGTGGACGGACAGAGCAGGCCGTGGGGTAACAAAGACATCATCGCCGAATATTAGTTTCTCTTGGCCGTCGGCGTTGTATTTGCCATAGTAGGTTGGGACCAGCGATTTTGGGGCATCTTCACCGGCAAAGCCAGCGCGCGTGGTTGAATATCCTGGGTCCAAGACAATGGCCGACACCTCATCTACACGCGCCAAGAAAGTCAGCATATGTACAATGTAGCGCCCGAGCATCCTAAACTGCAGAGGCGAAACTAATAGTCATCGCATCTCTCTTGTGTCACGTACCTCCGCCGTACTCGGCAGCTTGGGGTGGATTGGAAGGGTTCATGGCGAAAGTCGCGCAGGGGTTTGTGGGAGACGGAGTTGAGACAATCGCAGGGTTGAGCAAGGAGTATTGGAAAGACAGACCGACAATTTCACGCCGGTATCATGGAATCCCGGAGGACAATGGGTGAGGGGAAAAGGAAAGTAGGGAGAAGAGCGGTGGTGCGGACGAGCAGCTTTGGCGGAGGGCGGGTTGGATCCTTGGCGGTGGATGACCTCACCCGTCCACTCTTTTGTCTCTTTTTCTTCCTTCTCCTATGCCTACACTGATTTTCGCAAGACATCATGGACCCTGAACCCGATATCGCACCCACGGAATCTCTCTTCCGCCCAGTCAAGCGGCGCAAGTTCGTACGGCGACGTCCTGATCATGACGCCGAGGATACTGCCCATGCGGACTCAGCCATAGGAAACAATGAAACCGACCGTCGCGCGCCCGAGACGCATTCAAATCTAGATACTGAAGATGGCATACAAAATACAGGGGCTGTCCGTTTCCGCCGGCTCCATGCCGTTCGCAAAGGCGGCATAGGCTTCTCCACGACTCGGACCGGCAATGGCCATGGCCAAACGGCGCCGGAGCCAGCAGAAGACCTCGAAAAGGAGAAGATCGAGGCTATGTGCGACCGGTTTACTGCACACACAGGCCAGACGGTGGATGTGGACAAGCACATGTACGAACTCTCTCTCTCACGGCTGTTCGTGACACACTGGACTAACGAGATAAGGATGGCGTATATAGATTCCGAAATGGCGAGACGCTTCCAACACAACTTGCCTCCTGATCGCCCTGAGGCTGACCGGTCCACCGTCGAAGAATCGGGCGATCAATCGAGACCTGGTCAACAGCGTGAGCCCGCATCGCTGGGCAAATTACATGAAATTGATCTCGGCCAAGAGACCAAGTTGCAGAATATTGAGCGGACAGAGGCTGCGACTCGACATCTTGTGGGCGACGAGGAGTCCGCACACGAGGCGACACCCCATCCTGATAGCTCTGGCCAAGATGTCAAGTCGTGGCGCACTCGTAAGCGTCGGACAAGTGCCGACGTTGAACGAGATCGGCTTGTGGAGGAGGTCTTACGCGAAAGCAAATGTACGTGGATCCGAGTTTTCTCTCTCTCTCTCTCTCTCTTCTCTCTCAACATGGGTGCTAACTTTTCATCGCTTTAGTGGATGTGTATGACGAACCGGAAGATGAACCGGTGGATGACCAGGCAGCCGACGACCGAGTTGCCGAGCAGTTCCGACGAGACTTTATGGATGCCATCCAGTCTCGTCGGCGAATCGCCCGGACGCGCAACACGAAGACGACCAAGACCGAGGCCCCTCGAGGACCCAAATTGGGAGGCAGTCGAAGTGCCCGAGCTGCGATGCGGGAAATGCAGGGGAAAGCCGGGCAGAAATAAGTGACACTGAATCTCGAGTGTTCGCTTGGAGAGTGAGGTCTCGCTGGGAAGGGGTTCTGCCTAGTATACACGGGGCACAGGACATGTCCCGATAGGATCTTTCGATGCTGGACACCAGATAACAAAGTGCCATCTTGACTGCATAAATGCCGAAGGATCAAGCCGCAATCTAATGATTTGACTGGAATATTTGTAAGTGTGTTCTGTAGCTTGGTATTTAAATACTTTGTTATCCCCGTAGGTAGTAGAGGGTAGTCTACTGTGGCTGACTTGTCCCTTCATTGACGTTGATTAGTGTAATTCTTATGGCAGAAATTACGGGGAATTAATATGACTCTGTCTCAGCCTCGACGTGTATGGGCGCTTGGCCGTGTCTCACATAGATGACGGGCGGGTCGGGGTATTTTTGGGGGGTTAAACAGAGGTTTAACAGAGCCATGGGTAGTTGTTCTATTATTAAATATATTATATTATGTATATTACGTATAATATCAAGTACACAAGTCTACATGTACATATTATATGGATATACGGAGACAGAACCAGAAACATGCAAGGGATCCACCGGTCTAGAACTGAGCCATGTGCAGTCGAGAATCATCGATCGACATCGAGCCCTGCCAGAGCTTGGTACTATCCAATACTTTATCCATCATCCTACATACATGCGTAGTCATCCATGGATCTATCCATGGATGGATGTATAGATACCGCAATATGAGGCCACTTACTCAAGTACGTGTTTCACAATTCGGGTATTTTGGATATTTTGGATGCCTAGTTGATTTGGGAGGATTATTGTATTCTATTACTAGTATACTAGCATACTGGTATGGACAGTGGGTCCCATTGGGCTGAGCTGTGGCGTTGGGTGTCATTTTACGGATACAGCAAATGCGAGATATATCACACCATCTCTCGATGAGTCGAGTGTCAGTAGAAAGGAAGTAATTAGTACCTACAGTATACATATATAGTATATAGTATATAGTATAATTACTGGTATAATCACGTTATCAACCCAAAAGTGAGCGATACGCCGTGTATCAGTGATAGTGCCCCTCAGCCAATCAGCTGGCGCGGGCCTAAATTCAGGGGGCCCGAGATGCCACTAGTTGTCACCCCCGGTCGAGACTCTTTCTCTCTTTCTTTCCTTCTTTCTCTTCTTGTTTTTCTCGTTTCTCATTTTCTTCTCATCGAGGATCTTGCATTCGTTTCCTTGTCCTCTCTCTCTCTCTCTCTCTCCAGTCTCTTCCCCAGCCACACTCGTTGTCTCGCATCACCATCTGATCCCAGTGTCTTAGAGACCCCCCAAACTCACCGCGCTGTTTCTGCGTCCCTTTCTTTCTTCAATTATCTTCTTTTCTTCCTCTTCTTCTTTTTTTTCTTGACTTGCAGGTTGATCCTGCCCCATTTCTTACTCAGTTAGATCCCATCACCTCGTTCCATCCGTGGTAATCCGACCTTGCACCTCGCGCGGACGCCCTTTGAATCTCGGCATATCCATTGAGACATAGATCCTTGATGACTCAACCCCCAATTGGCACCAAAAGATTCTAGTTTGGCCTGGCACGGCGTCGATCTTTGCATCGAACCGACATGCGGAACATCATTTGGGCCCTCCTGGGCATGGGGACTCTGCCCCAAGTTCTGGCGGCCGACAAATTGAGTACAAGCGGATTCAACCTGTGCATGAAGGACTCTGAAATCAAGGTCAAAAAGCTGGATGTCACCTACACTCATTCCTCCAACAAGGTGCTTTTCGACGTGGGTGGAACCAATGCGAAGGAACAGTATGTCAATGCCTCATTAACGGTCACGGCCTATGGCAAGGAGGTTTACACCCGGTCCTTCGATCCATGTGGTGATGAGGTCCATGTGTCTAAACTCTGTCCTGGTAAGTCCCTTCCCCAGCCCATAGGCGCTGTGTACAAGAATCTGACCTGACTTGCCGCAGTCCCCAAGGGAACTTTTGGGGCCCAGGGTGAGCTTCCTATCCCGTCCAATTATGCAAGCCAGATCCCCTCGATTGCTTTCTCCATCCCCGATCTGGATGGACAGGCCAAGATGGTTCTCAAATCGAAGGACGGCAACGACATTGCCTGTGTTGAATCCCAATTATCCAACGGCAAATCTGCGAATGTCAAAGCAGTCACCTATATCTCGGCCGGGATTGCAGCCGCCGCTCTTGCACTGAGTGGCCTATCCGCTCTTGCCACGGCCGGGCAGACCGGTGCGCCGTCCTCCAGTCCGAGTTTTGGCGATGTGATGGGCTGGTTCCATACCATGGCCACCAACGGCATGCTGAGCGTCAGCTACCCTCCGGTCTATCGCAGCTTCTCCCGAAACTTTGCTTGGAGTACGGGCCTGATCCCGTGGGCGGACATGCAGAAATCTATCGACAACTTTCGGCAATCGACGGGCGGCAATCTGACCGACAACAGCTATGAATCACTGCACCAAGCCAGCCAGAGCTCTAGCGGGTCTTCTGCCACGAAACGGGGTTTGAACATGATGTTCCAGGTTGCTGACTTGCTCCCCCGGTCGGTTGACACTTCCTCCGATGCGAGTGTGTCGAGCGGCTCGAGCGACAACGACAGTGGTAGTCATAAATTCGTGTCTGGAGTCGAGGAGCTGTCGAAGGAGCTCATGATTCCCTCCGCAGACATTTTTATGACTGTGCTTCTCATCTTTGCCATAGTCATTGCTGTTGTCGTCGTCGGCATTCTTCTTTTCAAGGTGATCCTGGAGGCGTGGGCGCTGTATGGAAACTTCCCCAAGAAACTCACCAACTTTCGCAAAGACTACTGGGGTTTGATGGCACGTACCATCACCAACATGATTCTCGTTCTCTACAGTATCTGGGTGCTGTATTGTGTCTATCAGCTTCGGAACGGCGATTCGTGGGCCGCCAAGCTTCTGGCGGCTGTCACCCTGGTCCTTTTCACAGCCATCCTCATCTTCTTTACCGTGCGCATCTTCATCAAGGCTCGCAAGTACAAGGAACTTGAAGGGGATGCCTCGAGCTTGTACGAGAACAAGGATACTTGGCGCAAGTACAGCCTCTTTTATGACAACTACAAGAAAGACTTTTGGTGGCTCTTTGTTCCGATCATTGTGTACTCGTTTGCCAAGGGGTGCATCATCGCCGGAGCGCAGAATCACGGTCTGGTTCAGAGTGCGGGCCAATTGATCGTCGAGGCCCTGCTGCTGACCCTTTTGCTATGGAACCGCCCCTACGCCACTAAATCGTGCATGGGAATCAACATTACCATCCAGATCGTGCGGGTTCTGTCGGTGGGCTGCGTGTTGGTCTTTGTGGAAGAGCTCGGGCTCTCCCAAACCACCAAGACTGTCACTGGCATCGCCCTCATTGTCATCCAATCGACTCTCACTGGTGTTCTCGCTATCCTCATTGCGGTCAATGCCATCATTGTGTGCTGCCGGGAGAACCCCCACGCCAAGCGCCGCAGAGAAGCTGGTGAGTTGAGCCATTCCACGTTATCTCCTGTCTATGCTAACCTGAAATTTCCCCTTCTAGAAAAAGCAAACCGCGACATGGACGACCTCACTCCTCTGGACGCACGAGAATCCCTTCTGATGGAGCATCCTCCGAGAAAGGATTATGCGGAGATGAGCAAATTCAACTTCGCGGCCCCGTACGAATCGTATCGGGACCAGTCCAAAGCCCGACCTGGGTCTACCGGCAGCACCGAGCGTCTGGTGCAAGCAGACTATGGTGTGGCACATGCCCGGGGCTCGAGTCGAGACAGCCGAAATAGCCGGGGCCGTAGCCCGTCGCTTGAAGGCCACCACCCCACGAAACCAGGCTATGGCATGGCCTATTAAGCGTTGCCATCTGCTTTTCCCAGCTTTTTTCTCTTCACCTTTTGAGCCGACATGCGTCTTGTAACCAGCGGTTTGATTTGTTCCCCCGATTTTAGCGTGTTCGACATGGTTGATTTTCTGATTCCATCCTGGATTCTGTGACACTCCTTTGCCTCTCTACATAACCTTTATTTTATGTTTGATTTGTTCCATTCTTTTGCACCTGGATCTATCCCTGTCTCTGTCTTTCTTTGTTTCCAGCGTTGAACCAAGCATATGAGTGTACATGTTGAGGTCTAGGGGAAAAAAACAATAGAAGACCTTCCAAAAGTTCCCTTGGATCCCCCCACTACACCCTCGAAGCACTGGAAGGCAAGGATCGTAATGAACTCAAGAAGTAGTTACCACAGAACCCCGAGGACTGGGATAAACCATCGACGATCGTTTTTATTCACGTAAAAATCCAGACCATACCCACACCGATGAAACTCGCCGGTCAAGAATTGGGGGAAATACAGAAACACAGAAAAACAGGAAATAGAAAAGAAACGAAAAGGAGAACCTCCATAGAACCGGATTCGCCCTAGTAAACAGACTTGGAAAAGAACGAAACAGGCCCGCAGTCTAACCGCGAGAATAGGGGTGGAATCCGCGATGCCCTCCTCGACCACCGCCACGGTAGTTGGCGCCAGGCTTGCCGGCGTTTCGAGGTCCCGTGGGGGCATTGGCTGGGGCAGCACTCTGAGGCTGGGGAGTCGATCCTGTTCAACTCATTGATTAGCATATAAGGTAGCCCACGGGGTACAACATGGACATTCCATACCGCTGCTCCCAATACTTCCAGCACGGGTCATACCTTGGGGTCCAGTGGGGATATTGGGCTGGGGCACCTCGTCGTACATGCCCTCCCACGAAGTAGGCCCGCCTTGCTGGTATGGCGAGAAGGCACGGTTGTCCACGACGCGGCGAGCCTGCTGCTGCTCGTACTTTTGCTGTTCGAACGCAATCTGTTCCTGGGCATTGTAACCGGGTCCTAGTCGACGGTTAACCATCTGTGTAAGTGTAGGGAGGGGGGACAAATGGGTCTCGTACCATTGGCACCACCGCCCATCTGGCCTTGTACACCTTGGCTCTGGTTCTGCATCTGCTGCATCATGGCCGGGTTCATCATGTTTTGCATGTTTTGCTGCGAGCCGGGGCTTTGCGGGTTGGGACTCATCCCGCCCTGCTGCTGGTTGCCACCCATCTGCTGCTGCATTTGCATCTGTTGCATCTGCTGCATCATCGCTGGGTTCATGCCACCCAGGCCCATGCCACCGCCCATTCCTTGGCCCTGCGAGGCTGCGACGGCCATCTGTTGGCGCATCATCACGAAATACTGCTGCATCCGTTGCCAGTACTGTGCCATCATCTGCGGAGTGAGACCCCCAGGCATTCCCTGCGCCGCACCCGGCTGCTGCTGGCCTCCATCGCCCTGGCTCATGTCTCGGTATCCATCCCGGCCTCGACGGCCTCGGCGATCATCATCGTCTCGCAGGTTGCCGCGGGGCTGGGCTTTTTTCACCTCGATTGGCTTACCCAGAATGTCAAGGGGCCGCGACAAGGCTGCCTCGACAGCAGCCTCGCTGTCGAAAGTCACAAAGCCGAATCCACGAGGTCGTCCTGTGTCTTTGTCAATCATGAGCGTGGCGTCCACCACACGACCAAATTGCATAAAGAACTGTTTAAAGTCCTGTTCAGTGGCCTCTTGGCTCACACCGCCGACAAAGATTTTGCTTGTTTTCTCTTGTTCATCCCGAGGAATAGCTCGCTTAGGGTCAATCTATGAAGCATATTAGCGGGTCGCCTATCTAGCGAGCTATCTTCCTGTTGGGAGCTCTTACGATTTTACCATCCAAGTAGTGCTCCTTAACCATGACTGTGTTGACTGTCTTGGGGTCCCGGAAGGTAAGAAAACCAAAGCCACGCGAGCGTCCAGTAGCGCTGTCGCGCATCACCGTGCACTCCTGGACCTCGCCAAATTGAGAGAAATAGTCTCGCAGAGATTCTGTTTCAAAACCAGTTAGGGTATCTTCAGGGTTCCAGCATGGTCCCGGCACATACGGTCTGTAGTCTCCCAGTTCAGGCCACCGATGAACATTTTCCTAGCCACCTCAAATATTAGCGTAAATCCTGCATCTCGATGTATGCGTTCCTTCCAATGAAAAAGACCGCGGAGACAAAGAACAACAAAACAACAAGGTGGTTTATGTGCTGGTGGCGCCAAGCTGCTATTCACGAGTATAGGTTGAAGAATTTTGTCAACTGCCATCCCCGAGTAGAGGCGACAGATCGATAACCCGGGATTTATAGCACGGAGCTCAAGTCCACTAGGTTACATGAGCCTAGTGGTGTCGTTCATGACTCTCTTTTTTCTGCTTCCCTGGAGAAGGGTAGATGGCCGGGAGAAGCGGACAAGGTGGAAGCGGAGAGCCAGAAGTTCAGGCGGAATAAGTGAATTGTCACTGTCTCTCTGTCTGAGCCAGACCAAGGGAACCTTGTGCCTGTCTAATAGAGTATGATAGCCTCCCATCAGACAGCCGTTGCTACTCCTTGCTCTGCTCTAAAGGTATATCGACAAGAAGCTATATAGTATCGGCTGTACTATATATGGTGGCTCGCAGCGAAACTTCTTCGCGCAGGGGTCCGACCTTTTGCCCCGACTTTTGTGGATTGGTTGAGTCTGGGACTCCCGACAATTGTGGTGTTGATATTCTAAGCCGAGGTAGAGTGGATGCCGGAAGCTTCGAATGTGGCAGTTTGTTCAAATCCGTTTCCTCACACGGACACGCAGATCAGTGTGCTCGAGCCCGGTCGTGTGCGTGGCCACCAAACCGAAGACATGCATTCCCAACCACTTCAGAGTCTCGAAAGGTCCACAGAGACAGGGCCAGGGCCAGGCGAGTCTCACTCCAACTCCCCGCAGCATAGTAAAGTATCATGAATAGCACCAGGCACCACCTTGGACGCGTACCATGCAGATATCGCCAGACGAAGATCCGTAATGGGTGTAGGATTTCAAACACAAGGGTATGCGGGGAACACAATCAATTCACTTACCCGTCTTCCTTGATTCCCGTCCCCTGGGACTCGTTGTCTAGAGGGGCAGCGGCCATTGGATTGACCAGGCTAGTCTCTTGGCCGGAGCCATTGTGAATACCCGCGTCGAATCCAGACGGTTGCGACACGTTATGGACAGGCTGGGTGTCAATAGGGGCAGTTTCATAGGACGGAGCGGCTTCCGTGGGCAGCGCAGGGGCTGTCGTTTGTTCGGGTGCTGGGGCTTCCACGGCCGACGTCGTGCGATTCGTAGACTCATCGGCATCGTACCTGCAAAAGGAGCATTTAATCAGAGATAAGCTCTTTCAGGTATCAAGCGGAAACCATACAGATCGGCAAATAGATCCTCCTCGTTATCCTGGGGTTCAGCCATGGTGACAATTGTGGCAGGGAGAGACGAAACAGAAAAAAAGAAAGAATGGGGTGCCGAATGGTTGCAGGAAGTGTGAAGAAGCGAAAGTGACGAGGAGGAAAGCGGAGAAAGGCGCTTACATACACACGGGTCGGGGGAGCAGACGGGAGCAGCATTCATGGCAGATGCAGCTCCTTAGGTCGACCTCCCTTGCCGTGTGGGAGATTTGCTCTGAGCTTGCTTGAAACACCAATGCATTTTTAAATCCCCGTCAATATATCTAAGCTCTTTTTCTACATGGCCTGCTGGGGACCCGACACGCTCCTGCTGGCCCCGCACGTCTCGAATTCTACATGAGATCGCCCCCCAGCGAAGTCCGCGAAGTCCGCGAAGTCCATCATGGCTCATAAAAAGGGGCAGGTAAGCTCATTATTCCGGTTTCTTGGTTTACTGAGATAGTGAGCTGACAATATGCCCTAGGAAATGGTCCAGGTTGGTTCGTACCACACACATCCCCTTGCATATCAGCGGGACATAGCTCATCTCAACTTCCATTTGGACTCGCAGACAATTCGGAGTAGGTCTTCCACCCCTCGTTTCTCTATGGCTTCCCAATTGAGTGGCGTTGTCAATACTAATTTGCTGTGAAGACGTACAGATTCACCCTTTTGGGCCGGCCGGACAACGCCCATGAACCAAGGGTCGTCGAAGATCTATGGCCAGAACACGGTAGTGGGTGCTTCATACTCCCATGCTAGCATTTTACAGTTGGTTATCCCGTTGACTTTCCAAGTCTGTTTCAATTGTATACTGGAGAGGATGGGCTGACAAGTGTCTTCCTTGGCAGGGATGTTTCGTCCCATTCACGCCCTAGAACACCAAGTCGAACATCGGGGCCGTATGCCCCATACCCGGCATCGCATTTTGGCTCTCGATCTGGAAATGCGATTGCATCGCCTCCGCGAGAACCCTACGCTGGTATTATGGTCAAAGGTGGTGACGAGTGGGGTCACGAGGACGACGACGACGACGATGATGAAATTGTGTATGACGATGATGAAGACGAATTTGGACTCCCGAGCTTGGCCAGCATGCGGCGGAAAAAGACAGCTCCTTTGAAACCCCAGAACATTGGCCCTGGCGTCGGTGTCGGAGGAAACCCGCCGGCTCTGGGGCATGGATTGGCAGCTACCAACCGGCAGCGAACGAATAGCTCAGATATTGCCGAAGAACGTGGAAGCCCCATGTATCCCTCATCCCGGAAAGGCGACGGGAAAATCCTTCGACCTCAGTACAAGGACATTTTACAAGGTGGGGGGATTCTGCTAAACCTGAAGCAAAGAGTGCGCTGACATTCAGTGAAGACCCTGCCAATGCCCTGAACCTCATCAATCATTCCGCACCACCGACGAATGCGTCGCCCAAGGAGAGAGAGATGCACTCGAGTCGGATCTCGCGAATCAATAAATTCAAACGCATCCTGCAAGCAAGCACCGTGTCCGTGACCGAACTGCGAGACTTGGCCTGGTCAGGAACCCCAGATGAAGTGCGGGCGATGACTTGGCAGCTTCTACTTGGGTATCTTCCCACGAACAGTGAACGGCGCATCTCGACGCTGGAGCGAAAGCGTAAGGAATATTTGGACGGAGTCCGACAGGCCTTTGAACGAGGGAGCGGATCTAATGCTAGCAACCCTCCTGCCTCGAGCACAAAGCGTGGCAGAGGCCTAGACGAAGCCATCTGGCACCAGATCAGCATCGATGTTCCGCGGACTAGCCCCCATATTCCACTTTACGGTTACGAAGCAACTCAACGGTCCCTGGAACGCATCCTCTATGTGTGGGCGATCCGACATCCCGCGAGTGGTTATGTGCAGGGCATTAATGACCTAGTCACACCATTCTGGCAGGTTTTCCTGGGGATGTACATTACCGATTTGAATGTTGAAGAAGGCATGGATCCGGGGCAATTGCCCCGGAGCGTGCTGGATGCGGTGGAAGCGGACACCTTTTGGTGCATTTCGAAGCTGCTTGACGGGATCCAAGATAACTACATATACGCCCAGCCGGGGATCCATCGACAGGTCAGAGCCTTGCGTGATTTGACGATGCGCATCGACTCGGCTCTCGCCAAGCACCTAGAAAGCGAAGGAGTTGAATTTATGCAATTCAGCTTCCGATGGATGAACTGCTTGCTCATGCGGGAAATGAGCATCAAGAACACGATACGCATGTGGGATACGTACATGGTTCGTTACTTCTCCCCTCGTTTTCATTTCGAGACTGACGATCCTTGCAGGCTGAGGAGCAGGGCTTCTCGCGGTTTCATCTGTATGTCTGCGCCGCGTTTTTGGTCAAGTGGACCGACCAGCTGGTGAAGATGGATTTCCAGGTATGCGCCTTTTGAGTGCTGAGAGGCGGATGTCGGAAGTGGACTAATTCCATGCAGGAAATCATGATGTTTCTCCAAGCATTACCTACGAAAGATTGGACCGAAAAGGATATCGAGCTCTTGCTCAGTGAAGCATTTATCTGGCAGAGCCTATTCCAGGACTCGCGCGCTCATCTTCGACCTGCGGGTGATGTGCCTCCGGAAAATGGTATCTTTTATTGATAGTAATCATAATTCATCATCCGATCCTAGCTTCCATGGTCGGATCAGTTGAAATGGATGCCTTTCTGGTTGAACGCCCACAACAGCTTCAGGAAATCATTTTCATCACACATTCTTGCCCGCTTGTCAGCAAGCCCGCTCTCGTCTTCCAAGACCTGGCGCACTTTCTCGCGGACGAGCTCCGCGACCTTCCCTCGCTTTTTGCGTGCGGGCTGGTTCTTCAGCGCTTCCTGCATGCGACTAGTCTCTTCCTTGAAGAAATCCGGAACATCGTCGTCCTCATCCATGTCCATGGTTTCGTCGGGTCCCTCGTCATCGCCCTGCTCGTGGCTCATATCCATTGCATCGCCATCGGCGGTTTCAGCCGGACCATCCTCGACTGGGATGTCGTTCTGTGCGCACCAAGTCCGATAGTTTGCTTCTAAGATGTTCATGATGCTCGGGGTACCGATAAAACTGGACCGGAGCGTCTTGTTTTTTCGAACAAATGCGATTCGCAGGAGCCCATCCCACTCCTCATAATTGATCTGCGGCCGCGGGTTCTTGGGAACCATGCGGATCACGCTTGACTCAACCAGCGGCGGGGGCTTGAAGTTGTTTTTGCCGACCTTCATAATGTGATCAATCTTCGCCCACATTTGGGCGTTGACGGACAGTCGACTGTATAGTTTGTCGCCGGGCTTGGCAAACAGCCGCAACGCGAATTCCCGTTGAAACCTAGATTTTCAGAAGAATATATGAGTTTTCATGGGACATAATAGCGATGCAAAAACAATAGATGCGTGAAACACGAACATGAGAATGCAGACCCGGGGTGCCGGTGAGGTAGCCAGCAGTTTAAAGGTGAGAGGAGAAGAAATCTGGATCGAGTTAGAGCCATATCAATGCGAGATGTTGGAGGAGCCTACCTGATAAGGAGTGTTGCTAATGCACACGTCGAAATATGGAAGCTCGGTCTTCATCACGTCTCCCAGAATGACATCCAGACGTTTTTGGGCCGGGGTAGATTGAAAGCGTTTGGTCACCTCGGCGGCCATACGAGGATCCAATTCCACCGCGATCACCTTCTTGGCCTTTTCCATAATCTTAGCCGTCAGGTTACCGGTTCCGGGACCAATTTCAAGGACGACCTAGAGATAGACAATCAGTCAGTCTATGCGGGGTGGTTGAGGGGTGCTGTGGCTGCAACTCACATCGCTTTGTTTGAGCTCTGCCTTGTCGACTATGCTTTTGTAAACCGTCAGCCTAAGTCATATCCTGAGAGGCGCAGGGGAAAGATTAGGTAGACCCACGCCGCAGCGATACCCGGGTTTTTCAAGACGTGCTGGCCGATATCTGTGTTCATTTTGAAGATGCTATTGGCAGCCTTAGTTTTGGCGGCGGCATCAGAAAATGCATGGGACTGAGAAGCGCTGTTGCGCTTCTTCTGCTTGACCTTGGGCATTTTGGGCTTGAATTGTACCAAGACGAGAGGGAGGGAGGGAGGGTGCCGTCAACAGGGCAACCTTTTTTTTGCCGATAAGATTGCGTCGGGTTTACTTTTCTGCGCCCGCCATCTACCCTTCTGCGCCAGAAGCTCTCGATCCTCCGTGCCCATACAGCATGGCGTCCGGACGCAAGGATTTTCTGAGCCAGCAAGCGCCCGAAAACTACGTCGCTGGTTTGGGCCGTGGTGCGACAGGCTTCACCACCCGCTCCGACTTGGGACCCGCGCGAGAAGGTCCTACGCCCGAACAGATCCAGGCGGCTCTGACGAAGAGAGCGCAGCTTCTGGGAGCCACCCCGCCTACTGCATACGGCACTACTACACGCGAGAAAGGTGGGAAGGAAGAGAAGGAAGAGGAAGAAGATGAGCGCTTCCAGGATCCCGACAACGAGGTCGGACTGTTCGCGTACGGGCAATTCGACCAGGAGGACGATGAAGCCGATCGCATTTACCGGGAGGTAGATGAGAAGATGGACAAGCGTCGCAAAATTCGAAGGTTAGTCTCTTTTCCCCGCTCGATCTTCAAATACCATTTGTTCATCGGGCCCCTGCCCCGGTTGTTTGGAACAGATTACCGACTTGAATTGTTTGCCACCAACAGGGAAACTCGTGAACAGCAAGAACAAGAAGATTACGAACGTAAAAACCCCAAAATTCAACAGCAGTTCGCCGACCTCAAACGATCGCTGGCAGCCGTTTCCGAGGAAGACTGGGCCAACCTTCCCGAGGTGGGCGACCTGACGGGAAAGAATCGACGAGCAAAGCAAAACCTGCGGCAGCGTTTCTACGCGGTTCCGGACAGCGTCATTGCTGGGGCGAGAGACTCGGCACAATTTGATACGACCGTTGCCGAAGATGGCACGCCAACGGACGCCCGCGAGGGGGAAGGCGGCGATGGTACGATGACGAACTTTGCGGACATCGGTGCGGCGCGTGATAAGGTCTTGAAGGTCCGACTCGACCAGGCCGCGCTGGGGTCATCTGCGGATACCTCGTCAGGTAGTGCAACCAATATCGACCCCAAAGGCTATCTTACCAGCTTGACGCAGTCCGAGCTCAAGGCCGGTGAGGTCGAGGTGGGCGACATTAAGCGGGTCCGGGTTCTCCTGGAGTCTGTCACCAAGACCAACCCCAAACATGCGCCTGGCTGGATTGCGCTTGCTCGTCTTGAGGAGCTTGCGGGTCGGATTGTCGCCGCTAGGAATATCATCGCCAAGGGATGTGAGCTTTCCCCCAAGAGCGAAGACGCATGGCTCGAAAATATTCGACTGAACGAGGGCCACAATGCGAAGGTCATTGCGGCAAACGCAATTAAGAATAATGATCGCTCGACAAGGCTTTGGACAGAAGCCATGAAGCTGGAAACGGACGCTCGAGCTAAAAAGAATGTCCTCCGACAGGCCATTCTGCACATCCCACAATCCGTTCAGATCTGGAAAGAAGCCGTGAATCTGGAGGAGGATCCTGCGGATGCACGCCTACTGCTGGCTAAGGCGGTCGAAATGATTCCTTTGTCAGTAGAGCTCTGGATGGCTTTGGCTCGCCTCGAGACCCCCGAGAATGCACAGAAGGTCTTGAACGCCGCTCGCAAAGCCGTTCCCACCAGTCACGAAATTTGGATCGCCGCAGCTCGACTTCAGGAGCAGATGGGTACCTTTGAAAAGGTCAATGTTATGAGACGTGCTGTGCAGTCTCTGGCCAGAGAGAACGCGATGCTGAAGCGTGAAGAGTGGATCGCGGAAGCTGAACGATGTGAAGAAGAGGGAGCCATCCTCACCTGCGGTGCTATTGTTCGGGAAACGCTAGGCTGGGGCCTGGATGAGGATGATGACCGGAAAGATATCTGGATGGACGATGCCAAGTCCAGTATTGCTCGAGGTAAATACGAGACTGCGCGGGCCATTTACGCCTACGCACTGCGGGTGTTTGTCAACCGCCGCTCCATCTGGCTCGCAGCGGCCGATCTGGAACGCAATCATGGCAGCAAAGAGGCGCTGTGGCAGATTCTCGAAAAAGCCGTTGAAGCATGCCCTCAGAGCGAGGAGATCTGGCTGCAGCTTGCCAAGGAGAAATGGCAGGCCGGCGAAATTGATGACGCCCGAAGAGTCCTGGGCCGTGCCTTCAACCAAAATCCCAACAACGAAGATATTTGGCTCGCCGCCGTCAAACTGGAGGCGGATGCCACACAAACGGACCAGGCCAGAGAACTTCTTGCTACTGCTCGTCGGGAGGCTGGCACTGACCGCGTATGGATCAAGAGCGTTGCGTTTGAGCGACACTTGGGCAACATCGACGATGCACTAGACCTGGTCAACCAAGGATTGCAGCTCTACCCAAAGGCCGACAAGCTGTGGATGATGAAGGGTCAGATCTACGAGGCCCAGAACAAATTCCCGCAGGCACGCGAGGCGTATGGAACCGGCACCCGGGCCTGCTCCAAGTCTGTCGCACTCTGGCTCCTGGCCTCGCGATTGGAAGAAAAAGCGGGTGCCGTGGTTCGGGCGCGATCAGTCCTCGACCGGGCTCGCCTTGCTGTTCCTCAGAGTCCCGAGCTCTGGACGGAGAGCGTGCGAGTGGAGCGCCGCGCAAACAACATCGCGCAAGCCAAGATCCTGATGGCGAGAGCTCTGCAAGAAGTGCCAACGTCGGGGCTCCTCTGGAGCGAGAGTATCTGGCACCTCGAACCCCGGGCCCAGCGCAAGGCGCGCAGCTTGGAAGCCATCAAGAAGGTCGACAACGACCCGATCCTGTTCATAACCGTGGCGCGAATTTTCTGGGGCGAGCGGCGGCTAGAGAAGGCAATGACCTGGTTCGAGAAAGCAATTGTCTCGGACAGCGACTATGGCGATGGCTGGGCCTGGTACTACAAGTTCTTGATGCAGCATGGCACTGAAGAAAAACGGTCCGACGTCATCTCCAAATGCGTCACGACCGAACCGAAGCACGGCGAAGTATGGCAGTCTCTGGCCAAGGACCCGGCCAATGCGCACCAGTCGACCGAGGAGATTTTGAAGGCAGTTGCAAAAGCTATCGACTGACCAGCCAAGGCGTGTATTCTGTGGATGTATTCTTAACGGGCGTTTTTTTCTATGCTTATTTTTTGGTCGCTGAGATGCAAGCCAATATCAAAGATCTAGTCCTTTACGGAAATGTTTACTTCAAACAAATCAAATTCATGGGTATCGAATAAACTTGACCTCTTCATCAGAGACCATGTTGTTTTTTGGTCTTTTTTGGGGGGTGGGTTGTGAAAACCAACCCCCTTTCACCAGCGTCGCCGTGCCCGGCGAGTAGAGATACTATACAAACGAAGCCGAGGCGAGGGGAACAAAAAAAGACCTATCGCCAAAGAGCTCCAAAACCAGATGCAAAAAAAGCGCGACACCTCAAAACGGTGCCTCCCTTGACAGTTTCCGAGACGCCGTGACCCACCGTCCAGACCAAGAAAGAGAAATAAGAGAAACAAGTCATGTGGTGATGCGTTCCTGCTCGAATTGAACTGGAACGAGAGGCCCATAATCATGCGGCCATAGATAGACACTCGTCGAGCAACGAGGTTAACTGGTCTTGGTCTGCTGCTGCGATGTCACCGTCCCAGTCCGATGGGTATTCGTCGTCGTCCACATCCATCTCGTCCTCGGAGATCTTCGTCTCATGCGGTTCACCCACACCGTTCTCCAAGCGGTCTTGCTTTTCGGTCTCGAGTTCATCTTCAAAATATCCGCCCATAATCTGGTCTACGACCAGAGGCATATGTCCAAGAGACCCACTACCAAGCTCAAGCGATAACCGGAGATCTCTGACTCCCAACGGCCTGCGAAGACCCGCCTCTTTCGCCTCGACGGGTAGGAGACCTGTTGCGGTATCCTTAGTAATTTCGCCTCGAGTGTATGCAAGCTCCTCTCGCTCGAGTTGTTCCCGGTATTTGCGCATCATCATGCTGTTGATGGTACCCGAGGGGCCGTTGGATCGGGTGCGCGAAAACACCGCAGACAAAACTTCCTTCACAAAAGTCTCCGTCGCAATCGCCATGAGTTCCGCGCAAGGAAGAGCAGCCCCACTGGGCAAGGATTCCTCGTAGCAAATGGGGACCATCCGGGCGTGAATCGATTCGGCATCGGGGAACTCGCCAGTCTCTGAAGCGAGAGGTTGCGCATAGCGTTTTCGAATCTCCAACTCCCAGTCTGCATTTGAGCGCAATTGTTAGAGCCTCTCTTGGATTGAAGAAGTGGGGAGCGAAAACAATGTCTGGGTTGCGGAGACAGAGAGAGGGAGCAAAATCGTCTTACTGGTCTTGTTCAATCCACCTGCACTGGCAGGTACTTGACTGGGTAACTTGATCTGCTTGGCTAGGTGGTATTCCTCTAATTCGCTTGGTATTGCCTCGTTGGGATCGCGCTGGCAGTCGTTAGCATCCTATCTCCGTGTTGGATGTCGAGATCCTTAGTGGCAATACCTCCGGAAATTCCTTGATTCGCCGACGGTCTCTTGGGGGCAGTTGCATAACCTCCGTTTTGAGTCTTTGCTCCGCTGCATCCCCCGAGATCGGCTTGGATACCACCGAGGGCTTATCATTCGCTGATACCCAGTTTGCGACGCCATGGTCGGGAAGGTCTCGCGTGAGATTTCCGATCAGCGCGCACACAAAATTGTTATGAAGATGTTCTGTTTTCACATCGGCGCATATAATATGGTCGATTCGTGACGCGTATTCGCTCTGGTTGAAATGTCCTACAACCGACCAAGGTCAGGGAGGTCAGCAAGCGGATATCAAACTCTGCCGGGGGCAACAGCACCCCCAATAGGATTTGCATGGGAGCAATCGGTTAAGATAAATTCATGCGCAGTATATCTTACCTAGCAAGAAAAGAGCGGTAGATTCCTTGTACTCGGCCCACTTGTCTCCGATGGCGGCTTTCAGGTCGGTGTAGGCATGCTCCAAGTCGAGGCGCGGAATGGAGATCAAGGCCCGAGAGGCCTTGATGGTCGCGGAGGCATTGGGAGTAGCACTTTTGACCGAATTGGACGCCGCGTCAGTCCGGCTCAGGGCGGCCGGATCGATCTGCATGATGGTGTCGCAGAGGCGCGCAGGCCGAAGGGCAGGAGGGGACAGTTACGCCTTCATCAAGGGAGGAGACAGAAGGCACTAGACCAGAGAAGGCGGGGAAAATGATGGCATGGGAGAAGAGGATGGATTGATGGATAGTCGCGATGGCAGCGATGGCAGCGATGACAGAGGAAGAGAGGAAGGGAGTGGTTGGTGGTTCCCCGCCAGAAACGGCGACCTTCTGCACGGCGGCTCAGCAGTTTCGTGCGGGCAGACGATGACGATCCTCTTGTATCTTGGTTTATTATGGAATTGATTTCATATTTTACATCTACCTACAAATCCCTCAATTATCGGGTGTTGGAAAGCCATGAGGCCCTGGTGTCAGTGGGAAATCCGATCCTCAACGCGCCCCCATCTATGAGAACTACAAGGAATGGAATTACAGTCCCTGACCTGGGCAACATATGTACGTTCCGAGTTTTCTATGTAAGCTGGACTGCATCTTCGCTCAGCATCCCAAAAAGGCGCCCGATCTCAGCGATAATCTCCATGATTTCATTGGAAAGTTGACCAGTCACCAAAACTGCACAAAATCCAGTCAGCTCCAGATAGCCCAGGGAGTAGAAGAAATAAGTGGAAGAGGGAAAACCTACTGTAAGCATACAGCAGCGCACAGTCCTCGTCCGTGGTCTGCGAAGCGGCCTCATGGTCCTGACGATATCGATGGATGCGAGCGAGGAGCCGATCTCGCGCATGTTCGATGCTGGGAAGGACATCGCTCAGAGGATACTCGAGCTTCATGGATGAAGCCATCACTGTTGATGTGTTTAGCTTAGGTTACGACAAAGCAGACTGGGAGAGGCCTACCGGAGAGCAGATGGCTGATACGAGCAGATAACTGCTGCCGCTCTGTCGCGGTGTAGTTCAGAAGGCGCACTTCACCCTCAGTGGCGGTGACACTCTCCACCAGCTCGAGACTCATCGCATAGAAGGCATTCACCATTCTCCTGGTGCGGCGAATGATATTGGCATATGCGATGTCAGGAAATGTCCCTTTCAGCTCAAACTCGGAACGCGCGGAGGCATGCAGAGACTCCAGGCGGGACAAGAACCGTTCGATCTCCAGTTTCTCCTGTGGAGTCATATATGTGACAGGTTTTCCCTTCTGAGCCATGGTCGACAGCGGATCGCGCTTCCAGACCAGACTTAGTCGCAGCCAAAGCAGACTCAAGCTATCTTTCAATCGGCGCCGGGCACTGATCGGCCAAATCAGTCGAGTAATGATGATACCCCATATGCAACCGGACAGCACGGCCACAACACGATGGAGCGCAATCTCAGTGATGATGGGATTTTCACCCCCTTCATCTTCGTCCTCCTCGGCATCGTTCTGAGTGAGCGAGTAAGCGTACAGCACGGAGAGGTTGTAGGTCAGCATGATGAAACGACCCATTGGGCCATTTCCCCGAACAATGGTGATATAGGCGGTCCAGATTGCCATCAGCCATCCCATGAACGCGAGGCCATATACGTTGCCTGTCGAAGTGTACCAGGAAAAGATCGCGCAGACTGCTCCCAGACACGTCCCCAGAAAACGAGCATATCCCGTAGTGTTCGAGGCGCCAATGGTCATCGAACAGACCAGCATGTACGACAACAGGCCCCATTCGCCTCTCCAGAGCTGATAGAATGGTCGGGTATAAGGAAGGAAAGCAGGTAAGGCATATAAGGCGGCTCCGGTCCCAACCTTGATGGCGTATTTTGTATCGTCCCGTCGAAAGAACTCGAGAGACTTCCAAAGGCGGTACCCAAGTTTTCTCTGTGCCGTTGTAGTAACAGGGGTCCTATTGTCTGTGGGAAACCCGTTGGATACTTGTCGCTGTCGGGTGTCCTCTAAAACATGAGGATCAACGGAGGCTGATTCTGTGGAAGTTAGTTCTTAGTCCATGTGTCCAGCTATTCGCTGGTGATGAACATACCGGCATCCAAAGGATCTGACCGATGCTCCTCCGTGTTTTTCCACTGCCAAAACTTCATCCAAGCCCAGGATCGTCCCCCAGGTCGCTCTTCGATTTCGAGCTGCAGCTCGTCCAAAATAGCCAAGAGATCTTGTAGCTGCTCCCCAAACTCAAGAAGGGAAAAGCTGAAGTGGCCACAACTGGCCGATACTTCTTCCAAATCCGCCTCCGCTTCGTGGCTCTTGAACTTCATGGTTTCGGTTTGTCGATATAGTGATGATAGTGTCCTTTCTCGCGATTCCCGGTAAAGATCGAGTGCTCGATCAAGACTAGTACGAAGCCGACCATCAACCGAGACTTTGTAGGTTGGAGCCGGTCCGAATGGGACCTCCTTAAATATCTCCTTCAACGTAAACGCGAGCGAGCGCTGTTTTCCATCAGGTTCGGTTCTAGGCAAATTACAGGGCAATCCAACTTACCATCGATGGACCGAGATGACCGATGAAAATGGTGAACACATCCGCCGGAAGGAGTGCTGTCTTGGTAGCTGAACCAGGCGTCTCGTCTTCAGCAGAGGCGCGCACACCTCCATCCGGAGTCAAATTTTCCTCGGGTCGCTGGTGGATTGGCTCTCAAAAAGGACCCGTCGGGGAAGGACCACGACCGGTCAAGAGGCGCGAAAAAGTCGACAGGAGCGGAAGTGGCTTGCTGGTTACCAGATGAGCCCGATTCACGAGCGATGGTTTCGCGGATCAAACTGAACTGCAGACCGGCCGCACTGTGCAGCCCTCCCATGTTATGGGTGATATCTTGCACCCAGCGCACCAGTTTCTTCTCCAGTCGGTACTCTTTTTCGGTTCCCACGACATAATGCTCGAGCTTGGCTTCTCGCACCAGCTTGTCCAGCTGGCTGTAGGCCTTTCGATGTCTCGTTTCCGCATCAACAAATTCCGCTGATTGGAGTTCTGCTTCCGAACCACTCAAAAAGCTGTCTGTAATAATCGCAAGCATGACCGCTAAAGTGTCTGTGACTGTAACCAGGTTCGCACGAAGCTGCTTGCGCGCCGAAATCGGGAATATCAGGAATGACACGGCCATGGCGGCCACTACACCCATGCTGACCATTTTCAGAACTTGAAAGATTTTAGCTAGAGAAAGGTCACCGCTTTGTACCGCGCCCTCTTTAGTCAAGACGGTGATGGTGGAAAGTGCCGTAAGGGAACAGGCAACGTTCACCAGAGGATCACCAAGTCGCTGCTTGGTCCATCCGACAAAGCCGAGGCCGCCGCCGCAAAACACAATGAGAACAAGCACATGGCCGAGGACTGGAAGATCCAATGTGTCCTGGAAGAACATTTCAACGAACATGCTCGTGATGGACAGGAAGGCCGAATAGCAGAAAGCGAGAAACGCGCAGATCAGAGCCTTGAACATGCTCCCTTGAGAACGCGCCGGATGGAAATACACAGTAACCGTAGCCACCATGTGTTTGCCATCCTGATGGCCGAGTAGGGCAGCGATGCCAGGAATGAATGTAGCAAGGGAACCGAGCAGATAGGCCAAACTGCATTTCAAGACCCCAATGCCCGACTCCGAGGTGACGAATTGATGCACACGTTCCCATGCCTCTTGTGCCTGTACCGACAGTTTTGAACCAAACCCTTTCTGGCAGGTGTCAATCTCGCCCGTGAGCAGTCCGCGTCGTTCATCGTCTTCGTCATCGTAAGAGGTCGAGGGATCGGAGCCCCGGAGGTTTATCAGGCCTTTCAGACGTTGACCGGTTTGCGGGAGGACAAAGGTTGCTTGTCGCAGCTAGTAGCTCTGTTAGCCAGTCATTTATTTTCCACGTCGGGGCGTTTGGGCACTGGAGTGTTGTACACACCATGGGGCGTAAGAAGCGACGGGAGCTGCTTGAGCTTCCCGCCGTCGGCATTTTCCGGTTTGTCTCACGTCCGAACTTGGCGCGAGCTCACCGGGGGGAGGATCATGATACGAGAGGGACACACTTGCGTCCAGGTTGGAGATCAAGTCTGATCGGTCGATGGGGTGTGGTCCACAAGGTGTTGGCAGAGCGGGCCACAGCCACACCCCTCGCGCCACCGCGCACTTACAATGTCTACTTGCACTTTGTTCGATTTGCGACAGAAACAAAGAAGAGAGAAATACTACAGTTTCCAAGATTAATTTCACTCTATCACTCCTTCTTCCTTCATTTCAACCCTTCTACTTTCCACACCTTCACCGCGGCGTCGGCACCAGCCGAGGCGATCTTCGCGCTTCCGTCGATCCACGCGACACCGTTGACACCTTCCTTGTGGGCGTTCTTCACCTCAAGCCAGTCGCCCGGGTTTGCCAAACTCCAGACGAAGATGTTGGTGTCCAACGAGCCGCTCACCACGTGAGAACCGCTCTCATTCCAGGCTAGCGACGTAATTCGCGCCGTGTGCGCCGTCCACCGATCCGTGACCAGGCTGCCATCGGCAACGTTGAACACCAGGACACGTCCCCGTAGATCACCCACAGCCAAGAGCGAGGCGTCTGGGGAGAAAACCAGGGTGGAGATCTGATTGCGCGATGCGTTAATGTCAGTTCGAGGCGACAAGCCCGAACTGGAAATACCGCAGATCTGAACCGATCCATCCTCGCCTCCTACTGCCGCGATGGCACCATGAGCTGCCACCGTCGTGGCAGAAGATTTGTTTTTGTATTCTCCAGTCTTCTTGCCATCGTGGAAGATCTCAACGGCCTCTGTCGTGCCCACCAGCACGTTTGAATCTCCGGCGGCCACGCCCTTTGGTTGCCCGCTCAGTTTTGATGTACTACCAGTGTAGGTTTTGGCGTCGATATCAATGGAGCGGATTGTATCGTCCCAGCCGACACTGTAAATCCTACCAGCTCCCTCCGACGTCGGTGCAAGCCCGGAAATATAACCTGGATGGCCGTCGCCTTCGATCTCTTCGGCGGTACCACTGGCAACATCCCAGCTGCACACTCTTCCATCAAAGCTGCCTGTCCACAGGGTCTCGTTGCCATCCGTAGTAGACTGGTTCAAAGAAGTGATGTTCTTTTGGTGGCCTTGGATCACTTGTCGAGGCTTGGGAGTTCCCTCAACCAGGTAGTTCAAGTCTCCACTGAGGGATAAACTGATGAGCAAGTTGTCGCTTCTTCCAGGTGGCCACACCACACCGACTTGCTGGTCTCGGATGTTCATTGCGCCCTCCTCGCCAAGGGTCCAGCTCTGGGTTGTTTTGCCAGCTTCAACATCCCAAATCTTGACCGTTCGATCCGCGCTCGCGGTCACGAATTTCCTGGAGTCCTTGGACCAGGAGAGTCCAAAAATGCTTCCTTTGTGTTCCCCCTCACCGATCTGGCCCTTGGTTTCACCTGTTTTCCCGTCGTAGAGCCAGATCTTCCGGTCTGCGCCTACACTGGCCAAATTCGACCCATCTGGACTGAATCCCACACCGTAGATATAGTTGGAGTGCTTATCACCAATTCCCATGTTGAACTTGAAAGGAGCTCCGTGGTAGAAAACCAGCTTCTTGTCATCGCCAGCGGCAGCCGCCCGCAGAGGCCTCTGCGGCTTGATTGACACGGAGTTGATTTGCTGCGTATGGCCGTAAATTTCACCCACAGTATTTCCACTGTCCCAGGTAATACAGTGTCCATATCTTTGCTTCCCGTCCCCGACGGCGATGATGCGCTGGGAGTCCCCGTCCCAGGCCAAGTCATTGATTCGGCCATTGACGATGCTGTAGTCACCCTTGGTGATTCCTTCACCCACGCAATCCCACACTCTCACCGTACCGGTGGCATCACCACTGGCAACATAGAATCCAGAGGGGGCGAAACGAGCAACAGTCGTCTGTGCCTTGTGTTCAGTGTACTGCCTAGCGATTGCGGGGTTGTCGATGGAGCGCAGGAAGATGGATTTGTTCGCCTAGAAAAATTGCAGTGTCAGAAACAGCCAGTGACCAGCGAATATTTCTCAGGACTTACTGCATAAGCCAGTCGCTCACCCTTGGCGTCTGACGACAGCTGGGTGGGTTGGCCGCGGGTAGTGGAGGGGCTGGCGGCCCAAATGGACTCTGCTCAAATGTCAGCTTGAGAAAAGGCCAGAGGATTGGAAAGACGAACCGTTTGTGACTGACATGGTGAAGATGGGCACCAACGACAGAGAATGGTTCAGGGATAGGGAGGAGGAAGCAGGAAGATGTTTATGTCCTGACGTCGGGTCCGTCGTGGCGGGGGGGGGGGTCCACACAGCCAGCCCGCCCGGGTATACCAAGGCCTACGTGGACTATAAAGGCATCGGCCTTAGGGAAGTCCTGTAGATTTTGCAATCTAAAAGAAAGAGAGAGAGAGAGAGAGGGAAACAAAAATGAATTGTGCTGGGAATAGTAATACACGAAAAGGGGCCATTCAGTGAGCTGTACAACGCCGACATTCTCTTCATCAGTAACCGTCGATCATCCTCTTGAAGTCGGCCTTGAGAATTTCAGGGTGTCGGTGAACTGTAGGCAGGAGACCAACTCCTTCAGCTCTTCGAACCGCCTTGGCGAGTTTTCGCTGATTGACAGGCCGTAAACCGGTCTGGTTTCGGTGCTTAATACGACCCAACGGGGTCAGGAATTCGTTCAAAATGGCAACATTCTGCCCCAGAAACGAAGTATCAGTATTGGATCCTGGATGGTTTCTGCAAGAGAGAGAGACAGAGAGAGAGATACCTTGTATAGGTCTAAAGGGTTCAGGTTCAACGCATCGAAAGAGTCTCTGGTAGCAATTCCGCGCTTGCCCCATTTCTTCATCTCCACCGGGCTAAGGTCATGAGGAGAGTAAATGTCACCAGCCCTCCAATTGCGCGTCTGGAATTTCTCAAGAGCTCGGCTCTCGCCCTGAGCCTTCTGGTCTTGGAGGAATTTCAACCGGTTCGGGAGGCGGCGCCGATGCATGACCTTTGGGCCTGTTTTGGACCGTCAGTAATTTATTTAGTCCAAGGAATTTGACATGGTTTAAGCCCCATCTACGAAACCAATGAGATTGGCACAGGATCAGCGCTCCCGGGTCTTCCACTTACTCGGTGATGTAGCGCGTTGGGAAGTAAAGGCGCTCATAGCAGCAGTCGAGCTCCAGCGACATGTGTTGAGCACAGCATTTGGAGCGGCACGCAGCCACGAGGATGAAAGGAGATTCGGCATGGCTCTTGGTTGTTGTCAAAGGGAAGAGAGGGTCAACGCGGAAGCGGATCTTTTTTCGCGCCAAGACCACCGCCTCCGAAATCTCCAGCTTTCTACTCGCTTTGAACAGGACACCATCAAACATGCTGTGAAGGGCTCACTCCAAGACGACTTATTCGAAGGGAAAAAGACGAAAGAAATAGCATCCACTCAGCTGTGGCAGCTACATTGAAAAACTCCCTTGCCCACCATGCAGTCTCACCTCACCCGACGAGTGTTCAGGGCAATCCTCGACAGCGAACCGCTCTGTTTCTCCCAATGCCATCGCAATCGACTGCTGCATACGATATCCCCTGCCCGAGTACGGCCCTCCTTTCCTAGTCTCCACCATGTGTCACGACGCAGCCTCTTCGCCTTCAACATAACCCCGACAAACGAGGGAAAGCCGTCAACATTACCGTCCGAGAAAGGTCTGAAGCCTATGGCTGACCTGATGAGGTCGCTGGCAGACAAGAGCAGGGCCCCTCCAAACCATACTCTTGCCAAGGCATTCCAAGTTTTCTTTTCGACGCGTGTCGAAACGCCCAGTGTCATCAATGGCTTCCAAGCGCGACTCTTGATCGTCACATGGAAGCATCTCAAGGCCGAGCAAAACGAGATGGACGAAGTGGATTGGTACAATGTTTTCTCCACGGAAAACTTGGAAAAGATGCTTTACGTGCTCTCAGAATCGCAATGCCTCCCCGCATCCCGCGATGCCATCCAGAAGATCGCGCGCTTTGCCTTCCTCGAGCTCTGCGCGGACCATGGTTTTGGCCCCAATAAGATCGGTCGACAGGCACTTCTTCTCTACATCAATCTCCTGTCGATGAATGGCAACCCCGAAGAGGCCCGTCATGTCGTGTTGAAGTTTTGGAGTCAGTTGCGCAAGGTCAAGCCGTCGCCCTGGCTCACGGTCCTGAAAGGGTTTGCTCTCAAAGATGACCGAAGACAACTACGAAAAATCACCGAGGAATTTGAGACGCATGGCAACAAGTTCGATCAAGCATCTCATGAAGAGTTGCTCAAGATCCTTCTCGAGCAGAACTTGTTTGCGGCGGCACAGACCGTCTACGAATTTCCGATCTCTGAAAACTCCCAGCCATCGGTGGCTGCCAAGGAAGCCATGATCAAATCCGCTGTCCTAAAGTCCGAACTTGACTGGGCGAAACCCATTGTCGCCTCCCTCCCGCAAGATTCTACAGCGAAGACACTGGACATCTCTTTGCTTTGGGAAGCGGCACAGGGCAACAATGCATCTGCCCTGGCAGAAAAAACGGATTCATGGATTGTTGCGCATCCGAATTTCAAGGAGCAACTGAGCATTGCCACCGTGAACAATCTGCTTCAATATGCCAATGCCATTGAGAATCCTCAACTGGTCGCTGATTTTGCAAAGCTGGCCGATCGTTGGGATCTTAAGCCGAACAGCCAAACCTACTTGTTGCAGTTGGAATCTTACGTCCAAGCGGGGGATGTCGAACAGACGCTGGATATTCTGGAGGAGCGGATCGACCCCAACACCCTGCCCAGCGAGAACCTGCCACTCGCCAACAAACTCGTCACGATGCTTTGCCTGTCCAAGCAAAAAGATACTCTTTTCCAGCACATCTCGTCTCTTCTTGACCCACTTTTTGAGGAAAACGTGCGCCTGTACCCAGAGACTATCGCGGCTTTGACACGAATGCTCCTCTATCGTCACGACTGGGAGGCTGTGTCAGAGCTACTTCGCCCGCGTTTGAGCACGTATGATGATGAAGGAAAGACGCAAATCCGCAATGCGCTCGCAGACTTCATCCTGGATCTAACCCAGAGCGATTCAGATGTGTGGGGAATGTACAACCTTTTGAAGGTGGCATTTCCCGAGACGGGCGTCAGCGTGCGAACTGAAATTATGGCAACTTTTTTCAAGCGCAAGCGCAGTGATCTGGGCGTTCTGGTGTTTGGGCACATGCGCCAGGCGGAGGACCTGTCGCGCAGACCCAAGCCCGATACATACGCACGATGTTTCCAGGGCCTTGCACGCACGCACGATGAAAGTAATCTAGAGCTCGTGCATAACATGCTCAAGCTTGACCTGGAGGTGGATCTTAACACGCGAGTCTTGAACAGTCTGATGCTGGCCTATGCGGCTTGCGACATGCCGGAGAAAAGCATGACGGTGTTCCGGCAGATTCTCCAGTCAGACGAGGGACCTTCACACAAAACTATCGCCATCTTCTTCCGAGCGTGCGAAAAGTACCACAACGGTGCGCAGGAAGCCATGAAGATGATGGCCAAGGTGAAGAAGCTCGAGATCCCTGTGGATCGGCAACTCTATACTGCCTATATCGAGGCCATGGCGGCCCAGTGCGAATTCGAGCTGGCGACCGAGGCTATCGACCAGATGCAGGCGGAGATTGGGGCGGCTCCCACCCGCACGACGTAAGTTTGTCCTGTTCCTTGCAGAGTTGTGTGCGCGCTAATCTAACTGGACCGTTAGCATTGGGTTGTTCTATAATGCCATCCCCTACCAATACTGGAAGGACCAGGTGGAGGAGTGGGCGAGCAAGCAATATCCGGTACTGTGGGCGCAACTGGCCGAGACGCGGCGCAGCGAGCATGAGGAAGGACAGAAGTTCGATGGGATTGTCAACGACGTGTGGATCTAGAGGCGTAATATATGTACAGCTTTAGAAGGGGTACCAACCTCAACCTTTTTTTTTCTTAATATTTAAAGCTCGCAGTGCCAGGGAATTTTCTTAATCACTCAAGTATCCCTTTTCCTGATGTATCAGACCTTTCCTGGCTGCTGTATATGTCCAAAGATGATAAATTTGAATAACATACATTTTCCCAACACAAGAATATAGAGAATCTGATATTGGGATTAAGACAAGTATCATGAGACTCCATTTCAATGTGGAGTTGATGGATCGGCCCGTAAGCCTCGGAGGAAATGAATCCGAACAGAGCCCGGTTCTTATTATTCTTATTGTCCTTCTCCTCTCTCTCTCTCTCTGTTTCTCTTTCGTGATTTTCCTCAGAATCCATTTCCATCCATATAAACGCACACTTCTCTACAAAAACCACCCATAATGGCCTCCGGACTCATCCTCAACCCCATCCACCTCCTCCACATCGCGCCCCTAGCCACCAGCACAGGCAGTCTAGCGCACGCACTAGTAGAACTCACCACAACCTCCGCCTTCCTGTCCCCAAGCATCCGCAAGCAATCAGAGACTCTACTCCCGAACTGGTTCGACCAATTCTTCCGGCGAAGCGTGTGGTCAGTATTGACCTTGAACCTGGGGACGATCTCGACGACGGCGGCGACGCTGGTACTCAATCGTCGCAATCCGGCACTGCAGACCACCAGCTTCTACTGGGCTGGATTGGCGGGCGCCGTGGGCCATCTGCTGTTTGTCCCGTTGGTGGCGGGGCCGGTGCAGCGGATTGTGGAGGATTGCAGTAAGGGGAAGGCCTCGGTTGACTTGGAGCGGTGGGTAAGTGTGCACCGTATACGGATGCTGCTGGTGGATTTTCCTGCGTGGCTGGCGTTTGTGGGGGCAGTGTTGACGCTGTGAGATATGTTGATCTACTTGCCCACGAGCTGGGAATTTAGATTAGTATTGTATTCTAACTGAGATTCGATTTAACATTGACATTGCTAGAAGATACTAGAAAACTGGGCCTCGGTCTATAGGGGCTCAAATATTCTATCTACATGATTTGGGCAGATGGACTAGGGCCAGTACCTGGCAATATGAATTGTTCTTCTCAAGCTTCTATGCAGTACATCTCAATCACGCTCTACAGACTGAAAATCCCACTCCGCTTCTTTCCATGGGGATACACAATCAGCGCCGCAATGAACAGCCCAACTGAGATCCCAATCGCCGTCTGGATCATCCCATACCCAAGTGCCGTCAAGGAGCTGCCAGATGTGGCACTGGAAGTGGCATTGACGTTGCCAGATGCGACAGCCTCGGCATACGACAGCCCGGAAATAATGGAGCCACTGGATGCTAGACCTGAAGGAACCAGGGTGAAGATACCAGGGATGATAGCGGCGGCGGCATGGCCGTGCCACAGGCGGCTGTACAGGTTGGCCAGAAGCCCGATGGTGAAGGCACCCACGGTGTTGGCGACCTGGTTGGCGCCGAGTTTCTTGGTACTGAAGTAATTCGTCACATAGCCGCAGACGCCCATGAGAATGGTAACAGGGAGTTGTTTGGGCTTGGCCTGGTTGATGAGCGCCGCGAACAGACAGAACAGCGCCACGAACGGGAAACGCTGCGTGTACTCGCTGCCGTAGACATTCAGAGTCTCCGCAGGGCATTGCGCCTCTCGGGTGGCGTTAGGATCCATGAGGCCATAGATTGTGGTGCCTACCGTGACGCCGTAGCCGAGAAACAGCGAGTAGATGATAGTGAAGACCATCCGAATCGACCCGGCGTTCATCTGATGCGACTGTAACTCTAGACTGCTGCTGAGCACGGCGAACCCAGGCAGGATCATGGCGATGGACGATTGTGCCATAGCTGAAAAGCAAAAAACCCGCTGCCCGTGATGCTGAATGCTGCCAAATGCGCGCGCTAGGAACGAGGTCAAAACCGCGGCCGAAACCTCCAGCACGTTGGAATACGTGGCCGATGCCGGGGCGAGGACATGCTGCATGAATCCCACCAAACAACCCAGAATAAAAATTATCGGAAGGTCGATGGGGCGGGCAGAGAAAGAGTAGGGGCCGACGGCAACACTGGCCAGCCCGGTCAAAATAACTAGTAACCATTTGTTGTAGCGTGGCTTGCGCTGCATGATTTCGTCCAGCTGCTGGGTCGCTTCCTCCACTCCGATGACATCGTGCACCACGTTTTTGTACACATTGTGCGTCTCTGCCAGGCGGGACAGATCCAATCCCTGGACGACTCGAATAATCTTGACCTCAGCGGTGCGAGTCAAAGCGTCATCAAAAGACATGAACATGCAGCCTGGGATGTACAGGTACTGCGCCTTGATCTCGAGTACATTGGAGGTCATCGCCATGTACTCCTCCAACCGATGGGTCGGGGCCCCATACTTCATCAGCGCCCGGCAGAGCTGCATGATATACTGCTGTCGTGCCAGGATAGCTGCAATGTGCACCGTAAGCTTCACGTCCTTGGCACTCTTGCGCTTCTGCTTCTTTCGTTCCTTGGGAGAAATGGGTGTCGGTGCCATGGCCCCGGGGACCCCAACTCGGCCCATATCCATAGATGCTTGGACCAAGGAGGCCGTGTAGTGATGGTTCGACTTCCCGTTGTTCCCATTGTTGTACCACTTCACCTTCTCTTTTTTCCCAGTGGGCGTGGCCGTGCCAGGGGTGTTGGTGGGAATGGTCTCCGTTTCTGGGTCGGTCTCCGATGCTGTGGAAGCAACACTAATCCTGCTCGCTGCCCCCTGATTGTTGGCATAGACCCGAAGTAAATGGGAAAGCAGCCCGCCGCCATTTGGGGTCGTCGTCACTGTTCCGCTCTCGTCGGGGGTCGTCGTCCCGGAGCGAGGCTCTTCCATGAGCCGACTATGGGCATGTGGCTTGTGAGATTGCAAGCCCAACTGGTGGACCAAGAGTTGCGCCTGCGAGTCAGGGTCCCCTCCCATCAATCTTTGTTCTTCATCTTTGGTTTGACGGGCTGAGAAGCTTTCGATGTCATCAGTCGCCCCATACCATTCCGGCGACAGGCCAACGCCCAAGTCATCTGCCTCTCGTTCATGAGGGCGCCCCAGCTTCTCCGCAAGCGTGGCAGTCCGTTGCCGGATGCTTTGGCTCGCTGCCCTCCACCGCTGCGGGACAGTTGGCAAGCTGAGGCTTTCACTGGCTTCTTCGCGACAGAGCGTTGTCTCCGGGTTGGGGCTCTCGTTCCGATTATTGCCATGTTCCCCGTCTCGGTCCCTCTCGAAATCCTCCACAGAGGGCTGATGGGGGGAAGAAGAGGGTTCCTCCGGTAAGTTCGACATTCAGGGCCATTACACGGCAAAAGAAGACCTTGCCGGAAGTGACCGGAACTCACGAGTCGTTGATATTTCAAAGGGATGTTGTAGATGCCACAATTGATTCAGGATATGAGCCGGTGTCAGGCCATGACCTCGTACAATGCACGATGATCAGGGCGAGGGAAACCCCACAATTAGAGATTCTTCATATTAAAATGTGAATTTAGACAAAGGGCTCAGGGGGTTTTTCATCTTTGAAAGTGCGGAGAACCCGGCACCGAATACCGACTCTTCAGGACTTGGACCCACGTCGCTAACGCAGGTTGAGATCATGATGGATCCAGTCGAGACTATGACCGCGTCAGAACCCGGGACCGAAACGTGGGCCTCTTGCTGTTCCTAGATCTGGTTGTGTTGGCAATGTCTTGTTGGGGGGAACTGTGGAAGCTGTACGGGCCAGGAACAAAGCGAAGTCGAACTCAGGTACCGCCGATCAACCAAGCTTCTCCCTCCCACACTAACTCTCCCCACTACGTACACCACTTGCTCTCGGCTTGTTTTCATTCTTGCACTACACAGCTGTGGAAGGTGTCTACATATTCATTTTCTGACTGAGATATCTGTTGAAACTCGCTATTTCACTGGCCTCTATTTAGAGAGGGAAAATTCTCTTCTGGACCATGGGCCATCAATGCCTTGACATGGCTCTGTGCGCCATGGCTCGACCCACTTCACAGGAACAGTAGGAGGTGGGAGTATTCTTTGCCAGTCTCGACTGTGAATGAATTGCCCGGAAGGATTTGAAGGTATTCTTGATCTGGTTTGGCCATTGGACGATCGAGCACTGACGAGTCAAGCAAGCCCAGGACTCATATGCGGATTGCTTCCTTCCAGCCACTCACATAAACAAGAAACAACATCCGACAGGAATCGGCATCAATGGGTTCAAAAGGGCTGAGGCACGATGACTTTCCTCACTCGGTGAACACCTCGAGCGAGAGGTATTTCTTTGCACCAGTGAACCCCCCTGCCAAGCCACCCGGCGATCAGCGACATGTCCCCGCGTGGCAGTGCAACGCCCGACAGCTGCTGCTTGGTTGCAGTATATTGCGCGCTTGGACCAGTATATAGCTAAGGGGGGTGCATCCCTTGGCTTGGCCCATGAAGCACTCGCCATGCCGTATCAACCGCAGCTGCTCAAGTCCCCCGTTCACCCTATTGCACTGCGGCCATCCCACTTGCTCTCGCCTGCGCCTGATCGAGTCACCAACACGCCCACGACGCTTTCAATTACGCGCGAGACCTCCGGGCGCGATTTCATGATTCACCTGATCCATACCCACGAGCCACTCTCGAGTCCGCGGCGGCGATCGATTCTCTTCACTGTCGCGGGTAAGATTCCCAGTGCCTCGCTGCAGCGCCAGATCCGAGATGCGTCCGGATTACCATTGCTGGACTTGAAACGCGCCAAATGGCGGCGGCAATGGTCGGTGACGCTCCCGGGGGGAGCGGGAGCAGAACTGCTCTTCGCGGAAATGCCGTGGATAGGGATGAAAATGGATGTGCACTGTCTCAATGCCCTGGCAGGGGTTCGGCCAGAGGAGCCTCAATATCAGAACCCTCATGAACCCGAACCTCCCCCGCCATATAGTGCCGCCGCCACCAACAATAACCATTCCAACGAGCAGAGAAGAACGGACGCTTCGAGAAACCAACCACAGGCCCCCTCATACTACAATTCCACTCCCAGCTCTGGTGATTCATCGCAGAATCAAAGCGGTACTACGAGGCCTAATACCAAGGAACCGGCACTAGCACCGCGCTCATTGCCATCCCCTCCCCAGGGATCTGGGTCAGACAGTCCCCCGGATCCCAAAATTGAATTGAAGGTGGTGCCACAGAGTGGGACCATCACGGCGGTGATGATGGGAGATCGGAAGGTCGTTCATATTCGTCAGGATAATGTAATGGGCCGGACGACAACGTCCAAAGCACAGTGGGAGTTGCAGGTTGCCGAGGGGGTGGACTTGCTGCTGGTTAGTTCTCTCTCTCTCTATTTTAATTCCCAACATCTTTCATATTCTGTCTGACTCGTTCCCAGGCAGTGAGCATCACCCTGATCCTATCAGAGTTTGTTCCCCAGTCTTAGAGATGAATCCATAGACCAGATACCTTCTACCTCAATTAATTTTTATATGGACCTTTCGTGTCAATCTACAGCTACAAGACAAAAGAATTGGAAGATTTCAACCAGGTGAGAAATCAAAAACTTTTCTAAACCATACATTCGTCATGGAACCAATGGATGTAGTTCCGCATTAAGTATACTCTGGCATCGCACTCCGTTCATGGCGGGTAGAGCCAAAAGTTTCCGTGGAAAAAGGCGGGAAAGAGTAAAGAACAAGAAAACAAAAACAAAATGGCGTGTCTCGATTACTACTGTCCGATCTTGGACAGGCGCTTGGTCATGCTGTAAGAAGTGTAAGGTTAGCAGCTTTCAGGGGGGGGGGGGGGGTTATTGATAAGGGGTATACGCACAAGTCAAAGAAGGAAAATTGGCTCGGGTTGTTGCCATACTCGTACACGAAGCGACTGGCCAAGTGGCTACCAAAGATGGCGCGCAGGTAGTTCTCCGGAACCTGAGTGATGGTCAGTACGATTCCCACTGAATGGCGAAATGGTGCTAAAACAAAACAAAAAAGAAAAGACATACACGCTCCAAGATAGTGTCAAGACCAATCTTGTCCAACAACAGACGAGGCAGGGCATCACCCAGAACCGAACGGCGCAAGGCAACGTTGTCCCAGAGCTCGGTCTGCTGGAGCTCCTCGTCGAGCTTGGTGATAGCCACACTGAGGCGGTCACTCAGCACGCTGCGCAGCACACCGGTCTGTTCATGCTCGCGCCAGATGGCTTCGAACTCCAGGGTGGCATTCTGCTTGATGACTTCCTGCACTTCTTTGACGTAGGCCTGGTAGAAGTCGGGGACAGCACCGTCCTCGCGGATGCACATGTTCTCGACGAACTCGGAGTCGTTGAAGGACAGCGAGGCCAGCACCTCCAGCGAAGAGGAAGTCACACCACCCTTGTTGGCCGAGGCGTCCTTGAACAAGATGCAGCCAGCCTTCTCCAAGCGCAGCTTGCTGTCCTGGGTGATAAACAGATTGGCACCCTCCACGATGTAGGGCACGACACTCTTGTTGTCCTGGATGAGCTTGCCGACTGTGGAAAGGTCAATGGACTCGGGTCGGCCACCACAGGGCACGAACACATCGAACTTCTCGTGGTGGCGGAGGTGGAATGTGTTGCGGAAGATCATGCCGTTGTGGATGACCTCGCCACTGGGCAGCTTGACGTTCTTCTCGTCAACCAGCACACGGTAGCCTTCCGGCGACAGCTTCGACAGGTCGAACTCGGAAATCATGGAGCGCTTCTTGGCCAAGCGGATCAACTCCTCGTGGTTCAGACCTTGCGGGTCGACAATCACACCGGAACCATCCACGATGGCCGCGTACTTCTCGTTGGAAAGCAGGATCTCGTTGGATCCGAGGTCACCGTCGGGACCACCGGTCTGCAGCTTGTGCATGGTGGACGGATCAATGTTCAGCTTACGGTAGATGCCAAGCACGTACTGGCGCACCGACAGGGTGGTCATGCCGTAGGTATCGTGGGGGATACCACCCAGCTTGGGGCTCTTGCCAGTGAAGAAGGACTTCCACCAGGGGGCACCACGGCTGCGGGCGTGCTCAGTGGCCCAGTTGACGAGTTCGGCGGTATTCTCGTCCGGCCCCATAAAGAGGATCTCATCCTTGCCGTGCAGGTCCACAATTGGGTCCTTGATTCCAGGGCTGACCGGCGGCAGAAGCAGATCGAGGATACTGTCAATGTACTTCTCGAAGGCGACCTGCGCCTTGTCCTGGTGCTCCACATCCAAGAGGATGACACCCTTGGCACCGCCCTCGGGAATATCCTTGTTCTTGCGTTGTTGCGTGTTGGCCAGGTTGTAGTTCTCATCGAAGAGCGAGCGAGCGTTGATGCTGTACGCCTCCTTGTTCCGACTTTTGACGATTCGGATACCTCCACGGGCAATATCACGGAATCGCAAGTGGAATCCACGGAATTCAGAGCTGATGACCAGGAACATACCGTACAGGGGCTGGGGGTATTCGTGCTCCGGCAAGAAGTCCGGCTTCAAGCGGAAGCTCAGGGCGACCTTGGTCGGAGTGAAGAAGTTGGTCTTGAGGATCGACGAGTTAAACACGCGGAACGAGGTCATGACCATCTCGTCGTGCTCGTTGACTGCGGTGCTCCGGATCAGCTGCTTGAGCTTCGCTCCATCCAGGACCTCGTCCACCTGGAGACGCAGGTAACTCAGCGTGGGCAGGAAGTCATCCCCGGTGGGACCCTGGGTCTGCACATAGTGGGTGTTGGCGAAATCCAAGTAGAGCTTGTGGATCAACTCGGGGTACTTGTTGATGATCTCAAAGATGTAGTCGGCCGTGAAGGTCTCGGTACGCAGACGCTTCTTGATCTTGGACAGCAGCTCTGCGTGGACACTGTTGTTGCTGTCCAGAAGGGCCGACAGTGAAATGTACTCCGAGCCCAACCGGTTCAAGAACTGCTGCACAAACACCCACGCACAGTGAGCGTAGATGGTTTCCTGCAAACTGAGCCGCCCTGTGGCAAAGTGGCCCTGGAATCGGTTCTGCGGGATGCAGTAGAGAAGCGAAGTCTCCTTCATGATCTGGTGAATGGCTGCCTCAATGGGCGGGTACTTGGTGGCAATCTCAACCTTGTCGGAGGGACGGAGGTAGAGCGAAATGACGGTAATCCCGTTGGAGAAGTTCTCCAGGTACTTGCGCGAGCTGGTCAGGCGGTAGTAGTGGTACAGATCCGACAGCGCGCTGAACAGACCCATGGCCGAGCCCTGCTGGTAAGCCATGACCAGGCGCTTCTCACGGCTGCCCTCGATCTCGAACATTTCAATGACCGGACCTTTGCGGTTGACGGCCGTCGTGATGATTTCCTGGTAGAGGGCTTTGGTGTTGGGCGTGGCCTTTTGCAGGAAGCGCTTCTCGCCAATGACGTCGATGTTGGTCTCGTTCGGCGACGGGTTGGGGTTGGCGAATTGGCACTTGTACACAAAGTAACAGCGGAGCTGCTGCTCGTTGTCACCCGGCAAGGTGGTGGGCGAGCGGAAGGTCTCGACACGGTAGCTGTTCGCACCACTGGAGTTGTTGATGTACTTCTCGTCGATGCGCTGCTCGTAGCGCGGCCCATCGACGGACGAGATGCCGGGCTTGCTAGTGTCGATGTAGACGGCATGGTCCTCGGCCTCCTTGTCCAGCCGGATCTCCAGCTTCTTGTCATCGCGAGCGTAGGCGGCAACCTTGGCAGCATAGAGGGAGAGGATCTGCGTCACAATGGCGTCCACAGACTCGGTCTGGAAGTAGGTGTCGTCGATCCCCAGCATGTTGTAGAACCAGGTGGTTTCGGAGACGACGAAGTCACTGGGAAAGAAGCCCTTCGCCTCCAATTGATCCATCACTGCGGGGGGATTAGTCTGACATTCTTTCTGTCAAATTACAGCAGAGTGTCCTGACCTTGCTCCATCTGCTTCTGTTTGCCCTCAAACTTGGCCGCAATGTAGCCCGGGTCCTCCTCGGACAGCACGCGGTGGTGCGGGCTGCCGGGGATACCCAAATGTGTCGGCTGCGGCGAGGGTTGGCGCGCATTGCCCACCACATGGTCCAGATGCTTGTTGTGCGGATAGCGCTGGAAGCCGATGGGGGTGCCGGTGCCGGAGCTCCCGTCCTGGCTGGAGAACAGCTTAGGCTGGGGTCGGGAGGGCAACCCATTGGAGGTCTCCGAGACAGGAGTTGACGAGGGAATGGGAGAGGACATGGTGAGACGGGTGAAGAGAGGAGAAAAGTGAAAAGAAAAGAAAAGGACACTCGTTACGAGCAATCGAGAATATAAAGAAAGCTGCGACCCGGTTAGCAAGGTGGGGCCCTTATCTTCCTCAACGCCCGGATCCAAATTCCTGCGATAAGGAAGGCAGGAGATTCTTTTTTTTCTTCTTCTTCTTCTTCTTTTTCACTTACTAGAAATAGAACCTCTTGGTCGCCATGGACTGAGAGAGCAATGTTTGGATATCCTCGAATCCGGGGAATCCCCTCTTCTTATATAGTCCGGTCGTTTCCAAGGTTGCCGATGCTAGGCGGGTCTCGAAGTCTTGATCATCGTATTATTCTTGTCTTCTTGCTATTCTTTGACTAAGACTCCGAGACACGCCACGCTGATTGGAGATTATCGCCCCCTTCTTCCGAGTAAAGAAAAAACGAAAAATCCTGCGTCATGTGGGCCGAAAATAGGCACGGCTTTTATAGCATTAATTGCCTCATGTTCTGGGCCCGAATGGCGGTGCGTATACTACAGCGTTCTGTATCCACAGAGCAACACAATTGGTCTTCATTTTTCATGGCTTCAATCTCTCAGGCAAATGAGGTGATTTTGGTCGAACATCGTGGAATGCAATGTGTCATCGCCGAATCCACACGGTACTCCGGGTGTAAATGCCTCAACCCGTTCTTCTTATTCGTCTTCTTTTGCGCGATCGTCCACCAGCCCTACTGCAACCAGACGAAGAGTGGACCGCTACGGCCAGTCCGGGGGATTGTCGCCGAGAGTTTGTTCATGTTGTGGACTGTCCCCCGGGCCGGCCAACAGAGACTCCAACCGGAGAGGCATTTGGTACCTGAATCGAGTTGCGGGGTATCTAGGGCAGTGGTCTCAGCCACAAAATGGCTCATTGACCCCAACGCCTCTCAGGATTTGAGTGGAATTTGGTTTCATGCGCGCCATCATCCAAGCGGGGCCTTTACGTGATGGCGCCGAGGGAGGGGGGCCATCAGACCCGGCAACACGCGCGACGATTGGAAGACACTTCCGACGATGAGGTCAGCACGGCCCAAGGGGAAAGGATGTTCCGGGTTGACGTAATCCGTGGATCCGGAGTGCCTCAGGCAGAGTCTGGCCCAACCGTGGAACGTTTCTGGAGAAAGCAAACGTGGGAGGTCCGGGACATCAAGTCCACGTCACTTGAACTTTGACATTGCAGATGCCCAGCATGTCTGCAGGAGAGAACAACAGGGAAGAGAGAAAGAGAGAGCCCAATTTGATATCGCTGGTCGGCTGACAGACACCGTGTTCACCCCGGGTTGGGGGCCTCTCAAATCTAGGTCAGGAGGATTGAACAAAACCAAGGCTTTGGGTCGATTGATCAAGGGACTTCCCTGGATACGCAGTCATTCAGGTGATATGCCCATACGCCAGTTCCCCAGAAGCCAGGCGTGTCATCAACATGAGGCCAAGCCAGCGGTGAAGGGAAGTCAGGTCAGCCAGCCTGGTCGGACCCGAATGCCTCTTGCATTTCATATTCCGGGGAAGCCTTTCCGCGCCAGCATTCCCCGAGGAATGTTGCAGCGACCCGAGTCCCAGGAAATCTGGAAATCCGGAGATCTGGAGAGTATGGTATGGCATTCTCCCCCTTTTTTTTTCCCTTCCCCCAGAGTGGAGTGCATTACATTGAAATAGTCCCGTTGGAGTGCAAACTATGTGGCACCCCTTGAATCCGGGGAAGTATCCCCGGTCGATCCCCAAGGACCCCGTGAATATCGAAAAAGAAAAAAAAAAGAACGAAACCCCCCCCCAAAAGAAAAAAGGACCTGGAACTATCGGAACATTAACATGAATCGCATCCTTTCCACAGCCATGCCAAATTGGGCGCTGAAATGGATTGCGGTGGATGTGTGCCCCAGACAGTTTTCGGCCCCTGGCGTGCTCCACTCTTATATCTCCTATCTCTTCTTTTTCTCTCTTCCTTTTTCTCTTTCCCAGGGACTGTTCAGCAAAGAAAGGGAGCCGTGTGGCTGGTCAATATATGTCCTGGATACTATACAGGACGCGAGGATCTTCACCACCTCAACCCAAAGCTCCTCTCCCTTTCTCCCTCCCTTCTCAAACTCAACACCAAAACGCGGAGAAGTGTATATGCGGCCAGCCCGACAGTCTGGTTGTTGGGTCCAATTTTTTTGTTCGAGAAAATCCAGGAGGATCGCCGCATCCTCATGCCGAGGCTCTCGCCGTGCCCCGGGATAGCTGGGGCCATTGGGTCTCTTTTTCTTTCCCAAGAAGTGCGCTAGGAGCCTTGCCGATGCAGCCGGCTCTCCTGCCCGGTTCCCCGTGGTCCTTTCATGGTCCTTCTGGGGGGGCAACTAGCTTCTAAAAGAAAAATAAAACTGATCCATCAATTCTAGTCTTTTTTCCCTTTTTTCCCCACTAACGCGTAATTTCGGGAATTGTAAGGGGAATGCCCTATCTCTTATCCCTACCGAGCAAAGTCCGGTTGGATCGAAGAGAATGAGGCGCCTGTCTTGGCAGATAGGGATATCTGGGGCCTGGGCGTTTGGGCACTTCCTCAGGCAGTTCCTTTTATTGTATTTGTATTATTTATTATTTATTATTTATTTATTTTGAGGCTGATTATTAACTCCCAGAAACAAGTATAACTAGCCAGACCACCCAGTCCTGGTGGAAGTGATTTTTGCTCCTCTATCTATACTCACAAACACGCCTTACTCTCGCCTCGAACCTCCTTATTATTGATCAACTCTTTACTTCCACCTTGCTCTGGTTGATATTTTCACTCCAGAACTTTCTGTTCTATCTCTATTACATCACCCATCCTGACTCGGGTCTTCTCTTCCATGTGAGTTGCCTATATCGCCTCCCAGCTCCGATACTCGGGCAGTCCCGGAGGAAACTATATACGGCATTCATTCACACACACGCATCAATCACTAACACAGACAAATAGCTCTTCATAGAAAACCTCCCCAAGGCCAAAGCTCCCTCTCTCCGTCTCTACCGAGGTACAACCCGTCAACCAACAACGGACCACATACAAATACTTTCCCCATCCCATCCCATTCACTCTCTCTTCTCTCTCTTCTTCCAATCCACAACTATTACTATTCTCAACACTATGGCCTCCACAACCTGCAAAACCAGCATCCCGGCCTCCATCGCCCCCACCAGCACCTTCACCCAGGACATCTCCCGCGCCATCATGACCGCCGCGCACGAAAAGCCCGCTAAGCTGCGCGCCAACATCATCGACGGCATGCCTCCTGCGCCGCCGCCCTCGCCCGTCTCGTTTGCCGTGGACCGCAAGGTGCCCGGAAAGATTGACCGCGAGAACATCCCGAACCTCAACCTCGAGTGAATGACTCTCTTTTACAATCTTTCTTGTACCACCATTTTCCAACTTTATCTCCTTATTCATCGGGACTTATCTGGGCCTTGCTGCCTGAGAAGAGCTTCAACTTGAATGATTGCGGTTTTCTACATATCACATACCCTTCGTGACTGTGATTTGGTTTCGATTCAGCGTGCATGGCGGCGTGGGCATCTTTTTCTCAACTTGTTTTATTTCCTGGGATATCGGTCTACACAAAATTCTCGGAGTTTGGGTTTCTTTCTAAGGTTTTGTTCTTTGTATTGGACGAATAATCAAGATGTGATCCTTGGCCATACATCTACTTCTAACTTGTATTCAAGAGGAATCTTGTAGTTGTGGATGGTATCTTGTAATTGAAAGATAAGGTACCTGCAAGTCCTTCGATCAATCCTCCTGCAGCCAAGTCCCAACGTTTTAGATGCATGTGGGCCGTCGATCACGACGTCACAGACAAAAAGTTGCCATCGATATCCTCGGTGTGAACACAGGATTCCACGGGGCAACAGTGCCGGTGGCACAGCCGGCAACTGGGTAGTCGCACAAGGCTCAAAAATAAAAGATGATCTGGAGGATTGGTAGCCAAGAGATACAGCATGTGTACAAGGACATCGAAGCAATAAAATGACGTGACCAGGTCAGAAAGGGAAAAACAAGTTCATCTCAACATGTGGAAGCGCGCCAATAATCCAAGACTCAGCGCGTCGTTCGCGAACACCTGGGTGGGGCAGGATTGATGCCCCGTTGATCCTGCGGGCTTTTTTTTTGGGCGCCCGCGATCCTGAGGTGTCTTGGAGCCGCGTGAAAATCACTGCAGAGATTTTCTTTTCTTCTTTGAAGCTGTGTACGCTCGGCCGGCCCTCGGTTCTAATAGTACACGTGACAGCGCGACTCGGCTATGAAGTCATACCGGAATTGCTTCGGTTCGGGATTTCGGGAGGATAGTGACCAACTCTAGTCAGCCCAGAGTCGAGGCGGTGGAGATCTCATTTTCTGGGATATTGACATCTTCAGTGTCGATCCACCTACTCAAGATGGAGACTGACTCTCCCGGGCGGAGAGAGATGCCGATTCATGCGGGTTGGTGTCTTGAGTAAGTTGGTCAAGAGCCCTCCAAGCCTCCATGTCGCCCCGGGACGCCCGCTCGTTGAGTCGCTGGATTTCTGCGATCTGCGCCTCGGTTTTGGCCCAGCCACCCAGTCGCTCTGTAACATTCACATTGCGCCGTGCGCTCACAATCGTGCGCACCTGATCCGTCTCGCCCTTGTCAGCTTTAATGCTTTGGAGCCGCTGGATGAACTGCGCCTGGTGTGTCGGCCCTGCTCCTCGACGAGGGATCCCAGCTGCCGGAGAGTGCATCGTCTCGGCAGGAGCAGAGCTGGCATTGGTTTCACCAGCGTCCTGGACCAATCCCGGGCCAGAGCTGGAGGTGATGTTCGCCTTGCGACCAAGGATCTTGACGCTGTTGGCGGCAACTAGCTCAAATGCCGGACCCTGCTGCAGAGGTGGAGTGGGGTGGTCTGTGTCCGGGTCTGAGTCGGGATGGGCAAAGACTAATTCGGTGCCGATCTGATTGGCCCAAGAGCAACTGAAGATTTGGTTGTAGTATGAGACGATCGGGTTGCACGTGTGGAGGCCGAGGATCTGGATTCGCTCGCTGGGCAGAGCCTGTGTCTCTGCACTGTCGAGAGGCGTGAAGGCATCGGTGCTCGGATTGGCATTTGGATTCCCTTCTGCAAGGGCGGATATCTCGTCGGTCTGCTGTGCAGGGTCCTGGCGACGACGGGGCGGTCGCACCGGTCCGTGGTGGGATGACAGGTCCAGGTTCAGGTAGAAGGTCTAGCGATGCGGGTCAGTCGTGCACTTCGAAGATACACGGAGGGCAAAGCAGCTGTTACATACCTCTGTTTCATCTGCATGATACTCGTATTCATATTCATCCCCATCCGAGTCCATATCGATGCCGAGGGGATCCATAGTCCATGATTTGGATGATGTCGAAGGATGGAAGCTCAAGAGCTTGGGATGAGTCAGCGCCCACAAGCGGTCCACGTGAGGCCGGATGCAGTTAAATCAACACTTTGGAGGGAGCATGGGAAGAATTGGCCATGGGATGATAAATATGATATTTGGGCGTTTATGGCATGGTCATTCAGTGGAGACATGTTTATAAAATTCATCATGACTCGGGGAATGAGCAATTGGGTAGTCCACACAACGTTGCGACTCTATACATCCATAGGCCCTTGGGGACGATGTGCAAGGTCGGGGTTTTAGCCTTATCGAGACAGAGCCTCCCCCTCTTCCACCTTTCAACCCTCCACAATCAACCCTCTCACACAATGGCCAGGACATCATGGATTTGTAAGTTGATCTCCGTGTCTTTCGGCATTGTCGGCATGATGTAGTGGCAAACAGCATCCATCGCATCCGGCTTGGCCATCGGTGGCCCTGCATTGTTGCACGTTCCCGGTGTCTCGCCCTGACTTGTTCGAGAACCCTTTTTTGGCTTCAATTTTGGGTGTCCCTTTTTTTCCGCTCACGGGATATGCTTGCTGGGCTCGGTAACCCCGGTCTTGCTAACAATGGCTTCTTATAGGCCTCTTCCCCGTCCTGCTGTGTGCCCTCATACTTCCCCTCGTTGCTTCTCGTCCTACTCCAATAGACCCTGCGGAATGCTCAACTACTCTGTCTCATTGTATTGACCATCCGGCATCCCCCGGAATTAACGAGGCCGACCTCGCCGTCCATGAGCCTTTAAACGATCGGTCCACCTTGTCCCTCTATACCGATTCCTTCACGCAGATGACGCGGAAGGCCAAGGCTACAATTACGGTGCTGTCCACGTTGATCGCATATATATCCATTAACAGCATAGCCCACGTACTCAAGCCGTCCGCCTTTGTCTGGTATGAAGAGGATCGAGACGAGCGGAGCTGGATCGCCAGCTCCCGCTCGTGGCTGGACCGCAAAGCCTGTCGATGGCTCGGGATCTGCGGCGCTGCTCATTTCCAAATGGCTGGTGCTCCTTTTGGACATCGCGAACCAGCCGCGTGGTCGGCCGATGCCGAGCCGGAGGCGCCCTGGCGGTCTTTCTGGTTCAGTGGGGCCAATCAATCTGAGTGGGATGCCGACGAGCGGGCTCGGCGCCAGATCCCCGGATATGTCTTTGAATATGCCCCACTTGTCCACCTTTATTCGGGCGAGCAGTTCTGGCCCGGGGATATCGCAGAGCATTTATATCATACCACCCCGACGCTAAATTACACCCCAATCCAGGCGCGGTGGGATCACCCGACTTTGCGCGACTTGGACGGGCTGAACCAGTGGGAAAATGGGAGACATGTGTTTTTGACCAGCAACGACGATGTGCAGACTCGCCCGCCCTGGTTGGAGGGCGAGAAGAACATCCCGCGAACAGAAGAAGGTCGCATGCAGGAGTCATGGGCCGATTGGGATAGCCGAGTCGATGGAGAACCCCCCGATGATACCGAGGAGAATCGCGCCCAATGGTTTGATCTGAATAACCCACCAGATCAAGATGCTACATCTGAACACGACACACCCTCTACCGAAGAATCTTTACGAGCACAGGAGGCTCTGAAAGAGGAGCTGCGGAGGAGATACGGCGGCAAGCCAGTTCGCTCAGAAGGTGCCGAGGGTCGCAGTGATGCCCCTGCGGTCTTGCTGGTGATGGATAAAGGGAACGGGGTCGTGGACGCTTTTTGGTTCTATTTCTACAGCTTCAACCTCGGCAACACGGTTGTGAATGTGCGCTTTGGCAACCATGTTGGTGACTGGGAGCATTGCCTCGTCCGATTTCATCATGGCAAGCCCAAGGCGCTCTTCTTTAGTGCCCACCAGGGTGGAGATGCCTACAGTTATGAAGCGGTTGAGAAGATCGGGCAACGGGTAAGTTGATCGGTTGATTCGAGCGAAGTTCTCGGTATAAAACCTCGCTAACCCAGTCTTGACAGCCCGTCATCTACTCCGCCGAGGGCAGCCATGCCATGTATGCCACGGCCGGAGTTCATGAGTACATCCTTCCATGGGGACTCCTGCATGATGTGACTGATCGTGGTCCACTGTGGGACCCATTGCTCAACTCGCACGCGTATACTTATGATTTTGCCCAAGACACCTTGCGCGCGTCTACCTTCAGCCCTCAAGCCCCTACTGAATGGTTCTATTTCAAAGGCCACTGGGGTGACAAGTTCTACCCGCTGGGCGATTCGCGCCAGTACAGGTTTGCCGGTCAATACCACTACGTGAACGGACCCATCGGACCGCACTTTAAGCATCTCAATCGCCGTAAAGTTTGCCAAGGCCCGGACCGTTCCCCTTGCACGATCAGAAATTGGACTGGAGAAAAGAAGCGCGCCCGGCGATGGGAGACCGTCGGTCCAGGGGAGTAATCGCTCTCCCTCTCTATCCGCTCCTATATATTGATGACATGTCACTGAGTGACTCCCACGAACTTGCTTTTACTGCGTTTGCTTCTACACATACCCCCTCTGCTACTACAGGTCTGAGCCCAAGACTGGGTTGGCATCATCAGCCGACCCGGGATTTTGTCGAAAGCCCGATTTGATGAACGAGACCATGGCCCCGACTTTGATTTGACACGATTCTGCTGGATAAACATCTGGGACCGGCGCATAGTTCTGGTTTCTTTCACGATTCCTTAAGTGTTTGGCGTTGGCTGCATGCTCCTGCTCCTCTCTTTTATATACCAGGTTTGATTTTGGTGTCTCTTGTCATGATTTTCAAGGATTCCCACTCTTTAGAAACCCCCGTTTACGAAAACCCCTGCAAATACAATTCTCCTTTTGATGATAGAAATCTCAGCCGACCTCTTTCGGGAGGGTTGGTATTCTATATGATAATAGCTCTATTCTTCTTGAAATTGGCAGGTGCTGGCCCTCTCTTGTTCTATGGGCCCCGTCATGGACGTATCCTGCAGGCCCATCTCGACAATTCCCGAGCCTCGCGTGTCTACTTTGTCAAGAAGGCTGATACCCCCCTTCGGCCTTTTTATTTGGTACTATGCCTGCTAGCCTGAAGCTGTTCCAAAACTCGAATTCTAAAGTGACACGGAGGATGCACTTGTTCAGACTTCCGAGCGTGTCCTCTTAGGTATCATCTACACTCGGCTGATCAAGATGGCATGATTCGCTATCTACTTGGCCACAGGGCGGCATCCTCGCCCCAGCCTCTAACAAGACAGGTTGGTCTGCAATCCCACATATCATATACAGCATGAAGAGGGCCAGTCAATTCAAACAAGTGAATTAAATGACCAAGGAGAAACAAAAGACACTTTCAGGTTCACAATATCGAGTTCATCCCCGGATCTCCCAAAGTCGGATCCGTCCTTGTTCATTAGCCACAGCCAACTGCTCTGAATTGGGAGAGATGGCCACCGATGAGATGCGGCCAAACGGTGTGTTAGAGGTAGGCCAGTTGCGGTATACTGTGCAAGAGGGGAGGTGAACTATAATCAACAAGGGTTAGCATCAGCATGGATACGCGGCAAAGATGACCACAAGACAAATTGTGCACATACCAAGTCGAAGAGCATCGCGCTTCCACCGACTACCCATGGCCAGCATCTGGCCATCGGGCGCAAAGACCAAGTGACTGATCGGGGTAGTGAGCTGGTCCAAGGCGCGCACGGGGGTCGGGTTGCGCGGGATACCAGACTGAGCGGGGCCGTTCCTCTCGGCGGACGAGGCATTCGCATAGGCGGCAGCCCACTCACGGCGGTCATAGACGTTGACGATGCCGCTGGAGCTACCGATGGCAACCCAGCGGTCCCCGCCGAGCTGGGTGCGGCCTGAGCGGCCGCCCAGGCTGAGAACGGTCGTACCGACAGCGCCGGCGTCCAGCCAGCGAGCGACAACCCGGCGCTGGCGCCCCTCCCATTCGGATACCTCGCCGTTCTTGCTGACCACCGTCAAGCCCTCGCCGTCGGACCACCACGCGAAGTCGGCCACACCACCGCGGCCGTCCACGCGCACCTGGGCGATCCACTGCGCCGTCCCGGCATTCAGGACGTTGACGAGACCGCCGCCCTTGCGCGAGCTACCGACAAACCCCACGTACCGCCCGCACGGAGAGAGCTTGAATCGTTCCATGGATTTCTGCTCCTCCTTTCGGTCTGCCGTCACGTTAACCTTGTCCACCTTCCCTGTGTCGAGATCCCAGATATGAAAGTATCGGCGGCGACCAGAAGCAAATATCTTGTTCCCTGTGGGCGGCGCAAAGGCGGATGTGTGGATGGGCGTGCGCCGGATGTGCAAGGATGTCAAGAGCGGGTTCGGAGCTGGCGCATTAGGAGAGACATGGTGTAGGAATAGGGTCGATGCGGGCCCAGAAGACAATAAGAGAGGATAGTGGGGATGGAACATCAACGAGTCGACAGAAGACTATAGATTAAGAGTCATGTTAGTCAAGGACTGTCTTCGTCTGTTAAACATAGTGCGAGATCTTACCGGCTGAGTTTTCCCAACATCCTTCAGTCTTTGGATATCAAGGACTTCCTGGCGCAACTTCCGCTTCCCACCTGACCGCGCATTGTCCTCCACTCGCGTTAAGTCAGTGGCATTCTGAAGTAGTTTGGCCAGGGGCTGCATTGACAGCTCCTCCTCCTCGTTGTCGGTATCCATTTCTGGTCCACTGCCCGCATCGGAGTTGTCCGAATCGGTCTTTCGGCGCTTGGCTGCCAGCTCTGGGTTCGCCCATTCGGGGGTCGGATGCAATCGCTGGAACTGTCTGCGCAGTCGCCGGATATACTCCTTGCCAGTGACCACATCTTCATCTTCTGCGACTCGCAGTTTGCGTAGCCTGGACTGACCCGCCAAAGAGACGGCCAATCGCTCGTCGTCGCTGTCGTGCCACACTGCTGGAGTTAAATCCTCATCTTCTTCGGCAATTGACAATGTTTCGGGGGAGGGGATTATATCGGTAGAGTCGGGTGCAGTGCCCGAGTCGAGAAAGAAGAGCTAAACCAAAATATTGTTAGTAAAACCGAAGAATGCAGAGAACTCGACAGGAATCACATACATCGGCATCGGCCATATCATCCATGCCTGCTCCCTCCTCCCTATCCTCCGCGGCTTCATCAGCGCTGTCATTATCCTCATCACTCTGCAATGTGAGAGCCATAGCATCAGCCCGATCCTGCTGGTTCTTCAGATTGCCCAGGAAGCCATTGTCGTCACCGAAGAGCATCTGCTCCAGCTTCTTCTCGGCGTCATCTTTTTCGGGGACATCTTCTTCTTCCTCGCTTGACTCTCCGTCCATGTGGGTATCCTCATCCCTTGGACGGTAGCTTGTAGCGCTATCGAACGGAGATCTAGCGGCGGTCCGCTTGGTTTTTTGTTTCAGACCGGCTTTACGCATGGTGAAAGCTTCTGGATTTTTTTTGTTCTTTGTAGTAAGAACAAGATCCTTCGGTCAATTTCTCCACCGTGCAATCTGCACAGACAATACTCTGTAATTGTAATTGCCGTGGATAACCAATGGAGACCGGAATATTTTTTCTTGTTGGATTTTTGCAAAGCCGGCAGATGAGGGCGGTGGGAAAGGCGGTGAATTTCTGGTGCCTCAGAATTGAGGGTTGAGTTAAAGACCACCCGAACAGGATCAAACGCTCAAATACAAAGGGAAAAGATCGAAAAAAAAAAAGAAAAAGCCGTATTATGCAATCTCTAAAAAGTAGTCCTTCCTCCCCACTTTGAAGAGTCTCAATCAAATGTAAGCAAATTCATTGGGTTGACTACCAGCTCTAGAGCTACATACTACTCGATCTATAGCATATCTCATCAAGGTCTCGATCACAAAACATTGGTATCTAATTCAAGCAAAATGTTCATGTACATATTGGCACTTATCAGTACTGAGAAGGAAATAACTTAAGCCAATAATTTCCACGTCCTGCATTGCCCATCGAAAGTAGCATCAGGGATGTGTTTGCTTCGGTGCAGAGGGTATTTCATCATGTTCGCCATGGCTGCTGATCCATCTACGTGGCTCATAAGGGGGAACCGATGAGTGGTCCTCGATCAGGTGGTGCTCCGATTCCTGAAGAGCAGTCGCGGTGGCTTTGGGTTGAGAGAGGGTGCCCAATGGTTTGCCGGGCGATTCATCGCCTGAGTCAGATGCATAGTCTTCGTCCTGATCAGCCAGAAGAGCATTTCGATGGTGGGAGTCGTCCTCGACCACATCTTCGATTGTATCGTCCTCGGCGTACAAGTCGTAAGAGAGTGGCTTTTTGATAAAAGTATCGATGATGTAGTACTGGATGGCGTTCATGATCACGGGAAAGAGGAGCATCACAAAGCATATCTGGACAACGGCATTTCCTTCTGTCCATTGCAAAGCCCAATCACCGATCTTGACGATGAACGGTAGCAGCTGGATCAGGAAGAAGACGCAGATTTTCATGCTCAGCAGGCCCAGGAAGTAGATGATGGCTTGCTTAAACCACCAGGTCGCACGTGGTGGCTGACCATAATTGCCAGATTGTATAGATTCTGGAGGATTCGCAAGAGGGGTGTACGACGCAAAGTAGTTGAGAACGCGCAGGATTAGGATGAGGATCGGAATGCCAAGGGTAGTCTGGCCAATTCGTCAGTTCACAAGCACAAAGGGAAAGAAAAAGACCAAGAAATGATGACTCACATCGATTCCTAGGTTCAATAAGTAGAATGAACAAGGGTTCGGCTTATATTCCCTCCGAATCTCCAGCTGTCCCGCCGAGAACATGGACATGAGCAGATTTGCCAGATGAAGCATCGCCGATCCAAAAACTTGCTTCGAGACATCGAAAGCCCACACCTTCACCGGACGTTGTGGGCGTTCTTTCCACCGCTTATAAACCAGAGATAATAACGCCAGGGCCCCGAGGGCCGCTTGCACGAAGAGGGAAAAGGGGCCCAGGAGCTTGCATTCCCCATTTTCATCGCCATCTTGATTCTGACCCGTGTCTGCAGGATGTGACCCGTGATTGTATAACATGTGTGCGCTTGGCGAAGGCGATGGTATCGTGCCGGAGTACGAGGCGAGACTGCCGGTTGCAGCAGCAAAAGTTGTCGCTATCGCGACCAGGGACGAAGCGGTCGGGACAGCCATGCTGGCTTAATCGAAAACAATCCCCGACAGATATTTCCGATGGGTTTCAGGAGAGATGCGACCCGTGTTGAAAACCAGATTTGGGGTGCCTTGGGCGGTAAGCTTATCAGGCGCCGAGAATGAGGCACGTCATACGCGTGACATTGACCGTGCAGGGTCAAGGAAAAGTCGAACTCAACCAGATTGGCCTTCTGCGAACGAACGAAGTGGGTTGTTGGAGATGTCTGTACTGGCAAGAAGTTGAAGGAAGATGAGATGAAGTAGCGCGCTGTGTCTCTTGGGGCGGTGTCCGCCCCCGCAGCGGGATCGACAAGGCTGTTTCACAGCGGGCATGCCGGCAGAGCCCCAGAGCATTTTATTTTTGTATCAAGATCATGTCATTCTGAAATTTACTTTTTCTCTGCTTCAACAGTTCCTACAATGCCCTCAAAACCTATGCGGGTGGCTCCTCCAGTCCGAATGGACGATCTTCAGGGTCTTGTTTCTGCAGACAGGTGGATACCGCCATGATCCTCCAGCTTTAAACTGATAGATATAGATCTGGCATTCCAGGGCATCGTCATCTGGAATGTTCCTGCCCGCCAATCTTGGACCTGTAGCTTCCAGCCTAGAATCAGAGTGTCTACCAACGCCGCAAGAAATATGGACTGGGAAAAGTGGAGGGTCACCGTTGATGAGAAAAAGAAAAGTACTAATAGGATAAATAATAGGATAGACACAGAAGGAATCAAAGAACCTCGTGGACCGTAGTCAACACGAGAATTTGTAGCTCGGGAGCCCCGAGGCCCATCACCCATCTCCCACCAGATCCATGGAAAAGAACAACCCAAGGGAATCGAAACGCCAGGAACCCCTCAACCAACCCCGAATCAACAGAACAGGAGAGCCGTTGCAACACCATGCACAGCTAAATGCTAAGCAGAGGGCATTATGCGAAAGTAAAAAGGTCGTCACATCATTCTATCCCGTGCTGCTGTTTGAGTCGTTCCAGATTATCTTGTCTTTCCGCCAGGTCTTCTTTCGAACGGAGCATTTTCTCCGGCTGGTGATACAGCACTAGACTCGAGTCAGTATTTCCTGGCATTTCCTAGCATCTCTTGGCACATCCGAGGCCCGTAGAAATACGTACCAACCAAGTATCTGTTCTGGAAGTTGAAGCCATTGAGTTTATCGCATGCCTGTTTGGCGTCGTGGACGTCTTCGTAAACAACGAATGCCGTGCCCTTGGAGTTGTTGGCGATGCCCTGGCGAATTTGGCTGGGAACGAGAAGAGTTAGAAGGGATCGTTCTTCCGGGAATGCGAATGGCTTACCGAATAGGCCCAAACTTGCCGAAGAGATCGAAGAGCTGTTCTGCAGTCACGTTGTAGCTAATCAAAACCAGGTCAGTAATCTTCTTCCGCCTGTATACTGCAGGGACCGGCGACTCCCCGGTACCGATGCCGCAGCGGAGCAACCACTCATGGAGTGCGTACTTGAGGTTCTTGACGAAGAGAATCCTGGAAAATAAATCTCGTTAGCATCAATCAACCACTCTCCTCACAAGCTTCGAGGGTATAAACAGCTCAAGACCCGATAGAACCGGGCATGATCATGGCTCGGGAGGGGCAGGGAAGAAATCAGCTCGCACGTACCGATTGGCTTCGGGGGCGAGCTTCCGGCTCATTCTCAGGGGGGAGCAGGGTCCAGAAAGATGCTGGAAAAAAGAAAAACAAACGAGATACCCGAGGTATCGAAGATTCTGGGGATAAGAGGGCGAGGGCAAGAAGTGCGCGAAGACCAGGATGGAGGCACACGAGGTCGCACTTGGCAGTGCGCCTTGCCGCCTTGGGCGTAGTGGCGGCTGCGGCGGTGGTGACAGTACGTGACGGTAATTGTCAGCTGATGCCACCACACCCTCGGTGACAGCTGGTATCGGACTATACAGTATCAGAATCGCCTCAGTCGCAACTCGACTCGGTTCAACGTGGGAATTGACGAACTGCGAGTGTTTGTCTGGAGACTCCCTCGGATTGCTTCGGTGATATGTGTGCTGGGGATATTTGGTTAGGCAAAACCGAGATAGATGACTTCCGGCAGAAAGAACCGTCCCGGCGCAGAGTCACATCGTAGGCTATCCCGCGTACATACCTTGCCGGACTCCTCTCTCTCTCCCTCCTTCACACATCGCGCTCCTCCCACCTCCCCTCTCACCCCGAAAGGTCCATCCATTCGCGTATTCCCTCACTGCCATCATCCAGCTCGCAGGGCTCGGTTCCTGGTTACTGGTCTCTCCGTCGATCCTCTTCCTGCCCGCGGGCTGCGGCGCGAACTCTCGGCGCCTGTGCCTCCCGCCGCTCGACTCAAACCCCCCTCAACGCAGCGCTCCGCGAACTCACCTTCCCACCACCTCGTTCGCCCTGAATCATCGATCCTCCATCCATCTCCATCTTGGGACTCGGCGTGCGCATGTCCTTCTGCCAGGAATGACAGCCTCGCCGCCCGCGCCGGCCTCTCGCTAGCCCGTGTAATCCAGCATCCCCGCTTTGCACCCACCTGCCGCAAACAAGCGCATCACCTCCCATTTCTGATTTTCTTCCTGATTTTCTTCCCCTCTTTCCACGTCATTCCACCCGGCCAATATGATGAGTGCGGCGTCCTTCATGACGCCCCTCAGCGGCCGACCGCCGCAGTACCGAACTCCGTCCCCTCCGCGACGCGCCGTTGAACCCATCACCCCATCTACCGAGTTCCATTCTAGAGAACATGGCGCCCTTCGAGCTACAAGCCTTGATCGCGATCATTCAACCTCGAAAAGGGATCGAAATGCCGCTTCGGGTGGTAGCTCACATCACCGATCGGGTCACGGCCGATCAAACTCGACTATTGACACACTTGCGACGATTGCTCTCGCGACGAGTCCGACTTTCACACCAATTTCACACCGTCCACCATCTCCATATTCCCAGTCCGCGATGCCTTTGTTCCCCTCCGAGTCTGCAGACTCCGAACGGCCTGCCAAACGTCCACGCTCGGAGCGAGACTCGTCGCCGCATCGTTCTCGGTTGGGGTTGCCTTCAGATCCCGCCCCTCCATCCATCTTGGATAGCATGAAAACAGATGCGGAGCTGCTCCTCAATCTCGCCCGGCCCACCAATTTCCATCCCGGCGACCATGCGAAGAGAGTTAGCATCGACGAAACCTATCGTCACTATGGAAACGACGCAGTCCATCCTCCCCGTGTTGGCTTTGCCGGTGGTGCCTATACAGGCCAAGATTACGACAAATCTATACATTACTCGGAAGATAATTTCCCGCCCCCTCGCATGAGATCTCGCTCGGATGGATCAGCGTTTATGTCTCGTCCAGTGATCCGCGGCGTTCGCCCAACTACCAGTTCAGGAACACTTCCGCCTATTGTATGGGAGGATGAGAACGAAGATAATTCTTGGCATCCCCCAGAGAACGGGCATCGCTATGCGGAGGATGAACATCAACACGCGGGTCCTCGTGACTCTCGCCTACCCCATAAATCGATGCACCTGCCACCAAAGATCGAAGATGACGAAAGTGAACCGAACCCGGCAAGCTGCGCAGCATGCCATCTGGTGCGAATCCCAGTGGAAACGGATGAACAAGACGAGGATACATGGATCAGTTGTGACGGGTGCAAGCGATGGTTCCATATCGTTTGCGCCGGGTTTAAAAATGATCGGGAGGTCCGCACAATCGACAAGTTCATCTGCCGTGGATGCCGGTCAGTCCACGGCCAGACGACCTTTGTGCGCAAATCATCACGGGCCCGCACGGCAATCGACTACGCTGGACTCAACCAAGGTCTTGTGAAGGCGGCCACCGATTCGTTGGAGCACCACTACCTGGAGCCCATTCGGCAAGGCAAGATCCGATTCCTCCCCGAGAATTTCCCTCGGATGAGACCCGAGTTGGTCACGGCGGAATATTTTGAGTGCGGTAATGGATGGACGGAACCGGTTGTCATCCCTGCCTGTTGGAATACCTGTGAACCCGTTCCAGAGGTGGACTCGGCCTTTGAATCTCTCATTCAGGAGGCACCCTCCCAGGAAATGTTTGATGAGTTACTCGAAAACCTCCCGGAACAAGACACCAACGTGGAGAACACCGTTGATTGTGGTCAGGATCTTTTGGATATGGTGATTCCCCAGGGTCTTACCGTCCGATCGGTGGCCGAGCTCTACGGCCCCGAAGAGAGGGTTGAGGTGATTGACGTCAAGTCCCAGCAGGGTGAAGACAAGAGATGGGACATGCAAAAATGGGCCGACTACTACGAGAGCAACGAGCCCGAGAAGGTGGTGCGCAATGTCATCAGCCTGGAGGTCTCGCAGAGCAAGCTGGGCAGGCTCATCCGGCGGCCCAAGGTTGTGCGTGACTTGGATCTTCAGGATGCGGTATGGCCCGATGAGCTCAAGGCGATTGGCGATTACCCCAAAGTGCAATTCTATTGTCTGATGTCTGTTGCCGATTGCTATACCGACTTTCACATCGACTTTGGTGGATCCTCGGTCTTTTACCACATCCTGAAAGGCAAGAAGACATTCTTCTTCATTCCTCCCAAGGACAAGCATCTGAAAAAGTATGAAGAATGGTGCAACTCTCCCGCTCAGGATTCGATCTTCCTCGGAAACCAGACCAAGGAGTGCTACCGAGTGGACCTATCCGAAGGAGACACCATGTTGATTCCATCGGGTTGGATTCACGCTGTGTGGACACCGGAGAACAGCTTGGTGATTGGCGGCAACTTTCTCACGAGACTGAACTACGGAATGCAAATCAAGGTGCTCAACATCGAAAAAGACACCAAAGTCCCCAAGAAATTTAGGTACCCTTTCTTCCAAAAGATTCAGTGGTATACGGCCCTGAAGTATCTGGAAGATGACCCTATACCCCAAAACGTGTTGGAGGCCTTTGCACAGGATGAGAACTTCCGCTTTCACCGGCATTATCCGATCTACTACGAGTTCGGGGAACATACCAACCAAGAACCTGCAGGTTCCCCGTACCACAATGCCCGATTTTACTCTCAGGCAGAGCTTGAGGGTCTACCCGAGTTGACCAAGTACCTGTTGCGGACGGCCCTCATTGCAGGGTCGTACAATGTCGATGGAGTTACCATGGATGTCCGCAACGCGGTCAAGCGTTCCATCCCCAAAGGCACTGGAGATCCAGTTGATACGATCAGGAAATTCGGGATCTGGGTCGCTTGGAAGCGGGGCAACGAAAGAGCTCCTCAATGGACTCGGCCAGGCGTGATTGAAAGCAATTCCAAGGTTTCGTTGACTGAAAAGAAGTCGGCCGGGCGACCAAGTCGCCGCTCTGAACGCAACTTCGATAACCAACGTACCTATGCCGAAAGACAAGCGGTGCAACGGCCGTCAGTAGAGGTTGCCGCAACCCCCAACTCACCAATCATCAATACCTTCGATGGGGCGTCGGAAAGTGCAACACCTGCACCGGTTACTTTCGCCCCAGACACGAGCATCAAGGAAGTGGATACCCCCAAACCTCGGTCTGTCACACGAGCCTCGGGTCTTGGGCCGAAGCGAGTTGCCTGCGATGCCTGTCGCAAGCGACGCATTCGATGCCGCCACAAGGATGAGCAGGGCGATTTGGTTTTGAACAAGCAGATGGCAATGAGTGCATTTGGGTCCGGATCGGGTCTGAGTACTCCATCTTCTCTGGCCCAAGACGCCGTCTCTGCTTTAAATTCTCTTGCGGCTATCGCTTCTCAAGCTGGGTTTCAAAATAACGGGCACATGCTTGGCTTAGATCAGGTGGAAGGCTCGGGCAAGTTTCAATCAGAAATCATGGGCAACCCCACCGCAGCGGCCAACCGGCTCGGCGATCTGAGCCCTGATGGGGTCAATGGCGGGAAAAAGGGACGAAGCAAGGCATGCGATGATTGCCGAAAGAGCAAGGTACGTGATTCTTTGAGCAACTCTCACTTTGTTGATCTATTTCTCCATGTCACTGACGATGAAAATAGCGCCGGTGTATTCACGATGAGTACGGTAGAATCGATCCGATCAAGGCCCAGGAACGGTCCAAGCCTCGTGCAAATGCATCCGCCAAACGAGTTCGACCCGCCGAGGACGACGGCATGCCTGCGACGGTCAAGAAAACAAAGCAGGAAAGCACGTCTCCCATCACACGACCGGCAATCTTCGACCACGGCGAGAGAAAGGGCTTAATTGATTACGCTGAAAGCCAGCTCCCTGTACCATCGGACATGGAAGCAAGCGAAGCCGCCCAAGGCCATGACCTCTATGCATCCCCACCGGTATTCCAAGCCAACTCGGTTGAAGCCAAGGCGCTGAATTCCGTGTCTGTATCTTCGTCCAAGCCAACTGCCTCTTTGGTGTCGCCGCCTACGTCGCTAGCCGACGAGACAGATGGGATTCAGGAGGGCGATGCCGTGGCGTCCGTGGAAGGTGAGGCATCGACTGCCCTTCACACGCCCAACTCCAGCTCTCGCCATTCGTCTCGTCAGCCTCGACATTTTGAGGCTTCCACGGCTCGAGCCTCGAAGACATCCGGACGACCTACATCCTCTACGGCTATACACCGAACCACCCCTGCCCCGCCTGCAGCATCCAAGAAGCCTTCGTCGCGGCCTTCGTCTTCCCATGCGAAGAAGAGCTCCCCCATGGTCGAGAAGCGGTTTGATCGCCACGCTGCTTCCTCCTTGTCTCCCGGTCAATCGAGCAAGCATGCAAAACATCCGATCGGGGAGGGAGATACTGACGCAGAAAGTCTGCGGTTAATTCGGGAACTTCAGGAACAGGAGTTTGGGTTGCGGAAACGCTCAACACGAACCTGAAGTGTCTTCGATGTTGCTTTATGGCCACATCGGACAAGCCTTGATGCATTTTCTTTTTCTCTTCTGTTCATTCTCTTTCCGTTATTTTTTTTTCTTCCTCTCTTTTGCGTTCTTTCTGGAAATGATCAGGATATCAACTTACGGACTGGGTTTGGAGAATTGGTGTTGGTGAGACTCTTTGTAATTCTGGGCGTTTTCGAGGCCACGGAGTTGATGTTGCTTCTGCATTGGGTTTTTCTGTGTCTGAATCTGGCTCGAATGCTTTACTTGCACGGTGTGATTTCTTTTTCTTTTAAATCCATTCACTTTCTTTCTTCCATCTGTCTCATCTTTCAATTTCTCTCTCAAGGGCTGGGCTGGGGCCTCTGCTCTGCTTGCTAATAGTCTAGTGCTTTCCTGCTTTTCGATTTATATATTCAGCTACGCACCGGGCCAGGCGTTAGGATGTTTTTTTTTTTTTCGGAAGTCTCTGTTGTTGTGTTTCTAATCCTTCTTACATCGGTCAATCGTTCCTACTTTAAGGTCGACCATTCTTTTCCTTTGTGACTCGTTGGTTTTATCGAGATCGTGAATGTTTCTTAGCAATCTACGGTTAGCAATTGGAAGGGAAACGGTAGAACAAAGTTACCTCTACTGGTATATTATTGATACACTATCAATTACACACGCATCCATGGATGGTATCCATTTCCCATGTGCAAAATATCATTATCATCTCGAGATATCCAAAGACAACATCGTGGCTATAAAATCCAAATCGAACAGCAAACAACAACCATCAGTACTCCTCTCTCCCGGTTCAGAAGCGGGAGGTCTTTTTCTTTTTCATTTCACAGGCAGACGGGGTCTCTTTTTCCATAGAAGTGTTATGTATAACAAGAAAAGGGTGGAGTCAGCGTCAGGAACGGCAGATGCTGACCTCAAGACTAGATCCCGGATTACAGCAGGGTTTTCATGTCCGCCATGTTCCGGATACCGGCCAGGTTGCCTGCCTTGACACGCTTGAGGGTCAGGGCAGCAATCAAGGCGGCACCAACACCGGAACCATCCTCGGCGGCCATGATAGAGACCTTGTCCTTCTCGGAGGGGGCCCAGTCCAGGATCTCGCGCAGGGCTTGGGCGCCGCGGGCCTTGAAGTGCGGGTACTTGGTGAAGACGGAGCCGTCGGCGCCGACGTGGCAGGACTCGATATTCTTCTTCTTGCAGATGGCGGCGACACCGCAGGCGGACAAGCGGGCGGCACGGGTGCCAATCAGCTCTGCGAGGCGGCGGACCAGCTCCAGCTCGGGCGGGGTCGGGCGGATACCCAGCTGGCGCTCAAAGAGGTCTAGGGTCTCGGACAGGTTCTCATAGGGATCTTCCTCAATGGCCGCCAGGAAGGACGCGTCCAGCAGGTACGGCTTGCGCAACTTCGAGGTGTCCTGGCCATTGAAGATGAGGCCTGGCCGCGAGTCGAGGAGGTCGATCAGTGCCAGGCGGAAGATCTCGCCCAGGTACAGACCCGCGGTCATCTTCTCGAAGGCTTGCTGGCCGGGGCGCGGCGAGTCGCGGTCGATGATGCAGTCATACTCGGTTCGCGGGAGCACAACGTGCTCGTTGTCAAACGCCCCGTACTCGCAGTTGATCGCCACGGGCATGTCCGCGGGCAGACCCAGGTGCGCAATCTTGGGCACCGATCCGACATCTTCCATGTAGGCGGCGTTGACACCCGTGCCGAAGATACAGCCGATCTTCATCTGGGAGTCGGTGTATGAGGACGCAATGAGCGTGCCGGTGGTGTCGTTGATGAGAGCGGCGACTTTAATGGGCAGGCCCTATAATTTGTTAAATTTGAGATCCTCGAAGTATGAAGACATCGCTGCTTTCCACATACCCTCTTCTTGAGGATCTCCTCCAAGGGCGGGACGACGTCCTGGCCCTCCACGCCGTCAATGTCGAAACCCTTGGTCCAACGCTGCAGGATGCCGTGGTCGATGTACTCCTGGGTAGCGGGGTAAGAGAAGGTGAAACCCAGAGGCAGCTTGGCCAAGTCCTCATTCTCGTGGTGGAATTCGATAAACTGCTGCAGACAGTCGGCAATGTATTCCCACAGCTCCTCGGCGGTGCCGGTACGGAGCTCATCGGGCATTTTGTATTTAGACTGAGTAATATCGAAGGCGCCCTTCTCGTCGGTCAAGGTAATCTCGCAAACGCGCAAGTTGGTACCGCCCATATCCAGGGCCAAAAAGGTGCCTTGCTCGTAGCCATCGGGGAAGCCCAAGACCCAGGTCACGTTCATGGGCTAGCAACCAGTCAGTTTGGGATGGGCGGGGCAGGTGTACGGGGTGTTTGGGGGAGGTTGGTTGCTCACAATGTTGCCACCCTCGACGCTGAGACCTTCGGAGTGTTCTCGGTCAGCCATTTGCAGCTTCAAAAGGGGAAAAAAATGAGTGTGCCACAGCTCAAATCCTACCTTTTTCGAGCTCCTTGACAAAGTGGTCCACTACCTGCTTGAGCTTCGTACTGTCAACAGTGAAGGTATCCTCGAAGTCCTTGATCTGCTGCAGCAGGTTTTGCGGTATATCGTGGATCGACCCTAAGATCGCCTAGATTAGATTTGCGCGACACTCGAAAGTTAACCAGGGATATGGACTCACCCTTGCGGGAGGGGGGGATGCTTAGGACCAACTCCGACCATGATTAATGCGAAGACTTGAGCAAAGAATTAGTTAAGGAGAAGAAAAGAAGAAGAAGAGAAAAAGAGAAAAAGAGAAGAAAAGCGCGATGGAGGGGGATGACGCTATGGACGTGGGGCGATCGTCCCGGTTTGCTTGATTTGGCAGCGGTGGGATCAACAAGGTCCAACTGGTTTGGCGCTTGAATGATGATTTATAGGAGAAATTGTCGGGTCTCAGCAGAAATACACCGGAAATATACAAGAAATATCATACATATTAGAAAAATATTGTGAGAATAATTTTCCAAAAATTTATATCGGTGTTGCTCTTTGCCGGGCTACCGTGTATTTGTATTGTGTATTATGTTCATTTCTAGTCTCTGTCATGGCATCTTCGTCCTCATCTTCATCGCACTCTCTCATGGCTTGCGCGCCAAGTGTGGGAACACATGGGCAAGACCACTGTCAGACTGGCGGTGTGCTTCGTTCGACTCAAGTCTCTCGCGTACCCGCTGCTGATAAGCATCCGTCATCCCCAGGGTCCGGTCAATATCTTCTGTGAGACGCTCCACCTCGTCCTGGAGCCGCTCGTCGCGGGTCTGCGGCGGAGCACTCTCCTCCGCCCGAGCCTTAGGGTCCGGATTAGTCTCTTTCCACAGCGCCCCCAATTCTTCCTCCCATCCCATGGCCCGGGCAAATCGCCGCACGCCAGCATCACAATCGCCTAGGATCAGCACATCGTCTGGCCGGGACCCCATGCCGCCAACGCGCTCCTTGTTAATCAGAACGCGAGGAACCCCATCGCTGCACAGCGAGGGTAAACTGGCAAATGGCTGGACAGACAAACTGGTCCCCATGACAATGCATAGATCCGCCTCGGCCGGTAATGAACGGTTGGTGAAGAAATTCTCTGGCAATGCCTCGCCAAAGAACACAATGTCGGGCTTTACGAGACCCCGACACTCGGGACAGTAGGGCACCTCGTGCTTGTGGACAATCGGATGCATCTGCTCATCCGGAAAGGGAGTCTTGCAATCAATGCAGCGTTGCGTTGCGAAACTGCCATGTGCCTCGATGATCTTCTCACCGGGTACACCGGCCTGGCGCTCCAGGCAGTCAATATTTTGCGTAAAATGCTTCAGCAGCATTCCCTTGTCGTAAAGCAACTTGATGAATGAGTGTGCAATCGTCGGGCGATAACGTCCCGGGTATAGCTCATGTGCCAGAGCATAGAATGGCTTGGGGTTCTGCCGAAAGAAACTAATGTCGAATACAGCTTCGGGGTCTGGCAAGTCTAGAAAGGCCAAATTCGAATAGATCCCAGTATCTGGTGAGCGAAAATCCGGAATACCAGCCGAGGTGCTGATACCCGCTCCCACCTGTGGATGCAACCGTCAGCCATCGAACCTCATTGCCCCAAGGAAACCCGTAGAGCGAACCATCACCACAATCCGCTTCACATTGCGCTCTTTGATGTGTTTGGCCACCGCTTCGATACTGCGTGCTTCCAGCACCGAGGGGGATGTGGAATCATCCACGATGACCGATTCTTCGTTACCCATGGCCCGAGGGCGCCGAGGGTGCTGATGTCGAGGTCTGCGACGGCGTCCGATAGCGACGGTGACTCTTTTTCTCTTCTGTAGAATAATGAAAAGCTGCAAGGATTGTGTCCATCAAAAGACTGAAAAGAAAGAGAGAAGCTGATAGTGGGAGGCTCAACGTGGGGGAGGAATGACGTCGCGTTGAATCAAGGTCGCATGGGGCAAGATGGGCAATTTGGAACAGGCGATTCTATCCAAAATTAAGACCAAGCACCAAATCAAGAAGTGAACAAGTCAATTCGTGGCTTGAGATATCGCAAAAGACCTGCGATGATCAAGTGCCCGCTTGACGTGCTCACCGCCCGCGGTTCTGCTTCGAGTGGATTTGGCACTGACTGCTGTTCCCCCGAGCATCTGCACGTTGGCCCCAGCATGGCCCTCGCATCTCAGGCCAATGGCCATATTTCTCCCTCTTCCACTCTGGATCAATTGACTCCCCATGCCTCCATTTCGCCGCGCTCCGATATCTTCAATGCCAGCTCCGTCGCCGAGATCAAGGCCACGCTGTCTCACCTCCACAGCCAAGAGGCGTCCGTGACTGCTCGTCTCGATGCCCTGGTGACCTCACAGAAGGACTTTTCGCGAGAATTGGGTCGCCTAGATCTTATGCGTGCCCACATTGGCTCCCAGACAAGCACGACGCGATCCATCAGTCATGGAATGCTCTCCGAGGCCGCTGGCACTGCGGACCGAATCTCTAGCGCAGTGCGTCGACTGGACCTTGAACAAGCCCGGGTAAAGGCAACGCTCGATTTCGTTGAACAGGTCGCAGAGCTCAAGGCGTGTGCGTTGGGCGTGTCGGGGTCCATGGGTGCCCCCAGGATTGGGAAACAGCCGCCAGCTACCTGCACCGGGCGGCACAGATTCCTCCGACGGTGATCAACGGTGACTTTGCAGCGCAGATGGTCCCAACCGCCGAGGTACCGGATCCGCCCAGCGTCACGCTGGACAATGCAGCCGAGTCATTGTGCGGGCTGTTCCTGCGCGAGTTCGACAAGGCCGTCAAGGACAGCGATGGGGCCAAGATCACACGCTTCTTCAAGCTGTTCCCGCTTATTGGCCGGTCCGAGGTCGGACTGGATGTTTATGGTCGCTACGTTTGCCAGGGCGTGGCCGCTCGGGCACGTTCCAACCTCAACGCTGGTCCTGGGAGTGCGCAGAGCAAAGACGGGTTCTTCTACGCCAATGCGCTAACCAAGCTGTTTGAACACATTGCCCAGATCATCGACGGGCATGGCGGGCTGGTGGAGCGTCACTACGGGTCCCGGAAGATGGGGCGTGTCATCGAGCGACTACAGATTGAGGCTGATGTGCAGGGCGGCATCATCCTCGACACCTGGAGCGATGAGCGACATGTGGACCGCAAACTGATGGACATCAAGTCCTATGCCTTTACATTTTTAGTTCAAAGCTTTCTTCCTGCCCAGCGTGCCGGTCCGACCCGCTCACACTCCCCGCCCCCGGCACAAATGCAGACACCGACGAAGAAGGGGTGGACAGGAAGGAAATCGATGGCATCCTGAACGAGATGGCTGTCATGTTGGGCCGGTGGTCACTCTACTGTCGGTTCTTAGCTGATACATGTAACGTAGGTGCCATCCCTCCCCCCGCATCCCTGAGAATCCCCGCTAACGTTTCTCTAGCCTGGCGAAGAAGAGGATGGTGACCGAAGATATGCACTCCCCACTTTCCTGCAGGAGTCATCTTTGGCACGGAAGATTAATGATCGACTGGTGTCTCCGTTCAATGCGATGACGACCTTTTTCTTCCGCCGGTCGGTCGAGAAGGCTTTCCAACTGGACGAGTCGCCGTCAGGCCTGACGCTGAACCTGCAGCGGCCACTGAAGACGGATCCGCCCCATATTACATCCGCTGTGGACGACATCATGTATATCGCCAAAAAGGTGCTACAGCAATCGCTGGCTACTTCCCAAGAGGACGTGGTGACCAACGTGGTCCCGACTCTATCTCGTGTACTCGGGTCAGACTTTATCGGCATGAGCCAACGCAAGATGCGCGATGAATGCTACCCGCGCGCGTCTGTCCAGGGAGGGCAGCCCCCCGAGCAGATGGTGACTGCGTTCTTGGTGCAGATCAACAATCTGGACATTGCGGTCAGTTACATCCGGCGCATTGTGCAGGACAGCACTGGCTCGAACCAGCCACTCCCTGCTGCCAGCGACAGCAGCCAGAATATTGAAAGACTTGCAACCGAGCACCTCCGCTCGCTTTTCCCTGCGCCGACGTCGGCGATCCGAGTCGCGCAGACTCTCCAAACTCTCGTTTCCTCCTTTGAAGCCAAGGTCAACGACCTCCTGTCCGACGGCATCCAGGTCACTTTTAACAATGTCATCAAGCACCGTTTGCGGCCCATTCTCGCCGACGCCTTCCGCGACATTGAGTACCAGCCGCACGATGACTCCCAGCCCCCCGACACCCACGATGACTTCCACGACGACGGCGAGGGCGGGAAGGAACTCGTCCGGCCACGCTTCGCCGCCGGCTGGTCCGAGCTCCTTGTCCCACTCGCACGCATCCTCACCCACACGGCCTTTGACCGGCTCCTCACCGTCACGGTGGCCTATCTCGCGCGTCTCCTCGAGAAGAGACTGTGGTCGTACCATGGCCGGATCAATCCCCTCGGTGCGGCACGACTTGAACGCGACATCGCCGGGTTGGTCAATGCCGCTGTCGACGTCGGGTATGGGTCAGGTGCACCGGGCCGGTACCGGCACCGCGAGGCCTTTGCACGCTGCGTGCAGATGACTCTGACGATGGGCATGGACGAGGACGAGTGGGACGAGGTGCTGCAGGGCGGCGAGGCAGCCGAGGTGGTGGACAAGTTGAGCCGCGAAGAAAAGGTGCGCGTGCGTGGCATGGTGAGGCGGTGAACCTGGCGTATATTTGAAAAGAATAGTATTAAAAAATCCCCTGGATTTTGGTTTGCTTTTTTTTTGATTTCCTGTTTCTTTACCAAGATGCGTGTGCATCGTACATACCTCGGCCCAATCAAATAGTACCTACCCTCTCGATTCTACGCTAGGGCCGATATTAACGATGTTGAGTGGAGAAAAAAAAAGGCACTGTATCTGTTTGGAACATCTTGACAGCCCTACGGGTATACTGACTCCTTAAGACGAAAGCCAATCAAAGGCAAGAATGAGACGAATTTACCGAGACTCTAGCTCTGGAGCTATAAACGCTGAAGTCAGAATATATACATTGCATCGAACCTAGAACATCCTTGGTATGGTTCACCCAGACAGATGTCAGCCAAGCAGAACAGTTTAATATAGAGTACTATAGGGCGAGAGAATTGGCAAAAAAAAAAGCAGATGTAAAATGCCTAAATCGAGATCCTCTATGCTGCTTCCAAACACGAAAAATCTGGTATCGAACAAGGAAAAGCAAAGCCCTTCGCCAACCGGTGTCGAAACGCAGTTGCGATATGTACAGCCAATTAATAAAAAAAAAAAAAAAAAAAAATTCTCCGCAAGAACACAAATGATATGACACCCGCTCCGGAAAGAAAACAAAAATGAACAAACGCCAGGCCAGACAATCAATGACAAATTGCTTTTTGCATCGGATGGGAAGGCGGGTATGATGACGAGACGCAAGAAGGGGGTATAGGGAGTTGAAGTCGAAGTCGAAGTGCGAGTAGATGGTAGATGAGTTGTGAGGTCGAGAGGTCAATTAGATGGGTTCAGGTCGGGTCGGAGAGAGGAAGAGAGGTGTGGTAGGATCATAGGTTATACAGGCGGGATGAAGAGAAAATGGTTAGAACAAAAGCCAGGGGCTTTTGTGGAGGAAAATGCGAGCAAAACCAAGTAGGATCTTAGTTCTCGGTCTTCTCATCGACCGGCCTGAGCACCACAGGGTGTTCAGACACCTGCTCGGTGTCGGGTGGGTGCTGCTCGGCAACCTGGCGAGGAGCGGGCGCGATCTTGATCTCTTGGAGAGCCATGTCGCCCTCACTGCCACCGCGGCTGCTCTGGCTGATCTCACCGTTGGGTGGCTGGCCGTCGAGCATCATCTCACTGTGCTCGCCGATGCCGTAGCGCTCAGCGGCGGGAATCTCGTGGCCGTCGGCGAGCTGGTCCTGCTTCTGCGGAGTCCAGGCGAGGTAGTCGCGGCGGACCTCGACATAGTCGTATGCGAACTCGCCCAGCTGGTCGTCGTCCATGCCGAGCAGCTCGGCCTCCTCAGAAGCGCGCAGGTTCAGACCCGGAATGGCGTTGATGGCGTAAGCAATGAGGGCGGACATGACAAACGTGTAGGACGCCGTGGCGACGATGTACGCGATCTGGATGTACAGCTGCTTGTAGTTGTGAATGACCCAACCGCCGACGCCGCCGCCCGTGTTGACGCCGTCCAGTCCAACGATGGAGTCGTCGCCGAAAAGGGCGTTGAAGATCAGACCGATAATACCGGCGACGCCGTGCTCAGCCAACACATCCATCGAGTCGTCAATGCGGATCCAGTATTTGACTGTATAACCAAGTCAGTATCAGATATTCAAGTCATATCCCCCAAGCAAGGTAAGGGTAAAACATACTCTTGGTGGAATAGTTACAAACAATGCCGGTCACCACACCCAGAATCACACTGGCCCAAGGGCTGATGAATCCGGAAGCGGGAGTGGCCGCCACCAAGCCGGAGATCGTACCCGAACACCAACCCACCATGGACCACTTGCGAGCCAGACGCCAATCGAGCAGAACCCAAGTGATGGCGGCAAAGGCAGCAGTGAGGTTGGTGTTCCAGGAGGCCATGGCCGCTCGAACGTTGGCACCGAATGAGGAGCCACCGTTGAATCCGAGCCAGCCAAACCAGAGAAAGACGGTACCCAAGAGAATGAGCGAGACGTTGTGCGGGCGGAAGTTGAGCATCATGCGCTCCTGGCGGCGGCCCAGAACCATCGAGTAGGCCAAAGCCGTGAAACCGGATCCAATCTCGACGGGACCACCACCGGCGTAGTCCATCACCCCGTACGTGTATGCCCAGCCGTTGACGTTCCATACCCAGCAGGCCAGCGGGCAGTAGACAATGGTCGCCCAGATGAACACAAACACCATGGCAGGCAAAAGCCGACCGCGCTCGGCCACGGCTCCCATAACGATGGCTGCGGTGACGCCGCAGAATTGCATCTAAAAAAAAAAACAAGCAAGTTAGCACTTTTGACACACATGGCCCCTTAGTTTTCCAATGTGTCCCGTCGTACCTGATAGAAGGCATAGAGCAAGTTCGGAATCAGAGGCGAGCCCGGGCTGGGATCAGCTAAAGTTTTCATCAGGCCGAAGTTGCGCAGGTTGCCGATATATCCATTGGTCGCAGTCGGAGAGAAGGCTAAAGAGTAGCCCCAGAAATACCATTGGAAGGTGACGACCGACAAAGATGCCATACAGGCCCAAATCATGCTCAGGGCGGACTTGCGGCGGGCAAGGCCCGAGTAGAGGAAACCGAGACCCGGGATCATGACCATCACCATTGCCGAGGCCACAATGATATAGGCCTGGTCACCGGATTGAAACCACTTGTTGACATTCTCGATACCTGCACGGAAGAAAAGAACGTTTGATTAGACCATGGCAAAACATGCACAAAGGGATTGTAGCGTACGGGAATCACCACCCATGTCCGAGTTGGTAGTCAGGTCATAGTTGGAGGGAGCACCAGTCCAGTTGTAGGATGCGTAATCCGGGGCGTACGGGCTTTTCCCGTTGAACGCCATGGTGCAACAAGGAAGATGTCACGAGAGAGCTTTGGATAGCTTGGAGGTTGAGAAGATGAAGGCTCAACTGAATGCGGAAGAGGAATGGAAGAGAGCTGGGGAGAAGAGAGAAATGACCAGCAAAACCCCGTGTGGAGAAAAGGAATTGCCACGGGAGGATTCAGGGAATTGAAGGAATATAAAAACCACCAAAAAAAGAAAGAAAGAAAAAAAGGATCTGAGTTGCAAAGAGTCGAAAATCCAGAGATAAGTCGGATCGACACGGACCCACCGAGAGACCTGAAATCGACCCACGAAATAGCTTGAAAGAAGAGAAAAGGGCAATTCTTGATAAATATGAAGAACGAGGAAGAAAAAGAAGAAAAAAAAGAGAGAGAGAAAAAAAGCAAAGAAAACAAGTCAATTCAGCTACCGTCGTTGAAGGGAGGCGCGGTTAAGGGAAATAGAAAAATATGGGTCGGCAGTATCCAGAGATTATGACAATAGTAATGGGATAATCTCACTCCGCACCGCCAATCGGCCCTCCGATAAAACAAGAAAAGAAGGTTCCTTACAGATCTCCCTGATTATGGGGATGTATTAGTCTCTCTCATTATCCCATATTCCATCTTAGCATGCTCTTCGCATCATCATGAATCTGTTTTCTCATCATCCGGCTCCGATGGCCGCACAAGTGGCAAGGGCGCACCACGGATCCACGCCTCATCTGAGCTTGCTTTTTCCTTTTAATTTAAAATCGAAATCGTCTGCCTGGTTACCCAGTTGAATGCCCGGTGAAGTAATGCCGATTCGGCACTGATTAGACTCCGGGGAAGACTTCCTGGGGGGTTTGCAAGCAGGTGGATTAGATGGTTCCCCCACGCCTGCAGTCGAACGGGGTCTCTTTATATACTTGTTTCTTTCTTCTGGATCTCTCTCTCTCTCTACCAAGTATTGCAGATAGACGATAGCTTATCAGGCACACCGTTTGTCCCTTTCTCTCTCTCCATCCAGTAGACGGTAGATCATGTCTATCTCACCATGGAATGACAAAGTTTCAGCTTATCATCCCTCTATATCATCGAACGCACATTGGTCGAGTGATACTAGAGGGTTTGTCGTGTGATTGGCCACAGATAAAGTCGCCGCCACCGGGGGCTAAGTGGGTCCTGCCAAGCCTGGCTGCATTAGGACTAGTCTCCAGATATGCCCGATCCCAGCGATTGGCGATAGATAAGCCCTGGTCTTGCGCCGTATTCTCCCGAACTCGGTCGACCGATCGTCGGCATCGGGAATGCCAATGCTTCACTATGTTCTCACCCAAAATTGGACTAGTTCTGCTTTTCTAGTCGGACGCCTTTGCGATGATCTCATAGCTCGGGCTATAAATCCTGCCCCGTGGGCTGTTTCGCGGGGTGCATATCTATTTTAGTCACGCGATTGACATAGACAAGATAAATTATTTGGTTTTTTTGGCCCGCGAGGTCTCGAGAACTACTGATTTCGTGCCCTGATATGCCCGTTGGGAATCCCTTGACACTCTTGTGGTCCCGGGAACAACTGGGTCTTTCAATGCTCAGAGAAGGGCGTGGTGCATCACGTGTCCTTGGACACTATATAGTTTCTGCACTAGCCGTCTACCATCGCTTCATACACGAATGGTCTTTTCCAGGGGGAATTGAACTGGCGAGAACTCCGAGTATCGGCACTCGAGACTGCAGTTGGTGTTGTGGATTCAATATTCTCCAAATCTATTGCGAGAAAGAAATTACGGGATCCCCGCTATCTACCCATAACCAAATTGTTGGTTAGGGAAACTTGAAAACCGGCGGCTACTCAGGTGCAGTACTTGTCACTGCTGCTGGCGCTAAGGCGGAGATGCGCGGCAGAAAGATTCTCCTGTAACCGACTGCTGTCACAACCATCCCAGTTCTAATTAGCGAAGTTATCCCCCCTCATGGTTCTTAGAAATGACGACTTGGGAAATCACCACTACCAGCGACAAATCGCTAATTGACCTCTGCTACAAAGCCCAAAAGGACAGGGGCCTCATCGGCGGGCGTGTGGGCGGAACCCAGGTCATCAAGGTCTCGGACCAAATCGCGGTGAAGTATGGCAATGCAAGATTTTGTCTACAAAAAAGTCGATCGCAGCATCGTTCACGTCCCGAAAGTCTACCGTCATGTTGTATCGAATACGGATGATCGCATAGGGTACCTCTTTATGGAATACATACCGGGCCAAAACCTAGAGAAGATGTCGACCTCGAAGCAAACAAGGACCTTGCACCGCGAATAGCAAGAATACTCGCCCATCTAAGGCAAAATACAGGGTCCCACTGAAGCACTCGGTCCCATTGATGGTGGAGAGCCATTTGGTTACATATGGGGCGCCTACGGCGCCAAAGGAGCATTCCGCTCTTTCAAAGACATGAACGAGTATATGAATGAACGCCTGCAGTATCGAAACGACTCTATTGACTTGATGCTCCACTCACCTGTACTGTGCCATGGCGACATCTCCCGTAGGAATATGATTCTCGAGAATGACGGCTCGATTTGTCTCCTTGATAGGGTATTTGCTGGCTTCTATCCCCGGTTTTTTTGAGCTTGCCGCTATTCATTGCGCGCCTCCATTCCATGCCGGTTTCAAGGAGCCTCTCAAGTATGCAGTCGAAAAGTCCTTGGGGTTGACGAACGTGGAACGATGGCATTTGAAACTTGTCCTCTGTGTGCGTTCTGCAAATTTGAGATGGACAATGTATGAAATGCTCCTAGATTCTTTTTTTTTTTAATCTAACCTAGACAACGCTGACACTGCTACTAGCGGGAAACAGAAAACGCCCGAGGAGCACCAAGCGCGGGTCGCTTCGGTCCTTGAAATGTGCAAGGCTGCTCAAATGAAGTTCGATAAGACAGAGGGGGGCATGACTGGGCAGAAAATCGAAGACGTTTCTTGAGTATATTACTTTCTGGTCTAATGACCGCTAAGACTAATGACCATATATTAATTCTTGGCCATGGTCAAGCTATTTTCAGCAGTATTCCCTGTCTGTCTATGCAATATATTAGTTGACAGACGTTTGGGTTGATTCGCACCATGTCAGTCTGTCAACACCACCCCCGTATTTCCGTGTTCGAGCTACATGATGTAGCATTCGCCATGCCATCAAGTCGCCGTCTACTCCATTCGGCGTTGGTGCTCTTTATTTTAAAACCCATATGTCAACTTTTTGTCCATTCGAAGAACTAGAGCTCTCATAGTGGTTTGGGTTCAGCCCAAGCCCTGCTAGTAAAAGAGTCTGCCAATGACCCAGTCGAGAGATCCGAGGCTGATGCTCCTTAGACGCTCGAAGAAGTACTTGATGTCTGTTTGTGTTTCCTGTCCCATCCACGACGACTCGACTGTTCATGATGGTATTCCTCATTCAGGGTATTTAGAGCATCAATATTGTCCGGCTGCATCTTGCATAGCCGAAGCCTGCGAGTGTATCCGCGGTCCCATATCTCGTGTCGACTGACTTCTTCCCAATATTGGACATTTTCGTCTCGTGTATCTAAAGCAGAACATCGTCAGATATAGGGATCCTATGCTTTCATATAGGATACTTGAATCATTCATTGCTAGATATGTCAACCCGCTTGGTTTTGATCCATTTGGATCCCCGCGCCGTTGATCCTTGATGCTTTCGCGGGTGGCTTAAAAGATTGGCATCGATTTTGGCAGGTCCGGGACAGAGGCGGCCATATTGTTGACACTGCCTACATTCCGGCTCAGTTTTGTCGCACTTCGTACCCTAAGTATACAGATATATTTCCATATTTCTCCATACATCAACCATGTAAGCAAAGCTTACCTTGATATGACGCACCCTACACATGTGGCAGCCTGCTGGATGAGACATCCACTGAATTTTGTTCAATTCCGCCATCTCGAAGCATTTGTCATGGTGAAGCTAAGCTGTTGGTAGATGTTTTGATCACCGTGCATTGATCAGAGAAAGTACGAGAAAACCGATAAATCGATCGCAATCGACGAAATAAGAACACAAAATGTCAATATGTTTTTCTATATGACTTGAACAAGCCGGTAGAGTTGAACAATTTTCGGTCGTGATTGAATTCTGGGAACCTGTACCCCGCCTATTATCAAAGTGAGTCCCAAAATCATTTACTCATGCAAAATTAGCTCTGCCTCAGATTACATTCTTTGGCAATTTCGCATATACTAGGCCGGCTGGCCCAATGGAAAGGCGCTTGACTACGACCTAACATACTTAGGTAATCAAGAGATTGCAGGTTCGACCCCTGCGTCGGTCATTTTTTATGCTTATTTTTTATTTGTCTTTTCGCATTGCATGCACGTAATCTATTTTTCCCCCCACTAACAACAACGATTTTAATCTCTACACATTTATGAACCCATCACCTATATAACCCAAATACTGCAATGAATGCACCAGACACCACTTCTATTATGTTATGTATACGGGGAATATCAACGCAACGAGATACATAGACCACCCCCTTAGACGTTGACACTATATCCCACGCCCAGTCCGCTCCGACGGCGCAGGGAAAACAGATACTTTCGGCCTTCATCCACCCAGAAGACCGAGCTGGCGATGCAGAGGAGCTTGAACAGCGACCCCAGGCTTAGCGGCTCTGTCTGGAAGATGCGCTGCAGGAACGGCAGGTAGATGACACAGGCCTGCCCGGCCAAGGAGCCGAGCACCGCGTAGTTGAACATCTTGTTCCCGAAAAGTGGCAACTCTCCGCGCAGCACGGACTTGCCCTCACTGCGGCAGGTTAGAGCGTTGAACATGTCGAACAGGACAAAGCAAGTGAAGGTCATGGTGGTATCGTGCGCGGTGACCACGCGAGACCGTTTGCCCAGTGGCTGGCTGTCGTCCATGTCGCCCATCTCGTGTACGTAGATGGCGAGCGTGCCCAGCATTATAATCATTGCCGAGGTGAGAACTCGCTGGATAAGAGGTCTCGTCAGCACCCGCGCCGTCTTGGGTCGGGGCGGTCGGTTCATGATCAAGGGGTCCACGGGCTCGACACCCAGGGACTGAGCCGGTGGTCCATCCATGAGAATGTCTAGGGCGGTGGTAAGCAAGAAAGTCGGAAAAGACACAGGACAATGAATAATAAAGAGATAACTCACTGATCCACAAGATCTGCATCGCATTCAACGGGTTCTTGAATCCGAGGGTGGTGCTCAGCAGCACGAGACTGAGTGCAGCCACGCTGGTACTGAGCTGGAAGGTAATGAAGTTCTGGATGTTATAAAAGATCCCCTTGCCCTGCTCAATTGCACGGAGGATGGTCGAGAAATCGTCGTCGGTCAAGATCATGTCCGCCGCTTCCTTGGCAACATCGGTACCCAGCCTTCCCATGGAGATGCCAATGTCGGCCTTCTTCAGGGCGGGCGCATCATTGACACCATCGCCAGTCATGGCAACCACGTCCCCACGGGATTGAAGTGCACGCACAATCTTCATCTTGTGGTCTGGACTCGTGCGGGCAAAGATGGAAGTGGTCGAAATCGCCTGGGCGAGCTCGCTGGTGCTCATGTGGTCCAGTTCGTCACCTCGAAGAACGGACCGTGCACCGGCGGATTCATTGACGGGCATCCCAAGCTTCTTTGCAATGGCAACGGCCGTGGTTTCGGCATCCCCAGTAATCATCAGAATCCGGACGCCGCCGGAAATCAGTCGTCGGATCGACCTGTGCACATCCCGACGCGGTGGATCATTCATGCCCACCAGCCCAGCAAAAACTAGCCCGGTATATCGGTCGTCCTCATCGATCTCGCTGGTTTTCGAAACAGGTGTCCCGGACCGACTGCCGAAGCCCCTTGGGCTTCTAGACGGGTCTCGTACGGCTCCACTGGCAAAAGCGAGAACCCGGAGGCCGTCTGCTGCCATCTGCTCCGCCGCCTCTCGGATGACCTTGCGCCGGGGCTCATCCAATATGACCTCCCGACCATCCTTGGTCAAGTATGTATCCGAGCGCGCCAAAACCTGCTCAAGAGCCCCCTTGATGTATGCAACATTAGAGCCACCAGCGGCTGAGAGAGAAGAATCGCTGGCTGAGCCACTGCCAATAACCACGCCCATCCACTTCCGCTCCGAACTGAATGGTGTTTCGGACACACGAGCACTAATGCGGTCGCGCACGTCATCCTCAGCCAGAGTGTCCAACAAGTCCAAGATGGCCACATCTGTAGGTTGGCCGACCCATCGACTCTTCGCAGCACCCGAGTCTCTATCAACGGTCGATGAAAGTACTGCCGCGGAGGAGGCGGTGGCTGGCGAGTTTGCATGCATCCGTGACAAGCGAGCATTATTGGCAATATTACCTATACGGAGAATAGTTTTCGCCGCTGGACCGGGGGATACCACCGAGGCAATATCGCGCTGAACTTCGAAGGGCCCCGCGCAGTCAAAATGCCACATCTTGGTCACTGTCATGTGGTTGAGCGTCAAGGTACCAGTCTTATCGCTGCAGACAACATTGACAGACCCAAGAGTCTCCACGCTGGGAAGCCTGCGCATGATCGCACCTCGTTTGGCCATGCGCAACACGCCGAGGGCGAGGGTCACAGTCACAATGATGGGCAGACCTTCTGGGATTGCTGCGACCGCGAGCGAAACACCAATCGTGAACATCTCAAGAAGTTTGCGACCCTGCAAGAGGCCAATCACCACGATCAACGCAATCACGCCGAACGAGATGTAACTTAGTTCCTGGCCAAGTCGATCCATGGAGAGCTGCAACGGAGTCCGAGGACTCTCAATCTCCTGTAGGGAAACCGAGATACTACCGAATTCGGTCTTTGCACCTGTCGATATCACAATGCCCTGTCCGTACCCAGAGCGGACCAGTGTTCCCATAAATGCGATGTTGTGCTGTTCATTCAGCCGAATATCAGCACCAACGGCTCCAGTGGCCGGCGCATCGTAGAAGGGCGATCGAGGCGGGCCAGTTGCTTTCAGCGCTTGAACCGGCCCACCGTGTGTGCTGCGGAGTGCCGCTGCAAATTTCCCCACAGGCTCATTCTCGCCAGTCAAGTTCGATTCGTCGATGCTAAGATCCGTTGCGAGGGTGATCCGAATATCGGCTGGAATACGGTCTCCAGTAGAGAACAAGACCAGGTCACCGGGCACCAGTTCATTGGCGGGGACAGTGGTCGACGCCTTCACCGCAGAGGACGCCGCACTGGGGCTCTTGCTCCGGAGCTCTTCCATTTCCTCACCGGGGCCTGCAGCGTGAATACTTGCAGTGTCAATTGTGGAACCTGTCGAGGGGATGTCACGGATTAAATGGGCATAGTGTGGCACCAGACGACTTAGAGCCTCGAGCGACTTCTCCGACCGATATTCTTGAACAAAGCCGACCGTCACAACGATTGTCACCGCGAGAGTAATGCTGACGGCATCATCGTAATTGCCCATGACGAACGAAATGGCGGCGGAGGCGAGGAGAAGGAGAATGAGGGTTTCCCTGAACTGCTTGAGAAACCGCAGCCATAGGGGTTCCGGTTCTTCATGGGGGAGCTCGTTGGGGCCATCTCGAGCGAGGCGTACCTCTGCCTCGGCGGGCGTTAGGCCATGCAGAAGGGAAGTGCGTAACCGTTCGGCAGTCTCATGAGGTTCGAGCCACGAGTATGTTGACGTGGACGTCTTCGAGAAACGAGTTAATCTGTCAGCGACCCGACTATTCAATCGACAATGCGGGTTGGGGGCCGGGAAAAAAAGAAAAGAAAACTGCGAGAAGACTGTAGACCGTGTAGACTTACCGACGATGGGGCATTTGGCCGCCCGCCTAATGAAGGCGTAGAGCGAGGTCGTGGAGAGCTGGGCTTTGGTGCATTATGCAGCGGGAGTGCGGGTGTCGCCGACCTTGACATCTCTCATGCCTTGACAGACGGGAAACGACAGAGAAGAAGTGGAGGGTAGAGCAAAGAGCGCGTTAGAGGCGTCGCAGAATGATGGTCATCCCGTCTGGACTGGAATTGGCGGAGCAGACGACGTTCCCAGATGCGATCTGGCAGCAGCTTCGAATGGGGGTTAGAATAGACCGATGGATCCAAACCAAAGACACACCAACAAATTGACTCACAAGACAAAACAAAAGCCCAGAGAATAAAAGACGCTCAAAAGTAGCGCTCGACTCCGATTGCCGCTCTTTAATTGCTTTGAAGACGGGGCAACACAGGATCATCCGTTGCGAAGAGGCCAAGTCCCATGATGATGCTTTACCCGTTTGAGGCTAGCGGCCCGGAGGTCTGGTTGATCCGATGTAACCACTTTGGGACTAGCCGTCCGCTTAACTATACATCCAGGATACCTTACCTACAAGGCAGGCTTTCCAGAATGAGGTACTATTGCAGCCTCTCGGGGATATTATTACTTACTATCCTTCATCTATAGTGAGCATAAGTTTGATCGCGGTGAGCATTGTAAAGGATTCTCTCACCCCCTACTCGGCGCTGGCCATCGTTCTATCAATAAATGTAGTTTCTCTTCTTCAAGTGGTGACTAAATTGAGGTTGAGCGGTAGGCGGCTACTATCCCTGTTAATTAGTAAATTTATTAATACTAAAACTAATTATTCATATGATGATAGGCTTTGATAGGGATGTATTAGAGGTCTATGATATAGATTAGGAGGTTAGGCTTAGGCCTACAATTGGGCTCTACGGAAGTATATCCCGACAACGGACCAGTAATGCTACTTACTAGGTAGTGAAAGTTTCATCATAATTCGCTCGAGTAGTTAGTTAGCATGCCGTACATATCCGACGTGCTTTGTCTCATCTATATATATATATAAATCTCTTCTTTCCCTCACACTCCTGGCTTCACCTCTCCCAACTTCTATTTGCCAACTATTACTGCCTGGGAGCTAATGTCAAATTCTACATTGAACAACTACATCAAGTGACCAGTCATTGATCTGAGATCTTCAACATGTCCACGCTTGCCGGGCTCGGCCCAGAGTTATTATCATCAATATCAGACTTTCTTCCACCCGTCGATCTATATTGCTTTTCTCTTTGCAATCGTCGACTCTATTGGTTGCTTTCGAGGCGAATAAACCTGTTACCCCCTCTCGCACCCAAAGACAAGTTTTCGATCTTAACCTGGTTAGAACGAGACATTCCACCCTACTTCGCGTGCAATGCTTGCAATCTGCTCCATCGGTATGATGGATCCGAAAGTTTTGGGCTCAGTGGATATCATCGGGAGAGAACTTGTCAACTACCGTGTGTCCAGCATTGCCCTAGGCCAAAACATCGGTTTTCGTCACCGGATACTCTAGTTATTCACCCCCAGAATCCGATTTTCTGTACCAAGAAATTTTCTTTTCTCCACTTAAAGCTTGCTATGAGGAGGTTCTACTACGGTCCCGAATCTGGGATTAGCACCGGGTCCTTATCACATACACAAGTCACTGAATGCTATGCACGGCCTCAGAGAAAGGAAGTGATCTGGCTATTCTCCCGAGACACACAGATATGCACGAATCCCCTCGGTCCTTATATCAGGTCACAGGATATACTGCTCTCTTCGCAAGCATGCTATGGTCGATAAGCCATATCCTTTGTCTTTCGATCCGTTGATGGCGTGTCCACATGGAAGGGATTTGCGTCAACAGTTGACCCCTATCTTTAGGGCCATCGACACAGGAGAAAAGCACTTTTACTACTTTCGCCTCAAATTTAGGATCTGGGGCGCCTGCAATGTGTGCAACACAGATTTCCTGATCGAGTTTCGTGAAATCGACTCCAAAAATGCTCTTTTCATAACGAGATGGGTTAATTTAGGCCCTAGCCTTGACGAAAAAGACCCATTATGGACAGCTCACACCTACTCTCGCTATACGCCCTGTGACATATGGCGGATTTGATCCAGATTACTCCGTTGAGGCACAGAGTCCTAAGGCGCGCTTTGAGGAGACAGCGTCTCAGTCGTTGGAGGACCTACGCTCTCGCAATCTTTCCTATCTCCGAGACAGGCAGTACAGAAGAATCATGCGTTATGCAAATGATTCGCGTGCCTGGCACAGTCCTTTCAGAAAACCCTCGACCAACAGAATCGTTAATTTTGGGCGGTGCTTACTAGGGCTTTTGGGAATCTTTCCAGATCCAACATCAGCCTGAAAATTCACAGCCCGGTATCTGACTTACTGTGTCGATACAATTGTACCTAATGCCTATGGACTTGGTCGATACTGCCATGGGCGAGGTTGTAGGAGCATGAAGCCCAGCTCAGATTCTCGATCATCTCTTCTTTTGCTTGTCCGTTTGAAAGATAACTCGTGTGCTTCGTTTCTGCTGTTCTTTGGCAGCCTTTTTCTTTTGGAAAAAAAAAAATCACACCAAGACCAGCTTCGAATTCGACTCTGGCCATGAAGACCTATACTCACCCTCTCCTCCTCCTCTTCTCCCTCTCCCTGGTAAGCGATATTTATACGTTGCTTGAAGTTGAAGGTATCTCGTCGAATTTGTGGGATTTCTCGCAGAAGATTTACTTTATTATCTACCGAACCACCCCATCGCGCAATCTCACTATATACATTGTCTCGAAAATATGACTTGTAGGCCTGAAAAGGCGGGCCGATAGCTGTAAGCGACTCGCCACATTCGTCGACTGGATTGCATCCGCACCCAGGTTCAAACGCATCGTCACACTCCGCCAGAAGCCGGTTAGTAATAAGCGGTACTGCAGCCTGATCGGTGCTCAGCCGAAGAGCCGGCCGGATCCAGGAGTTTTTCACTAGCCTGTCCTGCAACGCAGAAACCCAGTCATTAAATTTGGCCTATGCGTCTGGAAGACCGTTATTGGGCAAGGCAGAGGTATGAGCTGCTAGACCGGAGACTAGCGGCGTAGAAAAGGAGGTTCCGCCCTTCTAATCTGTGTCTAGCGTTTCGTCCCGTCGGGAATCTCCTTGGGATAAACCTGTTTTTCGTATTTCATTCCATAACTAACTACCCAAAGACCGTCTGGAGAAGCATCTTTCGAAGTAATAACGCGATTTCTATACCTACCACTTATACCTACTACTTTTATATTTAGGATATCATTATTCTATAAAGACGGATAAGAGTTAATAGCTATATCCTCCGACTTTTCGATAGCGAAGTTTACATTATCTGCTCCGGCGAAGATTGGCGCTAGTGTAGCGAGATCCTTTATTCGCTGCTTAAACTTAGGCTTTAACTTTGCCGTTATATCACGTTCTCTCAAGGCAATTTTAACAAATATCTTTTTTTTAAAGATAACAGCTTTTAATATCTTTAATTATTAAATCTAGAGCTTCTAGAAAGTTTTAATTATAGAAATCCTTCTAGTCCTTAGATATAGATAACGGGTATCTTAGAACAATTACTTTCCCCTATATAGCAACCTTCACAATCACTATTTAGGTGTTCTTCGCGATACCGAAAATAGGCACCGCTAGGAGCGATACTATATAATTTCTATAGTCACTCGGATTATTCTTCGCGTTATCACGGTTTAGGGGCTATATTATAGAAAGCAACTAGCGTGGTATTTTTTTTCAGATCTTTAATTTCCGGGATATACTTATCTAGACCACTGTCGATTGCATAGATCGGTATGCCTTCGTCAGAGGAGTCGTTGTATTAGTGGCGGTATAGTTCCTTAAGCAGTACCTTGTTTCGATTATTCGTCCGCTTTTGCGAGATACTGGCCGGGTAATAAAAGTCATTTTTCCGAGGGACCAGCTTACGTTCGAAGAGTTGTGGTGAACCCAGGTCGTTGAACACCTTGTCAAGGCCTTTCTTGGGGTTCAGAGATCGTTTGGACTGATAATAGGGAGCAGCATTGACGATAGAAATACTGAGTGCGAAAGCCGCAACGGGCCAGGCCAAGAAAGTCGTCACACGCATTTTTTTTTTCTCGGTCGGCAACCCTGCTCCCCTTTTCTACCCTTTATCTGTTTCCCTTGGCCGATCTACAGGGGACTTAACTTGGAGGGAGCCACACTAGGCCCGCTGGTCACTTCTTCATTTGACTCGGGGCAAGAGAACAGCCCACATAAAGTTCAAAGAGTAGGGGGTATATATTGAGGGGATTGTGTCAACTAACGTGATTCACTAGCGACGCAAGTTTTAGACTGTACGGCTAGATACTATGTAACCGGCAATTTATGAAAGGGGCCGGTTATAGCGCAAACTTTGACCCTAGACTTTTCGCTACGTCATCGTATACCATAAATAACTGATAAACATGATTCATCAAAATAATACGGGAACATTAATAGACCTAATATTGTGTATTAGCCCTTAGCGCGTAGCACAGATTCGATCCGGCGCGGCATAGGCCTGATAATGCGGTCAATCTTCGATTGCTTAATACCCTCCTACGTATTGGTGATTGTAGAATGGAACTGTTCTTAATCTATCTGAGCTCTACCCCTAGTGGCGAGCTGGGGATAAAGCTTCCCTAGCCAAATTTTCAACAAATTCCACATGTTTTCAAAAGGTTTCAGGTCAGGCGAATTAGGGTGTTATTCCATTACCTAGACTCTATATCTTTCGAACTAGTTTTTTACTATATCGGACTTATGAATCGGCGCATTATCTTATTAGAAGATAGATCTAGGTTCGTAGATAGGCTATAGGCCCTCCTCGAGGGCAGCGATAATAAATACGTTAAATACCCCTCTCGAGGGGCGTTTTCATCCCGCTCTATAAAGACTAATTTCGATCTACTATTAACCTATATAGCCCCCTAAATTATCTAGGATATATTCTTCCCCTAATTGACTAGATTGATGAGATTCTTTCGGTATATCTTATTAGTAAATCGGAAGATAAATTAGAAGAGTAAATTCGATCGCCGCTATACTGAGTATTCATCCGAAAAGATGATTTTATTCTATATATCGAAACGCCGCTATTACCGCGTAAAGGCGAGTCTTCTTTTGGTGTCCTTGGGCTTTAGGAAGTAGCGCTTCCTACGGCGCTACTTTCTAATATTTAATTTGCGTAGGATACGCTGTAATGTTGAGAGAGAGAGATAGATTTAGGTGCTTCAGCAATCAGGGCGCGCTAGCTCATCAATAGGTTTCGCCTAACCATACGAAAAATATAGCGAATTGCTTGTGGGGATAGCTTCTATGGCTTGCCTTTCCTAGGCTTCAAGGCCAAATCTTGTTATTGCTGGAAGCGCTTAACTATACGATAGACAGTACTGCGGCTGATGCAAAATTCCCGGGCGATTTAGGCTGGTTTTTGACCATGTTCTACCGCGTAAACAATCGCTGAGCGGATGACTTCCCGTTCCTCCGGGGTCATATAATATCACCTGATCCGTCCTCTTGTTAGTTGGGAATAGCTTCATACCCCATCATCTTCATAAACCCTTTACAGCAGCAGCCTAAGGCTCACTATGTACTAGTATGCTACCTTCGTGATCAGAGTATATATAGAGACGCAGGCAGGCCCCTTTACATATATAGGTCGATATTATACACGAATACGGTATTTTCGCTATTAGCTCGTACCACCGTGCGTTAGTTTCGAAGACACATCCACCGAGAGAAGTAGGAACGGAGAGGTCGAAGATAACGACAACGGCTAGCTAAAGGCGCTCGAGAACAAGAAGCTAAAGACCGATATACAACCCTAGGGGCTATGCAATATAACCCCCCACAAAGCGAGATGTGCGAAGCTGAAGATACCCGAGACGCTACCCTAAGACCGTGCGAAGAATATCAGTAGAATAAGACATAGATATTCAGCGAGCTTTTCTCAAGAACAAGCACTCGACGAAAATAGCTTTAGAGCGGCCAGAGACGGCGCTAATCCAAAACAGGGGCCTAGGCGAGGGCGCTTTACCGGAAAAGGCAGGAAAAGGCAAACCTAGGCAGGCGGTCGGGAGAGACAGAATGACGGTGCAATAGGAGCCGTTTCTAGCGGCCCGCTCACCGTGTCAACTTATACTAATATCAAAGTAATTATATAGGAGGCTTTGCTTTTTCTAGTTCATTTTCTAATTATTTTCTAAGTAGTTTTCTATTGTTATGCCTTCGAAAACAACAAAAACCCAGCTGACAAAGCTTGGCAGTGCGCCTACCTAGTATTTACTGCTGCACACGTGACCCGTACATTCCCAGCCCCCTCAATTAGCTCAGCAAGAATCCGACGAGGCTGGGACTCTCCCTGGTTTGGCGCCTGACGACGCGCATCCTCGTTCTTTTTGGTTTCTCTGCCAACTCCAACTGTTATCCCTCGCGCGCATATCTCCAACCCCCATGTGGATATAACCCAACCTTTGGTGTTCTTGGTGATTCCTCGTCTCCCTGGCACACTATCTCTCTCCACGAATTTGTTGGGACCGTGAGATCTCGCGCCCGAACTTTTTGTTTTCCCGGCTTTTTCGCGTCACCCCCTTCCACGCCACACCCCGCGCCGGGCGGGTAAAATCTTCTTTTACTCTCTTCGGCTTGAAGGGTCTAATATTTTTTTTTGTATACTATTTCTTTGTGACAGGTAGCGCCATGTTCTACTCCGAGACCCTCCTGTCCAAGACGGGCCCGCTGGCCCGCGTGTGGCTGTCTGCGAATATCGAGCGCAAACTGTCCAAGTCACACATCTTGCAGTCGGACATCGAGAGCAGTGTCAGTGCCATTGTCGACCAGGGCCAAGCGCCCATGGCTCTGCGATTGAGTGGGCAGCTATTGCTGGGTGTGGTGCGCATCTACAGCCGGAAAGCGCGCTATCTTCTGGACGACTGCAATGAAGCCTTGATGAAAATCAAAATGGTCCGTCCCAAACTCTCCATTTCTCCCAACTCCAACTAACATTACATCTCCACCAGGCTTTCCGTCTTACCAATAACAATGATCTGACGACTACGGTCGTGGCACCTGGTGGCATTACCTTGCCTGATGTGTTGACGGAGTCCGACCTTTTCACCAACCTCGACACGTCTCTTTTGTTCCCCCAGACCCTGAATCTGGAGCCGGAGGGCAAGCGGCCAGGTGCGATGGATTTTGGAAGTCAACTCCTTCCTGACAGCAGTTTTCGTCGCTCCGTCTCTCAGGAACCTGCACGTCTAGAAGACCCGTCCTTGGTTGATCTAGACCTGGGCGAAGATGAAGTTCCCCTTGGCAATGACACGACCATGGAAGTTGGCCGAGATGCTCCTCCGCCTCGTCCCATGGAAGAAGATCTTTACAGCGACGCCGGGAAGCTCAACGATGATGACGACTTGGGCCTGGACCTCGGAGAAGATGACGCTCCGCTTGACAAGATGGACATGGGCGATGATGGCCTTCATGACAACGTGAACGACCTTCTGCCAGATGGTGCAATGGACTTGGGCAATGACGACGATTTTGGCGGCCAGACTCCTCGTGCGGAAGAGAATCGGTTCAACCGGGATTCCGAAAGCCCGCTTTCGGATGCGGGCTCGGTTCAGATGCATCAATTGGAAGAAGAGTTCAACCTCGACCGCCAGGCAACCCCGGAGACCGAGCGCGCCAGCGCTCAGAATGCTCAGCGCACCAAGCGCCAAAAGCTCATGACGCTAGACAAGGACGTGGGCCTCTCCAACAGCAAGATTAAGGAGCAGCAGAATGATCGCTCGGAGATTTTGAAGCCCGCCACCTTTTTGCCTCGTGACCCTGTTCTGCTTACCCTGATGACCCAACAGCAGAATGGTGACTTTGTCTCCAACGTGTTCGGCGAGGGCCGCGGCCGTGCATGGGCACCTGAACTGCGAGGACTCCTCTCTTTGGATACTGTCAAGAAGTCGGGTGAGCTGAAGAGAAAGCGTGACAGTGGCATTTCCGACATTGATGTGGCAGGCGCCGACGTCCCGGCGCTGGAACTTGGTGAGGAGGAAGCTATTGTGCCGGTTGACGAGGGCATTGGCCTGGAAACGACCTTGAATCAGCGATCGGAGATTGAGTTCCCTGGCGACGAGGGGAACCATGACCTGCACTTGAGCGACGACGACGGCATGAACCAGCCGCTGGAGGACCTTGACGAGACGACCGCGCATCCCGTGGATAGCGAGCCTGTCTCAATGGGCACCAATCATGCCGTGCACATTCTGCGAGAGCGACTGGGCGAGTCGGCCGCGGAACAAAAGAAGGGAGTGACTTTCCAAGAACTTCTTCCGGAGCAGCGCTCCAGCAAGGCGGATGCTACCAAGATGTTCTTTGAAGTCTTGGTACTGGCCACGAAGGACGCGGTTAAGGTGGAACAGGGCTCCAAGACGATTGGCGGACCCCTCAAGATCCGTGGGAAGCAGGCGCTCTGGGGCTCTTGGGCTGAAGAGAATGCCGCCGGTGCCATGAGCCAGTTGAGCCAGGCACTGTAGAGTAGCCTCTCTTCGCCACCACACCAAAATATTTCTATGGAGAGGGTCCTATGGCCGCATTTTTCATTCGTGTACAGCTCTGTTTGGGATATTCCACTGGGTTGGAGACTCGGTAATTGAGTTTGTCTGGGGATAGCATCATTTGGATGACTATCAGGTGTTCTGGGGGAAACGGAGAAAAGGGGGTTTGGGCCATTGATGTTCTTGGAGGCTTATGCCACTTTTTGAAGCGATTGTGATGGGTTATTGGTAGCAAGATAGTTTAATTGAACATATCCAACAAGGACGCAAGGGAGTGTCGATCCACGCGATGGGCTGCATGGCCGTTGAGGCCAAGATTTGCCTTGGCACCGTTGAACTCTGACCTACATAGCACATCCATCCATACGGACAGTGCATCGGGTGTTAAATGTATTGCCCGAGAAACAATGAACAATCACATTGACGGGATGTGGAGACGATCGGGCTTTATGTAGTTCATGGTTCAATACAATACTACGTTAAGTAGATGGATACCTACACCGAAAAAAGTAGGGTTATCGCAAGCGAATCTCACTGGCCATAACGCCGGACCGGATTCAATTCGATAATTTCGATAGTTCGGCAGTGACTTGCATGTTCATGAAGAAGGAGGCCCAAATTCTGGCGATCCTTCGGCCCCCACTTGACATCGGCCCGACCACGTTCAAGCTCTGATTGCTCAGCTCGGCCTCGGGGCTTACATATTTCAAATTTGATGTGCCGATCAAATCCACAGCTTTCTCTCTTTTTTTGGCTGTTTATAAGTCTTGGATCCTTTCGCTTTTTCTCGTTCTTGATGTGGTAGACTGCCTCAACCATGAGTCTGAGCGATTCTACTCGCCACTCCCCCATGGATAAAGAAAACGCCATTGAGCCGGACCGATCGCTGAGCTCGAACGAGCTCGATCAGAACTCCGAGGAAGCGACCTTTGCACCGATCACGGGCTCGACCAACGAAGACCGGCGCAATGCGTCTGTTAAAAAACATCGCTCCAACACCTCCCGCTCGTTGGAACGCAGCTGGTCTTTAAATGACGGAACGAGCATCGGTGGCAATGACCCCGAGATGGCGCCGACTCATGAAGCCGGAGAAAAGGACGAAAGCTCGGAATATACTGTGGGCTGGGATGAGAACGACCCGATGAATCCGCGGAATATGAGCAAGGCCCGGCGATGGTTGGTGGTTATTATTGTCTCCATCGGATCGGTTTGCGTGTGAGTATACTAGATCCCAACGATAAGGGATTTAGCTTGCTTGCCTGTCCTGAAAAAATACAGACGCTGACTTGCCTAGGACTTGCACCTCCTCTATGTATACCACTACATACAGCCAAATCATGAAGGAATTCAACTGCTCCCAGTTGATCGCCACTCTCGGCCTGTCATTTTTCATTTGGGGTCTCGGTACGTCTCGACAATGGGTAAAAAGGCGACCTGTATCGTTATTGACTTTCGATTGTTCTAGGAATTGGTCCTCTGTTTCTTAGTCCTCTGTCCGAGGTTTGTTCAACGATCTAGCACATCGGTAGGAAAGGAAACTAACTTTCCCCAGTTCTATGGCCGCCGGATCATCTACATTTCATCATTCACCCTATTTCTGATTTGGCTGATCCCATGCGCGGTAGCCAAAAACATCGAAACCATGATCGTGTGCCGATTCTTCAACGGCCTGGCCGGGAGCGCATTTTTGAGCGTTGCCGGTGGAACAGTGGGCGATATGTTTGACCGACATGAACTTGCCTTTCCCATGATGCTCTACACTGCGAGCCCGTTTGTGGGGCCCGAAGTTGGTCCTCTGTAAGCTGCCCTTGTCCTTGGTGTAGCATTTCTCTAGGCTAACGAGGCAATCTGCAGCGTCGGTGGCTTCATCAATGATTTTACCTCATGGTAGGTTTCGTTGAGCTCTCGAGGGTGTTCGTTGCTCACATACACAGGCGTTGGACCTTCTATGTGCTCCTGATTTGGACTGCTGTGTTGCTCGTCTCGATGATTTTCCTTGTCCCGGAAACCTACCACCCAGTGTAAGTATCTTCACATTCTGGTTGTATTGGCTGTCAAATACTAAGCTATATGGATAGCCTCTTGAGGCACAAGGCGCAGAAATTGCGCAAGGAAACCGGCGACGACCGATGGAAGGCTCCGATCGAGAAACTGGACCGGTCAGTGGCGCAAACGGTTCTGCGATCCATGTACCGCCCCGTGCTTCTCCTCGCCATGGAGCCCATGTGCCTGAATCTTTGCATTTTCTCGGCCATCCTGCTGGGTATTCTTTACCTCTTCTTCGGAGCGTTTCAGCTAGTCTTCAGCAACGTATATGGACTTGGGCTCTGGCAGCGGGGCCTGTGCTTTATCGGTCTCTTTGTTGGCATGGTCATCGCTATTCTGACGGATCCCATCTGGCGCCGGAATTATATTCGCCAGGAGCGCAACCACGAGAAAGCTACGAATAAGATCAATGACGTTCAGCCTGAGTGGCGATTGCCCCCAGGTAAGTCCTGGATACGTTTGGCGAAGAGACCGACATCTGACTTTTTGGTATAGCAATCCTGGGAGGACCTTTGGTCACGATAGGGCTTTTCATCTTTGCCTGGACAATTTACCCCGACGTTCACTGGATTGCGCCCATTATTGGTAGCGCCCTCTTTGGTGCAGGGTAAGATCGCTGGCATCTGACCTGAATTCCCTCAGCTGCTTCTAAAATCATTGAGCTGGAGGGCTTCTGTGGATGTGTGGTGCTGATGAGTTGTGTTACTTCTAGGACAATCCTGGTCTACTCGGGAATCTTTACATTCCTGGTCGATGCGTACCCTACCTTTGCCGCCAGTGCCCTGGCGGCCAACAGCTTCACTCGATCAACCTTTGGAGGCATCTTCCCCTTGTTTGGGATCCAAAGTAAGTTTGTCCCGTTGCTATTTCCATGCCACAGCCAGGGTGGAGTGCCCGTGCTCTCGTATGCAGTGCATCCTTGTAGCCGCGGGATCGATGCGCCGTGTGTCGAACAGGCCGTTTTGGCATTTCTTGTCTCATACCCTGGAGCTTTGGGGTTCTTTTGGCACGTCATCAAGTCACGACCCTTCTCGCTAACGGCCCTGCAGTGTATAACAACCTTGGGTACCACTGGGCCACCTCTTTGTTGGCGTTCCTTACCCTAGCCATGACCCCTTTCCCGTAAGTCATGACTTGATTTCTTTAATTGCTTGCGCTTTGACCCATGCATTGCAAGCCTCGAGAGAAGGTCCTGGAGAGCTTGACATCTCAACTGCATGCGGCTATGGCATCAAACCACCAGACACTACTTCTGCATCGCGTCGTTGTCATGCTTTGAATTTGCTGGATGAATTGGCTGATTGAAAATACTTCTCATGGTCAGGTACCTCTTCTACCGGTATGGGAGCCGAATCCGCCAGAAGAGCCGATTCGCGAAATCGCAGATATGATGTCACGGCCGTCGAGATCCAAAAATGATCTTCATTGCATATATTGTTGCGCCTATTACACCTTCTACTTAATACTCTAATCTAGCCGAGCGGTTTGGCACCGGGTTTCTGGGGGACACCCGCAGATCTGTCCTCGGCGCCGATGCAGCTCAACGCTCCTCCCCAGCCGGTCTTGTCTGGATCTTGTGCAAGGTACACAGAATCCTTGGACTCCCGTGACTCTGCATCAAGAACTCTTGGGCCTAGCAGTTCGAGAGAGAAAGAAGAGGATTGGGCTGTGACCAGGATCCAGTCCCAACCTCCCCTTCCAGTTGTCCCGCCTGCAGTTGGGGATGCAACGCCGATGACCCCAGAGAGACAACAGGGACTACTGCGAGCAAGTGAGAAGCTGCTCTGTACATTCTTTTTTTTTCTTTCTTCTTTCTTCTAGACCTTTTAAGAAAAAATACATAGATTATATTCAGTCGTTTCGACAGCACTGGACACACATCCATGAATAATATTATCATTTTCAAGAAATCTTTCCATATTACCGCGACACTATAGTCATAGAGAAAGAAAGATGCGCAATCTGACTACACCTTGCGCAAGGACCCCGTCCAGAATCCAATTCTCCGACGGGCCTCCCCCGGCACCTCCAGTCCAGTTGCGAAGGATACGAGCGTCATGTGGTCTTGGTTTCTGTTCAGGTGCAATCATCCCCAAGTACTAATTGAGTGATTTCTCCCATATAGTATCAGCTACTGTATAGAAAGGGACTTCATGGTTTGTGATAATGCCGAGGCATTTTTTCGCGCAGACTTGGAGTGCCTCGGAAGAAAACGGGAGCGGGGGAAGGGAGATTCCGGGAGCACAAGTATAGTTGGCGACATGCGGGGGAGAAATTTAGGAGATTTCTGGTTTCCACTATGAGGCACTTTTTTATTTCATTTGTTTTTTTTTGCCAGGGGGAAATTCTCTGACCAGTTATGACTGAGGTATAACACCATCACATACATACATACATATCCTCTCGCCTGCCGAGAGATATGTACCAGAGCACGTGCGCAACTGCCTGGCACGGTCAATTGCCGATCTGGAAATTACCGAATGCTGAAATGTTGTGGGAGGTACGAGATGCAGCTGTGCATATGTAGAGGCTGTCAGTATGCCGAAGGTTTCGAGGATTTCAGTATTTTATGGGGCTGGCTGAAGCTATAGATGCTATGGGATGCATGTGAAGAGGCTCCGATGACCTCATTTTCCCGTTCATTCAGAGTACCTAGTGAGACTGCTTCAGCAAATAATTATTCCATGAATCCTAAGGAATAGAGGTACCTAGGAATAATCGCGTTGACTCCCCAGTACATCGAAATGATTTTATTACGTGTACTTGGAGTCGCGTAAATTACGAAGTATATCCTGTATGACCTCAAGACGCATCCAGGCCACAATCAAAATGTTGATCTCTGCAAATATCTCATGAACATATAGATCAGTATATGGCCTTTCTTTTATTGACCAAATATACTTCCATAGCAAATCAAGGACGTGCATTGCTTTACAATCGGCCTACGAGCTGTCGTTGCTTAGACTTCCAGTCACGGGAACATTCCGATCGCAGTCATCCACTTCTTCATCTGTTCCCCCGCTGACGTGCCTTGCCCTTGACTCTTTTTTCTTTCTTCATATTTTCTTTTCTTGCGCCTCTCCTCTCTATCTCCAGTCGATTCTCTGCCTCTCCTCTCCCCTCATCTATCCAGTAATCATTGCCGCCCTTCCCCGCAGCCAAGTCTGCCTCTCCACTCCAATTCAGCCCCAAAACCGTTGCGGCATTTCATTTTTCGCCGGCGCCGAATCCCCAGATCATACCGACCTCCTTCGCGATCTTTCAATGTGTCATATCACCGTGGTCCCGCCTTATATCAAGTCGATCGTGCCCCGTTACACCCGTACCTTGATCGGACGGCTTTCCGTTTCCCCGCCAGTAGTTGTCGCGAGCGCGCCACAATAGGAAGCAAGGTCCGAGGCCATTTCTACGTGATTTGGACGGACGCGAAGAGTCGACAATCCTCATTCGCAACTTGCGACTTTTCTTTTCTTTTCTTTTCTTTTTTTTTCCCTTTGGCCTTTTTTTTTCTCTGCAAGGTCGGCAGAATCGCGCACACGTGGAGCCGCTTACCCCGTCGAGATCGAGATCGAGGCACGCGCATGGTACCGTTGCCGCCAATCCGTCTTAGTCGCATCTCCCAGTAAAAACGCCACACCAGAGCGTTCACGTGGGCTTTGGATCGCAAATTCCTTAACGATTTTGGACGCGTTTTCGAACCACCTGTCGCGGGATACATGCCAACATGAGTGTGGATGTCAAAAACGGTTCCCCGGTTCCAACAGACCCAAGTGGCGGGGATCGCGACTCGGTCGATGCGACTGAACACTCGGATTTTCTAGATTCCAAGGCAATGGCCAACGGCGATAGTGGCAAAGCGGGGAATAGTCGCAAAGCGACTAATGCCAAGGATCCTTCACGACCGCGACGGAAGAAGGCTCGGCGCGCTTGCTTTGCTTGCCAACGAGCCCATTTGACTTGCGGTATGAACAGCATTGAATCTTAGCCAGTTCTTGATTTCGAACTGAACGTTTTTTTTAATCTGTTTTAGGTGACGAGCGCCCATGTCAACGCTGTATCAAGCGTGGTCTGCAAGATGCATGTCACGACGGTGTTCGCAAGAAGGCCAAATATCTCCATGATGCCCCAGATGGGGCGTTGATGCCCGGAGTAGGAGGCGGTCTCTACAACAATGCCTTGCCAAATAACATGCCCGTATCCCGGAACGGCGCCAACCCAGTTAACACGAACTCTCAGCCGCCGCCGAACACCAACAACAACTTTTTCCCGCCTCAGCCGCAAGCCCAGCCCCAGCCGGGCTCTTACAACATGTACCAGGATCCTCCCATGAGCCAGAGCCCTTTCACCACGCAGTCTCCTGTTTCGCCTACATTCAATTTGAAGACCAGTACAAATGGTCGAAACCCCAGTCATTCATCTACAGTGAACCAACCTACACAGACCAACGCGCTCTCTGGTGATACCAGCCAACCTCAGAATCCATTCGCAGGGCCGTTCTTTGATCCTAGTGACCCGGCACTCTTTAACTTTGACCTGTCGAGCATGAACTTTGAAAATCGCTACGGCGCGTTGGAGTTTGGAATGCTGGGGCATATGGCCACCGGAGCTGGAGACTCGCCTAGTGATTCGGCAACGCAACGGGGGTCGATCGGCCGCAGTGGGTCTGCACAGTTCTCCACGCCAGCTCCCGGCTTTGGGGAAAGCCCGGGGAATCAGCAGCCTTTCATTTTTGGCGATCCGTTGCTCAATGACTGGTCGACCGGACAGGCCTCGGGCCATGTGAATGTCGGCGGTGTATATGGCCCGAACGGTATGCTTCCCGGGCACATGAAACCAGATGCACCTCATGCCTTTGCCATCGAGAGTGGGCCTGCGAACTTCACCAGTCCCGGCTCAGCCACCAGCCCGCATGTTGCTACGACAGGCTTCGATGATGGTTCGTTTAACAATGTCGCTCCCAAGTCAAACAGCCTGGCGCCGAACGGACAACGGCCTATGATATCTACACCGAGTCTGAAGCATCAAAGCCTCCAAGTGGGCCCTAAACGGCGCCATCGCAACCCATCTTCGATCTACGAAAGCGTGAAGGAGCCATACGCATACACGAGTGGCTTCCATAACCTGACCGCGTTCATCCAACGGCGCTTCTCCCCACAAAAGACTGTCCGGATCGCCAAGTCGCTGGCATCCATCCGGCCTTCGTTTATCGCCACGACAAAGACACTCAACCGGGATGATTTGATCTTCATGGAGAAATGCTTCCAGCGAACACTCTGGGAATATGAGGACTTTATCAACGCCTGTGGCACTCCCACGATTGTCTGCCGACGCACTGGGGAGATCGCCGCGGTGGGCAAGGAGTTCAGTATCCTGACCGGATGGAAAAAGGACGTGTTACTGGGCAAAGAGCCCAACCTCAATGTCAACACGGGAGGGCCGACAGCACCACAGTCAGGCGCGACGTCCCGTGGCAGCTTCACGCCGCGCGGCTCGACACTGGAGAATTCCAGCGGGCGCCCGCAGCCGGTGTTCCTGGCAGAACTCCTCGACGACGACAGTGTGGTGGAGTTCTATGAGGACTTTGCACGATTGGCGTTTGGGGACTCTCGAGGTAGTGTCATGACGCGGTGCAAGCTGCTTAAGTACAAAACCAAGGAGGATATGGAAGCACAGTCTGACGACAGCAAGTGGAACAGCCACTTGCGCAAGGGTGGGATTGCTGGCGAGGCTGGGATGAACCAGCTGGGATTCAAGGACGGCAAGGTTGAATGCGCGTACTGCTGGACAGTCAAGCGAGACGTGTTCGACATCCCGATGCTCATTGTGATGAATGTAAGTGTTTCCTACCGCTTGAATTTGACTATGGATTAACCGATTGTGCAGTTCTTGCCGTGCATTTGATCCTTTATATGCCTGGGATCGCGGTTTTATTTTCTTCCTCTTTTTCTTTTTCTACTTCTCTGGTATATATATTTCTTTTCTTTTTCTTTTTCTTTTTTCCTGGACTGTGTGATTCCCCCTGTTTTGTGTTTGAATTCAGCCCAAGTCGCCCTTGAAGTATTATGGGCTTCTGGTTTGCATATTCTTGTGGTACATATGTTGGTGTTGATTCACTTGGACTTGATTTGCCAGGGCTTGTTGATATATCTATTTTTCTCTCTTTTCTTTCCATTTTGCGGCGCTCAAAAGGGACCAAAAATGATATCTCTGGGATGGACCGGGTCTAGTGTACGAGGTATAATTTCATGATCCTGTCAAGATCATTATATTTTCTTTTTCTTTTATATTAGCATGAGCCAGCTATAGAGAATAGACAATTATAACTTGTATTTGTTCTGTGACTCGGTAGGATTCAACCCTTGGTTATCAATAGGGTATGAAAAAGATTATCCTACCAACGTCTATAAACAGTCTATGTTTTCCATCTGAAGGGTCATATTTCAGCAAACCCCAGGCGAATATAGTTGGCTGGCATCTACTCCAGTTTGACGTGAGACAATTCATCCCTCCTGTCGCTTATAGTCGGAGTGAACACTTCTGCTGCTGTTTACAAATTTCGATTGACATTCTATGATTGTATATTTGACCTAAGGAGCCATTCGAAGGTTAATATGCATTGAATATTTAGGGCTATAGTTTGGAATGGTCGAGATTTGTGCTGGTAGAAATTTCATTTTTCTCAATGATTCATTCCTCACAGTTTCTAATTCTTGATAGCAACTTCAATTATATATAATAACGTATTAGACTATGTGCTATAGACTGTATTTCCCACATGAAAAATGAACGCATTCAAGCTTTTATACTCGGATGGCTGCCTCAGGTGTCAATCTTATCGATAAACCCCACCGTCAGTCCATCAGCTCATCAGCTCTCTCATCTTCGACCTCGATCATCCCATCCTGGCCCGCCATGCGTCCCGACAAGCCGCGCGATCCCGTTACTGGCCCCGATACTGGGCCTGAACCGCCATTTCCTGTGCGCCTGTCCGGACCGGTGATCAAAGGGTTTGGCCGAGGGAGCAAAGATGTACGTTCCGCGTGGCCGTGCATTGCGATGCATGCGACAGCAGGCTGATCTCAACCCGTGCAGCTAGGAATCCCCACTGCCAACATCCCCGCCGATGATCTGTCGGAGAAATACCCGGACTTGACAACGGGGGTCTACTATGGCGTGGTTTCGTTGGATCCCAAGACGTTTGTGTATGATGGGGCTCCGAGCGACGCAGCCACGCCTACGATCCTCCCCGCGGTGCTGAGTATCGGATATAACCCGTTCTATAAGAACACAGTGCGGTCGGTGGTATGTATTGCTCCTTGTACTTGATCTTGCCATGATCAACTTCATTGTCAATTTCGAAATGCGTGGGATGATTGGCTCATTGTCCTTCCAGGAAATCCACATCATGCCTCCTCTTGCTCAGCCATCTCCCACTGCTGAACAAGCCAATTTCAATCGCCTGCCAGACTTTTACCAGACGCAGCTGCACTTGCTGATCCTGGGCTATATCCGGCCTGAATACGATTATATTTCGCTCGAGGCCCTCGTCGAGGATATCCGGGTGGACTGCGAGGTTGCGCGACAGAGCCTAGAGCGAGAGGCATACCGGCGCTATTTCAGTGAGGAAAACCCGGCGTCGGAACCAGCCGACGAGGATCGGCAGTGGCTGGTGAGGTTCGACTAAAGACGCATTGATTTGGCGCGATTAGCGGGTGCATTGCGGTTTCTCTGTCCAGTTCTGTGAATATATATATATATATTTTTTCTCTTAGATTCACCAATAGATTGGATATAAAGCTACCTCGATATACTCATCTACATAACTACGAGTAGAAGTAGTGAGTCAGGTACGGCATGTAGAGATCTTATCGGGCTCGTCGACGTCACCCAAGAACCCTAAGCATTGGCATTTCTCAGGTCGCATTTCGCGTCTTGACCGATGTCATCCAAGAAATTCCTCTGTCTGCCATGAAATCCCTGGCTTATTTAAGAGCTTAGAGCGCATTGTTCAACTACTGATCGCCATCATCCAACCCCAAACATGGTCAACATCTTTCAACGCCTGGCTCGGCGCGCCCAGAGCCCCAGCAGACCAGACGCCGGCACCGAGGCTACCAGCCCGTCTATGCGCCGAACCCTTAGCATCAGCTCTGGCAAACGCAGCCGTCCTCAAGAGGAGCGTTCACCTCGCCATCTCATCCTGATATCCGACACGCCCGAGTTCGACCCGCATATCAGCCATCGGTTCCAGGCCGAGGGCTTCAACGTGTCATACCTCCCATTTCTGGGCAGCGGAGATGCCGAGAGAGACCGCAAGGCGCTGGAGAATGCAGTGCACGAGAAGGAAGATGAGCTGGAGACGGGGGAGCGGTATGCAATTGTTGGTGAGTGCCCAGCCATCCTTGAACTAGAGCTCTTACCCGGGAACATGCAAGAAATAACGTCCCACTAGCATACCACCGTCCGGCCTACCTCCTGCTCGCCGCCCACCATCTCACCATCAGCAACACTAACCCTTTCCCGCGGCTCTGCGCCTTGATTGCGTACTACCCACTTTCCTCGACCGACAAGTTGCCATTCAAGCAAAAAGAAGACGGCGCACCACTCGCGTGTTCTAACACCGCATCTATCTTCAACCCTTCTCCCACGGCCACTTACCTTCCAATCCAGATCCACCTACCGGGGCCGCTGGTACATTCCTGCACGCTGTGGCCGTGGGTCAGCCTCAGCGCATCTGAGGGCGACCTGACATACAGGAAACGGCATCGGTGCCATGTATTCGCGTATCCGGACGCAGATACCGGGTTTGCAGAGAACTCGGATGCTGTCCCGGAGTCTCCGGGTGAGCCATGTGAGGGTGGCGACCATGCAGATGAGATTAGCTCGCAGCTGGCATGGAGCCGGACGCTGGGGTGTCTGCGGCGTGCGTTTGGGGTTGGGAGCCATTGGGCCGTGGTGGATATTGAGACGGTTTGGGAGGAGTACTGGGAGCGCGTACTGGGCGAGTGGGGGGACCTGAAGCCGAATGAATATCGTGATTCGGGTGCTGCGGTCGATATGTTGTTGGCACCGGTCCTAAATGGAGATGACGAAGCACCGAGATGCGAGACTGGCGCATCGGTCCAATGTGTTCCCACCCGCGCTGGAGGTGAGTGTCCTTCTCGTTGTCCTCTCCCCGTATGTGTCTTATACATGCTGATCTTCGCAGGCTGCACCCCTTCCAGCCTCCAATCTTTCTTTGCTCACGTCTTTGTCCCCATCGGCCCTGTCAACCAACACATCCGTCTTTTGTCGCGAACCGTGGGCCCAGACCGTATCGTCGACGAGATTCTGCTGTCGTTCTGTCATACCGCAGAAATTCCATGGCTGTTGCCCGAGGTGTCGCCGACGAACCGCGACGTCAAAGTGGTGGTAGTCGTGATGGCCCGGTTCTGTGCGGGCCGTATTGCACAACAGAAACTGTACTGGGACCAAGCAGACGTGCTGGTGCAGGTTGGGTTGCTGGAAGCAGGATTCGTGCCGCAGGCGAAGGGGTCAGAGTGATTCTGATATTAATACCGGAGTGTTCACGGGGAAGAAAAAAAAAGGGACTCCGAGCGAGATAGTGTTACGACTGTAAATGTTTGAACTGCTTGGTCTTGTCTTTGGACGTGCCTCGCTGGGATATCAATCAACGCTATCACAATACATACATACACCTTTTTACAAAAGAACCAGCAAAAGGACTACTGCCGCAGCCCTAATGTAGCCCGCAACTGAACCAGATCCTCGCTCACGCCCCCGGCCTTGGCTAGGGTCTTCCGGCTAGCTTCCTGTGCCACGGGAAGGATGTCCTCAATGCGTGAGGCCGGGCTCTCCTTCGCCAGACCAGCTACCACGACACCTAGCAGGGTATCACCGGCGCCGTTGACACTGACAATATCGTGGGCGTCAAGAACAGCTGCAGGAGGGAAAAGACGCATATACACACCACCAAAGGGGGCATCTGCGGACAGTGATGCGCGGGCAAGGATATAGGGTGCGAACTCAGGGTCCGTCAAGCGGGGGTCACCAGGCGGAAGAAGTTGGGTCAGAAGGGCGCCGGCGGCCCCGAGTTTGGTGATGATATAGGGGATAAAGGGGAGGAGCTGGATGGTCTGTTGGGGGATGCCCTCGTCTACGAGGGCGGTGGAGGTCAGCGCGACGAGACGGTCGCGCGAACCTGATGCTGGCAGACACATGGCATCGACGAGGCGCCACCAGTCTGCAGACTCGAAGAGGAGCGCCTCGCATGCAGCGGTGTACATGGATGCCAGCTCGAGGCGGTTCGGACAGGCGAGGCTGATGGCGTGGTTAGGGACCGTCTGGGCAGCGCCAATGGCCGCACTGGAGCCGCCAGCGTCGCTGCCGAACAGTCGGCGGGATTTGGCTGTCGACACGGGCTCGAAAGCCACGCGCGCGCCGTGCTTGCGGGCGACCGCGCTCCATTTCGCGAGAACGTCTGATCGCCAATTGGCGTCGACGACGACCCAGCGGGGCTGGGTGCGTTGGATGAGCGGTTCCCAGAACCCGTCAAAGTCGAGCTGTTGCTCCGGGAGCTCGACGATCGCCATGTCGGCCATGGCCACCAGAAGATCTTTCTTGGCGTCGTTGACGGCGATATATTGAGCGGTGCGTATGCCGGCTGTTGCAGGAAGAACATGAATGCCCGCCGTATGTAGGCCTTCTTTCTCGAGAGTTGAAAGCGCCGCGCGGCCACTGAGGTCGTCTGCGACGACGCTGCAGAAGAGCACGTCACTGCCGACATAGCTTGCTGCGAGAGCGACGTTGTGGCCCACACCACCCAGGCTCTGTCCGATAACAGCCGGGTTAGACGTGTGCGGCACTGGCGCAACCTGGAAGCGCTCGTCGCCAAATGGAGTGTAGTCGCAAGACAAGTCGATGGCGAGCGAGCCGGCAACCAATACATCGGCCTTTTCCACCGACGCAAGAGGTGCAGCTTCGTTGCTTGGTTTAGGGCTCTCCTGGACTGGTGGAATATCTTGCTTCGGCTGAGCTACGTTCGGAACGGCTGGCATGTGTCTATAGAGAAGATCTCCGAACTTAGCATGGGTTGTTATCTTGCACTTATAGCACATCCCAAACTCACCGAGGTCCTGTTCCGCGGTCAGCCTGCTCGAGCTTGGCGAGCTCCACGGCCACGCGGGTTGCGCGCTGGACGTTCGATTCAATCAAAGCGCGGTTCGCTGCCACACTCTTCCCGCCACTCAATTCCTTAATCTTTGCAAGCACAAACGGGGTATTATCACTGCCGCCATATCCTTCGACATCGGCCAGGCGTACAGCCCCTTCGATGACAAGATCCATCTCAGCCTTCGGAACTGAGTATTCTGAAGGAACGGGGTTGGCGAAGTGGATCCCAGATGATACCGGAAGCTTGGATTGTGCATCTGACACATGCTATTAGCTCTCATGTCGAATTTGAAGCAAGCTGTCTGCAAAAGACTTACAGACTATGGCGGCAGCCTCGGCCTCGTTCTGGATGACCCGTGGGCTTCGGATGCCGCTCTCTCGCGTATAGAACGCGGGAAAGTCGACCGAGCCTTCCCGGCCATCGGCAAAGGTGCCCACGCACACCCCTTCTGTCTCAAGATACTCGAGCGTTCGTGGGATGTCCAAAAAGCTCTTACATCCAGAGCTGATGACCGTCACCGGGGTCCGGCCCAGCTCTGTCAGATCGGCTGGAGTTTCAAAGATATCAGTGGCTGATCGGTTGCTGATGTATGAGGCATCTTACCAGATATATCCATGGATCTCTCACCGCCACGGTGGACACCCCCTAGGAGATAGTCAGATATCAATTACTTGTTCATGGTTAGGCGTGGAATATACCTAGTCCTCCAGTCCCGAAGATCTTGATACCGGCAAGATGCGAGAGGACCATGGTGCCGGAGATAGTTGTGCCGCCATGGATCGGCTTTCCAGCCATGCCCTGGTAACAAATCAATGTCATGCCGTCAAGAGCCTCGAGCAGTGCAACTTACCAAACCGCAGATGTACCCAAGGTCTCGACGAGATACTTTCAAAGCACTCTTCTTCTCCGCCGTCGCGGCCAGCTCGATAAGCTCATCCGCACTCAGGCCAACTCGAGCAACACCACCGACCACACCCACTGTCGCGGGAATGCCGCCATTGGCTCGGACAACTGACTCCAACAGCGAAGCCAGGGCAATGTTGTCAGGGTATGGGAAACCTAACCTCCTATGAGCTAAAGCTGTTCTCGCTCTATGGGGACGAAGTCGACTTCTACTCCATCGCCGCTGGAATATTTACCGTGTGTATAAATGGTTGTCTCGAGAGCAACAACTGGGTTGCCCGTAGCCACAGCATCGCGGACCTCCTCCGACACCTTCAGGAACCTGCTTTGGGTCAGACCATGAAAGCCGCGAAAACGCGACAGCTGGGCTGTCCGCCAGCCAGACCGTACCGCAGCTCGAGCCAGCATGACTTGAGTATATTGACAATTCGGTGCAGAGTGGAGAGTCGCGAGATGAGGAGAAAGCGGGTTTATCGATAAGCCGGAGTGCGCGCGATGGCCGCTGCGTCCGCCGTATTGCGTATATGGGGACACCTCATCAGCTTCACCTGCTCCCTCTTCCTCCCCCAATCCCCGCCATCCCACTTTGCGTGTTTCTAGCTTTTGATTGGAGACATCTGTGTCCCAATTTCCTCAGCTACCATGAGGTTTTCCACCGCCGCGGTGCTCGGGCTGCTCGTGCCCGGCCTGAGCGCCATGTCTGTCATCCCGATTCAACTAGAGCTTCCCGTCGACTTCAAGCCCCCGCAGGTGTTCAAAAACACGAATCTGGTTCGAAACACCAACTTGGAGAAGGGGTACGTGCGGGAAACCGTCAATGTTGTCGTGGAAAATGTCGACAAGCAACCGCAAACCGACTACTATATCCCCTTCCCAGCTGAGGTGTTTGAACGAGTTGGAGGTTTCGAGGCGAGGGATAAAAATGCAGTGGACAAGGGACGGCTCGCGGTGGACACTACGGAGGTAGATTCGTTGAGGTGAGTGCTGATGGGGGAGGCCAATGGCATAGGGATTGTCGTATCGCCAGTTGGTGGGAGAAAACAGGACGAAAGCATGGACCCGATTTTAACACTCAAGTCCCTGCAGTGGAAAACAGTACTACGTGGTTCATTTTCCGGAACCGCTGGCCCCGAAATCGCAGATTACCCTGGGAATCTCATACTCCCTGCTGTCGTCCTTGAACCCGCGTCCGGCCACCATTCAGCAGTCCGACAAGCAATACCTCTCTTACTCCTTCTCGGCCTATGTTCCATCCGTCTACAAGACCGAAACCCAGAAGACTAAAATCAAGTTCCCCGGCATCAACGTGCCCGAAATCGCACAAACCTCCGGTCTCAAGTCCGGCTCGGACCCCGAGCGTAAGGGCTCAACATGGACGTACGGGCCTTACAACACGGCCAAGGTGGCTCCGGGCACCGAGTACCCGCTCACCGTTCGCTACGAATTTACCAACCCCGTGATCACGGCCAGCCTTCTGGAACGCGACCTGGAGGTCTCGCACTGGGGCGGCAACCTGGCGACCGAAGAGCGGTACTGGCTGCGCAACAACGGATCGCAGCTCGCCAAGCAGTTCAACCGCGTTGAGTGGACTTTCTCCGCTTACCAGCAACTGCCCAGCTCGGCGCTGCGTGAGCTCGCATACCCGCTGCGACCCGGCTCCGTCGACCCGTACTTCATCGACGACATCGGCAACGTCTCGACCAGCCGCTACCGCCCGGGCACCAGCAAGAAGCCCGCCAACCTGGAGCTGCGGCCGCGCTACCCGGTCTTCGGCGGCTGGAACTACAGCTTCCGCGTCGGCTGGAACAACAACCTTGCCTCGTTCCTGCGCGTTGCCCAGGCTCCCAACTCCTACGTTCTGAAGGTGCCTTTCCTCGAGGGGCCCAAGGTGCCCGAGGGCATCCAGTATGAGCGTGTGTTCGTGCGCGTTATTCTCCCAGAAGGCGCGCACAATGTCAACTTCCAGATCGTCGAGGGCTCCACCACCAACGGACTCCCCGACCGCAAGCAAATCTTCTACACCATTACCGGTTTCAAGACGTACCTGGACACTCTGGGCCGGACCACGTTGAATTTGGATGTTGACAGTCTGACCGACGAAGCCCGCGACTCCGAGCTGGTAGTATGTATCTCCCCTTCCCCATTCTGTTCTTTTTCTGTCTATCTACAATCCATGCAGCTTGCTGATCTCATTCCAGATTACATACGAATACTCGACCTGGGATGCCCTGCGCAAGCCCATCACCATCTTCGCGGGCGTGCTGTCTGCTTTCTTTGCTGCATGGGCCATCGGCAAGATCGATGTCAGCATCAAGCAGCGGTAAACGCGGGTTGCGGTGGATTTGATGTTTCTATATCTCTTTTTTCCTTTCCTTATTTTGCCAATCCGCTTTGCTCGTCACATTTCTTTACTATGGCTGTGTTCGAAGACGGTATCTCAAAATGCATCAGCGAGATTCTCTGGATGTACAATTGGATGTACATTCGGCCCATGTCTTCGTATTCGATAGATGCAACTATTTTCAGCCGTGCTGTGTTGAACCGGAACAAACAAGTGTTGGCCGTGTATAATATTGATTTGCTGGTCAAATGCTGTAGATGACAGATGGATACCCCCAAAAAAGGAAAGAATACAACCTCCAAAGCACTTTGGAAATATCTTTCTAATCCAACCCGAGCCCTAAACACCGTCTCCGTGTAAGAGGCCTGCCACATCCATTCCATTCCATTCCATTCCATTCCTCCATGCACTCGTCTTGCAGAAAAAAAAAAAAAAAAAAAAAAACAAAAAGCAAAAGAGCCACACCCCAAGTTCAACGCCAAGCGCCTTGCAATAAGAAAAATACAAAATAGACAGGGAGAAAAAGTGAATGCACGTATTAGATGCCCAGTGATCATTCCTCGAATTTCCGCTTGATACCATTCCCATTGGCGGAGGGAGGCATGGCGCGGGCTCTGCGTCTCCGATCCTCATCCTCAGAGACCATACCAGCCTGGCGTTTTTTCCAAGCAGTCTTGATAGCAGGCGCAAGGCGGATGAGATCGTCTTCAGTGACACGGTCGTTGATACTCTCAAGAACCTTTTCGACAGTAGAGACATGGTTGGCATCCATTTTATCATCACGCAGACGATGGAAGCGCCAGCGGGCGTTCTCATCCTTGAAACACTCGACGATGGAGTCGTCGAGGGGTACATAAAGAGCCTTGAGAGCGTCCCAGTCGGCCGGGGGCACAAACATCTCACCGAAATGGCGGTACTCGCCGGCGCTGAGCATGACGAACAGGTGGCAGATGGGGATGGCGTCGTAATCTGGGTAGGGGTCGCGGATGCCGTCGGCCTCGTCTTCGGAGTCGGGCTCGAGCAGTGGGAACTCGAGGCGCATGCGGAAGTCGACGGTGTTCTCGGCGGGCGGCTTCCACTTGAGGATGTGCTCGTCGGTGCCGATGCGGTAGGGAGTGCTGCGGCAGGTGAAGATGAGGCCGTCGTTGCCGTGGATGCGCTTGACTTTTGGGATGATCTCGCGGAACATCATCTCGATGCCGTAGCTGAACTGCGTGGACTTGTCCTCGACGGCGAAGACGCGGTGTTGTTTCTCCTCCGGAAACTTGCGGTATAGTGCGTTATAAGGCTTGAGCACTTTTTCCTTGAAATATGCGAGTCGCTTGTCCAGCGTGCGGTGCATTAGAGACTGTCCGTCCAGCACTAAGCAATCAAAAACCAGGTATTTGAGCTGCTGCGTCCCGTCCTCGTAGGTATCGTTGACTAGCTCGCCGTCCACTAGCGTGTCGACATGGAACGACTGAAAGGAGTCGTCGTCCGGGAGCGGGAAGTGCAAGCCGGGCACATAGCGGTACTCGTTCTTGCGGTCGATCAGGTAGTGAATCTCGGGCATGTCGGAGTCGGGATCCCCGCGCGCAAAGTACATCAGACACCGGATGCCGTCGGTTTTCTCGCAGACATAATAGTCCTCACATTGCAATTCCGTCAGGTGTCGCGACGAGAAGCTGACTGGTTGCGCGCCGGGGAAGTTGAGGTTGTTGCGCCCGAGGAGGTGGGCGACTTCGCGCCGGAATTGATCTGCCAGTTCGGGCTCGGCTTTGATGCCTATCACATCTAGATCGGGAACGGAGTGGCTCATGATGGATGCCCAGGAAAGGATTTGGGGGATATCGGAAGGGTCGGCTGGCTTTTGCTATGCCACAGCTCCAAAACAGCTGGTGTGGGGGAGGAGAGGGAACAGTCAAGGTGCAATCGGACTCGGAAGCTGATGCGACTAAGTGATGGCGGCGAAGGGCACTCGGCCGCGTCGCAGGGAAAATGTTGAGCAGTTACCAGCAGGGGTATTCTCGAATCGAGGACGGAAGTAAGGATCCCCCGAGGATTCAAGACTCGGTTGTCATAGCTTTTTAAGTTCAAAGATCAAAGCCGAGAATGAGTGAGCTGCGAGATGTCCTGGTGCCTCAGGCATAAATCACGTAATCCACCTTCCACGAAATAGAGTATACGGCCTACAACTAGTGGTTTATTGGTCTTAATTGTATGTAGAAGTAGTCATTGGTTGTGCAATTCAAATAGCAGAAAGCATTTCCATTGCATTTCGTTTTCTGTGCTTCAAAGTGTATCACATCGGGGGTATCATCGCCTTACAAAACCAAACAAAACCAGCCTATGCCCATGTCCGATCCAGAAACAACATCCAAGATGGCAGGCATCGAGGGGTGCACCATTACATCGCTGAACACCAGTATCAACCGTACAGGACTCCGTACCGAAACCGAGGAAGACAATCGCCGAACAAAAAAGAAAAGAGGTCGTAAATCATCACCTGCCGACGATCTTGTAAACGGGACCGTTCACGAGGCGGCAGCCAGGGTCTTGCGGACACCCTGTACTGGTGTTTTCTTGGTTGGATCCATGGCCCCGGCGGAAGTCACTGCAGTGGGATCGCCGGGTTCGGCATGGGAAACCACAGGCGACGACGAAGTTGCACTGGCATCGACAGGTTGGAAGATATTGCCGCCAAACAGCGGCTGGCTGTCGTCGGTGGAAAACAGGCCTCCGCCACCCCGGCCACCCATGGCGTGCAGCATCTGTTCCTTGATCCGAACGTAGCGGTACTTGGACTTGCTGGTGATCAGGGGGTGCTCAACCAAGGGCTGCGGCGCAGAGCGGGCAATCGCAGCCATGACGGTATCTCTCTCCTCGTCCGAGTCGACCGGGCCATTGTTCTCGAGATCTTCCTGTAATGGGGCATTGGCATCGATAGCAGCCTCTGTAGTTCAAGTGTTAGAATAGATGCATAGAACGAAGAGAGAGAAAGAAAAGAACACCACATACTCTGCTGGCGAGCCTGGTTCTTCTTCTGATACTGCTGAAGCAGCATATCATACGGCAACGACCGGCCAGGAACACTACGCTTGGCACCCATGGAATGACTCTTGCATGTCAAGGAGCGAGCGCACTGTGCGCCATTGGGCAGGGTGACACCGCACTGTTTCTCAACATCGACGGGGCCCTTAGGCTTAGCCGCCTTGGACTTGGGCTCGTCTTTCTTCTTCTTTTTCTTAGGCTCCTTGTCCTCCTCATCGGCCTTGCGCTTCTTGCCCTTCTTGGTGCCATCGTCGGTGCCATTGACGGCGCTCTTCTTGGCGCTCTTCTGGCCCTTCATCGCGTCATCACCTGCACCATCGAGTGTGGCGCGGGGAGCATCATCATCGCCGTCCTTGCCGTCACCGGCCTTCGCGCGATTGGCCGCGTCGCGGGCCTCTTTCTTCTTGCGCGCCTTCTCCTGCTTGGCCTTCAAGCAGCCGCGAATATGTTCCGGCGCCGCCTGCTTCAGTACGGGCCGCTTGCAGTGCTTGCAGATGACCGACTCAAGCAGATCCTCCTCGCGCGGCTTACCGGTCGGAAACGTCGCCACAATCTTACTGTCGAGCGACGGGAGAGGCGAGGACGTGGGGGAGGTATCGACCGGTCCATCTTTAGTGTCTAAAAAAGGCATTCGTCCACCATGATCAGCTGAGCGTTCGAGGATTGAACAATCGCCGGAATCACCCCGTACCGTCTGCTTTCTTCTTGGCCGACGCCTTCGACGCCTTCTTCACCTTGATCTTGCCGGGCTTGGTATCCTTCTCCGTAAACTTGTACCCCGATGCATCGACCAGACTGCCCGATCCTGTGGAGAGTTACAGGTTAGTTCCGAGCCATTGTAAGATTTCCGGGGAGAGTTATCAGAGCGCGGCATTTTTCGGTCGCCCTCCGGAGGAATCAGGCGGGCGCTTACCTCGACCGGAGTCGCCGTTGGTGGCCATGGTGAGCACAAAATGCAGGACTTCTGGGCTGAAACAACCCTCTCTCTTTATCAAGATTTGGGTCGGTTTCTCGAGGATGATGGCGGAATGAGTTTACATCCAAAGTCGAAGGTCGGGCTGGGGCTCCGCATTGGGGTCGAGTCACGTGGATTTCACCTTCCGTCTTTGTTGATTTCTCTTGCTGGCCGAGTAGAGATCTCCATAGAAAAAAAAAAGATTGGCATGTATGGAAATTATCGGTATGTGATTTTGTATATCTTGGTTTTGGGAGAAATAAAAGAAAGCAAGAAAAGAAAGGAGGCACCTTGCCAATGCCCGGCGTCTAAGATCTACTTGCGTCCAACACACAATTGTAAGATTGCATGCAATCTAATAATGGAAGCAATTCTCTAAATTTTCTACTATAGTACATGCAAGAATTAATGAACCAAAATCACCAATGCCGTGCAAAGCAAAGGGTACTATTAGTTCCCCCGAATCCAAAGCTGTTGGTCAGAGCCACATTGATCTGTCTCGACTGAGGCTGGTTTGGCGCATAGTTGCAGTCAAATCCATTGGCCAGACGGTTCAGATTAATCGTGGGGGGCATCGTATTCTACTAAAGGGTGAGAAATGCTCTCCAAGACAAGATCGTACTAGACCAAAGACTCACCTCGTGAATGGCCAGGATGCTGAACAATGCCTCGATGGCGCCGGCGCCACCGAGCAGATGACCCAGAGCACCCTTAGTGCTACTGACATTGATATCTGCCGGCTTCTGTTTGCCATCGGGACCTAGCAAAAGTGACTTGATGGCAGCATTTTCTGCAGCATCGCCCACAATAGTCGAGGTCGCATGGGCATTGACATAGTCAACTGCTGCGGGAGGCAACTGAGCTTGCTTCAGTGCTTTTTTCATGGCCATATAGGCACCTTCGCCGTTGTCTTTGGGCGCCGTCATGTGGTGTGCATCGCTGGAGCAGCCATATCCCTTGACTTCGGCATAGATCTGCGCACCTCGACTCAAAGCATGTTCCAAGTCCTATAGATTTTGGTTAAAAAAGAACTTCCGTATTGTCGCTCGTGACAGATAACCACGTACCTCGAGAACCATGACGGCGGCCCCTTCTCCGACTACGAAGCCCCCGCGATCAGCATCAAAAGGCCGCGATGCTTTCTCTGGGGCATCGTTAAAGTCAGTTGCCAGGCTCCTGGCACGAGCAAAGCCACCGATAGCCAGTGGATGAATACAGGACTCGGCACCACCAGCAACCATGACGTCCGCGTCGCCACATGCAATGAATCTAGCCGCGTCGCCGACGGAGTGCGCGCCAGTGGTACAAGCTGTTGTTGCCGAATGGTTTGGACCCTAGATGAGGGAGTGAGCTGTAGACCCAGCCACCGGAGGTATTAGAGTGGAGTTATACCATAAACCCATATTTCATGGAGATGTGACCAGCCCCGAGATTAATTAGTAGCTTCGGAACAAACAGCGGGTTCACCTTTTTGTAGCCCTGGCCAAACAGTTAGTTGCAAGCTCCATCTCGGGCATACGACGACATTTCTACTTACGCCTTTTTCATACGCAACCACCGTGTCATAGATCTCGTCGAAGTTACCAATGCCAGATCCAAGACAGACGCCCTAGAGAGATGTGTTAGAACGACTGGCCACCAAACAACTTTATCCCCTTGCACAAGACACATACCGTAGCTTCCCTCCGCTCAAAAGGCTCGGGTTTCCAGTCAGCATCTTCAAGCGCCTCCTCCGTGGCTGCCATGGCATACTGCGCAAACAGGGCCATCTTGCGCTCCTCCTACCAGCCACGTGCAGATCCATCAGCATCGCGATCGAGCAATTTATCCTTGATAGCAATCAAGTACAACCTACACTTCGACTCAGCCATTCAGAAGCATTCCAGCCGCCATCCCGCCGCGTACCTGGCGGCACCACGGCGGCGATTTGACACGGCACCTCGGTGAAACGCGGATCGCGATGGTTCACATTAACGATACCGCAGTGGCCATCCAACAGGCGTCTCCAGGTGTGCCGAATGCCTGGGCACAATCATAACAAGGGTTAGTCATCGGCAATTTCGGGAATCAATAGCCACAGGCGATTGTGATGGTCCTTCGTCGAGCATCTCAAATGCCGTCATTGGCTGACAAGACTTTCCCCATCCGGAGTGGAAGTGGAGAATCCAGCCGCCCTTTTTCATTATTTTTTTTGCTTGTCGCGGAGCTCGCAAGAGTCGGGGGGAGAGACATGATTTGCCTCGGATGCTAAGGTGGAGATGTGATGGCATGGCCAAACACCGGAACATCCAACCCCTCAAAAAAAGATGACGAAAAAGAAAAGAAAAAAGCTCACCAACACCCAGCGGTGTCACCGCCCCAAGACCCGTCACGACAACACGACGCATGGCATTTGGAAGTGTTTGCGATGGCGATGTAGGAGACTCGGAGTGTGTCGAGGAGAAAAGCGGGTAAGCCAAGAAGGGAAGGTCTGCACGACGGAATGGCAATCCGGGTCTGCTCGTCTTTCCCTTTGCGATTCTGCCCGAATCGCACGGCGAGATAAATAAGTCGCTTCGACTTCGACATTGCTTTTGTTTAGTTTTATTTTATTCTTGTACTTCTACTCTCCAGCCATGCCCGCTTGGAAGACCCTACTGAGCGTGCTGGCCCTGGCCGGCACCGCCGTATCTTGTGCGCACCATAACGATGCGGAGGTGGTTCCGGAACATGAGCGCGAGGAATTGCTGAAGAAATGGAACCAGGAGGTATGCAATAAATAACAAGGCAATTTAACAATATGATCTAGATGGTCAATTGGAAGCTTTAGTTCCAGTTCGCTAACGACTGCAGTGGTCCTTCTCCGGCATTGCCAGCTTCGCCCACCTGCGGCCGGTCAAGTGTCTGATCGAGCCAGACGAGCGATATGATATCGCAGTGATTGGCGCACCGTTCGACACGGCCGTCAGCTACCGACCGGGTATGACCTGCCATTTGACATACATCCTCTTCCCCAGTCTCATAATCAGCAAGAATCAACAACTAACCATATATCCAGGTGCTCGCTTCGGCCCGCGAGCAATCCGCGCCGCCAGCGCGCGGCAGATGGCAGGGACAAGCTACAACACACGGGCGGGGATCAACCCGTACCAGTCATGGGCCAAGATCACGGACTGCGGCGACATCCCCATCACGCCCTTCGACAACGGGCTAGCCGAGCGACAGATGTACGAAGCGTTCCTGGAGCTGGGGTCACGCAAGACAGTGAACCAGCCGCCCCGGGGCGCAACGGGTGTCGGAGCCGGGCACCCGAAACTGGTGACGCTGGGCGGCGACCACAGCGTGGCGCTGCCGGCGCTGCGAGCGCTGTATCAGATCTATCAGAAGCCGATCACGGTGCTGCACTTTGACGCGCACCTGGACACGTGGAACCCCGTGCGGTACTCGGCGTACTGGCAGTCAGAGCAGACGCAGTTCAACCACGGCAGCTTCTTCCACAAGGCCAGTCGTGAGGGTCTGATCTGCAATGCGACGTCGGCGCATGCGGGGCTACGCACGCGCCTGACCGGCGTCGACGACGGCGACTACACGAACCCGGGCCCCGAGCAGGGGTTCATGCGCGTGCATGCCGACGACATCGATGAGCTGGGCCCGCTCGGCGTCGTCGACAGTCTTGTCAACCGCATCGGTCTGGACCCGGACCAGCCCGTGTATCTCTCTGTGGACATCGATGTCCTGGACCCGGCTACGGCTCCTGGCACCGGGACTCCAGAGCCCGGTGGCTGGACTACGCGCGAGTTCATTCGAATCATGCGCGGCCTGGAGAAGCTGAACGTCGTCGGCGCAGATATCGTCGAGGTGTCCCCCGCCTACGATAACAAAGGCGAGACCACTGCGCTGGCGGCGGCCCAGGTTGCTTTTGAGATTATTACTAGCCTGGTGAAGTCGGGTGTCTCGGAGAACCTGGGTGGATGGTATGGACGCAAGGACGAGGGCGAGGCGAATACTCCGTCGGGAAAGGTATCCAAGGATGAGCTTTGATTGGCAGTGGTGATATAGTGCATGAGATCCATGAAGCTGAAGAAGAAATGAATGAAAGTCAATGTATTTAGTGCGACCACACCTGCAAGATCTTTGATTTCGATTCATCGCAGCTATAACCCCACTGTATATAGGCTCGCTTTCCTGGGTGAGCTACCGACTCATTCATAAAACTGGTCTGAATTGGGTCCTCTGTCTGCAAGGTACGATGCAGGCGGGTGTGTCAATTTGAGATCCAGGACACAGGAAACAATATATCAAACAGAGGGGGATCAGAGCCACAGAGAAAAAAAAGAAAATGAAAAAGAAAATGAAAAAGAAAAAAAAAAGAGAAGAAAGTATGCCATCAGAATCGAAAGAGAAGAGGAACGCGCAGAGAAGCCGGATTTGGGAAAGGCCCGGTACAGCAAGCTCGAAACTCGAATTCCCGAAGTGCAAGGCCGAGGCAAGAATGGTGTAGGAGGAGTGAAAATAGGGAAAAGAAAAAGATAATAAGGAAATAAACACGGAAATCGGCCAGCCAAAACACGACGCCCTGACGTCCAACGCCGAGAGAGACGGTGAAAGAGGTAAAAGCTCGCAGGAAAGTAGATCGGGGGAGGGAAGAGGGAAACACGACAATAGATGAGGTCGAGTTCGCGATTGTCGTGGTCGTGAAAGAAGGGAAAAGGGGGTGGGCAGGTAAATCGAGGATCAGGATGTCGAGGCAAATGGAGCAAAAGAAAAAAGGGGGAAAAAGGGCAAGCAAGTAGGGGTAAGGGCGTGGAATGGACCGAGCAAGACGGGGTGATTGAGAACGAGCATTTGAGATATTGAACGCTTCAAGATAGCAACGCTAGCTCAGAACAAAGACCCCGTATGTGGATATCCCAGGAAGCTCCCCTTCCCCAAAAAGTGGCCTCCCCTAACGAGGACAAAACAAAAAAAAAAGTCAAAAACAGGTTCATTCCATCGTATCTGCTTTCGCGCATGTCAATCAGGCGTCACCCCGAGGACAAATTCCCGCGCAATCGGACCAACCTGTGAGAAATGTCCACGAAGATTGTTTCACAGCAAGCGACAGGGGCCTCTTGACTTCTTCTTGGGCGCCGGCTCCAGCGCGGCCACGATTGCCTGTAGGGGGGTGTTTGCGTCAGCACGACACATATCCAAATCACATCTCCCTTCCATAGATAATTTACCTCGTCGAAGACATCCTTTAGCTTGTACTGCGTCAGAGCCGAGCACTCGACGTATTTGACAGCACCCAGCTCCTTGGCCATCCGGTCACCATCCTCCTTGCGGATCGGCTGCATCTTCTGTCGGGCAAGCTTCTCACGGACACCGGAGTCATCGCGCAAATCGGTCTGGGTGCCGACGATGAGGCAGGGGACACCGGGGCAGTGGTGATGGACTTCGGGGAACCATTTCTCACGAACGTTCTCGAAAGAAGCGGGCGACGTGACGGAGAAACAGACCAGGAACACGTCAGTCTGAGGGTACGAGAGCGGGCGCAAACGATCATAATCCTCCTGTCCAGCGGTATCGAAAAGACCAAGGGTATAGGGTTCATCGCCGATCCTATTGAGCGGTCAGGAGCTGGTGGAGGAGGATGTCTGGGTTTGGGGCCGGGTTTGGCTCCGATAGTCTGCCGGGGGGGGGAAGCGGAGGAAGAGACAGAGGGACCAAGGGCATGACTTACATGACCGTCACGGCGTAGTTATCGAAGACGGTGGGCACATATTCCGAGGGGAATTTGTTGGTTGTGTACGAGATGAGCAAGCAGGTCTTTCCTACTGCACCGTCCCCCACCACGACACACCTGGATCGGGGGGATTAGCCAGAGAGGGGGGAGCGAGAAGGGGAAGAATCAGGGCATACTTGATGGTAGCGACAACCATATTGTGACCGAACCGATGGAAAATGGCGAAAAGGTGAAGAGTCGAAAGGAGAGGGGAGGAGAAGAGGGCAATGTGGGAGACAAAAAGGGAGAGAGAGAGCTGTGCTGGTTTGGATGGGGCACGGGAGTCTAGACGGTGCTAGTACAATTTCCCTTCAAACTACGAAGGAATTCATGAACTCATGAATATTATGGATCTTATAAATATCATGAATACCATAAGAATAATACCAGGAATATTATAAGAACAATAATATTATTATCTCTTTCTCTCCTGACATCCGCCAGCGTTCATCCAAGTCCCGTGGACCTTGGGCAAAGCATCGGTCTCGTCTCTGCCTCATGGGTGAGGCAATCTCGAGTGTCCTATCTTCTTTTCTCTTTCTCTTTCTCTTTCTCTTTCTCTTTCTCTTTCTCTTTCTTTCTGTTTGTCTGTTTTTTCTTCTCTCTTTTTTCTTCTCGCTTTCTCTCCTTTTTCTCTCCCATCCCAGGGGCCGGTTCTCCCAATGGTCGACGGACAGTCGCTGTGACCGGCTAAGCGCTGCGGTCCACAACCGGGAAAATTGCAATATGACGCCTCGGCAGTTGACTCTTCATTGGACGCTCTGTCCGAGTGGATTTGTGGTTTCCATCCAGTGAAAGCAGTCGCGATTCCAGTCACAAGGCGGTTCTGAGGCCACAGAGTATGGATGCTAAGGCAGCCATCTCAGGCATGGCGCCCTGCTCTATGCAGATGATACTACGGCACGATCACATCAGACGAGTCATGAGAGACTCTTTGCGACCGACGCGTACCAAGTGTCTACAGTGGCTTCCATGACGCTCGGTTTATAGTTGTTCCTGTTGATGCCTTGTTACTAAGGCAGTAATACCTTGATGGCTGTGGACATAGTAGTTTATTGTAAAACGAGAATTGCCAGAAAAGTAAGTATATATCAGGGCGAGAGAGTATTTCCTTGGATATAATTTGACAGAGAATACTCAGATAGTATTATCAACTATCAAACCCTGACATGCAATACCAGATATCAAAATATAATAGAAAGAGAAAGCAGACCTACCCAGGCCAATAAACTGATTTAGGTATGCCCCAGTCAGGATGAGCAGGATTGGGCTGCCATGCATCCCCCAATCGTGGGAGCCGGTACACGTTCGATTGAGACGGACATCTCAAGTACATCCCCTGCAATATAGAACCAACTATCAAAAAGACACGTCAAACACCTTCGAGAAATTCTCTTTATTTAATTTCCATAACCTGCCAAAAACTGACACTAATGACTTGGCGTTTATTGGATCCCCCAAGGCCAGCAGATCGGGTAAGCACGCATGTAGATATGCAGGTACACGCATGGCTATAGACCCATGGATATTGCAGGCGTCTATATAGCCCACACAGTCAGAACCTTGGAACAAATTAAATTCCCAAAATAACGCACAAGCCAGTATAAACCAAAAGACTGGGCTAGTTACAATCCCTTAACCTAAGCCCTTCAAATCAATAGCTAGTATCAAAGGTATGATAAGAACAAGTATATACCGGTCTACCAGACGAGGAGAAGATCGACATCCTACAGTAATTAGCGGTATAGACAATGACAGCTCCACCATCTACACCGACATCACATCCCAAATATTGGTTTGATCAAGGGTAGAGTAGGGCTGAGAAGTCCCAAGCAAATGAATAATAGGACCTTGTTACAAGTGAGTCCGCTTCCAAATATTGCACCGCCTCGATCGAAACCCAGTCCTGCATGGGATCCCCCGTCCATATTAGAATTCTGGATGCGTTGTCGGGGTCTATGTGGATCGTGGATCGGGGAAACCACGGAGTGCAGATGTGGTGCTAGGCCGGAATTATAGTACACATGCTTTATGCAAGGTCATAACCCAGAGCCGACGTGGAGCAATCAAGGCAGGATTTTATGACGGGAAGTGGAGTCTGAACTAAACCATGGAGGGTGAGTAAGTACACTGTTGACCCATTTCTCTGAACACCTCTCTTAATCTCTCCCTGGTCAGTTCAATGAACTTGCGTTGGCATTCTTAGATAGATTCTCTCTACTCTACACCCGCGAGATCAAAAACAACACCAAATGCATGTGTGATCTGAACATGTCGATCGAGCGTTGGGAGAACCCACTTGAAAATAAACCCAAACGCCGCTTGCTAGTCTGCACCAGGATACAATGGCAGAAAAAGAGGGAGAAAATCAGTTCGTACAGTCGTTAAATGTGTTGAGGCGTGGAGAAGATGGGTATAGATGTGGATGTGGGTGTGGATGTGTGCTAAACTCTGCATGAGTCTTAGGTTCGTTTGAAGTGCTGGTCGTCGGAGTCGGGCGCTGCCCCAACCGGTGACGGGTCGCGGGAGGGTTCGGAATTGCCATGGCCCATCTGTTTCAGAGTTAGAAAAGACCATCGGGTTGAGAACATTAGCGGGGGTTTACCTTATCAAGTTTATAGTCCACCATCATGAGACTGAGCGGGATGAGAGGCAGGGTGACGACGAGTGCAAGCATCAGCAGCCGGTTCATAGTCTCTTGGTAGGCGCGGTTGATGGCGATGCGAGTAGGCGAACCCATCGGGTACGACAGGGCCTTGGTCAGCTTGCCGAAGATTTCGCCAGCCTCGGACTTGGTCTCGTCGGGCAGGTAGCGGAGGAGCTTCTGCGGGATGAAAGACGACCACACGGCCCCCGAGATGGCGGCACCGACGGCACCGCCCATCTCCATCGAGGTCAGGAACATCGCCGTGGCTGCGGCGACTTCCTGGTGGCTGGCCGAGGCTTGGACGCCGAGCTGCACAGGCACATTGAGCAAGCCCCCGCCACAACCGACCATGATCTGGGTACCCAGGACTTGGAGGTGCGAGGCTCCTTCGCCTCGGCACAGGAGCATCATTGCTAGGCCGGACATGTAGACAACACAGCCCAGTGTCACGTAGACACGGTATCGCCGGGTATACTTGATCAAGATGGACACGCTGAAGGCGGCGATGGTGGATGTGAAGGCAAATGTCTGGGTGACGCGGCCAGCTGTGGCAACGTCGTAGTCTTGGACAACTTGGAGGTAGGAATACAGGTATGGTTGAACGGAAAAGTAAAAGGCCACTGGGAAGCGAGTTAGCAATAGCTCATAGAAAGATGAGGACATCAATACCACATACTGAAATACCAGAATGCCAATGCGCAACCCGCAAGAGCAGTTTTCTGCTTCAACAGGTGCAAAGACAGTAAAGGCTTGGGAGCTAATTTCTTTGAGGATTCCCAGAACGGCAGAATTATCAAGCAGACGATGCCCACCACGATCATCACAATGATGCTCGCGTTTTTCCACCCATTCTTGGCGTTGGCCGCAAGAGTCAGCGGTACAAGGATCAAAGTGACCGCAGCGGATAGAAGCGTCAGTCCTCCGACGTCCAAATCATACCAAGTCCGTTGAATAATGACAACAAGGTCCTTGTGTCGCCTTGATCTCGGTGCTCGAATCAGATTCAGCCTCCGAGCCTTTCGCTGATTCAAAAGCAACGAGAGGGCGAGTGGCAGGAAAGATGCCGGCAACAAAATGGCCCACATGCCATAGCCCCATCGCCACGAGGTTGTCCGAAGCACCACGCCTGCAATGGTCGGGCCGAGCCAGACGGTCACCAAGAATGGGAACTCGGGAAGGAGAGCGAGAAAGGCACGGTTCAGCAGATCGCTGCTGTCGGCAATGAACACTTGTTGGAGAATCTGCAAGCCTGTCGAGCCGGCGGAATAGAAGATTTGGGCGGATGCGTAGGTCTGAACGTTGGTCGACGCGGCCATCTGGACGTAACCCAGGACGTATATAAGGATGCTCACGCAGAAGGCCTCGAAGCGGCCGAACACATCTGCGACCTTTGCCATCGGGGGCTTGATGACAGCTACGAAGAGGAACAAGGTCAGTAGGAGTTTCTGGGCTGCTTTGCCACCGGGCAAGGGATCTCACCATTCACCACATTCTGAACGACGAGCACCGTCGAGATTAACGAGTGTTTACTGAAAGCACTCGTTGCATAGGCAGACAGGGATATGACAGTCTGGCTTTCTAGAGACGTACAAAAGGCCATGAGAAATATACTAGTATATCCAGTTAGTCAGAGCAGCCAAGCATGACACCTCAAGCCACCCACGAACCTGACATAGGCTATGACCAAAGACCATGTGGTCCAGGTCAGGTTGATGGCCTCGATTTTTTGGACCCCATCCTGAAGCTCGCCCGATGTGGACGTTGCACTGGATCCGGGCTCAGTATCATACTGGTCCGGCAACAGCTCATCCCTCTCATTATCCATGCGGGAATCCTCCTGCTCGATCGTACCATAGGACGGCCCCGAACGCGGATCAAGTAACGGCATATCGGAGTGCCGATTCGACCACCACAAGCCCGGGTATTAGAAACTCAGCAGAGTTCTCTGTCGTAAATAGCGTCCATGTAAGAAAGAGAGGACCAGGGAGTGAACGCGGTCTGAGATTAGAGGAAATGATATACAGAAGGCAAGGATCTCGGGTAGGATTCAACAGCCGGCAACCGGATCAACAACGGAATAAAAATAAGAATAAGAGTTCATGCAACATCAGATAGCGGGCGTATCACATAAAAGGATACGAGAATCCTGCTCTCCTAAGCCGGACTTGGGGGATGTGGAGTGGACTCTTCAAGGGGATTGGGGCGGAGAGCTGAGCCAGTCAGGTCCATTGAAGAAGAAAAAGCAATGGGTTTCGAGGTGATCCGTGAGGCAAAAAAGGAGAACAGAAAAGAAAAGGGAAAAAAAAATATATGGGGCGCAGCAAGCGCGTAGAATGAATAAGGAAGAGTCGATATCCCATGAGGGCCATGCACCCTGGAAGTAGGATCAGGCAGCTATGAGGGATTGGCGGGTGGGTAGATCCGCCTGGCGTCTTGGAGGGGGGGAGTGACCCAATGTAAGGGGAAAGAGGCCAGGTTGAAAAGTGTTCAGGCCCTGTTGGTGTAATAAGCCTGAGAGACCCCGAGCACGATCGTCGGTCGCACTTATGCACGTCGATGGGGATTGACGCAGAGTGTGATTTCAGCTCGCGCCGGGCATTCCGACCAGAGGCACCACGTCAGGATGGAAACTCGGTTGATCAAGCATTGTTGTCAAGCAAGGAATAGCAAAAGAAAGAAGAGGAAGAAAGGTGGAAAGATACCCGAGTTGAGAGTAAAAAGGGCGAAGTGGAGAGTGGCAACCTCACGAGGTGTCAGGCACCGAATCATTACGAAGTTACAAGGGGGGTTACAGTCACGGTACTTGGAGGTACTTCAAACACAGTATAATATGAGTGGATATCTAAGTACCCGCAAGTACCAATCGGTGGAGGTATCATCAGATATGATTGATCGATAAGATGAAGATGGAGTCGGGTGGTGTCGCTCTCTCCATTTGCTGTGGGAATCCTTGCATTTCCCTGCCCAAGTGGTCTAGTCTACAGTAGTATGTGTATAGGTGCATTAATCTATTTAGCCTGGACTCTCTGATACCCTGTTTTCTTCTATCTTGCCGAGAGAGCCGAGTAAGTCAGATGCGGATCCTTCTTGAGTCACTTGACTCCATTTCTGGATAAACCCGATTTTCTCGTTTTTGGTGCTTTCTCCACTCGCGTGGTGTGACGCCGGGTCCGACGTCCCCTTGTTCCCATGACCAATGGGGATTGCACCACATCGGCGCTGTGTGATTATCAGATAACCTAGATTGTTTCCAGGGTTATCTGCTCCCATTGGAATATAACAAGAGTGTTTGAGCTCAAATAAGAGCGTATTCTGACAGCGTACCTTACGAAAGACTAGCGTATCTTACTTCTCTGTTCGGGTCCTCGCCTGGGCAGTAGACTCCGAGAGACAGGAACACGGGTCTTCTGACGAATCGATTTTGCTTGTATCCCCCGAAGAAGCCACCGAGGTCCTCAATTTTACATCGGTTGATCTCCAAGGATGCAGTCGATCACCTGGGGTAGATCTGGGAGATCATCCGCCATCAAAACAAAAGAAGCATTGGTTGGGTTCACTTGTGCAGCAGTCGACGGGCAACTACAGCTCGAAATGAGGGGATATGGTGACACCCGATATCGGAGCTATAGTTGCACTTCTATGACTATGGTCTCCCTTGCAACCCCCAATTCTTTCAAAACTTATTGCGCAAAAGCCGTGATCATGATATCTGACCAACTGCTGTATATTTCCCCTTCGTTTATACACATATTGATCCTATGGTTTGCATAGCCATGTTACTTACATTCTCAACATGGTCATCGACAGAACCCCGAGGTTAGCATTAGCTCTTACCCATGGTCTATGCCAGATCAATGACCAAATGGCCAAAATTGACAAAGAGCTCGCCTCCCTCACTAGATGGTCGCGCAGCATAAACGCCAACCCAGCAGTCTTGCACGTTCTGCTCCTCAAAAACCCAAGTGACTTCGCGGATGGGTGACTTCTGCACCCCTCCACCAAGTAGATCCAGAGGCTGTTGTCCTGCTCGCGGACGAGTTCCAGCGTCGCCGCAGCACCACCCGACGGGACTGGCAGCAAGCCCCAGTCGGCCCAGCGGTCCTTGGTGACAACACTGAGATGCGGTCGGCCGTGGGTGAGCTCAATACCAGTCTTGACCCACTTCTGGGATCCGTCGGTGGCGTTGAGGACAATAATGAGACCGCCCTGGTCGTACTTCTTTTGCCACTGGGCGTTGAAGGCCGCGCGCGCCCGCTTGAATGACTCCAGCGGCACCGACTGGTAGAGGATGGGAGCTGTAAAGCGGATGCTGGACGGCGGCTTCGACCAGATATCGGTCGAAGGAGGGGCTTTGATTGCAAACTCCGCGGGAGGGGTACCGTCACCGGGAACTTTTTCATTGGAGTTGGCGAATTTGAATTGCGACATCTTGGCTTATGGAGGGGAAACAAGGTCTTATGTTCAGCTGCCACGCCAAAAATCCCAAGATCGGCGTGTCAAGGACGAGAGCGAAATTGAGAGAAGTGAAACTGAAATCATAGAAGACCTGCAAGAGATGAGGCAAAAAGAAAAGTACAACCAGAGGGCTGCGGAGTAGACCATAATTTGACAGCTACGTCACCCGGAGGCTCGCGGGGGAGCCCCATCTCCAACGATGACACACGATCAGTGGGCCGGCACGCCAGATCGCTGTCGCACATGATTCTGTACCTCGATACTTGAAATATAGGCCCTGCAGTGATCCCTGCCCAAGTGTCTAGTAAATCCTCATCGATTGACACGCGACATCACTACTTTAAGACGCGGCACGTGATGCGATGAGGTAAGATGGGGGCGATATGGTGGCCTCAACACTTAAGGGGTTGTCAGACTAAGAACTATGTGGCTACCTTTCAGTTGATGTGGCAGCTGTGGACGAGGCGTGGACTGAAAAAACAGCATCAATCCCCGCCATGGCTCGTCTCCTACATCCGGATGAATATGACATCGCCACGCGCTCCTCGCTCGACTCGCAGGGCACCTTCAATCTAGACGAGGCCGACTTTGAATCGCAAACACATCCCATATCGAAGGTAGCCTTGCGCCGGCTGCCGTGGCTGTCCCGAATCTTCTCCTCGCCATTCTCGAGCTACCGCCAATTAAAGCCCAGCAGGCCGACCTTCGCAAGCTCAAGCTCAGACCGGTCGAGTTTCCCTCGACGATTTGCATTCCGACGTCGCTTTTGTTATCTTCACATCGTCTTTGGGGTGCTTTTTGCCCTCTGTCTCCTCACCTTTATCTTTTGCCCTTCCTACACGCGTCCTCCAGCACATTACTCGGCCCTCAGCAAACACCTAAAGGGAAAGATATACCCTGGCCGCGGCAACCGTCGCCATGAGAGAGTGTTCATTGCGGCAAGCTTATATGACCAAGGAGGTGAACTCGCTGGGGGACAATGGGGCAAACAGCTACTCGAACTGATTGACATGCTGGGGCCGAAGGAAGTGTTTTTGAGTATCTACGAAAACGATAGTGGGGAGGAAGGGGAGAAAGCATTGCGCAAACTGGAAAAGAAAATCAATTGCCCCAAGTCCATTGTATCCGAGAAACACCTGGACATCAAGAACTTGCCATCCGTGACCATCCCGGGCGGATCAAAACGCGTCAAGCGCATCGAATACCTGGCACAGGTCCGGAACCGTGCGCTGCAGCCCCTGGAGGACCACCCCGAGATCCACTATGATAAGATCCTCTACCTCAACGACATACTTTTCAAACCCGCGGATGCTCTTCAACTATTATTTTCGACGAACGTCGATGAAAATGGCGTCGCCCAATACCGAGCCGCGTGCTCTGTGGACTTTGACAACCCGTTCAAGTTCTATGATACCTATGCAACCCGAGATTTGAACGGGTACAGCATGGGTCTCCCGTTCTTCCCCTGGTTCTCGACCGCTGGGAATGGCGAGAGCCGGAAAGATGTGCTGCAAGGCAAGGATGCCGTACGAGTCCGCAGCTGCTGGGGTGGCATGGTGGCTTTTGACGCCAAATACTTCCAAAATGGAACCACGCCTAACAACACCTCGCCGGTCCGTTTTCGATCCGGGCAAGACCTTTTTGGGAGGCATCCGAGTGTTGCCTCATCCATGCCGATCTCCAAGACCCCCAAACCAACGTGGACGAGATCACGGACACGGGGATCTATATGAACCCGTATGTACGGGTTGCGTACGACCGCCGAACATTATCCTGGCTTTGGGTCAGCCGTCGGTTTGAGAAACTATACTCATTTGTCCACGCCCTGGGTAACCATCTCGTGGGGTTGCCCTGGTATAATCCCCGGCGGGCTGAAAGCCCCGGACAGAGTGTGCAAGAGACAGTATGGGTTTCCAATGGGACCCCGGACGGAGGCGGTTCTTTCCAAACCCTGGACCGGACAGCTGGCAATGATGGCTACTGTGGACGTCGAGGACTCCAAGTTCTTGTTGAAGATCGCAAGCCCGGCCAAAAGGGCTGGGAGAACATACCCATTCCCGCCTGATCTCTGATATTGCATTTTCTTTCTCCCCCCTTCCACGCTCATGTACATATATGGCTTGTTGACCCGACTTGCTTAGGTAGCTATTAGTACCCTCCGTATGCCTTGCTGCTACGATTCACGAGGTTTTCCGATACTTCCCAACTACGTTTGCTTGCCACGTTTCCTCGCGCATACAAAGTCCATTTGGGGTATAGCAAAATGCACCGAGGTCGTTTGCTATAGGGCTATATGTTGCGCTTAGTCGGCGTGCACCCTTGCTGAGTCGTTTGGTCTATGCAGACCCGCGGACCCGCGGGCTGCTTTCTTCTCTTTTTTTTTTTTATCTCTGCATCTTCACAATTTCTTGGAGCATTTCACCCCTTCTGATCCGGAAGATGTCCGAACCTATTGAAAATACCCCAGCGTTTGTGCCAGCAGAGCAGGCTAAGCGAGCGGACATGATGCTGTCTGCCGAAGTGGTGTACAAAGTGATCGAGAAGTGGTGCGAGAAGCATGGACTTCCTCTTTCGTCTAGCGTCCATGCACCCACCGGCGGCGCTGATGGTGCGCCTGAGGAATCGCCTGGTCCCATCGCCGACGAGGTACGCCTTTCCTTTTTTGTCTGCCTTGTTTACCCTTCCCTCTTCTTCCCTCTTCCTCACTCCTCTCCTCTTCACCCCACCCGTTCCTTGTGGCTCTGTTGCTGAGATCCATCAGGCTCCGGGGAAGTTCACTTCCACCGTACTGGACCCTAAGCTCCTTGAAATTTGGCGTCGTAAGCTTGCTCACGACACCGAAATGTCCCAGACCGAGTCTTCGGATGTGAAGTCTGGTGTTGCCGACACCACCGGCATCGGTGGCACCGACAACACCATGGCCGCTGCCTCCGCTGCTGCCCTGGCTGATGGTCCCGCCGCTACTCCAGCTGCTGTTTCCGCTGATGCTCCTGCTGATGCTCCTGCTGATGCTCCTGCTGATGCTCCTGTTGATGCTCCTACTGTTGCTCCGGCTGCTGTTTCCGCTGCTCCGGCCGATGTTCCCGCCGCTACTCCGATTGATGGTCCTGCCACTGTCTCGGCTGCTGTTTCTCGCTCTGATGGAGCTGTCGGCCTCTCGTCGCCTGACACTTTCATGGCGCAGTGGCGTGCCCTGCGTGCCCAGCGCATCGGCACCGCGTGGCCCGAGTCCAAGCGCCAGATCATCATCAGGGGCTTGCCGAATGAGGCGACCATGTCCGACGTTTTCTGTCTTGTCCACGGCGGTGCTGTCGAGCGTGCCTGGACCGAGGTCCCCGGCGAGATGGGCGAGGTGACCGTTCAATTCTGCAAGGAAATCGACTGCCAGAACTACTTCAACAAGTACTCGCAGGGCATCCATGTTTCCAACGGTCTCTACGACGCCGACATCACCATCGAAATGACCGACGTTCTGACCTACGAGAAGGAAGGTTCGCGTGTCATTCGTGTTCTCAACGTCCCCCGCCGAGTCTCTCTCGACGCCATTGACAAGATCATCCACATGAATGTTCCGGAGATTGACCACCTCGAGTACCGCCGGTCGACCGAAAAGGTATGTAGACATGTGTTTTAGATATTACGCCCCATCAAGCTGACTTTCTCCTTTCTAGCCTGGCACTCTCTGGATATTCTTCTGCGGCATCGTCGACGCTGAAAACTTTATGCACCGACTCGCTGTGGAGGACGGATGGGGTGGCTGCATCGCCACGAAGGCGCAAGACCCGTAAGTACGGTACTCACCTGCAGGCCCCCCTTTGATAATCATAGGCTGACCTCGCTGCCCAGCTGCGAATTCTCCCAGGGCTTTCACACCAACAGCCTTTACAACGGCATGGTGAACTCCGTTGCCAACGAAGTTTGAGACATGTCGACGTTGACCTCAGCTGGCAACTCTCGGCCTGTCTGATCTCTTGCATATTGATAGCGATCATCACGGGGAGTTCGGTGTTTTCAATTGCAAGATTTGATTCTGTTACGGGTGCTACCGGTTTCATTTAGGGATCATTTCACTAGGAAATGATCCGTCACAAATGACTGCCCACAGGGCTTACTTCTGAGTTGGGATGTATTTGTTTTGCGCTTGGTTTTTGTTGGAGTCGGGGCATGGTAGATACCACCGTCGTACAGAGATGGAGCCTGGTACAGTATACCGGTAGGCAGCTGCATTGGCATTCCTTTGGAGACGTCCAGATAGCGAGTATGTGGAGCGGGTCTGTAGAAAATCGAGAGGGGATTTATACTGGACCCGCGGGTGACCGAGGACATCCTCAAGCAAATCTTTGAGACTACGGGCCACGTGGTCAGTGTGAAGATCATCCTGCTTAGTTAGCTCGACAGGTCAAGTTGGCTCCTAACAGGTGACAGGCAAGGAATCCATATCTAATCAGAGGTATACGCCATCGCTTGGAGGTGCATCCCGACAGTATGTAGTCAATTTACCCGACGGCGAGTCCACATTTGGAGACGTAACCACGCTTACGCAAGTGTTTGTGATCCTTCTAGCTGATTTTGGGTGATGAGATTCAATAACGCCGACACTGGAGTAGTGTTCTGACCTTGCTACAGCACTAGCTGGATATATCACTGGGTGTAGCGAACTCCCAGGTCTATACCGGTAGGGCAGAGAAGTGGTACTGTACTTGCGTTTGTATGGAAAATACACAGTGTATTGTGTACCGTGAGATACATTCCGGTATCTGGTATTTATACAGTATTCAGAGGATGCGCTAGGCAAGGCTGGGATCTTCAACATCCCATGGATCGAGTCATTCTTCATCCTGTCGCACGAGTGGCGAGTTCTGTCACTGTAGGTTTCTCAGGGTCGATTGCCGGTAGTTGATCTACACTATTCCTTTAGCACCTAGATCCTACCAAGTAGTGCATATGCCATATGGTATATGTATGAAGTGTAATATGGAGTATAACTAACTCCTGGATGGAGCTATGTACTAAGCTATGCACCTACAGAAATAGAACATTCTTCGGCACATACGACACTCACCTCTCACCTCCTAATCAATTCGAAGAAAAAAAAAATTAGAATGGATCTCGCAACCGAGAAGAGTCCCACACCCACACACACCTACACACCAACCTGATACACATACACACAACGGCCCCCAACCGCAAATCCCCGAAGATCCGCCCGAGGATCCTCTGCACCTTTTTTTCTCTTTTCAATTTTAGAATTATTATTTTTTTTCACGGCCCCAGTCCCCACAGCTCTAATTAATTACACACTCTTCTCGCATGGCGCGTGAGGCTGACACATTCGGGGGATCACCCAACGCCAGAGGGATTGGGATTGGAATTGGAGTGCCATGGTCTCAGGAAGGAGTCAGGCCGTGGGGTCCGATCCTTTGAATTTGAAGAAAACAGCGAAAGAGAGAGAAAGAAAGAAGATTATTTCTGCAGGGCTGTGTTTGCATGGCCTACTATGACTACCTCGGCATCCATCTACTTGTCTAGTACTTCAGTACATACATACATACTTCATACTGTAGAAGAAGAGACTGAGGCTTAGTACAGCTATGAATTGCTGTAGACACAGCTTGGGTATTACCACCCAACGGCCCCAATCCCATTCCTCGTTTCCCACAGCCTTTGGCAACTATTGACTCGGGATCTGGTCCCCTGGAGGCTTCCAGAGCGACACGAACACGTCGTACAGAAAAAGAAAAAAAGAAAAAAGAAAAAGAAAAAGAAAACCTTGCATTCGGTTCCTTCGGCCTTCCTCATTAGGGAAACAGTCGATCTCTCAAGGATCAATTATAATTAGGTGATGAGAGGAATCCATCTGGTAAGAAGGCCCCCAAAAGAGATGCCCCAAATGAAAAGCCCCAACGTCGGGTTATTGAATTCGATACAGTGGAAAGTGTCGCAGCAGGATCCTGATCGTGTCATGGGCTGCGTAATAGTCATAACACATAGAAGAAGAAGAAGAAGGGGGATAATTGAAAGATCTCCCAATGGGCGCGATCGGCGCAGCCTCCGCCCACGAGGTGATAACAGCCTGACTCTGAGTATTGCTATGTTGGGCATAGTTTGCGCACATCGGGGGGGCCCCACGTCTTACACGTCTCTCGGGCGCACTAATCACCCCGACGGGGGAAACTGTGCGATTCAAGGGCCCTGTTGACAAGGCTGAAACTCCTTTTCTTCTTGGGATTCGGAGATTAGAATGGCAGTGCTGCGATTCATACTAGGGTTCGATTGACTAATATCATCAGATGTTGAGTATACTGTACGACTGTATACTCTACGAGTATACTTCTATGCTATGAGTCGGGACTATGTTGAGTAAAGTAATTGTAAGGCAATCATTTATTTACCTGCCTCTTCTAGGCAGCTTCTGTGTCCTCAGGACCAGTATATCCAAAGGTAAGAAGACATAAAGAGAAAAAAGACACCACAAAATGCCGCAAAGCACACAAAATCCTCCCAAAGTCCGTATCATCAACTCCAATGAGGTATCTCGTAAAACAAAAGAAGTACAAGCAAAAAAGAACAAGAATCCGCCCAAAATATACAAATAAACAAGGGACGAGAAGAATTTGAAAAAAAAAAAAAATAAATCTCATGATGAAATACGCTTTTGATGAATGGCTTGGTCCCGGTCCTCGCGCATCCACGGATACCAGACATTTGCCCATTCCTTGACGCCAAATCGCGGCGCACCCGAGTCGGGTCCCAAAGCGGCGCCGTCACGCAGAAACTCGCCGTCACGCATACGGCGCTGCTCACGGAGAGTCGGACACTTCTTCTCCTTGATAAAGCGGTAGAACTTGCACTGGATACCCTGGAAGCCGCGGCGCTGGCGACTGGGGAACTGGCGGTTGAAGCTCTCGCGGACCTCCTTCCACTCCTGGCAGAGGTCGACGCGGTGGTACCAGATAAAGTACATTTCCTCTTCCTCGTACTTGGGACGAGGCGGGCGGCGGCGGTCGGCGCCGTTAGTGCTGGAGCTGCTGGAGACGGAGTCGTAGCGCTCGCGCGGCTGGTAGGGGTCTGGCGAGGAGTGCGCGGACCCGGATGGCCGGTAGGAGAGGAACATGTGGTGGTGGTGGTGGTGCGGCTGCTGTTGCTGCTGCTGGGGTGGTGGTTGGTGGTGGTGCGCCGGATGCATGTTCATGCTGAGACTGTTGCTGCTGGTGCTGCTGGCGTGTGTGGTGGCCGTTGACACGGACCCCGGGCTCGTGTCGTGGTACCCGCCATATCGGCCGTACCAGTACTGGTTTGGGCTGGGCGGGTACCCCGGTGAAGGTTGGTAGCCGTGCGATGAAGATGACGTTGAGGCATGCTGCGAGTAGGGCGAGCCGCTGGGCTCGGGTTCGTCTGTTGGCGGATTCAGCAGCGAGTCAATCTTCATTCGGCTTTGCCGTGTTGATGGTAGAGGTGCATATGATTCTGTGCGGGCGTCCATGGTGCCGGTATTTTTTTTTTTTTTTTTTTTGTTCCTTCTTAAAAGGTAATACCGAATATAGTCAAGTTGGTAGTAAGTATAGATCTGCAAAAATCCGGGGAGAATGAGCACTTCGATTCCGTCCCGCGGAAGTATAGAAGTGAGGATTGTATAGACAAGAGAAAAAGGTAAGGTGGGAGAGAGGTGAAGTATATAGATTTGCAGAGTTTAAGACAACGGAAGAAGATCGCCTGGAGCACGCGGTCTTAAATGACCCAAGGGTAAAAATAAAATAATAAAGGAAAATAATAATTCACCAAAAAAAAAAAGAAAAGGAAAAAGGAAAAAAGGGTAAAATAACAGCCCTCGAAATAAATCAAAAATAGTCCCAGACTAACAGCGCTGTTGGGTGCACTGTACCGATTACTTGGGTCGGGCTGGTTGACTTACTCCTTTGGCCCCCCTGTATAGTTGTACCGCGGATACACACAAGGCGCCTTGGGGCTAACAAGGGGGGGGGGGTTGAGGTTCGGTTCCACCCCCAGTGCAACTGGCACAGTGAACCGGACCAAGTGCTCCGGTGATTTGCAAGTATGGGGAATCATTGCCACTGTCGAAATTGATATTGCCAACCCCGTGAAAAAGGCGATTCAGTGAGAACTTTTTCTTTCTTTGCTTTCTGATTTTTTTCTTCTTACAATTCTAATTCGTAAGTTTTCCTAAACTATTAAATGAGATAGTCGGGCAGTTTCGGTGATCGGCCACTTTCGCTTTCTTTGTTCTCGATCTCGAGAGGGTCCGGTAGGACGATAGCTTCAACGATGACACAATCTGAGATGATCTCTTTTTTGTTGTTGTATATAGATTTTCAACATTCATTAAAAATATTTTTAATAAAAAAAAAAAAAGTGGAAAATGGGGCCACGCGGGGACTCCAATCCCACTGCAGGAAAATGAAGAAAGCCAGAGAAAAAACCGCTGAATCAGCGAAAATGGTGTCCACGGGTTTTCCGCGGTCCCAAGATGCCCAGATGACAAATTGTGGGGGCTAAAGGGAAGGCCTTACTGTATGACTTTTGCTATGGATTGTATGGATGTCTGCAGAGCTGACGGGGGTCGGAGGGGCCGAGAAAGAACCATGTGAGAGAACCTTGCATTTTGTGGGTGAATTCCATGTTTCATTCTTCAGGTGGGGCACCTAACGAGATGCCCTAAGATGATTATAATATTGTAATTTAATAATACCATAATATAATATAATAATACTGATCCGATCCAAACCAACAGCATCGCGCGGCGTCTATTGGAAGAGAGAAATGTCATCTGGTGCGGCAGACACCATGGCCTTGGAATTGACCCACGAATCAAGATATCACGGTGAAATGCAAGCTGTGGGATGGGGTGGGGACTGCCAACGCATCTGCAGAGTCGAGCACTCGACCATGTTCCCGAGGTATGGAATATGTAGAGACATAGAAATAGAATCTGGTCTACCCCTAGGCGACTTATACAAAGGCATGGGTGCATAGTCAAATCTGACCTCTTGTCAGCCTAATTCCATGGAAATGCTGGAATGTGGCTTCCACGTTGTGCACTATCTAGTTTGGGAAAAAGCTCTGCCATTCTTGAGGCTGTCAGATACGCGCGAGCGGAGATCTGCAACCCCCGAAATGCAGCGAACCACGGGCCGCCCCAAGTCGTTTATACGCGATGATCGTGGATGAGCCAATAGAATGGTTTAGTTTACGATGCAGAGGAAAAGTCGACTCCACATGAGACTCTGCGCGTGATAATCGATTTTTGAATGTTTTACATCTTATTCGTCGCTTGCGGGATTTTCGGCCGTCTTCTTGATCGGTAATCTGCAGTACCGCAACGGTTTCTTGCTCTTGTTTTTGTTTTGTTTTGTTTTGTTTTTGTTTTTTTAGTCTGTTGATTTTCTTCACACTAAGATAGAATCATATAGCTATATAGTTAGGTCCATGGATAGAGTTCATAATTCTACGAACATTCGGGATCGTCTCGGCCGATGATATGGTTATGGCCGAATGTCTCAGAACTACACCTGTTAGCGAGAAACATAAAGAAAAAGAAAAAAGAAATTTATGTCGGCCCACAAGATAGAAAACGAGAGCGTCGTAGTTGCCGCAGTCAACTTGCGCAAGCGCAAAGAAATCCCGCAAGGCCAGGGTGGCGAGAGACTCCCCAATTTCGATCCCGTGTCCTTCGGGATTTGCCCTGCCGCAGCAACTCGCAGAATCACCAATTTCAACCATTTCCAAGCAACCAGAAAACCTTGGAGAAACATGTCGACCGTGCTAAAGCTCCGAAAAGCGCAGATCAGATCAGCATGGCCCGACTCCTCCTGCCTGCTCCCCCCGCTAATCCTCGATCCACCCGTGGTCAGCCGAAGTGGAAGAAGACCCGCAAAGATGTTCGTCAGTCGCGTAGCCGCAGAGAACTGCGATCACGTGAATCCCATCTTCCGCAACCGGGTTGATTCCTGGTGTGTCGATCTGGAGATACCCGGTATACACACCCATGTATCTCCAGCATCAACAGCATGTCATCGAATCCAAGACCATTTCTTAATTGACAAATGGCGAGATTATCTCACATACCCGTTACGTGACGAGTCATGAGGCGCATGTTGCATCCTACCCTGGCTTCTCTCTCCCCCCAACGGCCAACGGCGCCAAAGTGACCAGGGTATACAGATGGGCCCAAAAATTTCCCAGGCTCACCAATCAGCCTCCTCAACTCGACGCTGCCCCCTCTTGAATGATCCTCTTCTTTCTTTGACTGGAGCCGCGGATGCGCAACAGATGAGATGAGTCTCGTCGATCAACAACCTCCCCCCCTTTTTTTTTCTTTCTCCAATTTTTTTGTTCTCTGCCATGTGTTGCCCACCCGTTGCGCCTCCCCACTCTCTAGGGTGTACTTTGGTTATCATTCATCATACGCTAATCCCACACTATCGATGCAGGGTTTTGATTTGGAATCCGCGGGATCCGCAATCAGCCACTGAGATAAGGAAGAGGGGGGGGGGGGAGCTATGACCAGCTGTGCCAGTTGCCAGATCGCCTAGCGATAGCCGCCAGAGTCTGCCAAAGCACGCAATCAGGTCTGGCAGAGAAATGTGACGGGGGATGGCATCCTGCGTGAATCCTGCGGTAAGGCGACCACTTCTGACTGGTGCTCACTTACAACCCCCCCAATGCGAAACGATATCCAGGACGATCCCTGGAAAATGACTCGATCTGCGCTGCCTGTCCAGTGAGCAATCAGCATTCAGCATTCGACTGAGAGAGAGAGAGAGAGAGAGAGATGCTGAGAGTTTGAATGTCGCCCCTGCACGAGTCGCGCGGTGAGCGTGCTGGAATTGCAGGGGGTTGTACCAAAGTACAATACACTTTGTAAGGATGAACCTTCTTCCCTCCTAACTTGTATAGGTAGGTCGGTAGGCAATGAGGAGAAGATATTCACGGGGAAAAGAGGCTTTGCTGCCCCCACATTGGGACTCTGACGCAGGTTGATAGCGCATTAGGAAAGGAAAGAGCAGAGCAAAATTACCTGCCTGAAACAATACACCACAACAACTAAGGATTTGGGAATATACGAGGCCGACGCCCCCCGAACTGTCAGATCAAGGACGCGTGGCATGCCGAATGCCAACTGCCAGAACGGTGTGATTCGCGGGGGTGTCACGCATCTGATCTGGGGAGCTACAGTATATCTCCCGAAGAGGAAAGAGGAGTAGGATTTAGAAATAACAGTAGTTAGGAAGCTAACAGTACTAACAGTACTAATAATAAGTGAGCCTGCAGTATATAGCCCCATCCCAACAAAAGCAAAAAAAAAAAAAAAAAAAAAAGAACAACACAGACAGGACGCCTTGCACGAAGAAACCTATTAATATATCCTGCCCCTACTCAATCCCCCATTCTGACCAGCCCGCCCCTTTTACTCACCAAGGAATGATCCTCTGGGGCCGATGCCAGCCTGGTGGGTGGGAGTGGGTGTAATGAAGTAGTGTGTATACGAGGGACGATCCTCAGAGCAGAGCGCAGCGCTCGGATGCCAGAGAGGTTTCAGCCGGTCGAAACTCGTGCAGAATGATCGCTGGACCCTGAGTGAGATCCGTGGTACTGCCATATACAGCTCTTGTGGGTATACAACACCCACTCATAATGTACTGTATCCATGAATGTACATATATGACACGATTATATGATTATTGAACATGAACATGAACATCCACTTCTTCGACCCCACGTCTCGCATTCATTTCCATGTCCGGAGATAAAGTAGAGCAGAAACAGGCCCTAAAACGGCCGGCTAGGGAGATGTCGGACACCGCAGAAAAAAAGAAGTTGAGGGGATGAGGCTCTATTTTTGTATTTTTGTATTTTTGTATTTTTCAATGATCATTGTCGGGGGCGCTCCATTGTAGAAAAAGTGTGTTGGAAATTGGCCCCATCTACAGTAACTGACTTGGAGCCTTGTTGCGTACATTTCGGCATTGAATCCATCGGACATGCGCTGTAAGCGAGGAAAATGCTGAAGCTATTGAAAGTATTTCGGATAAAAAGTCTCTCGCGGAGTAGTTAGCTTCTATACTATATTCTTAATTACTTCTTATATAGTCTATGTATGCTGTCGTATGTTTGTTGCGGTAATATTTCTGGCCCAGAATTGTACTAGGTAACTTACAGAATCCTCAGCTATGTATAATGCAATCTCCACTGTTGGACGCCTTTTCGGTGGATCTTCTTCATACTCGAAGACATTTAGCAGCTCGCTAGGCCCCGCTCGCACCGTTCTCACCCTAAGCACACGTGGTAAAGGTGACGATTCCGCGATGCAGAAGCTTGGGTTTCTACACTTGCCTAGTCTTGTACAGTACCTATGTATGTACTATACATACCTCTATCGACAGGAATACCACATGGGTATCCAGAGCTCAAATTCTAGATTCTAGTTGCTGGGTAGCGCAGCAGAAATTTCATGCTGACTCTATAATTCTCATTTTGCAGTCTCGGAGTCTTAATTTCTACCGGTGAGCAAAGGGAAAAAGGCAAAAGCCCCCCCACCAAGAGAGAAAGACTCGAAGCTACGATCAAACCATCCAGTGGGTATACACATACGCAGTCTCGTGTTGCGGATCCCAGTTTCAACCACGTCGCCCCCATCCCTTGGGCCCATTTATATGTATTTATAATAATGGATCCCGTGATATTCTTAGCAGAATCAGATACTAATAGTATCTCCCCACCGAAATCCTTGAGCTAGGTAAGGTCCACGGGTACATGGGCAATATTTATATTTAGGGTATGTAAGCAGAAGAAGATTCGCCCCCAGATTGCGGTCCTCAGGATCGGCCCCGGGGGCCTGAGGAAGACAGATCCGCCAGGGCTGACACGGGACCCCCTCTCTCTCTCTCTTGTTGCACGACAGGCGAAGGATTGGGTTGGTGGAGCGGTAGATTTGTTATTTGATAATGCCGATGTAATCCTGGTTGGGGACGCCAACACTTTTTTGCAGTAAAAAGACTAAGATTAGAAATGACACGATGGAGTGTGATATTTTTATTTTTGAGGGGGCTATTATATATATAGGGTATGTATATACTTATGTGGATTGAGATTCCTTTGTAGCTGTTTTTACATCGAATGGAATAATAATAGATAGATTACTGTAAAAAAAAATACAATGAATGTTAAGAGTTACCTGATGTAATTACGAGAATTATAAAAGTACATAACTAGATGCATCACGTTGAACCAATAAAAAAGAGACATCTCGGCGATTGGCTTCAAAACTGCAATTCTGACTCAACTGAAGAATATCCATAGACGCAGTGTCGGACATTGGACGGGTTTCGGACTCTGCCATGTCAAAGACAGACTCCGTAACTGTAAATTGTATACTATGGTACAGAACATTCCTGTAGAAAAAGAAAAGTGAAAAAAAAGGACTAACCAAGTCGAGTAGGACTTCATTCTTCACGAATATCTCCGGTTTGGCAGATCTCGAGTTAAGGCCGAAAATTACCATTTCCAGCCCCCATCACGAGTTTATTCGACCCAAATTCTTCATGTACTGTACTGTCGGTGATCTCCGTGACCGGCTCGGGCTTGCGGATCCCTCCCTGGCCACATGGGCCTGACATCATGGCAATCATACGCGGTGGATACTGTATGTACTGTACATCTGCATAGTACTGTAACTGCTGTGGGAGAATCACCCGAGTCAGAGCGTAGAATAAGCCACGCGAGCTGGTGGAAGAACTTGTGATAGGGAATAGGTGTATAGCGGCTTGGTGCAGATTGCGACAATTCTCCCCTAGCTAGGTGTATATATACTGTAGCTGTGTAGATGTAACAAACTATATCTGAAAGTATTATACTAAAAGGCTGCACATTGTATGTATATCGACTAGAGCGATGAATTCTTCGGAAGTACAACAACGGTACCTAGATTTATATCTTGTCTGTCATAAAGATCCAATGTACCCCCTAAGTACCCTAAGAGCCGCACTGCAGACGCACCCCCAAGTCCTCCACAATGCAACCCCAAATCCAACGCATCCTGCCAACACCAAATCTCAACAACCCTGCTATATCGCGTATATCGTTAGATTGTACATGTAGTATATAGTACGTCCAATCGATAACCCAGTGCTTCGTAAGATGTACTTGATACGTCTATGATTAATATTATTACTGTTATGTATACCTACCTATTCCTATTCCTATCTGGCACGAGACCAACAACGGGACAGCCCGGACCGCATCACAAGATTTTCTTCAGCGTGATATCGGCATGATGACGAGTCGGGATCAGCCCGTTCCATCTGACGAACAGCCGAGCTCAGCACTGGAAGTGAAAGTATCGTATCAAGCATCAAAGTCGAGCTTACATACCGGAATGCGATATTAATTGTAGATTGTAGGTTTATTAGATGTTGACGCACTCAACTTCATTCCTTTATTCCGCGCCGATCATTATTGTCAGGAATGGAATCCATCAGTGAGCCTTGCGAGTTGGTATGGTAATTGAGGATTATACATACTGTAGGTAATAATAGTATGTAATGATAGTACTGTATTATTGTACAGTATACTGTAGTATAGACATTCAAGTGAAGCCATAGTACCGCAAATGTCCGATGTGCTTACTGTTACAATTAGAAAGAGAAAAAGAAAAAGAAAAGCCTTTCATCAGAGTTGGTTTCCGATCGAGTCAGAGTTTTCACCTACTAAGAAAATACTTATTATAACTCTCGGCATAGAGCGAACCACGTCAGTCAACAGGATCGTCCTGCATGCAGCGTGCAGAGCGATGTTTCACCATGCAACCACACCGGAAATGCAAACTTAGCCCCAATCTACATCTTTACTTAGAGCCCACCTCGGAGTCAACGCGATTATCGATACTCGTCTCGAAAGACCTAAGTGAAGGAGGATAGAACGCTCTCGGCTGTTACTTGAGACATCCGCTTTGAGAATCTTCAACGTAGCGTATCTTTGAAGCCTAGAGGACGGGAAAGGTAAGTTTGATAGTTGCGGGCAAAATAGGAAGCAGGACAGGGTGAATACAACCTTATATCTTCGGCAAGCCAAACTGTGGAAAACTGACTAAATGCCTATTTTCCAACAATCCGATATCTATGCTGGAAAGTGTCCTCGAGGTGAACTGGGTGGTAGCCTCCAGCACGATATTCTTCGACAGGTTCGACAACATCATGAATGCGTTCAAAGCGACGCATGTTCCTCAATATAGTTGATTCGATGGTGGCACTAGGCGCGTCTGTGTCCGCGGATCCCGACTACATCAAGACCCTGGCCAAGGGTAATGGAGTGACTGGAGATCTGAAAATGAATGATGGTGGGAAAACTTGGACGGTTGATACCATCCGTATTCCGGAGTTTACCTTTTGGCTCTTCCTAGAACATTGAATGAGCCGATTTGTGACTCGAGGGAGGAGTAAAACATCCATGGACTGAATATATACAGTATGTTGGAAGTGCATTCAGCGCAGTCAAATACTCCATTTCAAACCTTGGACAGACATCTGGAAGCTTTACCAGGTTAAACAACATCTTCTAACAACGGCGCCCGCCACTCCTGCAATCTCCTCTCATCCCAGAGAGCGTAACACCATTCCCAGTCCTTTTCATGAGCTCGATTGTAATTCAAGGAATCCTCAAAACTATCGCCTTCGTTGTAGGGCACCAGCCTCGCTTTTTTCCAACCAACACTGGGCTGTTCAAGAGGCGATAAAGCCGACCAGAACTGTTCAAAATGTTGGGAAAACTCAAGGCGATCCATTGGATCTATGAATGGAAACCGTTTGTCCCACGAGAGCCCCATTTGAAGTCCAATAAATGGCCCCGGCCAGAAGCCCCTGGTGTTGTTGCAAACAGTATTGCGTCGTGATAGCCGATCCATATGGAGAACGCGATATAGAAATTCTGGTCCCAGCCCCGCTAGGCCCTTAAAGTGTTTGTCAAAATGATCAAGGTCACTTTCTATCTCAATTTCGCAAACAGGCGGCCGCTGCTCCCTAGGAATAATATCGCAAAAGAACTCAGACGGTGTGTTTTTGATGAGTTGTCGCAAGTCGTCTGCAATCTCCTTAGAGATAGGCTTGATTTTGGAAACAAGGTAACCAAACACACAGCCCATCTCTTCGTATTCCCAAGGGGGCATTATGCCATAGAACAACCGATATGCCTCTAGACCACAAAGCCAAGTATTGTTCATTCTCGAGGGGCCTCTTCTTCCATTGAATTCCCCTAGTTGCCAGATCGGTCTGACCCCGTGTTTATCACAATCAGGGTGTTTATCACAATTGGGGATTTCATCATAGTCGTGTTCACACTCGATTTGGTCCCCAAAGATATTGTGTAGGAGTTGGAATCGACATAATGCCCTAAGGAAACGGCGTGTTTCTAAAGGCGTGAAACCCAATGGCAGATATTCATTTTTCCACTGTGCCGGTTGAATCCATGGAGGGCGTGGTGCGTTGATCGAATAGTCCTCGAGAAAGAAGCTTAGAAGTTTGTGAAACTGGAGGAGCTTTATGACTTCCTCTAGGCCGTCGGGTTTGCGTAAGGCTTGGCCAAGACTGTGAGTCTCATTTCTGCGGCGCCAGCAATCCAGCAAGGAAATCGCGCTTTCCTTGTATGAGCTAAAATACACGCCTTGAGTCCGCACAACAGTAAGTGCGTCCGCCAGATCGAGAAATCCAGAGTATTGTTGATGGACAAGATATTCAAGCAATTCCTGTCTAACCGCAAGGTATGCATGGTGGTATTCGGGTGATGCAAGCACGAGGGATTTGAGGGTGTCGTGATCCGGCACTCGGTATAAAATGAGAATTTTAAGCTCAGTGGGGAGACTCTCAAGGGTCGGTTCAGCCTGCACGAAAATCGTCAGGTTCACGCTACTGGAATTGGGGCTTTGGACTCACCATGCTGCAGCAAAGGGTTGTTGGAGGGAAAAAAAATGAGGGGTTGACGAAGTGGAAATATCATTCCCTCTGAGCCAAAGTACGACACCCGGTCGTCGAGATATGCCCGCAATTCACCTCCACCAAAGCCATATCTCGGCCCACATTTCGAAAAGGGCCCGGCCCAAGAAGAACTCTGGGATGTCCGAGATTCGAGAGAAGTTTGGGATCCGTATAAACCGGAGCGCTCTGTGGCTGCTCGACCAGAGACCCATGGCCGAGCCCATTCTATTCACCAGTATAGAATAGAGCACCATTATAGCGATCCCAACGTGACGCTATTTTGGAAGCGAGGGAGGTTGCCACCTCTGGTCGGTATATGGCAAACCTGTAAGAAAAACCTTCTAAAACAGGATTATCATAGGAAATTAACAAAATTAACATAACAATAGAGCCGTACAAGGTCGCGTGGGATTCGAGCAAAAGTACCCACAGGCCTACGAGAGCCGCGACGCAATCAGGAGACATACCCAACAAGTGACCAGCCAAAGTGACTCTGCTAAAGGCTTCAGGGACAGCCGGGAGTATCTGGATCATCATTTAGCGGCTTGGGAAAGACAAAGAGAGCGCCAGGGCAGACGTTGAAGAAGATAAACGTATCAGATGGACGCGGCCAGATAATGCATGACATGGCAAACTGCCATTCGTGAGATGATCATTTCGTCGTCCCCGCTGCGAGTTGGTTAATCGTTCATATGTGCACGGTTTTCTGTTTTTCTGTCTTGCTTGCTTGGTTTTTCTTGTTCTGATCTTGATGTGCATTCTATCATGGCAGCTGAGTTAGAGCAGCGCGAGTGTTACTCTAAATCCCCTTGACGGGCGCATTTAGGTAACCACCATTGCCTGCATGCTAGTTAGCATACGTGATGAGGTCACCTAACCTCCCTCTTTGTTCATAGCTAGATTCTTCCACCTCACTCAATACATTCCTCCGGTGTGTTTTTTTCAGCGTGTTTTCTGTCCTTCCTTAGCGAGATTCATCGACCGAAGAGCTTTCTCTCCCTTTAATGTGGTGTGTTGGATATCCATCTTCTTGTTGAGTGTTCCCTGCCCCGGTGCTCCACTACGTACCTCGTCCATACGCGCTTTTCTCTCTATTTATTAGCGAACATATCTTTGAATTTATTAGCCAGTCAACCAACGATTACGCTCAGCGGAAACAAGCAAAAAAAAGTGAATCTAGCGCTGCTGGCCAATCTGCTGGCCAACCTACTGTCTACATAGTTTATATGGATAGTTACTTCTCTACGGTTAGCCTCTTCAAAGCACTACGAGATATACGCTGTGGTGTATATAGCACTATACGTAAGTAAGGCGGGATACCCTCTTAGCTTATCAAGCTAAAAGACCATATTAAATCTATTCCTTAGGGACAATTATATACGTCTGAAGCTAAGGGGGTTCTCTGTCTTGCGTGGCAGGATAATAATATAGTATTACTACTATCTACTATCCACTCACTATATCTCTATATGCCTACCGAGAGAAAGCGGCCAGCGGCAACCTCGACCAATGCAGCTATTGCTCGTGCCCCTTTTGGTACTGATATCAAGAAGCAATTGGAGATTCCTGTTGCTATCAACGACTATAACCATTATATAGGTAGTGTTGATATAGCGAATCAATATCTGGCTACTTATGAGGTTCATCGGAAGACTAATCGTACGTGGTTCCCACTACTTTTCTTCTTTCTTGATGCAGCTATTGTTAATACATATCGCATTCAATATATCTATAAGCAGCAGCAGCAGCCAACCGAGAGCCAATTAGCTTTTCGCGAGAAGCTATACCAAGAACTCTTTCTATTCACAGCTCAGTCACCACGACCTAACTAGCAAACAGAGCCTAGAAATCACCAGCGGATTCAGCTAGATAGACAGCAAGCTTGTGTATAGTGCCAGTATAAGAGACAGAAGGGTAAAGGAGGTCAACGGGCACCACGGTCAAGATCTGGTTGTAGAGAGTGTGGTAATGTAGCACTATATGTAAAAGGGCAATCAATGTTGATGAATTTCATAACTACGGTAGTTAGTTCTGATTATTAATTACACTAATTCTCATTACCGAAATATTACAGAGTCTAGCCAATAATAACGCGTTATTACGCATACGCTAGTAATCGCGCTAATTGTGCCTCCCGGGACGGACGAGGGGATACCCTGCAGGTCACGGGTCCTCCCTCTGATTGGTCGAGGTTTTCTGCCGAAAAACGATCTCCAATTCGTAACAAAGACAAAATAATCCCTAAACCCCTGTCCAAGACCCATGGGCTATGTGAATGGGCTATGTCAAGGTCTAGCGGTGGCGGCTAAGATAGACTAATCAACTTACTCGAAAGTATTGATATTTATATGTGTGTGTGTGTTACTATAAATATCAGATGTTATATGGATTGACAGTTGATTCATTGTATATCCTAGATACTCTACTCTATTACAATTTGATATCCACAGATGCAGAACCTGAATATAATATCGACTCTTCTATAACTGTATAACCCCTCAATAAATTCCCAGAAAACTCAAATCTTCCTTCCCTAACCCTCTTCTTCTCTTCTCCGACACTACCCGATCCCATCCCATCTTCACCTTCCTATCTAGTCTACAACTTATTTCTCCCCTGGCCCCAAGCATCAATCCATAGAAGAATATGCCGCACCATGTGGCACATTCCCAACGCCGCTTTTTTTCAGAGAACGGTAGTAGGGGGCTAACAGGATGGTCTCGGGGAATTTAATTTTGTTTCTTTTTTCTTAGTCCTCTTGTTTTTATATCCGAAGATCCCAACCCCAGGTCATGTCGTATGCGGAGATAGATGTCGACGGGGTATATATAGTATAATACATGTATACATATACGTGGGGCCTTAAAAAATGGTAAATATGGAGGGCAAGAGGCGTTGCGATGCGAGAAATAAGGCCAGACAAGGCAGTTCTAATGCCATCCAACCCCTGCACCACACCTAACATATCCCAACTATCCCAATATGGCCACATGGGATGACCACCGCGTATGTACCTAACCACAACAGGACAATAGTCACAACCAACAGATAAAACCCAACAGGTAAACCAGAGAGGCATGGCGTGACGCTAATTCCCCGGCACATCTTCACCATGCATGCTACCGCCACCTAGCCCGGGGCCACAAATCAAAATGGAAATGGAAATCAAATTAATAACTCTCATCCGAATCTACGTGCCTGTCAAAGCGTCGTCGTGATACCCATCCACCATAGCGTGCGCCACTCTCGCTGGCCGAGTCATCCAGATCATATTCCTCGTCATCGGATGCGCCGCGGTGTCGGTAGCGGGAGTAAATAGCAGAGGGGTCATCGTCCTCATCGGATGAGGAGAGCTCCTCGTCAGGATAATCATTGGCGGGATTATTTTCGGCTGGAAGGAGAGCGAAAAAAAAAGGACATCCAATCAGTCTTGCTGTCTGTGCGCATGTGACGAAACGGATGATGATGGGAGATGAGGGAAAAGAAAAAATAACAAAGAAAAAAGAAAAGAAAAGAAAAGAAAAGAAAAGAAAAGAAAAGAAAAGAAAAGAAAAGAAAAGAAAAGAAAAGAAAAGAAAAGAAAAGAAAAGAAAAAGAAAAGAAAAGAAAAGAAAAGAAAAGAAAAGAAAAGAAAAGAAAAGAAAAGAAAATAAGGCTCACCATTCGAGTCCGCATCCTCACTATCCCACTCTTCCTCGTCATCCTCGATGAAATGCTCCCAGTACTCCTCGTCCTCGGCGGTGATCACAATGACACCAACACCTCGGTGGGATGCCTCGGCGTGCTTCTGCTGCTGATCTGACTCAAACTCAGCCAGCGGGTTCGTCAACATTTCGCTTTCTGCCAGTGGACGCCGGATGTAGACATCGTAGACGTAGTCGCCGTCATTGTCATCTGCCTCCCGGGGGGCGGACACATCCCCCATCCCCGACTCCTCACGCTCTGCGGGGGGCTGAGATGAGGCCGGGGCGGTTCGGGGTTGCTTGGGTGGCCTGGGCTGGTATTTCAGGGGCTGCTTGTGAGGAGATCCCGGTGTGTGCTGCTGCGAAGCCAGAGGGGTGCGGGTATGGGTTGCCTGGGTGGGGTCGACGTCCATGTGCTGCTGCTGGTCCTGTTCCTCGATCTCCAGCGCGACTTGCTCGAATTCACGGGCAAGACGGTCCGACTCATCGTCCCAAGTAGTCTGCTGTGCCTGAGCTGATTTCTCCAGCGTGTCGGACAGATGTTGCTTCGCGGCTGAAATGGCGCCCTTGCGCTCTTCGCGCCACTGTTTCTCTGCCTGGTTCACCACGGGTCGTTTCCGGGGTTTGACGGGCGAGCTCGGGGCTTCTGATTGAGCCTGCTGGACTGCGAGATCCGCGACCATCGACGCCTGCCGCGAATGCGGTTTGCGGCGCAATTGCTCGACCAACACGGCGACTCCAGGTACCGAGCCATCTGCGCGACGCTTTTGGATGCCACTCCCAGGGCCGCGGGGGAGGGGACATGCACACTATTAGACCGCGAGATTTGGAACCGACGCAGCGGATGCGCGCGGGCCGACGACGGGCGTGCTCCCGAGCCGGGGGTGGTTTCCCTGGTACTCGGCGCGGCAGAGATACCTGTGTCAGGGGCATCCTGGGACTCTGATGGCACAGGAGACGAGTACAGAGCGCGCTTGAGCTTGTCCCCAGACTCTTTCCGGGCCGCAGCAAGACGCTGCGCTTCTCGGAACTCGGCGCCTGGCGAGGTCGCCCGTACCATGGGCACGCCGCTGGACGAGCTCTGCTGCGGTGGAGCCCGACGAGCCGGGATATGCAAGCTGCTCACCGAGCGGGGGCTGCGCAGCAAGCGCTGTGCAGCCGGATGTGCAGGCGCAGGTGCGCTAGCAGGATCATCTGCAGCGTCATCGTCGGTTTTCAGCGGGACTCGTTGGAAGACAAAGTCCGTGAATCGGCGTTTGGTCTGATGCAATGCAGATTGAATGTCTAGGAAGAGTTGTTAGCAATTGTCGCAGTACAAGCAAAAAGTTTCAATATGATTGAGGCTGTGCGGTGGAGAATAGTCAAGGACTATGCTTTTGTTTCTTTTTCTGGGGGAGGGGTCTATATCGCGGGGTGCACAAAAACAAGGGAATAACTGGCTTCTTCATACACAGGGTCTCGACAGGCTCTTCTTCCCGGCGCCGTTTGATGTTGATCTGCTCTGGAGGAAGGGCCATCTTTTTCTGGATTCGGGCCTCCGAGATAATGGTGTTGCAGAGGGAAGAAGCAGAGACAGGCGGATCTGGAGCAGTTTGGGCCACTCCTGATTGGGTTAGCGTATGACACGTGATATCGACTATACAAGGCGACTATGAGAAGAAATGACCATTGCAAGTAGTCCCAATGGGTTCTACGGGGTCTACATGATATAATGCTTTCATCGACTCATTCATTCTTCTTTCCCCGGGACCTTTCCACTAATTACACATCTGCAGCTCCAAATCCTGTCCTTGCAAGAACCTCACCCACAAGCACAGAAAAGAGCTGGGTATTTTCACTGGATCGTACCACCCGATGCAACCTGCCCAGCGGCATGATAGAACAAAACATACCAGTAGAAAAAAAAAAAAAACATAGAAAGAAACATAGAAAGAAAGGGAGAAAAAAGAGGGAGAGCTTCGGGATTCAACATCCAAACAACAAGCAGTGAGCACGAAGCCCCGAAGAAAGAAGAAAGAAATCAAAAAGAAAGATAAGAGAGAAAAAAAAACTCATAGCCAGCTAGCAATACAAAGTAGTAAAAGAAAAGGAAAGAGATAAGGGGTGAATGGAAGGATTAAAAAGGGGGGTACAAAAACATGGGCGAACAGAAATATGTTTGCAGTCACAGGAAAAGAAAGGAGTCAAAAAGAGAAGGGCAAAGAATCAAGAAAAATGAAAGAAATTAAGACCAATACAAGAAACGAATCAAAAAAAAAATAAAAAGATGGAGAGATGACATGACAATCAAGAAGGGACTATATGTAAAACAAGAGAATAATAAAAAAAGTAAAAGGAACAGAAGTGCGATTAGGTTCACCCAGGGGACAATGCAAGTCGAATTATTGCTCCTTCAATAGAAGCATATGAGATTATTTAGCCCCAATCTCCTCTTCAGCCCAGCCTGGCAGCGAACTTTCGTTCTGGATAGCCAGGCCAAAGCCAGGGTGGTTGAGTCCACCCAGGGCCGAGGTGAAGCTGGAGAAGCTGCTCTGGGGCTGATGGGCCGCACCCGCTCGGCTGTGACCGGCCTGGTTGGACACGGGCCCAAAGGGCTCTTGGGAGAAGGAGGGCAAGCTGACGGCGCGCGAATGCTGTGCACGCGGCACACTCAGGCTGCTGGTGCTGGCGGTGGCGTGGTGGCCAGGCCCTGATGTGCCGTTGGCTACGCTCAAATAGCCATTGGCCGAAGACTTGTGCTGATGCAGCGATCCCTCTATGCTTCCGTTGGAGAGCTCACCATTGCCAGCACCATTATATAGAGACTGCTGAGGCGGGGCCTGAGACTGCGCCTGTAAACTAGCCAGGGCCATCGAGTCGCTCAGTCGACTTTCCGGCTCCTGCGACTGCTGGGCAGACATCTGGTTCAGGTACATGGTTAAAGGGTTGCTCGAGCCGACGTTCAGCACGCCGGACGGGGGAGACACCGATTGGAGGGGATGTCGGTGCTGCTGGCCATTTTGCGAGCCAGTCGAGCCCGGCGCAGGGGAGATGGCAGGGCGAGTCGGGCTGGACTGCGAGCCGGACTGGCTGAGGCTCTGCTGGAACCCGTTGAGCGCGGGCGAGGGCGACTGGGGTCCCTCTATGCCGGCCCCGTTGCGGCCCTGTTGCGAGTTGCCGTTCTGGTTATTTCCGGCCTGGCGTGGCGGGTTTCCGCAGCGGTCCTTGCCGAAGTTGATCTTGAATCGCCGGTAATCCTCCCGGTTGCGCATGCCCTCAATGGCCTTGATCGCGTTGGCGATGTTGGTGAAATTGACAAACGCGCAGCTCTTCTCGCGCAGGGTGTTCACCAGCTCGATCTCGCCGTACTCGGAGAAGTCCTGTCGAAGCCGTTCCTCGGTCCATGCCTCATCCAAGTTTCCAATATATACATTACGCGATGCACCCCCACTCACTGCCAGCGCGATGGCAGGCGGGAGAGGGCCCGAATGCTTGCCCCAGCCGATCTTCAGTCGTCGATTGTGGATCATCAGGCCCTGCAGGTTGCTCAGGGCATAGAACGAAGCCGCCGAAGTGGGGTCGATGAAGGTGACGAAGCAAATGTGTTTGTCGGGGATGTACCGAACGTGGTGCAGCAGACCTCCGCGAACAACGTTGCAGATCTCTTCGATAGTGGTTTCAGGGTGAATGTTGCCGAGATAGATGGTTCGGTTGCCCAGGTTGTTGACGCCGCCCGCCGTCGTTGCCACGGCGGCCGCAGCGACTGACTGTTGGGCCAGCGCATTTGAGATCAGATCACGGTCCGCCGAGTTCAGCACATGCGCATAGCCTGGCGCAATGCCCAGGAACTGGGCGGCATTTTGTTGCTGGGTTTTGGACACATACGCACAACGGTCCTTGCCATAGAAGACGCGCTTGGGCGCCTGCCACTGCGGCTCCTGGGGCAACTGGGTCACAGCCTTCATCGCGTTACTGATAGACAGAAAATGCACGAATCCAATCGCCTTCTCCTTGACAATCTTGACGGTGTCAATGGAACCGAACTTGCCCAGCTCTTCCCGCAGGCTATCCTCTGACGTTTCCTCTGGAAGGTTGCCCAGATAGACATTGCGCGATGCGCCCGACTGTTGGACGGCCAAGGCCACCGAGGTGGGCACCTGGGAGGGCTTACCCCAGCCGACCTTGATGTCGTTGCCCTTGATGGCCAGCTTCTTCAAGATGGCGTCCGAGTGGAAATGAGTGGCCGAGCTGCTATCTAAGAAGGAGATGAAGGCGCAGTTCTTGTCGGCAAGTAACCGCACCGACTCGATCTGGCCGCTGCGGACATGGTTCAGGATTTCCTCAGCGGCAGTTTCAGCCGGGATATTCCCTAGATACACCGTACGACTCGTTCCCGACAACATGCCCGGCGCCACCGACGCGGCCGGGCTACCCAGAGCCGCATTATTCATGCCCCCGATACCGTTGATCGGGGATTGGGGGCCACCCATCATTTGGGAGCCGCCCATCCCGTCAGTCGGCATCATACCAGAGTACATCCCAGGGTTCTGCATGCCCTGTGTCGGGCTACCCATCTGGTTCTGGGAGTTCTGCGCGTGTCCATTGGCGCTGGCTGGCGGGAAGCCTCCGAAGTTTGCAAACTGCGGCGACGCGAAGGCGGACGGGGTTCCGGGCTGAAAGGGGCTGCCCACGAGCAGCTGGGAGGGGAGGAGAGGAGTGAAGTTCATATCGAAGCCCGCGCCGGAGGCCATGTCGGAAGGGGGCTGGCCTGCAGCAGCAGTATTTATAGCGGGGATGTTTGCGCGACGAGCGCTACGGTCCGAAAATCCTTGGACCGAGTTAGGGTTGTTGGAGTGGTAGGCTCCGTGGGAGAAGCCCGTGTTGTCGCCGTTGAGACCGTATTTGGACGCGGGAGGGATTAGACGCGAATTGTTCGGGATGCTCGATACATCCGAGGTTTGCATGGCGAGCTCGAAACCTCCGATTGTCCCTGAGGGCGGCAGGACCAAATTGGTCGCTGTCTGTGATGAGACCGGGTCTGAGTTCCCAGAGTAGGGAGATGCCGACGAAGGAGGGGGAAGAAATATCAGATCACCATTCAGGGGATCAGATCGACGCAACGCGAGTCACCGAAAGAGTCACGGGCAAAAATCGAAGCGACACAAGAATAGATCCGAGAAAAAAAATGAACAAATAATCCACAAAGCTCTCAAATGGAGACGTGTCTAGATGGGAAGCAGGTCAATTGGAATGTGTATTAGGGGAGAGGGAATGGGGATGAACCGACAGGATTGGAGAATGCGACGGGGGCTCGGAAGCCATGCAACCCATGAATAAAAGAGAAGAGGAAAAAGAAAAGAGAAGAGAAGAGAAAATGACCTGGCTCCACGGTTAGCGGAAAAGGGACAAGGTGAACGCAGGGCAAAAAAAGACAAGGCTGATGGGGGAAAAAAGGGGGGGAAGAGAGATGGGGCCCAAAGTACCGTTGGAGGGATTGGGGAAAGAAAAACGAAGGGCCAAAAAAACGAGGGAAAAAAGAGAAAGAAAAAGGAGGAATGACAGGCAAGGAAGTGAATCCAGGCAAGGTATGAAAGGAAGAGAAAAAAAAAAAAAGGAGAGTCACATTATAATCTGGAGGGGATTATTGCATAAATAATGGAAAGGGGGTTACCATAGATTGTTAAGAGTATATACTTGAAGTGGGATATTTTGAGGCTGATCAAATATTTCCAGTATGTATTCTTTCTTGACTTTCTTGCATATCAAAGAATACACATCCATATACACATACATGGATAGATCGCGATGTTGATGCTGTTATACAACTCGGTGTTCCCCAAGTTCCGTGGCTCCTGCAGAACTGGATCAGGCCCCGCCAATCACACGACCCCTGGCATGCTGCCTTGGCAAATGGGACATCCATCAGGTACGCGAGTGATTTGTACTTATTATGGTCTATCGATATCCATGGGTCTCTATGTTGGATTGCTTAGGTCCCAAGTATGACACTCAGAGCCTCATCTGGTACCACCTCCTATCCTCACTTGAATGCCAACGCGTGGCAGGAATCAGAAATTCCGGCTTGCAAGATTCAAATAGACCCATAAAATACATAAAACCTATAGAATATACCTGAATATAATGAAGGAACTACAAGATGTCTCCGTGTCTCTCCAGGGCTGTCAAATAGAATCTCGGCAGTTGGAACGGGATGGTGCCTCAGGCAACAACATCCAATCTGCTATCGCAAATTTACCCCTCCTGTGTGCGGTTCCTTGCGTGTTGGATCTTGTGCTGGCGATAAGGATTGGTCTTGGGGCCCGTTATTCGGTGAGCATTCCTTGAAGCCCGAGTCTGTGTCAATTTTGCATGGCCAGCGATATGACTCACAACTGAGATATTAATTGGTTCTGTCCCACAGAAATTCCTTCTCCCAACTGCCCCTCCCCAGAAAACCCAATTATATACCCAGGGAGATCATCGCGCCAACTTGGATTTGGCCCTTGCCACGCCCTTCTCTCAACTTTCACACACCATGGCATCCATCTATATCGACGAAGATGTCGGGAGGGACGACTCGACAGCCACTGGCGCCGACTCCGCTCCGTACAAGACACTTCTGCATGCCTTTGTGCAACACGCACCCACTGAGGGGATCCAGTACCTCACGCGCAAGTCGCAGACGGATGCCCCCGGCGACGATGTTGACCCGGCGGCCAAACTGGAGTGGAAGCCCGCCACCAAGTCGGCCCTGAAGAAGGCCACCAACCTCTGGGAACAACGCAAGAAGAAGGCGGCCAAGGAACAGGAATTGGCTATCCGGGAGAAGGCCGAGGCCGACAAGCGCCAGAAGGTCCTGGAGGACGCTAAGAAGGTCGTAATCACTGAGAACACTTCGCTCCCCGCGCCCGTGCGCATTCGTCTGGATGTCACCGACCCTGAGAAGGTGAAGCTGGGTACGCCCGAGTCTGACTCGCCGGGCACCCGGGTCCGGGTCCTAGGTCGTGTCCACCGCATGCGTGCTCAGAAGGATGTGGTGTTCATTACCCTCGCCGATGGCTACGGGTACCTGCAGTGCATCTTGACGGGCGACATGGTCAAGACCTACGATATCATGACTCTTACGCTGGAAACCTCCATGGCCATCCACGGTGAAATGCGCGCTGTACCCCCAAGCAGCACGCGCCCAACAACCGCGAACTCCACGCCGACTTCTTCACCATCATTGGTCGCGCCGCTGGTGACAAGGAAGCCATCACCACGCGCGTGGCGCCGGACGCCGACCCGCAGACTCTCTACGACAACCGACACCTGGCACTGCGTGGCGAAACCTCGTCGTCCGTGATGAAGGTGCGCTCGGCGACCCTGCGGGCCTTCCGACGAGCCTTTGAGGAGAACCGCATGCTGGAGGTGACGCCGCCGGCGATGGTGCAGACACAGGTGGAGGGCGGCAGCACGCTCTTCAAGTTTGACTACTACGGCGAGAATGCGTACCTGACCCAGTCGTCGCAGCTGTACCTGGAAACGTGTCTTCCCTCACTGGGCGACGTGTACTGTGTGTGTCCGTCGTTCCGTGCAGAGAAGTCACTGACGCGGCGCCACTTGTCCGAGTACACGCACATCGAGGCCGAGCTGGACTTCATCACCTTCACCGACCTGCTCGACCACCTCGAGGCCGTGATCTGCCGCGTCATTGACCTGACCCTGGCCGAGCCCGAGATTGCCGGGTTCATCAACCAGCTCAACCCTGACTTCAAGCCGCCGTCGCGCCCCTTCCGTCGCATGAAGTACAGCGATGCCATCGAGTGGCTGCGTGCCCACGACATCCCCAACGAGGAAGGCCAGCCCCACCAGTTTGGCGATGACATTGCCGAGGCCGCCGAGCGCAAGATGACCGATATCATCAACCAGCCCATCTTCTTGACCCACTTCCCCTCCGAGATCAAGGCCTTCTACATGAAGAAGGATGTCGAGGACCGCCGCGTTACCGAGAGCGTTGATGTGCTCATGCCCGGCGTGGGCGAGATTGTCGGCGGCAGTATGAGAATGGATGACTGGGATGAGCTGATGAACGCCTACAAGCACGAGGGCATGGACCCCTCGCCGTACTACTGGTACACCGACCAGCGCAAGTAAGTTCCCCTGATAATCCCTGCATCTGACCACACAATCTGACTCCGGCCCCTATAGGTATGGTACCTCCCCCCATGGCGGCTACGGTCTCGGTCTCGAGCGCTTCCTGGCCTGGCTGTGTGCGCGCTACACCGTCCGTGATTGCAGCTTGTATCCTCGCTTCACGGGCCGGTGCACTCCTTAAAAAGCATGACACTCCATTTGAATGTGACGAGCATGGAGGTATGGATGGATACGGAACAAAAAACGGTGACTTTCATATTAGATCAATGAAATATTTTCCTTCCCTTCTATTTTGTTTCGTGTAATGGTGTCGGCTCGAGTGGCTGTAGCGTTCAGAAGAAGACCTCCTAGGTAGCAATCAACAATAAACCCTGCAGTTATTAGCATAGACCTCCTACCCCAAAGATAGCAGAAATGAACTGGATCTTGTTCCCTATCAGCACAAGACAAATTATATTCCTCCTTTTCTGATCAGGTTACCCAGGACCCCGAGAGTCTCCCTGCTGCCGCGCCGTTGAGACACAAGCCCCGTGAGCCTGGCGCGTGGGATTACGTTCGCGACGGGCATGGCGCTATACATGGCCAACGTAGGACACACAGACACGCACTAGGCGGTGCTAGGTATATTTGAAACCCGATGCCTGTCGATGCTGTGTGATGCTGTTTTGGTCTCGTGTGTGCCCAGCCTGTCGTCTTTCTTCTGACATGCTGACATGGTCCCAGCGGATGACAGTTCAGGTATAATCCTGGATGTCAATGGACTGGCCATGGTTCTAATTGGGCTTGGCATGCCCATAGTGAAATATTGAAGGACGACACGGGATTGCGAAGGGGAGGAGTGCAAGGCGATCTCGAAGACAGGTGTGCGATGGACACGGAGGACTGGGGGTTGCGGGTATGGGGAGGAGAGCTCTCGTGCAAAGACTGGGGACTCAGGGAGAAACAATAACAAGGGGTTGAAGCATAGTACCAGCTCACCAAACAAGATGGAAAAATGGCAGGAAATGAGAAAGAGAGTAGGGGTGGTCCACTCGGTGCTGAGCGGAGATGGAATCCGCCTCTAGTCCCCAGTCACCCATTCCTCTCTCTCTCTTTCTCCTTGTACAGCCATCACCAACGGTGACTTTGCTATAAGATTCAGACGAAGTTGAGTGAATACGACAGATGAAAATGTGAGTGGTCTCTGTCATGGTTTTGAGGTCACAACTCCAGAGCATCTGGATACACCCCGAGTTTCTGGGTTTTGTTTTTCGTTCGCATCCAATGCTCTCTCTCCCTGCGATGACTCGCCCAGTGTGGGCAGGACAGCGTGCTCCATCGATAATCTTCTGCAGTTGCTTGGATTTATTCAATTGAGCTTTTGTCTGCCATGGTATACTGTTGGGCTCTCATCCTGATCCGGGGCGATCGGGTATTGGGTGAGTGGTGCGCCAACCAGGGCAAGCGTGTTTAACGGCCACGCAACGACAAGGGAGATTAGTCGCTGTCTCGGTCATCTGCATTTTACACAGACACTGTCATGTTACCTTTTCTTTTCTTTTTCTTTTTCTTAGGCAGGGCTGTGGGATTCTGGGCAGTGAGCCTTTCCAATGACCACCAGTTCTGCCTCGACAGTGCCTAGGGACTTGGGCTCGAGACACAAGACAAACAGGTGGGTGAGTTCATTCTCGAAACGAAACAGAGTATAATCAGATACTGATGAGGCGTGGGAACAGGCGGAATGAAAACACATAAGTTATATCGTCTACCATCCAATTCTTGATGGTTCCCCGGATTCTTTAGAGACAAAGAGAGGTTCAACGCCACTCTGAATCCTCCCAGAGCCTGAGCCGTTAGCAAGGCATTGCAATGCACCAACCATTCCTGAAGCGTGGACCCTTCGTCATGTATGAGTTTGTTCCAAGATTGTGACTCGACACCAACTCCCACGACAGACCCTGGGCAAACCGATTCATGTCCTTGCTTGGGGCCTTGGGCCAAGCACGGCGACATTATGGCGTGGCATTCTGGTTCTCCTGTTCTGGCGCACTCGAAGTGCTAGGCTCACTCGATAGACCTGCAATGGTGGAGAGAATCTGGTCATGCGAGGCCCCCGAGCGAATGACCGAAATCAGCTGGGCCACCGTCTGCGTGTTTCCGTGCGAGATGAGCCCTAGCAGCTTGTCCAAGAAATGGTGATAGTATTGGACTTCTTCGGCTGAGCTGGGACTATTGCCATTGTGTTCGGTCGTTTCGTGGGCGCGAGGGCTGTTGCGCGGTTCCAAGATCATTCTTAGCCTTCCAATCATCCCGAGAGTGTTCTTCGGCTGTGCTACAATGCAAAACCTCTTGGAGAGCCGGGAGTGAAAGAGCTGAGAAGAACCACAGTCACCTACCTGTCTGCTTCGTGTCGCCACGCTGGCTGGTCGCTGCCGCCCCCTGTCGGGGTTTCTCCTGGGTTGCGAGAGTCATCGTTCGCGGCGGTTGATGCGGGCATCTTGTCGTGACGAAGCTATGCAAGCAGAGCTAGGACTCAGGATCGGTGTTTTCGAAGGTGGCCCACGGATTCGGACGTGAGATCGAGGCCCTGGGTGGTCTTAGGGCTCTCGTTGGTTCGAGAAGCCAATGCAGGATTGCCTAAGGACATGCCGAACATGTAAGCAGACTGTGAGCAAGTCTGAACAGAGCAAATGTACGAGAAGAGAAGGGGAGAAAAAGAGGGCGAAGGAGTGGGTGAAAGACTGAGCGGTCGGCCATACCGAGGGCAGAAGTGTACTCTCACGGTCACCCAACTAGGAATGCCTAGTCTCCCTGGAACTCGTAGAAATCACAGATCAAGAGACACCACAGTGTGGGAGAGAGAGAGAGAGAGAGAGAAAGAGGGACTGAGATGCGGGACAAAATACGGGCCATTTAAAAGGCCTAGCGAGTATATTTCCGACAGTCGAATGTTCGTCACATACGCCAATTTGGAAGGTCGTTAAGGCACCCTCGACGGCGCGGTTCGGCATCCAAACAGACCACTTGTCTTCCTTCCACTACTTCCCTCCCATCTGCAGCATTGCGATTTGGATCCCTGCCAGCTCCCCTTTATCTATACCTTGGTTTGACGAGCCCGATTGTATGGTCTTGTTCGTCTCGGAAAAAAGTGCCAGCCAATTGCGGATGCCTCATTCTCTCCACGGGGTTTTCCAGTACCGGCACTTTGGACTCGGGATTTGATGAAGAACACCATCGGTCGATCACGGATTCGGGCATATTGCTTTGCAGAAGCAAGACCCAAGAGGCTGGTGAATGGCTTCCAAGCAGGAGAGATTTGCATCAAGCTGCGATCTTCATGGAGTCGTCTCGAATTAAGTACTCGCAGGGCGTCTGGGCCGTAACCTTTCTTTTACCTTTTTGATGGCAAGATGGTTTGATTGCATTCATCCATCTTCAGAGTCTTTTGGGGACATCCGACATGTATCGTTGCATCCCTTTGTCGTTCGGGGCTCGCAAGCTACCCGAGTGACCAACTGACCTTGTTCAGTCAACCACCTCCAGTTCGCCATCGATACCGTGTCAACCCAGTCAACTCCCGACGAAACGAAACCGCGCCTAACCCAAACCTTCCCTTAGAAACGAGAAGCAATCTGGAGGATCATGAAGCGAGCAAAGTTTATGAACGTGTGGTTTCTCCGTCTCGCTGGAGGTAGTCCAACGCGCGACGTACGACAACCATCGACCAAATTCTTGCTCTCATCCTCAGAAGCGACATAAGGTTGATGGATAGCAAGCAAGGTGCGTGGAAATTGGACCGCCGTATCTGTACAACGGAATAGGGATGGTGGTTTTGCCGACGCCATGGCTTTGCGCCACAGACAGCAGGGACCGGGCGCCAAAAGGAACCAGGGAACAAGGAGGAGCTTAGCTGTCTCCAGGTAGGCTCAATGTCTTCCTAAGCCCTGACTTTCCAGAGTTTGCAACACTGGGTGACTGACCAGCGCATGTTTTGTAACCAGGAATTACCGAATTGGCAGGGCCATGCCTCCTCACTTCCCTCTCGACATCGTCTTGTCGACCGCAGGCTTTATAGTCTTCCAACGTACGCCTTTCCGCAAGATTCCCAGTATATCCTTCAAGCGAGATATATTCGTGTCACGCCGAGTACGGTGGAAGGACAATGTGGCTGCCGCCTCTCCGAGTCGTCCCTTTTCCACACGAGACCGAGACCGAGCCTCAGCGGATCGGTACACCGCTGTGAAACCTGGAAATATGTTGATATGGCGTTTGGTGTTATCTGGCTCAGAGGCCAAACACTTTTCAACAATTTGTCAGCCCTCCCAGATCTCGGTGCAATTTGCTCGGTCCTTGGAATGCCCTCTGCAGCTTCATGCTGAGGCTTTCCTAGAGGCTTTGTGGGATCTTTCGTTCCACCAATCCCAGTGCAGGTCAATCTCGAGGTATTTTCGCCTGGTGAAATGTGCTGTGAGCACAGAGGGATTATGGACATTCGGTCTTCGACGCTGTGAAAGACGGTCCAGTTGTCCTTGATGACCCGCGAACCAGCATATTTTTTTCTGATCAGACGACCGGTTGTATCCTGATTCAGGTGGCGTTCGTGTGGGGTCGGAAGCGGCGATGCTGGTTCGTCTCCAATGCGGCAACGTCGGTGACAGAGATGTACTGGTAGGTGTCTGATCGGTCGGCCGACGTCTTTCAATAGAGCCCTATCACAGGCTGTGTCTTGATCAGTGTCGGCTGCCTTGCATGGTCTCGAGATGAGTGGAAAGGCAGCTTGGGAACACTCTCCCGTTTTCAACGCGGCAGTCACGTCGGGGACAGGGGATGGTATTAGGTCTAGCTGATCGGCGGATCAATGCCGTTCACTCTGACCTCACTACGGGCTGTATCCTGATTTATTGGTTGTGTTCGTGTGCTCAAGATGATCCGAAATGCCCGTTTGCCGTTTGTCTTCAACGTGGAGAGAAAACCTCTAGGGCTGGTTGGCGACTCTTGGTTGAGATGCCAAATAGACATTCGTTCTGGTTGTCGGCAGCGTCAGCCCAAAAAGGCCCACCGATCTGTTTCATGTCAGCCCTTGAGGTGCACGGCACGGTCGGGAGGCTTACTGATGCCGGGAACTTCGCAGTGGCCACAAACCACCCATTCCGAGGTTCCTCGTTCTGTTGGTTGGTGTCTTGCAGCTCATTCGGTGATGGCCGTCCATCACGATAATGAAGGCATCAAGTCATGAGATAGTGACAGACCTGCGAGCAGCTCTCCACCAACTCGCAGCGTGAAGCTGAATCCGTCTCGGCCTCCTTTGGAAAGAGCAGACCAAGGATCTCCGCCCTTTGAAGCCCAGATGGCCCCAGGGGTTTGACCAAGGAAGGTCATACTAGCCACTCGTGTGTTCCTGGAGACCTTCAGCCAGTGTCCACGCCGGCCAGATGACAACTGGACATCAGGAGGCAGGGCCGCTATTTACCCTCCGAGGGGGAGAAGGAAGCAGAAAAGCCCTACCCTTTGCATCCCGGGCCGCCAATTGGATGCCCGAAACCATCAGGAAAAGGGTTCCTAGCCAAGCCATTGGGGGATGGCTCCACCCCAGGGCCAGCTACTCAAACAAGTGTCAGATTTGCGTTCTACCCGAAGTTTGTTTGGTAACGGGAATTCTGTCAAAGACCCGCCCAATCAGCAGCAATGTTCTGGCTTCGATTTCCGGAGATGAAATCCTGACGAGTCCTAGCAGGGTCGCTTGGGCGAACGATCTGCAGTGATTTCACGCCTTGTCGCCTGCCGCTCGGCTATCTATGCTGTTTATAATGGGAATGGGATCTGGATACCAGAAATACCAAGCAGGAGTTCCGTGGCGAGTTTTAGCTGTGCTGGCGGCAGAGCCCATGGTCTTGTGGGAAGGTCCCATTGTGCTTGTTACGGGTGTATTACGTACAGACTACGTGTACGGGACCTGCGCGATCCATGGCGTGGGCCTCAGCCATGCATTTCGGCACGAATTACCCCTATCAACAATACCACTTGCTGGAAAAAGGACTGTCGAGCTCCTCTACCAAGCTCTTTTGAACCGTGTCTGAGTCATGACGTACACCGGGGATTGATTTCCTCGGCTACCGGAGCTGCGAGTATGTATTCCCGAGTTTCGCATATACTGACCCTGCACAGATTTCGGTACAATTCGCATCTATCCCCTAGGGGGATTATAGCATAATTAAGCGTGAGTGGAGACCAACGATGTCAATATTAATACAAGAACGGACTATGAGAAAATGTTAGTCCTTCTATTTTCAGACTATCATCCTCAGAAGTCTCTATTAAGTAGTTATCGGATATTCGACAAGTAGGAAGAAAATAGGTACATGTCTAGTGTCTAAGATAGCAACTCTAAGGGTATTCTATGAACCACACTACATTAAAGGAATTGAGAAGGATCGCAGAAACTTCCGTCTCAAGCACTCAGCTACTCGGCCCCTCGAATAGAGTCTACTAGACTCGATTTTTCATGTGATGTTATGTTCTTCGGCTGTCTGTGGGAGACCCAATCACAATGAGTACATATGCCCATCTTATGCCAGTCTCGACCAAGCCACTCGCCTGTCTTGGACTCCACTTTGAGCCATCGGAATGCAGACTAGCCACAAACCATGCTACTAGACTTTCTTAGGCGGACCTACTCTGATACTAAACACCGACCTTCCGACCCTCTACGATCTATATACCTCTACCATGATTCTATCTTGATAAGCAGCAGGCCACGACTATTCAACCTGTCTAACCAATTTTTTTTTCAATGAAGATACTCATGTTTCCTAAAGATATACACCCCACGCGTGGTGTCTACACTCCCACATTCCTCGCGCAACCACACATGCTCGAATATGGCATCTTTCCCCCCCCCCTTGCTACGCCTACTCGAGAGGAATTCCTGGAGTGGGCGCGTAAATAATAGCATGTGGCATTTTCCTCCCTTTATTATGTCGACGCAGCGCTTGTTGATTTTTTCTTGAATCAACCCTATATCGACAACCAAAAGTGACAACACCACAAGCAGCAACGGCACAAGTAAAAACAAAAAGAAAAGAAAAAAGGTGCAAAAGACAAGATGCATCTCTCCAACACCCTCACCCTCACCCTCACAACCCTCCTCACCCCCGCGCTCTCAGCGCGCTTCTTCCCCTCCGGCTTCGGGGGCCTCGGGACCAGACCCTTCCCAACCGAAGCCCCGATAGCAGAAGCCGCGCACTCGATCTTCGCAGCGCAGTCCTCACAGGGGTTCGCAGGATTCGGCGTCTCCTCGAGCTTCGCCGTGCAGTCTTCGGGGACTCCTATCGCACACGGCGGGTACTCCAGCTTCAGTGTGCAGCCGTCGCAGGGTCCTGTCGCTGTCCCCAGTGTCCATTCGACTTTTGCTGTGCGGCCCTCGCAGACGCCTGTTGGATACGGTGTTCATTCTAGCTTTATGATGCAGTCCTCTCAAGCGCCCGCTGCTCCTAGTGTGCACTCGACCTTCGTCGCACAGCCTTCACAGGCCCCTGCTGTCCACAGTGTTCACTCGAGTGCTGCTGCTCCTCGGCAATATCACGCGCCTGTTGCGCACAGTCCGTCGGGTGGACACGGTTCCCTTGATTCCCCTACAGGCGATGTCCCCGCCAGCGGCCCCGTCGACGACACGAACAGCGGCATCCCCGACGGCGGCTCAGTAGCACCCATCGACCCGCTCGCCCCCAACTCGCCCGTAGCACCCATGAAGTGGACGCCGTCGAACGGGAAGGACGAAGGCGGCTCGTTCTGTCTGGGAAAGTGTTATCCGAGTGAGGAGAAGGCGCAGTGTGGGAAGCCTTATGTGAGTATTTCCCGCTCATCTACCCGTGCTCTTAATAGTAAATAATGTGAATGTGCTGACTTTTTTATTCTTTTTTTCAGGCCTCGGCAGTGCAGAAGAAGCCTGGGTGCTTTGTTTGCTGCTTTGCGCCGCCGGATAACTTCTAGAGTGGGAGTTTCCAAGGGTTGAGGGGGGTTTACTTCTTCTTGGTCTTGTGGTTTCGGTATTTTATGTGTCTTATGTCTGCTTGTAGGAAGGAATTGGAATCTCAGTTGGGTTATTTACAGTATACACTATGAATGCAATGTTTGATGTGCTTTGTCTATATCTTTCTGAATCTTTATTTAGATCTCGAGTTATGTTAGTTCGATAGTTTTCCAGAATCCTTATCCATGGATAGTATAGACAAGTCCCCAGCCTTGGCTACAGATCTGCAGATCATCCGTCTGGGCGAGCCCTAACTACACTCATTTCTATCAATTCAACTCCCTAACTTACTATTGAACACTTATATAGTCAATTCATCCAGTGTGCATTGATCTATTCCCGGATACAAGCATTATATAAAGTCTATTCGCTACCAAGCCAAATGAAACAAGCAATCCATCGCTGATTACATCACATCGTCCTGCACAAAAGGGGGATTTGGGGGAACAAGCTGGCCCAGACATCAAGAATATATGAAATAAATAGATTAAAAAAAAAAAAAAAATTAATGAGTCGCTCAACACCCAGATAATCAGAATATCAGAAGTCAAATAAGTTTTCAGGCGTGCAATCACGCATGCTTGCCGAGACTGCTGCGCAGAACCGGAGCCATGTTGATCGGAGCCATGGCGGTCTTGCCGCAGGGGCTCTCTTCCCAGACAGCGCTGCTGGCCGGGAAGATGGAGCCGCTGTCCGAGACATGTACGGGGACGTCCTCGGACGGCGAGGCGACTTGGGGCACGACGAGCTCGACACCCTTGGACAGGCTGGCACTGCCAGCGAAGCACGGGTTGTGGCGCGGCGGCAGGGGCCGCATGCCGGACTCATACATGCTGCCGAGGTAGTCGGAGGCAGTGCTGCTGAAGGACGAGGCCGCGGTCGACGGGGTATGCGTCAGAGACGGCATGGCAACAGCAGCAGATAAACCACCGTCCAGGGCCGGCAAACTGCGGGGCATGGAGCTGGGGCGGCGGTGGTGGTGCAGCAGGGATTCGTCGTTGCCGTGGAACTGCGACAGGTAGTGCCAGGCGTCGGAGGAGGCCAGGGACGACGAGGTCGAGGAGCGGCCGAGTAATACGGGCTTCCACTCGGTCGGGTCCAGATCTGTCTTAGCGTCATGCGCGTCGCTGGGTATCCGAATAGCCGGGATGGGGGTGGGCTGCGCCCGGGTGGGAGTCATCGGGGCCACGATGGTGCGAGGGGATAGGGGAGGAGAAGTGGGAGGAGTAGTGGAGTATGAGGAAGAGACGGAGGATGAGGAAGACATTGAGGGCCACGACGCCGACAGTGGTTTACACGAGTCTTTGCGACGGCAGCTATAAAAGGAAGAAAGTTAAGTTAGGTTCCAAAGCTGGGGGGGAAATGGGGCTCTAAATAGCATGCGTACCTTTCGCTACAGTACAGCAGGGAATTGTTGGGCACGGTAATCTGTCTCTCGCACATGGCACTGTGGAAAAAGGGTGTTAGCACGAGCCAAGTACCATCCAAGACATATGATATCTCGGGGGCCAGATAAGGCGTGGGCATAGATAGTCCAAGGATATAAATATATCACATACCAGAAATTCAAGAAACTGGCCATATCCAAATCACTGTCGTCGGTCTTGGACGGACCCCGGGCGTGTCCAGCACCCAGTTTAGAGATGGACAAGCTCAACCCTGAAGTACCTCGTCGATGTAATCCAGGACGGACCGGCTTAGACTTGGTATGGGAGGAGGAAGGGGAACGACGATGGGAAGTAGATTGAGTCATGGCGGTGAAGGGCTTTTTTTTTTTTTCCCTCTTTTCTTGTGCCCAGAATACCTATCTTATCACCAAGAATGGGTACCTTGCGCCAGTGGAGCACGAAGGATGGCTCCTGAGGGAGCACAGGGCTTTGAGGGATTTGCAAGGCCCTTGAAAACCAGGCCGGGTAGTCGGGATGGTGCAGACAAGTGAGGCAAAAGGAATACACAGGAAAAGAGATGCAAGGCTGTTTTTAATCTCTTTTTTTGTGTGCCTCGTTGAGGGGTCTGGGGGGGAGGAAAGACCAAAAGTCCAAGATAGACTGCTGATAAGGTCAGTGGGTGGGTGACACCAAAGGGGGGTTATCCGAAGGCTGTGAGTGGGGGGAGATAAGAGTGAGACGGGGAATGGACATACTGATAGGTGATGGTAGGTGACAGAATGTTGATAGAAGAAGAGAAGAGAAGAGAATATAAATAAAAGAAGAGTAGAAAAGTAGAAGCAGAGAAGCAGAGCAGCAGAGAAACAGCGACACAGCGACACAAAGAAATAAATAAGAAGAAGAAAAGAGAGAAGAACGTGCTGGCGTGATAGGATGAGCTGATGACGGGTCTAGACTCGAGGTACCTTGCCACGTAAACTGGCGGGGGCGGTACCTTGGGGGTTGCGCAATACTATGACTGACTCACATATTCTTTCTTCTTCCTTCGATCTTCTATAATTAGTGGATCTTCTTTTTCTTCTGCCTGTGAATACCCACAAAGATCTAGAATCAGTCTTGGTTTTATTTCTTTATTTCTTTATGTCTTTATGTCTTTATTTCTTCACTTTTTTGTTATGATTCTGCACGGGCATTGCTCCCTGCAGTAGTGCAGGGAGTCTATCTCCGGAGGGGTCGGAACTACCCCTGGTATTTCTGATTATGGTGTGTACACCATACTACACCGCTGGAAACGCACCAAAAAACCAAGAAATGAGGTGCTGGAGACACAAACACAACCACAATCTTTGAAATGACGCCATAGATGCCTCGACACTGACTGCTCCCCGAGTTAGGGTTACTAGAGTTACTAGGGTTACTAGAGTTACTAGGGTTATTCAGGGTTATGTCACCACTCGAATACCAAAAAAAAAAAGAAACAAAAGAAACAAATAGCCGAAAATACAAAGAAAATAACAAAAGATCAGCATCTAGAGCAATCGAGAACTTCTCTCCCCGGGAATCCAAGACTCAACACACAGACACTTGTGGACGTGTGGACCCTTTCCACATAACCCCCACCGGTGACACATCCTTGACACGTCGAGTCCACTGACGAGAAGGGCAACAGGTTCCAGCCCAGACAATGGTGGAGTTCCCAAGAACGAGACAATGCCGAGAAACTGCCTCGCACAATTCACATTGGCCCTGGTAACTTGTCGATCAGCCGTGCTAGCAGTTTCGAGTCGATGGAGAAAAAAAAAGGGCAAGAAACTGGGGCATTGGTGCCTTGGCCTGTACTCTTCAGGGCGTTAACGAAGAGTGAAAAATTTGACGGTTACGTCAGATGGCTTCTAGATCATTACTACACCCAGGTAATCCTCTGGACAGTAGAAGAAAAAAACGATCCAAAAACAGAAACACCATGGAATTGTTCTTTTCCTGGACTCCCGCTGCTTCCGTCGCGTGCCTTGGGTCGAGCTGGACTGGGTCGTGACATCTGTCAACGTAGTTGTATACATCATTATCCAAGGACTTTTGAATACATGAATATAATAAAGTCTACGACTCGAGTGGAGCAATGATGCATGGAAATAGAATCATAATATCACAATGGGTATCTACGCATCGTACACGCTCACGGCTCCACCGTCTGGCCCGAGGCTGCTTGCACCGGGGTTGATTCCCCATTAGGCCTGCTCTCGTCCTTTGTTGACGTTGCAGCCGGGTCCGGCTCGAGCTCGGGGAATCTGGCCTTGGCTCCACCCAAGAACCGCTCGGGCACTCCTCGCGCGGCCGTGTCGGGCGATCCAACAAAACATCCCAGCATCGAGCTCCAGATGTAGCCCTGTGACAGAAGCTGCTGGATCTGGCCATATGCGTACGAGTTTGCATAGGGCAGCGACGTCTCCGGGTCCCGGTAGCGAGAAGGTAATGAGGTAATGACGCAGAGGGATGACGAGATTTCTGGGAACAATGTTAGTCAGTGATGAGGCAAAGTCAGGGAATGATGGCACATACTGGTCAAGCGCGGTGGCTTTTTGGCGTTGAAGTACATGCTGTACTTCCGACTCTGCGCCGTCTTGTCGTCGAAGTTTTCGAGGATCGTGAGGGTGCGGCCGGTGTGCTCGATGACCGGCGGCGGTGGGGGGATTGCCGGCAGGACTGGTGCTGCAGTCATGCCATCAGGTTGAGCGGCCTGCACTGGGGGATGTGGTGCCAGACCCTGGATTGTCGGATGCTGGGGTGGCGTGGGTTGGCTAGGCGCTGCTTCGGCTGAAGAGACGGTCGGGGCTGCAGTCGGAGGAGTTGAGGCAGTGATTGTTGACACAACGGCATCGCCATTTACTACTGGCTGTTCTGTCCTTGGACCGTTCACATTGGAATTTGATGGCTCTCTCAAGGTAGGTGGCTGTTCCACGGCTGCAGTGGGTAGACTCGTGTGGCCAGTCGTCGGCTCCTGCTGTCCCTGCTCCTGATTGTGCTTGGAGGTATCCGGCGTAGAATCGATTATCATGAAGTCCGTATTAGGGGCAGTTTCTACCGGAGGCTCAGCCTTCGAATCAGACGAAGTATCGACGGCTGGTGCCGATGGTTGAGAGGGCGCCGAGGCTGGCACGGTAGGAATTTCGGTATTGTGTGAGGGTTTGGATTCTTGTGTTGTCGTTTCCGCATTATCTTTTTTCTCTGCAGACGAGACAATCGTACTTGGCTGGTCCTGCGAAGTGGTCCCATTCGGTTGACCAGGCTGTGCCTCACTAGACACCGGAGCCGTATTCTCTGGCGGGTTGTCACCGAGCGGCTTCTGATCTGTTGACGGACCGGCCTCTGCTGGACCAACAGGTAGAATCCCTGGCTGTGCTGGAAGGGTTGAAGGTTGCCCCATAGGGCCAGCAGAACCAGCACCAGCACCAGGAACACCCACAGAGCCTCGTGCTTCTGCTGCAGCCTTCTCCTCTTTCTCCATCTTCTTTTTCTTTCGCGCAACCTCATCCTTGTCTGGCTTAGGCTTGATATCGACCTGACCCACGCGTGTGAGGCGCCCATTCACCCACGTAGCCAAACCACTCCAGTATGACATGACCGGTCCCTCCAGACGGCGGTTCTGGAGCGCCTCGATCTTTGCTCGTCTTTCATCTGCTTTCCTTCTCTCAGCCTGCTCCCACCGGTTCAGACTCTTGCTATTCGATCGCTCCACCCTCTCAGCCTCTGCGAGGTGGTCTTCCTGCGTCATTTCTTTGGGCTTCAGATGAGCTTTCCGTTTTTCCGCCTCCTTCATGGTAGCAATGATTCGCACTCGCTTTTCCTGGCTATCCTTCAGGCGCGCATGCGTAAGTTCTTTATTGTGCATGGTCTGCCGACGCGACGATGACCGCGTAGGCCCATCCTCGGGGGTAGGGATCCACGAGATGCGTTCGGACTTTTTCTTGGGACGAGCGGCAGGCACGGTGGACACGGCGGACACGGCGGTGGGATCGATCTTGACTCGCTTGCGCAGCGTCTGGAACCGTAGGTCGTTCTGCGCTTTGCGTTTTCTGCGCTCCTCCTTCTGTAGCTCTTGTTCCCCTGCGTAATCGTTCTGCGCGTTTGGTCCCTGGTCGTCATCATCGTCCGACGAAGAATCAAGCCCCATTTCATCCTCCTCGGCTGCTTCGACATCTGCCTCAGCGGCAAACTCGTTGTCATCTTCGACCTCCTGGAAGAGCAATGTGAGGTCATCGTCGGCGGCGGCGTCGATCAGGGCAGACATGTGTCGCCCGGCGGTACTTCGTTTCGCGCGTCCTCGAATCAGGGATTCCACTTGCTCTCCCTGCTCCTCCTCCTCTTCTGAGGACTGAATCCCCGATGAGGGGTCCTCTTCCATCATGTCTGCCATTGTTTCTACCTAAACGCCTCTTCCGATGCCCCGGGGAACGAGCGCGTGGTTGAACATCAAACGCGATGAGCGGACGCGAAATCAAGGTCGGATTAATCACAGTTGAGATAAAGCGACAGTTTTTATTGCGGACAGTCGTTCTTCCAGGCACGAGGGGGCACGAGAGTGAAGGCGAATTCCGAGTTGACAGAGCTTGGAGAGTTGCAAGATTCCGCGTGGACTGTGGCTCATGCCGGAGAAATATAGCAGCCTCAGGCCCCACTCGATCCACGGTTGGTCTGCCACACTGCCAAGACGCGCTGCTCTACTCTGCTCTACTCTGCTCTGCCTGCTCTGCCTGCTCTGCCTGCTCTGCCCTGCCTTGCCCTCCTCCAGGGCTACTTGCATGGTGACCTAATCTCATTACTAAGTCTATTCAACCTTGGAACCCCTGGACTATCCGCTTGTTCCGGATCCATCGAGTCTTTCTGGAAACTTGAGATCGACACATGGACGGGTTCGTCTATCCAGACCGCGTAAGACGACACACATCCACCCGGGCAGGATCTAGGGTCCAAGTAGAGAACCCAAGGACACGTACCTGACCCATCCCTTGCGCCCACTCATCTTGGGTCCAACACAATCCCCTTGCATGGCCAATTGCATCACTTCTCACAGTCTCGTTGACTCAGACAACTAGAGACCATCACAATCTACTGCTCTTGGATTCGGGCGTTGAGGCATGACGCGCGAGAATGCGGGGCTTTCTTCTGTCGTTTCCACATTCCCACACCTGTTCACTTCACTGAGCATGCCATGCCAGGGAGTATGACACCGGTCCAGGCCGATGGGAAGGGGAGCCCGCAGGTTTTGTAGTTTGTGGTCGATCCCCAGGCAACACGCCTGTGTGGGATGGGGGGTTTTCAGTGACATTAGATGGGGCTGTGTCTCCAATGGCCCGGAGTCACTGCCGACGCCCGGATCTTCCACGTTTTTGAGGCCATTTCTCCAGGATCACGTAGAACGGGAGTACCCCGGAAGTTGAGGGTAAGTCAAAGCACAGATCTGAAGTGGGGAGATCCGAGAGAAACAGAAGAAGCGAGTGTGGGTGTTGGGACAAATGGATTGTGGTGAAGCTGAAGGGCCTCTCTCCACCAACCACATCCTCGGGCATCCGCCATCTTCTCTCCCTCCCTCTTCCTCTCTCTCTCCCCTTCTCCCTTGACTTCATCCTGTTTCCTGTGGATGATTCTTTTTTTCCTTTTTCTTTTCTTTTTCTCTATTTTCTTCTTCCCTTTGCATGCTTAGGTGAAGTCATTTTCGGTCAGTCCTTTCGGAGACCTTTGGCGTGTTTGTGGTTCGCCTCCCGAAGCCGACTAACTCGCTCTCCAGCCACCTCGATCCCTTCGCAGTCCTCCCTCTCCATCGCGACTCTTTTAGTCCCTCGACGCTCTTTGTGTCAGACCAGGTTCTTATTCTTTATTCTTTATTCTTTATTCTCTATATGCATCTGTTCCTTCTTTGAACAGCCTTAACGACCTCAAAACAACAACCTTGAATCCAGAAACGGACCGAATCGATCGCTTGGGACCCGGACCGGAGATCGTCATACATCCAGAACGAACTGAGATTTCCATCCCATCCCAATACAGCTGGATCGGTTTGGAGGAGATATACCATCTCGGTGCGATCCCTTCCCCACATTGCCTTCCTGTGTGGAAGCCCTGTGTCAACCCCTCCTCCCCCATACTGCGCCCTGAAGCCCTCATACGCCAAACACCACTTTTCTCGTTCGCCGTACTTATCTACCCTTCTCTTCTTAGAGTGCGCGTCCGGCTATTTCCTGAACCGATTCTTTGGGACCACCGGGATTCCCCCGACGCTCATTTACGAGCCACCCCATGGTGTTTTCGACCCACATCCCCGAGCAGGAAATATACCCTTGAGCATCCAACCCTTTCGCAGTGATCGGTTGGAAGGGACGAAGCGTACTGCCTTGATCTAAGGCAGAAGGAAATAATCTGTAATGCTACCGGTCTCGCGACCCGAGAGCCAGATGAGTTTCAACTACATCCCGTCCTCGCAGCCCATGTCGGGGACATCGACAGGGCGCAGCTCCCCCAGTGATATCACTGGATCGGGGGCTGCGAAAGCACCATTTGGCCATTCCCCAGGATCCATTGGCGGCACGAGGCTGGGGGCTGGCTCCCCTTCTCATGAATTAGGCACCCGTTTATATCCGAAACGGTAGGTAGCTTCCCCGACATCCCCAGTCGTGGCCGCTCCTTGGCTCACGCTTTGTTCTATTATCCTGCAGAGCCCGTGAAATTCAAGCCCAAGAAGGTGTTGCTCCCAGCATCTGGGGCCCCCCTACCAGCGGCCATTCAACCCCCCCTCCGTGAGAATATCCCCGAGTCGCCCAGCCAGGATAGCTTCCCCGACCTGCTCCCTAGTACTAGTGGATCGATTGGTAATTCTGGTCGTCGAGCTCGAGCTGGCACGGTGCCGTCTCGATTTCCTCCAATGGGCACGCTCAGCGAAGTCGACCTTAATCAGCCGTTCATGTCGCAAACATCTCGACCCACGCCATCTACCAGCCCTTTTCGACCTCCGGGGGGTATCAGGAATGGACTCGAGTGCCGGTATCACGAGCTCAGCTGGTGCGCCAAATCCGGCTATGCTATCGCGCCTTCGAGCTGGCTCGATGCCCCAAAGGAGCAGTCTCCTGGGAACTGGCAGTCCTTTCGGCCCATCGCTGTTTTCCACCAATTGGTCGACGGGACGTGATCGAGCTTCAACCTTGACCAGTATCCGATCCTCAGAAGGACCAACTTCCCCGAGCCAATCCTCATTTTCAAGGGATGGCCTTACGGACTCCGATGTCAAGACGTTGGACTATTTGGGCCTTGCCGAAACTCCTCAACAGGCACGGGCTAATCTTGCACGCCCTTCGATGGAGGCTCTGATGCAGCAGCAACAGCAACAGCAGCAAGCTTCTGCACTGCCGCCCCTCCTGGCCGAGCTAGCGATGATGAAGAACAATAACAGATTTCGGTCATACTCTGTGAACGCCAAAGAGAAGTATGCCGATGATGAAGATCTCGAGTACGAGAGCCGCTACTCTCAAGCACCCTCCGGCAACATGACTCCCTCCGCGGCAGCGACAGCCGCTCAACTCGCCGCCACCCAGGCCCAGATTCATCAACACAATCTTGCCGTCCAGGCTTTTGCCAGCCATGCATCTGTCAGTCGGCCCCGAGCCCGGACTGCCGGTATCCTGGAGGCTCCCCCCAGCGGTCATCGATTCGCAACTATCTCGCGACTCCTTCCCGTCTTGACAGCAGCTTTAGCGCTGCTGACTTGCAAATTGCGGAGAATGGCGAATATGACGAGCTTTCAGAAGCAGTACAATTGATGCAACTTGGCGGAGGCGCTGCCGGTGTTCGGGCAGCTGGTGAGATAGGCGATGAGAACAATCAGGACGGCCCCACTCGAGCTCTGTGGATTGGGAGCATTCCCGTTTCAACAACCGTCACTTCTCTGGAGGCCATCTTTGGAATGTATGGCAAGATTGAGTCCACTCGTGTTCTCACCCACAAGAATTGCGGGTTCGTCAACTTCGAGCGCATTGAAAGTGCAGTGCAGGCGAAGTCGCTCTTGAATGGAAAGGAGATTTTTCCGGGCGCAGGACCTGTCAGAATCGGATACGCCAAGGTTCCCGGCACTTCTGCGACAGGCACTCCTGGCGCCAATGGCATCCAGTCCTCTCCGACCCCCGATCCCAACTTCAAGTCCAACCTTGCATCGGCCGACGCTGCAGACCTGGCCGAGAATTTCGGTACAGTGCCTCAGATTCCTGATCTGGCCGACCTTCTGCCCGAGATGGTCCAAATTGTGCAAGAATTTGGCGCAAGCGAGGAAGATTCGCGGAACATTACGGCAGGCATCCAGGGTGCCGTCGAATTTCAAGCCTTCGAGGATGAAATCCCTCCCATTTCCGAACCCAGCCAGACCCGAATGTTTGACGCGCCTCGTCTTCGCGACATCCGCAAGCGAATTGACAACGGTGCATGCTCGATTCAAGAAATCGAGGAAACTGCTGAAGCGATGCTCCCCGAAATTGCGGAACTTTCTTCGGATTACCTGGGCAACACCGTGGTCCAGAAGCTGTTCGAGTTCTGCTCCGAGCCCACTAAAGAGCAAATGCTCTCTCACATTGCGCCTCACCTTGCCGAGATTGGTGTTCACAAGAATGGTACTTGGGCTGCGCAGAAGATCATTGACGTTGCCAAGACCCCGGCCCAGATGGAGATGATTGTCGACGCCCTACGACCTTACACTGTCCCGCTCTTCCTGGACCAGTACGGCAACTATGTGTTGCAGTGCTGCCTGCGGTTTGGTAGTACGCACAATACCTTCATCTTCGAGACCATGCTGAGTCGCATGTGGGAGGTTTCCCAGGGGCGATTTGGCGCGCGAGCAATGCGGGCTTGCTTGGAGAGTCACCATGCCTCGAAAGATCAGCAGCGGATGCTGGCGGCTGCCATCGCTCTGCACAGCGTACAGTTGGCTACCAACGCCAATGGAGCTTTGTTGTTGACCTGGTTCCTCGACACTTGCACATTCCCCCGCCGCCGAACTGTCCTCGCCCCGAGACTTGTCCCCCATATTGTGCATCTTTGCACTCACAAGGTCGCTTATCTTACCGTTCTCAAGGTGATCAACCAGCGCAACGAGGCCGAGGCTCGAGACATTGTCCTCAAATCCCTCTTCTTCAGCCCTGGAGATGAAGTGTTAGAAAAGATATTGAGCGATCAAACTTCCGGAGCGACACTCATATTCAAGGTCCTCACTACCCCGTTCTTTGACGAGTCCATGCGTTCGGACGTTGTGAAGAACGTGTCTAAGGTGCTCACCAAGCTCAAAGCCTCGCCGAGCCAGGGGTATAAGCGCCTTATGGATGAAGTTGGCTTGTCCTCGCGCGGGGGTCGGGATCACCATCATGGACGCGAGCACGGGTCGGGTCACTCTTCCACCCCGGAGAAATCGCAGCACCGTCAATCCTCGCGGCATGGAGCTTCGAACTACCCCTCGCAACCGTCTCTGGAAAGGCAGTACAGCGGGCAATTTGGCCCCGGTATGCTGGGACAGACCGCGGATAGCCCCCACCCTATCTCTACCGATCAGGCCAACATCCCACCCCTTGATCCCTACTCGAGCGGTGGTATCAACGGACTTGGGAACCCTTTGAGTGGACTGGGTGGTGTGCATGGTGGGGGTTATGGCCAGGACACCGTTCCTCTTACCCAACAACAGCTGCAATACCAAGCCTATCTCGCCGCCCAAGCCCGGGGTGTCTCTCCTGGCGGTATCTATCCTGGCATGCCGGGTGCTAGCTTTGGCTACCCCGGCGGATCGTCATCAGTGGAAAATTTGCGTGGCTTACAAACCCAGCAGGCTTCTCCACTGTCGGCAGGGCCCGGTCAAATGAGTTCGAACCCGCTGCTCGGACAGTCCAGCTATGCTCCGCAGCAGTTTAGCCCCGTTGTCAACCCTGGGCAGATGTACCAGTATCCTCCGCAGTTCTATGCCCAGGCACAACCCGTGCAAGGGCAACCTAGCGGAGGCCGACGTGGACGGGTAAGTTTATTTTGATCTTTTCAATACTTGAAGAAGGATCAACACTAACTGTAAATCAGCGTTGATCTTTTTCGTATGATTTTAATTGATCTTTTCCCGCCTCTCATCTACATGTATAAATTTCTTTCACCTCGTTCACCTTTTTTTTGGCCATCTTACCATGGAGAATCAGCGGATTACCTTGCTACGTGTTGTGAAGCGATGTCTTTTCTCGTCCCACCGGACGCTGGATCGCCGGCAGGGCAGAGAGGGACATGGGGAGAGAAGGGATTCTTGGGGAATAGGGCTGAGAGAAGCGAAAAAAAAAAGTCTGGTGTCTGGAGGGATGATATGGTTTCTGTATCTTCATGGAGAGCGTTTTGAATGACCATGTAACTTGTGATCTAAGACTCGCACATCTCTATTTTATATGGGTTTCTAGTTTTTGAGTAGACACGTTCCTATAGAAATGAAGCACACCGTGCAAGGCCCACGTTCCCCACACCATTCCCCAACGGTAGATATCCTTTTTTCATCTGACACATCGTTCTATAAAGTCGAGGATAATATGACGGGACTCCAGCACGAGTCCGCCATCCTCTTCCACAATCTCGAGAACACAACTTTCCTTCTCGACACGCCAAGATCGCTCGCTCTGGCGCAAGACTGGAAACCAGCGCCGCCGCACCAAAACCAAGATCAGTGGTCATCGGCGCAGCAAACCATCTCTGCCCGGATAGAAAAGAGCAATGGAAAAAGCAGGAAAGATGAGAAGAAAGATGATATCAAGAAAAAGCAGCATCTTCTCTCTTCTGCGCCGCTGACCGCCCCGTATCCATCTTCCACGGAGCCCAAGACAAAGGCTGCGCGCGCCAAGGTGCTCGCCAAGATGGCACCGAGGGAACGGCGATTCCATGTGGAATGCATTCAGCCACTGGTGAGACATGGCTTGGACGTCATCCATGCGGGATACCAGTCTGGGGAGCGGCGGTGGTGTCTGCCTCGACGCGTGCTCCCTGACAAGGATAGGGAGCCGCCGAGTGAGGGAGTGGCCGGCGCGATCGACATCGATATTTCTTCGGTGAAGAAGAAACGGAAGTACGATGGAGATATTCCTTGTAGTTCCTCCCTAATGGATGCCGTTTCGTCTTCTCGCTGTCCGCCGGTTATTCTGTCGTCGACCGCAGCCAATACGTTCGACTCGGTGTTGGATCTGGATGGTGTTGTGAGGAATCCATCCTCCGAGACTGCTGTTCTCATGGTTGGGGGCGAAGAAAGTAAATCTGAATCTTTCTCTGAATACACCGTGCCGCCCAAGTCCAGCTTTGTGCTTTGCACATTACCTCTATCGCGCCCTTTGTTGTCTCCCGAAGAAGATCCTATTCCGGGGATGACTTCGGACCAGCAATTCAACTTGATCCTGCTTGATCCGCCGTGGCCGAACCGGTCGGTCCGGCGTAGCGGCCACTACTCTACGCAACCGTATTCCGAGATGAGTGCTCTCACGCAGCGGCTTCGGGGTATTCTCTACGTGCATAGCTACGATCACACCCACGATAATGCTGCATATAAGCAGTCTACAAGTATGGACAACAACGCACAAACCTCAGGACAAAGTCGGCAGTCCATTGGCGCTATCTGGGTTACCAACGCCGAGAAAACCCGCAAAGCGGCCTACGAGTCCCTCCGCGACGCAGGATTCCACGTCTGCGAGGAATGGGTGTGGATCAAGACTACGTGCGACGGGCAACCGATTTCAGAGCTGGAAGGGCTCTGGCGGAAACCGTACGAGATGTTGGTGATTGGCCGGAAAGGACAGGGTGGTGGTGGGATAGACACGACACAGACACAAACACCAACACCGTCAAGCGAGGCTGATTGGGCTGGTTTGTATCCGGCCCACACCACCAAACGAGTCATTGCGGCTGTTCCGGATGTGCATTCTCGCAAGCCGAGTCTTAAGGAGGTCATGGAGAAGGTGTTTTTCATGTCTTCTTCTGGGTCGGTGCTGGAGTACTCTGCTCTCGAGGTATTTGCTCGCAACTTGACTGCTGGGTGGTGGGCTGTGGGCAATGAAGTGCTCAAGTTCAATGCTCAGGAGTGGTGGGTTGCCTGAGATGATCACCATGGGTACTGATGTCCAGCGGTTCACCTTATCTGATGGCCGAACTAAACCGCACTGGGCACAAGCGCCATTTTGATCGGCGATCGCGGAATCCATCCGCGTCTGACAAAGTGAGATTTTTCAGCGAATTGCGAATTATTTACAACCCGTGAAACGAGATGTCGCACAATCGATCTCATTGCCAATGCGGCGCTGAGAATCATTCGTGTGCTGAGTACATAGAGCCCATCCCCCGCTGAGGCGAATCCGAGGGACCTATATGAATGTCTCTCTTTCTTAGCCTTGAAACTCACACTTCACTAGACCTTTCTCTGGGCCTCTCCTTGAAAAAGTACTTCCAAACAAACCAGTTGTTCCACATTGCCTCAATTACAGCTGTCCGGATTGGACACTGTCCAAGATGGCTGAGCAAGTGGCTCAACCAATTCCAAGCGATCAGGAGAAGGGTCCAGAGGAAGTCATACTCGCTGACAATGAGTCCGGCTATGCACAGCGTCCCAAGTGTTTCAACAGCACTGTCCAAGAATGTCTTTTTGTCTTGACGGCCACGATGGCCATCGGTCAACAGTCTTTTTTCCAGGGCGCCATTGTGGGAGTGACGGCGGCCATCGGGTCAGATCTGAACATGAATTCCGCCGAAGTGACCTGGATCAACGCTGGTGCCTCGTATGTACATGATATTTTCTTCTTTCTTTTTGTTCAGTCCTTGGTGATCTCCAATTCTGGCCACTATTTACCCACACCCTCGCTTCTGGCATCAGAAATCACTAACCATCTACTCGTCTCCAACAGTCTCAGCAGCGGCGCCTTCTTGTTGTCCTTCGGCAAGCTCGCCGACATGTTTGGCCGCAAGACCCTGTTCATCATCGGCATGGCCGGCTTCACAATATCCCTGCTAATCGCCGGGTTCGCCACCAATGCCATTTACATGGACGTTTTCTCCGGGGTTCTAGGTTTATTTGCAGCGGCCGTTGTCCCGCCCGCCGTCGGAGCCCTGGGCGCAGTATACGAAAAGCCGTCAAAGCGCAAGAACCGCGCTTTTGCATGCTTCAGCGCGGGTAATCCCCTCGGGTTCGTGGGCGGCATGATCATTTCGGGTATTGCGTCGAACGAGTACAATTGGCGCGCCTCGTTCTGGGCCCTTTCTGTTGTGTATGCCATCTTTACGGCTCTCACGGTGTGGACGGTGCCGCCGGACGGGTTTGCCCGGACGCCTGTTAGTCTTGAGGCTGTCAAGCGGTTTGATCTGCTGGGCACTGCGTTGGTGATTGTTGGGTTTGCATTTTTCTCCAGCTCGCTCTCGTCAGTCACTTTTCATTTTCTGGTCTCATCAAGCAATGCTCTAATCCCACTGACACACTTATCTATCCACAGATTAGCCGGCGATGCCCCTAATGGCTGGAAAACCGGATATGTGCTCGCCCTCTTCCTCGTCGGCATTTTCTTGCTCGCTGCCTTTTTGTACTGGCAGTCCATAGCCACGCACCCATTGATGCCACTGTGGATATGGCGAGACCGGAATTTCTCGATCGTCAGTACCTTCAATCCCCTCTATCAATCCCCTCTTAAGGCTGCCTTCGGTCTCTGTGCTAGTCCATACTAATATCGTTCCAGCTAATGGCAACCTTCTGCCTCGGCTTCATGGGCTTCTCTGCCGTAACCTTCTTCCTAGCCCTCTACCTCCAGAAAGTCGAACACCGCTCCGCCCTCGAAATCACCGTCCGGCTGCTTCCCATGGTCGTGAGCGGAGTGTTGGTCAACGTGGTCTGCGGCCTGGTCCTGCACCGCGTCAGCAATAAGCTGCTCACCGGCATCGGCGCGCTGGCGTATACAGCTTCATATCTCATCCTGAGCTTCATGGATGAAGACGCCGTCTACTGGGCGTTCATTTTCCCGGCTTTGGTGCTTGTGGTTGTTGGGGCGGATATTCAGTTCAATGTCACGAATGTATGTTGCCCTCTTCTTCTCCTTTTGTGTGATTCCATTATACCGTTACAACCACTTGAAGTTGCTTCTTTTCTCTTTCTTTGGGGCATGGCTAAATCTACTAGATGTACGTCATGTCCTCCCTCCCCCTCCGACCAATCCATCGCCGGTGGCATCTTCAACACCGTCAGCAAACTCTGCAACAACCTCGGCCTGGGCATCGCAACCTCCATCAACAGCGCCATGACCCACCAGATGAGTGCCTCGACACCCGCCATCCGCCCGTACCTCGGTGTGTATTGGTTTGCAGCAGCCGGCGCGGGGCTGTCGCTGGTTATGGTGCCGTTCTTGACTCTCAAGACGCAGGGGAGTAAGATTGAGAAAAATCAGTCGGAGATACAGCAACAAGAGAGTGGAGAGGGAGTAGTTGTCAGCTCGGAAGATGCGGAGACGAGCCCTCAGACGGTGGATATCGTAAAACGGTGATTGTGGGAGGATCTTGAAATATCGAACAGGGACTTGGTCTGTCGATGGTGCATGGCAACAGCAAGCATAGCGCATAGCGGGTTCATATCGAGCATGCATACAAGCACATAATAGTTAAAGAATGCATTTGCAATGGTAGAGTTGCATCAAAGTAATCCTGTGTATCAATGCCTCGCCTCAACACCATAAACCGGATGACCCGAAGAATCAAAGAGAGAAAAGAAACAGAGGAAAAGGAAAGAAAAGACAGCTCAATCAAACACAGGCCCAAGACTAACAAGACTAAAGCGCAAATCAGGATTCCCACCCTGAGACTCCGTCCTCAAGAACCGACGCACACCGAGCTCCAGCGCAGCCTCACTCAACGCATCATCCGACTCGGCCAACTTCCCCCGCGCAAGCGGGCCCTTCCGACGTCCATCAAGCTCCCAAAGCGTCCCATCGAGCCCCCGAACAAACGCCACAAAATGCAAATCAACACTATCCTCCGCCTCGGGCGCCGCCGTATCCCCACGCTTCGCCGCATCAGCATGCGCGCTCTCCAGCGCCTTACTCTCATACAAAAGATCAGCCCTGGAAACAGGCGGCAGGGCTTCTGCATCTTTGAGCAGAGTCTCGAGATCAGAACCCGGGAGCACGTGCCGGCGCGGCTCGCCGTTTGAGACAGCGTGCAGCAGCCCGATCAGCCCGCAGGCGTTGCGGATTGTCTGCTTGAACCACATGACGGGTTCTTGGGGTCCGCTGCCGCTGTATTCTGGGAGGGTGCTGTCTTCGGTTGTGCGGGAGCATTCGTAGGTTGCCGAGACGGGGAAGACGAGGAGGAGGGCGTGCGAGGGCCGCGGGACGAAGGCTAGGAGGTCGGGTTCGTCGATTGAGTAGACGTCTGTGAAGCCGAAGGTGGGGGGAGGCCGAGTTGGTGGACGAGGTGGGACATCACTTCTGGGTTGTTTTCTGGTTTGGGGTGGTGGTTAGTGGGTTTCTGATGTGGTTTGTGGTTCTGGCTTACCCAGTGGCACAAAGGCCTTGTTTGCGTTGGGAACATCTGGGTGGTCGGCCATGGTGTAAAAGATCTTTCTGGATATTCTGGTGATAGAAGAGGAAGAAAAGAGATGAAGACGCGAGTTGAAGGTGTCAAGGTTGGAGTCGATGAGGGGAGCGTCTCCCCCACATTCCCCACTTCACAGGAACTACGGACAAAATACAACACACTTTGATGGGCTTATTTTAGAAGATCATTGAGGAATTCAGAATAAATTTTTTTGGGCATATTAAAAATCTAATACTAGTAAATTATGCTTGGGGGTAGCATTCTATCAATTCAGTAGAACTTTGTATTCGGTGGAAGCCCTTCCCTTTGATCTTCTGCCTAGTCACCGTGTTAGATTCAATCAAAAGATAGGAAAGGGATCAGACACACCAGATGTTTACCAAAATCTTCTAGTACTCCTCTCTCCAGCTTCCAGCCCTGGGTATTCTCTATAGGGACGATGTCCTGATCCATAGCCTCTCTTGAGGGAAATAATTCCGCGACATCAAAATCGATCAACATCACTCTTTCTGGGCTCCCAGGAACAATTAGGATATTTTTTGGGTATATGTCATTGTGGAGGATCAAAGCATTGTGGACTTGATCTAGTGCTTCCAGCGCCCGGGAGTGGCGTTCAGGGGAGTAATTGACGCAGTTAAGCTCCTCGACATCTACCAGATATTCCAGCAGAATTGCACTTGGATGGAACTGGTCTTGGGTGAAGTGATCAAGCCATGGTTCATGACTAGATGGATCTAGCCGATCAATAAAACCATAGTACTTTGGTACCAGGCCGATGTCACAGACGCCCGATGCATGAAGTCTTTGATAAGCGTTGCGCTCATTCCGAAAGCGATTAAGATCACGGCCACTGTTTGTATATCCCGGGTCGCCATCGTCATGGAACTGAGATGATTAGTGTAGTTTAAGCCGGCTTAGGGCTAGAAGACTTACCACCTTCAAGGCATAACGTTCACCATCAAGCTCAACTTCAAAGATTGAGGAAGCCTCGCAATCCCTGATATTTTGCAGAAAGCGTATAGCTGCAGGGTCTGGAATCAGAAGCGAGTACACCATCCTTAGGGAGTTGTAGGTTGATGAAACAGTTCAATAAAATCAGCGACAAAGGGAACTGACCGGGCCGGATTAACTGTTCCGCGATCTGCCTTGAAAGCGCTTAAAGACTCGCCCAAGTTGACGGATCCTACCTGGTTTCGCTCTCTTCAAGCCAGAAAACGTTACGTTGTAAATTCGTCAGTTATTTAGTTTGGGTCAAGCGCTTAAGAAATGTTGGTCGCAATCGTTCCTTGAAACTCTTAACCGCTCATCAGGATATATCTATGGATAGATCCACCTAAATCTAAGGTTACTATCACTATTAATATTTGATTTATTACCCCTTTTAATACCCTTTTAAATACCTTTCTGAATACCCTTTTGAATGTCCTTTTTAACAATCGTTTCTTTTTTTTTCTTAAATATATTTGTTTCTCTACCTTCAGCCATCAGATGAATTTATATTGTGGGCTTTGGATGACAGCCCTAGAATCTTATATTACAAATGATAACCCTTCAAAAATAGATCAGCTAACTCTCAACTGGTAAATGCATGAGCTAGTATCGGTTTAATGGTCCTTCAGTCTCCTCTAGGCGCGTGCCTAGAATCCTAAAAACCTATTAGGTCTCTGAATCACCTTAGTGGAGCTAAGCGCTTAGCCATTTCCACACCAATCCTCCATTATAGTAGAAGTGCACTTACTTCAAACCCATAGCTATTCAAGTATATTAGGCGGCTATAACATCTAGCTTGATAGGATCAAAATCTCCCACCAGAAATTCTGAAACCAAACCTAGGATTTAAGTCGTGCATAGCGTGTTCTCGTTCTACCCCAAGATTGTAGATCTTATAGCCCGAATCACCTAGCAAGGCTTCTAGCAGTATTATTCTTATTATTAGAACAGAGTTACTTATATAAAGTGGTCTAAGTCATTAATAAAATTCTATGCTCTGTCTATTCACTTCCTTGAATTGTCCTCCAGGGCTTGCTTCCCTTTGATTACTATGGAGCCCCCGCCTGACTCTCTTCTTTATTATCTCTCAGTTGGCCTCCCTGCCATCCCAGTCCTGGGGGCTACCCCCTCTAAAAGCACAGCGAGTGCGGCATATAGCATAAGAGATATTCGAGAAATTGCCCCATGGCCAGAGTTTAACTACTCGACCATCCTCGACCGATTTGGCCCACTCCTGAATGACACCCAAATCCCGCTTGACAATTACATGTCACCACCCCATCCGATCAAAAGTGAGAAGCACTTGCAATCACACTTCAGTGCATTGGTGATGCCTCGTGTTCGGCGCGCGCTTCGTGCTGGCCTCGACCAGCCTACCCAAGAGCTGCCCCAGCAGAAAATTGTTGCTATGACTCTCACAGACGGAACGGCCGCCAAAACCATCAATCAATTCGTTCCCGACACCGCGTTTGTCCCCGTGGGTAGCAACCCCTCAACTGCCATCAACCGGGCACCGGGGGATCTCAAAGTCTCCTGGAAATGGAAGTACTCCAACTGGAACTCGGACGACAGAGTTTTGCGCTCAGAGTACTTGAAAACCATGGCGCAGGTTAATTTCCACATGGCCCAACATGGCGCTCGCCACGGTTTTATTCTCACGGACACCGAATTGGTTGCTATCAAACGCTTGGATACCAACGGTCGACTGGCGGTTGCTGAGCCAATCCCATGGACAAATGGCGGGATCGGTCAGCTTTCGGTGTTGTTGGGGCTATGGTATATAGGCATGCTGGCAGCAGAGGACACATGGAGTCTGTCCTAAGGGGAGGTGGGCATACCTTCTTCGTATGTGAGGCATACTACCGCTCGACAAAAACCAGTACTGGTTAGTTGTCTTTCGGCTTATACTCCAACATACATGTTATAGAGGGCGCTGTTCCGTGGAATTGTTCCAGTCATTCGTTTGGAAATGAATTGATTTTGAGTTGAATTGAATGCTTCTGAGCCAAAACTGTTATGGTAGAACAGAGATGATCCAATAGTATTGCAAGCATTGAATTCTTAAACTAAGAATAAATGGCTCTTACAAACTGTTATTTATCTGAGCAAATAATTCCCCTATTAAAGAGAATGAGTATAAAAGTATGGAGAAAGTAGACATTCAGAAAGGATTGAAAAAGGGATTAGAAAAATGACTAGAAAAAGGATTCAGCACAAGAATAAAAAAAAACAATAAAATAGTTATTTATGTGTTGAATAGATAATATAGAAAGTCTCTTGAATAAGATAAAATTTAAGCAACGAAACTTTAAACCCTATTTAGCCGGACCAGATTAACTGTTCCGCGATCTCCATTTCCTGCCGTGGGTCTATCTGCCTTGAAACCGCTCGGCTCGCCCAATTTTGCTTCCCTTTGACTGCCATGGAACCTCTGTCCGAATGCCTTCTTCATTATTTCGCGGCTGCTCCCCCTGCTATCCCGGCCCAGGGGGTTAGTTAGTTGCCTACCCTAAATCTAGCCGATTTCGTGAAGATCCGGCTCCCTAGAGTTCGCTAAGCTCACAGTGCAGTAGTAGCGGCAGGGATCGATGTGCTTGACAGTTCCTAATGTGGTATGTTTTATGCTCTTTCAATGAGAAATGACCCTGTTACTAGTTGGATCCTCCGGATCTTGTCGATCCCCCATCTCATTCTTACCATGACAACACACGCAGAACGCCATTGTGATTCTGGTCTGCTAAAAATAAAGGTCGAACTGACTCCTGCATTCTGGCACAACGTCACTCTGGCCATGGAAAAACATGATTCGGTGTTTCAAGACTACTGGAGCAAGCGGACGCGCGGGTTCAATGTGACTGCCTGCAGCCACACTTGTGCTAGCAACCAAATATGCGGGCTTCGCGGCAGGGATAATTCCAACTCTTGCTTCAAGCACACTGACGAAGATTCCAATTCCTCGAAGCGCGGTGGGGGGGTCATTGTCATGGCGGAGGGTTCCACGTCACTCGAGGCCGGGTGTCTTCTGTCTCAGCTGGCACGCCATTGAAAAAGAATGATGGGGAAAAGGAAGTATTCATTGTTCATTATGGACAGGGGATGGCTGTACAAGAGGATTGACTGTTCTGCGATCTGCTTTCAAATTACTTGACTTTTAATTTTTCAAACTGTTCAGAATTCTCTCTAGCAGGAGCGAAATGCGCGGGGAATTTGTCTCCCTGGTGTTCGCAGGGGCTTGGCTACCTCCACTTGTTGTCAACGACTTCCCCATTCGAGCCCAAGAACCACATTTGTGCCGCATCGAACAGTTGTATCATCATCATCGCAGTGGTCATGCACCCCGAGAGTGTTTCCCACCTCAGGATTCGAGTTGCTTGACCAGTCCATCGAGCTTGACGAGGAGACACTTCCCACGTACCAACCCGAGAAATGATACTCAGTCGACCAGGACGAGATATTCAATGGTCGGTATCAAACACTCGCCAAAATCGGATACGGGGTAACCTCCACAGTTTTGGCTTGCCAAAGACTTGATATAGGTGCATGCAATTGCCTCACTTTAAGCTATCTGATTATCTAGATGATGGCTACTCTAATCATATCCTGGTATAAAAACAGCGAGCCAACATGTTGTTTAAAGGTTTACGTGACGGACCCAAACCGACACCACGAGCGAGAGCTGGATATCTACAAGCACATGAATTCGGTCGAAACCAGACACCCAGGCACAAATTTCATTCGCAAACTTCTCGACCATTTTGATATCCAGGGCCCTCATGGTCAACATGTCTGTCTTGTTCACGAGCCTCTCGGAACGAGTGCAGATTTTCTGGTTAAGATGGCAAGAACCCAGATGGCATATTTGATGACCGGGTCCATATGGCGGAATTGGTTACTCTGTTAGGTCCTCCACCACCCGAACAAACAAAACCCCCTTAGTTCTGCCTTTTGGGATAAGTCCGGCAACTGGAAGGGAGTGCCCCCGATTCCTGACATTACTCTCGAGAGTCTAACCGAGAAGGTGCAAAGGGAAGATAACGAAGGGGTTTTGCGGTGGCTTCGGATGGCCTTGCAGTGGAACCTCGAGGACCGGCCGACGGCTTTGGAACTTTTGTACGATGAGTGGCTGATGAAGGAACTAGGGGAATGAGGAGGAAGAGGCATATAGTGCGGCCAAATTGAGAGGAAATGTCATGGAGTCAATAACCCATCATCGGATTTAGATCAGCATAGTAGCGTGTTTCTCATTAACTAATGGACTGCTCTATTCAAGACTGGCGCTTCAACGGCGCAAAGATCTCCGTCCATAACTCACTGGCCTCACCCAGGTAGTAGGTCAAGCTGACATCGGCCATACTGGCATCATCATCCGCCATAGACTCCAGCTGCGAGATAAGGTTCTCCAGACCAAACGCCTTACCGGTAGCCTGGGTGGCGCCAGCCTCGAGCATGACGTTGACAACATGGATATGGAAATGGTAGTAGGTGGGTTGATCTATGAAACCATGAAAAGTCAGCAAACAACTTAATACCAACACTCAAAAATTCCACCACCATGGTAGAGGCGTAGCACATACAATGCACATAGAGCTTGAGCTGGTCCTGCTCCAGGTCAGGATACATAGAAACAGTAGCATCCAAGACGCGCTGGCGCAGATAGCACAGCCAGGGAACATGACGCTTCTGCAGATCGCGCAGACTCCAAATATCGCGACGGTGCACCAACGCTAGCAGATGCAGCGAATTGAGAGTCTTGCGATCCCAGTTGAGGTCCGGCAGCATCAAGAACGCATCATCGGGCCCGTGGCCCGCATCGCGCAGGATCACATCTTCCTGCTCAGTGCGGCCCTCCAGGATATTAAACACCCAGTTCAGTCGGCCCTCGTCGCGCTTCGCCCGCATAAACGGCCGTACCTGGTTCTGGTAGATCGCCGGCGTCTCGGTCACCATGCGCAGCGTCTGGTCCGAGTATTTCTTGATATGCTGTGCTGTGCAGGGCCAGATGAGATTCAACTTGAGATCTGGTGGTGCTGCGCCGGCTCCCCCGTTCGATGCTGATGCTAGGTACCATCGGTAGATGTCGTTGTCGCCCAGGTTGTGCACCCCGGACAGCGCGGCGTGGAATGCCTGCAGGACTTCGAGTGACTCCGTGGCGAAGGCTGCTCGCTCCGCTGTCAGGATGCCCTGTTGCCCGTCAATCGTGCCCAGTAGTGCGATGCGCCGGCCATTCTGGTCTGGTTTGAGAATAAATTCTTAGCTTGGGTCGCCGCGGGGTAGGATCCTCAGGGCTCTGCGTAGCGGGCACATACCTTGCTTCAGCAACTTTTCCACTTGGAACTTTGAAACCAGCGCCTCTGGCGTGGTTTTGGTGTTTTCTGAAGATCCCGTCATCTTGAGACTATAACAATAGTCAATTTCAATCGTCAATCATCAACGACGGTTATCGGTACAGGCGGTCAGGCTTATCGCGGGGTCTATAGATGTCGCACGGTGAGTTGGAATTGTGCTTGCAATTCTCGATTCTGGGGGGAAATAAACAATTGAGGATATGCTTGAATTGGATTTATAAGTCTGCGTGTCTGAGCCATTTGCCATCGAGAATGATGGAGTAAAGAATATGCCGTTCATCACAGATCAGTCCTACAAACAAGTCTCTAAGAGTTTCACGACCACATGGAGAATTAAAATTCCCTATAGAGCAGATATTATGTATTCGTCTCATCGTCAGAGATTGCAATGCTAGATCTAGCCACCTATACGCGGCAATTAAATCCAAGAATATAGCTATCAACGAATCCTCCAATCGACCTCAAGAGGTTGAGTCCTTGTTGCCATTTGTCGTCGGTGTCGGTGCCGGTGCCGTATGCATCTAGGAAAAAGAAAAAGAAATAGTCAGTTCAAGCTCTTTTCGTATTGCTGACAAGTACGAACACTCTCCGCAAAGCGCAGCCATTCCTCCACCCCCTTAACAAACGAGTCATCCGCCGCAGGAGGAATCTCATGCCCCCACACTACAATGTCCTCAAAGGTCCCTTGAGCCTCAAGGATCTTGACCGGTTCTTCGGGTTCAGCCTCTCCCTCGTCCTCTGTCGTTCCACGGTCCGTCGGTTGCGACGTAGGCAGCTCGCGGTCTGTGGGCGTTGCGACGATGCCTGCATAGTACCAAGAGAACCAATTCAGCTCTGTATCCATATACCCACAGCAATGGCTGCGGATTGTATTCCTTTTTTCAGCACTGGGATTGGGATTGTGGGTAGTCGTACCTCGATAGCCATCCGGGAGAGCCACGCGCCGACCCCGGAGTTTGCGTCCTCGGAAGTGAGCCGTCTGCTTGTTGTCTAAATAAATACTCATGTGATTAGCCAAACATTCATTGCAGATAGAAAACAACCGCGCTAGGCATCCCGTCTAGCTGGGGTCGCGTGTGTACCTTTCTCGTCGGCCACTGGCGCCCAGTACCGCTCTGTGGATTCAATCGGGCCGTCGTGGTGCACTCGGCAGGGAAGAATATTCGGAGTAAAGCGAGGAATTGAGTCGTCGGTCCCGGCTGTGCTCGATTGCGAGTTTGGTTGAATGGCGTACATGCTGGACATGGTGATCGGGGGCGCAAGAGGGTGCGAGTGCAGTCCTAGGAGGTAGTTTCGTTGTAGGAGAGTGTCGCGGTGGCGTGTAGCTCAATTGTAAAATGTGTGCATGCGTGTTGCCTTGAAAATTGTCGCAAGGGCTGTGGTTGGAAATTGGTTGAGGTTGCTGAGTTCCGAGCTCGGCGCGACGCGTTGCCGCGTAAAGTGGAATTGTCGGATTGACAATTTGTCGCATCTTCTTCTCTCTTTTTTTGTTTTTATAATATGTCATATTCTAGATATCCATGTGTTTAATATTTTTTCTGTCATTGAGATAATGCAATTACTAGGAGAATCACAAATCAGGTCCGGCCATGCAATTGATGTGATTCGGGGTATAGACAGATCGAAGCACTCTGAAAGGAAACACAAATCACCGCTTGCGCGTCTTCTTCTTCTTCTTCTTCTTCTTCTTGGGACTATCCACCCCATCTCTATCTTCGACAATAACACGCGTAGGCCACTTCTTCAGATGCTCACGCTCAAACGCATCCTTGTCGCGACGATACAGAGCCATAGTAGCACGGGCATCCTCAACACTAGAATGAGCCCCATCCTGGATCTTCAAGCCCAGGAACTCCTCAGCAAGCATCTTCAGGCGTGGTGACCCGCCGCCCGCGATTTTGCGGTAGGCCGCGTGCTTGCTCGTGTCCCGGATATCGCGCTTAGGGTGGCCGAGCAGCAGGGCGTCCAGGTCGTTCCGCACGGCGTGGCCTACCAGGATGCGCCCATCCAGGATCGCGCCCACCTCCTTTTGTGCGATCTCTAGCGTCCGCGCTTCGACCATGTGCTTGGGCGCGATGCCGCTGACGTGCGTGCGCCAGTCCGTCACCATCTCCTTGGGTCGCACGTACGAGTCGTAGACTTGGTCGCCGTTGAAATTGACGATACTGACTCGTGCGAGCACCGAGTCGTTGTCTGGGTTCGGTCCCACGCCGACCATTTCGCAGTCCATGGCGACGTATTTGCCGAGTTCCGTACTGATATTGCAGTCGCGAGTTAGTACAAGGAACATGAGACAGACAAGAAGAGACAAGCGTAAGAATGCAAAACGAAAAAGATATGACACTTACGTCGGTGACCGGCCCTCATTCACCTTCCCATTGCGCGTCCCCGTCGTCGCAACCTGCACAGAACTCCCCGCGCTCGACTTTCTGCGCCGTGTCGAGACGTCCCCCGTCTCCGCCGTCGTCGGGCGGTCGGCCATTCTCTTCCGTTTGATGGATGCAGGAGGATGTTCGCGGGTCGTAGATTTCGGTTTCTCGGTCGTTTTGTGTTTCTTCACCGTGCCATGTCCGGAGTCGCGGTCAACGGCCTTGCGTTTGGAGGGTGCCGCACCGTCTTTCTTCAGCGTCGCCTGAAGCTTCTTCCAATTACTTGAGAGACTTGCGGTGGCCATTCCGAATGAGTTTTGTACCCGACTAGAAATAGTACAGGCCCAGAGACATGGTGGGAGAGAGGGTTGGAGGTGGTTCGAGGTTGGGTTGAAAATCGCGATATCGGGGAAATTTTCGGGGACCCACCGCTCCGATAGAGGGTTCCAAGCTTGGCTCTTTGGAGTCCCTCAGATGGTCTTTCAAGACAAGTTCTTTGCTACCTACTCTGTACTTGGTTGGGAATTAAAGCCAAGCATGGAGACAATTATCTCAAAGCATATGCAAATCTGCATGCGTTGTAGTCAGAACTGGGGTTATCCAACATCCATAGATATCTCTACTCATAGAGCAGGTGTTAATGATACACAAATTATTGCACTGGTAAATCAAGGACACAAGCAAAAACTTGCTCAGTGCCACCCATTGACCGTCGCTGTGCCCGCAATGAGCTCGTCTAGCTCCTCCTTCCGGCTCTTATACACCTCCTGGGACTCTCGCTCCCGCCGCATGACAAAAGACACATCGTCTCGCAATTTCTCGAGACGGCGAGACACGGCCGATTCTTCGGAAATCTGAAGGGTACGGAACGCATCGAGGTCGTCTTGGGAGTTGGGCAAGGCTGCACTGGCCTCCAGAATCTTGGACCGCAGCATCTTAGCCCGGTTCTGGTATCCGCCGTAATGCAGCGCCAACTTTTTCTCCAATTTGTTCCCTCGCTCAGCCGTAGCGAGCAAAGATGCTTGGACACCATCAAAGGCTCCGATCATGCGCTGCTCTTCCTGAAACGGGTCCGTCTCGTCGTCCGCGTAATTTTCTAATCCCGGGAGGGCCTGGGCAGTAGTAGACAACCACACATCGTCGAACTTCTCCTGCCAATCTTGTTGGTGCTGCTGCTGCGCTTCGGTAGACGCAATTTCGGTTGCGATTGCAGATCGTGCCGCTTTCAACGACCCATCATCCAAAAGACCCAGCTTGGGCGCCTTGCCCTCGACCTTAGCACCAGGTACGGGGAACTTTCGTGAGTCATGCGCGATAAGAACTGCGGCTTCCTTGGCAATCAGACCACCAATCGGGTCTCTAACGTGGGATGCGCGCTGCATCAAAGCACTCAAATCCAGTACAGCCGGGCGAGGCAAACCTCGCTGGTACACCTGTGACTGGCGCTTGAACTCAGCCTGGGCGGCCTTCTCTCGTGCCTCGTTCTCCCGGCGATCACGCTCAGCTGCGTCTTCCTCGGTAAATTCCACAGCTGCAGAGGGCTCGGCCGTCTCAGAAGGAAGCTCTTCCAATTCCCACTCGGTCTCCTTGGGTTTCGGCAGTGAGGCCAGCTTGCCACGGATCTGTTGACGCGTGAAGTTTTCGTGTGTCTTGATGTCTCGGGGTGTGCTGCCAACAAGCTGACCACCGTCCGTCTCTCGGTTCAAGGCAAAGTGGTCCCGTGGCGTGCGCAGCGGCGTAGCACCAGGACCAACTCCCCCGTGAATGGGTGTGGCTCCAACACCATTGGCCTGTCGGAATGGTGTCGCCATCGGGTTGGGGGTGACAATTTGTTGCCGTCGAGGAGCGATCCCATCAAAGCCGGTGGACGAGCCGCCTTCATGGAGAGGGGTGTTGTCACCTCCCAGAAGCGAGGATTGCGTCTCGGTCAAAGCTCGAATGTTTTTTATTTCGTTGGCGATGTGATCCTCTTCGGGAGCTGCACGAGGTGTTCTAATTGGAGTCCCTCCGACAATGGCGCCGTAGTTGCCGATGAGCCCCCGGGTGGTTTCCTCGTCAGAACTCATTCGGCTGGCCTTGTCTCCGGCCATTCCCATTTTGATGATATCCTCCATCTCGCCTTCGCTGACCTGCGGCGATGGCAGGACGAGAGCTCGCCGCTTGCTGCTCTGCTCTGCCTCGCGAATCTTTTGCATCTGCCCTGCGCGTGCCGCAGCAGCAGACGCGGCCGCATTGCTGTTCTTGTCGTTTTTCCGCTTCTTGCGCTCGGCGTCATCGTCCTGGTCGCCCTTCCGCTTATTGGCTAGCTGCTGCTTTCGGGGGTCGAACATTTCCCGTTGGCGTTCATTCCGGGATTGCTCCTCCATTGTGTCATAAAATCCAGGGGCCGCAGGCTTCTCGAATGGGATGTCTGCGTTGTAGTCCATCTCGCCCGGCTTCCGAGTCACAACCTTGACATTGATGCCGGCATGTTTGAGTTCACGGCGCTTTTGGAGAACCGCCAATCGACGCGACTCTTCCAACTGTCGCTCCCGAGCCTTGCGCTTTGCTTTTTTACCCTGTGTGTTGGCCAGACGGGCACGCGCCTCGCTGAGCATCTCCTTCTCGTCTTCATCCAGATCAATAGTGTCGGGGCGCGCTGGCTTCGATTCGGGGTCGGGGTCGAGTTCACCAGGACTAGAAACAATCAGCAAGAAAAGATCCAGAAAAAAACTATTTGAATCAACGTACCGTAGGCGACGGACGTCGTCCGCGCTAGGAGCAGCCGCTTCGACGCCAGGTCCTCCCAACCCGAGCTCGTCATTCTCACGAGCCTCAGCCTCGTCCAAGAGTTTTTGGTATCGCTCAAGACATTGCGTCGCAGTGCGGCCAACGATGGGAGCAATCGTGCGCCATTGCGTGGGCATCAACTTGGCCAAATGCAAGAGCTTCTCATCCTCCTCACGCGACCACTCGACTTTGCGGATTCCTGGGTCCAGCCATTCTACCCAGCGCGCTTTGCACTGCTTTGGAGTCTTCCGTGCGAGGAGGGAGGATACACGAGCCCACTGGTTCAGGCCATACTTGGATACCTGCGGTCGAGGTCAGTCTTTGCTCCATGGTTTAGATTGCCGAATATATTTGGCATTTCAGAGAAAACGTACGGCCGCCCGAAGCACCTCATCCTCGATATTAGTCCTAGGGGTGTTTCAGTAGTGAATCGCTTGGACATGGACTCGAACGGGGGCTCCTACCAGACGCCTCCTTTGACCACAGGCATGATGCGCGATCGGACCTAACGTACTGTCAATCTTCCAGAGCGCAATCGTTGAATCGTCAGGTCCGTCGGTAAGAAAATGAAAGAAACGGACGACCCGGTGGAGATGGGGTCGGCGTGCCGTTCGCGATGGGAAGAAAGGCGAGTTTGCGCGCCAAGGGCACCTTGCAACTTTCGGGGCCCCCGCGGGATGAGTCAGCGGATCGAGACTGGAACTTTTTTTTTTCTTTTTGGCGTCGAAAAAAAAGAGATCGATAAGAGACTATTCAACCATGTCGACCTCGGTGGATGCCCCTCACCAACACAAGCAGCCTTCGCGCAAAGGCAAGAAGGCCTGGCGCAAGAATGTCGATGTCACCGAAGTGCAGGAGGGCCTGCGCCTTCTGAAAGACGAAGAGATCAAAGGGTACGACAGTCAATGTTTTTTTCCCATGTATTTCTACAGTCCTGAGATCTGACTGACTTTCTATCAGTGGGCTCGTTTCAGAAAAGCCTTCTGAAGATTTGTTCACTTTGGACACCACGGGATCGGAGGAGGTGCGAAGATCATATGCCAAACGACACAAGCCGCTCAAGGCCGACGAGATCCTCGCACAACGATCTGTCATCCCCGCCGTGGACTCTCGCAAGCGTGGAAACCTTAGCATTACCGATGGGGTCGTTGAGCCGAAAACCAAGAAGCACAAGAGCGATTGGGTCAGCCGCAAGGAATGGCTGCGCTTGAAGCAGGTGGCTAAGGATGCCAACCCCACCAACAAGAAGACCGGCAACGATCTGTACGACCCGTGGGCGGACGATGTCGATAACTCGGCCCCGGTCGAAGATCCCCGGTTTGATTTCTTGGAGAAGCCGAAACCCAAGGTCGCCCCAGACACATTGCAACATGCACCTATCTCGCTCGCTGCGAATGGGAAACCTATCCCGTCGGTCCGGACGCCGCATGGGGGAACCAGCTACAACCCCGTGTTTGAAGACTGGGACCAATTGCTTGAAAAGCAAGGCCAGCAGGCTGTGGAAGCGGAGAAGAAACGTCTTGCTGAAGAGCAAAAAGAGCTAGAGAAACAGCGCTTGATTGCCGAGGCCAAGGATGACGACGGCGAGGTGAAGTCTGACGATGAGAGCGCATGGGAGGGTTTCGAGAGCGAGTACGAGAAGCCCGAATGGCTGAACAAGAAGCGGCCTGAGAGAAAGTCCAAGACCCAACGGAACAAAATCAAGCGGCGCAAGGAAGCCGAGCGGCAAGCCAAGTGGGAGACCAAGATGTCACAGAAAGAGAACCAAGCTGAGCAAGCACGGCAAATTGCGGAGCGGGTCAAGCAGCAAGAACTCGAGCGTAATGATCAGTCGGACGCCGACGACTCGGAAGATGGCGATGAGACGGTGCTGCGACGCAAGACCTTGGGAGGGAAGAACCGGTATGTTTCCATTTCTTCTAACTGAAATCTGCCGGACACCGCTAATCTTCCTACTAGTGCTCCTGAGAAACCATTGGAGCTTGTCCTGCCCGACGAACTGCAGGACTCTCTACGTCTGTTGAAGCCAGAAGGCAACCTCTTGGACGATCGGTTCCGAACATTAGTGGTGCAGGGCAAGCTTGAGTCTCGCAAGCCAGTGACTCAAGCTCGAAAGCCCAAGAGAAAGGTGACGGAGAAATGGGGTGCCAAAGACTTCAAGGTCCCAGGGTTCGAGTGATTTATTGTTTCAAAAAAGCGAGTGTTTGGATATACATGGTCAACTATGCATGCAATACCAGGGGATTCCCCATTTCAAATATTAGTTCTGTCTAATGGATACGGATATTTAGCTTCTAATCTCATAATTTCCAGGCATCTATCTCTTTATATATCAAGTATCATCGATGTTAGTTATGTCTACCAGCGTATACTCCATGGATGGTCGAGCGGTCATTGGCATTTCCTAATCCGACTGTTATTTGATCCGCCCTCGCACGGCCCGCTCTCTTCCCTCCGCAAGTCTCCTTCATCGCACTTCCATCCCTTCCATCTCCTATTTTGCCTCAATTCGCGGGTGATCCTGCTGTCTAACACGATGGGTGTCCGAGATTCCCACGGAGAGGCGACGGGGACGCCCGACCCCGTCGAGAAGGGGTTCGCCACTCTCAATACCATCCGGTAAGTTGCCATTTATCGCCTGCGATTTTGTCTATGGATTCTGGCAGTCGACTTTTCTCGGTCGGAAAGGCTAATTATGTCTATAGGATCGGTGTGAAAGCTATGGTGCAGAAGGTTGGTTGCTCGGGGGGAGCGCAGATTCTGGTGATATCACGTGATACACTGACACTGGCATAGGACGGCGAACTGCGCAAAGCTGAGATTTTGTCGATTCGGCAGCGCAAAGATGGCCCTTCGTTCTAGTATGTGGTCTCGCATCCTGTTGATTGTAAGGCTCGGTGCTGACCAGTTCGCAGTGTGCACTATGTGGACTTCAACAAGCGTCTGGACGGTAAGTGAGCTGAACCCGCTATGTTAAATATCGATCTGACCATTGGATCTAGAATGGGTTTCGGCCGCTCGTATTGACCTCTCTCATGAGGTTGAGTGGCCCCAGCCCGAGAAGGCTGAAAAGAAAAAGACCGGTGCCGCCAACAAGGTGCCGAGCAAGAATGTACCGAAGCGTGCTCGCGCCGACAGCCGTGATATATCGGGCACCCCCGATGCGCTGGGCGGCAAGAACATGAATGTCGGCAAGGCCCCGCGGCCCTCAAAGGCGGGTGGCAAAGAAAACCGCGGCGCTGAGACGCCTGGAGGCGACACGTCGCTCTTCGGGTCAGAGGCCGTGTCGACAGTGGGAACGCCCAAGGCCACGGACTCGGACGATGTGGACATGATAGATGTCGGAGCGGTAGATGAGAAGTCGATCAAAGAGGATGAAGTCAAAACGGCCTCGGGCGAAGTCATTTCTCGCGAAGAGGAGATTGAGCGGCTGCGAACCAGCGGCAGCATGACCCAAAACCCGACAGAGATCCACCGAGTGCGAAACCTGAATCGACTACAGATGGGCAAGTATGATATCGAGCCGTGGTATTTCTCGCCATACCCGGATGCCTACTCCGACGCGGACATGGTATACATCGATGAATTCTGCCTCAGCTACTTCGACAACCAGCGTGCCTTCGAACGACACCGTGCGAAGTGTTCACTAGTCCACCCGCCTGGTAACGAGATCTACCGCGATGACTACATCTCCTTCTTTGAGGTGGACGGGCGTCGCCAGCGCACCTGGTGCCGCAACCTGTGTCTCCTCAGCAAGCTCTTCTTGGACCACAAGACCCTCTACTATGACGTGGACCCGTTCCTTTTCTACTGCATGTGCACGCGCGACGAGACAGGATGTCATCTCGTAGGATACTTCTCCAAGGAGAAAGACTCGGCCGAGGGCTACAATTTGGCTTGTATTTTGACCCTACCACAGTACCAGCGCCGTGGCTTCGGCCGTCTGCTCATCTCATTCAGCTACGAGCTGAGCAAGCGCGAAGGCAAGCTCGGGTCTCCCGAGAAGCCTCTCAGTGATCTGGGTCTACTGGGTTACAGGCAGTATTGGCGCGAGACGCTCGTGGAGCTGCTGATAGAGCCCAACCGCGAGACCATGAGCGAAAACGAGTTGGCCGTCTTAACTGCCATGACCGAGAAAGATGTCCATGAAACCCTCGTCGTGTTCAATATGCTTCGATACCACGTAAGTTCTTCTTCCCCTTTGTGTGGACCGGCAATACACAACCTTGGAACATGCTAACCCCCTGATTTAGAAGAGCAACTGGGTGATTGTTCTCACCGACTACGTCGTCGAGGAACATAACAAGCGTCTCGAAAAGGAGAAAGTCAAAGGCGCGCGCAAGATCGACCCGGCCCGTCTTCAATGGAAACCGCCCGTATTCACGGCGTCCAGCCGGACCTGGAACTGGTGATCATTTTTTCTTCTTTTCGATTTAATCTTTTGGGCGTTTTCTCTTCTTGGCGGGCAGGGTATTTATTTGATTCTTGGGCTTGGCTAAGGGGTCTTGACCTGGATTTAATGAGGTCTTTTTTATGGCGTCTGCTCTGTGGTACGGGACACGGTGTTTGGGATGGTTTCCGTTGCGTTTGATACCTTGTTTCTTGTACTTGAATTCATCACTCTTCTATTTTACTGAGCAAATCGATTTGCGGATATTAAACATCAGCAGTAAGTCCCTTGGACGAGGATTTTGATGTCATAGAACTGTATCTCTCCGCCTATTTCTGTAGACATCTATGCCTCCCCCCTATGTACCCATGTATTTGGGGGACCCTGCAGGCATTCTACGTCAGAGATAACTACAGCATGGACTGGTAATAATGGATTAATAGATTGATGACCACTCTGGCACACGTAAAGGGGGGACTCAACTGCACGATGGCATCGAGGAGGGGGGGGGGGGGTGCAAGGCTACGGTGTGAAAGATTCAGCCATGGCAATTCAAAAGAAAGGAAAAGGAAACAGGAATGAGGAAACGTAGCATAAACAGGACATTGGAATTTCAAGAGACATAACGCGTCATCTGCCATCATCACAGCAGACAAAATTGCAAGTGGATGATATGGAAAATGAGCCTCGGGAAAAAGCCACAACCCCCTGTAACAGCCTGGAGAAGGGGCAGAGAGAAAAAGTACATAACATGAAGAAAGCATGTCGCGGAGAAAAGGTGTAAGAGGTCGTGAGGTTGAGTGGTGGGACAAGGCTTCCTTCCTCCCTGCTTCGGCCCGTCACTTTTAAGACAAGCTGCTAGCTTCCTTTCGTGAAGAAGGCGAGGCAGAAAAGAAAAATAGAACAGGGAGAATGGAATGCACTTGATAAGGTAGAAAGGGGGTTGGAGAAGAAAAGAAAACCAGACCCGAGCCGATGAGCATGGACTAGCAAGAGCCCAGCAGGGCAGTCTTTGATGGCTCAACTTCCTCCCCGGATAGAGCAAAAATACCGAAATGAGCAAGCACCGAATTTGGAACATAGTAGGGATTCCCTACTGACAAGAGCACTGTGACACGAGCAGGTTCTCACGGCCTCTTAACGGGGACCGCTGTTTGTGCGTGGGCCCCAGGATCCAGTACGTGACTGGTGTCGGGGCGATGACGAGGGCGCGCTGCTTTGTTGAGAGGAGGCGGGCTTCTTGGAACTCCCGCTGCCCCCGGACCCTTCACGGGGCTTGTTTCCTCTTCGGTTTTTGAGGTTGGAAGTGCCTCGGTGCCGGGAGTGGGCAGCCTTTTTCGGAAGGAGGAACGTCTTCGCTGCAATTGCGCCGGGCAGACGAATCAGTACACGGAGGTTTCCTGATTGGTCTCTATCATTCAACCCAACAAGGTATGGCTCGACACTGTGCACCTGCATCTGCTTCGAATTCTTGACGCGTAGCCGCGACGGCGACGGCGCTGGCGCAGCGCGCCAGGCAGCCGGGGAGCCATGTTGGGGACACGAACAGGCGGCGTAGAGCCTGGCTCACGGTCCTCGAAGATCTCGTCTTGTTCCTCCACTTGTCGAACAGCGCCATGGCCCTCGGCAATCTGCGAAGCACTCTCAACGATGTGAGGGAGAGACACAGAAACTGATGCAGCCTGGAGCTGTACGTCGAGGGGTTCTTTCGATGCAGAGGCAACCGCCAATACACTCTTCTTCTCCGGTGGCGTCTTCTTGCCAAACAGACCGTTGATCTTTTCCTGCCAGGAAATGGCGGTGGATGAGGGTGCAGGTCGCGGAGGCGCTGCCGCCATAGACGCAAACGTAGGCGGAGATGCCGGTGCAGCTTTGGCTTTGGGTGGAAGTTTCACAACCGGCTTGGGCATAGGCAGGTGGACGAGGGGTTTACCCGAATCACCAAAATAGACAGGGTGGCTAGACACCTCCTCCGGAGGAGGCGGCGAGGGACTCCGCTGATAATCCACCTTCTCAGAAGATGGCTTCTTCGGCTGCTCAGAAACATGAGGGAAGAACCGTGAGCTCCGCGCGGGCACGTTAGCCAGGGGACGGGCAGGACTGTCCGAAAATGGAAGGCCGTCCGCCGGAGCATCGAGGTTTGTCAATGGGTTCGAGGGCGGGCCGCCGTGTTGAGTCTTGACGATTCTGGCGACCTGTTTGTGAGATGGATCGTTCCCTATTCGGACTTGCTTCCATGTTTCTTTGAAAGTAGAGGGAGGGATCTTAGGAGGTCCATTGCGGTTGGAATTGAACTCTTGACGGTACTTCTCCGCTTCTTCCGCTTCTCGCTTAGCTGCAACAGCATGGAAATTATTCCACGCAGCCAGTCCGCCAGGTTGTCGAGGTTCGTTTTGCCACTGAGATTGCTGTGAACTCGGCGGGCCGATAGGGCCAGGAGGACCGATAGGGCTCAGAGGATCGTAAGAGGCGTGTCTGACCTCAGGAGAGAGTAAAGGAGAGATTGATGCAGGCTCTTGCGGAGACCTGGCGGGGCCTGAAAATGCCTGGGGCGGTGCGGCCATGGGCGATTGATCCATTGCGAGTTGGCTTCGTAGCGCTAAGTCTCGCGCGGGGAAACCTCCAAGACTCTGTTCGAAGATACCATTACCCAAGGTTCTGTCGCTACTCAGCGGTTTCCATGGATTTTTGACAGACGGAGACGTGGGCCCGAGGTTGGGATTGGCAGACCAGGGAGAATAGGAACCGGAAACGTTCAGATTGCCTCGCCACTGAGCACCGTGCTCGTCAATCCTGGTGTCGTCTGGCTTGTCTTGCACTGGTGGGTGAGATTCGGGCTGCGGCCTGAGGCCAGCTGCCGGGGAAAGTTCACGTTTGGGTTCACGGTGAGGGGAAGAACCGCGGCGCAAGTTCGGCATAGCAGGTTTATCACTGGCTCGATCTCTCTCATTTGCAGCCACGAGCTTCTTCACAGTATCTGGGTGATGAACCTTCATCATGCCGTACTGTTTGGGCTCACCAGTAGGTTCAGGCACTGGTGGCTTGGGAGGAGAGTGAATGGTGGCCGTGTTTGATGCACTCGGAGCCTGGACTGGAGCCTGAGATTTGCGGCTTCCAATGCTCTCTCTGCGCTTGGACTTGTCAGGCGGGGGCCCCAAAGCTGCAAGTCGCTGCCTGATTCTCTCTTGCTTCGCGGCTTCCTCCTTCTCCTCCTGCTCGATTCTGCGTTGCCGGGCTTCCATGCGCTTTTCTTTCATGATACGCTGTTGCAAAGCCACAGGGTCTTCTTGCGGGACTTCGGGAGCTTGGTTTGCTGTTGGCGGCGCTTCGGCAGGAGCACCGTCATTTGTGTTCGCAGAACGTGCTGCCCGGCTGGGATCAACGTGGTGGCGAGTCGGTGAAGGCTCACGGAAGTGCCCTTCTTTGAGGTGTGGTTGCTCACGGCCCAACAGAGCTGGGTCAACCATCCCGTTCACCTGTGAACCCCGTCGAGCTTCGAAATACCTCGGCGCTGCATCAGGTCGCCCAACGGACATTCGACGACCATAACTACCACTTCCCCCACTGACATTCGATGATGTGCGGCGGCGGTTCCAGCCCATGCCATCCTGCATTCCTGATCTGTAAGTCTGGAACGCGGGAGATGGCTCTGCTGGTCCGCTAGGTTCAGGGTAGTTCGGTCGTTGCAAGACCGAAGGAGCACGATTTTGATCGTGGCGCCACGATCCTCTTCTGTTGTCCGAAACTGGCTCGTACCGACCAGAGCGAGAGTTGTAAAGCTCCCGGGGTGCATTCGGCTGAGTCTCTCTCCAAGTTCGATTGAAATCATCAGCGGCGATTTCCTTAGGCGGCAATGGGGCGTGATAAGGATCGTCTCTCGGCGGTTGGCCAACAAGAGGACGTGGTTGATGGGAAAGCTGAACGGGCGGGTTGACTGGAGACATTCTTTCCACGGGAGGCAAAGCTGCCCAGGGCGACTTGGCCGGCGGAGGAGCAGGGCTGGTGGAGGCAGATGGAACTTTGTCATTCATGCCCTTGGCCGAAACACCCGTAGACTTGGCCTGTCGCTCGGCGTTCGCTCCCAGTCTGAGTACCGTGGGATTTGGCCCAACGGACGTAGGCTTTGGTGCGGCCTTAACAAGCTCTCGGGCCATTGACGGTTCGGAAGGTGGTATTTCCTTGCTACCTCTGTCGTCCTGGGTTGGTGGCGGAGCAGGTTCATTGTGGGTGAGAGTGACCTTCGTTCCATCTGTCCACTCGATCGTCTCGGGGGCCCAATCATCCTCGTCGTCATCAATATCCGCCCACTTCGCCTCGCTTCCACCACCGTCTTCTTGAATCCGAGAAGTCATGTGGATTCCGTATTGCTGCTTCAGTTCCTCGTCGGTCAAATGCTTCGCTGGCGTTGGTTGAACAGCTGCACATGTAAATGTCAGTTCTGTCTGGCCTTTAAGTTCATAAGTACGAGACATACGCCGATTCTTATTCCAGACTTGACTTGGATCAGGTCCAGTTCCAGTGGGGTTAGATCCGCCTGGGCCAGTTTTGGAAAACGCATCACGCATGCCGGCGGTGGGCTTCGCAACCAAGCGGGGTCGTGAACTAGGCTGCGGTGTGCCGAGCGGCGTAGTTGAAGTGGAGGGCACTAAAAGATGTCAAAACCATGCCCAGTAGAACACTCAGAAGGCAAAGGGGGGGGAATGACAAGAAATACCTTTCTCCGGCGCTTTTGGGGGCGCGGGGACACCCGGCGCTTTTGGTACTGAAAACTTGGCAAAGGAGACTGGCTTGAAGGAGCCCGGTTTCTTGACGGATCCGGTGCGCGTATGATGTCTTCCATCCGTTCGACTGGCATCTGATTCCGAACCACCCTGCGATGCTGTATCATCCCCACCATCTGAAGCCGACGCTAGTCCGTTCAGTTCGAGAGCTCTCGATGCGACGAGCCCTGTGCCTTGCTTTGAAGGATCCTGTCCCCAGGTTCAGCTTTATTTCTTTTCTTCTTCTTTCCAACCCCCCGAGCAACAAGACTCACCATCGGAGAGCCTCCAGCATTCTTGTCACCTCCCGTTCCTTCCCGTGAACCAAACGTATTCGTCGTCTCGTCAGAAGATTGTAGATTGCGTGGCGTGGCCGTTGTTGCGATATGATTGGTCTCCCCCACGTCCCCTCCGGCAGGTTGCTTGTCGTTGGTGCTCGCAGGAACGTCGGAAGACGAAGGCTCGCCGCCCGACAGGGTCTGATCTACCACATCGCGGCTGCTCTGCTCTGCCATAACAATACTCGAGTCTGTAGGGTAGCCGGGTCGCGACATTTGTTAGAACCGTGCCTGGGAAGACTGATGATGGAATATACATAGGGAGAAAGGCAAGTGGTCGTCGCGGGTCTTAAGTACGCATGACGGGTGTGCCGCCAAAATGGGGAAAGGAAAGGATCAAAAAGCTCGTACCTATCGTCAGATTTCAAGGATCGCCACGGTTGCACTGCTCGCTGGACTGGTTGCACCCTGGATAGTCGGGAATTTACAACCAGAGAGTGGAAGTTGGCGTGTCAACCGCCAGGAGCTGATGCGTCAAGAGCCGGGGTGACCAAAGCGGAGAGAGAGCGCGGGATCGTGAGGCGCGTGTAGGAAATCTGCCCAGGAGGTCCCAGGGTAAAAGGGGGGGCAGAATAGAGAGAAAGAGTAGATCAAGAGGAGGTTGATGATCAAGACGGAGGGTTAGCGGAGTCAGGTTCGGTATGAAATGGGTTGAAGCTGAGGGTGGCTGTTTTCGGTTAGCGCGAAAGGCCTCTCTCTCCCACACACTCAAGTAGACGGTGTTGAGCGCCACTGCAAATGGCTGGTATTTTCTATGCTACGCTTTTGTGTCTCTCTTTCTGCTTTGTTTCAAATAAGAAGAAAGAAATTTTCTATCGAGGTGTGGTGGTTCTTAACAGACAAGGCCCGGATCACCAAGTCACTTTACATCATGTCTACAACTACTGGAATCCACGTTAAAGATACTGAAACATAGTGAGATTCAACAGCGGTCTCTCTAATCTTGCTACACTGTCTTGCGCTAGGTCAGAGGATACAGTATATACATCAATCCTCTTTGAATTGAATGTCGAGCACAGACTTAGTGAGGGTGGTTCTTGTGGTGACCTGTTGAATCGCGAGGCAATGTCAGTGAGCGAGTGTCCTGTTTTGTCGTATTTACAACGCGCTGTTCAGGCAAGTATGCCAGGAAACTTACGGAGGTGGAAGTAGTACTCCATGCTGTAACCCAGGATCAGGATGGCACCAATAGCGTGGACGATGGCTGTTCGGACTCAGTAACCGTATTTCTCAACTGGTGGACGGAGATCAATTGCCGATACTTACGGACACCAGAGGCGTTCTTGCCGAAGTAGCGGGCCTGGTAGCGACCGATGAGACCGGTGGGCTTGACCTCGGGCGCAGCACCACGGGGAAGGCCGGCGTAGAAGTTCACGACACGCTCCATGCGGGCGGCATCCTGGGCGGCACCGATAGCCTTGATTTGATTGTTAGTTCTGGAAACGGAGGGAGAGATGGCGACCGGGTCATGTTGCTAAGTCGCACGGGAAGGGACTTCGGGATAAGACGGGGGCGGCAGGGGTGAAAGGAGCGAGAGGAAACAAGATCGAGGCTCAGGGAAGACTCACATTGGGAGACGCAATCTATAACTTCGGTCAGCATCATTCATATAACAACCAAGAACAACGTCCTGGCTTGACGCAGGGTGTCCTTACCTTGGGAGGGATCAAGGTCGAAAGACCTCGGCGGGCAATGTAGCTCATCTTGTCTGGAGTGGATGAGAATCAGAAATTTGTCGCACAGAATGGAAGCAAGTTCCGGTATGAATATCCGGAACAGAGACCGACTCACTTGGATTCGCAGCGCAAGTGAACCAAAGACAACTGATGATGGAGGAGGAAGAGGTTTGTTCCCTTGGCGGGTGGTCGGATGGGAGGAACGTGCGCTAAACCCGATTCGGGCAGTGCCGTGACTTCCAGCTCTTCGCGGGCGACCCTGCCGTCTGCCCTCCATCTCTACCAACATACTCCCCAGACATCTCCCCTCCACAATGTCGCTCTTCAGAATCGGGGGAGCTGCTGGTCTTCGAGCCAGCAAGCTCGCGGCACCCGTCAATGCCCGCTTTGTCGCCTCCAATGCCCACAAGGGTGTTCCCTCCGTCAAGACCAGCCCCTCGGATGCTCCCACCACGCCTCCCCGGGACAGCTCGTTGATCAACCAGGAGAGTCCCTCAGAGGCCATGGCCCGTCACCAGCCGGATTATGGGGCCACTATCGACCATGGCACCTCGTACGGCACCCCCGTTGATCTCCGGCACAAATCCTTTCGCTGACCTTCATTTTTTCCCCCTTATTAGACAATTTTCCCCGGTGCCTAAGCGTGTGATGGATGGCAGTGAGCCCATTGGCACTCTTCCCGCCGCTGTCCTTTCTGGTGCTCCCACCGATCTCCAGGCTCGCACTGTTAGGTACGGATATGCAGATCCCAGGTCGCGCCCAGCCAGAGGCTAATATTTCCTCACAGAATCTACCGCCCCACGAAGCCTGCATCGCAGTCAGGCACTTGGCACTCGCACCACTGGCGAATGGATTGGGACATTCTGCAGAGAGGCCACCGATGGGAGAACCCATTGATTGGCTGGCAGTCGTCTGCAGATGGGATGCAGGGCACCCACATGAAATTCAAGTCGAAAGAAGATGCAATTAGCTTTGCCCAGAAGCAGGGGTACGAATATTTCGTCCAGGAGCCGAACGAGCGCCGGTTCGTGCCCAAAGCTTACGCCAACAACTTCGTTCACGAACCGAAGAAGCTCAAGCATATCAAGACCAAATAATTGAGCTTCCTGTTGTATTATGTACATATTCGCCGTTTTTGCAATTGAGATCAATTTCTGCGCCAGAGCCTTGATATTTCATGAAGATACCAACAACTCTCGATATATCTAAGCAAGTCCACTCAGGTTGTGTACCGATAACCCGGATGGCAGTTCCACCGCACATCAAGTTGGTAGCAGCCCGAGCCCTCGACCGTAGGATCTCGTCCACTCGCCATATCCAAGTTGGCAGCCTTTTCCAGTTGACTATTCCGCCAGCGCAAGAAGAAAGGTAACAGCGTCGCCATAACAATGCACAACCCACAGAAAGCCACATTAGCCACATTAGCTTGCCAGTATCTTGGGCCCTGCGACTTCGGATAAAAATAGCTTGCATATATAGACGCGAGATTAGATCCCGCATTCACAACCGCATACGCCACAGCACGCTTCGACCTCGGCCGCGGAAGCGACGTCGACACCCAGGACAGAATATAGCCAAACGAGCCATAGATTGACATCATCACGAACGTCGAGATATACCGCGCGGCCACGTTCAGAGTTACCGCACTGATGATGAACCCGATGCTGCTGAATATCTGCGGCCACACGACGTGCAGCCATCGCTCGCTGATGTGGTCGCTGTGGAACGAGTTGAACACGCTCAGGATCGCGACGAACATGTATAGCGGCGCGGAGAGCAGAAGCGTGTTGGTGGTTCCGTACCCGAGCGTCTCGACGATTGTCGGGAAGAAATTCGTGAAGGCGGCAGCGGTGTTGAGGCCTAGTTGCATCATCCAGATGATATACAGAGCCGGGTCTGTGAAGGCTAGTTTGAGGCCTTCAAAATTGCCGTCCATTTCGTCGTGGTCGTCTTCGATGGCGTCTGCGGCGAGTCGGGAAATGGCGAGCGTTCGTTCCGTCTCGCTTAGCCATTTCGTTGTCTCTGGATAGTCGGGCAAGATGAACATTGCCAGTAGGGCGACTGGGAATGTGGCGCCTGCCTCGATGATGACTGGCATATGAGACGAGCTAGCTATTAGTGTATTTGGAGCTGTGGTGATGTTAGGGCATGGACATACAGAGCCATCGCCAGGATGGAAGTCCCGCTTTGCCATCCATGCCGGACATGATCGCACTGCCCAGAAGACCACCAAATGCTCCTGAGAGCTGCGCAGCGACATACAGAATTGAGATGCGTGCGGCAAGTTCTTTCTTCGTATACCAGGACGAGAAAAGAAACAAGGCACCAGCTAGCAATGCCTCGTTAGTGCTTTGCAACAACACAAACACGCAGTTACCAGGAAGCTACTTACGGAAGAATGGCGCTTCGACGAAGCCCAGGACAAACCGCAAGGCCAGTAAGCCCTTATAACTTTGAACTGCTCCTGTGCAAGTGCTGACGATAGCCCAGCAGCACATCACCCCTGGCTAGCAAAGAGTTAGGCGGTTTGTCACGACAGCCTTGAGTGATCGTCCGCTTACCAGGAATGTAGATGGCTTCATCTTATTCAGGATCATGTTGGTAGGGACCTGGGTTAAAATATACCCGACGAAGAACAGGCCTGGGATCTATGAGTTTTTCTCTACCATGATTTCATTCAAGTGAAAAGTAATAGGACTCACTGATAATGGTGTTATACTGGTCGCCTTCCAGCCCGATGTCTTTCTCAAGGGTTCCCAAACGCGCCGTAGCAATGTTGTTTCGATCCAGGTAGTTCAGGATGTCTGGCAGGAGTTAGATATCTCGCGATCATGCTGTGAAATATAGAGATGTTTGAGGCCCGTACAGATCAGCATCATCAAGGGCAGTAGCCGCATGTCGAGCTTTTAACCAATATTTTTTCTAAATGCTCGCGGCCCTCAATAATCGCATCTGGCGCCTCCGCGTACGAGATGTCTTTGGAGAGCTTATCGAATGATTCGAGTTCCAGTATAGCCCCATCCTCGGCCCGTTTCTCATGATCTGTTTTCTTTTCAGGGTCCATATTGAACTATATATATGTGGGAAAGACCAAGGAAATTGACAGAAAAGTGAGGCAGTTTTCAACCCGCATTTTCAGGTGACCATCGCGTTATACCCAAGGTGACGGCCCTCAAGCCGCTTGGCCCGGTGAGATCTCCGAGGTTCACGCTTGGGGAGTAACTCAACCTTCTGGCACTTTGTGCGGGGAAGTATTCGGCATCAATCCGTCTGTAGCCCAGAAATACCAAGGAAAACTTCCTAGGGGAAGGTATTTTGATCATTACCAATATTTCAAATCCACTTTTCTCATGAATCTCCGTTCTTGAAGATTATCTGTCGTGGTGCTAGGTGAGACTTTCTGTTCGTCATCAGATCAACAATCCCTTGCGATAGAGATAATCGAATGCATAGTGGAATCCAGTGCCCGGGAAATCCCGGCGAGGCAATTATCTTGGTTCGATAATGGTCCAAAGCAGACCATAAAAAGAAGAAAGAGGGATTGCGAAATCTATATATCCGCACTGGTATATGGTAGGGCCATGCATAGTCCACCGGCTTGCATTTGTTCCCACCACGAATCTATAAACGCCCTAATTGGATAGAAGTGCAACCATGAGACTAGAGAAAGCGGTCAGGGTTGCATTAGTTCAATAGTATCATTGGCGATTCCACCGACTCTCGTGGGCCAGTTCTTGATACATATCGACCAAGGGGACAAGAAGACAAGTAGACATGACAACGTCTAGTTAACCACCATCGTGACATCGAGAGAATGGCGATATCTATAGCAAAACACCGACCCCAATTCCTCTAAGAATCGGCCCGACAGGCTGACTGCGCGAATCACGGTGGCCACGCCAAGAAGATCGGGCCGGTATCCTGTGCCAAGCCCTAAGGATCGATGCTGCCTTCCGCGAGGTGTCGACGAGGCGAGTCTGTTTCTAACTTGACACATCTGATACACCTCATCAGACTGGCCGTCTAGAAAAACAGTAATCTCCCACCCTTCCCAGATCATGAATTGCCCCTCCCGGACCGACGACACGCTGCTGCACGACGAGTGGAACCAAAATCCACCGTGTCTTTCCGCCGATTTGACGACCCGCCAAGACCTCAATGGCATCGCTAACGCGCGGGAGAATAATGTGTGTGAAAACGGTCTAGCAAGATTGGGCTTGTCGCAAGGCTGTACCCACTGGACGAGTATTCCTCCGTTAGGAAGATTACATGGCGAGTATCCCGCGGCGGACCAGGGGGCGTCCCTGACCCAGTCAGGTATGAGCAGTGTCTTGTCGACAATGTCATTTTGCGATTCTGTTGACCTTTCTTTAGGACGCCCCATTCCCCGCAAGACCGACTTCCATGTCGGTCCTCCGGGCAGATATCCAAACGACCGCAGTATCTTGCCATCGTATCAAACCGTCAAGAATTGGGGGCTATGGCTCCTCTCCGTGCTCTGTGTCTCGGCCCTCATCTCGCATGACAGCCTGGGGAGATACTTGAACTCACAGTCTCTCCCAGTGAGACCAACTTATGACATCCCAGGACCAAAGGTAGCCGCCCGATCAACCTGTGCCCAGGGAGGCGTCCGTGGAGACGCATACAACCTACCGCTGCATATTGCAGCCCTTTTCATCATCCTGGGCGTCTCGACCTTTGCGTGTGCATTCCCGATCCTCGCCATCTGGTTCCCTCGCCTGCGTATCCCAACGGGGTTTCTCTTTTTCGTCAGCCATTTCGGCACGGGGGTCCTCATTGCCACTGCATTTGTGCACCTGCTGCCCACCGCATTCACCTCGCTGGGTGATCCATGTCTGTCGAGTTTCTGGACAAAGGACTATCCGGCAATGCCCGGTGCCATTGCCCTGGGTGGCATTTTTTTGGTCACCTTAATTGAAATGGTCTTCAGCCCGGCCCGCAATCTTTGTCGCGGAGGAAATCGCAGCTCACCTCCCGAGTCATCTCCACCTTATCTTGAAACAAGAGATGCTGCTCCCCCGCCGAGAATTGATCTCTCCAGTCACTCTGACCACGCCAGAAACCCGAGCTCCCACGTTGCCGGTCTCGATGCTGGATCCCATCTGCGAGACATGGGCCCGCTGATTGGCAGGTCTTCCAGCATGATCAGAGCGATCAATCGCATGGGAGAAGGTTCTGAAGAGATCACCAGAATTGAATCTGCGCCGGATATTCCGACGGATCATGAGAAACAGATTGAGTCAATTCCGCGAAATCTGGAGCTGGGCGAGGATAACTTTACTTTGACTCCCCAGCAAAAGCAGCAGAAGGAGGTCATGCAAGTGTATCTTCTTGAGATGGGGATTCTGTTCCACAGCGTGTTTATTGGCATGTCGCTCAGTGTGTCGGTTGGGAATGAATTTGTAGTTCTTCTGATCGCCATTGTTTTCCACCGTGAGTCCCTTGCCTTGCCTTATTTCTTCTTCTGTGCATTCTGACCCAAGTCTATAGAAACGTTCGAAGGTCTCGCACTCGGATCCAGAATCGCCGCACTCCCCTGGTCGGACAAGCAAATCCAACCCTGGATTATGTCCCTGGCCTATGGCTGCACGTATGTTAGCTCTTTATTGTTCCACTGGATTTCAGGCTGACACGAGCATAGTACACCCATCGGACAGGCTATTGGTCTTGCCACCCACACGCTGTATAGTCCCGATTCCGAGGTGGGTTTGCTTCTGGTAGGCACCATGAATGCGATCTCCTCGGGCCTGCTAATCTTCGCCTCGCTTGTCGAATTGATGTCAGAGGATTTCCTCAGCGACGAGAGCTGGCGCATTCTACGTGGCCGGAAACGAGTGTATGCCTGTATCTTGGTGTTCCTCGGGGCTTTCTGCATGAGCATTGTTGGCGCCTGGGCGTAAAAAACTATTCCGGACATATAGATGATGCTGGCAGTTAAAAAGTAGAGCCAGCCTCAGATATGTTGAACATATGGAGAGCATAAATAGCAGTGAGACTTTGGAAGTATAAAAGCATGGGAATCATCGGAGCCAAGAAGCGGCCCCGCCACCCCACCCTAAAAATTGATAAGATCCAAAGATCTTTTTTTTCTCCCACCTTACATTTTTACACTATTTAGATCTCCCCCACCATGGCGCCTGCTGCTACCGACGCTGAGGGCGTGGACCAGACGGTCCTCACTCTCCGCAAAGTCCTTACCTCCGAGTCAGAGCCACTGGCTCGCCGATTCCGCGCCCTCTTCTCCCTCAAGCACCTGGCCTGCTTGCAGCCCCCTACCGGGCAGACCCTCCCCGCGATCGAAGCGATTGCTGCCGGGTTCGCGTCGCGTTCGGCTCTGCTCAAGCATGAGCTCGCATATTGTCTCGGCCAGACCAGGAACGCCGAGTCGGTCGCGCACCTCCAGCAGGTGGTGAAGGATTCCGAGGAGGATGCGATGTGCCGCCATGAGGCTGCAGAGGCTCTGGGCGCCTTGGGTGATGCGGGCAGCTTGGATATTCTGAAGAAACTCAGAGATGATGCCTCGGAGCTGGAGATCATCCGCGAGACCTGTGACATTGCCGTCGACCGCATCCTGTGGGAGAACTCCGACGAGAAGAAGGCTGAGAAATTGAAGCCCAGGTATGAGTTGACTTAGACATGTTCTGGATGATTATGATCTATCAATTTGCTGATTTTAATTACACACAAAAAGTGATTTTACCTCTATCGACCCTGCCCCTCCAATGCCTCTGGCGGCCAGCGAGCCCTCCATCCCCGACCTGGAAAAGACCCTGCTTGACACCAAGCTCCCACTATTCCAAAGATACCGGGCCATGTTTGCTTTGCGAGACCTGGCATCACCCCCTGATCTCCCCACCGCTGTCGCTGCCGTCAACGCTCTCGCCCAAGGCCTCAAGGACCCCTCTGCTCTTTTCCGTCATGAAATTGCTTTCGTCTTCGGCCAACTTTGCCACCCTGCCTCCATCCCCTGTCTCACAGCTGCCCTGAGTGACCAGCAAGAGGCAGGAATGGTGCGACACGAGGCAGCCGAGGCTCTGGGCAGTCTGGGCGATGAAGATGGCGTCGAAGACACTCTGAAGAAATTCCTGAATGACCCTGAGCAGGTGGTCCGAGACAGTGTGATTGTGGCTCTGGACATGGCCGAGTTTGAGAAGAATGGTGAGATTGAATATGCGCTGGTGCCTGACGGAAATATACCTGCTGCTGTCCCCGCAGCCTGATGGAGAAGCAAAGGTCCTGGCTCAAAAACTTTTTTTATATCTTCGTGACGTCGTTATTTTGATACTCTTATCGCGTTTAGTTGTACAGCCCCCAAAAATAGACCCATTCATACTTTGCTGATACAGTCTTCTCTCTCTCTCTCACTCTTTTTTGCTCAGTTGTTCGAAGTTTCCCTAGAAAATAACACCATTAGCATGTTGGTCCAGGATATATGTCAAAAGACACCTCGGTAGGATGGCATACTTGTAACCACAGACACAGCGGTAGAACACCGTACTTCCCTCATCAGCACTGCGCAGCTGTACTGTGGTATAGAACATCTCTTTCCTCCCACACCGATTGCATGTGTGTTCTGTGATAGCCTCCGTTTTGCGATCTTCGGCGGACAAGGTCTGGACTGCAGATCGCTTGGCTCTCAGAGCAGATGGGAATGCGGAGGGCTTGGACTCGGAGACGATGGTTTGGGGGATTGTATCTGGCACAAGTCAGTGGTCTAAATCACTCGAGATATCACCATCCTTGATTATCAAATTCAAACCACCCACCCTTATTCCGAGCCCCACAGACATCACAGTGCAGCACCGCATTTGCATTGCCCGTAGATTCTCGGAGCAAATTGCCGCAGTCGGTGCAGAAAATCAGTGATCCAAGGACAGACATGATTACAATATAGAAAGTGTCTGAGACCAGCGACCAGATCCCTTAAGTATAGACTTGCCAACAAGAAAGGGTCAAGTGAGAGGATCTTGTCGACGGAGCCCGGCATCCGCAACTTTTTTTTTGGTCCGCATCACGTTCAAGGCGGTCACACGTGGCAATAAACCACCCAGCGCATGTCGGGAGTGAAATGATGCACGAATTCCATCGTAGTTTGATCCATTCTCTCGCTTCAAGTCCATTTCTTCATCACCTATAAATATACCATCGGCGGAATGCCATAGACTGTCCCTGCACATGTCATGTCTCTCTCAGGGCCATGCCTTCCCTCTGTTGAGCGCCTTCCCTTTTCGATCTAACCGCGATTATGGACCAGAATGGCCGTCCGGACGTTCAGGTCGTCATCAACGGCCCTTCCCAGTCGCAGCAGGCCTATGGGGCGAATATGTCTCTCCAGAACCACTCCCGACCTTTGTCTGTGGATGAGGCGCTGCAGTACTCTTCCATGTCCAGTGCTCCCGTGTTTGGCCTTGGTACGCCCGCATCTAAAGAGACCCTCTGCAACAGCTTCAGATTGGCTAATCTTTTTTTTGTTTCACTGTTTTTCAGACTGCATCCTACGCCCTGATATAGGCCGGCCGTCCAACACGACATCTATCAACCACGTTCTACAAGCTGGTCGCAATACCCTGAGTGAGCTGGACGCGGAGATTCAGTCCGGACGGGACGAGTCAAGTCACCTGGAGACCTCTCGTGGATATCTTCAGCAGTTGCTGGATGGGGACCAACTGTCAGAATTGTAAGAGCACCGCATGTCCTCTGATCCTCTGACTTGGAGACTTCTTACTGATTGCCTTTCTTTCTTACACGCAGCAAGTTCAAGCTTCCTCCTATTCCCAATCGCAGTCAACATTCACGCTCGACTGCCTCAGATGGCCCTCCCTCATATCGCAGCAACCTCGGCTCTTTCGCGAAGATGATGCTTGATACCACGGATATTGCGTTTAGATGTAAGACCAGGAACCCGGAGAGCTGTTACGATTAGTAGCTTACCGATTGCAGACCCCGATGCCTCATTGTCGAAGCCTGAAATCGAGAAGAAAGAGTCGGGACCGAGAGCAGTACCTGCGTGGAATCAGCGGGCCTACCAGACCAATAATTCAACACCCGCGTCCTTCGAACCGACCCAGCCTCAGCCTCCGTCCAGTCAGCTGTCCGTGGTGATTCCAGTGAAACCCATGCCTCCACAACATAATGATCAGGCGAATGCAAAGCGACGCAAGTTGAGCACCGAACGGGGGGACACAATGACGGCAGTGCCACTGAAGGACCGAAAGGCGGAAGCGGATGGCGCTCTGTTGAAACTTCAAGACCTTCTCCTTGAAGTATTTGAAGCGGAAGACCAAATCGAGCCGGGGATTTCGATTGCCCCGCCTGCTGACCGGCCGAACCCTGTCTTTACAAGTCCGAATTCACTGGATATGCACGGTGCGGTACTTTCTTCCGACGCTCACAATCGTCTGCAGAAGGCAATTCGGAAAGTCGTTGGGTTTGAGAGGCTCCAGGACATACCGTCGGATTATCTTAACCGAGTCCAGAAGCTCTGTGAGAAGCCCATAGTGGCTGCTCAGAGTCCGGACCTCAGTTTGAACGACCCATCCAGTGAAGTCGAGACCCAGGAGTGGCTGGGTAGAGTGGAGGATGTGTTGAATGCGCTTTTTGCTATTGGGACTCTGCTTCAGACCATGTCTGGTCGCCAGACAGAGCGGGATCTCTGTCCGGAAGACATCATCGAGGCAATTCCCGCTGTTCTGAACCAGGTCTTTGACCACTGTATCATTCCCGCCGTGGAATCGCGTTCTGGTGGCAAAGATGCCCAATACTTTGCTTTCTTCTCGGCTCAGAAGCGGATCATTGGGAGTTTGATTCATCAGAGCAAAAAGGCCCTTGTTCTGTTCGCAGATTTCTTGTCCCGAATTGAAGTTTCTGAGGGCACCATCACTGCTGCCGAGTTCTTCGCCGCCAAGTTGATCTTTGTGGAAAATGCGCACAACGACAAAGATTCTACTTTAGGTTATCAAAGGTACGAACCTGCCCGGCGTGGCGCGATGGACGTCCTTGCGAAAATCTTTTCCAAGTACCCCGATCAACGTCCCTTCATCCTGGATGAGATTTTGGTATCACTGGAGAAACTCCCCTCGACGCGCCAAAGTGCCAGACAATTCAAACTTGCAGATGGCAAGAACATCCAGCTTCTGACCGCATTGGTTTTGCAGCTCGTCCAAACCACTGCTCTCGAGACGCCTTCGCGGTCTTCGAAAGCCAGGCGCCGAATAAAGGCACCACAGGATGAGGATGATGAGCCCATGGACGATGGTGAAGACGAGAAGAAACCTGATTCTGATGACGATGAACCGGAAGAGTCTCTTGAGCATCTGGCGTCCAAAGTCAACCGACTCTACGAAAATGCAGTACGCAGCGCACAATATATTGTCAAGTTCATCGTCCAGCGCGCCATGACATCGACCAAAACTGGTGACCAACCGTACCGAAATATCCTTGACCTTTTCACCGAAGACCTGATCAACGTGCTTGGATCCACTGATTGGCCTGCTGCCGAATTGCTCCTCCGGATTATGGCATCCCATATGGTTGGCATCGCAGATCTCGATAAAAGCCCAGCAACGGCAAAGAGTATGGCCCTGGAGCTCTTGGGGTGGATGGGATCTGCGATCTCAGACTTGATAGGGACGGCTCAGCACATGCTTCCGGCTTTGGAGGACGCTAACAGTGAGCTTACCGAGTATCTCAAACAGCAGTTTGATGAGTTTTCTTCCCGTTCTTTGCACCCACAAGACTTGATTGCTCCGAGGGGCCCTTACCGGATGGCACTTGAGTATTTGTTGCAAGACAGAAACTCGGACAACTGGCAGCTGACGAGTGCGTGGGGCTACTACTTGGCTCAATGGGCCAAGAACGTCTGCACTCTCTATTACAATTCTGAGGACCAAGAGGAGACAGAACATAATGACATGACTGATGACTTGGTCATTTTGCTGACGCGGTCATTCTCAGACCCGCGCTGGTTGGAGGCCCATAAGTAAGTTTGCGCACGCTAAATGGTTCCAATGAGATGACAACTAATGAATGGTGATGACAGGTATTTTGACAATATATCTAATGTCCATGGGAGATTTGCCTATATCCTGACTGTCTTGAACTCAAGCTTCGGCAAGGCCCTGGACACAATACTCAAAGTTCTTTTGAATTCTATCGCCAGCGATCAAGCCAAGGTCCGCAGCCGTAGCTTGAAAAGTGTCATCTACATGCTCGAGAAAGATCCGAATCTCCTCGACAGAGATGCCTCAGTTTTGCGTCTAATTCTTCGATGCACCACAGATGCGTCGCCCATGGTTCGAGATTCCGCTCTGTCTTTGATCGCCAAGTGTATTGGCTTGAAGCCAAAGCTTGAGGAAGAAGGATGCCGCAGTATCCTTGCCTGCGCGGCCGACCAAACTGCTGGTGTTCGCAAGCGCTGCATCGGGCTCCTGAAGGACCTTTTCCACAGGACATCTCGACATGAATTGAAGTTGGCCATTCTCGATAGCTTTCTTCAACGCACGGGTGATCTTGAAGAGAGCGTGGCAACAATGGCTCGCCAGACCTTTGAGGAGATTTGGCTCGTTCCCTTCCACGAATCCATTGATTTTTCATCGGATGGACCGAAACTCAAGATGGCACTAGGAGAGCAGGTTGGTCTGATTGTGAGTCTGGTTGAGCGCTGCGAAACTGCACTGGAATCTTTGAGCACATGCTTGAAATCCGTGCTTTCAGACAAATCCAAGTCTGCCGTGCTGAACTTTAAGGTCTGCAAGGCGATGGTGGCAATCATGTTTCAAAGACTCGTGGAAGATGCCGATGCAGCCGGCAAGGAGTTCCAGCAAGCCCTTCTCCAGACAATTACAGTGTTTGCCAAGGCAAATGCGAAGCTCTTCAGCCCGGATCAGTTGGAGGCTCTGCATCCCTATATCGGACACCTTGCCACTGCGGATGATCTCTTCATCTTCCGTTCAGTTGTGGTCATCTATCGCTGTGTCTTGCCATTCTTGTCATCGTCACATAACACCCTGCTGAAGGAAGTACAAAACGACCTGTTCAAGAGCGTTGCCAAGCTAGCCCGCTCCGAGCTGAACGAGGTAATGGCCTGCTTGTGGACCATCAATGGCGTTTTGCAGAATACAGACAGACTGGTGAAATTGTCTGTTTCCGTGCTCAAGCCCCTACAGCAGTACAAGAGCGTCGATCTCTCGTCGAGTGGCAATGCAGCGGTCTTGGCCCGTGCCAAAAGCTACATCCGAATTGCAGGGTGTGTTGGACGGCACTGTGACCTTGAAAAGTATGTGCCTCACTTCAAGAGCGCGTTCCAGACTTGGCCTGGAGGTTCTGTCGCGGGTCTTATGGCTGATTCTATCATCCCGTTTACTGGTTCCAACCAGCCTTTTGACTTGAGGGTCATGGCGCTCGAAAGCTTAGGCTCTATCTGTCAATCATGGCCTGGCCAGTTCGGCCGAGATTGTACGCGGCAGACCTTTTCTCAGGTGTTCAAGGAGGATGCCCCAAGCCTGCAGAACATTGTACTTCGATCTTTCGCGGATTTCTTCGCCATTCACGAGGGCAAATCCGAAAAGGCCGTCATGCCAACCGCCGAAGCTGCCGCCCAGGAAGATTCCACTCGGTTGGGAGGGTCACTGAAGGCCAGCGATAACGATGGCGCCGCTGCTTTGATTGCTCAGCATTTCCTTCATAGTATGCTTCGAGTAGCGCAGTCTCGACAGGATACATACTCGCTGACTGCCATTGAACTCATTGCAAGTATCAACCGGCAAGGGTTGGTGCACCCCAAGGAATGTGCGGGTGTCCTTGTCTCACTGGAGACCTCGACTGTTCCTGCGATTGCCAAAGTTGCGTTCGATACGCATAAGATGCTCCACCAGCAGTATGAATCCATGTTTGAGCGGGAGTATATGCGAGCAGTACAGGAGGCCTTCTACTACCAGCGAGATGTCGTCGGCGACTCCAACGGCGCTCATCCTCGTCCCTATACTTCGAAGCTCGCTCCATTGTTCGAAATCGTCAAGATCAGCAACAGTCGGTACCAAAAGAAGTTTCTCTCCAACCTTTGCGGCAAGGTCAACTTTGAGCTGAAGAAACTTGACACGAGTGGAAACCCTCCCGAACACCTCTTGCTGGCGCGCTTTGTGTCGCAAAACCTAGCCTATTTTGACTACGGACAGTTGGCTGAGCTAGTCCCGACCATTGTGTGCATGGAGCACATTGTCTCGTCGACTGGCACTGTTGTTGCCCACGCCATTGAGACGGACATATTCCCCGTGCCGATCCAGCCACCCCAGATAGAGGGCCCAGCGGGCATGATGCCAGGATTCCCGACAGAAATCCCGGTGCCTCCCAGCATGCCACCGCAGGTGAACCCAGTTACTCTACGCTTCCTGGCGATCGCAGCCGCATCGCTCTCTATGCTCTGGGAAGCACGGACCTATCTTCGGCGGCTCTATGGTGTGCATGCCCATGGAAAAGACAAAGAGGGCAAGCCTGCCGCGAAAGACCTCAACAAAACTGCCACCAAGGTGCACGGGGTGACTGGTGATAGATTCTGGGAAGCTGTCGCCCGGAATATGGCATCTTTGAACAGCGAGGAAGCCATGCTGAATAAGTGCCGGGAGTTTGCCACCTTGTTGGCTATCGACGAGGAGTTCAAGGTGGATCAAGACGAAGATGCCGAAGGGGACCTCGATGCCGCGGGAGACTTCGATGACATGACTGCCGGTCTTGCTAGCGGCTCTCGGCCTATGAAACGCAAGAGCTCTGTCTCCAGTTCGAATGTGAGCAAGCGACCAAAGGGCCGGAAGGGATCAGTGGGAAAGAAGCGATCCAGCACCGAGCCGGATGATGACTTGGCTTGGGACTGATGCTGCAGACATCACCTTGCAGCCATGGCTCGAACACCACCATTACATTTGCATATCGGGGAGACCGGCGTTGGTTTTCTTTTCTTTATGGAGGGGTGATCTTTCCAGGGAAGAGGCTGCTTTTTTTTTTCTTTTTTTCTTTTTTCCCTTGTTATTCTAAGCTGGGATGGTTTTTTGCCTTTTTTTTCTTGCATGCATTATGCGGCGCATCTCGGGAGTTATACTGGTTCTATGAATATCCCAATGCTATTTCATCCGTATATACACTACAATTGGAAATTTCTACTTGAATTTATTTATTTATGTCTATAACTGACACCACTCAGCCCAACAATGTGCCGATTCCCGAATGTTACCACGTGACCCGAGGATGACGTCGCCGGGCAGAGCTAGGCGCGCTGTTCCTTGCCCGATTTCCTGGTCCTGTTGCCAGTGCACTCTTCTCTACGGTCTCGGTGGTATCATTCTTTTCAGGAAACAGGTGGGCGGCCTGTTTGGTCTCTTTTTCTTATCGCTAGTCCCTCCCTTTCAAGCGCCCTTGTCCTCTACCCGTGATGAGTGCGGCGTTGCTCCGGAGTCGTCCGGGCGGCCCCGCGCTGAGATCAATTGGATCGCTGTCGGCTCCAATTCAAGCTTCAAGGGCTTCTATTCGAAGCGCAAACTTTGGGTCTCGCTCGTTACATACCTCTCAACGGCGACCGGTCCCCCAATGGCGAGCCGTTGTACCAAGGGTCTTGACACCGATCCGATGTCAAACCGAAGCTGCAGCCAAGAAGACCGAACCTGCGCGCCGATCCACCGTCCTCAATGCGCTCTATAAGTCGTTCGCCTACTGTGGATTCTTCATCATCAGCAGCGGCGCAATCGTGGTAGCATTTTTCATCTACGACGCCAGCACATACCGCGAATCGCCGAGCGCCGTAGACATCCCCGTATCAGAACTAGCCCTCAACCCACGCCGCGGAGGACCGAAGAACCTGCCCATTGCCGATGTACTCGTCAGCGACTATGACTCGGACTCCATGCTGGAGCAGAAGGACAAACCTCGTCTGGTGATCCTCGGCACGGGCTGGGGTAGCATTGCACTGCTCAAGAACCTCAACCCCGGCGACTACCATGTCACCGTCGTGTCCCCGACTAATTACTTTCTGTTTACCCCCATGTTGCCCTCGGCTACGGTTGGTACGCTGGGCTTGCGGTCGTTGGTGGAACCTGTTCGGCGCATCATCGAGCGAGTTCGTGGTCACTTCCTGAAGGCGTCGGCGACGGATGTGGATTTCTCGCAGAAGTTGGTGGAGATCTCTCAGGTGGACCAGGATGGCCGTAGGAAGAACTTTTATCTTCCGTATGACAAGCTCGTTGTTGGTGTTGGTTCGTTTTTCTTCCCTTCAAGACAAAAGAAAAGCTTGAAGTTCGATTTGAATTAACTCGATAATGTTCTAGGCTGCGTGACGAATCCGCATGGCGTGAAAGGTCTCGAGAACTGCAACTTCTTGAAAACCATTGACGATGCGCGCCAGATCAAAAACAAGGTGTTGGAGAACATGGAACTGGCCTGTTTGCCCACCACCAATGACGAGGAACGCAAGCGCCTGTTGTCTTTTGTGGTCTGCGGTGGTGGTCCCACTGGTGTGGAGTTTGCCGCGGAATTGTTCGATCTTCTCAACGAGGATTTGCTCCATTCTTTCCCTCGAATTGTCCGGAATGAGATCTCGGTTCACATCATCCAGAGCCGAACTCATATCTTGAACACTTACGATGAGGCGTTGTCCAAATACGCCGAGGTATGTTGTCATCCTTTGTTAATTTCCCGTGTTGTATGTGATACTGACAATTTCCTAGGGTCGTTTTGCCCGCGATGGTGTCGAGGTGCTGACCAACGCGCGTGTCAAGGAGGTGCAGAAGGATAAAGTCCTGTTCACCCAGGTAGAGAATGGCAAGACTGTGTCTAAGGAAGTGCCCACTGCCTTCTGTCTGTGGTCAACTGGCGTGTGTAAGTTCTTTCTAAGAACCCCGGTACTGCCAGCATCCCCATAAACTAACTGCACCCAGCTCGGGCGGAAATATCCGAGACACTGTCGGACAAACTCGAGGGACAGAACAACAAACATGCATTGGAAACCGACTCGCATCTCCGCGTGATCGGCGCTCCGTTAGGTGACGTCTACGCCATTGGAGACTGCTCAACGGTGCAGAACAACGTCGCCGAAAACATCATCAGGTTCCTGCGCACGATCGCCTGGGAGAAAGGCAGCGACCCCGAAAAGGTGCACCTGACCTTCTCGGAATGGCGCGACGTCGCCAACCGAGTCAAGAAGCGCTTCCCCCAAGCCTCCAACCACCTCCGCCGCCTGGATCGCCTCTTCGAGCAGTACGACAAGGACCACTCAGGCACCCTGGACTACGGCGAGCTCTCCGAGCTGCTGCACCAGATCGACACCAAGCTCACCTCCTTGCCGGCCACCGCCCAGCGCGCCAACCAGCAGGGCGTGTACCTGGGCCGCAAGCTAACCAAGATCGCGGCCGCCCTGCCCGGGCTGCGCGCCAACGAGATCGACTACGGTGACCTTGATGAGGCGGTCTACAAGGCCTTCAAGTATAAGCATCTCGGCAGCCTGGCGTATATCAGCAATGCTGCTATTTTCGACTTTGGTGGCATGAGTTTCAGTGGTGGTGTCATTGCCATGTATCTTTGGCGTAGTATTTACTTTGCTGAGAGTGTCAGCTTCCGCACTCGCTGTATGCTGGCTATGGACTGGGCTAAGAGGGCGCTTTTTGGAAGAGGTCTGTTTCTACCCCCTCCCTCTTTATCCTACCCATTATCCTATCCCTCCTTGCTTCAGTCGATTTTGCTAATACCTATATGACGTGCAGATCTCATGAGCTTCTAGAACCTCAATAATGTCTTAGCATAACACATCTTCGATTTCCATCTAGTTCCTTCGATACCTCGATTCTGATCTCTTTTTCTATCATTTGTCCTATCTCGACCTTGATTTTCTTTTATCTCGCTTTTAATCATGTGTTTTGTGACTTGTCTTGGATGGGATATCTTTGGGTTAGAAGCTATACACCCTGCGCGCTTAGCCTCGTTTTCTGTGCATTGCATGCATCGACTGTTTTTGTACGAGTATCCCTTTGAATGGACATTGGTTGTGTGAAGAGATGAAGCTTAGCCTGGGTTTAGATAACCTTACGATGTGGTATATCTCCAACAGCCAAGGTCAGCATGAGAACGCTTTAAAAGAAATGTTACAGGAAAATATCCAGTTCGTCTAATATTCCACGGGAATCTTCAAGCTACAGCAGACATGATTTGTATAAATGGGACTCGATTCAGTTGTAACCTCGTGGGCAAAAAAGACAAGGACCAAACCCGTGGACCCGCGACCCATCAGAAACAATGTTCTCGCTCCAAGACGCCTTGCTAGAAATCATCAAAAGAAAAAGAGGGCAGGTGATCATGAAGAGATTAGGGGAGGAAGAGAATACGACGGAAACCGGCTTGTATAAACCAGCTTGCCGACTGCCCAAGGGGAAAAGGGGGAGGGGTGGATGGGTACCGGATCATGAGATCATTGGGTCGACATCATTGTTGGACATGACGGTGTCGCCGACACCATTTTGGCTGGAGCCATTATTGGGCGAATCATTACTGTTACCGTGGTTGCCGTCGCCTGTGAGGCCCAGGTCCAGTTTATCAGGGATATCCTTTTTGGCGTCGCGAGCCTTGTGCTCTGCGAACGCGCGGATCTTGACGAGGTTGCGCAGCCGGGCCTCTTTACGAGCACCCTGGTTCTGCAGAATGGCTTCGTTGACCAGGGTTGCGATTTCCTTACGAAGACCTGGGTCCAATAGCGAGGCCAGGGACGGGCTGAGGTTGTCACTCGGAAAGATGAGCAACGCTAGTGTGCGCTCCAAATCTTCGAGGAACTGAGGGTTAGTCGGGGCCCGGGGGGCCAACTGCGAGGTTGCGAACTCCAGTGCGGGACTGATGTCGCCGTCCGGGGTGGAGGTGCAGGTCCGAATCAGCTCTACCAGCTGCAATCGCAGCAAAGCGAAGTGCAGAGAAGGGTTTTCATCCAAGATCTAGTTTCGATGATTAGCCACTGAACTCGAACATCCAACGAGTGATATGCTTGGCATGACAAAAGAATTTGAGAATTGCTGCTCATACTGAGGACTGAAGATGTTTGTTTTTCCTCAAGACCCCAAAAGGGGTTTTTAGGAGTGGTGCATGAAACTGATATAATCATAGCAAAAGAGGGGAGGAGGGCAACATGGAAAACCTATGAAAGAAATTTCTTACCTGAGGGTTGAGGTCGTTGATCTTCTCAATTGCCGCCTGGATGTTCCCCGAGTGGATAGCAGTCCGGATCTCAACTCGCTCCTGAATCGATTCCAGATCCGTCCGGAGTTGGATGTTGGCTTCCACCGCAAATTTCTTTGCTGCGGCCGGGTAGCCGTTGGTGATGAGGTAGTCCATGACCAAGTAATTGATGTCACTGCAAGTCTCGATATTAGCAACCGTCGAGTGGAATTGTGACGGGCGAGACACAAGTCAAGTGGAGGGACGGTGATTCAGAGATACAAGTTAATTTGTTCTCCTCAAGTGGTTTCAGAGAGATTCCCAACTTGATTTTCAAGGTACATCATGTCACGGCGAGCTTCGATAGGCGGGAATGATCTGGGATGTGGGAAGGATGGACGGGGAAAACACTCACGTCTTGGACGGCTTGACCTCTTCGACCTTCCGCTCGAACTGGTGCCATGTTGGCGTGGCCGTCGAGGGGGTGCGAGACATCTGCATGGTGTTAAAACCCAGCAACCACGGGGGTCAACACGCCGGCACGCATACAAGATTAGCAGACATGATGGACAGGAAATTATCTGTCAAGCTGAAGGGCGGCCCGAGAGACGACAGCCATGGAGGAAGGCGGAACGCTGGTGGGGGAAGTTTTCAGAGCCCTGAGGAAGAGAGGAAGAGAAAAGTGAGAGAAGCGAGAAACGCAGAAAATGACTTCAACGCTTAGTCAGCACAAGCGAGGCGAGGTCACGCTAACCCGAGTGAGCGACTTGGCTTATCGCAGTGGGCTGCTTCCTGTGAATATCGTCTTTTATTGCCTCCTGTCCCTTTGGTCCTGTGGATGGGGTGACGCATTCTTGGTGATGGAGTCTATTTCTCCCTTTTATTCTCTGACCCCAGAGGTGCGATACTCCCCACCATGGCAGAACTTGAGCATCATTGGTATCGCTGGGAGCTCCGGCTCCGGCAAGACCTCAGTGGCCATGGAGATTGTCAAATCCCTGAATCTGCCATGGGTGGTGATTTTAGTTATGGTATTTTCCACGCTGTCAGAGACTCCGTGTGTCGGTTCTAATGTACATTGGATCCAGGATTCCTTTTACAAGTCCTTATCTCCCGAGGAACACCGCAAAGCGCATGCAAACGAATATGACTTCGACTGCCCAGCATCCATTGATTTTGATCTTCTGGTGCAAACCCTGCGGGAGTTGAAAAAAGGGTAAAAACCAACCCCGCTTCCACTGTAGGCAGTGTGGTATAGCATCGTAACTGACTCGGATCGGTATCCAAGGAAAAAAGCCAATATCCCAGTGTACTCTTTTGCGGAGCACCAGCGCCAGCCTCAGACTACCACGTTGTACTCGCCTCGAGTGCTCATTTTGGAGGGGATCTTGGCCCTTCATGACCCCCGCATTGTAGAGATGCTGGATGTCAAGGTAATGCAAACGCTTCAATGCCTGGGAATCTCGGGCTGATTTTATGTCCAGATCTTTGTGGAGGCCGACATGGATGTTTGCTTAGGTCGCAGAAGTAGGTTACCGGGAAACTGCCGAATGTCGTTTGCTCGCTCACAAAGATGCACTTAGTTCTGCGGGATGTCCGTGAAAGAGGGCGGGACATTGAGGGGATCATCAAACAGTGGTTTGACTATGTCAAGCCATCATACAATAGATATGTCGAGCCCCAACGACCTATTTCTGGTGGGTGACTAACTATTCCTTCCCCGATCCTCTCTCAGCTTCATCCTGATCCTGGAATTTAGATATCATCATTCCCCGGGGGATTGAAAACAAAACCGCGATCGGTACGCCATCTCTGAACACTTGGAACCCTTGGAGTTGGTACATTGATGACTGATGATTTTAGACATGGTGGTCAAGCATATCCAGCGCAAGCTTCAGGAGAAGTCCGAGCAGCACACTGAAGAGCTTCGCAAGCTAGGTTTCCTAGCTGCAGAAGTGGAATTGCCCCCGAATGTTCATGTGATGCCCTCAACGCCGCAGTTCCTCGGGATGAACACAATTCTGCAAAACCCAGCGACCGAGCATGTGGAATTTGTCTTCTACTTTGATCGGCTCGCTTCCCTATTGATAGAGAAGTGCTGTCTCCCCTTCTCCGATAGCTCATTTATGTTGTGCTAATATTCACCCCGCAGAGCCTTGGACATGACATCATATGTCCCAATGAATGTGGAAACCCCCCAAGGCAGTCAGTACCTTGGTTTATTGCCGAAAGGGACTGTATCGGCAGTGGCCATTCTACGTGGTGGCTCGTGCTTGGAAACTGCTCTGAAACGAACCATCACTGACTGCATCACGGGCCGCGTGCTGATCCAGACGAATGAGCACAACGAGGAGCCCGAGTTACATTATCTCAAGCTTCCCGCCAAGCTGGAGGAGCATGCCACGGTCATGCTTCTTGATCCGCAAATGTCTAGTGGTGGTGCCGCCCTGATGGCCGTGCGGGTTTTGATGGATCATGGTGTGGACGAGAACAAGATTGTCTTCGTGACATGTGCTGCTGGGGCCAGAGGCCTGAAACGGTTGACTGCGGTGTTCCCCAAGATAAAGGTTGTTGTTGGCCGGATTGAGGAAGAGGGAGAGCCGCGATGGATGGAAAGGCGCTATTTTGGTTGCTAACATGTCTGGTCTGTATATATTGGGTTTCATAGCCGAGTACATAGTTGATGCATTTGCATTTATGACCAGTCATCTTAACGATAGTATAATTGAATTCAATTCTTGGTCAACAAGAAAAATTGTAATATTCAGAAACCCACCTACCGTAAAACAGGAGGGAATTCAAGTCGCTGTCATTGTATACTTCCGAAAACAGAAGCGGCACGTGTCGTCACACCGCCCCAAAACGCCGGCAAAAAAAAAAAAAAGAAATTTGCCAGCTGATCCTCTCAGTGCTCATTCCCCATTGTCACATTCCATATCTCTTTTCAAGATTCAATTGTCGGGTATTTGTCCCTGTATAAACTCAGTGCGGACGACCATTCCTTAGGGAGACGGCCAAAATGCCGGGCCAAGACAAGAAAAAATCCAAGAAGGCCGGCGCCAAAGGCGAAGCTGGACCCGCCATTAGTACGTGCAACAGCAATTATCGAACACCCAGTTCCCAAGGAAATACAAGTTTCATGACCACTAACCATGAACTACTACAGCGGATCCGCGTTTTGCCAACATTCAGACCGACCCTCGTTATCGCCTCCCCAGCAAACGCCAGACCCATGTCAAACTCGACAAGCGTTTTGCGCACGTGCTGCACGACAAAGATTTCTCCCGCAACGCTGCTGTAGATAGATATGGACGCAGGCTGGCGAAAGATGATACCAAGAAACATCTGAAGAAGTTCTACCGTTTGGACGAGGACGACGAGGACGAGGACATGAGCGCCGATGATGACGACGAAGTCCAAAAAGAATTGAAACGAGTTGAGTCCCGACTATACGACCCTGCACGTGATGGCGGATTCTCGTCTTCTTCCTCAGAAGAAAGCTCGAGTGAAGAGGAGGAAGAGGAAGAAGAAGCAGAGAACGAGGACGACGAAATAGAGTTCCCGGACAAGCAGCAGAGCAATGTGCCGCTTGGAGATGTGACAAACCGGATAGCTGTCGTCAACCTGGACTGGGATAACATCCGAGCGGAGGATCTGATGGCGGTCTTTGCCAGTTTTCTGCCAACCGGAGGTCGGGTTTCGAAGGTGGCTGTCTATCCCAGTGAATTTGGCAGAGAGCGGCTGGAGAAAGAAGAAACCGAGGGTCCTCCTAAAGAGATCTTTGCATCTGAGGGCAAGGACAATGCCAACGATGATGAAGAGGATTCGGACGAGGAGCAAATGGACTCAGACGACGAGGAGGAACAGATCAAAAAATCGATGTTAAAGAGCGACGACGGCGAAGAGTTTAACTCGACCCAGTTACGGCGGTACCAGCTGGAGCGACTACGCTATTACTACGCTATTCTCACCTTTTCCTCTAAGGATGTTGCGAAGCACGTCTACGACCTGGTGGACGGAGCAGAGTATCTATCAAGCGCCAACTTCTTCGACCTCCGCTTCGTCCCTGAGGACACCGACTTTTCAGACGACAAGCCCCGAGACCAGTGTTCCCGTATTCCGGACGGTTACAAGCCCAACGATTTCGTGACGGATGCCCTGCAGCACAGCAAAGTCAAGTTGACGTGGGATACAGAAGACAAGTCACGGAAGGAGGCTCAAGCGCGGGCATTCCGGGGTTCGCGGCAAGACATTGACGAAAACGACCTAAAAGCTTATCTTGGAAGTGATAGCTCCGAGGATGAGGATGAGGAAGATGGAGGAGTGGAAGTGGTGGACAATACTACCGGGGAAGGGTCGAGCCAGAAGGTTTCCAAGCGTGAGGCCGAGAGGCAGCGCATGCGGGCCTTGCTCGGCCTAAGTACAGAGCCGGCTCGCCCCTCCAAGTCCGACGGCCCAGTCGGCGAGATGGAAGTGACTTTTACATCAGGACTTGCTGGTGGCCACGGCAAGGATACCATCTTCGAGAACGAACCAAAGGTTGAAGAAAACACGATGGATAAATACGTGCGGAAGGAGCGCGAGCGCAAGAAGCGCAGAAAGGAGAAGTTGAAAGCCGCTAAACGGGGCGAGGATCCTTCCAGCGCAGATGTTAAGGAGACCGATGAGGCCGTGAGTAGCGACGGCAACGAACCTGCTTTGGCCGCGTCGCCGCGGGAAGAACAAGAAGACATGGGCTTCAATGACCCATTCTTCGACAACCCCGACACCAAAGCTGCTTCAGCAGCCCAGCGCAAGGAAGAAAAGCGCAAGAAGCGTGCCGAGCGTGCAGCCGAAGAAGCAGCCTCTGCCGCTCAACGGGCCGAGCTGGAGCTCCTGATGATGGACGACAAGAAGGCGGAGATCAAACACTTCGATATGAACGAGATCGAAAAGGCCGAGAAGCAGGCCCGGCGCAAGAAGGGCAAGGGCAAGGGTAAGGGCAAGGCCCAGGAGCCTACGGAGGACAACTTCAACGTGGACATCAATGATCCCCGGTTTTCCCGTCTGTTCGAGAGTCACGAGTTTGCCATCGACCCCACCCATCCCCGGTTCAAGGCGACCTCCGGCATGAAGGCCATGCTGGACGAGGGCCGTAAGCGTCGGCGCACCCGGGATGATGGGGAGGCTGAGGCAGCACCGGAGAGTCGGGAGCGCAAGAAAAAGCAGAAGGCATCCAACGGCTCGGAGGACCTGAAGCGACTGGTGGACAAGGTCAAACGGCAGTCGCAGACATGACGCTTGTCCCACAGTGATTTAATGAAATAGCATCTAGCATCCTTGTAATACTTTCCCGAGTAACCGGTGTGCTTGCCAATGCGCCGATGCGGTGTCACGATGAGGCTGAGATCATGTGGCAGCGAGTTGTTTCTCTCACCGCCCTTTCGCCCTCTTCTCTCTCCACATCCCCATCCTCCCCCCTTCCCGATCTCCATTCCTCAAAGGATCGGACTCTAGTCCTGTTATTTTCATTCAATTGCCAACCCTGTTTTCTCCCTTGGTGAATCCGTGTGGAGGCCTCTGTGGCAAAACAATTCCCCAATTGCTAATCTCCTCTGCCCCACAGCTGCAGCCCATCCCACTTTTTTTTTCTTGTCCCCTCAATCGACCTGGACGCTCTCAATCCCCTCGTGGCTTGATGATGGTCACTTCTCGCTGGAATTAAGCTATGGGTAGATGCAGTCTAGTCCTGTCTAGCTGTCTGATACCCATCGTTACACTGCGTTCTGTGATCGGACCGTTTCCTTTTTCCTGCAACACCGAATACTCTTCTCGCTAGGGCTTAGACCGTTACACTTCATCATGCTGGGCCGACTGCTGAGCACCGCAGCCTCGACTTTGAACCCATCGGCATATTCTACTCGAAACCATGGGACACCTCTCGAATCCGTGACGGAAGAGGAACATACTTCCGGCCTCCTCTTCCCCGATGCCAGCCTGCTACGACGCTCCAACACCCATGCGTACCCATTACAAACTACCTTTAATTCCCCCAATGCCTCGACTGCCGGAGCCTACGACGACCGTGGTGGAATGGAGCTGGATGCCATCAAGGATTTTCGGGTGATTGTGGCACAGAATGCTCTCGGGGATCGTGACGCATGCGTCCTACTGGACACACGCGCCTCATCTGAACATCCACCAAGTGGTCTTGGAATCGACTCGCAAGGCCTCGATCAGCCTGGCACGCGCCATGCTCGCGCAGTATCCAGTCTCTCGCGCGGATCACGTCGGAATTTTCTCACCCAGTCTTCGGTGGTCGAATCGAGCCCCCCTGTCTGCAGCCGCCGATGCACGCAGGACATCACCAGCCAGCCCCGGTGCCTTCTCGCGAGCCCGAGGTCGCAGCTCTACACTGGCACCGGCAGGAACATGGCATGATCCCGGTCATACTCGGCACGCGGCCGACTCCAACGATACTGGTCTTCTCAACTGTATTTTTGGGAGTAGCGCATTCAGCTACCGTGGCTCGTCTACCAAAATGCATATCATCTCCGCCGACGAAGATTCGGGTGTGGCGGCAAGCTCGTCACCGGCTGCACGCAGCCCGATTTCTCGTGCTTACACTACCGGAAGCTCTTCGGGTCTGATGGGATCAGCCCGTGGGGCGGATGGCAAGCCACCTTCCAAAGTTACGGTCCTTTTGACCCGCATGTTCAGCGTCAACTTTCCCGAAGGAGCGGAGGCTTCGGCTGAGCGGCATGACTACGCCAATTCTATCTACCAAGAGTCTCTCCCGGAGATGGGATTCCCGTTCCCAGATGTTGCCAAGCGCAAGAAGATCAAGGAGAAGAAAACGCCCATGTATGCCGTTGCCATCACGATTCAAATCCCCTTGCTGGCACGCAATGCAGGGCGACCCGTGTCGCGATTCAGCACTATGGGTGCAGACTCCCCGCGGCCGGGATTGTCCAGTTCATTGGACTCGGACTACCGCTGGCCAGGTGGCTTCTTCGATGATAGCTTGTCATCGGCATCTCCACCGGCTAGTTTGGATGAGCGCCTTGACTTGTTAGTCGATCATTGGGATGTCATCACCCGTACCCTCTCTCATTTGGAAAGGCTTGCTCGAAACGAGATCTTGTTTCTTCTTCGCAAAGTGGATTCTTTGTCTGGACCACATCCGAAGCCAGCCAAACCTCCTAATATGCAACGGACCAACCAAACCATAGTACACTTGCCAGCAAACATTCTCTCCGTGAACTCGAAGCTCAAGGAAGAGGCCCTCCACAGCACCCGTCGGATCAGTTTAGCTCTCCAGACTCCGTATGTGGTCACTGGTCAGAGTCGCTGGGGTGTTTGGCGAGAGGAAGGCCGCTCGATTTTCCGTGGATTTGGCGACAAAGACCAGAACTTTTTCTTCCTTGTCCTCCTCACGGCATTCCTGGGAAACCACACGGAATGGCTAAGCGCTCTCGGACCTGAGTGGTATCGCCGTCGCCATAATCAGCAGCAAAAAGCACAGCAGGATTGTGAACCCAACCTTGTGAACCGAACAGTGATCATTTGCCCGGACAAGATGACAGCTCGACGCCTCATCTTTTTGCTTTCCGCCTTCCTACCATCCAAACAGCGCTTGGAGCCAGTTCCTTCCCCTCTACGACCTGGCACATCGGCATCTATGCGTGCCATCTCCCAAAGCCCACCGGCCGTGCCCTTGCTTCGCCAGGAGTCTCTCCGAAGGGCGATCGAGCGACGAGCCCGTGCTCAACGGTTGTGTGTTGGTGAGAGTGACCATCACCGGCGATCGGTTAGCGCTTCGTCACAAGAAACGACACAGCGGTCGTCTGATGGGGTCGACCCGGCGACGCCCATAGAGCATACATCCGCCCGAAGACCGTCTGATGCCCGTTCGGTAAGAATGCATGGTGCAACTGCACAGGCTAAGGATGCTCGGCCCAAGAATACTAGTGGAGCAACAACTTCTATGACGACTCAGAGCAGTACAGTACCTGTCCCACATTTCACCTCTCAGCCAAGTCGCTCTGGCGAAGGAGAAACAAACAGCAGCGCTGCAGATGGCAGTGACAGCCTAGCATCAGAGAAATTGCTCAAGAACTTGCAACGCAGTGATAGCTCCACTTTGAGCACAAACGGCAGCCTCCCCTCCGCTGGAGGCCGTTGGGGGGGGTCTTTTTTCTGGCTTGTGGAGTCGACAGGAGTCATCGGCTACTGAAAGGAGTGAACCGTACTCCGCAACCGACGCTCGCAAACGATCTGTCTCCACGATCGCCGGCCCGGCCGTCCGTGGGCCCACTACTCTAAGCCAGATGGTCAAGGAAGTCACCGATGATGAACCAGAGCACCGCCCTGACACTGCGCCTAGTGGGAACATCTCTATTCCCGCAACCTCAGCAGCCGCTCCCCACGGTCCGGAGGGCGCCTCGCCAGAGCCATCGTCGTTTACCAGCCAAGCCCGCGAGTCTCCTCTAAAACTGTCGGTGCGGGCAGAGGAAGGCGTGGTAGACGTGGACCTTCCGCTACCTGGATTTTTGTCACTCTCCTCCTCGGGTGATTCCACCATTGCCTCACCAAAGAAGACTCGCACCTCAATCACTAGCGTGGATGCTATGGCGTCTACGCATAGCAGTGGCTCTGGATTCCACAATGCGGCCAAGGAGAACGATGGACCTAGTACCCATGTGGCTGGCTGGTTGAAGGTGTTTCACGAAGACTTCTCCCTGCAGGCTGTCCGTCCCTACGCTGCCCTAGAAGCAGATATCAAACGTGCGATGCAGGCAGAGCCTTCCCCGTACATTCCCTCTACACCCGATGTGGATGGGTCGGAGCGATGGGTGGATGTCGCAACCACCTTGATCGCAGATACCCGAACATCTTCTGTCAAGCGCCTTCGACTGAGGCGCAAAATCACGGTCGGCCACGAGTTGGGCTCACCATCTACTGCCCGTTCCCCAGGTTTCTTCTCGGGCTATGGAAAGTCCTCCGCGGATTCTGCTGAGGGACAGGACCCGAACTTTGTGGAAGAACGATTTATTGAGGAGCCCGTCATGGACCTCGATGGTATTTTGGTCGACGCAGTCGAACGGGTTCTTGGACACAGCGGCTACTCCTCACTCGCACACTCGCGGACCCCATCTCCGTCGCGTGCTCGCCGAGCCGAAGATAAAGGCCACACCACTGGTCGGGACAATGCGCCTCCTTTTGAAGTCCCCCGCGCCGAATGCCGCAAGATGGTCCTTGGAGCCTTGGAAGAGGTCGTTCGTATCGTCACGGCCGAACATTGCCGCGAAGACGTCGACGGTGCGCTTGGGCTTGCCGACCGAGAACGAAGGAGATCCTTGGCGGGAGCCGATAATACCTTGAGGGAAGGTATCCGGAAATGGCTCCTTGATGTCGAAGAAGCCTGGTGATTGCCCGTATGCATCTATTCCGTTCTTTTATTTCTGCTTTTTTTTGGGCCGGGTGTTTCTTTTTTCTTTTCTTTCCCAACCTGCGATGGAGCTGGCCAAGGCCCTGGTTTGTTATGCTTTTCTTGACTTTTGTGCTTGCGCCTGCACTGTTGCATTGTTCGACTATGATACCCACTTCTCGTTGAAGTCTACCCATGGCAAATGGTCTAATTTGAATTTGAACCTTTTGATCGGAATGCTCATCCATCGTACGCTTTGAAGCAATTGAAGGGTGGTTTTTCTCTCTTAGATTTACCCATCGATTTCCGGGGTGTTCCCGAGGTCTACAGATGACCGAGGGAGGCATCTTAGCCAACATGCACCAAGGTCACCGGGGGACCATCCCATTCTACCGTCGGCCCATGCGCCGCAGGAAAAACCCGTATTGTCTTCAAAACCTCATCAGTATGGTTCGGGTCAACGATATTTACCGTGGTCTCAGTCAGCAGCTGACCATTGACCAGCAACTCGATCCCGGACAGAGCATCATCTTGCGGGGCTGTCAACGTGGGATTGGCGACGGTGACCGAGCCCGTATATCTTCTCGCGAACGCCCAGGTCCAGCGCCGCGAGTATGTATCCCTGTCGCTCAGCGCACAGCCCGTCTTCGGGTCGGTATTGGGTGGTGCGCAGGTCTGCGACGTAGCCGATGGAGCGCCATGAGTGGCCGGTGAGTTTTTTATTATTGGGGCATGTGAAGGTAAAGTTCAGGTCGTTGGGAGTGGTGTTTATGTTCAGCTTGAGGGACCCGCTGTCGTAGTTGAGTTGGTTGGTGGGCTTGTCGTGCTGGATGGTTATGTGGCCGGTGCTGGTGTTGAGGTGGTAGTGAGGGCCGTGGTCGGTCTGCCCTGCCCTGTAAGAGATTGTAAGCTTCTTGTGTATTTATTTTTGGTTCTTTTCTTAAGCTAGAATGGGGTGTAGAGGCTGGTTAGGACATGGTTGATCTCACCAGTGCACCAGTTTCACCCCAATGAGCCCCTCTAGCGGCGATGTGACTCGCGCCGAGACCGTTGCTATGTAGCACTTAGTGTGGTGCTCGCATTTATATAGTGGTCAAGCAATAAGGAAAAGAAAATCCCACCGGAATTCAGTGTGTCGCCGCGATGTCTCTGGACCTTGTTGAGAAGTAAATCCACCGAGTCCTTCTCGATGCGCAGTCTCTCGACATTGCTCATCCAGTCGATGCTGATGCCCTCCTAGAAAATAGATTAACGACTGCCAAACAATTGTGTGGAATATCAGAGAAACAAAAAAAAAGATACCTGCAAGGAGCTCATTCCCGCCGTGAACTTCATCTCGATGAACTATACCAACAAGTATATTCGGACTGAACGAATGCTTTGGACTCTCTCAACCGCGACCTTGCGATCTTCTTCAGGTCAAGGAAATAGAAGAAAGAGAGAATCCCAAGTTCCACGAAGACTTGAAAAACCCGGAATTCCTCATTCGACACGAAGCACCGTCCGACATGGCCGGGATTTGCGTCGTGGCTGTTCGTGGCACGACGTAAGATCTTAGATCTCCCCGGGGTTCCGGCTGAATGGGATAAAACTGGCCAAATGGATATCCAGAGTAACATCTTTCAAAAGATTCTGAATACTACTAGTACACTGGTTCGTGGTTCCATTACATACAATTATCGCAGTACATGACAGTCAAGACACATGGATACACTTCAAATATCCCCAGCGTTGGCCGGGGGTATATTACAAAGTTCTCAGATCAAAGGCCGCAGCGAGCCACTGCGAGGACTCCCCTTGTAGCTCAGACTCTCGCCGCGGGCGCGGACACGCGTCAATTCCGGGGATTTGATCCCCTCACGAGACTCATTGGTGACACGGGACGGTAAGCGCGGAGGCGGCGAGATGTGGTGGCTAACGACGCTGGCCGGCAGCTCGAGCGATGGGATGGACGCATCCATCAGATGAGTGGTGGCAGGCTCAACCTTGGTAGAGGCCGGGCGGGTATGTGACTGGCTATAGAACTGCTCGAGCTGGACAGCATCATTACAGAACTCGGAAAAGCCGTGCAAGATGTATTCCGGGGAACGGTACAGGTTGGCGGAGTCAATGCTTGTCGGGCCTTGGGACATGGGGCTGCCGATGTCATGCAGGGGCCGGGTGATCGGGGACAGGCGCGGAGACACGCGGTCGAGTCCGTCGTGAGTGGTAGCGGCACGGGTCCGGTATTCTGAACGGCTGTGGTGCTCGTAGCGAGCTGTGTCGCGGCTGGCGACGCTACGGGTGCTGACGAGACGGTTGGCCAGGAGCAAAAAGTCGCCCTCGTTGGTGATCTGGGCGAGGATGCTGCCGGTGCGGTGGATGAACTGCGGGTACAAATAGTCGGGCTTGCCCCACGAGTACGACACCTCGACGTCTGCGGGGAATGCAGACGATGGCTCGAGGTCCAACACGAAGTCGAACTTCCGAAGGATGATCTTCTGATAGTAATGGCGATCAGGAGGACCAGGTTGTGCAAAGGATGCGTTGTTGAAGACGGTGTGGACAGGTGCTTTGGGTGGCGGAATCTTGAGTTTGATTTGGTAGGGCTTTCGGAACGGCTGCGTCTTGTCGATAGCGCAGGCCTCGGCGATGGGCACTTGGACGAGCTTGAGCCCGAATTTCTCCGCTGTCGACGCCCATGAGTGCACAGTATCTTCAATCAGCTTGGGAGTCGTACTCATCCAGCTAAGCTCGATATGGAAGCAGTTCTCAGGGTTGTGCAGCCGGTCATAGTGAAGGTCGATCACTTCCGGCCGGTTTGACCGTTTTCGCGGGTCGACGTCGTACTTCATCGACTTCGACAGCATAATGGCGGCTTTACTCTTACCCTTAGACGGAGTATTCGGTGTCGGGGGAACACGCTCATCGACGCTGTCAGATCGAGCATGCGGACCGGATGGATCTTTCATATGCCCTGCAGCAGGCGTCGACGGTATCGATTTATCCGATCGAAGCTGCGGGAACCAGCTACCCCGGGATTCAGGACGAGTGATGCGATGGTCGGCACAGACTTGATAGAAGTAGTTGCCGTCGCGGAAATTGTGTCTTTTCTCCACGTGTTGGAACAGCCCATGCTTCATCAGCTCGTTGCCGAAGTCAACTGCTTCTTCGCGAGTATCGATATCGCGGAAGTTCTGTAGCAGCCAAGTGGTGAATTCAAACCCGATGAAACAATTGTAGTGTAGCCTCCAATGCCATCTCCGGTCCATCATCCGCACGCCCTTCTCGCCTTGGATGATCTGTGCCAATGAGGATAGACTGATGTTAGATCTCTCCAGCAACTCCGACTCCGGTAATAGCTGGGCCGGTGAGCTGTCAAGCCCCGGGTCCGTAAGCAGTAATCGGTCTAGCTCAGCTGTGACGATTTCTGATGGGTTCCGCGTCTGATACATGATATTGAGAGGATTCTGGTCTCTCCTTGGGTTTGACGTTTCGAAGCGCTTCTCTTCTGGCGACACATACTTGTGTCGTTGCCAGATATGGGTCAGCTGACTGATACCAAGTAAATGGATTTCTTCCTCGTTGTCCTCATTGAACGGTTGCAGATGACGTCGGGAATTGGGATGAAGTTGCATCGGAATCAACACATAGCGGACTCGCCAGAAATGCAACTGCTGTGCCGGATTTTGGAGATAGTCTCGATGACCAGCCACGTAGTTGTCGGCATAGTTCCAGTTGTACTCCTCGGCAGTAGGGTCCAACTTGATATCCTTCAACTCGTATTCCGGGCTCAAGATTGTCCTCATAGCCGGTTGGTAGAGTGTGAACGAGGCCTTCTTGGGAGACACGAGCGTTGCAGAGGATTGATGCGTGAAGCGTGTGACCTCGATTTCCCCACCGCCAATACAAATAAGCCGGTGGATGGTGTTGCCCTTGGAGAGAAAAGCAGTCGCCCCATCACGTTCCAGCCCTCGGCTATCAAAGACATTGAGGGATTCAAGCGCGGGTTGTGCGGATATTTCAGCCACATTCTTCCCAACGACGATTTGGAATCCATGAGAAAGCCGCAGCGAAATCATTTCACGCAAAAGTACCCCACGGGTTTTCGGTGCCTCGATTCCCTCTGCATCTTCATTTGGAAAAACTCGGTACGGTGTTTGCAGATAGTCCGAAGCAAGTTCAGCGGATGTGGGGAATTCCTCTGTGGTCAACGGTAACACTGCGGGAGACTTCAAGCTTTTCCATTTGACCACGGCCACATGTGGAGGCCGGGGATAGGCGTGTTGCCAACGACCAAACCAGCTAGTATTCCGCAGCACATCTTTTGGGGTATTGCAAGGGTTGACAGATCGGACCCAGGGTGACAGTGCTTTGCTGGGTGAGTTCCTTGCAGACACATCGCGTGAACCAGAATTCACAGTTATTTCAATCTTGTGGCCATGGCGCCGAGGCTGATCCCCATAACGGCCTTCTTCATCGAATGGAGCCTCTGCCGCAGATGTTGCTGGCGATCCATGGGCTTCAGCACGCCCAGGCTGGTCCGAAGTCTCGGGCGACTTCTTCAATGGGGCTTTGATGGAAATTGGCTTGGAGGGAGTTTGGACGGACCTCGGGGGTGTATTAGGTCTCGAGGGTACCTCGCCCACCGTTGGTGTTGAGGTGGTTTCTGAAGGGCTTAAGGATGTAACACTCTTGCTATCAGAAATCGAACCGCCGGGGACTCTTTGATTTGACATTGGCAAAGCGTTCGCATGCTCTACATTGACCCCCGTACTTGCCTGGGCCCTTGGGGGAGTAGCGCTCAACCCCCGAAGCGCAAAACTGATAGTTCTGGATATCCGCGAAGACCCGCGCGCAGCTTTCAAGGCTGACTTCTTGGGGGAAGAGCTTTTTGTTGAAACGGGGCTTCTTGGAAGTGCCATGGAGGAGTCAATCCTGCGGGGACCCGGTCGTGGAGGAAGGTCGTGATCAGTGGCTCTCGTCTCCTGCTCTCTCAGACGCAAGACAGATCGAGCGGATATCCGTTCATGAGCCCCAGCAACTTGAACTTCGGGTTCACTTGAGCGCTTAGCTTTGGTAGACTTTGCGGCGGAATGCAGTTTTGGAGACGTCGTAAAGAGAGTTTCATCGTACTGATCCATCCACGTCATGACGGATTTGCGTGACTTCGAGGAGCCTCTCGCCTGCATATCGCTGTGAAGAAATGGTTCGGGTCGAAGACTCTCGCTGAATTGGGTCCTTAGAGGCGATGGCTGCGCAAAACGAGCTTTAGGGGAAGACTTCGCGACAGGCCAGGCGGCGCGGGCTCTCGTTGCACTATGCCCTTCAATGAGATAAGGAATGGAGATATTTGACTGTTCACTTTCCATGACTCCCATCATTTGGATCTCATACATTCGCACCCGAGGCGTGAAAGCTTTGGATGGCCGAGTGACAGTGAAAAGAATCGGTGCATTGGGATCTTTCTTCAAGATCCGCCGAGCTTCCCTGTATGTTTCGGGGTTCCAATAGGAGATATCAAGCCAGTGAGGGATGCCATAGCTCCAGTCCCTAGACCGTGGATGGGCTCGCTCTCTCATCCTCGTGGCAGAAAGGTATGAGCCTGGGGAGAGATACGATGATCTGCTCACAAGGCTAGACACTGAGTGATGGATTTCAGGGGACATGTTGTCCTTGTGCGATTCATGAGTCTCTGATGGGACACCGGATGATCTCTCTATTGGTTCGCGATATTTGAAGAGTGGTACCGAGTGAAGAGGCATCGGGCTAAGACAGACTAGATCGATAGCTATGCCACGATTCGACAGCGCTTCTGTTGTAGACGCCAGGGATTCGTAGGAGACCTCAAAAACGCCACTGCCGGGTGTAATCACAATGATCGAGGTACCCGTATGGACCATGTCTCGGTCAATATGATCATAAGCCAGATGAGCAGAGGCAAGGTGGATGGCCTCCAGGATGTTGCCTCGCAGGGCGGAGCTAGGACGTCCGGCAATGGTAGCCGTGTGAGGCTTTGAGGGTATTTTGATACCGCTACCAGCCGCAGCGTCAATTTCATCTGTCTTCAAAATTGAGACATCTCGGAGAAACGTCCTAAAATTTCTTTTCAGTTCGTCCAGAATGGTGGTCCAGTGACCGCTGGCCATGTCGTTCACTACGACACGATAGAAATCCCGGGTTGGGGTGTGATTCGGTCCGAGTGTACCTTTGAGGTTCCCAGAGTTGAGTTTCGCGGGGTTGTGGTGAGTGGATGGTTCGTATTCGACTCGAGTGAAGAGCACAATCGTCACCAGATGTTTCGCATCGGAACTGGCCCATCGCTTGAACAGTTCTGGCAAGAAGCCGTTGATGACCCGGCTGAACAGAATGTCGCCTGTGCCTTCCGAGTCAAAGTCCCACATCTCTCTTGACATCTGAATAAACAGGACGTATTTTGCCGATTCGCTGCGGAAGACCGGGATGGTGCGAGGAGAGAAATATCCCGACAGAACCTTCTTTTCCCGGATGAAGATATTTTTTATAGTGGCTTTGATGCTTCCCATGAACATAATTTTTTGCCCCTTGTAGATGATTTTATCAACAAGCTCCGACATGACCAATCGCCACATATCGGAGCGGACCATGTATTGGTCGCGGAAGGCGATATCGACGTGAGATGCAGTACATTGCTCCCGATCCACAATCGACAGCAGGACCTGCGTTCGGTTCTTGAAGCCAAAGATATTGGCCACGCTGTGCGTCACCGAAACCTCCAGCTGGGGATGACGGGTTCGGAGGTCCTGCGGGAGAGGTTTCACCACGAACAGACACCGGCTTTGCAGCGGGGTCTTGAATTTGGAGGAACCATCTGTCTGAGATGTCAGTTTCACTTCGACCTGGCTCTCGCGGACTGTTTTCGTCATTGTATCGGGTTTCAATGCGGAGTGGGCCGGGTCCCCGGAGGCCCGAAGGGGCAGAATTTCAACCACATCCCCGGCTTTGACCCCAGTCTCGGTAAACACTGATTGATTGAACAGTATCTCCTCTCGGGAGAACATCTCATCGTGAACCCATAGGGTACATTGGCGCCGATTCAAGCTCGTCAAAGACAGCCTGGCCGTCCTCTCACCCGTGTTTGGGTCATCTCGGCGTGTCTCCAGCGAATGCGGGGAGAATGTTTCTAGACTTGCGGCGCTCACCTGCCTCAAATGCGACCGCCGCAGAGGCCCGCGCAGAGACATCGTGATCCTTGCATTCCAAGATGGAGAGGCAGTTCCAGGACGATAAGAACCGATAGCAGCGCGTGGGGAGTCACCTGATATGTTTGTGCCTGAGGCGGTGATAAAATGGTATCCCTTCTGGGACGCTTCATACAAGGCCAGGTTTTTCATGAGTCTTGATTTATTCTGATCTAGCGGAGAATACAATTTTGAAATAGGTAGGAGGGAAATTATTAAAATTATTGTAGCATGTCTCACCTTCATTGGGGAAAAAAAAAAACAACCTGCCAAAGTCTTAATATAATATTATAATATTGGATATTTGACACACAGGGTCTGGATGAAAACATACTCCAAGACTGAATCTATACTACAATTCACAGCTCATGGCACGTATACAGGTTCTCGGCCTCGCTGAGAAACGTATCGACCGGATGCAACAGCCCCAAGTCGATATCGGACTGCGCCAGAAAGTCCTGCATGGTGGGTTCCAGGAACGCCATTTCCGTCGTGTACCCGCTGACAGTATCCCGGATGGGGAGATTGTATGGATCGGGGCCGTGCACAGGCGGACCAGACAGCAAATCATTCTCTGATGGAGTCAACATGGCAGCGGGGTTGCTGGTGTGCGATGCACCCTCACCTGCTGCTGCGATAGCCACAGATGAGGAAGCAGCGGCAGCAGCAGCTGACGCTGTAGGCAGTGTAGATGGAAGTCCCGAGAAACCAGGAGCGGTAACCGTCGACGACGAAGGATGGGTAGCAGTAGTGGTGTTGATGATCGGGTCGGACGAGGCAGCCGCATCGGCGCGGCGCGGACGGCGGGATTCGCGGTACGCATCGAGGCATATCTTCACCTGAGCTAGATTATGGTAGAACTCTGCAGCGGCGAGGTTGCCGTTCTCGGTCATGGCGCGCAGCAGATCCAGTGCGGAGTCGAAGCTGGTCATATCGGCGGGATTGCCGATGGGCACGAAGCTGGACATGGCCAGGATCAGGGCGGAGGAGAACAGGTAGTGGGCGTGGAAGTAGCCGAAGGTGGGCATAGAGCCGTTGATCCAGCGAGTGAGGATCATGGAGTGGGAGTGACGCGCGGCGTGGATGCAGGCCTCGCTGAGGGTGAGGACGGGCTGGGAGACGGCGTCGCGACCAGCCGAGGTAGAAGCAGTGGAAGAGGATTGAGCGAGGGTCATGAGGAGGTGGAGGAGGGTAGGACGAGTGGTGAGGATGACGCATTGGTTGAAAGCCATATGCAACGAGACAACCGGCTTCTTGCTGGACTCCAGATCGTCCATGTTCAGACGCAAACTCTCCGGTAGGGTTTCCACCCAGTTCTTGAGGGCCTTGAGCAGTTTCTGCACGCGCTGCAGGAATGTCTCGCGGTATTTGCGCCGGCTGTACAGCTTCGTGATGGTCTCGCCGACGATTCGCGCCAGCTTGATGTTGGCCGTCATATAGTCCGTGTCGGATAGTTCCTCGTCGTGCCGCCAGCGCGGAGACACGGCCGATGGCATGTCGACGTGGATGTCATCGTCCAGGATCTGCATCGGCAGCCCCATCTTGGATCCCCACATGCGGTCGAAAATATAGATGGTCCACCAGATCTCGATCCGGTGCTGGCGCTCTACGGGGTCGATGAGCTGCGATTCTGAGATATTGTGGTTCAGGCCAATGGTCAAGCCCATGCGCATGGCATTTCCAATGAGGATATATGCCGAGTGGCGCCGGTTGAGATAGTAAGAGAAGAGAGACTGGTAATGAGTTAGTATGGGGAAAGCATCATACACTATCCACAAATCACATACCAGCAAGAGCAGTGTCTCCAAATGCGTCACACTCGTCCGTTCCGGCAAGATCTGAACCAAACTCATAGCGCGCGCAAAGTACGATGTCCCGGGCACCCTCGACCCAGAAGAAGGCTCCGAGCGAATCGAATACACCTGCCCAAAAGCAAACAGCGCAAAGAACTTGCACTTGTTGACAGTGCAGTCAAAGTCGGCGGTTTTGTAGATCTCGTCGAGCTTATCGAGAGTCGACTTGCGCATCATCAGGTGGTACAGATGGCCGATCTGATGGATGGCAACCCGCACCAGTAGCCGGGCATGATGCAGACTGGGCCACTGGACGTCGGCATCGTTGGCCTCGGCGATGGTCTCCTCGCGCTCCCACTGCGTGCGCGTGATGTGCGCCGTGGCGCTGTTGCCGGTCAGGAAGCGGCGGAAGCGCGTCGCGAAAGCCGAGCAGGCGGCCTCGCCGACGTATATCGGCGGCGAGGACGGGTCGTAGCGGTGGAACCAGGCGCGGTCGTCGATGAGCGGGTTCTGGATGCTTGTTGCGTCTGGGGCATCGGCGGGGCGGGATGGGCCTCTAGAAGAAGGTTGGTAAGTATTTCTGCTGGCGTCATTCAAAATAGTCTAATGAAAACAACACCGGGGTCGGCCTCGGCTGCTACATACCGTTCCTGCGTCGAGTCGTTGGCTTCGGCCACCGGCGCCGAGGTACGGGACTGCTCTTTCAGGCGCTGGTTCTCGGCCAGCAGTTGGTCAAGATAGCTAAGTTGCACGGTGTCACATTAGCCCTGTTTCACTTGAGATGCTTATAAGCAATAGCCTTTGCAATCCATACTTCTCGCTCACTTTCACCTGGCGATCCCGAGACGCATAGGCGCATTCATCGGCACAGCCCACCGCACAGCACTTGCTGCAGGGCTGATCCCCAGAGCATTTGATCTTGTGTGCATGGCATCTCTGACAGCTGTAGATATGATCGGTTAGCTCCGGTCCATTACAAATGAGGTTGACCTTGCAAGAAAAAGAAAAGAAGAAAAAAGCCGAGGCGACTACGCACGCGACGAATTTCCTCCGCTGCTGTCGGTGGCTCTCGTCGTTCTCGCTCGAGGCCAGACGTCTTTTCACCGGGCTTGTAGCCATTCTGCGAGGCACATTGTCTTGATCTTTGATCTTCACCGATTTTTCGATCTTTCGCTGGAAGATGGTGAGAATACCGGGCAATTCTGACGCGGTCGGAGATCTGGAGATCTTCGCCGAGGCCTCGGCAGGTTGCGCCGAAGCATGGAGACTTGGCCAATCACACGCCGGGGAAAATAAGGAACTCGGGCAAAATAGACCGTAGAATCCATGCTACTTGTGTTCCATATGTTAGACTGCATTCACGTATGGTCATTATTCGTCTCTCTAGAGCCTATCTCTATCTCTATCTTTCTTTTATGCAATGTGTATAAAAAAGCAAATAGAAGACATCTTCTCGCCAGGTCAAGGCTTTGCATCAATGCCGAATTTCCTTTCGGCCCATCGCTGCATATCGAGACCCCATTTCGTAATGCTGAGGACCAGGAATCCGCTTATAATGGCGAAGATGACACCTAGAAAAGCAAGTTAGTGGGAGTTGCAGTCACACCAAAGGAAACCAACAAAACTCACAAATAGTAAATGTCCATCCCACACCAATAGAATCAATCAGCGGCACAACAGCCGCTGTCGCCGCCGCCGCAAAAACATACTGCACGACGTACTTGCCACTGATGACCTCCGAGCGCGCATGAGGCATGACCTCTAGAGAAAACAAGACAGTCAGTCAGAGTACTCTTCAAGTCATTTTCTTCACAAAAATGCCAATCACTAACCAGCTGAGTATGTGTTTAACCCATTAAACGAGCCTAACAACCCGACACCGGCAAAAAATGCACTGATAATCGGCACCGGCATACCGCCCACCTGTTCCTGCAGTGTCCAGCCATAGATCAGGGCCGAGATCGGCACCACGCCGAACAGCGTAGCCAGACCACTGTTCAGACGGTCTTGGGGGAGGCGCACACCGTTCCGTTTCTGGATCCACCGCTTCACGGCGCGGTCGGACAATTTGCCACCGAGAACGCTGCCAATGAGGAAGCCGATGCCAGGGGAGAGATAAAACAGGCCGCTCACGAGAGGAGAGTTCAGGTGGAAACGTGGGTTGAAGATGGTGCGCGCTGAGGTGAGTAGACCGTATTGGAAGGTCGAAAGAAGGCCGCAGGTGAAGTTCTAAGGTAGTGTGAGCTTTGGTAACACTCAGAGAAGAGACATAATGGGCGGTCTTGACTCACTGCAAGGAACACATTCGGGTAGACGAAATGACGGAAGATGCGGAGCGGGTTGAACATTCTCACGATGGAGCCGAGCGTCCAGCGCTCACTGGAATCTGCGGTTTGCTTCTTTTCTCGAATTCTCGGCACAAAAAGCATAGACAGAACAAGACCAAACAAGGTCATGCCGAACTGCATCCAGTATATAATGCGCCAGTGAGCAAAGGTGACGATGATGCCACCAACGCAGGGTCCTACATACTTTGTTAGCTACTGGATGTCCCCTACACAGTGACAGATGGGATATCGACAACGTACCAATTGCAGGACCACTGACAGACCCGACCATAAAGAATCCCACGGCAGTTCCGCGCACCACCTTGACCAGAGTCAGCAACACCATCTATAGCAGAACCTAGAAAACTGATCCGACAAACCGGCTCAAAGATATCTGCGATAATAGTCTGTCCAGCGACCATGAAGAACGTCCCCGTGAAGCCGCCCAGCAAGCGCATTGCAATAAACATGCCCAAATTAATCGACGCGGCGGTCCCGGCCGAACAAGCGCAAAGCACCAGGATGGCTGCATTGTAGGCAGTTTTGCGACCAAAGAGATTGGCAATAGGACCCCAGAGAAACGACGAGAAGCCCATGGCGACCAAGACCCCGGCATTAGTGACATTCAACATCTCGGTGGTGGTCGAGAACTCGGAAGCAATTTCCGGAGTTGCGGGCAGTAGCGAGGTGCTGGAAAAAGTGACGGCCAGGGTCATCCAGCTGACGATGAAGAGAATGAGACATTTGCGCCATGTCGGAATGTCGTAAGAGTTTGATTGTTGAGGTTTGAGAGTTTGGTCGTCCTCCTTGTCTGAATCTGGAGTTTCGACCTGGAGTGGGGGTTTTTGAGACTCGAGAGCAGGCCCTGATTCCATTGTGGGCGAAGATGGCGATTTAGATGAAGAGGCCTTGGGCTATTGAACGGCCTGTGGCATGTCGTCTATGGAACACAGAGAAATAAAAATCCATCGAGCATTTTGTATCCAGCGCCCCCTCGGCGTGTGGGCGATGTTGCCGAAGACATTGCGAGGATTCTTTTCCGAGGTGGAGCACGCCGATGCCAGCGTCGGCGCTGATGTTGGTGGCCGAGATTGCACCATTGTGAAGATTATGATAACTGCTATCTTAAAATACTGAATCAATACCCGAAGTATGTACTGTAGAATTGATCTATGTATGGCTATATGACATACAACGTAGACTTCAGCCCTACGTTGTCCGAGGTATTACCGGCCTGTGGACCGAGGGTCTCACTCGAACACTTTCCAAGGCCATTTCTCCTCATCTTCTCCACGATAAATTACTCCCAATCATGCAATGACAGTGCAATTCATCTTTCAATCTCACCAAATATCATCAATCTGACACCAAACTGCACTTGGCCCCGAGCTGACGCGTCTCGATCGTCAGGTCCACAATGCTTGGCGCCAAAAGTCTTGTTGACCGCCAAGATATCCCGTTCCATACGAGAAAAGGGGGATAACCAAGCTCTACACCAGATCAGGGCCTGTCATGGACGCCAAAGAACCACAGGATGTCGAAATATCCACTCCATCTCCGGGAAATGAGTCTCAGCTAGTGCTGATCCCCCAGCCCAGTACCCATCCACGAGACCCCTTGGTATGTTGCTGAGAGGGCCTTATGTTGTTAACATAAGGTCTTGTCATTGCAGGATGAATGCTGACCAGAAACTCTACAGAAATGGTCTGTCAGGCGGAAATATGTCATCACTGCCGTGCTCTGTCTGGCTTCATTCTCCGGGGCTATTGCGCCCTTGTCGGGACAGCTCAACCTCGCGGACCAGGAGAAGCTGTACCACAAGACGAAGATACAAGAATCCTATGCTGTAAGTGTTCTACTTCTCTTATACCGGAAGACAACTCTCTAAAAGCCCTGGCAGAACTCCGCGGCTCTGGCCGGCATGGCGGCCGGTCCGTTCTTCTTCGCGCCAATCTCTCCCATTCTGGGTCGCAGCGCCTTGATTTTCTGGTGTGTGCTGTTTACACTGGTGTGTCAGATCTGGGCAGCCGTAATGACGCATCCGAATGACTATATCGCCTACGTGATTTCACGGCTCTTTGCCGGGTTCTTTGGCGCGGTGCCCACGGTGCTGGGCCCCCGCATCGTCACCGACATCTTCTTCCTGCATCAGCGCGGCCGCGCCTTTACGGCACTGCATATGGCATTTTTGTTTGGTACCATCGCCGGCCCGACGTTCTCCGGGTTCATCTCTGCAGGGGCCTTCTTCCCGGTCGAGTTCTGGTGGACGGTTGGTCTGCTAGGCTTCGCGCTGATTTGCTGTTTTTGTTTCCTGGAGGAGACTGGGTTTGACCGGAAATGTGTGGACAACAACCCAGATGTCCCCAGTGGGCTATTCGCAAACCGCATCGCCACTTTCTTCTTTGGACAGAGGGTGGTGCAGCCGACGACCTGGAGAGAAACGGTGTGTTCTCCTTCCCTTTTTCCCAATAGTACTCACAGCAAGATGACATTCTGACACGAACAGGCCAAAATTGGCGTCGCCCCTCTACTTATTGGGATTTGCCCAGTCACAATCATCATGGGCATTTTCACGTTGATCTCTTTCGGGTTCTATGTGGGCGTCAACGCCCTCACGCCAGTGTGGCTCCAGAAGCCAGTCTCGAAGGGCGGGTACGGGTTCACGCTGAAGCAAAACGCAGCATTCACCTTCTGCCACTGGATCGGGATCATCTTCGTGCAGTTCTACGGACACTACCTCAACGACCGGCTGCCGCTGGCTCTGGCGCGGCGCTACAATGGTGGCGTATGGAAGCCCGAATACCGGTTGCATGTGCTCTGGCTGCCGAGTCTCATCCTCAACCCCATCGGACTGGGCATCTTCGGCGCGGCGCTGCAGTACCACCTGCACTACATGGTGCTGGCGCTGGCGGTGTTTATTGTCACGATTGGGTCGCTGGCCAGTGTACCGGTGACCGTCAACTATGTCGTGGAGTGCTTCACTCAATACCCAGCCGAGGCGGGCATCGTGATCGGGGCGTACCGCATTGTCTATGGGTTGACCATCACCTTCTATATTGATCCCTGGGTTGAGGCTGTGGATGTTGGCTGGGTGTACGGGATGATGGCGTTCTTTGCAATCTTCTCGTTCTTGTTCGTCATGCTGCTGATGTGGAAGGGACATGCGATTCGGGGGATCCAGTTTGCCAGCCTTGGTTCTAGCGAAGAGGGGAAGAAATTGGTTCAGGAATAAGCAGGTGTTCCCAAATTGAGTATTGAATCTTTTCTTTTCTTCTGTCTGTTTTCTGTACACTATTTCTCCTTAGCATTCTTGGTATAGTAGATGTATAGATCACCCTGGTCCAGGGCCTTTGGGGAGTACCTGATAGACGCACAATGAGCATAAACGACTCCTTTTTTTTTTGTCTATTGTTGTCGACTGCAAATAGGCAAACACTCTCAAGTGAATAGAGCAAGCTGTTGATGCCAAAAACGCGTTGTGGTGGTTTTCCCAAATAGGAAAGGGGGGTGTTCTCCCCAGACGTATAAATAGTTCTCACCTCTCCCACTTTCCTTCTTCCCTTCTACAACTCCCTCTTCTCTTTTCCCCCTGCCTTCTGTCTTCTGTCTTTTGATTCCCGTCTCTTGTCTCTTTCTTACTCCCCGCTATCTCTAGCCTCTGTACTATTACTTCTGTCATTTTACTTGGGTCATCTCACTTCTCTTACCTCTGCCTTTTCTCTCTTGCCTTTTCTCTCTTGCCTTTTCTCTCTTGCCTTTTCTCTCTTGCCTTTTCTCTCTTGCCTTTTCTCTCTTGCCTTTTCTCTCTTGCCTTTTTTCTTCTGCCTTTTTTCTTCTGCCTCTTTACCTTTTCTTATCACCCCTCCTTCCTCTATATCCCTCTTCGCAGATGACACAACTGTACACGCCACACACCACCAAGAACCCTTTAGCATCCAGACTCACCGGCAAAACAGGAAACATCCAACAAGGCAACAGCTCAAGTAAGCTTCCTCTGTTGGGATTACTAACAACAAACGCAACCCTAGTAAAAACAACAACAAATATTGGAAAGTGGGCCACGCCAGCCTGACTCGCCGGTGATGAGGGCAATTTCGTGGAGGGCGACAATCAAACAACATTGGCTGGGCAGGGAGAGCAATATAAGGGGGTTACGACAATTTGACTCACCGGTATCGAGGGAAAATCTGTGGAGGACAACAGACTGGGCTTCGACAGCCTGACTCGCCGGCGACGAGGTGAATTTCGTGGAAGACGACCAATGTGGGCTGGGCAAACAAAGTGTGCAGGGCAGCGCAGGGCAGGGCAGGGCCCAGTGGGCAACGCCAGCAACCTCACTGGCGACGAGGGCAACTTCGAGGGACCCTGCCAGGCGCAAGTCTGTTGAGGGCACCACAGAAGGATGTGCTTTCCGAACTGGCTCAGCGACACATTGGGCTGCGTCTTCTCAGGCCTCTGCGTATGCTTAAGCAACGGACAATGGGGCCAAGGACGATTGTTTCGGACTGTGGTGGTGGGATCTTGAGGACGCACGCTTTTCTCACTCAGTGATTAACCCACCAGGGCGATTGCATGACATTCTCGGACCTTAGGGGTGGTATTCCCGGACGGCTGAGACGTATCTGCTACAGGTATAGTTGTGGGATCCATTGGGTGAAAGGGGACATCCCTCTTGAGGACCGGGCAAGCCTGAAGGAGGGCCCCCTCAGCATTTTCTGAGAGCGAAATATCTTCCCTGTTTTTGTATTTATCTTGAGTGGAAATGGGGTGTGAATGTGATGGACCATGCATGATATGAAAGACTTGGTTTAGAGTGTTTGTTTATGTTTCTACAACTCAGTTGTCAAGTTCACATACTACTTTCGACTGGATATAAATCTCAGGTTTGGCAGAGAATAAGTATTTTCTGGCTTACCCTTCTTCTCTCGTTAGCTTCTTCTATATCGTACATACCTGGTATGATATGCAGCTTCATATTCCCAATTCAAGTGTAACTTATGCTCGGTCTCACAAGTAGTTTAGGTAAAATCTGATTCCCTGAATAGACACTCTATTTCTCAGCTCATTTCTTCTTTCCCGCCCATTCTGAAAAAAGAAAGATGTCTCTGCGCTCACTAAACAGTCTCCACATGCGACAAGCCCCTACTCTTTTTGCAATCTACGAAGTAATCATCATCACCATGCGACGCACCGTGTTGTGGATCCGCGTGGTCTCCATCAAAAGTAACGGCAATCTCCTCCAGAGAGTGCCCCTTTGTCTCAGGGAAGTAGAGATAAACCGTAGCCAAGATACCCGTAAGGAAGACACAAAACACAATATAGTACCTCCATCCCAAGTTTACGATTCCAATCGGGTTGCAGAATGATGCAATAACAAGCGATCCGTGAACGGACATCATCTCGACAACTAGCTTATTAAGGGCCACTAACTAGCGATATATAGCGCTACGATCCTCGCGTAAAAAAACAAAGATTTACGCGTAGCTAACAAGAAGTAGAAACAAAAACGAGCTAGATTCAATAGGCAAATACATTAAGAGCAAGGCCAATCAGTTCAAGAAGCTCGTGAGCTAATATCGATATCAAACTAAGCCTCTAAAGCCCAATCGACTGCTTCGATAGTAGCTATCAGCAAGCTTCGCAGGTGTGTTAACGAGCACCACCTCGCTGTAGCGACTGCCGAGAATTAGGACATCAAAGATTACAGTGCCCAAAACGATGGAATTGGGTTTTTGGATTTGAGTTCTATATATCTGGTTGGGTGGGTCACTCGCTTACCGGTTACGTTAGTTAACTTACAGGCCCCCTACAGTAGAGTAAATGCATAATGGAGTGGCGGGGGCGGTAGGAATCAAACCCGGTACCTTGCAGTAGGTTCGATTCCTACCGCCCCACGTGCTAGATACGAGAGTACTAGAAACATAAGGCGCAGTAGCTAGACTCAACCAGGAAAGATGCAGGGACCTGAGTCTATCAATGATTAAACTAAAGGGGCTTCGGGGGTTTGTGTCTGTTCCGTGTTGATCCGAGCTAGCTAGGGACACAAGGAATCCGTGACTCTAAGCGCCATTATCCCTTTCAATCCGTCGCCCTCCGCCAAAAATCATTTTCATGATCAATATTATAGTCATTATCATAGTCTATTCGCCTTACAATATTCGCCCAGTTGGAGCAGTAATAGAGAGCATCGAATAAAAGGTGACCATCTACAGAAGATCGACAACACTTCCGTAACTAGTATTAATGGGTGGTATGCCCCTTATTATTACGGAGCGAAGCGAAGCATACTACTTGTAGTAATGATTCCCCCTGTCAATTGTCACTTCTACGGGTCCTCTTGGCCAACAATGCGTATTATTGGTCAATCAAAGATACTATTACATATAGTTCTAATTATTTTTGTTGGTTGAAATCACGGAAAGTCCCTATTTTTCTTTATATATCATTTACCTCAAATCAAATTTACTATATCACTTACTGAATCGCTTACTGAAGAATTATCGCTTGCTAGCTATATCGCCTATCTACCTTATATCTAGATATGGATTGTAAACATAACTATAAAAGTTGTGTGTTTAGATCGCTGAGCGACGAGTTATATATTGGCGCCCCCGTTACGGCTAAGGGTCCGGGCGAGGGGGGCGCCGTAGGCCCCTAGCCCCCCTAGTAAGGATGCGGCAATGAAATGTACTTTGGGGAGTCAACGGTGCCACTATACCGATCTTAGCAAGTTGACAACCGATTTCAATACAATCATGGGGCAACAAGCAGGGACGGCTGTTGACCAACGAGCATTGACGAACGCTATACTGAGCTACATAATTAGTGGTACGGCCTGGATATACGGAGTAGAGTCTTCCTTGACCAACGGGGCGCAAATCCTGATGGACAGAGTTGATTATTGTGTGAAAACGAAACTATAAAGCAGCCTTTCACTCTTGTAAATTCCTTGATATTTATTCTTTCCACCAGGATCGCTTCGTCTAATCCAAGCTCCTTACTCTTCCCTCACAATGACATCCATTGCTCCTTGGGTTGGCTTTCTTATTGTCCTTCTAGCCTTGCTCGATTTAGTACAGCCCTTAGTCATTCGAAGAGACGAGGGTGATGTGCCCGATGACCCCACATTACCCCAAGTTTTAACCAAAACATCGGAGTGTATGGCATTCATGCGTTCAGATGTTTCCTTTCGGAGGACTAACATCATATAGATGACCAAAAGGCTTTCGCAGACATCAGAGCCATAGGGCTCGATAATGAGATTCAGAGAAATGACTTGAAGCCCATGAAGTCGGCCTATTATGACGGTGATTTCCAGCCGGTATTGCCGCTCGATCAAATCCTTCGCAAGAACTGGCGGCAGCCGTTTTTGCTAGCTTCGCCAGTGAAACCCCCAAAGGCAAACACCTTCGATTACATTTTGACCGAGGTAGGTTATCGTTCAAACATTAAGGGCCATTGAGAGGCTAATAAAGTGCTTTTTCGGTGATGACCTAGAGCCCTGCGCGCCCGAAGGAGAATGAATCAGGCTATAAGACCCATTATAGAGACTTTTTGTACTATGACATGATATGCCGCAAGACAAAGGGTCCCATTGTCCTGGTCAACCTGGTAGAGGCCATGACCCATATCCCCGATAAACCTGGCGAAAAGAAGGTTTTTGAAAAGCCCGAAAGACTAAATTATGGCGACAAGAAGTACACAGGACCTGGCGAGTCCGGTTATACTGTTACCTTGCTAGAGTCCAACGACAAACTTCTAGCCAGCCAAGGAATTCAACAACGCACAATCGAGATCAATTGTGGGAAAGAAACCAGAAAAGCGGTCTATGTGGGATACGATCTTTGGAAAAACCACGCCGGAGCCCCTGTGGAGCATGTGACAACTATTCTCAGGCTGATGGCCGATGCTCGAAGGAATAACCCAGAGACTGTCAGCGTTATCAACTGTGCCATGGGAGTAGGCCGCTCCGGTACAGTGGCTATCCTGGATTGGTTGACAAGGGTTGTCAAGCAGGACTCGGCATGGTATTTTGAACCGACAGACAATTCAATCTTGAAGGACGAGTTTCTGCAGAATGCGTTCAAAGAAAATGAATCCATCAAAAAACTTGCCACAGATGATCCAATCCTTGCAATGATCCTATACTTTCGCAAATATCGGAGGGTCATCGACGCCCCAGCCCAGATCGGTACAATGCGCAAGTATATGTACCAGCTTTACATGGACTGTTGAGGCACTTGCGTTTGAACATCTGATGTGAGTGATGGAAAGCAGAATGGGGGTCATCTAGCAGATTGACAGAAATGGTTAAGGTCAAGAGAATGTTGCTAAGTCAAACTGTACTATTCAACGAAAACTCAAGACTAGGGGGGGAAAGGAAGGAGAAATCTATCCATCTCGCCCCACGGACCTGTCGATCCCCCCTGGAATACTATCAGCTGGAATGGCATCATGAAAGAAAGGATCGTAGCAGGTTTTCAGCCAAGATTTTACTTTCAACCCGCTTGCCATATAGTGTGTAGATTCGGCGCATTTCAATTACTAGATAGGGCGTTGAGGGAATACAGGAGTTTTGGATAAAGATTATACGGGTGTTAGAAATAGAAAAGAAAAAGAAAAAGAAGAAAGGAAAAGAAAAAGGAAAAGGAAAACATACAACAGCCATTCCATGTTGGTCACCTAGCGCCGCCCTATTCAGACGGACTTCAGGTGGCAGTTTACCCACCTAGATGTTCTTCACCTAAACCCGCTTAAACATGCCAGGAGTGCAGAAAAGGGGCTATTTGCATTCTCGTGCGAGGAAAGATTTCGGGAGCACCAAATTTAGACAGATAGCGGGACACCACTTCTCCATTTGATTATGCGGAGCGGCTGATTACGTTCCCCTTACACTTGACACGACTTTAGAGATGTACATGTTGGCCAAGCTTTCTCTAGAGGGCTTTGGCGATTTCGTCGTCGGTTTGTTGGACCTCTGGGGGGAGCGATGACTCTGTTTTGTAGCCCGGTGATCGTTATTGTGTGAAGAAAATAAGTGTAAATTCCTGCATTGGCAAGCCATTATCATTGGGGTATCTCGGGTACATATGAAAGGAAATTGAAACGATCTAGAGCTGCATCACCGCACAGGCAGGGAGGTGAACTAGAGCTTCCACTTGGAAAGATCTGCTCGATCCTTAGGACTATCAGGGGCAATAGCGAGGCCCCAGGCCCCCCAAATCTCACACATAGGCACCTCTTCCTCTTCCTCTTCCTCATCGCCATCGTCAACGACATCCTCGTCGCGGGATCCTGCCTTGCGAGCCTCTCTAAAGTCGACGAAGTACCTATTTAAATAATCAGCCACAAGCCTAGGATCACGATTAAATGTAGAAGGCTCACAATTTCGAGAAACTGGCGTCCCAGATCAAGTTACTTGCCCAGGGAAAGGAGGGCACCCATCCCAGCTCCATCAGCTTGCGGTACTCCTTATCAAACCACATTCGAATCTGCTCTCGCTGGAGGTCGTTGAACTTTTGAAAGAACGTATGAAGCGGGGCTCCCCATCCAGGCAAAAGCCTGTCCTCAGCGAGACGAACTCCAGGAACATGTTGGAATACAATATGGATAACGTAGCCCCCGGGGATAAATCCTTGTTTATCCTGGATATCCTCTTTGATTGCAAGGAGAGCAGGCGTAATAGTCGACTCTTGCTTGTAGAAGGCCTTTATGGCTTCGACCTCGCGGTGGTGGCTAGGAGCGGCCTGCTTGGCTCGCTCGTCCGGTGGGAAGAATTCAGTTCCCTTGTTGGGAACTTGCAGATAGACACGCATGTAGGCTTCTTGGCTATCTAGGTCGCTGCGGACACGGAAGGTCGCAAGGGCGTACGAGGGTCCAAGCCCAGCTTGAATATCGACCTCTTCTTTCTGGGAATTTCGCTGGGAGAGCTTGGCGATGATGGTCCATTCGGTGTGCTCGGGCTTCTCGAAGATGATATGCTCGCCCGGCGCATAGTGGGGCGGAGGAAAGAAACCGATTTCAGTCATGGTGGCTGTGATGCGAGAGTTGCTGGAGAGAGAGAAAAAAAAAAAAAAAAAAGAGGCGAGTGGCCTCCAGAGTGATAAACGATAGAATTGCACAATGGTGACGTTGGCGCCTCAGGCCGAAAACCATGATTGTCTCCCCGCAATCCATCATTGTCATCACGTGGCTTGAACCAATGGGAGGGTAAATAGGATGCCTTCCCTAAGGACACTGCGTTCAAATTGAGACCCGCTTCCAAGAGACTAAAAGCAACGCGGCCAGTGCCCTCGCATTGGGAAACCACGTTCTGCTACCACAACTTCCATAAGCGCAAGAGCAATCACTCATTGAACGGCTGTTATATCACTATCAAGAATGCCGGAGCAACCATCAAGAACGACCAGACCAGGGGCAACAGATATGGGTTCTTTTCCACCTACCAGCACAATGTCTTCCTCAAGCAAGAGAGGGTTAACGACCGCTGGACACTCTTCTATTCGGCAGTTATCCAAGATATGCCCACCGAGAGCGCAATGGGTCTGACCGTGCGACAGTGTTTCTTCTTTCTGGGGGTGGCGGGGAGCCAAGCGCTCCCAGAAAGCAACTCAACGCCCGATACACTGTGGTGGAAGGATGTAACCAAGAGTTGATTGCTTTTCTGTCGCTTCAAAAAGAGCCTGGCCTCGAGCCAGGTCAACGCAATAGCTGTGAGCAAGATCAATTCGATAACAGGTTCCTGGTGACGGGCCACGTCAATCAGAGCGTCCGAGCACGCGGAGGATTCTGATGGAAGCAATCTTGATGAACCAGGACTAGAGGGTTCGTGGATTGATGTCTTTGCGTAGAGCTATGGAGGTGGTTACGAGGTTAGGGCATCTGGAAAAACGGGAAATGCCGGGCTAGGCATCGACGGGCACCTAGGTCATCAAATACCTCCCCATCCAATCCCTGTCCGGGGGCGATGGCCCAAAACCCTCACCGGCCATCGACAAGTCAATTCCAAACCAAACAGTGCTAGTCGCCACAATGTATCTTATTTTCTCCAGCACCAGTAATCAGGTTGATGTTGGCCCTGAAATGAAGGCAAAAAAGGGGGCTGCAGCGAGGGTGCAGGGGAGGTGCGAAATATGGCCAGTTGGGGCAAGTAGACACGTCAGCGCTCCAGGGGCGTGCAGGGCATTCAGGTGAAGAGAGTGAAGGGACTGAAGAACGGACGGCAAGGGCACTAAACCCGAACAGCCAAAAGTATGGTGGTCACCCACTCAACTACTAACTGACCGGCGTGTTCAGGGTCTTCAATGGTGAGCATCACGTAAACGTGGAAAGCCGGCAACAGAGGATAAAAGCTTGTCGGGTAACCTACCTTATTCTATCAAGCGACAACGGAAACGGTTGTCAGATCAATGAGATTCTCCGCCAATCACTGACAATGATCTTTCAACATTGACAAAGTACATGCTGCCAGTCACAAGGGTATAGGCATAATAACTGCTTCCTTGGGGGGGCGCTTCCGTCAGTCTCGCCAATCATGTTTGTCATAGATCCGCCGTTCTCATGCAGGATCACTTCATATAACGGACCTTTCCTTTTTCCCAGCGCTAAGTCGCTCCGATAAATTTCACTTTCAGACCCAACCATCGGGAAATTTCACCATCTCCTTCCTCCCGCGCTCCAAAATGAACCAGGCTGAGAAAGCAAGCCGGTCGAACCTTGCAAGACAGCACCACATTGGCTTTCGCGGGCCAGTCCAACCCGACGATTGGCCCGCAACCCACAAAAGACTATTTTCCGATGTCCTCGAATTGGGTCGTCAAAAATACGGTACCTTTGTGGAAAGTATCTCGGTAGACTCCATTCAAAAGCCATGGAGAAGCGTGACTAAGAGTCGCGCCGACCGTTTATCTAAACTGGCAGATAAGGCCTGGAATGAAGACAAGAACGAACCCTCATGGAGAGCCAACGTCGAAAACGATGTCCTACACCGATTCACTGTCGAGGTTGCTTGGTTGGTCGAAAAAGCAGAACATCGGCGAGTGAAGAGTATTTGCTAACTTAACCAAGCCCCCAATGTCGCAACCTACTCTGGGGGTCTGAAATACCCGCCGCGACGGATGGTATCGGTGCGCGGGCCGAGAAGCTGGAATTCCGACGCCAGAAACGAAAACCTTGTCGCTGTCCACCTATGTGGGGTCAAAGCCAGTTCGCCGCACCCTTTGGCCTAATCGTTTGAAATGAATCGTTAACCCCATTGCTAGATATGACGGGGGGTCAACATGCTCTTCTCTGATCGAGCAGAAACATCGATGACACATGATATCACCGGGCTACCGAAACACTTTGAAGCCCCAGACCGAGTCTATGGATTAAGCCAAACGGATAACTTCAAAGTACTATTGGACTCGACCGATAAACGTAGCCTAGCAGCAACTCCCCACCGTTCCCTACGCGAGACCATGAAAGTCAATCCATTCAAACCCGAAGTTGAGCCTTTACTTTATCCCTTTCTCGTGATGGAAGCAAAATCTAGCAAAGGAGCAGACCGGATCGAAGTTAACCTGCAATCAGCATTTGTCATAAGAACCCTTCTTAAGCTTCAGCACGATCTTAAAGCAGCTACAGAAGAGGAAACAAAATGGCAAACGGGTCCTCTTGTTTGGTTCTTGTCATGGCGTGGTGAGATATGGAATGTATCAGGGGGCTTTACTTCGGTGTCTGAGAACCACCAAGTTGAATACGTTCGTGAGCCTCTGCCCGGACACAAATCTCATACCTGCAAGATACTGAACCTCTCCACATTGTCGTTGATTTATGGACTGGCGATATCCGCAGCAAGGATGGTGCCCTACAGCTTCTTCTGATTGTGGACTATATCTTTGACTGGGCTCGTGATGTCTATCGACCAGCAATCTTAGGGGAATTGCATACTTTGGCTACCGGTGATGTCATAGCCGCAGATTCTGAAGTCTTTTCAGCGACTTCTAGAAGATTGTCCAGTTGGATGGACACTTCGGAGGATGCACAAACCGTTCGATCCTCATTTACAACCGCCACGAGTACAAGCCAGCCTCCAGAGTTGCAATCTCTGAACATCATATGCCCTGAAGGAATAATTCGAGATGCAGCTGACCTGCAATCAAGATATCTTGCATTTCAACTCAATGCGAACGATGTCGACGATTTTTTGCTCTCGTTTTCGACCGTACAAGAAACCAAAGCCTGGATTCAATCCTTGATGATGTGCCTCTCACAGTCATGGAAGGTGACATTGGGGGCACTCTATGCCCTGGAAACCCTTTGGACCGCAAAGTTTCGACCAACCCCAGAGAACCATCGACACGATGAAATTTTTTACGTGAACATTGCGATCAACATGTTCATGACTGACATGTGGGAGCCAGTTCGGCAGCTCACATGCTTTGCAATTTCGGTCCATGCTTTGCAACAGATACTCTCAAAAGCTGAAATTATACATGAATTTGAATGGACCAGGAACCCACTCATTGGATTTTCTGCAATCGAAACTCTCCTTGGTCGTTTATTGAATCAATCAATATTGGATAACGTCACTGCAGCGGTCTCGATGATGTGCATGACGAGTTGCTTCTCCGATCGGTCTAAACGAATACCATTCCAATTATTGGTGACTAGATGTTCGGGCCTGCATGCCGGGTTTCAATGGGACAATTCACCATTTCTGATACCAATGGTGACTTCCATTTACGAAAACCACAAAATTGGGCGGAGAGAGCCTCGGGATCCGTATCTCCGCTCCTCAAGCCTCCAGGTCAAGCAAACGATCATATACAGAGGCAACGAAATACAGCTATGGCCTGATCTCCCTCCACTTGTTCTTGTTGGCAGTCTCAAAGTCGTCTTGATTGATGGGAATTTGACTGGAGACGATAGTCCAAGACGTGGCCTCTTCATTTTTAAAGACTTCGTTGACAAAGAGGCGCTTCTTGAAACCCTGAGCACGACATTGAAGTTTGGTCCTTATTTCAAGACGGCACCGGTTCTGCATTCTTCATTCCATTCTGACCACTTTCAATACCTGAACCGTCCAGTCAGACTCGGTGAAGATTGGAGCACCAGGGGAATTGGGGAGGATATCCGTAAGTGGATGGAGAATCTGAAAATTCAAATGGGGCAAGAAGATCATCGGCCTGGTAATCGGTATTCTTTTCCAATGGTCATCTCATAGGGCTGAATCCTCAGCAAATGAAGAAATCTCAATCATATATCGAGATTCGACTACCGCCCTTGGGGCATCTTAATAGTGCACCGCAGAAGACTCGGTAGTCAAAGCTATGCGAGACCAAGGGAACCGAACTGAATGCGTCGAATGGAAATCATCAATCAATTAAATAACCGCAAAAAGTAACGGATAGAGCAGCAATAGCTTTGATCTTTAAATGGAAAAACACATCCCAAGCCTCAACGTGGCACAATCATATCTACCCGCACGACATGATTTGCCATGAAAGCATGACATCACTCCGTGCCAGGCTTGAAGCAAGCCGCAACGCAAATTTGGGTAAAACCTCGAACTTGTTGATCTTGCGGGTATACCACAGAAAGCTTGAGATTTCGACCCTGAAGTTCCACAAGAAGATGATAGTGGACTTGATAATATTTGTCATTTCCACTGCCCTGTGCTTCGATTGGGTACCTGTCCTTCAAATGGGTGATATCCACCTCCAGCCTCCCTGCCATTCTGGAGCCTATTTAATGCGTGAGCCAGCTTTCCTTCTCATGTCCCATGCAACAAGCAACAGCAAAAGCTAACCTTGGTTTTGGGGATGCTCAACAGGGAAATGATCCTTGGCTTTATCAAGTATTTGATTGTAATAGACATCTTGCTTGATCACCCAACGGTCATGTATAGAGAAATTTCGATAATTGGCCTCTTTATGGGACTGGTTCCAGTGCATGATTACACCCTTGTATGATTTAGTATTGGAATTGTCATCGGATATACAGGGGCACTCACTTTCTTGATGATCCATTGTGCAGTATCTTCGACATATTCCTGCCCGTCTACAGAGGGTCGGCTAGGTTCAGCATCCCGGTGGCCCTGGAAGTCAACTGGATTGTAAACTTCGGTCTGTAATATGCCGATGTTTGCAGCCGTTCGCCGCGATGGGCCTTGACTTTTGTTTATCGACCGGTACACAGCTCCCCGCGCCACAAGAGTCTCAAATGCAATTGGATGCCTTGAGCCAATGAATTAGTCAAGGCTTGAGAACTTTAATATGGCCTCACCGTACTCCAATCTAGACCCATAAAATTTGATAGACGAAAATTGATCGCGTAAAAAGTGCTGAAGAGTCTTTGACTGGGAATATCCACCACAGAGAAGGATTTTCTGGAATTCGAGTGGCTTGAGTCCTCGAACTTCGGTTCAAACAATGTAGGCTTCTAAAAAGAAAACGAAACGCACCTGAACTGTTATTTTCCTTTCCGAGCATTTATCAAGCTGGCTTTGGATGAGCCCAGCGATGCGTTGTAGACTTTCTCCGAACCACTCGTATACCTGCGCCCTATTGATGGATAACCCTTGGTAGCGGAAATCCTTAGGGAAACTATTGATACATAAATTCACGGACTAACCTTGAAACCTCGATTTTGTCCTTCGGAAATTTCTTGCCAGCGTCTGCCTTGAGGCCATACAAAGCAAAGTGTTCCGAGCCCTCTAAACCCTCGGTAATGTCGAAGCCGAACTTCACGGTTCGCTCAAAATGGGGAAGTACTTGAGAGCGCCACTGGTTTTCGATAGATTCTGCATCTCTTCTGAGCCATGACCTGTTATCGAGTTGCCTTTGTAGATCACGTTCCATGGCTTGGTTGACAAGAATTGAACCACAGTCGCCCCCTTAGGAGGAAATATCAGCCGAAAGACAAGAAAGCAAACGCCCAAATTAGAATTAAAATCCTTACCGTATGGAGAAACAGTTTCTTTCAATCGGAAGGGATCTTTTTATGTCACAGTATATGTCGTGACATCCTGGTTTTCTATGAGCATTTTAAAGTACTTCCGTGCTTGTCTTCCCTAGTGGGGATTGAAGCTTCACAATATCGAGTTAGCGAATTCAATCATACGTATCGAAGATCTCTTACCGAAGGTTTCGTGTGTCTTTTCTGTAGAAGAAGATATATTGGCTAAACCAGCAGAAGAGATGGAAATAATAAGCAGTGAATAATATAGAGAAAACTAAGGACTTAGATAAAATAAAAGACTTAATTTGATTCTTGACTACATTTTTCACCAAGAAAGCGTGCGAGATATATGGCTTTATACCTCTCGTTGGACCGATCACGCCTTGTTTAACCTGTAAGCTAAGGTGGGCTTGCTCGGAGAGGTTTCAAGCTTAGAGGGCAAAGGCTCCCGGAGGATGGCATCCATACGAGACCTATCTGCCAATCGATTCTGTGACTGATACACTGCGCAGGGTACTACCACACGAATGACTCGCCCCCTTATTCTTTTGATGCAATAGCCACACTGCAAAGCGTTGTTGCTATTTCTGGGGAACCGTAGATCTGCGTATTGCCTGGTTCCAGTTATCGCGACCGGATCGACGGAGCTCTAATTGCTAATCGTTCCGTGGCCTAGGAACAAAGACAGAACGCGTAGGACGCACCGACGCGGAGACAATAGCCCCTTTATAGTCACTAGTCCGTATAACGCTTGTGCTGCATAAGTAAACCTATATTTTCTTATCTGTCTATCTTATCCTAGCCGTTAATCGATTAGGAAGCCAACGGGGCTTTGGTAAGGTATACTCGGTAATAGAGGTTGGCGGAGCGTTAGAAATAGACGACTATAGGAAAACTAGGTAGATCGACGACAAAGGATATTTATACGCGATCTAAGGTTACCCGGCGAGGATATCAGGTTCAGAGATCATTTATAAGTTTCGATATAGCCGCCGTGAAGACTTGCGATTATCGTAAAAGTACAGAGTTCACTGTTATTATCCTATTAACTCTCGCGGACCCAGAAATCACCGGCTGATGTATATAACGGCTAAGACAATCTAGCCGTGGATATATACTGCCCAGTTCGATCCTAGTCTTCCTCGGTCCTAGAATAATACTAACGGTATTAGCTAGGTCTGCTAATGCCTTTATCCTCGCCCTCGATTTACACCCCTAAGATAGATTTAAAGCCCCGCTATATATAGGCGATTTTCTAGAAAGAGTAAAGGGCGAATACGCCTAGACTCGCGGAAGTTAGACGACCGACTAACCGATTAATATATCAGGGGCCGGAACTATAGATCGTCTCGACGGACCAAAGGCAAAAATACCTTATCTCGAGCGTAGTAGTAAGAGCTAAGCGAAAAAATCGGGCTAGATCGAGGGAAATACAGCACAGAATATATTAAAGGGTTATATAGGACCAGCCGGTCGCGTTAACAAGATAGGGGGTAACGGAGCTCGGCGGTCCGGATTAATAGCAAAAATACCTTACTCGTAAGAGGTATATAAGAAACGCAGAGAAAGAAAAGGTAGAAAGACAAAAAATAGATCGAAGTTAGACCGGCGATAAAAGGGACTTTATAGAAGCACACACGGCGATAATATCGCGCAGGGTGACGCTAAACCCAAAACGGCACGCTAAACTCTTTTGCGTAATTCACCGTCACTGAATTATAACTCCGTAGTATACCATCCGGGGTAGTTACATATACAAATACAGCGGAGTCGAGTGAAAAGTCTTGGAGAATTTCACTAAAGAGAGTCTCGTTAAAGCAATATATATCTAGGGGTTATGCAGCTAGTATCCGGCGCAGTTATTTGCAGTATACTTTAGTGCACGATAGTTGATGTTTCAAGTATTGGTTTGTATATGCTTAGTATTTCTTCAACATGCCGAGCTCCCTTATAAGCTGACCGCTGAGATATTCGATCTGCGAAGCGGTCAGTGGTAAATCCAGCCGCTTACCCATAACCGCGACTTGGTCTGCAGACTTCAAGCCTAGCTGGGATGTGCCTTTTGCCGCGATGATGATCCTCTCGGCTCCTGCAAGCCCAGACACCATCCCGACCCCTGCCTTGGCTTCATCGGCGCTTGGTCGGAGCCCATAATTGGCACGAATGTCTTTGGCGAGCGTAAACTCGACGCCGTGTGCATTGTAGTACTTTGAACCAGTGGGAATAATCAGCTGGTCGCCGTCTGTCAGTCGGTTTTCAACCCATTCAAACATCTGCAATGTGGCTTCGGCACCACCCCTTTTCCCGGCCTTTACCTCGGAAACGACTCGAAGTCCAATATCATTGCCCTTCCAGTTAGCGATGATATTATCCGCAAATTGCTTCGCCTCGTTAGTGCCTGCCCTCTTCATCTGAACTTCGGTGAAGAGCAACGAGTTCGGATGATCCTCGCGGAGAATCTTTTGCAGCATCGGAAGCGCGAATATTTCGCCAATTACTCCTTTGATATTGTTCAATCGTCCCGTCGACACTTGATTCCTCGCCATGAAGGCAACGACTTCGTCTGTGGATTCGAGCTCGGCTAGTAGAGGTTTTAGCCTCTTTGCCAACTTGGTTTTCTGGGCCAGAACAAAGTTGAGGTCTGCCGCAATCTGTTCCTCTGTATATCCCATCGGCTTCATTATTTCCAGGATATTGAACATTCGCTCACTGGAAGTTGACGCCGCCCGAACTGCCGCCGTCTTGCGAAAGTCTTTTCCGAGCAATGCTTCAAGGGTCTCACTATACTGGCCGGTCGTGTTGGACTTTGCCCATTTCTCGGGAGACAAGGGTTCCTCTTTCGCCTTCAACTTTCTCGCCTTGTAAGCCTGGTATCCTTCCTGCAGGTCCGCACGCAAGAAGCCGCTCTCGTTTGCGTTGAGTAGCAGTTCAATCGGCGGATACTCATTTGGCATGCGCTTGAAGATGTTCGATAAGGCTTCCAACTGCTCCTTTGTCGCTTTCCCTCCTCTTCGGATTAACTTTTCTGCTTCTTTGAGGATTACCCGCTCCTCTACCGTGACGTTTGCCGCTTTCACAATTTTTCTCAGTTTGAGTATCACCGTGACTTTGCGCTTAAATACCTTAAGAACCGCCAGGAGCGACATGGGGAGAAAATCGAGAATAACGTTCAACCCCAGTAAAGCCATCCCTTCTTGCGTGACACGTCGGCCCAAAAAGTCCTTGCCTGTCGCAGAGGCCAGTGCGAATTCCGCTATGTCGAGAACCTCCGGTACATACGGGATAAACGATAGCATCCCCCGGAACATTGCATAGGTCTGATCAGCAGTAATATTTGGAACGACGTTTGTCCGGAACATTGCATAGGTCTGATCATCAATAATATTTGGAACGACGTTTGTCTTGAAGTTTGTCTTCGTGGTCACATCTTTCCAGCTGGACTGCTCAAAAGGAACAAGATCTGCCCCCTGTGGAGGAACGGAAAAGATATCCGGGGCTTCATAGATCTGATAAGGGATAGTGTATTGTGAGAGCTTGTACGCGGACTGAAAAGCCGTGATTTGTGGCGGACCGCCTGAGAGTATGGCTTTGATGTTGGATGTCTTCACTATTGTGAATGTGGGCGGTCGTGCATTGCCAGTCAGCTCTTGCAACCAGGTCTGCCCTGGTACTGGGATAACCTGATAACAAAACCTCGCTTTTGCGTCTTGCGCATCCGTGAGAGAGGTTGAAAGGCTGGGGTAGTCCAAAGAAAGACTAAATGTACTATAAGGGTGCGATATCACGAGCAATCCTGATGACTTTTGTTCCATCACAAAGTAGTCCATGGGATACTGAGCCGAGCCTGCCTGTACACCTGGCGGAAGGTGAAATGGGGGCGGGTTGAGCTCTGGAGGCGGCGTATAGTAGTCGGATAGAATCGTGGTTGCTTGCGGCGGCAACACATCTGGATCCTGGATTCGGTGAATTTCAAGCAATGCGTCTGTCGACATTTTTGGCCAGTTTTCCAGGTGAATAGACACCCCCGGTGCGGCGACTATGCGCAGTAAGGTTTGCCTCGGACTGTGCAAATCGAAGATGGCTTCCATCGGCGTGTCGACGTACTCGTATGCCGCGGGAAATCGTGTAAATCCAGCAAGCTCCTGCTGGACGATGAGGTTGATAATCTTGGGCTTATTTTCGAAATCCTGCGTTACCAGTTGAATAGCTCGTTTGCCGTTCAGAGTCATCTCCGTCGCCATAAACGGCGCGAAGCTCGAGATGGGAGCCATGATTACTTTGAAGATATGTGGGACTTGATGCAGTTAGTGAAGAAAATCGCGACTCGACTCCCTCCAGGAAACCTGCTGTCTTGAGCCGGTTTTTCTTCTTCTCCGGATTTTTTTTCAGATATATTTTCTTTTAAAAAAGAATACGTTTTTCCCTCCTCTTCCGGGCAAGCTGAGAAGAAGCTGAGTTGCTTCCCCGCGCAAGGCAACCAAAATGCATGATAACTATACTCCTGCCTAGTTCTAGCTCGCTGATGGCGTTCGAAGAGCCGCGTTAGATAGGCGTGTCCAGCCCAACTGCAAGCATGACCTCTGGATCCAAGGTTGATAGCATCAAACTATTGAGTTTTGACCAGGCCGGGCCAGGTTGGCAGTGTCTGTTCAGCTCTAGAACTATTACTGATATCAGCTGGCTGAGGATTTCACCATCATAGGCTCGGATCATTCGGAAGCTTAACCCTTCGGAGCCGCCTTGCTTCGGAATCCATGGTTTGTGGCATCCGGGTCACATTTGGCATGCTAGATTGGCCCTTGGGCTTGATTCAAGCGGCGGTTTGTGTGTAGCGGGAAAGGAGGCTGGAGATGACGGCATTGGGAAGGAGATGGACATTTATAAAAGGGACTTTGATAATGGCGGAGTATTTCTTCCAAATGTCAGTTTTAACCCGCTGGTTCTGATTCTGATTACGAGTTACGAGATACGATGGATGATCTCTTCCGCTTTGTGAGTGTCCGGCCCGCGCAGTCCTCGGATTCAAAAATTGTGTCCATACAGGGCAAAACCCCTTTTCAAGACCTAGTTCGCTCCCGCCTCGACCCAAAAGCGACTCCTGAGCGAAAGTGGGAATACGTTCGCAACGTAGCCGACGAATATACTAGCGGCTCTGACCCCAAAGTCATCACGGACGTCAAGTCTTTGGCTCTCTGTGATGAATACAGCCGTCTTCGGACCGCCCTCACTTTAACCCCCGGTGCAGGCAACGCTAAGCATAATCTCGCTTTTGTTGAGTCCTCAATCAAGGATGTATTCGGACTCTCATCCTTCCAAGTTGAGGCGGATCAGGGTTACCTCAGAGATCGCGCTTGGGTGTGGGATAGCATTATGCTTATCTTCCTTGTCCCACGACTTCACCGCAACCCATTTACTGCTCTGACAGAGGTAGCCCAGGTTATGGACATCATTCGTCGAGCTGCGGCCAAGGATCACTCCTTTGATGACGCAACTGTGATCGATGATGCATTGTCTGCGACCGTCATCTTACCGCAAGATCTATTGCCAGCCAATCCAAACCGCCTGCGACCCGTGGGAATCGCGGATCTCCTCGTGGTCAAACAGCACATCCACCGATACGAACTGGGCGAGATTGTAAACATTGAGAATATTCTAAAAGGCGAGGCCAGGAAGAAGACGAATAAGCATGCGCTTACGAATGAACGGACGGTGGTTGTAGATACAAGCTCCACTACAGAGACCACCACGGAGATGAGCACCAGCGAGCGGTTTTCGCTCAAGCGAGAGTCTGAAAATACCGTCAAAGAAGACATAAATGCGAAAGCCGGAACGAACGTCAGTGCCAAATACGGAACGGCCGAGTTTAGTGCCAACGCCAGTTTCGATTATGCCAACTCCAAGACGGATTCCCAAAAAGTGTCGTCAGAGTATGCTAAGGATGTCACATCTCGGGCATCGGCCAAGGTGACCGAGTCCATCCGCGTGCAGCAGACGACTCGAATCTTGGAGACGTTGGAGGAAGATGAGGACCATTCATTCGACAACACCGGTGGAACCCAGAATGTCAGCGGAATATACCAATGGGTAAACAAGGTGTATACTGCTCAAGTTTTCAATTATGGGAAGCGATTACTTTTTGACATCATGGTTCCGGAGCCGGCAGCGCTGCTTTTGGACGCAGCCCACATCTCGAGGAAAATTGCCGAGCCAGTGGCACCGGATGCATTCAGTATCCTGCCATCAGACCTTAACTACAAGGTCCCAAATAGCTACGGGAGGTTCCTTGCAAAGTATGACGTTGAAGGAGTCGCCCCACCGCCAGTCGACAACGTCAGTGTGGCAAAGACTTTTACCCTTGCAACTGATGACAAAGCCAACGACAAAGCCGGAGAGCTCGACATCCCGGATTGGTATGAAGCGGTCAGGGTGCACGTTGACGGAAAATACAACTATTCTGACAAGGGCGAGAACGGGTTGCTGGTCTTTGTCGCTGATGTCAAATATCAGTGGCACCTCCAACAACTTGACTATCCAATTCCACCTGTCGGAGGAAGCCCGTATGTGGACCTGAAAACCCCGTGTGGAAAACAAATTGGAGTCGCCATCGAAACCTGGGGCGTCTCTGATTATGCTGTCGTAGTAGAAATCGAATGCCAGCCCACTGCCGCTTCCATACAGCAATGGCAGCTCAACACACATGCCAAGATTCTGGCAGCGTACCAAACGAAAGTCAGAGACTATCAGGATGCCTTGGCAGCACAACGAATGTCCCAGGATGTCTCTGGGGGGCCCCTTGGGAGCACCAACCCGGACAGAAACCGCATCACCGAGCGGACCGAGCTGAAGCGCGGAGCCATCCAACTCCTCACTCAGGATGACCTGCTGAAGTTCAACTCAATTACCGAAGATTCTAGCGGTAATCCTCCCCCGAACAGCAACTCGCCGCCACAGCTCTTCCCACGACCCAACTACACGCCGGCCGTCCACGATGGCGAATTCGCGCGCTTCTTCGAGCAGGCATTCGAATGGGAGCAGATGCAGTATGTATTCTACCCGTACTACTGGTCCCGCAAGTCCCAGTGGTACGACAAGGCGACTCGAACAAACGACGACCAGCTCTTCGCCGAGTTCCTCAAAGCCGGCCAGGCACGAGTCGTCGTTCCTGTGCGCCCGTCCATGGAGCCGGGTGTCTGGTACTACCTGATGACAGGCAAGACCTGGATGGGCGGCGATCCGCCCATGGTCACAGACTCCGATTACCTCTCCATTGTTGAGGAGATCAAAGAATCCACTGGGGCACCTGGCACGGAGGTTCCATATGGTCCGTCTTGGGAAGTTGTTGTGCCGACGACGATTATCAAGCTTCGGGAGGGGGACTCGATTGACAATGTCAAATGGAACTTGCAGAAACCTTGGACATGGACTGCTGAGCCGGAAACCTCCCGCTAACCTAGGACGGTGACGGTTGTTGAAACTGGAACCCGCGGATCACTAGCATCATCATCTCATGACGCGCCGCCTCACCAAAATATCGTTCTTCTTCTCCAACTTTGCACGTTTCAAGCCGTCTTTCTCTTCTCTGTCTTCATTTGACTTGTTCCTAGCAAGTCGGTACCGCTCAACCTAATTTCTTCTTCCCCTTGCTCCGCGCCGAAATCTTCCCATTTTGCCCTGTCGGGACCTGCTGCGCCCAATGATCCCGTGTGCTAGGCATAGTGTCCCTCCTCTGACTGAAAGGGCCCCAGGCCAGGTATATGTCATGATTGAGAGTCGGAATTGGGATCTGCGCTGTCATCTGAAAAGTTGAAACGGTTGCAGCGACCTCTCGCGCTGGGATGGTTGTGACCTTTGAACTAGTCCCCTTCTCACTGGCAGGGAAAGTACGAGGCGAGTAGGAGAGAGTCCTGGCGACTTAGCTTTTCAATTTAAGATAACAATGATTTGAATATTTTTCATTTGAAATTGTGCTTAACAACTTCACCTGGAAATTTCCATTCCCGCTGGTTGACATTGTACCAAGCCTAAGACACGGCTTCAGCGCCGTGCTGATTGTGGGCCAATGCCGGATTCCCGAAACGCCCGAGCGTTGTTCGTACTTGCTATCACTGAATTAGAAAGAATAAATATATGAAGAGCAACTATTATTGTCAAGTTCTAACTCGTATAGCCAGTCGCTCCGATCGTCTGATTTCAGAAGAGACGCCTTCAGCAAGCAATAATTTGAGTTTTATAGCTCCCGTAGTATAGGAGCCACACGGCACGTTCTTTCTATCGGAAGTACTAGCTATTGTTGCCTAAGTAGTAGGGTCGCTGGTTATCGAAGAGGTTTTATGAACCTTACTAAGTTCCTTAGGCTGAGGAACTTTGTGTCTTTTTATATTTGCTCGTTATCTAAAAATCGTTAATATTATAGCCGTAAAGAGTCGTCGGCTAAGCTTACTTATATAGCTATTTGCAACGTTCGCACGCCTTATAGCCTCAAGATCAGAGCAATTCTGCAGCTTATTAAAAGAACTCTCGGTTATTTTCAGTGCTTTATTATTAAGGCGAGAAATATTCGCGGATGATTGCCTAAAGGAATAAAAGACCTTTAGATCCTCGTCGGCTAGAGATACGGTCGGCGTAGGGACAGACCTAATAAATCTACTCTCGTCTGCTAGGATAGAGAAGCTTTCACTAATTAAAGCCTCCTAGAATTCCGGAGCTATAACCTTAGTGTCGGCATCAGGAGCACGCCGGTCTATCTTATCATAACACCAATCCTCGTAGTATGGATCACGATAGGATTAGAAGCCGAGGCTAACGGAGCAAGACTATCTCCGATTAATATGGGATAGGCCTGTGTGCCTAACTCAAAGAAGATGATGGAGTCGCGTACGACAACTTCAGGCTATTCACAAGGCTAAGTGGGGATTGAAGCTTCGGAATATCAAGTTAGCGAAATCAATATAGAAGGTCTCTCACTAAAAGCTCCGCGTACTGTATCTGTAGAAGAGGCTATACTGACTAGAGCGAGTAGAAGAGACAAACAAATAGATATTGGATGGTATAGGGAAAACTGAGCACTGGGTTGACATACAAAGACTAGACTGGATGCCTGACTACTATTTCTGGCGTGCGAGATACATGGCAGTATACCTCTTATGTCAGACCGATCACGCCTTGCTCAGCGTGCAGCTAGCCTACACGCTAAGGTGGACTCGCTCGGAGAAGTTTTGAGCTCAGAGAGCAAAAGCTATGGCAGGATGGCATCCAGAGGAGACCTGCCTGCTAATCGATTCTCTGATTGATGCATTGTGTAGGGGCCTACCGCATAAATGACTTACCCGCTTATTTGATCCGATAGCCAGATTGAGAAGCGCTGTTACTATTCTGGGAACCGTATATCTGTATATTTCCGTGTCAAGTTTGTCACTACCTAGTCGATAGAGCTCTGCTTGCCAGTCGTTCCGTGGCTAGGATCGAGGACAAAATATGCAAGACGCACCAACATAGAGACAATAGCGCCCTCGTTATCTCTAGTCCGAAAGACGCCTATGCTACGGGAGATAATCTCTGTCTTCCCGTCTGTCTATCTATCGTCTCCGCCAATCGACCATTAAGTTAATAGGGCTCCGACAAGGCGTACTCGGTGATAGGGACTAAGAGCTCCGGAATTTGAACAACGGCAGGAAAAGAATCTGTATAGGTCACAGGAATAAATGTTTACTTGCGACGAGGTTACCTAGTAAGGCCTTTAGGTTCAGAGATCGTTCCTAAATTTCGACATAGCCGCAGTGAAGCCTTGCGATCATCGTAAAAGGATAGAATATTACTTATATTATCTCGTCAACTCTTGCGAACCTAGCAATCACTAGCTGATGCGTTTCGCAGCCGCGAGAGTTTGGCCGTGTATATATACTACCTAGTTCGATCCCGGTCTTCCTCGGTTCCGGGATATAGACCCTATTATCTAGGGCTATCAATCCTCGATCTACGCACCTAAGGCAGATATAAAGCCCTGCTACAGATGGGCGATTATTCAGAAAGATTATAGGTGAATTCGCCTGAATACGCTCAAGTTCGACGACGGACCGACCGATCGACAGGGCAGGGGCCGGAACTACAGGTCTGCGCGGCGGGGACCAAGGGCAAAAATACCTTATATTAATAGAAAGGGTGAAGCTGAGTGGAAAATAGGGCCATAGTAGAGGAAAGCAGGGCAGATTAGGCTAAAGGGCTCAAAGGCTACAAAGGGCTGGCCGGCTCGCGCTAGCGATATAGGGGGTAGCGGAGCTCGGTGGTCTAGATCAATAGCAAAAATACCTCACTCGCAAGGCGTACCCGAAGGAGAGAGAACGGAAGAGGAGAAAGGCGAAAAACAGTTCGAAGTTGAAGCGGCGATAAGGGGAACTTTATAGAAACACGCATAGCGATGGTAAGGTGCAGGTCGGCGCTAAACCCTAACGGGCACGCTAAACTCTTTTGCGTAATTCACCGTCACCGGATTTTACGGAGTAGTTTAACTACAATCAACTATTCATTATCCCTTTGTGCCTCCTTTTGGCTTCTGGACCTTTACCCTCCTAATTCCACATTTATCATGAATACAATGGATTCTGCTCTTCCAAAGGGGCGGGGTTGCCCAGTAAGAAATTAATTCTATTCATATGATGGAAGATACGGCTAGGCTCACATAGGATCAGAAACTTATACTCAACAACCAGCCCATCACTGTGATAGAAGCTGTGCAACTGGACCGAAACCGCACCGTATATCAAGTGAAAATTGAACCGTTCGATGATCTTCCGAGAACAATAATTGTCAAACAACAGAAAGAAGGGTGGTCAGATGAGTTCGCTCGGGAAGCGCAAGCCTATACGAGTTTGAAAGACCTCCACGGAGGGATGATTCCTCAATTTTTCGGGCAGGGAAACTTCGGTGGGGTCCCAGCACTAATTCTTTCAGAGGTAGTCGGCACCACTCTATATGATCTCGCCCGCAATAAGAGATTGTATGCCCACAAGACAACGTTAGAAACGTTGGAGAGCGAGCTTGAGAGAGTTTTCAAATTTTTATCTACCTACGGAGCTATCTACTGGGACCAGAAACTGGACAACTTCTTGTTATGTGACGATGAAAAGTCCAATAACAGCAAAGTGATGGTTGTTGATCTCGAGCAAGTCCAGTTTCCTGTCAAATTTCAATCGTGGCAACACAGCGTCAACCGAGAGGGGGCCCGTTATTTGATGAAAGACATTCGAGACATTCTACGCCCAGATCGTGAATCCTCCCCTGTTAGGTCTTGGAGAATCAGGAATGGCAATTGTGAAGATTCTGATGCCTTAGGACAACAGAGGCTGGTGCTTTTGCGCAGTCCACATACAAAGGGGGTATCGACGTCCCGAGTTATCTCTTCTCTTGAACAGAAGCAAGGAAACGGAGAATCATCATGGCAATAGGCTGAACAGTACCTCCGGACCGTGAATCGGGTGTATTTAGGCACTGACAATGACAAGCTGGGCAAATTTGGCGTCAAGGACTCTCAGCTTATTAGACAAAGTAGAGGAAAATTGTTGCTTGAAGCGCAATGCGAGCCCTCAACGCCGCCCAGTCCGGGAGGCATAGGTCCTTCACAACGAATCCACTGACGAAGAATCCGGGCAAAAATCGCTGCTTCGACGCCCCCGTTTACCTTCTCTTTTCCTCTCATCTGAGCTTTTCTCTTCCGAACTTGGCTGTTCTGGGGGAGTGCGAGGCCGACGACGCTTTCTAGCTCCCGAGCGTAGTTGATTGATAGAGCCCTGCAGTAGCGTTTGCCCTCTTTGTTCTTCTTCGGCGCGTGAAAGAAAGTTACAAAGCTGCCTCGATGTAATAGAGATTTCCTGATCGAGACAAGTGAACCCCCGTGAGAGTTCCTCGGTTGCGAAGTCCCTCAAAGGCAGTCGAAGCGCTGTTTCCTCAGCTGGAAGTCCAGAGTCTGTCCGAAATGGCTGCAAGAGTCAGGAAGTGAGTCTCAGAAGGATTGCCACTCATAAGATACGTACCAGCGCCTCGACCATAGCAGTCGCCTGAAGCTCCTCCGCGCCATCCAAGGTTGTGTATTCCGGTCGCCAAACAGTTATAGTCGCTTTCTTGGACCCTTTATAATCAATATCAAGGGCAACCACCGCATTCACGCTCCCATCTGTGTTCAGGATGTACTCATCGCTAAGTGCGAAACATGTCGACTTTTCTGTGAATAGCACACCTCGATAATGACACCGGGGTAGCGTGCTCGCCGGTGCTTGAATGATGTGTCTGGCTCCCGCCTGGAAAACATCTGCTTTCCATCTCCTGTCTCGTCGGGTATCATGATTCGGGAGGTGGCAAGATGATCAACCTCTTTCGCGAAATCAGCGCAGGGGTTCTCTTTCTGTGCATATTGCTTCAGTTGTCTTGAAATCTCCTCCACTATCTTTGCACAGAAAACATCGTGGAGAGGACTTGGCATTCGGATAGTCAGACAGGAACGACAAGGATCGTAGTCGTACCTAGAACACAGCTGAACAAATATGCTTTCAATATCCGAGCTTGGCAGGACTCACCTCACTTTGTCTTCAACGTAACCTCTGAGAAGATCGTCACCATCTATTGCACGCAAAGCCTCTGTATAATCGTCTAAAGCGAGCTGGTGCTGCCACCAAAATCGTGGCCTCTGGCCTGCCCGATGGAGCTTAAAAGAGTTTAGCACGCGTTGAGCACTCCTCGACAACAATTTCTCTTTCGTAAGCGGCAGCGTCAGGGGAAGCTCTTGGAAACTCCCTGGTGGAGTAATTTCAGTTGCCATGAGAGGAAGTGTGCCAACGATCTGGCCAGTTCTTGCGATATGGGTTGTTTATGTTGATGAGAAGGGGCTTGGATTTGGGAGTCACGTGGTGATAAGTTAAGCTGACAAGGGCCCACCCCCTAATATGAGGAACGCCTGGGTCTAGAGCCCAATCACTGAGGAAGAATATCGTTGCTGCGATCAATCGCAACCCGAGGGCATACGTCGCTGGTGCCTCGTGCTCTGCAGAAGTAAGCACTCGGATGATCGAATATGGCGAAGTGCAGATGCCAAAGCGTGATTAGTAGCAGATTGGATAACCCTGCCCAATGATTCCGCGCTACGCATCAGGAGTTCAGCAGAGGGCCAGTGCGGCGAGGGTGTGGCCGAGACGTTCTCCCGGAGGAACGCCGCAGACGGCGGCAGGTCGTGATTCGTTGGGACAAGTGCCCTTGCTCGCTGGTGTTGGAACGCAGCAGGATAGGCGGATACTCCGAGCAGGATACTATGAAGTTAACTATATCCGCTGAGATTAGTCATGCAACAGAGCCCACCCAACTTGCCAGCAAAGGGCCTTTTAGTAATTCAAACCTGAGATCCATCTCATTAGTGCACCCGTAAGATCCACTTCGCTACGTTCCAACCGATGAACCGCGACCGTGAAGGGCCTGCGGCTCCATATCTGCGGGAAGATCCACGTTCCCGAGCCTATTGGGTGCAGGACTCTCATGTTGACCAAAAGCCCTTTGGTCGTCAATCGACTGGGCTCTTCGCCCAAACCTCTAGTTTTCGGACAAGTACCTGCAGGCTCACAACATCGCTGAGCAATTGTGGGAGGCAGTTTCTTGGCATTGATAACCCCCAATCATGTCGCCCAGCCTGCTGGAGGGATTTTTGCGTGCGTGTGTCACTGGCGACAGTATGTTCTTGTGGGCTAACCCCGACCTTGTCCTTTCACTCCGTCCTTCTACGGTGGGGTACAATAAGCATGAATCCAGCTGGAGGTCACTAGGTGATAGCGCCAGTCCTCTTGTCTGGCAACTGACAAGATTGCGTCCTTTAACTGGTAGTGATAAACAATATACCGTAGTCACGTCTCCTCCGTCTCTTCGCGTGTGACTTAACTCCAGCTTCGTCGACGGAGGCGAACCGCAGAACACTTTCTTTCCACCGGCCTATCTGAAAGCCTTGGGGGCTTCCCCCGGCACCATGGCATTCCACAACGCCCTGGATAGCCCCGACTCCTATGCGATCGCCTGGATCGCTGCTCTTCCTATCGAGCGGGCCGCTGCCGAAGCGATGCTTGATGAGGAATATGCAGCTCCAACTGGCTTCACTAGACACCAAACCGACGCGAATATTTATACGTGGGGTCGCGTGGGAGAACACAACATTGTCATTGCGTCTCTAGCCCCCGAATCTACGGAACCACCTCGGCTGCGACCACGGCCTCGAGCCTGCTTGCCTCTCTGCGGTCTATCTGTGTTGGTCTTTTGGTGGGCATAGGCGGCGGCACCGCTCGACCGGACGAGGGCCACGACATCCGGCTAGGTGATATTGTGGTGAGCCAGCCCTGTGGGACTGCGGGCGGCGTCTGTCAGTACGACTTGATTAAGGTAAAGTGTAGTGACAAGCGTGAGCACAAAGGCTTTCTCGGACGGCCTCCGACGGTCCTCCTTAATGCGTTTGGTAGTATCTAGGCCGATCACGAGCGAAAAGACTCCAAGGTTCCCTGCTTCCTTCAAGAGATGCTGAAGAAGAATCCGAAGATAGGCAAGAGATCTAAGCAGAGTCCTGGCTATGCTCACCAGGGCTTCGACCACGACCGCCTCTTCAAAGCTTTATGCGACCACGTCCCCGGCCTAGACTGTCGGGGCTGTGACACGGCTGGTGAGGTTCAACGCGATCCTCGAGACACTACCGACCCCGATATCCACTACGGGACTATCGTATCCGGCAATACACTCGTCAAAGACGCCGCTGCTCGCGATCGGATTGTTGCTGACCTTGGCGAGGATTGTATCTGCTTTGAGCTGGAAGCGGTCGGCCTGATGAACCACTTTCCCTGTCTTGTAATCCGAGGGATCTGCGACTACGCTGATTCTCATAAGAACGATCGATGGCAACGCTACGCCTCTGCGACCGCCGCTGCGTATGCTAAGGAGCTTCTGGCGTACGTGCCGGTCGCGGAGGTCGAGGAGACCAAGAGGGCACTAAAAGTGCTTCAATTGGGTTAGTTCTTGCTTCTTTCATTAGCTAGATCAGGAAATACACGAGTCCGAATATTATTCGAACTTTGTATACGTTCTAACTGCGAGTAGTTTAATAACAGATTGATAGCGTGTAGTAGACGACAGTTGCAACGAAAGCTGCAACCGATTCTATTAGGTCTAACCTTCGTACCGAAATGATTAGGCGCTGGCTTTGTCCCCCAGATCCGTCTATAAACGCTAATCACGCGAGGATGCTCCGCCATAAGGGGATAGGCGCGTGGTTTCTGGAAAACCCCGTCTTCTAGTCGTGGCACTCGGGGTCGCGTTGATATTTATGGCTGTACGGGCTCGCGGGATGTAGAAAGACGGTTCTCAGTACGACTGTGCTTGACTATCTCGCGAAGCAAAACAACGGTCTTATCCTCAGCTTCTTCTTTGATTTTAGCGATATCACAAAGCAGACCTTAGATGGTATGCTGCGTTCGCTTATTTTCCAACTTTACTAAAACGGGGTTGGCTCTACAATTTATCTTGATGCTTTATTTCAAGCACACTAGTATAGCGGCGACTAACCTACGACAAAGGCACTCGCGGATATTATTTTTAAGATAGTCGTAGTCCAGAAGAAGGTCTCTATTGTTCTAGATATATTAGATGAATCGAAAATAAGGGATGATGTTCTCCTGTGGATCAAGGACGTTGTATCTAGGCTAGGGTTAGTTTATGTCCAGCTGCTTTATACTAGTCGACCTGAATCCGAGTTTCTGCGCTATATTCCCCCTTTAATAGGGAAGCAAAACTGCCTACTACTTGATAAGTAGGCTGTCAACTTAGATATCCGATCGTGGGTCACAGCATAACTTTCTCAACGACTTGATTTTACAGAGAAGCCCTTGTCCCAGGATCTTCTCGAGGATATCCGGAGAAAGGTTGGCGACGGGGCCGACGGGATGTGAGATATTACTGCTTCGATCGATATACTGACGGTTTGCTAACGCCCTGTTTAGGTTTAGGTGGGCGTTCTGTCAATTAGACAGCCTGGCTCGATGTCGTCACGAGGTAGCTATAGAGGAGGCTCTCGTATCTTTGCCGCTAAATATAAATGAGATATACCAGCGCATGATTGCAAGTATACCGACGGAGCTTAAGAACGACGCGATACGCCTTCTGTAATTCCTAGTACACTCCAAACGACCTCTTAAGCTAGCCGAGGCTAAAGAAGTAATAGCGACGCAAATCGAAAGCGAGTCGCGAGGATTTAAAATCAAGCGTCGACTGTTTTGCGAGACTGATGTTTTGGATTACTGTCCCGGCTTAGTGACAGTCGTTCACACCACCGGTAAAGAGCTACATCTTGCCCACTTTTCTGTCAAAGAATACCTTCTCGGAGAGTATCAGTTTGAGATGACGACCGCTAGCATTTCTATCGCGAGGACGTGCTTAACTTACTTGACGGACATCAACGATAGCCCCACAGAGATCCAGCAGGACTTTCCAATGGCAAGATATACGGCAGAAATCTGGACTGGCCATGCTGCGTTGGCTCAGACTTCCGAGGATATAGTTCGAGAGACAGTGAGGTTCCTAGAAAAGGAAGTGACATTCCAACGATGGGTTCGTTTATCTAAGGATGCTTGGATTTGGAACGATGATCCCGGTCCATCCCAAGGTTCCAGGCTCTACTATGCTTGCTTCTATGGGCTCATAGCGCCTGCACGAGATCTAATTGGCAAGGGAGCGGATGTCAACGCCCTCCTGGCCGCCTCAGAGGGAGGCCATCAAGAGATTGTCAAACTGCTCCAAAGCAGGGGCGCTATTACATCGTCTTCAAAGTAGTCTGGCTCTAGGGCTCCAAGCAACCCGGCGAAGAAACTTCCTTCTGATCAAACTCAATCATTCGTTTAATATGTAGCTCCGGGCCTCATCACTCTTATCACTTCGCAGATTCTCGGTGTGAGTAGTTAAATTCATGGCAATCTGCAAATACTGCGACGTCTGGCGGCGGTTCCAATATGAACCTATATATATACGGAAAAATACCATAGCCAGGATGGACCCGCGACTTCCTATTGCTCTCTGCCTATGCGATCAGCAAACGCGGTCGTGAAGACCGCGAGTCCACCTGCGAACTGGCCTACTGGTTGGATAAAAACGATCCGATCACACGTTATCCTTCTGTAAAGCCTAAGCGATCGTGAACACCCTTTTAGATTAGATACGGACATAGGTGGCCCCAAACAAGAGGCGACTAGCAGCCAGCAATAGTCTCCATACACGGAGCCGGACAAGCACCCAATAAGTAGAGGGTCTGCCAGCCCATAGTCGATTAAACACCAGCGAATTAATATCTACCAGATCTTCGTAGGGGACAACACGAGAACCCACAACCCAATAGGCCCAAGAGCTTGGTGCCTTTCCCAGGATACTCCGTACAGAGCCCCGAGCCCTGCACAGCAGTAATCCATCCGGGAGAATAAAAAAAGCTCGCCAGTTCAATTTAATTAGTGAAGTACCCCACGCGTTCGGCCACGGGAGAGCTCTTCAATTGTGGTTATTTCCACAGGAGGGAGTCATTCATTTCTGGACCTCTTCTTTGGTCAGAATCTTCACTGCGTCCTTAGAGAAGAGATAACCAAGACCAGACCAGATGGTTGTAATAGCCACGGTGAATCTATTTTCCGTGGTCAGCTTCGATCAGGACCATTTCAGGCCACCAAAAACGTACATAGTCAAGTTGGGACTGCGAGCGGGCAGGAGGTTGGAAGAGAGGGAAGTTTAGCCGACTGGCCACGTCAGCGCTTCAGGGGTATTCAGGGCGTTCAGGTGAAGAGGCCTGAAGGGGCTGAAGAGTAAAGCGGCAAGGGCACATGTCCCAACGAATGGCAAAAAACGGGTGAACACGGACATACAACAGCCAGGATTCGCTGGTGGTCACCCACCCAACTACTAACTGGCCGGCGTGTGGCTTAAGTACGGCTGAGCGGACGGGAAGCCCTGTTCTCCACACCCTGTGGTCGTATGTACTAGCAGCAACATTTGAGACAACCATAATGCCATATGGTCAAGCTTGAAATTGTATAACAAGGGAAAGGTGAGTGCGCAATAGACAGGGTGAGAATGGGGTGAGACCGGGTGAGAATCACCCTCCGTCATGCAGAAGTCACGCTCTGACCCCCTCAGCTGAAGTCAAGCGTATGTCATTGGTTGATCTACCACCGCCTGAAACGCTCGTCTCCTTGACACCTGCACATAGCCTCGATATGTGTATGAATGAAGGAATACGAGTCTGTCCTGCTTGGATGAATTGCTGACTGATCCGAACAGGAAGCCTTGGACAGTTAGCTACCTTCAGCAGATCCAGCACATAACCACAGCGAGCTATTTTCCAGCCCATGGCAGGTCCCCCGATCTTAACTATAATAAGATCCAAGATGAATCTTACAGGAGCTAAATGGTATAGAGCATATAGATACGTTTTACTTCGTTTTTTTGATCTCTTGTCATTGCACGCATCATGGGCTCGCCGGCTTCGCAATGTTTGGGCACTGCGGACTAAAATGTTTCCCAAGTCGTTCGCATGGTTAGCAGGCTTTAAATTTTGGCTCGGCTCCCTCAGGACCGGTGCGGAACGAGGAGATGAAAGACAATTGACCGTCTCGTTTTATGTTACTCACCAATGTGCCATCGTATGGAATTAAATAGCCATGAGAATGCGCATAAATTTTTCCTTCCGGTATACACTCGAAGAAGACCAATCAGAATCTGCTCTCCTAGCTTATCAAAGAAAGGTCGGCTTCCTCACTTGAATAGTCTCCGCAGTCTTAAGCAGGGGCTTGACTTGCTGTTAGTCCAGTCTTCATTGAATGATGATCATAATGACTCAGATCCAAAAGTCTACTTTTTTGATAAAATACAGCACAGGGGGTTATGTTGTGTCCACTGCGAAGATATATAGTGCGTCGCCTCACAACCCCGAATGCAACCGCTTGTATGCCTCATCAATTAAAGCCTCAGGGGATAATTAAGATGACATTTTGATGAACGCTACCGAGGAAGCCTTAGGCTAATATAGTAGTGGTTAATGTATATCCAATACAGTCAAGTTGAGCTTTCTCCTCATGATAACGTTGAATGAGGGATAACACCAGTTCATTGAAATCAGTGAAAACGTTGAGATTAAAACACCGCATTTTCAAAAATAGGTGAATATGCACCAGAATATGCCCAGCCGATAAGCCATGCTCATGCATGCTCATCTATGACCAGATTTCGAGAACTACTGTCTTGATCTATAAGGACAAATTTGGTGAAATGGAATAGCAATATATCCTTTAGAGCTTTATAGACACTCTTGTAGATACCAAGCTTATGGTTAACCCAGGCTTCCATTTCCGTCGTATCCATGAAAGGCCTGGCACAAAAATATGCAAAGCGACCCCAGTATGGGCCTCCACTAATGGGACCAGGCTATAAGAGTTCAACAGATTGCATTTCCTTGATCATTCCGGCAATTTACGCAGCATTTCCTCCCCAAATCTCTGGTCCGATTCTAATTGGCCTCTCTTGAGGAACGCAGTTAAGGTTTTGCCGGCAAAGCAGATTTTGAATTACCATCGTGGTGCGTGCGATGGGCAAGACGAAGATTCTCCTGCCAGCAAAAGAAATTTTGGTAGTTGGCTGAACAATGATATCAGTGATCTTCTGGGAATCAGGGCCCTAAGAATCATAGGTTTTCAGTCCCTTGAATTCTTACTGAACCTCCGGAATCATGCCTAATGTCTCTAATCCAAAATGCGATAGCATTCCTTGTTGCATGATCGTCACTTGTCAAGCTCCTTCTCGGTTCATTCTAAATGTGGACACTATTATTCAGAGTATTCCGCAACTGGTTCTTTCGGTATTTAGCGTTCGAATACTCTTTAGACCTCTCAAATTCCTTCGGAGCACTTTCGCTTTTGTGTTGTATTCTGCTAGAAGTTCGCCATAGATGATATTAGGGGTGTGTAAAGTCATGATCCAGTGTCTCCGTCCTTAGAGCCGTCCCACCATCGCTCAGTTCTGCTCAGATCAGCGTACATTGAATATCGCTGATGACCTTCAAGTTTCATACGGAACCCCTACGTGTCTAAAACGTGTCTAAATGTCGTGTCACGATAAAGAAGGGAAACTAAGAAATTTTATAAGTACAATCACGAAACACAGCGTGGCTTTGAATAGTTATTAACCCCAAGTAGTCAGATGTAAATCAAGTGGTATTGAGTCTATTCCATTTCTGGTAACTTTCCCTATTTTCATTGTCCTCTCATGGTCTAGATGGGTTTCTTTCTATGTATTTATTCTTGTTATTTGCTGTTACTTGTTTTAATCAAAGTTCTGGAACCTCAAGAGTTTCACGCCCGTCTATTGTAGTTACTTTAGGAGTAACGTTTAAATCGAGACCCTGTAGGTACTACTTACTACTTGTGTTTCCCGATTGTAAAATGATTTGGTCAATCTATGGGTTATAAAATTGTTTTGGCTGCTGATATTCCAACAATTCTATGCACTAAATAGGAAACACTTAGGACGCAAGTTCTATTTCCACAATAATAGTTTAAAGCCCGAAGCCACTTCTGTATACGAAACTTCACAGATGGTCGCGGTCATAATTTGTCCCTCTGGAATATGCTGGACTACATCATCATCGGCCATGACTTTCAAGCCTTTCTTATTTTCCTATAGGACACGAGCGATACGCCTTGTATCGACCTGCATTCTTTCACCAATCTTTCCTTGAGATCGGAATATGTTCGCTCCGCTAAATAAATTGTATGATGGTAGCTCAGAAGCAGCTTTACACTTTGGCTGATCTGGACATAAAAGCATGCGATTATAACAAGGTACTGTAAGTCAGAGGCGAAGAAAAGTCTACTGTGATAGTAGTACGAACCAGCTTTAAATGACAACACCAGAGGTGTGGAGCTTTGCAAAGCTGCAACGGGAACATTGGGTATTTTCAGGGCTTTGAAGACGATCAGATTGCATGTGTGGGTGTGTCGGAGCTCGAATTGAAGCCACGGATGTGCCTTCCGTATGCTAATTGCCCCTGGATTCAGATTCCATCATTGAGTTTGTTCCGCATGGTAAGTTGACAGGATACAAATCCGGATCGTCTCGCTCGGTGCCAAGAAATACAAGAATACTCTCTTGCCGAGCCGATGATGACAATCTATGTGCTAGGGCCAATTCGGCGCGAAGGTCTTCAGCCGTCTGGGATTTGCACGGTTTAATCGATGACTTGTGCTTCCGCGGCCGATAATTAAATTGCCCACAGTTCATCGAGTCGTAGTTGTGATTTGATCCGACAAAGTCCGAGCCTAGCTCTCTGTTGGCGATCTATTGATTGAGCTTTTCGATTTTTTTTTTCTTGACGTGTGCTGCGTCATTCGATAGGTTTCTCTCAGCACCGTGGTCCCGGAACAGCTTTATCACACAATAAATAGCGTATTTCTGAGTCGTGCTCTGTGGATCCTTTCACACCGTTTGGCTGTAGGATCTCTGTTTTCGCACACAGCCTGACTGGTACACCTTTTACCCCTTCCGAGCGACTGAAATCGGTTGACAAGAAATTGAATCTTAGCAGAATGACACATTCGTAGACTGTTCTCGTTGGATTAGCTGTCCAGGTGACACAAAAGCCATCAAAATAGTTATTCTCAAGGCGAATCTGCTGATATTCCTGACACGTAGTACTGTCTGGAAGAGGATCAACGGATTCGACGGCCAAATGCTGACTTTGGCGCTTATTAGCTTCATTATGGCCTCTGCCATCTTCCCACAGTTACCACGATGTAACTGGGTCTGATCGCTGATCTTGTTCTTCGAAAGAAACTCGCACAAACGTTCTGTATTCAACCAATGCGATATCCCTTATGGGTGGCTCAGAATCTGCCACCTTGAGGCTGTAGATTTGGCCCTTATTGATATATGTCACGGGGTGTTCATTGATATGCCGAAGCATTGCTGTTGGTGCCTGCAGGGTAACATTGTAACGAAACCTATGAACAAAATGAGGAAACGGAATATATAGTGTGCTGACTACTGGAATACTTTCCCCCGTTGTCATATGGCGAATCTCCACTCAAGTTTACCTCGGGGGTAGCTAAGTCAAATTTTGGAGTTGTTTGTTGGATGATATCACCTGTAGGAATGAAATGATCGAGGCTATCCACCGTGGTGTAATCTGAATCGTGTTGTGAGATGAAACCCCAACGTATAGTCCGGGGTTTTCCTGTCGAGTTGCTTCTCCATACAGCCAATTTTGAGTCTGAGCCAATGGGGTGAAGCAGCCAGAGCCAGCCCAAGAAATCGGGGGATCATGTTGGATTGATGCGTCAAGTAACGGTGCCATTGTTGTATTCAACTGGATCATGGGAGAGTGGAGGTCACCCGCTTTATTATGGAAGACCGCGCCCGCTCCTGGTAGGCTGCGATTGTAAGATATCTTTTGCTTTTTCGAGACAACCAAGGGAGAAAAAGCTCAGATTCCTTGGCGGATTGCCTCTTGTGCCTCTAGCAGTTGCAGGTAAACACCTGCTACACCCCATCGCTCATCGATCGCTACTAAGCCCTCACGTAGACTCTTAATCACCTCGGTCTTTTGTTGTGTGGGTCTTCCAGACCTCATATGTGCTCCACAGACTTGATACGCAAAGTAAAGCCCCCACGGAGATATGTTTTCCGGATCTCGGCCTAGAAAGCACTGGCGTTCGATCAGATTCGCGCTGATTCTGTCCGTGATCTGCTGTAAAATAGTGCTGGCCCGCTGGGAGAAACCATTATCAAATTCCTCGTTCGCGTTACTGGAGATCCAGGGCGAATACAGAGCAACAAGGGAACTAGAGCGATGACCAGATTAGTGACGACCCAGATGCGGTACTTGACGGTCTCACCTGTAGATGAATGTAATTTGATCATAGTCTGGGCAGTCGATATTCAAGGCCGCAGTGAGCATTGAATGCAGGGTACGGTCAAGTTGCTGCCAGACGCCATCTTGGCTAGCGGGGTCATGGGCGAGGCAGTGGATAACCTGGCCTAATAGTCGAGCAGCCTGGCACACCAGCGCAAATTTACTCATATGCCCCGTCATTGGATACGAAAGAGCGGCCAGCCTGTCCGGTCTTACAATCTGGAGCAGACTTTAGCATGCAAAACAAGGAACCCACAAGCTCGGCATTCGCGGCGGGGTAAATAAAGAACAGATGAACATACGCCTTCGTCCCACTCAGCATCATCAGCTGGTAACATATCATCAATTTTCAGATCTGCAGTCGCAAAAGGCCGTCCTGGGCAGCCAATACTAACGAAGCTGTTCAGCGTTAGCTTCCGAAACCACAGTCCAGGAATGTTGGCGGCTAACCGGTCTAAAATCACCAGGGCCCACCAGGCTCGCCGCCGCTCCTCGACTTCCACCAGGGTGAGCACTCTCCTTGTGGGTACTATCCCACTGACACTGATCCCCAAAGCATGAGCGTACCTCGCACACGCTCCGATTGACAGAAATGCAGCTGGATATATCCCATGCCCGAGCTCATACAAAGCCACCAACAGCTCCGCCTGCAGGACTAAGATGGATAAGCAGTCTTCGATGAGCAAAGAAAACTGTTTCGTTGCGTGATACAGGGCAGTGCGCGGGCTCTGCGAACCAGCGGGGGGAAGGTCATGAGAAGCTTCATTGCTAGAAAAAGCAGGACTACGTCAGATCGGGTGTGAAATGACGGCTTGAGGTACAAATCGTAGAACCGTCTTTTGGAAACAAATGGCATCCACTGGTGAATATGGGCGAAGAACCTCTCTGCAATGACGCGGATTTCATCCAAGTCGCCAAGCAGATGGAGTATATGCGGCGGGGCATGCGAGGAAGCAGGAACCGTTTCCATCGGCCCATGGTGCAGCAAACCAGGGTCGAGAAAGAGTATAGTTTGGAAATCGATCGACCGCACATTAGGGTGATCGTCATGTGGATGTGATGGAAGCCATGGTACCTCAGGGGGGTGGATGCGGTCGCTGAGCGATTGGTTGCCGCTGGTCTCCAGTATTCGCATGGTTGGTCACGTCTAATGTTTCCCTGAGAGTCAGTTGATACAGCGATATAGTTCCAGATCTGGCGGCTCTGCTTACTTAACGCAATAGGCACATCTGGGAAGTGTCTTATCGCATTTCCTCTTGCGTGACCTGCAAGATTGACAGGCCTGCGGGGCCAGTTCCATGCCAGACTCAGCGCTGGGAGTCTGCATGGCAGGGGGAGGGGCAGTGAGGAAGTTCAAATTTAGTCCCTACAGTCAGATCGATCGGCGTCCGATGAATATCACAAAATCCGACGCAGCAGGGAGCGACGCGGCCGCAAGCGGATGGGATGATCAGGAAGGAAAGGCGGAGAAGATGCGGCCGCAAAGGCGGCCGCATCCGCAGGCGGAGGCGGATGGGTATATCGGGGGCGGACTTTAAATGTGTTGGCCGCCGTTTATTCCCGTAGTACAGAAACCCCGACATGACAAATATTACAAATCGGTGCGATCATGTACCAAGATACTAACGATTTGCCATAATTCTTTGAGAACTCACGATCAAGAACAACACTGTGGCAGCCAGACTTTCACAGATAAGAAGGTAACTACAACTCGCCATGAAGGCTGATAGAATTCATCTCACGTCGCCACCAACAGCGCCGATCGTCACAATAGTTTTCTCGGACTCAACCCAAGTCTATCCACCTCAAGATCAAAACCCTCATCATGGCTTCACCAGGTCGTTACGCCGATGTGCATCAGGATCCCCAAGGTGCCGGTGATGCTCGCCCAACTGCTCTCCAGATAATCAAGGATGAGGGGGTTGAAGGCAAGCTGGCCGGCAAAGTCATTGTCATTACGGGTGCTTCATCAGGTATCGGTGTCGAGACTGCCCGCGCCTTGTCAGCGACCGGAGCCACCCTTTTCCTCGCAGCTCGCAACCTGGAGAAGGCCAACAGGAACCTGGCCGGAATTCTGGAGCCTGGAAGAGTCTCACTGGTTCCCCTGGATCTCGACTCAGTGAAAAGTATCCGCGCCGGAGCGGAACAGATCCTCTCTGCCTCAAAGGGACAGGTCAACCTCTTGATCAATAGTGCCGGGATTATGGGTATCCCGGAGCGTAAGCTCACGGAGGATGGAATCGAAGCCCACTTCTCGGGCAACTACCTGGGCTTTTACCTTCTGTTCCAGCTCTTGAAGCAGAGTCTGCTGGCTAGTGTGACTCCTGAATTCAGCTCCCGGGTTGTCATTGTGTCTTCATCGGCCCATAGGGCTGGAAGCCTCCCGGCAAGCGACGATTACAACTTCGAGAAGAGTGAATATAACCATGAGGCTGCTTACAACAACGCCAAGCTAGCAGCAGTGTATCTGGCCAACAGAATCGAGCACCTCTATGGAAGTCAGGGGCTCCATGCCACGAGTCTTCATCCGGGTGCCATCAACACTGATATCTCTCGCAACTTACCCAAGGAGGCTCTGGACGCGATCATGACCAACCCCTATGTCCTTAAGATTCTCAAGTCTCCCGCTCAGGGTGCTGCGACGACTGTCTGGGCGGCCGTGGGTAAGGAATGGGAGAATAAGGGTGGAAAGTATCTCGAAGATGTCAAGGAAGCGGACCGTGGCGAGGACGATGGTCAGACCTTTGGCGTTGGATGGGTCAAGCAAACCTACGACCCCGAGGAGGAGAGTCGTGTCTGGAAGGACTCCTTCAAGCTCGTCGGATTGCAAGAGCAGTGATATTTGGGTACTTCATGAACAAGTACAGTGGTAGAGATTGCAAATCGGAAACCTAGATAATACTAATGGTACGGTTCTTGAGATTATGAACTGTCCTCTGAAAGTTAGAGTAAAAGCGAAAAGTATAGTTCCATTCACATTAATTCTATCTCTCTCCCTCTCTACGTGTAATAAATGAATGTGCTCTGAAATGCCTGTGAGCTAGTTTCAAGTACTGTATTGTGCTCGGCGGCGGAGGCGGAGGTGTGTTGGAAGGACGTGCGCTTCTGCCTCCAGAGTGGCAGTGGCCACTGTCCTGAACGCCGACAAGATGCGGATCAGAGGGGCCCTCTGCACTGTATTGAGGTGGCGTAGGTGAGTTTTATCACGTAGAGGGTCATGCCAGACTGTTGACGCATAGTCCACTACTGGTCTGACGCACGCTTGGTAAATTTGCCGCATCTGTTCTGGTCGTAGGTGTCGTAGTCCAGTCAGAGCGATGGCCACCTTCGTGGCACGTTTGATGGCTTGCTGGACCTGCTCTTTCCACCGCAGCTCATGGTCGAAAATCACGCCCAGTACCTTCGCTGTGGGTGATGGTTCAACTGTTTTCCCGTCTATGACTACTGGCCCTTGTGGCTGCTCGCTTTTTCTCCTCCTTCCCCGCATGTTCCGTTCTGCTACCGCCTTTACTGCTTCTTCTATTAGTTTCGCTTGTTCCACTTCTTCTTTTCTCCAAGCTTTTGGTACACGGTATCTGTCCTGGTCAGTATTGAATCAATTTGGCTACAGCCCTTGACAGATTGTCGCCCCAGCGATGAACCGATCACATGGCCCTGTAGCTCCTGACATACGGATCATTATATCAAGACTAGGCACTCGTTCCCCGTGAGACCAGCACAAGACAGTGACTGGGACTTGAAGATTCAACAGTCTTGACTTGGACTAGAGTATGCCTCTCTACAAGAAAAAAAAATGTATATTCTCCGGAGTTACAGCTGTAGACGGGTCTCGCAAGTCTTGGTACCTGGGGCCTCCACAGATTTAGGAAAAGCGTTTTCTGGCCGGTATGGTTCCCAGACCGGAAGAGACACATATCCAGTACCTTAAGGCCTATCATGTAATAGAGCTCTAGAACTATGTCCAGGCGGGCTTTGGGTCTAGAGATGTGTGCCTGTGGTTGGGAAGCTGGGGTGGGAAGGCTTTGGCTTTAGGCCCCGTGATGTAGAGCAGTTAATTTAAGGCTACGTTCCTCAGGCTGCGGACGTGGATCCACTTTGGACGTACGTCCACAGCTCCAGGTCCACCACGGCTTTCAATCTGTCAACTGGCGGCTTATACGGCCAAGTAGCCATGAAAGGCTGCGATTGTAAGATATCTTTTGCTTTTTCAAGGCAACCAAGGGAGAAAAAGGACTCGGGGGTATTTAATCTGCAAGAAAAGGAGGAATCGCTCGCTTGCCCCAATATTTGTCCAGAATCCGCGTTGTCGATCTGCATAGGGCCAAAAAGCTCAGTATCCTTAGCATACCTAACAGGTAGCATTGGATCTCCTGCGTGAATAGGAGCACTCCCCTTTCCACCTTCACCGTTGCAGCTCAAAAGTAGGTCACCAAACTTCTCCTTAAACTGATCGATGAACCGATTGTCTGGCTTGCATATGATTTTACAATGAGGTTGTTGAGCTAATTAATGAATTCTTGCGGAGGGGTAGCCAACCGTCATCAACACTCTCGGTTCGGAGTGCCATTCAATCCATTCGGTCGAGACTTGCTATACATCTCATCGCTGTGGTACCGATTGCCGTCACTCGCACAGATAACTAGGTATGAACACTCTCTTGAATGCTATCTACAGCCGCGATTTCGGTGGTGCGAACAAGAAATCGTTCACCATCGTCCCAGCAGCTCTTGCCAGCCCAAAACTAAACACATAACCACCCCCTCCTGTACCGTATGCGTGAACGATCTTCTCCCCGTCGACGATTTCCTTGTCCACTCGTACGCCTCCTGTTCGTCCCGGTCGGATACCCACGTTATCGCGAATAATGTCGAAGTCTTCCGGCTGGGTGCCAGGGAAGACCTGCGGTAGGTTTTCATGAACGCGTCGTAGAATCTGCTACCATTAGCCGGGGCTTCTCCAGGAATTGGTGGCAATACGTACGTCCAATTTGATATCTTGGTCGACTTCCGGATACCTGCAGCGGCGGTCAGAGTAGAACTTAACCAGACAGCTGCACTCACGTCTGGTCCACTTGCTTGATACCCCCGAGGATAGCCGTCCCATCAAGCCGCGGTATAACATATGTGTAATCCTTTCCATGGCGCATGAAAATCTTATCATGTGGTGTCTTCACGAGCACCGTCTGACCGCGGATCTGTTGCACGGTCTGGTCCGCAACATCAGCGAGGAACTTTGACCCGAAGCCCGTAGCATTCACGAGAACCTCGTGGCCAAAGCCTTTCAGGTCTGAAAGTGACTTGAGATCTTTCCGGACGAAGTTCACGCCGGCAGCCTCAAGCTTCTTGCGAAGCCAAGGAAGGAAAACCGCCGGTGTGATGACGACGGATTTGTCTACCAATTAGCTTCCTAATAATATATGACAAGCATGGACTCACAGCTCGTTCCGACCGTCGTGCCTTCTGGCAGCTCTCTCGGCGACATGACACGGAACTGCTGTTTTTAGTAAGGCCCCACTGTATATTTTCGAGTGTCTTACCTCTGGCATCAAATCACGATACCAAATCTTCTCCAGTGGTGTATCGTCTTGAAGGTCATGCATCTCGATAATCTAGTCACATTAGGAAAGTCTCGGCAAGACCAAACGGAACCGACATACCCGGACGCTGGATTCTGGGTTGCTCTTCGCCAGACTCCATAAGTAGGAGAAAGAATCTGTCTGGAGTTTCTGCTCAAATGGAGTAGATCCATCCAGCCCGAGGAAGCAAGCGCCCGCCCAAGGACTCGCCCACTCCCGACTCTCACCATCTCCAGGAAGGTTCCGAGCAACGATTGTCACGTCGTTCGAACGTGACAGCATGCTTGCGATAGCCATGCCGGTGATACTATCCCCTGGTTAGCGCTAGCATATTTCGCGAACTGACAACATACCCGGCCCCGACGATAGTGATTTTCGGCATTTTCGAATTTCAATGTTCCGTTGAACGAGCACACATCAAGTTGGAATCATTGATGACAGACACATGCGGTGGGTTTTATACGGACTAATTGCCCGTGCCCCGATGTCGGCGACATCTGAGAGTGGGAGTATGTGACCCTCATGCCTCTCTACACTTCGCTGATACCGACTACGAGCCGATAAGAGGTGTCAGCAAATCACAGCCCGTACCAGGGACGGCGATCGGGCGCTAGGCCTAGACGCCGATCACCTCTCAGCAACAACGCCCTAGCGCCCGATTATAGATCAGGGATTCGGAGGGTCTCTCTAGCCTCTCCCCAATCCATCCTATGAGTGTCAACTCCAGCAACCTGCAGGACTCAGTTATTTCCGAAACTGACATTTGTGCGGGGAAGTCCGTATCAGAGACTCTATCACCGGACCGGTTGACTCCCTCCATGTCTGCTCGTGACTCGCTGCCCTTATCATTGACTTGGCGTCGATATAAATCCTGGGTCTTCCTCTGGTTCGAATGACCCTGCACCTGCGTTACTCTGAAGATATCTGTTACTGGTGACCTCTCTACGACGATACGATGGACAACAAGAGTGATTCCGACCGCGTTCGGGAAGAAAAGATGACCAACCTTTCGAGGCCCTCTTCGGTGCAAGCTGTACCAGCGGAAAATTCCAATTCGGAATGCCTCGAGTTCCTGGAACTCAATGAGCAATTCTCCGGGGAGAGGCTCCAGAAATTGATCCGCAAGGTTGAGTAAGTGAACCACGCATCAGCTCAATGGCATCGCTGACTTGCCAGTTGGCATGTTCTGCCCCAGTTAATCCTGATCTACCTCATGTCGTACATCGATCGCACAAACATTGGTACGGATAGATAAACCGACTATATGGACGATTTCTAACGTTCATCCCAGGAAATGCAAAACTTTTTGGTGTTGAATCTGACCTAAACCTCAGCGGGCAGCAGTGGAATACGTGTCTCTCCTTATTTTTTGTCACATACGCATTGGGCGGGGTGCCCTCGAATATCGCGCTGAAGCGATTTGGTCCGAAAATCTGGTTGCCGGTGTTGCTTTTGTCGGTGGCGCTTATTCTGGTCTTTACATCTCTGCAGGTTAAATTTGGTGGCTGGGCGGCATTCCGTGTCTTGCTCGGAGTGTTTGAAGCTGGCGTCTTCCCTGGTTGTTCGTTCGTTCTTACGTCGTGGTACTCGCCAAGGGAGGTTCACTCAAGAATGGCGATATTCTATTCTGGTGCGTCTGCTGCCGGGGCTTTCTCCGGTCTCTTGGCTTTCGGTATTGGTCAGTTAGACCACACCTGGGGCTATCGGGGATGGAGATTTATATACGGCATTGAAGGTTGGTCCTCTGTTTGTACAGACTCTCTCAGCCTGAGAAACGACTAACAAGTCCAGGGGTTTTTACTGTCCTCCTTGCCATCGGCGCCTTCTGGTTCGTCCACGACACGCCGGCCAAGGTGGGCAAATGGTTGACGCACGAGGAACGGCAATTCCTTCTTCTTCGCCACAAGTATTCAGCCGGAGGCGAGACCGGCGTTGCAGAAAAGTCAGAATTTTCCTGGAAACAGGCTGCAATGGCGTTCAAGTCAATCCACATCTACGCAGTCGCGCTCATCGAGTTCACACTGTGTGTCACAGTATACGGCTACTCATTTATTCTGCCGACCATTATTAACAACCTGGGCTACGATGCAGCTGAGGCGCAGGCCATGACTGTTCCCCCCTACGTCTTTGCCTGCTTGATAACCGCGTTCTCCGGTTGGGCGGCGGATAGGTACCAGCAGCGGATGCTTTCTGTTCTTCTTCCGAATCTGACGGCGCTCGCGGGTTTCATTATCATGATGGTTAGCGTGAATTGCCCGTCTGTTCCTGGTGTCACACTGTTCGGCGTGTTCCTTACTACCGGAGGCTTGTACCCGATCTCACCTGCGGTCACGGCGTGGATCTCGCTGAACTGTGCGGGTACGATGAAGCGAGCTGTTGGGATCGCTGCCATGATCAGTTTCTCGCAACTCGGAGGCGTAAGGAATCCCCTCTTCTAAAGCTTGACCAGTGCTAACAAACCTAGATTGTCGGATCGAATATCTACATCTCCAGCCAAGCACCTACATACCCTGTCGGATTTGGAATTAGCTTGGGGATGTTGGCCGTCTTCGGTTGCATTTGGCCCGTGATCTACTATTTCATTTTGAAGCAGATCAATGCTACGCGGGGTGCTATGGATGAGAATGAGATTCGGGCGAAGTATACCGAGGAGGAGTTATCGGAGATGGGTGATTTGAGCCCTCTGTTTAGATATGCGACTTGACCGCTGTAATATTCATTGTACATCTCTTTTTTGAGGCGCCTAGGATGTTGAATCAGATCTAGTCTAGGATTAATGCAAGCAAAGACTATTATCTCTCCCAAACTCATGACAATGTCAGCTGTAACCGCTTATCTCTCGGAATGGTGTCTTCAAACCTTATATCTGCCCACTAAAATGGGGCGGATTCCCTGCATTCTTCGACTCGTTCGACGGTTCTCTGACGGCTCTTGCCCCTACATTCCCACAAGTAACCCAAACCACATGAACCTGCAAATCTTTCTTACTGCTACACGAAGACGGAGTACGATGCAACCAGAAGCAATCCGTATCAGCACCGCCTGCTATAGATGCTACAAGCGCAAAGTAAAATGTTCCCGAGGTAAATCCCGCGACTCCACCTCCTCCCCCGCCTCCGCTGACATTCGTGTACAGAAAAACCATGTCGCAATTGCCGCCTCGCAAACCGCGACTGCCAGTACCCTGTGCGCGACCGCAATATCACCATCTCAGAGGGTTATCTCCGCAGCCTTGAAGCGCGAGCCGCGCACGCTGGAGCCGTCGAGCGTCCCCATCCGGCCTTGACGCCTGTTGAGGGAGGTCTCGAGTTGCGGGCGGAGATTCCTGCTCAAAGTGTTGGTGGGCATTTGTCGGATCCCTTAGTGGAGGATCCCACGTCGGAGGTATTCGTCTCGGGACTTAAGCGGTTGCGTTCGCCTACATCGCTACTTAATGGAAATGATTTCCCCAATCCTGTTGGTGTTGCATCGAGCGCGGCTGTTGAGGGACTGCAAGCGCAGCGACAGGAGTATGAGTATTATCAGTTGGATCACGATACCTCGAGTATGACTCTCGTTGCTATTCTTCCTCTAGAGTACTAATCCTTCTAGGCACTCCGTGTTCGTTCAAACTACCGCCGTATCCTTACGCCCTCATCCTCCTAGACCGATTCTCCGTCTTCGTCGGCCATGATTGGCACTGGTTCCGGAAACGGACGTTTAGGAGGAGGCTGGATCTCACATACAAGGACCCCAGGGCTAAGGAACTAAAGGACAGGACCTGGCTCTGTCGGCTGCTCATTGTGTTCGCACTGGGAGAGTCGTACAATTCCGAGTCGGCTCCGGAGGTCCGCCTTTTAGGCGATGAAGATGACGCGCGCGATGCGCTGGTAGATGCCAAAGAGGGAGTCGTGTCAGGCATAGAGTTCTTTGAACAGGCTTTAACCTTGTTGCAAGTCCGCTTCGAAGACCCGTCCATCGATCAGATTGAGGCTCTCAATCTTGCTGTAAGCCCTTTGAGTCATTTCCAATGGACCTTTAATACTTACGCAAGGCTAGGCCTTCTATTCCTACAGTCTAAACCGCAAAAAAGCCGCATACATGTACGCCGGCCTAAGCTTCCGAATGGCCAATATACTCAAACTCCACAAACCATCCCCATCCTCAGTCCCAGCACTCGAGGCAGAACACCGCAAGCGAGTCTGGTGGACAACATACTGCATCGACCGAATGACAAGCACGGAAATGGGTCTCCCTCCTGCCCTGCAAGTCCACCAAATCGAACAGTCATACCCCGACGACTCGATGCTTCTCCCCGCAGACCGCGGAGAATTCTATGACGCCGAGACCCACGCGACGCAGGTTCAACTCGCGTTCATACACGCTGATATCTGCGAGAATATGAAGAGTATACGGAAAGATAATACAAATGTCGGGGATCTTACGCGTCCGATATTGCAGAGGTTGGAGGAAGTACGCGCCCGCTTACCGCCGCATATGTCGTTTAATGTGGAGAATGGGATGCCGCCGGCGATGAAACAGATGGCGGATCGGTCGCTGGCTTCGCTCTATCAGCGGTATCACCAGGTACGTATATCCCTTCCTGGTGTTGGGGCTGATTGAGGTTGACTGTGCAGTGTTTCGTCCTCTTATTACGCCCTCTATTCCTAAAGCAGATCAGTCACCTCCTCGCGGGCGATACGCTCAAGGCCTACCAAGAAGACCTCAAATACCTCACCAACACCTGCCTCCGCGCCGGAAGAACAAATCTCAAAATCATCATTGATCTCCGAAGTTGCGACCGAATGAGTAAGCCCCCAATTTCCTATCACCCATCTAGCCCCCCTCTTCTAACCAGGCGTAGCCCGCTTCGGCTTCTGGGAAAGCCTCCACCTCTTCTCTGGCCTAATGATCCTCTCCCTGGCGATGTCTGTCAACTCGCGATGGCCCGACAGTTTCGACGAAAAAGCCGATGATCAAAACACGTACGAGGTTGCAAAAGGACTTCTCAATGAGATGATTCATGCAGGAAATCTCGCGTCAAAGGGCCATGGCCAGATGCTGGCCGAGGTGGAAGCATCCCAAAGTGGGCTTTTTGGAGCCCAGTTTGGCGGCTTTGATTTGCAGGCTTGGGATATGGATGAGTGGGTCAATCAGTTGCTAGCCTCGTAGTGAGGAGGTTAGCAAAGCCGAGTGCTCCTAGAACAGGATAACGTGTTAATCTACGGTATACAGTCATTCTATCGTTTCACTCCACGTGAGATACTCGGGTGTCTTGGCATCTGCACGTAGCCACCACCAGCTGATATGGAAGTCCAATAGGACATAATCTCTTTGAGGGTGCAGTGGTCTCGACAAGAGAGGAGTAGAAGCAAGTTCAGGAGTGAAGGAAGCTAAACCTCTATCCCAACCTTACAGTTCAAAAATTGATCTTTGTTTTCCTTACTGCGCCTCTTTATCCCGCAATTCTCGACAATGCCAGAGATTTCTTCTGACAAAGACCTCCCGTGAATGATGTCATGTATCAAGCCTGTGGAGATGAGTACTATTTTCATCTGTATAGCGGCATAGCAACTCCTCTCCATTATGCCGCTGGGAAAGGATTACTTGATTCCGTCAAGGTCTTGGTCGATGGAGGTGCTTTACCCTTGACCAAGGAATCCTTCTGGTCGGACTGCTGCTAAATGGGCTCAGATAAATCATCATATCAGCGTCGTGGAATTTTTTACACTCAATGTCTACTGGTGATAACTTCCGGCAGTTCACGGATGCGCCAGGAAACCATTCCAGAACTGTTCGATTGGAGACGCTGCTTATGAAGACCGGTCTGAAACTAGTTTAAATTTTGAGCAGAACGGGGATTCCATGAGAATTTGGCCCAAGAGTTCCTTTATTGGACTATAAGTCTCTCTACAAAAAAAAAAAAATATATATATATATATATATATATATCACGTTATCCTTCTTAATTAGTCTCAATATATTCTTCATCTATTCGTCCCAAAATATTATAAATTAGAGGCTAGGATCTTCTTAACACTAGCCTAATGTTTGTTTCCTAATAGTTTCGGAGCTACTAAGCCAAATCCATTCCCGAGGTCAGCTCTGGCTTATAGTGGCGTATCCAAAGTTTCAACATTGCGGCATGCCTGTTACCAGAACGGGATATGAGTGCATTTTCAAATAGATGAAAAGATGGGCCATTACCCATGCTGATAAGTGGACATAGGTTGAACACAGGTTCAAGTGATGCTATGTAGGGTGGAAGGGAGGAATGCAATGGCAGCCTGAAACAGGTCTAATTTGAATCATCTAGATGGATAATCTAATACATGTAAAACGATCCAAGCACGAGGATATCCCCAGCATTCTGTTTTATTTTGATTCTTTTTCTTTTTTTCAAAAGCCTTGAGGTGTCCTAACAAGCTCAATGAGAAGGTGAAAATAGGCAAAGTCCAAGATGGCAATCGTTCCAACAATACTATCAAGTATGTAGATTGTTTTTTTTAGTAAATGAATACCTGCTTGCTATTTGAACAAAAAATTATATACCAAAACAGTGATAAAAAAAGAAGGTTGGGAATATTTGTGGAGTACAGTAGAGAAACTGGTTCGCGACACCGACTTTTCTAGCCAGAGGCGAGTTGGGGAAAAAAATAGAAGGAAAGAAAACACCGGTCTAATCACACTAAACGCAAAACAGAACAGTCGATTAGACTGAGCCTTACAGCATGATCATGAAAGCACCCGAGGCGAGAGCGGCAACCACGTAGAAACCGGCCTGGAGGGCTCCGACGTGAACAGCCTGGGGGCCGCTGGTGGAGCCAGCGGCCTTGGAGGTGTCACCACTGCCGCCGCCGCCGCCGCCAGTGCTGGCAGCGAGCTTGCCACCGCCGGAAACGGTGCCGGTGCCGGAGGGACCGATGTCGTTCATCTGGGACGAGCAGGAACCGCTAGCCTTGGCGGCGTTGCGGGTGGTACCGGCACCGTTGAAGTCGCAGGCCTTCTCGCCGGCGCTGCCCTTGTTGGCCTTGTAGTAGGCGTTCATGGCGAAACCGAGACGCTGCTTGGCGTTGCACATGCTGTAGGCACCGTACTTGCCCTTGGACGCGTCACCGGTCACACCATCCATAACGCCCTTCTTGCCACCCAGGTAGCCCAGGTTCTTGTCGACATCCTTGTCGCTGATGTCGTCCTTGGGGCGGCACTCGAGGGTGTCGTACATGCATGAGCAGAGATCGGCATCGGGCGAGGGAGGCAGGGCGCTGGCGGCGCTGAAGTCCGAGCCGACCTTGGGGCAGCTGCGGCCGACGGTCTGCGAGACCGAGTACTTGTCCTTGTTGACACCGGTGTCGGTGGCCTTCTGGATCTGCGACGACAGACGGCTGAAGTCGGGGAGGGTCTTGACCTCCTTGCCCTGGGTCGAGACCAGACCGTATTCGGCGCCGTTCTCGAAGTACATGTAGACGATACCACCGCTCCACACGTCGTTCATCTTGGGGCCGAACAGAACGGGGACGTCGTCAAAGGTACGCGGGGCAGGCTTGATGCAACCGTACTCGGAGAAAAAGGCGGGGACGGGGTAGTCCTTGAAGTCCTTGGTACGTTCATCGTAGCCCGAGTCGTGGAACGAGGACTTGCCGCACCACTCGTAGATGTTGTAGCCGTAGAAGTCGATCGAGTCCGAGGGGTCGTCGCACACCAGGTAGTTGGTGGTCTGCTCACGGACGTTCTTGTCGTCATCCGAGGCGTAACCAATGTACAAGGAAGAACGGTAGTTCTTATCCTTGATGTACTTCTTCATATCACGGACAGCCGCCTTGACGTAGGCCATGGAACCGGTACGGTTGACCTGGTTGGCAACCTCGTTTCCGGCGAAGAATCCAATGACGTTGGGGTACTTGGCGAAGGCATCGACAACAGTGCTGTAGCGGGTGAACAGGTCGGCATCCCAGGTGGGCTGGTCCTGGTTGATGGAGTTGCCGGGCTCGGCCAAATCCGAGATCAGGTAGATACCGGCATCGGCGAGGGCGTTCATGCACTCGTCGTGGTTTTCCTTGGGGTTCAGGGCGTAGGTCCGGATGACGTTGGTGCGCAGCTCAGTCAGGTACTTGATGTCCCGCTTGCAGGACTCGGGGTCGGCCAGCGGGTCGGTGTAGTGGTCCTGGCCCGAGCCACCATTGCGGCCATCGTAATCCGGCTGGTAGGCGACACCACGGATGAAGAATTCGGTGCCGTTGTTGGAGTAGAAGAACTTCTTGCCCTTAACCTCAATGGAGGGCACGTTGTCGGCAAGAGCCGCACCCAGCATGGCCAGGCCAGCGATGAAGGAGTACTTCATTGTGAATTACTCTTTTTTTTTTGGTTATACAAAAACTCAACGAATGTGAGGTATTAAAACAGAGTAAGAAAAAGTGACCAGAGGACTCAACGCCAAAGGGAAGAATGAAGAAGAAGAAAAAAAGAAATTGAGCGGGAAGGGGGGGAAAGAAGAAGAAGAAGAAGGGGTAAACTAATGATTGGTCTCCCTCCAGGGGACTCGGTGGAGAATTGCCCCTGGCACCATTCATGAATCGCCGGGTACTTGGAGGGTACATGCTCTCTTGGGGGGAATGACGCCAGACCCAAGGTACCTCGCAAGTCCTCGAAGGTGTCAGCAAGCGACGCATCATCAGGCGGGCTGTGTTGGTGGATGCATCGCACATCAATGAAATTGTATGATTGGCAAGAGCCATTGGCTGCTACGCTCCACTATTGATCTTGTCGCCTATGGATCCATGTCTCCCCCAGCCAATGGAGTGTCCCTCCCCATTTTCTGCCCCTGAAACAATCCCCTGGCTCCACTCTGATTCGCCCTAAGGCCCCACAGCCCCCCACTCAGGGACGGAATCCCTGACAGGGGGCTTGCTCCCCCTCCCCCACTGTGGCCCTTGTGGCCTGACGAGCGTTGGATCAGGCCCCCACCCAGCATCCACCAGAACAAAATCCACTGCGATTTCTCTCTTTTTCTCTTGTCGACACGATCTCATGTTTGGACGGAGACGGCAAGAATGCGCTCTGGCCCATCCCAAGCACGGTTCACCATATTAACCCACACTGCGCATTCCGTCTCCATTCGGGGCAAGTGCGTCAGAGCCAAAAGCTTGTCTAAGGCGCCAAGGGCGATCAGTGTTGTGATGATGTCAATGGGAATCCACTGCTGTCTGGGCAGCGGTACCAGCCTTGCCCTTTTTTTCTGTTGTCTCGCTTTAAGAGAGGGAATCTCCGGCCCCTCCGGATGAGAGGGCGATTCGTCTCTTCCCGCGCCTGCACCTATCAATGTGCCTGTCTCGGAGTGTTCGTGCTTTTTACGCGCTTCTCCCTTGGTCCTCAGGGGGGACTCCACCACATCCATGGATCTATTCGATATGAAGTTACTTCTGTGTGCTGGATTCTTAATTGATCAATCTGATGAGTCTGGCCGATTCGCTGTGGAGTCCCAGTTGATTACAGCCCGCTGGCGGTTGTCGAGGTGGTCAGACTCAAAATAATAGGCAGCCATGTTATGTTTCGTACCCCTGAATATCGCTAACCTTGTTGCCGATCCCCCGTCTCTCCCGACGGGCTGCATCGAGTGACGCACTCGAATTCCCGGTGGGCCGCGGGCTGTAGAGGCGGTACGTTCCGTGTCTGGCGACGATCCTTTCTCTGCCTGCCCATTCAAGCCCTGCGTTTGTACTTTTCGAGGGCACACGGTTTGACGGAAAACATATTTAGAGTATACGCAAAACAAGAGTAGACGTATACACATCTCGTATGTACATTTATTGTACTGTGTCCTTGGGAGTATACAATTGACGTACCTTTTCTAGAAGTTCTAGTTCAGATTCCCCTGACTATCACCGCGGTAGCGGCCAAAGTGGACACACTTTGGGGCCCCGCTAGTTCGAAGTTGGGCGCAAGTCGATAACGCGAGGTCCATTCCCTCAACCAAGCTTTTGTGGCTTGCCAGAGCGATGCTAGTGCGCCTTGAAGAAAAAAAAAATTCCAAATGGATACCGACGTAGGCATCAGTCTGTGCTTTATGGGGACCACCGTGGGACTTTGGTTGCAGTGTGTGTTTGGTGACTCGCCCGCCCCTATTTGCTGTGTCGCTTGGTCCACTGAGTAATTTTATGCCTGATTTTGGTGAGCAAATCTCGATTCATTTGCGTTTTAACGTGATTCGGCAATAATCCAGTGGCTATGCCCTAGCTCGGCACCTTCTTCGATTAGAGGTAAGAGTATGCACCAGACGACTTAAATAAACCTTAGTCCATCCAGAAGACTGGTGTTGGCCAAGTTTGGCTTGACATTCTTTAGTCGTGATCGTTCTCGACAGGGCCTCTCCTAGATAGCAAACATGTCTATGTCGATTTAATGTACATCCATCCCATAGGTTGGTTCACATATACCTCGAGCCTAAAGCTTGTCTCATACCTTCTGTGGTTTTAAATTCCCTAGATGTTTAATACTTGCTGCAGATGCCATTGGCCAATATGCTAGGTTTGAGGACATAGTAAGGGTTACTCAAGAAAGCCAGGAGTCATGGGTATCATGGGAAGACCTTTGATGGAATACCTGGAGTGCGAACTCAGATTTAGCAACATTCTGTCCTCGACTCAAGAATCAATAGATAGCCAAACCTGAGGGGAGGATCATTTAACGGGGAATAACACAGCATGCATGAGTTGCCTGGCTCCAATTCATACAAGATTTTGTTAAGGAAATTTCCTGGGGCGACTCTGACTCGTAAATCCTGAACAAGAAAATCAAGCAAAAACCCTGCAGTCGTTGATCGAAGTTCCCAGATGCCGGTTAACTGCAAATGCAAGCATAGTGGAGGCAGCAGGCAGCAGCTTTCTCGTAGGGCAGAGTGGGCCATCACCAGAACCCCTGTCAGGCGACACATAAATACACATGGAATGTCTTGGGGGTTGAGATGGACCCTTGGTTCAGGTTTTCCTTTTGTCTTTTCTTTTCACCCTGTCAACTCATCATGCTGGTACCATGAGGTGCAGTGGCCTCTGAATGTCGAGGACCATGAATCTCCCCATGGATCTATCCTCAGTCTTTTCTGCTTATTTCGAAGCTACTAACACAAACACCAAGCAGCATTTAATGAACCGCATAATGAACCGCACTCTTGCATACCATGGCAGACTAATTCATGGTCGATTCGGTCGCCATGACATGATCGTCCATGACGCCGACAAGCAGCCAAGAAGCCAGTTCAGGGTTTATGCACAATGACTACCGTGAGCAAGTCACATTCCCTGCCCGAAGCTCGCTTCAGCATGGCCTCGCCAGGGTCTGTCCTAGCGTCAGATGATGTCTGACTTGACCACTTGGGACTCTCCGTTCTTTTTTTTTTTTTTTCACGTGACCATCTGCTCATGTGGATGCCACATCCCCCAGGCTGAAATTCCAGGGGTCGTGGCGTCCCCTTTCCAGCGGGTCCGAGACCCCAACATCTTCCAATGAGCATCTCCTCTCCCTTTGTGCTCTGTCAACATCTGCAGCATCAAGACCCATTTTCGATCCAATTCAAAATTCAAATCTTGCGGTGTGACTCCAGAGCTGGAACCTACATCGGATCGAAAAACAATGAGATGATCATCGCCAAGACGTCCAAGCCAAAAGGGAGACAAAGCTTCATCGGGTGAAGCATTTCGTCTCAAGGTCGGGCGCGTGTCAACCTTCTGAACGGCCCATGCCCTCCACAACCTTGGACTGGCTGGTCATTGATTGCAACTGCACCCTGGTCGAAACAACTGAAGTGGTCGAATGGCTTGCACTTCGTTTACTTCAAACAAATTAACATCGCCAAGCTCATCTCCACTTGCTATTCACGATCGCCCCGAATGTGTGGCTGTGTATCAAATAGTTCGCTGGGCCAAACTTTACAAATTCCATCTCCTTTTTTTTTCTTTTTTCCCATCTTTTTTTCCCACTCCGTCTGGTGGACTGTCGCTCGTTCTTGGTTGATATTTTGTCGGCATTATTGTGCCTAGTCGCTCCCTTGCGTGGATTATCCCCACCTTTGTTGTCATCGCGCCTTGCCTCTGATTTTTCCCACCGTGGAAGGGTTGGGGTTTCTGGATAATACTCCTCTCACTCTGCTGATTCCTTTGTGGCTGCCCCCCGAAACTCAGCCACGTCGGCGCGTATCCCAAGTGTGCCCGCTTTTTTCCACTTCGAGTTATACGTTCGCCTGCTTAGGTGTGAAACCAGCTGTCATCACGTACGTGTCTCGAATGCTCGGGCCTGAGCCACTCGTGTGGCGTTGCCTAAGGGCCCCAACATGGGCCCTGGGGGGTGTTGTCAGCGCTCTTTTTTTATCGTGGCTTCCAGGAGGTTTTCTTGGTTTTCTTGGTTTTTTTTTCTTGCGCAAGATTATACTCACAAGCATTTCCTGCAGATTCTGAATTAATACCTCACCGTCATTATGCGTATGTTCGGGCATCTACCTCGTGATTACTTGGACTTGGCTGGAATACTAAGACTCCTATTTGCTGGCTAGACATTTATCGACGCCAGGCCCGGAATCTGGCATGGTATGACGATGAGGACGAGCCGGCCTCACATAACCCGTTCAAGAAGTTCCGCAGACGTCCCCAGCGCTCGCGGTCCATTGAACTCGAGAACCAGCTCTCCAACACCCGCAGTCTGGGCGAGTTCACTCCCGTCGAAGACCCGCAGGTTCAGCAATACACGGCAAATGGCGCGAATGTGAATGGCCCCGAGTACTCAGGCTCTTTCCCGCCTGTGTCTGCGGGGAGCGAGCAGTTCGCCGGCACCGAGAGCATGGCCAAGTCCGGGCCTGATCCCTCGATGGCCAGCCAGGATCCCATTAATGTCTCGACGACGCGGGGCCTGGATTTAGAAAGCGAGGAGTCTCCCAAACCCCGGATGCGAAAGGGGTTCCTGGGCAAGTTTGGACATAAGTCTGAGGATGAGATGGATTCAACGTCGGAAGACCAGAAGTCGGTTGAAAAGCCCAAGTTCTCGGTGGGGTCGCAATTGAGGGCCACTGTCTTCAACTCGTGGATCAATGTTCTCATCCTTGCTGCGCCTGTCGGTAGTATGTCACATCGTCTTTTGGTTGGGGCTCTTTGCCTGCATTTTGCTAATCTTTGTCGCAGTTGCGCTGCATGCTGTCGACTCCAATCCGATTGCGATTTTCGTGGTCAATTTCATTGCCATCATGTAAGATTGTGTCACCGCATGTCAGTAGACCGTGTGGCTAACTTGCATGCTATCAGTCCTCTCGCGGCTATGCTCAGTTACGCGACGGAGGAGATTGCTCTGCGGTATGTCGAATCATAGATTGATATTCGGCATGGTGAATACTGACAATAGAATAGTGTCGGTGAAACGATAGGTGGTTTGCTGAATGCCTCGTTCGGGTACGCTCGACACCGCATTCCCCTTCTTGTGTTGCAATCCATCTGACTCTTTCCAGCAATGCCGTCGAGCTGATTGTGGCCATCATCGCGCTGGTCCAAAGGAAGGTGCTGATTGTGCAAACCTCGTTGATTGGCAGCATGCTGTCTAATTTACTGCTGGTCATGGGCATGTGCTTCTTCTTCGGCGGTATCAACCGCGTCGAACAGCATTTCAACGTGGTCGTCGCACAGACGGCAGCCAGTCTCCTCGCCCTGGCCGTGAGCAGCTTGATCATCCCCACTGCATTCCACTCGTGGTCCGAAGGTACATATTGGTATCTTCTGATATTAGAATTACCCTTTCACTAACCATCATTCAGGCCGCAAGGAGATGACCACCCCCCTGTCTCGGGGCACCAGTGTTCTCCTTCTGATCGTGTACGGCTGCTATCTCTTCTTCCAACTCAAATCCCACGCCGAGATGTACAACCGGCCCAGTCCCAAGGTCGAGAAGCGGCGCGGCCACGTCACCGAAGGCGACACCAGCCGCGGCCTGGCCCAGATCGGCAAGATGACCGCCGCGCCCATGGGCGGCCAGAACGCGCAACAGATGTCCCTGCAGGATCCCGATGATGAGACCGAGGAGCCGCAGTTGACGGTGGTGGTTGCGCTTATTACGCTCTGCTGCGCGACAGCGTTGATTGGCGTGTGCGCTGAATTTATGGTATGCAACGCCTCCCTCCTCTTCCTAGTGATCTCTCCTATTCCAAAGGACATCTAGCTATTTATTATGTGGAACTGGCCTGACTTGAATAGGTCGACTCGATCGATGCGTTGACGGCTACCGGCAACATCCGCGAAACCTTTGTCGGCCTAATTCTCCTGCCGATTGTGGGTAATGCCGCCGAGCACGCCACTGCGGTGACGGTCGCCTGCAAGGACAAGATGGATCTTGCGATTGGCGTGGCTGTGGGGTCGAGTATGCAGATTGCGCTGCTGGTTCTGCCGCTGATTGTTGTGCTTGGGTGGATTATTGGTGAGTCAAAGCCCCGTGTTTAGTTTATGATCATATTACTGACGGTGGGTTCACAGGTGTTGAGGACATGGTATGTCTACTACAAAAGAGTCGAAGAGCTCAGCAGTCTCGTTCAGCACTAACCTGTCGCAGACTCTTGGATTCGATAGCTTCCAGGTGATTCTGCTGTTTGTGTCTGTGCTTCTGGTATGCCACCTTTCTCATATTTCTCAAGACGAAGATAATAGTCGGCTGACTCTTGAAATTCAGGTCAACTACCTCATTGGAGACGGCAAGTCGCACTGGCTCGAGGGCGTCCTGCTGATGATGATGTACCTCATCATCGCGATTGCCGCGTGGTTCTATTAGAAAAGAAAGAAGAACAGGCTCGCGCAATTACCGGGCTGGATCCGTTCAGTATTGGGTTGTTTTGAACATGCACGATTCCTTGGAGGCACTATTCTTTTCTTATTTATTCTTATTCTTCTCATTTCATCTTTTCTATATTTATTTGTTTTCTTATCTTTCTGTTCGGTTTTTCTCTTCCTGTACCATGTTTTTTTGCCTCTTTATTCTGGATTCTTTCATTTTGAAGAAGAAAGGGGTGATAATCTTGTTGGCCTTTTTTACTATCATGTCGATAATACCCACTACCCCGGTCACATTGCCGGGATGGACATCTATGGATGTGTTTAGTTACCAATGAGTGGCCTGGAATGCGGGTTTAACCATTTGAATCTTGGTTGCCTTGGTTGTTTTGGGAGTTTTTCTGGGTCTATAGAGGTACTCGACATGCGTAGGTACTAATAGCAGCAATTCTATGGAAAAAGTCATGGAAAGTGCAAAAAACACGATGCACTCTATGGTGTATTAGGCACAACCGGGCGATGACCAGATATATATTCGGAACAGCCGGGGAAGATGAAACAGATCCTTTAGTATTAGTATTAGCATTTTATTATCACTACCACCTCTACTATTATATTTACGAAGACATTATAAAGAAGCAATATCTGTCCAAAATGGGAGGGGGAAGGGGGAGGCAAATCCAGGCAAAAGGGCTAAACGATCATGCATTTTCCGGGGGAACTCTTCCCTTCGGACTCGGGATCCCACCGGGGGGAACAACACAGAAAGTCAGTGGTTTTTAACCGAACCGATGTGGGGATTTTGAATGGCCCGCTTTTCGTTTTCCAACTTCCCACTTCCTGGTCTTCCTGGCTCCTGGCTCTGGTTCTGGGTTTGGGTCTTCCTGGGGGCTGTTACTAGGCTTTCTTTTTTTTTTTTTTTTTTTTTTCCTTTTTTCTTTCTTTTTCTCGGGCATCCTGGAGATCCTTGGTGTATCCTGCTGTGTCGCGAAGACACATGCCTAGGTAGGCTTGCCGGGTCGACTGGGGGACAACCTTGTCTCGGGATCTATTCGAGCTGACCATGAATCATGGCTTCATTTACTGTATGTGCATGGGATGCCAACTGGAGTCAGACTTGGTGACTTCAGCTGTCTGGTGGTGATGGCGGCAATACCTCCGTGTCTGGAAGTACCGACCAGTAACTACCTATGAATTACAAATTTTGTTGTAGGTTGTAGTATATTAATAGATATTTAGACAGAATACTCAACTATATTCAAATATACTTAGATAAATCACCCTCATACATATATACTTAAGTGAAAACAGGCAGACCGACAGAAACCGACCGATTCGGTAATCCGGAGCGCGGCACGGGATCCCCGTTTGATCGGTAATACTGTCCAGTCCACATTCCACAATTCCACAATCCCTATCCCCTATCAAAGGCCGGGGGAGTTTCTTTTATTAATAGGCCTGTCAGCTGAGGTGCCCCATGCCCGTAGCCCCCAAGCCAAGAAAAAGGGAATCTGGGTGAAGGACTTACGTACAATTTACAGATGGCCCGGGGGCTGTATACTGTATACTGTACATACTTAGGTAACACCCTAAGGAAAGGCTCTCCATACTGAAATTGGAAGTCGGTCGAGCACCGTGACTGGAGTCGCTGCTTAAATTTCCCCTTTAAGCTTCTTTTCTCCACAGTCAGGAATCAGGAACGGAAGGGAAAAAAAGAAAAGAAAAAAAAAAAAAGAGGCTCCACTGGATCCCCTCTGACAGGCAAAAGGAATCCCCGACGATCGGGAAGCCCTCCTTGGGACACACATGATTTTCTAATTTCTTACCGAGAGGAAATGTCGAAAGACCATTATCCTTGGGGACTTTGTAAAATGCGGGGTTATATCCGTCGGCTTTGGGGGCGAGTCGGGAAACGGGGTTCTCGCCGACTCGGGGAACTTGGGTGGTATCATGGATATACCAGGTCGCTTTGATGCCTCGGGTTGTTGTACAACCTGTCGAGACCAGTCAGAATACCAACGCCGGTGGGAATTCTGGGAATTCCGTTTGACTCTCCGAAAAGAAGGCCCCCAATTTCAGCCGGCAAGCCAACGGGAAGAAATGGGGGGATAGAGTGACAGTGACACGGTACGGAGACCGTCACCAAATCATGGGATCAATCGATCTCGCTTCCTCCCCCGCGGGGAGCCCCGACGCTCAGGGACTCTCGGTAAGTAAAAGAGAGGGAGTCATTGGACGAAAATGAAAAGGTTCCGACCAATACCCGAGGAAGCACACACATGCCGAGATGAACTTTCTTTCTCTCTTTCTCTTAGTCTTTCTCTTTGGGCCCCAAAAACGCCATGTGGGATTAAACCCCTACCCTGGGGCTAACCTGGGGGTCTGGGGGTCTGGGGTCTGGGGATTTGTCTTTTTCTTTTTCTTTTTCTTTATGCTCACCGAGAGATGTCAGGTCGTGCCGCTTACCTGTTCTGGTGTTCCCGACACCTGGACATATTGACGCCCAGGAGTTGACATGAAAAAAAAGACACATGCCGATCGGCCCATCAGGTGGAAGTTCGGTCAGAAACATCCCCCAGATTTGACTCGGAAATCCAGTCGGAAAGTGCCCGGTTGAATTGTAACTTCACCTATACCTAGGTATATGTACACTATGTATCTGCATCAGCATTCGGACTACCGTGTCACTTTCTCTCTCGTTTTTTTTTTTTTTTTTTTTTTTTTTTTTTTTTTTCCCTCCATTTTCCATACGACTGATTGCTGTCGGCCTCTCTCTCTCGGTCCGTCGGCGATCATGAGATCATGAAGGGGGTAAGGCACAGACCCCTGTGAAATACGGTACCAAACCGGGGCCATCCTTTGCCGATGGCTCGGCAGGCTTGAGTATTAATATATTATTTACTACTATATACTATATGCTAGTATACCTGGGCATACTGTAGCATACTTGTATTCTATCTTCTCTTCTATATTCTTAGTATCAAGAATCTAAGAATACCGAGTATCTCAAGTATACCCATATATACACTATAGCCCCAAACCCGGGGCTCCACACACTCCGCGAATCAACCACAGCGCGTCCTTGCATACTTGGGCCTCCGCAATTTCCCCCGCCAAGTCGGCTCCAACTTTTTCTTTTTTTTTTTTTCTTTTTAATTCTGATTTTCCCATTTTTCTCTTTTTTATTCAATTCCTCGGCGCATCCCGTTCCCTCCCGACTGTTGTTCTCAAGCATTCCCGGTCCCGGTGCCCCGACTCTCCCCCACACTCCGCGGATTCCGCTTTGCTTCCTTCATCCTTCCTGGTCTCGCCTATTTGTGTCTTTGGTCTCTGTGCTTGGCTCCTTTTTTCTTTTTATTTTATTTTCTTCTTTTTCTTCCCTTTCTTCTTCCCTCCCCGCATTTCTGCAATCTGGAAGTCGCTCCCCCAGTCCCGAGACTGTCTTACCGCTTTGCCCGATCAGCTTCCCGCCAATTTCCCTCCGCCGTATCGCCCGTGTCCCCTGATCCAGGTCGATGAGAATTGCTGGGACTGACCGACCCGACTTGTCCCTCTCTCGCAGACGTGCGGGTCTGCCCATTCCACTATGCGGTCCAGCATCGCCTGCGCTCGGTGCCGCCGCAGCAAGATCAAATGCGTCAATGCCGGCATCGACACCACCTGCCGCGCCTGCGAGTCTTCAGGGAGAGAATGTGTCTATCCAACCCCGACGATCGGGGTGAGCGGTGCCAAGCGGGACCTGGCCGCGCTGGAGGGCGACGACCGGAATGGCGAGTGGGATGGACCGAAGCGACACCGCTCCCGCAAGGCGATCGGTGTCGGCTCGTCGGCCGGCTCCAAGGCCGGTCTCGATGCCTTGGACGCTTCGATTCTCACCGTGAAAGTCTGGGAAGCCGTCTTTGATCTCTTCCAGTCGCACTTTGCCACTCTCCTCCCTTTCCTGCACCCGGCAACGTTTCTCGGTCAGATTCGCCAGATCTCGTCGCCCCCGGTTCCCCCCTCGGCTCCGGCAGTCGATGGGCAAGATGTTCCGCGGACTCATGCGCCCAAAGTGGATCCGTCTGCGACGCTGATCCCCCTGGGCGTGCTGGCCTTGACTGCTCGCTTCCACCCGCCGCTCGTCGCCTACCACTCGGCGGCTTCACCCGGCCACCCTTCCAATCCCCTCGCCGCCTCGGAATACTATGCGATGGCCTTGCGCAGCCGGCTGGCCGGCTTGGATGGCGCAAGCCTCGCAGTCCCCGATCTCGCGCGTGTCCAGGCACTCTTGATGCTTGCGCTGCATGAGTGGGGCATGTGTCGCGGGAAGAGCGCCTGGGTTTATGTCGGGATGGCCATTCGGCTTGCGCAGGCCATGGGGTTGCCTTTTGAGCTCGAGAATGAGCTCCCCCCGCGTGATCCGTCGCGCTCCTCCCCGGCCCTCAAGGCGGAGGCAGATCACTTTGGTCTGCCGCGACGCGCCGAGTCCAAGGAGCAAACCTCCGATGATATCATTGCCCAGGAGACCAAGCGCCGGACCTTCTGGGCCTGTTTCCTGCTTGACCGGTGTTTGAGTAGCGGCAAATACCGACCGCGCATGATCCGAGTCAAGGAGCTCGGAATCCAGCTTCCGAGCGACAATGCTTTTGCTTTTGGTGAGCGTGTACGGACGGCACGACTCAATGAGCCCATTGTGCGTCGTCCACAGAGCTTCGGCGCCCAGGGCGTTCAGATCCCGAGCATTCGCCAGAGCCTGGGATTTGGTGACGAGAAGCTCCTGCCGGCGAACGGAACTCCAGATGGCAAATCCTGGTCGCCTATTTCTCGGCGAAAGGACTCTAGTGAGGAAGACGTCGATCGATGGGAGGTCGGCGCAGAAGAGTCGGTGCTCAGTCGAGTGATTCGCATCATTCGCATCTGGGGAAGCATCGCCAAGTGGTCGTGTGCCGGTGGCCGACGGTAAGTTTCACGTTTTTGTAGGCTTTAAATATTGGACAATGACTGACATGCTGCAGAACGGAGCAATACCCGCCCTGGCACCCGGAATCGCGCTTTGCGACGCTTCGGTTGCAGCTAAGCGAATTCCAGGATAGTCTCTCTCGCAATCTGCAGTATTCGCTGCGGAATACCGACACCCATATTATGTATAAGACCACCCTGGCTTCGTATACGGTTATGCACGTCGTTTACTTCTTGTCCGTTATCGTTCTCCACCGCGCCTACATCCCATTCTTGCCTGTTCGGTGCAGCGAGCCTGTTGGTCCCCTGGATGAGCCTTTGTTCCCCGTGGACAAGACCAGCAGCGCGCCAGAGGGCTTCTGGCGTGATAGTGCGCGCGAGCTCTTCAAGGCTGCGCGACAGATGATTGATTTGGTTGCTACCTGCCAGGGTCGTGGGGCACTCGTGGAGAATCCTCTGGTTGGCTTCGCCATCTACAATGCCGCCTTCATCGGGGTATATGGTACACATTTCTCCCACATGGACCCCGAGGGCCTGTTGGGTGCGAAGCCGCCACCACCAAGCCATGATAGCCACCAGCTGGGAGCTGCGCAAGCACGCAAGGCATTGGATATTCTGCGAGAGATGCGCCCACGCCTCAAGATGGCCATGGGCTGGTTCCGCACCCTCAACCGCCTTCATAGCTACTTCTCCAAAGTCAAGCGCGATTTTCGTCGACTTTCTCGCAATCGGCTGGATAGTATGTCGGACGTGTCTGATCATCCCATTCCCAATGGGATTCGACCAGTGCGCGAAGGTGGAAGCGGCGGCGGCCTGGAAGAATTCAAGTTGCTCGAGAAGCTTTTCCTCGACTTTGGGACGATTGAAGATCAGCTGCCGGAGTCTGGCTTCGACGAGGACGTCGCTGTGCCTGCTGCCGGAGAGCCCATGCCCGAGCGCACTAACCTCAGCGATGCCGGCAGCAATGCCGTCAAAAGCGAGACCGGCGAGCCTATGGAGCCGTCAGATAGCACCAGTGGCCGGCGTGAGTCCTGGGTGCCGATCAACAGCCCCGGCATGCCTTTACCCAGCCACGAAGGTGACCGCCGCCCGAGTCTGCCACTACCCAACAGCCGTCCTCTCCCATCCCAATCGCCTTACAGCCTCCCATCATTGCAGCAGCACCACCCAGACGGCCCTCTCTATACTTCATCACCCAGCCTGCCATCATTGTCCGCAACCACCCAGCCTCCTTCTCAATACCTCCCCGCAACAAGTAACCGACTACAACCCATCAACTCGTGGCTCCCATCTCGTCCACAAGCACCACCTCCACCATACTCGCAGTCCCTCCCGCCCATCAGCGCAGCCACCCCTCACAGCCTCCCCGTTCTCCCGCCACCGGGTTCCGTCACCCAGCTGGCTCCCTCGCCTCCTTTGACCTCGACAGAGGGACCCGACTCGAGCCTCATGGCGACCAGCCTCGGGGGCGACGATGTCCTGGCCTTCTTGGATGGCTGCGAATGGGCGCAGCTGTCCATGAGTGCGCCGTCGGAAGTTGGCATTCCTGCCGGCTGGCTGAGCACCGTGTGGTCGCAGTTCAGCCGGTAGTTTCCGGTTGCCATCTTACTTCCTGTATTATTATCTCTCTCTCCCCCTTTCTTTCTATCTTTCTCTTTTCACGACTTCCGATCTTTCGTCTGATACGTCTCACGTGCTGTACGACTACTACTACACCTACATCTCTACGATCGCCGGCGACCACAAAAAATGGGAAAAAAAGGAAAAAAGGGGGCAGGGAAAGCAAAAAAGGGTGGGATTTGAGCGTGTGGGGGTTATAGCAGCGAGACAATTGCCTAGGTAGTCTTGTCTCAAAAAAAAACAAGGATCCGGTGATCCTTGGTTGTACCCAACACACTCTCTTCCACAGGCTTATCTGTTTCTGTTTCACCTGGCGCAGGAGGGTTCTTGTTGATGGTTTGGGGGTTGTCTACTAGCTTTTTCTTTTTCTCTCTCTTTTTCTCTTCTGCGTGTCTTTACTCGATTGTCAAGTCTTGTTTCGAGCGATGGGAATTCGGACTGTTCCGTTTCTGATGTGATTACGATGGCCACGGCGCAAAATCCGAGTCTTTTTTTCGAGTTAATTCATTGGCGGGTTTGTCTTTGATTCTGAATTTATATCCTTATTTTCTTATTTCTTGACTCATTCCTTTCTTCTTCTTCTTATTATTATGATTACTATTTCTTGTTATTATTGTCTCTCTGTTTTGACTGGCAATGCGTCGTGATGGCCCCACATTTAGCCCTAACTGCCAAGCGCTCGCCCGAACTGCATCAAATTGAAGCAGAAGAGACGAAGTAGAAGAGAATCTCTCCATCTTGATCAGACCACGATAAAAGAAACATACACTAGTAAGCAACAGTGACTTCCGATAATTGCGTTCTTATACTCTCGGCCTACCGAGATAACTCGTTCAGCGGCTATCCGAATTGTCCGTGCGTAGTCCGACTCGGGATTCTCGGCCGAGGCTTGGACTTGCACTGATATTGTTCCTGAATTCCCTGTCGGCATAGCAGTAGATCTTGGAAATTAACTTGCCATGATAATATGAGTCTATGCTAACTGAACTTATTTGTTTTGGTCTTGGTGGTCTGCTCGGTCAATGAGGCCGAAGTATACCCATGCTATCTGGCCGGGTCCAGCGGCACCGTATTAGAGTGATTTCATGAACGAAGCACAAATAAGATAAACCGTATGGATATTAGCTTGAACATATTTTATATAGTTTCCACTAGGAAGGCCTACATAGAAGTCGCCATCCTCCCATTGCTTCTACGTCATGCCTACATACCCATGCGCACATGGCGAACCAACCCACCCACTCCACTTCCCCATTATTTCTCTACTTTCTCTCAATACTGAATCACAAACAATACCATAATGGTCCTCACCCCCGAACCGACCGCCCAATAGGGGTGATCGGCGCCGGCATCCTAGGCCGACGCATCGGCTGCACCTTCGTAGCAGCAGGCTACCACGTCAACATCCAAGACCCATCACAAGAATCATTACAAGAAACCAAAAAATACATCACAGCGCACAAGGAAGAGTTCTCGCTGATGCCGCGCGTCAGCAAGGACAAAGAAGAAGTCATGGCCGGCGGCGGAATGGGGCAGGGCCGCGAGACCGAGACGTCCATCACCAAGATGGATCTCGAGATGTACACGCAGGCGCCCTTTGGCAACTACAAGACCTTCACGGAGGTGGAACCCGCTGTTGCGAATGCCTGGCTTATTATCGAGGCTGTGCCCGAGCGCCTGGAGTTGAAGATTGATACGCTGGCTGAGCTGGATGCCAAGGCGCCCCCCGATTGTATTTTGGGCTCGAATAGCTCGTCGATTAAGTCGAGTTTGATGATTGCCAAGGTCTCGCCTGAGCGCCGGAAGCGCGTGCTTAATACTCATTTTACCATGCCGCCGGCTATTCGCACGGTGGAGTTGATGACAGATGGGGAGACGGATACGGTGATTTTTTCTTACTTGGAGGATGTTTTGGGCGAGTGTGGGTTGTTGCCTGTGACGGCGCGGCGGGAGTCAACTGGGTATGGTTTTGTTTCTCCCCCATTCCATGGCTTTTCTGCTAATCCTGGCTGTTCAGGTTCGTCTTCAACCGCCTCTGGGCGGCAGTCAAGCGCGAGATCCTGCACATCCTCTCCGACGGAGTCAGCGACCCGAGCGAGATCGACCTGCTATGGGAGCACATGTTCAAGAACGGGCCACTGCCCTGCCAGCTCATGGACCAGGTCGGGCTGGACACAGTGGCCCTCGTCGAAGAAACCTACATCCGGGAGCGCGGGCTGGACGGACAAGCGACGGTAGGGTGGCTGCGAAAGGAGTACATCGAGCAAGGTCGACTCGGGAAGAAAAGCAAGCTGGGCGGCCTCTACCCGCCACTCGTCCGGTCCGCCACGGCCGAAGCAACCCCCATCAACCCGCACACCTCCGCCAAGGACATCTACCTGCTGGATGTCGGGCTGGGCAGCAATGCGCGCGATGTGTCGCAGGTGCACTCGAACGGCAAGGTGCTGCGGTGGAACCTCGTCACGCAGAAGCTGTCGCCCGTCGTCGTGGGCCAGAACATGCCGGATGGCATCGACGTGTCGCTGACGGAGCAGCGCATCTTCTGGACGAATATGGGGCGCAGCGTCGCCGCGTACGACGGGTCCGTGTGGTCGGCCAATATGGACGGCAGCGATGTCAAGTGTCTCGTGCCGCGTGGTAAAGTGCGCACCCCGAAGCAGATCGCCGCCGACGAGCAGCGGTACCAGCTCTATTTTGCGGACCGTGAGGGGACTAGTCTGCATCGGTGCGGGTATGACGGATCCCACCACGAGATCATTGTGCAGCGATATACCACACCGGGTTCGAGTCTGCTCGACCAGATGCGCGAGTGGTGTGTGGGCATTGCGCTGGACAGCGAGCGGCGCGTGATGTACTGGACGCAGAAGGGGCCCAGCAAAGCCGGGTGCGGGCGGATTTTCTGTGCCGGCATGGATATCCCTGAGGGCGAGACGGCCGAGAACCGGTCGGATATCACGCTGTTGTTTGATAATCTGCCCGAGCCGATTGATATCGAGATCGACAGCGAGCTGCAGACGCTGTACTGGACGGATCGCGGTGAACATCCCATGGGGTGTACGCTGTGCCGGGCCTATGTGGGTGGCGAGACGGTGAATATGCAGAAGATCATTCTTGCGCGGCATTTCCATGAGCCGATTGGGTTGAAGCTGGATAAGAGGAATAGCATTGTTTATGTGACGGACCTGGGGGGAGTCTGTACTCGGTCTCGATGGATGATGGGGATAAGACTGAGTTGGTGCGCAATGAGGGATGTTTTACGGGGATTACTTTGGTTTAGAGTATTGCATTGCATTTATACACTTGACAAGGTAATTGCCTTGGTCTTGTAGCCGCACGTAGATTTACAAAGAATATTCTTATTCTAGTTAAATCACTAATATAATACTCAAATATCTAGCACTCTTACCACAACTTCTACAGCGCTGTATATCTACAAATCTTGGCGTGATAGCATGCAGCCACCTCGGAAGTATAACACCCGATGCTTACAGAGAATATCCGATCTAGACACATTGGCAGAAGAAACAGTGGATCATTGCAAGCACATGGTCTCAAGAAACTCCCATCTCAGGCCATTGTATCTCGCCAAGTCGTCCCTGGCTCTACACCGGCCTCCACAGACGTGCAGCCGTGCGACGATCCATTGCACAATGCCAAGGGATGCTTAGAGATGATAGGGGTCTCGCCCGGAGAAACGCCGGGGCAATGCAATGCAGAAACAACGTTATTAATCGAGGGCCACTATTCCCTCTCATTGTTGATTGCCATGTCTACTTCCATACCCACGATCTTATATAAACCTCCTTGATCGGCAATTCTTTACTTTATTTCCTTCTCTCTTCCTTTCCCTCTAACCTTTCCTCACATCATACTATTGTTCACCCACCCCCCCAAAAAGAGAAACACAATGCGCCTCTGCCTCCTCCTCTCCACCCTCATAGCATCCGCCTCCGCCTCGCGCCTATGGGCAACTCACTACAATGGCCACGTCTACACCCTGGATCTCGCCGGCAATAACACCCTCTCCGTCACCGATAAGCTCAAGACCTGTGGCGGCATGCCGAGCTGGCTGACCTTCGACGCCGCGACGCGCACGCTGTACTGCTCCGACGAGGACGGATCGGCCGATCCGTCGACGCACGGGTCCCTGACGGCGCTGCATGCGGCGCCCGATGGCAAGCTGCGCGAGATGGTGAAGACCGAGGCTGTGGGGGGTGGGGTGAGTAGTGCGATTTATGGGGGAAAGGGCAAGGGGAAGGGGAAGAAGTATCTTGCGATTGCGCATTAGTATGTCCCCCTAGCACAGCACAGCCATACTTCCTATTGGTTTTTTTTTATAACAATTATTGTGACCATTATTGCTGAAGTTAACTAACTGTTATTATAGTGGCGGATCCGCCATCTCAACCTTCTCCCTCCCCCTCCACCCAAACCAGCGCGCCCTCCAAGCCTTCCACTTCAACCTCACGCATGCCGGCGCAGTCGCGCAACAAGACGCATCTCATCCACACGAGGTGTTCCTCGACCCGACCGGCTCGTTCATCGTCAGCCCGGACCTCGGCGCAGACCTACTGCGCGTGTACGCCATCGACACGTCGTCGGGCCGACTGCACGGCTGCCCGAGCGTGAACGTGACATTCGGCAGCGGACCGCGCCATGGCGTTTTCTGGAGTGACAGTGACGGCAAAACCGGCAACAATGGGGCTTCGCACAACCAGCAGCCATCGCGCCGGACAACCACAACAACAACCATAGAGTCTGGCAAGACCCTACTGTACGTAGCCAACGAGATCGGAGGCACGGTAATGGTCTACGACGTGTCCTACCCGCAATCCGGCTGTCTCTCCTTTGCAAAGAAGCAGACGCTTGTCCCCTACACGCACGGCAAGATGCCGCACGGCGCGACGCCAGCGGGCATCCATATCGTCGGCGATGCGCTGTACGTCTCTATCCGCAGCGACCAGGGCTTCGCGCCGAGCGACTCGATGGTGACCCTGGACCGCAGCGCGCGCAATGGGAGTGTGGCACTGCGGACGCGGACGCCGGCGTATGGCAAGGTGCCGCGCACGTTTGCGCTGAACCGGGCTGGGGACCTTGTTGCGATTGGGAATCAGGCGTCGGCGACGGTGGCGGTTGTGCGGCGGGATCGCCGGACTGGGGAGTTGGGGGAGAAGGTTGCTGTTGTGCAGGTTGGGGGGCCTGGGAAGGTGGGTGCTGCGGAGGGGTTGAGTAGTGTTATCTGGGAGGAGTGAAGCAGACACCAAAGGAGCAGCATAGCAGCATAGTATGTATATCAACCATATCAACCAAGAATCTCATATTGGCGCGAGAACAAGCTCGGCTATTGGGCCAAGGGTTGTTCCTCTCTATAAAACAGGCATGAAATCATTGCAAGTCGCATCAAGCACAATTAGCGTATAACTCATGACAAAAACACGCGTATACATCCAAATCCAAGAATGCCGCCGAGCAAAAAAAAAAAAAAAAAAGGAAACGAGACAATTCATGACAAAAGACCAGCTTGTCCTTTTTCAGACCTCGATGCCTGCACCGAGGTAGATCATGGCATAGAGGGCGCAACACCTGTTCAGTCGCAAACCAGAGGCCACATGTTATACCTCACAAGGAATGAATGGAAATAAATCACAAAAGAAGCGAACGTAGATCAAACGTAAGTCATAACATCCATAAAGCCGAGCGGCCGATTCGGTCATCTGAATTCCAGCTGGAATGCTTTCCACTTGCCGCCTACTGTTCGACAGCGCGGACAGCCCCGAGCACTCGGGTAGCTGGTCGGCCCCTGAGGCGGTATGCTGTTTAGAGGCCCATGTCCGGGACTGCGGAACGAGGTCGGAGGACTCGAGATGAACATGCCGACGCATTCGCGGCATACTCCACAAATACACTCTGTACAGGCATAGCACTCATTCAGCGCCCAAGGTCGTTTGCAATGCGCACAGTAGATCTGCACCTCTTTGTTGCGGAAAGATGCTGGGGTGGGGTTCGAGAACCGGTGATGCTGGCGCTGGGAAATCGGGGGAATGAGATTAAAAATTGGACTGGAATCTGAGTTGGATGCAAGCCCCGAGGCTGACGATGGGAAATTCTTGCCGGATGCCGAGGACATAGAGTCAAGCGATGATTCAATAGACGGGAAGGGCTCCAGATCACTGTCGCGGCCCCGGTGGCCCTCGTATGGCGGTGGGGTCAACGATTTGTGCAAGGGCGACGCTGTATAAGAATGAGGAGGAAATGGCCGGTGTGGGGGAAGAGGTGGCAGTCCAGATGCCGATTGGAAAGCGGGGGGTAGCGAAGACCGATTCTTCTGCGCGGACGGCGCAGAAGTCACACTGGGCAGCAGCGGGGCGATTGTGGGTGACCGGCCCGCCTGTAATCGATGAGCAACGGACATATACCTTCTGGAAAGCAGACAAACTTACCTCCGAGTAGCGTTCGTCATCTGCTTCGGTGGCGGACGTCGCCGCTTCAATCAAATCCTCCCAGCGCTTGCCTTGCGCCCAGGCGGCGGTTTGCGGCTCCGCGGAAAGAGCCTTGCGATCGCCAAGGCTAGGTCGCCGGCCGAATTCCTTGGACTTGGGCCGATCGTGTCTAGGTTTCCGGGCAGACTGCGTGATAGACGACTTGCGGGGACGGGAGAGTTTTTCTCGTCGCTGAATCGGGGGTAGAGTGGACGAGCGACCGGGCGGGGAATGGTTGAGGATAGACGGAAGAAGCTCCCGTGGGCGCGGCGAAGCAAACGGGGGCAGAGATTCCTGTTTGAAGTGGTCGCGCAGAGAGGGCAGCTCGATCGACGAGCGCATGCGATCTCGGTTCATGTCGGTGTCGGAGTGGGTATCCTGGGGGAGATGCGGGTCAACACTACTGCAAGGTGGCGGGCGCACAATCCGGAGATGACATACCATGTCTGTATCCCAGTCGGAGGCGAGGCGATGATGGTGTAATTGTGCCAGGGCCACGGCAGCTGTGGCCGCCGCCGGGTGGGGTTCATCTAGAGCTCGAGGGGTGGCCGGGGAGCTGGCGTCAGCGACGTAAATGTCCCTATCCGTCACATCTGCAGGGAGCCGTCAGTTACCCCGCTAGCTCAAAACAAAAACCATGGTAAAAATATACCAAAAGAACCAAAAGAAAGGCACTTACCACGGCGTCGCGGCTGAGCTGGTTCTGGAGGAGAGAGCTGGGCTCGTTGTTCGGGCGGGGTGTTAACCATCAGCAGAAAGCTCTCCTCGGTAGCCGGGAGCTTCGGGATGTAGTGATTCGGATGCGCACGTCGAATATGCTCCTGCATGGAGCGATAGCGCTTCTCCTGTGGATCGACATTAGATCCTGTCACAGCAAACCCATCGAACCTTTCGACAGCTGTCTGATCCCGAGTGATTCCACCCGTTGAACAAGGTGGGGTTCGAGGCATCCGAGGAAAGAAGCACTCACTCCCAAGCAGCGCTTGCGACAATTGGAGCCATCGTTATTCTTCAAGGGACACACGACCTCATTATTGGCGTCGGTGACCGAGAAGGAGCTGGTTAGTGAGCTTCGAGGAGGCATGGTTTTCTTTTTAAGAATGGCTATAGTTCCTAGTCCCTCTAGGCGGCGGGGGGGAAAGAAGAGAGCAGAAAGATAGGACAAAAGTGAGCGACCGATCACACAGCAAAAGCACAAGGGTCAAAAAGCTGAGGAAAACCAGGATTGGTGAACATGCTCTGGTGGGGAGAGATCGAAAAGAAGGGAAAGGGAGGATGAGCGAGGCGGGCGAAGTGCACAGCGGCCCGCGAGTATTTACGGGTAATTACGGCTGACCACACCGGGATCCGCGAATCTTGAGATATTCTTGATCTTATTACTGAGCTACTGCAAAATATGGCCCAGCATATTTTTTTTTTCAGTATTCGTTGGCCAGGAACCGGTGCGAGTTGGCAGTGTTCACGGCTTGACTAAATGTATTTGACTGTATCTACGTGTCTAGTCATACTACGGTACAATGTGGATAGGGTATACTACTGTATGAGCTGGATGCAGACCAAGATGTAGTATGTAGTATACCCAGGTAGTCTTGGAGCTACTTACTAGAGACTCCTAGGAAATACTGGAGAGGAGAGTCTCATTCTTGGGGCTTTTCGCAGAGGTACATACCCGTACCAATACAACGGAAAGCCCGGTGGAACGCCGATATCGAGGTGTTGCGTTTTTTACCTTCCTCTTTTTCTTCTTTTTTTCTTTTCCTTTCTCTCTCTTATAACTGTGATAATCCCTTTCCTTTTTTTCTTAATTTCTTTTCATTGCTTGTCTACTGCGTCTTTCTCCATTAGATCCGATGATACCGTGGAGCGCACGTCAGGCGCGATAAGTGCTATCAGCGGCCCCTCCGAAGCTCTCCCCAGCTCCTGAGCTCCCAAAATTCCAGAAGCTCCTGGGCGAAGGAGGGGAGCTCCGGGTGGCGAAGTTGCCAGCGCCACGTTACAGCGGTATTATACCGACCCACTTGTCTGTTCGATGTCGTATTAAAGAGATAAATATACATATGAATATGAATATGAATATAGAATATAAATAAAATATATAAGCTCATATTAGTATACCATATATAATGGGAGACAAAAGTAGATCAAAAACAATCGCAATTTGGAATGATAACGGCCCAAAAAAGGATCCCGAGGCATCCTGCAGTACCCCCACAGCCGGGTCTCGCCCTGGTTATTGCCCAGGAAGTAAGTACATGTACTTTGGAGTATCTGCAGCTCTGACCTAGCTCAGCTCCAACCTAATATTTCGAGTTACTCTCTATTCTTTATACATATACTGCAAGGTATACAAGGGATACAAGAAGACAAGATCATGTCAGAGTACAAGGTAATATTCGGTATTACCGTATCACCGGCTCTCGAACGGGGCACATGCCGAAGAGCATCTCAAAGCAGTCTGATTGGTGCAAAGCGAGCAGGCAGTGGATCCCGACAGTCGCAATTATCTTGACGGCCATTGGCTGCGGCAAGAGCGCCTTGCCGCATAAGGACGCCCGTGCATGGGACGAAAAAGTCTGCGGGAGGGAGGTTTCCTGTGATATACCAGTGCCTGAAGTATTTGGTACTATAGTCAGTAACATACTGTTCTTAATATAATATTAACCTCGCACTTCTGCCTGAAGTATATGCAGATATGAGTTTAAGTGAGCTTGTCTGTACTCCACCCGTGGAGCTTAGAGCTTGTTCATTACAGACTATGCCCCGGATCTCCAGCTATGTAAACATAATCTGAGGTCTGCCTCTGCTGAGCTAGCATACCAGCTATGTCTCAGTTCTGCAGGGTCCAGCTCGTCAAGGCAGCTAGCTATATTGTTGCCACTGTCGAGGGGTGAGTTTCTCGTCTTGTCGGGGAGACAGGGGTCTCGATGGCATGTTATACACCTCACCATACATGTACATGTACTCTGCCTTGCCATTAAAACTTATGCCTGGCGGTAAGGGGTGCGCATGAAACAAATGGTCTATTTTAATTTCAATACTTGCATTGTATGAATAACCAACGACATTACAATAGCACTATCAAAGATCTCCAAGACATCTACAAATTAGTAGTTCGAGAATAAACAAATCCAACAAACTCTAGACATGCTATGTACATAAACTCAGCCACCACGTTTTATAAAAAATCATAATCTATACCCGCCTGCATGATCTACTCTATACCAAACCCTAAAGTGGAGGTGTCATCAACCCAGTAGACGCAACAACACCCCCAGGCCGAGTCCGCTGGTCCTCCCCCGCAAAGAAAAGCAACACAGCCTCAGCCGCTGCCTTGGAGTCATCATCATCGTCCTTGCCGGGTACAAAAGCCCGCTGGATCTGCTCCAGATACGAGGCAACCCGTAGCGCGGGCCAGTTTGCGCGCCGGCCGAATTCCTGACACAGCTCGGTGTTGACGAAAGTGTCGAACTCGAAATGGCCCTGGTACGTCAGCACGCGGCCGGGGCAATACAGGCCCTGGATGGCGCATGCGGCGCTGTGCCCGATGTTCATCCACGGCGCGGGCAGCGGCACGTCGGCGTCGCTGGCTGCAGCTGTTGCGGACGGGGTGGGGACGACCCGATCGCCGTGGATGAGCTGGATGCAGAATGGAGTCTGGGAGGTAGCACGCGCGAGAGGAGGGAAGTGCGCGGTGAATGCGGGGTGCAGGGTGATGGGCTGGATACCCATCTCGAAGCCCTTGTGCGAGGACTGCACATGGAATGTGTGTGCAGAGTCTGCCGAGTCTTCGGTGTTGCCTGACAACAAGGCCTGGGCGATGATTTGGTGGCCGAAGCATGAGCCGAACAGCTTCACCTGCGGGTACTGGGTATGCACCGTCTGGATGAACGACTGCATGTCCCGGATCCAGGCCTCGTCGTCGTAGGCTGAGGCCGCAGAGCCCGTGATCAAGATGGCATCGATCACGCCCAATGGCCCACCGGCAGTGGTTTCAGCCGGAGTCCGCGGATTGGACCGCAAACATTCGAGCGGCGGGAGTGTTCCTCCCACGGCATCAAAGGCCGTGACGTGGACTGCTAGCGGTCCATTTTGCAAGGTCTCTGCAGTCTGGTTCAGGCGCTCGGCCGCTGCCTGCAGAAGCACGCGGAACTGCGAGCTATAAAGGCCTCGTCGCTGGTAGACGGATAGACAGGGAACGTCGGCGTCAAGGACTGCCACGTGGATCCTATGCGGTGCCATATACTGGGTGGGTCGTTACTGAAGCAGAAACCAAACTGACAAGAAAAGAACAGCACGCTGGAACTGGATCAAAAGCGAATAATCACAAAGAGAGAATCTTGGGCATCTGAAGAAAAGAATCGCATCGGATCCGATTTCCCGATCAGGATGTTTTCTGTGAGTAATCGGGTGGAGTGGGGAGCCCGAAGAGGCAGCCTGATCCCAAGCACTGATCTTGCGAGGATGAAGGTATATTCATCTGCTGCAGTAGTATGGGGGACATGATGATGAACATCGCATGTGGGAGAAGATTCGTCATGCGAAGCCATCGGTGGATGGATGGATGGATGACCAGAGTGCCAGCCTCAAATCCCAGGCAACAAAATTTGAGGCTCTGTGGCCCAACCAGACTCAATACTATGCAGCAAGACTATGAGCACTTGAAACATGTTATCCTCTCTTTTGCGACAAAGCCCTAGGTTGTTATTCGACTGGATCATCGCATGGGATCAGATTTCTCGGCCGGGTTTCTCTTCACGGGTTCATGATCGACTCCACGACGAGCGATGCACTGATGTTGAAAAAAGTGCATATGGAGACACAGTACTTATTCGGCCGAGAGTAAATACTGCAGAACCATTCGTGGGCCCGTCATTTAGCTCATGTAGGTCCATACTTGTAAGTATGGGGTGATCTGTGTAGATCATCGCAGGCATATTGATCTCTCCACGCATTTGGTCTCCAGCAACATTGATTGTTGATTAGTTTCGACACAGAAGGCAAGACTCGAGTGCCGGTTCATTCAACATCCAAGATCATTCATCCGAGACCCAAACCGAGCAGTTATCAATCGGTGCCGAGCCGCTTTGCGGGCCCATCACAACATCGACCCCCGCAAATTGCGCCATCGCCGACATACAAAAATTGGCATGCGAACGGCCATTTGTTTTGCTGGTTTTCGCTGGAAGTTGAACCAATCAGATTGTGGGTTGATGGCCTCGCACGCCATCCTGCCTGCTGGATTCCTCATATTCATGAATGACACTATTTGGAGTAAGCTCATCCAAGCCGAGTACATAAATAGAGACCAACCTGCTAGTTTCAACCCTGCTAGCTCTACGTCAAAGCACTCATCTAATTAATTCTGTTTTCTTCCTACTTTCTTTTCTTTTCCCCAGTTATCCACCAAGCATCATGGCACCGGCCCTCACTGATGCCCTCCCCACGGCTCCCCACAACCTCACCAGCTCCGTTCCGGTTGATGCCTTCCCCGATGGTTTGAAGACTACCGGTCAACACCCGCCTCTCTATGATCATATCAGGCCCTTCGACCGCTTCCCGCGCCAGATCACCGGCCCCACTGTCTGGAAGCCAGAGGAGTTCCGCGACAACCCAGAGAAGTGGACACACGTATTCAGCCCGGAGCAGATCGAGGAGCTCAGCACGGCAGCCGATGCCTTCCTCACATCCAAGACCCCACTCACAGGCATTTCAAAGGTATGAAAGAGCCAAGCATGCTTCCTACAAAGCATTTTTTTAGAATCTAACGCAGCGCAGAGCAACTTCCAACTCCCCAAGCTGGCCGACTATCTCGAAACTCTGCGCAGAGACCTGGTCGACGGCAAGGGATTTATCCTCTTCAAGGGCTTCCCCGTCGAGAAATGGGGCAACCACAAGTCAGCCGTCGCTTACATGGGCCTGGGCACGTACCTGGGCTACTTTGTGAGCCAGAACAGCCGCGGACATGTGCTGGGCCATGTCAAGGATCTCGGGGAGGACTCGACGCAGATTGACAAAGTGCGCATCTACCGGACCAACGCTCGGTATGTATTCCTTTCCTTGTATTCTGGCAATGGTAGTCCTCGACGCAATGCTGACTATGGCTAGCCAATTCTTCCATGCCGACGACTCCGACATTGTCGGTCTCCTCTGCATCGCTAAGGCCCTGGAGGGCGGCGAGTCCGACATCGTCTCGTCGCACCACGTCTACAACACGCTGGCCGTCGAACGCCCAGACGTGCTGAGGACACTGACCGAGCCGATCTGGTACTTCGACCGCAAGGGCGAGACCAGCAAAGGTCAGGACGAGTACATCCGCACGAGCGTGGTGTATCTGGAACGAGGCGAGAACGGGCGCGTGTACACAAAGTAGCTTCCCCTCCCTCCCCTTACCAGCTGCCCCTTAAAGAGAGAACAATATACTAACATTATTTATAGATGGGACCCCTACTACGTCCGCTCTCTCACCCGTTTCTCCAACGCAGGCATCATCCCCCCACTCTCCGCCGCCCAACAAGAAGCTCTCCACGTCCTCGAAGCAACCTGCAACCAACATTCCCTCCACATGATCCTGGACGTCGGCGACATCCAGTTCCTGGCCAACTCGCACATCCTGCACGCGCGCACCTCGTACAAGGACCATGCGCCGCCTGCACCGCGCCGCCACCTGATGAGATTGTGGCTGGCCACCCCCGAGAACGAAGGCGGCTGGAAGCTGCCGTTCTGGGATAGCAATGAGAAGAAGCGTGGGGGGATCCAGGTGGATGATCAGCCGCCGGTGGCGCCGTTGGACGCGGAGTGAATTTACTTTCAGTCTGTGTAATAAAATGATTATGATGTGTAGATATTTGAGCTGAGCATTTGAGAATATATGATACCTTTTTTCTTCCGATATTGGTGTTGATATTCATATAGTCTTCGTTCTCGTGTGGGTATAGCTGTTCAGTAGATGCTATGAGTATACATACAGTTCATTAGCTGGCGATTGCCCTATATAGCTTCCACTGGGATTATTATCAGCGGTGAATTATTCCGTATAACTTAATCAGGTCTAATGACTCTACCTAGCTATACAGTAAAGCATACCATCCACTGTATAAAGCCTCTTTCCTAATTAGCAAACCGTTCGTTCCCTTATGTTTTTCCTCAACCTTCCCCCAGTCACCAATCAGGGGCTGATAGCCTAGTGGAAGGTGAGCCCTTGCCCACGTCCCCAGCAGCTGAGACAGTGTTGGTGATTATGAGCTGCAAGTGGTGTATCACCCAACACGAAGCTGGAGGTCCCTGGTTCGGTTCCTTTTCTTTTTCTTTTTCTTTTCTTTTTTGTACTACTACGGATTTTCCACCTTCTTCTTTTTATTCCTTCATTGTAGATTTGCATCTCACTGCCAATGTCCTATCTACTCACTATCACTATAGAAATACTACTCAACATGAAGCTATATACTGACTGTCCCCTTGGGTATTTTCTGATCCATTCTGCAATAAGTCAATGCAACACCCCAGTCCACTGTTCTTCAAAACCTTGTTTATAAGGATGTACATAAAAGGCATGAACTATTTCAAAAAAAAAAAAAAAAAAAAAAATCCCGTCTGCAGAAAAGAGGAAAAGCTTCGAATCGGTTCATTGCCTCAGCCACCTGCCTCAGTTGGAACTGGCAGCATTCGAGAATCCTTCCTGAAACTGGGCGGCAGTAGTTACATATCCCCGGTTGGACAACACCTTGTTGATGAGGATATCATGCACATCTTCTTGCGGGTCGGCACACCCATCCGAGATGACAGACACAACATATTCAGCATCGCAGGCCGCCAGCGCCGTTCGCAGCACACACCCAGACGTGCTCAGTCCAGTCAAGATCAGCGATTTGATACCCTTCTCGTGCAAAAACCTTTCCAGGCCAGGCGATCGAAGTGCAGAAACATGCCCCGGGGTCCGGGTGAAGGTGACCTCGTTGTCATCTTGATTTTCTCGTAGCACAGCAGACTCCTCGCCGCCGCCCAGCTGTAGTGAAAAAGGAAACCTTTTAGCATATCGGCGTTCTTGCAGGTCGAGAAGGGCGTATCGTGGACGTCAATTAGCCCGTGGATCACCTGGATGTCTTGGGACTTGGCCCAGGTTCGTAGCTTGGCGGCGACTTCTAGGGCTGCGCGGGCTCGGGGGCCGCCATTTCTCTCCACGAACAGGGTGTGGAAGTCGAGGAGAAGCAGAGCGGTTTGGCAGGGGCCGTAGTGGCCTGGGTTGCTCTTGTTTGCGGCGTCGAACGAGGGAAAGTCTGCCATTGGGGCGGGTGCGACGACGGGTGTATCGATGGTTGAGATTGCAGGTGTAACTCGAATGCAGAGATGTTAAGGGGATGGTGAAGGGAGGTAGTCCAAGTGACGAGAAAACTGGATATGTTCACATCGTCTGGTTGTGCTGAAATGTTGGTGCATTAGATGAGCGGGAACGGGCCGGTACCGGCATGCCTACTGAAGATGTCCACTGAAGTATACGCCTCAAGAAAGCAACGATGTGATGTTTCTAGGCAGCACTCACCTTTACATTATCGACTCCACAAAATCCCAACCCACGTGCTCTGTGCGAGCAAAATAAGCCTTTCCCTTTATGCTGTGCAACTCGATCGCAGAGATCCATCGGGTTAATCGAAACCTCACGCTCATCGGTTGACGTGAGGACTTGCCGGGACCGGGCCACCACCGGACCTCGACCGGGGTTTACTTGGACTAGTCCAATTTGAGTCGCGGCGAAGAGTGTTTTTTTATCAAAAAAAAAAATGAACTTGCACCTGCATCCATCACCCAGCAATGAAGAATCTCGAAAAAGACAGGGACCCGTTCCCCTCGGGTGACTCGGCCGAGCAGAGCGAGTCGGCACCCGAAGCCGTCGATGCACAACCAGCGAATCCTCGCGAAAGACACGAGCCCACACCGAGACAGCTTGAAAGTGGAAAATACAACGGAGGCGCGCCGAACAGCGACAAGGATCCTAATCTGGTGAGTGTGTGGTGTTCGAAGACGCAACTTCAACATACAAGCTGACGCTGTTGTGTATAGGTGACATGGGATGGACCGGATGACCCTCAAAATCCCAAAAAGTGGTCGCTCAAGAGACGGTGGTTAGCAACTAGTCTGGTATCGCTCATCACATTCATGACACCGATCGCCTCGTCTATGATCGCTCCTGCCGAGTCTGTCATCGCTCACGATCTCGAGGTTCATTCCACCTTCGAGTCTGAGCTCATTTTCTCCATTTTCTTACTGGCCTTTGTGATCGGCCCGCTCTTTCTTGCTCCACTGAGCGAGGTCTTTGGGCGTGTGATCATTCTCCAAATTGCTAATATCGTGTGTACACCCTTTCACCTCTTGAACATATAACGTATACTAATACTCCAAACTAGTGGTTTCTCATCTTCAACTTCGTATGCGGGTTTGCTCAAAATGTCAGTCAAATGCTTGCTTTTCGCTTTCTGGCCGGGCTCGGAGCATGTGCACCACAGACAATCGGCGGCGGAGTCCTCTCCGACTTGTGGACGTCAGAAGAGCGTGGGATGGCCGTGGCGATTTACACCTTAGCCCCCGTGCTAGGCCCATCTGCAGGCCCGCTGATGGGAGCCTGGATCACGGAAAGGACCACATGGCGGTGGTCTTTCTGGGCGGTTACAATCTTCGGAGTCACCGTTCAGGTGTTGATTTATTTCACGCTGTCCGAGACATTCGCTCCTCGAATCCTGCAGTGGAAGGCTGAGAGATTGCGTCGGGAAACCGGAAATGACCAGCTGCACACCGAGTATGAGACAGAAGACCGTAACATCAAGACAGTGTTGAGTCGTGCCCTCGTCCGGGTGGTCGTTCTTCTCAGCACCCAGCCAATTGTCCAGTTTCTTTCCCTGTACATTGCCCTGATCTATGGCGTCATTTACCTGATGCTGGCAACATTCCCGGCTGTCTGGACTGAGGTGTATCACGAGTCGATCGGGATAGCAGGCCTGAACTATCTATCGCTCATGATCGGGTTATCCCTAGGAGCCCAGACGGGTGGGCGACTCATTGACCTGGTTTATCGCCGGCTCAAATCCCATGCTCCAAACCAAGAAGGACGCCCAGAGTTCCGGGTCCCGATCCTGTTTCTGTCGACTTTGCTGGTTTCCGGTGGTCTTTTTATGTACGGCTGGTCGGCGCAAGCGCGCACACACTGGATCGTGCCCAATATCGGTGCAGCCATCTTCGGCGCCGGGGCCACTTTGACGTTTACGAGTCTGCAGATCTACACTATTGATTCGTATCAATTGTATGCCGCGTCGGCCGTGGGAGCTACCGCCGTGGCAAGGAGTGCCACGGGATTTGCCTTTCCTTTATTCGGGACCTATATGTTCCGTGCTCTGGGCCGCGGCTGGGGGAATAGCGTGCTGGCTTTTGCTACGCTCGGAATCGGATACTCGGGGTCGCTAGTGCTGTGGTTCTTCGGCGAACGGTTGCGCTGTGCCAGCCATTATGCGGCGGACAAATGAGGAGACAGAGAATGCAGTTTCTATTCAAGGAGATGCTTGCTACAATGGAGAGATCCATGGATGGTCTGATTCTTTCTTGCTAACCAACAACTATTGCATACCTATGGTGGCTCAACATTGTACTTGATAAAACTCTCACATAAATCGCTTCACAAAAGCTTCCTTCCCACCCAATTTCTTGTTGTCTCTAGTCCGTACGAGAACACCGAATAAGACTTCGTATCTCTTTCATGTCCTCGGACTCTGAGGATCATGCTGCATCCCGAATTCCCCCAGCCCGACCCATAGAACTCCCCCCGTCTCTGGGAGACCGCCAGTTCAATGTTGGCAGCTTCGCAAGCTGAACGCACTTGATCTCCACGTGGATCTGTGTCCTTCCAAGGCTCCCCGATCAGCTCGATTGTGTGCAAATTAGGGACATAGTTTTCTCGAGTGGTAACCAGCTCCAGCAACTGGGACGGGAACCAGGGAATCTTCGCAGGGGGGTATGCCATGACAAGATGCAATGTTTCAAGGGACGGGGAAAGGCAATCTTTCAGATGCAGCGTTGGCACGCTTTTGGGATGGACATATTCCAGCAACACAAGAGAAGGGAGCTGGAAATGCAGGTGCTTGAGGGTGGTGAACTGGACGAAGCATCCATGCAGGCCTCGTTTCAAGCACAATCTCGCCAGCGGGTGTCTGCGCTGGATTATTTGCAGAGGAACTTTCTGCGAGTACGATGCCTGAGCTCTTTCGTCGTGGGCATCGATCAAGATCGACTCCAGGGTGTGTTTGTGCTTGTCGATCGACAGTAGCACGCTGAATGGCGTTCCTATCACAAGCTGTCTCGGCCCGTTTCCTCGCCAGTCAACAAAGGCACGACAGGTGATGTGGAGAGACTTGAGTCCGTTGCACGTCCACACCAGGTTGTTGAGGCAGCCGAAATGGTCGCAGCCTCGGAGGTCCAGTGCTGTGAGATTCAGGCTCTGTCGCGGAGCTGCAGCTAAGCGGTCTCTGGCCCGGTCTTGGGCGTTGCGGGTCTGGTTGTAGCGTGGGTTGCCGACGTGCCACCCGCAGACTTTCCGAAGGGACGCAAAGCTGAAGCAGGACTTGACCAGGCCTGGGGTCAAGCCGTCGAGATCTGACGAGGAGACATACACCTCGGCCAGAGCGGGAAATGCCGGTGCCGTGTGAAAGGGGGGTCGTTTGCTCACGGCACGAGCAAGCATTCGTGTGACATGATTAGGACACTTTGTCACAGATGGGAACACTATCCACAAGGCCTGCAGGTTGACTAGGCGCGGGATGATAAGTGCAAGCCAAGCATCTGGTTTGCCGGCTTTGATGTCTTGCATCCAGGTGACTTGCTCATCCTCTGACTGGCTGTAGGCTTTAACGGCAATGTGTACCTCGGGAATACAATCTTCGTTGTCAGCCTGAGCTGTGGGGTTTGTGCTCCAGTGGTGGAGCTCGAGTGTCTGGACAGCCTGGCCTAGCGTAGGTCCTTGGAGGATCCTTTCCACGAAGGAGTAGAAGAGCTTGCGTCGACGTTGAAGATTGGGACGCACACTGGGGTTGGTGTAGAGAGATTTTAGAAGCTTTTTAGAGAAGCTGCGACAGCAGAGGAGGAGGTTTAGTCGGTCTTGCTGAACTGGTAAGTGGTTTTGTGAGATTCGCTGGATGATCTCCAGAGGTAGGTCCAACAACTCCGGCATGGTAGCTAGAAGCTCTCTCCTGGAGTGTAGGAAGTAGAAGAGTGTAGGATGTAGAGAGGAGAGCAGGGTGTAGGAGAGATTCAAGAAACAGATAAAAGACAGTCTGCTTGTATTCACTTCGCTTAGGCGACTCGAGGAAGCGTACTGGAGATAAGAGAAAGCATTAATAGCCTTACTACCTAACCTTACTCCTATTACTGGTAATTTATCACTACCTTTCTACCTTTTTATTTCTACCTGATCTCTGCCTTACTTATAGCGTAGAGCAGGAATAAAAATGTCCCCGCGGAGTTAGATCACTTGAGACATTATTATGCCTTGGGATCAAGGGTCTTGTAATAACCAGGGGATTTTCCAGAGTACCAAGTAGAAAACTCGACAAATGATGATGAGGCAAGTAGGCACATTTGCATACTTGATGCTCCAGTAGCCCTCAGAGCTTAGAATTACTGTAGCAAAAGAATCTATCGCAACATCAAGAACAGCAGTCAACTGTTAAGCAAGACCCAGTATTTCTCACTGATCCGGCATCAACACTAGACTTGCCGTCGTTGAAAAACGGCTGTTGTTTCCCTGCACCCGCCATCTTAGCCTGCTGCACTTCAGTGATGCAGGCCTTGGCGGAGATAGTGATATGGTGAGTGCATATAAGGAGATTGGAACTTGGCCTTGCTCAATAAAAAGGCCAACTCTCAGTCCCTTTTTCAAAGATCCAGGGACAGGGATTTGGCGCTGCTAATTTGGGTCCAGCAGTTGGCTGTTGCAGCGCTGTAGGGGAGCATTTTAAGCACATTGAGTGTTGTTTGTCGGATACGTGGGGAGAATGGAAGTTACGATATGAAGCCGGGCCATGTTGAATAGGGTGAGATTGACCAAGACAAATAAACTTGAGAGTTCAAAGACTTTGTCAGTGTTTGTTAAACTGGAAAACGGTTTGATCATCTTGTGTCTTTCAGAAGTAACTGAGTCCCACAACTTCAATGGCATCATCGACCAACGAGTGATTATATATCAGATGTAAAAACACTACGAGGGGGGGGAAAAAAAAAAAAAAAAACCAAAGCCGAGATCTCCAGGATGCAATCACTTCGTTATAAGAAAGAAAAGAAGACAAGAGTGTCTACTTTGGTACAGCAGTCGGAAGTCCACCACTCCAAGATCTATAGCTTTCCAGTAAATTCACGTAGAAAAGAGCATACGAGTCAGAAAACAACAGCCCACCTAACGGAAAGCGGATAACATCTAGCCAAATAAAGGGAATAAGAAGGCCTTCTAATAATAGAATCTGTTAGTCAGGATCGGGGCCATAACGCCCAGCCTCGTACAGCATACATGAGACCCATATTCCTTCTCTACCACTCCTACTATGGAATGAATATACCTTGGCCTTCAGCTGGAAGCCTCTCACATCAGATAGCATATATGCTGTGCGACGATCGCGAGGTCGACGAACCGGGGGAAGAATCAGATTAGAAACCTAACCAAGAACTCTCCTTCCCATGGACCCACTGATCAAAATCAGATAAGAACACAGTGCGAAAACAGAGCAGTCCAAGTGCACAAAAGCAAATCGTCCTTGGAATAGTTTACTTGTATGGATCATAGTACGTCGAGTCTATGATATAATGTATGAGACACAAAAAATCAAGGCTACCAGGGTTACCAAGGTTACCAGGCTCCGCAAGATGAGAGATTTATCTGATCGATCGATAGGGGCAATCCGGGGGCCAAAAAGCACAGCTCCAGCTGGAAGGATCTTCCCCCCTCCTCGCCCGGTGCTAGTGTGGTCCGATGTAGGATTAGGCCACAGGAAGAAAATTTATAGAGGGTTGGTGGGGGTATAAAGAGAGTGTGCCCGATTCCTGCAAGGCATGGTCATTCCAAGTTCTCTCCTCTCCATAACGCTTCCTATCTTTCTTCTTTTTCCCTCGTCTCCAAGACCTACACGTCATAATGCAACTCTTCAACATGGTTAGTCTTCCTTCAATCCATTTTTATGCAATTCCATCTCGTTCCAGATCACCCAGCTCACACTCTCGCTCTCTCTCTCTCTCTCTAGATCGCTGTCGCTGCGCTCGCGCTCCTTTCCGGCTCCCAGGTGGTCTTGGCTGATTGTGGCACGCCTGAGCAGTGCTGCAATGCCGCTTGCCCTCCTTCCAACGCGGCCCAATGTGTGGCTCAGTGCCACGCCACTTATGGCGGCAAGTAAACAGACATGGTGTTGATATGAAGTGGATGTCAGAAATGGGAAATGTATCTACGTCCAAACGAGAATATGAGGATTTCCTATTTCAACTACGTTCTCACTAGACCCGTCTGCATATTGCTTCTCCGACGCTCTTCATATATACTCCACCAGATCCCTTCCATCAGTAACCGGTTTAGTTCCCTGTCAACTTAATCGATTGCTCAGTCCCCTCGACTCGCTCAATGGCTATTATCCGAGTCAGCTATTTCTCTAGGTATCAAAAATCAGATGGGACAGGAGCAGTACCATAGTAGGGATCGCCGTCCAGATATCCAAGCGGATTGTTATCTCTCTTAGTAGGTCCGGGAGAGCCGGCAAAGCTGATTTTACATCTATTCGTTTCTTGTCAGCAAGTTTTGAAAGGAACCTCCAGGAAATGCGGATGATTACTCAAAGGTGGCTATCCTATTTGCGAGCCCTTTCCAGGCCTTCCGTATGGTTTGGCCGTCCGAACAGAGTCCATTCACGCCCGCATATGGGTAGCGCTGCTGGCCCATGGTATTGGCGGCACAAATAACCCATGTGGAAGATCCCACATTTGCTGTAACGGGGCCGTTCTTCGCCTCCGCTGGCCTGTTCATAGTCCCCGGCGAGAACGACTGATCTGGCCATTGGTCTTCCGGGTTCTATCCGATAGATGGATAGGAGAGGAACAGGGTAAGGTTCCGCTTGTGATACCAGCTCAGGTTGTTCGGATCGTGGTGGTCTGATGCTGACATGCCGGGGACGAACTCTTTGGGCTGCTCTGTTGGATATGGCATCAGGCGCTGTCGATTGCCGAGTCCGCGGGCAGCCGTCCAGTCTTTTAAGTTCCAGCGGGATCAGTGGGCATTGGCTTCTGTTGGCTAGCCGGGCGTCTAGACGTGGGAGAGTTTGTAACTTCACCCCAATATGGAAGAATGTTGGTATAATCGACTCGGATGTTGATCTGTTCGTCTGCTCGCTGAATAAGATGGAAATTATAGTCAAACGTTAAGGTATAGACTCCTAGACTCTGCCAGATAGGACTACCACATGTAAACTGTTTCTTTAACCGGCTTCCCATTCTTATTATCAGTAGCACTCCTTTTCTCGACAGCCCATGTTGGTATGCCTTGGGAGGGCTCCTCGACTGGGGTCATCGAGACAACTCTAGCTCAGGGCCCTTCTCCAACATGGTCTGGCAGCTGAATGATGGTATCCTCGGCGCTCTTATGGAAGATCTGGCGGCACTCCTTGGACTAAGCAGGGTGGTTACAATATACAAGCACCGTCTCCTCTGAGTGCTCAAACACCGAGTCCATAACCGTCCGGTTTGTGGTGACAATAGTTCTCTTCTAGAGATACGTAGGTTCTTTTCGGGTGACAACTGTGTACTTCCTATGAAAGGCATTGTCGATCGATCCCGGCGGCCCATCCAACATGACAAAACCCTAGGGATCGGTGCCGGGGTCATCTTCCATGACTCCCGGCATCGTGTCTTTGTTGTTATTACCAAAGTTGTCGCTGAACTCCCAAGTGACATCGTCATCCTTGGAGTCGTAGCAGTGGCTCCAAAGATAACTAGGCTCGACGGGCCCTTTCTTGCCGTACCGAGAAGGAGGCTCGCAGCACAGTGGGTATTGGGGCATTCTCATCGGCGGGATCGGATACCCGGGGGTCCCAATACACTCTCGTGAAATCACCTTATAGTCTTCTTTTTTCCATGACGGGAGTAGAGCTGATGTGATTTGCAGTTTATCTTTGGCGCACTGTGCTGGCTTGCAGCCTAGCTCATCTCTTCTCCAGACGCATTTTTCGAATTTGTCTGTGATGGTTATTGGACCTTAAAACTTGAAAGGGAAATTAAATGTTGGGATTGTCTACAGCGTACCGTTTTTAGGACAGCAGAATGCTTGAGAGGGCTGACGATACGAGTTGGGTCCTTGTTCTAAACCGCAGGGGCCTGCAAAGAGATGAGCAGTCAGTGACCAAAGAGACCTTGGGATAGAAAATGAGAGATGATTGCTTACTCCCTTGACCATTATTGTATCGCCGCGTTGTTGCGACCTCATTATCACCGCAGAGGTCTTTATCAGGAACCATTTCAGTGGAAACCCAACAGCAGTTGCTCCAATGACACTTCTGTAGGATCTCGGTGCTATCATAGCAGAGCTAAAAAGCAAATCATGATTAGCGGTTAAGGTCTCTAAATTTAGAGAATTTTGTAGCCCAGAATTCAGAGCAATACTCACACTGCGAGCTCTAGAATAGCAGTTTCCCCGACCCTTGGCATCGAGATATGTATCAAGATTGAGCTCGAACTGCGACCTACCACAGCCACGCGTACAGCCAAAGACCGAGCGCTCAGGAGCTCCGACCCACTCGCAGTTGCGCGGAAGAGCCTTAGTCGGGCAGCAGATGGATCGCCATGAGCTGTTTTCACATTCTCCCTCCATGGGGAAATCACGATTCTTTTGGATGGGCGCGTGTGCAACTTCGACTGCCGCGTAGCCGCCCTTGCATACCTGATCCGGGTCTCGTTAATCCCGATTGCTATTCGTGCAGCTTGGGGTGGTGTAGCATAACTGGCCTGTCCATGCGGACAGGTCAAAGGCAAGCCGCTCCGCTTCTTGGGCGTCCAGCCCCGTGTGTCGTAGCGCACCCTCCATGGCTTCCTCGCCAAACAGACCCGTCATGGCTTGATGGTCCTGCGTGTCGAGATCCATGGACCAGATCATCAAGCCTTTGAGGCAGCGCGAGAACAGGTATTTCTTAGCCTCGAACGACTCACTGTCGTCGAAGGAAATCCACTGCGCCAACTCAGCGCCTACTCGACTCTCTATATGTCCGTTGTTCGACGAGCCAAACTAACCTGGTTGGAACCGTATACCATCCATTTTACTGATGACTTCTTGTCATACGATGTCCTGGACCCCAGTTGGCTTTGGCGGCTCATTACCTCTGCACAACCTGTCAGAATTGCTGGACTTCGTCATCATGAAAGGATGTTGAACCAACGCACCGGAGTACGACAAAACACCAGGCTCGCCAGTGCATTCCCCGGAAAATCCCGCACTGTCAAACCTACACGATGGAGGTGTTGAGCAGGACACATCGGACATGGTGAATGACCTTCCGTAGAAGCCAACCCCCATGACGACCTTGTTAGGGCTGACGCTATTTCTCCATAGCAAGTCGAATCCCTCCTCAATCTCAGTCAGGTTTGTATGGCCCTTTACATAGGGGCCCGTCCAGAGATTCTTCTGGTCCCATAGTCCGTGGATGTCGTAGGTCATGATGTTGAACCAGTTCACGTATTTTTTTCAATCTTTTCAAGTCGAACCCTCTCAGGTACCAGTAGCTTGACGATAGTGTCAGAGTTAACTGCAAGCCTGGGTCCTCTCGGTCGAAGGCGGCACGGATAGCTGTACAAAGGAGAACGTAGTTCTGGTAGTCTGCCTCGATGCCATTCGCGAAAACCGATACTGGGTAGGGGGCTCATTGAACACCCATCCGCCTGAATTATTTCTAAAGAAGAAATATAAAAATTAAGCTGCAAATCAAAAGGACAATGTGGGGACAATCATTACCAAGCGCAATATTGACCCACAGGCCGGGGTACTTCCTCCTGAGACGCGACATCCGAGCAGCAATAGGACCCCTATCATCGGTGATTTCGTGATCCTCGCTAACATATTCGAAGGCCAGATTGATATGCGTCAACGTCCCCGCGGGGATGTTCTCCGGCAGATAGTCATCGCAGCCTCCGCTTGCTCCCCACATCCCGTAGTAACAGATCCGGACGGGCAATGACATGGCATCGGTGCACTCGGAGCATTGCGGCCGCCTGGTTATCGTTGCTATGCTGATTGCAAATTGCTTTAGAAGGGTTACTTTGTTTGTGTGGGGGCGTAGTCGGTGGATATAATATGGATTGACATCGAGTCCGTGTATAGTCCGCACAGAATGTATGGAAGGAGCAGAGCCTGTTTCATATTATTATTATTATTATTATTTAAAAATATTTTCTTCTTGGATGACCGTCTATTCCATTAACTAGGCTAGGCCTCAATGGACAGGACATTGTTGAAGCATAGCAGATTTCCTCTTTGGGTGTACTCAGAGACTTCGTGCTGATTGGTCAGTGCTGAAGTATACCAGGGCTTGGCAGCATTACTCCAAACAACTGCGCTGAATAGCTTCAACCACAGAGGTAAACAATTAAGCGAAATGAACTCATATTCATCAATCATTCGTACAGGGTATAGGGCCGACCACAACTCCAGAAATACAGGACAGTCCATGCCACTTCCAACACTACCCTAGGTAGCAATCCATCAATGCCTAATGCACGATTTTGTAGTTGCCGCCACTCACAATCTCCAACTTCCTTCGGGAAACCATACCAGCCAAGAACTCGCGCAGCTCTTCATTACTAAACGGGAATCCACCGGGCACGACGATCTTCAGCATCATGATGACGCGCTGCAGAGGCATGGGCCCCTGGTTGGTGAGCATGCCCACGATGAACTGCCAGTACAGATTCATCTTCTCCATGGCGGCCGCTTCGGCCGACTCCTTGGCAGCGGCTGCTGCAGCTGCCTCTGCCGCCACGGCGGCATCGACAGCGTCACCGGGGGCACCGCCGGCGCCCTCCATACCAAAAGCATCCGGTCCATCCGCCAAGCCGTTGTGCTCGGTCTCGGAGGGGAGAACTTCAAGGACGCGGAAGGTGTCGCGCTGGACTTCGGTTAGGATACGCTTGCTAACCCAGGACAGACACGCGCTGCGGACGAGAGCCACGGCCATCTCAAGCTCGTTGGAGAGATCGGTGACTGTCCTTGTCACGGGCTCGCCCGACTCGGATTCGGAGTGGAAGGCATAAATCACAGTCGCCTGCCACGTTGTCACCTCGTCGACGAAGGTGCGATTTTCAAACTGCAGCTCGACAGTCACTTGGCCCAGGCCGTTACGCCATGTGAGCTTGCGCGACTGCTTGAGGGCCTCGAAGCCGGCCTCGTACCGCTGCTGCAGTGCTGCAATCTCGTCTGGAACCTTGAATTCCTGGTCTTGGATTTCCGGCCAGAAGAAACGCGAGAGAACCTTGGCGTGCATCTCTGGATGTTGCCTTGCGGAATCTGGCCGACTGCCCGGAAGAGGCTTGGACAGCCCCTGGTCCTTTCGCACGGTGGTATCGAGGCGTCGAGAATCGTGTATATCTCGAAGCATCACTTGGCATGCCTGCAATGCCGAATCGCCGAACCGCAGCTTGAGCAGTTCCAGAACAGATGTCTCCTGGTCGTACATTTCCCGGTTCTGGAGCAGCCGGTCTGCGAGGAGAGTCTGCATCTCCTTCACAAACGTCTCCTTCGAGTCGAACAGACTGACCAGGCTGTCAATGACATCAGAGCTCTTCGACTTGCGATAGTCGGGCGCCGCGTCTACAGGATCCGGCGCCCAGTTCATGTCATCGTAATCCAGTTCACCCATGTTAGTCCGCAGGGAATTCTGGTGCGCCTTATTCAGCTCCGCTGCCAGCTCTACCAGAGTGTCGCCGCTGGCAGACACGGCCGGTGCACCAGCCGGCGGTGGCTCCGCGAGAAGACCACCAACAATCACCTTGACCGTGTCATCACGGTCTCTCAGATACCGCCTGATCGGCCGAGCGATGCGATCAAGAAGAACACCCTTTGGATCGAGGAGATGGAAGACTCGAATAATCGAGATATACAGCTGCAAGATCTCTACCGTGGAGGCTCCTGGGTGTAACAGCCGCTGGTTCAGGCTCGCAATAAAGGATTGCGTGACATAAGCCCGCGCCGCGGGATGGGTTGTGAAGTGTCGTAGATCCTCCACAGCCCCAGTGCTTGCAGGCCATTCAACGATCACGTCGAAGAGTTCACTGGTGCGCAGGGCTCCAAGCCGAGCAATGCCAATTTCTTGCCACTTTTCCACATCTCCAAAGCTCACATCAAGCCCACTCGAGGCTTGAATTCCGGCTGGAGGCGTGTGGATAATAGCCAGAACCTGCACCGCGAGCCGTGCAAAGACGTTCTCAATCCATTGCCGCAGGTGTTGCGGTACGGATGTGGGCGTCTCCCACTGGCCGGTATACGCAGCGCGAACGAATGCAGTCATCATGACATTCATCACACTCGCGAACACCTTCTGGGCCTTGTCACCGCCAAGGCCGACGAGCTGCAGCGCATTGAGAAAAGCCAGAAGTCGGTCCCGCGCCATAGTGACCCGACCATCCTCGCCTTCCGTCATCATCTGTGCTCGCGCTTCAGGGGTCTCCTGTTTCCAGTCCTCGTACGACACGGAGTATTGCCGATCCACTTCCATTTCGTCTTGACTGGCATCATCGGCGTCCGAATCTTCCAGTAAAGAATCAATGCTCAAAATCACCAAAGCATCCCGGGTGATTTCTCCAGCAAGAAGTGTTGATATGCGCGACCACGGCAGGGAATACGAAACCACCGTATGCAAACCGCGCTGCAGCTGCGTCAACACCAGTCCTTGCTCGGGGGTAGCCAGTAATGGCAATAGGTAGTGGACAATTGGCGCCAGGTATATTCGACGTGCTAGTTGCAAGCAGTCTACGATCATCCGTAGGAGACCTTCTTTGTCCGAGCTCTCGAGGAGCTATAGCACTTGTTAGCATCATCTAGATTAGTGGACAGTGCATTGATACCATACCTCGTATAATCCAGCTCGAAGGTTGACAAGAAAATGCCGCCGTATCTCATCACCATACCATTCAAATAAAGCCCGCACAGCAGCCACACTCTCGGGGCTCTTCACGGGTTGGCCCGAAGCAGTCAGATACGCCAAGGCCTCGGCAGTCTCCTTCGATGGAGGACTGAGCCGGTTCCATTCCTTCAGGGCTTCGCTTCCATCTGTTTCTCGAAACTTATAGAGCGGCGCGAACCCGCGGTCGGGAACCGCCAGAAATGCCGTCGCCGCACGCCAGGCATGGTTCCATATGTCTTGGCTATCGTGGGTCGAAATAAACGATGTTTGGGAATCGGCTTTGACCGTCGAGGATGAGCCAATGGATCCCTGGAATGAAGGAGCGTCTGTCGGGTCGTGATCGAAAGCCGACGCGAAGGTCGGCGGGCGGGCTTCGAGCGACGCGGGGGAGAAGACCGAGCCAAACACGCGCCGACGTCCCGCATTGAGGGGGACGGTTGACAGCATCGTGGTCAAGGGATATGGAGCATTGTGCGATTCGACCGGAATTATTTGGATCTCTGAGCTCGGCGGACGATGATGGAATGGGTGTTTGGGGGAGGCGCGTGGTCACGTGTGGTTGTGTACCGCATCAACAGTCGGGCAGACAGTGAGATTTCGTTGAATATCGGACTACAGGGGCCGTCTCCGAAAGTATCTTTTGATAATAGTAGTTTTGCTATGTTTGGAAATGTCCACTCAATAATCACTTCATAAAGAAAACCATCTACTGAATCGAGGAGGGGGTATCTCTCAGACAAATGCGCTTCCACCGGGATATGTGTAGCTCTGTACGAATCGAGGATCAAGGATAAGCAGGTCCCGTGTCACCGGCTCCCTGCACGACGACGTAACCGCTTCACGGCTACAGTTGAGTATCCACCTTCTCCCACTCGCTATCGGTACTGCCGTAACCCGAGCTATCCCCGCTCATGCTGGGCCGCTTGTGGGCATCCCGTCCGACGGGCTGCAGTCTCGCCGACGACGCACTTCCGGTGGCTATGGCCGAGGACCGGGGGATCGTCGCCCCGGAGGCAAGGGTCTCGGTTTCCGTTTCACTGTCGGCACTGTCCACGGCGGAAGTCTTCTTCGAGCTCTTCGCGCTCGCGTCGGGTCGGGGGTTGTCGGGGTCGGGCTGCTGCTTCTTGCGTTCTGCGTCCTGGGCCTGCTGGGCGAGTCGCACCTCGGCGGCGAACCAGTTAATCGAGTACCAAAGCCCTCCACATAGCAGGGACAGGACCACGAAGTGGATGCTGTAGGTGGCCAGCAGGAGCAGGAAGAGGACGAGCTGGAGCGCGGCAAAGGTGACGTTGGTCGCGATCAATAGTGTGGGGGTGGGGCCCGGGGTGAAGACGCTGGACCACAGGTCTTCCACAAAGGAAGCCATCTTGAAAGCGTTGTCTGTGTAAGGTGGTCGGGGAGTGGGGGATGGTGGGAGTGACGTGCGGAAACTGGAATCCGTGGGGAAGCAGAAACGGCTCAGGCAGACGCCGACGATCCACACGATTCACGGATGGAACACTACGAAGCCACGACACCACGAAACCACTAGAAATACGGGGGAGATGAGAAGAGAAAAATAATTAGATATGCGGGATTCCGAAGTGGAACGTGGAACAGAAGGTGGGTTTCCCCGTGGGGATGTGACTACTCCTTAATACCCCCAGGGCTGGTTGTTATGATGATGATTATGACTATCTTTCTTACTGGATATTATTAACTATTCCATAGAATGAGAACCATGGGACAGTCTTTTGTCATCCCCCAGTCTCCTTAAGCTCATCTGAGCCCCGATCAGGCATCATGCAACTTGCACGCGACCGGTTAGCCCTAATCCTTCCGAGACCTTCACGGCCCGAGGATGGCGGATATTCGAATCTCCTCAGCTGCAGCATGTTGTCACCGTCCAGGAATATTCCGAATCCATGAACGGCGCTTATACCCAACGGGGGCTGGAAGGAGGGAGATGGGCTCGGAGGGAAGCCGAGTTTCAGCCCCATCTGGGAACAGCAAGAGTGCCTGGATACCAAAAGCTGTCTCTCATATCTCTCATGAGAGTGATTTGGAAATTAAATCGAATGACATATACAGTTCTCTAAGTGTGAGGATACTGCAGGTGAAGAATGTTGTTCGTCATGGCAGTACTTGAGTATACAACATAGCCCTAACTCCTTGACTAGGAGCTTTGGAAGTATAGCCAGAGATAGGGGAGACCACCATAATTCCAATAGCCCCAATCACCAATCGGCGGCATTCTATTGACCAAAAGCCACGGGGGTTTCCCCAAGCTAAATCATTGATCATCGTGCCGGTTGCCTCTTTGCGGTAGCTGGTCCACGGGTGCCATGAAAACCACATTTCTTACCCCGACTTGCCCCCCCCGCAAATCGGGATCGGTGTTTGGAGGGGAAACCGGGGTCGGATCTATACCGAATGCAGTGTAAATGATACACGAAAAAAAGAGGGGAAACTATAAATATGAGCGGTGATTCCATGGCGTAGTTGCCGGGGGTGTTTTTTTTTTCCCCGTTCTCCCTTCCCATCTCTTTCTTTCTGATTTGCTTGGATTGTATTGTCTTCCGACAATGGTTGACGACTTACCCCCAAAGGAGCTATCCCCAGACGGCCGCTCCGTACAGGGCTTCACCCACCATGCTGAGAACATCACCGCAGACCGCGAGCCCTACGGCCCGCCAGGACTGCGCGGGCTAGTCAGTAATCCGTTCGTGTTACTATGCGCCACATGCTCGACACTCGGAGGACTGGTCTTCGGCTATGACCAGGGCGTCGTCTCCGTCATCCTGGTCATGGACCAGTTCCTGGAACAGTTCCCGCAAGTCTCCAAGTCGGCGGCGGGCGCCGGGTTCTGGAAGGGCCTGTTAACAGCGATGATTGAGCTGGGTGCATTGCTGGGTGCGCTGAACCAGGGCTGGATCGCGGATCGCATCTCGCGCCGGTACTCAATCCTCGTGGCGGTCGCTATATTCACTGTTGGCTCGATTCTGCAAACTGCCGCGGTCGACTATGCCATGTTGACGGTGGCGCGGTTGATTGGCGGTGTTGGGATTGGTATGTTGTCCATGGTGGCGCCTCTGTACATCTCCGAAATTAGTGAGTATACCCCCTCCCATAACAGAAAGCAATGACAGCCCTAACACACTGTTGTCAGGTCCCCCCGAATGCCGCGGAACCCTCCTCGTCCTCGAAGAATTCTGCATCGTCCTCGGCATCGTCATCGCCTTCTGGGTAACATACGGCACACGATACATGGCCGGCGAATGGGCCTGGCGCCTCCCGTTTCTGTTGCAAATGATCCCCGGCTTCGTCCTCGCTGCGGGGGTCTACATCCTCCCCTTCTCGCCACGCTGGCTCGCCTCCAAGGGCCGCTCCGACGAAGCGCTTGAGAGTCTGGGCAAGCTGCGCCGGCTGCCGACCTCGGACATGCGCGTGCGCCAGGAGTTCATGGACATCCAGGCCGAGGTGCGGTTCCATCAGGAGATGAATGCGGAGAAACACCCGAATCTGCAGGGTAGCGGAACTAAGAATGAAGCCCTGCTGGAGCTGGCATCTTGGCTTGATTGTTTTAAGAAGGGCTGTTGGCGGCGGACTCATATTGGGGTGGGTATTATGTTCTTTCAGCAGGTGAGTGATCAGTCCCCCACCCCCCTCTACCTCCAATTAATTGTTTTTTTTTTTTTTGTGTTCATGGGATGCTGATTGTCTGTGCAGTTCGTCGGAATCAATGCCCTAATCTACTACTCACCATCCCTCTTCGAGTCCATGGGCCTCGACACCAGTATGCAGCTGATCATGTCCGGTGTCCTCAACATCCTGCAGCTGGTCGGTGTCACCACCAGCATCTGGACGATGGACACTCTTGGTCGACGCAAGCTTCTGCTGGGCGGAGCCACTCTCATGGCCATGTCGCACATCATCATTGCCGTGCTGGTCGGCCTCTTCGATTCGAACTGGTCGGCGCATCGAGCGCAGGGCTGGGCTAGTGTCGCCTTCTTGTTGTTTTATATGATTGCTTTTGGGGCTTCATGGGGCCCTGTTCCTTGGGCCATGCCATCTGGTATGTTCTGATTCTCACCCGGGAGGAAGTCAACATCAATCAAAAGAAAGAAATAGACTGACCTTCCACGCAGAAATCTTCCCATCTTCGCTCCGTGCCAAGGGTGTCGCCCTTTCCACCTGCTCGAACTGGCTCAATAACTTCATCATTGTAAGTATAACTCTTGGACTGGTTTCCATTTCGTTAGTGATAGACTCACTAATACCTCTGTTTAATTCCAGGGACTCATCACTCCCCCCCTTGTTCAAAACACCGGATACGGCGCCTACGTCTTCTTCGCCGTCTTCTGTGTCCTCGCCGGCCTGTGGACCTTCTTCTTCGTCCCAGAGACCAAGGGCCGGACGCTAGAGCAGATGGACCACGTCTTCAAAGACAACTCCAACGAGGGCGAGCGAGACAGGCGAAATGCGATTGAAGTCGAGCTGCTGCGAGCCAACCGGGAGTTTTTGTGAAATCTCCTCTGAGATGTTTATGATAATGACGAGCGAATATCAATCCATGCATAACAATACCAACAACTTTATAAATGAGATAGATATTTCAATTGGAATAGATAGGCACTGTGAACAACAAGACAAGCATATATATTTTGTAGGTCGGCCGGAAGCTATGATCCTTTTGGTCAGAATACCCAGTCAAAGGTCTTGAGGTCTTGGTAGAGTTTTGGCCAGTGTGGACCTGGATCAAGACCCATCCATGTTGTATAATACCGAATTTCGATGATCGTCTGCCATGCACCTAGCCTCCTCTTCTTTTCCCTTTTCTTTCCTCCTCCCTACTCCGTTAATCGGCATCCAAGGAGATAGAACATATCTAATGATAAATCAATTTCATGAATCATGGCTGTCTTAACCGAAGGCTATGTGGTATCTCGCAAGGTAATGGCAAATTGAACTCCCCCAACACCATAAAGTGCATGAATGATACCCGTCGAAAATATTGAAGGTAACCCGAAGAAAAAGAAAAGAAAAAGAAATAAAACAAAATAAAACTCAATCAGTCACAGAACGCCATGACGTGCCTTGAAAATAGATATCTTGTCGTCGTAAAAGAGAATCTCCTGCAGCCGAAATTGAATCCGGGAAGCACCAAGTGCTTCCGGCTCGCTATCCGAGTCATCGGAGTCGTCGTTGGCAAGATCATCGACTAGCTGCGCGTCTGGGATGTCTTCTTCCTCTTCTTCTAGGGTATTGGGCTGGAAATTGCCGTTGTCCCACGGGTCTTCTTCGTCGGTAGGAGCAAAAGGGTCAGTCGGGTTGTTGTCGTCAAATTCGGAATCTTGGTCATTGCGAGTCGCCTCGAGAATCTGGTAGCATTTGTTTTCCAGGCCAATGTAAGCGACTTTGAGATCCGGCCGAATACTGACAATGTCGAGGATCTGGAGAGCGAGCTCTTTCAGGTCGCGGTGGACGCTGTGCCTAATATGCGGCAGGTATAAAGCACGGACCTGGGGCATGTTGGGGAGACGCTGAAGGAAATAGTGCTGGATTTGCAAAGGTTAGTTCAGAAACAAGCATAAAATAGGACCAAAAACCGTGTTCTTACCCAATCCCGATAATGCATTGACATGGCCAGTTCCTTAAGATGCGGCATGCGGCCACTAGTGACGAATGAGATCATCTCGTGGTTGAAGATCCACTTGTGCCATTGTGTGTTCATGCTGTCATGCGCGATTGTCCGATCGGTCGCATCGACCAGGATATTTCGCAGACTCAGTCGGTGTTTCCGCAGGATGTGTCGGTAAATGGCGTCGACTTGGACGGTAGAATCGTAGGATGGTGCTTCGTGCAGAGAGACACACTCCAGGGTATTCGGGGCCAAAGCCTCCTTGATGAAGAGCATGAAGTGAGGTGAGACTGTGTCTGTGCGAAGATTTTTGATCTTCAGCGCAAAGTCATCGGATCTCAAACTCGGCCGATCATGATCTCCGTTCTGCGATCGCTTTGGTGGCAATTCCGGTGGTGCATATTTGCGGCGAAGGGCTCCCCAGAGCTTCTCATGGTCTTCACATCGCATTATGGTGAGGGTCGCAAGGCGAGTCCAGTCGATGGCGGGAAGAAGCGACGGCATAAATAGAGGAACCCGCTCTAATTCGAGAAGCTGGAGATTGAACACCTTATCCCCGGGATGAGGAACTTTAGCAGATGACCGAGCACTGGTTCCCGGGGAAGCTGAGGCTGCTAGCGGCGAGGAGTTGCTGCCATGGATGGCGTTAGACGAGCTCACGTTCTGGGGTGAGGTCACTTGTCCATTAACAGAAATGGCCGAGGTTTGGAGGTTCTGTTCAGCAGAGGAGGCGGACGCGGAGGCGGACGCGGGTCCAGAGCCCCAGCCCTCTGAAGCCATTGAAAGTTCAGCCATTGATGCCACGGTAGTCGCGTCATCCTGCTGAACCGGATTGCGGGGTGAAAGGATCCCAAGTACACCGCTCATCCTGGGCCACGTCGATGAGGTATCAGAGTCCTTCCCGCAGATAAGCCAGGGGGCCATATAGGCCTTAGCAGAGATGCCGATTCGCAGTTCCGTCAGGCGTTGATGTGATCTCTCAACCAGGACGGCCAGTTCCTCCACATACGCCGGTTCATCAATGTCGAGGACAGCCACGCTCTTCAGCGGCGGCAACACGGACAATGAAGGGTGTTCTACGTGCTTGTAGTTGTGGAGCAGTCGCGAGATCATCATGGTCGAGGTGCGCCAAGTATGCTCTGAATTGTCGTGCCAGCGCACCCAGACACGCTCAAGACGACACTCGTGGCCCGGCCGATTGGCTAGCGAGGCCAGCGCAAGCCAGATTTCACGCACCACCCCCGTCGGCATGTCCCATATGAACGCCTCGAGATTGACCATGCGTGCGACAGCCAAGGCGACCAGCGTCCCGAGCATCTTGCCAACCTCTTTGTTCACCGAGTACTCTTGGACCCATCCCAGCGGACCATTGCCAATGGAGAACGTGCGCGTGTATTGCGCGTAATTGTTTCCTCGGCGCAAGCTGACTCTGGGCTCCACTTCTTGAGAAGTAGAAGCCGGGCGATGACCACGATCATCGCAACCGCAATGCGAGCAGGCGCTTGCGGATCGAGAAGATCCCAACAGCGGCAATTGTCCGAACACATCCTCTCCCATAACCAGTGTAGACAGGCCGTGAGAGAGAGCATCAACTCCCGTGTAGTCCTCCGGGGTTGGGGTGAGGGATTCCGGCCAGACAATGTCGAATCGTGAGTACATATGAGGAATTGTCAACGAGTGAATGGCGGAGCAAGTGAGAGCAAGAGAAGTGAGGTCATTGGTGTGCGTTACCTGTTATATTCCACAAATCAGCTGTATTCCTCAGGATGGAAGGACCAAAAGAACTAGAATTGCTTGCAAGTGAGAGCTGATGCTTACCTCTTTGATAATGTCCTTGAGGACATCCAGAGGTAAGTCCAGCAGCTCCAGTGGCTTTTTCGCCATTTTCGAGGCTGGAGGTGTGTCACTAGAAGCTCTTGTTTCGGGAGGAAACGTCCAGGTCACGTTCTGGTGCTGCATCTTTTCGAGAGCGGTTGACAAATGCTGCTTGGCTGACTGGTCGATGTCCCCAGAGGCAGTGCTTTGGCTGGAGACAAAATCCTCTTCGTCAGAGGACATGCCAAGGTCTGGGCTGAGCTTGTCAACTCCATTCAAGGTAGCAGCTGCCATGATGCACCTAGCGCGAAGAGGCCACAGTGATAGTGGGGAAGGGTGGGGCGCCAGGCAAGAACATCTCCTGAAGAAAGATGGGAAGAGACAAGCTCCAATGGGTTTGAAGTAAGGCAGGGATTTGTAGAAAGGCAACGATAAGGAATGGGGAAAGGGAGATCTGGGGTAGCAGGCTGCGATAGCTGACGATCTTATGTAAGCACCATACTGGTCTCGAAATGCCTCTTGATGCCTGAGGATAGGAGAGATACTGAAGAAAAATTGAGAGAAAAAGGAGAAATAAGTGGATTTATTCTACTACAATTACAACAGAAACTAACAAAACTGATTTTGGGTGTTGCTCGAATCAAACAATCAACCAGACCTTCAGTTTTCCTCCCGACCTAACTTCTCCAGATTGAGAGCCGCGCTAATACAGGCCAAATGGCTGAATGCCTGGGGAGTGTTGCCCATCTGCTCACCTGAAATGGCTACTTCTTCAGAGAACATGCCCAGGTGGTTGGAATAGGACAGGATGTTGTCAAAGTGCGACAGCGCGAGTTTCCAGATGTTGGGAATGGGGACATCATACTTGGCGGCCTGGATGAACCACGGGTGGTCTTGGATTAGTACATTCAGGAGTTCCACGACAGGAAATAAGAAACCTTACCCGGGCCATGGCCTCGACGAGCCAAAAGGTGACCATAATAAAAGCACCCTCGCCTCCTCCGACGCCTGTGAAACATGGGGATCAGCAATCCGGCGGGAAAACAAACGACTATGCTGGGTTCCTGGGTTCTGGGGCTCGCCAATCACACATACCATCGTTGGCTTTTAAATGGTCGTACCGGAACACCATTTTTGCGCTGGACAACCCCTCCTTCTCCGGACTCTCCAGGATCCGCTTCAGCGTGCTGATGAACCGGGGATCGTTGGGCGCGACAAAGAAGACCAAGGGCGCAATCAAGATGGATGCATCGAGGACCTCACGGCTCTCGAAGCTCTGGCAGAAATGACCTCGCTCGGAATTGAAACCTTTGTCCATGATCTCGTCGTACATCTCGTCCCGTACCTGAATCCACTTGAAACGATCCGGGCATGGCAAACTAGCCCGCTTCTCTGCAAGCCGAACCCCCCGGTCCAGGGCCACCCACAACATGATCTTCGAGTAGATAAAGTTCTGGATCTGGCCACGCGATTCCCAGATGGACATGTCCTTTTGGTGGCGCACACCAACCACATAGTTCACCATACGCCGGATGGCCGACCACTGGTCGTAGGTGATGGGGTTGCCGTGTTTGTTGTACAAGTAGATAGAGTCCAGCAACTCGCCATAGATGTCCAGCTGCGTGTGGAAGACAGCGGCGTTGCCCACACGGACAGGCTTACTTCCCTTGTACCCATCGAGGTGATCCAGTTCCACCTCGGGGATGTCGTACTCGCCACGGATAGTGAACATGAGCGGCAGGAACGGGCGCTTGCTCCCCGGCTGGATGTCCTGGGCTGCATGCGGCATGACCCGGTCGAAAATGAAATTGACGTACGACTCGGCCTCGTGGCTGTAGCCCATCTTGAGAAAGACATACAAGGTGAAGGCCGTGTCGCGGACCCAAGAATAACGGTAGTCCCAGTTTCGAGAGCCGCCCACGTTTTCTGGGAGCGAGAAGGTGGGCGAGGCGATAATGGCCCCTGTGGGCTTGTAGGTCAGCAGCTTCAAGATCAGAAGGCTGCGCTCAACCGTCTCTCGATAGTGACCGCGAAACGCGCACTTGCGGGTCCAGTCCGTCCAGTAGTCCGACGTCTCCTCTTCCATCTTGCCGAGGTATGCGGCCATGGTGGCCGAGCTGGGCACTGCCTTCTCGGGACTGTGCAATATCAGATGAATCGTCTGTCCTTCGGAAAGGCGAAACCAGGCCACCAATCCGCGTCCTCGCAACCCGGGCCGTTCTTCCATGCTGAACATGGCCGACGGGAAGCCCAGCTTGTCGGGCTCTCGCGAGTCGGCAAAGATCTCGAGCTGCAGCCGCTCCGACTCGCTTTCAAAATGAATGGTCTGGAGCCGGTGCTTGCACAGGTCATTCTCCAGCTTTGCACGAGCCGTGTGGGAGTCCCGTGCATAGTTAAAAGCCGGGAAGAGTTCCACCTGCAACTCCATCGAGCCACGGCTGCATTCCAGCTTGCGGATCAGGCCCGAGTGCTGCAGCCCCGATTTGAAGCGATTGGATTCGGGCTCATTGCACGGACAATATCCCGACAACAGCCGATGCGACTGAATCGTCTTCTTGGGGGTGACCGGGAAGTAATCTAACATAGTCACGACGCCATCCTCGTTGGTCCAGCGAGTCTCGAGCAAGTTCGAGTATGGGAGATACCGCTGCTTGCTGTGGGGATCGACCACCGTCTTGTACGGGGCCACAGAGAAGAAACCGCCTTTCCTGTCATCCAGCAGACGACAGAACACCGTGGGGGAATCAAAGACGGGCCAGCACATATAATCCAAGCTCCCGGCTTTACTGACGAGGGCACAGGTGTGCATATCGCCGATCAGGCCATAGTCCTCAATGGCATTGTAGGAGGGTTCGGACATGGTGGCAATTCACACAGATCAATGGTCATGCAAAAGAAAGAAAAAAGAAAGAATCCCGTCTCGCGAAGAAGAAGAGTCGCAGAGATGGAACACAATGCCCCAGTCCTCTCTGAACTGGCATCATACGCATCTCTCGACATATATTCCACGCGGAACTATGAGGAGCCACGACATGATGATGATATCAGCCCATATCATCATTATGCCCCATTTGGTCATGATCGGTCATTGCCTTGATCGTAGGAACTCATTGCATCGCAGTTCGAGACTGAAAGATCGAAGTTCTCGAGTCCTTGACGCCCAATTCTGCTCGGGTCCTGCTTTTCTTTGATTCTGTGGCCATCAGGGCTCCCCCTGTTTCACGATCAGCCCCCTCATGGGACCTCCCTGACCAAGTGTCACCACACACTCATCTTCTGCTTTGGACGGGGCTGGTCGGAAGTTGCAATCCGCCAATGGAGGGCTCGTCTCGTTGACCCCGGATCGACCAAAGCGAAAATCCCAAGATGTGCAGGATGTGGAGCCCACTGGAGCCAGTGAAAGCGCCACCAGAATGACCGCCTAATCTTCAGCCCTGAACTGCTCCTTGCTCCTCTCTCCCTCTCTCTCTCTCCTCTTTTCTCTTTTCTCTTCTCTTCTTCTTCTTCTCTCTTTCTTTCTGAGTTTCCCTCCATCAGTCGCTCCTTTAGTTGGACCGAGTTTCAACTGCTTCTTCCTCCTTACCCTCCCTTTCTCTGTCGCCTCCTTCCAACTGTCCCAACTATTCTCCTCTCCTCCACGTGCCTGGTCGGACAGCTGTCGGTCGCATGCTCATGGGGACTACACGTCTCATCCCCACACCTTATTTTCCTATCCGTCCGTAAACCCTATCCAGAATGAGGCTTTCACCCGGCGGGAGTCATCATCGCCGGCGAAGCTCGGCTCTTACCGGAACGGTTCGATCTTCACATCTGGGTTCATCGGAACGCCGGGATGAGAGTCTGCGGTCGCATGGAGAGGGAGGACCCAAGCGGGAAGAACAAGAGCCCTTGACCGAGGATACCGACCCATCAGATATTTCATCGACCACGGAAAGTCCGGAGTTGGACATCAGCTCGGACGACGATCAGTATGACGAGGAGACTGGGCTCACTTCACATCAAAAACGCCAACGACGGCGACGACGTCGACAACGCAGAAAGTTAGATGCTCGGATTGCGGATGTGAAATCATCACGGCATGATTTCTTTCGGATGGGCCTAGCCGACCGTAATGTTGTCAGAAAACTGTTGATCAACGCAGGATTGATCCTGATGTGGTACTTCTTTTCGCTGTCGATTTCCATTGTGAGTAACTTCCCCGATCATCCCCGTCGATTTTGGACTACTAACACTAATCGTCTTTCCCTCGACAGTACAACAAATGGATGTTCTCCGAGAACGATGTGGTGTTCCCTTTTCCTCTGTTCACGACAAGCTTGCATATGGTGGTGCAATTCACACTCTCTGCTCTTCTATTATGGGTGTTTCCGTCCCTCCGTCCTCGGAACCCCCCAAGTTCTACGTTGAACTCGCCTGTTGATGGCAGTGGCCCCGAGGAGTCCACGCCGGTGCTGACTACTTTCTTCTACCTCACCCGCCTGGTCCCTTGCGGTGCCGCGACGTCGCTCGACATTGGCCTGGGTAATATGGCCTTGAAGTTTATCTCTCTCACTTTCCTGACAATGTGCAAATCGTCTGCACTCGGCTTTGTTCTTCTCTTTGCCTTTTTGTTCCGTCTCGAATCTCCTTCGGTGAAATTGATGCTCATAATCGCGGTCATGACGATCGGAGTAGTGATGATGGTGGCCGGGGAGACTGCGTTTAATGCGCTGGGCTTCGCGCTCACCATTTCATCTGCCTTCTTTTCGGGTTTCCGATGGGGCCTGACTCAAATCCTCCTGCTTCGGCACCCGGCTACGTCCAACCCGTTCTCAACCCTCTTTCTCCTCACACCCGTGATGTTCCTGTCACTATCCGCGATCGCTTTTACTGTGGAGGGTCCTGCTGAGATCCTTCAAGGCGTCACCGGTCTGATCGAGAAGCACGGACCTCTGCTTGGTTCCACTCTGTTGGTGTTTCCCGGGGTGCTTGCGTTCTGCATGATCGCCTCCGAATTCGCGCTCCTCAAGCGTTCCTCGGTCGTCACCCTAAGCATTTGCGGCAGCTTCAAGGAAGTTTTGACAATCAGTGCAGCAGGCATTGTGTTCCATGACCCGCTAACTGTCGTTAATGTGTCTGGTTTGGTCATTACCATCAGCAGTATTGCGGCCTATAATTATATGAAGATTTCCCGGATGCGCGAGGAGGCACGGCATGCGTGGAGTCGCGAGTCGAGTCCAGAGGACGACCTAGAAGACGGCGATCCGAGCGGGGGAGAGCAAGGATATCACCGAGTTGCAAACCCCGAGACGAGCATGATTAACTCCTTACCGGCTGGGCCCAGTGACGACCATGCTTCTCTGGCGGGAAATCAACGACGCTCATTCCGCACGCGGGCCAATGGAGCTATGCACAATCTCACTATATCCACGTCCACGATTCCCGAAGATGATGGGCCAACTTCTCCCATCAAGTCCGCTCCTCCGGCTGTCACTTCGATTCCGGAGGCTGAATTTTCTACCCAACTCCCTCCTCCAGAGCGAGAGGCATCGCCTGGTGTCCACTCCAACACTCTTTCGCCCGTTCGAAGTCACACTCCGAACCGCCCCTAGTCTCTCCTCACCTTTCCACGCCAAATACCACTCCTCTCCTATTCCATTTTATCTATATTTACGCTCCATGCGGAGCTCTTTTTCTTTGTTACTGTGTCACTTTGGTTCATCTTTCGGTGTTGGCGGGTCTGGGACTCGCTTAAGGCAAAAGTCAGATTGGCGCTTGGGGTGTGTGCGTGTGTGCGTGTGTGCGATCATTTTATATGAATCTAGGACTTGGTTTCTGCAACGGCAAGGTCCTGGGTGAGCCGGGAAGATGTGTGAACGCTGCCATGGGGCTATTGCATCTCTACAGAGCCGTGGCTCGACTGATACCACCAATCGAAATTCCCTTTTTGGGCACTATCAGGCCCTTTCTTATACAAATTTTCATTGTTCTTAACCCATCTGGAGCCTATTATGGACGAGCCTATGAATTCGCATGGAACAGGCCAGGATTGGCGATATGGCGATTCAGACTCCGTGTGGAGCTCACGTCTTTTTCTCATCCTCCGTAGCCCCCTTCTTCATCATATCCATCAAACTCTTTTGTGCTTTTCCAGATGCCTTTGCCTTCTTCTTTTCCTCTGCCTCGAGCTTCCGCTCAAACTGATCCTGGTGCTTCTCGCGTACCTCCCGTCCTTCCTCCGCCAAGCGTGCTTCAAGAGCTCGGAATTCCTCACCATCCGGATCCATGCCAATAAGCGATTCCAGCAACTTGATCTCGCGCGCCCAGACGCCGGGGTCAGCGACAGTCGGTGGGGTCGCACCCGCAGGACGTTTAGGAGTCTTTTTAGCAGGCTTTTTCTTCTTCGTCTTCGCAGAATCACTCTCGCTGCCATCCTCACCGTCCGCACCATCATCCGCAGCCGAAGCAGGCTGGCCATGCGGCCGATCGATAGGCGTTTCTAGAATCATGGGCAGCCCCTCGAAGCGCGACTCGTTCATCACGTTATGGAACGCGCGCAGGCCCAGGAACCCCGTGCCGATGTTGGCGTGCAGGTCGCGTTTGCTAGCGCGCGGGGCCTTGGAGTCGTTGAGGTGCAGGGCGCGCAGGTGGTGCAGACCGATTAGCTCGTCGAACTCGGTGAGGAAGGACTTGAATCCCGCTGGTGAGGCCAGGTCGTATCCCGCTGCAAAACTGTGGCAGGTGTCGATGCAGATGCCGATCCGGGAGTGGTGCTCTTTCGGGATTAGGGCTAGCAGATCGCGGAATTCTGTTAGTGAGCCGCCGATTGTGCTGCCGTGGCCGCACATTGTCTCCAGGACGGGGACGACGGTTGTTGTGTCGGAGATTGCTTGGCTCAGGGTGCTTGCGAGTCGGGAGAGGGCGTCGGGAAGAGGGGTTTGGTTGCTACTCCCAGGGCTAATGAAGCAAAAGGATTAGTGTGTGTTGACGTACCCAGACAGCGTTGGTGAATGTTGGGATATAGTCAACTCACTGGAAATTGTATAGTGTGATCCCTAGAGCCTCGCAGCGCCGGAGATCATCCAGGAAGGAGTCGTAGGCCTGTTTGGCCTTGGCCTTATCATTTTGTGCCAGGTTGACCAGGTAAGATCCATGCGGGAGAATGTGCCTGTAGATAGTGCGGTTAGCTATTTGTTTCAATCGAAATACTCGTTCAATCGCAGAAACTAACTTGGCTGCATCGTATTTATGCTCTGCACAGAGTTGTCGGAACTGATCTCGATGATCGTCCAAGAGAGCCGGGTTGTCCCATTTTCGCTGCGACTTCAGGAACAGAGCCAATGCGTTGCCACTAACATTCTCAGGTTAGTTTTCTATCAGACCAAAGACATCCAGCTAAGGCATGGACTTACCCAATCTGCACGCTATTATGGATTGAGTTGAAAACACCTGATCAGCAAAGTTCTTGTCAGCGTTCAGTTCTTTTCATTGATAGACTTTGACGAGGTAACCCACCTTTTGCAGCACTGACATGAGCACCGACGAACATGCGGAGGCCTTGCGACCGTGGTGCCAACGGCATTGTCTCGGTGTCTTTTTCTTTGGTTGCTTTCTTCCCCTTCTTTTGGGGCTTGTTGGGGGTGGCTTTGGCTTCTTTCTTAATGTCGGTATCTGCCTCTTCTGTCTTTGCCACACTTTCTGGCTTGCCACCCGCGATATTGGACACGGTCTTCGTGTCCTCGGTGGTTTCACTCTTGATAATTGGGGCAGTGTTCGCTTTCTTGGCAGATCCCCTTTTCTTCGGAGTGTCAACCAGTGCTGTCGCACTGCCTGCCTCCTTTTTAGGCGCGATAATAACCTGTTCGGTCTCGGTTTCCGATGTCTCTGGAGACGAAGGTTCTTTCAGGTTGGCGCTGGATTTCTGGCGCTTGGATCTTCTCACAGGAGAATCACCAGATGTTCCATTGCTGAGATTCCTTTTGTGACCTGCTTGGGTCACAGAATCTGCGCACATCGAGGATTTGCGGGTTGGGTCGCTGGATGATTTAACAGGCGATTCTCGAGGCATCCCACCGTAATGGGTGGTCTAAAGATATGAACTAGCAATACGCGCGTTGAGCAAGGCTTATAGTCCTTCCTCGCTCTTCTCGGGATCTCTTCACCCAGACAAAAGCCGTTTCGAGAGTAGCAAGGAGTATAGAAAGTAGATCAGTCAAAAGAATCATAGTCACGTGGCGGTCGCCCGGCCAACGGTCATGTGATGTTTATCGATAACCAAATCATTGCGCCCCTCGCCTTGAGCAACACACACGCCTCTCCAACGAGATATCCTGTGCTGTCGCTCAACATGGCGGCCTCTGATGATTTGATCGATTTTAACATCATTGAGAACCAGAAGGAAAACATCCAATCCCTCCCCGGGGGCCGATCCGCCAGACAACTTGCCCAGATCTTTTCGGCAGGGAGCAACAATGACAAGATCGCGTCGCCATCTCCGAACGACACGCGAACCCTCAACGATGCCATTCGCCAGGAATACGAAGGTGAACTGCAGTCAATAGTAGAGTCAGACGATCCACTCGACGTTTATGATCGCTACGTTAAATGGACCCTCAACGCCTACCCATCCGCCCAGGCGACCCCCGAGTCGGGGCTCCTTCAATTACTCGAGCGAGCAACGAAATCATTCCTGTCTTCCTCCCACTACAAGAATGATCCCCGGTATTTGCGTCTATGGCTTCATTACATTCGGCTTTTCTCCGATGCCCCCCGCGAAACGTTTGCCTTCCTCGCACGCCATCACATTGGCGAGGGCCTTGCCCTTTTCTACGAGGAATTTGCCGCGTGGCTTGAAGGTGCGGGGCGATGGGCGCAGGCAGATGAGGTTTACAGACTCGGTGTGGACCGCGAGGCACGACCTGTAGAGCGACTGGCGCGGAAATATGATGAATTCCAGCAGCGATACGAACAACGCCCGCAGGATGCCGGCCCTTCTTCACCGGCCTTGCCGACTGTCCGTCCCGCGCTGGCCGCAAAGATGGATCCATTTGCTCCTTCAGATATCTCGGCTGACCCGCAGGCCTCGCGACCATCACCGTCAACGGGCGGAGGCGCGAAGACCAAGTCCGGAAAGCCAAAAATGTCGATTTTCTCCGATTCTGACTCTGGCTCTGCGAGCCAACCCGCAACTAGTGGCCCGACCAAGGGATGGGAGAGCATCGGCTCGATGCAGGAACGCAAAAAGGAGAATCAGGTGGAGGCGAAGCCATGGGCGGGAGAGACTTTGAAAGCTGGCAAGAAGTCGGGGCCAACGCAAAAGATGGCCATTTTCAGGGACGAGGTGAGTGGTGATTTGGGTTGCCCATTTCCTTTTCAGACCTCCATATATTTACGATCACAGGACTAATTGCTGGCATGAACCTATGACGGGGCTTCGATTCTGTGTATCCAGTTCAATCCAAATCTTCCTACCCAAGAACCCGTACAACCAAAACCAGTTCCGGAACACCACGTAAGGGAAGCGGTTAATCCGCGGACTGGTCGACGTGAGCGTGTCTTCGTCGACTTGGAGGCTGTATACCCGGATCACAACAACCCGGCGCATGAGATCAGCTTCGAAGAACTGAGGGCCATGAAGCGCGGATGGATCGGAAAGAATTGGTGCTCCCAGAAGGAACCCTTGCAACAAATCTCTGGAAACGTTGGCGGCGCCGATGGTCAGCCAGGGAAGCCCAAAGCTGCCACTCCTGACCAAGAATTGCCGGAGCAACTAAACCAAAAGCTGAAGATTGACGAACAAACACAATCCTATGACCAGGATGGCGCCCCCGAAGGCAAGTCGGGCAAAGCGAGACGTTTCAAAGTGAAAGGGGAAACACAAACCGGTAAGTGCTTGCGTTATATTGAGTGGATAAGCTCTTTTCGAGTACCCTAACAAGCCATGCAGTCAAAATGAAGTTCGACTCGCCTACTGGCTCCAAGGTTCGGCGGAAGAGTACCAGAGAGCCGACAATGACCATGCATACTCGCGCTGCAACAGATGAGATCTACAGCATCTTCAACCAACCATTGAAAGCTGAGACTGAAGATGCTGCTGATAGCTTATGCGACAGTGACTATGAGGATGAGGACTACACCAGTGCCGGGGACAGTACTGGCACGGGACATATCTCGGCGGCTTCGAGTGACTTTGGCGACGACGAGACGCATACCTTTCACAAATCCTATGACGACACTGAATATACCGACACCACGCGCGCTGAAAGCGTCGACGGCGGTGAGTGGACAGAATTTACTGCGAGTCGAGACATTCCGGCTATCGATGCTGCGGACACGGTCTCCCAATCCGCCGTCAGTGATGGAGCCGCCAGTGGTTCTGCACAAGGAACACCAGGGAGAGAACGATTTGTACCGGAAATGCCTGAAGACTATGACCCTCCCTATGGCCCGTACCGCGACCCGGCAATCATGGCTCAGAACCGCTTGCCATTCATGACGCCCATTGTCGAGCAGACGGAGTCTTCGGTTTCAATGACTGCCGCTCGTGCCAATTTATACAATGCGAAAACTCCGTCGAAACCTCGGTCACCTGGTATGCCTCCAATGGGCGATCTTCTTCTATCTAGCCCATTGGGGGCAGCCACTCCCTACCAAGGAGATCATACTGTTGGCTCCACATCTGATGTCCCTTTCAGCCCAACTGCTTTCAAGGCACTTGCACCAAAGCTTCGCCGGCGGGAAGCAATAATCAAGGATACGCAATGCAATCCAACTGACAAGGGCGTCCGCAACACGATTCTGAACTCCTTGGACCCACCGCTCGCGTCATACATGGGATACCACGGCCACGTTGAGGACAGCAATTATGCCTCCGTGATTCAGAAGTTTGTGAAGAATCATAGCAGGCGGTCCAAGAGTGGCGACGACGAAGAATTCGACACTCCCATTCTCGAATTCCCAGGGGCCGAGCGTAGCTACATCATCCGGCGCGAACTCGGAGCAGGCGCATATGCCCCGGTCTACCTCGCAGAAAGTGTTGACAGCCTCGAGTCATATAATTCTGATTCCGATGACGAAAACGCAGGCCGAGATTCCCAACCGACAAAACCGAAACCTAACGAAAAGCCTCGCTATCCCTTCGAGGCCGTCAAGGTAGAACATGGGCCATCGAGCGCGTGGGAGTTCTACATGCTCCGTGCAGCACACGACCGTTTGGAGCAATCTTCCAACCACACTCGTGCTACTGACAGCATCGTTCGTGCACATGAACTGCACGTGCACAGGCGGGAGAGCTTCCTGGTGGAAGACTACCGCGGACAGGGCACACTGCTGGACCTGGTCAACATCATCCGCAACGAGTACAACGCCGATGGAGGACTTGATGAGGCACTGGCCATGTTTTTCTCGGTCGAGCTCTTTCGCACCATCGAAGGACTCCACGCCAACGGAATCCTCCACGGCGATATCAAAGCCGACAATTGTCTCGTCCGCCTCGAGGAGCCCAACCCCAACGAACTACCCGCCAAGGCACTTTCTCTCCTGGACCTGGGAGCCGACGAGTCCCCCACTGATCCGCGTGAGAGCATCCACTACGCCCCCAGTGGGGCCCACGGCTGGCAGAACAAGGGCCTGGCCCTGATCGACTTCGGCCGCGGCATCGACATGAACGCCTTCTCGCCCGCGGTCCAATTCATCGCCGACTGGGAAACCGGCACACACGAGTGCAATGAAATCCGTGAGATGCGCCCCTGGACCCACCAGATCGATTTGTACGGCATCGCCGGCACCATTCACGTCCTGCTGTTCGGCAAATACATCGAGTCGACCCCTGTGCGCACCAGCACCGGTCTTGCAGACCCTGTTGTTCGCACGTATCGCATCCGCGAGTCTCTCAAGCGCTACTGGGACCGCGAGCTTTGGGCCGACGTCTTCGATCTGCTGCTGAACCCCGGCGCGGAGCGCTGGGTGAGCATGGAGCGCGAGCATGGTGCTGTGGATACTTCGTCTGCTCCTTCTTCGCCACACCCTATCCTTCCAGTCCTCCATTCCATGCGTCATGTCCGCCGCAACATGGAGGAGTGGCTTCTCGCGAATGCCGAGAAGAAGGGACTTGCCCTCCAACTGCGCAAGATCGAGGCTATTCTCGCTGAGCGAAAGCGGAAGCTCGAGCGGTGATGGTAATGGTGCCTTCTCTGCTCAGTGCTTATCAGCCCCTTTTTTTCCTTTTTTTTGTCTGCTTCTTTTTTATTTCCTCTACTGTTGTTCCTAGAAAGAACCTCTTTTTTTTGTCCTCCTCTATACCCCCCTTCTTTTCTTTCTTTGCTGCCTTTCCTGCCCTTCTGTGTATTTTTCTATCTTCACTGATAATGGGCTTCTTATGTTGATATCCTTGTTCTGGCATATAGATTATCTTTCCCCTCTGATATGAAATTTCTCCAGCCTTGTTCTGTCCGTGTCTACCCTTGACCAAGAATCTCTACAAGTAGCTATTTCTAAAAATGCTGTAGCTCCACACAGCCTTCCAATCAATCATCCTGTTTCTAGTATTCCTTTAACCAAGCCATGGCCTGCTCCAATGCTCCAAGTCCATGAAGCCGAGCTAGACAAGTCCGACTACTTACAAGATTCATCTCTGAGACATCACGTACAAGGCAAAGCTGAATGGAATCCATAAAGAATGCCCATGTAACCACCTGTAAGTACACTACAAGATCTACAAAGCAAAGAAGAAATGGAAAATAAAAAAATCGATTGGAGATCTGAAACAAGCGATCCCTCTGGAGAATGAAAAAAAAAGATAGCGCTAACACCTTCACCGGCGATGAGGCAAAAGAAAAAAATTGAGAAAATGACAAAGCTCTGGAAATGCAAGAAAGCCAGACATCCAGCACATGACGGTCATGAGAGTGAGAAAAAAGACACCGTACGCAAAGTACCGAAGAGAAGAAACACGGGAGACAGAAGAAGAAAAAAAATCTCGAATGCAATTGTTCCGGATACAAGCCTAAGACAGGAATCACGAGCTTGGGGAATCACAGAGCGAGAATCGGAATCTTGCGAAGAAGACATTCAACGAAGAGAAGAACAAGAAAAATCACTTGATCAGAGATCACAAAGATCAGAGAGATCAAGATCAGACAAGCATCAAGACGGAAAGAAGATCTGAGATCCAGATCTGAGTCGATGGATGCAGATTATGAGAAGATAGACGAGAGAAAAGAAAGCAGAGAAGAGAACAATAAAGGTCGCTGGCAAAAGAAGAGAATCCTAACACCTCGCTGCGTCTCAGGGATGTCGTTGGCCAATTGCAATTTCATGTGCGTCGTTTCGTTTCGGATCGTCTATGAAAAAATTGGCATGTATATCGTCTTGCTCATCTCTCTTTTTGGGGGGTAATGTTGCCATCCAACCAGATCGATGCTGGAATGGAGGCGAATGGTCGTGTCATCGGTGACGGGATAGATCGAATGGAAAGTTGAAAGTCGGGTCCATCTCAATGGTTATCACAGCGGGTCGTAGTAGGCCCCATAGAGACGAAAAGGCGACTGGAAAATCGAAACAACCAGGGAAAAAAAGGAAAAGGAAAAGGAATGTAGAGAGTGTGTGGGTCGCAAAAGATGGCGAATAATTGTGACAGCGAAACTGGGGTTTTCGGGTTTGATTTTGTACTCTTTTTTATTTTTTTTTTCTTTGAGATTTTCTGTGTTGGCCTCGTGTTCGTGAGGCCGTCGAATGTTCGAAGGGAAAGGAAACATGTCCGTCGAGGAGCAAAAGAAAGGATGAACTCGCATGGTGGCAAGCAAGGTTGGTAACAGATTCGGCTCGAAAACGCCAGTGTTGAATTTCCGGCAGCCAAACAATGATAACCATCATGATCGAGGTCGTGAATGAATGAAGATGGGTTCCAATTGAAGTCGGCAAGATCGAAACCAAAACCCAACACGCACAAAGCAATCTAAAATTGACGTTGCTGATTTTCGCAGGTCGATGAACATCAAGCCAATGCAGGGTGCAGAGTTGCCGGAATCAACACAAGGGAAAAAAAAAAAAAAAAAAAAAAAGAATCCCGGTGATGGTGTATCGTCTTCAAGGTGCTTGAGCACCAAAAAAGGGTCAGGACTCAAAAGGCCCCAACCAAACATATCATAACGGTCATCAATGCCGTTGCTGTCATAAAAGCTGTAAAAAGAAAAAGGGGGAGGCAGTACCGAGCCCCTGTATCTCGTTTAGGTCATTATGCAAAGAGGAAGAAATCTCGCAAACGAATCAACACCAATGAGAACGGGATTCGGAAAATTGGACAGCAAGACGCGTCTATTTGCGCGAGAAAGGCATGTTCAAGATCTGCCGGCGGATACGCTCGGCATCGGAGAGATTTTCCTCAGTAGAATCGTATGTCAATGAGCCCATGGGTTTCACCTGCTCTTGGCTCGGAGAGTAGTTGACCATGGGGCTGTCAGAAGGAGGGCCCCCGCTCGAGAATGGGTCGGAAAGAGAGGGGGCGTGTCTGATGAACCGGCGAGGAGGCTCACGACGCTTAAGCGGGCCTTCCACCCTGAAAGGTGAGCCCAGCCGTTTGATGTGCTCGCCACCAAGGTTGAGCAACGGGTTGACAGGCGGCTTCATGGCTGGGGTGGCCTCGTCGGGCTGTGAGTTGAGCGACGAAGGGGGAGAGAAAAGCTGGTTGATATCTCGAGTATTCACAGCGCCGGTCGTGGCTCCACGGTTGCGTATGCGCACTCGGCCGTGGCCGATGTCTTGGAATTTGTTGTCACGGATGTAGAGCTCCAGGCGACTTGAAACTTGCTCATCTGAGGGATCCTTGTTCCCGGCCGGAGCGTTCGAGAAGACATCATCTGCGTTCTGAAGCGCTTTCTCCAGCTGGGTGTTACGTCGCAACCGACGGCCAGGCGCATGAACGGTCTCACGCCGACCAGAGGCAGGAGGATTATGGATTTGGCGGCTCGGACCTCCCGGGCCCCAAGTGTTGTACACAAATGGCGAACCAAGACGTGGAATGCTGTGGGTGGATTCCACATTGAGATGCGGGATGGGAGCTGGGGCTGGGACATTTTGAGACTCTTCAGCCACGGGGTTATTAAACCATTCCGTCTTTGACTCAGTCGCTCCGTTCGTTTCTTGTGCAAATTGCGACAACGGGGTCGGGTCGTTTGGTGTGGTAAGTGAGACACCGAGGTCACGAGTGGCATATGGCGTAGACTTGGTATCGGCAAAGTCACGGACGCGGGGCTCTGAGGCGGCACCGAACATCTCCGCGACGGGCTCCGGGCTGCGAGATTGCATCAAGCGCTGGTAATGGGGAGAAATGGAGAACTTGCGTCGGCACAAAAACTTGAGCCGTCCTCGAGTCTTGGTATCAGACTTGGGCCACGCCGGCTGCGCCGCATTCTCCGTGGCCTTGGGGGTCGAGTTACCGCTGCAATCACCGGACGTGGTCGGCTGAGACTGGGCGATGCGACGCCGTTTCTGGTCCCAGGTCTTCTTCGCACGGCGAGCGACCCGCGAGGTGACTCCCAGAGGGGGAATGCTTCCCGGGGTCATCTTGAATGGAGTGATGGTAGGGTCCTGGAGATAAAGCTGATAGGTGTTCCACAGATGGTTATCCATCTCACGAGTCCAAGATTTGTCGTGGACAGGAGCTCGGCGCGCCGTCTGCTTGGGCAAAGTCGGCGGCTCCGATTCCAGCTCTTTAGGGAGCTCCAAGGGGAAATACGAATCGAAAACATCACTCTCAACACTCGAGCAACTTCCTCCCACAGATGGACGCGATGCAAAAGTCTCGATGGACTCGACCGATGAATCAGACATGCTAGAGCACGCGGAGCCGGGGCGCTTGATCGCACCTGCCACCAGTGGCGTCTGATCCCACGAGGGCCACGGGTTTTCAGCGTTGCAATCGTCGAAAGGCGTACCACGAATCTGAGCGGGCGGGGTTTTGAACGTCATCCGCTCACGAGGCGGGGCAAGGAAGCGCTCATCACTACCAGTAGATTCGTTGGAGAAGGACTCTTCCAGCTCGGTGTTGTTGGGGGGACTTCGATCGAGGGCAAGGGAACATCCGAGCCTTGGAACCGGAAGATATTCAGATCCAGATCCATCCGCGCGCAAACATCTGTGCCTGAGCGAACTCGAGTTTTTGGCAACCGGAAGCTGGAAACAGAGTGGCGAGGCGGAGGGGGAACTTCGACATTGGTTGAGGGACGCTCGGGGGTCTTCGGCTCATCGGCACTGAGAGAAGGAAAGGTGAAGTTCTTCGGGAGAGTTCGCGAGAGTTGACGTTGAGCCATGGTGACGATCTCGTGGCCACCACGTGTGGAATGTTTCGAAAATCAGAGCAATGGGTTCTCTTTTTCTTGGTTGTTGGTGTGAGGGTAAATTGAAGCTGCAGCTTTGATTTGGAAGCGCAAAGGGTCGCGTTAACAAGTCGTGATTCGTGATAAAGGATAAGGAAAAGGAAAATTGAACGAAGGCAGCAAGAGGCGAGGACAAAGAAATCCGAGTTGTCGGTGTGGGTGATCAGGAGGGGTTGTGGAATGCGCCAACTAGATATCACCAGATCACATCTGCAGCTCCATCTCGGCGTAGGAAATGGAGAATTTCTTGACCAAATACCACAAGAAACAAAAGAAACGAAAAGAGAAAGGGTGGAGAAGCGAAAGCAAAAAAAGAAGCACGAGAAAGAATCTCGCAGAGAAGGGGGGGGAGGAAACGCGGGAGGGTGGAAGGTGAAGAGAGGAAGAGAAGAAATGAGGAAGAAAGAGATGGGGGAGGTTGGGCGCCCAGACAAATTGGACGTGGTACCCGGTACCGAAGTTACTGGGGGTGGACGGGCGCTGGACGCGGGTACTCAGTACTTTGCTCAACGGCCCACTGCAAAATGCCACTGCGCTACTCGCGACTAAAGCACGGGCTCATCTTTCTCTACTTTTTGCATGGGAATGTGTTGGGTTTGTTTAGATTTTCTCGAGTCTTGCCTAGATCGAAGGCTGCAGGTTGTACCTTGCTTGCAAGATGCAGAAGATTTCATATTCCTGGAATGACCTGGTGACAAAGAGTACAGTATGGCTTTTTTTTCTTCTTTTTTGTTGTAGGGCTCTCTCGGGGAGGAAGATGGGGCTAGAGAACCCGTGTCCATACCTAGTAGTCCCCGGGAATGGCCCTAACTCCAGGTGGTATCAGGGACTCAACCCAGTGTAAAAAAAATGAAGAACAAGCAATCCTGTACGTTTGATCACCAGTTCCTCCAGAGACCTGCAAGGGCTACCTCGAGGGTACTCCCGAGCCAAGCTGCACCAGATCTTCTGCACCTCGGGATCACCATTGCAACAAACCGACCCGGGGAGTTTTCTTGTCACAGAAACGGCACAATGGCCTCGGATCTGCACTTTTTTTTGTAGGCTCGGCATTGTGCGGTCAGGGTCTCGACAAGAACCAATATCACCGCATTGGGGATGGGCCATGGGGCGGAGGCAATCAGCGTTGCGGAGGAAGAGGAGATGTCCCCACCAACGCGAAAGACGCGTTCGGACGCGCCGCACGTGTAGCGGTTATATGACGGTATGTGTACCAGCACGTGATGGTCTGTGTCATTTATGTGTGAGGATTCAGGCACCTTTCTTTGGTGCCTGAATTCTGCCTGAAGCACACAGTACCAAAAAAAAAGGGGCGACTGCAGTTGGGCCAGAGTGCAATTCCCCTTCGAGGCTCAACCCGAGTCCATGCGGTGTGAGCTGGATCGGAGGCTGAAACAGACACTCGGCTGCCCGTTTCTCTATGCACAAGAAATTGCTACTAACCACACAACTCTTCCTACGGAGACTACAGGGCAAATGGCTAGGCCTTCTCATATCTCGAATGGACGCCATGGGATTTGGTCAGAATAAATTGATCCAATTTCCGAGACTCCCAATACTTGAATAACCTGGGAAAGGAGCTCACTCTCCCAGACAAGCCAGGTCGATCTCCGGCTCACGCAACCGAAACAGCAGCTCGGCGGTGCCAACCGGAATGCTCTGATCGCCCGCTTTTTTTCAGCTTCCAGTCGTGCTTGAGCACGGGGATTTTCATCAACTATACCCTTTGCGGTATTTAGACACACCAAGCTTTAATGGAGTTACTGTATTTCGCCTCCAATGATCACCCTCTTGTGGCCCCAATCACCAAAGGAAAGCAATGCGATCGATTAGCTTGACACCCAAACTTTCATGGAAGGCCCATTTTTGCATGATGCTGTTCGGCATAGTTGGTTCCGACAGTCCGTCAGCCCCCAAGGGCTGCCCTATAAACTATACCTCGATAGGACATTGGTTCTGCAAAGCTTCCGGGTCTCCATGACCAGTACAGCTTGGTTTGGTGATTTCTTCGTCGGGTGGAGATATGGAATAGGCATCAATGGGTTATGGTAATTCCCTCCAGGGGTACCAGCCCAAGACCGGTTCATTTACCGGGAAGAACCAAAAGAAAATAAAAATAAAAAAGATTTGACTAGGACGGTAAAGTGGAGGGGAGCAATTTGAAGCAAATATAAATACTGACACCACCCCCTCTCCTGCTTCGACACTCGTAGTTACAAATATCTGCACCTTCAAGATGCTTATTTCAAGCCTCCTGTTTCTGGTGGGGGCGCCAATGATCCTCGCCAAATGCAAATGCGTACGTCCTTCTCAAATTTGGACTGCTTCACCCCCACTCCTGAATCTAACTCGAACAAAATACAGACTCCAACGGACGACTGCTAGCCTTCGGCTTCGACATGGAAAACCCTCAACGCTACTGTGGATGGAAAGCTTCTCCGCAATGAACCTATTGCCAAACCATACTATCACGGAGAGGGTTACAGTCAGCACAAATGCCAACAGATCAGCTCGAACTGGACAACCAACTCGTGGCTGGCGGGATTCCCCACTGGATACAGCTATCCCACCATTGAGAGGTGTCCCGCCATCAATGCCACGCTGGGGGTCTATCACTACCCGCAGTGCGATCTGGGTAATTACCCGTGTACACCACCATCAGAGCAACCAAGGCAAAGGACGTCGCCGCCGGCATCAAATTTGCCAGGTATCATAATGTGCGACTGGTAGTCAAGAACAATGGCCACGATATCTCGCAAAGGTAAAGGATATTCACTCGCAGTTCCATGGCCATTGAACAGCGGAAACTAACGAGATTTCGATAGATCGCTCGGATACGGCAGTTTATCCATTTGGATCAAACATATCAAGGATGGGCTCTCCTATCAGCACAATTTCCCACCAGAAAAATGAGAGAAGATCTCAAAAACTAAATCTCGTCAAGACTGTCGGTGCTATCGGCGGCTATCTCCAGGGCGGAGGCCATGGCCCTGCCAGTCACGAATTCGGACTCGGAGCCGATCAAGTTCTCGAATACCAAATCGTGCTCGCGTTGGGTGAGCATGTCACCGCCAACGCCTGTCAGCACAAAGACCTCTTCATTGCCCTGCGCGGCGGAGGAGGTGGCACCTACGGCATCGTGACCTCGGCCACGGTCAAAGCATTCCCTGAACGCCCGGCCCTTGGGCACGTCTTGGACATCGACGCTCTCAATGCCCGTGGCACCGCCCAACTGCTCAACGCAACTGCAAACGTAATGGCCAGTGTTCCCGCCCTCGTAGACGAAGGCTTCTCAGGCACGGCCGTTCTCCTGAAAAAGGAATGGGAAAATGGTGTACACGCACCCGTTGGTCAAATTGCTCAAGGACAACTCGACTACAGCGGTGAACAAGGCCAAGGACACCATGAACCACCACGTTGTCAATGATTTAATTCGCTACAACGGCAGTTCCCTCTTTATCATCTCCAAGTTTCAAGTCTGGGATTCGTTCTTCGCGTGGTACCAGTCCGCTCCACACATCACCGACGACAGAACAGGTCCATGATGACATCGTGGTTCATCGACAAGCACTCTCCGGTCTCCAAAAAGGACAAGCTGCCGAATCTGCTGAAGAACATCACCTTGGATCACGACACTCATGGTGAACAGATCGTGTCCCAGTATGCCCTCTTGTTGAACCTTGTCGCGCGCGGAAAGGTACTGGAACCCCAGCCGATGACGGCGGTCAACCCCTCGTGGCGCAAGACCTATCTGGTTGCGCAGCAGACGGATATGTGGCCCGATAATGCAGGGTACGAGGAGATTCATCGCTTCCAGAACGAGGTCATGGCCAAGAAGTTGAAGGCCTTGAAGGAGTTCGCTCCGGACATGGGGACCTACGGCAATGAGGCAGACCCCTATGATCCGGATTGGAAAGAGGATTGGTGGGGAGACAAGTACCACTACCTCCAGTCAGTCAAGAAGAAGTATGACCCCGAGGATGTGTTTTGGTGCTGGCGATGTGTTGGAAATGACGCCTGGGCGGAGATCACCGGAGGGGCTGTCTATGGGCGTTTGTGTCAGACGAAATTATCGGACTGATTCTAGTGGGGTAGAGTGGATAGACTGTGTTTTTAACTTGGTACAATATTTCTTTTTCTAGTCACTTGGTTCCCAAGATGTTGTGCTTTATATGATAAATCGAACAAATTTCTATTACCTACCAAGCGGTTTAACTACTAATTACTAACCTTGTAAATGGCTAGCATATAGCAAGTGGATGTTAGCAAGCACTCACTTGAGAATTCCAAGGTTCCAAGACTCTTGGTCAGCCTTGCCCCTTACCTGACATGGATCATGATCCAGTAAGCAAAGTGACATAGCTAAGCTCTATTGAATATAGCATATCAGTTAAATTGATAATTGATATTCATGTAATATTATTCTACTAATATTTAATATAGTTATCTAGAGTTAATGTTGAAGTAAAGACGAGTTAACTCATTGGCCGAGCCAAGACCCCGCATGCGGTTACCCGCGGAGGCAAAAGGCACATCGCATCGTGAAACTCACCCTTCCTTCAATCATCTCTTGAATTTCTCTTCCATCATGGGAGACTACGGTCCCGCTGCTCTACCACTGCACTCCACTCGAACGGGCAATCCATTGCAACCCGCTCAAGCCCCCCAACGAAGTGTCGGTGCTGATAACGGGGTTTGGGGTAAGTGATCGACACCCCGGATCACGCTGGATCCCGACCCGGGCTGACCCGTGCAACCCACTGACGTCCATCATCATTAGCCCTTCAAAAGCAACCTGGTAAACGCCTCTTATTTAATCGCCTCCTCGCTCCCGTCATCCTTCACCTTCCCATCCCCGAAAGACGACCCCTCTGTGCGCCGCATCTCCCTCCATGTGCACCCATCGCCCATCCCCGTCGCCTACGCCACCGTGCGCCAGGCCCTGCCCGTGATCCTGGAAGAATTCGCCGCGTCGCACGGTGGACGCCGCCCTGATCTGGTCATCCACATCGGCATCTCGCCGCGGCCCTACTACTCCGTCGAGACGCTGGCCCACCGCGATGACTACCACATCACAGACGTCCAGGGCCGCTCGGGCTACGAAGACGGCGAGAAGCTATGGAAGGAGATGGGGCTTCCCCCAGTTCTAACTCCTGGCTGTGCTACCACGCAGGTTCCATCCGGTTCCGCCGCGCCCTATCCGCCCAACGACCACTTCGCCGATACATGGCGTGCGTTTGCGCCGGCAACGTCAGATCTTCGCGTCTCCAAGGATGCTGGGCACTACCTCTGTGACTTTATCTTCTATACCAGCATGTCCTTGGCGATGCTCAATGGCCAAGACCGCAATGTGCTCTTCTTCCATATTCCTGGGGCCTCGCAGGATGCGGATATCGAGCGTGGGCGGGCCATTATATTGGCCTTGATCAAGACCATGGTGACTTGTTGGATTGATGAGAAACAGGCTGCATAGAATGCTACATAATATGCTTGCAAAGCTACCCATAACTCTATCTCTAGTATATGCTGCTTTTAGTCTTTCTTTTCTTTTCTTTTCTTTTCTCTTTCTCGGGCAGGTGGTCAGCATCGAGCCCTTTTCTTTCGAGTCGGATTGCAGACCATCCTTTCCCTGGATCTTGACGTGCGTGTGGTGTTCAGGCAGGGACTTGTCTAGTTTGGTTGTCTACGATATATCCCAGAATCTAACATGACTCATTGCAAAATATATACTCGGATGGTAGGACAAAGTTTGCAAAACCGCCCAGGAGCATAGTCAAATTTACACTGCATAAAAGTCTTGACTTGTATCACACATATATGCCCATTCGCATCTCATCCCTCTAATCTACCTCGATCGACTATAGCACCAAGGCGGCGAGACCCGGCAAAACGCCACCGATCAACCCGAACGCGAGCCCTAACAACCGCGATCTCTTATCAAACTCCGAGATCTCGACCTTTCTTACTTGTGAGCATTCAGTCAAACACGAAGCAGACAAAGTAAAAGAGACGGGAGGGAAAATGCTAGAAGCACACTCCACACTCTCCGCGGTGGTCCTTGCCCTCATCCTTCTGATCCCTCTCATCCCAACCCTCATCATTCCCGAGCTCAAGGGATGGACCAACCACAACAATCCTAGACGATGGCTTCCACCATTTTCACGCCTATGGCGTCGCACTCCGAGGCAATCAAGCGAAATTGTCTCGTTGCGCATGTACCCGATCAAATCGTGCCGCGGCTTCGAGGTGCAGGAGACGACGCTGCGGGAGCACGGGCTTGATCTCGACCGGCGCTGGATGCTGGTCGATGCCGCGACCAATCAGTTTCTGACTATCCGCCAGATCCCGAATATGACGCGGATCACGACGGCGTTGAGTGCGGATGGGGAGGAGTTGGTTGTGCGGGTTCCGAGGGAGATCAACAACCACAACAACAAAACTGATATTGCTATTGATATTGAGACTGAAGATGTTGAGTCTGAGGATATGCACACCATCCGCATCCCATCCCATCCAACCCCCACCTGGCTCGCCGCAAACACCACCCCAGCCGCAGTGCGCATCTGGGACACCGACACAGACGGCTATCTCTACAGCGCAGTCATCAACGCGCCCTTCTCACAGTTCCTCGGCCGCCCCGTCGCTCTCGTCTACAAGGGCCCCGCCGCGCGCATTCTGCAAGGCAACGGCGCGCCCAGCCAACTGGGCCGCGTCCAGACGACAGGATTCCCGGACGTGCACCCGGTGCTGATGGCGTCGGAAGCGTCGCTCGCAGAGCTGAACACGCGGCTGCGCGGCGCGGGTCTGGACCCGATTACTGTGGAGAGATTCCGGCCGAATATCGTTGTGCGGGGTGAGAAGCCGTGGAGCGAGGATTCGTGGAAACTTGTGCGGATTCGCGAGGAAAGTCGTTGTGATTCGACTCCACCCAGTGCAAGGGCGCCATTGACTATCCCGCTTGATCTTGATATCCTTGCTCGCTGTGCTCGCTGCCAGGTGCCCAATGTAGATCCTGTCTCTGCGCGCAAGCATAAGAAGCAGCCGTGGGATACGCTTATATCGTATCGGCGGGTCGATGAGGGGATCAAGTTTAAGCCGTGTTTTGGGATGCTGAGTGCCCCGCGCCAGGAGGGTGTTGTGCGCGTTGGGATGAAGGTTGATGTGCTGGAGGAGACGAAGGATCATCGGTATATCACTGGGTTCTGAGGAAATCATCATTTAATTATATTGTAGTCCGTGGGTGGATGTATATGCTTTTTGGACCTAAATTGCTCGGGTCTTTTCCAAGGCCATCCATCTATTTAGTATTTGTCTGCGGCTCCATGCAAACTATCTACAATTGTAGTGCTAGTATAGCAGTAATGGTAACTCCCATAGGTACACATCCACCGCTAGTTCTTCAGCTGCTTGCTCGCCGACACGCACCAATTATTCCAGTCCGTAAAGAATGTCGGCTGCACATGGCACTTAGTACTCCCCAGCTGCTCCTTGCGCGTCGCAGCATAGACATCGACAACATGAGCGATAGCCTTCTTATCATGCGCCACCAAAACCTTCACCACAAGCAAACTCGCCTGGCTGCACGCAGTCGCATGCATCGGCGGCCCACTATGCCCTGCCTCCTTATGAACAGAACGAAGCAGCTCCCAAACAGGCTTCGCCTCGTCAGACCCATTGATCGGAGGCACGGCACTGCCTTTACAGAGTTTGGTATACTCGCGCAGCACGGCGTTGGCCTTGTTGGCAATCTGCTTGACGGTCGACCGCCGCGCCAGTCGCAGCAGCGGCAGCAGCAGGTCTAGAGCCAGTAGCCGCGAGTGGCTCTTCTTCACGAAGATCTCGAGCAGGTCTAGCACCCGGTTCTTGAAGTTGATCATGTTCTCGCGCGCGTCTTTCTTGTCCTGGCGCTGGGACGCGACTTGCTTGCGTGCGCGGAAGACTTGGGCGAGTTGCGCGTCGACTTGCTCCATCTCGTCGTCGTTCATGTCGGCGTCGGAGTCGGATTCGGCGGCGTTGAGGTCTTGGTCGGCGCGGTGGGTGCCAAGGGCGGCGGCGAGCTTGGCTTCGAAGGCGGCTACTTCGAGGGCATCTTCCCCTTCCCCTTCTCCTTCTTTTTCGTCGTCGTCGTCGTGATCGTCGTCATCATTCGACGAGTCAGAGCCATCCGAGCCGCCGTCTGCTTCCACGACTTCTACGTCGCTGTCGAGCTCGTCGGCGTCAATCATTTCCGCATCCTCGTCCTTTTCGTCGTCTTCCTCTTCATCTTCGCCTTCATCCTGCTCTTCGAACATTTCCTGCTGTCCAGCCAGACTTTCCTTGGCCTCCAGAATCTGAAGATAATTAGCACATCACATCAGGAAAACCCAGAGAATGATGACAGGTGCATACCGAGATCAGCGACTCCAACCCATTCTCTGTGACCTGGTCCGCAAAAGCACCAAACACCTGCTCGCTCATGCGACGGAACAGTTGCGACTGTTTCGATGCGAAACTCAGCAGAATCTCCACCAGCGCATCCGATGCGTCGGAAGTATCCCCCTTCTTAGAATCCTGGTCTCCCAGGAACTTGGAGTAGCAGAACTCTAACTCGTCCAGCATAGACACGGCATCGGCGTCTCCGCTGTACACTTGCAAGATGGTCATGGAGTAGAGGAGCTTGAATGCGGCAACACCAGAGGTCTCTCCCTTCTTTTCCTTGGATGACGTTAGCTTTATTGACAACATCAGGCCACGGGAAATACAAATGCTTACCTTGCTCGACAGCTTCTTCAGTGACTTGAAGGCTGTCTTCACCGAGTTCTGTAGAGTATCGTCCATTTCGATGATGAATTTGCCATATTCCCCGGACTTGACGGCATCGCGGATCTGGCGGACGACCGCGTACGGTAGAGTGGCGGCATACTTCTGAGATGCCAGGAGACTGTTCAAGCAAGAGTTGATGCGGTTCCTCAACAGCTCCTGCGTGGGCTGAGTGACAGCCGGTTCAGGGGCAGTTGAGCTATTCCCACTATCCGTGAAGTACGCAAAACGCACGAAAATGAACAAGATCTGCTCGAGGACTGGTTGCAACTCATCCGCAGAATCGCCGGTCGTAGAAGCCTTCGATCGCACGGTGGTGAGAAGCAGGCCCGCGAGGAATTGGCGGCTGGACGCAGCGGCCTTTTCGTCGCTCGTGCCGGGGCGCCGCATGAGCTGCTCGAACAAGGGGACAATCTCCTTGAGAGCCTCGGCGCTAGCCTCGGCCACGATCTTCTCGACGGTCTTCGTCTTCGTGGCCTGGTCGAAATTCACGGTCCCGCTGGTCGCCATCAGGCCACGAACCGCCGGCGCCGCAAACCCGGGCTCTTTCGAGACTCGGCCCTGGATTGCTTTGCTGGCTTTGACGGCCATGCGGTGCAGGTACCGGTCCTCAACGGCCAGCTGGTTCATCAGGCATCGCACGAGATTTTTCGTAAACACGTGCGAGGCTTGCTGCGGCGAACCCTCATTGAGGACTTTGACGAACAGGAGGAAGCCCCAGTACTTGCGTTCGTCGGATGATGCCGAAGCAAACAGCCCGTCTGAAATAACATGTCAGTTCTGCAGCATTTTTAGTGGTGTTACATGCTGCGGTCACTCACTATCCACAACCTCCGTCCAAAAATCAGCAAAGCTCAAACGAGACGATTTGGATGTCTTCGACTTGGGGCTTCCATCACTGGTCCGAGACAACACCGCGTCCCAAGCAAAATGAAGCTTGGAATTCCACACTCCGGAAGACTTGGCATTCTTTGCCTGGTTGTCGTCCTCGCTGTCAGCGGCGGACGACTCCTTCATGATTTTCGACAAACTGTTGCGCTCCTTGGTATCTAAGGGATCATCATGCTTCCAGGCCTTGCTCGGGAATTCGGCAGTAGGGAACATGTCCTTAGCCGCCAGCCAGATCGCAACACCCTCGGGCGACCGAGCCAGGTCGTGCGAGCACAAGCGCTCCAGAGCAGCCTCCGCAAACTTGGCGTTCATCTTGCGCGACGAGAGGTCGTAGACACAGCGATAGACAATCCATCCACATTCTTCCCGAATCCATGGCTTTTTCTGGGACAGTTCAAAGACCAGATCGAGGACCTTGGTCCATTGCGTAAAAGGCACCGCGGGCTGGAAGAGGACCGACGACTTGATAATAGCTTCTGCGCCAAAAAGACGACCGAAGACATGATCGCGTTGCTCCTGTATTGATCCAGGTAGTCTAGTTAGTACTAATTCAGTGCAATCAATTCGAGAAAACCACCAACCTGTCCCGACTCGCTACCCGAGGAGTTAGACTGCGACTCCCAAATCTGAAGAGCGTCCGACAGCCCGAACTGCGTCGACTCTCGCGGGGCCGAGAAAATCTGCGTGAGGACCTCGGTCAGCGCAATGGAGAAACCAATGCGCGCAGCTTTGCGGCTACTGCAGAGACCGCGGAACAGTCGCTGCAGCGCCTTCTTAATCTGCTCGTCGGCCGGGCTCTTGTCCGGCGTGAACTGCGAGACAAGCGCCTGTGCGGCCTTGAGTCGGATCTCGTCCTTTTCGCTGGCGAGGTCCTCGTAGATCTCTACCAGCTTGACGTCGACATTGGCGGGCTCGCGACGCCGCTTCTTCGATCCGGCTTGAGGAGGAGCCATTGCAATAAAAAAAAATAACTGGAGAGAATGCTTGATCAATTCGCTTCTTTCGCCAGACGGCATTGCCAGAAAAAATTCGGGCGGTGTCCTGATTGGGACTAGCGTAGACTGATAAGCTGATAAGCAGTTGGCGATGTATGCGATGACCTCAACAACTCAAGAATTGCAATGAAAGTGTTCAGAATTGCATTAGTATTCAAGATAAAGAGTATTCAAATACGGAATTGGTGGTTTATTCTTTGGGTGGGCCATTGGGTGTGGTGACTACTTGTGGCGATATATATCTGTCTAGGTAGGCCAACTATCCTATAGTTAGCAGAGTACTGAGCATGAACAGATACTATGCTTATTTGTCCTTTTGTTTCCTTGGAAACCAGCAAAATCCTAGCAGACCTCAAGAAACGAATAAACCACAGGACCCGAATAATTTTCGAAGATTGTCAAGTTCGTATCCACCAGCCCCTGAGTGAGCACTTCGGACATTCAGAGTAGACAAATGACCCTCACCAGATCGTAAAGAAAAGACCTCACTGTAGCTCTTCAAATCTACAAAATATACAGAGATTACAGCTATACAGGTCGATTCCAGCAGACAGTAGTTTGCTGCATCCATTCAGGGGAACACGGAAATTTGCCTCGGCGACCAAGGATAGAATGAATAATTGACCAAGGCTCGCGGAATTGCGTTTCGGGATCCGTGGCGATTTTCTGGTTCCAAAGACAAAACACAGTTGACTTCAAAAGCCAAGAGAGTTTTGCGTGGAGTCCAGCTGAGGTTCGGATCCGGGTCTATCTCTCGATGCATCGCACCGAACTATGAGGAGTTGGATACCTGCATAAGCTATTGTTTTGGCGTGGCGACACCAAGGAACCAAAAAGAGAATTACATCTACTGTCAAATGTGATGTGTTGATCTCGAGAATATGGAAAATCAGCATTCCAAATGTCGATACTATTGTATCGTATCTAGTAGAATAGTGATCTGTGGTGGTCCGTATATGCAACCGAAGATCCATTAATGATATATATCGTTTTTGCTTAGGTGCCACGACAGGCAACCACGGCAACCACGTTCAGCATTTCATGTACATGTCAAATTTGCAGGTGATACATAGCATGTGGGAACCACCTCTTTTTTTCTGTGGATAGCTTCCCCTGCAGCTGGTGACACACGATCGGTCGAGGCGCGCAGGCTTCTACACTATAGAGGTAGGTCCACGGGTTAGTCGGGCATGCGCCAGTTGACATCCCAGCACATGGACCTGCCTGCAGGCGTCCCACGACTAGTAGATTGATTGCCCCGGACCCGAGGCATTATTGGAAGGATGCGGTACGGCTGAAAGAAAAATAGGAAAGCTAGAAGTGAAGATCGTGGATTGTTACAACACATACAATAAAAGGAGAATATTGATAGAATAGTTCTAAAGAGACAGGCGTGGTGTATCAAACACAGACTGTGATCTGTGATCTATCCATCCCACCTAGAGAGAAAAAAAAAAAAAAAACCAGAAGAATACGAGGATTTTGACAGGACAGAGCCCACGACTGGGGGCTGTGCGCGATGTTATCATTAGGCGCCATTGATTCGGTATAGGATAGGGGGAAGGGGGTGCATATGTGGAGTCATGCACTAGGACCTGATAGCACGATCGGGGGAGGGTTGTTAGTGGGATTGACAGGCACGAAGCCGAGGGGGACGTGGGCATGGGCATGGCGCCATGGGAGCGAGCAGCCCCGGGGATTCAATAGTGCCGCAGATCGGGGGGCATTTCGAGGAGAGGATTTGTGGGTGACAGATTGACAAATTGACCGTGCCCAGAGAATGTACGGAGGGTGTATGGGTGTGTATTGTGAGTACTGGAGTACGACAGCAATACAGGCCTGGCAAATAGAGTGTCAATAGCATCAAGGATCAATATTTGAGATCGATAGATCTAGAGAACAGATGAGTGTTGATTGTTGATGTCATTCGGGTGATCACGGGATCGCGCATGAGGGTCGCGTTTTGCCGAAGTTTGGGTTTGTTTATGTCGCGCTCTCGACACGCTCTCGACATTCACACATCAACAATCAACACCGAAGGAAAGCTGAAACATGGAGGGGTAAGAAGGTCCAGAACGATAGAGTTGCATGCAGGAGAGATGTGTGATGGACCCCGCAGCGGTTGGAAACTCGACACGACTGGGTGTACATCGCACATGGCGCCGTGATGCAGCTGACGGATCACATCATTCGCGGTTTATTTCCAACCCCACCTGGATCACTGCAGGCGTGGCGCAGTTGAGAGCATCTCAGATCGGAGTGGGCGGGCTGAAATGGTCATGGATTCGTCGATTAGTCTGACCCAAGGACATGGGCCATCCGGCGATGTCCGCGACATAAACAGACCAGGCTCTCTCCAGTGGAATGACTCGAGCGCTTAGAGAAGACCCAACCTCGGGATGTCAACTCCGAATTAATCAACGTCATACACAACCCCTCCTTGGATCCGGTTTTAGATCAATCGCACGGGGCGCTGAGAGCCAACATGACGTAGACCTCACGGGCCAACATGGGATCAACTCCCCGAGGACATCGTGGCCGCGCACACCGCATCGGAGAGAGATATGGGTGTCTCTTGCAGGAGTTCAGCGGGGATGTGTGGATGTGTAACAAAGTCCGAAGCCCTTTGACCGGCAGACTAGCTTGGCTCTCATGAGGTTGATACATCTTCCATCCATGGATAGGTCAACCATAAGCTCTGCGATCGGTCCACACAGTAAGCGGTTCGGTGGCTTGCTCACAAAGGAACACCAAGCACACCCCCAAAATAGCATCTCGTGGGGTGCAGTAGGGCGAAGCTGTGTCCACTGCGACTGGCCCGATTGTCGCCGACTCCATCGACTAGCAGTTTCAGATCCCTCAAAGAGCCGCCTGTTCCCATGATGTGGCGAATCTGAGGGGATTTTGGCTGTTGACTTTGGTGTGTTTGTCTTTCAATGCCTCGGCCAACGATGCCTGGACTGGGTTGTTCACACGCCGGACGCTGTGCACGGTATCATCGGGCATAGACCGAGTTCAGGTCATAGTCGATCGGCTGGGATCGTCAGCTTGAGCTTGGCTTGGTTAGTGATGCAATACCATGATTGGCGAGGTTGTTCCATTCATTATTGGAACTCTGCCATATTATTGTAATTGTAATCCCCCCTTTGCCCCCATAGCGCATGGAAGACGTCAATGCCCAATAATTGGGGTTGGTAGGTTGGCAGGTTGCATCGCGACGCCGGAGCAACGAGTGTAGGGCGAAAGAGCACCTGACGACCATTCGAACGCCAACGAAGTTTCTCAGGACTTCTCCAGGACCCGAGTACATTAAACACTTAATAGCTAAAACATCCTACCAAGGGGGTCAATAAAAGGGATGCGCGACATTGAACGTTCCCCTCGCACACCCTTGATCAGCAGGGAATGCAAGTAAGGGCACGGGGTGAAATATGGGCACTATAGACCAATTAAGGCTACCGGGGTTCCAGGAAGAATGGATCAGAGAAAGATAATCTCATTCATGCCTTGCTCGATGCGACGCTGTTTCCCATCATTTGAATTTGGTGGGGTACACGTAGGAAGAAGCTTGATATAGTCGCCGATTCGGGCAATGATGCCGCGAACTGCAATTTGATGAGATCGCGAAAATTCCACTAGCCCGCTCAATCACCTCGGTTATGATCTGCTCGGAGAAGCACTTCCTATCGGCTCCCCTCTTCCAATTCGAGTTTTTCGTTTCGTTCGGAGGGGAGTGATCGGCTCCGGTAAAGTTGCAGTGGTCCATTCACGAGCACTCTTGTCATCCAAGTAACTCTCTTGTAGCGTCACCTATTCAAGCGATACCGAGGAACTCCCAGCAGGCATGGAAATGTGTCTGCGACGTTAGAAATAACAGCCGGCAGATCCAATCCATTTCTGTTCATTTGAGGAGCAAGATCTAGGTTGTCCTTGCATGGGCGATCGGAGAATCATCACTTGCATCCCTCGTTTAGCTTTTTGTGAGCTCGATTTTTTCCCGACTTGGTGGAAACCAAGTGGAGATGCTGTCTCTTAGCCTCGATCTGGCTCCGTTTTTCAGCTTTGAGGTTCCTCTGGTGACGGCACACACGGGATGTGTTTGGTGCGAAAAATCCTTTTCTCATCATTTTTTTTCTTTGGTGGATACGGAAGACCCGTGGAAGACGCACCGAACGAGGCCATCTTTCGAGGTTATCCACTGTAAGAATTTTCAGTATTAGTCGATAGTCTGTATACAGACCAGACCAGGAGAAAAAAAAAGAGAACAGAAGAGAGACAGCAATAAAACATGTCATTACTGCACCCTTCCGTCAATAGAACAAAAGAAGCTCTCCCCTCGCCGGAGATAGGCCAGGGGGCGAAGAGAACCGCTATGAGCTCCTACCTAGGTATAGCTCGACACACATGGAGCCCCAGCAGGATTATCTTCCCTGGTAACCGGTACCCTAAAGGATCCCTGCTCAGCCAGCCTGGAAAAGAATGAAGCGGAGTCAGTCAGCAGGGCCGCTGATAGGCGCTGCGTTGCTGCGCAGCGGTAGTCTGGCCGATGGAGCGGCAAGGGAGTCCGGGCAACCAGCGGGGGGCCAAGAGACCCGTGAGCACCGGGAATTATTCCATCCCTAGAGCATGGGAGTGCACATCCCTACTGTGCTGGGAACATGCAAGAAAGCCATGTTCACTTGGTGCATACCACAGGGGAGATGGTGAGATGCTCTCAAGCGCTTGGGTATCCGCGGCGACAGGGCTGTCGTTTGCCGGCTTTGCATGGTCCCTCGTCTTGCCGTATTGCCGTATTGTCGTCGTACTGTCGTAGTACTGTCGCGCAACTTGCGTCAGCGGCCAAAAATACCTGCCAGTGCCGGTACCTCCCAAGTACCCACTGTACAGTCGCCGTAATACATCATTCGTATCGTTTTCAATCTGGAGATCCTCCCCACTTGCGTTGCCATTGCAACAAGCCCATCCCTTCAGCTTCACGAGTTTCTTTCTTCAAACCTCTCGTTCCACCTTTTCTTCTTCTCTCCTTTCATATCTTGTCGACATTCCGCACGCCGCATGGTCCTTTGACCTTTGCATTCAATCTTCTTCCGTCTTCAACTTCCATCTTCGAGCAACCCGCATTGAGCTTCAGTTCGGTATCCCCTCCGGTCCACGAGCTCCGACCCCTCCACCGACTTCCGACATCTTGAACTTCAGTTGAGCTGGTCATGGCCCTCTGATCCCTCCCCGCACAAGAAAGACTTTCCGCCGGTGGCTTTGAGGGTCCGGGATCATTTGGGGATTTTTCTGTTTCTGTTGCGCAGTTCCTCGGTCAACAGAAACTGAGTAAGATTGGTGCATACAGCCTGAAAAAGAGTTGATTGAACACAAGAGATTGGATTGCACTTGGATCCTTTTGGACGTTGTAGGACCTACTGTGTGGGCGTTTTCATTGCAGGGTTGGTTGGGTTTCTCCATCGGCAGCCGTGATTCATTCCCAGCTGTACCACGTCGGATTTGGCCCAGTTGCAATTTCGAATCTATGATCATGGAGCATTCGTCTCCTCTGGCGGCCATGCAGCCTCCGTCAATGCTGCTTGGCCATTGCTTGCGACCTGATACTTCGTACCCGTCCCTCTGTTCGGTGACGGGTGTTACCTCGAATAGCTTCAACTTCAGGGATTTGTCCATGAAAAAGTCCGGTCCGGACTACTTCTCCATGAACCCCCCTTCGGGGATCTTCCCCGACAGCCAGTTTGGCGGCCGACTTGTCTCAGAACTTCCACATTGATCAAAGGTTCGTGCTTCGCGGGGCTGGGAGTGACATGGGACGGAACAAAGGCAATGAAAGAAAATGAGACTGACTCCTAAATATAGCCCGCAGCTGGCAACGCCTCGTCGGTCTTTGTTCTCGTCGAGTATGCTGGGGCAGGCAAATGGTCGTGGTAAGGAATTCCTTTAAGAAGGTACTGGTGTGCATTGCGCTGAGTCGTTGAATAGAACATGTGATGACGACCCCCCGTTGCCATCGTCGTCGCCAGCACCGGGAATGGACTTTATGGAAATGTCCCCGCTGCCCCATAAGAAGCCTGCGTTTGTCGTTACTGCCGAGCTGGAAGTCCACTCTCCCACGCCGGAGTCTACCCGCGTGAACTCGCCGGCCACCTCGGCGGCCCCCAGCCCTCTGCTGGAATCGCCCATCGAGGCACCGGAGTAAGAGAACCTGACTTGACTTGTGGAAGTGTCATTCTAACGAGCGATTTCCAATTTACAGGCGAAAGCGTCCTGCGTTCCTTCGACCCACTCTTGCTAAGAGCAAAGCGCAGTCTTTCCAGCTTGGCATGACCAGACCTGCTCCCGAGAGCAAGGCACCTCCCTTCCGATTCGGAGCGAAGACTTCACTGAGCACGTCGACCTCGCTGGAGGACGTTTTCAATGACTCTCCCCCTCGTGACAGACACCACTCCCGAAACTCTTCCGGTAATATCGCTCTCCCCCGTCTCCGGCCGCCCTTCCACCACGCCCGGAGCAGCGCTTCGCCGGCCCCCAGCTCTATTCGCAAGCACTCGCATCCTCTCATGCGCCCCCGCAAGCAGTGCCGGCGGTCTTTGAGTATGTTTGCGCATCCCGCCGACGTCATTGCCGACAAAGAGGCCAAGGTAACCACAAATGCACCCCTCCAGTCCATCAGTGACATGGAAAGTCCGCCCAGCCCACAGCTGCCTCACTTCATCCCTGAGGACCAGGCGGACAATCTGCCTCGCATCGACAAGAGCACACTCGTGGATGTCTTGAATGGAAACTACAATGACCGTTTCGACAACATCATGATCATCGACTGCCGCTTCGAGTATGAGTATGAGGGTGGACATATCAATGGCGCCACCAACTACAACGACAAGGAGCACTTGTCCACGCAACTGTTCGGCATCCCCCAGTCCCGCACTGCTTTGATTCTCCACTGCGAGTACTCGGCCCATCGCGCACCGATCATGGCCAAATACATCCGTCACCAGGATCGCGCAGTCAACGTCGACACCTACCCGTACTTGACCTACCCGGATCTCTACATCCTGGATGGAGGCTACAGCTCCTTCTTTGCTGAGCACCGCTCGCTCTGCTTCCCCAGAACTATGTCGAGATGAACTCCAAGGAGCACGAGTATGCTTGCGAGCGGGGACTTGGCAAGGTGAAACAGCGGTCCAAGCTGAACCGTGCTCAGACCTTTGCTTTTGGCCAATACTCCCCTCAGATGGAGGACAGCCCGACCGGCCGATGCCGAGTCGGTGGAAACGACCACAATCCCTTCCTGGACTCCCCTATCACCGAAAGCCCTTTGCCCAACCGGACTCCCGGTCGCAGAATGCTTTCCTACTGATCTGATGCATCACTGATTGTTGATTTCATGTTTTTCTTGTTCTTGGAGCGTGGCGTTTCACTGGCATCTTCTTATTCTTGTTTCTTTGCTTTCCTTCTTCTGTGAGCTTCCGAGGCTTCCTTCGCGTCAAGCATTTCTGCTGCATTTTCCTTTTTCTCCCGATTTTCGACGACCACCGACTACTCCCAGAGCTTGCTCTGGCACTTGACCTTCGCGGAGGCACTGGTCTGCCTGCCTCATTCGTGCTTCTGGAGAGGCACCAACCGCGGATTTTCTTTTTATGGCTGACCTTCGACATCCGCCTTCTGATATCCTCGATATCGTCCCTTCTTTGCGACTTTTTCTTTCCGCATTGATGTCCGTGTCCCGCCGAGATGATACCCAAAAATTCTTTGCTTGTCTTGTTGGAGGGTTGACACCTTCGCCGCAACTCATGCGATGCGCATCACCTATGACGGCCTTGAGGGCATAATACTCTTGATGAACCGCAGTCGGGAAATCCACCCGACTTCTCTTGTTTCCTATGTCACCGACGACCCATTGATTCCGAACCGAAATTGCGCATGACGACCTCTAGGCACCTCAAGAGCCAGATGGTCCCTTTTCCTTTCTTCTTTCGACTCCGGGCCCTTCTGTGAACTACGCCCGCAATGATGATTCCCGTCGAACCCATTCTGCCGACGATTCGGCATCTCCTTCTCATCCAGTTGCCATTATCGCACTTACCGCCCTTTAATCCACCCATTCGACTTTCCTTGTACAGATTCTTGTTCCCGTGTGGAGTGTTCACTCCCCGACGCCGTTCCAAAGTTGCATCGATGTTGAAACCTAATGTGTTGTTGAGTGAGAGCCTGCCTGGAGTGATTGCCAGGAGGCCATATGTATTTGAGTGCATGTTTCCCCGTCTTTGATACCCCTGTTGATTCTGTCGGAGGGGCCAATGATCCGGGGGAATTGGGGGAGCTAATTGTGCATCGAGACCAGCTGTGCAGCTGTACATAAGAGAAATCTGCCTGGCGTGTGGGGACATTCTCTTATTGAGTCCCTTGTCAGATTTAATGGGTGCTGGAGGGGGTTGTTCAGAGGAGACTCCAGACACAATATTTTCCCTTTGTGAGCAGAATGAAATCACCATTCGTTCAAAATTTCTCTTGTGTAACAAAACGTAAACGACCAGCCACAGCGCCTCAACGTAAATTCTCGAAACAGCAAGATCGGCAAACGGTGAAGGCATGTATAATGAAGCGCGGGTTGACGGTGGCCGCGAAAATGTGATAGGCGGGAGACCCGCAAGTACGGGGGGCTTGTGTCAACCCTTACTCAGAAATCCCCGTGTTTCATCGACTTCCTCTTCTCTCACTTTTTTTTCTTCTTGTTTCAGCCACTCTTTCTCATTCGGCAGACGGCAATTCCTTCGTTTTCTTCTCTTTGTACTGGGACTGCGCCTTCGTTTTTGATTCTGCGGGCCTTTTCTCTTCTATCGCCTATCCGGGGGCGCCCCCAATCTAATCGCCAACCCTGCTGCCTGCTTCGTTGCGAGTCAACAATCCACCAAGGCGTCGTCATCCACTTTGCCGCGCCTCAAATTCCGCTCTTTGAAATCACTTCCAATTAGACCTCATCTGAATTTCGTGACCAATTTGTTATCATCACCCTGGCCTCCCCCGCCTCCTGTCCCTTTTGCCTCTTTCTGCGGAGACACTAGGGCCTACGATCGCGCCGCTCCGAGGCGCCACAATTCGACCACGCTAATTGGACTTTGACAATCCATTGGTATAGCTTTTCCCCTGACACTGGTGTCGGAGGAATGCCAATTGCGGTTTCGCAATCGCTCTCGACAATTCGAATGCTTTCACACTGCTAGCACGTTTACACATCACGTCTCATCTGCCCCAGGATGAGTCCGCCGAATATCTCGCTTTGGGCCCGAGATGCCGCCAGTGAGATCAAGTCGGTGCCCTCGACGCTTTCTAGTTGGGACAAGTGTATGGCCAAATCATACTGCAAGTGAGTTTGCCAATGCCCAGGCGACTGGGAGGCGATTGGGAGGCGAGTCGTGGAAGCCCTCAGCCCCCGGTCAATGCATCATCCGAGGAGCAATGGTACTAATGTCTTTTTCGTGCAGATGGCCAGTCATTGTCGGTATCATTGTCGGGTCGGTGATCGTCATTGCCATTTTGGCGTGTATAATCAATTGCCTATGCTGTGGCTACCAATGCTGCAAGTGCTGCTGCGGCTGCTGTTGTCCATCGGGGAATCGCAGAAACAAGAAACCCAAGCACTATGACGAACCCACGTACCATCAGCCTCCGCCCCCGCGGCCCCCGCCTACCAATCCCCAGCTGCGCCGCCCGCGTTCCGGGGCACCCCGCAGACTCGCTCCACGCCGCAGACGGCGCGCTTCGATTCGCCCAAAACCGCATCCTCCACAGTGAATGAAGATGCGCTGCCTGCGATGCCAACGTGGGAGGGCGCAGTCGACAAGCGCGTCGAGGATCCCAATGCCCACGGGGACGATGTCGAGATGGAGCCGTTGAATCCGCACGGTCAAACACCGGATCGTAAACAGGGAGCCGGCACGCCCATGTACGGCACGGCCTATTCGGACTACCCGCCGAACCGAGAGCCCTCACCCGGCGGATACCGCGGCTTTGGACCGGTCGACCCGTACAGCCGCCGGTCACCCGCCCCCGCAGCGGCTTTGGCTACGCAAGATCCCTATGGGCGCCGGTCACCAGGGCCAGCCGCAGCCTTTGCTGCTGCTAAGGATCCTTACGGACGACGTTCGCCGGGCCTGGTGTCCCCCGTGGCCACCCAGGATCCCTATGGACGGCGCTCCCCAGGCTTGGCCTCCCCAGTGGCCGGGCAAGACCCCTATGGCCGACGATCACCTGGCCCGGCAGCGGCATACGCCACGCAAGATCCGTACGGGCGCCGCTCCCCAGGCTTGGCCTCGCCCGCGGGTCCTCCAGTGCACAACCCATACGACCCGCAGCCGTACCACCAGCAGTCGTACGACGACTACTCGCCCGGCGGCCAGTACAACGCCATCACCTCGCCCTCGCCCGTGGCCGCCTACAAGCCGCACACGGCATACAGCCCGGTGCCGATGGCGTTCTCGCCGTCCTCAGAGGTCGGCCATGGTACACCCGCCCCCGGCTTCCAGCGCCAGCCGTCTGGTGCCTCGAGCCAGTACCCTCCCACATACACCTCCCAGCCTCCCTACCGGGGCGTGTCCCCATCTCTCCCTACTTCGCCGCCTCCTCCCTTCCCGGCTCCTTCGCCTTCCGTGTATACTGCTCATGACCCGCACCCGGACCCCAGCCGTGACAGACCCCCGAGTCTGTTGCAGAGTGGGCCCAAGGGCTCTTACCGTGATTTTTAAGTAAATGCACCGCTTTCTTCTTCTTCCAGGCTCTCAGTGTCGGGAAGAGACTGGGCTTTCTGTCGGAGAGTATCTTGATAGATACCACTTGGTTCAAAGGTTGTTTCGTGTCTTCGTTTACTACCATACATACCCCTGTTTTTTTTTTTGGATCTGTCTCTGGTACTCGGATCTTCCTCTTCCCATTTGAAGCATTCTTCTTGTGATTTTCTTCCCTTTCTCTCTTTCTGTGTCGAAAGTCCCTCGATCGACTTGTCGGTCCATCATGCGCGTGATGTATTCCTTTTCTTCTCTCTTTGATTTTGATGACACCCACCCCCAACAGCCTGATGTCCATGGCTGAATTTCTCGTTGTACAATTGGTTTTTGTCTGTTATATACACCTAGGTATGAACGGGCTTGTTTTTTTTTTTTTCCCTTGTGTTGAATATTGCTGGTGATCTGGGTTTTCTTTTTGGTCTGTTTTTGTTTCCGTGTTGGTTGTGCATGTGCTTCGTGACTTCAGACTGGGGCATGGTACTAGATAACCGGACCAAAACCATGGGATTGAGTTGGGAAACTCTCGATTTCTGTGCTTGTGATCTTTGCATAGGGTACTAGAAGGAGAGAGTAGAGGGAGCCTTTCAGTCGGGCTGTTCTTAATTGACAGTTACCACTTCACTTCTTTACATCTGATGCACTATCACAAACCCAAGGCAATCTTTCGAGGTTGTAGATTGTCGAGTATGAGATTTGGAAAAAAAAAGCTCATGGAACAGCTCCAAATCGCTTATGTTGTCACATTGGTATAATACAATAGAACATCAATCAATCAGCCCCTACAAAGACCTGCTTGACTCGAAAAATGGCTGTAGACGGTGTCACTACCAGTGAAGCATCAGAACACACTGACCCAGGTAATGTGTGCGAGACAGACAAGATCAAGATCATTCCTCCAAGGTAAAATCATACTTCTTAAACGCCTCCTTGAACGCGTTCGCATCGGCCTCTTCTTCCGCCACGGTCTGCGTAGCATCCTTCCAGCTCATGCGCTGATCCAGCTCAAGCAGCTTAGCCATGACGCGGCGGCCGAACTGGAGATCGAAGCGGAAATCAGGCGTCAGTTCAAGTATGAGGATTTTCTCTTCGCCAGCAGGAGGAGACGAGGAGGGTTTGCCATCAGTAGGGGTAGATGACGGTTGTTGGGGTTGTTGTTGGGTGTGAGGATCCTCAGACGAAGACGACGGGGCGGCACTCGACGGCGCCCAGATCCAGACGCGGAAGAAGTCGCCCGGCTCGCTGCCTGAGTCTCTGCCGGAGGACGCAGTTGTGAATTTGGGGTACTGCAGGTTCTCGGCCTCGACCTTGAAGGCGGCGTCGACCAGCTGACTCTGGACCAGGTCGACGGGCACGGGCAGAAATTGCCAGTGCGTGTGGATGCCGCTGGCGCGGCTGACTTCCCAAGTCACGGCGCCCAGCTTGCCGGCGGAGCGCTCGCTGACCATCTGGTGCAGCGAGTCACGGTACCGTTGCATTTCGGTGCAGGTGGAGGAGCGGGACCCTGGGTCGGATATCATATTCAGGGTGGGCGTGTGCTCGAATGGGATGATGAGCATGTGGCCCGGGAATCCAAGTGAAGGAAAGAACTTTTCTGGGGGCAGGGGCCCTTTTGCTGTCGTGAGGTAGGCTTCGTTTCCGATGGAGGTGATGAGGTGCGTGGCGATGTTGGGGTTGGAGAGACAGAAAAAGCATTGATCTGGGCCTGGTGGTGGCGCGCGGGCTCGTTTGGGTGGACGCGGGTGGTGACCTTCGTTGGTCCTGGAGAAACGCTGGAAAGACTCGTTTTGGCTGGGGAGATGCTTGCGCTTGACTTGTACTGCAGAGAATGGGGACGCCGTTGCGCCGGCCGGGAGGGTGAGCGGCGGCGCCGCTTTCACGTCCAGCGAAAAGGCGTACATGGCTTTTTGTTTTGACTCATAAGACGCCATGGAGATAAACCGGGTCAGTGGCTTAACGTCTGGGTAGTCCTCTGTTGGCAGGTGGAAAAAGGGCGCTCGCTCGTAAAAGAAGCTGTTTGATGAGGAGAAGTGGTAACGAGGTCTCAGTGTCGAGCAAACGTCGGCGACACACTGCACCTCAGTTGTCAATGCGCTTTCGTCCTCGGGAACAGCCGCGTTGGATCCTGTACGGATGCCCTTGGGCCACTGATTGGTGATCAGGATATCGGCACTGTGGGTTCCGAAGAGTGCGCGCGCATCGGAGTCGCTGTATGTTGTCTGGAACCTGCCACCAACATTGGTCTCAGGCTTGGTGTGAGTTTCTTCAAGTCGACCACCCAGCGCGGCAATCCGGATCCCTTCTGAAGTCTTGAGGGTGCCCCGTTTCCCGAGGAAGTACAGGTTTGGGCAGACTTCATCATTGGCCTCGATTTTTTCGATGACCCGAGTGGGAAGGGGCCGATTGCCGATAGTGAAATACGTGGGAAGTGGCACGTTGATGTTCCCCTGCAAGAGTGCGGAGATCTCATCTAACTGATTCTCTGTGGAGCAGTCCCCGAACAGATCCCCGACGATGATGGCGAAAGCAAAATTCTGCTTCACGTGTAGCTTGGCGAGCTTGGTGAACACTGCGCGCAGCTGGCAGTCCACGCTCCCAAGAACAATACTTTTTCCAATGTTAGCTCGATCGGACGAAATTCAATTCGCGCGCACTAACATCTTGGAAGCCATGTTCGGCCAGAAGACAGGACCCCGTCTGTCCAGGGATTGAGGACAGTGTAGGGCACTGCTTGTCTCTAAAAATGCCGACCAAAGGGTATAAGTACAATCCAGCTGAGAGCGCTATTTCAACAAGCAATTCACGCGCTGGTGCTGGTGGCAGCGATTAAGTCGGCGTGGCTATGGAAGAACGCGGCCTTCTCGAAGAGGAGCTTGGGCCACCTCTTGAAACACGTGATACGGCCAACCACATTTGGTTAGCTAGGCGGCGCTAGCCTCCACGGCGGATCAAAATAGCGCCGATGCCGAGGAACTTTTTTTGTATTCGATGCGGCCAGACGAAAAAAGTTGCAGCACAGCTTGCTCGTCAACGGCACTGGCTGTCCGATTCATCACTATGGTGGCAACAGGTTCACGAGCCAAGCCAGTCAAGCGCTTGAAAAAGGGCACCGAAACCACCAAATCGCACCGATTCGAGCCCTTCTCGCAGCGCATCGCGAAGCTCAAAATCGACCCGATCCACCGCGTGCGCCGGGCGAGCTTTGGCGAAGATGAAGACGAGACGTCCTCTTATTTCCGGTCCGCCCTCGACCACTGGGCCGAGATGAACCTATCAGACAATTTCACACAATTCACACGGCGGGTCAATCTTCTCTCTGAGAGTCTTGCGCAGATCCTGTACCACGAAGAGAAAATCATGAGTCTGCTGGTGGAGTTTATTGAGAAGAGGGACCAACTATGCCTGGAGCCGCTGATGAGCTTGCTCGCACAATTTGCGCGGGACTTGGGGGTTCGATTCGAGAAACATTTCTCTGCGGCAGTGACACTAGTGGCGTCGGTTGCCGCGACGCACGCCGACGTCGAGGTGGTCGAGTGGAGCTTCACTTGTCTTGCATGGATCTTCAAATTCCTCTCGCGTCTGTTAGTCCCGGATTTGCGACAGTTGCTCACTATCATGACTCCATACCTCGGCAAAGAACGCCAGAAACCGTTCGTTGCTCGGTTCGCCGCCGAGTCGATGTCGTTTCTGATCCGCAAGGCTGGCCTTGTGTACTACAAAAATAAGGCTCCACTTGAAAACGCCGTATCCTTTTTGTTCGACGACATTTCAAAAGCGGCGGATGACTCGAAGAATGTGGAGACTTACAAGGAGGGGTTGATGAGCATGTATGCCGATGCTATCAAGGGTGTCAACAATGGTATTCACTCCAACGGCACCGATATTCTCCATTGTGTTCTGGACAAAATTCCTCCATCCCATGAAAATCGCGAAGCACCAGCGGAGGTTGCTTATGGCCTGGTGGTCAATCTCATCCACCACACAACCCCCGACACTTTTGGGCCTCTCCTTGATACGGTCAAGGTCTATATAGAAGCTCGTTCCAAGGAAAGCAAGAACGAGAACCTTCCAGAGTGTTGCCATTTGATCTTTCTGAGCGTGGCCACTCGCAAAGCATCCCGAGTTAAGGACTGGAAGGCCATCCACCAAATCCTAATCTCTCTGCTTCAGCAAATGTCGGTATCGCTTGACAAGTACTCCGACGCAGCTCCACAGCTTCTTGCAACAGTTGCGTATGCTCTGCAAATGTCGCCAATGAATGAGCTGTTACCATCCTTGCGTTCCCTCATGGACCTGGTGTCCACGGGCCCTCTCTCGAAATACTTCTTGTTCTTCTGTACGACATTTTCGGAGTGGGGATCGGAGCGATTCCAGAGCTTGTTGCTTTCTTACTTTCAAAAATTTATCAACTCGTCCTGGCAAGAGCGAGAATGGGAGACGTGCTTGACTCTTCTTTGTCTGAACCAAGCTGGTTGTATCACCCCGGAATCTTCGAAACCCGGTTATCTTTCTTGTCCAAACGCCTTCAAGTCTCAAATCCAAAAGTCACTGAAATTCCCCACGAACGATGAATGCGGATTAAATGCGTTGGTGAAGCTTCCCAAAGCTATATCTATGTTCGCAGACCCAGATACCCTATCTGAAATGGTCCAAAACTTGCATGACAGCCTTGAATGCGCTCTCCGGGAGGCCGCAGATACCAACACTAGACAAACCGATGGCCTGACCTTCTTCATTGGACAAGGTTTCAAGACCTATGTCGAACTTGCAGTTCAAGCCGGGGAGCTTGACTCTGGTCTCTTGGACTCGATTCTCGCGGCTGCGGCGAATTTCTCTCGCTTGCCCCTCTTCTTGGAGGGCGTGCTTGCTTTCATCTCTTCTTACCCCCGACACTTCCGACTTAGAGAAACCCACACTCGAGGACTTTGTCCGCGACTTGATTCTTAACCTGGCCAGCCCATCGCATAGGCTGCGACTAGTTTCTCTTCAAATCCTCCAGGAATTGATTGTCCGCATCCCCAAAGACGACCCCTCCCCTGTTGCCTTGGCGATTGAGATTGAAGAGAGTCCTCTGACGCTGCAAAGTGCAAGGTCTCTTTCAATGCATGTCCGAAAACTCGCTATCCTTTACCCACAAGTTGCCTCTCGCAAATGGATGCCCACTCTAATTCCCTATTTCTGTTTCGGTCTCTTCTCCAAGAAGCTGGCTCCGCTGTGGGATGACTCTGCTGCCGCTCTGAAAACCATCAGTGAGCACCCCGAAGGAGAGAAGATCATCTCGGATTTGTCTATCCAATGGCTGCAGGAGCAAGAATCCAGTGCCAGCGCATCGAGCGAAGATAATGTGGAGGAAGAAAACGAGAACTCTTATGTCTCAAGTCCTTTTGAATGCTTCAATGTTCGCAACGTTGAGGGCGTCATCACTGCTAGCTTGAAGACCATGGAGGATCCATACGGGCTCTTGTCGCGGCAGTTCAAAAAAGAGCATGCTGTCGCAACTCTTGTCCCCGCTTACCCTCGCAGCCAGGCATTGCGTGTGTTAAATGCCACCCCTGGTGTAGCCGAGAAGCGCTCGCGTCAACTTGTGCCACTATTTTTGTCGTGGGCACTACGCGATGACCAGGACGATGTCCCTTCCAGCAATGATACCAAGGTTGAAAATGCTGAAATGGATCACAAGACCAATCCTTGGGGTTTCCGTGACCGGCTAGCCATGCTTGCTCTGTTTGGACAGTTTTTGAATCCCAGAGTCCTTTACAAGGCCCCCGAAGTCCATAACGCAGTGCTAGGACTCTTGTGCCATGGAAACTCTGAGATTCAAAAAGCCACGCTCAAGGTTCTCTTCACCTGGAAAAACCCGCATGTTCTGCCGTACCAAGAAAATCTCCTCAATATCTTGGATGAATCCAGATTCAAGGATGAGCTTGCAGTTTTCGTGCATGTTGGTGGAGAAGACAGTTTGATCGAACAGGAACACCGCCCTGTTTTGTTGCCTGTGCTTCTCCGACTGCTTTATGGTCGAATGATCTCGAAGGCAGGTGCAAGCGCAGGCCAAGCCGGTCAGGCTGGAAGGCGGAAAGCTATTCTGCGGACTCTGTCTCATCTTTCTGAAGAAGACTTTGGGCTTTTCATGCAACTCTCGTTTGGGCCTCTTGAAGCCCACATCGTCAAGAATAATACGCCTGATCTGACTGTGCTCTTGGAAGAGCTGACTAGCCCAAGAAGGCAGCTTGGTTTGCTCAAAATGATCGACACGGTCTTTGAAACTCTTCAAAGCCGTATGACTCCTTACGCAGAGAAAGCGATGAATGTCATTATTTACTGCTTGGTGCGTGCCTGTCGGGCTATTTACGATGAGAGCAGTGCAATCTATGTGGACCGGAAGGATGAACGCCTCTTGGCCGTCTACCAGAACATTCGGCAGACGTGTATCCGCTGTCTCAACCTGGTATTCTCGATCTCACCGGACCAGGACTGGACCCCGTACGTCCGTATCATCTTCGACGAAATGATCAACAGCAGGCTTGAGCAATTCCCTATCGAGACAGCACAAGGTGTCTCGGGACTGCTGCGACTGTTCCATACCTGGGCTTCTACACCGAGGTCAACATGGTACCTTGTTCAGCACAATGATGCAGTTTTGACCAAAGTGATCGATTGTCTTGGAGTCGAATCAGCACGCGATGAAGTCAAAATCTTTGTCTTGGATGAAGTTATCGTACCCTTGGTTGAGCTTTCCAGTGGAAAGAAGCTGCAGGAGGATGAAGAAATGCCGGATTTCCCAGCGGAGCAAATTCGTTCCGAAGTTCTTGGTCCCTATCTGGAGCATGCTCTCTCCCACCTCAGCCCTCTTTTAAAGAGAGGCCCCTCGAAGCCTGTTTTGTTTTCGGGAGTAAACGCCTTGTCTCTAATCGCACCTTGTGTTGAGTCTTCTCGGGAAACCTCTAGCCTTATCAGCATAGCAACCTATCTGCTCCGACAGCCTGCGGACCGTGTCAGCCCTAAAACCAAATCCGGCCTGTTACGCATTCTCGAGCACTTCTTACCTCTATACAAACCCCAAGAAGATGCTGTGCTTTTTAATCAAGTGTTCGATGCTGTTTGTTCCACATTTGACTATTTCAAAGACGACGCAAACCGAGAAGTGCTGGCAAGGGTCTTTGCTGCTCTTGCCACCCACGACGAGCAGCTCACGGGCGTGGCTGAACTATGTGCTGATCTGAACTCCCGCTCCACCAAGAGGCTTGAACCCGATTACGAGCGACGTCTGCAGGCTTTCACAAAGATCAACGAGGAACTGTCCCACACACTGAATGCCAAGCAGTGGCGGCCTCTCCTTTTCAATATGCTCTTTTATGTCAAGGATGAAGAAGAGCTTGCCATCAGATCGAGCGCATCGTTTGGCTTGAGACGCTTTATTGATAAGGCGACTGCCGAAGAAAGCGCTGATGAATTCGAAGCTTTGGTGACTGACGTCCTTCTCCCTTCGCTGCAATACGGAATACGGCAGAGATCTGAACTCATTCGGTCCGAAATTGTCTCTGTCCTTGGATACTTTGTCCGGCTCAACCCCACCAGATCATCAGTGCAAGACATGCATGTGCTTCTTGTCGGTGATGATGAAGAAGCGTCTTTCTTTAGCAACATTCTTCACATTCAGCAGCACCGCCGGCTCCGAGCTTTGCGACGTCTGGCTGGAGAGGCAGCCAAGGGCGGCATCCAGTCCTCCAACTTGGGAGCTGTCTTCATTCCCCTGATTGAGCATTTTGTGTTCGAGGAGGCCGCGGATGAAAACGCACACAATCTGATCGCTGAAGCTGTTTCCACCATTGGTGCGCTCGCGGAATGGCTGGAGTGGAGCCAGTTCCGGGCAAATTTCCGTCGATATCGCAGTTACATGCAAAGCAAGCCCGAGATGGAGAAAAACATCCTGAGATTGCTGGGACGGATGTCTGATGCGCTCTCCAGTGCTATGAATCAAAAGAAAGAGACAGAAACCCCGGCCGATGAAGATGCTGACAAGATGGAGATCTCTGCGCCACCCAAGTCTGCGCTCGCCAAAACCGTTCCGTCTCTTGCCAAGGTCTCGACCGAGTTGACTACAAACTTCATTCCCTTCCTGACCAACTTCATTCATCACAAGAACGAGGCAGAGATGAGCTTGCGTTTGCCCGCCGCAGTCACTACAGTCAGACTACTCCAGATTCTCCCTGAGGCGGACATGGCTATTCGTTTACCGCCGGTTCTCTTGGATGTGTGCAGCATTCTTAAGAGTCGGGCTCAGGACTCCCGCGACACAGCACGGAAGACCCTCAACGAGATTGCCCTCTTACTGGGTCCAGTTTACTTCGGCTACATCTTGAAGGAGCTGCGGTTTACTCTCGCGCGAGGCTACCAGCTTCACGTTCTTTCCTTCACTGTACACTCCATTCTCGTGATAACTACAGATCACTTCAAGCAAGGTGATTTGGATTATTGTCTGGCAGATCTAGTCGCTGTCGTGATGGACGATATCTTCGGCACAGTTGGCCAGGAGAAGGATGCCGAAGACTATGTCAGCAAGATGAAGGAAGTGAAGAGCAGCAAGAGTTTTGACTCCATGGAGCTTCTCGCGAAGAATGCCACTATACGCCACCTGTCGAATCTTGTTCGGCCTCTGCAGTCCCTTCTGCGGGAGAAGCTCAATTCCCACATTGTCAAGAAGATCGACGAGCTCATGAGACGAATCGGCATAGGTCTCCTGAGAAATCCTGGCGCTGAAAGTCGGGAACTGTTGGTGTTTTGTTACGAAGTTATCAAGGAATCGTACCAGGATCACAACCCGAGTGACAAGCAAGCTGCTCCAAAGCCCGAGTCAGAGGAGCGCTTCCTGGTGAAGCTGCAAGGAGCCAAGCGCGGCGAGAAACGCGGTACGACCTCGTCCCACGTTTACAAACTTACTCGATTCGCGCTCGATGTTCTTCGTGCGATTTTGAACAAGTTCGGCTCGCTGTTGACGGCGCAGAATCTTTCTGGCTTCCTACCCATCATCGGCGATGCATTGGTCCAGGCCCATGAGGAGGTGAAAATCTCTGCACTTCGGCTGTTGTCTACGATCATCAAGCTCCCACTGCCAGAACTCGACCAGAACTCGCATGTGTATTTCACTGAAGCTGTGAAGATTGTCAAGGAGTCGCCAAGCACCAACACCGAAGCGTCCCAAGCATCGCTCAAATTGATCTCGGCTATGCTGCGTGAACGGAAGAACACGAAGCTTCGTGACGGACACCTTGCGTACCTGCTCCAACGCCTGACATCTGACATCGAAGAACCGGATCGGCAAGGCGTGACGTTTAACTTCATCCGAGCCGTCATGTCGCGAAAGTTCGTGGTGCCGGAGATCTACGAACTCGCGGACCACGTTGCAACAATGATGGTGACGAATCAAACTCGATCTGCGCGGGATCTCGCTCGGGGTGTCTACGTCCATTTCTTGACCGAGTATCCGCAGGCCAAAAACAGGTGGACAAAGCAGCTTGGGTTCCTCGCCAAGAATTTAGACTACAAGCACCAGGAAGGACGACAGTCGGTTATGGAGGCCGTTCACATGTTGCTCTCCAAGACCGGTCCCCAGTTGGCGCAGGACATCATCAGCACTTTCTTCTTGCCTGTTGTTCTGGCCATGGCCAACGACGACTCATCCGAGTGCCGCGAGCTCGCGGGTGCCTTGCTGGGAGAGCTCTACAACCGGGCAGATCGGGAGCAGATGAAGACTATCCTCAGCCCACTCCGGTCATGGATGGAGCAACCCGATAATATGGCCCTGGGTAGTATCGGGCTGCAAGCCATGCGGATTTACTTCGAAGCTGAAGAAACCGAGAAAGAGAAGGAGGCGCGATTTGTCATCGGCATCCTCCCTGGTCTGATGCAGCCGTTCCTCAACGATCACGAGAACGGCAACTGGGAAACTCTTTATTTCGCCTTGCAGCTGTTTACAAAGCTGTGCAAGACGGTTCCCGGGCTTGCCCTGAGCCCAAGCTGTGGTTCTATCTGGACGGCGATCCGGGAGTCATTGTTTTTCCCTCATACGTGGGTCAAAACCTGCGCTGCAAACCTTGTCGGCATGTGGCTGGCGGATGTAGCCAAGCATAATGCCACGACAGGTTACAGCTCGATTCCTCTGGCAGGAAGTTCAGGTCTGGCTCTAGACAAAGATGCCATGCTCCAGCTTCTTCGTGCCAGTCTTCGCTGTCTGCGCACGCCGGGCATCACTGAGGACCTCGCCATGCAGAATGTGCGGAACCTCGTTTTCCTCGGACGGTGCTGTGCGCAAAATGATCTGGAACTCCCCAAGCTGGGGGCCGAGGATGCCGACTCTGACGGGGGTGAAGACGAGGACGAAGACGAAGACGCGGGTAGCGAAGTCAATGGAGAACTGAACGGCGAGACGAAAACCGCCAACAACCCCAGGTCCGCCATCCATTACATCTTCAAACAAATCTCCTCTCTTTTGCGCCGCGAAACCCTCTCGACGCGGGCACACGCCCTCGTCCCCAAGACCGCGTCTATTGGCCTTCTTGCCGCGCTTGTGCGCCACCTCGAGGCAGAGCAGATCCACCCTTCGCTCTCTGTCATCCTCCTCCCGCTGCAGCACCTGACCGACTCGTCCATCCCCGCCCCGCGCTCCTCGGACGAGACCTTCCAGAATACATACAAATCCCTGGTCTCAAACTGCCACGAGGTTCTAGATCTCCTGCAGAAGAAGCTCGGCACCACCGAGTATGTGGTCCAAATGAGTCGGGTCCAGGAAACGATCAAGGAGCGCCGCGAGGGCAGACGCATCAAGCGTCGTATCGAGGCTGTGGCTGATCCGGAACAGTACGGTCGCGACAAGAAGAGGAGGAATGATCGCAAGAAAGACAAGCGCCGAGAGAAGGGATTGGAGCACCGCGGGAAGAGACGCGGTTGGTGAGCACTGCCAAGTACTCACAATCTGCATTTTATGAATGATTTGTTTGGCATATCAAAATCGGCGTTCGGTGGGCAAAAATAGACTTGATGCAGCGTGTATATACCTCAGATCAGAATGATTTCTCTTGTACAAGATGGCAGGGCAAGGCTATTGAGTAGATCTACCTCAGTAGACCTTTTTTGTACATTTATTTTGTTTCTAGTATACAAAACCTTTGATACTATTGTTACATGGGGGAAGTATGCAGGACAGGACATCTGCGATGTATACCCCCGAAGATCCCTTTCCGTCTCGCCTGCCTGGATCCTGCCAGAGTGGAGAGTAACCATCGAAGCACAGAGAATAAAGCTCCGACTCAATCGGGTCCATCTTATGCGCCAGGGAAAAAAAAGCGAAATCCAACCCCAATATCCAAATTTCAGGATTGACCATTGCCAGACGAGCCCAGTTTCTCACCCCCTCCAAATCAAAACTCTTAACCGTGCCATCATCCCAAAACTCCATATTGCCATCCGTGTAGCCATGTGTCAGGGTCTGGCCCTTCTCCTGCAAGATATCTTCCAGAGTAGTCTTCTTATCAAAGAAGATGCCAAGGTGATCACTCATGACATGGCGCGACTGGCATGAAGGGCACTGAATCAGAACTGTGCCACGGTGGTAGCCCTGCTTAGACATGCGGTGCGTAGAGCGGTGACCACATGGCTTGCAGGTAAATGCGATGCAGTAGGCCTCTTCGTTCTTGCGGCGCTCTTCATTGGCTTTTTCTCGCTCAGCGTCGGTTTCCGTTTGGCCACTGGGTTTCTCTGTGAGAGGGCGGGATGGAGATGAAGTAGAGTTTTGGCGGACAAAGTGTGTTTGGGTGAGGATGCGCGCTGGTCGTGGCAGAGGTGAGGCCGAGTTGAGAGATCGCGAGCTGAAGAGCCGTGTTGAGAAGAAACGGGAGGAGGGGATGCGAGTAGAAATAGTAGAGACCGACAGGGGTGTGTGTGCGAGGGCACCGAGAATAGGCCGCAGGCCCTGTGATGCGATAGGGCGCATAGTGGCTTTCTTTAGGTGGTAAAAGTCGGAGTAGAAAAAGTGACGGTTCGGCGGTACGGATAACAGATAAGATCCAAACAAAAGGATTAATCCACGTCCTCAAACAACCACAGTCAGAATTTCAGAATTCACAGGACACAAGTTGCAGGAAGCTGCAAGTTGCAAGAAGTTGAGGTTCGCTCAAATCCAGTCGGCGGCGAACAGCTGGAGCCGGAATTACTAAAACTCCGAGGGTCCTCCGCGGAAGAGGAACAACTGCCTTGACATTCTCTTCTGCTGCGAGCTTGACTCCGACTGGTCTTTTTCTTGTGTCGTGAGCATCATGGCTGCAATGAGGGCTCGGAACAAGATTCGAGCCCCTCGAAGGGTATGTGGCGGTGGTCCGGATCTATGACAATGTTGATGCACTGACCCTCGACCTTAGGGCTTCTCGTCTGTCAAAGTCGATGACTTTGAATCCACCTGGAATGTGCTCTCGTCCTCGTTAATTGAAATCAACACGAAAAATGCCTCCTCACTCTCCTTCGAAGAACTCTACCGGAATGCATACAAGATTGTGTTGATGATGCGGGGTGATGAGCTCTACGAGCGAGTCAAGCAACTGGAGCAGGGTTGGCTGCAGGACCATGTCCGGAAGCGCATTACGGGGTCAATTTCATCGAGCCTTGTGCGGACACAGGTGCCAGCCGATGCGCAAGATCAGTCGAACGAGAGGCGAGCGGCGGGGGAGAAGTTCTTGGCCTCGTTTAAGGAGGCATGGGAGGACCATCAGCTGTGCATGGGCATGATTACGGATGTCCTGATGTATATGGTAAGGTTGGGGTGTGTTTTGGCCGCTGGATATATTACTCATACTTTCCGGCGCAGGACCGCATCATTTCCGCAGACCGCACCAAGCCCTCGATATACGTCGTGTCCATGGCGCTCTTTCGAGATTATGTCCTCCGGTCCTCCGCGCGTGCAGATCCGCCGACCACCGTGGCAGACGTTCTTGAGTCAACTGTTTTATTTATGATTCAACTGGAACGCGCTGGTCACATTATTGAACGGCCACTGATTCGGCATTGTATTCAGATGCTGGAGGGGCTATATGAAACTATTACGGAAGAAGAAAGCTCGAAGCTCTACCTGACTGTGTTTGAACCAGCGTTCCTGAAAACAAGCAAAGAGTTCTATCAGGCCGAGGGACGGCGGCTGCTGGAGACAGGAGACGCGGCGGCATTCTGTCGGGTTTCATCCCAGCGGATTGCCGAAGAGAAAGAACGCTGCCGGTACACGCTGTCCATTATGACGGAGTCGAAAATTCTTGATTTGCTCGACGAGGAGCTGATCCGCAAGAATATTGAAGAGGTCGTCAAGCTCGAAGGAACAGGGGTCCGGCACATGTTGGATCATAATAATCTTGACGGATTGCGGAGTGTATACACCCTCAATGCGAGGGTGGACAAGAAGAAGGATGCTCTTATCCGGGTGGTTAACAAACGAATTGTCGAGCTGGGCACAGAGATCAATGCCTCGTCCATCGCACCGCCAGCAGAGAAAGATGCAGAGGGTGAAAAGAAGCCGGAGAAGGGCAAGGAGAAGGAAAGGCCCGTGAACCAGCAAACGGTGTCAGCGATTCGGTGGGTGGACGCCATTCTGGCTCTCAAGCGGCAGTTCGACAATGTCTGGGAGAAAGCATTCTTGTCCGATCAGACTCTGCAGGGTTCGATTATGGGCAGCTTTTCCGAGTTTATCAACTTGAATATGCGCAGCTCCGAGTATCTCTCCCTCTTCTTCGACGAGAACCTGAAGAAGGGCATCAAGGGCAAGACCGAGAGTGAGGTCGATGTTCTGTTGGATAACGGTATCACGCTCCTCCGGTATATCAAGGACAAGGACCTCTTCGAGACTTACTATAAGAAACATCTTTCGCGCCGACTCCTGATGAAGCGCTCTGCCAGTATGGATGCAGAGCGCCAGATGATCTCCAAGATGAAGATGGAGGTCGGCAACCAATTCACCCAGCGCATCGAGGCCATGTTCAAGGACATGACCGTCTCGGAGGATCTCACTGCGGGTTACAAGGAGCACATTAAACGCAGCGGCGATCCGGATTCGAAGCGAGTGGACCTGGAGATCAATGTCCTTACTAGCACAATGTGGCCGATGGAGATGATGGCTAACACGAAAGACGGCACGGTACAATTGCCGTGCATCTTCCCACGCGAAATCGACTCTCTCAAACAGAGCTTTGAGAAATTCTATCTGGACAAACACAGCGGTCGGAAACTGTCCTGGCAGGCCAGCATGGGCACCGCCGACATCCGCGCGACCTTCCAGCGCTCTTCCGGCAAAGTACAACGATACGAACTTAACGTGTCGACTTATGCCCTTGTGATCTTGCTCCTGTTCAACGATGTGCCCGACGGCGAGTCTCTCACCTACGATGACATCCAAGCCCGCACCCGGATTCCTGACCACGATCTCATCCGCAACCTCCAATCGCTCGCCGTCGCTCCCAAGACGCGGGTATTAAAGAAGGACCCCATGAGCAAGGATGTCAAGCCGACGGACCGCTTCTTTTTCAATCATGATTTCCAGAGCCCATTCATGAAGGTGCGCATTGGCGTAGTCAGCGGCGGTGCAAACAAGGTCGAGAACCAGGATCAACGCAAGGAGACCGAGAAGAAGATGAACGAAGAGCGCGGCGGCAGCATCGAGGCTGCTATTGTGCGGATCATGAAGTCAGCTTCGTCCCTCCTCCACCTTCCCATCTTGGTGTGTATATGTATAGTATCCACTAACATCTCTCTAGGCAACGCAAGAAGCTTGTCCACTCGCAACTCATGACAGAAGTGCTCGCGCAATTGTCTGTCCGCTTCGTACCCGATGTCAACATGATCAAGCGTCGCATCGAGAGCCTGATCGACCGCGAGTACCTCGAGCGTGTATCGGAAGAACCGCCAACCTACGGATACGTGGCGTAGAAGCGGCCACACTCGGACAGGATCGGTCTTCTTTTCTTTTACGTTATGACCATGACCTCGGCGGTTCTGCATGCTTGTCTTTTTTATTTTCCGTTTCTCTTTATCTTTGAGCTTAGCGAAAGGCGTCTTCAAAAACGGGCGGTTGCGTTGACATGTCCATAGAACCAACGTCCTTGGCGGGTTGTGTTTTCTTTCTTGCTTCTGCTAGGTTCCTACTTAGGCGTGGAATGGGGGGACTGGACTGCATAGCTGGAGCTCGCTCTCACACTGGAGAGACGAGCACGAATGAAGACGAGTAAAATGAGCATCTCTATACACCTTCCCGCCTTTCCCGCCTTCCCAGCCGCCATAGAGTATAAAACGCCGAAGAATGCGCCGACCGAACAGTAGAACGGGAGAACAAGAAGAGAAAATGCAAAATGCAAAATGCTTCGAAAGACCAGAGTGAACCTTCGCAAGACCAAGATAAAATCCAAAGAGGAAGAGAAAAGAGAGATTTCAAAGTAACTCAACCTCCCCCTTTCCCACGCCCTCCGCACCCCCTCCCACCGCACAACCCAGACATCACCCATACGCATAGTAACGCCAATCTCCTCTTCGTCATCATCCTCCATCCCATCAGCATCAGCAGTCCCAACAGCAACAGGCACCTCCACCCCAAGACACCGCACAAAAACAACCTCCCTAGTCTCAGGCGCCTGGATCATACTCGTGCCACCAGCATTATCATCCAGCCGCCTTAACTGGCGCGGAAACGCGCCCAGAAACGAGCCCGCGTAGTGCCCCGCCAGCAGCGACTGGTGCGCGTGCAGGAAGGCGGCTTCGGGCTGGGAGAGCGGGGTTGGGTCGGAGACGGCAGAGATGTCGGGGACGGAGTCTTGGGGGTGGAGGTTTTGGGTGGATGCTTGTGAAGAAGAAGTTGTGGTTTGCGTGGGTTGGGAAGAAGAAGAGGCTAGGAGTGGGTTTTTGTTGCGCGAGGCTAGTTGGACGAGGTAGTGCATGCTGTGTTTTGAGAGTTTTGAGAGACGTTGGCGGAGGAGACTTCGGAGGAGGTATTGGGTGCGCGCGAGGTCGGTTTGCAGGATTGAGAGGCGGAGGTTGAGGTTGGGGTTGTGCGTGGTGGTGGTAGTGATGCTGGAGTCTGTGTCTGCGGAGGAGGCGGCTAGGTCTTCGATTGTTTCGATCTGGAATAATACAAGGTGTTAATGTCTCAATTGCCTATTTCCAATTGATCAATCTCATATGGATACGATGCTTCCCTCTCACCTGTCTCCGCACCCGCTCCATCATCCGCTCCATCAGTGGCACCGGCCACGGCAGCACTTCCGACACCGCGCGCTCTGCCACCCAGAACCGCGTGAGGAGCTGGTGGTCCAGCGCGGCAGACTCCGGGCTGGCGCCGGCACCGCGGTCGACCGAGGCGAGGATGTCGTCGATGTCCATGGGCCTGGGTGGTTCTCTCGGTCGATCGCGTGGGAAAACAACGCGGAGGGGTGGAGATCTGCTCTGCTCCTGGGCGGAGAGGAAAGTGCCTGGGGCATCAAGGTTGACTACATCGAGACTTGAGATGGTTCTTTCTTGCCATAGTCTTTGTAATGATTGAAAGAATCAAATTGGCGAATTTTTAGGCATGAAATTATTGGGCGAAACTACTATATGAGCAAACATCTGTCGAGGTGCATGGTATACCATCTGCCGATCTGACCGAGACCCTTTGGTCTACTTGAATTCAAAATGAGCTAAAACGAGCCAGTGCAATATCTAGAGTCTTTTGTCCATGCCAAATCAGACATATTACTGTATTGATAATGCATTATGCTTAAATATGTCATTAGAATCGAGCACTGTACGCGTAGAGACCCATCCCGATCTCAGCTTGTCCCGAAAATGCAAAGCATCGTGTATGATCCAGTCCCATGTGAGGACCTGTCAAACCCAAAAATGAAATAAAATCAGAGTGAAAATAATCCTCACCTCCATCCAAGAGATAACGCCGCACACCCCATGGCATCCCATCGCGTCCACAACGGGAAAATCGAATCACCCAGAACACCGATTGACTTTCGTCTTCCAAGCTGGATCATTACATTGGTAGCCTGATGTGTCTTTCTTCTTCTTCTTCTTCTCCCTCTTTTCTTTTCTTTTCTTTTTCATTTTGTTGATAACATTCATGCCTTGTTGTTCGGAGGCGGACCCGGTGGCGGCGCATAGGGATGAGCACCCTGCGCGTAGGCATTCGGCGGCGACTGCAATTCGATGCCCTGTGGCTGCGGGGGCTGCTGCGGCGCGGCACCAAAGTAGCCGTAGGATTGCGGGTTCGCGGAGTACTGGGGCGGCGGTTGCGCCTGGTAGTACGGGTCTCCGTAGTAGGGCTGCTGGTACTGGGGCTGGCCTGGCGGCGGAGGACCAGGCGGCGGCGCCATCCAGCCGGTTCCGGTGATAGGGCGGGCGCCGTGACGGCGACGACGACGGGCATTGAAGCACCTACAGCGGAAGGGGTTAGCCACCAAAGAAAGAAAGGGGGAAAAAAGTCGTTCAAAAAAGAATGTCATGTGAAAGGGGGTGGTGATAAAGAGTACTCACGCGAAGCCGAAGAATATAATAAAGGCTACACCGACAATGACGGCAAAGGCGACCCAGCGACCCCATTCATTCCAGGAGGAGCCTCTGCAGTCATTACTGTAGCCGTAGCCGCTGCAGAGTTGGTTATTATGGATTTTGCCGGAAACGACCGAGGTGAAGGATCCCTAGGGTCAAGGGAGCTTGATCGGTACACGGTACATACCAGTAGTATCGAGGGAAAAGGGCAGCCATAGCTGATGGAACAGATGGATAATAGCAAGAGCTGAGGATGATGGGAGAAGGGAAATGGCAAGAGACGGACGCCAAATATGAATCGGAAAAAGGTGGCTGAGGCGGAGCTTTGCAAGGACGTCAACGGTGGGTCTGGCTTGGCGCTAGGCTGCAGTTTGTTTGCCTCGGATATTCAGTATAATTCGATATCGTTGATGTATAAGCAGAGAGGGTGAAAGAAGGCAAATTCAAAGAGGAATGGAGAGAGAGAGAGAGAGACAATCCAGTCAGATATTCTCATAAATCCAGTAGAGACGATCATTTCGCAAAGGCCGTGAGATGGGTGGGGCACAGGGCTGAGTGCCATTCTCTTTAATCTATTATTGTTCATATTGGTATTATATTATTAGTAAATTAAATAAATAGTTGGTTATATCCTTTGCCTCGGGTAATTCCTACTAGTGAGATCTAATTAATTATAAAATCATCTATGACCCTCTAGACACGATATAGCCTCACTAACCTACCCAGTAGAAGATCTAAATGACCTACTTACCAGGCAAATACCCGATCAATAAAAACTCCACGATTTCTCATTGAATTGAAATTTAAAGGATACATTCAAGCCAAACAGACTTAGACTTAGCATCATCTGTTCATGTACTTCAATGCCGCTTCGATCTGCATGCGTTGGCACTGATGTGTTGGCATTGGTCCGTGTGTCTTATATGTACGCCTGCCCCTCCAGATCAATTCTTCCTCTAACCATATCTTCAACTGAATCTCAGAATTCCATTTAATTCTTGGGCTAAATCACAGAAACAACAAAAATCAGAGACGCCGATCCCATCATCATCATCGTGACATCCGAGGCTGCGAGCCAACACGCTAGAGTCTACAGGATATAAACACCAAAATGACACACAAAAAAAAAAAAAAAAAAAAAAAAAAAGAAAAAGAAAAAGAAAAAGAAAAAGAAAAGAGAAAATGGTTGAACAATATCAGGTGGGAGTGAGTCTCCCATCAAAATGACGAGGCTCATCGACTGGCGCGGGCGATCAGCCAGTGGAGGACGGCGTCGAGATTCGTCTCCTCCTTGGCGCTGATGCCATAGCAGCTGACTTCACGGTGGGTGATGGATTTCAAATCCATTGCCTCAATCAGCTCATCCACCGACAGCTTACTGGGCAGATCTGACTTGTTCCCCAGCACCAGGAGGGGGATGCTGTCCAGAGTGGGCTTGGTCACTAGCTCGTGCAGCTCCTCCGTCGCCACCGGCAGTGCCGCCCGATCAGCGGCGTCTACGATATACCTAGATCCAGAGATGAGTAATGTCGTTCAGTTTATCCTCTCAGGGACTCTTACACAATAGCGTTGACACCCCGGCAATACCGCTCCCACATCGGCCGAAACCGTGGCTGTCCGCCCAGGTCCCAGCTATACCAGATCCCAACATGTTAGCGATGCCCATCAAAACAAAACCACAGAACATGAAATTGACAAATCATACCATTTCAAGGTCACATGGCCCTTTTGGACTCGCTTCGTGTTGAAGCCGATGGTCGGGATGGAGCTGCAGGTGTGTGAGCGGGTATCGGGAGACCTCCACGGACCCGGGACTTACTCGATCGTGAACTCCCCGCCCTACACAACGTGATCAGCGATGTCAGACTCAAGGAGACAGCAAGTGCAACAGCTCTTGAAGAATAGCCAACTTACAGCCAGGACTCGCAGCAGGGAGGACTTGCCAGCATTCTGCAGGCCGATCATCGTGACATCCATCTCGGTTGCCCTGCAGGAAGTCGGGGTGTTTTTAGCACGAGACGGGCCGGGGGTCTCCCGAGAACCAGGAAACACAGTTCATGGCCCACTTACCAGAACATCCTCAGGAGCCAGTCATAGATGGTGCGGAAGATCCCGGCCATGCTGGATCTGGCAGGGCGATTACAAGGTGGTTCAAGAGGTCTGAAGGAAAACAAGAAAGGAGCCTGAGAGGAAAGAAAGCAAAACCCACACACAGTAAAATCCAAAAAGACCTGGCTGCCCGCAGCGAAGGATTACACTTGGAAGAGGATTGTGGGCAACGCTCAGGATGACAAAAGATAAGTGGGGTCGCTGGAGCACACCCCCAGGCCAGAAATCAAGATCGTCGAAAAAAAGAAAAACTTCTTCTGAGCTGAATAAGAAAGAGAAAGAAAGAAAAAGCAAAGACAATAGAGAAAAAAGAAAGAAAAAGAGAAATAAAAAGAAAAAGAAAGGCCCCTTTGTGATCCCCCAATATTTAAACCGACTGTGACGGGGTTGAGGACTGTCAGAACAACTTGGAATTCGAACATTCTGATCGACGGGCACACATGACCGTTGAGGGGCGCTTAGGCTCCATGTGGATGCCGCAGTCACTGCGCGTAGAATATCTGCCCGGGTCAACTGCTGTGCGCGCCGGGGGCTGTTTTATTGATTGGAGATGAATTGATGTTGTTTAGGCAGCCTTGACATGGGAGTTAGGCAGAAACAGAAAAGTGCATGAAGCAGCTCAGGTTTGACCAGACATCTCCTGGATGGATGTGGTTGCAATGTCAAGTCCAACAGCTTCTACAGCTGAACTGTAAACTAGTTACCAACTGTATGGCCTGGGAAAGAAGGCAACAAGGCACTTGTTCCCAGTTTGGGCCTGAGGCATGATGGTCTATTTAAGAATCCACCGTCTTATCACCACGTGATGATAGACCGAAAAATTTCCCCAAGACTTCACTTTTGTCCGCTCGTTGCTGGTGCATTTCTCCCCATTCGGTGATATCCCATTGGGTGGCCGTGGAAAAGGGCTGCTGACTATATTGCCCTTGCTGCCAACTACTCTCTTGGCTCTTTTTTTTTCTTGCATACCCTTAACCTGCGACAACCATCCACCATGGCACCCGCGGCCACCGACACCCAATGGTCGGTTGATTACGACACCTTGAGACGTGAAAACCTCTTCAAGAACCCACCAACAGATCAAACTGCCTACCCATCACTGGCCGAGTCAATCCGGCCCCATGTCGACTCGTTCAATGCTTTGTTCGAAGACAGCAAAATCCTCGAGGCCGGACTGAAAGACATCGGTATTAAATCTTTTCTGGATGGAGATGACGAAACCCCAGAACAAAAAAGGGCCCGCCAGGCCGAAGGGCTGCGGCCGTCGAAGCGCAACCGGTTGAATGTGCGGGTGAGAGAAATCTTCCTCGACAAACCCACGCTCCCCGCCACCAACAAATTCACCACCAAAAACCGCAATATCTACCCCTCCGAATGTCGAGAGCGCCATGCGACCTACCGTGGCAAGCTGCGTGCGCGACTCGAGTACCAGATCAACAATGGAGACTGGATGGAGTCGGTGCGCGAGCTGGGCCAAGTCCCGATCATGCTGCGGACCAACCGCTGCTATCTCGAGAACGCAACCCCCGAGGAGCTGGTTCGGCGCAAGGAGGAGTCGGAGGAATTGGGCGGCTACTTTATTGTCAACGGTAACGAGAAGCTCATTCGGATGCTGATCGTCGGCAAGAGGAATTTCCCCATGTCTATCATTCGTGGTTCCTTCGTGAAGCGCGGCCAGACCTACACGAAATTTGGTGTCCAAATACGATCCGTGCGCCCGGATCAGACATCGCAGACCAACGTGCTGCACTACCTCTCGGATGGCAATGTGACGTTCCGTTTCTCGTGGCGCAAAAATGAATTCCTCATCCCCGTGGCCATGATCCTCAAGGCCCTGGTGGAGACCAACGACCGCGAAATCTTCGAGGGCATTGTGGGCGGTGCTTCGTCCAAGGGCATGCAGAACACCTTCATCACAGACCGTGTTGAGCTTCTGTTGCGAACTTACCGCGCTTACCAGAAACACAGCCGCTTCGACTGCCGGTCGCATCTTGGAAAGTCTTTCCGGCCGGTCCTCGGCGTTCCCGCCGACATGCCCGACGAGGAGGTGGGCACTGAGTTCCTCCGCAAGATCGTCCTGCCGCATCTCGGCAACTACAACGTCACCGAGACGCAGGATTACGACAAGTTCAAAATGATTCTCTTCATGATCCGGAAGCTGTATGCTCTGGTTGCCGGAGACTGTGCCCCGGATAACCCTGACGCGGTCTCGAACCAAGAGATCTTGCTCGGTGGTTTCCTGTATGGAATGATCCTGAAGGAGCGTATCGAGGAATGGCTGCGGTCATTTGGGCCCATCACCCGAGACTATTGCATCCGGAACCGTGCCAAATTCACGGATGAATCGTTCGAGCGGGACTTCTTGTCCAGGATTGTGAAACGATCTAACGAGAACATTGGCCACGCGCTCGAGTATTTCTTGTCGACAGGAAACCTCGTCAGTCCCACGGGTCTGGATCTGCAGCAGACATCCGGTTACACCGTCATCGCCGAGAAGATCAACTTCTACCGGTTTATCAGTCATTTCCGTATGATTCACCGTGGTAGCTTCTTTGCCCAATTGAAGACCACCACCGTCCGCAAACTGCTTCCCGAGAGTTGGGGTTTCCTCTGCCCGGTCCACACGCCTGATGGATCGCCCTGCGGTCTGCTTAACCACTTGGCACACAAGTGTCTGATCTCCACGAGCGATCTGGATGTGTCCCACCTGCCGCGGACGCTGGTCCAGCTTGGCGTTCGGTCAGAGTCTTCCGTGGCAGTGGAGGACAGTGTGGTTGTTCAGCTGGACGGCCGAATCATCGGTTTCTGCTCGCCGAAGCAAGCCCACCGCATCGCAGACACCCTCCGGCATTGGAAGGTGGATGGCACCAACAACATCCCCAGCCAATTGGAGATTGGATATGTTCCCAACTCGAGCGGTGGGCAGTACCCTGGTATCTACATGTTCTCGCAGGCAGCGAGAATGTACCGACCCGTGAAGTACCTGGCACTCGACAAGGTGGATTACGTGGGCCCGTTCGAGCAGCCCTTCATGGAGATTGCCTGCTTGCAGTCGGACTTGGTCCCTGGGATGTCGACACACATCGAGTTCACGCCCACCAACATCCTCTCCATCGTGGCCAACATGACCCCCTTCTCCGACTACAACCAGTCGCCGCGTAACATGTACCAGTGCCAGATGAGCAAACAGACCATGGGTACGCCCGGCACCTCGATTGCCTACCGCACCGACAACAAGCTGTATCGCCTACAGACCGGTCAGACGCCCATTGTCCGGCCACCGTTGTACAACGCCTATGGTCTGGACAACTTCCCGAACGGAATGAACGCAGTGGTGGCCATTATCTCCTACACAGGTTACGACATGGACGACGCCATGATCATCAACAAGTCGGCGCACGAGCGCGGGTTTGGCCACGGAACGATCTACAAGACCAAGGTGCACAGCTTGGCCGAGAAGGATTCGCGCCGAGGCAAATCCAAGCGCGAAATTACCAAGCTGTTCGGGTTCGCGCCCGGCGACTCGATCAAGGCCGATGTGCGCAACGTACTCGACGAAGACGGCCTGCCGCACATTGGCAGCAAGGTGAAGGAGGGCGATAAGATTGCTGCGTGGTACAATGTGCGCTACGACGCGGCCTCGGACTCCTACGTGAACGTCGACGACATCACCCACTTCGTCAAGTACAAGGATGCCGAGGCTGGCTACATCGACAGCATCCGTCTCATGGGCGCTGAGACCGGCAACGAGCCCCTCCAGGCCATCAGCGTCAAGTACCGCATCCCGCGTAAGCCGATTATTGGTGACAAGTTCTCGTCGCGACACGGACAGAAGGGTGTGTGTTCGCAGCTGTGGCCAGCAGTTGACATGCCCTTCTCTGAGAGCGGCATCCAGCCCGACCTGATCATCAACCCTCACGCTTTCCCGTCTCGTAAGTTTCTTTTTTTCTCTTCTGTATCTCTGTCATTCACTTACAACCCCCTCTAGGTATGACTATCGCCCAAATGATCGAGTCCATGGCCGGCAAAGCCGGAGCCCTGCACGGACATCCGCAAGACTCAACGCCCTTCCAGTTCTCTGAGGAAGACACAGCAGCGGACTACTTCGGGCACCAGCTCCGCAAAGCCGGCTACAACTACCACGGCAACGAGCCCCTGTACAGCGGAATCACTGGCCGCGAGTTCGCCGCCGACATCTACATGGGCCTGGTATACTACCAGCGCCTGCGTCACATGGTGAACGACAAGTTCCAAGTGCGAACAACGGGTCCCGTGAACGCACTGACCGGCCAGCCCGTCAAGGGCCGTGCCAAGGGTGGAGGTATCCGTGTCGGTGAAATGGAGCGCGACTCGCTGATCGCCCACGGCGCCGCCTTCCTCCTGCAGGACCGGCTGATGAACTGTTCCGACGCCCAGCACGCCTGGATCTGTCGCTCCTGCGGCTCGTTCCTGTCTACCCAGGTTGCCGTGTCCGGCTCGGGCTCGTCTCGCTCCCGTGCGGCTGTTAACCCCGGTGCCGCGGCTGCTGCTGCCAAGGCTGCGCCGAACCAGCAGCGTCCTGGTGCGTCGTCGTCGTCTTCGGCTGTTGGTGCGCTCGGTGGTGTCGCGGGTATTGTCCGTTGTCGGCGCTGTGCTCGTCCTGCTGGCTTCAATGACTCCCGTGCCGAAGTCTGGGAAGATGGCGATGGGCTGCGCTATGTCGGTGGTGATAATGTCACTGTCGTTGCTGTGCCGGGTGTGCTCCGGTACCTGGATGTCGAGTTGGCGGCGATGGGCATTCGCATGAAGTTCTGGATCGATAACTGAGAGTCTTTTTTATTCCTTTTATACCTGGAGTCATTTGTTTTTCTTGTGGTATATATATTCGAAGTTTTCGAACAAAAAATCGTTTTTCCTTTTTCACTCATGTCATGGAGCGTCTGGTGATTGGTTTTTGCCTTTGCTTTTCTTGTTGTCTTATGTTGCCTTATATTCTGCATGTATCTATAGTTCTTGACACTCAATCACTTCTGATCTATGGATGTACTGTAGGGAAGACACTTCCATTGTCGGAGAAGATGGATCCGCCCGGCTAGTAGTAGGGGTCGTTGGTGGAGTATCAGTTGGGGAATGTCCGACTTATTGAAATGGTCAATTGACCTAGAGAGCTGTAGGAGAGCACCCCAGGCCAGGTAGAGCTCGATTTAGCCCCAAGAGCTGCCGCTCACAGAGTGAACGAGGTTTTTACCATCGATCTGCGTACTTGATGGTAAATGTTCATAAATAGGTTCGCTGAGTATTGTCAGAAGAATCTTGGAGCAGAAGACCAACATCATACCCCTAGAGATTTGACCAAATTCTACTTCCACACTACAGACCTCAATCAACAACGCCAGTAAGATCATATTACACGCACTAGTCCTAGCCTACAACCTCACAACTCCGAGGTCACATTGGAGAACTCGCCGTGGTCAAGCTTCGTCTTCCAGAAGATCGGGTTCATATCATCAAAGCCGTGGTGGACCCAGCCCTCCTCCTTGACATGGTAGAGGTTGATGAATCCACCAGAGTAGGCGTCACGGTGCATGGCCGCCAGAATGGCGCGGCGGCCCAGATCCAGCGCCTCGCGCTCCGTCAGGTCGTAGCGGTACTCGGCGTCCAGCACACCGTAGGCGAACGTCTGACCGGATCCCACACAGAACAGGTTGCCCGGGAGGCGAGTGCCGTCTGAGTCGATGTAGTACAGCGCGGGGCCTTCTTGCGGCGTCATCTGAAATACAACCATTGTCAGTTTCCGATGACTGGTGATTATGAAGTCAATCACTGTAGGTAACAACATACCCCGGCTAACATCGTTCCCATGCTCAGTCCGTATCCCTTGTACGCGTAGGTCAGGTTGGCGAGAATCTTTGAAGCCGCTGCCACCGTAATGCGGCGCTTGTGTCGGATTTCTAGCAGACATCACCCGTCAGCATCTTTCCCCCAATTCCAGATTAAGGATTGACCGAAACTTGAAATAACTTACCATGAAGAGTGCACTGCTGACTCAAATACCGCAGCCAGTATTGGCAATCCTAATGTCACAACATCCCGTCAGCAACCATGATGGTAAGCATGAACTAATTCCCACGCGGTTCAACTCACCGCCGCACCACCGGCCATCGTCCCCAGCAAACCCGGCGTAGGCTCATTTGTCGGCTTATCCTCACCCCGACTCAACCGCGACACTGGGATGACCTTCTTGACTGTCTGACTGGCAATCCAATTTCCGGCCGTTGCGCGCGAGTCGGTGCAGACGATCTACATCCGAGGATTCCATTAGCACATCATGTCGATAAAAGAGAAATCTCCAAACCATAGAAAAAAAAGACAGAAGCGTACAATTCCTCCCTGGAAGCGGAAAGACAGGGTTGTTGTTCCGTGGGCGAGCTTGATGGGGCAGCTGGGGTTGGAGTGGTCATCGGTCATAGCACGGAGGAAGGCAGAGGACTAATCAAAAAATTGCATGGGATTAATTAGCATTTGATTTCACATGGTCCAAAGAGGTATAATCTCAGCAGTTGCGCTGCTCTTGGGCATCGTCGTGACAGATGGAGGTGGCTCGGGATTGACGTCCCAAGTCAGAGAGGTCATCACGAGACCAAACTGTCTGTACCACAGCAGCTGCTGCCATCATTTTTAGCAGAAGAACTCACGTTGTCGACGGGAGGGAGGTTGAACTTGAGCGAGAGCGGAGGGGTGCTCTCGCTGAGGTCCTGCTGCTCTTGCTCCGAATAGAACTCATTCTGGTGGGATGGGCGCGAGTACTGGGCGACGAGCTTATCCATGGTGTGCTGAGGCAAAGAACAGACAGACCGGAGAAAAAGAGACGGGGAAATCGAGGATGGGGAGATGGGAAGAGCAGGCGATGGGCGACGCAGCTCCGAGGAGCTTGGCCTTCCGCGTCACTTGGGCGCCTGTGGTCACGTGAACCTTGGTCCTCTACTAAGCCTGAACACTTCTTCGGGGGGTTTTGCAATTGACAACGCACATGAATTAACTACGTACACCCTTGGCCATATTCCCAGACTCCCAGTATCCTTCCTGGTTTCATCCAACGCTCCCCCCACCCCAATGAAAACAGTCCATCGAGAAGTGCCCAATCGGGAGCTGAAAGAAGTACACGGCGATAATATCATACTAAACACACTCCAAATAATAATCACTCTAGGGAGCTAATACGCGATCGGCTCAGCCTCAGTCTGGGACTGGGACTGAGGCTCCTCCAACTGCTTTTTGGCCGACGGGCCTCCGTTGGTCATAGGTTGGCTGACTCCAGCACCGGTCGCGGAACCCAAGCCGGTAGTCAGGCCGTCCGAGTCGTGCTCAACTCCATTGACTCGAGACTCCTGGCCGGCTGAGGTTGGGATGGGCTCGACGCTGGGCGCCCACCCGCGGAGGTCATTCTCGGCATCCTCGAGGACCTGGCGTGCCTCGGTTTCGTGATCATACGCCGGGCGCGCATCGCCTGGCACCACGGGGCTGTCATCGATGAAGGTGAGCAGGCGACGGGCGTGGCGCGCGATGATAGTCTGCTTCTCTGAGCGCTCGACCACGGCTGCCAGGTGGATGTCAAAGGCCTCCTTGAGCTTTTGTCGCGTCTGAAGGGATGTCGTTAGCACTAACTAGTCAAGGAGAGAAGACAAGAAGGGCAGGAAAATAGAAAGGCTCAAACGTACGATATTCGACAACTGCGCTTCAGCAACCAAATTCTGCGCCTCCGCCCGGACCAGCTCATGCTCGAGCGTCTCCAACCGCGCACTGGTCGGATCCTTGTACTTGAGCTTAGAGATCTCATCGGTGACCTTCTGGCGCTGCTCGCGCGACGGCTGCACAGAGCTCTCCATATTACGGATCTGCTTCAGCACGCCGCGGTAGTCCTCGAGGTTCTGCGCAAAGACGTCCTCCAGCTCGCCCATCTCTGCCAGCATGACGCCCAGCTTGTCGGAGATATCGGAGACGGTGTCGTCGTCGGTCGACTCGCCCCAGTCGGAGAGCTGGGCGGCGATCGAGGAGCGCTCGCGGCCGGCGGCCTCGTAGGCGCCGATGGCCGAGTTCTCGCTCTTGATCATCTTACCCATCTTGCGGCTGAGCTCCGGCTGCTGCATCCCGCGGAAGGTCGAGATGCTGAACCGGTGCCGGTTCGCCGGGGGGTCTCTGCGCGAGCGGATGGAGAGGGAGCGGTTCCTACCGATTAAGTTAGTTCACTGCTGCTTCAAGGGTATGGTTCTCACTCGCTCTGTATATACATTCTAGTAGATCTGTATGTGGGGATACAGATCCAGTAGAGTATATCTAGAGCAACCGCTGTACGTACATTCTGTGCGATATCTGCAAGACTCCAGGACAGAGATTCTGGGATGTAAATTGCAGCGGAGTTCGTCCGGGGGAGAATGGAGCATATGAGCACAGGCGCGCCTTCCGATGACGATAGCGCAACTTTATTCTCGTTCGTTCAACCTACGTACTCAACCGAGGGAACTACGTAGGGCTCAGAAGGAAGTGCAATCCCGGTGGCTGCGTGATGTCATGCCGGGAACGGCGGATGCTGAGATCATCTCTGCCGATTGCAGAAATGGAATGACGCTGGTACGATGGGTGCTGGAGTATGGCTAGAAACTTAGACAGGTTTAGGTAGATATACCCCCCGGCATGGATCTCAAGAGCGGCCCCCGGGAATTTGAGATCTGGTGGAGCTTTGGCCTTATATTGATCGACGGGGATGGATCGGCTCCACTCTTGATCCTGGCCTAGTGCCCGTCGCGATGGCTTTTGCGAAATTAATTAATCTGTAAAATAATCTAGTTTGCGACTGGTGGTGAATTTCTATTTTTTTTAAGGATCTGACAACCTCCCCAGAGCGAAGATTCTGCTGTATGGCAACATGGTCGACCCAAACCCCAAGTGTGATACTTGGAAGGCCTCATTTTCTCCTATCGTACACAATCTACCAGGGCTTTAATAGAACGATAGCTGGCGAGAAGAATGCAAAAATGCAATTTATACTATCTCTATACTCCAAAAAGCCGTCACCAGTATGGAATCAGCTGAAGGTGATCAATTTCAGTAACCAAATTCCACAGCATCCTTACGCCAGCCTGTCGCTTCTAGTTGGCATCTTCGACCAGAAACTTTCTTACTCTGTAAACGAATTCAATACCAACCGCGCCTCGTACTGCTTCATAGAAAGGGCCGCTATTCCGAGGCATGAAAACTGCAAGAACGCCTGCCACAAGAGTTACAGCTAGGGTTGATTCGTTAGTATCTGTGTCAAATTGGTTCTTGTAGCTCGGTGCTATATAGGGGGCTAGGTCTTACAGAATGAAGTTCCGCTCACAGGTCTATCACACCCCGCACATCTAATACTGGCACCAGGGTGGCTTTTTTGGCTGCCTCGAATCGCTTACCCAGTGCTTTCGATGCCATACATGTACTGTGGGCTGTGGGCTGTTCGGCATTCTGACCCAGTTCATTGTGGCGCTCTGTTTCGAGAGGCTCCTCGACGCGGAAACCGAGGAACTCCTGGCTTGGGTCAGCGTTTGTTAGGATTCCCTTGTGGTAGGGTCGCGAATGGGAGGAAGGCAAACCTTGTCGAATCCTGGGAGAAGGCCCTGGAAGAACGTAGAAAAAGAGAAGTGGAATTATTCTCCCCAAGACAGAGGGACAACATATAAAACAACCGAAACTCACATCCTCAATGTAGTAAATGTAGACCCCTTGTCCCGCTTTCTTGTCATATACATAGCTCTCATAGCAATTCCAGTCTCTGTATGGAGGAGTACTACAGACTCGTAGTTCCGGAACGGCTCTAGTCTGAGCAACGTACACTGGATCTCGTTTGGCAAGGGTGTGGGATGTGAGAGGTTATGCAACGAATCGTCAACATTGTCATCGAACTTGGTTGGTCCCGCAAACTTGATATCCTCATTTCTCTGTAGTTCATTTAGCAGAACATCCGTGAGGTCGACAATCCACCCCTGAATCTCGTCGTTGGTCGTCACGGGGGAAACCTGCGAGGTTGCGGTGGCTGTTTCCAGGAAGGTCTCGAGTTGGTGGAGCTGAGAAGCATTTTGTCCATCTCGAGGAACAACCAGGCATTCAGTCTTTGTTTCTATCTACTCTCTGATGGGCGATGTCAATTCTGTCTGGAGATGAGGTGGGAGAGCATAGAGGGTGATTGCCAGATAGAGGATCCCAAGAGATAGAACGGTGATGAAGAAAACCAGACGCATATTCGGCTTCTTCTGCCTCTTTTGATCCTCTTAATTTGGTTTCTTTAAAAGGTCAGCCATATTTCAGGAGCGAAAGGGGCGAGTGGTTTCCTTCTTGTCGAGTGGATGTGTGTACAAGGCAGGAGGATTCGAGGGATTATGCTCGCGATTCATGTCGAATTTGCCTGTTCCCGCGAAGGGAACTTTTGATCGCCATTGAATTATCGCTCCCTCACCCCCTTAAAACCCATCAATATTAAAAGAGTCTACTAGGGGATTTTAGCGCTGAAATATGAGATCCTCTCAGCAAGGATGGTGCAGCCGTCTTTTGAACATTGACCAAGGCGCACCAGCACGCAAGCCCCCTGGAACATAGCCATCATACAAAGCGTTTTTAGGGCTTGTTTCTATCTTGCTTCTATCTTTCTGCTTCAAAATCAGCTATTGCATTGCTCAATCCGTTGCCCCCTGGTATCAAAAGGATGGTGGCATGTATGCGCCTTGCGATGATCTTTGAACGTGCTGGGGCGCGTAGACTTGGACATGACTCGCTCCAGGATGGCCTTCATGTTTAGGTGGAATTGGGGCATTCACGGCTCACATTCTCCCTATTTATAAATGCCTGGGTGATTGGATACGGGCATGGATATCTACCTGGTATGTCTGTATGTTGGGAGGCTTGCCCTAACTGGCATGATTATCATGTCTCGGTGCCACATTTGTCTGAGCATTGTACCGAAGAAAGATAGTCAAAATAAGGGAATACACCAAGAGAGATAGACCGTCATGGCCCTCAAGCAAAGCCGTAATTAGAAAAAGAAAAAGTCTCTGTTCTTATTGTACACCAGGACATGGGACAAGCTACCGCGCGTAAGATCCAGACCCCCCGTGAACTGCACCGATATAGCAAAGAATAAGAATTGGAATAAACCCTCAAACACCCAGAACACACTGTATGGCCCACAGTGTTTTGAAACCCCAGCCCATCAAAGACATCCCGATGCTAATCCATTCTAGGACATTTCATCCGCGTCAGGATGGTGCGAGTGCTCGTTATCCGAGGCATGGAAAGCATCCCCAAACGCCGAGTTCTCCAGGTCCGGGAGATCAAGCCCGTCGTTTTGCTCGCTGTACGCGGCCAGCGCATCGCCAGCGCTGTCGATATTGGTAAAGTCGAAGCCGGCACTGTCGAGGCCGGCTTGGTCCTTGTTCTCGTTGACCATCACCCAGTCAGCCGCTTCGCCGGGGGCACCGCCGGGTAGTTGGCCACCCAGGTCCATATCGACATCGCCGGGGATGCCCGTGCCAGGGATTTGTTGTGCGTGGGCAGAGAGGCTCGGAACGCCACCGGAGCCATCCGGAGCCGGGCTACCGAACTGATTGAGTAGGTGGGAGTCGGCCTGGTCCAGGGCCATGTCATTCGTGAAAGAGTCGGGCTCGTCTTTGTGTTCGGGCTCGATATTTTCCAGTAGTCCACCCTTCTCGACACACGAGACCTTCGGCTCAGTGATGATCTGTTTCTTCCAGGCGGTCTCCACTTCTCGCACCACGTCATCCACCTTGTAGTGAGCCTTTTCTTCCACGTAGCTCGGCTGTGGGGTTTCCTCCTCAGTCGGAATGATGATACGGCCCTCCAGTCGCCAAACCTCTGCACCCGTCTCTGCGGGTTCAGCGGCTGAGTCCCGCAGACGAAGTTCCGAATCCTTGAGAAGATTACTGCGGTTGAAGTGCTCCATACGGCGAGCATGTTGTTGCTTCAACTTCTCGATCTCTGCCGTCATGTTGGCCACCTTCTTGGCCACACGATCCGCAAACTCTTCTGCTTTGGCTGGCTCCATCTTGGTGGCCTGCGGGGCGTCACCCGCCTCCTGACCCTCCCCACTCGTTGACGTCCCCACAGGCGCATCGAAGAAGCCGGCGGTCAATGCCTCCAGCTCGCCCTTTCGGCCCAGGCCCAACGATACTGGTGTAATTTGTGTGATAGCGTACGGAGAGTCAAAGATCTCCTCCATCCACTCGTGGTGCTGCTGATATCGCATCTTGCTGATATCGCGGGGCGTCCAGTGATCCATCATGTCGCCGCTCGACACATCCTCATCCTCCACAGCAAAATCAGCCGTGGCAGCTCCCATGGCCACTGACGGGGCGCGATGACCCTGCGGCCCTTTGGCTGGGGGCACCCCAGCGGCCACCGCGGCCGGATGTCCCGGGGGCGGGAAGAATCCCGGACGGCCCGGCGCCGCATTTTGGTATGCGCCGGGGGGCTGAACGAATCCCTGGGGGGCCATCTGTGGTGGGAAATTGATTGTTGGCCAGTTGTTTCGGTCATGGAGCAAAAAGTCCTTGCGGGCGAGCTGGCCCTGGCTCTGGAGGAAGCGTCGCTGGGCCATCATCCCTTGTACCTGCTGCGAGACTGGAATCCGGTTTGCGGGAACATGGTCTGGTGGCGGAGCCCGCGAATAGTGGACAATCCACAATGACGGGTCTGGTTGCGGAGCGTTCGGGATCTTGGAGGAGACAATGCGATAGCGCTTGCGGGAGTGGGTTGCCATGCTCTCATTCGGAGGGTGGTATCCGCTGCGGTGAAGAAACATTTCCACGGTCTATACCATCGGACATTAGCACCCAATATAACTCACAATGGGTTCAATTGAACATTGGGCATTCGGGGAGCGTACATAGCCACGCGATTCAAAGGTAAAGGCCTGCTCGACATCGGCCCAGACATAGCCATCACTGGCAAAATTGTTGCCCAGATGAGCGAGCGGTTGCCATGTGAGCATCAACGTGCCATCTGCTGGGCCATCTAAGAAGGTCCAATGCATTGGTTGCGATTGGCAGACGCGGGGCGCGCTGGTCAGGTACTCCACGGCGGTCTCCGTCGGCATCATATGCATGTTGGGGTAGCGGTTCCGCGAGATGAGATGCATATGGGGCAGCTAAATTCATGGCGACATAGTTAGTGGGAGGCTTGCTAGATGGGACCGATGGGATCAAGGTGGTCCTTACCAGCTGCCCGGGGATGCGAGTCGCCGGGTCATCCATCTTGGGCTAGCCCAGTTCCGAAGAACAACAAACAAATTAAAAGTGGTCTGTAAAAAAAAATGTATTTCAATCAATTGCGACACATTCGATGGAGAGCGGGGGCGCAACCGGGGAGAGCTGAGCTCCTGGCAACGCGACGCGGGAGATTTTTGATGCGGTGCGGCAGGGGACAGCGACCAACAGTACAAGACACCTAAGGCAGAAAACCAGTCAATACTTCGTACTAATATATTTTAAGGTAGTTATGGATGTCTATAAAAAATATTATATGTATATTGAATATTGAATAGAATTCATTGTAATCAGAATCAGAAGCATAGAGTGAATACTCTGGATAATCCAATTTGCTATCGCAAATTTGTCAGAAAATACCGCAGTCTCAAATTCCCCGATAACTACTTGCATGCATCAGGATCGACTCTGCTTCTCGCAGCCCCGAAAGGCCCGAGACTCCGATGCTCTCTCACTCGGTCTGTGGCCAACAGGAAACAAGGCTGACGTGTCCGTTACAACCGGCCTGCCGCTTGCCCCCAGAACCCCATACACCCCATACGTGAACCACGGGCTGGACGTGGATGTGGGATGAATTCTCTCCAGAATTTGGGGGCCACATCCTCGATTCCCTCTTTCTGCTTACGACCACCTGGCCAGCCACCAGCCATCAATATCTCGGGGATTACACATGTCCGACATCCAGAGGGGGTCACTCGTGATGCAAGATGGAGATAAGCACTGAACCCCGACCTCTCACGTTCGAAATGAGGTCGGTGGGGAGCAGGTCAGCACAATCGGGATTGTGCATTTCGCTCTTCCCAAGCTTTTGGGGCTCCACCCAAGCTTTTCCCTCGGCCTCCGCAAGTTCGATGGCCTCCACTCTCCTTGCTGTGGAAGAGGGACGCCAATCACTGCCGCTTGAATGGACAATCCTCACCATTGCGACTATCGGTCCACATTCTCATCCCCCGCACGTATAAGGATGGGGGTTTTTACCGAGCCCCCCGAGTCTTTTCTGTCTCCCCATCTGTTTTCCCCTCCCTTTCTTCCCTTCTTAACCCTTTCTTCCTCGTCTGTCGCTTCGGGATTACTCACGGATTGTCGCCATGGGGTTCTTCGGCAAGAGTACTGCACCCGAAGATGCTATTCAACGAGCGCCGGAGTCCGAGGATGTCGAAAAGACCGCGCCCGCTCACCAGGAGAGCGAGCCGGCTCAACCCCCCGCAGAAACCTCCATCATTTCCCCGGAGTTAGAACGCCGAGTGTTGCGCAAGTTGGACCTGCGAGTTCCGACTCTGATGGGCTTTTTCTGTGCGGTTCCTCCCATGGTCTTGTCACACGCATGTGTCTAATCCTACGTGAATAACAGATCTGCTTGCCTTCCTTGATCGCAGTAATATCGGGTTCGTTTTCTGCAGTCGACTTAACAAGTGAGAGAAAAAGAGCAAAGAAACTGACCGACCGGTAGCAATGCCAAGATTGCAGGGATGGAGGAAGACCTCTCTCTGAACGGGCAAAAGTACTCGTGGCTGCTGACGATCTTCTATATTTCCTATACGGTGTTTGAATTCCAGGCCCTGATGTGGAAGATCGTCAAGCCTCACCAGTGGGCTGCATTTACGGTCTTCTCCTGGTGTGTCTCTGAGTGCAAAGGCTCTCAATTCCTGGAAAACTAACAGTCTGCAGGGGTCTGGTTTCAACATGTCAGGCCGCGACTTCGAATTGGCAAGGCATGATGGCCCTGCGCTTTTTGATGGGAGCATTCGAGGCTGGGTTTGGCCCCGGTGTGCCGTACTTGCTGTCGTTCTTCTACCGGCGCCATGAGCTGGGTCTCCGGTGCGGTCTGTTCCTTTCTGCGGCTCCGCTGGCGAACACTTTTGCCGGGGCTTTAGCCTACGGTATCACCTCGGGCCACGCTGCGTTGGCTAATTGGCGAGTTTTGTTCCTGGTTGAGGGTCTTCCAGTCTGCGCCGCGGCGCTGTTGGCGTGGTTCTACTTGCCAGACTCTCCGTCAGCAGCCAGGTTCCTCACAGAGGAAGAGAAAGAGGTGGCGCGCGCCCGTGGTCTGCAGCAGACAGGTGAATCGGAGCGGGAGGGCAAGATCCAATGGAAGGAGTTGGCATCGACACTGATTGACATGAAAGCATGGCTCACAGCGGTAGGTTTGGAATCACGTTAGTCGAGTGTCTGTTTGCTAACTCTTGCATAGCTGATCTACTTCAGCTGCAATGTCAGCTTCTCATCTCTGCCCGTATTTCTGCCCACCATTCTCAAGGAAATGGGCTTTACAGCCATTAATGCTCAAGGGTTGACGGCGCCGCCCTTCTTTGCCTCGTTCTTGGCGACGATCTCGACCACCTGGGTGGCAGATCGCTACCAGCAGCGTGGCCTCACGATCGCAGTCCTGTCGCTGATCGGCGGGATTGGGTATATCCTGTTGGTCTCCTGCGAATCGGTCGGTGTTCGGTATTTCGGCGTCTTCCTGGCCGCCTGTGGTATCTTCCCGTCAATCGCCAATGTCCTGCCGTGGGTGCTGAGTGAGTGACTGATCTACCCCCGAAGATATTGACGATCCCATCTTTCTAACCGAATCAAAACTCTAGACAACCAAGGATCCGACACCCGCCGTGGTGGAGGCATCATCCTCCTCAATGTCATCGGCCAATGCGGACCCTTCCTCGGCACCAACGTCTTCCCCGATGCTGATGCTCCACGCTACACCCGGGGCATGTCAATCTGCGCTGCGTTCATGTTCTTCTCTACGTTGCTGGCCTTGGGGCTTCGCTGCCTTTTGGTCTGGGAGAACCGACAGCTTGACAAGAAGTACGGGCCAAGGATTGAGGCTGACCTAGCCAAGTCTGACGATACACCTGTGGCTCAGGAGAACTACGGTGCCACCTTCCGGAACGTCCTGTAGTGTAGCAGACCCAATGCCTGGGAGGTATCTGTTGGAATTTCTCTTTGGTAATGGATTCTGAATCTTGTGCATGTATCCTAGCCTGCTATAACGAATGGTATGATATCAAGATGTCCACGATGTGGGTGCAAGAATTCTTTGCTGTGTTACTGTGGTTTGGCGCGTCCTTCCGTATGGTGTGGATCAGAGTAGCGAAGGATCTCGGGATACTCTGCTCCGACACGAAAACACGGCTGTTTCTGCCGTTGAGAGTCTGCCAGCGGTGATTCTGTAATTCCAAGATGTTCGACTAATTGTCTTGTTGGGTATATATGAATCGAGCACTCGATCCATCTTCGCGGGAGGGGTTGTCGATTGCATCACAGGGCCACAAAACACACCAGAAAACCAGTCAGCATCCACACAAACCGCAGAACGTCATCATGGCGGAGACCTGCGTTCCTTCGCTCACCGGGCGCCGGAGAGAGTCGGAGAGAATGACAGAATGTGGGATGGTGGGGTTTTGCCCGCTTATAAGGTTGAGCCCCTCCTCGCTTTTTCTTCTTCTTTTCTTCCACCTCACACCAGCAATTCGCTTGTCTGATATCCAGTAACTATCATCTTTCCTTTGCCAAGTCCCCACTGTGTCTCCTCGATGCTGACTCGTCGACAGATATCTAACGGCAAAGTACATACTGCCCCCCAGCAACTATGGGAGCCATGGATACGCTTTGGCTGGGCATATTATCTCTCAGGGATCAAGGTATCTCAGGTAACGTCTGGGTGTGTACCGGTGTTCGTTCTCACGTCGGGGTGTTTATCTTACCTTGCCTACCTTCTACTACCTAGTAGGTGAGATACCTACAGGTGTATGGGGTATAGAGGCAAAGGTAGACATCTCCGGCGGGGGTTCGTTCTGAGATTATACGGTCATAACTTGATATCTGGATAATACCAGCGAAAGGATCATGCCTCCCCATCCTGTCCCCTTGAAACGTAGTCGGAAAAAACTAACCAAGGCCCCAAGTCAATTACCAATCGACTTGATTCCTTGACTCTATACTCCCATCATGTCTCCCCCCGCTGCTATCTTTGAGCCTGCCACTGTCGCCCCTACTGGCATCAAGGGCAAGGTGACCGTCCCCGAGACGGTGTCCACCACCTTGACCGGCCAGGGCCAGTCCAAGCTGCTGGAGCAGTTCGGCGGCAAATGGGATGAGTTCAAGTTCGCCCCGATCCGCGAGAGCCAGGTCTCGCGCGCCATGACCCGGCGCTACTTTCAGGACCTGGACAACTACGCCGAGAGCGATGTTGTCATTGTCGGCGCCGGGTCGTGTGGTCTGAGCACCGCCTACGTGCTCGCCAAGGCGCGCCCTGACCTGAAGATTGCCATTCTGGAGGCTTCTGTGTCGCCGGGTAAGCATTACTCAGTACCACCTGGGTCTAGACCATAGAAAAAGCTAATGTGAGAAATGTATATAGGTGGCGGTGCCTGGCTGGGTGGCCAGCTCTTCTCGGCCATGGTCCTGCGCCGACCCGCCGACGCTTTCCTGACGGAGCTGGGCGTGCCCTTCGAAGAGGAGCCGTCGAACCCGAACTTCGTGGTCGTCAAGCACGCCGCGCTGTTCACGTCGACGCTGCTGTCACGGGTTCTGTCGTTCCCGAACGTCAAGCTGTTCAACGCAACCTGCGTCGAGGACCTGATCACACGCCCGGACCCCAGCACCAACGACGTGCGCCTGGCCGGTGTGGTGGTCAACTGGACGCTGGTGACGCTGCACCACGACGACCACTCGTGCATGGACCCCAACACGATCAACGCACCCATCATCGTCAGCACGACGGGCCACGACGGACCCTTCGGCGCGTTCTGCGCCAAACGGCTCGTCTCCATGAACGCCATCGAGAAGCTCGGCGGCATGCGCGGCCTCGATATGAACGCTGCCGAGGACGCTATCGTCAAGAACACCCGTGAGGTCACCAAGGGTCTCATCATTGGTGGTATGGAGCTGTCGGAGATCGACGGCTTCAACCGCATGGGCCCTACTTTCGGCGCTATGGCTATGAGTGGTGTTAAGGCCGCTGAGGAGACCCTGCGTGTCTTCGATGACCGCAAGCGCGAGTGCGCTGAGTAAACCTGCTTCGGGGACTCCCCTGGCTTGTGTTTTGCTTGTCTTTTGTCTTTCTTTGATGCGGGTGGTCTTGATGGAGGTTTAGCTAGCTCGTGTTCGAGTATTTGAAATGCACTCCACACTCATTTGGTGCCATCTACTTCTTAAATCAACATGTAGTGAGGTGAAAGGAAAGGGTTAAGTCATTATGGATTAAATTGTCCAGCTACTCATACCGGCATCGCCTAACACTATACATTTGATCAGTGCATGAGCAGCCACATACTCTCAACTAAAGCTATCATTCACTCCACCTTCTTTCTCTCCGACCCGGACACAGCGCCAGCACCAGTCCTACCAGCATCGTTCTCGGCGGCAACAACCAAGCGTCTTGCATTCCTGACCTCCCATTCAAACTCCTTTAGCGCACGCAGCTCACTCGACACAAACAAGCCACCAATCAGGCCATCCAGAATGCCCGCGCCAAAGTTTAGCGTACTGACCAGGATCAAAATAAACCCAATATAAGTGCGGCTGCCGACCCACCACACGCCAACCATGCACCCGATCGAGACCACTAGCGACACCAGAAAGTGCGCGAGGCGCCAGCGGCGTTGAGAACGTTCGCGAAGCACGTACGTATGGATCATGTCGGTGATATGGTCGTATGTTTCGGGGGAGAGGGCGGCGTTAGGAGAAACCGGGGTAGAAGTGGTTTTGTGGAGAGCTGGAGAGTGAGGCAAGGACGGAGCTGGGTCGGGAGGGTGGGATGATACGCTCGCGGGGTTGCTGCTAGAGGAGCAGGTGATGATGGCTTCGACGGAAAAGTGGTCGCTGAGGGAGCAGCGTAGGGTGGGGTGGCGTTGGGTCATGCCGACGCAGACGGACTCGACGGACCAGCGAGGCTGAGGAAAATCAGGTGCGTAGCCGCCGTCACCGATGAAGATATAATCGAGGCGTTTCCCACGAGGGTCCGAGACATTATTGTCGATAACGACGTCTTCGCCCTTCTCGAGGCTTTTGCGCAACGCTTTGGACCAGCGCCAGGTATTGAAGGCGCCGTCGCATGTGGCGCCATTCTCGGCCAGATTGAACTCGGCCGAGGGGATAGGCCGGTTGCGTGCGCGCTCAACGGCATCGATGGCGGCTCCCACGGACGAGTCGGGATGGAGCTCGCGCCAGACGTCGCGGACAGGGCTCTGGGCAGTGATGAGACGGTGTGCGAAGGACGAGGGCAGCATGTTGAAATCTCCCAGTCCAATGACCAGATGCCCTCGCTCAGCCGCGCCGCGCATCAGCTTGGAGATCTCCCATGCCTGCGCGGTGCGGTGGCAGAGGTAGGAGTCGTGGGGCTCGCGCTCGTAAGGTGCATGCAGGTGGGTGCAAAACACTTCGGCCACATCCGCCGTGCCGGGGCCAAACCGGACTCGTGCACATGCCACGCCTTTGCCCACGAACCAATCTCCCCGGAAGAATGCCGTCGGCCGTCCATTCAGCGGGTAGGCGTACATGGTGCTCTCCTCGATTGGCCACCGCGACAAAATTGCCAGTCCCGCACCGAAGATCCCTCCGAAGTAGTATTTGCCATAAGGCAGAATGTGCTGCGTCTGATTCCGAATACTTTCGTAGTCCTGCTGCGTCCAGCATTCCTGTAGTCCAACTATCTCGGGAGGTGGACTGGCAAGGGCCAGCTGCCGGCCGATCTCGGACAAGCGTTCATGGCGATAGGTTGCGAGGTACTTGAGACCCCAGCAGTTGAGAGTCAAGATGCGAATGTTCGAGGGCGGTTCGCCAGGAATTGAGGAGGCCATTGGGCCCGAGATTGATGGGCTGCAAGCAGTTGAAGGAAGAGCGCTGCAATGATGTAAACGGAACAGGCTCACCGCCCTCCGACGCGTTTCGATTTTCTCCATCGCAACGAACACTTGCGATCTTCCCGGGCAATTAACTTGCGTTCGCCCCTTCCGGCGCGTTTGCTTGTGTGTTTTTCTTCGTTTGGGCTGTTTTCGTGCTGGTAATGGGCCATGCCCACCCCAAACCCTCGCCGCCGGGACCCGCGCGCCCAGTCCCCCGTTGAATCCTCCTCCGACGAACTTGCCGCGGGCTCAGACCATGAGGAAGCAGAACGCCGCCGAGCCAGCTGGACCATGCACAAAGGATTCACTCCCCAGCGTCCCTATCAGCAAGAGCGTCAATTCACCGGGTCCGAGAGCCCTGACGAACTCGCCGTTGACGCAGACGAGTATTGGCGTGGTTCGCGCCGTCGCCGCAGCCCCTCGCCTATCAAGCGACCAGACAGCAGCCATGAAGGCCAATCCCACGACGAATCTGAAGTCCTTGCCGAGGATGGAATGACCAACGTCGACGAGACCCATGATAATGCTGCGGACGCTATGTCGGACCGCTCCCCCACGCCGGTTCCTCCCCCATCCCCTCCGCCGCCTTCCAAGCCGGACCACCTAAACTACAAGGAGAAATTTGTGCTGCGAGGCCATCTACGGGGAGTTTCTGCTGTGCAGTTCTCGCCGGATTGCTCGATGATTGCCAGTGCTGGTAGGTTATCTGATGTGTTCTTATCTCTAGTCCGAGCGTCGCTGATTCATTCCCACAGGCGCCGACGCAGCCATCAAAGTCTGGAGCACCGCGACGGGCAGGCTCATCTACACATTTGAGGGGCATTTGGCAGGAATCTCCACGCTTGCCTGGAGCCCTGACGGCCAGTGGATCGCATCCGGGTCTGATGACAAGACCATTCGATTTTGGAATGTGAACACGGTAAGGAGCCTATATGAATTTGTGCTTGATGATAAGACTAATCACCTGAGATGTATAGCTCAAGCCGCACACGAAGAACTTTGTCGGCCACCACAACTACGTCTACCAAATTGCCTTCACACCCAAGGGCAATATCCTCATCAGCGGCTCCTACGACGAGGCCGTGTTCATGTGGGATGTGCGGCGAGCGCGAGTGATGCGGTCTCTGCCAGCACATTCCGATCCGGTCGCCGGCATCGACGTGGTTCACGACGGCACGCTGATCGTGTCGTGCGCGCTGGACGGCCTCGTCCGTGTTTGGGACACTCACAGCGGGCAGTGTCTCCGGACATTGGTCCACGAAGATAACCCGCCGGCCACGTGCGTGAAATTCTCGCCGAACGGCAAATACATTCTGGCCTGGACGCTCGATGGCTGTGTACGGCTGTGGAACTATGTCGAGAGCCGTGTCATCAAGACGTTCCAGGGCCACGTGAATAAGAAGTACAGTCTGTCCGGGTGCTTTGGGTTGTATGGTCCGCCGGATGTGAAGTACACGCCGCCGCTATGCTTCGCCGTCAGCGGCAGTGAGGACGGCGCCATTCTCTTTTGGGATCTGGTCAGCAAAAACACCTTGCAGCGGCTCGAGGGCCACACCGACGTTGTCCTGGGTGTGCACACGGGCAAATTGGACGGCAAGCGTCTGGTTGTCAGCTGTGGCCTCGATAAGACCGTGCGTGTGTGGGAAGAAGCTTCCGAGGATGAGAGTCCAGTGGCACCGGGCATTGCTACCTCTGACGCCACCCCTGCTGAAGTCAATGGGCAGGAGACGCCTGCTCACGACGAAGACGGAGACGATGCCATGGCCGACGCCCCGCCCTCGGGGGATGCCACGCCTGCGGAAGATGTGACGATGACATGATTCCATCGCTGTTTTCTCTAATGATTTCTTTTGCCTGGCGGTTTATTCTAGGATGGGAATACCCTTGGTGTCTGGCGTCGTGTGGGAGAAAAACTTGATCGTGAACTTTGCATAGAAATGGTTGCATATTAGTTTTGATAAAAGCATGAGTTGAATGGAATAAGATCATGATCAGAGTAGTCAGACATGAATATCGGTCATTTCTGATGGCATAGACTAGATACAAAAAAAGAGGGATGAGATAACCTCAGACTTCAATCTTCACTCATCTATACTCCAGTCTCTGACATGACAAGCCTACCTGCCTGGCAATGAAAAGCCCAGCACTAAGCCTTCAGACCCGCCACCAACTTATCCCCAAGATCCTTAATGCTCTCCTCAAAGGCATTGCGGTCCCCAGCCTTCCAGTCCGCCTTGTCACCAGGCACAGCATCCTTCCCAGTGAAGCCCAAGAACAGCACATCGTCCTGGCCATGGCCATTATCGCCATTGATATAATCATCGGGGAAACACATCTGCGCGAGAGAAATGGACGCTTCACCAGTCGAGTCCTCGCCATTAGTATCGCCCCAAACGCCATAGATCTATACCAGAGAAGAAGTGATCAGTAAGTCTATCCATTCAAGTCCATGAAGTTTTGTATCCACGGGTTGAGTGCAGTACTTACCACCTGGTTATTACACACAACAGCCATGACACTCAGCGGCTCCATCCCATACTGCTGCGGATCAAAATTCGTGTTGCCAAACACGACATAGGGGTGAACATTCGCGTCCAGATCCTGGATGCCGTACTGGCTCAGCTGGTCCTTGAACGCCGTCTGGTCCTGGCCCGTCTGGTCCGCGCCACAGGCGCCGCCTTTGTCGTTGCGGCCGTCGCAGTCGACGTCCAGGTTGTCGTATTGGCCGCCGTTGCTGGAGCTGTGCAGGTAGATGGCGCCGTCGAGGTCGGCGCAGTAGGCGAAGCTGTGGGAGGTGCTATCGCTGCCGTCTGTGAAGCCGCCTGAGAGTTTTTTGGTGCATTTTCCGGTCTATCATATGATTAGTATATGAGTTGGGTGGGATTATTGTTTGAAAATGGGGAGGAAATAGAAACGTCAGATGGTGTTTTGTAGGGTTAGTGTACCTTGTGGTTGTCATAGATCTGCTTTAGATTGTCTGGCAGATCATATGCTGCGACAAGGCCTGCAGAGAGGAGGGTAAGAGCGACGAGAAAGTGCATGGTGAGATTTGTATGGAATTGGTTTTACCTCCCAGTGTGTATACACAGAGAGATTCTTTTGTAAATGTAGTAGTTATTCTTCAAGACTATATATCCAGCTCGCAGTACTTTTCCCCATCTGTTGAATGGATCCTATTCCAGCAGAATACCCAATAATATACGAGCAAATGGGGCGATCAGCGAGATCGCCCCTGAATGAGGAGCATTGGTGCTCCCACGCGCCTTAGGTCCATCCGTTTAGGAAGTTGGTCTTGAATCTTGTACTCTGACCCCGAGGATTTCGTGATGAGTTGTTTCTATATTGTACTGGGGCTATGGCTGTTTTTTTGAAAATAATAATAATAATAATAATAATAATATAATAGGAGAGTATGCGATTCATGAAATCAGCGTCTGTGACACTCGGGGTAATATTGATACTCAACACTTGAACCTCGACTCGTGAATCAATTCAAGGATAGCAATTTCCCAAAAATCTATGGTATTTAAATATACCCCAAATCCACAATCCCTGCAAAAGTAGACCTATTTTAGTAGAGGAGCTCGCCCATCCCATCTGCAATGCACCATTCAGCCCCTGATCAGCACGTCCTTACTCCATACGAACAGTTCTAGTCCATAGGGCACATATTGACCGTACACTATGTGTTTTGCTAGAGGTCCAATTAGATCCAATGAGTCCTGTCAGTTTGCCCTTCCCATAATTAAAATAAGGGCCCTCATATACCCATTTTGATCCGTCGCCTCCGTCCCGTCGACATAATTCGCCTCAAGGCTGCACCCCCTCCTTGTGGTCTTTCAATGCTCAGTTTAACTTGGCCTCGAAGGGGGCGGGTTAACTTGATCTGATAGCATTCTCTGCTCATCTCATGAATATTGCGGAACCCTGGAGTGAACGTGGGCGGGATTGGCAAGATCCAATATCACCATTTATCCTTAAGAGCAAGGCTGGGATTTTAGTCTTCTTCACATGATGATCAATCTCTCTGATTTTCTTTTATTCTTCAGAGAGTGTCATTTCTATTCATAGAGACTACTAGGGACCTCGGGAGTATGAGGAATTGCCTATTCAGGTAAGAGTGGAAAATACCTAAAACCTCGCAGTAGATCATCGCAACGCGCAGCCTTGTCTCCGCATGGACTTGTAGGTTTATTGCGACGTCTTTTCTTTATTCTTCCTTCTCATTGCGTGGAATTATTATCTTCTCTTGTGGGTCAGCTAATCAACACGGACCACTGCCCACTGAACCAACACCCAACCCAACACTTCATACTTAAAATTAACCTCTCTTCTTCGACGACCTTAATGAGACAGAGCTAGTCTAGTCTTACATGTCAACTTGACATTCAACATGATCTAGGCAGCTTCGCATGACAGCGCCCTATGCCAGCCTAGATATCGTGGACGAGTGGAGCCTGGCCTTGACTAAAGCAGCAACATCCAGCCCATGGAAGCCTATTTTACGGGATAACTACACGACTGGATGCAATAACTATGAAGTAATAATATAACTGACAGATCATATTGAGACATTGACTGAAATCAACTCCTAGATATGAATACCAATCCCAGCCTAAACCAATCCAAACCACATTCGCCGGGTCTTCCTCAGGAAGATCGATTCGTTCCTCGTCAATTTCTTTCTTTTTGGTTTTTGATTTCTTTTCAAACCAGCTCAGTTTACGCAGCGTAAGCATCACCGGCCTTGTTGAGGCCGCCCCCACTGAACATGTGATTCTCGGCGCACATGAAGTACGCATAGCGCGAGACAGCCTGCTGCGAGTCCAACCAGGGGAGAACATCGTTCAGGAATTGGGCGGTGACATCGGGGGAGCCCTGGCCCTGGGCGTCGGCCTGGAGCGCAAACTCGGTAATCCAGACCTCCTGCAGGCCGTGGGCAGAAGCAGTCTGGATAGCCTGATTGACAAACGATTTGAACTCGTCGGGGGTGTTGCCGTACCAGTGGACAGCCAGACCGGAGATCTTGCAGTTGCCGCAGCTGTCCATGAACGAGTTGAACCACTGCAGGCCCATGTTCGGGTCCGTAGACGAGGTGACGGCGGGACTGATGAGCTTGGCCGAGCCGGCGTAGGGGGTGATGTACTGCATGTAGTAGGAGGCGGCGTCGGAGGGGCTCATGGCCGCCTGCGAGGCCATGTCCGGCTCGTTGAAGCCCATGATGTATTTGTTGCCGCTGGAGCCATCGCCGAGCAGGCCGGAGCCTGTCAGCGCGGTTTTGATGGCGTCGGCCCAGCCGCCGATGTCCTTGAGGCCCCAGAGCATCGGCACGAACTCGACGCCCTGCGGGAGGGAGCCGGCGGCCAGCATGTTCCAGTTGTAGGCCCAGCTGACGGCTTGGCGGTCGGCCAGCGACGACACCAGGTTGGCGTCGTTGTAGGCGGCACCTCGCTTGTTGGAGCCGCGCTTCTGCAGCTGCTCCACGGGGGCGGCAAGGGCCGAGGTGGCCAGGAGACCGGTAGTAAACAGCTTGGTGAAGGAGACCATGGTGACTGTTCCTGATGACTGTTGACCCTTTGGTTCAAAGATAGAAGGTAGAAAGATAACAAGGCACACAAGGAGTGGATGTGCTCAAAAGCAAGTCAAGAATCAGAGAAGCCTGTTCTCAGGTAAAAAAAAAAAAAAAAAGGGAGTGGCTATCAAAGCTCGAAAAGGAAAGAACGATTAGACCGTGCACGGCACAGGACTAAGGATTCGGAAGGATTCGAAGGAATGAAAAAGAGAACTGGCACAGCAGGCTGAAGAGAGACAGAAGAAACCGGGGGCCTTGGGGGCTATTAAATCCTCCCCTTCGGAGGGGGCCTTCGGGGCCTGCAGGGCCCGTGGAGCGGAGATGTAACCGCCATTGGTGTAAGGGGACAAAGTTTGATTTGCTTTCCTTTCTTTGAATTTTTCTTATTTGTTCTCATTGAGTCCATGGCGATCCAGGGGCAGACAACGTCTGGATATTGGGGATTTGACAGGCCCGACATGGCCATGATTGGTCTCACGCATAAACTGATACACCCGAGTGGAGTAGAAAAATGAGATTCATCTACTCCACGGCCTGGACTTTGGTGAAACGGTCCAAGCTCCGGTTGATTTTCTACTATCCTGTCGTACGATGGAGATTCTTCTTTCGGACACCATCCGCTGGTTCGTGGTTGCTGGCGTCTCGCGTCAGAATGCGCTCGATGGCGCCGCCTGGCGTTTTGCCTGGCGTTTTACCATGGCAGTTATTGGCTGGTCCCTGGCAGGTCGTCAGGAACAGGAAGACTCACAAGAAGCTATCGAAGGGGTTTGGAGTGGACCGCAGGAGGCGAGGCCGTGGGTGAGACGAGGGATTCCATGGATGCGATTGCGTAGGCACAATTGAGTGGCGGACGCCAGGCGGTTCCATGGCGCCGGTCAGGGCAGGCGCCGTGATAGGCGGAGCCAGTCACACCAGGTCCGCAATAATTAGGTATTCAAGTGTATTATATTATTATCTCTATCATTATCTATTCTCTTACACACATTCCAATTTCTTGGTTACTCCAAGGCGATCCGGCTCAACTGCCGATCTTCATGGATGTTTCAGATGGCCCCACCGAGTAATAAGCATTGCCGGACTCTGCGCCTACCGGACTAGTTCACACATTCGTACAGTCCGAATGCAACTGGAGAGAGAAGATCACGGGTCTACGAGTACCTGGAGAGGCACTCTACTATACAGAAGTAATAATTGGGCCGTTTCTTCCCGGCTTCAAATCATCTTCTCTGATCTCATCACCCGATCGAATATCCGAGGAAGTTGACGCTATTCCATCCCCATGAGGTCATCCTGGCCCCAACTGACCGAAGGATTCCATCCCGGTCGCCATGCGTAACTCTCTGGGGATATATGACCTGGGGCCGGGAACTGATCATCAATATCAGGATGATCGTCATGGCATATTGTGTAGCGTTGGGGCCAGCATTTCAGCATCGGGGGGGGGGGGGGCCTTTTCTAGGAGTAAGATGTAAGATGAACTTCCATCCTTAGCTCCTGGATCTAGGATCCCTTCTTACATCCATGTCATCCCTACCTCCCTCTTACTTCCTTTTCCCCCCTAATTCTCCCTACTCCTCGGGAATTCCCCTCAAGGCCAAGGACCCTAATCCAGGATCTCATCCCTCAAAACAGGCATAAAGGCCCCTATATCGGTGGTGGACTAGGGGATGTGACCAGGTGGAATCAGACCTCGGTGTGGCCCGTGGGGGCTGGTCACATCAATCCCATCTGAGATTCATGGTGCGGATCTGGTGGTTCCTGTGGGTGAGATGGTCGGGGTCATGTGCCTTGATTCCCCGACTTTTTCTAGACTACTCAGCCCGTGGCCTTTGCTGCCTGAGGCAGAATGGGGCTGCTATGCATATCTATAGATTTGAATATTATGAATAGATCTGTGCTATTGTTGATTCTATTCTATGAGTAACCTTGGAGAGCATGATGACGCTCTACCTAGAGAATAGTTGACTCTATCTGCCGACCGAGGTAGGCCATCTACTCTACTGGGATGCAATGGATATACTATATGCTAATGCCACTCTACTCTATGATTGTCTAACCATTTTCCATTCTTTAACGAGCCCATTCTACTTGATTTCTCTATTTCTCTCTAAAGAATCTTCAATTCTTCAAAAAAAATGATACTCCGTGTGCTAATACTGCCAGCCCAACCCAGAAGGCGGTGTCCCGATGATGTATGCACCTTCTCTCCACACCAGCTACGAACCAACGACAGCAACACAATCCTATCCCCTTCTCCCTCTACAACCCACCAAGTCCCAACCAACAATAATCAACAATGTTATCCCGCACAACCCCCCGACTCCTCCTATCAGCTGTGCGCCGCACCTCCACATCCACAACCACCCGCCCACCCGCCGCCTCCGCTCTGCTTCCCCGATCCCGCACCGTCCGCAGCTCTCTGCCACCCGCCCGCTCATTCCATGCCTCGCCTGCTACTGCCAAGGGCATCACCCCGGGCTCAGAAGACCCGCCCGCCCCGAACCCGCAGTCAGCCCCGGTCGCGGGTGCCGCGACGCATGTGACGGAGCCGTCGCCGTTGACGCCGGAGCAGTACTATGAGTACTCGGAGCATTACTTCAATGTGCTCCTCGGGGAGCTGGAGAAGGTGCAGGAGGAGGGGGTGATGTTGAAGCGGAGTATAGTGTAAGCCTCTCCCTTCCCTACCCTTGAATGGCATTTCCCATTTCTTCATTCCTGATTCTGGATTCTTCTGTCTTCACTCTTATAATATCCAACTAACCACTGAAAGGCCGGCGTCCTCAACATCTCCGTCCCCGCCATCGGCACCTACGTCCTCAACAAACAACCCCCCAACAAACAAATCTGGCTCAGCTCGCCCGTCTCGGGCCCCAAGCGCTACGATTGGATCATCGAGGGCGACCGCATGCACGAGAAGCAGGAGTCGCGCCCCTTTGTCAATGGCCAGTGGATTTATCTGCGCGACGGCTCCAATCTGACCGATCTGCTTAATACCGAGCTGACGCTGGGGTTGCCGCGTGATATATATAGTGTTGTTACAGATGCGTGATCTTACCTCTCTCTGATTCCCGATTGAGGGATGGAGTTTGGGTTCTGTTTTCCGTGTTTTTTTTTTTTTTTTTTTCTGTTTTGTTGCGTTGTGTAGTTTTATCTTGGACGTGTCTACTGATTACCCTGTCTCTATGTAGAATCCTACTAGTTATGGACTTGAGGTATCGAGGAAGGTCGGGGCATCGCTGGTTGTGGTTGGATTGAAGAAAACTGCATACTATGGGTCTGGGAAGAACACTATTCTCAGAATCATTGGGTGTATAATTGAGCAAATACGAGATCTCATGATTATATCAACATCAAAGCAATTTGTTCAGTGTCCACCCCGAAACACGACGGGGTAAGACCAGGGCGACATATTCAATAGCCTAAACACACAAAGACCACGCAGGCCAATCCTTTGATGCGCCTTATAATTCCAAGACCTTGACTGAAGGCTGGGACAGTTCTGCCTGGTTGTGTTTCCGGGAGTATAAAAGACTCCAAAAACACTATCCAAGACATCGGACACTCGAGGTCCAAGACACCCACGACCCGGTCGAGTCCTGATCAGCCTGGTACGGCGCGGGATTAATTCGCAATCCCTAGCCGCCTGTCTGTGTGTCGTGCAAACTCCGTCTATGTCGAGACCAGACCAGGGAAGAGAGAGCTCACTGGGTCGGGTATCACAAAGCCGACGCGGCTGGGACATCAACGCGGACTCGGGGTAAACAAGGCCCGGGTTTATGGAGATTTCAATACAAAGCATTCTCTCCTGGGTCTCTGCGTGGAAAGTCAAAGTTCCAGTTGGGAATATAACCCAGTTTTAGTGGAAGGGCAGGACTCCACTTGATACCGTATGAGCAGCGACATTGTATATCTCCACATGTCTTCAGCAACACCCAAACACCTCTTTGTGGCTTTTTTTTTTGGTTGCTGCTTCTTCACGCCTTAACTGCGACCGCGCCGCCGTTTTGCTGGTTATCAGCCTGAGGGAGATCGGCCTATGGATACCCCGCGGGGTGAAACATTAGCATTCGATACCGAAGAAAAAAAGAAAGAAAAAAATCAAGCGACAAAAAAAAAGAGACAAAGGAAAAGAATCTCTATCTTATTCTCAGTAAAACACACCTGATCGAAAATCACCCGGATCATCAAGCTGCAGCTCGGACACACAGCGATCTCCTCGCCATCGCGCAAGTCATCGATCGCAATCTCGAACCGGTCGCCGCACGGGCAGGGGAAGTGGTAGATCTGGATGGCCGGGTCGAAGGTCATGTCTTCGATCTCGATCTCATCGTAGATGGACAGTGCGTCGTCGGCCATGATTACGGGGGAGGGAGTTCTCTGTCGGGTGGCAATTTAAAAAAAAATCGAGTTGTTGATGAACGCCAGACACAAGTGGCGGGCAGAAAAGTTTACGGGTCATGTGACTTCGCTATATCCTTGAAAGGCTCCAAGGTTGCAATTATCAACGGACATTCTCATTTATCAATGCATATTCACTCGCCCAGTCGGGCGATCTCCATTTTGACCGTCTCGACTTCGCTCACCAGTAGCCCGTACCGGCGAGCGATCTCAGCTAGTGTTCCTCCATCTGCCCCCGCCTCCGTAGCAGGGCCATCGGACCCCTCCACATCCCCGTACCGCTTCAGTTCTTCAACAGCGATGGCGCGCCGCTCGTCGAGTCGAGTTCGAGTCTCCCGCAGATGCTGCTGGTACCGGTTGAGCGCAGCAACGGTTTCCGGTGTGTAGAGAGTAGCCGTGATTTCGAGCTTGGTGACCCTGTAACCCCCGACGTAGTTAGCAACGATAGACCAAACCCCATACCGAGTATCTCATCGCAAAATAAGTGGCATGACATACTCCACTTTCCCCTCCACCCCTTGCGCAACAGTGGCCAGGTGCTCGGCCTTGGCCTTGGTGGCTCTCGCCAACGCGCCATGTTTCGCGCGCTCGAGAATCACCACCGTCCGCTCCAGAACCCGCGTCCGTGCTGCGAGAACTGCCGCGGCAGTCGCGGCCATCTGGCGCCGAGCTGCGGGCATCTCCGATAGCTGTGTATGGCGAAGAGCTGTGATACGATTGTGGAGTTGCGACGAGAGAGGCGGGACGGGCGCCATCGAAGTCCGCACCCTGCGGTCTCGGGCGCGGGCGCGAGCATTATGGGTTGGACGCGACGGCCCCGGGATACTTCGTGAAGATGAAGCCAGTGTTGCAAGGTCCGTGTCGGCGTCACCGGATCTAGTTCCGGCAGTAGCTAACGTTCGCAGGTCATGGACAGCCGAGGAGACGAGGTTCGAGAAGGGCAGGATGAAGACCGGGATATGGGAGTAGAATGCTTCGATCTCAGGCGCCAGAAGGGAAAGCGCATTGTCGTCTCCGTCTTGTTTAGAGTTGTCAAGCTCGATTGCGGCGCGCGGGGTCTCGAGGTAGAGTGAGATAATGGCGAGGTTGTCATGGCACTAGCCCACAAAAATCATCAGTCGGTGTCTCTCAAAAACACAAGCTGTAGCTCTACAAATGCTCTACTCACCTTCTCGGGTAACTCGCTGTCCGACGCAAACGCTAGCCGTCGAAGCATCTGCGTCTTCAATCGCTTCTTTGCACTCTGAGTCTGGCATTGTTTCAGGTCCTGATGTAAGGAGTTAGAATCTCTGCTATGTACGTCTGAAACTGTTTGTCCAGGGTGCGACGTACCCCCACAGCAGCTGTCCGCGCCGGGTCTGTATCCTGAGTACGTGTCGATCCATCAGGATTTAGCAGTGTAGTTGTCAAGGTCTCATAGAGTCGTTTGAATTGTGGATTGTGTTCGAGAATGGAGGCGTCGCAGGGTGGGATCATTGTTGATGTTGACGGAGACCAGGGGGGTTCACCGCCAACAGAGGCGACCAACGCGTGACACTACGGAGGCAAGTTTCAATACACATACATTTTCAATTCAACATTGCTTTCGTAATCGTACATTGGGGATAGGGAAAGAAAAGGAGGGAATAGAAAGGGGGAAAGGAAAAGAAAAAGAAACTCCAGTTTCAAATCAAACCCGTTTCCATGTTAAGAGTCATAGCAAGACGAGTCGCCTCGTCTATCTTGACCGTGCAGAAGGGGGCTGAATTGTACACCAGGGGCATCCAGGGGGGAAAGGGGAATCAGTCCGGTGAAATCCGGGCCAGCAACATGGAAATTGATGCTCGAAACCGGAACGTTGCTTGCTGGATCCAGGGCATTCGAATGTAGACTATGTACACACAGTTTCTCGAGCCATCGTTCAACCACGGCGTAAGGCGAGTCGCAATAGCACCGCTCCCTCCAGAGTCACTTTTTTGAGATTTTTTTGCGGAATTTTTGAGCTGCTTTTTTTCGTGGTCTCCTTCCAGACAGGGCAAAAAGAAATTTGACGCTTTAAACGCTGATCGAAGCAAAGCAAGTGGCCATCGTGTGAAAGACAACCAAGTTCGAGTGCGAAGACATCTACTCCTCTTCGCTCTCCTCGGAATCATCCGAGTCGTCATCACTCGATTCGTTGGCTTCGACAGAAGGAACGGGGTCAGGGGAGCGTGCACCAGACTCGAAGCGCGAAAGGTTGTTCTTAAGCATGTTGATCTGAGCCTCTTGCTCGTATTTGCTCATGGGCTTGTTCTTCTTCGGCTTGGGAGCCGCGACATTGCTGGGCGGAGGAGATTCTTCGCCTTCCATGACTTGCGGTGCATTCTTCTTGACGAATTTGAGCAACATGAGCAGGACATCATTGGGAAGCTCGTCAATGTCCAGTTCGATCTCCGCTTCTTGGGTACCCTGTAGCACATCAGTTAGATCGAATTGGCAAATAACAAAGCAATCAACTTTCAACTTACCTTGAGAGCAGGAACATTGTTCTGGATAATCTTGAGCGCCTCCTGCATCTTCTTATCGGGCAAGCTACTGATGCCGTTGGAGATGATCTGCTTTTCATTGTAGGAAACCCAGCGAGGCTTGTCGGCCTTGGATCCGGTGGACTTCTTGTCCTTCTTGGCGCCTCCGCTCTTCCGCGAATCCTTCTTGCCCGACTTCGCCTTGCCAGCCTTCTTGGAGGAAGGAGGAGTCTTCTTCTTCTTGGAAGTGATGGCTTCAACCTGGCGGGACATCTCCGCGATTTGCTTCTGCAACATGCTGAGGCGTTCATCCTCCTCGGTTTCCTCCTCCTCGTCATCACTGTCTTCATCGGACGAATCACTGTGCTCCTGGTTTGCGTGGTCGTGAGTGTCCACGTATTCCTGCTTCTGTGCCCACTTGCTGTTGAAGATCTCTTCCGTCTTTTGTCCAGCAAGATAGGTTGGGTCGCCAGGGATGTTGAAGCGGAAGCAGTTCTTGAAGATAAGGCGCACGTCGTTCTCGAACTCCTTGGAGTTCTCGTACTGCCCTGTTCGAAGTTTAGACTGCACGGTGGACAGATCCATGGGTTTCTTGATCACGCTGTGATAAGTAGGAATATTCAGAGCGACCGGATCGACGGGGACGTAGAAAGGAAAAACCCAGTCGCGGTGCTTCGCCTTGTGAAGCTCTTCCAGAACTTCCTGGCAGAATCGCAACTCCCAGTAGAACTTCTTCTTCTTGGGCTTGGTGGAGTACGGAAGATCACGCTTGGGAGGGTGGATCGAACGCTTTGGACGACCGTCAGTGTTGGCGGAGTCGCGGCGGATGACGGGCAACCCTTCAGGTCCCAGTGCAAAGGTCGTGCTCTGAGGCGAGGCCGCCTTGGGCTGACCACCAGAAGTCCGGGGCGGCCGGCGGGCGGCCGACGTCTTCTCCGCCACCTTCTTCTTCTTCTTTTCTTCAACTTCGTCGGGCTTGGGGAGGCTCAGCAATTGCTTATCAAATGTGGCCTTCAACTTCTGTCCCTCCGTGGTGACTGGGTGATCTGGGCCGTTGAACGTCAACGCATTTTGAACCATCAGATACAAATCATCAACGACTGCCTGCGGTGACAAGTATTCGTTGGCTTTAAGCTTCTTCTCCATCGTTCCCAGGTCCATCGGCTGCTTGATGAAATTTGGGTAGTGAGGAATGTTCAGCTTAATTGGATCCACAGGCTCACGGTAGAAGCGTGAGTCATGCATCCGCTTCAAGGTTGACAGGCTCTTGACAAAGAACTTGTGCTGCATCTTTGTCAAGCCCGATTCGCCACCTGCGAGGATGGGGCCAGAAGTTTCAGTGGCAGGAGTCGGCAATTCTGGAGCCTTGAAGTCCTCGCCATCAACCTTGGTGCGCTTCGCGGCCGGTTCCTCATTGGGATCCAGCTCACGTTCTCTCTGGGCCTTTGAAGGCGACGGCGGGAAATCCGGTGCATCTTTCATTTCCTGGTCACCAGTTTGGTCGGCCCCGGTCAGGTTGGTTTGATAAGTTCCATCGGTGCCGTGAGGGCTGCTGATCTTGATGTCGGTGGTTAGATGATGGGGGAGGTCGGTCTTTACTTGAGCAGGTGCACCATCAATAGTCATCTCCTTTGCATCAGCTGGGCCATTTGTTGCCTCAGGTGGTGCACTAGAAGCACCTGGGGGTGCTTGCAGAGCGGGAGAAGTCTCCTTCACGACAGGATTTGCCGGAGTTGAAGCAGCAGACACCTGGGTTGGGGTATCCTTGATTTCAGAACCCTTCCCTTCTTCGGCTGGAGTAGGTTCCGCAGTGGAGGGTGCCTCAGTTTGTGCCGATGCTGGTGGCAGCGGGTTGTCGGCAGCCGTCGGGAGAGCGGGGGGATTTGGGGGAGGCTGAAGCATTGCTTCCATTTGCAATCGAAGATGCGGCCGGGGTATGGCCATTCAACGGAGCTGGATTGGCATCAGTCACACCAGGCGCGGCATCTGGCTTAGTGTCCATCGCATCTTGAGCACTGTGGATTCGTTAGGATAAGTCACGGGGAAATAAGAGATAATAAATTACTTACCTCTTTGGTGGAACATCAGGCGCCGAGACACCGGTTGGCGATGGAGGAAGCTGAGGCTTCTCCTCCTTCACCACAGGAGTAGCCTCTGGAGGCGGGGTCGCCATTGGAGGTCACAGTCCAACCAACGCCACACAGGGAAGGGGATGCAGGGTCTATGAATGATGCCTTGATCAATAGCTTGGGGCAATCAATTTGAAGCCTCCACGCGCACACACAGTTTCTAGTCTCGAAGACTTTGTTAAGGCCGAGGGGTTGAGAGAAGTGAGTTGACCGCGGATAGATGCGAGTGAATAGAAAAGATCACAGTTCGAAAAATGCGACTGTTTGTGGTTCGAGAGCTGTGATCGTTTCACAGTTAAGGGATGCAATGGGTATTGCAGTTAGGATAAACAGTAGGGTCACAATTGAAGAGCTGCGACCATGAAAAGTCGAGGATGCGAAGAGTGAAGGATGTGAGGTGAGAGATGAAGATGATTGGGGTTAAGGAAGAGTGGAGAATGCGACCGGAGGCAAAATGTTTATATACTGCCAAGATAAATCACGTGGGCGGTGACGTGAGCGGTGATGGGTGGTGAGCCCTAGGTCGGTTGTAGTGGAGGATTGGGCGGTATGGAATAACAGTGAGATGGTGAATGCCTGAGGCCAGAAGAAAATCGAAAAAAAAAAGAGAAAAATTATAAGGGAAAAAATAAAAAATAAAAAAAATAATAATAATAATAATAAGAATGGCTGGAAGGGGAGTTAAAAAGGAGGCCAGGCGCGACGCGAGACGCGTTAGGGGGTAACCAAGGATACAAAGCGGTCAGAGCAATAAAAATAGGAGAAGCTCAGGAAATTGCTCGGAGGGGATGCCAGAATCCTTAAGTACAAAACGGCCCTGCGCTCTCCTGCCCCGAGTTCCACCAGCCACACTTGTATTGGTCCCACCGCGTTCTGATTGGCTGCTGGGTGGTATTGTAATCCAGGGACAAAATGAAACAAAAAATTTTCATTTAAATGGTATCGTTTGACTTGGGCTTCAATTCGTAGATTTATGGATTTCTGTTTTATAGATGAACTCATGTATCATCGAGTATTTCTTACTCTTTACCTTTTTTTTTCTTTCTTTTTTTTTCTGTTCTGCTTCTTTGAATAGATCTCGGGAGGGTTTCTAGATGCGTCTCTTTTTGATGACTCAGTGCCCTAGGGTTGTGGCCGAATTCAGGCTAGGTCGGTGACGAATCCAGTCCCGACGTCACTCCGGTTTCTTCACGTGACTGCTTGTCCACGGGACGATCAGTTCAACCTTGGAAGTCATGGATGTATGAGAATGCCTACGTCGAAAGTAGCTAGGCATCCATGGATGTATGGGAAGATGCCTGGTGTACTAATCATAATGATGCGGTATGCAGCCAGGACACATAGTTCATGCCAAGCAGCTATGGAATTTCCCATTGGTGATTTGCATCTACACTGCCAAGCCATAAACCCTTGCTGTATACAGATTGGCGTCACATGACCCTGGTTATAGATCCATGTATGAAGGTGTATTTGAGTCCAAAGATTCGAAATCTACCTTGGATGGAATTTTCATTCTCTACCATCTAATTCTGCTGATCTGGGTCATGTACGATGGCGGTCTGCCCTGGTCATCTTGGGTTGGGGAGCTCATCAGTATCTACCTGCCGAGTTATTTACATACTAACCTGCCAAAAAAATTCCATCAAAAATCAAATGGAAAAATAGATAAAAATAAAAATAAAATAAGGTGCAAGCGGTTCTGCAGAGACCCGTCATATAACCTTTAGGACGATTAAATCCGCATAGCTGCATCTAATTTCGACTCTCTTTGCTGCTGCTGCTGCTGCTGCGGATATATATTTGATGTGTTTTCCTACACAGACAACCCAATTTGACTATATCGACCCCCAACTCAAAATAACTTGAAATCCACAAATATCCAAGAAATAGCAAAGCATACTAGCTTAATAGCTTCACCATTACCCTTATCAGAGCCGAGCGGACATCAAACAAAGGCATCTATATTGTTTCCAACCTCAGGCACTAAAGTCACGGGATGATTAGATAAAACCCGCAACAGATTTTCACACTAAGCCTCTTCAGGACTAGTGCTTGGCCCGAGAGTCTACAGAACATTTTTTTTCCTTTCCGCATCGACTGTGAAACCACCAGTCCCAGAGCTCCAGCTGGTTTCCCTCCACCGGACATTCGAGAGATAGAGTGTTTTGGGAGACTGCTTAGATATCCGGGGATCTGTATTATCGCATTTCCCACCCTCAATCATCCATCTTCGACGCCGAGTTGACGGAGGAAAAAAAGTTACCCGAAATGGGCAAGAAGACGACGTCTCGGCCATCCAAGGCCCCCACGGCCGCATCGCCGGCATCCGCTCTGACACAATCCGGTAGCAAGTCGTCTGTCCTGCGAGCCGCATTTTCCCCGTCCGAGTATCAATTGGCCCTGTTTGCGTCGGTCATCCAGGGCCTCGATGCGCAGCACATCCGGATCCACGAGACCACCACGGGGCGACTGCAGTGTGAGCATGCGCTGGGGCCGAAGGAGACGGTGACGTCGCTGGATTGGGGATATTATGGCGGAGCGAGCAAAAACCGCGACCAGTCGAAAAAGAAGCGGAAGCGCGGCTCCGACGTCAACGGCGCCGTCGATGGGCTGGACCAAGGAGATGTCGTGGTGGCATTTGGCACCAGCACGTCGGAGATCCGCATGTACTCGCCGGCGGAAGATAAGGTGGTCGGCACGTTGAGCGGTGTGCATGAGAAGGGAATCAAGGATTTCAAGTTCACGGCCGACCGGCCCGCCCAGGAGGCGTGGAGTATCGGAGGCGACAATAAAATTGTTCAGTGGGATCTGCGCAGCGGGCAAAGCATAAGGTATGAATACACCCTTAATAACAGGACAAGCGTTTTTCATTGACGCTTGAATTCCAGGACAATTCACCTCCCCGCATCCTCGGTTTTTACTGCTCTCTCTCGCCCCCTTCCCTCCAACCCGCCCGTCATTTGCGCATCCCAGACTCCGTACCTAATAGACGTGGAGAGCACCGATGAGCCGCCAGTCAAGTTCCCAGCGATGCGCAACCAAATCCACACGGTTATTCCATCCTCTTCCGAGTCTGCGGGCGCAGGCGCATTTCTCGCATCCGATGGCGAGCGGTTCATTAACGTCTTTGACGCCTCAAGTCGGAAGCTAGTACGGAATCTCGTTGCAGAGCAAGATGTGTCGTCGGTGTCATTGTACACGGACGGCCATTCTACACCAGAGAAGCAAGTACTTGCTGCAGTAACTGAAGATGGCACTATCGAGCTATTCACAAAACCATTTGTCCAACCGCAGAATGTGCAAAATGCCAGTGCCAAGGCTAGCCGGAAACAAATGACGCAAAAGGCAAATGCGTATCTCAAAATTACGCGCTCCGACTCGTCGGACTCCTCCGTGGCGGTTGTATCGACTTCATTCCAGGGTCCTGATCTGGTTGTCGCTTACGCCGAGGGTGGTGTGATTCCCATGTTTGAGCGCATCAAATTCCTCGATGAAAACACCGACGAGCTTTCCTTCACTGGTGTCAAGACAGTCGTGAAGAGCAAGTCCAGTTCTGCACTTACATCGGTGACCACGAACGGCGTGAAGAATGCTGGTGAGAGCCGGGTCGACGAGTCTCGGGCGGTCGTGGAGCAGGGAAATCTGGCAGATGGCGATGTGGAGATGGAGGACTCGCGACAAGACGCTGCTTCGGTGTCCGGTAGTGAGGAAGACTCGGACGACGACGAGAACACCAAGGCGCCCTCTAGCGAGAAGAAAACCAAGCCCGCCAAGCAAGTGGCCACAGATGAAGATGTCGAAATGCAAAACGCATCCGAGTCCGAGGAGGAACCCGAGGAAGACGGTGCGGAGCCCTCCTTCGGCGAGCTCCTGCGGGCCAACACAGGCCAAGAAGTCGACGTGGAAGCCGAGCTGGACGACGATGTTCTCCAGGGTGCCCTTGTCCCCGGCAAGCCTAAAGCGGCGGTACAGCAGATCCCGTCGGGTGTCTCGCTGGCAACCGTGCTCACGCAATCGTTGAAGACCAACGACAGCGGCATGCTCGAGTCGTGTTTCCACACGGGCGACACCACCATCATCCGCACCACCATCCAGCGCCTTGAGTCATCGCTGGCCGCCATTCTCCTCCAAAAGCTCGCCGAGCGCCTCTCTTCCCGCCCGGGCCGGTATGGCCACCTTCTCGTGTGGGTGCAGTGGACCTGCGTGGCGCACGGCGGTGCTCTCGCGGGCCACCCGAAGCTCCTAAAGCGCATAGCCACTCTCTACAAGGTCATGGACCAGCGCTCGTCAAGCCTGTCGTCGCTGCTCCTCCTCAAGGGGAAGCTGGACATGCTCGACGCCCAGCTGGGGCTGCGCCAATCGATCCGCGGCGGCGACGAGGACATGGACAGCGAGGACGAAGACAATGTCATCTACGTCGAGGGCCAGGATGATGACGCGGACAGCGAGGCCGAAGCCAAGACCTCGCGCCCCAAGTCAATACGCGACCAGGCCTTCGACGAGGACGAGTCGATGATGAACGGCATTGCCGACGAGTCCGAGGACGACGAAGACGACGCCAGCGAGGAGGACGACGACGACGATGACGAGGAACCTATCCTGGAAATCGAGGCCGCCGAGTCTGTCGGCTCTTCGGATGCTGAGGAGTCGCTGGAAGAGAACGAGGAGGACGATGATGACGACGCTGATAGTGATGGGTCTATGGTTGACTTCATTGCTGATACTGAAGATGAGGAGTCCGATGATGCTGCTGTGGCGGAGCAGCCCCGGCCGTCTAAGAAGGCTAAGACGGCTGCTGGGAAGAAGGGCAAGGTTGGCAAGAAATAAGCTATCTACAGCCGTGGGGGATGTATTCTGTGTGTTTGTGAATCTGTACGAATCTGGTTCGAAGAAAGAAAGAAGTGAAAGAGAAACAGAGAGAAACAGAGAGAGAGAGAGAGAGAGAGAGAGAGAGAGGAAGGCTGGTCTATAAAAGAAGATCCTTTGGATTGCATCGTGTGCATAACCTTGTTTGTCTTGTGTCTCTATTGAGCGCATCTGCGCATCATCAGTGTCCCCCCCCCCCCCCCCCCCCTTAAATATATATATTTTCTGGCTTTAATTCTTATTCTTATTCCTCGAATTGTTATTTTCTCTGTGAATTCTTATGACAAGCATTCCATGTACCTGCGGGCCTTTTGAACCACCCTGCACTTGGCACCAGGGACGACATGAAGACTACTTTGCTCCACTGGCGAGTTTCTTGAACAAATTGTAGACCTCTCCGTGGAAGCAACATGCAGCGATAGAAATCCAATTGAATTCAAACTACTACAATCTGTATCGCAACCAAAACCCATAAACCATGCAAAAACCCGAGGGTCCTCAGGGCTATACACAATGCTAACATAAGAATAGGGAGAACGGCATCGCTAATGATAACCAGGAAAATGACCCTAGCGAATGACTTCACTGCCAAACTTCTCAATGCCTTCCAGGCTTTCGAGGATATCACTGCCTCCCAGCAACCCGCACGCAGAGCCGGTGCTCTTCCGCCTGCCGGTCCATACCTCGTGGAACTTGACAGTCTGATCGCTCGAGGCGACGATGATGCACCCTTCCTCCATGGTCCGCGAGCACCACATCCCGCCTTCCTTCTCTTTGGGTCGCACTATTCGTGGTCCCCTCGGGCGGCGATGAGGCTCGCTAGACACACCGATACGCTCAGACGACTGCGTAGGACTGGACAATGATGAAGCCGAGGTCGGAATACTGTCCGACTCATCGAGCGCGGCATCTTCATGCTCATCCATCGGGCGAGGGGGCCGGCCCGGATAGCTCACGGCCCACAAGGCTCTTCCGCCGTCGTAACAGTGGCCGCGGCTGTGCCCGTCCCAGGTGGTTCCATAGGGTCCCCAGGGAATCACAGCGACCTGGACGCAGCTGGGCCAGGCAAAAACGGCGATTCGGAACGGGTGCTCTGGCTGTGCATACCCGAAGGTCGCTGCGATCTCACGCCGGGTCTGGCTCCAGATCAGACTTGTGACCTGCGCAAACACGTTGATCCTCGCGAGACAGGCCCCCGTACGGGTGTGGTAAAAGTGAATCGCCCGATCGTTCGAGCCCCCTCCAGTGGCGAGGAGTGATGGCTGCCAGGGTGCGAATGCGATAGCCTTGACTGCAGCGGCATGCAGTAAGCGGTGCTTCTGATGGTCTGGCGGAATAATAACTGTCCTTTTGCTGCCTGAAATAAGCGTTCCCATGTGGCTCAGGAGCGGGGCGGCCGTTGTGGCCTTTATGGGAGGAGATTGGATCCAGGATGGAAGTAGGTGACTGACGTGGTGCTTGCTAAAGAGTCGTTTTGGAGCAGTACCCCCAGAAAAACAGGGGAACGTGTTAACGTGGAATCTGCCGCGGGAATCGGCTGATGAGACCAACGACGTCGAGTAATCAAGTCGCAGAGACGAAAGAATCTTACGCAGTTCAAAAAGCAGACATACGTTATCGTTGCCACCTGTAGCCAGGAATCTGTCGTCAGGGGACCAGGCCAAGCCACAGACCTGTTGGGTGTGCGCTGAAATCTTGGCTAGCAGCGTCATGGAGCCCTTCCATTTCCACTTGATCCGGACATTGTCGTCGGGCCACTCGACCGAGTAGTACCAGACATTGCCCATCTCATCACCCACAGCAAGATCCTCTGCCTCGACCTCAACATTCGCAAACCTCTCCGAAAGTCTTCGCGAGGTTCTCGGCTTGAATGCCACGCAGGTGATGCTCGTGGGGTGGCTGAGCTCAAACCGGATGTTTGTTTCGAAGGTGCTCCACAAAGACAACTGACCGGATTGTCGCCCAACTGCGAGGATACTTCTGGCACCATCTTCAGACGAAAAAGACAGGGACGTTACGTAGTTGGACATGTGCATATCCCGAAAAGGCGGGTATTCTACCCCATATTTTTCAGACCAAAGGTAGACGTGTTGGGCGAGGCCGACAGCCAAAACCCCGGCTGTGAGGGAGTACGCGAGCGTAGAGCAGTAGAAGTCGTCCCGAAGATACGGTGCATCAAGAATTCGAAAGGGCTTGGGCGGAACAACCTCTCGTTTGTGGGGGATTGCCGGCCCTAGATGACCACTGGCAGTTAGAAGACGTCGCAGAGCAGACCAGAATGCTGCGACCTCACTTTATAAGTGGCTGTTATAAGATATGTCATATAGATTCGATCCTGTTAAATGATAATGAAGTTCCAATGTCCAGGCCAATTGGCCTTGAGCAAACAGGGTGTTTGGACTTTCCATGGAGACATGAAATGTGATGTGGATGATACTTACAGTGTTCCCTCTCGCCTCGTTTCCAGGCACAGTCCTTCCAGACAAAAGGTGAAAACCGCTCATAATCTGGAGATGCCGGGCTGGGAGGGATGCTTGGGCACGGCTGACAAGTACCGAGAAGTCTGGAGGTCGGGTCAATGTCCAACGCAAGCGCAACTCTCGACTCGTGCTTATCTTGCTCATCAGTCGCAGTGATCTTGGGAAGAAATTGGGCAACAAAAACTGGGGCAGTCGACCCTCTGCTCGAAATGTTCCGTGTGCCATTGGAGACTACCTGGGGATCCCCGACAGCCGGGGATGTTCCACCGACGCCCCAAACGGCCCCCGAGCTGACCTGTCTCGTAAATCCAGACTCAGTGACTAAACGGGGCCGGTGGTGTGGCCCTTGCCGGAGCGGAGTCTGTCTTGGTGGTCCAGTGACTGTCGCTGGCCGGCGTCCAGGGGATGGCAAAAAAGGGCTGTCAACTGGCAATCGCCGCCGAGTAATTTTCTCCTGAGGGGATAGTTGGTCCGGGTGCTTAGTGACATGAAAGGCAGTTGACGGAAGATCTCCGAATGCTCGCTTGGGAATGAATCTATCTGGAGAGACGGAACTGCCGAGCGCCCTTCTTGCTACATCTCCATTCACAAGGCCTCTCGCCCTGGCCCGACCTCTTTCGGGGGATGTGGTCTGATTCTCTTTGAACCGAGGAACAATGTGTGCAGGAGCTTTGGCCATGGGTTTCAGAGGCAGTGATACCTGCGACGCGGCCGGGGACTCCAAGAGCGGTAAATGAATGGTTGCAAATTCAATTAATCCAACATTTCCATCGTCCTTGGCGGACTCGGATTGAGAAATCAACGAAACTAAAGACGGATTGTTGTGATGGCCTGCCCAGGAGGCATCCTCGAAGGAGTGACATCGCGAATCTACCATTGTTTTGGGATGACGATGGATGAGCTGTGGTGAGTAACAGATTGGTTTCCAAAGAAAAAAGAGCGTGAGATAAGGCCTTGAGTCAAGGTCGCATGACGGTGGAGAATGTGACAGCCGTTGGATGTTGCTGTCGATAGAAGGGCACCCGCACGTGACATCAAGGCAACCGCCGCCGCTTCGCTCTTTCCCACTTCCATCCTCATAGACTGAATGACCGACCGGAGCCACAATGGGCAGCGTGAGTTCTTTATCTTATCTGGAGGATATGGGGCTGACTGTCCCCTCAGCATGGTGTTCCGCGTTACAAGATTGCGGAGAAATCCCCTGAAGCTCGGCAACAAGAGTTGCAGAAGATAGAGAAATATCGAGACTTGGAACGCTCTGTCTCGGAAAAGGTCGAGTCCCATTTGGATGTTGGATGTCTTCGAATCAGCCAATGCTGACGGAAGGATAGGTGGCCGAACATGACTATACGGCCGACACATTGAAACAGATCTCGGAGTTGCTCACCAGTAACCCGGAGTATTATACGATCTGGAATTATCGGCGACAGGTCCTTCGGCATCAGTTTACCCAGGCGGGTGACTCTGCCGAGGGGGATGCCGTTGATTCGATTACAGAGCTGATCAAGAATGATCTACTGTTCCTCATTCCCCTTCTGCGTAGCTTCCCCAAATGTTACTGGATTTGGAACTATCGCCTGTGGCTGTTGGATGAGGCCCGTCGCCTGCTGCCTTTGCCCGAGGCCCGGCAGATCTGGCAGGAAGAGTTTGCTCTGGTTGGAAAGATGTTGACGCTGGATAGTCGCAACTTTCACGGCTGGGGGTACCGACGCTTCGTGGTGGAAACCCTGAAGCAACTGGGTACCGCAGACGAGGCCACAGAGCTGACCCAGAAAGAATTTGAATATGCAAAGAAGATGATCGGCGCCAATCTCTCCAATTTTTCCGCGTGGCACTATCGCACCAAGGTGATCCAGCGACTTCTCGACGAAAAATCGGCGAGCGACGAGGAGCGGAAGAAGTTGCTGGACGACGGTGTGTTGTTCTTTAAGGACCTGTCTTTTTCTTACATACTAATTGGGTACCTGTAGAACTGGCTCTCATCCACCGAGCCCTGATTGATCCTTACGACCAGTCCGTATGGTTTTACCACCAGAACCTGATGTGCGTGTTTGACCCGACAACGGCGGGACGGACCATGGCACCGCGTCTGAGCGCGCCGGACCGGCTGCAATACTTGCGACAGGAGATCGACGCGATTCAGGAGATGATCGACGGTGCTGAGGACTGCAAATACATTTACCAGGCGCTTATCGATTGTACCCTTTTGGTGGCCAAAGTACAGGGTAGCTTGCCACATGCCGATCGCGACCAGATTCTGAGCTGGCTCTCGGAATTGAAGCGGTTGGATCCACTCCGGCACGGACGCTGGCTTGATTTTGAGCGGACACTATAGTTACCAAGGGAAGGCATGTTGGGTTCATTCTCGAAGGATGCAAGCTGCAAGCCCACAGGGCCGTTCTGGAATACTTGGCCCCTTTTCTGGTGTTTTGGCCCCCAGACAACCATCTCGATCCTTCGGTGTAGCGAAAAAAAAAAAAATAATAAGCACAAAATAAGCCAGATAAGTAGAACAAAACAGCAAATCCTCACGTAAACAACGGAACAACAGAGGGAGCAAGAAAGAACATCGTGAAGAGTGGTGGAACGACGTCTTTTGCACATCGAAAACATTCCGCTTTCGATCGATAGGTCGCCCCGATCCCCGCCAATCAGCGTGCGTGCCTGGCGACTCGATCAGAGACGACAAGGAGATTCCTTCCACGCTGGCCCATTCCAGCTTCTTCTTTTTCTTCGTGATTTCCCTGCTTGAGTCTTTCTGAGCCCTTTTGAGCTTGCGGCGCATCGCTCGTGGCTCTCGTCCTATGGAGTGTTATTGATTTGCGCAACTCCCTCAACCATACGCCATGTCGACGTCCAACCGGAATAGCCGTGACTACGAAGGGGTGAGACCCGATCGGCGATCCCCTGATGTGTTTAATTTCCCGGAGCTGATGGTTTATCGATGCAGGAGTCCTTCGATGACGCCCTCGAATCGACCGAAACCCAAGAAACCCCCGACACCGTCCCCCAGTCTACATCCACCCGCTCATTAACGGATAGCCCGCCTGTCGGGTCTGGCAAGGCCCCGGAAGCTACGGACAAGCCCGCCACTTCTGACTCGCAGGACGAGAAGGAAGACACGGACAAGGGCGAGAAGGGCGACCAGGACAAAAAGGATGAGAAGGATGAGCAAGAAGTGAAGGACGCAAAGGCGGACGAAAAGAAGGACGAAAAGAAGGACGAAAAGAAGGACGAAGAGAAGGAAGAAAAACAAGAAGAAAAGAAGGAGGAAGAAGAAGAAGAAGAAGAGAAGCCGCAGAAAGAGCAGGACAAGGAGGACAAGGAGAACGGAACAGACCAGACAACCACAGAGCAGGCCACCGGGCCGGAAGAAGGAAAATATGAAGACAAGGCTGAGACAAAGGTTGATCCAGTAGATGAAGAGAAGACCGAGTCAAAGGACACCAAAAAGGACGAAGAGGCCGAGACAAAAGACGATGGAAAGGAGGAAGAGAAGGCCGAGAAGAACGACGAAGAGGACGTCAAGAAGGCTGACACCGACAAAGTGAAGCCGGAGAAGGTGGATGAGCCGAAGAATGGTGACAAGTCTGACCAGGAGCCCGAGGCTGAGACCAAGGACGCTGGAGAAACCGAGGAGACTCCCGACCCCAACCCTGTGCACAAGTCGCCCCTCCTTACATCCCACCGGCTATCAACCTCCTCCTCGCTCGACGAGGTAAACTTGACAAACAGCAAGGAGGAGGAGCCAGCAGAACCCAAGGATTCAGCCCCGGAGGTCAAAACGGAAGTGCCTCCAGTGCCCCCGAAGGATGACGTGGCATCTCCAAGCTCTGGCTTTCGGGTATTGTCTGGCAGTCTACCGTCTCTGTCGTGGGGGACCTCTCAGGCGAACAAGACCCCAGCTCCCGCTGCACCGCCGGCTCGGAAAACCGGGGGCCCCTTCGGATGGTTCTCCCGAAGCTCAACATCGAGCAAGGAGATCAAATCGCCACCCCAGTCTGCCTTCAGCCGCCGCAACACCGCTACATCCGTGTCCACCGTCGCAAGTAACCTTGATTTGGTTGCCCGATCTCACGACGGTGACGACTTGGATGCCTCAAGCATCAGCTCCAAAAAGCCGCGCCGCAACAGCCTGAAGGATCAGTTTAAATTGCTGCGGATGCGCGAGGAGGGCGTGTTGCCGGAGAATGATGAGGCGAGTACGCGCTCACGTCGGGCCAGCGTCAGCCAGGCTGCAGCCAGCCCCTCGATCATCCCGGAGGAAACGGAGGATGGCATCCTGGCGGCGCCAGCAGCACCGGCATCTGGAGCAACCTCGCCCGGGGGCGCACCCTCGACCGTAAACCCCAACCTAGCCCCTGGGACCGTGTCTGGGTTCTCGGCTTCGGCGACTGATGCGTCCGCTCCTGTGGATTGGGACCTGTGGCAGCAGCTGGTGAACAATGGACCCCAGGCGCTGGCCAAATCGGAGGAGCTCAACGCCGCCATCAAGCGAGGAATTCCCCAGACCATCCGAGGAGTTATCTGGCAGATTCTGGCAGATTGTCGGACCGAAGAGATGGAAGAGACGTATCGGGACCTGGTGGCGCGTGGAACGGTCTCAGAGAAGGGTCGTCAGACACCAAACAGTCAAATCAACGGGATTGCCGAGAAGGAATCCACATCGTCTTCTCGCTCCTCGATCCGCTCCGACCACTCGGGATCCGGGACGCAGTCTACAAGTGTTGCCCCTAGCCCCTCCCAAGAGACGGACCCCGAGAAGTTGGCCAAGGAACAGGCCGCCGGTGAAGCCGATCGTGTGAAGAAGGCAAAGAATGATGCTACTGCCCTGCAGAAGCTGGAGAAAACCATCCGACGGGATCTGGGTGCGCGGACGAGCTATTCGAAATATTTTGTTTCGCAAGGAAACCAGGAGAGTCTGTTCGGTTTGTGCAAGGCATACGCTCTGTACGATGAGGGTGTGGGCTATGCGCAGGGCATGAACTTCATCGTTATGCCCTTGCTGTTCAACGTAAGTATTTCTAGACTTCGGGAACCTAGTGGATTTAAATGGCTGACATTGATGCACAGATGGATGAACTTGAGGCTTTCACCCTGCTTGTTAAACTGATGAACAAGTACGGGCTGCGAGAGATGTTCGTCCACGATATGCCTGGGCTTCACCGTAGCCTTTATCAGTTTGAACGACTCCTTGAAGATCTGCACCCTGCCCTTTACTGCCATCTCCGACGCCGCGGGGTTCCTCCGCAGCTGTACGCGACCCAATGGTTCTTGACACTGTTCGCCTACCGATTCCCGTTGCAGCTGGTGCTTCGCATCTACGACCTGATCTTCGAAGAAGGGCTGGAGAGCACGATTCTGAAGTTCGCTATTGCGATCATGAGCCGCAGTGCCGACACTCTTCTCAGCATGAAGGACATGAGCCCGCTCACAACTTTTTTGAAGGAGCGTCTCTTTGACGCTTACATCGATAAGCAGCCGTCGGCCTCGTCGATCCTGGAGTCGGGCTTCTTCGGCAGCTCCGGCGCTGCCGACAAGGAAGTCTACCGGGCCGACCTTCTTGTGCAAGACGCATGTGCCGTCCCTCTGACCCAAGACATGATCCGTACGTACACTGCCGAGTGGGAGGAGAAGGTCCAAGCAGAGAAGGAGCGGGAGGCCGAACTGGAAAACCTCCGGAACACGGTCAATACGCAGGGTTCGAAGGTGCGTCGCCTGGAGGAACGTGCCGAGGCGTCCGATAAGGAGCACGTGCAGCTGGCATCGGAGCTGGTGCACTTGAAGGTGGAGAACGAGGAACTGCGTGACATGAACGACGCCTTGAAGCTCCAGGTCGGCGAGCTCAAAAATGTGGTCGACAAGCAGCCCAACGAGGTGGAGGACAAGCTCCGCACGGAAATGGACCGGATCATGACTCGAAACATCGAGGTGCAGAATGAGAACCGCGCCATGGAGGATGCCATGTCCGAAATGGAGAAGGAGCTGGTGGGCACGAAGATGAAGTGGGCCGAGGTAAGTTTCGAATATCTACACCCGGAGTCCCTAAAACCATAGACTAATTCGCATTCCCACAGCTCTCCGAAAACCACGAGAACCTCCGCCAGAAATGGAGCGACCTCCGCCGGGCTCTTGACTGATTCGCTTGTGTCAACAACACTATCCACCTTCACCCCCTTTCCATCCTCTGGATATCATCGTGTGGTGTCCGGGATGCTTTGTATATTTGGTTTGCGCAGGCGCGAGAGGATCTGCGATCACTTCCCTGCCGCAATCGGACCTTGCCTACCTACGTATGGGCTGGATGTTTGATCTTTTTATTTCCCTTGCTTTTTCCTTGCGTTCCCCCCTCCCTGCCAAGTTGGTTGCGTCCTCGTGCTCGCTCCCGGCCCTTATCACGATTCTATATGGTGTTTTCCATCGTGTTCCCTCCAAGCCCAGCATGCCACTTCTAGACGGCCTTGGTGTTTATGTTTATGCTGTTTTTATTATTCGCTTTGTTTTGTTCTTTTGCGTGTGCTCGACCATGTTCCTCCACTTCAGGGTGTCTGGAATTCACCAAAACCCAGCGCATACTCGACGTATGCCATGTGTACATCATGAATGGAATCTTTATTTACTGTCTCACCTCTCTTTGTACATGAAAATGGAACTATGAAACTAGAGCATTTCAATGAAAAGTATAACTGAGGAATGAGGACCCAGGACCCAGGAATGAAGAATAAAAGAATGTTCACAGAATGCTTTCATAGTATGTCGTCAACACATCCTCCTTGACCGGCCCCGCAATCGCCTTGAGCGCCTTGTGAGCCTCGCACTCGCTGTCATAGTACTTCATATCCTCGAGCGATGTAAACGTCGTCTTGACCGAGAGGTTGTAGCCCTTGTTGCGCGGATCCGGGAACGAGGCGCCTGCGGCCGCGGCGAGGATGTAGGGTTTACCGTCCTGCGAACAAAAACAGAGATTAGTACAACGCCTTAGGAAAAAGAAAGAGCGAATACATCGATGTATTAATTAATGAATAAAAGTATATACCTTGACAGCCGTCTTCGCCATCACCTTATACTGCTCCAGCACGCGGTCCCGGTCCGCCTCGTTGGGGATCTTGAAGAGGGTGATGCGCTCGATGGGGGCCATGGCGGTGGTGAAGAGTCTGTGTGTAACTTGGAGGAGGTGGGTGGTCATTGACCGGGAAGTATTGAAGTATTTTGAGGGCTTTTTTTTTGAATTGAAGTGTTGGATTGTTGGAGATTGTATGGAGAGACTTTGAGTAGTAGGCAGCGGGGTTGGGCCGGGAGAGCGCCGCTTTTCCGCGCGGGTATTTCTTGATGTTGCCGTGCGGAATTACTTGATGAGAGACTTTACGAGATTTTAACTATAGACCAGGATAAGATGTATGGAAGAGATATTTAATATTCAAGTCGACTGTTGTTTTCTCTCTTGGGTGTATAGGACATGATTGTAATTGAGGCTCGAGATTCTCCATGAGACGGAGGATATGGTTGCGATGTCTTCGAAACACCAAGTATCTATGGAATCTCTCACAATCGTGGCTGATCCCCCAACTGGCAAATATCGAGGCAAGGAGACATGCGAGAAGCCGTATGTCGACTCAACTCGTATCCTGCTGGGACCGGAGAACTCCAGTATTGTGTGTGCAAATGGCTGAGAACCCCGAAGCACAGAGTGTATGCCTTGGCCCTTCATCCACTCTCAGCTAGCCCCATCAAGTGCCGAGTTCCTCGTGGACAGGAGTCATACGCTCAGTACCCCACCCAGGAGCCGGTCTCGGGTAGTCACAGCGAGAGAGGGAGGGGAGCATGGCTCTGGTTTTTCAACAGAAAGGAAACCATATCAGGCCCAGTGCCATTGAGAAAGCCAGCAGCCCAGCAGCCTATCCCCAAGCGACCTTTCTTGGAAAAATCCAAGACACAACCCACCATCAAACATCATTCACCGGCTCCGGCCGATTCTTAAAGAACAGCTTATAGCGCACAATCTCCACAACCTCCAGCTCCTCGCCCTCTGCCTCTGAACGCTTGCGCAGAACCGCAATCGGCCGCGGCAGTTTCTTCACCTCGCCCGTCATGCGCTGGTACCGACCGACATACAAGTAAGCGCGCTTCATCCACGCAGAGTCATTCGGGGTGTGTGCCGAGTAGTCCGGGAACATGAGTTTTCCGAGCGGAGTTTCGAAGGCGGGTGTGTCATCGGTGCTCTGTGGTTTGTATATATCCGCTGGATCATGTTCTGTTGTTGGTACGTTGATTGTGCCTTGAAGTTCGAGGAGGGCGAGGCCTGTTGGGGTTTGGAGGAGGGGTGGGAGGGGGTTGTTGGCTGGGCTGCTTGTTTTTGCGGGGGATGAAGATTGGGGGTGGAGTTTTATTGATGGCATTTTGAATGAGGATTGCTGGAGAGAGAGAGAGAGAGAGAGAGAGACTGATGTGGTCGAGCGGACTTGGAGTTGGTGCACGAGGTGACATGAGCTGTAAGGTGCACGCGACGCGGGTCGCGTCGGCTTATCGATTGGCACTTGGGCCACCCACTCTACACTTCAATTAGCGACTAGTACTTTGTCAAGACAGAAGAGTGCCACTATGGAAACATGATGCAAAAGATTGTAAAGTAATGATTCGTTGCAATAGATCGCATGAGATCGCATCTTCAAAGATTCAAAGGCATTGTTTGTAAAGAAGTAAATCAATGGCAAGACTAGGTAATACCCGCGTGTTCTATGAATATATTACCCTTCATCGTAGTGTATGTTTAATAAACTCTCCATTTCCACCGAGTCGTTCCTGCCAATAATCATCTCAGCCAAGACTGTCTGGCATCTTGCAAAATAGAATAGTCTGGCGATGCCAATGCACGGTGGAATGCCGAGTTGCTCCCATGCACCAGGCTATCGGTCAGGATCGGACATCGAGATTTCGTTGGCCCTGCGACAGGCATGTCTAATAGAAGCCGTGGGCGGGGCATATTGGGCGTGCAGGAGTTATCGCGGAAGCAGAGAAGCGGCTCAATAACCTGCTGCTCAGATACGGTTGTCGGGTAGCGATGGTCTCTTCACCAAGAGACGTAGTAAGTCAATCCAAAGCGGAGGTAAGAGCCTCAAGCAGGATAGATGTCTTGCCGATGTGGTTCTGCGGGAATTAGCTAGGTCCCAGGTCGGGGCACGCTGAAAGGCGATCACATACCGTAGTGACTATCAATGTCACTAAACATGAAGAAAAAGCCAATGTAGCATCGTTCAGGCCTATGTGCTATTTCGATAGCAAGCATCCTCGAGATTCTGCAGGCCTTTGATCGTTTCATCGGCCATGCTGTCAGCAGTACCAGCCGGGCCCTGCAGCTTGCCATAGCGAAGATCGCTCATGTCACCAACAGTCGTGTTGATCTGCCCCAGAATGGCCGTCGCTTCTTGGTCAACTGTGGCAATCTCGCGCTCGATAGTGGCACAGGCCGTCTCCATCTCGGCCAGCAGACTTGCCACAGAATGGACATCCTCGGTACCGGCACCAGCAGAGGCCTGACCGAACAAATGAAGATCCATGTCCAGCTCGCGCTGCTCGTCCTTATTGGAGAGGTCCACGCCCGCAGCTGCACTGGCCTTGCGGAGCTCAGCCTTTTGCTTCTCGCCTTGTTTGAGTTCTTCGTCAATGTTCTCATTGACTCGGTCCATGTCATGTTCCCGGACTTGCTGCAGCTCCCGGTACAACGCCCGGATGTGCGGATGAGACTGCAGACGCTTCGGGAAGAGCTCGGTGAATTTCTGCAGCGACATGACTGTGGGCAATGGAGCAGGGGAGAGCAAGAAGTTGCTCAGAATGGACTCCTCTGACGGTGCCATGATGTAGAAGTACAATGAAACTTAGAATAAAAATGGCGCTTTTTCTTTTTCAATAGACAATAGAAACATCGAGAGACAATTGCACAGTAGTTTCTTGTTTGTTGAGATGCTGTTTTCTCGGGCCCAAGAGAATACGCGTTATCACGTGACCGCACCTCCGAGAGGCTGGGACAAAAGTGTCAATTCTCAATGGAACGGAAGAATCAATTCAACTATTCATCCGCGAATGAATAAAATGAGACTATTGACCGGGTATTGAGATATAATTACACGTGGTGCACAATAGCCAACGGAGGGTGAAGTATTGGCGTCGTTAAAAGGGGGCTCTTCGACCGCGTCTTCGACCACCAGTTCTCTTTTCTACAGATCTACTCTTTCGTCTGCAGTCAAAATGCCACCCGCCATGTATTCCAAGGATGAGAAGGCGCTTTGCTTCCATCATGAGATTCTTTACGACGCGAAGATCCGCGATGTGCGCCATAAGGATGCCAATGACAAGAAGAGTCCTTTCGAGTATCTGGTCCACTACAAGGGCTGGAAGCATACGTAAGTTGTCTTATTGATGATCTTCGCTTTCTATTCATAGGGTTTCCTGGCAATTTGTTCATCATGCTTCCCCTTCCTAGCGGTTGGGGTTATCAGACTCAATTGCTATTGTGGTTGTCTCTACCAGAGATATATGCCCCAGTTCCTGCTGTACCCAATATCTTGTGAACAGACCATTCACATAAAATCTTTTCTCGGGCTGGGGAACATTTCTGCTGACCATTCTTGCCAGCTGGGATGATTGGGTCTCAGAGGACCGTCTTCGCAAGGGCACAGAGGAGAACAAGGAGCTGGCCAGCAACCTGCGCCGCGAAGTCGAGGAGTCAATCAAACAGAAGAGCAGTAAGGCCTCTGCAAAGAAGCGGGCTACCTCTGACCGCAGCTCTGTGCGGAATAGCGAGGAGCGCGGCAACTCTGTGGGCCGGGGCCTGAAGCGAGCCCGCGACAATGATATCGAAAAGGTAAGTCGTTTTACTCTTTGATGTTAGTCCGTCTGGGGATATTCTACTCAGCGGACAAAATCAAAGAGAATTGTCTATGATATGTATATACATCCCGTATCATTATACTAACACTGTTTCACAGGAAGAGCACTTCCAGACCCGTCCGTCGGTGCGCATCGTCATGCCCGACAACCTCAAGTCTCTGCTCGTCGACGACTGGGAGCAGGTTACCAAGAACCAGTGCGTCGTAAAATTGCCGGCAGAGTATCCCGTGCGACAGATTCTGCAGGACTGGCACGACGAGGAGGCGTCGAAGCGGACGTCGTCTTCAGTTGACGAGGATGTCCTCGAGGAGGTGGTTGCAGGTCTGCTGGAGTACTTCGACAAGTGCCTCGACAAGATTCTGTTGTACCGCTACGAACGCCCGCAGTACCGTAACCTCCGCCGGAAATTCGAGGCTGCCACTGGGGATCTTTCTGACAAGGGACCCATCGATGTCTATGGCGCGGAGCACCTGATTCGCCTCTTCAGTGAGTTATTTACTTGGCCTTTTTCGCTTTTCTCTTGGCTGTTGCTTTGCATAGTTGGAGACTCTTTTTTCCCTTTCCGATTGACTGACTGGGCTTGGCTGGTCTAGGTAACATGCCCGAGCTCATTGCTCAGACCAACATGGACCTCCAGGCTACTAACCGCCTGCGTGAGGAACTCTCCAAGTTGACTCTGTGGCTGAGCAAGCACTCGGAGAAGTACTTCCCGACGCGCTATGTCAATGCTGAGACCACTCACGCCGGGAAGTAGCTTTGTGTGCACCAGGGATGTATGTCTCCGAATGTATAAGCTAGCATGGGATTGTAATCGTGTCCTTTTCACGTGGTACTTGTCTTGACTTGACTTGACTTGACTTTATTTTATTTTTCTTTTCTCTTATGTTTTTATTAGCTCTAGGTATGGGTGGCGCCATGGAATCAGACGATGAACTTATTCAATTTCGGGGTTTGGGTTTGTGCTCCGTTCGTCAGGTTGTTGTATGAGGTAGCCATACAGGGAGCATGTAGCATGATTTCACAGCAACTTATGTAAAAGCAAGCCCAAAGGGTTTGGAAAGGGGGCTACCAACGGGATTCATGCGACAAAATAATCAAAATCGGGTCTATTCCTAGTATGCATAGCTCATGTCCTGTGTTCGATGCATTTCCGGACGGGATATCTCAAAAGACCAAGACACACAACACACACATCAATGTGCTCACCGGGCCATTCCACAGCCCCGAACAGCCTATGTTCTAGATAGATACCAAGGATGAGAAAAAGAACATACCACAAGAGTGCGGCAGTCACCACTACCCCCTAACCCAAAGCCCCAAAGCCTCAAAAAAGAGAGAAGGAGGGGCATAGCATGCCCAAGACTTGATTGATATGGATACCCCTACGAAACCATTTGCCTCGAGTCGTCGACGACAACTCGTGCAGCACGCTTGAGCTCACTCTTCCACTCGGTCTCGCGCCACTTGGCCCAGGCACTCAGGCCCTCGGGCGGCTGGATGCTCAGGGTATCGTAGCCCTGCTTGATGATGCGGTGGACCTCGCGCGGGCTGAGGTTCTTTTTCCGGATGGAAGGCAGGGCCACGGGTTCGCTGTCTGGCTTGGGACTAGCAGCAGCCGCGGACGCAGCAGTCGGGTCCTTGCCACCCTCCGGGTGGAAGAGGAGAGTGTAGAAGTGGGTTGAGACAGACAGGAGGGTGTCGATGGCGGCGGTGTGGGGGGCATTGGCGGAGGAGGGTCCGTCAGAGGGTTTGGGGATTGCTGCAGCAGGGAGCGCGGCAGAAGAAGAAGTTATAGTGGTGGAAGAAGAGGAACGGGTGGGTCCGTATACGTCCCGGAACTTTGACAGGATGGGACCCGTCTCGACCAGCTTGTAGAAGAGGTCGTCGTAGGAAGCCGGGTCCGGGAGGAAGGTGTCGCCACCCGAGACGCAGAAGGCGATCAGATCGGCGAGCGAGCTGGTCAGCATGTGGATTCGGGGGTTGCTGGTCAGATCAGAGGCGTAGCTTGTGAGGAACCGCATGAGCGAGAGGAGAGTGCGCCAGAGCTCCGACCAGTGGTATGTCAGGCGGATTTTGTTCATGGACAAGTATGTTAGAAGGCGGAGTGTAATTGCGATTGTATGACTGGATTGAGATATTTAGCCATGTACAAAGCTTAGAGAAGGGCCCCCGCAGGGGTTCGTCTTACCTGTAGATATTGACATCGAGACGCCGGCGGAGATTATGGGTGATGGTGTCGATCATGATGTCGAAGATGACCGTGGCAGGGACACGGTCCCCGTTGACCAGAGGCAGGTAGGGTTGTCTCTGTCGACATAGTCGGACCTTTCGCTTGCCGTCATCGCTGCAAATGTGTTTGCAGAGAGTCGGGTCCTCGACTAGAATGCGAAGTGTGAAAAGACTCAATTCCGCATAGTGTGCCACTCGGACGGACCGGTACGCATGTTGGAGCAGATAAGAAGCCAACGAAAGAAAACTGGCAAATGGTGATTCTTCGTTGCTCTTCTCCGGGCTTAGGTGAACCAGATGGTACCCGAAGAGTTTGTTCGAATTGGTAAAGTCGTATGTAGCCAGAAGAATTGCGGCCTCTTGAGCAGGACTGGTATAGTGTGTAAGTTTTATGCAGTCATCATTCTTGGTATGGGGGCACTTACAGCTGCGCAAACATTGCCTTGGCTTCTTCTGCGGTGGGTGGATTCGCCCTGTCCCGTGCTCCGGGAGCAAGGGCTCGCAGCCCAAAGAAGATCAAGGTGCTTTTCAAACTCCAGCCCTCCGGGACATCGTCCTGCACGGCGACATAACCGTTTCGCAAGCCACCACAGACCAGACCGACGCCCTTGACGATCTTTTTGATACTACCCTCGTTGACAAAGTCATCGAGCCGAAACTGATAGGGGTTTTGAAACTCGAACTTGTTGTAGTTCGCCAAGAGCCCCAACAGGAGAAATGGTTCAAACACTTGTAGAGAAGTTTCAGAATCATGAACATACTGCGAGATTATGTTAGTCGGTGTGATAGAAATGCATAATTCCTAGAGGTCTAACCTTCATCAACGATGGGAAGAGGTCTCGATGCGTAAAATAGGACACAATGCTGGTTTTGTATGCCCCGCTGGTCATGGCTATGGCGGTTTTGATTGCCCCGAGGCGCAGTTCGACTGTTGCAGAGGCAAATCAGCATTAGGGGTACTCATGAGAATCAAAACATGCAACAAGAACTCACGGCTGCTGCCATTACGAATGATGCCATCCAAGGCTGCCACAAACTCCGAGATGACATGGTCTACCTCATCAAGCCCTGCCAGGACTGTGATGACATCCGAGCTTGGATTGGTGTACTTTTTGCTGAGGATACTAGTCAAGAAGACCGTCAATGTCTGGAGAGCTAAGTTAGTATTGAATTTTCTGAGAATCAACCGAGACTTGATACTGACATCTAATGCATAGAGGTCCGTCGGCGCGGCCCCGGACGCTGCTTCCCGAATGGCACGAGCAAAAAATCGTTGAGTTTGTGCCTAGAAACTACATGAGAATCCTGGACAACTGCAGACTGGTTTCACCAGCTTACCTGCAAGCCCAACGTGTCGTCTGGGCTCAAGCGGTCTAGCAGGGCATGCAGCTGGCCTCGGTCCGGCGGCAGCAGAAAGAACTCCCGCCAAAAGCCCTCGGAGGGCTCTGCATCTTCGGCCTACGTGGAATTGATTAGTATCAGGAGGGGTATATGCCGCACGTGAGCACCCTTACTTTGAACAAGTTCTCGTAGAGCTGCACAATCTTCGGCTTGAAGGTTTCAGGTCTACTTTGCTGGGTAAGGGGAGAGGCCTCCATGATTTCTACCAGTAGACCTCAAAGATCGGCAGATCGCCAGCATTGCAGGTTGGAGAAGACACAGGTTTGAGTTTCTTTGATCTGATGAAACACGAAACAAACCAGCCACTTTGTCAGCGGATCCAGCCACATGTCCTCTCAGGGGGGGGACTTGGCGATGGCGATGAGGAACTTACCACAAGGTGGAGGGAGTCCCCGCTTTGTTGATGTCGAATAAGACACTCAGCCCTATCCCGCTGCTTACCTAGAGGGGTCTCCAGCTATCACTCCGGGGCCATCACAACAATGGGGCGTATGGACTTAGGTACCTCGGTGGCTCCGGAAATCGCAGGGCCGATGACTCAGCCGCCGATAACGCTGCAAGTGGACAGTACTTGGAGACACTGTTGACATGATTGCAAATTAGAAGACTTTTTTAAATAAGAATAAAAGAAACAGCAATAAACACAATTCTTCTAACCAGCGTCACGACTATCGTCATCTCTTACATTCCAAGGGGTCAACAGCCCGAGCGAGTGGCGCCATTTTTGTGTAGAAACGCCTCGACGCTGATTGGCTCCCCTGCGGCCTTAGTAATCCCATGGTATTGACTCCAGCGATTCTTCACCTCCCAACTTCCACACTTCCCTTCTTCTCGTTCACCCTCAGCTCATCTCGTGTCGACAAACTTGAAGGAATCCATGCTTCTCTAAATCACTGTCATCTTTGCTATCCCTCATTTCGATTGCTCTGCTATGAGTTTCTCCAGCGCCATGCAGCGCCCGGTGACATCATCCGCCACACTTCTCCGATGGGTGAAGCCCTCGGCGGGACAGCGTCTGCGGACTTTCTCTTCCTACGGCAACACCCATCTCTCGTCCAAGCGTGACATGCAGACTGCAACTGCCTACCATCCCCATACGCTCCCGTCCTCATTTCCGCCACCACGCAGCGCCGGCGGCCCTGACAGCTCCATCTCGGCCGATTTCCCGCCCGCTCCGGAGGCCAAGTCACCGCAAAATGCATCCCAAACAGAACCCTCCTCCAATATGAACGCGCGGGAGAATGAGGCACAAAAGTCACAGGCCGCGTCGCCCGCTCCCAAGCCTTCCCCGAAGCCCCGTCGGCCCTTGCGGCCAAGAAAAGCCGCCATGAAAGTTACACCTGTTGCAATCGAACAACTGCACAAGTTGATGGCGCAGCCCGAACCAAAGTTCATTCGGGTGGGTGTGAAGAACCGTGGCTGCTCCGGCCTCGCGTACCACCTGGAGTATGTGGAGAAGCCGGCCAAGTTTGATGAGGTGGTAGAGCAGGACGGTGTGAAGGTCTTGATCGACAGCAAGGCCCTTTTCAGTATCATCGGCAGTGAAATGGACTGGCAGGAGGATAAGTTAAGCCGGCGGTTTGTTTTCCGCAACCCCAACATCAGTAAGTGATTTCCCCCACAGCCAAGTTTTGCATGGTTGACTGACTGGGTCATAACAGAGGAACAATGTGGGTGCGGTGAATCTTTCATGGTTTAAGCCCCTCTTTCGACATGTTTCCTTATACCGGTCTTCTCTCAGAGTCATATTTTTGGTGCATCGGACGGTGTTCTTAACGGTGTTTTCAATCCTTCTTTAATGGGTCCCATGGCCACCCTTGCGGTGGAGTACATACGCTTGATATCCAGTTGATACAATTCCTCCACCTGTCTTTATACTGCCCTGTCTCCCCTTTTCAAGATCCATGTCTTGCGTCAGATTTTCATCCTCGGCGGGCGTGCTCTGTTGCTTCGATTGTCGTAGAGGCTTTCGCTGGCGGCTTCTGCCTTGATCTTGTTCTTGCTGTCCGCCAGACAGCTATGGCACTGCGCTAACCCTGTTTTATGATATCTCTCAGTTGTAGACTAGTTCAATGGACAATGATGAAACTATGAGATATCTTGCAATAGTAGGCATGCAAACATAGATAATCTATGGATGTGTTTATCCATATCCCATCATCTAGCAGATTTCTACTCCATAAACGTAAGGTTACAAGCCCCCTATCTAATATCATGTGTCTATATATGTGTTTCTATGTACAGTTACTTAATTGATTTTGAGTAGAATCAAGAGGAGGTTAGACAAGTCAGCTCATCTATAAAAAGACTTGTTTTCTGCCTAGGTTGATAAACCTGAGTAGGGTAACGCTTCATTCGATGAGTCAACTAGAGTAGATACAAACACCACGATCTCTCCCTTAAAAATCCACGCACGATGTCCCTTTCATAGCCATCCCGATCTACATTGAGGCTACGTCACATGACATGACGCCGATGGCCGGGGAATGTGGGAATCATCAGCCTCACCCAACAACTCTCCTGTGACGAATGCCAATGGACTTGTATCGATGATCCTGCAATCCTCAAACAGGCCAGCTATAAACCTCCAATCATGGCCTCACCGGCCCTCCTCTCTCCTTATGTTGGCAGCAACACCATTGACCCGCTGCTTATCACCGTCCGGTTCTCGGCCTCGATCCCGGACCTTCAGCTCGATGTCAGCGACCCGGACATCACGACCGGAGCCGGACTCAAGCAATTGATCCGGGCGCAGCTCCCAGAATCCTTATCATCGCACCGCCTACGGCTGATCTACGCCGGCCGCGGCCTGGAAGACACCTCCGCCTTAACGGTCTCTTTAAAACTCCCCCCATCACCCGCGCGCAGCCCGCGGCCTGCAGCAGCCGACCACTCCGACGACCAAAACCACAATGAGAGCGCCTTTTGCCTCTCAGAACAAGGACAAGGAAAGGGCAAGCAAGCCGTGCGGGACACGCGCCCACGGCTATACATCCACTGCTCGATCGGTGATATCGCGCTCTCGGCCGCCGACCTCGCCGCCGAAGCAAGCGCCGCGTCGACCAAGCTCCTCCAGAAACAGAAAGAAGACGAGCAAGCGCGAGACCCGCGCCATGCCTCGTCACTGTTTGCGTCGTCGCGTCGCGTGCCCGCTCATCCTGCGCAGCAACATCCCGCCCCGTCGACGACGCCCGGCCCGCGTGGCTTCGACCGGCTGCTTACCGCTGGCTTCACCGCCGCTGAGGTCACTGCTTTGCGCTCGCAGTTCCTTGCTGTGCAGTCTGTTTCGCGAACGCGTGATACCATGCCTTCTGGGGAGGAGTTGCGTGATCTCGAGGACCGCTGGATGGACGAGGGGTCGACGGCTGCGCAGGCACCCGGTGGCGGGGATGGTGGCGGTGGTGGTCTGGGTGGGTTGGGCGATGATGACGGGGGGTTTGGATCTGGCTCGCGTGGCGCCATGGATGATATGCTGTGGGGTGCTGTCATGGGCTTCTTTTGGCCTGTTGGGTGTGCTATGTGGCTGCGCAGGGAAGAGGGTGTTTGGAGCTGGCGGAAAGGTGTGGCCGTGTTCGTCGGTGTCGTAGTCAATGCGGCTTTTGGTGCCATGAGGATCATGAACTAGCGGGTTGTTTCTCTTTTTTTTTTTTTTTTTTTTTTTTTTTTTTGGTTGCACAGGTTGGCAACTCGGCGTTTCTTTTCTTTGGATCTTTTTCTGGTCATATATATTCTACGAGATACCCCCTCAATCAAGCATGCGTTTATCACCCGTTAGATTAGAGAGCGCGAGCATGGAATGAGCCCAGAGGTCCTGCAGACAATCTGGTCCCATCAACTCGTCAAATGCTATATCATACAAGGGCCCCGGAGGAAACGGCGGGGCAGCTCTCAAACAAAATCGCAGAACGATGTCTCGCACGAGCGCAGGAGAATTCAGAGATAAAAACGCAAAACACCCAGAATAAAACGCCCGCGGAAGCCTCTCCAACGCTAATGGAACTTGCTGAAAATGACGGCGAAAATCAGAATCACCAAAACAGTGATAATGGCAATGGTGATCAGCCGATTCGTAGCCATCCTGGACAAGGAGAAGAATTAGCAAGAAAGTTCTAATATGCCGAGGGGGAGGGAGTCAGTACCTACGGGCCATGCCCCTCAACGTCTTGATACTGGTATCCACATAGCCCTCGCTTTGCTGCAGATTATTGCGACTATTCTCAATAGTGTTCCGCTGTATTACCAGATCCGACAACGTGTTCCGCGCCGTGTCCTCGGTCTCCAGCGCAATCCGCTGGCTCTGCTGCAGCCGGGCCGAGCTGCGCTCTAGCCGGTCCGTCCCCGAAAGGAGCTGCTGACGCTGCTCGAGGTGCTCGTCCTGCGGTTCATCCGTGTACCGGTCGCCGAACAGCGCCTTGCGGTCATCGGACAGCGACTTGAGCTTGCGCTTCACCTCGTCGAGGTCCGTGGAGTAATTGCGAAACCGCATGTTGACTTTGGACCGCGCGGCGGAGGGGATGTTTTGTTTCTCCATGCGCATTTGGTCGAGCTGTACACATTAAAAACGGTTTGTTAGCTTATCGTCGTCTTTTTGGTCGGATCCTGATAACCGCTTGTCCCATTACTTTTTGCCACTTCCACCTCTTTTGATCACTTCGGAATAAATGGACAAACTCACCAGTTCCGTCGCTTCATCAAGCACCTGTTCCGCCAGCCGAATCGCCGATTTCCGCTGCTCGCCACTTGCCTCCGAAATCTGGTCGAGCTTCTGATTCAGATCGGCTTGCAGCAGCTTCAGCTCATTCTCGTAGCTGCCGAACAGCTCGGAGCCGACATCCGTGTCTAGAGGGTTCGCCATATTGGTTCTCGTAAATTATTATGGGTGTGTAGTGCGGGAAGTAGTAAAAGGAGCGATGTCGGTTTGCGACAGATGTGGGTGATTGATGTGCTGATTGACTCCTCTTTGAGGCCAGGCTCCACCTTTTATCTGGGGGTGGGAGAGGGTGGTCAAGTTGTGCCGAGCGCCGGTGTGGTCGGAGAATTGGGTCCCAAGGATAGCGTGGATAATCAAGTTGTAAGTTAGAGGTGAATCTTGGGGAACGGGACCTGTCGTAGTGTCAGGTTCTCGAGATCGTCGGATCCGACGAGTGGAGGCTGGGGACGATGATGTCGCTTGCACGTGATCGCCGAGGTCGGGTTGCATTGGATATTCGACATTTCTATAGCATCCATGAATATCTTTGTTACTAGTATATTAAAATTCCAGTAGATCTGTTCTTCTTAATTTACTAGTATTTCTACATCCCATCTTTATTGTTATATTCCGTTTGGTTCCTACAGGCCCGGCTACAGCATCCAAGTGCCATACAGATCATAGATAAAAAAACAGATAAGATAGGCTTCACGAGCAACGAGCTTGCGAGGGTGCTTTACAGCTGTCTCGGGTAAACAGGCCAAGTAAAATCCAAAGTGGTACATCAAATGGCATTAGCATCAAACCAGGCCTACACAGAACAATTCGCCTTTTTCAATAAACAACAAGACAGCCCCATGGTATACAAAGATATGAAGAATTTCCGGCGTTTTCCATCGTTCGCTCTATGCGAGGAACTTCTCACTGTCCTGGCTGACAATCGCTGCGCTTCGCTTCGCATCCAAGAAGAGATCCTCGCACTCGGCAATATCGGGCTCCTCAATGCCGCCGGGCCGGCCGTTGATGCGTGCAAGAATACTTGCTGGGGTCAACAGCTGCAGGGCATACCGCAAGCTGACCTTGCTGCCGTGCTCGGAGACCTTGTTCAGAGCCGGCTCGGTGATGTTCAAGCCTTCTGTCTTTGCGCGCAGCCGGATGATCGTCTTAATCTCATCGGGCGTGTAAGGGTTGGTGGGGATGATGAGGAGACGCGCGAGCAGGTCCGGCGGAATGCCATGAGCAGCGGTGATGTCGTCGGTGCCACGGATGACAGTGTTGCCACGGTTGGACGCAAGGATGACAATCGGAGAGATGCTCGATTCAAGGGCGCGGTTCAAATATGTGAAGCATTCAATGTCAAGCATGTGGACCTACCCATGAAGTCAGAACCTGGTGGCCTAGAATATGGGATATATAGGACCTGAGTCCGCCACTTACCTCATCAATGAAGAGTACACCAGGGACCAGCTCGGCAACTCCTTGGTCAATGTACCGGTTGACCACCTTGTTGATTTCCTGGCGCAGCTTGTCCGTGATCTCCGTCTTCTTGGGCTTCATCAACTGGCCCATCATGCTCATGACATCTTGTCCACCCTGCGGCCGGGCATTTGCCATGTCCAGGTCGTGCAGCGTGACATCCTGGACAATTTCCTTCTTCTTGTGAACCTCGCCCTTGGGCACCGGCACATACTCCTCCGCCTCGAGATCGAACTCGGTCGCATAGGCGTCGGACCGCCCGACACGCTTGCACGCACCGGTGTTGGCTTCGATGTAGATGACATCTCCGACCGTGACCCGCTCCTTTTGGATAGCCTCGTAGATACTGGGATCGAGGCGAAGCTTCTTGGTGCCCTTGGCAGACTTCAAGCCGATGATCAAATGGCTGATAGTGCGCCCGTAGCCACCCAGTGGGTTCTCCGTCTCCTCAGGAGTCAGCTCTGTCACCTCACCCTCATACACTTCCTTGGTTTCCCGAACTCGGAGGCCTGTCCGGCGTGTCAGTCACACACTCGTGCTTGTTGGATCCTTTCTCTGGTCGGTATACGTACCGATCGCTCGCCGGAAGTTCTCCATGAGCGCTTCGGTCTTCTTGACCTCTGCGGAGTAAATCTCACTCCCGACAATCGGGCAGAATGGGACCTTGGTTCCCAGTTCCTGTGATACCGCGAGAGCAAGTGCGGTCTTTCCGGTTCCAGGACCACCGGCGAGCAGAACAGCTCGGCCAGCCATCTTCTTCGCCTTGATCAAGTCGACAACTACACCACATGCCTAGGGGACGATAATTTGGAGTCTGTCAGCGACGCTTCCCTAAGGGCATGATCCATCTCCATGGACTCATTGGGAGCTTCCCCTCACCTCTCGGGCAGAACCTTGTCCCACAAATCCATCGCCGGTCGACTCTGAGCTGCCATCCACGCGCAATCCGAGTCCTCTGATGTGCGTATGCGCCGCCGTCCTGTTCTCGCGCGAGTTGCCCTTGACTTCACTGATCTGGACCATGGTTGGGACGAGGTGTGGCCTTGGAGAGCCACAAGATAGAGGGAGAATGGATTCAATGGGTTGAACGAGAGATCAAGAAAAACCAGATGTCAGAAATAGATCGTTCAGATAGACAAGCCAGAGAGGAGGATGGTCTTGAAATTCGCGAGCAAGGGATCTGCAGTCACTGCGGCCGCGCCAAAGGCGGTCAGCACCCCCAAATTCTTCCGTCTCGGCCACTTACGCAGGCTTCGTGCATCCTCCCTCTTGCCCACTGAGGTTTGCCCGACACAATGGCAGGCTTGCAGGCTAAAACTCCCTTCTGTCTCTCTGCGGCCTTCCGTGGCCTCTCTTTTTCCACACCCAAACGATCTTTCTCCATGACATTGGCCACCCAGAAGACCAAGCCACTTCCCGACTACATCCCGCCCTACCCCTATGGCCCCAATCGATGGTTCAAGCAGTCCAACTCGGGTCTCTACGGAGGCACCATGATTCAATTTGGCAACAAGATTTCGAAGGGACGCAACGAGGGCAAGACGCGACGCATCTGGAAGCCAAACGTCCGCCGAAAGAAGCTGTGGAGCGATGCGCTGGGTGAGTACCTGTTCATCAAGGTCTCTCATCGGGCAATGCGCACAATTCGCAAATCGGGCAGTCTCGACAATTACCTCCTGGGTGACCAACCGGGGCGCATCAAGGAACTCGGGGTTTTCGGGTGGCATCTTCGATGGCAAGTTATGCAGACACCAGTGATGCAAGAAAAGTTTCGACAGGAACGAAGACGCTTGGGTCTTCGGGAGCCGCCGTCATTTGAGGAGTGGTTGAAAGAGAGGGAGGCCGATGTCGAGGCTCAGATCGAATCACAACTCAACATCAAACCGATGACGAAACCCGGTGCTTTCAAGCAGAACACCAATGAACCACCTACGGGAACTGCATAACTCGGATTTCAGCGCCGCGACGAAAGCCGAACTTCCTGTCCGGTCGTGAAATCACACGAATGGCTCCCAGCAGCTGCATGAAAGCAGCGACTAGAAGAAGGGAAGAGAGGCTTCAATCTGGTTGGTTTGTCGTATCGAGGACAACCGGGCAGGCTCTTGTATCACCACCTGGACCAAGTCATTGGCGCTATATTTTTCTGGTCTGTCGTTTTGAGTCCTTGCGAGTGAGGAATTTGGTGATGGGCTTTTCTGAACTTGCATATTCAATCTTCTGTGTACTTATACTCCAATGCTATCTCGATGTCTACTGATCAATCTGGAGTTTGGGTCTTTTATGACCATATATTTGGGAGTCTTGATGTCTTTCCTGATGTAATGTGGCGACCAAAACAACTGTTTACAACAGAGCTACTCATCGGATAAGTATCTTGAGTTAGAGAGTAAACAAACTGTATATACCTAGACAACCATGACTTTAATTCTGCCTAATTGACTCACTTATCACCTATCGTCAATACTTCTGGATGTATAGTGCTAACTCGAGGCGGGCGACGTTGGAATGCGCGCAGACCCACCGATTTGGAGGACCATACCCTTGGAATCGCAGCTTCGACCTTCTTTCCTCCCAACTCTTTACCTGACAAAAGCTGCATTCTCGTGTCTACTCGGAATTCTTCTTTACTATGATCTGAACGGCAATCCCCGGCTCTTTTGATTAGCACTGCGCTGGGGACAATCCCTCGCCATGCAGTTCGCGTTGCCTCCGCGCAGTCCCCATCTTCTCCCTCATGCTCGCTCCTCCCGCCTCCCGATCTATCGCAGGAAGCAGCTCAAGACAGTCGCCTTATTTGGAATCGCAATTCTCTCGCTGCTATTTATCTGCTCCCGCCTCTCTTCTTCAAGCTCGACATCCGTTGCGACGCCGACTGGCACGACAGGCGTTGTGATTGTCACCCTGCTGGATCGCGAGAACTTCAGCGACAGTTACCTCAATAAAATTGTGGCGAATCGGGAGGACTATGCCAAACGTCATGGTAAGCTTGACCTTGGGCCGTTGGTGGCATGAGCCCCCTGGCGATGGACCCTGACCACGAGTGGCGAGAACAGGCTACACGAACTTCTTCGCAACGGTGTCCGACTACAAAGATGCCGTAGGCGATGCTCCCAAGAGCTGGGCCCTGGTTCCGGCTATTCGTCATGCCATCGCATCCCACCCTCGCTCGGCGTACTTCTTCCACCTCAGCTCTCATGCCTTGATCATGAACCCATCCAAACCCCTCAAATCACACCTGTTAGAAAAGAGCCGCCTCGAATCCTTGACGCTGAAGGACGTCCCCGTTGTGCCGCCAGACAGCATCATCAAGACCTTCTCGCATCTGAAAGAGAACGACATCGACCTCATTGTGACCCAGGATAAAGAGGATGTCAGTCCCGGAAGTTTTGTCCTGAAGAACGGAGAGTTTGCCCGTTTCTTCCTTGATGTCTGGTTCGATCCGCTGTTCCGCAGCTATAACTTTGCCAAGGCAGAGATTCATGGACTGGTAAGACATGCTCTCCATCCCTCGGGACAGGCAGGTTAAAGAGCCGTTGTACTGATTAATATTATGTTTTGTTGTTCAGGATCATATCATGCAATGGCATCCGACTATTTTGGCGCGGACGGCCCTAGTCCCTCAACGCACCCTGAATGCCTATAGCAAAGACTCGACAGGGGCTTCGTCGGATGGTACCTACCAGGACGGGGACTTTGTGATTCGGTTCCCTGGGTGTGATGACACTAAGGGCAGGGACTGTGTCCAGGAGCTGGAGCCATACTATAAGTTGTGGCTAAGGAAAACAAAGACCGATTAATCGCTACAATCAAAGTCAATTCAGAGCATGCAACCCCCCATCCTCCGTCAACACCCACAAGGGGACTCGCTCCGGAGAGACGGTGCTTGCTAAAATGTGGTTGGAGTTTTGGCAGATGGTTCACGATATGGCGCGGTGTTTGTCTTTCATGGTTGGCGTGTATTCGAAGAGAGATGATTAATTTCCTTGCGCTTTCTTCTATTTTCTGTGATAGAGTTCAATTGTCTCAAATTATACGATAAACCGAATGGATCAATGAGTCCATCTTGGACTTGGTTGGTTTTTCTTTTTTTCATAGACACTTAGAGTCTTTGAGGAAGAGAACACTTCTCGGTCGAGGCAATCTAGTTCATTCATTTCTCCATGCGTTGAAATGTCAATGGCGGGCGAGAACTTGCCGAACACACAAGTCAACCCCTGGCGCTTCCGCCTTTTAGCAGAGACCAGCGAGTATGACAGTCTTCTTGCTCTTGTACTTGTCCCCAAACTCCTTGCGGTAGCGGATCTCCTTCTTCCAGGCCCAGCTCCACATCTGCAAGCCGCCAACGAAGATAAAGAACAGAACACTCCAGCTCAACTGGCTGACCAGGAAGATCCCCAGCCACGCAATGATTTCAAACATATAGTTCGGGCAGGTGACTAGGCTGAACCCAAACCCAGACGGGATGCCGCGCTCGGTGGTGCCCGGCCGGCGGAGATCACGCAGGATCAGGTGCGCGTTCAAGTTGAACAGCTCACCGAAGCCGAAGAGCGCCAGGCCCGCATACACGAGACCCATGTTGGGCTGCTTGGTGGCGGCGGCTGCGTCGGGGCGGAACACCCAGTAGGCGATGTTGAAGCCGGCCAGGGCCCAGTAGTGAGCGCTGTTCTTGAAGATGTTACGGGCGGGCATCGTGGCATTGCTGAATCGGTGCACGAAGACTGTCTCGAACTCGCGCTTCAGGAAGTGCACAGTCAGAAGCAGACAGACCAGTAGCTGGGTCTCGGAGGCCTCGTGGAGGGGCTTGTCGAGGTTGAAGTACAGCAGAGACCGGAGAGGGAACAGGAACAGTGCGGGGATCACAAGTGGGCCGAGGTACTCGATGATAAAGACGGTGCGCCATGCGATTTGAGGACCTAGAAAAAAATTGTGTGTTAGCACATCTATTCATAAACTTGGAGCCACTTGAGCTGAGCTCTCTTCCCGCACCCCTGGTATCTCTCCTGCCAATGCGTCCATTATGAGGGAGTATAATACCTACCGAGGTCTTTGACATGGATCACACTCGACTCCCGGAGACCAGTGTCCTGAATAGTGGTCCGTGTCGAATTGGGGACCACGCTGCGGTCGCTCCCCTTGGTAATTCTCAACCGGTGCACCGAAGTCGCAGAGGCCTCCGCTAGAGCAGTGTGGAGCTCTTCCCCGGAGGCAGTGAGGGCAATCTCGATTTCTGCTGGGAGGTTGCGGATAGGTTTCCCTGTGTTGTTATCAGCAATTTTGTGTCTTGAAGGGGGCCAGTCGCAGCTCGCCCCGAGAAATGCTAGGTGAAACAAGAGCTATGGATACATACCCCGCGGCTCCACGGTGAGCGTAACATTGGTTGATGCCATTGCAGCTGATGCTTGACTCCAAAGATGATGTTCCTTGGGTGGCGGATGTGGATTCAGCAGTGCAGAATTTGAAAGTTGCACCGCTTTTTGGGGCTTATTGGCGATCATTCTGGGCAGCTTGTTCGGCCTCGGTTGGTCCCACGTGACTTTGATCTATGTCTCCAAGGTTGCCAGCAGGACGAGCTGATCATCTTCAATTACGGAATGTCACCCTATATTCTTGGGGGATCATTCCCACAATGAAAATCCCTCAGGATTTGTCTAGCTTTGAGAGAGTCAGTTGGGTTGGTCTAACTGGACCGTACAAAGGACGACAAGGGCAAGCCAGGGTCCAGATATGATTAATTCGAATAGATAAGTTCAAGAAATACATTTCCAGGCTATTGCTGGCTTACTATTCTACCAACTGTTGAACCTTGGAAGCGTCAGTCTAACCAGAGACGATCCAACCTCCAAGTATCCACTGGCTAGGTCCCAGATATATAGCACAACACTAGCTAAGATACAACATTTAATAAAGAATCAAATACCAGAGGCCAATACCAATATCCTTACAGGGTAGGGATATAGCATCTTGAATTTAGCTTGTTAGAGTCTTCCAGTATCTACTATATGCCATAGCCCTACTTGCCCTAAATGTTCATGAATTCCTCTCTTGAAGTTGAGCCTTTACCTTGGAGGGCTATATACTCCACATTTTGTATGCCAAACATGTCTCATTTCATCGTTTGTTAACAACTTTGCAACCTCCCATGTATTGGCAATCAAGCGTATTGTGTTGAAAGAAACACCGCCTCAGGCCCCCAAAAGTGATGCCGTGACGCCTTACCGCCTCAGCGGGGAACCACGCAGGCTCCGCCCTTGTCTACTGCCGGCAAGACAGCTCCAGTTCACGAATCTTCCAGGTCGCTTTTTTCTTCGATCTCTCATCCCCCTCTTTCCTCCATCCGCCCATCCGCTTCCTTCCCAAACCTTTTCTCCTTTTTTCTCCCCTTCCCCTCCATCGTCAACACTTTAGGGCCAACGACCTGCACCGTTTTCCCTGACACTTTGACGGCTGACCGCTGATACCTCACGATCCTTCATCTTTCGAACTTTAGCTGTCTGGAAGCCTTCGAGTTTCTATTCCTTGGATGATAGATTCAATCTAGCATCCCATTGACTCAAATAATCGTCACCACATAGTCTTCATCACTCATCTCCCACGTGGTGTTGATTCGGTTTTTGTTGAGGCCGGAGAGTACCAAAAACGTCATAAGGCATCTTCGCGCTTTCTCCGCGATCCGGTCTTCACGACCTCCCCAACCCACCCTCCCCTAGGAGACCCCATCCTGGAATTTCTCAACCTCCTCATGGTTGACTGCTTGTCTGATCGCCATCATGGGGAGAATTAAGAAGGTGGCTAGCCAAAAGCACGAGGCAACGATCGTAAGTTATCTGCCCTACGGGCTCGTGTGCAGCCCAACTAAAATTTTTCTCTCTTGCTACAGTCGCCTTTTCTGGCAGATTTCATTGCGCGCGCGACCAGTCTTCCCGTTCCAGAGCTTCCTTCACTTCTCAGCACATTCCCCAAGCTATGGCCCTTCCCTCGAGGTGACCTCTATCACTGGATTAATGTCCTGGACCGGTTTGATGAGATTCTGGCCTCCGTTATCGAGAAATACTACCTGAACATTGGCCCACAGACAAATTCATTTACCAGGAGTGCTCTTGAGAATGCATACACCGAAGATGAATCGAAAAGGCCTGCAGAGGGTGTCGATGCCAAGCTGAACTCTTTGGGGTATGGCCCTGACGGAGATAGAGAGCTTGTGGAAGCCATCCTTGATTTCTCGCGTCTTCTGCTAGAGAAATGTGGCAACCGCAGTCTATACAACAGCAGTGAACGCTTGGGTGACCTCTTGAATACCACATCGCTGTCTCTTCTCCAATCCACTCTGCGCCTGGCCCTTTGCCTGGCCCAAAGGTACCACTCCCGCCAACGGGGCTCTCACCAACAGGCGATGCTGGCAACTCACTACAACATCGATCTGGAAAAATTGCAAAAGATCGCCGCACCTTTCCCCCGCCCGTTCGTTGCTACCAAAGCACCTCTTCCGGCGTCCCCGGCCGTCTCTGCCAAAGGGAAAGAGAAAGCAGCCCAGACTAAGCTCAATGCAAATGAGCTGGCTTCTCTTGTGCGCGACAATGATGGCTGGGATGAATGGGGCAATGTCCGTGTGCTCTACTATCCCTCTGGCTCATCCGACCAGACGAGGACGACCTCAGAGTTCGGCCAGACGGAGCATGGCTCTAACGCCCCGTCCACGCCTACTCCACTGCGGCGGAGCGCAACTCACCCTACTCCTCGACTTAGTCGTGGATCGAATACAGATGATTCTCCCGCTGGAAACAACACGAGTGGGAAGGCGGATGAGGCATCTCGAAGCGGGAAAATCTTGGATCTTCCCTACTCGAAAGTGTCCTTTGCTCAAGCGGAAAATCTTCTTGCGACTAATCTGCCCCATCTGCCTCTGGAATCGAAGTACGAACTTCTGCACAAAGTTCGCGTCGCCCAAGGCCTGGCGACGTCGCGTGCTACACGGGAACAGATCCTTGCAATCAGAATTCTTGCAGTGACCAACTTGGCCTATGTCCACCCGGAGAGTGCATTCCAACAGAAGGTTCTTCAGTACGACATGGAGCAGCCGAAGCGTCTCCAGCTCACCTATCAACTGGCTGAAATTGTTCATCTCGGCGCGAGTGGTGACCTTGAAGTCTCAAGAACAGTACAGACTTTTGCAATCCAAGCACTTGATGCGCTGGCAAAACACAAGTCCCGTGCTGTGGATGTTTGCGCCGCTCTGAGTGTCAATGTCAACCATGGTGTGCTCATGTTCCTCACTCGTAAAGTGGTCAACGAGCTAGGTGCAGAAAACGACAGCGCAGACAATCTCTACTATGATGAGTGGCGTGATGCCCTGCTTGCGCTCTTGCGAACTCTTCCAAGCTCGAGTTCACGTACGCCAGAGACACTGGTTGCTGCAGGCCTGATCCCCATGTTTGTGGATATCCTTAACCTCCGAACCGACAAGGCTCGCCGAGTGTACTCGCGAATCATGGAGTTCCTCGACACTTTCGTACACGCGGTTCGAGATGCACTCGGGACCTTGACAGCAGCGAGGGGATTTGATGCCATGTCTGATCTGATTGACTACGAGACGAAGACTGCCTTTGAGAAAGTTTCCCAAGGATCAGGATTCCCTTCTCAGTACAAGAACCCATCAATTGATTACCAGATACCCTACTTCCAACAGCAGACACTGCGCTGGATGTTCCGTTTCGTCAATCATATCATGCAACATAACGGCGGCGGGTTCGACCGTGTGCTGCGAAACCTGATTGACTCGCCTCAGCTGCTGACTTCTTTGCGACTGGTTTTTGAAAACGCGCGAGTGTTCGGCTCGCATGTTTGGAGCAACGCTGTCAACATTCTCAGTAGCTTCATTCACAATGAGCCGACTAGCTACGCTGTCATTGCCGAAGCTGGTCTCAGCAGAAGTCTCCTTGCTGCTGTGATGGGCCGCGAACTCAAAGCACCAGAGAAGCCGCCTGCGGTGGAGCCGGAGGGCCCCGAGACTGAAGGTGAACCTTCTTCCCAACCTCCCCCGCCGAGCCTACTTCATCCATCGAGAGGAAGAAAGAGGGCCGTGAGTACGTCCTCGTGAGACCGCAAAACACGCCTCTTGCACCTGGTATCATTCCCGCAGCCGACGCTCTCGCGTGTATCCCTTCTGCGTTTGGGGCCATTTGCCTCAATTCCTCTGGCTTGGACCTTTTCCAGTCTTCCGATGCGCTCGAAAGTTTCTTTGAAATTTTTGAAAACCCAGAGCATGTCAAGTGCTTGAAAGATGACCCTAACTTGATTCGCTCCCTGGGTACGACATTTGACGAACTTGTTCGGCACCATCCGGCATTGAAGACATCCATAATGTCTGCTGTCATTGTCATGGCTGCTCGAGTCAGCATGCTCGGGAAAATCAAGGCATGGGAACTGGGATTGGGTACAAAGATGTGGACCGAAGATTCTCAGGGCAAGCTCAATCTCTCTGGCGATGTCTTCTCTCTGTTCCGGGAAATCGGAGCGGCCGCTGAAGTATCAGTCACGGATCCCGCATCCATTGGCGTTCCCCAGTTGAATTCCGATGCTCTCCCGAATGGCGGGAAGCTTGTTATTGGTGACTTAAACCGGGTCCTTCCCTCACAAAATGGCATTCTTGAACCCCAAGACCAGGATGAGCATGGACTCACGGCTACGGATTACCTCTTCCCAGCTATACGCTTTCTGGGTGCTTTCTTTGAGAACCAGCCAAATTGCACATCTTTTATCCACTCCGGGGGAACGGAGTTTGTTTTGGATTTCGCGACTCTTCAGAGCCTGTCGTTTGATTTCCACAACACAGACGCCAACCAGGAGCTTACTGTCCTTGTGCATATGCTTGCAGAAACTAAGCCTCACCTGGTGGTGCCATCTCTAGTGCACCGGGCCCAGTCAGCAGTCAACAACCTCTCGACTTTTTGGTCTGCACCCAACGACTCGGGATTCTTTACACCATTAGTGAGGCCGGCAGATTCCAAAGAACCGGCGCCGAAGCCAACGCCTGCCTCTGATCATGGGACATTTTTTGCGAAGCACTTGAACGCTATTCTCCTCCTTACAGACCTCCTTCGTGAAGTCTACGCCATGCCTTTGTACCAAACCCGGGCTTCCCAGCAACTTCCTCTTTTCCCACATGTCAATCTCACCGACCTATACTGTACCCTTGTTTCGTCGTTGGGAAACCTTCTTGCTGCATGCGTATGGGAGGAAATTATGCTCGAGAAGAACATACCAGAGAAATGGATGCAAGCCACCAAAGCATCCACTGGGAAACCTGGTCCCGAACGGCCCAATGAGGTGGCCGGTTTTGGAATCCTTCCTCCACAGCCTTCAGAAGATTCCACCGCGTCTCAACAGGGAGGCACTGGTGCGCCTGATACTCAGCCTCAAGCAACTCAAGATTCCGGAAACGACGATACGAAACTGACCGAACGAAGTGCTGCTTTCAAGAATGCCCAGACGATTCGTTATCTCTTGAGCGCTCTGCCATCTTCAATCACTGGTTTCTTCCATAACCTCGGCCTCGGGCTCATCGGCAAGAGACGAATGGACCCTCCAAAGCAGAAGCAAAGTGCTGGCATGGTGGCTGATGCTATCGCTGAGACTGTTCTCCGCCAATTGCAGTTCAGCCCGCCCAATTCAAGCGATAGTCCCAAGCACCGATTCGCCTATCTCATCGTCATACTTTCATCGTTTTCTCATCTCCTCTACGAAGGTTAGTCCTGGTGGATATTCACAGTTTTGATCGAGATGCATGTGCTAACCATTGATATAGTTGCCACTGATCGTCCTCACCCGAATTATTTGACTCTGGTTCTCATCGCATTCAAGAGGAACAACGGACTGAAAGTCTTGAAAGATATCTGTGACGTCTTCATGCACGAAGTCAAGGATCTTACACCTGCTGCAACCGCTCCCGATGCCGACAAGGAACTTACCGCTCGGCTTGCGTCAGCTTATGGCGGAGTCAAGATCATCCTCGCCTTGTTCTCGGAACTTGCTTCAGGCAAGAGCATCGTTGAATCCGGTCAAACACAGGCCCTGACTAGTCACCATGAACGAGACCGAGACCGCCCTGATTACTTTCAGCCGGGCCAGTTTTTGGTGGATCTTCGCATGGAAATCCTGCCCATGGCTCTGGACATGTGGAATTCAGATTTCGTTACTCAGTCGTCGAGCCCGGTCGTCAAGTGCCTAGTTGATATCTTACGATCATCGCTGGATGGCGAGTATGAGACCGGAGCTGCTCATAAATCGGATACCGCGCCTGCCTTGACAGAAATGCCGAAGAACACCTTCGTGGTAAACAAGGACCGGGAGGCTTCTTTGGTTGAAAAGGGGTTCAAAGACACAGATCTGAACAAGGAGGCTCTTTATCGCTGCAACAACCTTTTGAGTGCTGCAGAGGAGTACTGCAAAGCACAGAAGTGGTTACGAGCCCCACCCAGGCTCCCTCCTGCCCCTGATGATATCCAGACTGGATCCACTGAAAGTGCTTCTGGTGGAGAGGCGCCTGAAGACACTCTAGGGGATGCACCTCCGTTCAACAACGGGGGTTTCTTGGAACGCTCTGCCCTTGCCATGCTTCTAGCACAAGCAACCGGACGTCCCGTGGACGATGCGATGCGCCAAGAGCAGGGACATGGGAGAGAGATGGATCCCGACATTCCTGATCCCTTTGCCAGAGCCCTTGATCATGTCCTCCATGACAATGAAGATACTGAAAACGATGGCCAAGGCGAATCGTCGAACCAGGATCGCCCCCAGAACCGTAACCCCCAGGAAGGCTCGTCCGAACCGACCAACTCCGAGCCAGTCAGACGCCATCAGATGGTGACCGTCGAAGACTTGGATGCCGAAAGGGAGAAGGTCAGATCGAATCTGATTGAGCGGTGCCTGGATGTCCTGAATGTCCACCATGACGTCTCTTTCGAGCTCGCTGACTTCATCTCGTCCGCCATCAAGAAGCATCGTGAGCCTGAGAGCTTCCGGCGAGACATTGGGGAGACCTTGGTCCAATCACTTGTTTCTTTACAGATGGAGAATTTCCAAACTGCCGGCAAAAAGATTGCTGCTTATGCGCACATCCTTGCTCTGGTCCTCCAAGATCGTGACATGTACAATGCCACCCTCGAGGAGCTCAAGGATTGCTTTTCAACTTTCCTTGGGTTTATCAAGCTCCCCACACCTGAGAAGTCTGCCAATGAATTCTTCCCCTGGGTTGGGCATGTGCTGCTCATCCTTGAGAAACTGCTGTCTGATGATACCCAGCCACCCCAAATCAGCTGGACACCACCAAGCCTTGATGATCCGAATTCTGGTGGAGAGGACCCAGCACGTCTTGAAGAGCCTCTTGTCTCTCTTGATGAAAAGACCCAGCTTTTCGAGGCCCTTCTCGAAATTCTACCTCGTGTAGGCAAGGATGACGCTCTGGCACTGTCTATGTGCCGTGTTCTTGTCATTCTCACTCGTCAACGCAGCATTGCGGCGCGTTTCGGTGAAAAAAGAAATCTGCAACGCCTCTTCGTCATGGTTAAGCAGCTAGCGAGTGCCACGAACGACAAACTCCAGAGTGCCTTCATGCTGATCCTCCGGCACATTGTTGAGGATGAAGCTACTGTTCGGCAAATCATGAGAAGTGAGATCGTCGCCAACTTCGAATCCAAGTCTTCTCGCCAGATCGACACCACTGGCTACGTGCGACAGATGTACCACCTTGTGCTTCGAGCTCCTGAAATTTTTGTGGAAGTAACCAACGAGAAGCTGAGATTGCTGCGATACGACACCCACCAGCGACCGCAGGTCCTTGGTTTGAGGGCTGACAAAGATCGCTCCTCGCGCCACCGTCAATCTAAGAATGAACAGGAGGCCAACAAAAATGAATCTTCGACCGATGAGGCGCCAGCGCCAGCACCAGAGGACAAGGACAAGGCTCAGGGCAAGGGCGCTGAACTTAAGGCGCCCGTGGTAGAGAATCCGGATGGGGTCATCCACTATTTGCTCTCTGAACTTTTGTCCTACAAGGATGTCGATGACAAGGAATCTCTAGCTGAAACGGCGGACCAGCCTACTTCCAGTCAAACCGAGTCTCAAGCGGATGTTGAGATGTCCACCGATGAACCCACGCCTCCAGTATCCAGCGGAGTTGGTTCCCAAGTCCGTGGATCCAAAAAAGGAGAGAAGCCTCCATTCAAAGCAGAGGACCATGTGATCTACATCTACCGGTGCTTCCTCCTCCAGTGTTTGACAGAGCTCCTTTCTTCGTACAACCGAACAAAGATCGAGTTTATCAACTTCTCGCGAAAGGCTGATCCTCTTGCCACAACACCTTCAAAGCCACGGTCTGGTATTCTAAACTACTTGCTCAACGTGCTTGTTCCTGTTGGCACTATGGAGCATGATGAATCTCTGGCGTTCAAGAAGCGCAGCATCACGTCGACGTGGACAATGCAGGTTCTTGTGGCTCTTTGCACCAAGACCGGCGAGTTCGGTGGTCTTGGCAGACGCCGTGGTGAGCAAAAGCGCAATGAAGAGGATGAGCCGGAGCTTGCGTTTGTCCGCAGATTTGTGCTGGAGCATGCCCTACGGTCATACAAGGATGCACAAGCGTCAAATGAATCACTGGATGCCAAGTATTCGAAGCTCATGTCTCTTGCCGACCTCTTCGACAAGATGCTCAGCGGTTACTCTTACTCCAATGATGCAGGCTTCCCTTCTTCCACGAGGCAACTTGCGAAGACCATGTTTGAAAAGCACTTCATTCCGGCCCTCACTGCTTCAGTTGCCGATGTTGACCTGAACTTCCCGTCATCCAAGCGTGTCATCAAATACATTCTTCGCCCACTGAACAAACTCACACAAACAGCTGTGATCCTCAGCGAGAACTCCGATATTTCTACTCTGGGCGAAACAGACCAAGATGAAATTTCGTCAGCAACATCTGTCTCTGACATGGAGGATGAGCGTGAAGAGACACCAGACCTTTTCCGTCATTCCACTCTGGGAATGCTGGAACCTCGTCATGAGGAAGAAACCAGCACCGAAGAATCGGGAGAAGAAGACGATGAAATGTATGATGACGAATACGACGATGAGATGGACTACGATGAAGAGGTCCCTGAAGATGACGGCGAAGTCGTGAGTGATGAAGAGGTCGAAGGCATGGGCCCGATCGAAGGTCTTCCAGGTGATTCTGTTGAAGTTATCGTCGAGGACGAGGACGATGGAGAGGATGATGACGAAGACGACGACAACGATCATTCCGACATGGAAGACGATGACATATATGCCGGAGAAATCACCGGGGATCGAGACAACGAAAGCCTTGAAGAAGGGCATGACGATGAATGGGAAAGTGAAGAAATGACCGAGGACGATGAAGAGGCTGAAATGATGAACCAGTTCGAGGATGAATTGGCCGACATCAGACAATCCAATCAGCAGCATGACGGTCACCATCATCGCATCGATGACTTGTTCCGTGCTCTCAACGAGGCTGCTGGTGATGCCGGTGACATGCACGGCGATAGCCTGGGAGGCGATATCCATGACGAAATCCTTGATGAATTGAACGAAGAAGGGGGTAAGTTTTACCATATTTACCTGAAAGCCTTGTTCACCAACTAAACCAACTTAGACGATGAAGACGAGATCGATGAGCTCGAAGAGGAAATCGATGATTTCGATGATGACCAGGGCTCCTATGATGAGATGGAAGGTGAAATGGATCTTTCCTGTTCTTCCTGGGAGTGAGTGCTAATTAGTATTTCTAGACGAGGACCTTCTCGAGCCTTGGGGATGGGATGGCGATGAAGCTCCGCCGCCTCGGGGACACCACCATCACCGTATCCGTGGCGGTCCACCAGCTTGGGCCGCCGTCACTGAAATCATGCCTGGTCGTCACGGTGGTCTGGTTCCAATTCAACCTTACCCCCGTGTTCACAGAACTCAGATTCCCTCGCGAGGCAATGACGATGGAACCAACCCCCTGTTAATGCGCAATGATCGTGTTCCTGATATTCCTGACCCTCTCCGTGCACCTGGTGCCGAACCCGTGTCGGAATGGGGCAACGCCATGGAACCGACGACCGGTGGTCGAGTCATTGCAATGGACAGCCCAGTTAGCTTCATGAACGCCATCATGCAAGCTATTGGTGGACAGAATGCCCCAGGCTTTGGAGTAGTCACTCGCCCTGACGGTATCCACGTTCATGTTGACAGGAGAGCTATCCTCCCCAACCGCATCCAGGATATGTTCGGAACGCCTCGGAACCAGGGACCGCCTCCTCGCAGTCGAGATGACCCTCAAAATGCTGTGAAATTTTCCCTGTCTACGACCAGAAACCGCTGGCAAGAGGAAGCTCGCATCCTGTTCAGCAGTACGTATGTGGAGAAAACCCAACGTGTGGTCAACTCTCTCTTGAAGGTCCTGGTTCCCCCCTGCCATTGAAGACGAGAAGCAGCGCCAGAAGCAGATGGAGGAGGAACGCAAGCGTATCCAGGAAGAGCGGGCCGAAAAAGAGCGCCAGGACCGTATTGCCAGAGAGGAGGAAGAGCGCGAGCGCAAGCAGAAGGAGGAAAAGGAGATTGCCAGGCGTCAAGCCGAGAGAGAGCAGCAGGAAGCTGAGCGGCAAGCTGCCGGGACTGTCGACGAGCCCATGGAAGATATCCAACAGACTGACGCCGCAGCTGAAGCGGCTGGTCCATCTGCTCAGCCCGAACCTGCTGAGCCGGTCCCCCGTGTTCACACAACCATCAGAGGTCGCCAACTCGACATTACAGGATTGGAGATAGATCCTGAGTATCTGGAGGCCCTGCCTGAAGAACTGCGGGAAGAAGTGATCATGCAGCAGCTCGCCGAACAGCGATCTCAGGCCGCTGCCGCCGGTGAGGAGCCTACGGAGATCAACCAAGAATTCCTGGAGGCATTGCCTACAGAGATCCGTGAAGAACTTTTGCAGCAGGAGGCAGCCGATCGGCGCCGGCGAGAGCGCGAAAGTGCTCGCCGACAGGCTACGGCAGGTGGTGCTCCTGCTCATGCTGAAGACATGGATGCCGCTAGCTTCCTGGCGACCTTGGATCCTTCTCTGCGACAGGCTGTCTTGGCTGATCAACCGGAGGAAGTTCTTGCAACCTTGGGCCCCGAGTACCTATCGGAGGCACGCGCTCTGGGTGGCCGACGCATGGCACAGTTTGGAGATATTGGTGGATTGGATCACCGGCAGAGACATGAGCCGGTCGAAGACCAGGAGCCAAAGAAACAGCAAAGACGCCAAATTGTTCAAATGCTCGACAAAGCCGGTGTTGCAACGCTCCTTCGTTTGATGTTCATGCCACTCCAGGGCAACGCACGTCACCAGTTGAATGACATCCTACACAATGTTTGCGAAAACCGCCAGAACCGGGGCGAGGTTATCAGCCTTCTCCTGTCTGTCTTACAGGATGGTAGCGTGGATGCCTCTGCCATTGAACGCAGCTTCTCGCATCTCTCGCTTCGTGCGAAGGTTCCCGGGGCACAGAAAACCCCGCAGTCTGTCAAGCGGAATGTCTTTCTTCACACGTCCTCGAACGTTAGCAGCGAAGTAACCCCGATGATGGTGGTGCAACAGTGTCTGGGCACCCTCTCCTTCCTGTCCCAGTTCAACCCCCACATTGCTTGGTACTTCTTGACGGAGCATGATTCGGCATCCGCTCTCAAACTGAAGGCACTCCGCAAGGGCAAAAGCAAAGAAAACCGCGCCAACAAGTTTGCTCTCAACGCCCTGCTGTCTCTCCTTGACCGAAAGTTGATCATGGAAAGCCCTAACTGCATGGAGCAGCTGTCTAGTCTCCTCAGCAGCATCACTCAACCGCTCACCGTTCTTCTTCGCCGCGAGAAGGAGAAACAAGAGGAAGAGAAAGGCAAAAAGGCCGAGGAAGCGCAAGAGGAGCAGCAGCCTGGGGACCAGTCTATTCAAACCATCGAATCCGGTACCGACACAGCCATGACGGACGCTCCATTGCCCACTGTGGAGAACACTGAGACCCAAGATCCAGAAGGCGCCGCAGAAGGCGAAGAGACCACCTCTGCCGAACCCAAGAAACCCGGAGATGCCAAGCAGCCTGTCGAGGACGAGAAACGCAAGAGAAGGGCTATTGAGCCTCCCGTCGTTCCCGATCACAGCTTCCGTTTGGTGGTTCACATTCTGGCTGCTCGCGAGTGCAACGGAAAGACATTCCGAGATACTCTTTCTACGATCAACAACCTTTCTGCAATTCCTGGTGCCCGAGATATCATCGGCAACGAGTTGGTTGGCCAAGCACAGCGCCTTAGCGACACGATTCTGGCGGACTTGGAGGAGCTTCTTCCTCATATCCACCATGCTAAGACCGGCACCGACATGCAGGGCTTAGCTCTGGCCAAGTTCTCGCCGGCCAGCTCTGACCAAGCAAAGCTGCTGCGTGTTCTGACGGCGCTTGATTATCTGTTCGACCCCACTCGAGTGGACAAGTCCAAGGGCAGTGAGCCCGAATCCGCGCCCAAGGAGGACGTGCTCAAGAAGCTGTATGAGAGCGCCACCTTTGGGCCTCTGTGGACCAAGTTGAGCGACTGCTTGACCGTCATTCGGCAAAAGGAGAACATGTTGAATGTGGCCACCATTCTCCTGCCTTTGATCGAGGCTTTGATGGTTGTCTGCAAGAACACCACGCTCAAGGACCAGCCACTGTCTCGAAGCAGCCGGGAGCTGTCGGCAAGCAGCAACCCGCCTGAGTCTGGTCTCAGCATGGAGAATCTCTTCTTTAAGTTCACCGAGGAGCATCGTAAGATTCTCAATGAACTTGTCCGTCAAAACCCCAGATTAATGAGCGGCACATTCTCCCTGTTGGTCAAGAACCCAAAGGTCCTGGAATTCGACAACAAGCGCAACTACTTCACTCGCCGTGTACACTCCCGTGGTGCCGAGCCCCGCCAGCCCCATCCTCCCCTTCAGCTTTCTGTGCGGAGAGACCAGGTCTTCCTCGACTCCTTCAAGTCCCTGTATTTCAAGAGTGCGGATGAGCTGAAATATGGCAAACTCAATGTGCGGTTCCACGGAGAGGAAGGTGTCGATGCCGGCGGTGTGACCAGAGAATGGTTCCAAGTTCTTGCGCGTGGCATGTTCAACCCTAACTACGCTTTGTTCATCCCCGTCGCAGCCGACCGGACAACTTTCCACCCCAACCGTCTTAGCGGCGTCAACTCGGAGCATTTGATGTTCTTCAAATTTATTGGGCGAATCATCGGCAAGGCCTTGTACGAAGGCCGGGTCCTGGACTGCCACTTCAGTCGCGCAGTCTACAAATGTATTCTCGGTCGGGCTGTGTCTATCAAGGACATGGAAACGCTTGACCTTGACTACTACAAATCTCTGCTGTGGATGCTGGAAAACGACATCACCGACATCATCACCGAGGCTTTCGCCATTGAGACGGATGATTTCGGCGAGAAGCAGGTGATCGACCTGATTCCTGATGGTTATAACATCCCGGTCACCCAGGAGAACAAGGAGGAGTATGTCCAGCGTGTAGTCGAGTACCGTCTAGTCGAGTCGGTCCGAGAACAGCTGGATAATTTCCTGAAAGGTACGAATCGCATTCCGTCCCCCAATCCTCAGTCTGTCGATCAGAAACTAACCCAAGATTCATCAGGATTCCACGAGATTATTCCCCCAGACCTGATCTCCATTTTCAACGAGCAGGAACTGGAACTCTTAATTTCCGGTCTGCCTGAGATCGATGTGGACGAGTGGAAGAACAACACCGAGTACCACAACTACTCGGCCTCCTCGTCGCAAATCCAGTGGTTCTGGCGGGCTGTCCGCTCGTTCGACAAGGAAGAGCGAGCCAAGCTCCTGCAATTTGTGACCGGCACCAGCAAGGTCCCTCTAAATGGTTTCAAGGAGCTCGAGGGTATGAACGGCGTGAGCCGGTTCAATATCCATCGTGACTATGGCAACAAGGATCGCCTTCCCAGCTCTCACACATGTTTTAACCGTAAGTAACCTCTGTCCTTTTACGGCATGGCTGTCCGGATAACCGAAGGCTAACCTTTATCCACAGAGCTTGATCTTCCTGAGTATGAAAATTACGAGACCTTACGCCAGCGCCTGTATACTGCAGTGACGGCTGGCAGTGAGTACTTCGGGTTTGCATAGACTGGGTAATGGTGGCAACGGTTTTCTCGTTCCAGCCAAGCATTCGATGGCGTTTCGCAATTCTTACGGGAAGTTTTACTTTATGAGAGTGGAAGTGGAGGGATAGCCCAGAAGGGGTGGTGAAGCAGGGAGAGAAAAATAAAAGGGGTATGAGAGGGTGTCAACTTACCCTGGCCTTGAAGCAAATTGGTTGAAGTGCAGGTCAACTTGATGAGTTTCTGGCCGTGGGTGAAATTTGTGTACTTAGATTGCTGCATGCGCACTGAAATATCCATTAATGTTCGATTTCAGTTTTGCATTGCCTTCCCAAGTGGAATGGTTCAAATTATCTACCTAGGTTTACTATGTCAGCCCTAGGTGTGTCTCCATCCATGGCCTCAAGATAGTAAGGTTCCAAGGTTATGTATATTTTCCTAATTAAGAAGGCGTTCGTGATGACATAATCCCAGGCGGTGAGGGTCACGGGATCATTTGCGGCCGAAAAAAAAGCCATGCGGGGCCAACGGTGGGCGATTTTTTTGCTCCGCAAGTCTCCAAGACATGTCCCTTTGCCTCTGATCACTCTGCTCTGACCTTCAGTCCTCTCCCTTGAGGCATATCTTCCACATCATGGCATCCAACTCGGTAAAACTGTTGACGGGAAACAGCCACCCGGAGCTTGCGCAGCTCGTGGCTGATCGGTATGTGTCATCTGCAAACATCACGGGCCGACAAGTGCCTGTTGCTTGATGGCTGGTGCAATGGAGCTGATCATGAATCAGACTCGGTATCGAGTTGACCAAGATCATGGTACTGCAATATTCCAACCAAGAAACCAGTGTCACAATCGGTGAAAGTGTGCGAGACGAAGATGGTATCGTCCGACCCTTTACTTGGTGGCCTTTATTTGCGTGGCCGTTAAAGACAAGAGGTGCACTCGCTAATGCCTTTTTCGCTCCATCTGTCAGTCTTCATTCTGCAATCTACAAGACCCAACGATATCAACGACGGCCTCATGGAGTTGCTCATTATGATCAACGCCTGCAAAACAGCCTCCGCCCGGCGCATCACCGCCGTCATCCCGAACTTCCCTTACGCTCGCCAGGATAAGAAGGATAAGAGCCGTGCACCGATTACGGCGAAGCTTATGGCGAACATGCTCCAGACTGCCGGCTGCAACCATGTCATCACCATGGACCTGCACGCCAGCCAGATTCAAGGCTTTTTTAATGTCCCCGTCGACAACTTGTACGCCGAGCCCAGCATGCTGAAGTGGATCCGCGAAAACCTCGACGTGAAAAACTGTGTCATTGTCAGTCCGGATGCCGGTGGTGCCAAGCGGTAAGTGTAATATGTTCAGACCTCGAGTGCGAGATGTCTGGGGTATACAAATTCAACTAACGCGGTATGATTTTTTTTCGTCAATAGTGCCACCGCTATCGCTGATCGTCTGGACCTGCAATTCGCCCTGATCCACAAGGAGCGTGCGCGCCCGAACGAGGTCTCCCGCATGGTCCTCGTCGGCAACGTCAAGGATAAGATCGCCATCATCGTCGACGACATGGCTGACACCTGCGGCACGCTGGTCAAGGCTGCTGACACTGTCATGCAACACGGTGCCAAGGAGGTCAACGCCATCGTCGTGCACGGCATTTTGTCCGGTAAGGCTATTGAAAACCTGAATGGCAGCCGCTTGAGCCGCCTGGTGGTCACCAACACCGTCCCGCACGCCGAGAAGAAAGAGGTCTGCGACAAGATCGAGACCATCGACATTAGCCCCACTCTGGCGGAGGCTTGCCGCCGAACGCATAACGGCGAATCGGTCAGCTTCTTGTTTTCTCACGCCGTGGCATAGGTCCCCGCATCATACCTGCTGGTTTCTGGGGAATATGTCATTTATGCGTTTTTCTTCTTTAAGGTGTGAGAGGGCGGTAACCAAAAATACGATTCTGATGACCTTTGTTCTATTGTTCTTTTTCCTTTCTCTCCTGCCGAGATATGCGAGTCTGCCGGGGTTGTGCTTCTTTTCCTTTCCATTGTCTTGTTTCGAGGATCAACTGCTCTACCGGTCTCGCAAGCCGAGCAGGGCTCTTTCTTCACGGGGTTCAATTGCATATTCTCTTTTTGCATGTTCACAGTGTTCTCGTTTTTCTCTTGTCGCTTAGCTCATGATCAAAATCTCGGCTGGCCATTGACTGGGATGTCCTTTTGATCTTGTATTTCTAGTCTTGTTACCCCTGCTTCCTCCTACTCGGGTTTAGATGGTGGGATGGTCTTGAGGGAGCAATCCTGTCATGTTTGATAGCAAAATGAGACCATCACATATAGTTTATTTCTTGTTTATTTCTTATTTTTCTTTTGTAGCGGGTATAATTACTGGTGATTGGTTGAAGTATCAATTTGATTTAAGGGTCTCTTGATCGGCGAGATGTCCTACGGAGCTCTATGTAGAGAGGATTATGGCAACAAGCACAACTACGAAGAAAGAATAGAATCGGAATGAAAAGCATTTGTCTATCTTGAGGAAACCCGAAGCACGAATCATACGACTAGACCACTGAGCCGATTCATGTTGAAAAAGAAATCTTGATTTTGATTTTGATATCAGATATACACGTGGCTTATTATCTATTTTTAAGTATATTATTACATATTAGATAGAATGACTATAGTATTAATTATTTTCGGGAAAGAAGTAACAAGAGTATGTATGATTTGAGCCAAGATTTTCGACAATTTTGTCAGTGTCTATTTAAATTTTACTCCCCCCCCCCAATATTACATATCTTTGGCAGGGCATAACTCCCTAAGAAAGAATTTAGTTTAAGAATATTTTCAAAAGTCATATACCATACAAATCTTTTGAGATATCTACACCCAAACCCCATCGAGTTGAGCGAAGAATATAGGGGGTGTCAGAAAACTTCTAGACGGGTATGTAGACCTTCTCTTCCTCTTCAAGTACGGTATTTTTAATCAACATCGTGAGATCGCTACCCAAGTATCATTCACCAGCCATTTTATACATTAAGCTTTTTAAGGGTTTCAACTTAAAATTAGCGTAAGCGACACCAATGCAGCATAGCTAGGCAGACATAGCTTGGGTTTTGAGAAACCTAGCTCTCTGTTAAGGCGTTTACCCTAGATGTTATGTCAGATATTCTGGCCTAAGTGAGTTTACCCTGGGCAATGCCTTTAGATCCTTGATGTAAAGTACAACTCTTATGTTTCTCCCTGGAATAAGCCAGGCAACAACTAGCACCCATTACTTGGCCATCAATATAGATAGCCGGCTAGCTGGGACTATCTGGGAATGTCTAGCACTCGACTTGAAGCTCGTTGAAATGATCTCATCGCATCTCCATATTGCCTTATCGATATCTTGAAGTAGCCTTTGGGCCTTTTTCTATCAGACATGATTTCCCTTCACCATCGCCCTGGGGAATAATCAGGTTTCCTTTTTTGATGTTTTACCCGTTGGCCCCTTCCAATCATTGCCCCAGGGCAACATGAAGTACCTCCATTAAAGCAATCCCCTGCACCCCGCCATCTCGGGTTCCCGCAGAAACAAATCATAACACCGCGGGCGGGATTTACTTCCGCATGGAGGACGCCCTCCGCTTGCGGAGCTCGTCACGCTTGGCCTTCTCCTCGTGGACACGGCCGGCCAGGAGCTTGGCGTAGTCGTTGCTATTGGGAATATTAGCATATTGACTCTTTTCTTTCAGACATGGTTCCATTGTATGGAAACACAAAAGGGCAAGAGGGTAAAAGGGAATCTTACGCAGCCTCACGGCCAGCCTCAGCGCGACGGCGCTTGATGGCAAGGCGGTGGCGCTTGTGCTGCAGGCGCTGGGGAGTGACCAGACGCTGGATCTTGGGGGCCTTGGTGTAGTCGGGCTTGCCCTCCTTGGTCACGGTACGGCGGATGACGAACTTGCGGACGTCGTCCTGCTTCTCGAGGCCGAAGAAACGGCGGATCTTGGTGGCACGCTTGGGGCCGAGGCGCTTGGGGACAACGCTGTCGGTCAGGCCGGGGAGCTCGCCCTCGCCCTGCTTGACGATGCTGAGAGCCAGGACAGCAAGGTCCAGACCGGTGATAGCTACACAAAACCGTAAAAGTCAATAACCCTATTGCGCATCTGGAGAACTCGTCCAGCACGAGCGCGGGCTGGGAGTGTGGATGAGAGGGGCAGACGTACCACCACGGACACTCTTGCGCTTGCGCTCACCAGTGCGGCGGGGGCGGTAGCAGCTGTGGCCGTCGGCGAGGAGCAGACGGGTACGGGTGGGCAGGAGAACTGTAGAGAATCGATGAGTATGATGCGGACTTGGTTTTTCGATATCGCGGGGCCTGGCTGTGTGCAGTCCAGTACGTACCACCCTGCTTCATGGGGAAACCTGTCAAGCGATCAAGTCAGCGGTTTGGTCTGCGGACATTCGAATTCCTCTCGTTCTCTTGGGCATCGAATCATGCCATCCTCCAGCATAAGGAAACAATCGTACCTTGCTTGTCGTTACCGCCAGTGATCTTGAACAGGTAACCCTTGAACTCGTCGCCGAGCGAGTCACCGACAACCTAATCGACAAAAAAACCCAATCAGCCAATTTATTCTCCATTTCCATTTCGTGTGATGATCGGTTGTGTGTGTGTATTTTTCTTGTGTCTTCGTGCGGGTTGCGGAGTTGGAAGGGTTCCAGGGAGTGCTGACTTCGGTGCCCATGCGCTTCTCCATGAAGGGACGGAGCTTGCGCTCATCGTCGACCTCGATGATTTTCTGCGACCCATTGGCCGGGTAGGAGATGTTGAGCTTCATCTTGACGGGGGTTGCGCGGTCAAGACGGTAGCGCGGAGTTGTCGACTGAGGTTGTTCGTCGAAGGGATCTGTGTGGATTTTTTGCGTTTGGTGTGTAGCGACTGTGGGACCGCGGGTGGTCACGTGTGGCACATGAAATATAAGCGAGTGTGATCACCTGATATGAATCACATGACACAGCCCTAGGTGGCATATGCCGGGTTTCCTATTTAGGAAATGGGTTTATGATTTGATGTTGCGGTCAATGCTGGGACAGGAGTCGGTCTATTTATGTTCTGGTTGTTGTATCTAGTGTTTAAAGAAAAGGTTGTTACGTAAAGCAAAGTCGATTAAATTTATGAGCTGAGGAAATCCTATCTACAACACTGTGCCTAGAAGAAGTATGAGCTCAGCTTGAAAAACCAAAGAATTTTCCTTGCGCCCTCTCGGTAAGATTCCTCTAATCAAAGGTTATTTGCAGCCTTGTGCAATAAAAAAGATACGTCCAAGTACAATCGAATTCAAACTCAACTCTACGGTATCTTCGGTATCTTGCACGCAGCACGGGCGGTGCTCCATGCAGGCGCAAGTCCGGTTGGTTCCGCCACAACCACGCGGCCGTACAACCACGAGGTCTTGTACTCGCGTCTGGCGTAATACTGACACGAATATGCTTATGCCACTGGATGGTCATATCGATAATTATATTAATATGGATATTGAATCTTAAATTGCATCCTGATTTTGTGATATAGCTGTCGGCATATAGTTGGATCCTGCTGTCTTCTTCCGGTCTTGCCGGATGCTTGTTCTTATCTGGGCTATTTGAGTGGTGATTTACTGCTAGTCTTCAGAGAATCATCTATCCCATCCTTTCCAGAGTGGACTGCTAGGATCGAGCCTTGGGCTGCAGTGGTAACGCTTTGGCTTAGCGCGCTGACAGCCGATACATGGGCCATTGTTCCCGGCCGTGATCCATCTTGATTGCACCTCGACGCATTGCCCTCAACCTCCATGGCACTTCTCTTCAGTCGATTCTTCGTCCTATGTGCCGTGGTCGCCTGTACGATCTTCTCCTTCACCTGGCTCTGGCTATTATCCTCACAGGAATTTGGGGAAATCGTTCCTTTGACACCGGAAAGGTTCCAGACACCCAACCCATTCAAGCAACGATTGGTGGTGTTTGGGGACTCATGGAGTGACAATGACACCGAAAACCTACCAGGGAAGGTGTGGACCGACTGGCTTTGCTCGATGGTACGAATGCACATTGCGGGGGAAGCCGAGGGGCTAGAGCACAAAACATGGGGGGGGGACTGACTGAAACCCATATAGATGGACTGCCGGCAAGACAATCTAGCACAGACCACGCCGTCTCGACCACAGGGCAAATACACCGGCTGCGTAGTGGACAAGACAGAGCTCGAGCTCTGGGACCAGCTGTCTCAGACACGGCTGGCCGATTTCAAGACGCAGCTTCGTGACTGGCTCGACGCCGAGTCCCAGGCGACGAAAGGGCTCTCGACGGCGGCGATCCGCAGACTCCAGGACCACACCGTCTTTGTGGTGGCCTTTGAAGTGTGGGACATCTGGAGCCTGGCCACAAAGGACCCCGAGCAGGCGGCGCCATCGGTCGAGCGTCGCATCAAGACCCTCCTGTCGCAGCTGGACCTGCTATCCGCGCGCTGGGGTGCGGCCGAGCTCAAAGTCATTCTGACACAGGCCATCGACGTGACCTTCTTGCCGGCCTTTGGGTACACGGGCGCCCGGAACAAAGACACGGTGCGGATCGTGGGCCTTTGGAACCGGAGACTGCGCCAGGCCGTTCGGGCTTGGGACCGTGGCTCCATCTACTTGTTTGATACTAATACCTTTCTGATGGATCGCATTCGGGACTGGCAGCTCTACGCAGCCGGCATTGAAGAGGATAATGGACTAGGCAAGAATACGGACCCTGGATGGGAGAATGTCGTGGATCCCTGTGTCGAAAGCGGCGACGAGGTCATGATGTCAAGGAATAGGAGAATATGCCAACATCCTAACCGGTATCTGTTTTGGTCAGTTGCTTAGATCCATGGACCCAGCTCTCCATTTCTTTACCAATCGGCCCTATCGTTAGCTGACGGTGGCCACCATCCAGGAACGAGATACACCTGGGACCTTCGGCGCACCGGCTCTTGGCGACAGAGATCCACCGCGGCGTTGAAGAAATCTTGTTGAGTCCCAAGCTGTCACCACCATCAGACGAGCGCCACAGCCGACGGGGATCTGCAGCTTAGACATTGTCTTCATCAAGAGCGGGCCTGTGGGACACAAGAGTCAGTACCCGAAGCCTCAAACGCATGGGGGAAGCCACTTTACTTGATGCGGCATGGATGGATAGGTTCCAGTCACTCGAGAGGTGACTTTAGAGTTAGGAACCGCCTAGACTCTCTTCAGAGAGGAAAAGGGGAGAAGGATACGGTAGTACTCTAGATCAAAGCTGGACTGGAACCTGCAGCGGGACTTGGAGATCCCGTCAGGGGAGAGATAGAAGAGAGGAGACATCATCGAGCCCACCCGAGACACGGGAAGAAACCATTGGTAGAGAGAGAGAAGAAATCTCCGAAAAAAGAGAGGGAAAAAAAAAGGTGGTATTGTTCCATCGACAGCTGTGGGCCATAGAGAAAGCAATGAAAGAAGCCGATTGCAACCCGAGCCGAGTGTGGAGAGCGATCGGCGGACGTGAGATCATGGTATGGAATCCCCCTTGATTGACGGGTGTCAGCCCAAACTCTGTCAATGCCATGAGATGGAAGGGAGATGGATAGAGAGGAATAGGGAGGCAGAGAGAAACAAGCGTCTGGTTCGCAATGAAGTTGAATCATGGCGTTTGTCGAATGTTTGCGATTCGACGGGGGACTGGGGCCTGACTCTGGCCTCAGGCGCAGGTCGCCGCATGCGGAGACAAAGAAAACAATAAGAAATTCCGGGGCTGTGATTGGCTGGAATTAATCCACTATTTGCCCTACTTTTTTCCCTTGAAAGAGCGAAGTATGGCAGGATTGAATATGATGAGCCAGTCATGATGCCATCCCATCCATGGATATGTCCTTGGTTACTTGCGAATCTCAGGGCACCGTGTCAGTCTGGTTGGGTCGTAGAGAATACAATTCTTGTGCTGTCACTAACATTGCTATAACAAAGAAGGACATTCTCGGTTGGCTCGGTCGGAATAGCAACTCAAAGAACAAGCCACCAGCAGGGATCGGGGACGCAAGACAAAGAACGCGCAAATTGAGGATATACTTCTCTTTGTCTCAACCCCCCTAAATGATTTGTTGATTCGCATTCTTGTTTCGATTGGACTCTCTCTGGCTTTGTCTCTTGTTTGGTCTCTTCTTTTGATTTCTACTTCTTTTTTTTAACTTGGGAAACGCCCTCCCCCGATTTCTTTCTTATTGCTGTCCTCCCGGGTGGTTTATATCTTTCTTTTTCTTTTCTTTTCACTACTCCGCCTGCTTTTCTCTTTGTTGCTCGGTTTCATTATTGGATTTCTCGGGGGACATAAATGTCTTACGATCGAGTTCTCCCCAATCCTGCTGCTCTCTATGAGTCTGCGCCAGTCACACTGCCTCGACCCACGAGCAACCTCCTTGATCACAAAATCATGAACGACGACCTGTCCAACTCGGCCATGGCGTCCCGCCGCCCCAGCGAGGGTGGCCCCGTCGGTGCACCTTGTAGGTATGCCGGCCCACCCAGTACCCTCCCGCAGCTATCATCCATCACCCGGGCCAAGGACACGTTCCAGAAGATCGTCTCGCCCATGTCCTCGGAGCCGCGTGCCCTCAAGCCGGTCAACCCAGTACTTGCAACCAAGGACATTCCCATTCGCGAGCGGTCGTCGTCGTCCTCGGCCAGCAGCACCAGTCCCGTCAAGTCCGCCCACAAAGAGAGTGCCCTGCAGTTCTGCCTCTGTCAGCCGGACCCGAAGATCCCCCGGCCTCGTAATGGTGAGTTGATGATGTCTGTGCCGTCCAGCGAGCTTGGCAAGTGGTTTTTCTGCTTTTATTCCAATCTGACTGGCCCCCTCGGTCGTCGGCCAGAGTAGAGAATGTTCATCTTGAAATATGGCTAATACTGGGATTTGGTTAGCTTTCATCTTATATCGTCAGCATTACCAGTCGGTGGTGGTATCTCACAACCCAGGTCTGGCGAACCCGGAAATCTCCAAGATCATCGGCGAGCAGTGGAGATCCTTGTCCGAGGATGAAAAGAGCAAATGGAAGGCGCTTGCAGAAGTATGGTCTATTCATACTCCGTTGTGAAGTGTTTGAGAGGGGACATGACTGACCAAACCTTTAGGAAGAGAAAGCCCGTCACCAGCAGCAATACCCCGACTACCGGTACCAGCCCCGGCGATATGGACGGGATGGGAGCTCGCGGAACTCAGCCTCGGGCATCAGTCATAATCCATCGGGGTCCTCAACATGTAACCGATGTGGTGGTCGGGTCATGAACCCGCCAGCGTCTCCTATGACCCCGTTCACTCCCAATGGAGCACCGGCCAATCGGTCCTCGAGCTTTTCAGTGCCGTCGTCTCATACGACCACTATTACCGCTAGGAGCTCTCAATGCCGCGAGAAAGATTCAAACAGGGTACCGAAGCCTGTGATGATCGACCCGCCAGACTCCCGGTCCCGTCAACGCCAGTGGGATGAGAGCAGCGTTCAGTCTCCGGATAACAAGCGCCGTCGGGTATCGCAAGCCTCCTTCAAGCCCATTCTGCAGCCTTATCGGGACAGAAGCCCCGAATCACCGCACCCAATGACTCCGCACAGCGCTCGGCCAGATATGGCCCAGCATCGGGGCATGATCCCAATGCTGCATCCGCAGCGGCAGTACGGGAGCGTGCACAATCCGCTCCCCGACCCTAGTCTGAAGTTGCCACCGCTCCAGACCACAACGCCGGTGATGACCCCTGCCACGCCTTTTTCGCAAGAAGGATCCAGTGTCGAGGCAACCGTCATGACGATTCCGTTCCTGAACAAAATCAAAGTTCTGGCTAAAATCTCACCGCCGCTGGTGCCGTCTTTTCGTGAAACAAACCCTTTAACTCGAGGCCCGGTCATCGCCGTTGATGGACAAGATTCAGAACTAGTCCAGATTGTGGTTGAGTACCTGGATGGCTTGTTGAAAAAGGAAGCCAAGTACTACGTCCGTGTCTTTAATGGCCCCGAAATCCAGCAACCTCGAACGGAATCCAGCGACACGGGCCAAATGGGAGATGCGACGGTGGACTATCTCAACACCATTTCGGCGTGGCACCGGATTTCAGACGAGGTCGTCAACTTTGTCAAGGCCGTCTCGTCTGCGGATTCTGTTGACGCCCGGTCTACTACCACCGACGAGGAGTCCGCTCCCAACAGGTCACCCAAGACTATCATCCCCAAGACAGCCAATCTTCAGATCCACTCACCGGCACAGTCCAGCGAAAACGGGTCCGAGTCTAGCGTCGTGTCTAATGGGACATCGGGCAGTCACTGCGCTGTTCCAGTTGCGTTGGTTCCGCGATACCAGCTCACCACTGCAGATTCTTTCGCGTGCTCTATCCCCATCAACGATTCATACGCACCGCTTGATCACTGGCAGTGGATGGCTTCGCTGTGGCGCGCCTGTGTCGGGCCCGACATCACGGTGTACATCCGAGAGTGCAGCATGGAGGAGCTGGACCGTGTAGGAGGTAATCCAGTAGAAGTGCGACTGCATGATGCATGTACAGTGGTGTTGCGCAAGGTGATTGGTACCTCTCGCGAGCTGGAGGAGAAAGCGTTGAAGCGGATGGGATTTGAAATTGAGGATTTCCTGACCCAGTGAGCTAGATAATTAAAACATGAGGTTTATTCTGCCCGAGTGCAGCAGATATGCAACTAGCGTGTTTCATCCATTCCATGTAGGAGAGCGATGTTTTTGAAGGTGGTTTCATGCGAGGCCGAAAGCGCCGGTGCCAAGTCGATCACCGCCCCACTGATAGCAAGGCGGTCAGCCATCTGCCGATATCTTTAGTTTCCAAGCTGCAAAGCTTCTTTTTTGTCTTTCGTCGTTTCATCTCCATGCTCTTTTATTATGCATTCATCTGTAACAGAGCCTCTCTTATCAGAGACCTGGAGGATACACGAGGTCGGCGACTCTTTGCCGGGGACCTGGCCCTCCTCTTTACACTCAACTGCCGAAGTCTCATCTGGTCCACCTGAGCCCTCAACCAACGCGGGCTCTTTGCATAATCCAAATGGTGCTCAGTCTCTGCCAGTAGAGGCTTCAGGCCACGATGGTGTTTCCACACAATTTGATCCATACGTTCCCGTCGGGGTTCTGAGCAAAAGAACCATCCCTGAAGGGAAGTACCCAGAGTCTGAGATTGCACTTTTGGAGAAGCACCGCCGGATTTGCACCTCTATAGGCCATGGGAGTAGTGTCCTGGTATATATCCTTCCGGATGACGTGAATCGCAAGTCAATTCCACCGTCAAGCAACAAACTGAGGAATGCCCTCAAGGTTGTCATGTCAATGATTGACCCTTCCCCTGAGACGTGGGAGGGCCGAAGCCCTGCTCATGCCCGAGCTGCCAAAGAGTCTGACGTTAGTGAAGACGAGTCATTGTGGTACATCTTCAATACCCTGCAGAACCCAGACCCACAAGTGGAGGCTATGAAAGACTCCTACTCTCGACAAGCAATGGAGGAATTGCTCTCTAGCCCCGAACACTCGGTCTCGGGTCTCAAGACTGCATTATACCCATTTCAGCGTCGCTCGGCTGCAATCATGGTCCAGCGTGAAGCGCAGCCAGCCCAGGTGCTTGATCCCCGGTTACAGACTTGGAAAAGTCCAACGGGACAGGAGTATTACTATGATAAAGAGGAAGGGAGTATTGTTCGTGAGAAGAGGTTGTACTCGGAAGCTTGTGGAGGTAAGTTCCAGAAAATGGTACATAATTGTTTGCTTATTGACCACTTGGCCAGGGATCCTGTCAGAAATCATGGGCTGCGGCAAAACCCTCATTTGCCTTGCTGTGATTTTGGCCACCCGCGGACATTTCCCCAAAATTCCCATCAAATACCAGGCAACTGGAATTCATTCAGCTCGTGAGAAAACAGGAACACTCATGGAAATGGCGGCTGCGGCTGCCGGCAGACTCTCCGTGCCGTGGAAAAGCTACTTCCACGCAAGAAGAGAACAGGGAAAATGGTATGATCGATGTGTCAAAGCATGCGAGTTTCACTGCGGCTCATATGAGATCCCTCCACACCAAACCAAGTACCAGGGCCGACACAGCACCTCATACCCTCGACCGCCCGCCAAACGGATTCGCCTCTGCTCAGGGACTCTCATTGTCGTGCCACCCAATCTGGTAAATCATTGGGAACGCCAGATTGCCCAGCATACTGAGGGATTGAAAGTCTTGGTCTTGCGGCAGGGGTCTGATGTGACACCTTCGGCAGATCAACTTTTGGACTATGACATCGTCTTGTTCTCTAAGACTCGGTTTGAGCGAGAGGCTGGCGAGCCTACCAACAACCGGCGTGACCGACTCGTGCAGGTGAACTCGCCTCTTACCAGGCTCCATTGGCTGAGGGTTATTGTTGATGAAGGTCACAACGTCGCAGGCCATGGCTCGAAAACGAACATGGTTCACCTGTTGAATAATCTTCATCTCGAGCGTCGATGGATCATTTCAGGAACACCATCTTCAGGACTATATGGCGTGGAAGTCAGTCTTGCCTCGCAGGAGGCCAATACGAGCGATACTGAATCGACAGAGGATATGGTCGCTGCGGCTTTGCAAGGCCGGAAGAAAACCGGGAATGCCGTCGATAACGAGATGAACGATCTTGCCAGACTACGACGCATTGTGATAGAATTCCTTGATCTCAAGCCTTGGTCCAATTCCCGTGCAGAAGATCCTGCCGACTGGACCACATACATTAAACCGATCGGGAAAGATGGCAAGCGGCGCAAAGCTCCATCACTGCGTGCCACGCTCCAGAGTCTGATCGTGCGACACCGGCTTGATGTGGTCGAGGCCGAAATCACTCTCCCCAAGCTCCATAATCGGGTTGTATTCCTGGAGCCAACATTTTACGACAGAATGTCGATTAACTTGTTTCTTTTTGGCCTTGCGGTCAACTCAATCACGTCTGAGCGCCAGGGCCCAGATTATATGTTCGATCAGAGCAATCGGAAGCACCTCAACCAAACCATTAACAACCTGCGCCAGGCTGGTTTCTGGTGGGCAGGCTCTGATGTCGACGTGCAGGATACCGTCGACCATGCGCTCAAATATATGAATGCAAATCGCGAAAAGATTGCGCCAGCGGACATTAATCAGCTGAATCACGGAATTCAAATCGCTCGCAAGGCAATAGATTCTCAAAGCTGGCACGGGTTCAAAGACCTGCACGAACTCGGGGTGTTCGTCGAGCAGTTCCCAGATCATGCTCGGGGCCTCTGGGCCCTTGACTCGGCGAATGCACAAGTCGAGCCTCTGATGCTCGGCATCACCCAGGCCCGACATGCGCAGCAGTTCATCACGCAGCATCTCCGGGCTTATGATCCCGCCGAAGGTCTCGCCGGTGCTGGGATCAAGGTCCGACGGGAACTGGCACAGCGTGACCAGCACTCTGCTCCGAGGAGAGCCTCGGAGTCGGCGAGTGCACCAAGCTCAAAAGGGCAGCTGGTGCACAGTCCGAAACCACACAGCAACAAGTCACCGAAAAAGACATTCCAGAAGAATCACTATCGATCACTTCCAGCCGACTCTCCACTGAAACAGACGCAATTTGTGGCAACAGCCTCGGCCAAGTTGACTTACTTGCTGGACCAAGTCTTGGAACATCACACGGCCGAGAAGATCATTATTTTCTACGACAATAACAACTCAGCCTTTTGGATTGCCGAGGGTTTGGAGCTATTGGGCATTGAGTTCCGCATCTACGCCAGCACCCTAAAACCCGAGCTGCGCACCGAGTATTTGAAGCTGTTCCACGAGTCGGAGAAAGTGCGCGTACTCCTAATGGACCTGCGCCAGGCCTCGCACGGCCTGCACCTCGCGCAAGCATCGCGCGTGTTCATTGTCAACCCAATCTGGCAGCCCAACGTCGAAAGCCAAGCCATCAAGCGTGCTCATCGCATTGGACAGACCCGCCCGGTATACGTGGAGACGCTGGTGCTGCGCGACACGCTTGAAGACCGCATGCTTCGTCGCCGCAAGGAGATGTCGCAGGCCGAGATGCAGCAAGCCGAAAAGAGCTTGCTGGACGATACCACCATGAGCGACATCATCCAGAAGGAGCCGTTTCTAGTCATGCCTGACGAGCTTGGCGCGGGCGCTGCTATGCTCTCCCACCCGACTGGGTTCTTTGATCGCCACCGGCTGCCCATTCCCGATGACGAGGTCGTTTCGGCGAGGAGCCCGTCTTGTCGGAAAACCCCCGCGTTCTGGGATCGGATGCCGACGACGAGTCGGCTGTTGATGCGGAGGTTGCGTCGCCCCCGCCTAAGCGACCGAGGGTCGGCTTTGGGTCGAGTGTGACGATTGTAGAGAATGGGGGGTTGGGGGCTACTCCGTCAGTGCCGTCACCTCTGCCTGCGCCTGCACCTGTGTCTGCGCCTGCTCGTTCTTCTGATACGAATGGAGGTACAGAGCGGCGGGTGTCACTGTTCGGACCGTGATTTCTTTTTGATTTCTTTGCATATTGTTTCCTTCTATCAGCATGGAGTTGGGGTTTGCTTGCTGTACAATACCCTATAAGTACATCATCCAACAAATTTGTCTAACAGTACTCAGACTACCCTCAATTCTTTCTGCCTATTTGAACCAGTATCTGAATGATCCACAAGATCAAGTCTTTCAGATAAGTCATTGTCGACAGACCCATCGATGCTTATTGAAACCCCGAGATGCTCGGCCGACCGTTATATCCGACGGAGTTACCATTCTGGGAATTTCGGGTTTGTCTGTGGGCAACCGCTCAGAGGAAGCAGGCATCCATGAATAGTTGGAAGTATATAAACCCTCTTCTTCGTGAGAATATTCTCACCACCAACCTCCAAGTCCTTTTTTCTTTGATATCATTACATTCACCATCAGAACCAAACCAGCAAGAATCTACCAGCACAAAGCAACTCAACATCAACCTAAACATAATGGCCCAAACCGCAATGTCCATTCCCGACACCAAGTCAAGCATCTCCACATACTCCGAGAAAAACCAGTAGGTCAAGAATACCAACATCCTCTATTAAGTCATGCCACTGTGTCTCTAACACGACATATAAAGCGAGAATGTGGCTGTCTGCATTGTCCACGGGGAATCCCAAACCCCCCATCTAGACCACCAGCTGCAACAGCCCCCCACCAAAACCCTCCTGCAAGCTCTCGCGGCAGTCTTCAACGATCTTGCACAGCAGGAGCAGTGCACCCAATGCACTTTTGAGAGCTCGGCCACTCTTCGGGGCCATCTTCGGAATCTGCGCGCTGCGAAGAAGAGTGGGCAGGTGCAGTGGACGAAGCGGGAGAAGAAGATGCTCAAGGCGGAGATTAAAGGGTTGATGAAGGGCGCTAAGGGGGAAGAAAAGAAGGATATGAAGAAGAAGACTTCGATGTTGTGATTTTCTTCGTTTGATATAGTTTACTTGGGTAGGACCACCCGCTACTACTACTTAAAAACTTTTTTTTTTTTTTTTTTTTTTTTTGCACTGAGTCAATTGAGATATTTGGTCTTCCTTGAGATCTAGAATTTAATACCATGACCGCAGTAACGGGAACCTCGGAAGCTAGCTAAAATCCATGAGGAATAAATGACGGGGTGAGTCGAGGATAATTCTTGTCCACCCTTTTCTTGCCCTAAGTCCTCGATAAGATAAACTTCCCCCCCGCTGTGGGGTCTCATCTTTATTTCTTTCTTCCTTTCTCTCTTCCACTCTTCACTCGCTCTGTTTCTTCTTCTCTAATAGTCAAACAAACATGTCCCAGCCAGGGGCCGTCATAGTCGGCATTTCCGGCCCCTCATCCAGCGGCAAAACAACCCTCGCCCGGCTGCTGCAGCGCGTATTCTGCGGCGTCAGCCTCGGAGAGAAAAAAAGCGACGCGAATGCACGAAATCTGAACACATTTATTATCCACGAAGATGACTTTTACTATCCAGATGATAAGTACGTACTTTTGACCACTGTTAGCTAAAAGCTAGCTAGAATCACCATACAAATCAATCAGTAACTAACACCAACACACCCCAGAATCCCCTACACAACAACCCCCTCCGGCTCAACCATCCAAGACTGGGACACTGCTGCCGCCATCGATACAGCCTTCCTCGCTCAGGCGCTGCAGTACGTCCGCGAGCATGGGACTCTGCCGCCGCGCCTGCGCAGCAAAGAAGATCTAAACGAGGACTCGGGGTCGGGGGTTGCGGATACTGTGGTCGCAGAATTGCGGGAGGGTGTTGCCAGGAAGTTTGCAGCGACATCAGTGGAAGGCAATAAAAAGCCTACGACAATGGCTTTCCTAGAGGGATTCCTCCTCTACAGTCCTTCAACGGAGAATCACAACCATAACCATAACAACAACCAAAATAATGCCCTCCGCCCCGTCCACGATATCATCCACCTCCGCCTCTTCCTCCCAGCCTCTTACTCCACCGTGAAATCGCGCCGCGAGGGAAGAAGCGGGTATGTCACAATCGGGCCTGCGCCGGCACCACCATCAACGAACACAACCACAACAACTACTACTACTTCTACAGATGGTACAACAGATACCAAAATCGACCTCCACCAAGAAGACGATCGCCCACCCCAAAACTTTTGGACCGATCCACCCGGCTACGTCGACGATATCGTGTGGCCGCGGTATGTGCGGGATCATGCGTGGTTGCTGCTACCAGACTCTGATACGAATTCCAATATCAACTCGAATCCTAATTCAGACCCCAATCAACCTTTACATCTAATGGATCTCGATGATGCAGAGCTGTTGAGGTGGGTAGGCGACGGAACGCGATTACGGACGGATGCCGGGGTCGAGGTTGCGCCGGGATGGGGGAGGTGGACGATGGAGGAGGTGTTGCGGTGGGCGGTTGAGAGGGTTGTTGGGTATTATTTGGCTCAGTAGATTTATTGTACCTTGGGCTATGATTTCTTCTCTGATCTGTAAATTAGACGGGGTAATGATATAATAACGAATGATGATAGTTGGCATCTTCTTATTATCTTCATACAGTCTCTATCATCAGGCCCCAAGGCTGTCTTATCTGTCTTTGATGCCTCAGTAAAAATAAAAATAGCCTGCGTATCATCAGGTGACTCCCAAACATGCCACCTTTTTCATGAGGCCACCTTCCCAATTAGGCAATTCTTTGCTTTCCTCCCTTATGTTCTTGGTTGCCTTTCCCCAGGCACAAACCAGGGGCTAGTAGTCGAGTGGATAATGGAAAGCACCAGCTGGGCAGTCGGTCGGTGCCCATAGTTCCACTGAGGACGTCCCTGATTCGAACCCAGGGGGTAGGGGGGGTTGTCGACGCGACGGCCTCTATGCCTCCCGCCTCTTTTTTGTTTTCTTCACTTTCTCCCCCCAAACCAAGTCCTCCTTCTCTCTCTCTTGCTCTTTTCTTTTTCTTTTTCCAACCTCCCCAAATATATACAGTACAGTACACTGCCATCATGTCCCTTGGTAGACATCTCGAACGGGAATAATAGATATGAACTGATGATGCTCGACCGTTGATTCCTTCTCCCTAACGATGCTACGGACAAAATCAAGCAAACCTGCGAACAACCTCAAGCAACAATGGGCCCCCGCCATCCCAGGAAGTAGTCGATGCGGTCTCGCAGCGGCAGTGGATCGACAGGCACAGGCTTTGCCTCGATCTTAGATGGCTCCGTACCGAGTTCAGCTTCAAAAGGTCCAGCTGCAACTAATTCAGGCCCCATTGTCTCATCCCCACGAACAATCACCAACTCGTGCTTCTCCACGCACACCACATTCTCCAAAGGACCAGAAGCCGAGTCAGCCAAGTCCCAGTGAGCACACAAACGGCAGCCGAGTCGGGATCGATACAAAAGAAAAGAAACAGCCGCCAGGACAACCAGGGTAAGACAGAAGCTCAATCCCTTCTTCAGAGACAAAGCCCACTTTTGCGGTGCACGGCGAGACACCTTGGTTTCAGTAAACGGAGTCGCCACCACCTCCACAATCTCCCGGCTGAGCTCATTCTCCGCCTGGGAGTATTCGACTTGGAGTCCGGTTTCGATGCCGTCTCCATCAAATGTCGCCTTGATGCGCGGCATCCACGTGCTGGCTTTCTCTCGGGGCAGCCTCGCTTCCCAGGTGATTGCGAACATCTCCAGGTTCGAAGGAGAGCAAATGACCTGGAGTCGAGAAATGCCCATCTGAGAATCCGGATCAGAGCCCAGGTAAATAGTCTGGAACCTCTTGCGAGGCGCATTGAGGTGGCAGCTGTATTGGCCTTCCGGTCCGCCAATCACGTAGATGCTAAAGCCGCACTTCTCAGCCCAGAACGCGCGCTTGATCAAATCAATAGAGCATGCAGCGTGATACGTGACAATGCAATCCAATCCATCTCCAGCGTCAACCACATCGGCTCGGATAGTGTGGGTCACTTTGAAGTCTTTGAGGAACCCGTAAAACGCCGCATCGCAGGTTCGTACCGGGACAATGAGGTTCGATGAGGCAATGAACTGGGCCATCAAACAGCTTTCAACAAGCTTGTAGCGTTTGAAAGTGCTGGTGCGGATTTCCATGCCTTGGCCCGCGGGAAACCGAAAATACACGTAGCCATAGTCATTTGCACGCAGTCGCGGCAGTGCGGGCAAAACCAGTTCCCACCAGCCGTTGGGTCTTCCCTTCTGCAGACGTACGGAGAATGTGGTGAATATTTCATAGGCTGCAGGAATGAGATCGGGGGTGCTGTGAATGTAGAACGTTTCGTCAAGGAGAACCAGCTTGGGTTCGCTGGCTGGTCTGTCCGGAATAGGTGAAGACGTTACAGATATTCCACCAGATTCTTCAGCTTCGGTGGTCGAGCCTGACTGATCGGTGTCAAATGAGAGAATCGGGTCATCGCATTCGCATGGACTCCCGGGAGACACAACGGTGGAGAGCCTCTCTAGCTCGCGTTCTTTCATGCTATCCACTCGCATCGCGCTGGCCTTGGGAGTTTTGAGAGTAGGGGACATGGCCCAACAGCTTTTCTCTTCACCCGTCATGTTTCGATTCTCGGTCTCAAACTCAAACCGCCGGAAGTCCGCCTCGGTGACAGGGGCAGAGTCCCTGGGCAGCAGAATGTGTTCCGGCTTTGAATAGGGCTGACCCTGAAGGCTGATGGGTCGTGGAATCTTCGATGGAGACGCAGTCCGCTCATAGGTCGTCCCGGCCGTTGTGTTCTGGTACTTCGTGCCATTATAGTCAATCTCAGACTCGGGGATAGAATCAGGCAGGGAAGCTGCCTTGGCACTTCGCTTGCGCGGGTTCGGAGGGCTGGCTGGAGTCGGGGTGCTTGGTTCGTCTTCGGTATCGGTGGCTTCCTGGAGCCACAGCCCCAAGGTGAGACTGGCAGGCTCCTGGTTATCAGGGTCATCCACAGGCTCATTGTTTTGAGGCTCAGTTCGGATAATGACGCTGCCGGAATCCGAGTGCAGAGACGCTGTGTCTGACTCTGGTGACTTGTGCTTGGAAAGGTTCTGCTTCTGCGACAGGTCGACGTTCTCTGGCAAGTCCTCGTTCTGCACCAAACCCACATCCGGTGCATCCCTCAGCGCGTCCTTCGACAGATCCCCTTCCTGCGCATCTCCAGTCTTGGGCTGATCAACATTCGTGACAACACGCCGACCAGGCACAATCTTCATCTTCTCCTCAAAGGCCTGAACAGACGAATCACACGGGCACCCAAGAGCCTCCACAAACTTGGGGTCGTTTGGATCCAAAGGGGAGGACTTGGGGCAGACCACATACTCCTTGATATGAGTAATGGACAGCGCGCGAGTGTTGAAGACAGAGAGTTTCATGTTGGGGGTGCACCAGACCTGTTGGAAGCAGTCAGCAATAAGCAGTAAGAAAAGAGTACTCATAATCATCGAGTCTCTTCTCTTTCCAGTGTCATACCTCCATCGCCAGGCTGAAATCCGCCTCCTCTTGTGGGTCACCGGACCACTCATACCAGACGTCCAGGTTGCTGAAGGGGCTTTCGAAGGGGTCCATCGTGGAGACAAGGTTGAGAAGCAAAAAGAGATAGATAGAAAGAGGGAAGAGATGGAAGAGATGAGAAACGAGAGGGGAAGAGGGAAAGATGCAATAAACAAGGCAGGTACGCAAAAGAATAAGCGATGGATTCTCTCAATTAAAAAAAAAAAAAAAAAAAAAAACACAGCAGAGCACTGCTTTAACCCAAACCTATATACACGAAGGGATAAGAATAGAGCTCGCTTTTCTCCCCAACCCATTTTATGTCCACCTGCGCCTGTAACCCTGAAAAGCCACCCAGTGGAATATGGAATATCAGAACACCCCCATCTATCCAGACAAAGAAAACCAAACAAGCCAGCAACCATCGAGGTCGACCAAGCAAAAGAAAATAAGAGAAAAAAAAGCGAGGAGCCATCACCGAGGCGTCCCGTTTGCAGAATCTGGGGGATCAAAGGCAACAGAGCCAGGCACGGAGCCATATCGATCGCCTTCGTTGGCCATCTGAGAAGGAAGAATGGGAGTGGCCGCCTGCGAGGACTGGTCGAAATAGCCCCTGGTTGTCCCGTTGGTCCCTTGGGGGTAGTTGCGATTCCGCTGCAGCGGAGGAAGAATGGTAGAACTAGGAGGGTAGCCGGTTCGAGGATATCCCTGTGCCATCATCGCTCCAGTCGAATCCGGGGTCTGTCTCGGGTGCAAAAGAAAAGAAATTCTTAGCCGGGTTCTTTCCCACACTCACTGGTTTGTAGAGGGGTGCCGTACAGGTGTACCAGGCTGGGGCATCGCCATCAGCTGTCCCACGGCAGCTTGCTGGCTGGTCCGTGTTTGGCCCGAGGGATCGGGCATCTGAGGCATGGGGGCTGACGGCGGCAGGCCATAGGACATCTACTCCTGGAGCGTCAGTCACGATCCTCTGGAACGAGAAATCCAATCCGGGGACAAGAAAAAGGACGAACGAACCCCGTAATCGGGCACCACCTGTCCGGTTGAGTATGTCTGCATGGTAGGGGCTTGATATGCGGTTGGTTGGCCGGCGTAAAGAGGCGACGTTTGGCTATAAGTATCCATCGGACGAGCAATCCGGCCATCCGCGTCATACAGGCTCTGTCGGCCATAATCAATTGACGTGCGATGGCGTTTGACCGGTGCCCCATAGTACGTGTAGTCTCGACTCGTTGCCGGGTAGGCTCCAAAGTTAGCCGTCGGAGGGATCTGGACGGATTGACGATCTGGCGATCGCGGAGGAATAGCCTGGAAGTCATCCGGGCGTGGGGCCGGACGTTTCCTGAAGAGACGCTGTCAGCAGCAGCGCCATGTTTTCTTCGGTTCTCGTTACCTACATCATCGTGCGAGGCTCCTTGCGGATCCGCAACTTCACGCCTTGATCCGCAAAGGATCGGGAGAGAAACGTCGACTCCATCATTCCAGGGAAGCTCTTGGGAGGAGACACTGCCGATCTGTCAGTGTCGATTCTGTGAATTTCTTGCCTTGTCTGTCCTTACCAGTAAACCGATCGGAGATGATGGTCTTCAAGTATGCGACGGCGTCTCTGAATGCACCTCATTAGCCTTTCGCCTCGACTCAAGGCAGTACCCGACCGCTGCAACTCACTTTCGCATCTCGAACAGGGTAAACTTCAAGCGAAAATCGCCCTCGATCTTCACGGAGAGGTCCCCGAAAACGAAGAACCCTCCATCTACACATCGTCAGTGAACGAGCTCCGTCGGGAAGAGGGCAAGCTAGAACGCACCGCTGTTGTCCACATCCTTCAACCGGTGAAGAGACGAAACCAGGGTTCCTGCCAACGCAGTCGACGGAGACACCGGCACGGCACGATCTTCTGACGCATCGTACAGGCTACAGCACATAAAATAGTAAGGGCTTTGCAGGTAGTGCCTGTCGTGGGGTTAGCGACACCCCTTCGTCATCCACACAGCAACTGGAGGAAGATTGAACACTTACTGCGCCAGGTAGGAACCCTCCTCTCGCACCCGAAGCTGGACGATCGGAGGCGGATCGATTGGTTTGCGCTCTGCTCAAGTTTCCCCCCAAGTCAACCACACTGGCCTGGCCGCTTTGCGCAGCCCCCGCATCGGAGGGTCACGCGAGGTAGGATCAGCGCTCTCAACATACCTTTCTCTTTGCCCCCAGCCACGCGGGCCTGACGGGGCTGCTGACGAATCGTCAGGTCAAAGTCAGAACTGGTGTTGTTCAACATTGTCAGTGGGAATCCCTGGACCAGCGAGTTAAGAGTTGCGACCCCGTCAAAAAACTGGAAGGAAAAAAAAAAAGAAAACACAAAGGGGAATTGCAGCACAGGGATCTACGAACCTTTGGGCTTCGCGCGAGAGAGAGGCGTCGGAGAACGTCGATGCACTCATCAAGACGAAAACGCGGGCGTAGGTGGAAAAGCGAAGTGGAGAGGACCAGAAGAGCCCTCGGGCGGGTGATGAGCAGACAGAAACCAGAGAACCAGACAACGGCCGTTGATCCGAGGAACACCAAAGTAGGCGCGGGTTTTGACAGGAAAAGTGGAAGAGAAAGAATGGGTCTCTGGGACGGAAGAAATCAAGAGCTGGCTCCGCGAAGCACCACAGAAAAGGACAGGATCAGGGTCGATGCAGAACCCTGGGGCAGACCAGAACGAGTCACAATGTCGTCGGCGCAGTGGGGGGATTTTTTTTCTCCCCTAGTTAATGCAGAGTAGAGAGGATTCACGGTCGACGCTCACCCGGAGAGTCAACTACCATGGATGAAGAATCCGTGGGAAAGAAGGAATATTTCAGCAAGAGAGTGGGAGGTGGATGAGGTTGTAGTTGGCGACGAAAACGGCGAAGTGGTGTCGTCAGTTTGCAAGCGGCAAGAGCCAACCGAGTGCCGTTCCAAACCTTTGCGATTTGCGATAACCACAACAGTCAGGCCGAAAAATCAAATCCAATAAAATCAACAAAAAAAAAATACGATCAAGAATAGAAGAATTCTTTGCGATCGTAGATTCACGTTAGAAAAAGAAAAAGAAAAAGAAAAAAAAAAACCGACAGAGCGAAACCCCCCCCAAAACCAAATCCAATTGGATGAGAGTCGAGCAAATCCCCAAAGACGAGGGGCAAATCAGAGGCCCAAAGTCGACAAGAATCCCTCGGGGGAGACCGCACAGAAGCCGAGAAAAAAGACCCAAAAATTAACTCGCGTCCAATCAGAAAAAAGAAAAATCGAATAGAAGAAATAAGAAATACTGGAAAATAAGAAAAATAAGAAAATAAAAATCTACCGTCGCAAATGCTCAGATGGACTCTTCGTAGCTGAGCCAAAGTGGAGCAAAAAAAAAAAGAGGACCAAAGGATGCCTCTCGACCGTTGGAAAGGGGAGTCGCCTTAAGCCGTAGGCGGTTAGGGGCGACAGAGTTCAGCTGCCTTTGATCGCGCGATGACGATCCGACAGGAACCCCGATGATGCGCACATTCACCGGATCCACTCGGTTTGCCTCTTTGCTTTTTTCCTTTTTTCCTTTTCCCTGTCAAGATTTCTGTGTTTCCAGGAAATCTCTCAGGAACCCACTCGGCAGCTCGGGAGTTGATGCGGCTATGCAAGTGATCAGACCCGGTTTTCTTGTAAAACGCCAGGTGGACTCGGGCCCTGGTCCGGAGCGCGTCTAAGCATTCCAGTGGGTTCTCGGATCATGCGAGATCCCAGCCCGCATGGCCAGTACGTCAAGCGTATCTGGGGAGATCGACCGGGGAACCTTTCCCAAGTCTCCCCCGCCAATAAATCAAGATATCTTTTGGGTAGATAGATCTGATGAATTTCCATTAGCGAGGGTTCAGGATGTCATTCACAGTATACTCTCTTATGTCATCCACGTTCCATCCATGGATGCCGTGCGAGAGCTCATACCATAAAAAAAAGGCAGAAAGGGGGGGTCCACCCGATCTCGGTTGATTCAACCCCATGCCATGAACACAATCCTCGAGGAAAACATTCGAGCTTACCTGGATTATCTTCCTTGTCTTTTCTTGCCTTGTGTTTGTTTCTTCTGTTTCTCTGCGAGTTTGCCTCGGGCGTTGGCCGTGCAAACACTCGTTGCGTGTTTGGATTGCGGGGCTCCTGACACGAAGACTCGCTTTGGGTACCCGGTCGCCTCGAGGATCCAGATGGTGTCGCGAACACTTAAAAGACGGTCGTGGATTGAAACAACTCGTTCTCCTTTCAATCACCGCAGTTGTGGCAGAGATACACCCAAGATAGGGCAATGCGCAATGGCAAGTCGCAAAGGTTGAGAGCGCCGACAGCACGTTATCGCGACAAGAGACGGCACCGAATTGCATGCTCCATAATGCGACAGAGAGAAAAGAAACAGGTGTCAAGGGTCGCCAGGGGGAGAGAGCACTTGAAAAAACGAAGAGAGAAAAAGAAGGGAAACCTCCCGAGGTGACAAAAGTCGCATGTTAGGGGGAAGCGAAACCCATCGCACTTAATTTTTCTCTCTCTTAGGGTTGATGCGTCACATTGCCTGTGTGTCATGCAGGCTGAGATCCTGGGATGCAGTCACCTGTATGAAGACCACCTTCTGTCGGAAACGGGAGACTCTGGTTGGTCCTGAGGAACGGAGATCGCTCGACCAAGCTATGGGGCCGAGGTATAAACCAGTGCAGCCGGACCTGGAACTGCGCGATCGGGCATTGTGCATTCGAGAGACGAATCAATTCGGTGGCCTCGGCAGGGTGGAGCAACTGACTTCGACGCCACCAGAGACTCCGTTGTTCTCTGCGCCACAAGTGGCCCGTCATGGATGCCATTGCGGCTGAAGATGTCATGCTGAGCGTGGGGTCAACTTGTCCTTAGAGAGGGGCTATCCTTGCCTGTGCCCGGCTGCATCGACGGTGTATGCAAGTCCCTAATTTCCCCAGGGGATGGACTTGAAATGGAATCGTCTTTTGCCCGTCCCTTTTCAGAAGGGTACATCTTCGGCGAAACTCTTGGCGACAGATAGGGACAGGGAGAGGGGATCACCATTGCCACTAGATTTGACGGAGACATGGCTGCAGCTGCAGCTGCAGCCATGACATGTGGTTTGTCAGCCAAACTGGATCCATCTCCGCATCGCAAGGAGTGGTAGCAGCGATGATCATGCAAGGGTGAAGTTGGAGGCCCATCCAATGCGCCTGGAGAGAGCCGATCAGTCAAGAAAAGTCCCGCTGCATTGTGGCAGGGCAAGTGGCTGGCGAAAAAAAAAAAATTGGGGCCCCGCATCAAGAGATTTCTTTCCTCGCCAACATGATGCGGTGAATGGGTGAGTCAGGAAAGAAGTGGTCCACGGTTGCTGGTGTATGGAGGAAAAGGAAAAAAGAGGATGAGCGAGATGAGCGAGATGAAGAAAGGAAAGAAAACATGACAGGGAGATGGGCCCTTTGTTGACTCTACGCTCCCATGCATCTCGGATGGTTCCCCCAGGAGTCGGTAGACTGAGGATCACACATGCAATCCATAGCTCAGACCACACTGTGAACCCTGGGACCTGTCATGTCTGCATTTGACTTCCGGGACTTGGATCCGAGTGCAGTCAAAAGAACCAGCATCCAACTCACACCTAGGAGGGAAAGCCAGCATGGCCTGTTGGAACACAGAGCCATTGGGGTCTAGCGTCATCCTCCATGACTCTGAGAACATGACATGGAGAAAGAAGAGGACTGAAAAGGAGGGAGAGCAAGAGAAAAGGAAAGGAAAGGAAAATCGAACAAGAAGTTGGAAAGGGAAAAGGAACAAAAAAGTGAAATGCCCAAGGCAAATTTTTTTGGCCTGAATTTTTTTTTTCTTTTTTCGGTTTTTTCGCCTTCGCGACTCCATTCCGACTCCAACGTGCCTAGGGATTATTCCCTGATCTGGCGGGGAACCCACCGACCCAGAGAACCGGGTCATGGACTTTGTTTTCTTCTCTGCCCATGTTATTTTATCTTTCTCTGGTTTTTCGGGGCGGGGGCACTTGGGGCAGACTTCGCGTAGGTGCAGCGAGTCAAACGCACGATGAAGTGGACTATGGGGGCGGGAGGGAAACTTTAGCCGTAGAAAAGTGTCGGTGAGCAGACTTATAGTGAGACTATAGAGTCACTGTAGACATAGCTCATCTATGTTTTTTGTAGGTCCCATGAATCTGACAGCGGCATCTCCGTCGTGAACCAATGGACTGGCTGGGCGCTACTGCGTTATGCTTAAATGGCGACCCTGCGATGGTTCCGTGGTGGTTTGGAATTGGATCCATGGTTGGCGCTGTCAGGCGTGGCTTTGACCGTCGATCTGCCGATCGTGCAGTTGGTCAATGTGTAGCCTACCCATGTAAAATATATTATCAGCCTTGTCAATTATTAGTAGTCAATTAACGAGGTCGCGATCTTCATTCTGCTCTTTTTTGGGATCACACGCCCAGTCTTCTGGGTATTCAAGCATAAGGCCTTGCTAATTGGGCAGTAGCTTAGCATATATCTCAAGAATCCAAAGGGCAAATCATACTAGATGGCAGCTAGAGATATAACGAGTAAATAAGGGGAGCTATTTGGCTTATCAGGTTTGGCTAGGCATTGGTTGACAAACGATTAGCAGCTAGTTGACAGTCAAGAAATGAAGTAGATTCCCATCCCCTAGTCATACAAGAAATTACAACTAGATAATTAACTTATGTAGAAGCATTTTAATAGAACACCGAAATGGATCAGCAGAACCATTTCTCGTTTCCCCCTCGATTGCCTACAAATATAGTAACGGTTATGTCCACGGTCATTGTTATTGTTATGGTCCGAAGTATTCCCCCTCGGCGGTGTATATATACGAGATACTCTCGTACCACCCAGCAATCTTCTATGCCCCACAACACTATCCATGCTTCGGACCAATATACCTTAACCTGATTTATCAGTAATTTGAATGTATTCCCTTGCTTTATCCATGTCCCCTCGGGTAGCCCGCACCAGCAACACTATTCCTTCGCCGTCCGAAGAGGAGAGTGGTTATATATAGTGTAGTGGGCTTTTTCCTAGCAGATATCTCTGTTTTCGTTGAATCCCACAATACCTAAATTTACGACTAAGAAATGTATCATCACTAATTATGTGTATGAACATTTATATGGATTAACCATAAAAATAGGAATAGATATCCGTTTATGCCTCAACATACGACAAAGAAAAATGAGGTTGGTGGATAGAGAAAACTTTTTAGATATCATTAATTCCGGGTCTCCTTTATCACTACTGCATCGGTGGTGTAGCGGTAACATCGTTGCCTTCCACTCAAAAAGAGCGACAGCAATGGCTCCGGGTTCGACTCCCGGCCGATGCATAATTTTTCGCGCTATTTTTTTTCTTAGATTTTATTTTATTTTATCTTTCTCTTATCCCACCCAACTTAAATTGAAAGAAGAGAGAGAGAGAGGTTATTATTTAGTTAGGTCTTTTATTTAGTAGATATCCCATGACTTATCGCGGGAATATGTCAACACTCCGTTGCGCCCCTGACCGAACCCTTTTCTGTCTCTTCTATGCACCCAACCTAATTAGGTATACAGTACCTACTACTACTCTTATCTAGCTACTCCATGGGTTCTTGGATGTCGTTATTTAAGGTACCTCCATCGTCCTAGACACCGACCCAGTATATATTTTACAGAGCTACTCTTCATCTTTCTGTAAGGACTAATCAAAAACCCGACATGTCTAAGTCCATTCCTGAAGGCCATTATTAAATCACACTGTCTGCTAGATGTCAAGGCTTTCTGCAAACCCGCTATTCCATACATGCGACACTGCATCTACTCAACATGATGCATTCGAGAAGAGACGCTATTCCGACACTGTACCAATTCATCACTCAAATCAAAGACAGAAACGAAAAAACAACAACCAAGTATAAACGCCGAGCTCCTCACCCACGCTCCTTGCTGCACAAGAAAAAAGAAACAGACAAGTACCGAATAGCGACCACCGAAGCTTCACAGAAGGATATCTGGATACCCCAGGACTGTCCCCATAGCAGGCAAACCGAGCGACTTCTGAAAGAGAAAAAAAAAAAAAAAAAAAAAAAAAAAAACACAAAGACAAATTAAACCCGACAATGAGAACAACATAAGACAAACAAATATGGAACAAAACGCCCTGTCCACATGCGTTAAACTGCTTTGCACGCCAAAAGAAAGATCCATTAGTTTCCCTCGGAGCGAAAAAAAACCACATGAACTTGAACTTCATTCATCCAGTGATCATGTCTCCATCACAACGTCGCCGTCCACTTCAAACTCGGCGTCAGCGTCCGCATCGGCATCGACATAATCATCCACGGCCATGTCACTGGTCTCAGCTGGAGCCTTGGTACCATTGACCTTGGCATCTTTGCGAGACGTCGAGTTGGAATCGGCAGGAATCACCACCTGAACCTTCTCAACCAACGCCTTTCGATTGACCGACCGAGGTGTTTTGGGGTGATCATTGGATAGATTGGAAGCGGCTGTTTCCGGGGACCGTGATGTGGACTTTAACTTATTCTTCTCAGGGGTCTTGGGGCTGCCATTTCCAACAGGTGGCTCAATGGTGTCCACCCCGTTGGTCTCGATCCGTTCCTCTGCTTCATTGTCGCCGTTGACATTTTCTAGGGGTTGGCCCTCGTCTGCAACTCCATCTACTGCGAGTCCCAATTCTTGGGCGTCTGGGTTATGCACGGCTCCATCGTCGACAAGTTCGCTTTGCTCCGCCTCGAGGCCATTGATTTGGGTCGGGGTACCCTCTGCCCCGGGAGATTCGGTCAGCTTGGCACTGCGGCCGCGACGGACACTGGACGTGTTGCCTGTGGGGGTGAGCATCGGCAGCGCGGAGGCTCGGCGCGGGGTGGTGCGACCGCTAGTGCGGGTTGCGGTCGGGGTCATTGATGGCCGGGGGTTGGCTTTGTGGCTGTTGGGACGACCGGCCTTGCGTTTGGAAGGAGCGGGGACATGGACGGGTGGCCAGAGCTCGAACCGAGAGGGAGGTATCCCTGCGGCAGGGTTGGGCGCTGGCAAAGTCTCCGAGCTACCGGGCGTGGCGGATTGATGGACGCCGTTTGTTTGGGGCAGGGCGGTCGTTGAAGGTGGCCCAGCAGATCCCTCAAGCTCTGCGCCCGTTCCGTTGGCTGTGGGGGCATCGGCGGCATCTGCAGCTTCTTCCTCTTCCTCGTCAGGGTCTTCTCGAGGTGCAACTGCATGCAGAGGAGCCCTATCGAACTGAGACTGGTTGCTACGGCCCATGATGTATGGGGTCCACAGCAGCGCGTCAGGGTTGAGCTGAACGTAGCCCTTGTTCTCCCAGTGACTGATCACCTCTTCGAAATACTTATGATCAAGACGGAAAGCGTAGGCTTTGGTAATGGGGTCCCGCACCAGCGCTCGCAGCCCCTCGAGCGCCGAGACGATGTCATCGGCCGTCATCCCCGTCCGATCGGACAGATCTGCAATGCTGACAGGGCCCTTCAGATCGCGAAGTTGGTATGACAGGATCAGGCGCCAGTAATTGCGATACGACACTAGACCCATGTCGGAGAGTGGTTTCTCAGGCGATCCATTCTTGCCTTCGATGCGTGTGAGGAGGTATGAGAAGTCGATGAGAAGGTTTCCGTAGCCTTTGCGTTGGTGGATAGGAAGGGTGAGAATGCAAGAGACATTGTTGGCCGAGCTCGGCCGTTTTTCTTTGCTGAAATAACCAACGAAATGGCAGCCCAAATCGTCGTATTCGGTCATCACGTAGAAAAGGAATGGCTCGACATCATAGTAAAGGGTTTTGGAGCCCAAGAAGAGCTTGGCAAGAAGACAAAGATTTTGACAGTAGACGGGGTTCTTTCGCCCATCAACCTCGAAGATAGAAATGGAGCCATAACGATAGATCTCGTCGCCGGGCGGGTTCTTCGCCGGACATTTGAGTTTGTGGCGCCAGGCGACGTAGTCCGAGTTCATGTATTTGAGACAGAACTCGCAAATGTACAGCACGCGGTTGCGACTATATTCCTCGGGATATGGTGCTGCATACCAGGTTTCGATTTCGTAGCCACCAAAATTGATGTTTTTGATTTTCGAAGGAGGACCAGACACCTTCTGCGATGCGGTCGGCATGGCTTCGCCGTTGAGCTCTGCCTCGCGAACCCTGCGCTGCCATTCATATTCAGCCATCTGGCGAGCTTGCTCGAAGCGGTCGCGGTCGAATTGGGTCGGCAGTGTCTTGGACGTATCGGCCTCGGCTTCCGACAAAATACCGCCATACGGCTTGGACTTGAGGTCATCGACTTCTCGATCGTGAAAGGGAGTGAAAGGGGTAGTGTAGGGTGCGGGGGGAATAGGAGCAAAATGGGCCAGGGGCTCTTGTGTGGCAGGCGGCGGCTTGGGTTGCTTCTTCTTTTTCTTTCGCTGCGGTCGGCTTTGGGTGCTGAGAATCTTGGTTACCTTCCCTTCATCAAGCCGGAAGCTGACAACTAATTTCCCCTGCTGCCTGGAGACAACTCGACAATGTTCTCGGTCGGCTCCACGGGTGCGCCGAGCACGAACGGGACGTCCTCGAGCGGGAGATTGTGACTCGGTATCGCCAGTGCCGTCACCACCTTGGAAGGCCGGATCAGTCAAATCCGGCTGAGCTGACCGAAATGATGTTTGCCGTAGTCTCTTGCGAAGGACAGGGACATGCTCTTCCACTTCCATCGAGGCTTTCCGCTTGCGCAGCGACCGCGAGCTATTAAGCAACTCATCATCGACGGCGGTGTCGAAGATAGAGTGGAACCCCGAGTCGTGTTTTCCACTATGGGCAGGCAAAAGCTCCCTCGGCAAATGCGGCGCTCCAGCCTTGGACTGTGGCGCCGAAACACCGACGGAATCCGGCCCCAAGTTCTGGCGAACGCAAGTGGGACATCTCCAGGGATCTGCATCGTCGGAGGTTAGCATGTGGATCCGCCAGATGTAAACACCAATTTCGAGTCAACTTTAAATTCTTCTTACCTTCAGTATCGTGGAATGCCTCTTGTTCACGGGCGCATTGGCGATGGGCTGTCGGGATGCCGAGTCAGTCAAGGTCCAAAGAATTCGGGGTTGGGCGAAGCTTTCGCTCGGCCCCCGCAAAGTATCACACATACAATGATCGCCACACACTGTACAGGTCAGATATTCCTCAAACTCCTCGCTGGGGTCGTGTTCCTCATCCTGGTTACAGAACCTATCAGGTTGTTGTTAGCATCGAAGATATTTGCTCATGCCTGGGATCTCGACTCACATGCAATTGGAGCGACTGCGGTTATCGCCCTCGATATCCTCCCGGCCATTGCTTTCTGCTTCCCAATCCTCTTCGGCCTCTGACTCCTGGTCGCTCGCCTCCGATTGCGAAGCATCGTGGTCATTATCATCCTCAAATGCGGGATCGGCATCTGCGTCGGCTGCTTCAAAATCGGCATCCTCCTCATCGGAAGACGCGCCGGCATCGGGAAGCTTCACAGCACCAACAGGTTCAGCGTCGTCGTCGCCACCGTTTTGTTCATCCATAGCGTCAGCGCACAATGCCTCTTCGTTCACGCCACCGTCACCATTCTCCTCAGCAACCTCCCCGGAATATGCTCGGTGAACCGCGTCCTGGAGCTGCTGATCCATCTGATACAAGTCTGTTTCCTCTTCGCCCTCGGCATCCAGGTCGCTGTCCACCTGGTCCACAGGCCGGTCGAGCTTTCCCGGATCATCGTTCGCCGGCGACACGGTCGCCGCCATTATGTAAGTCAGCGCAGCTGCCAGGTCGAGTCCAGCACAGTAGTTGTTTTGCGCCTGAGCAAATCGACAGCTCGTTCGTTTTGTTTGAGAAGGTCCAACCGAATACGGTTACTGTGGCACCCCGCTCACGTCGGCGGTGATCCGAGGGTACATCTGGAGCGCAAGCGGGTGCGAGGAAGGTGTGGGGGAAGTAAATCAGCAGTTGAAACACACTCCTTGGACAAAGATTAGAGCACAGGTTCGCAGGGCGCAGATCAGTTGCTAGAGAAGACGAGAGGTGTCAGTCCGCCGCTGGGGGGTTCAAGCATGGCAAACGCGCGTCGCGCCGATAAGGGGGACTCACCCCGAGATTGAACCAGTGCAAGCCTGAGTGGGAAAGAAAACGAGACGCGTCGAAGAACAACCCACGCTCGGCGGTGCCTATGGCAATCGAATATCGGTCCTCACGCCCCTTTGTCCTGAGTGTCGTTGCAGGGCGCTGACTCATCGCAGCTAAACCGCTTTGGGGGGCGACAGACCTCTACCCCGACGCCTGGCAGGTTCCCCTCCGCCTCTTCCCTCCAGTTACTCTCGAGACTTGGTCTGTGACCGGCTGAATTGGTTTTTGCTGCTCTTATTTTAACTTGGCCTCTGCACCGACATTTCTCGCGACCACACGTCATGGGTGTTCCCTTCGAGACCCTGATCCCTTACGGGATTATCATCGGCGTGCGTGTTATTCGTCAGTCCGTTCCGAGCTACTATTCACCATTTTCTACAGATGTTTACTGCCACGGGCGCTGGCCTCTATACTGTCAAGCGCTGGGCCAACGATGGCAAGAAGGCGCGCTGGAACCGGGATCTGTGGGATCGGGTAAGTTGAACTCTTCCTCCGTGCCGTCGGCCGGACCTTGCGCAGAATGTGTTGACTAACTCTTATGCAGCAAAGTAAGTCATCATAAACAATTCGAGGGGCATTGAATTGTTGGAAAGAGGGATTGAGCGAGGCTGACGATACACTGCAACAGTGATGGAGCGAGACCTGCGAATCACTGGTTCATGGAGAGGACAGTCGAGCAATCACCAAGCACCCAAGGGATTCGAAGTCAGCAACCCGTGGAAGGTATGAATTTCGACTGAATGGCTTTCCAAAGATTGGCTTGGATGCTAATCGTATATACAGCTCGAGAAGCGGATTTACTAGATCAAAATTGCAACGCCTTTCTCTTACGTTTTATTCTATGTCTGCGTCTCTCGACTGTTTCTGGACAACTATACATATGCACCGCAACTTCTTCAGAAACATCGCTGTACCATACCATTGATCCTGCTCGTGTGTTCTGGCCATCCAGTAGTCTACTCCGCCGGTCCTGATTTGAGTTCTGAGACCATGCCCCGGATCCCTTGGATTTCCGTCTCGTAGAGATGCATATCAAAATGTTCCGCTAGAGCATGGACTCGGTCATCTTCAGTTCGGAGCACCTGCAGAATCTCCGACTGCCCATGCACCCGGCGCTTCACCTCTTTCCCTGATAATATACACTGCCCGATGACCTCCTTGGTAGTCTGGTCGAGGACCATCCGCGTGCAGACAACTGTCTGGGTAAACCAGCTGGTCCGTTTTTGGCTCGTAGAAAAGTTCATGACTCCAAAGTCCTGCGGTAGGAACTCGACATCGGAAAAGCAGTAGTTCGGCAGCCAGTTGCTCTCTGGGTTATATCTTGTCTGGTAGATCCAGACCCGTTGGGTTGGGTCGGTGAATTCGATGATGCTGTCTCGGATTAGGCGCATTTCCGAGGGTCGAATGCAGGTTGCAGTGGCGCCCTCTTGCAGGGGCAGTGGAGCTGTGGGATTGTTATTCCCAAACCCGACGTCAACCTATTCAGGCGTTAAGTCTCCCAAATCATACGTAGGTGGTTCTATACCACCAGGGCTAGGCATATTGGAGGTTGGTTACTCACCATATACTTGGCTCCATCGATAATCACAATCAAGATCATATGCCCGCTTGGCTCGCGCGTCAGTACAGACTCCTGGAAATCATCTCGGTGGAGACAATGGCAGAAGCACCTACAGAGACACATATAGTCCATTGTCCACCCCCGTCGCCGCGGCCTGACTCACTCGTCCTCCGGTGGCATACACCCGATACCCGAGGGAGCGTAGGACAACAAGAAAGAACCCCGTGTTCTCCATGCAGTACCCATCGAGACGGCGCTCGACCATCTTCTCGTACAGACTCTGAGGGTGCAGAGAAATGGTATGGTGTTGCGAGTAGTGCAGTGCCGAGTTGCCCCAGGGAATGGCGGCGAGATGCAGTTTCTGTAGAGTTGACAGTGCATCTAGCTCATTGTCTTTAATGCTCTGGCGAACATAATGCAAAGGGGAACTCTTCGATGGGATAGATTGCGAGTACCCGATTCGTTGCAGGTATGACTCGAGCTGGTCGTCGGTGTATGTCGGGTGTTGGGGGGCATTGTTGCTGGATGGCTGTTCGCAGTGTATACGGGTGTTTTTGTATCTTCCCACACGGGCACTCCAGTGCTAGGGAATATTCAACTAGATAACGGAGCTCGGTGCTGAACAGCGGAATATTTCCTTCAGATGGAAATTAGAATTTGATGACCAATTGGCCTTCCCCACAGTTCCCCGCGCGACGGAGTGGTTTGGCCGGGGAGATATATAGAGGTAGTAGAGATATGGTTGGAACTTGACCGGAGTGCTATATAGGTCTCATTTTTCATTTCAATTGCAAACATCACTACCTAGTATTGCCTTTGATCTGCTGTGCAGCGCTGGATATGCGAGTTTATCGCGAGTGGGTCATCCTCGGCTATGTCATAGATGGCATACATCCATTGCATGGTGATTGAAGACTTGGAGGAAGAGAGATTAATAAATTGGTAAAATAATCAAGTAAGAAGTTAATCTCTAGATATACATAGACATGTCCATGCGTAAATATAAGACGGGGGGTTGTACGACAGCCGATCTATAAGCTCCGATGATGTCCGGGCCACCGGATATGTGCTTGGATCGACCGAAATACAACCCCCTTCTTTTGTCTCTTGTCTCTTTTCAACTCCCATTGAGTCTTGTCTTACCTAAAAATCTCTCCTTTGTTCCCCAGAGACAATGGCTGCCCTCGCCACCCAACTAGCGACATTGGAGAACTACTCGGCCTGCGATGTAAGTCTGGATACCTTTTCAACAATAGTCTCTTCACATGATGTCTTCAGCGGCTGAAAGTATCATTGCAGGTCTCAGACGCCCTCATCAAGCTCCAAAAGATCCCAGCAGGCGATACCGCACGAGCCGGCCACCTCGCCGATTTAGGTACTTCACCTTTTTCCAACAACAACCCAATCTATACCCCATTAACCACCCAGCGAAATAGTCCCCTTCTCCCCCACCACCGGCCGAAACGAAACAACACCCAATATCGCCGCCCCCGCAACAACCTTCCAATTCATCCCCAAAGACACCCACCCACCCGCCATCGCCACAGACAACCCCGACACCTACGGTTTCCCGCCGGGCAAGCACTGGGTCGACTATGCAGGCGACTACGCCGCGGCCGACCCCTCCAAGGCCGGATCCATCGTCGTGATCGAGCAACCCGAGGCGCAGCACTGCGCGGTCACGGGTGGGATTATGGCGACGCGGATGAAGGTGCTGGGGATTAAGGCTGCGGTCGTGGGGGGTCGGGTGCGGGATTTGAGGGAGTTGAGGGCGACTCGGCTTCCGGTTTGTTTTACTTCCCTTATCCTATTATATTGTTATATATGCGATATTCTCGCTAATGTCTGTTCTTTTTTTTTTTGTTGCTGTATAGATCTGGGCGCGCGCTACTTCGACTGTTGGCACGAATGCCGAGGCTAAGCCCGGGGCCCGTAATGTGCCGATTAATGTTGGTGGCGTGACTGTGTCGCCTGTATGTGTTGTGCTTTCTTTTGTCTTTGCTTGGGTCCTGTCGAGATACTTACGATTTGTTGCAGGGCGACATTGTCTTCTGTGATCCCCTGGAAGGCGTCGTGGTTATTCCACGCGACTTACTCGGCGCTGTCCTGGATAACTTGCCCAAATTGACCGGCATGGATGACAAGGCCAAGGAAGCAGTGGCCATGGGGATGCCAGTCATGGATGCATTTAAGAAGTTCCGGTCGCCGTTATAATATGCAAACAATGTTCATATTCCGAAACTTATCGGACAGGATCTACGAAGTGTTGGTGGTGCGCAAGAAACAATCAAGTGTACATCAAGCCAGTCTCGTGGTATTCAGGTATTCAATACATCCAAGAATCCGTGGATATAAACGGAAGGAAAGCAAACAAAATAAACAATCGCTGTGCAATGTACAAATAACATCATCATACCAGCGTTTACTCGGCCACCCAGACAGCAGCCATGCCCATACCGGTACCGACGCACATACTCGTCACGCCGATCTTCTTGTTTGTGCGGTTGAGCTCGGTCAGAAGCGTGCTGACCTGCCGGGAACCGGTGCAGCCGAGTGGGTGACCAAAGGCGATAGCACCGCCCTTGGGGTTAACCTTCTCCTGGGACAGGCCCAGTTCATTGGCGCACCAGACACACTGCGAGGCAAAGGCCTCGTTGATCTCGAAGATGTCGACATCATCCTTGGTAATGCCGGCCTTCTCCAGGGCGACGGGGATGGCCTTCCAGGGGCCGACGCCCATGAGCAGCGGCTTGACACCCACCACGCTGGCGGCGACGTACTTGCCAATGATCTTCTGGCCCAGGCGCTCGGCGGTGGATCGCTTCATGAGCAGGACGGCGGCGGCACCGTCGGAGATCTGGGAAGCGTTGCCGGCGTGGATCGAGCCGTCCTTGGCGAACGCGGGGCGGATCTTGCCCAGCGACTCCGCGGTGATGCCTTCACGGATTCCGTCGTCGGCCTTGACGGTGATGGTCTTTTCCTCGTTGGTCTTGGGGTCCACCCACTTGACCTCGAGCGGGGCAATCTCCTCGTTGAAGAGACCGGCCTTCTGGGCCTTGAGGGCTTTTGGTACGAGGCTGCCGCGAAGGCATCCTGCTGCGCGCGACTGATCTTGCGGTCCTTGGCCATGTCCTCTGACAGAACACCCATGGGGACCTTGCAGTTGGCAGACTCGGGGTGGTTTTCAAGGAGCTCGGAGAACTCGGTCACGGCACCGGGGCCATACTGGGAAGTCATGCTCTCGACACCCGCGCCAATACCGACATCGATCATACCCGACTTCAAAGCGTTGGCAATATCAACGACTGCCTGCAGACCGCTGGAGCACTGACGGTTCAGACTCCTGACGGCCGTAGACTCAGGGAAACCAGCCACGAGAGCGGCCGCACGGAACTCGGTGGCACCGCCACCGGGAGGAAGAACGGAGCCAACGGCGACATCCTCAACGGCTTGAGGATCGATGCCGCTCTTGTTGATGACGGCCTTGAAAACACCGGCCAGCAGGTCGGCAGCAGCAGTGTCCTTGAAGCCACCCTTGCCACCCTTGGTGAGGGCAGTGCGCAGGGCGCATGTCACGACAATGTCATCGGGGTGCTTCTCGGTGAGGGCGGCGGCTCCCTTCTTGCCACCGCGGCCGAAGTGGGAGGAAACCTGGGACAGACGTTGCTGGGCTGAACAGGAAAGTTAGCCTGGGGGTTTCTGGGGTAGACTTGCAAAAAGCAGCCATTTATATACAGTAGCATGGGGAATGCTCACCGGAAGACATGACGTCAATGTGGGATGGGGACTGAGGGAAGGGTCTGGAGAGGAAGAAATCAGAAATGAAGGTCAAGAGGTAAGCACCGACACCCGGGGAGATGCTCTTTAATAAAGCAGAAGCGTGGAGTCGGTGATATTTCCCCTTTGAACACCGCGGGCGGCGTCGCAGTTGCCAAAGAGCCGAGGTCCATCTTCCCGCATCATCGTTGATCCGAGCTTAGTCACGGGACCCGACCGACGGTTGCGGAGCATGTGAATCTTGTGATTCTTCTGTCCCTAACATCTTTCATTATTATTCTCCATTATTATGAGGACTCGAATTATGAACTGCATGTGTCACGACGTCATGGTCGGGACAGCCGTGGCCCGAGTCGTGTCAACGATGCCGGGCAACTTAGCGCCGACACTCGTGTGATCTTGTCCCGGCCTGGATTGCGGAGACGGGCCGCCCTGCTCACCTTATTTACCACGGGGTAATGTGAACAAGGATCTTCGTCTCAGCCTTGTCCTTTTTTTCTTTTTCTTTTTGCCGACATCATGGTAGATTTCCTTCAGGACCATTCTGCAACTCACTTGTTTTTCCTGGGCGCTATTACAAACACCAGAAATAGCGTCTTCGAACGATTGGAGCATTCTCTGCCAGCTCCTGTATGATCTAATGCTGTCGAGGAAGGGCAAAAGTACTGCGCTAACACTGCAGCAAACATCTATTCGACGGACATCCATGGCCGATGCAGCTTCAGAGGGGCCCGGCGCTTATGCTGGGTCGATCTCTGAGAGAGCGGGCAGCTGCTTTTCATCACGATGGAGGGCTAGATAATTGACAATACCATTGTCGTCCTTTATTCTTTGATAATTCTCTTAATTTTCACTTGAATTTCTTCCTGGCCCATCCGAAAATCTTCAATTGCTGAAGCAATCATATCGGACGTCCAAACCCAGGTGGACATGAGTCACCTCACCATGACCAGCTTGAGCACGTTCTCGATGGTTCTTGCTGTCCTTTCAGCGGATGATATCCAACCCAATGCTCTGTTCCAGCTGGGGAAGCTGGGCGTCGCTTTCCCCATCAGTGGACCCCTGACGGCTGAACTCCCCGATCATCTACGGCGATGCACGAGTAGACCGTCTCGGTGTGATGGTCGGCTGGCGCAAGGGCAATGCTGCGTCATTGATGGCTCAGTCTACTGGCGGGCAGACCGTCGCACACTTAGCCACTTGCCTCGAGAACATGTATGGAGACGTCGCGGCTGGATGGGCCTTCCTTCGGCTTTCCCATGCCTTGCTGCAGGATTCGGCTCGCCTCAGCAGCCCCAGACAGTTAACTCAACATACAAAAGTCCTCGCAAGCAAACTGGGTGTGATCGGCTTTGGGAGGATACTTGCAAAGCACACTTGTCACATACACAAAGCATATGAGCAATTCGGACAGAAACCACCAGTCACTCTCCTGGCTACTCTGAGTCAGGATGATATGAGTGATATCTTGTCCAAATTCTCGCGTGCTTTGCAAGAAAAGAAATGTGTTGCTCGGGTACGGGGCTGCGCTAGTATGGGGTATATCTTTGCGCTCACAGTAACCCTGTTTGCGGATGATTCTATTATCACGGTATAAACCCGATCATTCATCAAGGATGGAGATCTTCTATTGTTATCGACATTACGGGCTCTCTGGGGAATACCGCACTTGAGATTCAGTGCGTGGGAAAGATCGAGTCGTTTCTAGAAATCCCGCTCAAGCCAGAACGACCCTCGCCGTCCATGAAATTCACTCACCAAGGCTACTTCTCTGCATATATGCAGCTCTATATCCTGGATCATTCACCAGCTCATCTGCGATCTGCTGTAGGATCTTAAATGGTAGGCTTTGTAGTGGCATAGTAGTGTTGGGGTTATGATGAATTTGACCAAAGTGTGGAAAGGGTGGAAAGGAAGATGAGACCAAGTCCTGAAAATTTGTAGATTTGAGATCGCTGACTTGGTATTCACTTTAAAAGCAACATTCACTTTATCTTCTATCCTCTAGATGTGGTATTCACCAGGAGCTCTACTAAAACCAGGGCGTAGAGAGCACTACTAGCAATAGAAGAATATACCCTTGAATAATGAGAGATTACGTTTTTTTAGTAAACTTTTTCTATATTCTTCCATGTCCCTTGGCAATCGTAGAATATTAATTAGTTCTACCTCAGAAGATACCTGTTCAGCGGTCATAGAGTGAAGCGTGGAACTTGGCAGCTGAGACAGCCCGCCCAACTTAATTTTGACTCCACGCGGCCGTCGACCGTCGACAAACCGCGACTTTCCTCGTCCCACCATCTTCAAGGCATATCTCAGCGCAGCGTCTGGAAATACTCCATTATGATGCGCGGAGGCTTCAATATAGCGTCAGCGCGCCTCTCACAGCTCATCGGGCCAGCACATTTCCCGGTACGTGACCAACCCCGAGGCCACCATCGAGGATGTTTCTGTTTCTGCCTCTGGTGGCAGAGTACCCCCAAAGAACGACCCGATACTAATAATATACGACAGATATCACAAAGGTCCCTTTCATTACCGAAACTCACCACCACGCGTCTCTTCACGTCCTCCACAGTCCAAAACTCACCCTCGCCTTTCCGCCTATCCTCGAACAAAGACAAGCCTTCTCCCACCTCTGATTCCACCACTTCTTCATCTTCATATTCTTCTTCGCTGCCACCAGAAGACTTCTCCGATGTCTACTACAGCCCCTACAAACCCAAGCGCCAATGGCCCCCAGACATGACCAAGCTCTCGCCGAAACACCAGTTCCGGCTCGAGCGCAAATACCGGCGGCGCGCGGCGCTCAAGTATGCGCGGCCGAAGTTTATGAAGACCGTGACTTTGGCGCAGTGGGTTGTTATCGGCTGTGAGTAATTTCCTTGGATTGTTTATTTTGCGTTTTTTTTTTTTTTTTTTTTTTTTTTTTTTTTGCTCTGGTGTCTTTTTTTATCTGGGATGACCAGCTAACTTGCCTCTTCTAGTCGTCGCCATCTATGCAGTCCTCTTCATGGAGTGGGATACCAGGGATACGCCCTTCGACGGCATCCGAGAGAGTTTCTTCTCTGCGCTGCGGACGGTGTTTTCCAGTCCGCCGCCGCCTGGGCCAGTGAGGAGGGAAAAGACTCAGGGCGAGTCGTAAAGGGGCTGCCAAACCAAGCATCTTATCTCTTCGCTTACCATCGGTAGATAGTGACACATTGGTGTCAAATACTGTACAATACACATGGGAACTACCACAGATTCAGGACGATTCATTCAATTCTCATCTCCGTGATCGGTCATCGGTCATGAGCAAATCCAGTGGGCACTACGGGCGTCGCTATACCCGAGAGAGGCTGAGGCAGCCAGCCAGGCACACGTCATAGAACAGGGCCCATTCTATGGTGCTGCTACCTCTTGTATCCTCTCCCGCCGCCTGTGCCAATACACCTGGCTTCATTACATCATGCGCGTCAGGAATTTCTCTGGACAAGGAAATGCACTCAACACCCAAAAGAACACCGGAAATGCCAACGCCGGTGAAAGCAGCAACCAATCAAGAACTCCAAGGGCAGACAGAGATAGTCACCAACCCATTACATGGGTGAGGGCTGCCTCTTGGCCCTAAAAGAAGAAGAAAAAAAGACAACAGCCCGAACGCCGAGTCATGACAACGTAGAAGCAAAGGAAAAAGAAAAGAAAAGAAAAACACAAGGGAAGAAGAGAAGAAAATTCGTTAGTGAATATGCTCAAGCTCAAAGCCAGCTGCGCAAGTCGCTGGACGGGGTCGTCGGGCCGGCAGGACGGTTGTCCGACACACCAAGAGCCAGCTCCAACTTAGGGGGCTTCTCGTCGACGAGCCCCTTCTTGGGACTCCCCGGCACCTTCTTGGGAGATTTGCAGGGAGACCCGGGCTCACCGCCGCGAGGCGGGCCTTCGCGGACGAGAGTGTAAGCCCAGCCATCGTCGACTGCAGCAGCTACCCAAATGCGCAAGCAATCATGCACAGAGAAGTAGAACTTCTCTTTGCAAGTACGCAGGCTGCAACCCATGACCTTTTCAAAACCAGAGGCGCGCAGTTCGGACCGAAGCTGGTTGCGCTCGTCGGCAGTGGGCAGGGAGGCAATGAGCCCATTCAAGAGGTCCAAATGCGCGGCAAGATAGTTGGTCGCATCCCATTCGACACCCCCGACATACGGGGCAGCGGGCACCGGCGGACGGGGCGGGGGAAGTGTCGCTGGTTGAAGGGACGCGAATCCACCGGCTTTTCCGTGAAAGAGTCGTCCGACCTGGGGAGTGGGATCACGTTCAGATGGTGGAGGAAGATCCAAAAGACCTCTTTGGTCACATTGGTCACTTCCTTGCACCACACCCGGTATGGTCGGGACTGATATATATTGGCGATGAAAGACACCGGCTGGCTGTCCTCCATCGGAGAGGGGTCTCGCAGATAGGAGAGAATGCATTCGGCACGCTTAGCAGCCATCTCGCCGGATGTAGCCGCAGAGAGATGGGTGAAGAGCAGATTGACAATAATACCCCGCGTCGTGAATTCGCTGGGTCCTTTCTTATCGTCATCGAACAGCATCTTCAGCAGAGCCGGGAAGAGCTCGCCCTCAATGGCTGTCAGATGTGCGAGAGCCACCGAGGTGGTGCAGAGAGCTTTGAGACACAGTAAGGCCTCATGGAGGAGCGTGTCCTCATGGTCCTCCCTATATATATAGTTAGCTATTGGTCTTCAATCATGCGAGAGATCAGTCCATACCGCCACTCCATCTTCATGATCCGGTAAAGGAGCTGCACGATTTCATCCATACCGCCCTCGGCGATGAACCCGTCAACCCAACTAACGGTTTCGTTTCTAAGGAGAAGACGCAGTTTGTGCACTTTGCCCACTTCCACCATTTCGGGCTTTTGGATCTCTCTCAAATAATGCACAAAGTCGGATGGATCCGATGCAGTATCCACAACAGCTGCCTCGGAAAGGGAGGTCGTAGATCCCGCTGGCGCAAGGGTCGTATAGACACCAACAGGTTGGGAGAGATCCACCGATCTTGGGCGACGGTGTGAACTCGCACTATCCGGGCGTGACTTTTTAGTCGGCGACGCGGAGCCTTTGTTGAACGAGAACCCACGACTCCTGGAGCGCGAGTGGGAGCTCTTGCGATCCTGAGATTGGCGGTCCTCCTTGGACTCTTTGCCACGTCCTCGGCGGCTGTCAGAAGTGCCCGCACTGTGAGGTGTGGTGTTTTCGGTCCGATCCTTCTGAATGAAGTCGGCCTTGATATTGGTATCCAGAGATCGCATCTTGTCTCTCATATTATGGGGAATGTTCCTCGCATCCTGGGTTATGTTAGTCGGGCCAGGAAAACTTGCATATGGAGCAGGAACGTACCAGTAACTTCTCAAACTCGCTCTCAAGATCCTTGGAATTCAGGTGCTGGTGCACATCGGCCTCTCGCTCCTTGGCATTGAACACCGAGATAGCAGCTTGCACCCGAGATAACCTCTTCTGGTTGGGCTCTTCCTTTGCCGTCGGCGGCCGAGATCCTGGGGTAGATAATTTCCGCGCTCTGTCCAGGCTTCGTTCTTTGGAACAGGCGCTATCGACGCGTTCAACGGTTTCGCTCCCACCTGACGGGGCACGCTGCAGAGGACCAAGCAGATCTTTCATCTTCCGGTTGCCTGTGAGGCAGTCTGACTTGGGGCGCGGCCTTGTGTCGCCGGGTTTGGCAAGAGATGGTTGGTGGTAATCGTAGAAGTTGCGCTGTTGGGCGGGACTGTAGCCCTTGGGAGTATAGAGGGAGACTTCCTCGGCGACAGTCCGTTGTCTGTCTGCAGTCGAGCTCTGCCTCGACCGAGTAATTGGCTGTTGGTAGTCCGACCAAACCGGGGATGGCATATTGTCGACCAGATCGGTCGGACTGCGGTTTTCCTTGTCTCGACTTTCTTTAGTCGGGCCCGCCTTGCGTCCCCGTTGAGATCGTTTCAGAATGGCCGACAGGCTATTGGCGGACTTGGTCTTCTTGGGCTTCCATTCGGAATCCTCTGGAGACGATTCCTCTGATTTGGCATCCTTCCGCTCCATGTAGCTCCTCAGTGACTTGAGGGACACTGCACTCTTCGTCTTTTTGTGCATTGTCCCCTTCTCCTCCTTAGCTCCAGACTTGGAAGTTGACATGCCTTTGTCGCCTGCGTCACTGTTTGGGATGATCTCGCCTAGTGGAAGATGGGCAGGAATAGGGCCTGACTCCTCTCCAAAGGGGAAAGGAATGGTCTTCGAGGGTTTGCCCTGGTGGAGGGACCTCGGGGCCACCGCATCATCGGCAGACTGGTTTCTTTTGTGTGCTTTGGAAGACATGATAGCCCGAAACATCGACGATCGGGTTGGGGCTCGATTCGCATCGTCGAAGATCTGAGGGCCAGAGTGGCTGGGGGCCATTGCTATCACCGTTGACCAGCAACTGGAGGCAAGCCAGAGTCAGCAAACGGAAACCGCGGAAAGGTGCAGGCCGAGACTGACGGGATATATTTTTTTTCAAAGCAACAAACAAAGGCAACAGGGCAGATGAAACTGTACAGCCCCAGATGAAAAAAGAACAATCAACGCAGGAAAACCAATGCAATGCAGATGGGATGAGAGAAAAAGAAACCAAAGAAGAAGAAGATGTGAGGAGAAAACAGAACCGGGCAGGGCTGGGGCAATATGAGGCCAAGCGGCTGCCAACAGCAACCGTCATCGAGGATTCAGATGATCCACCTCGAGTAAGGCGATCGTTGGAGTGCGGGTGGTAAACAACGTGTAAGAGCGTTGCGAGGGGCAACGGGGAGCGGTGAACGTGGGGGGGACATGTTGTCGATGGGATAATTACTGCATTAGCCTGGTATTATGATTCACAGTATTCTGAGGATTCTGATTCTCAGTACCTAATCTTTGAGGCTGCATGCATCCTTGCAGTCTTTTGTTTTGTTTCTATGTTGGCCGAATCCGGTAAACTATATACAGTGATAGCAAGAAACTCATAGGTGCTGATATAGACGAAGCACCAGGGCAGAGACAGACAGAGATTCTAAAATAAACAGTGGCTGTTTCAAAAAAAGTAATAGGATTGCTAGCGGTATTAAGAGAGTACCAAACATTATAGCCGTTGTAGTACACAATCTATACAATGTGCCTGATCAGGCCCGGGTGGTCTGGCCCCATTGCCAACGCATGTTTGTATAGTTTTTGATCCAAATGACCTTCATCTTCTGACCTCCCATTGTTTATTCATGCAGGGTACACAAGTACACACGTAGTGCAACTCTTGGGACCCAAATCCTCCGGGCTGAGAGGGTGGCAACACCTATTACCGTTTGCGACATGAGCTGTCAAGGGCGTTTAAAACGGAGACCATGATCGTCGCGGAAAAATTGAGACATGCAGAGGTGACCATTCTCTCTTTCCATAAAAAAAGGTATCCTTACGCACTGACATGCAAGAGAAATCATTCGAGTCAGGCTCCCCCGATATCGCGACTTCGGGCGGTCTCGGACCCCACAGGGTACTCTCGGGATTCTGGCGGTCGCTGATTGACATCCAAGACAAGACTCATTAAGCACCACTGGAAAGCCTTGGCAGATGTGGCAGGATCAACAATACTTCCAAGGCCATCGACACCATGAATTGCCCCTCGCGCACTGACGATACCCTCGCCCACCCCGGTTGGAACCAGAACCCCTCCACGTTGAGTCCCGACACCACCACCCGCAATGATTTCAATGGGATCGCCAATTCTCGAGTCAATCGCAAGCATGTTGATACCGGTACTGCGGCAGGAGATGATGCTCTATCCATCGACCATCGACCACATAGTCAGGAGATTCAAGATCCCGGGATCGAAAAGGTCCCCGACGGTGAAGTGACTGCGGCCTCGGGGTGCAAACCACCTTCGAGGACCAGCGGATCACCTCGCCGTCCCTTCCAAATTATTTTGACGTCTTCCTCTCTGCACTGCGCCCGGAAACTGGCCAAGTTCGCTCGTTTTATCGGGCCTGGATTTTTGATCGCGGTCGCCTACATCGACCCGGGAAACTACGCCACGGACGTTGCTGCCGGGGCCGAGTTCAAGTACGCTCTACTGTTCATCGTGCTTTTGTCCAATCTCTTTGCCATTCTCTTGCAGTCCCTGTGTGTCAAACTGGGCACGGTGACGGGTCTGAACCTGGCGGAAAACTGTCGTGAGCATCTTCCGCGGTGGGTGGTGATCATTCTGTATATTTTCGCCGAGTCCGCTATTGTTGCCACGGATATTGCAGAGGTGGGGATCAATTCTTCCCCCATGAGAATAACTAAGATATACTTATCATCGCAATAGGTCATTGGCTCAGCCATCGCGTTGAACCTGCTTCTAAACATCCCCCTGGTGGCCGGATGTGCCATCACCTTGGTCGATGTTCTCTTCCTACTCATCTTCTATCGCCCGAATGGATCCATGTGGGGTTTACGCCTGTTCGAGTTCTTCGTCATGGCGCTAGTTCTGGGAGTGGTGATATGCTTTTGCATTCAGCTCTCCCTCCTCAAGGACCAATCGGTCGGAGAGGTCTTCCGGGGCTATCTGCCATCCTCGGCGATAGTCAAATCGGAAGGGTAAGCTGATTTGATCTGACCTGGGATGAGACTAATCGCACTGACTTGATATCTCTGCAGTCTCTACCAAAGCTGTGGCATTCTCGGAGCCACAGTCATGCCGCATTCGCTCTTCCTTGGTAGTGGTGTAGTTCAACCTCGCTTGAAAGACTTTGATGTTACCTCTGGCTATGTCGAAGCCACGGTGCCTCTGGGGAGCAATGGCGGCGAAGTGGAATATCGCCCGACGATTCACGCCATTCGCAGTTGCATGAAGTACTCCATCATCGAGTTAGCGTTGTCGCTATTCACATTTGCGCTCTTCGTCAACAGCTCCATTCTCATTGTCGCGGGTGCTTCGCTGTATGGTGTCCCGGAGGGCAGCGATGCCGATCTTTTCGGGATCCACAAACTACTGACCGAGTCGATCGCTCCAGCCGCCGGCCTGATCTTTGCTCTGGCCTTGCTGCTGTCCGGCATCTCTGCCGGGATTGTCTGCACAATTGCGGGCCAGATGGTGAGCGAGGGAATGCTGAAATGGAGCATTCGACCATGGCTCCGGCGACTCATCACCCGCTCCATCAGTATCATTCCCAGCATCATCATCGCCGCCGCTGTTGGCAGACATGGACTGGACAAGACTCTCACCGCTAGCCAGGTTGTCCTGAGTGTCATCCTGCCTTTTGTTTCTGCCCCCTGATCTGGTTCACATGTTTCAACCGCTACATGACTGTGCGAACCGAGCAGCCTGGCCCAGGAGTGGACGACATTGAAGTGGCTGAAGTCCCATTTCGCAACCATTTTATCCTTTCCGTGGTATCTGTCCTTGTGTGGTTGCTCATCGCCGTGATGAATGTGGCTCTGCTGGTTCTGGTCGGGATGGGCAAGGCGTCTTAAGACTTAGGCCATATATCACAGACCCATGTGAAGGTCTCCGTGGATTCCCGGAGACAAGATAGACATTTAACTAAACGCTGCAGACAGTTCCTAGTTAATGGATACCATATGGTGGCCACTGAATGAATCAAAAAGAGCAAAAAAGATGCTTCGAAAGTGATGAGAAAAGTGCCAACTAGAATCATACTCCCAACCAACTCCGGTTGCCCTGACGCAGATGAACACCTGATTCTTCCTAAACACCCACCGAAGGCCGGTTAACCCAATCCACCAGCAGCCTCCTTGACCTTGGTCTGCTCCGGCGGCTCATCAATAAACTGCGGCGGAGCCACCTCGTCCTGCAAGAAGCTTGGCACTGCACTCTCACCCATGTTGCTCTCGAACATAGACTCTTCGCCCAGAGCCTCCAACTCAGCATCCAGCTCGGCCTCATCGACATCCTCCGGGACATCATAGGACCGCGAGATGCTCTCCTGGATCTCATTCCCGACCTCCATCAAATCGGCCATCTCATCCTGCATCTGCTCGATCTTGTCGATGTCCACCTTGCCATACTGCTTTTTCAGCTCCTTGGTTGTTGTCTTCATCGCATCCACCGTCGTCATCGTATTCTTGAGGTTGTCCTGCATCATGCCGGCCTGCTCCATGTTCCACGATTGTTGCGAGAGCTGGTCCCGCTGTGCTTCGTACTGTTTTCGGCGCTGTAGCACCTTGAGTGCTTTTTGGCGGAGCGCATTCTTGCCCGGTCCGTCACGCATCTTGGAGATCTTGGCTTGGTAGGTGGAGAGCTCAGAGTTGAGCGCGGCGAGCTTGACGTCCAGACTGGAGATGCGATTGTCGACCTGTCACAAAAGGCGGGGGAGAACGTTAGCGAGGGGCATATCCCAAAGGTTATCAGAATGATGATCATCAACATAGTATTTTCGCGTACATTCGAGATTGCACCGTCCAGCGTCGGCTTGGGGGCCGCGCTCTTCGTGCCAAACAGTCGGTTCATGGTGGCGGCCTGGTTGCGGAGGGGTAGACAAGTGATAGACAGCAATGATCTGGCGAGCGACTGTCGGTCAGGCCTGACCAGAGTGCACAATCACGGTTCACGGTACACTGAATCACTTCCGAGGGACTAGTAGCCGACCAAATCGCAGCTCTCCAGGACCACAGGCACCTGTCGACAATGCGGAGGCCGACGTCAGTGGGGCCTGAGGCGACCACACGTGATGGACTGTATTGATGCTGGAGATCTGGGGTGTATTCGCAATGATTCCCCCCCTTTTTTTAATATATATATTTTTTGATCAGGTGGGCACTATCTCATGAATAAAGAAACATGGAAGACGCCGGGAGCTCCAGATGATTTCGGTTGTCAGCTGGGCGAGATTCCGATCTATGTCTTTGGGAGTCGATTGGGCACTCGGTGGGACAAGATACAGGGCCAAGTACTGAGTACCTCACCCACCACACAAATCTGGCGTGGAGGGGCTGTACCCAGTACCCACCACGGCCATTCTCATCGAGTCCGATGCAGATGACTGGGAGGAAATGAAGGCGAATTTGGCGAAAATAGAAGAAAATAGCCAGATTGTCTCTTTCACTCTCTCTCTTAAATATCATCCTGATCTTATCTTAAGTGTGCTGTTAGCACTGGGACTGTGATCCCCCGCGCGGTGATTACATACGGTGTGTTTCCGCCCCTGCTCGCCATCGCCCAGGGATCGGTTATCGACCAGCTTCAGAGAAGGGCCTCTTCTCTCTTCCACCTCCCTCTTTTCTCTCCACTGTCTCCTTGACGGACCGGTGTTGAGTAGCTTCAACATTCTATATTGTGTCATCGAGTCTCATTGTGATTCGGTTTCTAATCCACACTTATTTCCTCCCCTTCCCCAATCCACACCGAGGAGGATCGAATTCCTCCCCTCTCTTTCTTCGTCACTCTCTTGAGATCGAAGGTATGTTGAATCGATGATTACGCCTCGGGGCTTCCTTACACTCTTCTCTGTCAACCCTCCTGGATCCCGTCTCTTCCACTGGTCGCAGGCCTTCTGTGGGAGGTCAACCCGCATCGGGTACACATCATCAGCTCCATGAGTGATGCGACCCCTCAGACACAATCGCTGAAATTTTCTCTTCAAACGACAGCGCGAGATCGCATCGATTGATATTGATTTTTACCCCCTTTTCTTCTCTTCCACCTTTTCGAAACGTGACGATCGAGCTCCACACCCCGCTCGACCTGCGTGACCTGGTCGTGTGTGTGTGTGTGTGCGTGGACGCATCGCCCTTCGGTGTATCGACCTTCCCAAGGTATTGCCGGAGACCTTCTCCACACCCTTTCAGTCAATCCTTGTACCATAGACTGCTCCGTTACGACATCTCGGAGACGACCGCAACGACACCCCTCCCATGAATAATTCCTCTCGGCTATATACTCCATCATGTTCTGGCGTTTTGGGGGGTATGCAAGTATCTCCGCCATCGATACCCTGCTCGACAAGCCCGAGGTTACCCTCGAGGAACTTCTGGATGAGCCGGAGATCATCCAGGAACTGAAACAGCATAATACAAAACTCATAGAATATCTGCGTGAGGATCATGTCTTGAAACGGCTTATGGACTATGTGACCGCACCGAGTTTGGTGAATGACGATGAAGAAAATGACGACGACGACTCTGACGAGAAGAATGCCTCGGAGAAGGACACCGGCGCTGCCTCCTCGGCGGCGGAGCAGACGGACAAAGAGGACAAGGAGTCGGATCCGTTGAAGGAAGTGCTGGACTCGGATGACCTGGACAAGGTCGAAAAGACTCGCTTGAAGCATGCCTATATCGCTTGCGAAATCCTTTCCTCCGAGACATGGTCCATTCTCGAGTCCATGATGGCCTACCCCCAATACCTGCGGGACTTCTGGTGCTTCCTCCGCCGCCCGCCGCCCCTAGACTCCATACAAGCTAGCTACTTCACCAAGGTCAACGAGACGCTGTTGGATAAGAAAACCGAGGAAATGCTGGATTTCCTGAAATCCATGGATGGAATCGTCGCGGCACTATTGCAACATATTGACAACCCAATGGTTATGGATCTCTTGTTGAAGATCATTAGCCTGGAGAAGGCCGAGGGCGGCCAGGGCACCGTCGACTGGCTCATGTCGCAGGAGTTGATTCCCACCTTGCTTTCATTCTTGTCCCCGGACCACCCAGGCTCGGTCCAAACCTCAGCGGGCGACTTCCTCAAGGCCATCATCACCATCTCCGCAAATGCCAACCCGAATGACCAATCATGCATCGGCCCTAACAGCTTGACCCGCCAGCTGGTTTCCACCCCGTGCGTGCAACAACTCATCGATGCGATGCTCAAGGGCGGCAACCCGTTGACGGTCGGCGTGGGCATCGTCATTGAAGTCATCCGGAAGAATAACTCGGACTATGATCCCGATCACTTTAGCGGACCCGAAACAACGCCCACTACATATGACCCCATCTACCTGGGAACTTTGCTCCGCCTGTTCGCGCAGCATATCCCCAATTTCATGGCTCTGATCCAGAGTCCCAAGCATGCTGTTCACGACGGCGATAAGCTGAAGACTGTCGACCGAGGACGGCTGAGCTCTGCCTGGGGTGCCAAAATTGAACCGCTCGGATTTGACCGGTTCAAGACGTGTGAGTTGATGGCGGAGCTACTTCATTGTAGTAACATGGGCCTTCTGAACGAGCCCGGCAGCGACGAGTATATCCATCAACGGGATGTCGAGCGCGAGAGGCTGGTTCGCGAGGGCGCTTTCAACCCTCATCGAGACGAGCAGTCCGGGTTTGAATACAATGATAAAACGGCCGATTTCACCAATGGCTCCGTCGTGGATTCCGGATCACCCGAAGATGTCAAGGGAGAAGTGCCACACGAGGGTGAAGAGGAGGGATTTGAAGGGGTTGGTTCACCGGGGGTATTGGTTGAAAAGAAGGCAGAGGCCGAGAAACCCGCTGGTGCACCTTCGGAGCAGAATGCAACCTCGCAGCAGACCGGCCAGCCAGCGACCGAGCTTGCATCGGAAAGTTCCAAAACAAAAACAGAAGGTGGTTCCGACAGTGCGGCCAATGCCACAGCTACGGGTCAAAAACCCACCGAAGGGTCCGATGCTTCACCCGCTACTGGTCTTGTCGACCAAATTGGTGGCATCAAACTTGAGTCCGAAGCGCAAGGGCAGCAAACCCCTGCGCAGGACAGCTCCGAACCGCCTCCCGTGCCTTCGCGTCCTGAAGATGTGCCGGCGCCTTTATTTGCGTCCAAGGAACAACCGGCAGAGTCAACTTCGAGCTCTGCCGACCAGCCCGCAGGTGCGTCTACCGCACCAGAGCCCGCTCAAGACATCATTCCTCCTAATGATGGTGGCGAGGAAGACCCGGCCGACCAGTATATCCAGCTCGACACTGATGGAGGGCCTGTTGTTGGGGATTACCTGAAAATCATGTTCGTTGAGAACAAGGTGGTACCAACGATACTGGTAAGTATCTGCTCGTTTTGACAGAATTTGACACTAAGTTTGAATACTAATGATTGCCCTGCAGGGATTCTTCTTTCGCTTCCCTTGGAACAACTTCCTTCACAACGTCGTGTATGATGTGGTTCAACAAGTATTCAACGGGCCCATGGAGCGTGGCTATAACCGTGCTCTGGCGATCGATGTATTTGACACAGGACGCATAACACATGAGATCATCGAAGGCCAGAAGCGTAGCGACGAGGCCCAGAAAACCAAGCAGATCCGACTCGGTTACATGGGACACCTCACCCTTGTCGCGGAGGAGGTCGTCAAGTTCAGCGAGCGCCATCCGCCCGAGCTGCTTTCCCGATGTGTCATGGAAAGTGTTTTGAACCCGGATTGGATCGATTATGTTGAGCAAACCCTCTCCGAAACTCGCGAACGGGATAATGCCATCCTCGGCGGCGTGCGCCCGGATATGGTTGGACCTCGCCAGACTGTTATCAATACAGTCAGTTCTGGCCAAGGGTTTACTAACTCTTCTGCTCTGGCAGAGGCGGGTCTGAACGGTGGGATTGGGGGCTCTACTTTCCAGAGCTTTGATCTCAACCAAGGGAGTGTCTCCGGCGGAGCTTTCGGCGGAGGTGGTGGTACGCTCCTCAGTGGCTTCACAAACTCCAGCGATGATGAGGATGAAGAAATGGAGGATCAGGACGACAGAGACGCCGCCGCTGCTGAGCAAGGCGAATCAGAGAATGTGGGTAATCCTTCGATCGATGTCGAGATGCTTGACTCGTGACCGGCACGCACCTCTCCTTTGCCCTGAATTTATTTTTGTTATGGCGCTGGCTCATGGCTTGGGCCGCGTTGGCACATGGACAATGGGCACTTGAGCGGGAGGCGAGTGGTCCTGCATTCCCATAGAGCGCTTGATTTCCAGTGCTTCTGATGCAATGGATGGAATCGTCGACCTCCTGCGCACCCTCCACGTCATGGTCTGGCCCTTGGTTCACGCTGCTCATTCGTGTAGTCGTGGTACTCCATTGCCGCGACATTGGTCTTGTCGCCTCAATGTGCCATGCTTGCGGGATCACAGTCCCTCGGATGACCCGTTGCAAAGCGTTGCAAAAACATCGCTGCTTCTTATATTTCCTGTGCATTCACTTTGTTATGAATTTTCTTTCCAATCCATGTTTCTCATATCCAGTCGGCCTTTTCTTTTTTCTGATATCCCGTTGATGGATTGCAACTCACCTGCTACTGCGTGCATCGCATTGTTACTGACACAACCTTTCGCTAGGTAATCACAAACTCAACCAGCCATCCCATTCCAATTCTCCCCCCACCTCCCGCTCCCTTGAGCCTTGGACCCTCCCGAGCACGGCGTCAATTGGCCGCACGCCTGGCGGCCCAGAAGCAGCAAGCCGCGGAGAATGCAGACGCCGAAGAGGAGAGAAGGGCCGAGGAAGGTGGCGAGGAGCAATGGCATAGTAACCCCTTCGTTATTGCCGGCGTTGATGACGACGCAGAGGGAGGCCATACGACATTCCCCGACTCGGACTTCCCATCAGCCAACGCTGACCAGTCATTCTCGCCCACGTTCCCCGACTCGGGATTTAGTCCGCCGGACTCACTCTCGACCAATTCTTCCGAGGATGATGGCGATGGCCGTACGGAAGCCGTGAGACGCCGAGTCCGTGTACCGCTCGAGGTTGAGGACGATGATGACGAAATGGGCGAGATGGTTGCACCGACTGCCAGCGGCATGGTCGACTCGGACGATGAGGACGAGGCCATTATCAATGAATCCCTGGGCTACTCGAACCTCTCTGGGCCCGAGAGGTACAACAATCTGCGCCGCTCTCGCGCCGTCAGCTCTCATTTCGACGACGAGCAGAACGACAGCAGCGATGGCGAAGACGAGGGGCTGGTGGAGATCTTGGTTCCGGGCCGGAAATCCTCGACTTCGAACTAGTTAACTAGTTTCGATGGCGCCTTTTGTATATATTGCCGTCTTGGGTGTTCCGCATTCTATCTGATCTTCATCAGTCGGCACCATAATCTGGCATGCCGCGTGCGTTTCGTCGGGTTGGTTGCTGTAGTGTTTTTCGCATGATCAGCTGCTCGGGTGTCCTGGGGCTTCTGATCATGCCTCTGGCGAAGTGGGGGGTTGCGCCTTGTACGATAGTTGTTTTTCGAGAGCGAATGGATGCTGTGGTTTGTTTATGCGACTTCAAATGCGTAGCGTAGATCTATGAATGCGTCTGTCCCTACCCAATCACGCATATTCGGTGAGAACCAACACTCCAAGGCTTTCGAGAATATTGCCAGCTTTCTTTCTATCACTAGAGGACTTGATTAATCGTCAATTGAGTCCCATTGAATTGCAGAGATGACGTGCAGGCAAACTGCGGGCGAAAAAAATGTGGGCCGTGGGTCGACCACCGAATCTTTTTGAGAGCTGCGAACAACCCCACGACTGATATCAATTGCCACGATTGTGACAAGTGGCCGTCTGCGATATACACGACCCCTATTTGAATACTGGGCCATGGTATCGGGAGAGTAAGCAAGACAGAAAACCCCCCCCCCCCCCCCCCAGACAATACCCGCAATGCCTTAGATCTAACCCGCAAACTCAGATCAATGGGCGACCACTCTCTGGAGGCACACACGTCCCTTCTGGACTGGGTCGCCAGACATGGAGGGCACATCGACAACAGCGTGCGCGTGGCCCAGGACGCCTCGCGTGGCGTGCACCTGCAAGTGAAGGCCGACTGGCCGCAACCCATCTCGAAAGAAACGCGAGTGATCAACACGCCGCTGGCGGTGACCATGTCCTATTTCAATGCCATTGAATATACTTGCGCACGGGGTTCTTTCTCTAGTCATGACGTGGTGTTCCCGCGCGCATTCATTGACGCCGTGGGCCCCGAAGAGACGACTGCGTTCTTTCTGATGGGCCAGTATTTGCGTGGTGCGGAAGGGTTTTGGTATCGCTACTTGCGCACCCTGCCGCAGCCGGGCCAACTTACTACGCCGCTGTTCTTTGGGGAGGAGGATGTGGACTGGATTCAGGGTACTGGGATCCCGGACGCCTCGGTGCAGAGGTACGAGCTTTGGGATAAGAAGTATGAGGAGTCGATTTCTGCGCTGGAAGAGTTGGGTTTTGAGAATACGGAGGAATACACTTGGTGAGTATGAGAATTACTTGGCTGATCAATCTCTCGAGGCAATTGTGGACTGACTTTGTAGGGATTTGTACTTGTGGGCCTCGACGATTATCACCTCGCGCGCGTTCTCAGCCAAGGTTTTGTCTGAAGCTGTCGAGCCTTCTGATTTCCCCGAAGACGGAGTGTCGGTGCTGCTCCCGCTCATTGATCTCCCTAACCACAGGCCACTTGCCAAGGTTGAGTGGCGAGCAGGGAATAACGATGTTGGTCTGCTTGTGCTCGAGGATATCTCTCCAGGGGAAGAGATTTCGAATAACTATGGGCCGCGGAATAACGAACAACGTTGGTGTTCTCATTCAAATGAAATGAAGTAAACACTAACAATATTTTCTAGTTTTGATGAACTATGGCTTCTGCCTTGCCAACAACCCATGCGACTATCGCATAGTTAAACTGGGTGTCAAGCCAGACAGTCCGCTCAGCCAGGCTAAAGCCCGCCAAGTGCAGATGTTCCCTGAACTGGCCAAAAACACCGACAACCACTACTACATCTTCAACGTATTCTACCCGCTCTTGGCTCCCAACACCGCGATGGAACACTCGATATTTTCTCCAGCGCTGTTCAACGCACTGGGAATCATGCAGGCAAACGAAAGGGAGCGGAATATGCTCGAGATCACCGAGGCTGGCACGCGCATCCCCGCAGTCTACGGTAACGGGCACAGCACCCTTGCGGCGCTGGCCCAGATCAGTTTTGAGCTCATTGCTCACATCGAGATACTCAGAGCCTCCGCCGAGGGTCTGTCGCAGCCGGCGAACCTGAATCAGACCCACACGCAGATCTACCGCAATAGTCAGATCACCCTGGATGAGACGGCGTTGATCATCGCCACATGGACGATCACACGGGCACGGACACATGACCGAGACGAGAGCTGGGGTGATATAAAGACCCTGCTGAATGAGCATATGGCTCGCGTGCCGGCTGGTCTGCTTTCCGAAGAGATCCTGTCCCGGACCCAAGTGCGTATTTTGGAGCGCCAGTCCCTCTTACCAAAGAATGGCGAGCTGTTCCGACTCGGCGAGCTTTTCGCCCTTCTGCCCAGTGAAATGCAAGGCCCGACTCAGTCATGCTTCAGTCACATTATTGAACAGGCAGGGCAGGCCATTCCAACCTTGCCGAGTGATCCTCAGGCTCTGTTTGCCATTGTGATATGCCTGCTGGTGGCAACACATCGCTCACCTGAAGCACGGCCACAGCTTTCGTCACGTCTTACCAGATGGGTAGAATTCCTTTTTGAGCAATACCCGTCACCAGGAAATGACAGCGGGTTCTCCGAGGCTGACGGGAGACATACTCGGCGCCAGCTTGGTGAGTTTGTTAGGACACAGCAGTCATCTACATGGCCCCCCAAGACTGGGGTCACTTGGCTCACAGAGACCAGTGGGTGGCTGGACCCGAACTGGCTCCAGTGGGCATGGACTGTGGCTGATGCAGAGATGGTGTTGATTCCCCTCGAGCCATTGGCGATACTGGCAGCAGAGGGACCAGTTGCGATACCGAAACAGGCATGTTTGTATGTACCTCAGGAGTAGAGAAGCAGTTGTCTGCTGTTGAACATTAAAAAACATCGAGACGTTCGAAAAGATGAGAGGAAACGAAGTTGCGTCATGGCCGGTGTGGGATGCTGACCATAGCTGACTCATCCACACGTGACCATCTGTCCAATCACATCGCTCGTAAAGGCGGATCATTCAGCAACGCAGGAATTGTGAGCTCCACGACTCCCCTTCCTCTTTCTCCATGACCTGTTGACCCCTCTGCACCTCGCATTGCCAACTCCCGTCATCATGATACCTCGAGCGGCTCCCGCCTCGTCCCTCTCCCAACTCTCGGCCCGTTCGCTCCGTGCCCAGGGGGCCGCCGCCCGCTCCTTCGCAACGGTGCAGGAGGCGCCTCCCGTGCGGCATCATGGCGGGCTCCAGGACCAGGACCGGATATTCACCAACCTCTACGGCCACCATGGCGCGGATCTGAAGTCTGCGATGAAGTACGGTGACTGGCACAAGACCAAGGAGATTGTTCTGAAGGGCCACGATTGGGTGAGTGTCCACTGTGATGGATTTGGGGGGGAAAGCACAATTGCTAATACGGCCATAGCTCATCTCGGAAATCAAGGCGTCGGGCCTCCGTGGCCGTGGTGGAGCTGGTTTTCCTTCTGGATTGAAATATGTAAGTGGACAGTGTTGGGACACTTGCGAGTCAAGGTGTGGCTGACCCGGGCGTTCCGTGCTCGAATAGTCGTTCATGAACTTCAAGGACTGGGACAAGGACCCGCGACCGCGTTATCTGGTCGTCAACGCCGATGAGGGTGAGCCCGGTACTTGCAAGGACCGCGAGATCATGCGCAAGGACCCGCAGAAGCTGATCGAGGGTTGCTTGGTGGTTGGCCGTGCCATGAACGCCAATGCGGCCTACATCTACATCCGTGGCGAGTTCTACCACGAAGCCACCGTCCTCCAGCGGGCCATCAACGAGGCGTACGAGGCCGGCCTGATCGGCAAGAACGCCTGCGGCACCGGATACGATTTCAACGTGTACATCCATCGGGGAATGGGCGCCTACATTTGCGGCGAGGAGACATCACTGATCGAGTCGATTGAGGGCAAGGCTGGCAAGCCGCGTCTCAAGCCTCCTTTCCCTGCTGCCGTCGGCCTGTTCGGATGCCCCAGCACAGTCACCAACGTGGAGACGGTCGCCGTGACGCCAACGATTATGCGACGAGGTCCCAGCTGGTTCTCGTCGTTCGGTCGCGAGCGTAACGCTGGCACCAAGCTGTTCTGTATCTCAGGCCACGTTAACAACCCCGTCACCGTCGAGGAGGAGATGTCCATCTCGCTGCGTGAGCTGATCGAGAAGCACTGTGGTGGTGTCCGCGGCGGCTGGGACAACCTTTACGCCGTCATCCCCGGTGGCTCGTCGACTCCCGTCATCCCCAAGTCGGTGGCCGACAACCAGCTCATGGACTTCGACGCCCTTAAGGACTCGCAGACCGGTCTGGGAACTGCGGCCGTGGTCGTCATGGACAAGTCCACGGATATCGTGCGCGCCATCTCTCGTCTGTCCAGCTTCTACAAGCACGAGAGTTGCGGCCAGTGCACCCCCTGCCGTGAGGGCAGCAAGTGGACCATGCAGATGATGCAGCGTCTCGAGACGGGCAACGCCCGCGAACGCGAGATCGACATGCTCCAGGAGCTCACTAAGCAGGTCGAGGGCCACACAATTTGCGCCCTGGGTGAGGCTTTCGCCTGGCCCATCCAGGGTCTCATCCGTCACTTCCGTCCCGAGCTGGAGGCCCGCATCCGCGAGTACCAGAAGGAGCTGGGCACTTCTCCCTACGCCGGTGGCTGGCACCCGGACAGCCGTGCTGAGGGCAAGCTGATCTCCCCCGGCATGTAACTTCCTTACTCCTTATTTCCTCTCCTTTTCTTTTGTCGCCCTCCCAAAACGACGCAAGAGTCCTCGATTAGATCTCTTGTCTTTCTTCCTCTCCGGCCGGTAATGCGTTTTCTGTCTCGTCTTTTTATGGGGTCTTGGTCCGGCCGGAGATGGGGAATATCTCCTTCTATACTTCTTTTTCTTTATTCCTGTTCGACCCCCTCTCGTGTTCTACTGTCGCGCCTAGGTTTCTTCCTTTTCTCCTGTACAGTCGGTAGCAAATTTGATGCATTTCATGTCTTCATTTGGTCCGTTGTAGCTCCTATGCGTTTGTTTGTGTTTCTGTCGCTGTACAAGAGCAGCGATACACACAGGGCGAGTCTAAAAAAGAAGGAGTTTGCAAAGCACTCAGCAAGTCGTCGGCGAGACCCTCCCCTCATCCATATCTGTGCTTTACGTGCGATCCTCAGCAGCCCGACGATCCGTTCCAGCATGCACAACACTAACACATCCATCATCAGGGCTCTTACCATTGGCCCTCACATCGCCCGCAGTCCGCGCCTTCTCCATCTTCTCCTTCTCTCTGTGCTCCATCCTCGCAACCCTCTTCTCACGCCACTGCATCCCCCAAAGACTCTCCACCCAAAGCAACCCCATCGCAAGAGCCATCAAAAGCCCCAAAAATGCAAAACACCAGCCCCACCCCATCCCACGCAGCATATGATCAATAACCGCCGCGCCGACAGCGCCGAGCCAGCACCGCACCAGATTGCACGCGGCGGCCGCTGTGGCGGGCCGATCCGGGAACAGATCCACCAGGAGCGTGTTGAGGGTGTTCAGGGAGGCGATGAAGCAGAACCCGATGATGAATTGCAGGGCGAGGGGTGCTGCGAGCGGCGCGCGCTGCTGGAGCACCCAACCGTAGGGGATGAAGGTTGCTACGCCAACGGCCATTACGGGGAACACGGTTTGCAGGCGGGTGTGTTCGATTGGGTAGGCACGCAGGTCGTCGCCTTTTTTGCGGTCGACGGGGACTCCCAGTTTGCGGGCTGTGCGCCGGTAGTTGTAGTCGATTACCTTGCCGTTTAGAACGGCGCCGATGCAGGCGCTGGCGCCTAGAGGGCTGCAGGGTTGATTTGTTTTGATTAGTATATGAGGTTCGTGTATTGTTCCTTGGAAAAGGGCTTGGAAAAACGGTTGGGTGCAAACCATTAGCATTGGGAATGGACTTACATGAAACACAGTCCGATCTGGAGGTCGTTGAACCCGTATAACTTTCCGAACAGATTCGGCGTGCTCGTCAGCAGCGCTATGTTCGAGAACATGACCAGCCCCACGAATGATATGATGATCAGCGCATCCTTTTCCAACAGAACTGCGACGGACGTGAGCGGGTTGGGGAACGAAAGCTTTGTAGTCCGTCGCGGCCGCGCCGGGCTAGCACTGCGACGACCTTCTCGACCGGTCTGCTCATTGTAATCAGACTTGAGATTCCGACGACGACGCCGCGCCATCCAATACTGCAGCAGCGACATGCGCCACCACTCCCGGGGCGCGACACTGCCATTGCCAACGATCTTGCGCGCCGTCTCAGGCATGGCCACCATGAAAAGAATCAGGTACCCGCCACTGATAATAACCAGAAACCAAAAGACACTGCGCCAGCCCAAGAATCTCGCCAGCAGCCCGCCGACAACGGGCCCCATAGCCGGGGCCACCATAATGCCAGCGGCCATGGGTCCGATATACTGGCCGCGCTCAGCCGGCGTCGCAATATCAGCGATGACTCCGTACCCAAAGGACACGGTACCGCTACTGCCAGCGCTCTGGATACAGCGCAGCACCAACAGCGCCGCAAAGCTATCCTGCAGGGCGAGCCCGATGTTGGCCGCGGTGTAGATGGTGAACGCGAGGATGTATGCCGGGCGCCGGCCACCCGTGTCGGCAAATGTGCCCATGAAACTCGGCGCTAGCCCCTGCAGGATCATGTATGTTGTGATGGTCAGGTTGACTAGCGCCGTCGTGAGGTGGTAGCTCTCCACCAGCGTGGGCATCACCGGGTAGTAGATCTGGCCGGAGAGCGGCGAGAAGAACGAGGCTAGCGTTACCATCACCACGATAAAGCGTTTCTCGTGCTTGCCGAAGGCGGAGTGTACTTCGTCTGCGTCATTGGCGTCCCTTGTCGGCGTCTCTTTCTGTGCCTCGAGTGCTGACAGGTCCGAGCCTCCTGATGCTGCTTCGGGCTGGTCTGTGGTGTTGCTGCTGCCGTTGGGAGTGTTGAATGCTGTGCTCGGCTCATCACCCATGGCATTGGAGTGGGGGACAATCCCATCGTCGGCATTCGTCGTGCCTCGCTTCTTTTGCTCCATGTTGTGATGATCATCATTATCATCATGGCCACGCCGTATCACAACCTTAAGCATCACCTCCTGCTTGTCTTCCGGGTATTGATCTCGGTTCATATTCACGCAGAATCAAAGACCAAGGCAAGAACAAGAACAAGCATAAAAGTCAAGGATAGGACCGAGCAAGAAAATCAAGCCCTAATCCACCAACACAACAGACTCAACGAGCGCAGGACAACTGCAAATCAAGTCTTGTCTGTCTGTCTGCCTCGCATAAACCTGAGCCGTCTTCAATCTACCACAAGAAGAACACCAGAGCCCACCGCAATGGAAGCGTTCTAGGCAGAGACGAAACAAAAACACAAAAGCTAACTCCTACCCAACGGCCGGGTCACACCCTCGCACACGCGAACTGCCGGATATCGGACGAAACACTAGAAGACCCAGAGAGGGTTGTGCGTGTCCTGGGTGTCTGCGTATCTTTTTTGTGCGTGTATATGTCCGTGTCTATGGGGAGTGTTATTGACCGCGGCGTGGCGCTATCATGGACTGGCTTTGCCCTCAGCCTGTAAATAAGGCGGTTCTGTGCAACAGGAACGGACTGGATCAGGGCCTTGTCTGACCCTGTCTGGAAGGGGACTCGAGGGCAAGGAAAGCCAAGGGTTGGAAGATGAATGACACTCCTGCAGAATGCAGCGAGAAAGAGAGAAGAGCAAGATGACGTACTGTGTAGTTGATGATGGACAAACTTGGAAGACTCGGTTTCCAGTGCAAGTCACTGCCGTCCAGGGAACTGTGCGAGTCGTCTATTCCTCGAAGAATTTCTTGAATCGAGGGCACAGAAGAAGGGCGCTGCTCCATCCAGTTGCTGCCCTTTTTCGCTGTCTACTTTGCACTCCAACCAATCACCGGCGTCCCGGTACCGGCATATTAACCGGGACCGGGCAGGTACTTATAGCCTCAAGCAGTGTTTCTACTAACATCTCAAGAAGTGAGTTACTACGAAGGGCAGTTAATTGTATTGGCACAGATCAATAGATTTGGTAGTGAGTTAAAAAAAAGGGTGGAGTACAGGACACAATCATGACAGCAAGTGTTTCGTGGGGGGATAGACATAGAAAAGAGGAACATAGGAGAAGAGAGAAAAGAAATCCAGAGCCAACATAGGAGAAACATCATCTTAGAAGCCGTTTAGTAGCCACCCGCCATAATGACGCCGTAGTAACGACGACTCATCTCTGCAGTCTGCAGGATGCGAGCATCGCCGGTCAGAGGCAGACCAAGGACGGCGGACGATTGGACCGACTAGATAGAAAAGGAAACAAGTCAGCAAGGAAGACATAGATGAACAAAGTCGAAACGGGAAAAAACCAACCTGGACATCCTCGTGCGCAATCCAGCCAGCCACCGCACGGCTCATCTCTTTGAATGCCACGCGCTCCTCCAGCCCTTCCACGCCAGAGCTCTTCCCCACACGGTCGCCCATCGCCACTAGGGCATTCACCAGGCGACTAAGACGAGTAGCGTCACGCCGGCCACGTGTGGCGGTACTCAGGCGCAGGAAGTCTTCATACACGCCGCCGCCAGAAGCCCATCCCCGCATCTTACGTTCAGGGCCGTCTCCGAAGCCAGAAACCAAGTTGTCCAGGGTGGCATAGTCACGCTCGACGACGGCCGTAGGGCCGACGATGCGACAGAAAGTGGCGTGAGCGTCATTCCAATGCTTGCCACGGATAAGACAATCGACTTCGCGGGCAGCGTCGCCGATGTCGCGGGCGTGCAGCGCCTTGGCCACCCAGATCCAAGCCTCGGGGAGCTGCAGGTCAGCGGTGAGGAACTGCCAGGCCGAGTCGGTGGAACCGTCGGCCGCGAAGGGGTCGGGAAGCTGTGCAGCAAAGCGGGCGAGGGTTTCTTGCACGGCACGCTTGCGGTCGGTCGGCTGCGAAAGGTGCAGGAGGACGAACAGTGCTTGCACGAGTTCTCCGCTGGCGTTGAGTTCCGAAGCGTAGTCCCACACGAGATGGTCGGTTTTGGCAGTGTTGGTCTTGATCGCATCGTGGTGTCCCACGAGAGTAGCGAGGACATGATGCAGTTGGAACGAGAGTCGGTTGGTTAGGCGGTCGCCAGACACCGACTCGGGAAGCAGAGCCGCCGGGAGCTCGACGGGTGGGAGTTTGGTGTGGCTCGTGGTTGCCGAGTAGGCCTTGAGGATGACCCAGAGCGGAGATTCACGGCCAAGAGTGTCGGAGCCAGGCTGCAGTACTGCACGAGTGCTGGTTCGGTGTGAGGGATGGGGGTAGGCAGACTCTTGCCCGGTAGCCAAATCTTCGAGGAACTTGGAGACGGCCGCCTCGATCGGCTCATCCTCGGTGATGCCATACCAGAGACGAAGACCGAAAGCCTGGAACCAATCGAGCTCGAACCGATCGGTCAAGACAAGGCTGGAGGTTCGGTCCTCGAGAGCACCACCCGATTTGCCCTCGCTGAGGAGAGCGTTGCCGGCGACCAGTTCAAACAGGGCTCGGACAGGCTCGCTGATCTCCGAGAGCACATTGTTCTGGCGCCATACATCGATCTGGTTGGCTATGTCGGACTGCGAGGTAGCATCTCTGCCAATCTGTGCGACCACGGTGGCCAGATGAAGGTTTTCGCTCTCAATTAGGGTTTTGCATGCCTCGTCGACTCGGTGGGAGCAAAGCAGGTGAAATGCGCGCTCTTCGGGCGAGCGAATCAGCTCCAGGTCATGAGCATGTTTCTCGCGGACGATTCCCTCCCAAAGCCGAGTTAACCGGTCCTTCTTGATGCGGTGCGCAAATTTCGACCGGAGTTGCGGTGGCACACCCGCGGAGATGTCATCCTCAATCTCATCATTGAACAGAATGCTGACCAGCTGCCAAACCAGTCGCTCCTCATCCGATTGGGCACGGCTGGACGGGGACAAGGTAAACTGGTGAAGATCAACCTCGCTCATCCGGACCAGAGGAGTTCCGTCAATGCGCTGGATGGTAGACTGTTGCCTTTGCACGTCCAGCATCTCCTTCGACTATAATAATAATAATCAGTACTTAGAGCCCATACAGTCAAGCAACTGAACACACCTCGCTTCCTTTGTTGTATGTCATGACCGCGATGTCTCTGGCCTCACTGAAAACAGAGAAGCTCTCCTTCCAGCCATGCTCGGTGTCGGCGATGGTCTCGTTCAAATCATTCTTGGCGCAGACGATGGAGTCCTTGGGGCCCCAGCGAGGTTTGAATGAGCCATGGAAGGCCGCTTCGGTCTCGGTCATTTGCGCTGTGTCACCCGCAAAGGTCTTGGGTTGCTTGTTGTAGGGCCACTGTATGAGAGACAAAAGTTTTAGCAATGAGTATGTCAAATTGGTTCAGCTATCTGTGGGGGGTTGATCAATGTCCTAGATACAAATGAAGAAACAAACAGGAATCGCAAGGGAATTGGTGAAAATGCAAACTATGAACAAGGGAGCTCAAACCTCGATGCCATTGGGTTGGACAGACGCCTTCAGCGGAGAGGGTGCATTCTGCTTCCGCGGTTGCTGGAACAAGGAGTTCATCAGGTCGATGCTGTTGGAGAATCCCTTCTTGGGAGATTCCTTCGGCTTGTCCGTGGGAGATCCCCCGTTCAAAAGAGGGCGATCTGTGAAAGCATTTCCCTGGATTTCACGCAGAGCGTCGCGGTTTTGCTTTCGAGGGCTGATGGTACGTTGCAGCTGTTCAGCCCAGTCGCCACTGAGGTTGAGTCGCGGCTTTCCGGGGGTGCCAAAGGGTTTCGAGATGGGCTGGGTGGTTTCCAGGTCACCGTCAGTGCTCTGAGAATCGTCCCGCTCCACGGTGCGATGAAGGTTGGGAAAGGAACCCGCCATATCCATGTCCTCACCCTCATCAGATTCAACTATCGAGTCGCCAGATTGCTGGCTTTCGGTGACGACCTCGTCGTCCTGCTCAATAGTCGAACCCGTGGAGCCTTCCTCTAAAAAAGACTCGGTCTCGCCGTCGGAACGCATTTCCTCATCCTCGGCTTCCATGGCCTGACTACCAAACGAGCCGGGAACGAGCTTGCGCTTCTTGAAGTCGAAGGTGTCATCGTCAACACCGGCCATGGAGCCAACAAAGGACTCATCGATGGAGAAGGTCGCGGATTGCTCAAAGCTCGCGGGGTGGTCGGACTGAGCCTTTGGGGTGCCACTGTCAGGGCCAGCACTCAAGGTGCTCTGGTCAAGGCTCTCACCTTCTTCGTCCTCTTCATCATAATCCAGCCCATAGGTGGTGTAGTGGGGCACCTTGAACACCCAGGTTCCGGTTTCAATCTCGTAGGTGACAAATTCGGTATCGGTGACCTTTTGCAGGCGGTCAATGTGTTTGTCAAAGAGGGGACCGCTAGTAAGGGGCGACGGCTTCTTCCTGTCCCTGCCGCGGGGCCAGGAGTTCTGGATTCGGAGAGTAGACGGGACGTTAAGCCCTTTACCCATGGGGGGTTTGATCCCTTCATCAGGGTACACGGTGATCTTCCGAACGCCGATATCGACAATTTTCGCGAAGAGGTTGTCCAGCTCAATAGTGGTCAGATCGACAGGTTCGTTGAAAGTAACTTGTCCGCAGTTTCGGCGGCCAACGGTGAAGTCAGCGACGTGCTTGAGCTGGTCACGGCTCATCTTGTTAAGCTCCGCGCGGCTGGGCTTCATCCAGTACTCGCCCGGCTTCGGGTCGCCGCCAGGCACGAACGTAAGACGCTTCACACCATCAACCGAGGCAGTAGTAGGTTCTCCATTTTCCGGGACAACGGCAAGGTCGCGGCGAGCAGACTCCATCTCGGGACGGTCAGTATCTCCGACGCCGTCAATACCGTTGATGCTACCGCTCTTGCGGACAGAACGAAGAAAACCAAGCTCTTCGGGGGTCGGTTCGGGGCTCTTGGATTCGACACGAATAACCTCGGCATCAGAAGGGGTCGTGGAGTCAAAGCTGACCTTTTTCTTCAGCTTGTCAGCCGGCTGAGCGTCCTCTCCGTTCGTAATGGGCGCGGGAGAGATGCTAGCGGGGCGCGAAAACAGATCATTTCGCAAGCTGCGATCGATAGTAAGGCGCTTAAGGCTGCCAGTATTGGCGCGAGTGCTGCCAGGCTGGAGGGCACCGGGGGACAGAACGCTGTCCGAGTCTGGGTCAAAGGTCTTGCGAAGGTTGCTGGTGGAGTAGCTCTTGCTGAAGCTACGGCCAAAGCTGCCGTTAATGCTGCCACGAAGACTGCCACTGCCACCCAGAAGGCTGTTGCCGAGGCCAGAGGGAGTGCTCGTGGCGCTGGACGGTGAGCCGTAAGTGGAGTAAGAGAAGCCATAGCCTTGACGCTTCGGCGGCGTGATGAGGCGATTGGCAGCATGGGGAGTGATCTTGTACGCAGGCAGTGGGGTTCGCTGCTTTTGCTTGACGCTGGAGGAAAGCGGCGTGGCCAGGGGACCGGGAGTCGGTGCGTTGGGAGTCGGGAGGCCAGAGAAGATGGACTGGCTACCGTAGGGGTTACCTTCTAGCAGGGATGCCTGCAGGCTTCCAGGGGCTGGCTGCTGCTGCGGCGCTTGCTGGGATGCACCAAACAAGCTGCCGCCACCGAGGCCTCCAGCTTGCGGTTGTTGATTCTGGGTACCACCAAACAGTGAGGATCCAGCGCCCTGGCCGGTCGTGCTTTGGGTGCCGAACAGACCACCACCGGTGCTTCCGGTCGATCCAAAGAGGCCGCCACCGGGCTTCTGCTGTTGCTGATTCTGGGAGCCGCCGAACAAGCCCCCGCCGCCCGGTTGCTGGGTCTGGGTGTTCCCAAAGCCCGAGAATGCGCCGCCAGTGGTACCGCCAGTCGAGCCAAAGAGCCCGCCGGGCTTCTGCTGCTGCTGGTTCTGCGAGGTGCCGAAAAGACCACCGCCAGTACTAGTTTGCTGGGGTTGGGCACCGCCGAAAAGCGAGCCCGTTCCTTGCTGGGGTTGTTGCTGTTGCTGGTTTTGACCGAAGAGTGAAGATCCGGTTCCAGAACCACCAGTACCAGTGCCGCCAAACAAGCTCGAGCCGGGTTGCTGTTGCTGAGTGGCCCCGCCCAATCCGCCGCCAAAGAGGCCTTTGTTCTGGGTTTGGTTCTGAGCTTGGTTTTGCTGGCCGAAACCACCACCAAATGCACTCGTTCCAGTCTGCTGACCGCCACCAAAGGGAGTCGTGCCAGCCGTGGAGGCGCCAAATGGATTCGGAGCACTGGTCGCGGGCTGACCCAAGGTACCACCACCGAATCCTGTACCAGTCCCACCAGTGCCACCGAAAGCGGGCTTAGTCTGTTGCTGAGCATTGCCGCCAAACAATGAGCCGCCGGTGCCACCGAAAGCGCTTCCAGTGCCAGTACTGCTTCCGAAGCCGCCAGTTGTTCCAGTCGTCCCACCGAAGAGACTGGGTTGTGAGGTCCCGGATGTTCCCCCACCACCGAATAGTGAGGTTGCGGGCTTGGATGCTCCAAACAATGGGTTAGAAGGGGTTGAGCCGAATCCGCCGGTCGTTGCAGTTTGGCCAAATCCGGATGGCGCACTGGTAGCAGCAGCACCACCAAATGGCGTAGTACTCGCGCCGAAGCCCGTGCCCGCAGTGTTTTGTTGCTGACCAAACCCACCGGCTCCCCCGAAGGCAGAGGTGCCAAAGGCGCCGGCCTGACCACTGCCGTTGCCGAAGCGGCGTCCTTGCTGGTAATCAGCAAGTCGTAATTCCTCGAACGAGAATTTGTTGTAGGGCTGCATGAAGCTGACGCTCTGGTAATGGTTCATCGTGCTCGAATTCTGGTCTTTCTCCGTGAAGGGGTTGAACGGGGTGCCACCAGTGCCCTCGCAAGGAGGGAGGGCACCTTGGAAGGCAGTGCCTGAGCCGCCGAAGCCTGCGGTACCAGTGCCAGTGGCGGCGCCGGCGCCGGCACCCGTGTTAGCCCCGAAGCCACCGCCCGTGCCGAAGCCACCCGTGGTGTTCGTCGTGCTGCCAAAGCCCCCAGTTTTGTTACCGCCGAAGAGGCCGCCGCCGGCGGCACCAGCATTGCTGCCGAAACCACCTGTAGTTCCAGAGGAGCCGAATCCGCCACCGCCGAAACCAGTACTGCCAGCGGTTTGGGTTCCCCCGAAGAGACTCCCACCGCTAGACGTGTTGGTCGCGCCGAAGCCGCCGGGGCGGTTTTGGGTACCGCCACCGAAAAGGGAATTAGATTGGTTTTGTGTGTTGGTTCCGAAGCCTGATGAGAGATAAAAGTTAGCAAATGCAATGAATTTGCAGTTCAAATAAACACTATAAGTGGCATAGAAAAAGAAAACAAGGTCCTCGGATGCCGATCGCTCAAGGTCCAAGGAAGTCACTGAAGCGCAGGATGATGAAGACGGTGGTCGGCGACGCAATACAACTCGAAAACTGCTGCAACGCAGGGCGTTCCAAAGCATGACCGGTGCAACCCCTTCGGATAGCCGAGAACGGATCGGAGCAAGGATATCGATGAAGCGCCACCCCGCAAGGGCGCCGGGGGAGCAGAATCGCAAGGCTTATTCGCTGAGCACGTACCTCCACCGGAGCCAAAGCCACTGGACGTGTTGCTGCCAAAGAGGCTGCCACCTGTGTTTCCCGTGGTGCCACCGCCACCAAACGTGGAGGAAGTCGAGCCGAAGCCTAGATGACGGGAGGGATCGCGGTCAGAGAGACTGGTTTCCAAGCAGGCCCTTGCTTTCCTGGTTCTTGCTGCGGTGTCGCTGATCGTCGAGATGATCCACGGGGCGTGATCTTCGGTGGCACGGTCAAGGTTGATAAACGTTGGCAGGTCTTCGCCTTGCGCGTGTCTTCGCCGAGTCGCGGGTCGACATCAGGAGCACCAGTAGAGGCCGAGCAGAGGCAGAAACCGAGGACAAAACAGAGGATGGGCCAGAAAAAAAAAAGAAAACCAGGTTGAAACTATCACAGGGAAAACCTACCTCCACCAGTGTTGGTGCCTCCGAAGCCAGAGCCCGTCCCGAAGCCGGAACTCTGGTTGTTCTGGCCAAACCCTCCAAATCCTCCGAAAGACATGTTGTCGGTTGGAGTTTTGGGTGATTAGGAATTCATAAGTTGATTTAAATTGATGGCGCACAGGTTGAATGAGGATAGAATGCAGAATGAATGCGAAAGAATAGAGGGGTGGCGGCGAAAAGGAGAGCGCGTGGAGGAAGAAAAGAGGGAGAGAGACGCGACAGAAAAGTAGTCAAGTTTGCCCAAGGCTAAAGATTAGTCATCCCCGGGCGACAGTGTTCCGTCACGTGAGTGCTGCCTGAGCTGGGCGACAATAACGATAATGGTCTTGTTGGTGCTTTCATGAACAATGATTTATGCAGTGGCATTAACTGATAAATGAATGTTTAATTTTCCCAAAAAAATTACTATTAAAAGGTGTCAAAGTAGGAAGCGCCACATTAATCATTGCAAGAAGATGAAGGACTGCATTCGGAATCACGAGTAGCATCCAAGTGCTCGCGGTGTGTATCTTACACCGAGTGGAATAGCGATCGGATTGTGAAAGCTTCTCGAATTACAGGTGAAAAACCAAGCTTTTAGCGAGCCTTTGTGCAATTTCCCGCAGTCTTAATGTTGTATATCCTAGTCTCCTCGTCGAAAATCTACATGTCTTCAGGGGTTTGATAATGGTAATGCAACCGAATAATAAAACAGTATCAAGAAAACCATAAAACAACATACTATTCACAGCGCTTCTGAAGACATACAAGGGAATCTCAAATACAATATAAGTGGACAAAACAAAGAGAAACAACCAGGCCGTGAGTCACTAGTCCGGCCTTGAACCAAACCGTCGGACATAACAAGGAGTGGCAAGCTAAGCCATGAGCATGGGATGCTCTAAAAGACTCCAAGAGATCGATATCCCGAGGACCTCCATTATCATAGTCATCAATTTATAGGCCGAGTATTTCTTTTACTTCTGGCGGGCATCGTGGACAGTGGCGATGATCTTGTCGACCACCGATGGGTCGGACAGCTATTCAAAGGAAATACGTCAGATCATCAAAGCTGCGATCTTTGGCAAATAGAGACACAAGACTTACTGTCGAGATATCACCAAGGCTATCCTCCTCACCGCTGAGGATCTTCCGCAGGATTCGGCGCATGATCTTGCCACTGCGGGTCTTGGGAAGGTCGTCGACAACAAAGACGGCCTTGGGGGCGGCAAACGGGCCGATCGATTTGCGGACCTGCATCACAAGATCCTTGCGCACCTCCTCATTTGTTTCGTTGCCCTCCTTCAGAGCGACAAAGGCATTGACGGCCTGGCCGGTCAACTCGTCGGCAATACCCACGACGGCGGCTTCGGCAACCATGGCTGGGGATTGTAAGCTTGATGAATACTTGCTGGTCGAGGACAAGGGACTTACGGTGTTCCAGGAGAGCAGCTTCGATCTCGGCAGTCGACAGACGGTGCCCGGACACGTTGACAACATCGTCGACACGACCGCGGATCCAGTAGTAGCCGTCATGATCGCGACCAGCGCCATCACCAGTGAACTGGACATCGGTTAGTCTCTTGATTATAACACTAACGGTGGATATGGGAGTTCTTACGTAGTATCCCTTATACACGTTCAGGTAGGTATCCATATAGCGCTTGTGGGCACCCCAGACGGTGCGGGCCATGCTCGGCCAAGGCTGCTTGAAGGCGAGAACACCCTCGACATCATTGCCAGTGATCTCCTCGCCCGAGACTGGATCAATGATAGCGGGCTCAATGCCAAAGAAGGGCATCGAGGCACTACCGGGCTTGGTCGGAGTCACACCACCCAAAGGGGTGATGACATGGGAGCCAGTCTCAGTTTGCCAGTAAGTCTGCGATAACAGAAGTTAATTGGAGATGAACGGCCAAAGCAATGGAGGGGGAGACAAACGTCGCAGATGTGTGCTTCTTCCTTGCCGACCGACTCAAAGTACCACTTCCAGACCTCCGCGGCAATGGGCTCGCCGACCGAACCCAAGATCCGCAGATGGCTCATCTTGTGGTGGATGTGCTGGTCGCCAGCGCGCTTCAATAACCGCAGGGCAGTCGGGGCCACGTAGAACTGCGTCACGTTGTACTTGTCGATCACGTCCCAGTAGCGAGCGAAGTTGGGGTATGCGGGAGTACTCTCAAAAACCACAGTGGCGCAGCCCAACAGCAGCGGAGCGTAGACAACGTACGTGTGACCGGTGATCCAGCCAACGTCGCCCCCACAGAAGAAGCGGTCGTCGTCGTGGATGTCGAAGACGTACTTGCCAGTCATGGCCGCACCGAGCAGGTAACCGGCAGTCGTGTGCATGACACCCTTGGGCTTGCCAGTCGAGCCCGAGGTGTAGAGCAGGAACAGCGGGTCCTCGGAGCTGACAGGCTCCGGGGGCAGGTAGTTGGGGTATTTCTCAACCTCCTCGTGCCACCAGAGGTCGCGGCCCTCGGTCCAGGGCACCTCGGCGCCCGTTCGCTTGTAGACCAAGACGCTGGACACTTCGGGGCACTGCTTGAGTGCCTCGTCGACAATGCGCTTGGTGCCAATGACCTTGCCACCGCGCTTGCCCTCGTCGGTGGTGATGACCACCTTGGAATGGGCGTCCAGGACACGGTCTCGCAGCGAATCCGACGAGAAACCAGCGAACACGACCGAGTGCACGGCACCAATTCGAGAACAGGCCAGGAAGGCAATGACCGCCTCGGGGATCATGGGCAGGTAGATGGCGACCGTGTCACCCTTTTTGACGCCGCGCTGCTTCAGAGTCCAGGCGACCCGCGACACCTCGCGCAGCAGCTCGCCGTATGTGATCTTCCGGCCCTCGTTCGGCTCATCGGCCTCGTAGATGATGGCCACCTTGTTCGGGTCCTTGAGCGCATGGCGATCGACGCAGTTGTAGGATGCATTCAGCTGGCCCTCGACGAACCATGCGTTGTCGCCGTTTTCGAATGATCCGAAGTGGGTGGTCTGGAAATCCCGGTCGAACGAGAGGAGCTCGCGGGCCATGCGAGCCCAGAAGGTGTTGGGACTGCGAATTGACTCCTCGTAGAGCTTTTTGTACTCATCCAGATCTTTGAGATATGTACCGGTGGGATGTTTGTCGTGGAATGCTTTGGGGACATGGAAAGTGTCGACCTCGTGTGCCTCCAGCACCTATGCAGTCATCATTAGACGCCGAAATCAACAGACAAGAAATTGCCATTCTTACCACTGAGGGCTGGGGAGGCTTAACGACGCCGTCCGACATAATTGCGAGCTCCTGTGGACAGAAGGAGACCAAGACGCGAATTCTGGGAGAAGAAACAGGGAATTAGTGGGCTTGCACACAGAGCGACACGGGATCATTAAGCTCGGGTCTTAGAGAGTCGGTGAGTGGGGTGGATCGAAACTAAAACACTCACTAGTCCACAAACTATGGGGCAGTATATAGAACCAAGAGAGAGAGAGAGAGAGAGAGAGGGAGGGAGATGAGAAAAGGGATAAGATGTGAGTCCAGAGAAGAAGGGAAAAATAGAAAAGAAAGAAAAGAGAGATCCGGGGATCCGCCACAAATTAGTAGTCTCGCGATCGCAGTGGAGACTCTTACATTTCCGTTACGCTCCCGATGCGGCGTATTTGCGTTGCACTTGCTGGGACATTATGAATCCGATATTCAGAATATAATCATATAATGCCTGCAGTATTTCCACTATCCTTCTTTCTACAATATTCTATACTATCTTCTAGACTATATTTCCATAGTATATTCTCCTATATTCTCCTATATCCACAGCGTATACTATGTACAGCGTAATACCCAGGCTCGGCTATGCGGGGCATGACCTTCCATTGCTCCGTTGCTCCGGGGAAAGCTACGTCCCCCGGGCTTCATTATCCCAGCCCGAAAAATATATATAAAATAAATATATAAAATATATTAACCACTAACTACTTTAAGTAGGTCCTTACCCAGGTATATCCCCACCTGCTCCTGTTCTCCGTAGGGACCATTTGTCCGAAGCCACCGGGGCATAACTGACCATACCACCATACCCTCGGCTGGAGGGCTTACTGCCCTTGGCACACATTGCCCAGGAGTACCAAGACACGCGAGACAGAGGGGAGTATGCACCTGTCTTCACACGCCACCCGACCCAAAGCGTATTATGGTATTATTCGCGAACACCAGACTTGCCAGTATCATGCCCCCAAAGAACATAAGGAACCAAACGATGTCATCGGTCGATCCTATGATGTAAACTCCCCAGATCCGAGGCGAATCGTTCGAATGCGGAGGCGATGAGTCAGCACCGTGAATATCATCATCATCATCATTCGACTATTGGGAATGTGGTCATTGGTACATGGCAATTAATACATGGGATATCATCCATGGATGTTGGATCGCGGTACTAGGCTGTGAGGTTGATTTCGAATCCTTCGCAAATCCTTCCCAATCCTTGATATCAGATCCTGCAAGTAATTCTTGCCGCTATATATTTCATCACTCCTATTTAATTGCCAGGTGTCGACAACGAAATATTCTATATTCCCTTGGTTCATATTCATATCCATATGCATGTTGATAAAATACAGTAATTTCCCCTGGTTCCTCAGGCAGAGTGTGGGGACCAGCGTGTGGGACGTGGGAAATTAATTGTGCCTGAGGAGAAAATTTTAAAAAAAGGCCTAAATTTCCAGGCTCTCCGAATACCCAAGCCCTAAAACAGGAAAAAAAAAGACATCTGATCACCCCCGAGTTCAGCGGCAACTCGGCTTCTCGCGCGAGTGGAAGGAGAATATAGTTTGGGGGATCGTCGCCCATTTGATCATATCGCGAAGATCAGTGGGAACACGAAGCCAGCCCAGCGCAGACTCACAGACTGCAGTTGTGTCGGTCTACCTATGTCCAGGTGCCTCGACAGAGATAGCTAGCGACTGCAGAACTGTGTCCACAGAAAAGCGAACACCTCAAGATCCACCGTCTTGCTTCTTGTTTTCCCAACAAAATCCTCACCGCGATGGTTGTGGGAATTACATACGCATTGTATCCCAACTGTCCTTTTACCTTCACCGAACACCTCGCTCATGCAAATCCAATCAGAATCGTGTGATTTCGCAAAGAAAGGAACTGTGGAGACGCCAGAACCATTTCTCGCACTTGGAAGATTTACTCTTCCAAGTATAGTGTGGGTGGGAGTATGTGGGAACGGGGATGCCGAGAAAACACCGAAATCCACTTTCGGATCGAGCAGGATTCGAATCCATGCAACGGACGAACCATGATTACACAGCGCTGGAATACCATTCACTGATCAACAGTGCAATCCAAGGCTTCCTTGACATGCTTGGGAAGAAAAAAATTCCGTGACCACCCTGTCCAGTGCGGTCCGTCGAGCCGGACCAGCGCCAGATTCATCAGCTCGCACCCTTTGCTCTGGTTGCGCAGTGCCTGGCGCCACATGTACACGAGGCGGCGGGCGCGGATGGCGTGGTCTTTGGACGGGGCTTGGACGACTAGCAGCATCATGAAGCTCGAGACAGTGGCGAAGCCGATTCGACACCCTGCCGTTCAATTGTTGAGTCAACACGTAATCAACACTTTTCGTCAAAAGAGTGATTGCCAACTGGGAATGGGGGAATGCGTAGAAGCTTACAGGAATACCAAAATCCAGCCAGGTCACTACACGCCATCCTCACAACCAACCGCAACATCGTCGCAGCACAGTTCTCTGCCGCCTTGAGCACGGCATTGCCCTCCCCGTTCGCACTGGACATGTCGATGGCCGGCACAGGCTCGACCTCGTCGGCCTCGATGATCTGCGAAATGTAGTCATCGACCATGGCGGCGAAGCTCGTTGCGTCCTCGGTCTCTTCGAAGAGGCGCGGCGGCGTGGCGGACCGAACCATTGGCCGTAGCAGCGCGCGGAAGATGAATACCTCCAGAAGAACGTAGGAAAAATGCAGGCAGTTGGATTGCGGGCCGGTGCGGTCGATTGTGGCGAAGAGCCGGTTTTGTTGTCTTAGTGGCGCTGGTAGGTGTGAATACCACACCCGGAGTCTTTGTAGAAGGGGGCGTGCTGTCTCGAGAGATTTGGTGAAGTTTGGTGATAATCGCTGGGATGCGCGCAGGGAGCTATATGCAGTGTGAATGATTAGGATGCTGAAAACTGGTTCAAAATGAAGAGAGAGAGAGACAGAGGAAAGAAGAAGAAGAAGAAGAAGAAGAAGAAAACTTACAAGAGGCGTTGCTGTACCTCGTCAGCAATGCGCGACAGGCGAGCAAAATGCTGAAACTGCTGCGCATACAGCACATCATCCCCAGAGTGGTTCTGCGGCGAAACCAGCGAGTCAACCCGAATCCGATCCAACCGGAAATCCTCCTCATCCAGATCTGTGACATCCCACTCATTGTCCCGAATATACGGCGGACGCCCCATCAGCAGACTGCGCCATTTATCCTCTGCATAGACAGCCCACCAGAGTCGTCGGCGCAGTCGTCGCTCCCAGGCCGGGAGGCCCATGGGCCGGCATTCCAACTGAAGCCCCAAGGATGTTGCCAGCCCGACGAGAATTCCGACAAACGACCACACAAACGGACTGTCTGCGACGGTGCTCTGGTTTCCTTCGCATGGTTTGTGCAGATACAGTAGACCTGCTTGTACGGTTGCCAGGTGCGGCGTGTGGATTTCCTCGAGGAGGTTCTCGAGGACCATGCGCCAGAGCCGGTCTGTGGGTGGGGTTGTGTATGCGTTTAGGATTGAGAGGTACTCGTCGAATTTGGCGAATGGCTGTGCGCTGGCGTAGATGGCTGCGAGTAAATGCGTGGGCATGGATTGCAGGACATGTTGATCTGGTGTGGTGCGAAAACCTGTCAATCCGAGTTGTGATCGCGAGATGATGGGCAGAGTCGGGAAGACGAATTTCATGAAGCTGAAATATGGATCAGCTATTGAACTAGTGCACTGCTATTACAGGAATTCCTCGGGAAGGAACAAAACAACACCTACAGAGCCACCAGTCTCTGGCCGCATTCCGGGGCAATCAAGAAGTTCAGCTCATCTCTGATAGACTCCTTCTGTGCAAACCTCGTGCTCTCCCTAGCAGGCTCATACAACTGGTCTGCCGCGACGAGGAAATGAACCGGGATCTTTTCGTCCAGCGGCACCCCGCCGGCATTGCGGAAATGAACCTGATGAAACAGCAGGAAGCCATGGTCATCGAACTTGCAATGCCGCAGCAGCCAGGGGTCTGATTCTCCCGATGCGCCGATCAGCTGCGGCGAGAAGCCTTTCAAAAGATCCAGCGTCTGGATGGCCTGGGGCGTGGGCCACTCGGGGAAATGGTGAGCCGGCTGGGATGGGAGGAGGAACTCGTTGGGTTGGACGTCCATTAAATGGGAGTCGACATTATCGGCGGTGGCGTCTATTGTGTCCAAGGATGACTCTGGCTCTGTGGGATATTGAACATGATCGGTTCTCTCGGACGGGATGGTGATATGCCCTTCAGTAGTAGTCTGTATATCGTCTTGAGCTGACACGGACTCGAGTCGAGGTAGAGTGGTGGGACTGGAGACAGCATTGAAGCTGCAGAGCGAACCAGCTGCTTGGCATCGTTGACAGATTTGACCCGCTTCTGCCTGACACCTTAGTTTCTTCCGTCGGCATTGGTCGCAGGGTGGATGTCGTTTTGATCGGTAGGGTCGGGCATCACCATGGCAGTGATTAGGGTTACTCGGGGAAGACGGCTCCATGACTTCTCGGCGAGCAGAGGAGACAGTGCGGCGAATGCACCATTTATGGACTCTTGTCGCGCACGGAATTCGGCGACGCTATAATGTGCATGATGATTTTCTCTGGTGTTATGAGAAGGCGAGTACCCACATTGTGTCCACGGATTCTGGTGATGCTGGCCTGACTTCGGGTGGCCTCATCCGAGGAACACCGGAGTGGTAGTTGTTCATGGGGCAAATACCGACTCCATCATCTTCCAAAGTGATTTAGCGGTAGTATTAGGACATGAGCGGAGTGCTCATTCACCGAACATCTCGAGTAGGCCAATCACAGGTTGATTTCACCGAGCATTTCTCATCCATTTTCAAAGGAAGTGGAGCATTCATCGGCGAGCGATGCCGTGATCCAATGGCAGCTGGAGATGGCCGATGATCGCATATCTGCCATAGACAGCTAGAGTCTGAAAGCAGTTTAGTTTATTGGACCGAGTTTGTTTGGTAGAATGATCTGCGATAGCTAATAATATGATCCGGTTATATCAAGAAAAAGCCCAGGTGTGAATGACTCCTTCCAACTTCCAATCTTTTCTTAGTGATTGTGCCAATATGTTAGATTCCGAAGCTAGCACCCCCCAAACAGAAGCCCTCGGCGTGTCCCCAGTACCAGCCAGCACCGATCTCTGCGACGAGACCAGCTATCCCGAAGGCGGGCTCAAAGCGTGGTCGGTCGTGCTAGGGGCCTGGTGTGCAATGATCCCTTCTATGGGGTTATTGAACAGCCTGGGAGTTTTGCACGCATGGACCAGCACCCACCAGCTCAAGGATTATTCCGAATCCAGTATTGGCTGGGTCTGCGGCGCCTACGGGTTTTTCCTGTATTTTGCAGGTGCTCAGGCCGGTATATGGGGACCCGATCAGTTGTACGCGAAGATAGAGCCTAACAGCCACAATAGGACCGATCTTCGATGCATATGGGCCGAATTATGTTGTCATCCCGGGATCTGTTGGTATTGTTGTTTCATTGGTGTGCTTCAGCTTCAGCGAAGGTGTGTTCTCTTTGAAAAGATGCTGTATATTCATTCCCTAACTGATTGATGTCCCAGAATACTACCAAATCTTCCTGTCGTTTAGTGTCCTGGGAGGACTCTCCGCTGGCACACTCTTTACTCCCGCCGTCTCAGCAGTTGGACATTGGTTTAACGTGCGCCGGGGCTACGCCACCGGCATAGCCTGCACTGCCGGCGGTATTGGCGGGGTGGGTTTCCCTCTGATCATTTTATTTGCCGCCCCTCAAGTCGGCTTTCCCTGGGCAATTCGCATCATCGCCCTGCTATGTCTGGTGCTATGTACAGTTGCATGTCTCCTCCTGCAGACTCGACTGCCACCGAACCAGAAAGCCGGAGCCTCGATCGACCTCGCCGCTCTCAAGGATATGAGGTACGGCTCGACGACCGCAGCCATCTTCCTCGTCGAGTTTGCAGTCTTCATCCCAATCACCTATATCGCATCTTATGCCCTCCACGTCGAGGTCGAAGAGACCATGGCCTATCTCCAGATAGTGTTTCTCAACCTCGGCGCCATCCCCGGCCGCTTCTTGCCTGGCCTGATAGCCGATCGACTGGGCCGGTTCAATGTGATGGTCTTGACATCGCTGGTGTGTGCCGTCCTGACTCTGGCACTGTGGCATGCGGCTGAAACCAACCTGGCTGCGATCATCTGCTATGCGGTTTTGTTTGGTTTCTGGAGTGGCGCTGCGATTAGCTTGACGCCCGTGTGTATCTCGCAGGTGTGCGCCACCGAGGATTATGGGAAGCGGAATGGCACTACATTCACAATCGTTAGCGTGGGAACTCTCACGGGGATTCCTATCGCGGGGGCTATTCAGCAGCGTGATGGTGGGGAGTATGGGGGACTGATTCTGTTCGGTGGATTCTTGTATCTCGCTGCTGCTGTTGCATTTGCAGTGGCGCGCGGTATCTGTCGAGGATGGTCTCTTGCAACTAAATTTTAGATGGAAAGGAACAAACATAGATGTTGAAATGACCAAATGGCTATTCCGCAAGTATAGACCCCTAGGCACCTGATCAGGATATCAGTCTTTCAATGTAAGATTTTGTTCAAATGAAACACTCGCCTGATATAGCCTTGAGATCAAACTTTTGTCGCTGCCTGGGTTGATATTGCCCATCTCCTTTGTGCTCTCTCTTCTTCCTTCCTACACTCTACCTCCCCTCGCGCCCTCTCCTGTTTTCTTTACTCCTACTCCTAGTATCCATATTTGCTGTCTTCATCGCGATCTCCATGATGGAAATGTAAGAACACCCGTTCCCTCTGAATTTGGCATGATAAGGCATGTGTACTAACTTCAAAAGCCACGACGAGGCCCTGATAGGTCTGAGTATACTAGCGAAGCAGAGGCGCTTCCTGGCGACTGGGTAGCGCGTATCAATTGCCTCGAATACAAGAAATCCCGAGGAGACGGATGGCTGAAGATAGGTCTTCTGTAATTTCTCAACGCTATACCATCTCAGCGGAAGCCTGTGATTCGCAGCAACTACGTGTGGGACGCAGAATTTGCGAACCGAATCATTGGGGATAGCGTCCAAAACGTCGAATCTGCCCTCGCCCAGGTTGTCGGTAGACCGGCCGAGTCTCCCTGCATTCCCTAATTTCGTTGCAACGGCCCCTGGAGTCAGTGTGTGGTTGTGGATGGCACCGCCCATCCCACCTGCTCTGCCAAATGCCACTGGCGTGGAAATAACAGCCGCTGCGACTTTCCTAATGCCGTGGGGCAGCATACGCTCATGTCTCCTGTCACTCGGGCTCCTGTCGCTTCCGCCAATATGTACCAGCGGCCTACCGGGGATTCTGTTCACCCATTCAACATGCCAGCGGTCACCAGCACCCAGCCCTCTCAGGCTTGTGAAACTCCTGCGGAATCCTCGGTGGTTGATGAAGCTGATATAGAGATCCTATCTGCTCTAAGAGAGATACGGGGCGGAATGAAGACCATCGCCGAAACCATGATACATATGGCTCGGCAATTGGAAACCATCGAGAACGCCCTTCGCCGACAGTCCAACTGTCGCCGCTAGAGCTTCAACTCCCTCAGCGTGCAACTCGAGGGACTGTCGGTGGAGGACGTTCTCGATGATTTCCAATTGCCGAGCCATATGTATGATCTTTGAACTTGAGCTTCGTTTGCTATCTTCTCCTTCTTTTGTGTCTTTCAAAATTTCCCCTTGGATTATTTTACGGGCTTGAAGCCTCCCATTGGCACTATCAATGTGACTCAGGAATGGAGTAACAGAACTAGGAATACCTCGCAGGTCAATTGGCAGCTTATCAAAAAAATTCGTAAATCAAAATCTGTTTCTTGAGGTATAAGTTGCTTTAATAAATAGCGAGTTTCTGATCGAACAGAGGAAGTAATAGTCGAAGATACTGGACTAGAACATAGAGGGCATTCTACAGCATAGAATCCCTCAACTATAGTCCCTCAATGTCTCCAGCTATACTTAAATATTTTATAATAGTCCTAAGGATACTTTTATAATAATATATTAGTAGCTAAGAGAGAAAGAGAGATATTGACGGCTACTATTATCATATAGTAAATGATTATAAAGAGATATAGATAAAAACTAGATAACTCTCTTTAATTATAATAGTATTTTTATAGAAGTTTTATCTCCTAGAAAGATTTTTTAAATATCTACTCTTTATAATATATCTTTATATTAAGTAGTCGTTTTTACTATAAATTTCCTAAGCTTACTATATCTAAGAACTTGAGTATGATAAAATTATTCAGTTTATATATTTCCCTTAAAAATTGTATTTTTTTAATAGACTATATAGATAAATTTCCTTTAATTTACTATATTATTAACTTAGGAGTTATATTATACTAGTATGTTAGTAGTATTTAGAGAATAATATATAATAAGATTCTTAGAAGTATCTATATACCTAATTGTATATAAAATATAGATTAGCGAACTAGTTCTTAGCGTTAATCTATAGTCATAATTATACGTACTAGAATATAAAGGATTTGAAATTTTTATGATTTATCTAGATTATAATAACTATGTAACTAGCCGGCGTATGGCGTAAGTACGGCTAAGCGGACGGGAAGCCCTGTCCTCCACGCCCTATAGTTGTATGTACTAGAGCAAAGTGAGAATCGGTTAGTATAGCCGAGGTCATAAGTGAGCGCCGCCTTAGTGTCGCGCGATCGGGGATGAGCAGGGTAATTATACAATAGACGGGGTGAGAAGCTAGGGGATTTATCTCCCAAATCACGCGACAGCCGCATTAACCCTCTCCGCTGAACTATTTCATAAAATTATTGGATTATAGCCGTCCCCTATACTATTTGCAAATCACCACTATTCCTCCCTCGACCTACTAAAGTGTATCAAGTACTTCATCTTCTTTCTTCCTCCTCTACTACCCTACTTTTCATCCACTGTAGCTCATGAGCGTTCAATCAAGACCCAAATATTTTGACAACAGTATATAATGCTACTATATCGCTCTGCCTTAGTCCTATATGGCCTTATATTGCATTAACCACTTGCGGTTTACTTCGCAGGCTAAAGTTTTATGCTGTTACATAGCTCTATAGATCCCTCGATTATTCAATAGAAACCATGCTACTGGGAGTATGTAGGCGAAACGCTAAGTTATGAACCCATAATTATATTCTTAGGAGCTTTAAGTAAAGACATTGCGTATATGCGCTAGGATAGCCGTCCTGTTTCTATAGGGATTAGCGGAAAGGCAACCGGGATGGCTATACGAGTATTCGATGACGCTTTGAAAGAAGAGTTGACGCTACGACTAAATGAAGAGTGGCGACTAACTTCACGCTTATACAATTCCTAGTCTACGTTAAGGTCAAATGATGAAGACAGAAGCAGTATAGGTTCGAGAAACGGATGTTCGGGTGGCCATGACGTATATAATAAATCACCCAGGCATGCCGTGACCATAGTTCGAATAGAGCAACTGAACTTATGATGTTGATTTACTTAATTCCATTTGGGTATAAGTGGGCGATCAGTGTCGTGATCTCATTCATGACTGCCGAAGACAACTTGGGTCGGCAATCTAGATCAATGTTTCCGCTAAACTAATACTTTCCCACCAATAACCGCAAGACATGAAACCGTGGATCTAGTAGCAAGTTTGCCTCAATAGGCCGCATTTGGTTTCGCTTCATGACTACATTTTCGTTAGGAATTAATATTTAATGCTGGTCGGAGAGCCCTTGAAGACCTTGTTTCACATTGATTTTAAACCAACCATCAGAACATCAATTACTCCCAATTCACTAAGGATTGCCCAAGTCTCAATTCCTTATACAATCCATTATATAATTCCTTATACAAGATGAAGCTTACTGGAGCTGCCATCCTTCTTCTCAGCTGTCTCTCGACTGCAACGCTTGCCGACGATCACAAACACAAGCCGGACACAGCAACTATCCAACTGGCCAACGACCAGTCTGGGGCCAACGCGAACGTTGCCGTCCCCGAGAATGGTAAAAAATACTCCATCGAATCCCTCTGGGGAAAAACAGCAGTCGCAAAGAAGGGTCGCGTGTTTGCGACGAGTGCGCAGCTTGTCGCGTTCCAGCAACACACACACTGCACAATTTTCGACCATGACCATTTGCATGCCGAACTTGACGCCCGGAAGACTTGGGTTTCACTGAAAGATGGTAAAGTTGTTAATCTGGATCACGCATTCGTGGTCTGTGACGATTAGTCCTGCTGCTTGTTGCCAAGGGACGTTTTCGTTGTGTCAACAAAGTCCGCGCCAAAAGTCGTATGGAACTGAATCTTTTTTTTTTTTTTTTTTTTTTTTTTTTGGTTATACGTTTTAATAATTCATTGCAATAATTTATTCTAATAACTCTTCGCAACTAGTTTGTAGGGTAAGATTTATACACCTACCTGGGTTTTTAAAACCGGTTTGACTGAATCACAGACCTTTGGTGGATCCCTAATTCTTTGTGCCTTTGGGAGATGGATTAGGGGGGATAGAAGAACCATGATCTCATTCAAGCATATATGAATAAATACATGACCTATGATTTACTCTTTGAATCCTTGACGGGATATTCGCTAGCCATGCCTACACCTTTCGGTACGCTCTCAATTATTCTATCAAGCAAACCTTTCCACAAGTTAATGAGATATAGCCCAAGCTGTTGTATTTACTGGAAGTGTCGATCGTAGAGCCAGAGACATTATGGTTACTGAGGTAAAGATAGAGATAAAACGTAAAAAGGCGAAGGCTAAATGAAACCCTCGACGTGAAATTATCTGTTTCCTAAAAGATTCTGCCGATAAAATCCAGTGATTTCGAGATTTTTTCCTTCTTCCTTTCGTCCTTTTCTTTTTCCTATTCCTTTTTTTCTTTTTTTTTAAAACCCAAAAAATGGGCATATAGGTAGTTCTGAATCTTTGGTCTTATTTGCGATTCCGTTGTGCGGTATGATTAACATAAAATAAGTTCTCTGTAATCATTCAAATTAGCTCTTACCTCGGAACATAGCCTTGGACCAAATTCAAAGAAATATGAGAGAACACTTACCCAATATCATCGTCCATGAAAAGGTTTGAATTCGAGATCACAGGCGAAGAGTGAAAGCCCTCTGTATTTTTGAGACGTGTTGAAGGCAGCGGCAACACTGTGTGCTTCCCCGGCCAATGGTCTAATAATATTTGACAAGCGTTATGAATCTCTGCGTCTGTCATTATGCTATCTTGTGCATCATCGTGAAGCAAGAAATTTGTGTAGATATCAATGCTTTCGGGGAGACAAAGGGCCTGCTGGACCTCTTCGTTGAATCGTACTCGATTTGAATGTGCAGGCATATGACTTTGTCGTGATATGGCAGACTATATAGATTGGAGTCATAAGTATATCCTCAGGAAATATTTCGGGTTAATCAAGAAACTACCTTATCACTGAGCGACCTCAGTATTTGACATCGCGGCCGAGGAAGTAATATGCTCTTTTTTCCAAGATTTTTAGGCTCTTTGCTCATAGAAGCGAAGCCTTTACCATCATCTGGCGAATTTGTTATAGAAAGTTTGTAGGGCCCGAAAAGCCAGGTTTTGTCTGTATCCTTGTCCCTATTAAGGCCAATGAGATTATTATTAATTCATTTCCATTCGATCTTGACACTTACCATTGAAGGAATCGAGGTGGGTAAAGTGGAAGGTTCTGCTTCTGTTGATTCCATGCCCTCCATAGCGCGTTTTCTAGTCGGTGGTAGTTTGGTAATGATGTTCGTCGGTGGAGAATATATCTTCTTGTAACTTGAAAATTTTCTAGTCTCCAGGATGTAGATAGATAGTCAACGTTTTGTGTGACTTCGTCGTCGATGAAGAGATCGTCGAATGCGTTTCGCGTCATCGTTGGTTTGCTTCTTGAATAGACTTAGCTTCAGGTAGGCAGAGAATTGGTCATCAAAGGGTAGAAAGTCTTAAATGTCGTTTTTGTGCGCGCTGGAATCTCACCTTTATAAGTACTATTCTACTAGAGCTACATTGCCCATCACTGGAGTGTATTACGCAAACGAGAATGTCCTATGTATAAAGACTAGGCTGAATTCAATTTCTCCATGCACAAATTTTTTAGCCTAAAGCGTCTAGCCCAAGAACCTGGCTCCCGCCGTTTGCGAAACATGGTTCATAATTTACTGGTAAAGCACGAAGCAGGTCTTGTAACCCAACTCTGGCCTCGTGGTTCTTTCTACATACACGTACCTTGAGGCTATCAGGCGATGCTGAATTGAACATTGACAGTAGATGCTTTCTAGTTCTCCGCATACTGCAAATAATAGGCAAGACAAGCCTAAGAATCTTTCGAACTAGGAATAGGACTCGGACAGTTAATGGTGACCGGCTGCTCTAGATTATTGACAGATCATTATAGAAGCGAGGCTCTAGTATTGGCGGTATATCAACCGGCCACCGAACTGTAATACCCACTATACCCACTATGCCACGGATAGTTCCGCAACTCACGTTACATTTTTGATAATTTCAAGACTAGGAATGAGAAGACTACCGAATTGCTGAATTCATCGTAACACTTATCGCTAGGGTTGCCACCACTTTTATTTTCCCGACAAGGACATTAAGGTGTGAGGCTTGAATTTTGCCTTGAATTAAGTTGACGGCCGAACTAATATGTAGGCCGGCTGTGGAATAATCTACACATCTCGCGAACAAAATGCCCAATGAACAAGAATGGAGGACATTCTTCGATTGCAATTATGTTCTAGACCCATCTGAGATGGGCTGGAGCATTTTGCCGAAGGGCTGTCATTCGTCTCAAATAGCCTTGAGTGGGCGGCAATTTTTTGCGACCAATCACCATTTAAACCCCGATGCGGGATAATGACTCATGACATTCTCTTCTTTGATCAAACTCGATCTTTCAATTCCGACCGGAATAGTGTCGTCCTTAATCGCAAGATTCTAGGTAATTAATTCTTCAGCTAGGTCTTCGGATAGAGGAAATTTTGAAATTATATCTATCGGCCGGGTGGGTTTTGAGGCTAATGGTTCCCACCCAGGCTAAGGTTTCAAGTCAGAAGGAGACCCAGGTGAAGATAGAGAGGTCAGACGGAGGGGAAATGTCAAATAGGCGATGAAGGGAGATTACATTTATCCAATGTCATGAATGGGGTAATCGGAAGGAAAGCTTGACCATGCATGGCAGTGGGAATCTTGGGGCTGAGTAGGTAACTACGGCAGGTAGCATAGTGATATGTGGAGTGTCAGAAGCAACTTATAGATTTCAGTGAGATTCTTCTGCTTCAGCCGAGAGCAGTTCCATTTCATTGATAGGAACATCAGTTGTCATAGGTGATAGATTGTTAAGGTGACCTGAGCAAATTCGAAATCCTGGCTCGATATCACAATCTGTGTTAGAGGTATTAGGGTCGTCGTATTCGCTGTTGTGATGTTGATCAGATGGGAGGTTGTACGCAGACATCAAATATCCTAGCATGTTGGAATGTGCAACTATGATGCGGAGATCGGGATCACTTTTTGAAAGAGCCTGATCGAGCTTGCTCGCGCATTTGCAGTACATCTCGTCCTTCGCGGCATGCATGATACTTGAAAAACATTAGAGCAGTTTCTCTGGGGATTCAATTCGTCGACCCTACCTAAAATGGGTTGTAGCCATACGTGGTATTTGTATGCCTGCGGAGAAGGTATTGCGAGAAAAGGTTTGAGTATAGCAAATAACGAGCAATGAATGATTTTAATACTGAATTTTTAGTATATTTTTGGTAGGCAAGGTAATAATATTGAATAGATTCAGGATACCTTTGGGTGAGAAGAGGTCTAGAACTCTTTAGATTAGTCCCGGCACATCCAGAAGACCGGCTGGGATTTGATGGCTCAACCAAGAAACTCTCGACTTTTGCACTAATCAGCTGACATGGCTTTTACGAACTATTAAATATCCCCCTTGAATTGTAATATACTTGTTAGAGTGGTCTTAATCGTTTATAGCTTTTCAAAGATATATAAATAAATAATTATACTAAACTAATTTTATAGATATACAAAAAAAAAATTATACAATTTTTGTTCTATATATTTCAAAACTTACATCATTTAGTGTCGCCGTACACCGGAAAAGACGATGTATAGTGCAGGTAGTGATCCTCGAGGCGACGAGCAAGTGATTCCTCTCTGGATATATTGTGATATTGATATTCTTTGTTTACCCTAAGCGTATAGTCCCTTGGCTTGACTTCCCCTAACTCTAAGAGCAAGTCTAGAGAAAATTTGTTCGTACGACTGCTTTTACCTCGCGTCTTCCTTTCCTTTCCCATGCCTAAATCGATTATATCGTTAAGAATATCTAGAATAAGCCGATTTACTCGAAAGCGCCCCTTCGAAAATTTAAACGAGATATAGTAGATAACTTTGTCGAAATAGTTATTAAAGCGCTACGAGATAATCGACTCCTTCGATATAAATTTAGAGTTTAGGGTCAAGTTATATCCTATAACCGCGTAAATCTATTAGAAGCTTCTCTAGAGAATAGCTTAGAGTAAATAAATCTTTAAGATATATAGATACTATAATAGTGTATAAATACTAGATATAGAAGAGATAGAGGAAAAATGAGAAACAGAGTAGAGAGAAAAAAAGATAGTATTATACAAAAATATAATTAATATACCAACTAGTTCTATATATATCTTATAGCTAATAAATAGTAAATATTAATATATATAGTAGAGTTTAAAGCGCTATATAAAGTAATAATTCCTAAATTAGTGTAAAGGGTCTATGGAGATGGTGAGGCATAAAGCTATTTCTAAGTAACGGAAGGGGTGGATTAGGTGATGTTATATGATCGTGAGAGAGATAGGAAGTTGGATCCTATTACCTAACCTATTTTACGATAGAATAATTATAATACTTAGCAGAGACTTAGTCGTTTATATTATCGATAATACGGAGAGGTATAAGGATATTATATAATGAATTAATACTCTTATATTAGGCTAGCAAGACAAGATTTAGTCTTAACAACTATAAGGATATACTATTAATCTAGATAAGGCTTATCTAATTAGAAAAAAATAATAAGCCCTTTTTATATAAAATTATAGAAGAACCTATATATATATTAGCGAGGCGGTGGCTATATATAGATCCTTTAATTCTAGAGTATTTTAGCTAGAGTAATATAATCTAATAATTATATAGACTAATTTAGCTAAAAAGATTAAGACAATAATCACGGGATGCTAAGGCGACTCTCAAACTAAACTCACCCAGGCGACCGGTACCCGACTATTAGCCTCGGACAAGCCACACGCCGGCTAGTTAGTAGTTAGGTAGGTGACCATTGGGAATCCTTGCTATTGTATGTTTTTCTTTTCTTTTTTTTATTCGCTCGCCCACAAAACCTTCTTTTTCTTTATAGAGAATAGACTAGATTCGAGACTAGATTCCGCTGGCCATCCGGAATCTTGTATATATCTGTCCACTATCCGTACTACTAGTTGACCACGAACAAAATACTAAAAATGGTAATAGAAATAGGAGTAACAAAGTAATAATAGCGCCTTAGTAGCAATTCAAGATATATATTTATTGTTATTAAATACATAAAATGTCTTTATAGAGAGTAAAGGTTAGGCTGTGAAACTCGGGTTTTTCGTCTACGCCTCGTAAAGCCGCCTATTCTTAGCATGTCATAGCGGGGGTGTCTCGCGCCCTTTGTCACAACCAAGCTTTCCACCCCCTCAGCAGTCTTAATTTCGATTCTTCACAGCCCAACCACCCCCCGCCCCCACCACACTAGGATTCTTCCTCGCATGGTATCCCGTTAAGGATGAAATCTGCATACTTAGACGCTGCGACAGCCGGCCAAGGAGCCCAAGACAGCGAGTTTCTGTGGGTGGATTACCAGGATGGAAAAACGCAGGACCTTCCTGTTGCTCGGACCAAACAAGCCTTTATTCGAGCCCGCAGTCATCGATTACGGCGGGAGGCGAAAATGCAGAAATTAAAGGCTTCTATTACCCCGTTCCCGACTGGTCCAGTGCAGCCACCTGCCGAAAAGCATTATAAAACTCGCCCCAATGGTCATGATCGATGGGCACCGGTACTATACCAATCTCCTCGAGCCGGGGTAGCAGAAGCCTTTCCCTCTCTGGGCTCTGCTTCGAACGTGGATCTTCACTTTGACTACTGTAAGCACACGAGTCAATCCTGCAACGCTAAGAACCCCTGCATTCAGATGCGGCTGACTGCACCATCACTGCAGACCGGGTTTATGTCTCCAAAGTTTCGTTTCCCTTTAGTGCCACCGAGATGTCATCCTGGTTCTTCCGCAATGCCCTAGATCAGCCGGCCCTGGCTGAAAGCGTGTTATTCCTGAGTGCATCGAGCCACACCGCGAATTTAGTGACGCGTGGTGCAGCGACGCGCGAAGTGCGAAAGTCTTTTCGAGATATAATCCAGCTCCGTTCTCGAGTCATGAAGTCGCTGCAGGGGATCATCATGCATCCTTCCGAGACGCAAAGAGAGTTGACAGTCGCGGTGATTGCGAATCTCCTTTGTGTGGAGGTGAGTCCGCACACCGAAAAAGCAAAGCATATAATTAAAAAAAAAGGAGACCGAGCTCATGTTACAACCTTCCTTTTAGGCAGCTCAAGGCAACTTGGAGGAAGTTGATGCGCATGTTGTTGGCCTGAAAGGAATCATCCATGTGTTAGGAGGGTTGGAAGCTTTGGGAGACTGGACTCTATCGACTCTATATTGGTAGGCCGCAATTCACGGTATGGCAAACATAAAACTAACGTTTCATCATCGACAGCTGTGACCTCATGAGGGGATTACTGATAGATTCCCCGCCGGCCTTCGACCTTCTGCCCAAGTGGGTGCTGAAAACCCAAACCGGGTGCACTTATGTCAAGTCATACGACGCTTCTTCGATCGGAGAACGTTTCTTTAGTTCTGAGTGGTCTCTAAATACTCCTATCCAGCTGCGGTCAATCATTCAGTCCTTCCAACAACTCGTTCCTTGCTTCGAGAGCATGGCTGACTCGGAATCACGGACCCTCACCTTTGAAAACGATTATTTGTTGCTCCAAATGCACCGACTATATTCCCTGCCGTACGATTGTCCACTGGGGCCCTTGCAAAATACGATCAGGCTCTCAGTGATAATCTATGCTGTTATCCGAATCTGGAAGTTTGAAGGAAAGCCAGGTATCGAGTGCCTCATCCAAAGACTTCAACAATGCATCGAAGAAAGCCTCGATGATCTTGAGCGGACGGCACCAGACCTACTGTTTTGGGCTCTATTTTTGGGTAGCCTTGCCTCTTTAGGGCTGCCATCCCATGGCTGGTGTTTGGCACGCGTTCGAAAGGCTGCGGTGCAACTTGGTCTGAAGAATTGGAATGACGCAAAGCGGGTTCTGGAGGGCTTTTTTTTCGTATGCCGTCCACGCAATGAGAATGCCAAAGCCCTTTGGGATTCAGACATAGAACGTTCCATCAGCCGTTTGTGAAAATATTTCTATTTTTGGGTTCCCGTGTGTACACCCCAGATGTGCTTGGGTAGCCCCCCATATCTCGTAGTTGTGTAGACCTGTCCAAGCTCAATGTAACGAGACTGAAAATGGCCCCATCGCAAGTTGTTCATACATAAGGCGCCCTGAGACATTGAAGATCAGGTCTCGGGATGAAGTTTACCTGTTCCTTTATTTGATTTCTATTGCCCCCGGTTTAGTGGAATCTCGTACCGCGAGCCTATCAGAGTCGAGTATACCACCTCCGATTAAGGAAACTGATCTACAGAGCTGTCACCTCGACACCTAATGTGGAACTAATATTGGAGAACCTTCTTTCTCAGCCGCAGATCCCCCCTGAAACCTCCCCAAGTAGCCATGCAGCCCTATTACCGACCCGAGGTCAATCAATCGTGGCTGGATCGTGCATGAACATCCCTAGTGTGAATTATCATGCTTCCTACTTTTTTTAAGAAATGATATCTACCTATGAAGGCGACGGACTAACCCCACACAGGCCAACAGCCAGTATCCTTCGTTCTTTCACTTTCCTTTCTAGGGCATTGATTTTGGAATGCAGTGGTCTTGTTGGGAGGCATTGCCTCGTTCTTTTCCTTATATTTAGACCCAAACTACTTGCCTGAATGCCATCGCCCTCATCCCTACCACCGATATCCCAACATTCTCTTCTTCAACTTTGAATGCATCGGCAACCCTGAGGATAAGCCAACCAAGTCCATCGTTTTAGATTCGTCGGAGCAGCAGTGAATTGACTCCGTGGAAACCCTTCCAAGCTCCTCGGAGGCACTTCTACAAATCCCATGGATCCCGGCATCTATTCTGCACAGCTTCTCCAAGACATATCGACGTCTTGCTCGACACCCGATAGCTATAGATTAGATCGAAGAGAATCACCCACCAGTGATGCCCTAAGCTACCTTTATGGTGAGGCGAACGCGCCTGGTGATCAAATTCCTTGGTCTTATTTCTCGATCGATGATACTGTTCCTTTCACGGACATGCTCTCTATGCAGCTCGATCAGACCTACGATTCTTGCGAGCCCTCTGTGGACGATGTATCAGGTTGCTATACCACACAACAAATCAACGATTGGTTTCTGGGGCGTGAATCCGCTCGCAGCCTCTACGAATCCACCATCTCTAACCGCACCGGTCCCACATTTGGCCATGTACCGACAGACATGGGACAAGAAATGAGGCTTGCTTTTGACGACAGTCCCCCCACGGCCATGCAACAATGCTTATCTCCACTTCCTACTATGAGCTTCGCATACGACAGCTCCCTGGCTTTTTCGCCCCCCCTCACAGCAGCCTCCCTCGACACATCCACAAGCAGTATCTCATCACCCCCAGTCCTCTCTGATGCCGAAGCCTCCTCACCCCACCACTCCATCTCATCGCCTCCCGTCTCCGCCTGCAATCAAGTCACGCAATATGGTACGCCCGTCGGTGACGGGCTCTGGCGTTGCGCTCACCCGGGGTGCACCTCGGAAGCTCGCTTCCGGAGAGGCTGTGACTTGCGAAAACATTTCAATAAACACCGCAAGCATTTGCTGTGCCGGCACAATTGCTGCCCGCAATCCAAGCAAGGCGGGTTTTCCAACAAAAAGGACCGGGATCGCCATGAGGCCAAGCACAATCCGAGAATCATTTGCGAGTGGGATCTATGTGGGCGAGTATTCAGCCGTGTCGATAACATGAAAGATCATGTGCGGCGCGTTCATCGGCGCATTGGAAAGAATCGATGAGTATGTATGATTACTATGTGTAAGCTATGTGTGATGTATTTCTTTTCGGTAGTTGGGTGTTAAGCGGATCAGCGTCTAGTGGTAGCGGCGGCCATAGATAGCGAGGGTCACAGGGTGCTGCCAGGCTTTTTTTCTGAGGTTTCGTAGGCAAAGCTGTACTCGACGCAATGACAGCCTGAAACCAGGAATCTTCCATCCACTTCGTTACCTAAGTCACTATACATACCATACTTAGGTGTGGCTTCCTTATTCTAGGTGCCGTCGCCTTAATAAAGACGCTCAGAGTCAGACTCACTGAGCTGCCCCGTGTGAGGGTCCCGTAGGATTTGATATGCCTGCGCTTCTTTCCAAGGACCTTACGTAGTCCTCTCCCAACAATAACATAGCTACATAACACGACTTTAAAAAGGAGCATCAAAGATGTGACCTAACTGAAGCCCTGTTTGCGCCTTGTCGCTTGGGTCGAGTCGGAGCTTGGCGAGTCTGGCGTTTGAATCCAGTGTCGGACATGCTCTGTTTCACTGTTTCACTGTGGTGTATCATATGCTAGTGTGAACCTCGACCGCCCTTGATAGTCTTGAAAACAATAAAAAGTGATTCCAGAGTATATATGTATGATTTGTAAGGGTTACTCCAGTGCCTCTCCGAATCGATGCACGGGTGTCCTCTATCCACGATATGGCTAAAACACGTCAACCCGCGCAGGGATGGCCTAAGCTATTCAATAAGAACCAACCCATTTATGAGGTCGGACACGATCCATCCTTGTTTCTAAAGCGTACCATACCATCCGAGCATGCACACTGCTCTAGGTTTGGGTCTGAGGAGCCCAAACTACTTTATGTCAGCTCCGGCGGTTCATGACGACTCAGGAATCAAAACTCACTAGGGGGTACAGCTGACAGATGTAGTACTTGTTTTTGTCGGCGGAGCAGGCTCCGTTCGATGAACTGTCAGAGTAGCGGTGGCGCTAGGATGCGCCTTCACCCAGTCATCATAGTCCTCGTCGAGATAAGCACAGTCCTGGTTGAGCGGGTCTCCTCCCACAGGCTGGCAATTAGCCTGCGGGTAGATTGCGTCTTCGTTGATCTTGCTGGCCGGCATGGTGTTATCCGGATCATCTTCCCAATCATTGGTTCCGAAATCGCCTTCAGTTTGATTCACATCACGCTTGTGATCCTTATCCCACGACCACAGGCCCGCACTGTTCCAGACGAATTCCTTATTGAACCAATTGAAGATGTAAAACCATGTGTAGGAGTCCGCTGGATTTTCCCGTCAGCCCTGACCAGGGAAAACCCTTGTATGCCAGTCTCAGTTTCTTGGGAGCGCTGCCACTGACCGTTCTCGCTGACTGCGGGATTAAGAGCCCGACTGGACGCTGGCAAGTTATATGTGTTCTTCCAGGCAAATCTGGCGCAAAGCTCAGGGCCATACATTGTCTAGGAAGGTTAGTCAGAAACAGATTCCCTGCAGAGTGCGAGAATTTCTTTTCATACCCTTGTGCCCTCCAGCTCAGGCACCGTGCTGGTGAGATCCTTAACTATTTTGAGAACCTGGTTAGCCCAGAGCAGCACTCATCAAATACTCTCAGTTATATTGTCTCGCTTACTCGGATGTATGCGTAGAGCTGGCTTAGCATGAAAGAATTCATGCGCCATTGCGCTTTCCTTGGTAGCCAGATGAGGCAGTTCGGAAACTGGCTTTGTGGGGCCAGTTGTAAGCACATCCAAACGATGATACTTGGGGCTTGTAAAAAACCGGGGGCAAAATGTGACAATGTTGGTGTAGAGAAATTTCTTGGGAGTGTTGTCGGGCTGAATCAATACACTTCCGGGGGTAGTAAAAGCACCGCTTCTAAGGGTGAGTAGTTAGCACATTTGAAGCAAGATTCGTGGAACTTACGCTCCTTTGTCGCAACGGGCCTGGAAATTAGGTAGAGGTGTGCATCGGAACGCAATCCGGGATTGTTGAGTCATGTAATGCCAGCCTTTTGCATCACCCTTAAGAGGAAATTCTGCGACTTGTTTCATGGCGGCTAGTCCGGGTCAGCGGACTCGAGTAATATATCAAGGTACACCAATTCCAGCGTCCTTACAGACGATGTTCTTATAATCTCCATTGTATTGACCCTAAAAGATTTCCTTCGCATTAGTGTCAGAATTCGTCAAACGGTATCCAAGGAGATACATGCCCCCCATCCTTTGGTTTTAGGTACGTTGCTATCGCTAAGGAAGAATCGATTCCATCCAGGAGAACTCTCCGGGGGCCAATGGTATGGCTGGACCAGTTTGATCGCGCCATCGAGAGTCTTCAACAACGTGTCGAAGTGTGCATCACTGCAGTCTTCTGCGGCATCGCCAAAGTAGATGCCTTTGTATTTCGTGTGGAGCTCCTCGAGTTTTTTGGCTTTTTCTTCTGGGTCCAGAGAGATACCTCGCTTTTCAATGGTTGCCGGGGTCGCTATCACTGGAGTGACTATGGCAACCAGGAGAATGACTGACCAGAGGGATTGTAAATACATGATGAAGCAACGGTGATGCGTCTGACAATGGAGGGAGAAGAATGGTGTGGTTGTAGTACCAGAAACAAAACAATTTATCGGAGCAACCTTCCTCAATAAATAGACGGACTGTTGTCGCTGCTCCTTATAGTTCTTTTAGGCGGCCAGGATTAAGGCAGCCCAGAAAACTCAGATTGGCGATCATGTAGCACCACAGGACTTCGGGGTTACAACTGAGTGGGACCTAACGATCTCAAGTCGGCTTGTTAAGAGCTAATTTCATCATTTTTACTAGTAGATGCCCTAGCTAGCTCTGCCGAAATAGCTCATCTTTTACTATGGTAGCCGTCCCCTGAAGTCGGACCCACAGCGTATTAGTAGCTGTTGGTCCTCCCCACAGGAACGCAAATCCCTATAGGAACATAAATTTTATTTAGTTTTTGATTTCTCTACTATACCAACTATACTAAAATCTATCGATATTATCGAAAATCGGCTTATTGAAGCTTACAAAGTAGCAAAATGCGAAAAAAACTAATAATCGCCGAATTCGATATTCTCTATCGATTTCGCGCTAGGATCCAAGGCCGACTACCTAAAACAGCTACTATTGTAGCCAAAGAAAACTCTTAATGATTCGTAAGAGAAGACCCTGATTCGCTCAATTCGATAGCTTAATTCGCTATAAGTTTTTCGCCTATAATTTATGTAATTAAAAACTATACGAACTAGATTTTAAAGCGGAATATTACAGACAACGCGCTACGCGTATCGAAGAACTAGACCTATCGTTTTATCGAACGGCCCACCTCGGATCTATATTTAATAAAATAGAAGCTAATTAATAAAAGCTATTTCAAATTAGTGGATAGAGGGTATTTAGTAACTTAGTCTAATTGTCTTAAATTATATATAGCTAAAATTAGGCTAAAGAATATCTATAATTTCAATAAAACTAGCTTCTAAATTAGTTAAAGAAAGATAAAAACAAATCGTTATAATAAATCTACAACGAGTATAATAAAGTAATTCGTCGATTGAGAAAGATAAATCTTTTATAACTATCGAATATATCGCTACCGATAGCTTTACTCCATTACTATATCTTAGTTTTCGCGATAAATATTATCTTGAACAATAGTATATAACGACTTCGCCCCTAGACAATTATTATATCGCTATAAGCCTAAAAAGATATATAAATAACAAAATTGTATAACTAGCTTTAATAGTTTTAATTTTATACTTATAATATACTCGGTAGGGTATAAAACCTATCGATTAGGTAAAGAAAATAAATAGAGTAGTAATAGGTTAAATAGTATATTCTTGTTACTATTAAGACTAAATCTTATCTTTTTAGTCTAATATAAGAGTATTAATTTATTACATAATATCTTTATATCTCCACACGTTATAGATAATATAAATAATTAGGTTTCTATCGAGTATCGTGATAATTCTATTATAGAGTAGGTTAGATAATAGGGTCTAACTTCCTATCTCTCTTAAGATTATATAATATTACACAATCTACACTTTCTATTAGTTAGGAATAGCTTTATATCTCACTATTTTTATAGACTCTTTATAATACTATTTATTATAAAGGTGTTACGACCCCTGCAGCCACCAACTAATTAAAGAAGACTCAACCTACTGATAGGTTACCGTGAGCCAACCAAATAAATAGTCATGTAGGGTAAGATATATAAAATAGCCTCTACTATATATATATCTAGTTCTTTATAATTAATTATATATTATTACTTAGATATTACCTTAGTCTTATTTATAGTTTATCTTCGTGATAATTATCCTACGAGTAGAGGAGTTACTTCTGTACTAACCTATTCAGTATATATTTAACTAGTATACCTTCGTAAATACCTAATAGGATCTATCTATATAAGGCCGGGTGTAGTATCAGTACGATTAAGGACAGGCTTAAGGCTCATAGTTACCAAGAGAAGTACCACCTTTAAGGACCAACCCATAGTAACCAGTTAGATACGCGTAACAAGTATACTATAGTAATTATTTTGGTCTAAAGAGTCATTAAGGCCTTCGTATTAATAATAAAGGTCTTTATTATCCAAATTAAATAGTTGCTAATAAACTCTATGATACTATTCTATTTAGGAGTATAGACAACGCTAGAGATAAATATTATATATATCTTTTTAGCCTAAATAAAGAATTTATTAAATTTAGGGCTATTAGTAGTCTATTAGATCTTTACTTACAGTATTTACTTAATTTAGTATAAATTGCCTTCGCTTAGTTAATTAATATTAATAAGACTTTATCCTTTATTATTTAAAAAATAATAAATTAGTAGTAAGAATAATTATTAGTAGGAACTAAAGTGTATTAATAGCCTAAGAAAGATATAGATTTAATTAAGTAGATATTTACATATATATACTAAATTAAGAGCCTTTTCTACTCGCTAATAAATATTATATAAGTTCAGCCACTAGGCCCTCATTTGCTTTGCATCTGGCATATTAAAAAAAATATGACTGAGAAAGTAAAGGGCTACTTCAATGCACAAGAATCATTTCATATGTTTATGCAGGATTGGTTTGATCTAATCTATTCACACACCGAGGGCTTATATCAGACACGACTACGCAGGTTTGAAGCTATTTATAAATTATCCTATCCCCTAACATATGCTACAGAAACATGGCTGGCTTATAAAGAGATGTTTGTGACTGCATGGACTCAGCAGTATCTACACCTTGGTAATGCAGCTACCTCCTGAGTTGAAGGCTCCCATGCAGCCCTTGAACATTATATTATGGGACCATATGTTTCTGTGGTATGCTTCATCTGCAGTGTGCAAGTGTAATTAGAATTTCAATTTAAAACTCGTGTCTAAAGATGTCGGCCAGCCAGGACATTCAAAACTTGAAAGACGTATGTAAAGAAAACCTTGCTCCAGCGATGAAACAAAAACCACCCGTAAGTATCATAAGTTGTTAATGTGTTCAAACAACCGGGGGACAATTCTCAAAGCGAGACAAAAGGCCGTCCAGCTTATAGCGTGGACACCTAATATGCCAAGACATGTAACCCTGTTTAAACAACGACCACAAGCTAGCCCCCAACTGAAATTCATAATCAGGGCCGCGGACAGGGCCATCTGATTTAGTTCCGGAGAGTCCCGAGAGGAATACTTCATTTATTGCATGGACACAATTGGCCGCGCGGGTCACAGTTTCGTATAAAGTATCCCGGAAGGTCCACGGCATGTTCTCCACAAACTGAGACTTGCATCCCGCGTCTTGTTTCGTCTTTGTCTGGATGTTCATGTAATTGAATCGTTCACCGGCAAGTAATTCCTTCGGATATGAAAACAAGTCATTGGTGAGACAAGCGAATACCTTTAGGGCGGGGAAACAAGACATCCATAAGGTGTACGGAACCTCCAGTTCCCGAGTTGGCTTGAAAATACCAATAATGTAAGGAATTGGTACACCGGTAATGGAGCGGAGGTAGTATGGAAAATCCTCCAGTTGACATATCCTGAGACTTTGCGAAGACCCTCCCCCTGATTGTGTGTATCTATAAGTGTCTTGCATTTGTCCCTCCAAACACCAACCCTCGAGATGTTGGTTCCATCCGTTAGACGCGAGCATTCCAACCAATGGATTGATTGAACCATAGAGCTGAGCGGCCTCCTTTGTGAAGGTGGAGTAAGCCGCTGAAAAATCATCGAGGGGCTCAAGACCAGCAACTAGGCGTTTCTGGGATTCCGCTAGGTTCTCTTGCACTCTTGGGTGAATAAGGAAACTGTCCAATGAAACAATGGACGCTGTCCCTTTGGACATGGAAAACTTCATCTCATTCGAGGCCAGAGGGTAACATGATTCAGTGAAGGTTGCAGCCGCTTCCAGAATGGGGTCGAGAGTTTCCATGTCATATGAGGTCGCTCGAGTCAATTCCTTCTCCGCCCAACCCCATAACTCTTTCCGTAGATGTTTATCCTTCTCAAGGCGGAGGTACGTACAATGAGTTATTTGAAAGAATAAATCCAGGATGTCATCCATTTGCTCGCAGATCAGGGCACGTCTGGCAGGGTCAAGGTCTATGTCATGTATATAGTCCAGACAAGAGAACCTTTCTTGCGAAAAAAGCGAATAAATGTCTGTATTGGGCCCGGGCATTGTGCTTAGTTGAGACGTGGATGTCTAAAGAGAGATATCAATATGTTTTTGTCCTTGAACGAGCATACACGCATATGCGAGGTGCAGAGGCTTTATATACATGGGAATTATGCTAGATAATTCCACAAACGCTCAAGTCAGCAAAGTTCGTCTATGCAAGGCAGAGAATATGGTAATACCAATTGGAGTACTGTATGATGTGTAAGCGGAAATAGCGAACCTATCAACTTAATAGTGATACTGCTCAGCTTAACAAATCAAAGTTCCAGGATAAGTAGTATATATATATCACCATCTCATGTTACACAACTACGCCAGAGGTTATAGGAATCTACTGCGCTATTTACCATAAGAGGAAATTAACCCCTATAGAACTCGTATACGTATATGCAAAATGCCACATACAGTGACAGCAAAAGTTTCGATACCCTAAAATTGACCCTCCTCTACACCGCCACACCGCTTATCTTATACATCTATCAAATGTCTTATATTTACCCCGAATTTTTATTATATTCTCTATAGATAATGGGACCTCGATAAGAATTGATATATACGTTTCGCGAATCGAGAGTCAGGGTTAGTATATATTATATCAATAAAATTCGTACCTTATTTTGATTGATTTCTTATGGGCAGAATATTATATAATAATAGAGGTGTGGGGCGAGGATGTCGAAACTTTTGCTGTGTCACTATATGATAGAAGCTTTATCGCAATCCACTAACCGTATCAATAATGGCCTACACAAGAATATCATCAAACTCAATAACAAGGCTGTGCGACGCACAATAAAAAAGCACATCTCTTCAGGATCGGGACCCAACTATACGATGAGTATATTCCGATGTTGATAGCCGCACAGGCTCGAACTGTAATAATAAAGAGTCTCATGCACTTGTGTCACGAGAAATTTAAGATCTGAGAATGAAAGAAAGCAAAATACAAGTCATTGAGTGAGATCGTCTATGCAAGGCAGAAAATATGGTAATAGAATCTGTAGGTGGACCCACGTCGGTGTCAAGGTGGACAACGTTTCCTTGTTACCTTCCATGATTGGCTCTCGAGCACTTCACAAACACCGACGAGAGATATACGATCGCACCGCAGTCACATAGTCTTCTCATCGACGACTAGGTTATATCGAGGACACATTTGAAAGGGACATTGACCATCAGGTGATTTTACATCTCCTCGGTAGAGAAGATCAGAAGTCAAAGATCGTCTTTGGGAGGCCGCCTACGGTATCAAGATCTCGCTATTATTCTTTTAGGGCCTCACCTACGCAGGACTCGCTTGTGCTTTAGGGCCCAATAGAAGAATATACAATCACATGTGGTGGTAAAACAATAGCTAGACACCCTAAAACGCCATATATAGTTAAGGCGATAAGATACAACATAATAACTTATCCACGGCTTCTTGTAAATTCTCACTGGCGATCTAGGACCTTTATTATGAAAATAGTAAAAGCATCTTGATCTTTCTGACTGCTTTTCAACTATTACTAGCCAGGCCTCTAAAGGGTATGTGCGATGTATATTTTTTTCTAATAGGGGGTTGATAGCTTCTATCTTTGATCTACTTGCTCTTGGTGGATTTTCCCATAAACGGATATTTATTATAGTAGTATGTATTTCCTACGCAATTTGCTTACGGCTGTATTCATCCATAACATCTCTTTCGAGACACTACTCGCAATCCCTGCTATAGTGGATGGATAGATGATTGCTATGAAACAAAGGAATGAAATGGAAGGGGCAAGCAACCCCACGGCTGGCCGACGCTGACGTTGACGCTGCCAAAAGCAGCGAGAAACACGCCCTACTCAACCACCAAGCCTCGCTTCCTCATTGTTACTTGGTTGGATTCCAGGTCACGTTTCTTCCTTTTTGTGCGGGATTGTCTTTGCTTGGTCTCTCTCGTCCTTCCTGCTTTGCAGGCTTCATCCTCATGTATTGATTCCCCGCCATTGCATAACCATGTATAATCAATTTTTGTGCTGTCTCATCGCGCTGTCTGCCTGTTGCACTCTTGCTATTCGCTGGCCATACTTTTCGCCTACGCACTCCAACTCACTAACTCGTTTTCTTTCCAACCACACTATTTGTCGCCAAATTCAAAGGTCATTTATATCACTCTACGTTTTTGGTTTGTTGGACTCTTGATTCAAGATTTAGCCATTTTGGGAACTGCATCTTATGCTCAAGATGCAGGCACCCTATTGGAGCCACGTAATCACTCCCGACGGGTTTCAAGACTCCCATTCCCGCTGGCTCGCAATAACGCATGGCGCCCCTGCTTCTTATTCTTCTTTTGTCTACGGGCTATGATCGACGAAGATATACTACCGCCCTACTTGCACAGCTCGTCCTGCGCGAAGAGCGAACGTTCTATTTTATGATACAAAAGACAAAGCTCAACGTGATGGGTTTCGCCCCTACAGGAGGTGTAAACCCGATGACGTTCAATTCTTTGGAGACAAAAAGAAGTTGTTTTAAAGACATTATCACTTCTGCGGACATAGTCGGGTGGGACAGTGATGAGACGGGGCTTACGGGAGTTGGCAAACGAAGTTGGAGTTACGCCGACCTATCTTTGTCGCGTATTTAAGATTATAATTATAGTATCCTAGAACTACATAGATATCTTATTTTAGATATTATATATAACCTTGATAAGAATATTGTAGATATTTATATAGATATATATATTCATTCTAGGATCATTTTGTTATAAGCTAATTTATCTTAAAGATCTTTTGCTGTATTATTTATTATTTTAGAGGGTTTCGTTAGACTATTTTCGATAGATTATTATTCCTAGAAGTCGCTTTATTTATTTTAGGAGTTAATAGTATTTTAAAGACTATATTAGATCTATTCCTGATTTTTAATATATTCCTAATTAACCTTTAGGAATTATTCTGTTTCTAACTGTAATATTAGTAGTTTATTATTATTTATAATTATTAGTTCTATCTAATCCTTTTCCTATATTATATAAAGCTACTCGGTTTTTTCTGGTTTTTATAATACTAATTATATTATATAATTTTTTATTAAGGTATTTATTTATTACTTATATCTAATATAATTTATCGTTATATTATTTATATTCTTTTAATTAGTAATTAATATATTATATATATTTAACTAATTACTATCAGTTAATTTTTAAAAATAATATTTCTTTTAGTAACTACGAGCCTTAAGTCTATCCTTAATTATAGTAATACTATATTTAGCCTTATATAGATAGATCTTATTAGATACTTACAAAGATATATTAATTAAATATATACCGAATAGATTAATACTAAAGTAACTCCCCTACTCGTGGGATGGTTATTACGAGGGTAAATTATAAATAAAATTAAAGATAGTATCTGAGTAATAATATATAATTAATTATAAAGGACTAAATATATATTAAAGAAGAATCTTTTATATATCTAGTTTTCCTAATCCCCTAATCTATCTATATAGATTATCTGATCTATTAGGATAGACTCCCCGATCTATTCTATTAGATCGCCTATTTTGTTAAGTCACGTAATAGGGCGGTACTATGTAGGGGAAATCTAATACGTTTAGGCGTATATATAGCCTATTTTCCCTAGGGTATATTTTTTGCCGTTAGCTTCCGCCGGCGCTCAGGCTCGTGCTCATTGATCGGTTTATTGGCTCTCGGTGGCCCATCGTCAAGTTACGGGGTCCTCAGATAACTGGTGTCTGCAGGGTCTGTAACACAGATTATCTGTAAGAAGGCCATTTATAGTATATATACTAGCTTTGATAGGACCCTCCGCCGGTTTTAAATCGAGGGAGATACTAATAAAACTAATACTCTTCTTAATTATATCGCCTTCCTATATATATATAGAGATAGATAGATAGGATTTAGTTTAGATATAATAAATAATATGTATTAGGGTATATAGATTAAAAAAGGTATAAATAATAGGGTATTAGTAGACAAAGAAAAGGAAGTAATATTTAGCGAAGTAAGATATTATAGGCTTCGTAGGTATTTATACCACTATTTATCTAAAGACTATTATTCTCTGTATATATACTAAATATAGTATTAAGTCTTTGTCCTCCTATTAGTATTATTTTAAATATTCGCGTAGGTATTTAATAGTGCTACTACCGACGAATTAGCTATTATTAGGTTAGTAGTCTTTATCTGTTATAAGTACTATTTCTTATTATAAAACTTATTTCTTTTTATATATATTCTTTAGGATGGATTTTATAGATAAGATTCTAGATAAAGTAATAACAGAAATTTAGTATATAAATTTGGTATTAGATATAAAAAGCTATATATATATAGATATATATCTCTATCTCTATCTATCGATGACCGATCAATAGTCGATCTGTGGCTGCCATATATAATGATTATTAGTTCATTCCGCTTTAGGTAATCGCCGTTAGCCTTATGTATATTTCTAGTCGAAGATAGGTTCTTATATAATGAAGATATATTTTTTATACTAGGAGTCCACATCTAGAAAAATATAATTCCATTCCGGATGTGGACTCCACATCAAACCAAAAGTTCAGGTGATCTGGGTTCTGAAAAGGTTGAGGGGTCCCTATCAACACTGTCCAAATGTGATGCCATTAGGTAAAGCCATCTTAGCTCGAGGGACACAATGCTCCAAGGAACGCCCATTGGGGAATGTTTCCACTATCAACAGAAGGCGATGAGTGGCTTAAGAGCCCAATGATAGCCCTTGCAATTCCATCGGTGAAGAAGCGCCCACTCTGTTGGTAAGGGAAACCAATTCCATCGCATGCTGATCCAGAAGACGTCCACCGAAAAGTATGATCATGAAGTATTGGCGCTTTCATTCAACATATGGACATCGTCGTTCGCCGAAGTGCTCCACCGGGGCCGTTCCCCGTACGTCAGAATTCCATGAAGATCGGAATATGAGACCATAGCAGCACGGAAAACAAAGATATATTAAGATGCAACTCTCCTGAGATCCTTGAATCTTGCAAATCCTAAAGACAATTCTTTCAAAGATCTAAAGCAAGATCCCGGCAATCTACGTGCAAAACCACACACAGCACATACCCACACAACATGACTAGTAAAGAAGAGGGAAAATGCCTCAAGACCAAGGTCCGGTCAATCTTATCGACCCGTAACTCTGCATCGAAAGACTCTGATAATAACTCGAGAACATTCCCGGCGTAAGGTGTCCTCTGGCGCATGACATCATCTGGCTTTGACTCTGTCTTCAGTGATCAATACTCTAGAGTAACCTATGTGACTGCACCACTGCCCTACAACGGTATACCTTGACCTGTGTTTAAATTGTTCAAGAATATCAACCACTCGCAGGAGATCAGTGTTTTGGCACTTGCTGCCGAGGGAAGGGGTATCCTCGGTGAGAGGATCCTGGAGAGAGACGGACAGGAGAAACTTGCTGCTTGCTATTTTGTTTGAGATGACTTGACTTGACATTCACTTATACACGTGGACTGGATGCTTGGGTTGCTGGGATTGTTTTTGATGGTTTGTTTTGTATCTATACCGATCGCTACTTGGACCAAGTGAGTGCAGTCCTGAAGAACACCCCCCTTGGAATGATTTACATTTATAATTATATATTTTCTATTTTGCTTTTCTTTTCACACTCAATTAGTATCGATTTGTGGGATCTTCATCTTTGTTTTGCTCTAATCATTTTGATGCTCCACCAGGAGAAGTTTTAGGGTTTGCAGATGTCGCCGGAAGGCGCTGGTGTTCCGCGAGGAACCGCCCACTTGACTCTCCTTTTAAGCGCTTCCCTTCGGCGAACTCGCCTGGATTGTGTTTGTGCTGGCTCTCTTTCCGACTAAGTGGATCAATTCCTTCTGCATCTACCCCTGTTCACAGAAGGCGTCAGAAAAACCTCGTACATCGGTAATCGGTAGGCAACCCCGGAGAGAGCCCGGCGGATTCGACCTGCTAACCCGAGCGAAAGTAACCTATAAAGATTTCGATTATATATATCATCCAGCCATTGCAGCAATCAGATTTTGTCTCTGGGCCAGCCAATTTTTATTTTTATTTTTATTTTTTTTTTGCTGGCGACTTTCATCTGCAAACATGCGCAGCGCAACCCGTGTGTTTAGGTCCAACGTGGCCAGACAATTCTCCACAACCACCAGACTTCAAGCACCCTCAGGACTCAAAATCAACTCTGGACGGCTCTGGGAGTCCTTGCATGAGACATGTGAATGGGGTGCCGCCCACCGATATGGCGAGTAAGTTCAAGGGAATTTCATCGCCCAAGAAAGGATCCTATCTAACACTTCCACAGGAATCCAAGAGAGACGGGTATGGCTCGTCTTTCTTTGACAGATGATGACGCCCATGTCCGGCGATGGTTTGCCACTGAGGTGCAAAAGCTTGGCTGCGTGCTTTCAGTCGACCGCATGGGCAACATGTTCGCCCGCCAGGCCAGACGACTGAACTCGTCTGCTCCTATGATCGCGATGGGGAGCCACCTCGACACCCAGCCTCGGGGTGGTCGGTATGACGGGATCCTGGGTGTGATAGCTGCCCTGGAGGTACTGCGCACCATGCGGGAAAATGGGTTCCAAACTAAGTACGACGTGGGAGTGGTGAACTGGACCAAGTGTGTATCCTTTTTCTCCTTCATTCTTCTTTTGTTACCTCGTTTTTGTCACGGCTGATTATTTCTTTTTTCAGCGAGGAGGGAGCCCGGTTCCCCAAGTCCATGTGTTCTTCGGGTGTCTGGGCCGGTGCTATTCCAATCAAGAAAGCCTGGGACTTGCGCGATATCCATGACCCTACTGTGACTCTTCGTTCGGAGCTGGAAAGACATGGATACCTCGGGGAAATCGACTGTTCAAGCGATCCCGCATCTGGATTCCCGCTTGGAGCTCATTTCGAACTGCACATTGAACAGGGGCCCATTCTCGAGCAGACCGGACGCTCGATTGGAATTGTCCAGGGTGCACAGGGTTACCGCTGGCTGACTATTAATGTCCTCGGAAAGGACGCGCATACTGGGACAACACCATTCAGTGCTCGCCAGGATCCGGTACTTGCTGCATCCAGGATGATTGCCACGTCTCATGATATTGCGCAGCGTCACGACGCACTGGCATCAACGGGTATTATCAAAGTGCCTTCGAATGCCTCCACCAATACTGTTGCCTCGGAGGTGACTTTCACCCTTGATATCAGACATCCGAAGGATAGCGTGGTCCATGCCGTGCAGGAAGAATGCCTGCAGTCGTTTGCGACCATTGCCTCCCAGGATGGAAGAGGCGTGTCATTCAACTGGACACTCGACACTGACTCACCGGCTGTCAAATTTGATCAGAACTGCGTTGCATCCATCCAGACAGCGGCGGACCAGCTTGTTGGTCCTGATCGGTCGATGCTTATGACGAGTGGTGCGGGCCATGATAGTGTTTATACTAGCAAACATTGCCCGACGGCGATGATCTTTGTCCCATGCCGTGACGGTGTCAGTCATCACCCGACCGAGTACTGTTCGCCAGAAGATTGGTAAGTGTTAACCCTCGTCAACCTACGTTTATGCTGTGATTCTGACTACTATAGTGCTCTGGGGACCCAAGCGCTTCTTGAAGCAGTGGTGCATTACGATCGGTTCCATGCAGGGGGGCAGTAGTGATTTAAACACCGGAGAACCTCTGAACATGAGGTGCTTCCAGGGCATAGAGGATAGAAATCGATCTACTTCAGAAACAACACTATTGCATAAGTCGAGGCTGGTTGGGTTCTAAGTAGCTACTATAACAGACATAAGAATCAATATCAATGTATCTAAATCCCCGAAGACCAGAAGAAAATCCACACCAGAATGCAACAGTCAAAAGAATGGATTGCAAGACAACCGCCAGCTAAAACACTTGTCGGCGCAGCTCCACTCGACCCGTGCATGTTGCGAGAAGGCGGCGTGTCCTCGAAAGGCTTCCAGGTACCGCCACGACAACCCCAAAATTGACGTAAATATGGTCGAACCCGGGCTGGTTGGCAATTCTTCAAACACACACAGAAATCTATTAGACATTGACACATCAGGCTCTGAAATGTCTTCCAGGCGACCAGTCTATTTCAACCCCGCGGCTGCGTGCGAGCGCATCAGTCCCGCACTTACCGATGGTCTTGATCAGTTCCATCGCTCGCTCCCCAACTATGCGCCGACTCCGCTGGTGCCTTTGCCGGATCTTGCGGCTGAACTTGGCGTCAGGACTATTTTGGTGAAAGACGAGAGCAACCGGTTCGGGTTGCCGTCTTTCAAGGCTCTCGGCTCGTCATGGGGATGCTTTCGGGCCATCACTCGACACCTCGGACTGCCCTCAACTCTCGGTTTAGAGGATCTATCCGTTCAGGCCAAGCAGAGTGGTATTTCTCTGACTGCCGCGACGAAGGGTAATCATGGACGGGCCGTTGCATTCATGGCCCGAAGTCTGGGGATAACGGCACGGATCTTTGTTCCGCAGAGTATGGACGAGTCTACGCGCAGTCTCATTGCAGGAGAGGGGGCCCAGGTGGTTGTTGTGGCCGGCGACTACGATCAGGCAGTGCAGGAGGCATCAGATGCTGCGCAGGAAACGGCCGGCGCGCTTCTGATCCAGGACACGGCATTTGAGGGGTACGAGGATGTCCCGGCGTGGATTGTGGAGGGTTATTCAACAATGATGGCCGAGATTGACGCCCAACTTGCCCAGCTTGGTTTGTTGGGTAGTGTGATGGTGACTCCGGCTGGTGTGGGCAGTCTTGCGCATGCAGTCGCGAAGCACTGCAAGGCACAGGAATCGCCTCTGTCGGTTGTTGTGGGTGAGGCTGATTCTGCTCCGTGTCTACATTCGAGTTTGAATGCTGGCAGGCCAGTGACTGTGCGGACCTCATCGACTATCATGGATGGGATGAACTGCGGTACGGTCTCTACTACTGCATGGCCAGATTTGCAGCGACTGGTTGATGCCTGCGTCACGGTATCCTCTTACGAAAGCCACTGTGCTGTACAATATCTTACCACAAATTCAGTACCAGCTGGCCCCTGTGGAGGTGCCTCGGTGGCTGCTTTACGCCGTCTTGCTGCCACGAAGCAGGGCTCATCGATCCTGAGCAAAGATTCCGTCGTGGTCCTTCTTAGCACTGAAGGCACGCGTGAATACCCAGTTCCCCAGGACGTGGCCATGGAGAATGCAGTAGAGTTGACGCAGGCACTCACCCGGATCAACTCCTCTAACCCGACATTATCGGTGGCTGATGGTGTGGGCGAAAGTCAAATAGCCGATTACCTGGCTGCGTGGTTTGCTCACCGGGATATCGACTGCCACCGCATTGAGCCGGTTGCTGGACGCCCCTCGATTGTTGGGGTTCTGCGCGGCAAAGGAGGGGGCAATCGCTAATGTTCAATGGTCATACCGACACCGTCAGTCTCTCCAGCTACGATAAAGACCCTCTTTCTGGATCCTTGGGCACGAAAGATGGCAAGCGGGTTGTACTCGGAAGAGGAAGCCTAGACATGAAAGGTGGTCTGGCTGCCGCATTGGCGACCTTATCTGCAACAAAAGCCAGCGGCAAAGTCCTCCGCGGAGACGTGATCGTGGCCGCAGTATCAGACGAGGAGGATGCCTCGCAGGGGACCCAAGATGTGCTGGCAGCCGGCTGGCGTGCGGACGCGGCGGTTGTTGCCGAACCCACGATGGGTGCGATCGCCACAGCCCACAAGGGGTTTGTGTGGGTGGATGTTGATATTCTGGGAGTAGCCGCGCATGGATCCAACCCGGCGACTGGAGTGGATGCCATTCTGCATGCTGGATGGTTTCTGCGGGCCCTGGAGCAGTATCAGGAACAGTTACCCGTTGATAATCTCTTGGGGCAGGCATCGCTTCACTGTGGCTTGATCCAAGGTGGTGAGGAACCATCTTCATACCCTGGAAAGTGCACTATCACCGTTGAATTCCGCACAATTCCCAGTCAGACCGAGGCTTCGATTCTCCGCGATCTGAGTGTAATGCTGGGACAGATTTCTCGCGATAACACTGGGTTCCTGTACGCAGAGCCTCGCGTCACGATGTCTCGCCCGACGCAAAAAGTGGCAACGGATCACCCTTTCGTGGAGAAAGCTATTAGCTGTGCATCTGCTGTTTTTGGCACTAAGCCTGTGGTTCAGAGTGTGCCTTTCTGGTGTGATGCGGCCCTGCTCGGCGAGGTTGGCATCCCATCGGTTGTGCTGGGCCCGGCAGGCGCAGGCTTGCATAGCAAGGAGGAATGGGTCGAGGTGCAAAGTCTGCAGCAGATGGAGGAGGTGTATACTAAATTGGCGCAAGAATTTTGCTCCTAAAACGATGATTTCGCCGGAGCTTCAACATACTTCTTTTTCCCACAGCAGGTGACGAGCACAATTTCTATGCTCTATATATGAACATCTCTGTCTGCACTGCCCTTATTTCAAGCATTTTTCAGCCTTCTTTTCTTGATTTCATAGATTCATAGATCCACTTAGTTGCCTAATCGGGCATAAAGCCAATTAGTCATCCTGTCGTTGGAAGGCGCAACTACCAAAAACGGTTAGATCAGCCTGAGTCACGGCGATCAGGCCTCAAGGACGCCGTGATTGAAGCAAGAGCAAAGAATCGTCCCACGAGAGAAATATCCTGGTTCGACACTCAAGGAAATTGCTGCTTCCATAGCCTCGGGACGTCCAGTAGCGAATTTGCTGAAGCCCACCCAGCATGGACCCGCAGCAGCCCGAGCCATCTTCAACCCATCCATTGCCACCGTCTCTCTCAGACTCGGGTCTTGCGGATATGTTTGATGCCAACACATTTATCAACTGGCTATCTGAGGATGCAGCAGTTGACTGGAATTCTATGAACGATTTCTACTATTGCTCGTCTGATACAGACTCCGGATGGCTTCACTCCGTCGGCGCGGGTGCAGCTCCAGTACCTCCAGTCCAGCATGGAGAAGCCTATGCTGTTCAAGAAGCCGCATACATGCCAAGCAACATGGCGGCACATGCACTACCAGCAGCAGAAACTGAATTGTTTCTTCCCCCACGGAACCTAAACAATGTCTCCAAATGGATCGATGGGGCCTATCGGCCTCCGGTACCCTGCAGCTATTGCCGCAGACACCGGCTACAGTGTCTCATTCTTCGAACTACGGAAGCCAACCCAAACCCAGTCCACTCCTGTTCCAGCTGCGCAGCTCTTTTCAGAGAATGCAGTCTTGCCAGGGGAGAGAAGCGTCTTGCGTCTCGCTTCGAGACGCTATCTCCCGTGCTGGGGCATCTCCACGGGGTCCCAGAGCAAATGGACAACGAGGTGAGTGACTAATGAAAAGATCTTTTTGTATAAGAGGTAATTCTCATCAAAAACTCTCAGAACAATCCACCAATATCGTCCGCTATCAATATAGGTAGCGTCGAAGAACGGAAAGATTCCAAGCGGTTTGTGAGAAAGGGAGCCAGGATCCTTCGGGAGTGGTTCCATCACAACCAAGAATATCCGTATCCCACCGATGATCAAAAGGCTCATCTCTCAGCTGAGACCGGTTTCTCGCAAAAGCGGCTCTCAACCTGGCTTGCCAATGCCCGCCGGCGCCAGAAACAGAAGCTGCAGTCGGCAACCCAGGCATCGGCTACTCAGGCTCGTGCTGGGTCTCCGATAGTGACAAGCACTTTGTCTTCAATGACGCCCATGGAGCGATGGCAAGCATCACCGCCAGATGACGACCCGGTCCCGGAATCTGCCATTCAGGAAGCGATCGCTTCTACCACAACGGATTATTCTTCTGAGGTCGATCCGTTCTTTTTTGATGGCACCAACGTGGATTTGTTTAATTTTGACGAGTCCTCCTCTCACCTGCCTTCATCCGCATCTAGCTTTGGAAGCAGGGCATCTGAAACCTCCGAGAGTGCTTCCTCGGCATGGAGCTATCATTCTTCGGGAGATGGGGGCTTACCATTTCCCCTGCTCCCTCAAAGAACTCCGGCTCGACGAAGGCAAGGACGACATCGACGTACAGAAGGAGAGAGTAGGTACCAGTGCACGTTTTGCACCCAGTCTTTCCGGAGGAGACACGAATGGTCAAGGCACGAGAAGAGCATCCACCTTCCCCTCGACTTCTGGATCTGCACCCCCGATATCAACACCATTCAGCAGCCTGTCGAGACCCCTGCATCCGAATGCCAATTTTGTGATATTGTCTTTCCGAGTGCCGCTCACTGGGAAGAGCACGAGTTCCACGTCTGTGCAGAAAAACCTACGGCAGACCGGTCATTTAGCCGAAAGGATCATCTATGGCAGCATCTGCGCAAGTTCCATGGCTGTACTAAGCTACCCGTCGTTGATCTCAACGCCTGGCGCAGCTCTGGGGTCAATTTCTACAGCCGCTGTGGGTTCTGTGGATGTGTTCTGCCCACTTGGAGTGCTCGTGGCGACCATTTGGCCCAACATTTCAAAGAGGGTGCTCGCATGGGGCAGTGGGAGGGTGATTGGGGACTGGATCCCTCGGCAATGAGTGTGCTGCGCAATGCTGTCCTGCCGTCGCAGCGGGCCTGGACAACGTCTTTCGCTCAGTAGCTAGGGCTACCGATTTTGATAGCATGTTTCGGTGCTGTGTTGTCACATATGAATAATGAATTGATGAGTCCATTGATGACATGTAACTCTGCTGTTTTTGTTGGTCGCTTGTTGAATATAGAAAAAAACGGTTTCAACCCCCCTTTCAGAGTCGCCGTTTCTAGTATCCTGTACCTTGCCACTCGCGATAATACCAGCTTCCCATACCCAGCATAAACAACACAAGACTGCCATCGCGCACAACATCACGGAACAACTGCACCGCCATCCCCACTCCGCGCCCTTCCCCAGCCAGCAGCACCCTCCCCCCAGTCAAAAGCAGCTCGCCCGTAACAAAGATCATAAACGGGTTCTGCGCCGTAGCCGGCTTGGGCGGCGAGCTACCGAATGTCGCGACGGAAGTCACGATGACAAAGAGCAAGTAGAAGGCCACACCAAGCGCGAAAATGACATGCAGCGCCTTCCACACCCGGAGCTGTTTCTGCTCCTCCTCTGTCGACGACTGTGTCGCTCCGCCCACCAGACTCGCAATCCACGGCGGCATGCCCAGCGCGGACGCAATGCCCGCCGGTGAGAGTCCCGGCATGTCGCCCGCACCGCCGCCCGGCGCCGGGGCGGCGTTCGGGTCGCCTTTGAGCGGCACTGCGTCCATGAGCGAGTTGAGGAGTTTCAGGGTGGGGTCTTCCACTTCGTCGCCGCCCGGGCTCTGGCCCTGACCCTGGCCGTGGTTGGGTGCGCCTTGTCGCAGCAGAGCGCGGAAGTACTCCTGCTGTGCTTGGAGGCTCTCTTGCGTAGGTGTGTCTAGTTGAGGCTGCGGGGATGGTGAGGGTCGGATTTGCGGTGCGGGCGATGGAGAGGGCGATACTCCGGTTTGGGGGGATGGCGAGCCTTCTTCGCGAACTGATTGGGGTTGGGAAACGTCAGCGATGGTTTCTACCCACTTCCAGGTGGAAGGGAAAACAAAGGGGGATTTTCAGAGGCTCGTAGTGTATCACATAGTCCCCAGAAGAAAAACAAAATATCTCTAGTCTCTTACCAGACTGTGGTGTGCGCCCGCTGGCATTGGTGATCTTGTCCAGGCGTGCTGAGCCCCCTCCTTGATCTTAGCCTCGCGGCGTTCGCGTCGTTGACGGGCAGCTCGTTGAGCCGGGGACTCTGTGGGTGTCGACATGAGGATGTGAAGAGAGTTGAAGCGACAGAGCGTGGGTGTTGAATGGTTTACAGCCGAGTTTCGTGGAGTTGGGGAGGGATGCGGGCCACGTGAAGATACAGAAAAGTAAGTCAACTGCCTGAGATCTTGTTCCTTCTGTCCCACGCCTCACGAATATTCAATTCGATTTGATTTGATTGATCTGCCTTCTATTTTCTGTTATTGAAAAATAGACCTCTCATCGAACATGGCTCTTCTAGAGTAGTCTTCCCAAGTATGGTCTATATTCGTGACAAAGAGGTATGTATACTTCGAGGCACGTAGTATGGATGGCCTCAATTGTTCCTAAAGATCGTTTTGAAAACGTTCACGAATAACATCATCTCTGCCTTCACTGGCTACTGATCACATATCTCTTTTACTCAATATATGTTTCATAGAAAAGACTACCAAGTCTACTGCCAACTCCGGATCCATCAGGCTCATATTTGACCTGTTTGCAGGGTTCAGCCCTTTGTCAATAATAAATCCGCGATCTGATCACAGAAAACCAACCTTCATTCGAGGCCTCGATGCTTGTACAACTCAGCTCAAGCCAGCCAAGAGCTCAGAAAGGCAATCTATGTGGTGATGGCCCACGGTTGATAAGGAAAAGCTGTGAAGTCATTGAACACCGGCCAGGTGACATCATTCCCTCCTTCGCGAAGATCAGGGTGCATCGCGATTCTTGTTTCCGATTTTGATGGGAAATGCCAATTCGTAAGCTCGATGTGTTCTATACATTGCTCCCTTGGTTGCCATTCAAGAAGAAGGGAAAGAAGTCACGTTGAGCAGGTTTTGGCGCTTGTCAGGGCCCAAGATGCCAAGAGCGGAATTTTGCCGGAGAGGCATGACAGCCTGGAAGCCAGCTGGGCGTTTACCAAAGCTCAAGTGATGATGAATGTGGGGAAGCTATCGGCATTGTGATTGACTCTCCCAAGCTGCGCGGCGATGGAGACTCGGGGCGTCATGTTTCCCGGGTTATGCCCCCCCGATGACGTAGCCCGGGGGAAAGCTTCAACACATTTCCATTGCCATCGTCGACAGGTTTTATTTTTCTCGACAATCTTGCATTTGGGTCGATTCTTCCATTCAATTTCTTCTGAGTTGTTCAAGACTACAGGGGAGTCTTGTTGGTCATTTCACATACTCGCAATTGCCATCCGCCCAACTTATACTACAAGATATAGACAGCTGCGAGGACTAGCATGGCATCTACCAGCCCGGAGGCGGAAGCGCCTCAGCGGCACCACGTTGGCGAGCACTGGAGTGGAGCCAATCCCGTTCCCACAGTCCAGAAATTCATCGAGCACCTCGACGCCGAGAAGAAGGAGCGCGATCGCAGGATCGACGAGGAGAACCGGGTCAAGAAGGAAAAGACCCGACAACAACAGAAGGAAGATAAAGGTGGAGAGCAACATGAAGGCACACACGGGGAAGTGGTCTCGCACCAGGCTCGCGAGGTCTGCCAGGCCAAGATACGCAATGTGACCGATCCAACCACCGGGAAAGAGATTGGCGTGGAGGATCAGGATAAGACCTCCATGGAAGCCGTCAAAGACCCCAAGGTATGAAGCTATTCTCGACGAATGGAAGAAGAAGAACGGCATGTTGACATGGCTCTAGTTGACGGTTCCCAATGCCAATCTTGGACGACCGACGGTATCTTCACTCCTTGGGATACTTGAAACCACGTTGGAATAACACCAGAATGCTAATTCCATTTGATAGAGGGATGTCCAGACTCGCCATGACCAAGAACTCCCCGAATATAAAGAAAAGCAGGATATCACGGCACCCCCGGATCCCATCGCCGAGGGAACGACCTCAGATGTCCCCATTCGCGGAGAGAAGACGAATGTGCTCTTCCACCCGACACCGACTGTGACTTATAAACCCATGTTCGATCAATTGGAAGCCCGGGCTATGAGACTTTGTATTGCGATTCCTTTTGCCATCATCTTCCTTGGGCGAGTCTTCGGCGGGTCCCTCCTGGGTCTCATACCCTTGGCTGGGTGCATTGCCGTGAGCGTATGGCTCTGGATGCAAGAGGTTGTTCGCAGTGGCCGAGACATGGAATGGAGCAGCGAGCAGCTGCGCGGCCAAACTGTAAGTGCTGCACTGTTTCGGCATATATTTAATTGGGCGCTGATCTGAATCGACGCAAAAAGGCTACGGCAAATCTGCTCCCAGAATCCGTTGAATGGATGAACTCTTTCCTGGGCGTGGTCTGGGGTCTTGTCAATCCCGAGATGCTGACCCCTGTAGGCGACACAATTGAGGATATCATGCAGGCCTCCGCACCCAAAGTGGTGGAGAATGTCCGGATTGCGGAGATTGACCAAGGAAACAACCCTTTCCGTATTCTTAGCATGCGTGCTCTCCCAGACGCGCATGTACAATCCATGAAAGACAACGCTCACGAGGAAAACAAGAAGAACAAGGATCCGCAGGAGGCTGCGGCGGCCGAAGAGGGCGGCAGCTACTACAACATGGAAGCGTCTTTTGCCTATCACGCAAAGCCAAGCACGCAGTCTGCTTCCTCAAAGGCGCGCAACATGCACATGCAGCTGATATTCTATCTCGGCATCCGAGGTCTCTTCGGCGTACCCTTCCCTGTGTTCGTCGAGCTCACCGAGCTAGTCGGGACCGTCCGTCTCCGCTTCCAGATGATGCCCGAGCCGCCGTTCATGAAAGAAGTGACATTTAGTCTGGTAGGCATCCCACACGTCCGGGCAGGTTGTATGCCAATGCTGCAGCGCGGAGTCAACGTCCTCAATCTGCCGCTGATCTCCAATTTCGTCAACTATGCCATCGGCGCGGCCTGCGCGATGTTTGCCGCGCCCAAGTCCATGACGATGGATCTTGCCATGATGCTCAAGGGCGATGACATCCACAAGGATACCCTGGCCTTGGGCGTGATGTGGATTCGCATCCACCGCGCTGTTGGTTTAAGCAAGCAGGACGCGCGCGGGAGTGAGGGCGGCGGCAGCGACCCGTACATCAATCTCTCGTTCTCGAAATACGGCAAGCCCATGTACTGCACGCGGGTTATCACCGACGACCTCAACCCGGTTTGGGAGGAAACTGCGGCGCTGCTTGTGACCCCCGAGCTGATCAAGGCGAACGAGAACCTCAGCGTCGAGCTCTGGGACTCGGATCGCAATACGGCCGATGATATCGTCGGCAAGGTCGAGCTGCCGATTCGTGAGATGCTCCAGCACCCGGGTCGCATGTATCCTCAGGTGTCCAAGCTGCAGGGTCTCGACGATGGCAGCGAGATGCCCGGCCAGCTGCACTGGGAGGTTGGGTATTTCGGAAAGCCCAAGCTCCGGCCTGAGCTGCGCACCGACGGCAAAAAGAAAGACCTGCCTGAAAATCTCAAGGGAGACCCGACCTTCGAGGATGAAAAGGGAGCCATCAACGATGAGCAAGAGGATGCTGTCATGCATACACCTCCAGACCCTATCTGGCCCAGCGGTGTTGTGCACATTGTCGTGCATCAGATTGTGAATCTACAACTGGCCAATATCAAGGGCAGCGATGGTAACCGCAAGGGCAAGGAGTACGAGCCGGCCAAACCGTTTGGCGAGAACACCGAGGAGCAGGGCGGTGACCTCCCCACCAGCTATTGCAAGATCCTGCTGAACGACCAACTGGTATGTGTTCACACCGATAATATCTAGTGAATTGTCAGACCAGACCTGCTAACTTTGTTTTCCTTATAGATCTACCGAACACGAGCCAAGGCCGTAAGCTCGAAGCCGATTTTTAACGCGGGAACTGAGCGGTTCGTCCGTGACTGGCGCTCGGCCATCGTGACCGTCACAGTGCGAGACCAGCGATACCGCGAGCACGATCCGATCCTCGGCGTCGTCCCAATCAAGCTGTCTGACATCTTCCAGACCAGCTCCCAGGTGACCCGGTGGTACCCGCTGGACGGCGGGATTGGGTTTGGACGCATCCGCATGTCGCTGCTGTTCCGGCACGTCGAGACCAAACTGCCGCCCAACATGCTGGGCTGGGACGTGGGCACCTTCGAATTCACGGCAGACAAGCTGGTCGCCAAGGACTACGGCCGGCAAGCCAAGCTCAAGCTGCGCACCGGGGGCAGCACGGGCAAGATCACGCGGCACGTCTGCCACCTGGACGGGCATGACGCGGTCTACGACATGGCGGACGAGTCGTTTCGCGACTCACTCCGCATGCCGGTCAAGTACCGATACCGGGCGCCGGTGGTGTTTGAGTTCCATGTGCCGGGAAAGCGCGGGCCGGTAGCGTACGCGGTGCTGTGGCTGCAGCATCTCGTCGACAACGAGGACACACCAGTGGACATCCCGATCTGGACGACCAAGAACGGAGCGCGACTGACGCAGAACTACATCACGGAAGAGAACTGGCGCGCCAAACGAGTCCCAGGACTAGAAGACCTGACTGAAGTAGGCCGGCTGCAGTTTCGCGGACGGTTCTCAGCGGGGATCGACGAGTCGCACGAGCGGTTCGTCGTCGACAACGACTCGCGCGAAACCTTCGAGACCTGGGAAGCATGTCTAGCTCAGGGCGTGCGCTCACGCTCCGTCATCAGCGAAATCCCCGCCGAAGTGCAATCCAAGCACGAGCAGTCCCTCATCGACGGCCGCGACGTACTGAAACAAACCGCGCCGGCCGAACGCCGCCGCTGGATCGACCGCGAGGGCCAGGACTGGAGCGGCGCGTTCGGCCAGGACCCGCGCGCGTACACCGACTCCGTTGGGCGCAAGGTTGCCGAGCCTGGCCGTGACCCGCCCCGGCACGATCCCGTTGCGCCGCCACCGCTGAAGGACCAGCCGTCGCGGCAGCCCAACTCGCAGGACGGGGACCGCGCGCCCGACGAGGAGGATGATGATCGGTTGTCGAGCGAGTCGGAGGATCAGGAGCGCGAGTCTTTGTCTGCGGGGCCCTCGACTATCAGTCCCAGTGCGGATGCGTCGTCGTCGCAAGCGAGTTCGAGTCAGGTGAATAAGGCTAACCGTCGCAGTGAGCAGCGGCAGCAGCGCGGCTTGATGCAGTGGCGGCCTGCGCGGAATGCTGCTTTCGCGAAGGATGAGGCGAAGTTTGCTATGCGCAAGGTCAAGAAGAAGTTGGGGGCTGGAGATCTCACGGGTCGGGAGCCGGATGTCGAGACGGAGACATGATATATGAAGTATTGATGGGTTTATTCTGGAGATTAAGTATGAAGTATTTTATTCTCATGGCGCTGGTTGGCGTTTTGTATGTTTAATAGCCAACTGCTGCTATTCATGGATCTTTTGAATGTCTCGAATACATGGTATCAGTTGTTCGAAATGAGTGTGATCAAAATGACTGTTATTATAATAGCCAACTCTCAACCTGGGAAGTATAAGTCCTTCCGTCTAGAGGACATTGAAATGACATGATTCGTGATGCTATATGCGCCGCTATTATGTATAAAAAAAGGTACTAGAAAGTAATAAAATGACAGAAGAAGAAAAGAAGAAAAGAAGATAGGAAAACAGACAACAGGGTCACCTCTGCAAGTCCGTAGAAGAGCGCGGTTCAGATAAAGCATCCGACCCATCAGGCCGACTCGTCCGATCGGAGCCGGAATCAAGCGGCCCCAACGTCCACTTCCACTCCCGACGGCGTTTGGTCCGACCCTGGCGCCGCGTCTGGGGCGTAGCCGAACCAAGCGACGAGGGCTCGAGCCCGTCCAGCAGCGCGACGGCGCGGACCTGCCGCTCGATGCGCAGCGAGCGCCGCTTCTTGCGCTCCTGTTTGGAGAGCGAGGCGCGGTGCGATCTGCCCGTGGGGTTGTTCTTGTTGTCTTCGTCGGCGCTGGTTTCGGCGCTCGACGAGCTGATGGTTTCTTCTGAGAGGGACCGGCCGGAATCGGAGTCGGAGTCGTTTTCCGGGCTGACATCAGATGCGACGGCCGCGGTCGGCAGCGTTGTAGTTGCAGTTGCAGTTGTATTTTTATGTTCTCGTTCTTCCTCTTCGTGCACTAGATCCAGGTGCTGGGCCGTATAGCGCTCCGTTCGGATTTCTTCCTCGAGTGGCTGGCGATAGGCGACCTGTTTCTTGGCGGGGAAAAAGACCCGACGGGCGCCTGGGCCGCCGGGGGCAGTGCCGCCCGCGGAGATGGACCCGGATCGTCGTCTTGTCGCCGAGTCGAGAGGCGAGTTGCGCAAGATGCTGCGGACCCCCAGTGGAATTTGGTACGGCCGGTAGTGGAAGGAATGATAGTGATGATTATGATTATGGTGAGGGTGGCTGGGAGTATGGGTGTGGGGCGTCGATGGAGTCAGCGCAAATGGCGACGAGGGTTTCGAATTCCCAAATCGATTGCCGGGGCCCTTGGACGGGGAATTTGTTGCCGTCGACGGCGAGGCGACATCGTAGGCATTTTTAAACGTGTTGCGCACTGTGGGCGAGACACTGGGCCCCGCGGCGAAGGATACTGAGAGACCGGTGGTGGACGAGCCAAAAGTGCGAGGGAGGGAGTCGGTTTGCAGGGTGAGTTTGGGCCGTGAGGCAACGGGCTGTTCTGTTGATGAGAGACTGCACATGGCGGGCGAGTATGAAGGAGGAAGAGAAGGAAAAGTGTAGAAGTGCAACGCCATCGGGAAGAGGCGCGGGGTTGCGCTAAGAATAGAACAGCAGAACTTGGGTCACTTGGGGTCAGTATACACAATATACACCAGTATTGAGAGATTAAGAGATTCGGAATCTTGGAGTTCAGTCATTTTTAAGCATCCAAAGCACAGGCAGAGATTTTCCAGCGTGTCACCAGAAATAAAAATAACCGGGGGTTTCTATAAAAAGCTGTGGGCCCGTGGATCATGCTATAGTGCTATAATTAAGGTGGTTAGTTTGGTTATTCTAGTTAATCATAGTTAATTAGTTATTATTCTAATATTCTAATATTCTAATTATCAACAATTATAGATCTGTATCCAGCAGAATGTAATACTCGCCCTTCACGGCCAGCCCCAATTCTCCCAGCGCCCGTTGGACGTGATGGATCCGGGCGTCCGTGTGAACTTGAAACCTCTTCCCTTTCCACCAATACGTCCGGTGTGCCCCATTTTCCAACAGCAATCGAATCAATGAAATTTGACGCCTCTGAACTGCCAAAAACAGCGGCGTGTGATTTTTCCCCTTGGACTGAGGGATCGTGGCGTTCACGTCGGCTCCATACTGGACCAGCAGCCTTGCCGAGTCCTCGTCACCCATCTCCACAGCATACTGAAACGGTGTCCGGTTGGTGCCTAGAGAAGTCGCATTGGGACCCAAGCCACTCTCCAACAGAGCCTTGAGAATCGGCGCTCTTCCTTCGCGCCAATAGTGGCCCAGAGCAGCGGCCATCACCCTATTCGGATAGCGCCAGGTGCGCATCCTGAGATCCATCCCACCGCGACTCAGGAGCCCCCTGCACGCAGTCGAGCCGGCGGTAGGAGACGGCTTCCCTGAGACAATCGAGCCGCAGCTCGCGGTCGTCGCCGATATGGTTCTCCAGAAACTGGAGCATGTCCAGCATGCCCAGTGCCGCTACCGAGCGCAGCGTCGCGGCTAATCTGTGTGATACCCTGTGGCCGGTCTGGCGGAGGTGTTCGCTCCTGACAGCCAATGCCTCTTTGTTGCCCCATAGTGCAGATATCCTCAGACTACCCATATGGTTGCTCCGGTAAGCAAAATAGTAGGAAGGATAGTTCTGCGCCACCACAATAGCCGTAATGGCCGCGATACCTACTTGAGCAGCGACTTCGAGCAGCACAACCAGGAGCCGATTTCTAAAGCTGCAACTCCCTAATTCACAAATTACTATAAGCCGCTGACCCTCGCTTCGTTGGGGTGACTTGAGGAAGATAGTAAAGAGTAAATATCGGCTTTCGAAGAGTTATTCTTTTTCTTCTTCCTTGTTTATATGGTTTTAATTTAATCTAATTTTAATCTACTTTGCTTTATTTTCTTACCTTATTCATAATATTTCGTTATATATTTCAAGCTCACTATGACTAGTACTCTTTTTCTTTGTCTTTCTGCTTCTCTTTTCTCTTCTCTTTTGATATCTCTCTTTCCTTTATTGTCTCTGTCATCTCTATTATTATTATTATTATTATTATTTTTTAAAAAAGGTCGGTAGCTTAGAGTAGGAGAGGGGGCGAGGGTTATATCAAGAGGATGTTTGCTTTGAAAGAGCCCTATCCTATTGACCACCACTGCACATTACATAGTTGTTTTGGCGCACATACTGTTTTATACTATAAATTCCTCACATTCGCTCGAATATAAAAGATCAACCATGAGTATTGCTGCTCACACCGCATCCGGGAACAAATCAGAAATCTCCTGCTCGTACAGTTTCAAAGTCTTCACCCGGGCTGCACCGCCCTTCAGTGTGCGAGGAAACGATTTATCCTGGGGTGCAATAATGAGGCGATCCAGCGACAGTTTCACGCATTCATGGCAACGCTCATTAATCCGATCAATATACGGCTGCAAAGAAGCCAGCAGCTGCTGACGGTCCGTCCCATTCGCCTCGGGCACCAGCTCAACCAGAAGCACCGGAGCCGAAAGACCTGGTCCGCCTATCAAAGCGAGCTGCACCTGGGGATGGGCCTCGATCTCGGGCTCCAGGGACGAGGCATGCAGGCCGTCGCCATGAGACAGAGTCACGTAGTCATCGCAGCGGCCGACGACCTTCCAGAGGCCCTTGTGGACGGGGTGCTCGACCCACAAGTCGTTGGTCTCGAAGCGGTCGCGGTCCGGATACAGCATGAAGATTTGTTGCAGGAGGCAGTCGGGTTGCCGCACCAACACCAGCTCGTGCAGATTGTCGAACCGGGGCTCAAAGACTGCGCCGGCGTGTTTCTGGAACGCCACGTAGTCCCAGTCGGTTGAGACATGTCGATCCACGGTGAAATAGATCCCGGCCTCGGTGCTGCCGATGGCCGGGGCCAGGTGTGTGTAGGGAGCTAACTGCTCGCCGACTTGAGCGGAGAGAGGCGCCCCCGCATAGTTGATATGCTTCAGCGAGCGCAGGGCTGCAAGGCCCTTCGGGCTCTGGCAGAGCACTTCAAGGAGCACCGGCGGGAAGAGGACGCCATCGACACGGCCATAGCGGATGGTGTCTGCCATGACGTCTGGGGATGGGGGCGCCGATGGTCCCATGACGAGGGTCATGTGGAAGAATGTGGCCATGACAAGGGACATCAAGGTGCCCGCGAACTGTAGGCTCTCATGTCAATTCTCTGCTGCTCAACGGTTCATGCTGGAGGAAGATTCAAGGGAATCAAGAACTCACATGGAGCGACGGCAGAGGCGTATACCATCTTTCCTCGGCAATGTTCTGCATGGTGTTAGGCTCAAGGTTTGGCAAGGACATCGCATGATCGGAGCTGGCCAGCATGCGGTGGGTGAAGGTAACGGGCTTGGGTAGACCTGTGTTGGAGAGAGTCAGCCCTGAAATGCAGCAAACCTTCCGGGGAGAAGGAATTGTAAATGAGACAAACCAGTTGTGCCAGACGTGTGGAAGACCAGCCAGGGGTCATCCTTTGCCTCATCCCATGTCTTGCTGTACACATACGGGGGGGCCTCGGCCTCCTGCATGATCTGCTCGAGATCCGGGGCAGTGACGGTCTGGACATGCGGAGCCTCGCTCAGGACTGAATCAACGAAGGCTGTCATCGAGGCCGCCCGCAAGTACACAGTGCAGTTGGTGTGCTCGAGGATGCGCCGTTGCGCCTCGGCCGTGATCATTGGCGAAGGAAGGACGAACTATGGTTCAGAGAGCGTCAATAGGGACAGGCTCTTTGTTTCTTTCCTTCATTTTTCATGGTCTCTTTCGCATTCATACCACTTTCTGCAACTTTGCAGCCGCAACCTCTAGGATAGGATACCGGAGATCCTTGGGACCGGCATAGGCGATGCGTTGGAACGGCTCAGATGTTGGAGGCAAATTCTGGCTCAGCCAGTGTGCCGCATGGTTGGCGTAATTGTTCAGCTGCTTGTAGCTGATCTCGGTGTATCCTTGCGACAAGTCCTCTTCGTTGACGGGGACCGATATCCATGGCGGATCCACTGGTTTCTGGGCTCGCTGCTCGATCACGGCAGGGAGCAGTCGTCGACCATGTTCAACACCTGGCAGAGGGAAGACAGACCGCGGCATGATTGAAGTATGAAAGCAGAATGGACTGAGACCTGGCCAGGCTGACTGCAAAGGCGAAGCTCCATAGCTTTATACTTGCGGGCCAGTCGAGCCATACCGCCAATTCAGGGATCCATAGATGCTTTTACGCGCTCGATCCGCAGGATTCTTCATGTCTCTCCAATGAAAGGCCCCTCGACGCAAGTTTATTGAAATGGAGGCGGGTCCACCGGGGGGCCACGGAATATCGGGTGTCCTGTGCACGCGAGTGGGTTTCGGGATCGACATCTCAATATCTCAATATCTCAAATTTTGACCGGCCCATGACATCCACCATTCATCAGGGGCCATCACGACTTTTCTCACACTACTTAAAAGGGTCAATCCCATGGCCGTGCGAAACAACCAACGCATCATCATCCACTTAGTAAGCTGTCTGCTCGACGGCCCCCAAGTACGGTACCTTGGAAAGGCCCACTCGTCGCTGACCACCCCAGGATTACGATTGCTTCTATGCTTCGGTGTTCGAGGTCGAACAGCCCGCGCTTAAGTCATTACCCCTCGCGGTCCAACAGAAACAGATCGTGGTGACCTGCAACTATACCGCCCGACGACAGGGACTGCACAAGCTCCAGCTAATCTCTGATGCCAAACGCATCTGCCCCGACGTGGTTATTGTCCTGGGCGAGGACCTTACCAAATTCCGTGATGCCTCCAAATACTTGTTTCTGTTCGTGCGGTCCTTTATCTGGGGTGCGCGGGTCGAGAAGCTGGGCTTTGATGAGCTTTTCTTGGATGTGACCGAGATGATCGAGTACAACGTGGGACTTCTTAATGCCCATGACTTGGCAACCTCGTTTTTCCACTTGGACCGCAAGGACCCGACGGTGGGATTCGCCTATGATGCCACCACCTTCCAGGGGTCTACGCAGCCAGCAGGGGGGAAGCGTCTGCCCCGCACGAGCCATCATCGCTTGCAATGAGACTGCTCGTGGCGTCACACTTGGCCGCTTACATCCGAGCCCAGCTGGAACACCAGAAAGGCTTCACGGCCACGGCAGGGGTTTCGACGTCGAAATTGCTGGCAAAATTAGTCGGCAATCTTCACAAACCGAATAGTCAAACAACACTTCTACCGTCTTCTATAACAACAGAGAATGGCGCGGCCAGCAACGTTCTGGAATTTCTGGATGCGCACGAGATTCAAAAAATCCCGGGCATTGGCTCACGACTGGCACAGAAACTACGGGCACAAGTAGTCGGACCGGACACTGTCGACGAGAAAGTGACGGTGCGCGATGTGCGCCAGTATCCCGGGATGGGCCCGGCACTTCTGGAGAAAGCCCTGGGCGGACCAGGCTCGGCCAAGGGGATTGGCATGCGCATCTGGAATATTCTCCATGGTGTGGACAACACAGACGTGCTCGAAGGCCGAGATGTGCCTACTCAGATCAGTATTGAGGACTCGTACACCCGACTGGAGACCCTTGAGAGTGTACGGCGCGAGCTGGTAATATTGTCAAGGAGTTTGATCCGGCGCATGCGAACCGATTTACTAGAAAAGAATGACGGTAATGCTGCCCACGGCCGCTGGATTGCTCATCCGCGCACCCTCCGTCTCTCAACCCGACCTCGACCTCCCCCAGGTTCGGAGACGGCGCGTGTATACAGTGCCAATCGCATTTCGCGCTCTGTACCCCTGCCTCTATTCATCTTTAATCTGGACGAGAACCTCGATGCACTGGCCGAGAGACTGGTGCGGGATAGTCTCTTGTCGATGTTCCGAAAACTACACCCAGAGAAATCGGGCTGGAATTTGAGCTTGCTGAATATTGCCGTCATTAACATGGTGGAAAGCGCCGGAGACCAGAAGCAGAGCAGTGGCCGCGATATTGGCAAGATGTTTCGTCAACAGGAAACAGTGCTCCAGGACTGGACGGTCCGTGAACCCAGCCCACATCGGTCAACAGGAATGGCCTTGGAGGATAATCCGGAGATGGGCGATAGTCTCTGGGAAGAAGGAGAAGAGGATGATCTGGGGCTGAGTGTGGTCGACTGCGTCGTGTGTGGCGCTTCAATCCCACATTTTGCCCAGTTGGCGCATGCAATGTATCATGCAGCAGACTCGGAATATGAGAATGGTTGAAACTTGGTTGTGGCGATACCGAACCCATGATAGGATTGTCAATAGCAGAGAACTTCATCGTGAAGTAGTAAGTTCGTAGCAATACAGTGGCCATCACAAGAATAGCAACATCGCAGCGATTGGTCATGAGCCACGGGGGATGTTCCATTGAGCCGTTGGATTCTTCCGTGCTTGGCGCCCAGCACGATTCTTGTCAGCCTGGAGACTCTCGATTCTCGATTTCTCTCACATTTCACGTCTCACAATTCACGTCTCACATTTCACGTCTTCGGCATCCTTCAGCCTTGATCCCTTCTCCCCTGCCTTGACAGCCTCCACCCGCGGATCCCCGACCTTCCGAAGTGGACCCGGTCCCTGAATTTTCCCCAATGAGGCCGTGTCGAACCCTGGGTAATTAACGCAGGAGCCTGAAGTCCATTGAACTTGTTTCAGGGTTCTCTCTCTCACTTTCTTTCTTTCCTTCCTTCGCTATCATCATTTTGCCCTGGCGATGAGGTTCTCTCGGGGCGTCCTGCCCCTTCTCGGTGCAGTCTCCGCACTGTTTCTGCAAACCCAAGGTCTGTCTCTTCTCTGCCCTTGTGCAAACGGGGGGCTGGGCCGGGGGCTAACTCTCCTCTAGCGCGATCACAAGCCGCCGAAGCTATTCGCCATGTTACGCCCGTCGACAATCCCATCATCCGCACTCCATCACATCAAGTCGACCACCTCTCCCACTTCGACATCACCTTTAACCTCCACCGCGACGGCCGCCGGATAAAACTGGAACTTGAGCCCAACCACGATATCCTGGCAGAGGATGCATTCGTGCAGTATCTCGGCGTCGACGGAACCTTGAGAGATGGCGAGCCCATCAAGCGACACGAACACAGGGTCTTCAAAGGCCGGGCTCTGGTGGGATCGGGCAAGGAACGATGGACGCCCGTGGGTTGGGCCCGAGTCACCATCAAAAGAGATGGGCCGGACCCGTTGTTTGAGGGTGCGTTCAGCGTCAATCACGACAAGCACCACATCGAATTGCAGTCGACCTACTTGGACAAGAAGCGCCCGATCGATGCTGCGATCAAATCCCGCGAGGGCGAGTACATGCTCGTCTATCGGGACTCCGACATGATCCGATATGAGCACCCTGATCTTAAGAAGCGATCCCTGCCCGAGTCCTCCGGTTGCCAGTCACACCAACTCGGGTGGAACGCCGACCTGAGAAATTCGATCTTTCCGATGGGATTGGACGAAGCCGAGGGTCGATTGGGATTCACCCCGCTGAACTCGCTGTTTGGCCTGAGCAAGCGGAACGATATCGGTGGAGTCTCGGGCAACACAGGTGGCGTGAACCTGAAGTCGACTATTGGCGATTCGAGCGGATGTCCCAAGACCAAGAAGGTTGCGTTGGTTGGCGTGGCCACGGACTGTAAATTCACCGACTCGTTCAAGGCGACCAATTCTACCCCCAAGGAGGCAGCTCGAGACTGGATCATCAACCTGGTGAACACGGCCTCGAGTGTCTACGAAGACGCGTTTAACGTGTCTATCGGCCTGCGCAATCTTACTGTCAGCGAGACGGGTTGCCCGTCTACCGCTTCTTCCACAACCCCGTGGAACGTTGACTGCAATAAAGGCAACATTACTTGGCGGCTGAACGAGTTCTCAAAGTGGCGCGCCTCTAACAAAGACAACAACGCTTACTGGACGCTTATGACTGACTGCCCCACGGACCAAGAGGTGGGTGTCTCATGGATGGGTCGGCTGTGCACTTCGGATCTCGTTAGCGATGGAGACAACTCGGTCACCGGTGCCAATGTGGTGGTGCGCAGCCCGGGGTCCTCGTGGCAGATCTTTGCTCACGAGTCGGGTCATACCTTCGGAGCGGTGCATGACTGCGACGAACAGACCTGCAACCAAGGACTGGCAGAATCATCCCAATGCTGCCAGTTGAGTTCATCGACCTGCGACGCCAGCGCCAAGTACATCATGAACCCATACTCCAAACCTGACATGAAGAAATTTTCGCCGTGCACTATCGGCAATATCTGCTCAGCTATCGGCCGCAACAGCATCAAGTCCACTTGTTTGTCTGACAACCGCGGCGTTACCACTATTAGTGGCAGCCAGTGTGGCAATGGCATTGTGGAATCCGGCGAGGACTGCGACTGCGGCGGCGAAGAAGGCTGTGGCGACAACAGCTGCTGCGACGCCAAGACCTGCAAGTTCAAGGGCGATGCCAAGTGCGATGACTCCAACGACAGCTGCTGCGACAAGTGCCAGTTCGCCTCGGCCGGTACCGTGTGCCGCCCCAGCACTGGCGAGTGTGACAGCGCTGAGAAATGCCCGGGTGACTCAAGTTCCTGCCCGGACGACAAGTTTAAGAAAGACGGCACTTCGTGCGGCGACTCGAAGGCGGGCCTGAGCTGCGCCAGCGGTCAATGCACCAGCCGCGACTACCAGTGCCGCACGGTACTGGGCAGTCTACTGAACAGCAACGACACCTGGGCCTGCGAGCACACCAACACGCCATCGTGCACACTGGTCTGCGGCGCCCCCGAGGTCGCCCACCAGTTCGGCACCACCACCTGCATGAAAATGAACCAGAATTTCTTGGACGGCACGCCCTGCGAGTCCGGCGGCCGCTGCAGCTCCGGCCAGTGCAATGGCTCGTCCGTCGGCGGCTGGATCCGCGAGCACAAGAACATCGTCATTGGAATCTGTGTCGGTGTCGGCAGTCTGATTGTTTTGGCCTTGCTGTACTGCATCATCAGTCGCTGCCGCATGGCCATGATCCGTCGCAAGATGCCCAAGCCCCCTCCCTACCGCCCTGTCCCGATTCCGCCGAGTGGTCGTCCCGGCATGGCTCAATGGCCTGGCTATCCCAATAGTGGGTATCAAAATATGCCCCCGCCACCGCCGCCGCGATACGGGTGATAGTTTTTGTCTTTTTCTTTTTTTCTTTTTTTTCTTTTGGACAAAACTTTTGGACTAGGACTTGGGGTTCTCTTGTTCTTGTTCTTGTCTTCATGGTTGCACTGGCGTCGAGTCACTGGTTCATGTGGGAATTGAGTCTGATGGCATCTGGGTTTGACTTATTATAGAGTGTTTCTTCCTTTTTCTTTTCCTTTTCCTTTCTTTCGCTTCTTCATTGATATTCGACTTTATACCGTTAGACGAATAATACCGATCGAGGTGATTCGGAGTCCAGAATATCCATTCATGCTGAAAAATGAAGTAGACCAAGCATACTAGGAACCAACAAAAGTTTGAAGCCGGGTACATAAAAAGGGAAACAAGTCAAAATCCCAACACCAAGACAATCCATGCACAGAGTAGCGGGAGAGACGGGGGAAGAAAAAGGAGAACAGACTAGTCCAATCTGAGCAACAACAAAAGAAACAAAAGAATAAAAGCTACTGCCAACAAATCCCGACAAAGCCCTCACGAGAAACACCCCCAACACCCTCCAAATCGAACTCCTCAATCATAGCACGCAATTCCTCCTCCTCAAGCCCCGTTTCCCCGAGCTCGCGCGCCACGCGACGCAAATCTTCGAGGTCAATGAACCCCTTGCCACCCTCATCGAACAGCTCGAACGCGCGCAGGATCTCATCACGCGGGTCGCGCTCCAGGATCTTGAGGGCTGTCACGGCTTGGAACGAGGACAGCGGCATGAGGAGGTTGGATGGGTGCTGCGGGTTGGAGACGGGACCCTTGGCTGAAGAGGAAGGGCCGGCGGGTTGTTGTTGTTGGGCTTGCGCCTGATGCGATTGTTGCTGTTGTTGGTGGACTTGTGGGCGGGGCACGCCGTAGGTTGTGAGGAGGGAGATCAGTTCTTGTTTTGTGAGGGTGAAGCCTAGGGCGCGGAAGGCGACGCGGAGTTCGTGGTAGTCGAGGTGGCGGTCGCGGTCGAGGTCGAAGAGGGTGAACTGTAGATTATAAAATGGTTAGCTTTCATTATCATAAAAAAAAAAAAAAAACCACCATCGTCATGTCTTTGCTGGTTCCCTTCTCATGGCCCTCCTCTGTTTCTTCTTGTAACACCACTAGACAGGACATTCTTACCGCCTCATTAATCTCCTCCCTCTGCTCCTCCGTCAATCGATTCAACGGATTTGTATCCTGCGCAGGGCCATGCGACTGTGCCACATGCACGCCGCCCGCCGGCGTCGGTGCAGCCTGCTGCACGGGCTTGGACGCGTCGACGGCCCCAAAGTCCGCAGGCGCCGGCCCACCACCGCCGAGACCGCGATGCCGCGAGAACGACGATGCGCTGAAGGGCATGGCATTGGCGTTGATGGAGCGCTCGGGCAGCTTGGAGCCGGCGTAAGAACGCGACGCGAAGGGCTGGCCAGAGGCCATGGCGGCAAAGTTTTGAAGTCGAGCAGGGAGGGGGTGAGGGGAGATTTTTTTTTTTCAATTCGAATAATCAGAAAGAGAAATCCACATCCACTGCAATGAAAATCTCAAAATGAAGTAGACGAGGAAGTAAGGGAGGGCCCACGGGCCGAGAGGACGTTGCGGGTGGAGAGAAACTGAGACGTTGGCGGTGGGAAAATTGGAGACGCGCGGAATGGCGGTTTCTATGGCACTACAACATTGCCAGTTTGTGCTATCGCTGGTTTTAGAACTTCATTATACACAAAATTAAGAATTTAAATATACATATATACCTGGAGAAAAAAAATATTTGAATGATTTCCATTAGTATTAGCCAGCGAGGTCTAAACTCGCCCAGCAATGCCTATTTACGAGCAATAAACACACCCCAAGCCCACCCAGTCTGTGCAGCATATCTTCCCCTGTTCAAAAACCCGCCAAAGAATGGATTGAGCGAGTCGAACTCGATAAAACAACAAAAGAGACAACAATGGCTTGACCGTATAATCACAATTTTCCACACCCAATACACGCCCGCAGTGGTCGTAGTCCAATTACGCGCAACAGTTGGCGACCTTAATGCCTAGCTCATCGACAATTCTCGTTGTAGATGCTGTCAAATGAAGCCACTGCGTCCCAAGTTCCAGGCGTAGGCTCAAGCACATCGGCGAAAATATCTTGCTGCATGCCCATGCATGGTGTCTCGTCCACCGCGACACTCTCCCGGAGGGGAATCGCGACCGGTTTCGGGCTAGGACAGACTGGAAGAAGCGCCTGGACGGGCTGGGGGGCATTCGACAAAACGCTAGATTCAACACAGTCATCACGAAGAAACGAATTCATGTCATAAGATTCTCCAGCGAATGGATCCCCATGCTGCTTTGAAACGGCGACAGGCGGGAGTTCATCGTTGCAGTCCAATGGTCCCAGCCAAAATGCCAGATCAAAGAACTTTGAGTCCGGAAGCACGGGGATTTGATCTTTGAGTGCGGATCCGGTCGCATCTTTGCTACTGGTCTTGTTGTTGGCGGGGACAGATTTCAAAATGCTCCAGAGAGTGCACCACAAACGCGAGAGATGGGAGGCCCGGCATCCAAAAATCTTGGTCATGAGTGGACTTTCCCGGAGTTCCAACAGGCCGCTAACAATCCGGTAATACAGTGCAGAGGCGACCCAGACAGGGTTAAGATTGGTGGTTGGGTGCAGATATTTTCCATCGCTAAGACTATCCTGCACGTCCTTACGGCGCAACGCCTCGCACAATTCGACGGAGAAGCCTTCGGACATCTCGAAGAGCTCCCGACAGCAGACAACTAGGATGTAAAGCATCATGAGGCGTCCGGGATCAACATCGAGTGAGCGAATATAAACGTGGGTGGTCGCAAGGCACCGAGTTACCATAAAAAGTTTCGTCATGGAGAGGGCAGTTTGAATAAGCGGGTGAAAGGTATACGCCTCTTCGAGTTTGGCCAGCTCGACACAACGAAGATGCTTGCTGGCCTTGGCTACAAGCTGATCAAGAGAGCAACTCACGTTGGAAAAGACCATGTCGCGCCGATCCACGTACATGGTACACATTTCCAGAGCTCCGTCATCAGACCGGCGGATGTTGAGTACTGCCTTCATGGCAGTCATTTTAGTGAAAACAAGGGTATTCAGGGAATTCAACATATCGAGGGCTTCGCTGGAGGGCGGTTTCAAGGGCACCATGGAAACATCCGGTGGAGATCCTCCTACTTGAAGGCCAGAAAGGGACAGCTGTACCGAACTTCGAATACACTTGCGTCGAGTGGACGTGCACGAGAGACAGGGGTTTGACAACCCACATCTTTTTTTACTTCGATAACACCAAAGGCATGCGCCGCCAGATCCCTTCAGAAGGCGAATGTTTTCTCGCTGGCTTTCCCGATCGGCCTGGCTTCGAGGTATCTTTTCGCGATGGTAGCGTGATGTTTTTGGGTCCTCGATGAGAAAATTGAAAGGACGCCCTGGTGGTGGTGCCTCTGCTTGAGGTGGGACTGCAGCAAATGGGAAATGAGAATCCCTGGTTCCATTATTGGATGGATCATGGTGATCTTCATAGTTAGCCGGAGCGTAAGACCATGAATCCTGAGAGTCAAGAGACCATGTAGATTGTCGGCTTCTCAGTTCTGGCGCGGATACCGAAGTGTGCAAAGAGCTGATGGCCATGGGAATGGCCTGATGGCTGGATGTTGGTGTGGTTGAATACGAGACTGAGCCCGAAGGAACTTGGAACCTCGGAACTTGCTGCCCTCCATTGGCATGGTACGTAATAAAAGTACCATCAACAGTCGTGGCCAGATTTGAACTGGAGAGATGCTGCACATCTTGACTAACAGCTCTTTGGTTGTCGTGCGCCGTATCGGCTATACACATTCCTCGACTTGAGGATGGGTCTTGGCTATACGCAAGGTCCAGGGGAGCACCATAGCGGATCTGGGCTGCATCAAAGCTCCTCACCTGGGCCAAGTTGGCTGCTCGTCTCACGGGAGGCTGAAGGATCAGAATATTAACATATAGTCCTGGTGGATGAACCAAGAAGCAACAAAAGAGAAAGAAAACCAGAGAGCTGAACTTACAGGACGAACAGGGCCCTCACTAGGGATAGACTGATAAGGAAATCCAAGCCCGACCATCTGAGGGCCGGAAGAACGAACGGACACCATGTGACGGGCCATGGAACTCGAGCTCAGGCGATCAAAGCAAAACCGGGGAGACCAACGCTGAGAATGGCGAACAACCGGTCTTCTAGACGGGGTTGGCCGATTCGAGATGAAAACCGCAGAATAGAACGAATGACCGTGGACCAAGTACACATAGACTCAGGGGGAAAAGAGAGGGGTTCGCTTTCTCAGTACCAGACGGACAGCCTTCTCAACAGAGAAAGCGCAAAGAGCGGGTGGGCTTAGGGCAAGCTGCCAATGGTCATAAAGTTTAGACCATAGGCCAACCTGCAATTCTTGGTAAGGGAAATAAACGAGTGTGGTATCAATCAAAAGAACAGAACGGAGTGAAGAGATTGACGAGGGTAAAAAGAAGACGAAAAAGTAGAACAACGACTTGACGCTGCTATGCAAGCACGATCAGCTTATGTGAAGTCGTCACCCGATTTGGATTAGTTTCCACCTGAAGGGGTTTAGTTTAATTAAAAGACCAGCCATTATTGGTGGATCCAAAGGCGGTGGACAGTGATATTGCCGGATGACGCTATGTCGACGGCCACTGGATGCCTCGGGATATGCCTGTCGGTAGGTCACGCTGTTGAGGCATATTTTCAGAGGGAACGAAGCAGGTAGCACGCGAGAGGGAAGTTGAAGAGTGAAAGAAACCACCTGTGATCAGGTACGGTTCAGGTCAGGATCTCTCCGCTCGCCCAAGTCCAGATCTTCCAGGAACATGCGGCCCAGTAGCTTGTCTGGAAGATAATCCTGCTGTACCCGGCCATCAACATAGTTCGGATTGTACTTATACTCCTTGCCATATCCCATTTCCTTCATGAGTTTGGTAGGTGCATTTCGTAGGTGGATGGGGATCGGCAAGCCTGCAACGCCTGGCTCATTCAGTGCCGCAAATGCGTTGTTAAGCCCACGATAGGACCGCGTGCTCTTCTTCGACAGCGCCATGGCCACAGTGGCATGGGCCAGATTGATTCGAGCCTCCGGTAGCCCAATCTTTTCGACAGCCGAATGCGTGGAGATTGCCAGCGTCAGCATGGTGTTATCGGCTAGGCCAATGTCCTCCGACGCGACAACAATAAGGCGTCGCGCGATGTACAATGGGTCTTCTCCAGATTGAATCATGCGCGCGAGGTAGTACAGAGCCGCGTCTGGATCACTCCCTCGAAGCGACTTGTGAAATGCCGAGATGGTATCGTAATGCTGGTCGCCAGCCCGATCGTACACCAATGTCTTGGTCAAGGACCGTTTCAGGTCCTCCTTGGTCATTCCTGGTCGTTTTGATAGATCCATAGCCAATTCCAAGAGATTGAGGGAGGTCCGAGCATCCCCATCCGCGAAGTTGGCCAGATACTGAACCAACTCGTCATCCACCAATTCTGAGGGCGAATAGCTGGGGCCTTCCACCTTGAGCGCCCGATGAAGAATAGAGTTGACGTCCTCATCAGTCAGCTTGGCTAGAGTAAAGGTCCTGCACCGTGAAAGCAGTGCGCTCTGCACTTTGAAAGACGGGTTCTCGGTCGTGGCGCCAATCAGCGTGACCTGGCCGCTTTCCACGGGTCCCAGAAAGACATCCTGCTGGGATTTGGAGAACCGGTGGATCTCGTCACAAAAAATAATTGTTTTTCTTCCGGTTAGACCAAGCTCACTGCGAGCCTCGGTGAAGATCTTCTTGCACTCGGCAACTCCCGTGCTTGTACTGTTGATCTCCACGAACCGGCTGCCGACCATAGACGCAATGACTCGGGCAATTGTCGTCTTGCCAGTTCCTGCGCTGCCCCATAAGATCATGCTGGGTACTCGGTCTTGTTCAATGAGCCCACGCAGGACTCCATTGGAGCCGACAAGTTCCTGGCCACAGACTTCGTCGAGAGTCTTGGGCCGCATGCGTTCCGCAAGCGGAGCAGCTTTCTGGAACGCATTCACCTTTGGACGTTTCGCCTGCGGCTCCATTGATTCTCCCACAGGTTGTGTGGGCCCATTGCGATCCTGCTCCGCTTCCTGCACGAATGATCTCTTGCCGTTGAGGGGGCGCGGAGTCGAGGTCGGACGAGACGGGGAGTCTTTGGAAAGGCTGGAGTGAGCAGACGCCTTGCGGGCTGATGCCGGTTGAAAAATACTTGGCACAGGGCCCTTTTGGGAAGACGATTCGGCCGGAGAGGAAGATGGTTCCTCGATGAAGCTTTGGCAGTCGGAGTCAATATGGTCGTTGATCTTCAACTGGGAGACCGATTTCCCACAGATGGGGCAGGATACCATGGTTAATCAAAGATCAATACCCGGCACGACACTCGCGATGACCAGAGGTGCCCAGCGAGGTTTGCACGACCGGCATCGATTGACATGAACCTTGCTCTTTCAGACGCGTCGCGACAGATGGCTCAGTCAGCAGGAACATTTGGTGCCTTGGTGCCTCACCATCATCAACCTCATTGAATAAAGCTGCAATCGCGGGGATACCAGGCCAATTGCTGTTGGAGAGCTTCCGAGACACTCTCGCCCTCGTCAATCACCCCCCAAAGCCTCAATGTTGCAGGATCTCGTGCAACACTCGCGCGCTACACGGCCGACCTCGGAGCCCGAGCACGCCATTCCCCCGCCATTGGACCCTCGTCTATCTCCAACTCTTCGCTTTCCCACTCTCCCCTCATGATTCTGGGACGATCTCCAGTCTTTTCTGTCCTCGCTACATCTGCGATTCCTCATCTCCGAACTATGCCAGCACCCACTCCCTCGACTTTACCCCGTATTTCTGGCGCAAGAGCAATGTCGGCCACAGCGGCGCGGACCGACCCTTTTCGGCCGGCTCGGAGAGTCGCCGGTCAGCGACAGGATGTCTGGTAGGACTCATATTTCTGGGCAATCATAAAAGAACAATCGGGTTTAACCGGCATGCTAGGTCCATCGTCAATGAAGCGGCGGCAGCTTCGCCGGTCCAACCGATCGTGAACATGGGCCAAGGGTTCTTGTGAGTCATGCTTGGAAAATGGGAAGATGCCAAGAGAAATGGAAAAAAAGGCTGATGTTTATGGGGTCGAAACAGTGGCTACAACCCTCCCAAGTTCGCCATCGAAGCTGCGAAGGATGCATTGGACCGAGTAGAATGCAACCAATACTCGCCGACCAAGGTTAATCCTCTGCGCATTGAGCCTAGTTAGCAATGTGCTCACGGTATATAGGGCCGTCCTCGTCTTAAGAAAGCCCTTGCGGATGCATACTCGCCGTTCTTTGGCAAAACCTTGAACCCCGACACCGAAGTCTCGATTACAACTGGCGCCAATGAGGGTAGGCTTGAATGCTCGGGGGTATAATTGCTGCAGGCTAATAATTTGTGGCATTTATAGGTATGCTCAGTGCTTTTATGGGTTTCATTGAGCCCGGTGACGAAGTAATCATCTTTGAGCCGTTCTTTGACCAGTGAGTAGTTGGATATTCAAGGCCAACTGACCAATGCTGATATCTGCGATAGGTATATCAGCAACATTGAGATGCCGGGTGGCACCATCCGATATGTGCCCCTTCACCCTCCCAAGGATGGCGCCACCAGGACGTCCCCTGCTTCGGAGTGGACGATAGATTTCGAAGAACTGGAGAACACCATCAACTCCAAGACTAAGATGATTGTAAGCAATCCTAACCAAGCTTGGCGAATAATCAAAGGCTAATTAATCATGACAGGTGTTGAACTCCCCGTAAGAAATAATCTTTCCTATCCCTCGTACTCAGCAAACTGACCATACTTTGTATAGACACAACCCCGTGGGCAAGGTTTTCTCGCGGGAGGAACTCCAGCGCATCGGAGATCTGTGCGTGAAGCACAACCTTATTATTCTGTCCGACGAGGTCTATGACCGTCTGTTCTATGTCCCGTTCACGAGAATCGGGACACTGTCTCCTGAATTGTACGAGCGTACCCTGACCGTGGGCTCGGCCGGCAAAGCCTTCTACGCCACCGGTTGGCGTGTTGGCTACCTGATTGGACCCGAACACCTGATCAAGTACGTAGCCGGTGCACACACCCGCATCTGCTACAGCAGCGTGTCGCCACTGCAGGAAGCAGCTGCTGTCGCCTTTGAGCAGGCCGAAAAGGCAGGCTTCTGGGACGAGAGCCGAATGGAGATGAAGGGAAAGGTCGAGCGGTTCTGTCAAGTTTTTGATGAGCTCGGTATCCCGGTACGTATATTCGACCACTACCACTGCGGACAAGTTGAGCTGACGGTGGATGGTAGTACTCTGATCCGGAGGGCGGGTACTTTGTGCTCGCCAACATGGCTTCTGTCAAACTTCCGGCGGAATACCCGTTCCCGCCGCATGTCGCCAACCGCCCTCGTGATTTCAAGCTCTGCTGGTTCCTCATCCACGAGGTGGGCGTCGCTGCCATCCCGCCGACGGAGTTCTATACCGATGCCAATGCCCACATTGCAGAGAACTATCTCCGCTTCGCGGTTTGCAAGAACGATGATGTGTTGGAGACTGCGAAGGAGAGACTGAGGGGCCTGAAGAAGTACATCACCCAGTAAACGGCATGTTCTGCGTACCGGTATATAGGACGTCTCGGTGGGAACCCTCTAGAAGGAGCAAGGCATATAGATCAAATACAAAGAAGCATGGAATATGCTTCAAAATTATGCTTCAAACAAGCAATGTTTTACATTGGGCACGTCACATCGTTCGCTTGCCAATGCAGCGGATAATCGCAGATCCACCAGACAAAGAACGCTGGAATGCTTACGAAGAAAAAAGACGATCCGGAAGAAACGAGCTATTTTTTCTTCGTCAGGAAAGAAGAGAAGAGGAGCAGAAGAAAAAAATAGAAAAGAAAAGAAAAACCCGAAACACCGCCGCTAATCAAATAGACAAGAATAGGGCACGAAGTCCCCGATGAAATGTAACGCAGCCCCGAAGGACCACCCGCGGCAGCACAACCACCACTCCTCACCACCAGCCCAGGGCATAAGAAGGGGAGTCGGACCCCTACTCCTCAAACGGTCTTTCAATCTCCATAGGCCCCGACCCGGCGCCATCCCAACCCTCCCCACGGCAGAAGGCCCTTCGCTCATCATCGAGAACCTCATCGAATCCCTCGCCGCACGTCCGGCCCCTGACCGAGCGGACCGTGGGATGCGTGGTTCGGTGTGCGCGGAGGATCCATTGACTGGACTCCATATAATCGCACAGGCGCGCGAACCCACGCCCTTGTCCCAAATCGCCCAGGAGGGTGACGCGCTCGGCAGAGCAGACCGAGTCTCGGCAGTGTCTCGGGGCAAGACCGCTCCATTCAGTCTCGCATGCGTGACGCTCGCCCGTGACCGGCGGCTCAACTATCACGCCCAGCTCGTACCGGAACTGGTTCCGGAGCATCGCGTCCATGTGGTTGTTCCACATGTTGCGAACCCGGAGCCAGTCTCGGAGGAGCCGGAACATGTAGCTGATCATCGGCCCGACCTCGATGGCAGCTGCAACAAGAGAGATGTTAGTGTTTGATTTGGGATAGACGCAGGAAGAGAGAATAGAGGGGAAAGAAAAAACTTACCAAACAGGACAACTGCCAGGATTCTTCGGAACCGATCCTTCTCTTTAGGATCATCGAACCGAACCGTGATCAGCACTCGGGGACAGCACCGCGACTCGGGACTACCAGGAATATTACCCGCGCTGAACTGCGTCGCCCAATCCGCAAAGATGAAATAGTCGCCCTCCTGACGGGCCGTGGTAAACCACATAGCCTGGCGGAAACGCTCCGGACTATCCCAGTTGTGACGGTTAGGAATCATCGGAGGGCCGACCAAGACGTCTTCGGGAATGAAACTTTCCAAGCATTTTTGCTGGAAAGTGAATTGTCTGCAGACCAACCAGTGTTCCTTGACGTTCTCGCGCATGTGCTCCTTGCCGCAATAGCGGATCTCGGAGTATGGCCCACAACGAGCGCAGACGACGGATTGGCGATCCCATAGGTTGCAAACTTTGTCACAACCGGGCTTGGCACAATAGAAGCTGACCTTGGTCAAATCCCAGATGAAATCCTCTGGCACCATCGGCACTGGCCGGTACTGGGGCTGGGACAGTATGACGGGTGCTGTTGTCGACTGGTCTTGGGGCAGGCTGGCGGCTCTATGACTGGTAGTCGTGGTAATCTCACCCTCGGACGACTCGCTGTGGCTCTGGTGCTGGCTCGGAGAAGCTGGTCCAAGAGTCTCCGACTCGATCAACTGGGGGTGACGCTGCCGCAGGCTGGGCGTCGGAGTTGCACCGTCTTCGAACTCAGGCTCTTGGGGTTCCGAGCTTGACGTCTGGTTTAGCACGGTGGACTTTTCTTCAAAATCGGCGTACGGATTCTCCACCGCATACTCATTGGATGAGTAGAAACTAAGCTCTGACGCGCTTAGTTCGTTCTCCCTTGCCATGACCACCGAGAGGCGGCCAGAATCCACAGGTATGGCTGGAGCAGGTTCCAGCTCCGAGGACGTGGAGTTTGGTGAAGCCGCACGCCACGAAGACTGGGACCCCTCACCCTTCTGGTCGAGGGCAGCCATATACCTGTCCTTGCGGTTTCTGGCCTTCTGTCGTCTTTTCGAGGACTTCGTATTCCGCCTCGGCATGTCTGCAATGGCGGCTGCTGACTCTGCCTGGATGGAATGAGCACGGAATTCTCTGTTGACGATGAAGAGGCAGCCTCTTTGACACTGGCAGGGTCTTCTTCAACCTCTGTGGTCAATTAGAATGATGTTTCAAATAGGCAACAGTTGAAAGACGCTTCTCACCTTTGTTGAGAGGCCGACTCGGTGATCCAATGTCTGGCGCAGCCTGGATTCTCGCTGCTGCGTCTCTTTGATCTAAGATAAAAGTCAGCGCAAATTGTAGTGAGGATGCAGCGCGAAGTGAGGTGGGTTTGACTTACCGGACTGAGACGCGGAGTCCGCCGCTTCAGGTGAGCTAGATTCTCGATCTCCCACGTTGGAGACCGAGTCTTGAGAGCGAAGGGGAGGAGTTCCGAAGGTAACAGAGATAGAGGGGGAAACGGGGGAAGTGGGTGCGTAAGTGAGAGCGGTTTGGAAGATTGAACAGGCCGTTGATTGAGCTGCGACAATTTGACCAACCTCACTTGCGTGGAAGGCAACAATGGAACCCTGCGCGGAGCTTGACTGCTCGGCATTTCTTCTGGATTCTGCCGCACTTCTTTCATCCTTCTTTTCACCCTCCGCGGGCCCTGGCACGCCAGAATGGCTGTGCGAATCCAGTCCCGAAGCAGGAGGCGTCCAAAAGCAATCCATCAAATCCTTCTCGACCATCTCTGTGGCGGTCTGACGGTTAGCGAGCTGCCTCTTGAGCTCACTATCCTGTCTGGCACTTCTGCTTTGGATCCGAGCAAGCCGGGCTTCCTGCCGGCCGATTTCCTTTTGCCGCGCCTTTAGCCGCTGCAGCAGCTTGCTCGGGGCGGTTTCTTTGTTCACGGCAAGTTGCTCGATCTCAGAGGTGATATGCTGGGTCTCTGCTCGCTCTGACGTTTCGAGATCCGCCTGCAGACATTCACCGGCTGGCACAGCCGCTGCCTTCTGCTCCTCAGTCCTCTTCGCCTCTTCGCCCACCTGGAGGCCCTTCAACGTACTGTTGAAGTGATCAATGCAATACCGGGTCCGCAGCCAGATGCGGACCGGTAGCGTCATGATATCAATGAAGCTGAGCTGTATTCTGTTAGTACCTATATGAGGAACCGGGCAGTAGGGGTATCATTAACTTACCGGACGGTCTTCTGTAGCAGCCACATATTCACTGTTGCCCTTGTCCACAGTGAATACTACAGCCTCATCGGCATCAACTTCAAATCGGATGTGGACAGGGGCCTCTTTTTCGGGACGCCGCATCCATTCCACCTGGCAACCAACGACGGCGGTTGGTCCGCGCCACTCATGGCTGCGTTTGCGTACCTTCTTGATGCCGCCAATGAATTCCTCAATGGCGGCTTGCCCGATATGGGTGGCAGTAATGCCCAGGGGGCTGGTGCCGTCGAACAGTCTTTTGATCAAGCGCAAGAGACCAAGTCTGCCATCAGGATGATCGGCAGGTAGCTTGAAGTCAAACAACAGTGCCTTGGTCTGTTTGTTCAGACCGGCACTAAAGATGACATCGCGGGTCTCCTCCGGAAGCACCCGCAGAGAGAACAGCGACGGCGAGCTCTCCCACCAGTTGTGGGTCTCCAGGCGGAGGACATGGTCTGCTGATTTCCAGTCCGTGCCGCCGGCTCCGGGGGTCTCCTGCACGTTGTTGGTGGCGTCGAGGGCCATCCGGTACTGCTGATCACCCTGATATTGGCTGGTCTGGTTATCCATGGTGGCAGTAACCAGTTAGGCCTGCTATCGCCTTTGGTAAGCTTAATGCACTGAGCTTTCATGCGTCCAAAGGCTAAAAGACTCACCCGATATTTCTTGGACAAGCGACCAGACGATCTCTGAAGAATCAATCTGGCGCCGGTATCAAAGTGCACCTGAGCTTGTTCTCAGGGCTGCTTTACTACGTGTCAGCGATCTTGCGCCAGATTTGGACGCCAGATGACTTACTAGACGTCTCTTGGTCTATCAACTAGACCGTTCTTTAAAGAAGAAGGGTGATGAGGTATGGCGAACCTCCGATCAGGGCTGTTGTCTTCATGGTTAGCCAAGATGAACCGAGCTTTGACATGCTAAAAGACAAACAAGCCTTATCAGAGATCCTTTGGCACTGTGGCCAGGTCTTTCTTTAAGGAAGATAATGATGAAGGTGGCGAGAATACTGTGAACCCCAGTTGGGGATGTCATCTTCGTGGGTCAGTTTTGGTGCATCAACCCTTAACGCGTCCTGACACGAGAAAACTTACCAGAGACTCTCGTGAGGCACAGTCAGAGCTTTCTTAGATGCTCAATGGCGACCAATCACGAGAGGAAACGCGCCTTGGTGATCAAGGAAGTGGAGGATGGTGAGGTGGAGTGGTTGAGTACAAGACGAAGTGGGAAGTGTGAATGTGCGCAGGAAATAAAGAGCCTTGAACGATTTGAGTCAAACGAATAGATAAGTCCAGGAACGGGCGACGATGATGTTATGTGTCAGAGAAGAGGAAAAAGATCGATGGGGTGCCTGGGAATCAATAGGGGAGTGAGTGATGAAGAGAAAGGGAGGCCACCAGGCGACCGTGAGTCTCGATATCGCGATGCTCGATCCTCGATGCTTGAATCTCGGTGACTGATGAGAATGCAGATTGACAGAGATCATTCTTTCCTGCTATTTTCTCGACTAGAGAAAGCACTCCAGTATTCTGGTCTACAGCCCAATTGTTGGGTTCATTTATTGCATTGCTCTATGTTTACCAGACTTTTTGGGTAGGGAGAAAGGGAGGCGGCAGTCGAAGGCAGAAGCTTCTTTTCGAAAGCAGCTGAATTGGAGCAGTGGTTTGGCAAAAGCATTTGGCTGTTATGGGCGTGGAAGGCCACAAAAAAGCTCGTGGATGGCATCGGTCCATTGTGGTAAGTGTCGAGGAGAGTACTCGGCTCAATGCTGAGAGCATCTTTTCAGGGAAACCTGGAGTATGAATGTGGAAAAAAGACACTAAGACAAATCATTTTCGCCTTCGTTCCAGCCTGGAGTTACGAATCTACGTCGGAACTGGCGTAGTCAACGCGGGCTGTCTTGGCTGTGGAGATGCAGCCAGGCCACTTCTCGAAGTTTAAGAGTATATTTAATACCAATTACTCTCCAGCATGAGCAGAGCAGAGACAGCAAGCTCATCAGCAACCGCCAACACACCATTGCATTCAAAAGAGAATTTATGTTCTAGTCAGGGGGAGCAGACACTGCTCACCGGTCATGAAGTGCTAACCAGACAACCTCTCTCACGGATGTTTATGGTTTCTGGTTTGCTTTGGTCTGAAAGTTACATATTGCAGCATATATTGCTTTGCCATCCAAGGACATAACATGTTGTCCGGCTGATTGATGTCAACTTAGGGTCTGTGCTATCACGTGGAATTCCCAGCGATTAACCAACTCTATTCAATCAACTGCACTTCTCTCCCCAAAGGACCTTTCCGCCACTTTCTGCGGCCTTGTGTTTAAAGATTAGACACTTGAATTTTAATCCGTACTTTAATAGCTTATTTTGCGACTAGCCTTCGTTGAACTCACAATTAGGTGGTTTCTTTTGTCTCCATGACCAGTCTATTTAATCTTATGAAAGTACCTACTATGGATTAAAAATGAACAGTAGCTATAGGTCTGTAGAAATCCAGCAGTTCTCTTTGTACCATTACTTCACGATATAGAAAACCATGATATTTGTCGGACCTAAGAAATATTCGATTAATTAATCATTTCGGCTAGGGATAACCATAAGTTGATCATCGCTCCAGCGGCAAATAAACGATGGTGTTTACTGGGCTGTTTGGGGATTGACCCATCAGTGCGACGCCAAATCGCCACGAATTTCTGGGACCTTACTACTCCCGGGTTGACAAAATATTTTGATATATATGTTTAGTAACAAGGATATTCTAGCTGGCCTTTTCTGCCTAAATAAGACCCTCAATGGCATGGATGATATGATTGAGCAGCATGGACTTTGTTGTCCAAAGGCCATCGCATTTAGGCCAGAAATGCTTCACTCAAGATACCAGGGTATGTCTTCATCACACGCGGAGAGCCTTTAAAAACTGATATTGTCCTCCCTTGTGGGAACCTATGTACATATTTTGACCATTCTCAGTGTCAAAGGATGATTCAATAAGCCTCAAATTTAGGGCACAAGCCTAATCAGCCATGGTTTCTTGACTCTATCACCCGATATGATTTCAAACGCCGCAACACCCACCTCGCATGGATGCGTGTCCATTGTATGCTCTGGATCAAATCGAATCAAGACCTTGCCCTGTGTAAACCGAATATTGTCAACACAATTGGCATATTGATTGATTTTGGGGTCGGGGGCTAGGCGATAATATTTCCGCGTGACCTTGGCAGAACCCGTTTTTTGGCGCCCATATATGCGAATATCGTCTAGGTTTCGCCGAGCCTCTCTTCTAACTCGTATCAGTTCTATATATACTGCTCCTTGCTCACCCACTCTGCGGATGGTATTTAGATAGCTACCAAACTAATAGGGTAAAGTTCACAGCACCTATAGAAGAACTTACTACTCTCGTGACTTACTTTAATACTTCTGTCCGCGGATCTCGCCAAAAACGACTAGCAAGGCAGAAAGTACAGACTTGGACATCTGCGTAGTCCGTTGAATTGTAGGAACGCCCTTGACTAATTCTGTTTTGCAGAGCATTTACCAGTCACTTTTCTTTTGGAGTCTAACGGCACCAAGAGTTGCTCACAGCTTTCATTGATAAATATATTCCGCAGGTAAGCTTTCGAGGTCAGCCCCTGATTCCGAAACGCCCGCGCATAAAGCAGGATGCGAAAAAGCAATGTGTACGGGCATATCACCAGAGAGGGCCCCGTAAACGATCTCGGGAAGAGCCGAAGTAGGGTTTTTTTTTTTTTTTTTTTTTTGATTGCTGTATGACCCTGATCGGAATCTCGTCATGGGCACAGGTCCCAAATTGGAGTTCGACAACCAGCGCCTCCAGGGACCACCGGAGCGAGAAATAAAACAAAGAATGTCACCAAAATGTGGATCCTCCAAAACAAAGGGGTTTTGTTTGAGACGAAACCCAGAAAACAGCACCCAAAATAATCTTCACAGCGGTTGATGTTCGAGTTGTCGCTCCTGACACCTCGACGATTGGATGAGAGTGGCGGGCGCTTAGCCGCCCATTTGCCCTGTATTTGGCTGGCGCCTTTGTGCTGGCGCGCAGTGGGACCGAATGAAACACTCAAAGAAAACACATATTGATCTGCTGCAGACTTTATTTTATTTTTCTTTGTTTGGGGTTTGTGGTCTCTGAGTGGTTGTTGCTATGACCTCAAACACGCTCTTTGTAGAACTATGGCGGCTCGCGAAAGCGCTGCGTTGCCTAAATCTATATGATTCCCCCCATTGATTCTACTTTTGAATTCTCGATTTTTGTTTCTATTGTTTCTGTTTTTGCCTGCTCTTATAATCGTCCACTGTATTCATTTTTCTATTCACTCTGAATAGACTTAAGTGCTGTGGATATATACACACCATGGTCTTTAAGTAGGCTACACATCTTTCTTAACGAAGACCTCGCCTCTCGACTCTGAGTTCTCCTCGTCCACGAGTTTGTGTTTTATTTTCTTTTCGAAATTTCCTCTCTTCCAAACCTGACAGCCTCCGCCAACCATGCTGTTCTCAAGATCCGGACGAACAATATTTCCTCTCCTTCCGCCCTACGGGGCTCACGACCCCAACGCAGGCCGAATAATCCCACTTCACCCAGACGGCCTGACACCATACCTAGGTTTGCGGGCCCGACTGTCCCAAGTATGGATCAACCGCTGGACGATCCTGCTTCTCCTCGTGCTGGTCCGACTTCTAATCGCAATCGGCGGCATGGACTCCGACATGGGCTCCGCCAGACGAGAGGCACTGTCGGCATGCACATCGGTGGAGTCCATGGGCAGCTCGATGGCGTCGATGCCGCACTATCTCTCCAAGGGAGTCAACGAGCTCACGGCGTCGGGGATTGAGAAGTCTGTGAATGGACTCAGATCCATGCTGCTGCTCACCATCACCGGTGTCGAAGAGATCGTTCTGTTCATCATCAAGATCATGTACCAGACCTACATGTGTCTAATTACGCTCGCTGTTCGCGGCAGTGTCTCCATCGGCGTGGGACTCCTCAAAGACGCCGCCGACTTCCTCAACTCCACTCTCAAAGACATCGGCAAAGACCTCGAAAAGACCGTCAGCACCTTCGAGGACGGCTTGAAGGACTTCGCCGATATGGTGAACAAGGCTGCTAGCGCGCTGGGCGCCCATCTCCCTACTCTGGATATCGATGGCTCTGTCGACAAACTCGAACACCTCCAGCTGCCGTCGTCGATCGACAGCGGTCTCGACAAACTGAACAATTCCATGCCTACGTTCAGCGAGGTCCAGAACTTTACCGAGAACGTCATCCGCTTCCCGTTCGAGGAGGTCAAGACCCTGGTCAATCATTCCCTGGGCACCTACACATTTGATCGCTCTGCACTACCGGTGCCAGCCAAGAAACAGCTGTCGTTCTGTGAAGACAACGACGGTATCAACAAGTTCTTCGACGGAGTGTCGGATTTGTCCTCGATGGCACGCAAGATCTTCATTGCCGTCCTCGTCGTCGCAGCCATCCTGGCCTGCATTCCGGTCGCATGGCAGGAAATCCGTCGCTGGCGCTCAATGAAAGAACGCGCCCAGCTCGTGCGCAAGGAAGCCCACGACCCCATGGACGTGGTGTACATCGTCTCGCGGCCGTATACAGCCACAGCGGGGATCAAGGCAGCAAGTCGCTTCAGCAACAGCCGGCGCCAGATCCTCGTCCGGTGGGCCATCGCCTACGCGACCTCGATGCCAGCGCTGTTCGTGCTGGCTCTAGCGATCGCGGCTCTATTCTCGTGTTTGTGTCAGTACTTGCTGCTCCGCGCAGTGGAAAAAACTGTCCCAGAACTCAGCACCGAGGTCGGCGCCTTTGCTGACAAGGTGGTCGGGTCGCTGGAGAATGCATCGACGGAGTGGGCCACGGATGCCAACGGGGTGATCGCGCACATGAACAAGGACCTGAACAAGGACGTGTTCGGGTGGGTGAACACCAGCACACATGCAGTAAACGACACGCTGAACGTCTTCGTCGAGAAAACCACGGGCGTGCTCAACGATACCTTTGGCGGCACACTGCTGTATGAGCCGATCAAAGACGTCTTCGACTGCCTGATCGGGCTGAAGATCGAGGGCGTCCAGAAGGGACTGACATGGGTCTCTGACCACGCTCACATCGACTTCCCCCTTCTCCCCAACGACACTTTCTCCACGGGCGCAGCCTCCAGCATCTCCGACGATGGCGGCGGCTCCAATCCCTCGGACAGCTTCCTCGCCGACGCCGGCGACAAGACCTCCAACAAGATTACCGAGGTCGTCGCCCGGGTAACCAGCAAGCTCGAGGACGCCCTCCGTATCGAGGCAATTATCGCCACGGCCATCCTACTGCTCTGGGTTCTCATTGCCCTCATCGGTATAATCCGCGCCCTGGCCCTCTTCTGGGGTCGAGATCGGAACCGCGGCGAGGGAGGCGGCCATGCGATAGACCCTGTGCCCACTACCCGTGCACCCCCGTCCGACTCTAATGGCTTCATAGATGTCCCTCTTACTGCTGTTCCGAAGGATATGGCTGCCCCCGTACCGCCGGCCCCTCCGTACGAGTATGAGTCTCCGCCGGCGGCTGTCCCGGCGAGCGCCGTGCCTGTCCGGGGTGAGCCGTCGTATGCGGATGAGAAGATGGGATTCGCCGGGCAGCGCACCTATGGGTCTGCGTTGCAGGTGGATTCAGCACCGGATTTGCGGGGGAGTAGCTATGTGGAATATGATATGAAGCGCTGAGGAGCTCATTCCATTTTTTGTCATTTCTTTCCATTTCTTTCTTCCCTTTTTATGGTTTTTTTTTGTCTGGATCCATGATTCCCCTTGTTTGTGTCTTTCTCAGCATGTATTGGAGCAGGCGGATCTGTCCTTGTATTTATTTTGGGACATCGGCGTTTCGCAGAGGCGGTTGTATCATGGCGTTGATCTTTTTATTCGAGAGAAATTCCACGGAATATTCAAGGCTAAAGTGCTTAGTGGGAGCGTGTTCTACCTACTAGAAAATGAGTACTATATTGGACCGCTATGTAGAGAATATCAAGCGGAGACAACACATTACAATTTGAACCAAAATCACAAAACAATATCTTGATACATCGTAAGTCATGAGCACCGTATACCCCTAAATAGAAACAAAGAAGCTCTTCTCGCCCTCCTTAGGAAGAACTCTCGCCCGCTCAATAATGGGATCAGCACAGCTCACCCGGATGCGCTCGGGGGTAGCAGGGCTCTGCAAGCTCAAAACATCCTCCATGCCCCACTGCTTGCGGGCTGCTTTGAGAGCGTCACGAATGGCAAAGAAGACAGCACTACCCATAAACAGTGGCGGCTCCCCGACACCTCTCGAGCGCTGGATGGTGCGGAGATTCTCCCACTCGACGTCCTTGAGCAGGCTCACGTTGAACACCTGCGGGATATCGCGGAACCCAGGGATCTTGTAGCTGCCAGGCCCGCGGGTGAAGATCTGGCCCGAGGCCCGGTGCCAAAGACTTTCTTCGGTGGTGAAGAGGCCCTGGCCTTGGACGTAGGCGCCTTCGATCTGACCGTAGTCGACGGATGGGTTGATGGTGCGGCCGACGTCCATCTTGATGTCTGCGCGCAGGGGCGTCCAGTCACCTGTCAAGGTGTCAATCTGCACTTCGGCGGCAGTGACACCTTGCGTGAAGTAGAAGAACATTTGTCCGCTGTTCTCGCCCCATACGTAGCCGATGTCCGGGGTACGGTAGTATCCCTGAGCGGAGAGGTTGACCCGGTCGAAATATGCGGTGTGGGCGAGCTCTTTCATCGTGGCATTAGGCATCTTCTCGCGGTAGGGACGGAGGCGTTCGTTGATTTGTTCGCAGGCATTGAAAATGGCGTAGCCGTTGAGGTCGGAGCTGGCTGATGCAGCGGTTGAGGATGTGTTGGCTACTGTGTTGGTAGCCGTTTCAGAGATGAAGACGTCAGTTTGCGGAACCTGAAGCGCTTCGGCAGCGATCATAGTCATCTTCGTGTGTAATCCTTGACCCATCTCAACACCCCCGTGGGCAACGAGAACACTGCCGTCATGATATATATGAACAAGGGCACCCGCTTGATTCAAGAAGAGAGCCGTGAAGGAAATGCCAAACTTGGTCGGCACAATGGCCATTCCACGTTTGGACCATTTATGCTGCGAGTTGTATTCTTCCACAGCCTTGCGGCGCTGTGGGTATGAGCTGTCGTCCATGACTTGCTTGTACATTAGTGGAACATGCCAGTCTTTGAGAACCTGGTTGAAGTGCGTTTTTTCGCCGGGCTTGTACATGTTGATTTCCCGCAGCTCCTCGACGGGGATGTTGAGATGATCGGCAATTTCGGACAGGTAGCACTCGGCGAAAAACAGACCCTGAGGTCCCCCAAAGCCTCGGAACGCGGTGTTCGACACCGTATTTGTTTTGCAGATCCGGCCGCGCACATTGACATTTGGAATCTTGTATACCCCGTCGATGTGCGAGAGACTTCTTTCCACAACAGCACCGGATAGATCTTGAGTGTGACCTCCGTTGGCGAAGACATCGGCATCGAGAGCGAGAAGCTTGCCCTCCTTCGTTACCCCGACCTTCCATCGGCAGAGGAACGGATGGCGCTGGCCTGAGGTCAAGATATCCTCGTCACGGTTAAGCATCGAACGGACAGGTCGTTTCGTCTTGGCAGCAGCGGTGGCACAAAGCCCAGCCAACTGAATTGAACGTGTTTCCTTGCCTCCAAAGCCACCGCCAAGTCTCTTCACACGCGAGACAATTTTGTTCGCTGCGACTCCAGTTACCTGCGCAATATATGTTTGTCTAAATATAAGGCGTTAACAACAGCCCTGCAAGACCAATGAATTTGTCTAGAACTTACGTTTCAGTGGGATTCTGGGTTCCGCTCCACACTTCCATCTCACCATCCTCTGGCTTAGGAATCGCGACACAAGCCTGGGTCTCGAGATAGAAGTGTTCCTGGCCACCGATACGCGAAACACCCGTGAAGACATGAGCAGCCTGCTTGAATGCTTCCTCTGGATCGCCATCTTTTATGTAACGGTAATGTTCAAAGTAGGATTCAGCTTCGATTGCCTCTTCCATTGTGAGGATGGCTGGCAAGTCTTCATATTCAACCTTGACAGCCCTCATAGCCTCTTCAGCTGTCTTGGCCGTGTGCGCCAGTATCATTCCAATAGGCTGGCCAGCAGTGGTAACCTCATCGACAGCAAAGAAAAGCTCATCTGATTTGGGTGCTCCCCACCAGTTGGCTTGAGGATTCGGAAGGTCCGTATGATCGACGTAGTCAACAACACCTGGGATATCAAGGGCGGCAGAAACATCAACGCTGATTATCTTGGCATGTGCTTTGGTGGAGAGAACCATGCAACCGAACAACTCGTTCTGCTGTACTGGGAGGTCATCGGTATATTGAGCCTCGCCGGTAGACTGCTTGAGTGCTGAGACATGCGGAGTAGCTTTTCCAAGAATCTTTTGCTGGTAGGCGACAGATGCCTCATGATCTTTCTCTCCCGAGGAAATGGCTCGTTCAATCTCGGCAACAACATCGGGATCAAGGTCCGACGACTTGACCTCTAGCTGTGAGAGAATATCATGGTAGAATCGGTAGAAAAATCCCAGAGCCAAAGATTTTCGGTAGGTAGCCATGCCACCAGGAACCCCAAAGGCCAGATTGAAATCCTTTTCCAATGCGCTCATCGTCCCCTCCAGTGTCGCCGGGGATGTAAATTTCTGGCCAACCAAGAACGCTTCTGCATTCTTCGCGGACACTGTCATAGGCGCCATACCGCCGAATACAAGTTTGGTACTGGTCACATCGTTGGACTCCGACAACGAAACGCGCAGTGCAGCATTGACAATGGCAATGTCATCATCCTTTCGCTTGGCCTGCTTGTATGTCCGCATATGGTCTCCCGTCTTCTGCGCGGCTGGAATACGGAGACTGGAAATGATGGCGTTCGCGGGAAGAGCTGTTTTTCTGTAGCCCTGGAAAAACTCGGCCATGGGAATTTCCTTCTCGCCATCAAGAGACTTGGCAATGAGGACGGTATTTGTAGCCACAAAGACAGGGTTGAGGTCTGAAATTGGTGAGGCTGTGGCCAGGTTGCCGGCAGGAGAGGCGACGTTGCGAATCTGTCTTCCAGCGAAATATCGCAGCTGCTTCTTGATTGCTTCGAATGGTTGGCCCCGGGTCGAGCCATACTTCTGCACGGCTTGTTCGCAGATCGATTCCAAGTCTGTCAAAGAGACATTGGCGCCGATCTCCAAATAATCGTCGTGAAAAGAGTATAGTCGCAATTCGGGAATATCGCCCACATAGACCGATGCTGCATAGCGCATGGCCTTAAACTTGATCTCGATCTGCGTTTCCGTACTTCCACCGATCAGCTTGGCATCCGGGTGGACGCTCTTAATTTGCAACAGCTGATCCACCGTCACTGGCCGATACCACTTCTTCCTCTTGTTACCAAACGCCAACGGCCGGAAGTCGTGTTTTCTCAGAGCAGCAGGGAAAATGAGTTCCGTGTCCGGGCTGTAGGGCTTAAAGTCTGGCGCAGGAAACTTCAGTTTGACCTGGCCTTTCTGATCGTTGGTTGCTGTCGCCCCCTTGCAACAGCCTTCAGAGGCGTTTTTCTCCATGCAGCAACCAGACCCTCCATTGGAACTAGCCTTTCCGCAGTTGTTGATTGCATTGAAGCTCTGGGCGGCATCAAGGATTGGTCTGTATCCGGTGCAGCGACACAGGTTTCCATCGAAAGCTTCTTCGACGGCGTGTTCTGATGGGGAGGGATCATTTCGCAGCAGGGCGTAGAGGCTCTTGAGGCAATCAGTCATGGATATATTAAGCGAAGGGGCCGCAAGGGCGTACCATCACAATCCCCGGCGTACAGAAACCACATTGGCTTCCATTTCCAACCGCAATGCGCTGCTGAACCGCGTGAGGATTCTTGACATTCCCAATACCCTCGACAGTGATGATGTGTTTCCCATCGACGCTGACAAGAGGAGCTATGCAGGCGTTCACCGAGGCATGGTAGATCTTCTTCGTGGTTGGGTTGATGTGGGAAACGACCTGGTTTGATTGGAGAAAATATAGAATTAGCTTAGTTCTTGGTGTTCTTGGTCGCTCTCCACTGCTTCTCCCAAGCAACATACCACCGTGCAAGCACCACATCCTCCCTCGGCGCATCCCAGTTTGGTTCCCGTCAGTCCGATGCCCCTCAAATACTCCAAGAGTGTCACTTCTGGGTTGACAGAGTCGACGGCGACTTTGGTGCCGTTCAAATAAAATCGAATCGTGTCATCCCATTCGGCTGTCAGCTCTGACAACGTCGTTGCCTTCTCGACCGCCACCGCGGAATTCGTTTCCAAGATGCCGGGCGCCATGGCGACAAGCTCGAGCACTGACAAGTAGAGGTCGGGATTTTGATTTCAAGAGGGAGTCATTCCTTTTTTTATAGGACTTGAGTCGCAAAGACCTGCCTAAAACTCTCACAGTCCAAGCAGGAGAGGGGCAAGTCCAGCAGAGTGTTATCAGAGCGATTCGCGGTGGACCCGATCTCCACTTGTTATCGCGGGGATCGCCACTGTCCGACGCTGTCCACGCACAGATATAATCCACGTTATCGAAGATGTGATTGGGTGATGAGCATATGTATGGGCTAAATGGAACATGAAAGACAAAAAAAAAAGAGTACAAAAAATACATATACAAGGCGCAAAAGGTATTTCAATGTCGAGATCCCGCAAAAGTCCTCTCGGCTTCCTCCCACTTTCTACGTTCGACCACACTTCGGGCCCTGGATAGATAGTTAGCAAAGGTATAAATAACGCGAGAAGAACAGTTGAAACCTACCGGTAAGCCTTCACAAATCGCCATGCCTCAGTATCTGCCAGATTCCAGGCCTCCGTAACATCTTTGACATTGATGCGGTTGGTGCCCTTGCTCCGAATGATTTCCCGGGCCTTGGTGATCAGGTCGTACTCCTGTCGAACCCCCTGCTGGCTCGGGTTCCTGTGTTGCACGCTTTCCTTGTCATTCTCTGTCTTCGGGTCAATCTTGCCGCCGCGGGGGATCTTGAATCCAAACTGCCATTCGAATTCATCCAGGAGTTCCGAAGGGAGACTTTGGCCTGCCTCGGAAGGAAGCGATTCGACAGTCATCCACAAAGATGAGCCAACAGCCTCGTCGGAGGCGACCATTTGCTTGAACACGACTCCTCGGCTGGAACTACCCAGATCGGGTCCGAGGTGGTCCTTGGTTATGCCAGTGAGGAACGGATCACGCGCGGTGTCGCGGCGGATCTGTCGCGTCGTAATCTGTTCCGTGTTCATCTGCAGACTGACGAGAGTGTACGGATGAGGGATGGTGCCAATCGTAAAGAGGAAGGTGGTGTTTTTGTAGTTGTCGGGTTGACTGATACGCATGGTTTGCTTGCTAGCGCCGCAAGCGCGACAGTCGGGGAGGTTGGGGGGACAAGAATTAGGCATGGGTGACTCGGGACATTGGATGAGAGCCTTGGCCAGTCGCAAGGCCGGCTCGACCAGGGCCGTGGTGTGCTGGGGCAAGGGCTTCAGCACCGCCAACCCCGCGGGGAAGGCATTCTGGAAAGTATTGTGGAGATGCGCATTGATCAATTGAACCAAAGCTAGTCGGCCTGTGCTGGGGCTTTTGTTGATTTTCTCTGCGACGATCGGGTAGTGAGTCGTAAGGGATGACGTTCGATAGAGCGCCAGGGCAGGAAATTTCTGGGCCTGGAACAGCTCCGGTGATATTAGGTCTGCTAAAACGGTGAACTTCTCGTTGAGTTTCGGGACGGCAGCATTGAGCGCCTCGTCGATCTGCGCCTTCTCCGCAGCATAAAAGGCGCCCTTGAAGTTCTCAACTCGTGTGATGAGTTCTGATGTAGTACCGCGACGAAGCGAGATCAGTTGATCGTCGTCGTATCGTGCCATGGGAAAGCAATGGAAGTCGGCGAGAATCCCCGTCCCCATGTGTCCCCACGCTAGCCAACGCATCACCTCATTTTCCATGTCAGAACTGAGCCTAATTTTCTGAACCGTCTCGAAGTGAGGGTTCTTCATGGCATCGCCCGGAGTGAGAACCACAGGCCGGAATCCCTGCGCAAACCATGCCCGTCGCCAAGCGAGCAGCAACTGCTGGTCTGCATCTTGACCGAGCTTCAAATCATTGCCCTTGTGTTTCTTGGGGTTGAATTTCGGATTGTAGTAGGTGTAGATCGGTCGTCGTTCTCGAAGCGGGGGGAGAACGGCGCGCTTTTCATCCAACGTGACAGCGGATGAGAATGGGTTCAACCATTCCCAATTGCTGAACCATTTCGACTCGCCACTCGTGCTGTCCTTTTGCTCTGGAGGTGGTTCATGGGCGGGAGCGCGCAGCGAAGGCAAATGGAAGTTGTTTAATGACGGCAGGTTGGGCAGGGCTCCATTCTTCGTTGGTTCCGAGGCGTCCTCTTCTTCAGGGTCAGGAATAGCGGAGGGCGAGTAAACAAAGAGCAGGAGCGCCACAAAGACGACGAGGGAAAATAGAGCCGTGCTTCGATGCGGTATCATCTTTCCCACTTCCCAGCACGTACCAGAAGCACGGGTGCGGTATCCAGTGGGTAAAGTGAAGGACGGGGCGGCCTCCTTTCCTGAAAGTCCGCTCAAATGGGGCGGTTTCAAGCACCTCGTCGGGTCTTGGCACAATGACCACGGATTCCACGATCAGACACGAGAGAGCTGTTCAGGAGGATATCTAATATGCAGATTGCACCGACGACTCTATTCCCTAATAATGCCAACGCAGAGGCAACACTCGGAAAAGCATTCGTCCTGCTAGGCTGTGAGGCTGGACTCTGGCCTGAGGCAACGAGATGTCTGCTGACTCATTTCGAGGCATGGTCCAGAGAGCTGCCCTTTCGATGATAGTCTTCCGCAAGTCACTTAGCAAGTATTCTAAGGGATTTTCTTATGATACTTCTCTGTCATGTTTTTCTAGTCCTCTTCAACAAGCCTATGCTACTCATGAATCTCACTGTTCCCATATACATCGAGCACACAAAGGCGGTGAGCAGTAATCTGCAGTGGGGAGCGGCGAAATCGGAGTGTTTTCTGTGCCCCTCCAAAAATAATTGACTCGTTTGGTCCTTCTCCTCCAAAACACCTGGATTTCTCCGAACTGCAATCATGGGTGTGGGTGCCGCCCCGTTGCAGAACCGCCTGGAGAGGTGGGCACAAAGGTTGAACAACCTGATCGTCTCTCCATTGACCCGAGACTATCCCGACACACAAAAGCCGGACTCCAAGAGGGCCATTGAGGCATTCGAATCCCTTCGACTTCCCAAGGAGACTCAATTGGCCTTGCAGCAGCTCTCGGGGCCATCCTCTTCAGACTTTACTGTCGTTTTGACTGCTTTTGTCATTCTGGTTGCCCGTTTGACCGGCGACGAGGACATTGCGGTGGGCACAAGTTTGGGCGATGATGGCCGCCCTTTTGTCCTGCGCGTCCCAATTGATACCTCGGAGACGTTCCGCCAGCTCTATGCTAAAGTAGACAAGGTATGGATGAGCGATTTTTCAAAGTTCTGGCGGGGGTTCTGACCATACGTTTTGTAGGCCTTCAACGAGGGCTCCTCCGAGATTGTGCCCTTGGGCAGCCTCCGCTCGTATATCCAAGAGAAGTCCCAATCCGAGCGACCGCCGGTGCTTTTCCGGTTTGCTGCATACGACGCCCCTGCTTCCTCGCAAGAATACCCGGCGAATACATTTGACAGCACGGATTTGGTGATCAACGTTGCCCCCGGCAATCAGACCGGCGGTTCGGCGTCGGAGGTCGAGCTGGGTGCATACTACAACCAGCGTCTCTTCTCGAGTGCGCGTATCGCCGTTATATTGAAACAGCTGGCTCGCATTGCGAGTAATGCTGCTGCCAACCCCGAGGAAGCTGTTGGGCGGATTGACCTGATGACTGAGGATCAGCGTGCACTTCTGCCGGATCCCACGGCGGATTTGAACTGGTCCAAGTTCCGTGGGGCTATTCATGATATTTTTTCTGCCAATGCTGAAAGACACCCGGAGAAACTGTGTGTGGTGGAAACCAAGTCGAGCAGCTCGCCGCACCGCGAATTCACCTACCAACAGATTAATGAGGCCTCGAATATACTGGGTCACCACCTAGTGCAATCGGGCATCGAAAGAGGCGAGGTTGTCATGGTCTACGCTTACCGTGGGGTGGACCTGGTGGTGGCTGTAATGGGTATTTTGAAGGCTGGTGCGACGTTCTCCGTCATTGACCCTGCATATCCGCCCGAGCGTCAGAATATCTATCTCGATGTTGCCCGTCCCCGTGCTTTGGTGAATATTGCCAAGGCCACGCGCGATGCCGGTGAGCTTTCAGACATCGTTCGCACATTCATCAACGAAAACCTGCAGCTTCGATCCGAGATTCCTGCCCTTGCCCTTCAAGATGATGGCAGTCTTCTCGGTGGATCGATCAATGGCCAGGATGTGTTTGCCAACCAAATCGAATCGAAGGCCAAACCGGTTGGTGTGGTCGTGGGTCCTGATTCCACCCCGACACTGTCATTTACCTCCGGTTCGGAAGGTCGTCCGAAGGGTGTTCGGGGCCGCCACTTCTCGCTGGCCTACTATTTCCCTTGGATGTCGCAGACCTTCAAGCTTACCCCCGATGAAAAATTCACCATGCTCAGTGGCATCGCGCATGACCCTATTCAGCGAGACATTTTCACGCCACTGTTCTTGGGTGCGCAGCTGTTGGTGCCCGCTCGAGAAGATATTCAAAACGAAAGACTTGCCGAGTGGATGCAACAATATGGGGCCACCATCACTCACCTGACGCCGGCCATGGGTCAGATCCTTGTCGGTGGTGCTTCGGCGCAATTCCCAACACTCCACCACGCTTTCTTTGTCGGAGACATTCTCATCAAGCGTGACTGTCGCTCCCTTCAGGCTCTGGCCCCCAATGTGAACATCGTCAACATGTACGGTACAACCGAAACCCAGCGTGCGGTCAGCTATTATGAAATCCCCAGCTACTCGAGCCAGGAAGGCTTTCTTGATACCATGAAGGACGTCATTCCGGCGGGACGTGGTATGCTGGATGTACAGATGCTTGTCGTGAATCGCTTTGACCCCGCTCGCATTTGCGCGATTGGCGAGGTCGGCGAGATCTATGTGCGTGCCGCCGGTCTTGCCGAAGGCTACCTGGGCTCTGCGGAGCTCAACGCGAAGAAGTTCCTCACAAACTGGTTTGTGAAACCTGAAGTTTGGACCGAGAAGGACAAGGCCGAGTCACAGGGCGCCAACGAGCCCTGGCGGGAATGCTACGTTGGTCCTCGGGATCGCTTGTACCGTAGCGGTGACTTAGGGCGGTACACACCTTCCGGAGATGTCGAGTGCTCTGGTCGCGCTGATGACCAAGTCAAGATCCGTGGCTTTCGTATCGAGCTTGGAGAAATCGATACCCACCTCTCGCGGCACCCTCTGGTCCGCGAGAATGTGACCCTGGTGCGAAGAGACAAGTTCGAGGAGCCCACGTTGGTCAGCTACTTCGTACCAGACATGGGCAAGTGGGCTGGGTGGCTGGAGAGCAAGGGTCTTACGGACGATGATTCCGCCGAGGGTATGGTCGGCATGTTGCGACGTTTCCGTCCTCTTCGAGACGATGCTCGTGAGCATCTCCGGAGCAAGCTCCCCACTTATGCGGTTCCGACGGTCATTATCCCGCTCAAGCGGATGCCATTGAACCCGAACGGCAAGATTGACAAGCCAGCACTGCCCTTCCCGGATACCGAGCAGCTTAGTGCGGCCGCGCCGCGCCGTCGGTCGTCGGTTATGCAGGCACTTTCTGAGACCGAGGAGGCTCTCGCTCAGATCTGGGCGAAGCTCATTCCGAATGTGACCGCTCGCATGATCGGGCCTGACGATTCCTTCTTCGATCTCGGAGGCCACAGTATCTTGGCACAGCAAATGTTCTTTGACCTTCGGCGCAAGTGGCGTGGCATTGATATCAGCATGAATGCCATCTTCCGCAGTCCGACGCTTAAGGGATTCGCTGGCGAAATTGACCGATTGTTGGATTTGGAGTCGTTTGCCACCAGCGACAACCCGGATCAGCAGGCTTCTGCCCAGGCTGCTAATGCGCCGGACGATGAATACTCCAAGGATGCTCAGCAACTTGTGAATGAGCTTCCCAAGACCTTTGCCGAGCGTACCGACGCAATGCTCTCTACTGAGCCAACCGTCTTCCTCACGGGAGCTACTGGTTTCTTGGGTGCACACATTCTTCGTGATCTACTTACGCGGCAGGCGCCTTCGACCAAGGTCGTGGCTCTGGTCCGGGCCAAGACTGAAGACCAGGCTCTAGAGAGAATCCGTGCCACCTGCCGTGCGTATGGCTTCTGGGACGAGACGTGGACCAGCAAGCTGGAATCACTGTGTGGTGACTTGGGCAAGCCCAGCTTCGGTCTTTCCCAGGCCGTGTGGGATGACCTCACCAACCGAGTTGATGCAGTGATTCACAACGGAGCGCTGGTTCACTGGGTTTACCCCTACGCCACACTCAAGCCCGCCAACGTCCTGGGCACCATTGATGCCCTGAAGCTTTGTGGCAGTGGCAAGGCGAAGCAGTTTGCCTTTGTTAGCTCGACCAGTGCTCTGGACAAAGATCACTACGTGCAAGAATCCGAGAGAATCATTGCGGCTGGTGGCAACGGTATTAGCGAGGATGACGACCTTGTGGGCAGCAGCGTGGGCCTTGGAACTGGCTATGGTCAGAGCAAATGGGCTGGAGAATACCTTGTTCGGGAGGCCGGCCGCAGAGGGCTGAAGGGAACCATCATTCGCTCTGGATATGTGCTAGGCGACTCGACCACCGGCACCACCAACACAGACGATTTCCTCATCCGAATGGTGAAGGGATGCATCCAGCTGTCTGCTCGCCCTAACATCAACAACACGGTGAACATGGTCCCGGTCGACCATGTGGCCCGCATTGTCATCGCCTGTGCGTTCCACCCGCCTCGCGCGCCCATTGGTGTGGCCCATGTCACTGGACACCCACGCCTGCGCTTCAACCAGTTCCTTGGTGCGCTGGAGACCTACGGCTACGATGTCCCTCAGGTCGACTACGTGCCTTGGTCGCTGTCCCTTGAGCAGTACGTCAATGACGGCCAGCACAATGACAAGGACTCCCAACATGCCCTGTAAGTTTCCCCCCGCTTGTCTTGGCTGAAATCAAACTGACTCATTCTTACAGTATGCCGCTCTACCATTTCGTCACTGCCGACCTCCCGTCCAACACCAAGGCTCCGGAGCTGGATGATACCAACGCGGCTGCCGCTCTGCGCGCTGATGCCGCCTGGTCTGGTGTCGATGTGTCCGCTGGTGCCGGTGTGACCGAGGAGCTGGTGGGACTGTATGCTTCATACCTGGTGGAGACAGGGTTCCTTCCTGCGCCGACTGTTGCCGGGGCTCGTCCCTTGCCCGCTGCGCGTATCAGCGAGGAGCAAAAGAAGACTCTGTTGAGCGTTGGAGGCCGTGGAGGTGCATCTTGAGATGTGATTTCTTTTTTGATATTGTAAATGAGTCTTTGTTTTTTGTTTTGTTTCCGGGCTTGTCTTGGCCATGACGAATTGTGTATGTGGAACGAGCAACGTGGATCTTGGCTGTATAGAAAAAAAAAAAGTCCGTAAAGAGCAATCCGACCCTCGCCGATCTCGCAGGGTTTCCCCTCCACAGTCTTTTTCTTTTTCTTTTCGGTTCTTCTCTTCTCTGCTCTCCATTTGCATCAGCTGGGAATTATATTCAACTTTTTTTTGTCCTTCCCTCGACTCTCACCATGTCTCAAGGTACGTGAGTAGGCGGACGCAGTTTGTGCGGTGTCTTGGCGAATTCCCCTCCAGTTCTTCCACTTCCCCCCCCCTGTCTCAACACCTCTACACATCCCGCAGAACTGCCGACGGAGCCCGGCAGTTGACGGAAATCGTGGGGTCGATATCTTGTGGGCCATATACCTGGATTTTGTGGCATTTCTTCTTATTCGTGTTTTGTTGCGACGTGCACCGTTTCCCCTCCAATTGCTTCAATCCTGAATCCTCTCATGGCTGTCGCAAGACTGGCTCCGCGACCCGGATTTCTCTCGCGCGCAACAAGCGCTGCGTGGGATATTTCGAGTCGCCGACCAGCAGTCCCCTGCCTCTCCATTCGCGTCACCCGCTCTCCTTTCTCGACCTCGTCCCCTCTGTCCTGCGCAAGCCACAAAAGCACCACTGCACAGCCCCCGTCCAACGCCAATGCAAATTCGAATACTGCCGCAAAGACTGACTCGGCGAGTTCCTCCACAGACCGGTACGCATCATGCATGAAATTGAACCAGGAATGGGCGGCCCAGACGGCTCGCGATCACCCGGACCTCTTCCCGACGCTCGCGACCGGCCAGAAGCCACAGATCCTGTGGATCGGGTGCTCCGACTCGCGATGCCCCGAGACTACCCTGCTGGGCATGCAGCCCGGTGATGTCTTCGTGCACCGCAACATCGCCAACGTGCTCCACCCGGGTGACCTCAGCTCCTCCGCCGTGATCGAGTACGCCGTGGCACACCTGGGCGTCAACCACGTTATCCTTTGTGGCCACACGGCCTGCGGCGGTGTGGCTGCTGCCCTCGGCAACAAGCAACTGGGCATCCTGGACCCGTGGCTGTTGCCGCTCCGTCAGGTGCGCGAGCGCAACCTCGCCCTGCTGGAGTCGCTCTCGCCTCAGGAGGCTGCGCTGAAACTGGTGGAATTGAATGTGCGCGAGGGCTTGAATGTCATCAAGCAGAAGGGGGCTGTTTTGGATGCTATCGAGAAGCGTGGACTCCAGGTTCACGGTATGATCTACGATGTCGGATCTGGTGCTCTTCGTGAGCTCAACACCGAGGACTCGGAGGAGGCTATCAAGGCCCGGTTGTCGGCCTTCAAGACCGAGGCATAGGGCTGCTTGGATGGCATTGGTGAATCCAAGTCGACCTGTAGTGCATAGATTCTTTGGAGTTTTAGACAGCGAAATGACGATGTGACGACGATGCTGCTTTGGAGCGGATTGATATATTCCTTTGCTTTCTGGGAAGATTTATCCAACTTTGAGCCATGAAGTTTCCAAGGTTAAGTCCAGGCAGACAGCCTGCTTTGGTGTTGGCACACCCACAGGGTCCAATCTGTAGACTGCGGATGGATCTAAGCTTTGAGCCCCATTTCTGGCACAGACTTCCGTGACTCACCTGTTGAGCCTCCATTATTTTACTGACTCGTGCACAGGCCACTGCGCGCTCAAGGCTGATGCATCGGACACTCAACCAGGATAATAGATTTATCTGACTCACTCCAGAGAGAGAGCTCTGTGTGGCTTATGACGTGGGTCGGCCCGCTGATCGACATGGATGAATGGCCAGCATCTATGTTCGCTCTGCTCATCGCTAGGCAGTGATGCTGCCTGCGATGAGCGGATCGGCGATGGTGCGTAGGAAAGTCATGGACTGTATCTGCCTACACGGACGAGATATAAAGCGTGCTAGATGTCCAACTTGAGACCTCATTCTCTCAACTATCTTTTCTTTCTTCCTCAGTTACGACTCTTATGATAACACCCTTAAAGCACTGCCTATTCACTAATTGTTTCACGAGACACCTTCACTATGGCGCCTGGGTCTGACACTGCGTCTCCTTCGGAGACTCTCAAGGCCAACGGCGCGAATGGCGCTACGGCCTCCGGTAAGTAGCTTTCCTTGTGATTCCAGACCAAGCCAAAGACTAATAATGTGTTTTGCTCATTCAGGTAATGAGTCCAAAGATGAGACTGTCAAGTATGCTCCGATCGGCTCGATCTGCGACATCCACAGCATGTACGAGAGCAAGCCCGATGAGAGTGGCAACAGGTCATGGACCAAGGAGCTGCCATCCGATCTTCCCGATCCCGCCGAAGACGACGAGTCCGCGCAGTATGCACTTATTCTGCGCAAGTCGAGGTGCTATGATGGGCGCAAGAACCTCGAGCTTCACTCTGTCGTCATCCAAAGCCAACCGCTCAAGAACTTCCTCGGCAAAGTACTGGACGGCTATCCGGGCGTTACGACGACTCTGGAGCGTCTGGAATTCACAAAGCCCTTTGCGCCCCTCGTGCACCGTTGGGAGACTTTTCTCCGGGTCCGATCCGAAGAGCAGGACTCTGTCACTAAGGAGCATGTCGAGCTCTTCTACCGCATCTTGGAGGGAGAGCTGCGAGATGTGATTTCGCTGAAGAAGGACCTGGTTGCCAACAACGTCGTTACATACGACCTCGTCTGGAGCATCTTTGAGCCAGACGATTTCATGATCGGCTCGATGGAAGGACACCAAACTGCGCTCTTGTTCAGCGAGGCCTACGTCGACTGCCGCACCAAGGCCTGGAAGATTGAAGGCAAATTCATCACCTTTGACGGCGACGACTTCGGCTTTGAAACCGACGTATTCACCATCCCCCCCTTCTTTGGCACCACGCCCATCACCTCCCTCAGTGCATTCCCGCTGCGCTACCACGCCGGCCAGGCGGCCATCCGCGAGGCCCTGGTAGCGCGTGGCAAGCGGTGGGAAGAGCACAGAGGGTACCACTTCAAGCAATACGAGGGCCCGGCGACGCGGTTCCTTGAAGACGATGAAGTGAAATACAACGTCAAAAGCCGCATCATCATCGATGCCGACGCCTTCAACATCTTCCACCCGACCGAATCCGTCAGCATAGACGACAAAGTCGACGACACCTTAACCGACGACCAGCGCCTGATAACCTCGCCCATGGTGTACGGCTACTCGCTCAAGGACAAGGAGTGGCTCCGGTTCGCGCTGGATAATGCCCATGACATCGAGTGGGATTCGCGTGCCTTCGACTCCCTCGTCCTGCCCGAGGGCCAGGGGAACCTCAAACAACTGATTCTGGCTATCGCCAAGGCCCAGTCGCAGCAGCTGGACAACTTCGATGATGTTGTGCAGGGCAAGGGTCGCGGTATTATTCTCCAGCTCAGTGGTCCCCCGGGCGTTGGCAAGACCCTCACTGCGGAGAGTGTCGCTGAGGTGATGAAGGTCCCGTTGTATGCGATGAGCGCGGGCGACCTCGGGACCAGTGCCGGCAGGGTCGAGCAGAACCTCAAGAAAATCCTGCGGATGATTCCCAAGTGGGGTGCTGTTCTGCTGCTCGACGAGGCGGATGTCTTTATGGAGGCGCGGACCAGCACCGATCTCGAGCGTAATGAGCTTGTCTCGATTTTCCTCCGCATCCTGGATTACTACGAGGTAAGTGAGATCACGAACAAAAATTGGAAGAAAAAAAAAATTGCTCATTGATTCTTTCCAGGGCATTCTTTTCCTGACTACCAACCGTGCCGAGAATATCGACGCCGCGTTCGAGTCTCGCATCCATGTCTCGCTCGCCTACCGCAACCTGGATGCCTCCTCGCGGCGCCACATCTGGTCCCAGTTCCTGGACACCCCGTCCGGGCCGGCATTCTCCAGTGAGCAACTGGATAAGGTGGCCGCGGTGGAGCTGAATGGTCGCCAGATTAAGAACGTGTTGAAGACGGCCAACCTCTTGGCTCAGGTGGAGAGGGGGCCAACTCAAGTATGAGCACGTTCAGACGGTGCTGGACTTGAGGACGTTGAATGCTTGAATGCGTTGTGATGCAATTGCTTCTTTCATAGATCGTGGGGCCCGTTGCTTAATACTTGGCGTGATTGCTGGCTCCTGATAGCCTTTCATGGTGTAAATATTGACATTGGCATTCGGAACACTTGACAATTTTTCTTCGTTCTACGACTTCTGACACACAATCCTCTCTCTCGCGAGTATCTCTATCAGATTCAAGTTCTGCTTATCCCCGCTACCTGTCAGGGATTCTTGAACTTGACTCGTGTACCAAGTCAAGCAACACAAAATACAGAACCAGACCAGACTATTGGAACCTATTCGTCCATCGAATCGCCTACTCAAAAGACGCCCCCATCGTCAGCCCTAGCTTCAACGCAAGGACCCACGGGGCGCTCCACCTGCGATAATGTTCATCTCGCCTATCCACGCAAGGATGTGGACCTCTCGCTGTCTTCCCCAGAACAGTCAATCTCTCCCTGCACAATGCTGTTGGGGCCAACCAGTGGACACGATATAGGGCCGCCCCAAAAGGAGGATCCACGACCCCCCCCAGTCTCTTGGTTTCACGACAATCTCAAGGCGTCCCCAAGATCGGGTTTGTTTTCGGATTCGACGGCACTTGATGTGAATCTCCAGTCTGCTAAACCTCGTCGGGGGGCTAGCAGTTCTAACTATTCTTGGTCCAGCGTGAAATTCACGTTTTGGCGGGCGAAACATAATAATCAAAATAATAAGCAAAAAGGGAGATGAATCGAAAGGTGGAGCACACGCGACAAATGAAAGAAAAAAGAAGAATGCCTGCTCTCCTTCTTTTCTCTTCCTTCTACCTTCTCCCATCCTCTCATTCTCCGGTTTGTCGGGGCCAAGTGGGCGATAAGAGCCATCCCCGGATGGCTCTGCTGTGTTTGCGTTCGCATACAGTCTCTCCTTCATGCTCGTCGTCGACGCCGCCGAGCCACCATGGTCGCAAATCGCTACTTCGTGCAGCGTCTGATCTTGTCGGTCCTGGTGCTGTCGGGGATCAGCTCGAAACTGCTCCGATTGTACCAGCATTATCAGTCGATGCCCTTTTCTCTGTTTGTGATTTACTTTCCGACCTTTTTTGTTCCCGAAATTTTTCTGTTTATTGCAGTATGGGCTCTCTTATATAACGCGTCCGGTCGGTTCGCTGTAGCGACCGCAATCGGGGCTGGATTTCTTGCGTAAGTGTATTCTTCTGATCCATGGATTGATTGACGGCAAAGGCAATAATTAACTCCATTCAGATGCGTGGAGCTGGTGGCTACCTCGTCGCAATTCAGCTTCTACTATGTGACCGGCGGCGAGATCCGATGGGGTGCGGCTAAGTCTATCGGCACCAGTCGGCGGGGGATGAGGTTGCTCTTAAGTGGCCTGGTCCCAACAGTTGCATCGGCTACTGTCATCGGGATTGCGTCGTGTATCGCGGCTCCTGGGATCTGGCATTGGATGACCCGATGGCTGCACTCGCTGTCCAATTCTCTGCGCCCCAAATCATTGACAAGCAAAGCTCCTCCTAGGGATACTTTGGAGGACTTCGTGTCTCATAAGCCACGGTTTTATACGTTCTCTGCTGGGTTGTTGATTACGGGGCTGTGGGTGATTCGACCGGCCGTGCCGTACGACCATATGACCGAAGCCCTACCGTTCGCTTTACTCGGGGACTTGAGCTCCCATTCCAAGACTTTGAAAGCTACCAGTGATCGATTCCCGCTGCCGGAGCTGCTGAGTGAGCGATTTTGGGAGTCTCCTCATGGTTCTTATAAAGGGTGGAAACCTACGCTGGGCCATGCAGGGGACACCGGGTATGCCAACCAGAAGCCCGACTGGGCGGCTGGTTCTTTGCCTCCCGGGTTTGAGCGCTGGAGTTTGGGTTCTGATGCAGATGCTGGCAACTTGCAGGACGACAAAGCCAGTTCTAGCAACGGAAACCGCCCAGCTGACCCCCCGCGCGTCTACTATGACCCGGCTCAAGATCCCATGAGAATCACCAACCTCGATTCGGACCTGCTCGAGTCCCTGAAAGAGGCACTCCAAGAACGCGATATCCCCATCAATCATATTGTCATGGTGTTTTTGGAAAGTACCAGGAAGGATGTCTTCCCGCTGAAATCCAACTCTCGTCTCCATAGCCAAATGCGCGCGACGCAGAACTTTGAGGAGGATGGTTCCGAGGCCGAGTTCAACAAGACCCTAGCTTCTCTAACGCCGATTGCAGAGAGCCTCACTGGAGAACATTCTGGTTTCAATGTCACCCACGCAAACGCCTCCAATATCTCTACTGGACCTGACCGTGGTGGTATCAGCTTTGATGGAGTGCTCACTGGCAGTACTCTTAGTGCCAAATCGCGGCTCGTCAACTATTGTGGTGTGCAAGCTCTGCCCGTGGACTTTATGGCTGAGAACGACCTTGTGCCGTACCAGCCATGTCTGATGCAGATTCTGGAATTAATGAACCAGCGCAAAAATGTCACTGCAGACTCTGATTTTCCCGACGACGACCCTCTCGAGCAGAAATGGCAGACCATCTTCGCGCAATCAGCCACCGGAGGTTTCCAAGACCAGAAGAAGCATATTAGGCAGATGGGCTTTCATCAGACCTTGTTCGCTGAGGATATCAACAAGAAGAGGTCTAAATACTGGCACCATCAGATGGAAAGGATCAATTATTTTGGGTGAGTCGTAGCAATCCGTGTGGTCTTTACAACCTGGTCTTTTTGACATCCATACTAACCCTACACAGATATCCCGAGACTGAAGTGCGTCCTTATATACGAGACATGATCAACGATACCCTCAACGCAAACAAGCGACTGTTCCTTTCGCACTTCACGAGCACCACCCACCACCCATGGAACACGCCTGCGGACTTTAGTCGCAAGGACTATTTCGGACCGCACAGCAGTCTCTCGCAGCACAACACCATGAACGACTACCTGAATACCATCAGATTCGACGATGAGTGGCTCGGCGACCTGATGGGTCTAATCGAAAACGCGGGAATTGCCAACCAAACTCTCACCGTGTTCGTTGGCGACCAGTATGTCCATCCAACTACCTATGAAAGTCTTAAAGACGGAAGATGAATTGCTCTCTAACATTGTTTCTCCAGCGGAACCGCCTTTAAAGAAGACTGCCCCATGACAGAGACATACCAGAACCCACACATCAGCACTTTCCGAGTCCCGCTCCTCTTCCACCACCCGCTGCTTCCACGCATGCATCTCACCGCAAACACCACCACCATCTCCATCCTCCCCACCATCCTCGACCTGTTGATCGCCACCGGCTCTCTCAACGAACGAGACTCCAAGATCGCCCTCGACCTCGTCAACGAGTACGAGGGCCAGTCTCTGATCCGCCCCTTCCGCGCATCGCACAACGGCCGCGAGGCCTGGAACATGGGCGTCATCAATGCCGGCGGCACGCTTCTCAGTGTTGGTTCCGCGGCTGTGCCGTACCGACTCGGTCTCCCGCTCTCTGATGACTTGGAATACCGCTTCACGAACACTGAAAACGATCCCCATGAGCTCTCGCCCGTTCTCGGCTGGAGTATTGAGTCTTTGGTTGTTGAAGCTCATCTGCGCGACGGGGCTGAGGCGGCGAATTGGCTGCGCAGGGCTGACAAGGTTGGGCGTTGGTGGATTAAGGAGCGGAAGATTCTTTGGAATTATTAAAAGCGTGGTGATACATGATTTTTTTTTTTTTTCAAGCGGAGGGCATTGTTTTTGTTCTGCTTTGTATATCACTGGCATTTGAGTGGCGTTTATGAGGTATTGGCAGGTATATACTGTATTACAAGCCTGATCTTGTTCCAAGGTTTTTATATTCTACTCTGTAGCATTGATCCTCCAGTGGGGACTGGACGCAGATCCAATCTTCAAGTGGAGAAGGACCTTTGATCCATACATAGCTCGCGCGCATCTTGGCCCCTGACACTCCTTACCTATGCCGTCAGATAATCTCCGACTTCAGATATCCAAAGAAAAGATCACAGTCGTCAAAAGATGAAATATAGAAACAATTGGTCGAGCGGGGTACCCTCTTGGCCAGCTTGTTTAACATCAGGACTTTGTGTCAGAAGTGATGATTCAGATACTCTGAGGTCTAGAGACCATAAAGTAGATAAAATAGAAAGGTAAAAATAAAGATGAGGCTGTGAAGAACATAAATACGCTGCCTGGGAGGGCCATAGTCTTTTTAACCTTGGGCGCCATTTCTGGTGCCAAGCACGACCGTCGGGGCTAAGCTCTGTTGCCCGGGGCCAGCGAATCCTGCTGAGACCCCTGATTATTGCAGATCGATTATATCGGTGCCTATTGGTTCTCCCAGGGAGGATTCAGTGACACTGCAACACTTGATATGATTTCAGGCGTGCCGATCCAGCAAGCCAGCTAGATCGTGTTGTTTTTGGTTTGGCTTTTTATTTGATTTTCGTTTTGGCTGTTTTTAGGGCAAGGATCCACCCGGAGATCTCCCAATGCGAAAATCTCTCGCTGGGTCAAATTGGGTTGGAGCTATCTTATTCCCACGACCGCTTCCGGGCTGAACTGGGTGCAACATGCCCCCCCTGACACAAGAACATAAAATAGCTCTGGTTTGTTGCCCCTAATAAGGCCAAGCATGCTAGTTTCCGAGCATCCTTTGCGGATGCATCGTTAGCCCACGTGGGCCCGTCCTAATATACTAAAGGCCATATCAAATGGGCGCGTATCACCGGTTCAAAGCCCTCATTTCTCATGCGCATTAGAAGAGACTCGAGGAAGGATATTGGGGGGGATGGTCGCGTGTGGTATCTAGGAATAGACTCATGATTTACGTTTTACTGCAAACTCTACTGGCCTTTCTAGATTGCACTCCAACAAGTTCGGGAGATCGGTCAGGCCGTGTTGATCGTGTGGCACTGAGCGATAGACCCACCACACCAAATAGTCACCCTAGAAGTAGCCTTTTACGAGACTCATTTACGCGACTCATGTACGGCCCTTCATTTTACGCTGCATTGTCTTCCGGTGGTTTCTCCCTGATGCTCCGCCTCACTCCACTATATCCGGATGCGGCAGCTGGTATCACGCCAAAAATTAGCCCGACAACACCCTGTGATTTTAGACCAATGGCCCCATTCCTTTTTCTTCATAGGGGCGACATCTCCCCTGTCGCCTCCTCCTTCTCTTCGCATTTTCCTTTCTCCCAGGGACAGACAAACCTGTCTTGTTTGTACAAATGGAGGCACCATCGTTTGTCAAGACAGCCTGGAGGCCACAAAACCGAAGGGCTTTTTCGCTGTATTTCCTCGCCCTCAGCACTGCTCTCGCTGTCTTTGTGTTTCTGCTCCCCTCCTGGAAGCAATTAAGCCGCCCAACCCCTAGCCAGCACGTCATCTACTACAACAGCAGCGAGGCCCCAGAACTAAATACCATCGACGACTCACTTGCGCGCCCGAGTGCACCTTCCCCTCCACCCAAGGACTATGCAATCGGCATCTTCCTTGGCGCAGACCACGACAAGAAAGAGTATGACACCGACTACGCCGACTGGTACTTTATCGGAGCCCGCATTCTCGCCTACCAGCTCCTCCACTGTCCCGCCACCAAGCTCCGAACGCCCATCCCCCTCGTGATCCTTGTGTCCAAGGATGTGTCGGAGCGCAAACGCCAGCGCCTGCGCGAGGACGGCGCCATTGTCACCGAGGTCCAGCATGTGCCGCATAACCTCTCAGACAAGATCACGACGCCGCGCTGGAAAGAGACCTTCACGAAAATCCGCATGTTCGACCCGGCCATCATGCCCTACAAAAAGGTGCTGATGATGGACACGGATATGGTCATCACGCGGCCCATCGATGGAATCTTTCATGATAAGAGCTCCACACCCGCAAAGACGCAGCTCGACAACGTAGAGCAGGGTGACACGGCGTTCACGGCGGTTTCCGAATTCTCGAAAGAATACGTCTATTCGACCTCCCCCGAAACCATGGACTACGACCACCCCTTCCCGTTCTATGATACGGAAAACAAAATCCCCAACTTCAACAGTGCCCTGGCCCTGTACACCCCCTCCGCCTCTGCGTTCCAGTACTACCTGGAAATCCTAGCCCGGCCAGAACTCTTTTTCAATGCGCTTCCCGACCAAGACCTTCTCAACTATGCTCACCGACGGGGAGGACCGATGCCGTGGAATACCTTGGACCCGACCTGGTATATCAACTGGCCCACCCCGGCAGATATCGATGGCGGGATGGCCATTCTGCACTCCAAGTTCTGGTTCGATGAGCATTACCGCGAAGTGCAGGAATACTGCCTTTCCCGCAGATGGGAAATGGAGGGCTATTGGATGGGGAGAGAGGGCAAGTCGCATGCGAATTATGCCACGAATAACCTGCTGGGGGATTAATCTATGGACTTTATTCTCCTTTTTTTTTTTTTTTTTTTTTTTTTCCTTTGTTCTCTGGGAGACACTTGTACATACAGTTTTCCTTTCTTCTATTATGGAATTGAGCGGGATCAGAAATGTTTCCCGTTGGAACTAGAGCCCTTGCGAGGTTCGATATAGACCGGAAACCCAAGAAACCCTAATCAGACCACATTCGCAACAAAGATAAAGGGGCTTCTTATTTGAGCTTCTAGCTTGGCTATGATTATGTTTAGGGAATTCTGTAGACAGTTTGAATGAATCCAATTACAATTATATGCATTCCCCGCATTCCTGCAGATCTTGCTGGTTTTCCTTTGTAGGGCGTGGGTCAAAGTAGGGATGGAGTGGAGTCGACGACCTTGCGTGGGAACTGGGGATACCACCATCAAGCATCGTTGATTTGGACCCGATTGATACAATCGTTGGATTCTGCCGATGCTACAAAGTATTATTTGGCTGCTTTTGTGCTGATGTGCTATGGTCCCCAGACCTCTTGTTAAGTAACGTCCCAGTCCCATAGATGTTAATGTCACCCCTGGAACCAGCCACCACCTGGCCTCGTTCAACAATGCTCGTCCCCCCTAGACCAGGGATCCAGGACAAGCCAATTATTGTCTTTTCTTTTGAATCACACCCTGACTTAGCCTGCCACTTCCTTTTTCCCACTCCGTTTCGTTCTGAGCCATGATCTGTCTTATGTACACACTCTTTTCCCGATGGCCGAGTCATAGCAACGTTGATGCGCTCCCCAACCTATCATGATTTTCCCCAGCATCATCTTGCTACTGTCGATCCACCATGTGCTTGCACAGTACATGAGCGATGATCTCATGTCCTTTGTGACAGTGAGTTTAGGTTCTTCAAGCATGCAGATCGAGAACCTGCTAACAACGAATAACCTTGGCTACCTAGCTGCCAGATATCAGGGCATTGAAGTTCGACGTGCGCCACCATAATCGGGACCGCCTGAGTCCTGGGTATTGGTTTGTTGCCCCGTATCTGCATATTGGCCCCGATAAGCCGGCGAGCATATACGAGCAATATCAGATCGGGCCGTATATCTATGATGGGGAGGGAGTAGGTGTCTTGACAACTGTTTCCACGCAAACACCATATATAGTACTGTGCAGCACTAACCAGTCTATAATAGCGACTGATCTGGGCCGGCTCGCCTCTGTTCGACAACCGCAACGTCTTCGATTTTCGAGTCGTGAACAGCCTCGGGGATCAGCCACATCTATCTCTCGTCTTGCAACATTCATGGGATTTGAAAGATTCCGGGAGCGGAGTAATTCTATCCAATGATTATGAAGTCAAACGCAAGCTACCATTAAGAAGTGACCTGGGCGCATTCGATATCCACGAGTTCAAGGTCCGCGACGACGGAAAGACGGCTCTCGTTACACTCTACCCCACGCATGAAATTACCCTGGAGGATTTCGGCCGCCCCGAAAATAAAACAGCGCTGTTAAGTGGCGGATTCGCAGAACTCGACTTGTCTACGGCACAGGTCATTCACGAATGGGATTCCTTCAACCATATCCCCCTCCCGGAGACTGTGCACTACGGAGTGAACTCACCGGTCGAGGGGCCTCCGGGCTGGGATTACGTGCACATCAACTCCGTTGACAAGAACGACGAGGGCGACTATATGATCTCGACCCGGTTCACCAACACCATATATCTGATTTCGGGTAAGGACGGACATATCGTCTGGCGGCTGGGCGGGCGAAAGAGTGATTTTGTACAGGATTTCAAGTTCTCCAAGCAGCACGATGCCAAATTCATTGAGTCCAACGGCACCCGCCATGTTATTTCGTTCTTGAATAATGCCTCGGACGAGGAGTTCAGCGAAGAGACCGTCTCAGCGGCTATGATTGTCGAGCTCGACACCGGTGTCACGCCCATGACAGCACGGGTGATCCGACGCTACAATCGTCCAGACAACGGCTTGTCCAGGCTTCGGGGCAATACTCAACTCCTGCCCAACGACAACGTCTTCGTGTGCTGGAGCCAGGGCGGGTATATCTCTGAGTTCTCACCAGAAGGCAAGCACCTCTTCAGCGCGCGATTCACTTTGCCACGCTTCTCCACGTACCGGGCCTACAAGTTCGAATTCACCGGCCGCCCGCGAGCCCCGCCAGACATAGTGGCTTCAGTAACCGGCACTGACGCGTCGAATCTAGTCACGACGTTCTGGATCAGTTGGAACGGCGCGACAGACGTGGCCTGGTGGCACATCTACGCCCAAGCATCGGAATTCGACAACCCCGTGCTAATCGGCAAAACACCCAGAACGGATTTCGAGATCATGTACATCGCCAGCGGGTATCTGGACTGGGTGTCCGCGGAGGCAGTTGACAGCAGGGGGCATATCTTGGGCACCTCGAAAGTCCACCGCAGCAAATACCCCGACTGGAAGTCGGTCGGGTACAACAAGGGACAGTCTGGGTGGCCGACGCCGCAGAACCCTGCGACACTCTACCCGGTCACTTCCACTTGGAATGGAAGTGCCACTGACAAGGACAATGTCTCCCACGGCCCTCTTGTGCCGTCCCCGGCAGCGGCGGAGGCTCAGTCGCTCAAGGCTATCCAGGTCTTGTCGAGTACATCGCATGCTGTCCGCGGCATTGGTGGATTTTTTGCTTTTGCTTTGTTGGTGTGTCTGGTTTCTGGCCTTGTGGTGGGGTTTATGGTGATGCGTGGGTGGCGTGTCCAGCTCTATCAGCGTCCGTCGATGGAGTGTCTTCCCGAGGAACAGGCTCGGCTTCGGTTTGACCCGCTTGGGTGATTCATGTTCTTAAATTACCGTGCATTGGTTTGGTGTTGCATAGAGGTGTCTTGATTTGTTCGCTTCAATGTGGAGGTCTAGTGTTCATTTTCAACTAACCAGATCTATATCTTTTAAACCATTTACAAAGATGGGCTTTATTAGACAAATGAAGCTATTCTTGAGGGCGTTTCAGAGTAGCTTGGATTTTATTTCATTGAATCTCAGATCATTACACAAGGAATAATTGTACTATCCCTCGCGGGGGATGATGTCTGTCTCAGTTGGCCCTTCCTGCAGTTTCCGTTGCGCCAGTTGATTGTTGGACTTGCCAATTTTCACCTCAGCCAATTCCACCATTGAATGTTAAAAATACCTCGAAATATCCCCAAATGTGGTTTTTTTACGTACTTTCTCTCCAAGTAGTATCCACCTGGTCCTTGTCGCGTTGGGGTGCAGGGAGTCGCGGGTCTCGGGAATAAACGCGGCTATTCCCGGCGTAATGTCATTATTCCCGTGGGTCTTTCCCGACGGCGTTATTTAGTCGCTCGAGTGACTCTAATGCACTTTTCTTTGATAACCCACCTTCATTTCTTGTGTTTTTGCTACTGCTTCTTCCATTGTAACACTATACGCAAAATGCCTTCCACAAGCTTATGTCAAGAGGAGACATGCACTCCATACAGCCTCATGGACGACTATAGCGAAGGAGCCCATCCCCAAATCCTCGAAGCCCTCCTACGAACCAACTCCACCCAGCAAGTCTCCTACGGAGGCGATGAATACAGCAATGCCGCCAGACAATTAATCCGAGAGAAGATCAATTGCACCGGCGACGAGGCGGATATTTTCTTTGTTCCCAGCGGCACCTCCGCCAACCTGATCTCCATAGCCAGCTGCCTGCGGCCCTACGAGGCAGTCATCACACTAGACTCGGGACACATTGCCTGCAAAGAAGCCGGGGCAATCGAAGCCACGGGCCACAAGCTCATCGTGGTTCCCGCAGTCGACGGGAAAATGACACCTACATATCTGCAGAAGGCCATCCAGCAGAACCAGTTCTTTCCGCATATGGCCAAACCTAGGTTACTGTATCTTTCCAATGCCTCGGAGACTGGCACGGTCTATACGAAATGCGAGTTGAGCAGTCTTGCCGCCATCTGTAAGAACGCCAGCCTTCTCTTGCTAATGGATGGAGCGCGGCTGGGTACGGCGCTGTGCTCGACGAAGAACGACATGACGCTGCGCGACATCTTCGATCTCACTGATATATTCTGGATCGGCGGCACCAAGGCCGGGGCGCTGATGGGGGAAGCCATTGTGGTTAAGAAGGACCTGGCCGAGGGATTCGTCTTCCATCTCAAGCAGCACGGCGCATTGCTGGCCAAGGGCCGGACCCTGGGAGTTCAATTCGTGGAACTCTTTCGGTCGGGTTTGTTCTTTGCATTGGCGTCTCATGCCAACCACATGGCGAGGAAGATCTCCGCCTGTTTTGAGTCCCTTGGGTATCCGCTGGCTGCAGATACTGAGACCAACCAGGTGTTTGTGGTTCTTCCCGAGCTGCTTGTTCGGAGACTGCAGGAAAGATTCCGGTTTTATATTTGGGAGCAGCGTGATGATGAGCAGGCTGTGGTTCGCATCGTGACCTCGTGGGCAACTGATGAGGTTCAGGTGGATAAGTTTAATGCGTGGGTGCAGCAGTGGACGGCAAGTAAGGAGCTTGCCACGGAGTAAGGCGGGATTTAAAATATGAAATAGAGCCTACATATAATAATAATGTGAACCCGAAATGCAAATCATGAGAAAACAGTAGGCGATGAAGAAGAAGTAGAATTGTTGTTGTCTCGGCAATATAAAGAGTCACCTGATGGCTCCAGTCGTATTCGGCCGGATGTCTGTTGCTTGTGCGTCTGTCCTTCTCTTTCTCTCTCCATTTTTCTCTTTTTCGCAATTCATCGAAGGATTGACATCATTCTTTGTCTCAATGCCCTTAATGTCTCTCTCAAGATAGCTTCATGCCGCATCAGTGGATTTGCCACGCCGCGTACCCGCTACTCTCGCCACAATTTGATGTACGTCGATACCAATGAGGCTGTCAATCTCTTGTGATGCTTGCCGGTAAGTATAGAAATAATCCTAACACTCCAGAGTGCCAGTCCAATGCCTAATTGATGATGTAGCCAAGCAAAAGTCAAATGTGTCCATGAGGGAAAGCCACCTTGTCGGCGCTGCCAAAGGATCAACAGTCAAAGATGCACTCTCACGGACCCTCGAGAGACCAAAACGAGGACACGGAGAAGTACCGCTACTATATCCCGAGCTTCGCACAGGCGCAAGAAGACCTCTGCCTTATCACCGCAAACTGGGAATGACCGCAGTCTGAGAGGCACACCGCAAAGTAGCCGGGAAAGCCACGAGTCGACCGAAAATCCAATCTCGGCCTTGTCACCACCCACTATCATCAGTGCAATTGACACCTACCGGAAGAAGTTCCCCATCACCAATTTCCTGCATTATCCGTCTCTGATCTCCGAAATTTCTTCGAATCCTCACTCGGTGGATCCGATTTTCACTGCCTCGCTTCTTTCCCTCTGCGCGCGTTTCATGCACAGCGATGAGCTTGATGATGAGGCGGTTTACGCTGACTATGCGCGGAAACATCTGGCTCACCGGGTGCTTGATGCGCCGTCGCTGTATCTTGCTCAATCACTGGTGATGATTTCGTTTTATGAATGGGGCACTGGTCGGCCATATCAGGCGTGGATGTACAGTGGTAGGTATCCAGGGACTCAATATCGCCAGATTAGAATTACATACGCTAACTACTTTTAGGTATGGCCACTTATATGATACAATCGCTTCTCAAAATGGCAGACGACAGCATGGAGCACAACCCGCAGGAATTCCATGCCTCCCAGACTCAGTACGAACAGCTTGTCCGCACCTATTGGTGCTGCTTTGCGCAGGACTGCGAGCTGAGTTCTGGGGCCCGTCAGCATTTTGCTCTTTCGTTTTCGCAGATTCTTGTGCCGCTTCCCATCAGTGATCGGGAGTTTACGTTTAATCATATACCAGCGAGGAGGTTGATGCCTGCCGATATGAACAAAGATTGTCCGCTGGCAAATCGTCTGACCATTGAAAATGGCCTCACGATTGTCACTCGCGGCTTCGATATATTCGTGCGAATCCTGCGGTTTGCAAATGAACACCGGCGTGCACTGGCCTCCTTGTCTTCAAATGACACGGCTACCTCGCCGCTTCATCTGACGTGGCAAACGCTGAAAGGGGAGCTGGATGAATGGAGGTCTCTCCAAGATACTACTGTTCAATACCCTAGTACAAGTGCGCAGGCGCATGTAGCTCTCGGCTATGGGGAACTATTTGCATACATCAATCTGATATACTTCATGAGGTATGGTCTGCGTCTCGTTGTATCTTCGCACTATGATATCTGCTTTATCCAATGACTACTAACAACGGAATTTTTCATCCAGCATCCTCTTCCTTCACCGAGATCGCTTCTTATCAAGCCTCAAACCTCATTCCGATTTGTTCCATGATACAAATGACGAAATTCACGGCGAGTCAGACACAATACGGCAGCTATTTGAGACTGCTCAGCAGATTGCCGGGGTGCTCTCAGCCTTAGAGGCGTCCGAGGCCCCGGTCATCACGCCCTATTCAGGGTTCAGTGTCTTTGTCGCTGCCCATATCAACATGTATGGGACGATAGCCCCTCAACGCTATCCCGGAGGACTCGAACTGGCAGAGGAGGAAAAGAGCAAGAATTTGATCTACCTCGAAAGGTTAAGCCGGTTGTGGCCAGTTGGTCGAAGCTGGGTGAGTATTCCATCAATTCAACCTCTATTGTTCTTTCATATCAATCTAAACCTCTCGTTCTATCTATTTCTAATGTTCTGCAGTGGCGAGCTGTCCAGGAAGCCAACCGATTCTACGAAACCGTGAAGAGTACCCAAACCAACACCGAATCGGGCATGCACAGCCCGAGACGGTTTGCCCTCGGGGGCACATTGGATGAATATGGCGATATTCGGTCTCGACCAGACCAGGAACTACACTCGACCAGAACGACGCGTACAGCATCTCCCCGTCCACATACCCGCGCGGTACATCGCCCAAGTTTATCGTCACCGGATCTTGGGAATGAAGCGCACGCTTTGGACCGAGACCCCGCAGCAATTAATACCCACCATGACTTTGAAACAGACATGTTTCAATGGCCATTTATTGATGGGTCGTGGTCGAGTGGATTTGATGCCGGGTTGGATGGGCTCTGGCATCATTCTGGGCTGTTTGATCCGAACCCATCTCATTCCATGCGATAGTTTTGAGTTGACTTAAAAAATAAGGAAACTGATGTTCTATTTTCAATCGATCTCATTGGTAATTAATGTAGGGAAAGCTTGCATATCCATGACGCAAATACAAGTAAGATATTCTCAAACTCGGTGGCTTGAATCTCATAGATCTGTGTCCTGCAGGATCTTACCCCGCTCCATCATGCTGAGTTTCCTCATCAACGGGTCTCTGGGCTTCGACATGCTAATCTCCATGCTATTCTGCCTTGAGGATATTGAACCTGCACTATGATCCAAGACCAGGTACCCGTTCATGGCGATCTTCTTACAGTCAACGCACTCAGTGGGCGACAGTGCAGCCATGGTCTCGATCATCACCACAATGGGCGCGACTACTTCCGTGGGCATGCTTGCATCGACCTCGAGACTGCTTTGGTTCTTTGCCCGAGATCGCGGAATTCCAGGCTGGCGGCTATGGAGTCAGGTATGATCATATACACAAGATGTGTGTCTATGATATAACCTCTATCGGAAATAGCACATTTTCTATCCAACTTAGGTACAGGTCTCCCAAGGGCACAGCCGTCCCCATCTACTCAGTCCCCCCCACCACATTTATTGCCTGTCTCCTCGCCCTAATCAACATCGGTTCCGTAGTCGCCTTCAACGACTCTCCTACATGGTTGACGCCGGTTTACTACTCTACCGGCGCTGCACTGGCGACATAAGCACTGCCAGCAGTGGCAACAGCGGCGACGATGTCGTAGTCAATTTCTGGGCAGTGGTTCCTCAGGGATTCTTGATCCATTTCCTTTATCTGATTCTTATGGCGATTATATATTGAATATGTCAATATGTTTGACATTTCCCTTGTCTTTTTCAAACTTGCAGTATACCTCAATGAAAAGGGGGTCAACTGTTGTCGACTACTAGAGTCCAAACACTACCTCCAGTCCTGGAAAGCTATATACGATTCTAGATAGCCCTATATAAATATCTTCTGCCTTTTGTTCGTGATGGCGCCTATCGGCGTTGTATAGATCGTCGCCCCACAAGCCCACACAGGTGGGACACCTCAGCCCTACGAGGGCCCCGGGGACCTCAACATGTCGAGTCGAAAGAACAATCTTGAGATGTTGTACTCAAAGGAGCAGCCAAATAGGATGCTCAATAACTATTAGAAGTAGAAGCATAGTATAAACATAAACATGAATTTCCGAATCCTCCATATCTCATTCCCGTTCCCGACACCAGCAAATGCAACACATTTGCCCCATCCCCAATACATTTAATACACATAGCGGAAAGAGGGGTTCTGCTTATCAGTAAGCCCAGCCCACTTGGTCTCATCAACCATCGACTCATCCACGCGGCCGCGCGTCTGATCGCGGCGCCGGTTCTGCAACAGATAGTACCCAAACAGCACGACCGACAGCACCGCCGCCGCCGCCTGCGTCGCGAGCACCGCAATCTTGGCCGGCTTGTACTCGGGTGCATCGTGCGCCTGGAACGTCTGCGGGCCGATGATGTTGCCGACAGAGAACGAGCCCGCGACCAGGGCGCTGGCGAAGGCGCGCTTCGTGTGGCCGGCGCAGTTGGCCATGGTCCACTGGTACAGGATCGGGAGGGTGGCCACGATGGCGTTGACTAGATAAATGCCGATGAGCACGCCGGCGGTGTTGCTTTTCGGGAGGAATGACATGAGCCCGCCTCCGATGATTCCTGGGATCGTACAGAGGACGTTCCAGGCCCAGCGGTGCGAGGACTTGCGGATGCCGAAGCCGACGAGGAGCGAGAAGAAGATGCTGACTAGGCCTGAGGGCGTGTTGAGGAGCGCGGAGATCGGGCCGGTGAATCCGAAGGAAGCGATCAGGGTCGACGAGTAGGTGGTCACGACGCCGCTGGAGACGGAGATCTAAACGGTGTAAAAGATTAGTCGAATGCAAAGATCCAGCGCCATAAACTAGAGAAACTTACGAGGATGGTTGTCAAGGTCAACAACCACAGTTGCGTGTCAAACAACGCCTCCCAGATCTGCTTCAGGTTCAGGGACGTGCTCCACACGCCGGTCTGGTTCTCGCTGACATGCTGCAGCAGCGCCACCTTCTCGCTGTCACTCAGCCACGACGCCTTGACCGGCGTATCGGGAATGAAAAAGAAGGTCAGCGCGCCCACCAACGAGGTCACCAGCCCCAGCACAAGGAACATAATCCGCCACCCCTCCAGCGACTCATGCTTGACCTGCTGGAAGCCGAATGAGATAATGCCACCGATGATCTGTGCAACGCCCAGCCCCGAGTACCAGAAGGCAAAGCGCGGCGCCTGTTCGCTGCGCGTGTAATACTGGCTGCTCAGGAGCATCAACGACGGACCAACTGTCGCCTCAAAGATACCCAGGAAGATCCGAGCTGCCAGCAGTCCTTGGTAGTTGTAGGCGCCTGCTGAGGCGGCCGCTGCAACTCCCCAGAGGAAGACGTTGCCTCCTAGCCACTTGGCCGCGGGGATCTTCTGCAGACAGTACACTGAGACAGTGTGAGTTACACAGCTTCACCCTCAACACATGCAACATTGAAACGAATCCTCACCATTAGGGGCTTCGGCAATCAGGTAGGCAATGAAAAACCAGCTAGCCGTGTTGGAGAACTCGTTCCCTGCGAGTTTCAAGTCCTTCTTCAACCCCATCACGGCCGCATACTGCAGAGATTGGATTAGCATTAATTCCATGTTGGTCGGTTGATTCAGGCTTCGCCAATGCAGAGCAACAACTTACGTTCAGCATGACCTTGTCCAGAAACTGGAGCACATAGCAGCAGAACATATACGGCATCAGACGCCGATCGATCTTGCGACGCAGGGCCGCCAGATCCACGTAGGAGCTCTCAGCTCCGTCGGCGTGGCCATCGAGGTAGGCGACGGCATCGTCGACTTGGGTTGAGTCCACGCGTTGTGGTACTGCGTCAGGCTGTTTTTCGTCCATCTCGACCCGATATCAGGGAAGGGAGGGTCCAGGGATAAAAAGGGCAACGAGCGACACACAGGCGACAAAAAGGCCAAAACAAAAATTGAAAAAACAAAGAGCGAATCAAGGAAAGAATGCAAAAAGGCAAAGAGAACCAAAAGCGAAACGAAGCAAAGTCGGCAGCGAGCGGAGAAGGCCGTGGGAATGTGGCAAAATGAGGAAATCCATGCGAGCCAAACTAGGCACAAGTGGGCGGGCTGCAACCCTCCTAAACCACGCGATTGTTATGTCTTGCAGACAAATCACAAGCTAGACAGGGCAAGGCTGGTCATACTGGAGCCCTGCAAGATCGTGGGTCGCTGGAGAGGGCCACAGGGGCAACACTCCAGCAGGGGCCGAAGCCAAACCCTAACGTTTCATTGGCACTGGGCAGTCCCCATTCGACCCAGAAGAGCAAAAGAACAACAGTTGGATGGGTTGGTTTAGCGTGGACCTAGTATTAACTTCAATCTAAAAGGATTTAAACCTGAAGGAGTAAAAGAATTAAAAATAACCAGGGAGAAAAAAGAGAGAAAACAAAGAAACCCCCCTATTGACCCATGCCACCCACATGGCCCCGATTGATATGGCTCCTTGCATCCCCGGCCTTCTTCTCCCTTTGATGCTTGAATGGTATTGCGATCATGGGCTGGGTATACAATGCCACGACCCAGGCCGAGGCCGAGTCACAGTATGGGGTGATTCTGGGAGTCTGTCTCAGTCTGACAATATTGATGGTGATTACCGTCTGTCTGCGACTGTATGTGCGGACACAAGCTCGTCGGCTGGCTGCAGCCGATTATGTGATGATTGGAAGCATGGTAAGTGTTGGGTGGTGCGAAGGAAGTGTCTGGTCTATCCTAACTGACTCCCATTTAGATCTTTAGCATCATCTACAGCGCTCTGTGTATTGCCCGTGAGCCTCTCTCCTCTTCCTACCCTGCCAGTTTCGCCAGACTTACCAAGCTCATCGTCTCCAGAAAGTCGATATGGACTCGGATTGCCGCTCAAGCTGCGGCCCAAGCCAGACCTTTTGACCTATACCCAAGTACGTGCGGTTGATTACGGTTTTGTGCTGGAAGCATCTACGGACAGTGCAGACTAACTCCTCGACACAGCTCAACTATGCAGGGCGCCCATTCTACCAGATTGGCATTGCCGGATTCAAAGCCTCGCTCTGTCTCAGCTATCTACGCCTGCTGGACGGCACCTCCAAAGCGATCTATAGGATTATCATTTGGATCGTGATTGCGATCTCTACCCTCGGGCATATCGCAGGAGCCCTGGTCTTGATCTTCAACTGCCAACCGGTAAGAAAAATCAAAAGCTTCTCCAAACAGCATTCGAAGATCACCACTAACTTGATTACTTTGACTCGGCGCAGGTGGAACGAGCATGGAACCCCAAGGTGCCAGGGACCTGCCTCCCGGTCGGAGGCACATTCTACAGCCTTGCAATTTTCACCATTGTGTGCGACGTCCTGATTATCTTCCTTCCGATCCCACTGCTCCTTCGCCTGAATATCAAAACCGCTCAGAAAGCGGGCGTGGTGTGCCTGTTCCTGCTGGGTCTGTTCACGACGATCTGCTCGATCCTGCGGCTGACGCAGATCAACCGGGTAGCTTTTGGAGACGGGAACTCGACGATGCTGGTGCTATGGGGCACGATTGAATTTAATGTGGGGGTAAGTGGCCCACATCTGACAACACCATACAAGGGGAGAGAAAGGGCAAGGCCAAAAAAAAAAAGAAAAAAAAAAAAGAAAAAGAAACCACGCCGCTGACTCTATCTGCAGAACATTGTTACATGTATTCCATATCTGGCGCCTCTGCTGAAGGGTGTAGTACGCGACTTCCGCTCCAACAGCGGCCGGCTCAAGTACTATTCCAACTGGAACAGTCGGGGTCGCAGCTATGCCATGGACCACATGTCCAAGGATCAGCGATCTCACCTACAATCGAGTGCCTCGGGCCCCACGCATCCAAAACGCACTCCCAGTGAGGAACTGATTCTGTCCAGCCGAGAACCTGAACATGGGGGTATCGAGATGACGGTGGAATACAGCGTGTCCCTTGAGAACGGGTCGACAAGAGGCTCCCGAGCCTGATGTTAACAAAACGTAGAATGGGTTTTCGATAGACGCTGCGCTTTGACTGTTTTGTGCTCTGCGTTCTTTCCTTTCTTCTTTCTTTCTTGTCGTGTCTTCTTTTTCTCTGTTTTCACGAATCGCTGACCACGATGTATGTATGTACGATACGTTCATTCCGATATATAGTCGGTGGAACAACACCCATAGAGAATCAACCCCGAATGGCTCCACTTTCATGAGGGGACTATATGAGGGATTTCTGAAAATAAGTGCATGGCTTCAAATTTGGGGTATCTTGCAGGGTCTCTCAAGCTGACCTCAAGAGTTCGCAACCCACAAATCCTTCGGCCTTGGCTTCGGGTGTTGTGGCCGAATCAGCTCGGCCGCCGAGTCTCTCGGAGGTCCACACGGGATCGTCCCAGGCTCGAGTGGAGCGTTGAAGATCTGCTGGCCGGCGTATGAGAGGCGCGGGAGGGCTTTTAGGTTGGCACCGTCGCCCAGTGCAATCCCAATCCGCGTTGGTTTTTTTTTTTTTTTTTTTTTTTTTTTCGTAGTTTTCAGGGCGCGAGTTCCAGAAACCCATCAAGGCTGGATCCTCGCTAGCCATGTTTCACTCAGCTGCAGAGAATGCGTGGATGAACCGCGGAACCACTTTCTTGTGCATGCCCTTGCCCGGTGGCATTGGACGAGGTGTTCTCTCGGGATGTACCCCGGCGAATACATAGCGCAACTCATTGGCTGGCGACATGTAGGGGTAGTAGGAGAACAAGGGTGATGTCTCGGCCTGAGATAGCGGGTCCACACTTCCGGCTTTTCTCCGAGAGACGAAGTGGACATCGACTGCAGTCTACATCCAGTGAGTGTCAGGTTTGTCAGCCCGGTCCATTCCAAGGTTGCCCAGCTTAGCCAGCTGGTTAGTTTGGGGTGGTAAGAAAAAGGAGGACAGAGAGAGAACAAACAAGGGAGAAGCACGGGAACAGAAACAAAAAGGAGGGCAGTCTGATCGTCTCTCATGTCATCATGGCCGATCAGCCTGTCTTGATCATTGGCGCTGGTATCAGCGGCCTAGTGCTAGCCCAATATCTCCAACGCCATGGCATCCGCTATCAGATCTTCGAGCGTGACTCTGCCATCGATGCTCGCAGTGGTGGATGGGGCCTGACGCTGCACTGGGCACTGCCGGCCCTGCGCGAGCTCCTCCCCGACCACCTCGTGGACCGCTTCCCCGAGACTTTTGTCAACAAAGAGGCCTCTGCGCGCGGCGATGCCGGCCGTTTCCAGTTCTTCGATCTGCGGTCGGGCTCGCCGCTGTTCGATGTACCTGCGGCGGAGCGCATTCGCGTGAGTCGTGTGCGTCTCCGGCAGCTACTGGCCACGGGGGTCGATATTCATGTATGTGACCCTTATCGTCTTCTCTTGTTCTGTAGTTGTCACCCTGCTTCCGATTCTCCTTTAATTTCTACCAATTCTACCAATACTGAACTACACGGAATAGTGGAATAAAACCCTCCGTGGCGTCGAGTCCACCCCCGACGCTATCGTCGCCCATTTCGACGATGGCTCGTCCTACACGGGCCGTCTGCTGGCCGCCTGCGACGGAACACGGTCGCGCACCCGCCAGATCCTGTTCCCAGACTGCCACCAGATGAACCCGCTGCCTGTGCAGCTCCTCGGCGCCGCAACCCTTTACAGCGCCGAGGAAATGGGCGGTGCGCAGTCCATCGACCCGTTCATCTTCCAGGGGTCACACCCCGAGACGGACGTGTACCTCTTCTTCAGCTGTATGTCGGATTATTTCTCGGCCATGTGTGTTTGTGTTTGTGTTTGTGTTTATGTTGAATGCATTCGCTAATCATCGCAACTCGCCGTTTTTGCAGTCCTGGATACCCCGAATAATTTTGACGACAGCAGCAAGGACCGCTATTATTGCCAACTCATCGTCTCCTGGGCCGATGCCAAGGGTATCCCTGTTCCGGCCTCCAGTGCCGACCGCATTGCCCTGATGAAGCAATTGACCGATAACTGGGCTGAGCCTTTCCGCTCGCTGGTGCAGCGGCTGCCCGAGGATACCGAGGCACGCTCCATCCGCCTCGAGGATTGGATCTTCCGCCCTGGTCGCACGCATGCACATCCGCGGGCGGTGCTTGTGGGAGATTCCGCGCATTCTATGACTATGTGTATGTTGTCTTCTTTTAAGTGCTGGGGAAATATTCTAACGTCTCTATTAGTCCGCGGAGAAGGCGCCAATAATGCTATCGTCGACGTACTGGATCTCGTGAAGCGAGTGGATATGCAGCAGCCTGAGTATGTTTTGAGTGTTATATACTCTTATTTCTGATTCTATGGATCTTGATACTGACCGTGATCACAATAGGTCATTCAACCCTGAAGCACTGTCTGTTTCCCTAGCAACCTATGAAAACGATGTCTTCGCCCGTGCAGAACCCAGCTTCCTGAACTCGCGCCAGGCCTGCCTGGATGCACATGAATTTTCGAGGATCGTTGAGGGCAGTCCGTTAGTGGCGGCACGGAAATTAAAATAAACGAATCACGAACCGTTCACCTCGAGCATTGTTCTTGTGGTTGGTTTGATGACTGCTCCTAGAATTCTCTCTGTACATACTTCTGCCATTGTCTCTGACTTCCTTATAAATCATGAGTGATGGTTACGATGCTGATCCCAGGTATTATCCGTGCCATTCAAGTAGATGGTCAGCACTATCTACCACTTGCTTTCCCGGTTCCTATGATATGTCCATGGTGCCGGGCCCTCGACTCTAGATGCACACTAGCTTGGTTATATCATCTCATCTATTTTTCTATCAGTTCATCTTTTTATAGTACATCATTCTATGGCACATGAAATAATAAAAGCACAACTTAACAAAGCTCCCCCGCCCCTCTGTATAAACACAACCACATCCAACATCCTCTCAAACTCTCTTAAACGGCAGCCCAGACCCCTTACACCCATCAGCCTCCTCAAAATACCAATGATGCGCCGAAAATGCTGTCAACTCAGGCACGCCAGTCCCAGTATTACCATCGAAATTGACATCACCCTCGAGCACCTCAATATCGCCCGCACGGACAGTAGCATTATTGGGCGATTTGATATAGTACTCGGGACTAACATGCACATACCCCATGGTGAGAAGCGGCAGTTTCGGCACGGGGTCATTAGTATGCGAGAAGCGGAAATTGTTCTTCTGCGCGGTAATATACTTGGCTAGGGCCGGGTTGCCCACACGGGGAGAGGCATACGCATACAGCTTCGCGGACGGATGGCCTCGGCCGCGGAGATCTGCCGCTGCGAGCGTGGCCACCGCTGCGCCGAGGCTATGGCCCACCACTACCAGCTCGTAGTCTGGGTGCTGGGCCGCGGTGGAATTCAGAGCCTTGGTGATCGGGTCGCGGACGAGTTTCCAGGAGCTCCAGAAGCCTAGCTCGGCTTGGCAGCCGGTGCAGAGGTCTGGGTCTGTGTAAGGGAAGGCTGCGTCGGAGATCCAGTTGCGGACGGAGTATGAGCCGCGGAAGGTTAGGACAATTGCTTTGTTGGTGGTGTCGACGGCGATGAAGCCGGAGGTGTCGGTGGCGGTGGTGCTTGCGGGGAGTTAGCATGGGCTTCTTTTTATTTGTGGGTTTTCGTGAGGGAGCTATTTATATGGTGGCTTGCATACTTGGAAAAGTCATAGGCAATCGTGGCCCCGGCCTTTTCTACCTGCGGGCAATTGCCGGCCCAGCAGCTCAGTTTGTGGCCGGCCTTGGAGGCGTAGTTGTCGTGGCAGTATGACGCCGCAGCAAACTCTACCCAGTACTTGAACTGATTCAAGTCGTCGTTGGAGACATCTGATGGGAGGTCAGAGATGCGGGACTCTCTCGATACCTCGGGTATCAACGGAAAGAATGTATACCTCGAGACTGCAGGTGGCTTGGGACGGCAGTTCCCAGCACAGTCGTCGCAGACAGAAGGGCAAGCAATGAGAAACGCATGGTGGGCCTGTTGGTAACAGTTTTCAATGGACACAAATATCAGAAATAACAGATATTCCCGCCTTTAAATGATCATGTCGTCTTGATTTCCGAATGTGTCACTCCTATTCTGAAACAACCCCGGGATCGGTGATCACGGAGAAAAAAAGACTTGTTCGGTGGTGGGCCACGGAGGACCTACGCGATTTGACATGATCACGCGTGGGGAGCGTCGTTGCGGGACTTTCAGGAATCAAAGGGCGTACCTCGGCATCCGGGGGTAGTTGCCAGTTCCATGTGGTGATTGACACCCCAGTGGAGAATGAGATCGCATTTTGTGCAGCGATAAACCAGCGGATTGAGCATCGCTGTGGAGATGTCGCGGGTATCTCTAACTTGTTCCGGTCGCGTGGTCCGTCTGAGGCACTGCAGACTTGATACAGGCCTTGACCTCGGGTTGAGCAGCTATCTCTATTTCTCTCTGTGTGTTGGGAATCAAGGAAACCTGCCGATCGCAGCTGGTCCTTACTCAATGGCATTGGATGATGTGTACTCCGAAGCTTTGCCGATTCCACAGAAACTGGTTGATTCCAAGTGAAGTGAAGCATCGACACGTGCGATCGGCCCGATGTTTAAGTTGCCGTTAACACCGGAACTGCGCGACCAAGCCCTAACTGCGCCGAGCCGAGGCTCACCAGCTCACACATCCGAGGTTCGGTTTACTGATTACTGAGAGAAAAGCAGCCGAATTGATGAGTTTAGAGATAATTCCAGTTTAGTGTGTCAGGTTCCACGTGTTTTGATCTCTGATCCTTTGACATGAAATGGAGCATTTCCACTGTTATTATCTGCGTGGACATTTGATCCAGCCTCAATTTACGCGCTAAAAATAAGCACGAGTGGCGGATGCTCTTGATGCTCCAGAAATAGCACGCTAAGACGACCAGCCCGATGCTCTGCCGTCAAGACTGGGACTCACAGCCCCCATATTGGGGCAGAGGCACAACTTCTGGGGCCTTCTACGAGCATTGAGTCACACCCACAAGAAAAGGACAAGTAACATGTAAAAAGTAAAAAGTAACTCCAATAGTTTCAACACGCACCTAAACAACTCCAACCTCCCAGCACCAAGTAAACACCATCCAAATCCAGATCCAAAAAAAAAAAACAATCGGTGTCACTCCGGAAAAAATGTTCGCCATCCTCGACAATGAATGGGACCTGGCAGACATCACCGGAATGGTACTCCGCAAAGTCAACTTCGCGGGCGACGGACCGCAAGTAACAACCACCACTCTTCTGCGTCTAGCCTGGACACATCTCCCCCCGAGCCCAGAGTCCAGCGACATCGAAACCGTCATGCGCGGCAACGGCCAACAAACCCCCGAAGAAAAGTTCGGTGACGCGCCTAAGAACCCGGACACCGCAGCCCTGCACACGCCCTGGCGCGACAAGGCGTATTACCTGTGGAACCACCTTTTCTGGGACGTGTCCAGGTTCATGAATAGCATGTATGGCGTGGGACATCTGCACCCGCCGAACCAGGATGTATTTGGGCTGGAGTTTCCGCGCCCGCACGGAAACGAACTCAATGAGAATGTTCGCGTGTTCACGAAAATCTGGGAATGTAATGTGCTTGTGTTGCCGGCGTTCCTGGCCCCGAGCGTTGTTGTCCGCGTGGAGACATATTCCCCCGGGGAGGAAGGTGGGGTTGTTCGCGATGTGGTGAAGCTTCGGGGGAAGTTCGGGCCGGAGAATCCGGCTGAGATCTGGTATATGCGGAAAGGACTGGAGACGCGCTTCTATATTGAGGGGGACTGGGAAAGACCTTCTACCGGCCTGGCTGCGGCCATGGTGTATGGGAAATTATGCGACGACACGCATGGCAACGAGCAAGAATCAGAAGAGGAATCAGAGGAAGAGGAATCGGACTAAAGGATGGGAAGGGGAAAAAAAAACATGGCAAGCTATATTGAAAAGATTCTGGATATACCCGCATAGAAGCATGACTTTTTTTCTGTTCCTACGTTCACGCCCAGCACCTGAACCAATCTATCCGGAATCCCATACCGCTATCACATCAGACATCCGTCCTTGATACTCGAGTGCAAGTCACTCATTCCCACCCGCACGCGGCGATAGCCTGTCCGGGGGTTTTGCTTTACCCAATTGTCCTTGCTCTTAACGCTGTCCATACTAGGGGACATGGTACGAGCACCACCCACAGAGGGGGTCGTGAGCCGTGTTGCCGATGTCGCGGTCCGCTCAAGGGAGAAGACTTCCACCACCCACTCGTACCAGACCTTGCGGTCGTCGGTTTGGCGATACATGGTGACCACGATTTCGCCATTGTCGGGGACATTGAGGGGGGGTCTGAAGATTGGACATTAGCATCGATGATCATAACACAAAAATAACAATAGAAGTGATAATAATCGTTTCGTGTAATTACCTTCAAGGGAAAGAAGATGGGAAACCAGCTGATCATGCTGGCACTCTTCGCTTCCATGGTCACTGGGTTTGTGGACAGCTCAATATCACCATAAAGGACTGTTTCAAAATACCCAGCCAAGCCATGGCAAACACCACGGTTCTGGCTGGGGAATGACAAGCGAGTTTGACGCACGTTGTGCGAGTTGGAGATAGTGGACCGCGACGGGGACTGCGCGGGGATGTTCCGGTTCGGGTGCGAGAATGACCAAGCAGTTTGCACAAAAGGTTCGGGGAACTCTGTCGCAGCAGTCACCGCCGTTATGGCCGAAGAGCGGTTCGCGCCGTTGCCCGGTGCGGTATCACTGTTCACAGGCAATTCGGAGGTCGACAGAAAGTCGATGGCATGCAGCATGACTACATAGGGAGTCTCCGGTGCCGCCGGGTTGGGAACAGACTGGCTAACGACATCGGCATGCAGCTTCGGTGCGGAGATTGGCGTGAAGTGGGCCGAGTACGAGGCTGGAATCGAGATTCCATGCACCGGGTTTATGAGATCATTCACGCCATCCAGACATTCTGGTGAAAGTTCATTGTCCGCAAATGAACCCAGCAGCTCCGAGACCACGATGTCAACATGGGTGTGGGTCAAGGGAGAAGGCTTGGGGTCGGAGAATTCAGATGCCCGGCCGGGATCGTTCTCGCCTTTCTTCGGGGTATAAAGCAAGGAGTCTTCAATGCCCAGTGACTCTCCCACGGGCTCTTGAGAGCCCTGTGCTGCCTGGCGTCGTACACGAGGGCCCTTCCAGCTGCGCATGTCTGACTGGACTAGGGTGACCTTGCCACCCCACAGGGTTTCGTTGTGTCGCTGCAGCAGAACAAACGCGTTCTGGTTCTTCTCCACGGCCCATAAATCGATCTCCACTCCGGCTTCCGCACTGGCTTTGAGTGCGCGCGTCACCAGGGGACCACGACCGGCACCGACAACCGCCAGAATCACTTTCCCATCCGGGTGGGAAGTGGGCTTTTTCTGGTCTGCCCAATCTTTCAATGCTTTGGCAATCGCCCGTTCGTACCATTCGTACTTGACCGGGTCCTTCTCAAAGACCTCGTAGGTGATACTTTCCAGGTTGACAGTCAGCGGCTGTAAAGGAGCCTGCAGGTAGTCCTGATACCCCACGCCAAATCTCTCAATAGGGGTCCGTGCCGGCTGACGCTGCTGAAGATTGCGCAGATAAGAGAGATGCGGGGTAGGATCGTGATGCTTTTTGTTAGTTGCCGCCTGCGACAAACTTGGGTAGTCTTTTCCAGACAGGTTGGTCTGGTTGGTTTCGGAGTCGTCCGCGCTCTCAAGCCCCGGGATAGGACCGACATCACAGAGAAGGATCCATGGCGGATTTCGAAGACGCATGAGCTTCGCGATCAAAGCTTGGTGGGCTTTGGACAAGACTGGGAACCCCTTCTGGTTCTTGAGGAACACAGAGGCATCAATCGTGAGCAGGTGGACTGGCTCCGAATGCCACCGCGACTGCACGGATAAGGGCGGCAGCTGCTTTGGCAAAGTGAGGGCTGGGTTCCATATTAGCTGTCAATTCAGCTTCATGGCTATATCTGACGAATATCAAAGAAGCGGATACTTCTTACCGAGGAAAAGCCTTGTATGGTATTTACAAGTCCTTCGAATGGAATCCCAAGCATCCCAGGTCCCAAACAGATCTTGCTTTGCCGAATTTCCTTCTTCTGGCACCAGGTACTCTTCTCGAGCAAGAGGAGCCAGGTCGCCTATTGCATCAAGCTCAAGCTCTGGGTTGTCGATCATTGGCAGCCAGATATGATATTGGATGTATGGGCCAAGGCTCAATGCATCTTGGATAGCCCGCGCATAGTACGTCACACCTTCCGAGTGCATCCCACCGTGGTGCAATTTAGGGCCCGGAACCAGAAGATAGCCAATGCCACAGAACGCGGCATATGCTACTTCCAGCATGAGGACCTGGCGGGACAAATCCGCAATCAATGGGTCTGGCGAGCAAAGGTCAATCCAGCTGCTAGTCACACCCACCAATTGGCTTGTAGCCTCATTGGGGGTAAGATGGGAGTCCGCCTTGGACAGCGGTGGCAGCACCAGAGGCCGGGTGTTCTGCGTAGTCGCCATAGTTCCAATTGGATCTTGGGATGGCGCTTGCAGATTGCCCAGGTAAGCAGATAGCAGACCCAAAACACGCGAGTGGAAGTGTGGCGTAGTAACTGGGACAGTCATCATGTCATACTAGATTATTCCGTTAGCAGATTGGGTCTGTTAACCTCCAGTGAAAAAAAAGAAGAAAAAAGAAAAGAACTGACATTACTCTCGTGCACCTGGTTTACCACCTGGGAGTTCACTGGTACCAGCCGATTTTTCTCATAATGACCAATGCAAAATCCCGGGCCTGGGTCATCGGAACCGCTGTAGTTCTCCATGTTGACCGAGGAATCAGGCACCGTGGTGGGGGTAGTCTGAAACTAGGGATATAGCTGGCGCAGGAGGTTTGGAGTGACAACACAGGTGGAATGTCACCGTAGACTAATCACTCTGGTGGTCTGTGGGGCCTTATATATCAAAATAGGACAACCGCCTAGTTGACCACACCTCGCTCGCGCAAGTCGAGTCAATAACCCAATCGATCCCTTTGTGGGGAGCGGCAAAATACCGCGGGCGGTGAGCCAGATAGGGAGCTGGGGCGATCGTCGCCAGACTTTCCTATCTGGCGATTTTCTCGATCTCTGATTTTGCACTTCACCTACACAATCGCCCAACCATGGCTGACCGCCGCTCAGATTCAGAAGAGGGCTCGCGCGCAAAGCGCCAGAAGATGGATGCCGGCGATCCCAAAAATAACCCGTACCTGGCCCACATGTACGAGGAAACCAATGGCGCGGACAAGAATTCGGCATTCGCCAAGTTCAAGCGACACCAGACCACGGCTGCTTTGGCAAAGAAGGTTGAGGATGGCGATAACAACCCGTTCAATGGTCAGCCTTTTTCCTCGAAATACTTTTCGATTTTGAAGGCACGTCGTGATTTGCCTGTCCACGCGCAACGGTACGTCGAAATTTTTTTTACCCGTTGCGGTGAGTCCACAAGAAAACCGTGCTGACCCTCCTATGCAGCGATGAATTTCTTCAACTCTACCAGCAATCGCAGATCCTGGTCTTCGTTGGTGAGACTGGTTCCGGAAAAACCACCCAGATCCCACAATTCGTCCTATTCGATGACCTCCCTCAGACCCAGCGCAAGATGGTCGCCTGTACGCAGCCTCGCCGAGTGGCTGCCATGTCCGTTGCGCAGCGTGTTGCCGCCGAAATGGATGTTAAACTGGGCGAGGAAGTTGGTTACAGTATCCGTTTCGAGGACATGACCAGCCCGAACACTCTCCTGAAATACATGACCGATGGTATGCTGTTGCGAGAGGCTATGAACGACCACAACCTGTCGCGCTACAGTACAATCATGCTGGACGAGGCTCACGAGCGGACCATGGCGACCGATGTCTTGATGGGTCTTTTGAAGGAGGTTGTGCAGCGTCGGCCGGACTTGAAGATCATCATCATGTCGGCCACTCTGGATGCGCAGAAGTTCCAGCGCTACTTCAACGATGCGCCCCTTTTGGCAGTTCCCGGACGTACTCATCCTGTGGAGATTTTCTACACCCCGGAGCCGGAGCAGGACTATGTCGAGGCTGCGATTCGGACGGTTTTGCAAATTCATGCCACCGAGGGAGACGGTGACGTCCTTCTGTTTTTGACCGGTGAAGAAGAGATTGAAGATGCGGCGCGCAAAATTACAATGGAAGGGGAGGAGATGGTGAGAGAGGCCGATGCAGGCCCCATCAAAGTCTACCCGCTGTATGGCAGTCTTCCGCCGCATATGCAGCAGCGCATCTTCGAGCCCCCGCCGCCACCTCGCCGTCCCGGCGGTCGACCCGGTCGAAAGGTCATCGTGTCCACCAACATTGCGGAAACGTCTCTGACCATCGATGGTATTGTGTACGTGGTGGATCCCGGGTTCTCCAAGCAAAAGATCTACAATCCTCGCATTCGTGTCGAGTCGCTCCTGGTCTCCCCGATCTCCAAGGCATCCGCACAGCAGCGTGCTGGTCGTGCCGGTCGTACGCGTCCCGGAAAATGCTTCCGTCTTTACACCGAAGGAGCTTTCAAGAAAGAGTTGATCGAGCAGACCTACCCAGAAATCCTCCGGTCAAATTTGGCATCTACCGTCCTCGAACTGAAGAAGCTGGGCATCGATGATCTTGTACACTTCGATTTGATGGACCCGCCTGCCCCCGAGACCCTGATGAGAGCCCTGGAGGAGCTCAACTACCTGGCCTGTCTGGACGACGATGGCAACCTCACCCAACTCGGCCGTCTGGCATCCGAATTCCCGCTGGACCCCGCACTCGCCGTGATGTTGATCAGCTCTCCCGAGTTCTATTGTTCCAACGAGATCCTGTCCATCGTGGCTCTGCTGTCCGTCCCACAGGTCTTTGTTCGTCCCGCCTCGCAGCGCAAGCGCGCCGACGAGATGAAGAACCTGTTTGCTCATCCAGACGGCGACCACTTGTCCCTGTTGAACGTCTACCACGCATTCAAGGGCGCCGACGCGCAGGCAAACCCCAAGCAGTGGTGCCACGACCACTTCTTGTCGCTCCGCTCCCTCCAGTCCGCCGACAACGTCCGCATGCAACTCCTCCGCATCATGGAGCGCGAGGAACTCGAGATGGTCTCGACCCCCTTCGAGGACAAGAAATACTACGAGAACATCCGCCGCGCCCTGTGCGCCGGCTTGTTCATGCAGATCGCCAAGAAGGAATCCCAGGGCAAGAGCATGTACATCACCATCAAGGACAACCAAAATGTCCTGCTGCACCCGTCGACCGTCTTGGCCCACGACGCCGAATGGGTCCTGTACAACGAGTTCGTGCTCACCACCAAGAACTACATTCGCACCGTCACTGCGATCAAGCCTGAGTGGCTCTTAGTATGTCTTGCTCTGATTCTGTTCATGAAAACCATTAGTTACTGACCCCTACTTTTTCTGTAGGATATTGCCCCCACTTACTACGATATCTCCAGCTTCCCCAAGGGCGACATCCGTTCGGCTCTCGTCCGTGCGGCTGATCGACTCTCCCGCAAAGAGAAAATGCGTGCCGACAAGCGTCGATAGATTTTGAGTTATTCATGGGTGAAACGGCGTGCTGCTGGGGATTTTTTTTTTTTTTTTTTTTTTTTTTTTTTTTTTTGCCTTTTTCATCATCATCATTCAAGATTTAACGGTGGTATACCATCATGCTCATTGCCAATCTATGAAATAGAATATTTGCTGTCTTGACAAACCCCATGTTATTTTCAGATCGCCGTGGTGATGGTGAAAATACTCTCGGCAGTCCAACCCCAATCCTGCAGGTCATTCGATTCACAGTGAAAATAAATCAAAATAAAAATGAAAATGAAAGGCACAGTATTTATTTCACAAGTCAACACCGCCAACACCGCCGGCTGACTAGATATAGAACCCGGACTCGTCCGGTCTGTTGCCGTTCCAAGATCTATTCCAAGGTTGTGAAGGAGAAAAAGGGGGTAATAATATCGTAATGTACAGGTATACAATATGCAAGAGAAAGAAGACCTCCGCTCGAGGCCATCGAGACAAAACTTCACCTCATGATGCGTCGGAAAAGCACCGGCCGAGCTGTCTCAGCTTTCCCGCACGATCCTCTTGCGGATCCACGGGCAAGAGGCTCCGTCTGTGCGATGCTCTCAGAAACAGAAGATGAAGGGGGTAAGTCGGGGGCGGCACTCGGCTCCAGACCGGTTAAGGGCACAGGTGGAACCATCGTCATGAGGTCGGCGTGCTGTTTGCGGCGGGAAGTTCGGGGTCGGGGTGTCTGGGTATCGGAAGGAGGCGTGTGGAACTTGTCGCTGTCGACCAGGTTGGATATTTGTTCGAATTCGACGCTCATGGAAGATTGGTGGGATTTGAAGGAGTCGGTAGTGGAGGGCGGGTTGGTGGGCTGAGAGATGGACTCTTCTCGCTCCCCATGTGAGGAGTCGTCGTCTTTGAACGAGTCTTCGATGTGGTGTTTGCGGAGCTCAAAGACAAGCTCGCGCAACTGGGCGACTTCGTCCTTGAGCGCAGTGAGCTCTTCACTTTGTGAGCCTTGTGCTTGCGTATTTCCCTTGCGAGGGGACCCCCCTTGAGATGATGAGGGTCTTGACAAAGTGCTTCTATCCGCAATGCCTTTCTCGGGCTGGGCCAGGTTCTGTGCGAAGGTGGCAGACATCGCATTCTGTGCATGTCGACTGGCCAGCTTGGCATGTCGTCGCGCAAAACTATCGACTTGGATTGTCTCCAGTTGGCTCAACTGTTCTCCAAAAGTGCCAGCAAACTCAAAGCACTTCTGCCACAAAGGACGGCTTATTTTCTCAGCCGGTGCTGTCCCAGCAGCCTTCGTCCATCGTTTGGTACCGTGATTCACGATAGGTACGATGTCAACCTGCCGAGACGGAATCGTGGGGTCAAAGCCGCTTTCCATAGCAGCGGAGATCAACGCCTCCGAAACATCTGTCCGGCCACATGAATCGCAGAGATGCACCATTCGCGCCAACAAACGCTCCACTGATGTAACAGGAAGTTCTGTTGAGGAGACAAGGAATGTCAGGGCTCGCTTCAATGCAAAGGTGCCCTTCTCCCAGTCTTGGCGGATACTGTAGAACCGGAGGTAGGCAAAAAGAGTAGTGAAGTCGTCAAAGAATCCCACACTGCGCGCTGCTTGAAGCCAGGCATCGGCTCGATCGGGCTGGTTGAATCGCAAAGCAGACGAAATCAATGTGGCGTATATAACGGGGTTACTGCTATCTATAGGCGGAACAACCATTTCCAATCCATTGATCCTCCGCTGCCGGTAGTGTCCGAGGGAGCCCAGATTGACCGAGTAACCCTCGCCGCTAAGCATTTTTAAAAACAGATCGAAATGCTTGAGGTTTTTGGATTTGCGCAAGAAGGCCAAAATCGTTATGATGAGCGAGGAGCTCAGGTAGAATCGATGGGGCAAGAGGGTTTGGAGAAGCAGGTCGTTGAGGTCATTTTGGCGAGTTTTGGTGAAGGCCATAAGGATATATCGGAAGGCGGCGGTACGGTCCGGGTCAACGGAGTTCAGCAAATTACTGGATATCCGCAGCAACAGCTCCTGGAGAGACATCTGCTCGCTCATAAACAATTGAATGTCGTTATTGAGCTCCGCATCGAGGCTATCCCGCCCTTTTTGCATTGTGCCAATGTGCATCGCAGCGTAGTCTTCTATCACATCGTTGAAACTAGAGTTCTTGTAGGTTCGGAGTTGATGTATCCGATGTCGAATGTTGTTCAGCTCGTCCAAGAGCTTCTCGACATTGATTTGAGGGAGATCGAAATCGGCAGCATAATTCATCGAGACCCCCGAGTAGCGGTGCGCGATGATCGGACGGAGCAAAAGTCGAATAGCGAATTGTCTCAAGGCAAGCTTTTGTATAGCCTTGAGGCGCAGGTCGTCCTTCAAGACCCAGTGTGGTAATGTCTCGCTGACAGCCACAAAAAGATCGCCGTCCTCCAGGTCCTCAACTGTCAATTCTCTCTCGACTTCCAGAGAAGCACTCTCCGACACCTGAGCACTGGTACCACCGAGAAATCTGCGTCCTGTGTGAAACGACCTTGTCGGCCTAATTGAGCCGTGTGTTCGCTCGAGTGCGGGAGGAAAGTTCACGATGGTGCCGAACCCCCTTGTGTGCGGTAGTCGATTAGGTTCCCAGCCCCTCCTTCGCGATTGGAGCGAGGCCAGAATCCGCTGCTCCTCATCCACCAGCTCAGTCACTTCGGCTTTAACAGCCGCGATTCTCTCGTCCCAGTCATGCCGGCGTTGGTCCTTGACACTCGCATCGGCCAGAGCGGCTGCAGCAAAGATGCTGGTGTATAAAGCCGTGACGGAGTTGCCGATTCGAAGTCGTCGCTTGCTGGCGGCAGCTCCCGATCGCGAAGTGACCCCATTGGCGGTCGTGCTAAGGCACGAGACGCAGCGGCAGGTCGACTGCGGAGCGGCGCGGGACCACAAACTTTGCATTATCAGGGCATTGCTGTCAATCGACCGGGGATCAGGAAAAATGGAATTGGATGCCTCGTGGAGGCCGGGCAAGGATTGGGGTTCGGGAGGGACTTCGCGGGAGATGAGAGGAAATTCCGACGCAGATGTTGCGAAGTGCAAACACTGCAAACAAGCTGAGGCCGCTTGCATCGGGGGTCGAATGTGCCCGGAGACTTGGCCAAGTGTCTTGCTTTGATTTTGATTTTCATTGGGATTTGCTTCCTTTTTTGGTCTTATAAAATGGTTGCAAAACTTCTTGGGTTTGCTGCAGGTGTGCTGGCATTGAGCTCCGGCCTCGTTAATGCGCACGGCTCGCATGCCAGCAACCCAGATCCGGCCGACGACTGGGCCACGAGACACATGATAGGTAAGGAGACAGTTTCAAAGCGCTCAATTGACGAAGGAACGTACTAATGCTTTCTATTCTGCCTCCAGAGGAACACCACATCGGATCCTTTGACCCGCTTTCGTTCTTCACGCTGCACGACTACGACTCATCAGGGGCCTGGACCACGGACGAAGTGCGCAAGACATACGGCATGGACGACGAGTCCAATGACCACATCAGCGAGGCCCGAAAGCAAGAGGCCTTGAACAAGGTGTTCGAGCTCTTCGATCCCGACACCACGGGCGTCATTTGGCGCGAGGACTTCGAAGATGTCATTGCCGAGGGCGTACGGTTACCTGACCTCGGGTTCGGGGCCGGCCACCATGGCGACGACGAGTATGAGTACGAGATTCACCATTTTGAGAAGTACCACGGCGACGATGCGACTGAGGAGGAATTGACGCACCCGGAGGACATTGCGCACTTCCGCAAACACGATGAGGAGGAAGCTCTCCTGAGGCGAATTGAGCAGCTGGAGCAGATCCAAATTGTGGACGAGAACATTCCTTTGAAGTTTCGCCGCAATTTCTAAATTAATAGTTGAGGCAATTCATCTTTTGTGTTAATATACATATGTGTTCCGCATGTTGCTCTCGTCTTGGGATGGCCATGTCTGTCTGTTTTATTTAATGATCTATGCCAAAAACATTATATTCCCTGGATATCCATCCACGACTAGTCAGCCAACATTAACGGTTCTTCGGACTCGTTTATCTCGTTCAAATATTCTTTTTGTCGGATACTCGGATGTCAAAGACACAGTGCATGACCCCCGGGGCATACGTTTTGACATGCTCCACATGGCAACAATGAGCAACAGGCTCATATAGAGCCGCTTGCTCCCCGGCAACCCGAGTTCGAAGCCGGGAAATTTCTTCCACAATATCCCGTTTCTTCTGGTCGATCTCACGAATGTCCACGTTCTCGTGAACATGGAGCCAGCCCCCTGATTGTAGATCGAGCATCCGGCACGCATTGTCCCAAGACGGTTGCGATGAAGGCAAGAGGCCCAGGTTGACATGGCGGACAGGATTCCATGTTTCTTGTGTCTCCATCAAAGACCGGATCTTTGCAAGGATATCAGCTGCGAACCGGTTATCCCCGTAAAATATCACCACCCGATCCAGGTCCGTCAGGCCGTCCACGAGGCCTTGTACACCTCCATCAATTTCTCCGTCGTCCAACACCTTGACGACTCGGTAGCCCCATCTATTCGCCACGCATCCACGGCGAAGACCCTCAACAGACCAGCCATTCAATTCCCACCCCCACACGCGCTTGACGCCTCGTCGGAGGTACGAAAATACAAAGTAGCCAATCCCAGCATACAAATCCACGACACTGATATTGGCCATCGTGTGGCCATGCAGGGATTGCTCATTCAATCCCTCAAAGATATGTCCAGACGGACCCTGGCCCAAAATACGCGCCTTTTCAGTGACATTGCCGCGAGAGAACATGGTATACAAGGGAGCCCAGATCTGAGTAATCCCTTGGTTCTGCGACGTGCGCACCCAGAACGCAGCTTCGAGATCTTCGGCGCTTGGCTGTGCGCTCTCGTCACCCAGTTTCGAAGCCATGAAACCAGGTCCAAAGTCGCCGTATAGCGGGATGAGTCCCACGGGGCTTCGCATCCGGTTCTCTTGGCCCTGGGCATTTGATAGAGAGATGGGGGCATTGACGGCAATGTGGGTCACGCCTTTCCGGTTGGATGCCTTTGCAATCGATGCGTATAGTTCTTTCCGCTGCTCTGCATTCAGGTTCGTGTAGAGTGCGCCCCATGACGGTGGTGCGCTAAATGCATTTGCAGGCAGAAGTAGCAGGGGTTCGTAGATGGTGAACCGTTTCGGGAGATTTGACGTGAGTGTATCAAGTGATAGGTTGAGTTCCGAGAGCAGTGATGCTGGGACGTGATTCTCCACGAACTGCCGGATCCCATCTTGTAAAGGGTTCACGTTTCTCTGGGGGCGTTGACTGCGGTCCTGTCGAGAGGACTTCTTGCTGCCTGGGTTGCTATTGACCCGGTGGGGATCCGATGACTGAGATATTGAATCCATCCCCTAGATCTGGGCCACGCAGTGATAGGTGAGAGTGGATCCGTATTCAGTTTATCGGTTTTGGTCTTGAATGGCTGTCTTCAAATCGGGATCAACGGTTCTGGAACGTTTCTCCCGCCTCAGACATCCTATGAGGTGATCAAATGCTTGATCATCTCTGTTTCATGTGGTCATCATTTTGGATGCATTGGCTTTCCCAGGCCCAGATTCTGTGTCGTTGCTTGCTCAGTCTTGATATCCACAACAGTGGGAAAATTACCTCAAGACACGTGACCTAGTGTATACACATAAACCGAAGGTGTTAGGCTTTCGGGTGAGGTTATAAAACTAGAGAGGTAAATAAGCATCAATTAGCTTGTAACTCTAGCTTTGGATTCGGTTTTGGGCTTGAAATTTTGGTTGCTTTGTTGGATTCTCACTCCATCGTCCAACCTATATTTCCCCAAATTCCTAGAATTTGATATGTGCTACTAGTACACCGAGCTAGAGCTTTTTTCTGTTTTTATTTTCCCGTGGAAGGCTTAGACCCTTTTCATTATCATAGAACCGAGAAGATCATCTGGAATTCAGAACTAACGGATATCAAAATCAGTGAGCAGTTAAAATGATGCAAGCCCGCCCACGAACCGAAATCAAAGCTCATGAGAAAAGACGCCGAGACAAAACATTGGGACGCTAAAAGCTAAAAGGAAATGAATAGGTAGCAGAGAAAGAGTAGAGAGAAGCTTTGTCCAAGGGAGGGAAACAGGGTAGCAAATGACCCTCGTAGGTGAAAACACTGCAGCAAGGCAAACCAAAACCCCCATGGCCCATCTCCCATGTAATATTTCAACATATTGAGATAGGTAAGGTTTTCGCCCCGAGGGAATGATCCATAAGGGGGTTTATAGGGGGGTGGGTATATCTGCCCTCAGTATTCCGTGGCAGGGTACCCAAGCCTGTCATTCGAATCAACCACGCTGAAACATAAACAATTAGCATAGTGAGATAAAAGTCATAGCAAGAGCAAGCTTACGAATACTGCTTGGTGAGAGTCCCCTCTCCACCTTTGGACAGGTCGATGTTGAAGACATAAAAGTTTCCGTCGCTCGTCACCACCATCACCTGGGGTGTATTGCTACTCATGGCAACCACACTGCGGAGTGGGCCAACGTTCCCATTACCACCAGGGCCTTGATTAGCCCGGGGCACTTTGATCCACGCGAAATCCCGCGCGGGCTCCCACATCTCACTGACTCCCTTGGGCAGGTATCCGCCCATGCGGGCGGCAACAGCGCCGCCGACATTCTGCGAGGTTCGACGGATTATCCCCATTAGGGTACCGTTGTGTTTTCTCGACGGGAATTCCGACCCTGCCTCATCGACTATCTCATCTTCATCTGGCACATAGCCGAATGGGCTATTTCCGAAGGTCTGATCACGCGCTCCGGGGGAGAGCGATGACGGGGAGCCATCAGATGGGGGGCCCTGTTGGCTTAATTTGAAGACATGGATGGTATCAGTGGATGAAGAGACACAGAGCAGGGTGGACGTGGTGTTGAAGGTCATGCTGTAGATTCGGGAGGGCATGGACCCACGTCGGAATTGATACAGCTTGTGGCCATCGGGAACCGAGAACACCCGGATGATAGTTCCTTTATCTGAAGCAGTGGCAAGGAGAGTCCCCTCACTGTTCAATGTGATACAGGCCAAGGGGGACCGGTGTGCTTCAATAACATTGATGGCTTCAAGCTTTTCCGCATCGAAGATCAAAACATCCCCGGTTGTTGGAGAGACATGGTTGGTGCCTGGAGGGGCATGTGCTGGCGCCTTCAGGGCAGCTGGTGCCTTTTGTGGCAGCGGATATGCCATGAAGCAGTTATCAGAAGATGGTGCCAAGGCACATATTGCTGCAAAGAAAATTAGAACTTGGGTATAAGAAAGCTCGAGATAAAACCAGCTGCCCTACCGTGAGGATTTGGTGACGTATCGATCGTAGACAAGAGCTTCATTGTCTGGATGTCATAAAGATAAATTTGATCTTCCAGCACAATCACAAGCCGCTTGCGGTTCAGCTTAACCGCAAGGACTGTGGTCGGGAATGTTAACTCGCATATTGTGCATTGACGCTGTGAGGTCCATTAACACCAGATAGTCAACAAAGCAGTATTCGTATTCCGACGAACCTTGGTGTTTGTGATCTGCAAGCGTCGGGGGGAGAGAATCAGCGCCACGAGAGATGTCGAGAATAGCATCTCAATCACCGCAATATTCCCCTCCTTGGACTCATAGCTCTTGGCAAAGGGATCCGTCGTGAAGATCCGGAATCCCTTGGATGTTGCTGGGGAATGTTAACGCGGGGATCTCTCACGGTCAGGCGTGTCATCACGCGTCAGATCTCAGCTTACCAACAGCCAAGTAGCTATAGTCCTGGTTGAAGGTCACAAAGTTCATGGCCATGGCGGGCACAACACGGGTTGCCAGATGGGGTCCAAAAGGACGATGATCGAGTACCCCACTTGGATGGAGATGGGAGAGACGGGGAAGAGAAGGTGCAAACCAGCGATATGTCCGTCACTGGACAGTCTGGAGCATCGCCAGCAACAGTCTGACGATGCTGTGGAAGTGGTGAAAAAAAGGAAGATGCTATGACGTCCGATTCAGCGAGGCAGCCTCTCGTCACCGAGAATCGCGCTTGGGCCACACCTTGATTCCCCCACCGCCTTACGGCTTTATCGATAACTTCGGCTCTTTCTTTTCGTCTTCTTCTTCTTCTCTTAACCACACCATGCCGGCCGAACCAGCCATGGCGCCGGTCTCCAAGGCCGAGAAGGAGGCCGACGTGGTTATGGGGGTGAGCCGACAATCTAATCCCGTCCCTAAATGCTTATCTCGCTGACTCCTGTCCTACAATCCAGACAAACACCAGCAGCATTGCCTCGAAGCGCAGTGTCGAGATGATCTACTACCCCAAACCCCATTTCTTCCGCTATTTTGTCAAGAAACCCCAGCGACGGTCGCCTATCAATAATCGTGGATACTGGCTGCGCATGCATGCGATGACCAAGACGGTGCGCGAGTTCATCGACAGCGCCCCCGCAGACAAGCCCAAATTCGTGCTGAATCTCGGATGTGGATAGTGAGTGGGAGGCACATCTTGTCTATGGGGACTTCGGGACTGTATACTAAAGCATATTTGGGCTTTTTGTCGTAGTGATCCGCTCCCGTTCATGCTGCTCAGTGACGAGATGCAGTCGACGCGTAGAGGGCAAGCCGTATTCGTTGATATTGACTATGAGAAGCTCATGGTCAATAAGAAGAATGCCATCCATCAGACGAAGGAGATCACCGATGTTCTTGGAGAAGATGTAGAATTCCTCCCCGACCAGGACGCTATTCAAATCCGCAGCCCACAGTACATTGCCGTCGGCTGCGACTTGAAGAATCTGGCCAAGCTGGACGATGTATTGCGAACGCGCATCTTGCCCTCGGCTGATTGCTCGGTGCTTTTCCTCGCTGAGGTATCTTTGACGTACATGGATGTCGAATCTGCGAATGCGGTCATCAACTGGGCATCCACGTTGACGAGTGGTCAGTAGCAGTCGGTTTTGTGCCATCTTGCCTTTGTTGAACGTTGCTGACAACCACAAAGACGCCCAGTTTTGCCTTCTCGAGCAGTTCTTCCCAGACGGACCCGACCATCCCTTTGCCGCAACCATGATGGCATATTACAACAAACTCGGGGCACCGTTATACTCGATCAACAAATACCATTCGCTTGCTCAACAAGAGCAACGCTTCAAAACCGCCGGGTGGACCCAGACACAAGCCCGAAATTTGTGGGAGATATGGTCAGACAGCGAATTCCTTCCAGACGCGACAAGAAAGGGCCTGGATACATTCGAGGCCTTTGACGAATGGGAGGAATTTGCGCTGTGGGTGTCTCACTATTTCCTGTTGATGGCTTCGAACCGTCCTGGGCCATCACAAAAGCCACCTGCAGTCCAAGGATCAGAAGGAACCGACAGACAAGATACGGCCAGTAGTCCTTGTCAACTGGTTTTGCAGCCGCATTGCCCGACAGACAGGCGCGGTCGACGTCGATTCGGTGCTTTGGTTCCCGACAGCGATGGCTCATTTGGTCACCACGGAGGTCTCGGCCAACAGGCGCGGCTCACGTCCACCGATCTATATGCTCATTCCGACCAGATCACCGAGCCACGAGTTATATTTCCTTCTCGCGATATCCCGGCCCGCATGTGCCATACCGTCACCACGCTCAATAGAGAGAGGGGTGATTGTATACTGGTGGGCGGCAGGGCTTCTCCGACTGCTCCATTTCGCGACTGCTGGCTACGTCGAAATAATGAATGGTGTCAGACTCATCCGCTACCCGAGCCGAGATTTAGACACAGCGCAGCCAGTGTGTCTCTCGAAGAGGGATCAGACTGGACTCTCATTTATGGCGGCAAATCTGAAAGCAATCAGATTTTGGACAGCTGGTTGCTGCGAAACAGCAGTGACGGACAGGGATGGCAAGCCCTCGACTCCCGTCGTCCTCAACCAGAGGCCCGGTTTGGGGCCTGCTTTGCGACGATGGAGCGCAATAGTGGTGTTCTGTTTGGAGGTATTGGGAATAACGGAACTATCCTTCAAGATTTTTGGATTTGGAGTGTCTCTCGCCGTCCAAATGGATCGCCGCAGGTGGAACTGACTGATCTCACCTCGACTCTGCGAAACAACTCCCCACAGCTTCTCAAGTACTTGAGCCGCTTCGGGGCAACAGTCAACTCAACATCACTGGGTTTGGTTGTTGCTGGTGGCATCATTCCCCGTCAGATTCTTCCAGCTGACAAGGAGATCTTGATGCTAGACTCGGAAGTGCTCCTGGGACATATAAAAGATGCTAAACCATGTCGTTCCGCACTTATGGCTACTGTTGGACTAGGGCATGCATTATCAGGGCCTCGACCGCTGCTCACTGGCCACGCCGCTTGCACAGTGAACCCCGACCAAGTGCTCCTCCTCGGCGGCGGAGCCGTGTGTTTCCCTACGGAACATTTTGGACAGAAGGGACATGGCTCTTGCAGCGCCTGGAGTCGGCAGTCGAAAACCAGTGGTCTCTGGTAGCGCCACCAAAAGAGGCACCTACAACATCCAGCGTCCGGCTCCCAGTTTCCAAGTCTCGCGATCCAGCCTGTGGAGAAAGTCCTGGCGAGCGTAGCCAGATTCCTCGGACACGAATTGAATCTGCTGCGCAATTCCAGCAGATCGTCGCCAAGGGCAAACCAGTTGTGATCGAGGGCTCAGACATTGGGCCGTGTACAGAGCTCTGGACGAAGGAATATCTCATCGATGCCGTCGGTGAGGATCGCAAGGTACGGCAGCTACCCGCCTTACACGACATATGCCATACCCTTCCTTCCCCCCCTCCAGGACTATAGCCGGGGATGTATTGTACTCCCAGACATTCCCAAGAGATGCTGAGAAACTGCCCCTTTTAGGTTGTTGTTCATGCCGCCCAATCGGAGACAATGAATTTCCAGAAGAAGAATTTCTCGTACGCGACCAAAGACTTCCGCACGTTTTTGGAGGAAGTGCACGCCGGGGGCCGCCAGTATCTGCGTTCGATTTCGGCCGAGCAGCCCTCTAAATTGCCTGCCAACCTGGCCACGGAATTCCCGCGTCTCAACCAGGATTTCAGACTCTCTGAGCACTTGTCACTGGTCACTGAGAATGCGCATAGCTCGCCGCTAAGAATCTCGGGCCCGGTGACCATGTGGCTCCATTACGATGTAAGTGGGGAAGGGCCCATGGAGTCTAATTATGACAGGTCGAACCAAGGAATAATCATGATGGATGATGGGTATTGACAGCGTATACATAGGTCATGGCCAACGTGTTGTGTCAAGTCCGCGGCGAAAGACAGCTTATTTTGTTCCCGCCTGACGACGTGCAGGCCCTGCACCTCCCAGCCGGCGCATCCAGTTCCACCATCGACATCTTCCACAATGCCGGCGCCGATTCCATCGCGTCTATTCCTGGGACTTCACCGCACGAGGCGATCCTCAAGCCGGGCGACATCCTGTTTCTGCCGCCGCTGTGGCTACACACGGCGTGTTCACCCTGTAAAGAACAAGTCAGCGTCGCTGTCAATGTCTTCTTCCGCAACCTGTCCAATGGGTACGCGGCCGGTCGTGATGTCTATGGCAACCGGGATCTACAGGCCTACGAGAAATCAAGACAGGATCTGCAGAAAGTTGCCCGATCGTTTGATGGCGTTCCGCCTGACATGGCCCGCTTTTATTTGCAACGACTGGCCCAGGAATTGCAGGAGATTGCAGACCAATAAGCTTGCCCAGATGGGGTATTGCGGTATTGCTGTGCGGGTGAAATGTAAAGCGATACGCTAGATGCGAGGGGTTGGAGGAGGTGGGGTGAGAAGCCGACTCTTGGAATTCCGTGCCACCTGGACGGGCGTGCTCAGACACTTGCAGAGAGACAAGGTTGGTATTAGGTACCAGTTCCACTGCTTGGGCACCCGCACGGTGTATGTTGCCTGGGAATAGGATGATGTTTGGGCAGAACCACGACCCCTACCAGGGAAGTGGATCGCATCAGCGATCCGGGGATTAGCCCCCAAACCCTGTCCATCCTGAAAATAGTTGTTGTTGTATCTGCAACAAATGCAATGTCAGAGCTTATCAGGCCCCGGGAATTCAGCCATCAGCCATCAAATTGACTTTCCAAGCATTCCATGGGTACGAAGAACGTGCCATCCCTTCTGTATGGAGGGCTTCCTCATCCGAGAGACGGAACCCCCCCCTGCTCGGTAAAGCGGGGGAACCGGGGGAGTCTTTCTTTGTTTTCCGATCAGCTTTCTCATTATGGCTGAACACGAGAGTTGGTTTGGAGTATGGTGCGAGGAGAGATGGGAGGGGCTGAGAAGGTCCCCCTCACCCGACGCACAGACTTGTGGACAAAAGTCTGGGCCGAGAACGAGCATGAACAATCTCATCGTCATCGGAACCTTCCGCGGGGAGTGATTGGACGTGCCGAGGGAGGGTCACCCGTGGATGCCTGGGCTGGGCAGTTATCGTGGCCCTGGAGGGGGGAGTGGAGATGAGGGAGGAGAGACCCTTGCCACTGAGAGAGAGAGAGAGAGAGAGAGAAAACAAGAGAGAGACTGCAAAAACTGAGAACATAGGAATCCTGTTTGACTTGGGTTTCCCTGGATGGCTGGCATTGGATTCCCATCCAAACCATTTTTATGACATGGTCATGATATCCCAGGATGGTGGAGTGTTGTGGAGACTCGGGAGCTGCAAACGAGAGACCCATAGGTGGGACCTGGGGAAGACGATGACGCCGATGCGAAGTGATGATGATGAGAGGTCTGCCTTGTGTCCTGTCTTGATGCCTGGGAATAATGGCTATTGTCAATCACAGACCCTCTTTGGGCATTTCGTTCTTTAGTTCTTTTTCTTTTTCTTGAACTAGACAGTGCCCAGTTTTTCTCTTGTTTAGCTCCTAATTCTCTGCGTTTCTCATTCCCGACTCCACCCCCTTGCGGTCTTATCTCTCCGCATGGCCACACACTGATAATTGTATGATCCCCCCTCCCCTTCTTCGCACTTTTCTCCATCGCTCGCATCTTGTCCCTCCCCACCAAGATTGTTGACATTCGACCCTTGCGCTGCCAGACCCACCCATATATCTACACACACATCTACATTGCTCAGTTGATCTGCGCGCAAAGGATGTAATCGCCTGGTGTTCCGGCCTGCCGAATCCGAAATCCCACGCTTTATCTTTCCCATCGAAACTCGCATCTTCGGCGAGCCGATCAACCTCACCATGGCGACGGTAGTGGTCCAGCAGCAGACGCTGCGCCATTCCACCCCTCCTCCATCTCCGATTCCTCCCGCTCTGACCGTGAACCGACGACCGAGCCCCGTCCCGAACAAGCACTTGCCCGTGTGCCCCACGGGCCCTACCCCCAGTCGCGACCGGCGTCTCCAGTCCTCACCAGCGACCAGCCCTCATCACTCCTGTATCCTCCCGATAATTTCATGCGCATCTCCCAAGCGCCCTCTCCCCCGATATATGCCATCGATGCAACGACTCTGGCTGAGGCCATGGACCATATGGCATCACAGCCCTTGCCAGACCCGGCCCTGATGTTTCCATGGTTGCATGGATTGCATCCGGAAAACCAATTACAATTGGGGTTTTTCTCCTGTCGCAAAAGGGCCCTTCGCCGAACCCCGAAATGCTGGCGCAGTATCACCGTGGTGAAGCTGGGCGGTGATCTGGGCAAGGCGCGCCTGAAAGGCGCTGTCAGCGCGAGCGAGGTAATCACGCCGGCCTCGCGTTTCTTCCTCGCAGACCCTCCGGAAGGGTTCTCTGTGCGCAATTTTCAGATTCAGACTGCTAAAGTGGCACCCGTCTCCGATATCGTGATTTATGGAGAAGATGGCGCAAACAAGGCCGACCTTCTTGACTTGGCGGAGCAGTTTGCGATGGCCCAGCATGCGTGGAGATTGAAGATCGATCCCACTCAGGAACGCCCAGCTTATCATACTTTTGTCGTCACGAGTCAGTTCCGCTCGACAACCCCTTTGCAAAACTGAACTCTATGGCTGATAGTTTCATGCAGGTCCCTTTTCTGAAATCGAGAAAGAACACCCAGAGTTGGTGGCTGTGGACTCGGGTGGCCAGATCACCGGGCGAGTCATGGACTTCTGTAAGATTCTGCCCAATGTACTTTTCGGAGGGAGAATTTGTACTAACACATTGACAGGTCAATGGGAGCGACTGGAGATGTGTAGCATGTCCAAGGCCTCGGAGATTTCGGGCAATGTATGGTTGGGACCCACGCCCGATTACATGTTGCGACCAGGGTTGCCTGAGCCACCACAAACCACCTATGATCTGCTGATTGAAGCTAGCGATCTGGCAAGCATCCCTGGTCCCCGTTTGTTGGCCATGATAGACAAAGATCTGGATCATGGTCCCCAACGTATGGATTTCCCATCATCTGGATCGATCGTGCTTCCGTCGGGCAACACCCGTGAGGTGGAAGACTTCGTGAACACCGTTCGATGGATCTATTATCTTGCGCATCCAGACGGGCCAGCCGATGATGCAGACCATGAAGGCGATGCCGCTATGGCCAGCCCATGCCGGAAGCCTCGCAGGGTCTTTATCCACTGTGCTGATGGATACACGGAGAGCTCGCTGTTGGCGATAGCATATTTCATGTTTGCCGAGGGCGTGCCTGCGCACGAGGCGTGGCTCAAGCTGCACTGCGACAAGCAGCGGAACTTCTTCGCATACCCGACTGATGTTGCCTTCTTGATGCATATCCAAGGTCGTCTTCTGCAAGAGAGCCCTGCGGCCCAATCTCTTGACCTGACCGACATGTGGGACCCGAATTGGTTCTTGAGAATGGACGGTTCCTTTCCCAGTCGCATTCTGCCATATTTGTACCTCGGAAACCTCGCGCACGCGAATAACCCGGATTTGTTGTGGGAACTTGGAATCCGACGCGTACTCAGCATTGGCGAGCCCGTCAACTGGAGTCACACAGACCGCGTGAAATTTGGACAACAGAACCTGATGTATATTGACAATGTCCAAGACAATGGCATCGACCCGTTGTGCCGAGAGTTCAACCGGTGCCTTGAATTTACAGGTGAGTGGTACTTTTGTTGACATCGTCAACAAACTTGGAGACATTCTGGCCTTTTACTGACCAGAGCTGTAGGACGAGGCAAGAACGACGGGATGGCCACGCTGGTACACTGTCGAGTTGGCGTTTCGCGGTCTGCAAGTATCTGCATTGCCGAGGCCATGGCATCCAAGGGTCTCTCTTTCCCGCGCGCATAGTAAGTCTGGCTGATTCCTTCCACACTAAGCCTTTGGATCACTAACCCCAATCAGTTCCTTTGTTCGAGCAAGACGCCTGAATGTCATTATCCAGCCTCATCTGCGCTTTGTGTAAGTGTTTTGTTCCTCGGTTCCTTTGAAAACCAGACATCGTTCTAACAACTCCAAAGCTACGAGCTTTTGCAATTGGAAGAGTTCCAGTTGCAGCAGCGCAATAAACCCATGAAGAAAGAGCTCGAGTGGTCAACCGTCGCCCGGGAGATCGCCTTGCTCAACAAGCCGTACACACGAGGCTAAATTCAGCCATTCATGTTGACAGGCTGGTTCCTTGAATTTTTTTGAGCCGCAGGTCGGACATCAATTTTTAGTTTGCCTTTCAGCGTTCTTGTCGCCGTGACGAGACGTTACGATGAACGATCTTGCGCTTCAGTTTGATGAACGAGGAACGACTATGTGATTGATCTTTAGGGCGCTTGGCGTTCGAGGATCTAATGGAATTGTGCTGGTTGAACAGCGACGTCAAGTTGACGATGTAATGATTTGACCCTGTTCCTCATTGTCATATTGTGTCCCGTGTTTTGTGCTTCTCTTTTCTCTGTCCAATTTTCTTAATCTTTTACGGGCTTTTTTTTTTTTTTTTTTTTTTTTTCTTGTTCCTTGCACTTCCTCAAGTCTCCCAGGAATTTCTCATGTTCATTTATGTCTTTTATTTTCTTCTCTTACCCTTGGTTTTTCCTTTGATATTCCTTGTTTGTTTTCACTTCTCAGTTCCATCATCATCACCATCATCATTTTCAAGGTGTGGCTTGCAGGGCGATATTCATCTTTGCATGCCATGGCGACTTCGATTTGATCTGTTCCCCCCCCCCCCCCCCATCGATTCCATTCTTACCATGTACTGGACTACGGATCCTTTTTTTATGTAGTGTTGGACCAGATACGGCGTGGTTAAAAGTGTCGCCGTTCATAGGTGCTTATCCTAATTCTATCTCCATTTGATCTGAATCGTCGAACCCGGTAGGCTTCTGGGTATACCTTAGGGATGTAAACTTGATCATGATTCTGAGGAATGTATGCATATCCGGCTCAAGTAGTATATGAATGCAAATAAGCCCTATCCGAGGCAAACAAACACCCATACAAATATATCAACATCAACATCAACATCAATACACAATTACTAGGACTGTTCAGCACCGCTCAAACACCCGATACAGCCCCTTCAAATCAGCAACCTCCACCACCCCGCGCAGCATCCGCGACGTGGCAACCAGCCGAGCCCGCAGAGCCGGGAAAATAGCATACTCGAGCATGCGGACCATCTGTGCCCGACGAGCCTGGATGAAGGAATTACCTTCACCTTCATCACCCTCACCACCATCATCCTCTTCATCCTCTTCCGTGGTCTGAGGAGCACCAGAGTGTATCGCATCAGTGCTTGCTACCCCAGACGCAGAATTCGTAGTCGCATGTCTGGAAGACGAAACAGGGAGTTGCTCCGGGGTATAGAACGCAGCAAGTTCGCGCAGAAACGTGCGGAAACATTCCTCTTCGCCGCTCCAGTCGACATAGGGCCCGAGCCGAAGCAGAAACCGAGGGAGTTTGGCTAGCGAGGGGACGTAACCTTTTAACAGAAGCGGGATCGTGAGCAGATCGCCCTCGGCGCTGATCTGGAGTGAGAAGTACTCGTTCAGCATTTCGCGGCGCTCGATGAGCGTGCGGGAAACCATTTCTGGTGCGTTGGCGAAGATGGTATCTGCCTCTTTTTCATCATCTTCTTGTCGTTGTTTCTGCTGATGCTTTTTTGGGCGCTTTTCTTGGTTTTTATCTAGGTGTTCTTGCCGTTCTGTTTCTGCTGCTATCCTGAGTATATCCACCAGCTTTGGCGCCGGATCTAGTCGGATGACGCCGAAGTTTCCGAAATCTGTGAGTCCGATTTGATAGAAGAACTCGTTGCATGCGAGCCCGTAGTCGACGAGGTATAGTTTGACCCCGGATTGGATGGCTGCGAGGCGCCGGCGCTCGTCGACTAGTCCGACGTATGTATGTGAGGCGAACATCTCGGTGAGAGTATTGTGCATTGTCGCGCGGACGGAAGCACGCAGGCTTTTCACAGACGTCAGAGCGATGCGGAGCGGTTGGCGGTCGGTGGTTTCGTATTGGAGACCTTCGTCTACAATCGAAGGAGTGGCATTGCCGGGTTCAGTGTCATCGGGGTGAGATGGGTCTTTGGATGGAGTTGGGGCCAGCATGGAGGTGATCTTGCGGACTTTGGAGTCTGTCCGAACGAGATTGTTTTCGTAGGGTCTTTTAGATGTCGCGGGCGTTTTGGGCGTTATGCCTCCTTTGGCACTCTCGGCTGCGCCTTCGTGAGATGTGTCTTGAAGGGATTCAATCGTCTGGACTCCCGGCAGAAGACTTTGAGTCAAGAATGTTCGACTCGAGTCTACTTGTGCGAGTTTTGATCTGATTTCGTTGCAGACCAGTTCGATGATCTCGTCCTCATTAAGAAAGTTCACCTCCCGTTTCGTTGGATGTACGTTGACATCGACGCGGTGAGGCTCAATCGCCAGATCGAGATAGATGAATGGATGCCCGCCTTTTGGCAAAAATGCAGAGTATGTCTGCTCCACTGCGCGCTTGACTGAAGTTGATTCCACTGCACGGTGGTTGATGAAGAGCAATATTGTTGTCTTCTTGACGTGGTAGTTGGCATTTGTCGCCATGCCCGAGGCCCGAAACCCAAGCTTCTTGTCTGCGGCTTCGAACTCGACGACTTCATTCGCGACGGCACTACCGTGGATTTGGCGGATTCGGTCAACTATACTGGCACTGGCCGCGGTTGATATGCTCACGCCTGAGTCCCCGTGTTTACGGCATGAAAAAGCGACCCCGGAACAGTGCACTGCATACCGGCCGACTACATCGAGGATCTTGGCGTATTCTTCACTCGTTGAGCGGAAGGCTCGGCGACGAGTGGGGACATTGTAGAAGAGATCCTCGACCTTTGGGAGATGTTAACTGCGGTTTTGATGAGATTTAGCTCGGTGTACTTACAGTAATCTGAGTTCCTCCTCGACCTGCCGTGGCCTTGGGCGCGGCATTTTGCCCCGGTTTCGCAGGAACCAGCCTCCCGTCGCCATAATGAGCCCGCCATGCACAGCTGGACCCGGCTGTCTTAGTTGTGACAGTCAAGTGAGCGATATGACTGATACTCGCTAGTGCTTCGCCGCGGAACCCATACGTGCCGATGGACGAAAGATCCTCGAACTCTTTGAGCTTGGAAGTAGTGAACCTCTCACAAAGAATAGGGAGATCGTCTCGCTGTACAGGGTCAGATACATTCGAAAGCAGGTCTCACTGTAGAGCCAAAGCTGTAATAGATTTGATGCCAACTTACATCAATTCCATGGCCGTTGTCGGTGATTTGTAGCAGCTTCAGTCCTCCGTCCTTGACAAGAACCTCTATTGCGGTAGAGCCCGCATCAACGGCGTTTTCGATCAGCTCCTTCAACGCGTGCATCGGGGCGACGATAATCTCGCCTGCTGCAATCTTGTTCACGACATCGGGATCCAAGGCCTGTTCCATTCGGCAGATTTGAGCTTATGATGGCCGCGCAAGAGACTCGGGCAGCTTTCCTTACCTTGATTCTCTTTGGCTTGGAGGGTCCATGAGCTTCCGCTCCCTCAGCTGGGCGCTTCGTACCACGCTGTTCAATTATATCAATATCCATCTCGTCCGCCATGTCGTTATCGGGGCTTCTTAAACGTCTCAAGTGGATCGCATGTCGGACGTGAAGAGAGACGCGGATCGCGATGGCGATAAGGCGATAAGGCGATAACTGATATCATCTGCTTGTGGGGATTCGCGACTTTCTAACCATCTTTTCCTCGCACCTCTCTCGCTTCAATGCCATTCGTACCATATGTAATTTGCCGAGTTCTACAGGAGTCTCCTCTTTACATGCGCACAGAATATTGTTCCGAAAAATGTCTCGACGGGCCGATGAAGAGCTGGGCAAGAAGGATGACGACCACCGGCTTTCTGAACCAGCACGTTTCCAGCCTCTGCGCCACGGCAAATTTGCTCGCCCTCGACGATTGATCGCCATTCTGATTGTACTAGTGGTGGTTCATCAGTTTTTCAAACATATGCCGACCGACTTGAGCCCTGCGGCCGAACGATACAATCCCACCATCGCGAAGCTGCGACACCAAAACCCTGTTCGACCAGCCGATTCGGAGAAGTATTCCGAGAAGGGGTCTGAGAAAGCGCCGGGCAATGGACAGGGAAGAGGGTTTGACAAGGATCCTGGAAAGCCTCCAGTGATACCAGAAGAACGCCCCCAGCGGCAGGGACATCAACGGGAACCTCAAAACTCAGAAGGGTCATATGATGAAGGAATCAAATTCTACGAGTTGGCTCGATCTCTACCGCGCGACAAGCACCCGGAGAATGGATCTAGTCGTGAGGTGGTTTTCGCTGCATCGAGCCTCCGCAGTGTTTCGGATCTCCTTCCGTTGGCCTGTCGGATGGCAGGTCGGGGATTGAACCATGTCCATTTTGTCTTGATGGGGAAGGAGGAGGTTTCAATTGAAGGAATCAAAAAGGTCATCGGGATCAAGGATCCTGAATGTCCAATGACCTGGCACGGTATGTTGAGGGTGATCTTTGCGTTAAATCATGAGTCTGACCCGATGCAACAGATAGTCGGCCCGACCACGCGCCCCAGTCTACCAATTCCCGTATGGAGCGGGCCGTGAGTGGTGGCTTGGGCTTCATACAGACATATCTTCAACCGGAGGTTGTCATCACCCAAGGCAAAAACTGGGAGGATCCTTTCTTTTGGGACGGTGTGGAGGCCCATGCAAAGGAAACCGGAACTCCTCACATTGGCCTTTCCAGTGCTTCGAGGGACCTTATGTGGGTGGCTTCGATGGACAGTACTGCTCTTCGAGGTAAGTATCGTTCTAGCGATATCACACGTCCGACGGCAGCTGATAACCAAATAGTTTGGAATGATCTCCGCATTGACATGGTTGTCCATGCATCCGAATCGACCGGGTCTCTCACAAAATTGCTTCAGTCATTGGATGCCGCAGATTATTTAGGATCGACTCCCCAATTAACCATAGAAATTCCTCCCCAAGTGGACTCGCAGTTGCTCCAACTTCTGCGGCGCGAAGGCGATGGGCTATCCCAGCTTGCAGGCCGCATTACTCTTCGGCGGCGTATCCAGCAACGCTCTACCGATGCTACAGAGTCGTCTCTTCGGACGGTAGAATCGTTTTATCCTTACGATCCGACAGTTTCGCATGTGCTCATACTTTCTCCGCAAGCTGAGCTGGGCCCTTCCTTTTACCATTACCTCAAATACACCACCCTGCATTATAAGCATTCTTCTCACTCCCAACGCCTTTCAGCCAAGCTTCTGGGTATCTCGCTCGAACTGCCGTCTTCCAAACCCACCGCCGATAGCGAGCAATTCACACCACCCTCCACACCAATCATGAATCATGCAGAGAGCGGAGAACAAGAATTCCTCCCGTCCTTCCTCTGGCAAGCCCCAAACAGCAATGCGGCATTGTACTTTGGTGACAAATGGGTCGAGTTTCATTCCTTCCTCTCGAGTCGCCTCGCAACTCCGACAGCTCAACCTGCCGGCGATTCTCAAGGAAAGTTGATGTCAACAACATATCCGTCTTTCATGGAATACTTGCTCGAGATGATCCGGGCTAAGGGGTACTCTATGGTCTATCCCTCATTCCCAGGCCGCAAATCATCCCCTCTCGCGACAATTCACACGGAACTATATCAGCCCCCAGGGTTTACACAGGGTACTGGTCCCGTTCGACCCGGCGAACAATCTTTCAAGGTGATCGAAGACCCTAACCAGCCACTTACACTTGAGGGTACCGATACTCTGGGGACAGTCGAAGAGCCGCTGAACCGCGTATCAACCATCATGCCCCTTCTCGACCTGTTTTCCATGGATCTCCCGGGCCTTGATTCTTTGCCTCTATTGTCTTATGATGGAAAGGATTTGACGACACAGGCAGATACGCAACAGACGAAAGAATACGCCAGAGAATTCCGCATTCGCTACGGAGGTTGTACTGACGATAGCACGGCCGACGATCCTTCGGCAGACCTGTTCTGCCTCAACAAGTGAATCTCTGTAGGATTATAATGGCGTTGGGGTTGAGCTTTCCCTTCAAATACTGAAAACATAGCCAGAAATTTCGCATCATTGAATGTAATATCGCAAAATGAAAATTATTGCCAATTATGCCAATTGTCTGTCTCATCGTCAAATCGCCAATTCCCAAGGCAAAAACAATGACGAGGGCTTGGCATCTTATGTAATCGCAGCTGCACCCGAGCTCGCTGCTTCACCATCGCCAGCTTAGCAATCCCCCATTGCATCTCTCGTGTGCACTTTGGTTCTTTCTGCATTGTGCCACTACTCTCTGGTCTCTGATTGTTTCTTTTCTCGTATTGTCCATCCCAGTTCCCTCCCAGACCCGGTCGCCAGATACCGTCAGAAATGACGAACGAGGGCGAACGGTCAACCGCCGACAAGGGCAAGGGCAAGGTTGATGATGTTCGCGAGCTGAATGGCAAGAAGCCCCAAAAGGATGAGAAGACGGCAGCAGATGGAAAGAAAGCGGATGAGGAGCCTCAGGAAGGTAGGTTGCGGCAACATCGGACCCCGGACCAGAGCCTGTGGCTTCTGTGAAGGATCCCTCTCGCCGCCGAATCATGACGCTGACCCGATGGTTTCTGCAGAGGAGCTCAGCGAGGAGGATCAGCAGTTGAAGAATGAGCTTGAGATGCTCGTCGAGCGGTTAAAGGTATGTTTACTGTCGCATGTCCATCTGCAAAGAGCGATGACGTTAATCCTCGTTTCGGCTCATCATAGGAACCGGACACCTCGCTCTATGGCCCGGCCTTGGACGCCATCAAGAATTTCATCAAGACCTCGACCTCTTCCATGACCGCCGTTCCGAAGCCTCTCAAATTCCTCCGACCGCATTACGATGACCTGACAGCGCTCTACGAGAAGTGGGCAGCGGGCCCCGTGAAGGTTTGTCTGACAACCGGGTAATCAAGGTATCACAATCTAACCGTTTGTTGCTTTAGGACTCGTTGGCCGATATGCTTTCCGTGCTCGGTATGACCTACGGTGACGAAGAGAAGTTGGAGACGATCAAATACCGCCTACTGGCCAAGTCGGAGGACCTGGGCTCCTGGGGACACGAATATATCAGACACCTGGCCCTGGAAATCGGGCAAGAATACCAGAACCGGTTGAACGCGGAGAAGGAAACTCAGGATTTGGTCGACCTGGCGTTATCGCTGGTACCCTACTTCCTGAGCCACAATGCCGAAGCGGATGCGGTTGATCTTCTGAGCGAACTCGAGATCATCGAAGAAATTCCGCGATTTGTGGACGAGAACACATACGCCCGAGTCTGCTTGTACATGGTCAGCATGGTCAACCTGCTCACCTACCCCGAAGATCAGCAGTTCCTTCGGACGGCACACGAGATTTATGTGCGCTACAACAAGCTTTCTCAAGCGATTGTGCTTGCCATCCGTTTGAACGATATCGACCTCATCAAGAGTGACTTCGACGCGACGACCGACGTTTCTCTCAAGAAACAGATGGCGTTCCTGGTCGCTCGGCAACAGATCTGGCTTGATCCGCCGGCCGAGGACGAGGAGGGAGAGGCTCTGGCGGACTGTCTCAACAACACCTCTATCCCGAAGCACTTCAAATCTCTTGGAAAGGAGCTGAACGTTCTGGACCCCAAGATGCCGGAGGATATCTACAAGACCCATCTGGAGAGCAGTCGGGGAGCGGGACTCACCAACCTCGATTCCGCACGACACAACTTGGCAAGTGCCTTTGTCAACTCGTTCGCCAATGCCGGCTTCGGCAATGATAAAATGATGCTTGTTGAGGGTGACAAGGGCCCGTGGGTATGGAAAACCAAGGATGACGGTATGCTCTCGACCACTGCTTCCTTAGGTATGCTTCTGCACCGGGACGTCGAAGATGGCCTGGACAAGATCGATAAGTTCACCTACGCATCGGAGGACCAGGTCAAGGCCGGTGCGCTTCTTGCCATTGGTATTCTGAATTCAGGTGTCCACATTGACTCCGACCCTGCTCTTGCACTGTTGAGTGACCCCGACAACCTCGAAGCCAAGAACGTACCGATGAGAGCCGCATCGATCATGGGTCTTGGCCTAGCATATGCCGGTTCCAACAAGGAGGAACTTCTGGAGGTCCTCTTGCCAATCGTGGAGGATGCGTCCCTAGACATGCAGCTCTCCGCCATGGCAGCAGTCTCCCTGGGTCTCGTCTTCGTTGGCTCGTCAAACCACCAGGTGAGCGAAGCGATCGCCACCACCCTGATGGACGAGGAACGTCAGAAGCAACTCAAGGACAAGTGGACGCGTTTCATGGCGCTTGGCCTGGCCCTCCTGTACTTCGGCCGACAAGAGGAAGTCGATGTCATCCTTGACATCCTGAAGGCAGTTGACCACCCCATGGCTAAGCCCACGTCCGTTCTCGCCTCGGTTTGCGCATGGGCTGGTACTGGTACCGTGCTCAAGTTGCAGGAGCTCCTTCACATCTGCAATGACATTATTGAAGAGAAGGAGGAGAACAAGGGCGATGAGCTTGTTCAGTCCTACGCGGTTCTGGGTCTGTCGCTCATTGCCATGGGTGAGGACGTGGGTCAAGACATGATCCTCCGCCAGTTCGGTCACCTCATGCACTATGGATCAAGCAACATTCGCCGAGCAGTGCCCCTGGCCATGGGCTTGATCAGCCCGAGCAACCCTCAGATGAAGGTGTATGATACATTGTCCCGCTACAGTCACGACAACGACAACGACGTTGCTATTAACGCCATCTTCGCCATGGGTCTCTGCGGCGCTGGTACCAACAACGCCCGTTTGGCCCAGCTCCTCCGGCAATTGGCCAGCTACTATCACCGTGACCAGAACTCGCTGTTCATGGTCCGTATCGCGCAGGGTCTTTTGCACATGGGCAAGGGCACCATGACCCTCAACCCCTTCCACACCGACCGGCAGGTTCTCTCCCGCGTTTCGGCAGCCGGCTTGCTGACGGTGCTGGTGTCGCTCATTGACGCCAAGCAATTCATCCTCGCCGAACACCACTACTTGCTCTACTTCCTCATCACCGCCATGTTCCCTCGCTTCCTCGTTACGCTCGATGAGGACCTGCAGCCGCTGACAGTCAACGTCCGGGTCGGTCAGGCCGTGGACGTGGTCGGCCAGGCGGGTCGCCCGAAGACCATCACTGGCTGGCAGACTCAGAGCACGCCGGTGCTCCTGGCACATGGCGAGAGAGCCGAGCTGGAGGATGAGCAGTATATCCCTCTGAGCAACACTCTTGAGGGCCTAGTTATCTTGCGCAAGGTATGCATGGATCCTCTCATCTATTCATTCCACGCACTCGCTAACTCATTTATTTAGAATCCGGACTGGGAAAATACTGAATAAGTAACTAGATGTACTCTGGTTTACAAGGAAGGCTCGCGTCCAGCGAGACTCGTATAGTGGTCGGGCTTTCGTTTGATCTAATGTATTCAGAACGACTGAGGAAATGGAATATCTACCCCAATCCTATTCTCTTGTGTAGCCTGCATTTTGTGCTTCCATCGAGGTCCTCTTGGAAGTTGGCGTTGTAGTTCTCCCCAGGTCCCCACCCAATGCGGAAATAGGGCTTAGGGTCTGCTTATCACTTTTTTCCATCGCCGCGTCCACGTCTCGCGCGTCTTCAGGACTCCGTTGCACTCAAATCGACTTGGATTTTTTGGGTGATATACTTAGTCCTCGTTCGCAATGAAGCTCGACGCCAAGGCGATTCGCTACCTCACCTCTGAGGATTTTCGGGTGCTTGCGGGGGTAACTGATCAGCCCCTCCCTCTGATTTACGCCCCGCTCTGCATTTTCAGAGCGTCGCACGATGTGATAGTAGCTAACGAGGATATTGCAATTGGCAGGTGGAAGCCGGAAGCCGAAATCACGAGGTTGTACCGACACCATTGATCGTCCAGTTGTCAGGCCTTCGCGGCGGTAGCGGGGTGCATCGGGCGATCTCGAATCTGGCGAAGACGAATTTGATTGCCAAGGTTAAAAATGCGAAGTGTGAGTCTTCATTTTAAAACTCTCCATTCAGTGTACTGCTTGCTAATTACTGATTTCTACCAGATGACGGCTATCGACTCACCTACGGCGGACTCGACTACCTGGCGCTGAACGCGCACCAGAAACAAAAATGCATCTACTCAGTTGGCAATCAGATTGGTGTGGGGAAGGAATCCGACATCGTGGTGGTCGCACACAGCAGCGGAGCGCAGCGCATCTTGAAGATCCACCGACTGGGGCGTATTTCGTTCCGCACGGTTAAAACGAACCGCGACTACTTGCGACACCGCAACACGGGGTCGTGGATGTATATGTCACGACTGGCGGCCATGAAGGAATTTGCGTTCATGAAGGCGCTGCGCGCCAACGGTTTCTCGGTGCCTGAGCCCATTGCCCAGAACCGGCACACCATCGTCATGAGTCTAGTCGACGCCTTCCCGCTCCGTCAAATCTCCACGGTGCCCAATCCCGCGGGACTGTACTCGGAATTAATGGATATGATTCTGGAGCTGGCGCGGTTCGGTCTGATTCACGGTGACTTCAACGAGTTCAACATCCTCATCAAGGAAGAGGAGGATCCCACGGCAAAGGGCAAGGCACCCGCCTCCTCTACGGACGAAGTGTCTGATGAGAATCTCCGGCTGGTCCCGGTGCTCATTGACTTCCCGCAGATGGTGTCTATTGATCATGCCAATGCGGAAATGTACTTCGACCGCGACGTCAACTGTATCAAGCGCTATTTCCAGCGCAAGTTTCACTTTGTCAGCGATGTTCCGGGGCCGTTCTTTGCCGACGCTAAGAAGAAGCTCCTCAAGAACCCTGGAAAACGGCTGGATGTCGAAGTTGAGGCTTCGGGATTCTCACGGAAGATGGCCCGCGAGCTCGAGGCATATATGAAGGAAGTGGGGGCCGACGGGGAAGCAGGTGCCTCTAAAGACGAGGACGAGGATGACGATGAGGAAGAAGAAGAAGAATCCGGGTCTGAGTCTGAAGGGCACGTTGAAGACGAGCGGCCGGAGCAGGATACTCAGGAAGTCGACGAGAGCTCCAAGAAGATGGAGGAACTTCGTGTCTCGGAAACATCGGGACAGTAAAAGTTCAATGTTACAATAATGACCACGAATAATGAAACTAGAGTGTAATATCAGTGTGAATTTCGGATAGTCGAATGTCGAAGTGGTCGGCGGTAGATTGAAAAACTCGGGCGGGCGGCGCGGCCACCTGCGCAACTCGGCCCCAAAAGATTCACGCAGCGCAACGACTCTCCGTCCTCATCCAACCCGCCAATATGGTGCGTCGCCCCGAGATTCGAACATTCAGGAATGCGCTGAAAGGTCACCGTCGAGTGTACCTGTACGTCAATTTCATTTCTCTCAAGGAACCCTCGCCCCTTCGATAAATTTTCCGCCTCACAATTCACACCACCCCGTGAACTCTTGAACTGCACCCAAGAAGCAACGACTTTACTGTAATAGATCCCCGCTGACCACCAATTCCAATCCCAGGCCCGAGTTCACGGTCGCCCTCGTGCGAACCCCCTACCTCTCCCCTCTATATGCCCAGTTCCGCGTTCCCCTCAACTTCAACAAACTCGACCTACGCAGTTATCTCCTTCAAGCCTACAACGTTCCAGTCCGCGCCGTCCGCAGTTATGTCGAGCAGCAGCCCGTCACCCGTCTGACGCGCGACAACCGAAACTTTGGACCCTGGCGGCGCCCGAAGTCGATCAAGCGTATGACCGTCGAACTGCACACCCCGTTCGTGTGGCCCGAGGAGCCCAAGGATCTCAGCGGGTATGTTGATGAATGCACTTGTTTTGTTTCTTGTGCCTCATTTCTCTTTCTTCTTTTTTTCCTTTGCTGCTCATTTCGACCCTTTTTCCGAATACACGATTCTAATACAACTTTCACATAGATGGGAGAAAGAATCCTGGGACGCCGGCGAGAAATGGCAACACAAGATGCGCGAGAAGCAGAAGCAGAAGCCTGATTTCTCGGAGGAACCGGACGAGGATATGCGCAAGGCCTACGAGGAGCAGGCCAAGGAGCTGGTCGAGGGCAAGCAAACCTGGCGCCCGACGTGGCAGGCTTTGGGTCTGGATTTCGCTCACAAAGAGCTCATCAACAACAAGGCCACGAATCCGCCCAAGCCCAAGTGGATGACGAAGCCGAGAAAGCCTTGATTGGTCTCCTGCGGGAGGACTGATGTATGGTTGTTTTTTCTATCTCTTGGGGTTCTTTTCCTTTTGTGTGGTTTCTGGTGGATGTTTTTTTCCTGCCAAAAATTCGGTGTTTTGTATTTTCCTCCGGGGAGTTTGACCCGTTCTCTCTGTACTATATATCCATAGACACTTTGGTAGTGTTTGGCGAGATGATATGATATATACATTTGGTTCCTGGTGCTCTAGTCTGTGAAAGAAGTCGCAACCTGTGGAAAGTACTCGAATTCAATAATATTCCTAACGGTATCAAGCCCGGGGGGAGACGCAGAGACTCCGCATGGGATGTCCTGATTTTCTTGACATGCCCTCACTTGCCAAGTGCAACGAGAAAGATGATGTAGAAGCCTATCCGTCAACAACTACAAAGTAACATAATAATATAGCAAGAATTAGATCTTAGTGGCGTGTTATTATTTACTTTATATATAGCTTACGATAATTGCTGTTCTTTCTCTCTCTCTTTCTTTCTCTCTCTCTTTTCTCTATCTTTTTTTTTTTTTTTTAGATATCTTTTAAAATATCTTTCTAAGTATTTTTACTACTATTAATCTTATAGGCCTAGAGAGGGGCGCTGTCTAAAGAGTATGTTTGCCTAAGCTAATTACTAGATAAATGTCACGCAGACATTATGAAACCCGAAAGACAACACATCACAGCCCCAGTCACATATTCTTATATTATAGGGCAATGCGGTTCTTTCCTCGTGCTCACTCTCCAGGCTTCCACAGCCTCCCCATAAAGCTCAGCGGGCCTAAGGGCTTAGCAACCCCTTTCTCTGCCACGATCGCCTTCAGGCCCTCCTCCGAAACACCAAGGCCGAATCTATTCTTGAAATACTTTTTTGAGGCCCGATTCGTGGGAAGCTTCTGCGTCATCTGGTCCTGGAATCGGGCCCAGCTCTCTTTCGGTTCTGTCGGTTGTCTCTTGAAATTTACCGACACACTCGCTCGACATGTAGGGCTGCATGCGGGTAGGCCACGCCTGCCGTCCCATACCCATTGGGGACCAACCAGCGATCCGCAAGCCTCGCAGGGGATTTTCAGGTGCAAGATTCGAGCTTTGCAGATCTGGGGATGGCGCGTGTTGGTGAGATTCATGGAGCAATTCTGAGGAGAAAGGGAACAACGTACTAAGGATGCTGGCGGCGGTTGAGATCGCCGCAGCCCCAAGGAGGACGAGGGTGGTATTGAATTTCATCATAGAAGAGGGAAAGGGGTGCAAATTAAATTAACTTCTTGCGTAGTGTCTGAGAAGATCTGAGACGCAGTATGGATAGGAGATTTACGTCCCTCATTTATATCGTATGCTTTCCAAGTAAGTGGGTTATCCATGAAGTAAGCACATTTCTGAGGTTGATTATCCAAAAATAAAAGGCTGTGTTCTTCGGCCATCCGAGAGCCATATAGATGGAGATCTGCGGTATTCAGATAATATGTATATTATTGGAAATAGAAGAGAATTCATCAGCTAAATTTTGGTTAAATTACTTTTCATTTTTGTCACAGCACCCTATCCGGAGCCTCGGTAGCTCAATCGGTAGAGCGTGGGACTTGTGAGTGTTCTATTGGTCCTCTTGAAAAAAATTCCTACTAACCTCCGGAAAGTTAAAAAAGAATCTATCCCAAGGCTGCGGGATCGTACCCCGCCCGAGGCGTGTTCTCTTTTTTTTTTTTTTTTTTTTTCTTCACTAATCTCATCTAGTCTGATCAACTTCCCTTATAGATTATATATTATATATTTTAATAGAAACCGTTAATCCACGACCCTTACCTCCTTTTTAAATAGAGATATATCAATGTTGGTATCCACCAGGCAGATTTCCTTGGCATTCCGATTACACCATGATATTGATATGTCTTTCCGCCTCCAGGTCTTGTTCCAGGTCTGTGTAGGTAATAACCAAGTTTGTATGGCGACTTTGTTTCATCCTATATGACTAAGCCCTTACATCTGAATCTGAGATGCATCATCTCATGGAGAAGAGAGATGCTAAAAAATCCCGTGCCCATAGATAGTTCAGGTAACGGCATTCCGGATCCCAGCTCCAGTCAATTCTCGATGGTCACCGATAGCGATCCCTCTCAAGGTAAAGACTAACCTTGACACACAAAATACCAGAAAGATTGAGAAAAATAAGGGTAGACATACTATGATAACATTCCTGGAAATACCTTCCAATTATGCCTCTCAATGTGATCAGCCGCCTTTCCGAAGTTGAAAACGGCAATGATTGCGAGGTTGAATTACTGCTTATAGAGTCGGTGTATCTACCTAGGTATCCTTCCAAGGATCCAGTGAACCCTCAACCCTATGACTACTTCTCTATGCAGCCTTTGTTGACTCTTAAAATACCAAACTTCCACCCAAAGGCCCAGGTGAGGTCCATAGTTCAAGATTAGATTTGAGCAAGCTACCCGACTCGACTAACACAGACCAAAGAAACACCACAAAAGTCTCCAAGAGCAAAAAAGGAAAGCAAGGCGCAGCAAGAGCTAAACGCCATGCAATCTAGGTAGTAATCGAGCCGGCGACTGACCCAGAATTGGCCATCGAGTGAATACTACCGGGAGGTGCACTTCCTTCACCATTAGGAGCGTGGGCCTCGCCCGCAGTGAGATGGTTTTCATCATGGTTGGTCGTGGATCGGGGCGGTGGGATTTCCTTCTTGCCGTTCGCTTTGTAGTAGAGGACCATGTCACCCGAGGTGCGCCAGAGATGTGTCCGGATCGTGGCTAGGGTCATGTTGGGCGGACAAAACTGGTGAAAACGCCCGAATTTAGTAAAGAAGGACTGGTATACGAGGGGACATATCTGCTGGAATGTAGTTCTTACCATTTTCTGGCAATATAGCTCTAGGTATTCTTCCGGTGGCATGGTCGGAGCCTCGGAGTCGTCGGGGTTCGGGGGTCGATTCGCTCTGCCACGTATGCAAGAATCTTCTTTGCTCGAAGCATGCGGTTGGCGTTGAGTCGAGAGGTGTTGGTTCCGTTGGTAGGTGGCGGAGGGCCAGCAGTGCTTGGTGGTCTAGTGAAAACACATGTTAGACAATGATCCCAGCAGTTGTGGGATGCGATGGTCAGATTAGGACATACACCTCGGGCTTGGAAACTGGGGGGAGCGAGTCGTCAAATGGCTTCAACACGAAAGCGATCTTGACCTGCTCCTTAAACGGGATTTGGTTCTATAGTGGGTGGTCAGAGATCAGACATAAAAGAGACCACTGGAGCAAGCCACATACCTTCAAGAGAAGCTCCCCAAGCCAGTGAGGAATTGACTTCTCCAGCCGCTCAATTTCCTGACCAATACGGCCCACACTGCCTCGATATAGATCCGAGGCCACTGCAGTCTCCCCAGTTTCCTCTTGAATAAACACCGCAGTCCGTGAGGGGATTGCCAACCTCGGCGTTTCACTCTCGGGACTGGGCGTAATGGCCGTCACCAATTCTCGGCCTGGGTTGGCCGACAAAAACTCATCATAGTCGGTTCGAATTCGTTCAGCCACGCCACTGATGTTGGGTTCGTAGATCTTCTCCTCTTTGATGGAAGAGACCTCAGACTCCTCAACTTTCTCTTCCTGGATCTGAGGTTTCGCGTCGGTCGAGGTGCGGCCGAGCTTCTTGGGGAAGTCCATTCGGAATTTCTTTCCAAACAATGATCCGCTCTTCTTGCGTTCCTCCTTGTCCGGCTCTGCAGGGGACTGGGGAACACCGGGTGTTGATCCTGCATCCGTAGGTGACGTGAGATTCTTTTCGGTATCAAGCTGAGGCAGCCCGTTGGGCCGCGCTGAGAAGTAGTCACTGGACTTGTCCGAGAAAGAGGACGGACCCCCATCGGCATGGTGATGTGCTGACCCAGGCAAATCGGGCGTCTCGGGATCAAACATAGGGAACGGAGAGGCGGTGCTCTGAATGGAAGTGCTGAGGTGGTTCGATGATGGCGTGCCAAAGTTAATCCCGGAGGTATGAGGGCTCCCGGAGAACTCCATTCCAGGACGCAAAGTGGTCATTGAGTGGCCTTGTGAGATTGGAATACCAACACTGCGAGGGATATCATCGCCTGGCGCCGATGTGCCTAGCGTACTCGATGGGACAAGTTCCTGGGCTTTGGCCATGGCAGATTCGCGGTAAACATTGTCGCGGCGAATTTCCTCATCCACGATTGGCGCAAACAGCCACCGCAAAATCCATTTCCCAAGATTGACTGCGTGCTTTGTTAGTCGCTTGTGGGAGGCCCATAACAGAGTAAAACGAGAGTCGAGGTAGCAAAATAAGAAATGATAGACATACTCCTTTGGTCCTCTCGGAATTGTGATAGATCGGAGGGCGATAAACCAGCCTCGTCCGCATATACCTCAGCATCGAAACACCTATTCGGCTCTAGGATGACCGACAGTCGGCCGGTGCGGACATCTATCGTACACCAGTGCGAAATGCTCTCGACGGTATTGATCTCGGAAGCAACGTCGTCGATATGGCGTTTGCCGAATGTTTGGACCGGAAGACACTAGATTGCATGTCAGTGCTCACGTCGGCTGCAGGTATGTAAGTGATCTTTAATATGCCCATACCTTGAGCAGATCCCAGAGAACCACCTCTCCTGCCGAGTCTTGAGTGAGGGTGCGTTTCCGATCATTCAACATCAAGCACTTGATCAACCCATCCTGGCCCTCAATTGTTTCCGCCGGTAATGACTGGATTGGTATTGTCAACCCAATTTCTGGTCCCAATTCTGGCTCCACGGGTCCATTTGAAGATGGGCTTCCCAGTAACGTAGAAGTCGCTGATAATTGCAAAGCCGCTTGGAAGGGGATTTTCTTCTGCGATCCTGTATCGGACGAATTCACAGGGGCGGCAGCAGTAGAGTCAATAGTGCGTGCTGGGTCAGGAGGCGGATCAATGCCGACAGTAGTATCCACGTCTTTCCAACGGTTAATGCTTGACTTGGGGGTGGCGGTCCAGATGGAATCTCCGGAAGCGACAACCTTGACAACACCCTCATGTTCTTGCAGCGCGGCAACGCATGTACCATGCTCTGCATCTACGGAACCTCGGGTATCGGTCTTAGCCACCAGGCCTGAACGATCACTAGAGTAAAAGACGGAGAGGTCGGGATGGTCCGAGTACAGAGACCAAACGCTATCGTTGTGCATGGTCAAGGTGTTCATGCATCGTCCCGCGGTCAGAGACCAGATCTTGATGGTTTGATCCGACGAGGCAGTCATGATCGTGTCACCGGTCTCATTGATCAGGATGTCCCGGATATTATCCGTGTGGCCAACGAACTTGGTAACCAGCTTCCCGGACCTGGGATCCCACACGCGAACTACATTCTCGGGCCCGCCGCTGGCGAGCACCGACGAAACGGCACCTAGCGCATAGACAGACCCCTTTTCGGCGATATCGTCCCCACAGGCATCGATGCTCAAGATATCCCCACCGCCATTCAGATCCCACAGGTATAGTTTGTGGTCGAGGCCACCTGAGGCAACCCAACTCGCCTGACTGCTGGGACTCGCGAGCGCCTTAACATAGTCGGTGTGTTTCCCGATGCGCTCCGGGACCTCGGTCGATTCCGAATGTGGGCGCCAGAGTCGCACAGTGGTGTCGGACGAGGCGGAGACGAGCGCGGAGTTATCCTGGGTCAGGACAATGTCGTTGATCCAGTGGCTATGGGCCTGAACCTGGGTCTTGAAAGCGGCCAGAGCGGGTTTGCGCGAAGACGAGGCTGGAGAATCGAGTTCCCACGAGCAGATGACACCGTCGCGACCCGCCGAGTATCTGGAAAAGGCAGACGTCACATCAGCCGCCGTGCAACCCACGTGCAGAAAAGGCAGGTCTTCCAGAAAACCGCGGTCGCACTGATGCGACGAATAGATTGCCGATGGAGCAGAACCTCAAGCCGAGGTGGAACACTTACAGGATGGAGTTCTGACGGTCAACAGTCAAGCCGTTAACCCCCAGCCGGTGCCCGCCTGGGGCATCAGGCAGAGGGAGCACTATAGAGAAGCAGTCAGCATCTCGACCTTCGTTGGTCAGACAAATTTCTCAAGACTCACCGTACGTGACCCGCTGGTGGCTCAGTTTCCGTGCCATACATGCAGTGGTGAAGACTTCAAAATTGCGGAGATGGTGATGCGGAGCTTATCTGCTTCAATCGAGGGCCGATCACTTGCACGTTTCGGTGGGGGAGATGTAACGACGTCACATTTGTGACGATCACAACAATTGACAGGTTTCTCTCTCTGACGGGGGGGAAACGTGGGCAAAAGGGGAAGATAGAAAACAGGGGGAACCGGGGAACGGGGAAATTGAGCGCAAATGAGGGGAAGCTGGGGCAGGTCTGATCTCATCCCAGCGCTTTTCATCCTTCTTTTTCCCCTTCTGCCCTCGATTGTCTATATTTGAACTTTCCTCCCATCGATATTTGATGCGCCTGGTCACACAAGTTCTGAAATGTAAGGACCCGAGGGTGTCAACAGCCACCGAATAGCTGACACTGATGTCATCTGGGTTGATGCCATTTTTACCCAGGTGGCTATGGTCGCCTCAACACTCAACTAACACACTCCAGCATGATTCATCTCTACTAACTAAACAGAGGATAGGATGGACATTCCCCTCTCCTATATCAAACCCATCTACCCTCCCAGAATAATCACCCACGACCACCCCGAAGACGAAGACCCCTCCATCCAAGAAACCCTCGAAAACCTGCACCTCCAACCGCACCCCGAGGGCGGCTATTTCGTAGAGACCGACCGAGATCCTCACCACGTGCTCAACCCCTTCCGGTCTCGCACCCCCAACGCAGAGGTAGGGAGTGACGCGACGCGACCAGCCAGCACGACGATATTCTATTTCCTCACGCCGCACGCCCCGCTAGGCGCCTTCCACCGCAACCGAGCGCGGACGATCCATACCTGGCATCGGGGCCGGGGACGGTACGTGGTGATCCACGCGGACGAGGCGAGCAATAATCCAAAAGAAGACCTGGGCAGGGCCAAGGCGCCCATCGGGTCCTTTGTCGTCGGCCCGGATGTGGCACGAGGGGAGCGCATGCAGTGGGTGGTAGAAGGCGGCAAATACAAGTCCAGTTTCCTACTCCCCGACGCGCCTATAGATGATGCCGAGGATGGCACCGATCGGGGCTCGAGAGGGTTGTTGATTGCTGAGGTTGGTAAGTTGAGTTGACTGAACCTGAACACATGGGTTGACACTGCTGGATCAAGGTGGTGGTCCCCGGCTTCGAATCCGCAGACCATGATTTCCTGCGCCGAGAACAGATGGACCAGCTTCTCACGTCTGATCAAACCCGGGAACTGAACTGGATGCTCAAGAGCTGATAGAAAACACCTTTGTAAAGGTCCTACCAAAATGGAATGAGTTGAAGATAGTATATAGAATCCATGTTTTTGTCCAATCTATATGCGCCTTCTAATTTTTTCGTATATGAGAATAATGTACAAGTAGCAAATCTACCGAGATCTACACTGCTACTTCTTCTTTTTTCTCCTTCTTACCTTCGAGGGTATTCCATGCCCACTGATAGCTGCCCAAGAAGACAGCACCACCAATCCCAATCCAAGCAACACGAGGGCCAATACCACGCCAGAAAGCGCCGAAACCTTCCTGCGCAATGCCACGCACCACCTCCTTCACCCGCACCGGAGCCGCAGCACCACCATCGCCCCGACGCGCCAGCATAACGCGCGTCTTAATCACGTCCAACGGGGTAGTCAGGCCCGCGGCAATGGCACCGGCCACACTCCCAAACATAGCGCTCGTCGACGCCGGGATCTGCGATTCGGCCGTGGCAGCAGAGCCTGATCCGGGGCGGTGCAGGTACCGCTGCGCATAGGTCTCCTTCATGGACTCCCACATGGTGAACTGGAGTACGGTGAAAGGGATCTCACGGGCGATGGTGATGCCGGCGCCGCGGTACAGTTCTCGAAGAACCTGACCATAGCCGCGCTTCACCGCAGGCGTGGGGGTAGCCTGGGGTCTGGAAGCTGCTGCAGAAGATCCGGGAGGAGCTGACGGAGAAGATGCTGGGGGTGTGGGTGGGGGCGCGGCATGGCGCAGAGACAGGATATCCTTTAGCGCAAGCAGACTCGAGCCGCCGAAGAGACCTGCTTGGGCGCGCTGCTTGATCACCTCGGTGGGCACACGCACGGCGCATGCGGCGATCTCGCCGAGCGACGAGGCAATCGAGTGCGTGAAGATGACATGGGCTCGGGATGGCGGGTCGGACGCGGTCGGGCCGGATGATGAAGGGGGAGGGAGGAGCGAGCGCTTGACGCCGTCGTAGACAATGAAGAAGGAGGCGGCTGAGGGAGCAGAACCGAAGAGGACAGAGGGGAGGCCGGCGTAGATGCCACGTACGGTTTGGCGCAGCGAGAGTCGTGATGCCTGCGGTGCGGAGTGGTCGCGTGCTTTTTGGAGTCGGGTTTTGATCGTGTCAAGAGGGTACAGGGAGCAATCGACCGTGAGACCTGCGACGGCACCGGACTGTATAACCACCGGAACTGTTAGCGAGGAATTGGGAGTAAAAGAGAGAGGTCTTCAGAAGGCCCAAGGCCCGCAACGTACAAGTAAAGACCTGGTCCAGAGGGATGAGACCAATGGGTCCCCATCGGGTTGATGGGCCATTGTGAGAATGAGAAGACCAATGCGAAAGAAATATTCTACAGGAACATGCCGTCTTGTCAATTGCCCGAGGCTGTCAAATAAGACGAGAGAAGATCATGACGGAGAAAGAAAGCTATGGGAGGTCCGAAAGTTTCCCGTTTCCCGCGATCAGGCTATCCGATATCGCTGACTTACGTCAGGTCGATCAGGCCCTAACTTCAAAAGACTGATATCAGGTTAAATGTCGCAAGGCAGAGCTTCGCGATAGGCAGCACTGGAGCATATATAGATATATATTTTTTGTATTTACCAGCCTCTATTGCAGCCAGGTCGTAGGTACATAAAACGCCCGCAGGCATGATATGAGCCACTAGAGAACAAATAAGAAAACCTTCATAGCACACCAGCACAGATCTAGCAGAAACGTCTATGTCACAGGGTCAGAGAAAGAGCCCGCTTGTCAAGAGCATCGAGTGTTTCCTTCAACGCCATGTAACATCAATACTTTGCTGGGAGAAACAAACTGGAAGGCGGGTAGGTAGTGGGTGTGAAGGGATTCCGCAGTGAAGATTAGTGACGAGGATATGGACTCGGATAGGAAAAAGAGGAAGAAAGAAAATCACAATCCCACGGGTTGAAAACCAAGGGGCATTTATGAACACACGACACAAGTTGATACAAGAAAAAGGTATTTATTTGGCTTTGTGGCCTTTGCTGGCAACAGGTGGAGCCTGCGAAGGCGGTTCAAGAATGTGGGTATGGCCAGGCGCGTTAATGATTTCGCCTGAGCCCTCTTGCCGACACTCGTGGATGTTGCGCACCCATTCATCCGACAGGACATCATCGAGCGTCACTCGGTCTTTCGGGTTGACCTTCAACATGCGCCCGATAATGTATCGACTTTCCCGAGGTAGGATGCGGAGGAGCCGCCAGGGCCCCTTAATCACCTCTTGGCGCTGGGCAGATGCCTGGGCAGACGCCGGAAGGGGTGGAGCTTCTTTGCTGGTCGTGCGTGTGGTTTTGTTGTTACCATTGCCACCCGTGCTCGTTTGGCTGGTTTGCTTTTGAGCACTATCCGACGAACGATCATCGTCCTTCGAAGCGGACTCGGACGGGAACCCGTTTTGCTCCGGAGCGGGCTGTTCGGCGGGTTTGGCGGACGATTCGGATGCGTTCGGGCCGCTCGAAGGAGGAGCCAGCCGTTTCTGGTCCTGGGCAGTAGACGGAAGATCAGGAGTCGACTTGGGGCGGGGGTGACGTCGAGGATCGGAGTCGGGAACGGGAGTGCCAGGGGTTGGGGTGGACACGAACAACCGGTATGAGTTGTCGGTGGTCCGCGGCTGCTTCCACGGGAAGCGGCGCAAGGTCATGCAGCAGAAGATGATCGCCAGCGACCAAACATCGGTAGGGCGGGGGTCGTATTTCTTCTCATCGTACACCTCAGGGGCCAGGTATGGATCCGAGCCGACGATACCTAGACCGTTGGTTAGCAATTTTCAATCATGACTGAACAGCCATGGCAAACACAACATACCAGAGGCGGGAACTATGTCGTTCTCAAAAGGATAACGGAAAACGACGGCACTTCCAAAATCAATGAGCTTCATAATGCCCTGGTCGTTCACCACCACGTTATCCAGCTTCAAGTCCCGATGAGCCAGCCCCATGCCATGCAAATACGCCACTCCGCTGAGAATCTGCTTAAAAGAGCAGGCAATCTCGTCCTTGGCCATCTTGCCTGTCATGACAATGGCAAAGAGGTCATATGGCGCATACTCCATCACCTCGTACCAGTGGTGGGCTTCCTGGATGATATCCAAGGTCTCAATGATATTTCCGTGGTGGAGAGTGGAACCAATGCAGAATTCAGCCGTCACTTTCTTGGAATATTCCTTCAGAGATTCCCAGTTGTGACGATCTCGGAATTGCTTGACCGCGAATGTGACGCCGTCACTGTTGCGCTTCAGCAGTCGAACAGAGCCTCCAGCTCCGGATCCAAGGACCCGTCCTAGTTTGCCATATTTGGAATTCAGCCCATGGTCATCCGCAAAGGGGACGTTGTCTGGGGCCATCTGATACGGAGTATTCTTTCCAGATGATCGGCTCGAACGCTTGGGTGACGATGTTGGGGAGTCTGCACGCTTGTGACGGTGGCCCATTTTGAAGAATCGTTTGAGCTCGGACATAGATCCGTGGTGATGGTGGGAGCTCTTCTGGTCATTATTGCCGTGCTCCTTCTTGCCACTGAATGGTCCCCGTTTGTCGTTGGTTTTGCTGAGATCGTTGGCACTCGCCGACCGAGGAGTTCCTGGGCGGAACGATCGCTTGGAATCGCGCCCTCCGAAGATAAACCGGGGGTCGAGCTGAGACAAATTCTTGGATTGCGGTGGCCGCTTACTGCGGGCATAGGGATCATTGGGTTCACCGACCGGTGTAATTGCCCCCGGCGGCGTCAAGGAATCCCTGGGAGTCGGGGGCGGGCTTTCTTCTTGCGAACTGGCGTCGTTTCCGGCGAAGAATTGGGCACGATGCCTCGGCACCTGGATTGGGGGGAGCGGTTCCAAACCACCGCTTACTTTGGAGAAACGGTCGTGCGATGAAGGTCTCGGGGATGGCACGCTTCGTTGCGGGCCATTCTTGTCGCCGGAGGTGACTGGGGGAGATATTTCAGGGGTGATAGCCGCTCGGCTAACAGCATTCAAGGACTGTGTGCTGTCGTTGGCTCGGCCTTCGCGGGACTGGGTGACGGCTGGGGTAAGAGGAGGGGACTGTACAGCGGAGGTGGGAGGAGATGCATGAGGAGAAGCTCCAAAGGACGCGGTACCATCGCGTCCACTTCGTTCGCTAGACTCCCGAGATGCAACCTGGAATGGAAATCCGGTTAGCCACCCATCGCACTTCTCCACTGTCAAAGGTGCCCCCCTCCCAACTAGTGGCCGTTGAAATGATATCATCACAAAAGCCTCGGAACTCATAATGGCAGAACAATTCAAAACCCATACATACCCTGGAGGACGGAAGAGACATGGGATCGAAAGAGAAGTTCCGAAGGCGCGACTCTTGGAGTTGCGAGCTCTGCAGACTCATAGCAAGCGAACGTAATTCCTCGTCTGTGCCGAGCTTTTGCTGCTCAGGATGAGATTGAGCTTCGGGGGAAAGCATCGACCGAGAAGGTTCGATCTCCTCCGTAATCGACGAGAAGCGGACCTGGGCGGGCTGGGATCGCGACTTGGCATCGGCGTCACCGGCCTCCGAAGCCTGGCCCGACATCTTGGCGTGGTCTTGCAATGTTTGGGGGTCTATTGCATGGGAAGGTTTTAGTCACTGCTGGGAGGAATTTGGGGCGATCACAGAAAAAAAAAAAAAAAAAAGTTGGCACATTCATGCCATGACATACCTGAGACCGTGGACTGAGATTGGGCCGAATCGGTCATTTCAGACGTCATACGCATCGACACCGGCTCGGAACGTGGTGGGACACATGCCCCTCGCGGCGCACAGGAAACTTTCGCAGTCGGAATGCCGTGGGGGAGGAGATCTCGAGGAATTGGCGTGTGATCCCGAGGGGTCTATCAGGTCGATTACGTGGGAGGCGAGGCAAATCCTTTTTATTCACCCTTTTAGACTTTTTCAACGCCGAGCCGTGCGATACGCGGTGCCCGACCGCGAAGGGTGGATGGATGCGATGCAGAGGAAGGTGATAGATAAAAAGAAGAGAAAGAGGTGGGAGTGGGAAAAGAAGAAGAGAAGAAGACGCCCAGAAAGAGGGGAGCACTTGGGGTCTGGGCCTGAGGCAAACCGGCTTGGAGTGGGGTGCGGTCACAGCGGTTCCAACGGGCGAATACTTGATGACTCTTTCGATATCATTTTCTACATTTTCTACATTTTCTTAAATTTCCCTACAGAGATGACTGTCGTGTTCATTTCCTGCTTTCCTGTTTTTCCCACAGAAAATTAGAGAATCCGGAATGTCGCGGAGGCCGTTTTGGGGGGTATCGGATCCAGATGATGTCGATGGGGGGGGGGCGGATTTACTTGAACTCTCATAGGCTCCCCTCGTGCCGACTTCCCGGCCAACCTGCATCGCTTGCTGCGGCTGTTTTCCCTACTTTTCCGGCGATCTGGAAGTTTGCCCGAACCGTTATAGATCAGGTCACATGATATTTATACAGAATACAGAGGAAGCCTTGGAATAATAATAATAATGATAACAAATGACAGATAGAAAAGGTGGAACTTGTAGGATATCTATAGGGAAGACATATTATCCCCTATTGCCCAATGCCCAATGCCTACTGATCTATCAACCATATTCTATTCCTGCAGTAACATACTTCCTGCGAGTAACACCTCCAGTAAGTAGACAATACTTGATCCATTCCTGCCAAGCACCAGGATCATCCCTCTGTTTTGCCAAGACCCTCTCGGACTGACGCACTGTGGCGGGGTGCAGCATCGGGCATGTTCCTCTAAAGGACCCATTCATACCTCCTTAATACCGACATCACCTGGCCCCATACTAACTGGACTGGGCACATATCCATGAATATGGTCCGCATGGTCACACCAAAAGCTTCTTGGCACCCCCCCCCCAAATGCCAACCCTCTAGTGGCAGGGCCTGAGGTGCCGGGGTAGAATCGCCAGACCTTGGAAGTTTCGGCGTAGGATCGACAGGGTTGTGTGTTCCAAGGTGATTCGGGTCAGTTGGTCATTTGGAGCCCCTGAATTGCTGGAAAAAATAAGAAGAAGAAGAAGAAGAAGAAGAAGAAAAAAAAGGTTGATTGTATGCAAAGTGGTTAGATTGTCCACCCGTCGCTGGCTGGCATATGGGAATGAAATATGAATACAAAAACAGTCATCTCTATAGTACAGGAGGGAAATCCCTTTTGATCCCCCAAAAAAACGCCACTCGGCAAAATCAAAGAATGACTCAAGTAGTCGGCTGTCGCAATGCACGTTGGATGCGACCTTGCCGAGTCCATGATTGTACACGAGTCCCATCACTAGATCCCTCCAGATCTGAATGCTTCTGCAATAGTTGCTTCTCCCCCTCATGGCACCACCTGAATACCAATTGACTTGGCCTGCGCGATGACACTTTTGCAGATGCCCTGCAGGCTCAGTCCCGAGAGCCGCGTCTCGGTGTGCTTGATTTGGGCGATCTCGTAAACATGCTTCAGCGAGATGGTGCCGCAGATCTCATGGCCGGGGTTCATGGCACCACGCAGCCGGCCCTTGCGAGGCTCAACCTCGGCCGCATTCAACAGAAGATAGGTGGTGGTGGGCGTGCGGAGGTCGAAGGCAAAGGATCGGTCGGGGCGGACGGTGACGCGCGCAGGGATGGGAACGCCGGTGTTGATGTGAGCAGTACGGGCGTTGAATTCCTGCCAGAAAGAACTTGTCAGCGATGAATGCTCTGGATTTCCACATGGCCAGATGACCAAGACTCTCAAAACAACGGACCTTGCAAAAGTCCATGCTCTTGACACCTTTGCTACCCAAGGCTGGACCGACGGGCGGACTTGGGCTAGCTTGGCCAGCGCCGACAATGAGCTTGACGAACTGCTCTTTGGCGATATTCCTCGCCATGATGAATTGGGGAGAGGTGGGTTGGATTGGAAGATGGTGATGGGCTCAAAAGAGTCCAACGGGGAGATTTTCCTGGGGCGGGCGTGATTGGCGGGCGGCAAGCGAGCTGAAGGGACGTCATTGATGCTGGGGGACTTTGCTTTTCCTTCTTTTTTTTATTTGTCTTTCTTCTTCTCTCTCCCCGTCCAACAATATTTGGTTTACCGCATCCTCGATTACTGTGATCTTCGGCTCTGTCTTCAGCTGGGTCTCGTGGTCGAGTTAGTCTGCTCGACTTCTACCGCATCCGACCGAAACTCCGCCGCCCCGCGTGTGTCGATCTCCCTCTTCTTCACCTCCCTTACTCGATTTTTTTTTGAACGACTCTCCTCCGTATCACTCTATTCTCAAGAGGCCATTTGACCTCTTACACGGAACAATCATGAATTGGCTCAAGTCAACGTATATACTCCCTCCATCGCTTCGTTAGCGCCCTGGTAGCTAACTTGTGTGGGCAGTCTCGCGACGGTTGCGGGTACGCAGGAGCCGATCTATGGGCCCGAGGCCATCCAGACGGTCACCAAGCAGTCGGAGACCACTCCGTACACCGAGTTGACTAAGGACTTCCTGCAATGGCGCGCATACCAGTACACCAACGTGGAGACGCAGACCTTCTACGTCATGCCGGAGAACGGGCCCCTGGTCATGGTCCAGGTCATCTACAGCAATATCGTGTAAGCTTCTAACTCCCCAGTATTGCAAGAGTTTGTAAAGAACTTGGACAAAATGCTGATTCTCCTGGGTGTAACAGCGGCATCCACACCACCGCCCAGTTCAACACCAAGATCTTCAACCCCAAGGGTGACGGCGAGCATGTGTGGCACTCAGACCCGCTGCAGAACTTCATGTTTGACGAGCCTATGTACTCGTTCGGCGCCGATAACTTGTCGCTCACCCTCAACGAGGACGGCTCCGAGTACACCATCAAGTCTACCGTTAACGCCGACAGTCTGGTGGATATCAAGTTCTCCCGCTCAGCCCCCGGGTTCGTCGTCGGTAAGGACGGAACCACGTACTTTGGGACAGACCCCGAGAACCCCTGGGGCTCGATGCGTCACTGCTTCTGGCCTCGCTGTGCCGTCTCGGGCACCATTGCCACCAAGGAGAAGACCTATGATCTGACGGGTCGTGGAACGTACATCATGGCCCTGCAGGGAATGAAGCCGCACCATGCCGGTATGAAGCCCTGTTGATGATGGAATGCCATATTCTATTTTCTCAATAATTTGGAGTACATGCGTGTTGACACAAACCTAGCGGCCCGATGGAACTTCATCAACTTCCAGACGCCGACCTACAGCGCCATCATGATGGAGTACACGACTCCCCCGTCCTACGGCTCGACTAAGGTCAACGTCGGCGGTATCGTCAAGGACGGCTCGATCATCTATGCCGGCTCTACCAACTCGGCCACCCACACGGATTCCGCGCAGGATGCGGATAGCGATTGGCCCGCGCCTACAGCGGCCAAGTGGGAATGGACCGGCAAGACCGCCGACAACCAAGAGGTCACGGCCGAGGTGGATGGCTCGCTCGGCAAGCGACAGGACCGCATTGACGTGATGGCCCATGTGCCGGGCTTCATCAAGTCCATTGCCGGCAGTGTGGCCGGAACCAGACCGTATATTTTCCAGGTAAGTCATGACTCCACGTTTGCATAATATCATTTGCCCAAATTTCTCCCTTTTTCTGTCTTGCATACTAATGCTCTCTCTCTCTCTCTGTATAGTTCTCTCCCGAGGAGAAGCTCTCATTGAAACTCAACATCGGTGGCACCGAGTCCGTCGAGGAGGGCAACATGTTCTCCGAGGCTACTTTCATCTCGTGAACTCAACCACCTGTTTCTTCGTGTCTTCTTCAACCTCTTTTACCCTCCTCTCTTCTCCCACGTAAACAGGACATTTATCCCCTGTGGGGCTCTTTCCTGTTAGCGTTCCTATCTTTTGTTTTGGGTCATTTATTCTTTTATTTTGAGTCTGGAGGGATGTTTGCCTGGACTGCTTCTGCAACCCCCTTTCATGGACTAGATAATACACAGACTGTATACTGGATAATTAATGGTATTCCCCATATTCTGGTGTTTTTGGATAGTTCCTATGTTTTGTTGAGATGTTCTCGTTCCTAATCAGATGGGTATACATGCAGAACTGTCGGAGGGAAGCAGAGATATAAACAAGGTGATAGCCACATCTAGTCTATTTAGTCTCATCAGGGCCCATAGCACATTGTACTAAGTAGCTAATGGAATAAGACAGAAAGTGAGGGGAAAAGAAGGGTCAAAAGAAAATCCCTGAGGGCAAAGGACAAGGAGAATATGCAGAGGGAAACAGACCCGAATCTTAAGGGAACACATTAAAAAGAAATAAAAGAATGGTACAAAGAAAGAGAGAACTAAAATACACATTTGCAAAAATCTGCACAAAAGTAAACAAATAAGTAGTAGGGTAGCCGGCCAGCAGTCTGTGTAAGGTATCACAATCCTCCGACCACAAAAACATCAAATAACAAAACAAAGGATCCATCTAGAGGTGCACAGCCTCAACATCAAATGCCGAAACAACAAAACAAAACAGCTTAAGCATCAACCATCAGCTGCTCGCCCTCGTCCAGGAGATTAGTCAAGCGAGCCAAGTCCGAGATCATCTTGCGGCCGTGGCCTACCAGTAACAACTTCTCGGCGTTGGCAGGGAGACCCAGGTAGGTTGGCGGCTCTCGCTCGGGCAGGTTGTTGACCCACTCGTTGAAATCTCGGAGGCTGGTGCTGGAGGGCAGAGTCAAGAACTCGTCCTTCTCGATGCCCGAGACGAGCTTGTACTCGTCTTCGAAGGCGGTTGGGGTGAGGAAGCTGGTCACCAGGTCCTGAAGCTGCTGGAAGTCGGCGGCGTCATCGATCTTACCGCCGTACATTTCAGCGATGAGGGTGCGCATCATTTCCCAAGGGAGCTTTTGAGGAGCGACGTTGGAGCGGCCTTGGGCGACAGTGTCAACCCAATGGTCAATGATGTAGGCGGAGCATTCGTACTGTATATGGCGATCATAATTAGCATCTTGATTGGGGGCAGGGGCTTATAGATGGTGGGAAAGGGATGTACTCACGTCACTATCATTGAACTCCCAGAAGCCCTTCCATCCTAGACTCGGCGCATAGCGAAGTCGTTCCTGAACCACGGCGTGGAAGAAGCAAAGCAAGACGTAGACACGGGCCTTCTCGACAGGAGCCTTGCTGGCCCGCACGTTCAAGGATGACAGAGAATCCTTCATGTTGGCGCGCACACCAGCGGGCTGCTCGTACATGAGCACGCGCGATGCGCGGATAAGGTTGACCGGGATCTTGGGACTGGACTCCATAGAAAGGAAAAGTCGGAACTCCTTGTGTGGTTTAAGCGATTCCAGTCTCTTCTCAAGACTTTGAAGCCACGAAGGCGCCAGGTGAACGTTCTTGACCAGCACCCAGTTGCCTGCCGCAGCGGCGTTGCTGATGGCTTTGTCGGCACTCTCGAGACCTTCGTTGGAACCCATGGCGATGTTGGCGCAGGTAGCATGGGTACGTTCAACCAGCGCGTCAACCTTGTAACTAGCATCGAAGCCTGGACTTGAGCTGAGGGAAATCGGCATGGTCGCAGAAACTTGGTCAACCACGTCCTTCAGGTCACTGCTGCCTTCGAAAAGTTCGCGGCCGAATACGGCTTCAATGAAGCGCTCAGCCGTGGGAACGAATCGGTCCATGCGACAAAACTTGACAAGAAGCAGGGACCGAAGCAGCTGGTCAAGCTGCGAGGCATTTTCATCCCAAACAGTCGGAACGGCGTTTTCTGCAAGTTCTTCGCCAAAGAATCGGTCCCATTGCTCTTGTGAAACGCTGGGGATGTGTTGCTTGAACAGCGACATGTTGGCCAAATTGTTCAGGACGTGGTCGCGGGCGTCCACAGTGGTTGAAAGATCATGGTCCTCGACGGTCTGGTCCAGGACGCTATCGAGAATAGTCCTGTCCATGGGGAATGGAGTCGCCTGGGCGAGAAGAATCGCAAGAGTGATGCGGTCCTTCTGTACAAGACCCAATGAGGTTCGCTGGTATGTGGTGATGAAAAGATCCCGAATGATGATTTGAACACGTGCGGAATGATCTTTCTCCTGGGCGAGGCGCTTGTTCTGATAGAGGACCGAGTTAAAGATGTCGACGAAGTACTGGAGGGAGAACTGGTAGAAGTGATTGACGTGGTGAAGCTGCTCCAGAACCGCAAAGACAGCACTGCAGGCTCGGGCAATGATGCTGTACTTGTGGGTGATATTCTCAACTTCGGACATCACACCCTCGGTCTCGGACATTTTCTTGGAGATTTCGGCAGCTTCTTTCTTCAGTGTCTCGAGGGTCTCGATGACATTGTCGTCGTCGAGAATGTTACCCCGAGATTCGTTGAGGGCTTGCAGCAGGCGCTTCTCGAGTTGTCGGAGATGGACCTTGAACTCACCTTGCATCTTAACAAGGTTGTTGCGGCGTTCATCAATATCGGGTCGCTCGAACTTCAACACATCGTTGAGAGACTGCGTCTGCAAACTGCTCTGGGTGACCGTGAAGTTGACAAAGGTAGTCCGACTGCACACATCAGGTGGGAACGTAGCGGAAGGATCTCTGGTCGAGAGGAAGAGCCGGAAAGATGGCGAGAAATCGATCTCCTGCTTGCCGAGCTGAATCAGAACACGACCTCCGGTCTTCTGGTATTCCTTGTTGAGAACGTGGTTAAGAATAGGGTCCAAGTGCTCAGCATCCTGGATGAGAATGGGGTTTCCGAAACGCAAGGCGCTCTCCAGCTGCTTGACAAAGGAATCATCCAAGAAGCTCGTAACAGTTAGTTTTCGGTCTTTGCTTTCTTTCTGCAGGAACTCCGTGACACGACCGGACGGGTCGACGATAAGAGGGTATCTGTTAAACCGCTTCAAGACAATGGCATTCTCTGTGCAAAGATCGTCCACAGGAAGAGAGTTCTCTTGCCAGGTCAGGCGCTCATCGGCATTAGACAAGTATTCCGTAATGGGGTTGTGCGGCTTGAAGTTGATGCCTGACTGGGCCAGCTGGTGGACCCAGTCGTCAACCATCGCCTTACGGAACTGCTGATCGTAGAGACCAGCATACGCCAGGAACGCAGCGGCGATGAGAACATCACCGACGAGGGTGCTGATTTGGGTTTCAAAGGACTTGCTGCCTTCCTCCCATCGCTCACGCTCGGATGCCAAGCTGTCGAGAAGGCGAACACTTCGGTCGACCTTGAATTGAACCCGGGACATCTCCGTCTTGATAGCCTGGGTTTCGCTGATGAGGGCGGCATATTCGTTCTTGTAGGTAGCAATACTGCCCTCGAGGCCTTGGATGGTGTTCTCGATAGCCTGGGCTTCGGCCTTGGTTTGCAGAGCTTGCTCTTCGAGCTGATCGACTTCCTCCCGCAGAGGACCAACACGATCCAAAATCTCGGAGTAGTTGACCTGAGCTTCAACCCATTGCACCAACGGACCGCACGCCTTGCTAGCACGGCTGACTCGCTCATAGGTGAAGTCTTCCTTGGACAGGAATTCGTTCTGCATCTTGACTCGGTGGCTGCGTGTCATCTGGCGCTCATTGTCGTAGTTCACAATGCTGGCAATGAAATCATCGCGGCGAACAATACCCTGAATGGTTTTCCAGCTGTCGACCTTGTGACCAAGGAGCGTGCACACGGCCTCCAGCGCAAGTCGAACGCTAGCCGGAGGGTTGCCCATAGATCGAACTTCGGTGAGGTGCTGACGCTTGATATTGCTCACACTCTTCTGTGCTTCCATCACCGCAGGCTCCGCTCTGGCCAGGTCATTCAAGACAACCTCTTTTCGGGTTGCCACTTCCTTCTCTTGTTTCTCCAATGCGGCTTGCACCTCTAAAGAGACCTGCTTCCGCTGCTCCGCCTCTTGCTGATCAGCAACCATGCGCTGCAGCTTCTCGTTTGCCTCGGTGTCCTTCTTCTCCAGCTGCGTCTTCTTCTGGGCGAGACTGCCCCGCAGATCACTGACTTTGTCGACTGTATCACGAAGCTTCTCAAGACCAACATTCAAGTGTCGTTGCTGCTCCTCAAGGTCTTCGCGTTTTTCATTGAACAGCTTAACATACTGGGCAACAAAGTCGAGGTAATGGCGAGGAGTGAGATAAGTGGTCCGACCTTGCTGCTTCTGTAGGCGCTGGTTGAAGCGATGCAAGGAGTAGTGAATGTACACCATAGAGTTGATAACAGTGTCTCTGTGCGATGTTGGAAGAACCAGGTCGCGGTATGCCACAGGGATACTGTCGGGCGAGACGAAATTGGGCTTGTCCAAATCGACTGACTGCGTGAGCTCCGAGCCGACCTGGAACAAGGCTTGATCGGACCAATCGCCCATCCAGTTGAGCACGCAACGGTTGAACAGGGCAGGACTGGTGGCTGCCTTCGATGACAGTCCTTCTTCTGGCGGGTTCATGGTAAACACAACATGCAGGTTCTTGACAATCTGCTGAGTAAACCACTTGTAGAGCTCCTCTTGCGAATCAAGCAGCAGACCCTGGCGCTGGGCTCCCTCTTTACAGGCAGTCATCAGAGAAGAGAACTCATCGCCCTCGAACAGACCGGGGACCTCGGCGTTGGCGAGTAGGGTGTTCATGCGTTCCAGGAAACCAGAGTCAAGGACGTTGGATTCGTCCATGATGAAGCAAATCTTCTCGCCCTTGCATCCTGCCCGACGGAGAACGCTCCTCAGATCGTCGTCGAAATCTTCCGAAGAGTACTTCCCGTGGACCTTGATCTGAAAGACCTTCAAACCGTTCATCCAAGCGACAAAACGAGACAAAGTGGTCTTTCCACTTCCGCTGACACCAATGAGAATCAGGTGACCTTGAGGTTGGCGGAATACCCGGTCAATGCGCAGTGCGTGCTCCAAAACGTCATTGAACAGCACCAGAGGAACATCAACTTCTTCTTCACAGAAAGTCTTTAAGCGCGCCTTGACGAACTCGCGAAGACTCTCTTGCTCAACGGGCACGTAGTTCTTGGAGAGCCAGTTCGAAAAGAGAATCGGGCCCTTCAGTGCCTCCTCATCATTGATCGTAGGGAAATGCTCCAAGGCAATGCGCCGGACAGCGTCAGCGGTCCAAGCCCGCTCTTCTTCGGCCACAAGTCGGTCCTGGAAGAGACGCAAGGCTTCATGGGCCCAAATCCGAACCAAACCTTCAATTGAAAGGCTTTCGAGAGGCTTGATAGCCTCATAGACACCACGCACCCACCGGGTCAACTCACGAGGCGAGTAGACATAGTGGGGCTGAATCTTTGGAGTGAACCTGGATTGGGACTCGATGTAGAATTGAACCATAGCCTTGGTCAGGGCTTCCGAGTAGCCACGCAAAAGGGGAAGGATCTTGAGGACTGCGGAGTTGAACGTGCCATAGATCTGGTTGAGAGAGATCTCGCCAGGGTAGTCGACCATGATCAAAGGCGCGTGGCGCAAGAAACGCTCTCCCATTGCCGTACGGCCGGCGTCTGATGGCGGGTTACAAGCGCCAACGAATTGAATGCGATCCAGTGTCACCCAGGTTTTGTCAGAAGTGCGCCAGAAGCCATTCTGTTCTACAAGCTGTCGCAGGAAAGTGATGGCACGCTGTGTGCCATACCGATCGGGCGCGGGAAGGTTAATTTCGTCACAGAAGATTACAAGCCAACGCCCGATCTGGTTCGGAGACATGACCACACCGTTGAGTGTCTTCTTGTACTCGCAGTACTGCTCAAAGGTCTTGATCAAAAGGTCGGGGGTAGTAGCGCTGGAGAAGTTGAGACCAACAACTTCCATGTTGGGCAGTTTCCTGAGAGCCGCGAAAAGGGTCATGGTTTTACCAGATCCAGGCGGACCGCAAAGCAAGAGAGGCTTGTGCTCTGCGAGCCAAGAGTACAGCACATCCTCATGTCGAACGGTATCCACTGTTGGGATAATAACGTCGGTTTGGGTGATGGAGTGCGTGTTAATGTCGATGGAAGGTACTTGCGACTGCCAGGTCGTCCACTCGGACTTCGGTAGAGTGACGTCAAAATCAATGAGGGACGAGTCTGCCTCCAATGGGAGATCGATGGTTGTCATTCCAGAGACGTATTGTCCAAAGGCTTTGCGGTCTCCAAGCGGACAGTCACCAGTGAAAGACCAGACCATTGCCAGAAGAAGTTTCTTGGAGATGTAGGATCCGATCTGTTCTTGGTCCAGAGGAAAGTCGACATGCTGAACATTGTATTCGAGAACGTTGCGACAGGCCTTGTTCAGCAAGCTGAACAGGGTGTTGAGAGCACGAATGTCCGTGAAATGCATGATATGCTTGTATTTCTGGGCTTCTTCCAGTGCCTGAAGGACAAGGTCATCGGTTCCAAGGAGCTGCTTGAGAATGGTCGAAAGCCCTTCCTGGGTGTCCTGAGTACGGACCGCAGCCGTTCCTGCCGGGGCACTATCGTCATCCAGGTCCTCAAAGGTTTTCGTTCGAAGACTTTCAACGTAGTTGCTGATCATCATGGAAGGAGTGACAGTATCGGCATTGAACCACACCATACCACAACGACTAACAGTGGCGAGCGTGGCATATTTCAAAGTCTCGACTTCAAACATGATGCGAACGTTCGGAGGCAGATTGAGACGCTCTCCGTTGGGAAGAGTCAGTAGTTTGTTGTCATCCAGAACACTGTTCAGGTTTTCAACCCATTCAGGGTCGACATCTCCGTCGAAAACAATCCAGTGTCGTTTACCGTCCTCTCCTCGAAGGTTGTCGACGATCTTTCTGAGAATACCGGTGAAAAGACCATCCGTCCATTCTCGGGTGGTACTGTCAAGGTTACCGTAAAGGGCCTCCTTTGACATGACCTTGGAGTCAATGATGTGCGAGACACCCTCAACACCTTCGATGCGCTGCATCGCCTGAAGAAGGATCTTCCAGGCGGCCGATTTGCCGGATCCAGACTTGCCAACCATCATGACACCATGGTGAATGCTTTGGATCTGGTATAATTGCAGCGCCTTCGTGATCCACATCTCGCTGTCAACAAAGTGCTGTTCACGAGCAATGTCCCGAATTGCCTCTGTAAGCTTCTCGAAGTTGGCAGGCACATAGTCCACGCCAGGGAAGTCTTGCACTTGGATTTCCAGCATCCGTTCAACATCCTCTTGGACGAGCTTAGGAGCAATGGTTTCACGGAGACTCTGGACGATGATCTGGGGCTCAATGACTTCGTCAGGGCCCAGTTCTCCCTCGGCGTTGGCGAGGCGGGTACGCTTGAGACCACCCGAACTAACGAGAACACTCTTCAATGCACGAAGACCGAAGTCGTAGTGCGCCTGCTTGGAAAGCTGTGAGGAACAGTGATCGAAGAATGGCACCGTCTGCTTAGACAAAGGTTTGGCTTGCTTGAAACCCTGGGAGAAGAGCATCACTTCCGCAATAAGCTCCTTGTCGGGCTTGGACATGGCAACACTGCGGAACAGTTTCTTCAAGTTGTCGGGCAAGTTTGATCGTCCAGCGTACCCAGGGTTCATGGTGATGAAGATACCGGTGTTGGGGTTGACGGCAAGCCTTCTTCCAACGAGTTCAATCTGGGACTGCTCATCTTCGCCCTTTCTCAGACCAATCTGGATGTTCTGAATCTGCTGAGAGACGGCAGACAGAATTCTCTCCTCCAGACGGTTAAATTCGTCAAAGCAACCCCAAGCGCCGACCTGGCAAATACCCAGGAAGATACGGCCCATGGCCTGGAAATCGAAGGTGTCATCACAGCAGAAGACGAGGGTAAATCGTCCAAGTTGCAGACCCAGGGCCTTGACTGACTCGGTTTTTCCAGTACCGGCTGGACCATACGGAGAGCCACCAAGTCTCTGGCACAGGGCCTGGGTGAGAGTGAGGAAACAACGGTCCGTGAGTGGCGTGCGGACAAGACGCTCGGGAACACCCAGATACTCGAATCCGTAGTTGAGCTTGGCGTTGGCCATGTGCACGTAGAGACGCTGCAAGAAATCGCCTTCCGGTTGGTAGACGTAGCGCATCTGGAGCAGCCACAGATAATGCGTGGGAGTCGTGGCATTGACTTGGATGAGCTTGGAAATGGTGTCACGTTGATGAACGAACTCCGTGATCATATGCTCACACTTCTTCCTGGTGATGGCGTCCAGTTCGCCAAGAACGGTAGCGGCAAGCAATTCCAGGATCCGGACTTGCGCATCATACAGTGCCGGGAGATTAGAACCGCCATCTTCCAAAGACTTCTGTACTGCATTTGTCCAGACAACCTGGCTGGCAAGGACAACAATTTGGGCAGGGTAGCTGGCGAGGAAGTCATTGAAAGCAGTGCGGTCGACATCAACGGCAGTGTAGAGCGTGTCAAATTGTTCGACAGCCTCGGCAAGGAGTTCCGCCAGAGTTAATTTCATGTTGGTCTCCAGCGCAGAGAGCCAGTCGTTGATTCTGGGGGTCTTGACAAGATTGACTTCTTTCTTCAAACGGACCTCTTCCCCTTCCTTCGAGGTGAACCCAACGATGTTGTTGTCATCATCCATCACAAGACCCGACAATCCAGCAAACATCTTCTTGAAATGCTTAGCAACGCGGAAGATGTCATTGCTGTTACCAATGATCTCCAGCAAGTCTTCGTCTCCAACAAAGTAGAAGCGAGGGAAAGAGACACGCTCACGCTCGAGATATTCACCAAGAGCTTTCTGGATTTTGTTAAGCAGGTCGGCCAATCTCTCGAGAGACTTTTGCACCCCGTTGATGGCAAGCACATCCAGAATATACGGCGACTTGTAAACCTTCTTCATGACAGCGAAGAACTCGGAATTGATGTTCTGGAAACGGCCCGATTCAAGAGGCAAAAGGTGCTTGATGTCAGCGTTTCCGGTGAAGACACCTTCAAGGTAAACCCATTGTCGCTGAACATCGATCCAGACATCGAAGAGAACATGCACTCTGTTCAATTTGTCTTCCCAGGAGGCGGCCTCTTCTTCGAACTCTTTGTAGTACGGTGAGTGCCTCATGGCTTGGAGAGAGTTCAAGTTCTCGCTGCACTTGGCAAAGAGGTCGTCGAAGCCACGGATAAGACGGCACTTGTTCTGGTAGTTTACCAGGTCCAAGGAATAGTTCTGCCATGTCTCACGAACGGATTTCAGGAACTCCTCCAATGCCATTTCACCCTGAGCCTGGGCAATGATGTTGCGGATGACGGTCTCGCTGGCTGCAAGCTGCAAATCCCAGACATCGCCCAGTGTAAGAGACACAAGAGAGAATCTTTTTCCAGGTCTCAGGGATTTATAGATCTTTTGCCAGTGTCGTTCCTTGACAGCCTCAGACTTCATGTCAGAGAGAAGGGAATTGACCTTCAGCAGCTGCCGAAGAACGTTTTGGATGTGCTCAAATGCAGCGTATTGTCGCATTCGGCTCGGCATCTCCTTGGTCATCTTGATCAGACCGTCAAGAGCTTGACGAAGCTTCCTTGGCTGCACGCTAGTCCACAGCCCATCTCGAAGATCATTGAGACTCTTCCAGATAGTGGACAGCGCGGCCCAGACAGACATAAAGTCCTGGACCTCCTCAAGAATGGCGGGAAGCGAGGACTCGGCGCTAGCAGGAAGGTCGAGAGCCTCCTTCGCCTTGGACACCATTTCAAACTCAGACTGGAGCGACTCAAGGCGCGACTGGAAGGAGCTCAGTGTTCGGGATGCTTCATCGGGAGGAATGGTTCCGGAGACTGGCTTCTCCTCGTTCCATTGAGCAATGACTTCAGCAACCTTGTCGCTGATGACACGGTCTTCAGCCGTGATCTTCGCGCGCAAGCCTTCGGTCTGGTCTTGAACAATCTTGCTCTTGCGGGCGAGCAACTCGTTCAGTGCCGCCCATTCTCCATCGACATTTTCAACGTGAAGCCAGTCGCTAGGGAATTGGTAGCGTTGGCGGGAGAGGGTAGTTTGACCTTGGCGGAAGAGGTCAACTTCTGGCTCCCAAACACGGGTTTTGCGCTTGCATTGCTGGACAATCGTAATGAAAGACACTGCGTGTGCTGTTGAGGAGGCCTCCAGAGTCTGCCCCTCCAAATCGCGGCGTGCAGAGGCGATTTCAGAGTGGACTTCTCTCATACGACCACCAAGCTTCGCGCCGAATTTCAAGAGAATTTCATGCTGCCACTGGTCATATTTGGCATTCACCTTGGTCTGGACTTGTTCATAGTCGATTCTAATGTTGCCGAACGATCGACTAACTTCGGATGTATCAAATGTAGCCCGACTCTTGCGAATCTCCTGGAGCAGCTGGAGCCATTGGGACAAGTCGTCACCCAAAATATCGTACACCTGCTCGGACTGCAGATCCCAAAGCGACTGGAACTGCAACCACTTGTCGACGTACTCCGAGACTTCCTTAATTCTGGTTTCAACAACACCATAAACTTGGTTGAGCTCTTGGGTGCAATGTTGCGGAAGATCGGCGAAACAGGCCTCGGACTGGCGAACTTTCTGCACCTCGATGGAGATTTGATAGCGGGTCGATTTGATCTTCTCCAGATTACAGATCACTCCCAGCCAGGTGTCGAAGTGCGAGAACCAGCTTGCACGAGCGAATTGCAGAGGCGGATCGAGGTGGAGAACCTGGTTCTGCATGGAAATCTCATGGAAAAGCTCCGGGAATGCAATGTTGGAGGTTATACCGTCTGAGTCACCGCTGCCAAGTTGAATCTGAGTGACTCCCGGCGGGTTGTTCCGGGCTTCCTGGAAGGTGCTGATCCAGCCGCGAATGGCACGATCAAGTCGCTCGCGAAGAATGTTCTCAATCCTATTGTTGAGCTGAGAAACCCAATAACCAAGGTTGACATAGTTTTCAAGATTGAGCTTATCCACGGCAACCTGGATGGTGTCTAAGCGTTGCCTGAAGGATGCGGCATCGTACGGACACGTTCTAAGCTCAAGTATGGATTTCTCAATACTTTCGTTGATTGAAGCCAGGGTAGCGGTCTTGGACTGGAGAACAGATGCCGAGTTGGCAAAGTCACGGACGAACTGAACATGCTTGCTTTCGGTACGACTAGGCATCGCGGAATCAATGGCCCCATTTGCCAGAGCAGATTGCTTGACATGGAGCTCATAAGAATGGACAAATGACTCCCACCGGAGAGGAACACCCTTCGCGACCATGTCCTGAGCCTCATTCAGGTACCCATTCAGCAACATATTAACACCAACCATCATGCTGATACTGCGGTTTGTCTGCTGAAGAGTTCGGACGCTTTCCATCAAACTGATGGCATAGGGATACACGCGTTTGGCCTCCTTCGAGATATTGCTGACAGCGTGAGGGACTTGGAAGTTCAACCAAATGAGGTTGCGGACCTCCTTGAACAGGGCAATGATCTGAGCGTCGAAGTTGACAGCCAGCTCTAGTTTGTTTCCTGCGGCACGATTGCGCAAAACATGGAAGAGTCGTCCCGAGATTGTAATATGCCGTTGCTGAACATCGTAGAGCCACGACTCGAAGATAGGCCGCGTGTCGAGCTTCTTGCGGAACAGGTTGCCCTCGGATTGCAGTTTCTGGCCTTCAGTGTGCAAATGCCAGTCTTCTCCAAGCACATTCTCAACTTTGCGCATGTAGCCATCGAGTTGCCGCTCAATTTGCCGAGCCCAGATAATAGCACCGGAGACAGGCGGAAGATCTCGTAACTGGGCCATTGCATGTGCCTCTGAGTGGCCGTACTGCTGCTTGAAACGTTCGTGCAGAGCAGAAATGTCACGTTTCACATTGTCGATAAGCTGTGTCTGGTATTCACCAATGGCTCCTCGAATCTTTGGGCGGACAAGAAGAGCGTTGAATTTGGAGAACACCCGGAACATCTCGTTGGCATTCTTAGCTGTAGCAAGGCGATCCCGCAAGCGTGCAATGATGGAATTCTCCACGCGCGAGGTGCGTTCACTGTAAGTGATCTCTGCTTGTTCCCAGGTTCGAGATCCCTCTGGCGAAACATCAAGCACATCCACGCTCTTGAGAGCTGCATAGGCGTGTGCGACCTCTTCCACGGCATCGACATCGCCAATTTCTTCCACGATGACGGCTCCATCAGAGTCAACCCCAGGCCCTGCCTCGGCAGACGAACTCTTCGGACCAAGAACATTGATGATGGTTTTCTGGAGCTGCTCATGGTTAACCCGAAAGGTGTCGATGTACTTCAACCGTTCACGAGTCATGTCGTGTCGCGCATTGATCTTGATTGGAATGAACTTTTCGTTCCGACGCCGCGTAGAATCACGCGCAACGTTGGTGAATTCTTTTAAGTTCTCGTCCCAAGTTCGCCAGATGGCTTGGGCGATCTTCATCAACGACCGGAACTCGCGGTAATCCAGGTGGAGAACGGTACGGCCATTGATGAGGTCGTGGATCTTCTTGTCCAAGTCTCCCGAAATGGCTTCGACAAGCGAAAGTGCCCGCTTGATAGGGTAGGGGCAAATCTTCAGCTTCTTGTTAAGGTGACCGAAGATCAGATTCAACGACTCTTGGACCTTCTGCAGAGAAGTGGCCGACAGCAGCTCATCAAGTGGAAAGTCTCGCATCAGCTGGTTGTACTTTTGGACCAACTCGGTGGCATCTTTCAGCCCGGTGTCCGCGACAAAGCTGAGAGTCGGCTGGTACCGCTTGGCGTGGCGGAGGATGTCCATGGTCAATTTCACACCATCGCTCTGCAGCTGGGCATCAATTCCCTCCAGAGCGGACTCCATTGACAACCAGAAATTGACCTCCGGGGATGCCGATTCACTGTCAGGATCACGGGACATCTTGGTGATGGTCTGAATGGACCTGATCCACCCGTTCACAGTGTTTTGGATGCTGTTCGTGAAAGCGCTGCTCTCCAGAACCTGTGACGGGATCAGCTCCACCGAAGCGCGGATGCCCCGTGTTTCGGAATCTTTCAACGCAGCCTGAACCACATCATGGAGCGGGAGATTCAGAGCCGGGATTTCCACGTTTTGCTGGAGGTGCATGAGACCCAGCTCCAACTCCGCAAACTTCTTCTTAGTCCCTGGAATACCCGTCTTTGCCTCGGTGTCTGCTCTCGGTTTCGCGCCGGCGACCGTTTCTTGGTTGCGGGTGTACGCTTCGAAGTAGGGACTGAGACCGTGATGTACCAGCAGGTGTAGGATCTGATACGGCGACATTGAAGTACCCTGCTGAGCGGGGGCATTGTTGAGAGAGGCGAGTCCAGGGAGGTTCATTACTTGAATCTGCGATGCCATCGAGAGGGCCGGGTCGATGGGGGCAGGGCGTTTAATGAAGGCGACCGAGGCAACGGTCGTGGAAGCGGAGGAGATCTCGGAGGACAGGTTATAGACATATTGTACTACCGATTCTGAGAAGAAGAGATGATCAGTACACAAACGGGCGATGACCCCAATGCATCAGACCAACGAACCTTGACCCTCAGTCTCACCGTTGGTCTCTTCGGCGGCCACGATGTCCTTCTGCACATACAGAGCCACCTGAGGCTCTGACGCAAACCGCGTGCATCGCTGCACCGTATCATTATACCTAGCATTCGAGAGCAAGCTCCCAGCGCTTTCCAGCTCGGACTTCGGCGCACCCAGTGTCACCTGGAGCACTTCCATCAGGTACTGAATCACCGCGCCGGAGTCAACCAGAGTAGTCGCATCTGGCGTTGACACGCCATTTGGCGTCCCTGGGGAGGCGACCTCCATATTTCCGAATTTATGGTGAAGAATGCAAAGAAATCATCGATGGGTTGGATTCGGGTGGTGCGATCGGCGTGGGAAAGATGCAATGTTGACGGAGATCGCGTCGGGCCACAATCAAGCTATGTAGAAGGCGGGCACAAGGCAGGCAAGAGCTGAAGGGTGGGCGTGGGGGAGTGTAGATTAATTAAAGGAACAGCCTTGGAAAGAGAAAGGAGAAAAACAGTCAAGCCCGGGCCCTTAAATCGATATCGCAGGTTGACAGATAAAACAAAAAGATACGCGGCGCGGGAGTTTCCTACTTCAGGGGATACGCGCTAGTGCCCAATCGGGCTAGAGTATTCATGATTCACGTGATATGTGCCTGACCCTGACATTGCTTCTCCCCGGCTCTTTCCACCCCCATCCATGGCTCTCAAACCGCCGTCCCAATCTCCAGATCCTCTTCCGTCTCCTTGCAGTCACAATGGTATTTTGCGCGGAACTCCAACCGCAGCAGCCCGTCAATGACCCACAACGCCTTCTCACTGGCCTTGACTTTGGCATATCGACTAGACGATGCCACGGCCTGGGCAATGGACTCACCGTGCACCATCACAGCGGCGAGAACGCTAACAGGCTCTCCGTCTGCCGTCGGTATCTCGCCGGACTTGACACAGAAGTTGGTGCATCCGTAGAGATTGGTCAGCCGCGAGTGGAGATATGTCTATAGACCTGATCAGTGTCTGCGTGGCGAACCAGAGAGAAAACACCTTACTGTCGGATGCCGGTTGGCAAACGTATCGTAAATTGACATGTCGTGGAAGTACGGCTTGATGTGTGCGTCGAAGAAAGCCTGGATCACCGTGAAATCAAAGTCCGAGTCCACAAAGATGGCGGCAAGATAGGCCTCAAGCATGTCAGGAAGACACTATAACCAGGGTCCCGTTAGCTTGGTTCGAGCTGTTCACATCATTATTGCCATGGAATTACCTTTGGGGAGTCCTTGGTGGCAAGCCAATAGTCCATTGCCCCGTCGCTTTCGGCCTCGGCGAGTTGTATATCTTCAGCACAGTGGGTGATCTGTGACTGGATGGGGTTGCTGAAATGCTGTAAGTGTGTATGGAATCCTAACTTCACAGCCAGTGCTCCAAGGAACTTGTTGGACACCATTGCCATCTGATTTTCGTCAATGAGTAGTCGATATATCATTATCACTAACCCACTTACCTTGTGTTCAGTGAGCCACTGGGGATCTTTGTCGGGGAACCGGTGAAACAAATCTTCAACGCACACCATTTCCAGCAGCGCATCCCCCAAGAACTCCAGTCGTTGATAGCAGGGTACCTTGGCCCATGCCGCAGGATAAGAAGGGTGAGTGAAAGCAGATCGCAGGAGACGGGGATACCGGAAGCGATAACCCAATTTTTCAAAGATTTTCTGTGCGAGGTCTGCTTCGGCGCCATCGGCCGCTTCGGTCTGGTATTGCGGAAGTGAATAGGCTGAGCGGTAGTCCTTCCACGAGGTTGCAGTATGGTCTTCATGGTCCACAAAAATAGTGACTGCCTTGACAGCCATATCGAAACGGTGCCCACTGCCGGTTGAAAAGATGGATGCTCCGATCAATGCCTCACAGACATCGGCAATAGTCTTTTCGGCAAGGGCGTGCTTGCTCTCACTAATGAAGTATCTTGCAGGATTTCGGCCACGGAGGAGCTGAAGTCCCGGAGGAAACCATGTGTTTCTATAATGCCATGTTAGTTGGGCCATTACTCGAGTTTACCACCACCTTTGAGTTAGGGCTAGAGTAAGAGGGAACATACCGCGAGAAGCCGCGACTGCGAATGTATTCATATACACCCAGCTTAGTCGCAGCATTGAACAAGTTCTTGTTGCAGATGAGACACATCCGACTGACGTGAAAGTCATACTCGTCATCATTAGGCCTTTGGGAGAAAAGGGCGATCGATGTGGCCATCTTCAGGAAGCTGTCGCCTAAGAATTCAAAGCGCTCGTAGTTCTTCCCCATGCCTCGCTGGACGTGAATTTGCAAGGATCTGTGTTCTTCGGAACTGTCGGTGTCTTTGGTGAAGGCCTCCAGTGCATATTCAGGCTTGATATCAAGACCCAAAAGCTCGCAGCCTTCTAAAATGATCAAATACGACTCCAATCTGCTGATGATGGCCGGAAAGGCCAAGCACGATGCGACTGTCGGCAGAGGGATCTAATTCGGGAGTCAGCAATTCGTAAACTAAAAGAAGAAAAGAGTGCCAATATTGGGATATGACTGACAGACGAGAGCGTCAGGGGCTGAGGGCAGATGACACATTTCGCGTGCTTTGAGTGTTCTTCATCAACCGCCTTGTCGAGGAAGTTCCTTCGAAGACAAATCTGCTCTGCCCGCAAGACCGGCTGATCCTTTTCGTACCGTTCCAAGAACTTTTCCCGGGAATTTTTGGAAAGACTCAAGGTATAATTCAAGATGTCCTGCATGTTCTTGCGAGGCGCTACATCAGATGGAGGAGGGTCTGAGGCACGCAGATTGTAGTCGATGGCAACCGGGAAATAGCGGTATTTCCCAGACCAGTCGTCATACATGAACCGACTGAGTAGAGACTGTGGATTCATATCCGCAGACCATTTTTGTTCAGGGTTTTGATGGACACGGTGCAGCGAGTCCCAGTCAATCATGCTGTCTGGACTAGACGATTTGGCGGCCTCGACATCTTCCCGAACTGGGGCAATCCAATAGGGAAACTTCTCGGGCTCCCGCTCATAAGTCTTGTGGAACACATGGTTGAGAACAGAAACCGTGAATGTTGTCAAGCTGTCCAATTCCCGAACTGCTACTGGCAATTCCTTGTCGATGCACATGGTCTCGATGTCAGTCTCGATGTCCCTTTCCAGATAGACTGGGAATGTTGGGAATTCTGGAAGTCTTTCTCGGGTCAGCAGTGCTATCTTCCCATGCTCTCGTGGGAGAGGTTCTGCTGGGGCAAAAGTGATGATTGTCACGTAAAGCAGAGATGGGATAACGCCTTGCCCTCGAGCCCAGATTGATGGCTTGCATCGCATTTTGTATTGATTCGACTTCTTGGATGTAATTGCCAGCTTGGCATTGCGCATTGCAGGCAGCCTTTTGTGGTAAATGGATCTAAAATGCTCGTCCAACAATCCGTTCTTTCGAAGCAAAAGACAAGCGTCAAATGCAGCAGACTGTTTCGCGACGCATTTCCTCGATGCTGGACCTCCGATCACGCCTCGGATAGGCGACTTTTCCGGTAGAATGATCTCGTAGGTGAATTTGTCGCCCGCCGCGATGACGAAGTAGCTGACTTGAGCCGAGACATCGTTTTCGTATCGCTGCAAGTCAGCATTGGTTAGCTTATAATCAACCAATTCAGTACTCCAGTTAACACCTACGAGTGAATGAGCATAGCGGTGGAGGACATCAACCGCATGACGATAGGTCAACTTTGCTCCGCTAGATGGGATCGTGTAGATCCTGGCTCCTTCTCCCTCTCCCTTCCGAAGACTTGCGTCGAGGTCCTCATCGTTGCCGTGGAGCAGCCGATCTTCAGGTAGGGCCTTGCAGAACTTTTGCATGAGGTTCTAGCAATCTTCAGTTAATTGACCCCAGCAATGACGATCTTCAGATGATACATACCTCATCTCGCCAAACATCCTGCAATCGTGCTTGATGGTCCTCGTTGCCAAATTCGACCATGCTCGCGTACTGCAAGTGGCACATTAGCTATCAATGGAATTATTGTCCACGGGGAGAGATGCTGACTACGGAGTCGACATGTCTTGCACGTCCTCGACTCTGCACGTATTGAATGAGCGTGTCGCAAAGATTGAACCTTGCTTAATCAGTAAAGATGGCCAGTAATTAAGTGAATCAGACTGCTCACCTCACTACGAGATTGCAATTAGGGATGTCGAGGCCTTCTTCGGCGACCGATGTTGCAAACTGCTTCCAATTAGCCACCCCTGCAGACTAGTTAACAGTTACAAAATATCTTACCAGGCAATTGATTTCACCCTGGCGAAACTTGACCAGGGAAAGGAATTGGTGACGGAGTGAAATGTTTGATCCCATGGCATCGTGGTTTTTAACCCCGACGAGCACGCCTGGGCGAAGACCGGGAACTCGCAGAGTCTCGCACAACTTCTGCAGAAGCTTTGCCGTATTGCGCCGCTCGGCAAAAACAATGCATTTGGTTTCCTTTGAGCCACCAAAGTGCTTTCTCAAGTTCTCAAGGAGAACTTCCACCCTTGGACTCAACTGACCTGGGGCAAGAGGATCGTTGAAAACATGAGCCTTGATCTCCTCCCCGGCCTCTTTGATCCGAGTGATTTCGTTGGCAGAGGCGTTGGCGGCTTGAAGACGACAATTGGATTCTTTGCACATGGCACCCTCGAGTTTGGGGAGTACATCATCGCTCAACGCGTAAACCCAGACTTGGTCTGCACACCATTTTCCGAGTTCCGAGCTGGCATACAAAGAAAATCGAAAGACAGGCTCAAGGGCTCTGATGTCCCCAAATTTGGCCAAAAGGCTATCATATAGTGCTGTTGGCGAGGGATGGCTGAGTTTCTTGTAGATCCATGTTTCCTCGGTTGGTTTCCTCACAATCTGTCGCAAGGCGTCTAGCTTCGATGTTGTTGCAATCTGACTGTCCAGGTGCCTTTCTAGTTGCCTATTTTGTGTCAGCAAATAACACAAATAACAATAAAAACCCATCGAATCCTGGGATATCTCGAAACTCACGTTGCCGCCTCCACGATATCTCTCTTGGCATCAATTGGGGAGGCTGTCATCCCAAAGATCCTCGGCCGTTTTGACTGTTGTGTCCACAGGTACGATTCTCGAACAATGCTGGAAGATTATTAGTTTCATCCCAGGCTCACGTTGAAACTGAATATCACTGACCATGCATAGGGATGGTCCTTCTTGGTGTGGTGGGCCTCATCGAAGATCAACAGATTGATCTGATCCATCCGCACGAATGCATTCAATAAACACTGGTTCAGGATCTCTGCTGTGCACACAATCACCATGTTCTTGCTGAGGTGCTCGTCCCAGGTCTGCTTATCCCAGAGGTCAGTCCCCATGGCGCCGAAGAAGTGGGCGACATTTTGGTCGATATTGTTGCGCAAGACTGCCGCCTGCTGGAACACGAGGGTGACGCTGTCCACCTGGATATACTGGTTAGTATCTGTAGGCCTCAGATTGAGGTAACATATATATACCAAGAAAAAGGAAACTCGGTGAGCCTTGCCATTTGCTCGGTCCACCAGCTCCGTCTTGATGACATGCTTCAGCAGAAGCACTGCTATCAAGGTTTTCCCCGAGCCTAGTATCCAGTAAGTTCCATCACTTGCACCCATGGCCATTAGATGCTCAATATACCTGTATCAAGTACCGCGATTGTGTTGCGGGCTTTTGCCCTCTCAAACAACTCGATCTGGTACTCACGGGGGTCCAAAGCACCTGCCCCAATGTCCTTCTTAGCAATCAGACGAGCTGTTGAAAGTTCAGAATCAGGGACTGTGGGTAGAGGGGCTCCCGCCGTCTGGCTAGGTTCAGTTGTGGCATGTTTTGTGAGCCTGTGAACCAGTGACAAGTCAGTATTGTACAAGAAGTATGAGATCACGTGCGGACTCACAGGGCTTCAAATTGAGCATTCTGGAGTCGGTGGCGCTGGGTAACCTCCAGATGAGGTGATATCTCTTGATCATCCTCATCTGAATCCTCTGATACACTGGCTGCGGTGACTTCGGCTTCACCTTTTGGGGCCATGATGTTCGGCGGCGATTTGGTCGGGGGCGGCCCATCACCTGCCGCAAGCTGCTTTTGGGCGGGCTCCTGCACGGCTTTCCTCATGATTAAGAAGAAAGCCATAACAAGGCCCCAGAGAATTTGAACGTAATGTAACATAGGGGCGATCTGGGTTTGAGTTGAAAAGAGAGGTGGGTGAAGAAGGATAGAAGGACAGGCACCGGGGTAAACAAAATGTCAGCGTAACGCAGCCATCCAAACGAGTTCTCGTTTAGTCCGTTTGTCTGGGACCTTATAAGCTGCCTATAAAATTCTTCAAATTCACTGGTCATCTCAGATTTTCGAATTGACCCCTTGAATGCAAGCAATGGCGAATATATGGATTCGATGCTCTCGATCTACATAGGTACCTCTATATAGGGGATTTCTCCTCCCGGGTGGGGCTTTCCTATCTTAGCTGCCACCGCTTTCATGAGGGCGCTCAGGCTCATGCTCACTGAGTAATTTTCAGTCCGGGCTCCGGCTCAGTGAGCTCGCTCAGTGGCATCACATGACAGATCACTGATCCCCAATGAGCACTCAGTGAGCGCTCATTGGGTGCTCACTGATTACTCAGAGGCATTTATTGAGCACCCAGTCCGCACTCAGTCTAAACCCAAAGAAGCACCTGGCCCCACCGTGCCGTTTATTTTGTGAGCTACTTATTGATGGCCCTAATCATGCCCTCAATTTCAATCATGCCCTCAATTTCTTGAAGCGCTTCCTCCTACATTTCCCCCGCCCCACAAGAACGCGTTGGAACGGAGTGACGCAATAACGGAAACCATAGGTTTCATCATGCGGTGGCGCAAAAGAAAATTTCGTTTTGGTTACTTCTCCAGAGTTGTCCATGTGTAAAAGTTCAGATATAAATTGGAGCTGTATTCCACTTCCGGACCATCCACACAGCTTGCCTTCACCCTCGCCTTCATTGCTTCGTCTCTCAATTCTTTCTTAGCATTTCCTTGGGTATTCGCTCAGTCATGGGTAGGAGAATATTCTTTGCTCAACAAGACAAGGTCGCCAAAGAGAAACGCCGCAAACATTTGGAGCAAAGCGGTTATGTTTTCGGAGCGCATGCAAATGAAGATGCCATTCGAGATAAGGACAAGAGGATACCTAAGACCAAGAGGATGTACCGGCAATATGCCGAACTTTGGAAGGAGTAAGGTCCTACTCAACTGTGATGCGAACAACCCCAAGGGAAAACTGACCTGCTTCTAGCTTCCTTGAACAAAACGGGATACGAGGCTATGACAATGGTCCGGGTTCCAAGGTTCCAGATCATCAGCTCATCAAGGAGTTTCTCCGTTGGTACATTCATTCCACCCGAGGACGACTAAGTAAAAATGGGCGACCAGTGGTGAAGTCAGTTTTGTCGTGTGCAGAGCGTTTTTTTAGTGGCCTCGAAGAGGAAATGCAAATTAGCGTTGGGCTGGAGGATCGGAAAGAAATATTCAACGTGAGTCTGGATCCCCCCTAACAAAATTTCTCATTCCAGAGCAGGAGTTAGCGCTAAACACAAAGCAGTGGATCCAAAGGTCATTGACAGCAGAAGGAACCATTAAGAAAATCAATTCTCTAAACAAAAGCTTTACTAGGAAGGATTTCATCAGAACAGTCTCATCTCTGTGGCAGACCGATCATCACCGCTTTATACCGGGATTGCTCAAAGTCATCATCTTGCTGGCTCTTCAACTATATCTCTTCACTAGAGCGAGAATTGGAGCTTTTATACCTTCCCATGAAGATAAAATACAAAGAGGTCTTCGATACAAGGTAAGGACACTTCAGTAATATAGTTAATATTTGTGATTAATTCTTGTCATAGCACATCGATCTAGTTTTGTTCCTATCCTCCACAGTACCTTGGAAGGTAGAATAGAGAGTCAATCAAGTGTGGCTCAAAAATAATCGGGACCTAAATTACACGGTGTAAGATTACTTTTCTCGAACTCACCTAAACTATGCAGACTAGAATTGAGAGCTGATTTTCCGATTGTTTCAGATTTGGCATTGGGATCCGTGATACCAAGAGACCATAATTCGCAGCTAGGTATATTCTTCTGGCCCTTGCGCTTGAGTATGGTGCCCTTTTTGGCATAAACACCGTGGAGGACCTAGCCTAGTATAACCTTTCAAACGGGCCGATTCCGTTACGCTGGAAAGACGAATATCTGGAAAAGCCTATCCTCAGAAATATCATAGCTAATGGACCTCAAGATATTCCCTTTACCAAGGACGCGTTTAGAGAATACCTGCGTTAAATACTTGCTGCTGCTGGATATACCGAGAGACTAAAAGTTCATAAGATTCGAAAGTATCTTGGAAAAAAAATTGAAGGTGAGCTTTTGGAGAATTGTAGCCTGCAGAGCTAATTCGCTAATACCTAGTACAGAAAAAAAATATAGATCTGTGTTGGTCTCGCAAATCTATGGACATAAAGGACCAGGAACATATCCAAAGGACTATTTATTACACTGTTCGTCGATTGATACAGTCTTAGCTGTGCTGGACGAGAAGGAGTAATCGGATCATATCGAGTACTTCTAAGGGTTTGACCGGTTCTATGAACCTGGATTGCTAGGCGAACTACCTACGTAAATTGAAGAGAGTATTCTAGAGAAGCCAGAACTAGTGGAGATCAGAAGCCGGATCGAGTATCTTGAATCCTAGAACCACGACAAGGAGCTTATAAAGGCTGAGAGAATAGACTATAGAAAGGTCTTGGTTCGATATCGCCTTGTTGAACTAAAAGAATATCAGACCCGCTGGGTCCAGGAAAGACGAGACCAAAAAATCCTTAATAGGGGAAAAGAAGAGCCGATAGTTGTTAGTAATGACGTTTCCACACAAGCTCAAGCCTTGGTGATGCCCGAGATTTCCCGAATCGCAACGTTGATGTCTTGTACCAAAGAGCTTTCTTTTGACGAGATGCTTCTTTTTGTGCAAGATCTAAAAACTCAATGTTCCTGTGACTTCGGCGTGGTTTACCTTCCAAGTGAAAACCCTATTCACGGTCTCTGCCCCGCGAGAAGTTGTCAAAAAGAGATTGCAAGGTGAGCTTTCTAGTCGCATAATGATGACACTATATACTAACTTTGTAAGCCTAAAAAAATCCGAAAGAAGTGCCCACATTCATGAATACGTTCGGCGTGAGATGGCACTTGGCCTTCAAGTTTCGGAATCAGAGATACGCTTTTGTTACGAGTGTATGAAATGGTTTCCGTCAGGTCAATAGCGAGATCATTGTATATCATATCTCTAGTCCTGGAGAACCCAACACTGCGAAGTGATCATATACCGCCACACGGTCATTCGACCCGGCTACTGCCCCTTTTGCGTACCAAAAACGGACCTTCTCCCCGAAGATCGGTTATAGTATTGGCTGCGAACTGATAATCTAAAGCGGCACATTGAAGAAGAGCATTTACCTGAGATACAGTGGCCCACAACAAAGCCTATTTGCGGCTGCACCCAAACTTTTGAGAACGATCATGGCCTTCGACATCATTTGCACGACATACATGGGTTAAACAAAGCTATATGGCTAAATCCAAAGCCTCCGAGGAAGAGGAAGCGTGTCTGCAAGGCGGAACTGCAAACAGAGCCAGGGGAGTGCCCTAAGAAACCCCGCTTTTACCGTTATCCGGCCCCGCGTCACGAACATGAGCACCAACTGTCAGACAAAATATTTTTGCCCGTCCCCACATTGCATTCGTTCGTTGCAGAACATCCAGATCAATATTACTGTTCGAGTCTCCGTGGCAGCTCCAGTGAAGGCAGCAAAAGCAGCTCAGTTGTGTCTTGCTTATCCGCAGCAAGTTCTCCGCTCAGCTCTCGGCCAACAACCCCCGGACTGGAAGTGATTGACCCAAGAATCCTCGAGCCTTCTGAGATTGACAAAGAGCAAGGACGTCAGCCTTATGATCAAATCTCTATGCAGCCGAACCCCCTTAAAATCTCTCTGGATAAGCAAGAGATCAAAATCAAACCATTCGGTGATGCGACAGGTTCACAATCTCCCGTTCAAAGCCTTTCCGTTCAACCCAATATTGGTCTTGAGATCAACGATCCTCGGACTCTCGACCCTTCTGATCTCCACGCAGAGGGTGCACGCCGACCTTGTGATCACGTTGCCAGCCAGCTGAATTCACTCATCCTCTGTCCAAGTGAGGTTGAGACTAAATCAGTATCACTCAGTGGCACGACACAGGCGGAATACTCCCCTACATGCTTTATCACCAGCGAAGCGAACGAGCAGCAGAAAGTTTTGCGAGAAGATTGTCCCACGTCCACGTCAGCCAGCGATGAAACTGTTCCTGCGGAACATGAATACGAGTATCCCATCCATAACCAGATAGAAGTCGGTGGTGAAAACCTGCCTCATTTCGATGAAGCCCCTGTCACCAGATCTCGTGGACGCCTGATTAGAGCGAAGGCAAGATCACAGCCGCACCATCCAGATCACAAGCTGCGCCAGAGGCTCAATACAAAGGAGACACAAAAGCTGCGTCAACTCAAAAGCCAAAATCTGACTCTGAGGCAGCGGTCGATGGGTGTGGAGGGGCCGTGGCGGGGTGTATATGTGTTTCGTGTAATATACGGTACTATATGGCACACATGCGTCCTGGAAAGAAAAGGAATCTATTCTTCGCAAAGGACGATTTACAGCTTAGCCAATTTAAGATTAGGGTGGTTTACGATACGGGCCGAGAAACAAAGCGCGTGTGTCCAAGGGGGAATCTGTTTTCGACTTTCACTGTAATGTGACCGTGCTGTAGCATTGCCGAGAGACGCTGCGAAGTAGCTGAATTTGCTTGCTTGAGGTGGTGGATGAGCAAGAGGGGGTGCTCAAGTGGGAATTCACCGTCTGGGTTGTTCATATTTTCAGCATATTTGTCGAGCTCTGGGAGGAAATGGAAAAGGATATTTTGCTCGATCTAGACCCACGTCAGCGATCTTCTTGGAGATAATACTGTCTCAATTACCGATGGCTTGTCCTCCATTAGGCTAATGGCTTTGATATCGTGCAGCACCACGCGCAGGATGTCGCGCAAGCCTTCTGACTTAATGTCTATGTTCGGCGTCACTTCCTCGGCATTTCGTTCTAATTTATATCATTAGCATGCTCTCGGTCCGCCAAGCAAGACGTTACGTACCCAAACGTTCGCGGACAACGAATGCATATTCAGCAAAGTTTGTCTGGATCACCGCTGGCCTCCGCCGATTCAGTGATCTTGTATTTACCTGCTTCTTTGTCCCAGCTATACCCACGTCAGAAAATCTCTGAAGCGAAACCGGAAGGGAGGCAGTGGCCCATACGTTTCCAAAACTGTTTTGTATTGGGATTTGGATGCCCATTTCTCAAACCTCTCGAAATGACCCGGCGTTGTACAGATCGGACTTTCGAGATTAAGTCCATCCGCCTCCTCATTGCTGGGAGAGCAAGACTGATGTGGCTCAGTTTCCATGGAGAGTTTGGCTGATGCGTGTTCCAGCAACCGCTTCAGTGGAACCATGTCCAGACCTGGTGCGGACTGATCCTGGGTGACAGGAGTGTTTGGAAGTTCTTCATTGGTGAAATCCAGTAGCAATCTCTCAAGAAACACACCAAAGAAATGCTTCAGATCTTTCACAACAGCCTGAGACGCGGCTGTCACCCATGTTGGACTATTCGGGGGTGTGAAGCCTTCATGACAGAACAAACTCTTATTCGATGCCATGTTGTGCTCGGAAGGTATATTTGGGCAATTCTGAGCGGGTGCCATGTTGTTTGACCCAACAGATAGAAATAGTTTGTACAATGGAGAAAAGGGGTTGCATCAGCAGACCCAAATACTGAGGAATATGCTGTTCCAAGAGATTGGAAAGAAAGTGATGAACAGAAGCATAGTCGAGGAATGTCTCCGTCTTATATATCTTTGACCCTAGTCGTCTATCCCTTATCTTCCTACCCTTGCAAATTAGTGCATACAGCAATGTGCATGAAGCAAAACAACTTCCCACTGTTACTCGCCAATAATATTTTGTTTAGAATGGCTAGACCTGGCTATATAGGTCTCTCACGAATATCCTACACGGATTTGCCTTAGTACTCATTGGTACTTGGTACAAGAACAACCACAAAGTTGTGGTTCATACCTAATTCAGATATTGCCACTGAAGCTGTAATTATGCTCAGTAAGGTAAGATTTTTGTGCTTACTTCCAAATCAGGAATAGCTATTATGTCATGTGATTTTATTCCAGTGATGGTTGTTTCGGAACGGAAGTTCTATCCCCCGGTCCCACCTCTGCGTAGACAATTTTCTGTCATGCAGCGGGAGTATACAAAATAGGTAATTTCTCCAATCGGTGATTATTACCCTAATTTGTCACTAACACCGATACTGGTCATTACTATATCAAGTAATAAACCCAAGACTGTGCGCATGCAGAGTCCCAGCCTTGCACGCGGGGTGACTGTGCCATATGCAACGTGATGTATATACCAACCCCGGCTCCCTCCCCTCCCACCGGGGCAACCCAGGGGAAAAATTTGCTGGCATATCGTTGGCGTCTTACCAGGCAGTAATACCCCGCTTTTGGACACCTTCCCAGATGGCAGGGGCTTTAGTATAAATGACAGTTACCTCAACAGCCGTGGCCCCAATATCTGCATAGACATCAGCTTCATCCTTTATCGTCCTTCTATCTAGCAACGAAAAAGTACAATCAAGGTTTGTATCCAACCAAAAAGGAGCAAAACACAAATAGTTGACAGCTTCTAGGATGTGCGAATATCTTGTGTCCACGAAGCATTATCGCGGCTGTCCAACATCATGCAACATGACGACCAGAACTTTCAATCGATGCCTCCAAGCAAGACAAACCGGCCTCGATTGTCCCAATCCTAAGGATACCCCACTTGGTCAATCAACATACCCCGAGCAATGTCCAAACCATCGAGATGAGGGATACAGTCGTCGTTGAGTTTGCTGCGAACTATATCTCGGATGAAAGCCTGCACATGTTCGGCTGAGTCGACTTGGGACAACCAACACTGCTTGATGATCTGACCGCATGGAATAGCAGAAACATTAGGGAACTCCTTTTGCTTGAAAAGTACTTCCACTTGATCACTAGGGATCTCCTCGTAGGGACTGGTTCCGTGAAAAACCTCGTAAAGAGTCGACCCGAGCGCAAAGAGATCCGTAGCCACAGTAGGTGGGTCTCTCCAGTGGCGTGGGAGATAGAATCGAGTTCCCTCACCAGAGGCCGGTTTAGATCCGTCTAGCGAAGAGCCAGAAAAATCAATAATTTTGATATTGAGATTCGTATCCAAGAGGAAATTTCGCGGTTTGATGTCGCAGTGGATTATGCCGTTAATATGCAGGAGAGAGACGGCTTGCGCAGTTTGGTATGCCCACTTCAACTTCAGGCTCATCGGAATTGAGCTTTGAGCTTGAAGATATGTTTTGAGATCACCGTTTTTCATGTACTCAAGAATAAGGCCATCCCTGGAGTGACCAAATATCTGTACCAGCCTTTCATGTGGGCCAACGCGATGATAGATACTGGCTTCTTTGGCAATGTCCAGGACATGGTCTTCTATTTCCGCGCCAGGAAATGGCGATTTGAGGACGGTACCATCACCAAGGAGTTCCACAATCCCAGTTAACCCACCAGAGATAAATTGTCCTTGAGCATCTCTGCTAATGGTTTCGACCTTTCCGTGTTCATTTTCATTTGCTTCATAATCGTATTGTGGTCCCTATTGCAGCTTGGTCAGGGAGCTCTTGCGATGGAAAGGGACGCTCGATTTATACCGCTTCAATATCATGAGAAGTGGGCCCGTGGATCAGGCGTAACAAAGGAGAAATAAACGCAATCTCTGTCCAGTCCTTGAGAATATAACATACTGACAGGAATCGCCGCAGTGTCTGCGATAAGAGCGTAAGAGCCATTTAAAACGCGGCGGTTGTTGGTGGTCCTGCAATGACAAAGAGCGCGTTGCAATTCTCACATTAAAGAGTGATCCATCACGTGATTTTCTGCCATGTTCTTCGGGAATTCAGGCCTTCGGAGGTGGAACATCCAAGTTGCCGTCATTTTGTATTAGTCATCATTCTCGATAAATTGCCAGCCTTTGAGAGAGGGGGGGCACCCAGCTGAGGGGGCCCCAAAAATTACTGAGCGGGCCCCAAAAATCGGTGGAATATTACGCCGACTTTCCTTAGTTCGCTAAGTCAACTGGGCCCCAAAATATTTTATGCTAAAATTAAAATTCTTACTAATAATGCTTTTATTATCCACGGATCAACTCTATATAACCTTATATCTCTATATTTATGATATTTATAGTAATTTTTTATTGAATATATATAAAAAATCTATGTTCCAAATTATATACAAAACCTAGAAACGGTACAAACAAAGAAAATAAGGAGGGTAAACGAAAATATAAAACGAGGTCCGAATGACGGACTATAGAAGTACTGTGAAGATAATATAGTAAGGTGATAATAATATAAAGTTGAGCGGGTTCCAGCTGAGCGAGGTACGCTAAAAGCTGAGCGAGGTTCGCTAAGACCGGAACTACTATATTCTATTAGCGCATCTCACTCAATATTTTAGCTAACCGAGGTTCGTTTATTTTAGCGTACCTCGTTTAGCTATTATAAAATTAATATACCTTTATATACGAAAATCAGGTGACTATACTAGCCCTTTTTTAGGGGGTTTAACTTTATCTTCTATATATACCTAAATATCCTATATTAATAAATTTTTGGGCTTTATTTTCGCTATAATTTTAGTTTAAATATATTTAAAATATTATCTTTATATATTAAACGTATTATAAATATATATTTACTTTTATTTTTGTCTAGAATTAACGCGTGGATAGATAGTTATTATGATAGTTACTAAAAATATATAAATAAAGAAAGTGAGTATATAAATAACCACTATCTATTACTATAATAAACTTCTCTTTCTTTCTTTTTTTTCTTATCCTTTTTCTATCCCTCTCTTATCCTTATTTCTATTATTTCTATTATTTTAATATATGTTTAGTATATATTAAACTATTAATATATCTAATTAAGCCTTATATCTAAATTGTGCGTACTTTGATAATCGTGAGGTTATAAATACCCTTAACCCAATACTTAGGGTTAGATACGCGTATAGTGAGTATATTTATCGCGTTTTTTATTTATTATTTATATATATAGCTAATAGATATAGGCCCTATCCTAAACCCTAACCTGAATTAGGATAGTCCTTACTAGGAATTCGCTGCTACTATAACGGTTACTTAGATAGCTAGATGCCGTCCTCCGACTAAGATCACTATTTAGTATATAGAGGCTATATTCGTGAACTTTCTATTTATTCCGTTAAACCTTCGTGTTTAGCTTAATAAGGAAAATACTCTTATATATATATTATATATCTTTAGTATACTTAGAATATATATTAACCTTCTATAGTTATTATATTATAATTAACAGCGACTAGATATATAGTATCTATTTCGACGACTAGCCTATATATCGTCGATACCTATATAACGAATACCCTAGCGTAAGTATATTTATTTTTAATCTATGATAGATATATATTAATACTAAATATAGCTATCCCTACCGACTATCGCTGTAAGACCTAGTTTGAATATACTCCGGGCCAGAATACTATTAAGCGTTAGGTTCTAACTAGAGGTTAACGTAATACTAACTTTTTGAACGAACCCGGTCGTGGTCCTCCCTTAAGCGATATTGGCTAGTACTATGATACCTTAGAGCGAATTACGTACGTATCCTTAGACTTAGTTTGATATATTATTAATATATACTTACCCTATATATAATAGGGCCTCTAATCAAGCCTTTGCTACGATATAGGGAACTTGATTCTATTATTATCCTACTTCTCCTACCTCTGGTTCCTATAGTCGATATCTAGTATAGATACCTTTAAATTATATTAAATATATGTTTACTAGATATAGCGCGGCCCTTCTCCTTCTTCTACTCCTAATATTAGGCCTATCTCTTTCTCTACGCCTATATAGATATAATAGATATCTGGTATATAAGTAACTTATAGTATTAGTAGTAGTAGTAGTAGTAATAATAGTAGTGTTATTTAGATATAGAGATCGTTTTAGACGTAGTAATGACTTTTTTATAATATCTATTTAGTTCTTGGATAGGGGTAATTCTGATTCTTTTATATTTATTTTTTTTAATAGAATAAATAAATTAGTTATAAGTTTAATATATACCTCTAATATTTAGAATATATACTAAGGGTATATTAAAACTTGAATTTAATTACTATATATATTTTAAAGAAGCTTATCGCGCCGCTTTTATATCTTTTTTACCCTTTATATTTACTCTAATTTTTTAATCTTATCTTGTAATTTAGCCTCTTTAGTAGCCTAATAATCTCTAGGATTAATATCTCTCTATTAGTATTATAGTATTTAGGATTATTATCGAGGTATATAGGATCTAGTCTACCGTGGTAGACCTAGACTAGATCCTAGGGTCGATTTACTTACTACTAAACTTACTCTACTAATAGAGCTAATATATATTAAGCTTAGGTCAAAAATCCTAGTATCTAAGATAGATACTAGATTAGATTAATCCTATATCGGTAGAGACTATATAGTAGGCTTAAAGATATTATATAGATTAGCTAAGTTCTATAGCTAATAAGGTTTT